ACAGAACTCCCGCCAGCCTCGTCTCCGCCGTCGTACTCGACGCTCGCCTGGATCACGTAGTACAGTGGGACGGCGATGCGGCCGTCGGGGAGGTCGCTCGTCAGCTGCGCGCCGGCGTCGTTCGCCGAGCTCTTGATGCGCACGCGGAAGACGGTCCCGTCCGTGGCCGTTGCGTGAATCATGACGCCCGCGTTGCGTTCTTTATCTTCATCATCGTTGTCTACCTCGCCCGGGTGGTGGCCCGGGTTGATTTCGTACGTCTCGAAAAACTCCTTCTCGTAGCCGGCGTCGAACAGGCAGCTGTGCGCGGCGGCCTTTGCGGCCAGGAGCGAGGTGTACGTACCCGGGACGCGCACTTTTTCGACGACGTTGTTGGGGTTCTTGCCAATGTGTGATATTGTCAGGAGGACGTGGTAGAGTCGTTCTGGGGCCTGGGGGGTTGGATCCATCTTGTGTTGTCCAAGTGTGTTTCGTCGTTTTTGCTTCTTTTTTCTTAATCGCGTTCTCTGTTTCAGATTTAATCCACCCTCACGTCCTGTCATACCACCTAGTTTCTCATAGTCATTGAACCTGACCCGTGGAACAAGGCGATCGTGTCCCCCAGATCAGAACCGTGGGACGGCAGAGGCATGGGGACCCCTTCGAGATGGAGGGGTAAGCAATTGCGCCACCCACCCGCAATTCATGCAGATGATGACGATCAAGACCGGCAATTGTCTCGCAGCTCACCACTCGGGTGGAATGACATGTTTGACTGGATCTTGTGCGGTTGCTTCTCTCGCAGGAATACGGAAGGAGGGCAGGATGACATGGCCCATCCGTGCTCGGGTTTCGTGTAGGGTAGCCAGCCCATTATTCGACTAGCTTAGGATTATTGGATCGGACGGCGAGCTTCTACTTCGAGTTTTTGAGGGTGGAATAGACAGTACGGTAGTCCTGGAAAGAGAATTTATGGGATCTATGCTCTTTCCCCGCCTTGCACGCTCCGTAACACCCATGGAGAGCCAGTTGTTCAATTTCGGTCGGCTATTAGAGCCCCGGAGACGGGTGTATAACTTGTCATTCTGATAGCTATCTTGGCAAGTTAACAGATCAGCCGGGCTATTTTAATGTACCGCCTAACAAGGCGGGCCACAGGCCCATAAGCAGCAGTAGACCTCGGAATCCTTAATGAGCCTCCATATTCCTTGCTGCCGCCGCTGCTGCCGTGAGTTTCAACGCGGCTGGCGCATCGTCTCTGGGCATGTGCAGCTCTACAAGCTGGAAGTGCGGAGCGAACGAGAACTTCGGGTTGGCGAACAAGCCCTCCAGCTCCTCCCTGGTCCGGACCCGGTACGAGATGTAGTCGCCCGGAGAATGCGCCCCGAATGCCTCGACCAGCGCGCCGTGCTCCCACGGCTGGATGTCGTTGTAGCTCGCCTGGGGACCGTGAATGTACCGCTCAATCGTGTATCCGTCGTTGCAGATCACAAATCTATTCTCTGTCACGATACTGATCCTTTCTAATGTTCTGTGATAGGTGCTGCCAAACTCACATGATCGGATTCAGATTATGGAGGAGCATCGTGCTAACCTCTTGCGCGGTCATTTGGAAACTCCCATCGCCCACGAACAGAATCACCCGGCGGCAGTCCTTGCTATCCCTCGTCGCCAATGCAGCGCCTAGACACGCGCCCACCGAGAACCCGATGCTCCCCCACAGCACCTGGCTGATGGCGCTGACACCCCTGGGGAACCGGGTCTCCCACACGCCAAAGTTGGCGGTGCCGGTATCCGTCACCAGGATGTCCCCCTCGCGTAGCCAGTTGCTCAGAGCCGGCCAGAGCCAGGCGTGGGTGATTCGGGTATCGTTGTCCGCTGCCTCAGAGCTAAAAGGGTCCTTATCCGGAAGTCGGTGTTCAGCGAGGACACTATCCAGGCTCTGCATACGGTCGATGATCTTCTGCAGAACCCCCCGCATCCGCACGTCCGGGTAATGCGAGTACCGCACCTGGACGTGGTCCGTGTAGAAGTCAATGGTGTTCAGCAGGCTCGTCCGGTACGAGAAGCCCGTTGTATTAAAGTCGGACTTGAGCGGGCCAATGCTCAGAATGAGGTCCGAGCCCTCGACCCGCTCGCGGACAGCGCGATGCGACCCGTTCCCGGCATACACGCCCCCGAACTGCGGCAGCGTCTCGTCCACAGCACCATTGCCCATCGGCGCGACGTAGGTCGGGAACCCGGATCGCTGGATCAGCTCATGCACAACGCCCAGGGCATCATGGCGGATCGCGCCCGCGTCAACCAGGATGATGGGATCCCGCGCGGCAGCCAAATACCGCAGGACGACGTCCACCACATAGTCTTCCTTCTCAACCTCGTTGGGCGGCTCGCGCAGGTCGATAGGCTCCGCCAGCCTCTGGCCCTCCACCTTCTGCGCAACCATGTCCGCCGGCAGCGCAATGTACACGGGGCGGCTCCGGATCCAGCACTCACGGAGGGCGTGGTCGATCAGCGTCGGGGAGTGATCTGCGTCCGCGATCTTGACCGCGGCCACGGCGACGTTGGCGCTGATTCCGTGGAATACGTTGTAGTCGCCGTTGCCGAGCGTGTGGTGTAGCAGCAGACCGTCGCGCTGCGAGGCGATTGTCGGCTGCCCGACGATGTGCACGACGGGGACGTGCTCCGAGTATGCGCCCGCGATGGCGTTGAGCGTGGACAGCTCGCCGACGCCAAAGGTCGTCATAATTGCGGAGATCCCCATGATGCGTGCGTAGGCGTCGGCGGAGTACCCTGGACAGTAACGAATTCAGCTTATGGCCTTCCCTCTTATCTATGTAACGGTTCTGGTTGTGGGTGACGACTAACCGGCATTCAGTTCATTGCAGTTCCCAACCCACTCCAGCCCGGCCTTGGGGATGTAATCCAACGCAGCCAGGTTATAGTCTCCTAGTAAAGCATTCCAGTTAACAACTAACATGAAAAGGACCGTGTATGTGCTCTACCTACCTGGAACACCCTGGATCACGCGCACGCCGAGCTGGTACAGTCGCGTAAACAGGTACTCCGCAACGTCGACGGGAGTGTGCAGCGCCGCGGTGCGGATATCCGACTGCATGTTGAAAAATATACTACTGTCACGTTTTCCAAAAAAAAAAATAAAAAAGAAAAAGAAAAAGAAAAATCGGTTGATTCCGATTTCTGGTATAGACTGTTCTTCATCTATCCACTGGCTCTGTTCTTTTATATCTATCCCTACTTATGCAGAAGTCGCGCCATGCCGCTGATAGTGTCCGGGTCCGACAAAACCTTGTATAGGTGCAACATGCGTCTGATCGCATGGTTAAAACCCGCAAAGTCTAGATCCGCAAAACGAGGGCAGTGGGGAAGATCTGGTGACGTCAGGGCCCGTGGGCTGATAGTTTCCGCGATGGGACGAGCCTACTTATTCTGGTGCTTGTGTACTGTAACGAGTAAAATCTGTGACTGCATTGAACACTAGTAGTAGTTACGTCCATAGGATGATCCGATCTAACTTCAAAACTCAATCCCAACTTTCAGCACTCCCGTGGACGGCTTTTGGAGGGTCTCGTATGCCTTCACGATCTCGCGGAACGGAAAACCTGGTGTGAAGGTCAGACAATAGATAAATAGCGGGAGACGGAAGATGCTTACTATGCGTCACGAGCGGGGCTGGATTGATCTTGTGGGCTTGATACAGGCGTAGAAGGGTTGGGATAGTGACTGTGTCCACCAGTCGTGTCCGTATAGCTGGGCGGTGACTATCAGCGATGCCCGACGGGGGTACGAGGGGAGGTAAAGGGGAGGGAAACAAAAAAAAAAAGGAACTCACTGAGATTATGATCCCACAGCCGATCGAGCGCCAATGGGGCTCTCTGTCCGTGCACACCCACATTGGCAATGAAACCCCCGGGCGCAACAAGCGTCTGGCACAGCTCAAACGTTGTCGGCCGTCCCACAGCCTCAATCACGGACTGGAACCCATGCTCGCCAGACAGCGCGTCCAGCCTCTCCATCGCGTCGCCGCTCGCAGGGTTGACGACCTCATCAGCCCCCAGCTGCTTCGCGAGCTCCAGCCGCGCCTCGTCCCTGTCAATGACGACCGTCAGAGACGGGCTGTACAGCTTCGCCGTGAGCATCGCGGCCAGCCCCACGGGGCCCGCGCCGACAATCGCGACTGTGCTGCCCGGTTGGACGTTCGCGTTGAGCGTCCCGCACTCGTAGCCCGTGGGCAGGGTGTCGGAGAGGCATATGGCGGCGTGCGTGTTGATGTTCGTGGGCAGCTTATGCAGTGAGCATGCCGCGTGTGGAATCCGCACGTACTCGGCCTGCGTGCCGTCAATGGCGTTCCCCAGTACCCACCCGCCGCCGCTGGCGCAGTGCGAAGGGAGCCCCCCGCGGCATGGGCCGCACACGCCGCAGGCGGTGATGCAGGAGATGAGGACCAGGTCGCCAACGAAGAGATCCTCCGCGGGGACAGCGGAGCCGAGGGCCTCGATGCTCCCGATGCCCTCGTGGCCGAGCACGAGGCCCGTCTCGACGGTGGGCACTTCGCCGCGGAGGATGTGCAGGTCTGTGCCGCATATGGTCGTGTGTAGCATTTTGACGACGGCGTCGGTGGGCGAGAGCAAGTTAGGGAGTGGGCGGTCTTGGAGAGCGCATTTGTTGCTGCCTTGGTAGATGAGCGCTTTCATTGTGCCGTTTGCGTCTGCGTCTCTATCTGGCTTTTTTTTTTCTAAGTGAACATGAGGGCTGTACCACTGAAGACTCGAGGTTAAGATCTTACCTTGGATTGATTACTGTAGCCTCTGGCACTTGCGCTTCGAGCAGGAGTATACATTTTTGAACCCCGCATGCCAGTTGATAACCTCAGAGCCAACGCGCCTGCTCGGCTCGCTCGATACGGGCAGAGCCTTGCAATAGCAGTGACGGCCAGCATACTGCGACTGCAGAACATATTCTTTTTTGATTGATTTTCCGCTTTTTTTTCTTTGCGCTGAAGAGCTGGTATCTAGAGCAGAGAAGCAGATACCAATTATCCTAAACCCGCCGAGGAACTGAGCCCAGCCCGTGAGGGATCACACAACCCCGTCCTTCTGACGACTCCCCATAAGAGCTCAATTGCGTCAAGGACTTGGTGGTGTGATAACATGGTCATGTGCAACCAGTGAAAAGCTGCTTCGTCGAGGACAAAGGGAGGGCTTCGCTATGATGTAACTGAGCGTGACCTCAAATAAGGCGATTTAAAAGGAGAATTGTGTGCGGCATAAGTGAAGAAAATATTCCAAGAGTACAATTCGTTGGTTATCTAGCCTTAAAGAGACTTATATATTGAATACCCTGTAGCCATGGAAACGGGGAGTTGGATTTATTCCCCCTCGAATGTGCGGCCGCCCCATTAGATCAGGCCAGATCCACCTGCACAAGATTAACAAGAAACAGATTGTATACGCCGGCGTCTCGGAGCTCGTCGTCGCCGACTCGGTAGCACGATTCGCGATAGTCGTGCGGAATGTCTCCGACCTTGTCCGCTTCTTCGAGTGCCAGCTCCCGCTCGTCCCAAAGCACAACAGAGCAACCGCCGTGCCAGACCTCATCCTCCGCACCCTGATCGAGTACCGGAACGCGATCAACGAGAAATTAGCGGCTGTCGCGCTTCCGCGCTCACTGGCGGACCAGTGCCCGACCCTCTGCCTGCAGCTCTGGAAGGAGCTGGACGCGGTCCCCTATGTGATTGCGCGAGAGCCGCACCAGCGAACACACGCGGACCAGGGCGAGCGGGCGACGTTTGCAGGGTGGGAGGAGAAGCAGATTGACGAGCAGGCGGACTCGATTGCCAGGAAGTGCATTGGGTATACATTTCTAACGGCCTCTCTCTATCCTGTTTCTCAATTTCAAGGCTTCAAACGTACAGTCTAATTGTATATACAGATCCTTTGGCATCGGCCATGTCCCGCCGACTCAGCTGGATCTGCACGGCATGGTCGCAGTCGACAACGACTCGCGAGTGTGCTTTCTGAACGAGGCCGAATATCGCCGGACAGTCGGCGACCGCACATGGACCCTGCTGCAGCATTACGCGGGCGATCTCCGCAAGCGGAAAGTCAAGGTCGCCTTCTTTAGTAGCACAGCCCACGGGAGGCCCGATATATCGACGCATCATGCCCTCATCCGCCTGGCGCAGTACCTGGGAGTTGATTTCCAATGGTTGTTTCTCCCTCCCCCACAACAGAACGAATGAACACTTTATAAAAAAAAAAAAAAACCGTGGAGTCAGCACCGCTTACTTCGTCCCTATAGGTACGTCCCACGCCCACGCCCCCAGCTCCTCGAGGTCATCCGCAGAGTCCAGCGGATCCTACACTGCGTTGAGACCCCCTCGCACCCGCTCACAACGGATGAGGAGCTCCGCATCCTTGAATGGGTCTACAAGACCGCCAAGCGGTACTGGCTCAGCAAGCCCGGCGGCCCTCTGCTCCCACGGGTGGAAGGCGGAGCCGACGTGGTGGTGATCAGCGAAGCGATCTTGTCGTCACTGGCACTGATCGCAAAGCAGTCGGATCCGCGGCGGCCCGTCGTTTTTGAGAACCGGCTGCACGTCCACCACCACCGCTGCGCGCACGACAACGTCGTCTACGACGGCGACAACAACAACGACGATGTCCGCAAAACCCCCGAGCATCAGACGTTTGAGTTCCTTCGCGCACGGCTGCGCGAGGTCGATCTGCTTGTTTCGCAGGAGCCCAAAGCGTTTTCGCCACGGCTCATGCCGATGAAACAGGTGGGATACATGCCAGTGGCGATTGATCAGTATGAACCCAGTCATACCAATAACTGAAAGATCCTGGGTGACTAACTATGTGGTGTCCGTAGGCTCGAAGGACTGAATAAGCCCCTACATGACTGGGACGTTGCCTTCTACGGCCGCGAGTTGAATGCGATCTGCCGGAGTGCAGGCAAGCCCATACTAGACTAACCTGCAAGTGAGTTTCAAGATTTCCACATCCCAATGCTACCTTTTTGCAGATTGACAATACAATGTCCAGAAAGTTACTTCATCCATCTCGTCCAGCTCCTCCCAGAAGAAGGCACGACGCGCCTGTTGGACAGCTACCAGACCTTCTATCATTGCCGCCGAGCCGACACTGCTCCTAGTACTAATACTAATACCTCAATCCCCAACCTCATGATCTGCCACTACAGCTCCGCCATAAACCCCGACACGGGCCAAGTGCACGCAGCCCTCCTCGCACACATCCAATCGCACATGCCGGACCTGGCGCAACACATATGCATCATCCAGCTCCGCCCGCCGCAACAGCTCTGGAACGCGCTCGTCTCGCGGGCCCTCGGCCTCGTCCAGCTACGCGACTACGAGGGCATCCCGGAGATGCTCCTTGGCGCCGTGCAGAAGGGGAAGCCCGTGCTTGTCAGCAGGGAGTTTGCGGACTATCCGTTTGTGCAGGGGGCGGAGGGGGGCGGCGCTCTTGTTCTTGAGGCGGATGATGAGGGGGGCGACTCGCTCGCGGGGTATCTGCTTGACCTTGTGAAGGGCGCTGATAATGGGGGGAGGAGCCAGACCGGGAAGGCCGCGCCAGGTGGAGAAACCAGGCAGCGGCTTGAGGACAGAGCGACCACGGTTGGCAGTGCGTTGAGCTGGTTCTTCTTGGCGTCGGAATTGTCCAGCGGGGGCAGAATTGAGCCCGAGGGAGGGGATATCTTTGCGATGGCTAAACAAAAGGACTTGTAGGCCCGTTTTCGCGCAGCGGGAACATTTGTTGTATACCTCTACTAGTTTCTATACCATGTCAACGGGGTCTGGTACAGTTTTCCGATGCTTTACTCGCAGCCGCAATATTCTTTAACTAACTTCAGCCTTCTATCCTTGCGATGGCATTAAACATTGCATTTGTCCTTGTATCTTTCTAACTCCTCCTAGCCAATATGTTGGAAGGAAATATATTAAGAAACCAATGAACATGCCCTAATGGATCCTGATTGAACTCTAGTAGGTCATAAGTACTTGGCCGGAGCTCGGCACCGGCGAACCCTAATTGGTGGAGTATGTTCTGACCCTTGAACCGTGGTCTCACACCGTCGACCGCCTGACTGGGGTTTCAAGGTTGCACGAATCCTCGTCCACAGCCCACAAGTCTAGAACAGTCCTGCATGTTCCCAACAGCACCTGACCATCCTGTCCCATGCAATATTAAATAGTCCAGAGCTGACTGGTTGCGGAATGAATGTTCTACGATCGCGATCGCCGTAGCACCACCATCTGCGCCAAAACGCAATACAATATCGCCCTGCACAGGGGTACAGAAGCAAGAAATCACGCCTGGGCCATGCCATTTTTACCGTTCAATATTGTGCACAACCTACGGAGTGAATTAGCCGGATCGGATGCCGAGATCCTGACATGGGGCAGCGACGGGTATGAAAACTGCATGCAGCAATGGAGCGAGACGTGTGATACATTCGTGGTACCTCCTCCACACTCAACCCCCTGGCATCCCTTTTATCCCATTTTCATACCCGACAAGTGAGTGATATTAATTGGCCCTTGACAGGGCGCAACAGTCCGAATCACATCAGCCGCCCAAGCTGCAGCCGTCGTCCGCTTCGCCGCACAGCACGAGATCCCCTTCACTGCCCGAGGCGGCGGCTACTCAACCAGTGGCGCCTCGATAACCTACGGCGGAATCGTCCTGGATCTGTCGAAGCTGCGCGATGTCCATGTTGACCCGGATTCTCAAACTGTCACAGTGCAAGGCGGCGCCGTCTGGGCCGACGTTGACGTTGCCGCCGCGCAGCACGGACTGGTCGTCGTGGGGAGTACGCTGAACCAGATCGGCGCCGCGGGCGCAACGCTCGGCGGCGGGTACGGGTGGCTGACGGGCCAGTATGGGCTTGCGATCGACAACCTGCTCTGGGCGCAGATGGTCCTGGCGGATGGATCAGTTGTGCGGGAGTCGGACGCAGAGAACCCGGACTTGTTCTGGGCGGTGCGCGGCGCGGGGCAGTGCTTTGGGGTTGCTGTGGAGTTGGGGTTTCGCGCGCATCGCCTGGTGGCGGAGGAGGCGGAGCATCGTGTGTTTGCGGGGACGTTGCGCTTCGCGCCGGAGAAGCTGCCGCGGATTGTGGCGTTTGCGAATCAGTTTGAGAGTCTAAATGATGGCAGGCAGGGGTTCTGGTTTGGGATCACGACCGAGTCTACGGCGGCGCAGTGCTCCTCCATCCTCATCGTGTTGTTCCACAACGGACCTGAGGGTGAGGCGAGACAATTCTTCACCCCGGTTCTCTCACTGGAGTCGAAGAGCGATACAACCCAGATGCTCCCGTATGATGGCCTGAATAGAATCCTCAACAGCAAGGACATCATGGCCCGCCGCGACAGTTTCCCCAAAGTCAACATTACGTATCCCGACAAGAGCGTGGGGTTTCGGAAGAGTCTGCGCGGTTCAAACATCACGCTCCCTCTCGATGTCGATTTCGTGCAGTCGGTCTATGACGAGTTCAATGCCGTTGTGGCGGACTATCCGGAGGCCCGCGATAGAAGGATTCTATTTGAGATTCTTCCCAACAAAGAGGTCACCAAGGTCCCTATCAACGCTACGGCGTTTGCCAGCCGTGGTCCCTACTATAATGTCAGCTCGCTTTTCGAGTGGAGCGAGGCACACCTGGACGACGAGATTCGCGCACGGCAGAAGAGGCTGATGGAAAGGGTTGGCAAATGCGCTGGTATCGAGAGGAAGCCGGGCTATAATCCTTCATTGCATGGAGCAGGACTATATGCGAATTATGCGGGTACGTATAGACTGTGTATGGAGCAATCACGGTGTGTATAGTTATTGACAAAAAAAAGGTCATGACATCCCTGTTGAGGAGATATTCGGGGATAATCTTCCTCGACTTCGCGAGCTGAAGGCGAAATATGACCCGCGAAATATATTTAGGAAGTGGCACAATCTGAACCAGCATGTCCATCCTCCGGCTTGACGCTTGGGTAAGTTGGGTGGATATAGGCCTGACAACATGGATCGCGGATGGAAGCCCTTCAACTCATGGTTATGAAGGTGAAAAGTTGAGATATTCGATTAGGCAATTAATCAAGACATTGGAAGCCACGATCAGAGCTTGTTTCCAGTTTAGAAGGAACTATATCTATGGAAATACTCAGTGTTGTGCCTCATAATATCACACTTCAGTCTCAGGTGCTTCTCTGTGTGCCTATGCACCATTCCAACCGTGGCTGCAAGGGATATCCACCATGCAGAATAGTTCAAGATTTCCAAGGTGGGTCCTCATCCTCCTGAAACGCCCTCGTGCTGCAAGACACATTGGACAATCGGCTGCGTAAGAGGCAATCCGCCGGTCTAGAGCTTTGACCACCACTCAGCCTCCAAGCTATCACAGGATGCTGGGATATCTGGGCAAATAATGCCCGCCCGAGAGTAGCACGCGAAAGGAGTGAAATACAGTCTTCCTAGTCAGTGCCAAGCAGTAAGAGGTTCCTGTCCGTGATGGTGACCGCGAGTCCTAGGCCTGGATAATTCTACGCTGTTTTGAAGCTACCGGCATCGACCCTTCGCAGGAAACAAGGTACTATAAAGTATGGTAGCAAGAAACGTAGATCCCCTAACGTTGCGTAGTGGTATCATCAACATGGCAATTACCTACCTACTAGACTGCTCTAATTCGCAACCCAAACAAGCATGAATTTAAATCTATCTCCAATCAATCCCCCAACTAATATGATTCTTAAAAGGAGAAAATTCCAACCCTCGGACCGAATTCGTAGAGTATTCATCCGCATTTCTCCATGTCAATGGTCTAGGAAACGGGGAAGACTATGGTAAGGAGGCGAAAATCCTAATTACGTCGAGATGCCTGTTTCATCCATATCTCCTAATGGCTTGATGCCGAGAAGCCCACAATAGCGCAGCTGGAAAATACACTGTATATATGGTATTGATGTAAGCCACACTCACTTATGCCTTGAGTCTGTCTCAGTCCTCCCACTCTCATTCAATCGCCTAGGAACTGACTAACATTTACCTGGCTCTACGGACCTTTTTATATTTTCCATTCCTGTGCGGGAAAATATCCGCACTATATTTGAGGTGTCCTATTACTTTACCGGGGCTATATATAGGGTTCTATGCAAGATTAAATGCTAATATATACTCTAGGTCTAGGATTACTATATTAGCTTTTAAGAAATAATAGTATTTTTCTTGTTAGTTTTATTTCTAGATTTAATTTTCATTAATAATATTTTTATTAGTCTTAGGTATCTTTCATACATGCTAGTCCTATTACTCGGATCCTGATTCGACTCCCTTAAATAGACGGCATCTCTACGCTCAGTTCATTGGATGTAATTAGATCGCCTCGTGACAGATACAAAGACAAAGATACGGACAAAAGCCATAGCGAAAGCGAGGGCAAAATTTAGCAACACCCCGTGGACACCACAGTATCCATACAAGTTAAACATAATAGTCCCTGGCTAGTAAGGATAGCAGGGAGACTACAGTAAAACAGTGGTAGGTTATTAGCGAAGTACATACACAGGGTACTTAATTCAAGCTTGGTATAATCTTTATAGTATGCGTCCTTGGGTAGTGGCATTAGGGTAAACTAGTTAGAGATGTAATGGATAGGCCTCCTACAGGCAGGCCTGGAGAAATGGTTTCTAGATGTGGTATATAGGCTATAGTACAGCCTTGCTCTCGCTCTCCTCTATTTCTTGGCAGACCATCATGAAGTGTAAGGTGAATATAATTTATAGAACAAATAATATGATGTGTGATTATCTTCAACAGTGATAGGATAACAGACACATGAAATAGGCAATGTAATGACCTGATGCCCTGTATCAGATCTCATCCGGGTATACCGTACTGTGTTTAATGTGGTACTCCCTGTTTGTGGCATCCAGCTGCATATTGATAATCTGGAAAGCTTGAATGATGGGAAGGAGCTTCACATCTCCAGGTTTCACTAAACTTTCCAAGGGCCAGCATCTTTCTCTATTTTTCCTCCTCTGACGCTAAGATCATCTAAGTAAAGCCAAGTTCTCGCTTTGGACTCTCGATGGCAACACAAAGACTCGGCAAGTCAATTTGAGCATGAGGGGCCACTGGGGGAGTTAATTCCTCTGGTATCTGACACAGCTCTGGCCCTCCAATGAAATGAACCTCATTTGTTTCTGAGACATTATCTTCACTTCACTTGAGCAACACGATCCCCTCGGCTTGGTTGATCTGTCTCTTCGACCTGGGCGTTTCTATTCCTTGCCTCATCTCGATCTCTTTACTTCACTCAGTCAACATAATACAATCAGCTCTTCTTGTTTACACGTTCAGCTCCCAGTGAAACTGAACCACCAAAAGGGTCCTTGGTTCCGCCAGTATACTTCTCGAAGTGATTTTCAGTCTAAATTGTCTACATCTCCAACTCCAAGACTGATCTCGCTCCTTTAATACCACGACGTTTAATGATATTCCGGGCTTCCAGAAGGGTTGAAATAGACAGGGTAATATTAATATTCTACTCCTAGGGATATAACATACTAAAAGGCCTACAGTTCTCGCAAGCTCCCACTATAGATATGAGCATGAAGATTTGCAAGAGTACTTGCTATCGTTATGATGGTTGGATGTGATAGATTCATACTACCAAAGGGTTTAAGACGGTCTATATAGTTCCTGAATACGGGGATGTTACAGATGCAGCTAAATTGTATAGGCTATCCAGGCTAAAAGGTCATTAGCCTATGCCACAATATGTACAAGGTAGAGAGTCATCATGTCGTAATACATGTTGGATAGTGGAGTTAAACTGACTTTGTTCGCCGTATTTTGAAGGAAAATGTCCTCGCGGCACATAGACTATATTCGGCGTAACCCTAGTTCGGAGCTATCTGCGAGGCATGGAAGTCTGCTGGACAGCTGGTATTTGAACGGCGCCATTTCCTCAGGTGCCTGGTAGCGGCCCAAGCCTAAAGTGCTATTCACAGCTGCCCAATCAAGTGAACCAAAACGGGGCAGGTCTAGCGCTTCTTCAAGGACTAATATTTAGCCTGCGGAGCGGAGGACTTGGGACGGCTATCACCTGAAGGACATTGCTGACTCGGTGTCTTTGTTGCGAAGGATTGAAATCATTGCGACATCAATCCCACCGAAGATAAAAGGAGAGCCTAGTCGGAGTAGATAATTATCACAGGGGCAGACTGACTCGGCACGTGAACTAGAGAAGTGCACGCTCAGCAAATGTAGCAGTTCTCAAAACTCATCTATTGCTTTCCAAGTGTGCGCATCTGAGCACAGTCGCTAACTGCTGGTACTTGCTTACAAGAAAGCCGGCGTTGGATGGCACCGACTATTTCAGAGCTACGTCAAGGACACGTGGAAGCCCAATAAGTCGAGCGCGCAGAGTCATTGCTTGATGACCAACGCCCAAGCAAGTGTAGCAAGCCGGAATTGAAAGAACCACAATACACCTGGGCATACAGCAATCAATAGTTGGTAGCACGAATCTAGCGTAAAGACCGATCTCCATTCGTAGTCGTGCACACATGTTATCCAGCAAACAGTCCAACTACCCTACCCCCCACATACTCGGCTCGCAATAGCTCACTCTACCTGACATCCTTCGGTCTCATCCCAGACAATTCCGGTTATTCACGGCTATTCAGATGAACAAGCCCATCACGCATAGTGCCGAAGGGCATGGGAAAAGTGAAAATCAATATTCCCCGTAATCAGTGGCCCCAGACCTCTCAGAGACATGACCAAGCGCTGAACAATCGCATTTCCGAGGAGCCTCGTGGACGACTGCAGGGCTTCCAAATCCGCTCTGACTAGTATACTCGCCGACGCGAGTCCCAGAACGGCCGTATCAAACGCTGGCTTTTTCTCCTCGAGGAGGTCCAGTGTAGAGAAGATATCGTCCTGCAGTTGTACGACGCGGTTCGTGATGGTGATGGACTCTGCCTGGTTGAGGTTGGAGGTTCCGTTCGTCGCCCCCGTGGCATTGTCGATAATGTGGACGAGGTCCATTGTTTGGCCTTGGATTTGGAGAGCAGCCAGGGTGCCTTGGAGGCCGCCGTTGAAGTTGCGGAGCGAGGCGCTGAGGGCGTCGAGTTGGTTGTTGATTGATTGCAAGCCGGAGAGGATGTCGTTCACAGTTCGTGCTTGATGAGGGACGGCAAGACATGTTTGGAATTGAATGAGCAAAGTGAAGGCAAGGAAATAGAGTGAAGAGGTCATTTTGGCAAGCATAATAGCAGCAGAGGAGGATAGTCTTTGGTTAGAAAAAGAATGGGATATGTCCCTGACCTGGAACGCACTCACGGCTCTCTTATGCAAAGGGCATACGGCGGCGACCCGAGGTTCTTAACCGTCAAGCGTCCATATGAAAGAGACCGCACGTCTGAGCAATCCTGCCCTTAGCAGGAAGCGCAATGCTGCTATACTAGGTTGCGGCAAAGAAGATTAACGGTGGAAACTGCCCTCCAAGGTTTAAATCTCGCCAGCCTATCATTGCCTTTGCTCGCTGCTCGGCTTGGAAGAGTCCAGCGACTGACATGAAGATGATTAAGATTTCGCCTGGTCAAGATGGTGAGGGGAAATTGCAAATTTTAATCCGCCGCGCAGCACTATTGGCTGAGAGAGGCTTTCCATTCTCCTCATCGGGTAAGCTGGGCGAGGTCAAGGTTAAGGTTAAGGTATTTTATTAACTGCACCCAATGACGTTGACTTATTCTGCTTATTAGTTACAAGGATGTAGGGCTATCTGAGTCCACCAGCCCCTGTGATAGCTAGGGTAGTACTTGCGACCTGCCGGAGATGGTCTCCGTGAAAGGCTCCGTGATCAGACCTCGTATCACCTAATACATTACTATGTCTTGAGCAGCGTCATATGCAGTATCCTGGAAAGACAAACCTCAAGATCCATCGCACGATTCCTTAATCAAATTTGACCTGTGTCCCTGAGCCAGGGTTGGCCCAGAATCAAGCAACGGGGACCCTGGAGCAATGCGAGATACGGACGTAGCAAGCTCAGTACCAAGCGCCCCAAAGCATACATACAAGCAGGCGACCTATCACCGAGTCGCTGTGACTGTATGCAATTTATCAGTGCCGTCTATTACTAAGTGGAATGGATGGCTGAGGGTTGCAACGGAGCTCAGCCGTGGTAGTACAGGGTCAGGACAGATTGGAGGACATACTCCGGATCAATTCGAGGATGCTCTACGGCCTGACGTATATTCATGTAACTTTAGCGAGGTTTATGTAGAGGTAGTACTGTGGCAATCATGTACCACCGCCGTCTTCAACATGTCGGGTGTTCCTGGGATCTATGGGTCTCCAGGTTGAGCAGAGAACCTAGGGAATATGCCGCGGAGCTTTAATAGGCTGCCCTTTACCCTGGAAAGAACCCAAGACGGAGAGAGCCACCGTGAAATGGGCTTGGAGCCGCCCCGTTTGTGATGGAGGCACACGTTACCTCGGAATTACAACGTAGCCGAGAATATTCAAGCACGACATTATCCGATCGTGGCAAACTGTGATAAACAGCCGCAGCTCTTACAGCCTGTAAGCTTCCTCATTCACGAACAAAATCACTTTAATAGTCGCTGTACCAGAACCAGGTACTAGTTGCAGCAATTGTGGGTTGAAGTGGGAAGAACATCGCCTGCATACCGTGTAAGATACAAATCTCAGTCGAATGGCTTATGGGTGAAATATAATGGATGGCTTCTATAGTGGTCGGAAGATATTGAAGAGGTGTCAAGTGCTTAAGCAAGACCCGCAAACTCCGTATCCCACCAGAGCACTGGGACCGCAGCTCATTAAGTGATTACTTCGTGATCTTCCTGGATAAGGTAGTGGCTAGGAGCTAAAACGGCGACGATTCTTTTGGCGTACTCGGCGCATGTCTGGCTGGCGTGGAGGTAGGTATGGGTTTGCAGGCAAGGAGCCATGGACCAGGTCACGGCCACTTACTACGAAACAACCTCTTGACCGTCAGCTATCCTCCAATATCCCCCACTATCCCCGAAGCAGTTTGGATGAATACCACAGCATCGTCATTTCTTCAAACCCTTTGTTTTCAGTAAATGTTATAGTGTCTATATGCGCCCAGAACAAGGATGCTACCCACGGAGAGTCGACACTATTTACATCCTGGCCGGAGGGGCATTCGACTACCTTTGGAACCTTCTCCGTGCGCGACTCTCTCTCAACACCAAGCCCGCCCGTGTTCCCCGGCTTTCCACTCGGCCGGGCATGGCCTTCCCATCTTGCCATGAGCGAAATGAAACCAGGGGCCCGCCACCTGCTAAGAAGACTAGCCAGTCATGGAGGCTCTCGCTGCATTTTCGCTGGCAGGAACCATAGTCCAGGTTGTGGACTTCAGCTCGAAAGTCCTAACTACCACGCATGAGCTCTACAAGTCGACGGAAAAGATCACCATTTTCCAACCGTACGAGCTGGTTGCGGCCGACCTGTGCAAGATAACCCAGCATCTGAATGAACGCAAGCTCCCACAAATTAGTGGCGGGCAAAGTGCTGCTACTCTGAACAACAACCACTCGCTACAAGCACTTCTCAACGAATGCTCCGAGGTGGCCTCGAAGCTTCTGGCTCGCTTTGAGAAGCTCAGAGTTCAAGGGAAGAAGACAAAGTAAAAGACCTTTGCGCAAGCCATGAAATCGGTTTTCTCTAAGAGCGATATTTAGAGTACCATGAAACAATTGTCAGAGATGAGAGCGGCGATACAAATGCATCTGGTCGTGGATCGCAGGTATGGAAGGAGTTCTGCCGAGAATATGGCAAGCGGCTTACGAGGAGAACAGGACCCAACTAAGTACTCTCATCTCCACTCAGTCTAGTGGAATCAATATCAGTCAGAGCACTAACGCTTTGCTCGTGGCCCTCTCTAGCTACGAAGATAAAATGGAGATACAGAGTATCGCAATCGCCTAACTAGTTGGAAAGATTGATTTGATTGCGCAGGACCAATCCCGGGCGCTGGCTGCAGTGTCCTAGATAGACAGGGCAAAGTCAGCAGCATCATCCAAGGACGTCAAACAGAGTTCTTTCCTCGACAGCATTATCTCATCCTCAAATGACGCCGGTTGTGGTCTGGGTGGCGCCGAACCTCAGCAGGACCCAAACTCCTGGGTTACTCGAGAGCTTCTCCACGAGCTGTCGTACCTAGCAATTAAATATTGCGACAATGCAATTCCTGAAGCCCATGAGGAAACCTTCAAGTGGATTCTGAGTGATAGAACCTCCTTGAGCTGAGGTTTTATGGATTGGCTACGTCATGGCCAAGGGTGTATTGGATCAACGGCAAGGCTGCATCTGGAAAGTCAACCCTGATGAAATACACATTCCCACAAACCGAGTTCCACTCCCTGTTGATGGGAGCGTCGAGGATTCCCGACGTACGGCAGGAAGAAGCCTGCCCCTCAGAGGGAGAAGACCGAAAGCGACGCCGAGGCAGCGGGATTCCCGACCTACTCCTGGAAGGAATAGGGCAGGGATGGAGATTCCCGTCTCAGCCCCTGCCTGCTTGGTGGGACCCCATTGGCATCCGGCGTCGGGTTCTGGTCGGGAATATGTTTGCTGGAGTTAATTTAGGCAATCCACGGGTTTCCTGGAGAACATGTTAGCGATCTGCTTACTAGGCTGTGCTATAATTAGCTAGAGTAGTGCAAATCTGGGTATCAGGGGGAAATACTGGTAGTAAGGATATTGGGCGTTGACGGCCTTAAGCATGGCTTACAGCATGTTTTAGCTCCGCACTCAACTCAATTAAATATATTAACTATATTAACAATGTTTGCTTTGCTATATCTCCGCCTTAACGGGTAATACCATGAGAGTACCTAGATACCCTAGGTGCCACTCGTGAGGGTTACCCTGTCCAATATTGTGGAAGAAAGAACGCTTGTGACTCCCTATGCAATGGCGCTCCTGCTGAGACGTAAGCTCTTCCACTTGCACCGCGAGAACCAACCCACGCCAGGAGCATCCATTAATCCTCTCGTCATAATTGATGTGTCGCGAACATGGAGCGCTGTGCTCAGTATGCTAGCTCCAGTGAAGCCCACTCGCATATTGTATCGATCAAAGCGCATATACCCACTCACATTGTATATGTGAATTTTTCTAATCTACGAATCGGGAAACTAGCTACCGCTCATTTAACAAAACGAAGATTCTTCCACTGACCCAAAAAGAAAATAAGCCTTCAATGTGTTCTGATAGACCGAAACCTCACAGTCCCTTCTCGCACATCTATCTCCCAGCGACTACCCTCCTCCCCCACGCTATCATAAACTGATCAAACTCTTCATGGCGAAGCAGAGGTGCTAGGCCCTGACCCCGTCGTCGGCCCACTCGGGTCCCCAATCATCTCCGCAATCCCCGCAGCCTGACATTCCTCCGCAGCAGCGGCATTTGAAACGACGCACTGGTTCATGCAGTCCGCATACTGCGCGGGGCCGTTTTGCTGCTGGACCACATGGCAGAGTTCATGGCATAGTGTAAAGCTATCGCCGGAGCCTGTCGATCTATGAGGTTAGTTTCTGCTATGCTGCGCTTTCTCGAGTTGAAATTGCGGGATTGGTGCAAGCAAGAGGGACGTACAGTTCTGGCCGACTGTTTGGGCGCCGGGGTTGCCACCGGTGATGATGTTGATGTCGTCGACATCGATACCCCAGTCTGCTGGGAGAAGTGGCTTTGTTGGTTGTGTTTGGGGAACTGGGAGGGCGGTTGCGGTCATGGAGATGAGGAGGATGGAGACGAGAAACATTGTGGTGGGTTGGTTGGTTGGATGATTCAAGAACGAAGAGTCGAGGGCCCTGTAAAGGCTTTTATTTTCCTTGCGCGTTGTTTGAGCAGTGAAAAGAATGATCGAAAGGTATTCCGTTGGTATTTATACCCGCAGCACATGTATTCAGGTAGGCAGTGCGCTCCGCATGGCTGAGCGACAACAGTGGGAGGTGGGGCGGACTTGAATTAGAGTAGATCTAAGGCGCCCTATTTTCATCGCTTCCATCCCACAAGGGTCGTGCCGCGGTCGCTGCATGGGGCGGAAACTGAACCCCTGGCGAGGGCTCCGCCACCATTTGGCGCAGCATTCCTCACCCATGCATGATATGCCGCCCGCCCCATGCCAAGACATTGGGGCCAAACAGATGCTGCGAGTATGGCATGATAGCAAGGGAGTTGCATGCATTGCCCGTTTGCCAACGCCTCATAAGATGGGCGTGCTGGATATACTCCCCGTTTCCCATCCTGAATACAACTTTCTCGAGATACGCACATTCAGGTCCTGATATTCAAAACTCCGGCTACCATTTAGCGCTGCCTGGGGTTTATATTGAAGCTTTAAAGTCAGAATCGCAGTCCACGCCATCATCGTCATCAGAATACGCCGCGAAATCCTCAAACTCAGTAAATCGCCCATAGGCACCCTGACTATTCTCGTCACCCTCATACTCAACGTGCTCCTCTTCTACTTCATACTCGCTATCCGAAACAGCCTCCTCAAATTCACTATCATCGTCATCATCATCATATTCACCTTCTTCACTATCACTGCACGGAGCAAGTGGCTTGAATGTTTCGGTGGCAAGAGGTTATGTACAGCCTTTTTTCCTTAGCATTTCCATGATGGGCTGTCTGCGACGATGCCGACTTTCCTTAGCATAAACCCAGGCGTTCTTATCCCTCCAATCCACCATTCGCACATCTATGTTCGGGTCGTCCAGTAGCAGGCGCATGATTGTCTCGGCGCCTTTTCGCGCAGCAATAATTAATGGTGCGCCCCTTGTAATCAGCGGAATTCACATTCGCATGTGGCGGCAGTATTTGTGCCATTTCCTCCGATTCTTTATCGCTGTAGGCGGGCCACATTGTTCCGAGAAACGCCTGGCCATCCAAGTACCGGCCCGCGCCAAAGGTATGCGATTGTGCCGAGTCCGGTCGCGAGAGAGAATCCGTGGCCAACAGCTTGAAGAGATCAAGGTCCCTGTAATCTGCAGCATAAAATAGAGCTGCCTTTCCGTCCTCGTCCACCTCGAGCGGATCATGCCATCGCGAGCCCATCCATGAGGTGATTCATCTGTACCACATTAGACTGGAACTCGGCTGTATCTCCCATGAAGGACTTGTACGGGGCGAGATATGTCCAGAACGCCGCGCACACGGGTGGCCCGAGGGCAACGATGCCAGGGGCGAGTTCGGTCATAGCGAGGGATACCTCACTGTAAACTAATGTCGATCAAGAATCAATTGGACAACGTTGGACATCAACCGTGGGAAATGTGGAAATGGTGGGTGATTTAACGATCCAACATGGGGCTGAGTCTAGCGGCTGGGATCTGAACAACCCGCAACTGTAGGCGCCAATGGCTGCAGACTTGGCGGCGCGCGTTTGATCGCTGTTGGTTGGCACAGCCCTCCTGCTCGTATCTGGGGCCTGGGAAGCGCCCAGGATCTGGCAGCCGGTCCAGTCAATCAGTCTCGTTGGTCGGATCTTGGTCTTGTATTGGATGAGAGACGTGGGACAATGCAAGAAGAACTGCTTAATCTTAGGAGTGGTGTTATTGGCGAGCAATCAAAAGGCGATGTTGGTTGTTGAGGAGAGGTTCAAGAAGCGAGTTGGAGTTTTCCTCGGCCTTCGCGCCGTGCCCAACAGGACTCTTGCACCGCGCCAACGCCCTAGTAGCCTTGCATCACCAGCTTGACCAGAATCTCGATATGTCTGGAAAGGAACGAGCACTGAGGTAATTACTGTATGTATATAAAGTGCGGATAAAACTCCCTCGCCTTTCGCTTCCAGGCTGTCACTCGGAAACTTGCGCAACACGAACCACAATCAACCTATGCAGGGAGCAGAGTCGAGATCTCAGTCCAGAAACTCCTGTAATCCCTATGGACTTGGTCAAGACCATGTAGCAGCCTAACCTTAAGCTCATCAGCCTGAATAGTTAACGAGAACCAAAGAAACTGGAGGATTTCAAGGAGAGAAGTCAATTGACCAGCATGATATTCTTTTCTAAATTCAAGACACGAGCATTGTCCTAATTCACTCCTCTAACAAGAGTCAGCATTATCTTGAAGTGTTTATCATACCACGGCAGCATACGCAAATTGTCAGGGATCCCAGCCTAAATCAGGAAATGCCAGGAGGTTATATTCACTGACAGAGTTTGAACTTGATGTTCTTGCTTCACATAGAGGTCTGGATTCGATGGGGTATAATCAAGGTCACTCACTGTAGGATGCGGTCATGGTCATCTGCTACGTGGAAACTGATAGGACGGCGGGGCCGCAAATCGTGAATTTTTCTACGGGCGGCTAATGAGCGGTCGATCATTCCTTTCTGTTGAACAGGCTTGGGGACCTGGATGCGTGGTCATATATTTGGATCTCGTGAGCCAGAATATAATCTGCATAGATTGGGGAGAAAGGACTCGAGGCTTGTGAAAGGCTATGGAGGGCCGCAAGGCGCTCCGCTAATGCGCAAGAGCCCACTAACTAGCTCGGACTACCTGACATTTCTAGTAGGAGATGTATTATTCCAAGTTGTACCAGGGCAGAGCTGCAATCTATACTGGTGGAGACAAGCTCAGCTTCCCTGCAGACTAGCGGCCCATTCCGCTCATCCTCAGATTCCGCCAATCGATCTGTAACCTGTGGAGCTAACGAATATGCTTGTCACTCTTGTTGAGTGTATGTGGCACCGTAGTCTAAGCATTAGGTGGTGGCGAGAAGCCTGGTCTTAGCTTACTTCACCATCATGGATGGCTCTCCCAACCCGGACAGGGCATTGACAGTCGGAAAACCTATATATACCGTCCAACATCCCACTAAATCTTTCCGTAAAACATCACAATTCATTTCTTTCCACTTATCTTCACACACATTCCTCCGTTGTCCTCAGAAATCCACCATGAAGCTCCCCTCCGTCCTCAGCACCACCGCCGCCGCCCTTCTCCTCGGCAACGCCAGCGCCTTCTCCGGCCAGATGGCGGCGGGCGAGTACACCCTCTCTGCGCAGCTAGGATACGGCCAGTCAATCACCCTCACCGACTACTACACGGGCTCTCAGTACTATGCCTGGCTTTATGGCGGCTTCAATGCCTGCGTTAATAACAAGTGTACTGTGCAGTACGTATACATGCCCTCCCTTCCTCGAGAGTTGCAGTCTGCCCCGGGTGGTGGTTACCCACAGCAGAGGAGAGAGGAAACACATTACTGCCTGCCTGTCCCCTCCCCACTCACAGAGACACCAGTAATTTGGAAGAAAGAAAGAAAGCAAATGACATGCTTGACACTTGGCTGACGGTTCATGATTGAACAAAAATACAGTATGCGCGAGACTACCGCGCCAGCCACGTACAAGTTTGACGCGCTGATGTGGAGGACCAATGACGGGTGCCACAATATCGATTTCCAGGGTGCTCTTGATGCGGGCCATGGATACTGCTGTGGGTCCTTGCCTTGTGATTTTACTGCGTGAATGGGTGGTGTCCGCTGTGAGTGGATGTGTTGTGCTCTGTTCTATGGAGAGTTACTAGGGGTTGTACTAGTATATAGTGAAGTATGATACAGCGAAAGAACAGATACTGCCTCCGTCGAATACAATACCAGTCGGAGTTGTGGGCATGGTATAAGATGGGGTATTTCTAAGCCTGTCTGTAGTGTGTCAATAGAGCTCCATCCTGATAATAATTGTTATGCTCAAGACATCCGCACACTACCTACGTACGCCTCACCACATCTATCTAGTCCACTCGTGGACGCCCAGGCAATACAACTTTCCAACACCAAAAAATCCCACTAGCAAACACTGAACCCCCTTCCCTCTTATCCGATTTCAAGCTCGGATATCACAAGGCAGGGAGCCACAACAGTATCCATGATGCGCATCCAAGTAGCCATTAAAGTCAATATTGTGGCAGCCATCGTCTGTCCTCCAGATTTTCGCAGCAAAGTTGTACACCCCCGGCGTTTGCTCGATGAACCTGAGTAGGCCCACAAGTCAGTCGGACGCCAGTACGTTGAGTACTATCCCAAATGCAGCGCTCGATCTCTACCCCGCCTGTTCGGTGGCTCAAGGGCCAGCAGAAGAAAAACAGAAAGGAAAGCACTCACGAGGCCCAGCATTGAACGCCGTCCGCGCAATTATCAAACCCTCCATCAAGGCGAGCTGCGTACTGCGACCCGCTGGTATTGTCTGTCAAGTAGATATATTGGTAATATCCACTGGGATCGCGGGTGTATGGAGAAGCGCCCATGCTCCCGTAGAAAGCCGTAGCTGAGCCGGCAAAAGCTGCGACAGCGAGTTTAATAATGAAAGGCTTCATTGCTGTAGGCTTAACGTAGTACAACGGGTGATGGTGTTGAGGTTAGGTTTGCTGTAGATTTATATCGATGAAAACAGAGAGGGAGGGAAGAATTCTGTAGCATAGACTGGAGTGGGAGGTGGACTAGATATAGCTTTTCGTATCGGACACTGTAACTACTAGCTCGCCCGCTAAGCCGTTCGATTATTCTTGAACTCGTCGTCGGCTTTTTCCATGAGATACCTGGCAGGTAGCAGGGTAGTGTCACTTGGATATCCTCAGGGCATTGGATGACGACGCAAATTTGTCTTACTGCGGGTACCTCATGAACAGCCGCTAGCCCGCACTGATCTTACTATAGATTATGTCTTACCTACGAGGGAGATACGGCTATCTAGTGAATAATCCAGCTAGGTAGAAGTGCATTGTTAGATCTAGGATAAGTTAAGGCTCAATAATTTCTATGTAGGTAGAGATAGAACACTTTATATTAAATGTGAATAGTGTGTCGGGAGGCTTCTCATAAAGTATTTACCCTTTCTAATATATCTCTACTGAATTTCTCCTTTAAACTTTTACTTTTCATACATTTATGTATTTATAAACCCCATCTAGTTAACAGGGCACCATTATAAGTTGCTGCAATTATTACTATACTACCCCAAATATAAAATACCAAACCCTTGCTGTGTCTCGTAAGGCGCGAATAGGCAGAACTATCATACATGGAGGTATCCACAATTACTTTGCTAATTTTTGAGCGGGGTTGTTCTCAAGAGCTTAAGGGGTAAGATTCATCAAAAAGCAGATAATCGCATAGAGTCATGATGTAGAGGTCCATTCTATATTCTTCCACATTGTGGTTCAACCCTTCAAGGGTTAGTAATGAAACCAATGACAGAAACTAGACTTGGTAGCATGGACATTAAGGAGAAGTACAGGCGCAGAACTTATATAGATACGCCAGGGAGGAAAGAAATTATAGGATAGAGTTAGTATGGGCATGGGATAGGGAACAAGCACCTAAATACAGTCAGGATCTTCCTCGAGAACTCTAAATAAATATCAATGTCAGATCCCAGGATACCTCGCCGATCTTGCGCAAGGCCAATGAGAATAATGGCCTTACTATTGCCCGGTTTATCCTAGAAACTTGCATGAATACTAATATTAAGCTTTAAGACTATGGATGAAACTCCGCTCCACAAAGCCGTAGTTGGCGGCCACTCGGAGATATCGCGCGCGATCCTGGACCGCGAGGGCACCGGCTTAATACGGCCATGGCCTACTAGCCCGAGCCTGCCCAATTCATCCTCCAGACTCGGAAGAATGTGGACATCACTCATACGGCTGCTATGAGCGGCCCCGCTGAGATAGTCCGGAACGTGTTACGGGATTTCTAAGATTGCCTACAGGTCGACGCAGCAAACGAATACGGGAAAAAAGCCTTGCACTTTGCTACTTAGTCAGGGACCACGGAGATACTAGAACTCCTGTGATCGGCGTCGATGTTCTCAACGACGGTGGACTGGCTGCATTGCGTCCAGGGGGCTCCCAGACATGAAGGCTACTTTAAGCGCAATGCCCCCCACTTCAGCTCAACCCTTGGTCGGGTCGCAAATCGGCTTGCTAATGCGGTGGTGCACTTGAACGGCCGCGAGTGCCCGCTCACCAAGGATGATAGGCCTGATTGTATCCATGACGGGATTATAGGGTGGTGGACAGAAACACAGGACACGCGCGATGGTTAGGATACAAATACAATCAAGTCCAGCTGCACCGGAAATAATGGATATGGGAAGTTTCCAAGGACGATTAATGTGACTCTTTAATTTATCAAGTCGCAGAACAAAAAAAAAAAAAAAAAAAAATAAAAAAAAAAGAGCCAGAATAAGACTATACTGACGATTGAATATAGGGCTTCTTTGTTGAAGATACGGAGATTCTCATGAGTCATAAAGAACTCGGCATTGATTTATGGCTGATCGAGGAATTAGGAAAAAGAGATAATACAGGATAAACTAGCACTACGTGCTTGCCTATGTGGTTGGCAGTGTGAGAACTTGATTGTCCTCCTCGGGGTCTGGATGCTTTAGCAAATGTGCGAGCTTGTCGTGGTTATTCGCTGCAGCCCACATGGCGGGCGTTCGCTTGTACGCCACATCCCTCGAGCCCAAGTCAACGGCTTTTGTATCAAGCAATAGCTGAGCGACCTCTCTGTGCCCCCTCGACGCGGCCCAGGATAACGGCGTCCGGCCGTAGCCGCTATCAGCAAGATCCGGGTCAACTGCCTCAAGCGCAAGGAGCCGGCGCACTATATCTACATGCCCCCCTTCACAAGCATAGGATAGCGGAGTTCGGCCGTAATTCGACTGGGAGTTGGCGTTTGCTATGCCAGTGCCCAGAAGGAGCTCAACAATAGCTCCATGCCCTTGCTCACAGGCATAGGAAAGCGGAGTCCTTCCTCCGGTCGATTGGGAGTTGGGGTCCACTAGTCCTGTTCCTAGTAGGAGTTTTACGAGTGCCGTGTTTCCGCGCTCAGAATAGTAGGATAATGCAGTTCGACTAGGTGATTGCCCTGCACATTCAATGTCTGTAGCACCGGCGTCTACCAAGTGCTCGACCACTGCCTCGTGTTCGTGAACGGCAGCCCAAAGAAGAGGCGTTCGGCCAAACAGCTTATCCTTGGCATCCAAGTCCACGGCGCGTGTGTTTGTGAGAAGGGTCACCACTGGAAAATGACCGGCTTCGGCTGCGAATGACAGGGGTGAGCGGTTCAAAGGGTCTCGGCCATCGGGGTCGAGACCCGGGGTCCGGAGGAGCAGTTTGACGATGCCCTCATACCCATTTCGGGCAGCATATGCAAGTGGTGTCAGGCGATCAAATGTCATTGGCCCGCCAAAGGGTGCCATGTGAATGGCATCGGCTCCGCTATTTAATAAGAGGGCAACCATATCTTCACATCCTCTGTTGATAGCATGCCAGAGCGCGGTTTGATGATCGCTGAAGGTGGATTTGTGAAAATCGATACCCTTTTGCTGGCCCAGAAGGAGCCGGACGATTCCAATGTGCCCGTACTCCGCTGCCCATATCAAGGGCGTACTGCCCCTTCGGTCTTGCGCGTCGAGCTTTTGTGCTCCATGATTAATGAGCATCCTAGCGATTTCTTCGCTGCCGTTTTCGGCGGCTAGGGAAAGGGCCGTACGGCCGTTTTCCGGGTCTTCATGGTCGATACAAGGATCTGGCCCACGGAGTAGAAATTCCGCAAACTCCTCAAGTTGGAAATATGATGCCACCATAAGCTCGGTTCTCAGCATCTTCGGGATCATACTTCCCTGGCTCATGTTTCGCCAATACATCTTCAACCACTCGTTGACGCATTTCGACCCCGGCTTACAGATCTTCCGAACCAGGTGGAGAAGCTCTGAGTCCGCCCGCATTTCGGCGTGTCGGAAGTGGGTGGTCCAATGTATGGCCGAATAGTGCAAAAAGATATGCTCATCCGCTGCGTGAATGGGATTGTCATTCGATTCATCCTCACTGAATAGATCGAGCTGGAGATACGAGACGCAAGCTTCAAGCAGGATTCGATTTGTCTCGACGGGATGCAGTGAATGTTTCCACCGACCGAGTCCAGTGCCGGCGTCCTCATAGTTGTCACGCGGTTGGTGGACAGTGGGCGAGATGGCGCCATTCTTACAATTGTTGTGGTTCTGTTGCACCGAATCCGATACTAAGAACTCCTTGGCTGTCTGGTGTAGGAGGTAGATTCTGTTCTTGACAATGGTCACGAACAGGCCACAGAGGTTCCTCACTGTCTTGGCAAATCGTGCCTCGGGCTCCAGGTCCAGACTGGCGTACTCACTGTGAGCCGGATCCACAGCCAGTGCCATTCGCATCTCGCTGACAGTCAGTGGCCTGACAGCACCAACAACCAGGTGAAGCAGCTTGCGCGCCTTTTCTTTGTCGGGGCTTTGGTTCAAGATCCGTTCATACGCTTCGTCAACTGTTCTGGGCAAGGTCTTGATCATTTCTCGCAGTCGCTTATTGGTATAGCTGAGAGTGTTCTCAACCATGTCGAATAACACGTCACCCATAAATAAGTTCGGTTTGGAATCAGCAGAAGCTCCTGTCTGAGAAACGAGCGCTCGTGGTTCTCCAACTCGAGTTTGGCTCCGATTTCTTCCACTCTCCTCTGGATGACGAGATTGATCTCTTGCTCGATCTTGTTGGCTTCGACTTCGCCCTCGCCGCTCAGGTGAATCGTGGGCAGCGCGTTCTTGAGCAACTGAAACTCGCGTTGAATGTGAGCGTAGGGCCGACTTGTCGCGAGGAACTTTAGTATACCTTTGTGGCTTGGATTGCGGTACAGCTTATCCAGTGCCCCTGTGAGCTGTTGTCGATCGGCTTCTGCGCACTCATCCAGGGCATCCAAAATGCATATCACCTCACCATCTTCGTAGCTCGTAGACACTTTGACCAGCATGTCCCACAATGATAGAAAGGATGTAGTGAGCTGGTTTTTGTCGGTGCTGAATTTGTCCAGTATCCACGGGTGCTTCTCACGTAATTCCGGTCGCTGAAGGAACAGCTGCCGGAGGATGGCACACATGGCATTCGCTGCGCTTCTTTGGTCGCTAGAGTCGGCCTTGAAGAAGAAATAGCATGTGGTCCCTTTCTCTGCCGTGGGGACTACGTGATCAACGAGGTATTTTGCCAGGACGGACTTTCCACAGCCAGGGTCAGCCGATATCCACAACAAGCTGGAAGACTGGGCCTCTTTCCAGCTCTTGAGCAATGGATGGCTGGTGGACCATTCGCATGTGCCCTGGACTCTATCCGCATTGCGGCCTTTGTGCTCCTCGTAGTTTGACGTAAAGAGAGCCGCCAGCAGCTCATTCCACAACTGCTTGCGCTTTTCTTGCTCCTCTTCCTGCCGTGCTCTCCTCTGCCTCTCCGTCTGGCCCAACATCGTACTCTGAATTTGGGCGGTGTCTTGTTTGATGTCTTGCAGTTGGGCCGTGTGCTCCTCCATCCCCGTGTGTAGCTTCTCCGAATCGATCACCGCCGTGAAATGTCGACATGTAGTCTCAGATTCCTTGATCCCATCCAGCATTGATCCCCAATTATCCATTTGTAACATATCCTTAACTGCTCGGGCCGCCGAAGTCTTTGTCAAATGGCAAACGGCCCTCGCTTGGAACTCCAGCACGTTGGTGTAGAGGCTGACAAAAGCGGCTTGGAGCCCCTCGGTAAATTGATCGGCTTGCTCGGCGGGGAGGGCAATCTCGTGCTTGCGACAGAGATAACGACGCTCGAGGACGTTGAACTGATATATAACCTGCGATACGTACTCCAGTCCTGCCAGGAGAGCTTGATACTCTTGCCTAGGCCTCAGGAGAAGCTGGACGGACGTGTCAGATCAAACAACTCTATAGCAGCAAGGGGGCATCTCATCTCATACAGTCGTAACCAATACAAGGCCCGCGCACGCAAGGGCCGCATGTGGCTCCGCCAGCGCGACCGTCGATATCAGATCCTTGACCACCGACACATTATTGACTATAGTCGTCAACGCAGTCTCGACCGGCACTTGCTTTCCGCCAACGGTAATGACCTTCCGGTTCTCCTCTATCATTCGAACTCGGCGTGCCGTGAGATCGGACAGTTGTTTCTGACGCGTAAACGTTCCCCTGGCGGCAAGACTGGACCCTGTGGCCTCCTCTAACAACGACAGGTAAGCAGCCATCACCTTTCTCGTCTGGGGATCGGAACTCTCTTCGAGGGCTTTCTCTGCACGATCCCAAAAATCGGATACCGGTTCCGACGGCTCTGATGGTAAGGATGAAGTGCTTGTCGCCGGCTGAGGTTGGATCGGCTCTGGGGGCGCCGGCGACGAAATACGATCAACGGAGGAGGCACTTGCGCAGGGCGACGCGGGGCGCAGTTTCGGAGACCGTGGGGACCGCAGGACTGTTTTGACTTTGGAGGTTCCGGCATCTTTAAGGTTATGAAGTCTGCTGGAGATGGATCGCTTCATGGTCTTCTTCTTCTTCGCTCAACCCGAAAGAGGGCAACGCGTTCAGTCAAGAAGCGATTCAAATGAGGGGTTCAGACGCGCCTTAGGCGAAAAGAATGGCAAAGCCCGAGTGGCTGAGAAGCTGGGAAGCTGAGTGGCGGAGTTGCTAGGCTGCGTGCATGGGTTCGTCCGACCATGTTGGGATCTTGGCTGTGCTATACGGCTCCCCTTCCATACAATCTTGAATGGATAAAATCCGTTACAAGTACAGGATGCGTTGTTGGCCTTCCAAGTTGGCCTTCCAAGTTACCGCATGATATTACCACGACTTGGAAAATGTAAGTGGGCTTTGCTGTAGAGAGAAAGCGGGGCAGGTGGCCACAGGACGTGATGCTGTGATGCATCATGCAGGGTTGTTGATTCGACTGCATCTCAGACTGGGAGCCCATGAACCGTTTCAGCTCATTTAAGGGTGTAATGAGGGCATAAGTGGCCTAGTGTATAATATTCTATTAGTTCTGTCACGACCACCCTTGCTGCGGAACCGATTCGCGACAATCCCCTTCACGATCCAGTGGCTTGCACTCAGGAACTCGATCTCCCCGTCAAGTTTTCCAGCGGGGATGTTGAGTGTCTCGGACAGGCGGGCGAGCATATCCGCTTCGTTGGACTTGCGCGGGTCGGTCGTGCTCCTTGCGCATGCGAACATCAATCCGTCCCCCAAACTGTCTCCGTCCCCTTTGCCTTCCCCTTCTCCACCACGCTCAGATGATGTGTTGTACGGCCCAAGGTGATACAAATACCCCGTCCGGATACTCCCCCCTCTCGCCGGATCAATAAACCAAATAATCAAGACTCGGATCAGGATGCCACTTTCGCAGACCCGGCGCGTGAATATGCGCAGAGACCCTATCGAAAATATCGGCCTACCGCGAGACTCGATGCCGAGTTTGGGACCGACGGTTCGGCCCGCGTCTACGGCGCTTACATACGATGCGGAGTATGCTTTTCTCTTATTGATATCGGCGTGGTCCAGCGTCACGGTTACGGGATCCGTCTCGGAGGGAGTTTCGACGACAGCAATCACATCGGCATTATGAACAATCCCACCGGGATTCAACTCCCTCGCACGCTCAAGCAGAATCGGCTCGAGGCAGGTCTGCGGGAGGATCGTGCAGTGACACGGACTTATCCCTTCATATTCCACCGCATGCCGTCCTCCACCCCATTCCCGTGTATGTATTTCGCGTCTCGACGGCCCGAGGTCCGTGTACCAGGCCGTTCTTTTAGGTTCCCGGGTACCACTGGAGAGCGTGTGTGGGATTCCGTGGGTGGAGAGAGAGATGGGTGCTAGGGGGTCTACAGGGGCTGCCGCCGATAATTATCACGGACATTTTACGGGTTGGTGGGGAGATTTTCAGTACGGGGAAGAGGAGGTAGAGGCCGGGGAGGGATAAAGAGAGAAGGAGGGAGGGAAGGAATATCAGTGGGTGTTATCTAGTCTCTTCAAGTATGGGATGTTCTACTAGTTCTACATAAACTGCGTGCGGGGCGCTTGTGAGGACTGGGTGATAGGATATGCATAGCCTACCCATTGTCACCATAATAAGCAACAGCCAAGACAAGTAACCTACCCCATACACGTTCTGTATGGCCAGAATCAGTACCTTTTGGAGGCGTGATACACACATGACAAGCTACTAGGTAGGTTGCCTCGTTCCCCTCTTGAGTTTGTCAGACGTCGAGCATTAGGTACGGCCCGTGTCCGCTGCGTGCGGACTCCACAGGCGACTCGCTGACTGTCCTTAGTGATCGCCGATATTTCGATATATTGAACTTAATTTCTGGCAGCCAAAGCTTTTGCATAGTACTCTGGATAACAGAGGCTAGGACCTCTCTACATTCGAAACTCTCTTACAGTTATGCAAGACCTCAGCGACCCTGAACATGCCCACCTCTATAATAGCGCACTACCGTACCATCACCCTACCCTCATCGCTCAACCTGCCCTGAATATCTGCCGTGCCGTAGCAGGACCCAAGTAGCATCGAAGTGCGGCGTGTGCGCTGTGGAAGAAGAAGTTTAGACCAGCTGTGGGCGTAGCAGATGCCCAGTGGGTGATAGCAACGGAAAACTGGCTAACCCTATATAAGGCCAACGGCTCAATGCCTGCATATACGCGTGCCATGGAGTAATCTGGCAACTAAAGTTTGAATACAGATGGCTTTTTTTCTGAATATTGGTATCCTAGTAGCAGGCTAGGAATACCCTGCAATCCCACAAGGTACTCTGTAGGCCCATGAAAGACCCGTAACTATATGGTATACTATGGGCTCTTCAGTTCTAAAGCTACATAGTATTGCGGCATTAATTAAACGAATGCTATAATATAACATCTAGCTCACGACCGCCGTTCCATTGAATCGTTGTTTACTGACTGAGAAACTGAGACCTGGTTGGCGCACAATGCTTGCAAATCATTTCTCGTCCCAGCGTAGTCTGCCCTCGTATTTCTCCACTGGCCCCCACTCCGCTAGTGCCTGCAACTCAGCCGCAGAGCCCGGGGGCTTTCTTCCCCTCCATTAACAAGCACTTGCCTTGCCCAAGCGTGTTCCTGGATGTCTCAACTTGCATTAGAAGCGAACCTTTGGCTGGTCCAGACACCAACTTGGCGGATACCAAGTCTCAACAAACTCACCGCTCGCCGTCGACACCAAGAAATATCCCACAGCCTCCTATCAGGGCTAAAAGTGTGGAGTGTTGATTGAGGTTACAGGACGGACTTAGGCCCGTAATCTTGGAGGCTTGCCCCTGGTCCCGCCCCATGTAATGAGGAAAAGGGCTCGAAAAACCAACCCATCCTCGCCTCAAGGATATATAAACCCCGTAAAGGGTCCAGTTTGGACTTGAGCAGACACCCCTCATCCTCTACTCCCACAAACAAAGTACGCCTCCCCTTCCAGTTCCCTTTGGAAGATCCAGAACTTAGCTCACACTCCCCAGCTCTTCATAACCAATCAACCAACTCACAACATTCCACCATGCACCTCTCCATCAAAACAACCCTCCTCGCCCTGGCAACGCTACTCCCACTAGCTTTGGGCGAGGCTCAGCCCCAACCGACGTACGCATACGTTGCTCCCGGCTTCTCGTGCCCCGCGTCGTCGCAGGGAGAATATCGGTGTGCGGGAGACGGGGCTACCATTGTCATCTGCCACAACCAAGTGTGGCAATCTAGCGCTGTGTGCGGAGCGGGATGCTGCGGATATAATAATGTAAACCATCAGACTTATTGTTATTGCTAGAGATGGGGCATGAAGGGGCTGATGCATGGATGGATGCATTGGACGTGGAATGGCTGAGGCGAGGCGAGGCGGGGGAGGCTTAGAGGCTTGGCCCGTGTAGGGCTGGAGGTCGCCCCGCTCCGTGTCAGGAACAGAATGCAACCTAAACGCTGTCTATATAACCCGCATAAACCCTCCCATTTTTAACTTGAATCTCAACCCATTTCACCAACCTACACTTCCACGGGAAAAAAAAAAAGTACGCTTCCTCCCAGAAAAACCAAGAAACCCATCTCACACTCCCCAGTTCCCAGTTCCCCACGAACAATAGACTCAACTCTCAACCATCCCACTCAATCAAAATGCAACTCGTCAAAGCCACCATCATCGCCCTAGCGACCCTCTTTCCCCTGGCTCTAACCCAGTCCGTGCCCATCCCAACAAATCCCGTCGGTAACGGCTTGCCATGCTCCAGCGGGCTTAATGGTGCATACCATTGTTCAAACGACCGGTCTAGCATCCAGATCTGCGATAACGGAACGTGGAGAACTAGCGCTCTGTGTGGGTCAAGATGCTGCGATTATAACAGCGGGAATGCTTTGCCCTACTGCTATTGCTAGATAGCACGTGCAGAAAACGCTTGAGTCGGTTGACGGGTATGGAGTGGATGGGCGAGGTGGGCCCTGGACGGAGGTGTGGGTGAGAGGAGGACGAATCCGCGGGTTGTATATAAAAAGCCTTGTTGTACTGGTGAGCAATAGTTGGCCTTTATGAGCAAGCAAGCGGGCCGGTTATTAGATTCAGTACCTATGCCTCCCTCAGTCTCAAAACGAAAAGGACTATTCTAGGCTGGATCAGGCCTGCCTTGTTCCTCATTATTATCCTTGTTAACCCCAATAGAACCATTCGCCCCAGCCAAAACATCCTCCACAACGCCCTCATCCAGCACCAAGTCACATGGCCTGGCAACGGGCATATCCCTCAATTCTGTCCGCTTCAGACTGGGACAGAACGGGTACCTGCTATTCCCATCCTTACCCCCGAACGTATCCGTTTCCAAATCAAGCAGCGCAAAATCATCAACTCGCCACGCAAGCGCAAACTGATCCTCCCCCGTCATCATCACCCGGCTCCTAAACCAGCTAGATACTTAATCAACTCCCGTTAAGGCCATCGCTCAGGCATTATCAGTCTCGTCGTCCTTAGCCCTAACTCCGGCCTAGCACTGGAGTAAATTGACTTTATGTATTGCCATCCGCATCCTATCATTGTCTCTGTAGCTTTAATACTCTGGTTGTTAAGGAAATATCGATTGGAAAGTTACAAACCATCGAGGACCTTCTGACCTCGAGAGCAAACCTCGTTAAGCGCCCGGAGCAGCAGCGCGCTTAGAGCATCGGTGTGATTGGTTAGTAGAGCATGTCAGCCAGGACACGAGATGTCAACAAGTCAATCACCCTCTTTCCATTCACTTCACATCCCGTTCGTCGTAGAACAGTGAGTAGAGAGCTCATCTCTCAAAGGAGGTCCTTTTCAATAAGATGCGGCAATTCAATCGAATCTATGATGTTGTTGAGCCTGTCGAGGAATATCGGCGCGGCGGCTATCATCCGGTGTACCTCGACGACGTCTTCAATGAGAGGTACAGGATAGTGGAAATTTGGCCTTTGGACAGTTCTCAACTGTATGGCTCACACAGGATCAATTGTGAGTGCCCCTTGTATAAATTCTTGCACGAGGACTCAGCCGCTCAAAACTCAATCGACAGGTCGCGTTGAAGATACTAAAGGCGGATGCTTCTGAAAGCAACCAAGAGCTTGATACCTATCTTCGCCTCTCAGCCTCCAATATCGATCATCAAGGAAGACGACATGTTCTTGAGTTGTTGGATCATTTCCGGCATGATGGTCCAAATGGAACGCACCATTGACTTGTGTTCCCCGCGATGGTATCTGATGGCAAAGATATGATTCTTACTGCAAGGCCACACGATGCAGCCTATGTAAGGACAATCTCCAAGCAGCTCTTGCTGGGCCTTGATCTCCTCCATCGCCAAGCGTCACTCACTGCGGTAGGTCGGCGCCTGGTCGGGATTGGAAACTCGGTAGCTCTCTGACTTGATTGACGCAGACCTACAACCAGCCAATATCATGATTTCAACTGCACACAGAGATATTCTGCTAGAGCCTCCAGAGTTCAGTCTTGTCACATGGCTAGACGAAATGACAATGGATGATAGCGCACCGAAATATCTGATACCTTCGCAGAGACGTCGCGGACAGTTAGACGAGGCAGACTGCTCAGAACTCATGGTCAAGCTTGGTGACCTTGGTGGAGGTAGGGCTGCACCTATTGACATATTCATTTAAAATAGGTACAAAAAACTCACATCAATCAGCTGTCCAGAATCAAGAGAGCAATGACAAACCAGTTACTCCTACAGCTCTACGTGCCCCCGAACTCATCCATCGAAATAGTTGGAACTCCAGCATCGATATCTGGGCTTTGGGCTATTTGGTATGGTTGTATAAACTCCTTTAGCCTGAGATCCCCAATTGACGCGCGAAAAGATATTTGAACTGGCAACGAATGAACCGCTCTTCCCACTGGGAACATTTGGTCTCTCAAAAGAGCAGGTGGATGATGAGCATCTTGATCTTATTAGCCGACTGCTTGACGGCGATGACCATATAAATAAAACTTTGATACGACATCTAGCGGACAGGTTGCCTGTGAACTTTGGTGCCACGAATATCAAGTGTTTTGCATCGTTCCTCTGGTCGATGCTGCAACAGCACCCTCAGAAACGAGAGTCGGCTGCTGAGTTGCTTTATCACCCCTTCCTGACTGAACATGTATCTGAAAAAGGAAAACATGACGGTGGGACGGAGTCGAGCGGGCAGCAATCCCGCAGTCAGATGCTCCTACTCTAAATCTTCCTTGGTATCAGATATCTCTCACTGCATCCACAAGCGGCGGAGATAGAATGGTCTCCAGCGTTGACATTGAGAAACCCACGCATTATACGTAGCACGTGGCTAGGCACTTCCAAAGTCTTAGATGGAGCCCATAAGGCACTAAAGAACAAGAGGTTGGAGCAGTCGTCTAGCTCATAGTGGGTGGACCGAGCAAACTGCCGATGGAACCGGCTCTTGTGAGCAAATTTGGTTATAGGTATTACTACTAGAATGCTGACAATCTTCTGGGTCAACTGTCCTATTGGACTACTTTGTAATCTATGGCCCGCCTAGGTGGTAAATGCTTGTTCTCTTCCGGTTTGCTGACTGGTTGCAGAAACACCAAATCAGGTCTCTGAATACAAGGGACTCGACGGGAGAGGGCAAAGTAACCTCGGACAATAGACGATTCTACCAAGCTTTGCTCACAACATGGTTAACAGTGGAACCCCGAAATGTCTCCACTGTCTTCCAAAAGCATTGGGTGTATAACTTTGTCTTTTCCTGGGTCGACGGAGATAGCTCATTGGCGTTGGGGTACCGGTCTTTGAGAAAGCGCGCATCCGTGCCTCAGAAGTCCAGGGCAACGAAGCGCTTTTCACAGAGACGCTAGGAAGGTCTTTTGGTAGCCATGAAGCATGAATAATGTGCCGCCCCTGTCCATCAACGCCCACAGTCAATCTAATTACCAGAGGATCAGTCTCCACACAGGACTGTCGTAAAGTATGAACAGCATACTTCCAAATAACTAGCGTTCGTGGTGAATGGGACATTCTCGGGTTTGTGCCAAGAGTGGATGGCTATTTCTTGGTACATCGCCCGTGCTGCTCTACGTGCTTTGTTGTATGTACAGCATGGACGCGACGTGGCCATTGGCCAAGACCTGGTACTTGTGCTGCCAAAATGCTATGCCGTGGCACATCCAGCAAGGATCTGCAGAGGTTTAGCTAGCCTCGTAGGAGAATATTTCATGGTGCACGTTCGCGGATATGCCAGCATTCGACTAATCTCCAATTATTTCGCCCGACGCCTTGAATGCTACATTTCTTGTCTCTATCTGTCAAAACGGCCGGGCCTCGTGCTTCGGAGAAAGGTCCTAGCGCGGTTAAACAACCTACTAGTGAGTAGTGGGTGAAAGTGATCGACATTTCTTCTGCCCGCGTGTTCGCCGAAATTGATTGCTCCCCACAGTTCACGGGTGCGTCCCAAACCAAACCTCGGTCCAGCCCTAGCGAGTAATCGCCATGGCCTCTCAGGCACCAAACAAGAATATTGGCTGACAAGGAACAGCAGCAAGAGCTCAAGCTTCTTTGTCCTGGCAAGGCTTGATCAGGGATTAAGAGTTTTCTTCAATACTTGCAGCCGTAAAAACGAAGGCTTGTTTTGCTTCAATAAGGGAAGAATGGATCTTGCAGGCCTCGGCGGTTTCACTTGCCCCACATGCGGCAGTTGCTCCCTCGGCACTCTCGGAGACGACTCCTGTTTCAGGAACGTCCAGACTAGGACTTTGGCAGCATCAGAAGACTACTATTGGATCAAGCCTGCGACTAGGTTTCCCCGAGATTCACGCGAGCGCTGGGTTGGGTCGGGTGACAAGGCGCACAAGCCCCTGTCAATCCAAGCCATGCGAAGCATTCCAAGCTATTTCCAAGGTCTCCCCCGCACCTGGCATAGAATTTGGGAACAAAACAGCCCTAACCCGCCGCGTCAAAACGTGGTTGGCCTAGAAGTGTGGGGTGCAGGAAACACCATCGCGGATATGAAACGGGGCGCATCGCATCGCGAATTTTTGGACTCACTCTGAGTCTTGAGGCTTGGACTGTCCATGTTTTCGTCGGCAGTTGTAGACTAGGGAGTATAGCCTAGGACTGTTTGGGATTGTCTGAAATGGTGTAGCAGATGTTGTTTCGCACCTCCCTGTCGTGTGGGGTCAGAGAATGGGAATATAAATGTCTACGAAGTTCAGGTAGAGAGAGGGTTTTTTTCTCAGCTCAAGCCCATCAAGCAGGATACCACCGCATCCCAAGTCCACTTCTTCATCCACCTCCACGCCCTCGTCTCGCAATGACTCTCCGATCTCTTCTCGTTGCTGCCCTGGCCGCCCTGGCCGTTGCAAGCCCCGTCCCAACCACCGAGCTCGAGGCTCGCCAGCTCGCCGACACGGCCAACGACCTGAAGAGTGGAGCCTGCAAGGCCGTCACCTTTATCTTCGCTCGTGGCTCAACCGAGTCCGGTAACATGGTGCGTACACTGCATACATCATCCACCACAGACCAAAACCCCCATCTCCATCTCCAAAAAGGCAGTGCAAACAAACCTAACACATAGCTATAGGGTCTCGTGGTTGGCCCCGGCGTCTGCTCCAACCTGAAGCTCAAGCTCGGCGGCGATGTGGCCTGCCAGGGCGTCGGAGACGGCTACACGGCCGAGCTGGCGCCCAACTTCCTGCCGCAGAATACCAACCAGGCGAGCATTGATGCTGCCACCGATATGTTTGAGCTCGCGGCGTCCCAGTGTCCGGATACGCAGATTGTTGCGGGTGGATATAGGTAAGAGAAAGCTCCCCGATTCAACTCAACTCACCTACCCACCTACTCACCTACCTTACCTCCTCCGCTGCAACGACCAATCAAGGGGCCGGAACAGATGCTGACAGTGGTACAGCCAAGGCTCCGCCGTAATGGACAACTCCATCCAGAATCTCTCGGACTCGGTCAAATCAATGGTCAAGGGCGTGGTCCTCTTCGGCTTCACGCGCAATCTCCAGGACGGCGGCAAGATCCCCAACTACCCGGCGGACCAGACGAAAGTGTACTGTGCCGTCGGCGACCTGGTCTGCTCGGGGACGCTGATCATCACCGCGGCGCACTTGACCTATGGAGCTAATGCGGGCGAGGCGGCAACCTTTTTGGCTAGCAAGGTTTCTGTTTAAAATGAGTACTTGTGTTACATTGAGAGTACTTGGCAGGACTTTGGGGAGGATCTTGGAGGAGTGAAGGAGCTGTTCTTGGAGCTTGAGCTTGGTGTACGTATGTATGTGCTGGTCATATGCCGTATAGTGGTGCTTCCGATCAGATTTCTTTCTAGGGTTATAGTAGTCTTTCTGAATACTTCCAATTCAGGACCACTTGGCTATACGACTAGTTCCTGGTTGGCTCGAGACTTTTAATGACCAAAACTCTATGTGCCACAGTTGCTGAGGTGGGCATTTTGGTGAAACGATCTGCTCCATTCTCGATGCATTTTATACCACATTTCAAGGTAAACTGAAAAGATATGCTCGAAAAAGTATGAATTTGCATTGAAAGATTTGTCGCTGTGAGCAGATCACTAATTGGATTCTAGCCAATTCTTGACATTAAAAGAGCCCTTCACGAGATGAGTGGGAAGAGAGTTCATTTATATATAGTGTCCTCAAGGTCGAAACTGGAATATCTTGTCCACCCTCATATGAATGCTATAAAAGCTCCAGGCAAAGTGCGTAATTCGAAGGGTTTCTCAGAATAAATGCAATTCGGCTGGAGCAAGTGGGGCTTCATTAAGTAGCTGAGAAGGAATAAGTAATAAGCACTATTAGCCATTCAACAGTATGACATTATCAAAAGATGTGCATATATATATTCTGCTACTTTCCAAGTAGATACTTCAGCTAATATTGAAAGCATATCCTCTTACTCTGGCACCTGCAATTCGCCACATGGTGTTAGCAAGAAGGAAAGGGACCCTATGTTCGCATCTCCTACTAGCGTACGTAAGCTGGTTGGCCTACTTTCATCCTTTCTTAGTTCCTTTGTCGCCTGATTCCATAGTTGAACTATTTAGAGGCCTTTTTTTTCCTAGCGCCTGGGCTGTTTTTTTCTGCACTTTGCATTCCGCAGCTTGTTCTTCGGGTTGCTGTTCTCGCTCAGCCATTGCTATTCATTGCTCGACTATAGCACCCTCACTCACTTGCGGGCAGGAATCATGACTAAACCCGTTTCCATTACCGCTTGGCTAATGCGTTGGAGCGTCCCTACATCCCATCCCAGAGCCTGCCCCTGCAGTAAAAGTCCTGTCCCCTCCCGCCTTCTTTAGATTAGAGCATCATCTCCTGGACTGATACAACACCCATCCAATACAGCCGCAGGCTCGGGGCCAGGCCCGTGGAAGGTGCTAGCGATCCTCGACGAGCTCATTATTGACTACTAAGTTGAATCGTTGAAGTCAGTGACGCCAGCAACCCGCCGTTTATCGACCGCAACCCGAATGTACGAACACGGGCGGGACGCTTTGGGAATCTGGGGCGATTATTCAGTCGTTGAGGTTTGTATGTATGGTACGGAGAATAAGCGGGAATATTTGACTCTGAAGGAGAGGCATCTCTCTAAATCAATGGGTTCAGTTTTAAATGAGAGGGCAGGGGGTATTTTGGGTAGTATGGGCTGGTATCTAGACTTAGATATTGTTCTTTGTTGTGGTTTTCCCTGCGAATCAGATCGACCCTCCTAGAGCACGGAGAAATGAACAGAAAGACACATATCGACCGTCTCCCCTCCCTCGAAACTTCCCCTCATCCATAAGGCGCTCCAGCAACGAAGCGCACCAAATCTTCAGCGTCCTCAGCCAACAAAGGCCTGTCCCAGAGCCCGCATCTAGCTTGGTGGCGACACGTACACGCTCGCCAACCTACTCTGGTTGATATGTCGTTGGAGCGAGCCGGAGGAGATATCTGGCATATCCCTGATAGATAACATAGTAGTAAATTGGCAGTAAAGGGCCCTCTGGTGTGAGAAACTTGTTATAAACATTTTGTTGAACAATGTGTCTCTTTCGCATCAAATACAATTCTTCACTAATGGCATGCTCAGAAACATATACAGGGTACTGTACACAACGCGATCTTTCTGCCACCTACAGCGCATACTTCCACGCCTCCATCGGCGGCGCCCAACTAACTAACCAGTTTGGAGTTATTGCGTGTGAAGTATGCTGCGTGTTGAACCCTTCCACCACGCTGTTCTTCCCACAAACACCATCACCGCCGCTATGACTCCTATGACCAGCAGGGGTATAAGGAGTAGAAACCCTTTCCTTGATCCACCGCATCCACTTCCCGCGACTCGCCTGAATAACCGGAAAATGCTGCATCCCCCCATAAACCGCCATCTCCAGTGCCTGCGCCTCGTTCCCTGCAACCGCACACGTAGCCTCGATATCGTCCTCGAGCATATCAACGGGAAGTGCATCCTCCTCGCCAACGATAACCAACATCGGGCCACGGAGCGCCTTGCGGCCGGCAGATGCAACCTCCTGCCACTCGCGCACGAGCGGATCCGCCGTCCAGTTCGCGCGCACCTGCTCGGTGACAGAAAGAAAGGCCAGCGTATCCGTTGCCAGACAGCCACCAACCGGCTCGAGGACGGTGTGCCACCTGTCATACGCGGCCTCGCTCATCCCCGTGTCATTGTACTCGGGATACACGGCCGTCACAGCCGCTACGATCTTCACCTGGAGACCCAGCGCCGTCGGCGCCCAGATGGGCACGGCCGCCGGATCCTTCGCGCCGCCCAAGACCTGCATCGCGCGCTCAATCTCATCGATTACCCGCGTCGCCGGGGAGATTGAGACTGTGCCCCGGTATCCCTTTTGCGGATGGGCGGCTTGTCGCTCGGCGAACGACCACGCCACGCCTCCGCCCTGCGAGTGGCCCATGGCCACGAAAGGTCCGTCGGCGTCGAGGTTCGCGGGGAACGCTTTGCGGACTGCGTCGATGGCGTACGCGACGTCGTTGGCGCCTGCGGGGCTGGTGAGCCAGGCGTGCGACTGCGCGCCGTTGGGGAGCGTCGTTACGCCCAGCCCCGCGTAGTCGGTTGCGATGACGGCGAAGCCGTCGAGGGCTAGGGAGTACGGGGTCATGAAGTTGTATTGGAGCGAGCGGTAGTTTGAGGGGGCGCAGGGCGGGAACACGCCGGATGTGCCGTGGGCCCAGGCGACGAGGGGGAATTTGGTGCTTGTATTTGAAGAGGAGCAGGTCGAGTTCGAATGTTGGGTTCTGTATTCGAATGGAGCATACGGCCACAGCACAAACGCAGAGACGGGGACGACCGTGCCGTTGAGTGACTCCGAGGTATACATGATCCGCGACATGGTCAGGCCGCCGGGGACGGTGTAGTTTGTGATGTCTGTATGTTCCTCGACGCGGAGAAGGGTCCCCGGTTCCATGGACGGATCAAAGTCATCGGGGATGGTGTAGAAATCGTCGAGGCCCTCGTGGGCATACGAGGCGCGCTCAAAGGCGATGCCCATATCGACAAAGTCCCGGCAGTCTTTGTCGCATGCTATGCTGGTGCTTTCCCGAGCCGAGGTGGATGTTGCGAGGAAGCTTGAGAGCGCGATCGCAACGGATATGCCTCTCATTGGGAAGGGGAGAAGGGACTTCATCGTGCTGATGTCGATGACCCTACTAGGATGACAGTACAATGGCAATTATGCTGATGCTGATCCCCAAACCTCTATACCATCAGACCTCCCCATACTATTTATGCCCCTCATATAACAACCATCTAAAAGAACACCTCCCTACCTAGTCATGACCACCTGAGCCTCGGTGCTAACCGAAAACAAGTATACGCTTGCGATCCGCATACGGTAGAGGCGCAGGGCTTGGCATTTGCTTAGGGCCCGACGCGAATACGCATACGCATACGCTCACGCTCATGTTCTCCACACGGGGCACCTGCATGATTTAGCGCAAGCCTCAAAGTATATGCTCGGAGTACAAGTCTAGACTGACTCACTGCAGGGTGCAGAATTTTTTAGATGCTTACTCCATATTCGATTTCGCTTCCAAATCCACGGGGCCCGTTGACTGCGTTTAGCCTGTTGCGTGGCGCTGCGCCTTGGAGGCCTCGGAGTGACAATGTCGTCGTCTCTTTCTCTTTCTGGAAGGAGACTACTATATAGTACATGCAGGGCTTCAGAGCCACTTCTAACAAGGGCGTGGTTGAAATCTCTCAGAACCAAATTATCCTCCAATCCTATTGAATTGAGCATTTGACTCATCTCGCGCTTCACACGTTGCTTGTCGGCTGTCATTCACGTTTACTCACCGACATACTACACACTCTATTCCATTATACCGAACCCGAGCCGAACCAACCGAACAATGGCGTCCCTCATCCTTATCGGCGCGGTACTCGTTGCTGCAAAAGTCGCAGATGAGCACGAGAAGAAGAAACCCGATGGACCTTCAGCTGTCAGCGATATCATCACATTTACTCCTCACGAACAAGATACACCCCTTACGGAGCCGATGTCTACATCGAAAAGAGACATCCTGAGCCGGAGATACTGGCACGAGCGCAGGAGATCAAAGAAGCATGCCCAGCTTGCTAGCTGTAGTCCGCCCCCGTATGAAGTGCAGCCTATGGTATGTTGATGATCTACTCAAAGGGGAGTAAATCCATGGCATGAATAATCACCTAACATGACTCCTGATAGTATCGAGAACCCGACTCTGAAAAAGACGCAATCTACGAGCTAGACGGCTCGCCAATTCCAAAAGAACATTCTGTGCATGAATTGGCAGGACCGGAGGCGCGGACAAGATTCTCCCTTGGCGAGTACCAAGTCAGATAGCATACTCTTGTTTCTTGTCGGTGGTCTTGGCTACTGAACTGCTGACCGGTTTTCTTGGGGTGCGGATGTTTAAGCTTATGCCCGTGTATTATACTCTACCTGTGGAGCGTTCTGTTTTGTACCTGTTGTATTTGGTTGTATCGTGTGGGAATGAATTTCCGCGGCTTCAGCTATGAATACAGATACTAGATATGGAATACGATAGATACGATTCCAGAGCTGTTAATCTAGTCAAAGCGTGCCTAAATCCACCAACCATCTTCTCCAGTATGTATAGTTGCGACCCTGCGCCCGACTCAAATTAAAAGCCACCGACCTCTCGCACGAGTCCTTGTCGAGGCATATCAGGCAGACGCAAAACATGAATTTGTAATTGAGGTTGCACCGCCGATGACTCCAAAAGACGCCAGCAAAACGCCGCTGACGGTGACGTGAAGGTGCATGAAGAAGACTGAAGTCTCCCGCGGGCCCGAAGACAGGGACCACGGGTCCACAGGGTCGCAAAGCGGCTGAGGCTTAGACGGTAGCCTCTACTACTCGGAGTCGGAGATGGATGAAACCCCAGGTTCACGGTCTAGATCTGACAGTGCCGGAAAAACCGGTGAAGAAGTTGCTGCAGTCGTGGTTCATCGGATTTGGAATCTGATCGCCGTCTACTTGTCCCATTGCAGCAGGTGGATGCCCCGCTCCACCAAAAGACGAATTCACCAATTAAAGTCACGCTCAGGCGAGCCACTGCGCTGTGATTGGGCGAACTGCTCAATTTAAGGTATTCCAAATTTTGGTCTTGGCTGAATAATCGTCTGGGGCTGAGTCGGACTCCAACTTGTGCAGGAGGGCTGATCCGCCTGTCAAGACTTTAAAAAAGCTCGTGTGTACGGAAGTGAGTCGCGAATACGATATCTAATTCTCTAATACTCTAATATCCACCTAATGGCCATGTTGACTCCCGATGCCCAGAGCAAGTTCCGGCCTCGGCGCCGCCACAAGAAGTCGAGGAATGGATGCATGGAGTGTAAGCGGAGGAGGATCAAGGTCAGTCTTCTGAATAGAGTCAGCTCACGCGAGATGTACTAATATTTGACAGTGCGATGAGATGAAGCCGTCGTGCTCAAGATGTATCCTGACCCGGCAAGAGTGCATCTACCGGCCAACATCACCCCCGCCGCAGGCTGCAGCGAATGTCGAGCCATCGCTGTTTCTGCCGCCTCCAAGCCCGCGCAGTGCAGTCTCGCCCTCGCCATCTCCATCATATGAGATTCCGAGACTGTCGCCGGCCCCGTTTGTCAAGCCCACGCAGCACTTTGACTTTGACACGACCGACGCTGGCCTCTACCACCACTACCTGCAGCACACCTGCCGCTCGCTGACGGACAACCAGCAAGATCACCACGCCCTGCAAATATGCATACCAACCTTGGCGCTGCGGAGCAAGACCGTCTACCACTCCATCTTGGCCGTCTCCGCCGCGTGCATGTGCTGCGACATGATCTACAAGGACCCCCCGCCGGATATCAGCACCGTGAGCAACACCCTCATGGCGGGCTACCACCACTACAACCTCGCCAGTGAACGCCTGCGCGAGTTGATCTCACGGCCCAGTCCAGCCAACGCGGAGCCCCTTCTCGCGGCTCCCCCGCTGCTCGTCCCCTTTGCAACAGCCAGCCAGCAGATCAACCACTGGATTTCCAGCCGCTCAGAGGGGCATCCATCGCAAAAGCTCCTTGCCACAACCCCGCGAGACGTCATCATCCTTTCGCGCGGCATCAGCGCTACAATCCGGGCGCTGGCCTCCCACCCTAGCAGCTCCTCCCTCCCAACATCCCCACAGACCTTTCTGTCTGAAGAACTCGACAACATGGACATGGACGCCGCGGGACTGGACACATACAACGACAGCCCGCTTAACCCATCTCCACCAACAACAACAACAACCCCCTTACCCCCGTCACACAACCACCCAATGTACCACATCATCAAAAGCACTAGCGAAGCGGCATTCGCCAAGCTCCAAGACCGTCTCGATTCCGCCTTTATCTTCTCCTCGCCCACCTCGCAATCCGAAAACACAACTCTCAACCCCTCCGCCCTCGCCGCCTGCGCCTCAGCCCTCGACTACATCTCCACCCTCCGCTCCGCCGTCTTCCCCCCCTCCCACCTCGCCCCCGGCGAAACCACCATCCCCCTCCCACCCACAATGACCCACACCCCTCACCTCCCCACAATCCCCCCCTGGCTCGCAGCCTTCACCTGCCGCCCCTCCACCCCGTCCCCAACAGCCCACATGACCCGCCCCTTCCTCAGCCTCTTCGTGCACGCCCCGCAGGCCTACCTCGACCTGACCCTGCCCCTCCTGGACAAACGCCTCGAGGGCCCGATGCACAATACGACGCCCGGGGGCGTGCACGACGAACTCGGTGTCGTTGAGGCGCTTGCCCTCGATATCTATGCGCATTGGAGCGTGCTGATGTTTCTGGTCGCCGAGGAGAGCTGGTTTATTGGGAAGCTGCCGCAGATTACGCTGGCGGGGATGCTGAATCGGTTTGGGGAGGATTTTGTCGCGAAAATTTGGGGGGTTGCGAGTGCGAGTGCGAATGCGTCTTCGGGGACTGGTGTCACTGCGGGGCAGGGGCAGGAGTGTGGGGAGTGGTGGCCGAGTAGTATGTTGAGGATTCAGAGAGAGATTGGGAGATATCGATAGCATCAGCGTCAGCATCAGCATCAGCATCAGCATCATGGATGATGCGGTAGATTGGGGTTGGGAAGTGGAATTGTACCATGTTGTAGAAAAGGGTGGCTCATAGATTAGATTTTTTGATTTTTTTTTTTTTGGCGTTTGGAGCTCGTTTGTTATGAGATATACGGATTACGACTTGGATATTCCATACACGTGGTGAAAGCACAGAGATAAAAAGTAACGACGTCCAGCTTGAAAGCTTTTTGATTGAAACGAGGACAAGAAAGGGGATTTACCTTACATGCTGCTTATATCATAGAAGGCTTGGCAGGGACGAGATCCTCCAGTTGTGATAATGATACAGTGTAGTACGGGTATATACAAATACGCTGAGAATAAGAGCCTAGATATTACTGGAGTAAGCAACTTCAATGACAGCAGAAAGCTCAGCCGAGTCTTTCCTTTTGAGTACCGCGTTGTATCGAGCGGATCAGCACGCAAGTTGTTACCTGGAAGCAACCATTGGGAACAAAAAAAAGCAAAAAGAGAACAGAGTAGCTTACGGTCAGCCATAAAGCTCCATGGACCCCCGGAAATCCTTCCTTCCGCTTGAGGGGGCGCAGTTTCGAACCGAACAGGGAAAACATGGAGGTGGCGCAGTTCACACTCCAGAGATAGATGAGACTCCACCACGTACGAAGATCGTATGGTTTGTATTACGATTACTGTACTCTGTCGAAGAATGCCACGTGCCGAGCCCACCCTCTCCGGTGTGCCGCGCCAAAGCCCCAGAAAGATGGCCCATTCTATGCTTCCAAGCGGGACGAAGGATACTAGGGTGCATTGCAGACTGCAGCGGCCGCGTTCCGAGGGTGTGGTACGGACGTGGGCTGCCGACATGCATGGTACGGGTCTGGCCCCGACAGACAGCGCGGTGGGAAACCCGCAGTTCAATGCCTTGTTGGCTCGTGGAGGTTGTTCCTGGCGATTTATTTGGATTAGCGGTTACAGGGGGTGTGTGTGAGCGGGCGGGGGCGCGGCGCCCGGGTATGCACTATGCAAAGAGCCTTTTCTAGGAGGGGGTACTTTGTCCGGGTGGGCCGTTGTTCATGGGATCTTAGCACCGCTCTAGAAGCGTGGCAGTGTGGCACCCCTGGGCCGTGATGGAGGGTGGGGTGGATGCACGCCTTGGCCATCTGGGATCTGCCATACGGGATACACGGGTGACGGGAGGAAGGCCGCTGCAGCTAGATACATTAGACCCGCCGTGCGAGAGCCAAGTGACAAGGTCCTTCCTTCATCTAGTACGCTATCTTACGAGAAAAGTGGAGTCATTGTCCTGCCACTCCGCTACTGCAGTGAGGGATGAAACCAGGCTTGGCTCCCAAAAGCTCAGAGCTCGTAGGGCTCCGAGGGCTGAACGATTGGCTATATTCATGAGGAAGGCAACTATCTAGGAGATCAGACAGTACGTCCTCATGCGTACTGGGCCCTTCTGCACATACAAAGAGGTTGCCGACCACGATTGGGAAGGGCGATGTATGCCGACGTTTAGAAGTGGGTTAGCTGGGCGGACGTTGCCAGGTGCCAAACGAGAGACTTGAGAGAGCGAGTTTAGCAGGTGTACCCTGTGGCCAGGGAATAAGGAGACCAAGTTCTAACATGCCTAGTGTCCGTGCTTGCGTATGTAGGAGGCAGAGCACGGCGGCCTGTGCTGCGCTATTCATGACTAGCGCAGAGCGTATTCGGATCTCGGGTGGTGAGCACTAGTGCTAGCTGCTCCAATGATGCCTCGCTAGTCGATCTTCTCGCATGTCGTCGTGAGTGCGTGTCACTAGTGCCCTGATTGTAGTCGGCCGATGGGGAGGTCAAGAGGTAGATCAAACAATAATTGACATCATGGTGGCCAGGGCCTCTAGATTCATGGCTTGTGGCTTAGATAGTAGCTGCTGCTTGCTTCGATCCGGGCTTAAACAAGGCCGATGCGAACAAAGGGGCGGCCAACATCTGATAGGCGAGAGCCACGTGACAAGGCTGGGAGTCGACTCGGACGCAGAGCACGAATATGAATGGTTTAACTCACAAGAGCATGATGATTCGTCCTCCATTTTGCCCTCCTTATTGAGAATGAGTGTCTGGCATTGATTGAATAGAGAACCTCCGTTGAGGAACGAGATACGAGGCTTATTGTCACCCCATAGAGAGCGACGTGAGTCTCAAAAAGGCTGACAAGCATACACCCTGTTTATTTGAGACTCTGCATGTTTGGAATAAGTTTTGGACTAGTGGAGCCTTCCTAGGCTGAGCTACCAAGCTGTGCTGAGGAGCCAACCTTGGAAGCCCTGTGGATCAGCCCAAGTGGGTTTCCGACAGCTGATCAGGTAAAGCTTGTTGAGCTTGCCCGCGCCGTCAACATTGCGATTCATTCGATTATAACATGATTGCACGTGTTTTCCACAGACTCCTCTTTGAACCAGCCAGCCGCTGTTGGATATCCACCGGAGCTACGTATAAAGACGCCCGATCCCTCGAATCTCACACTCCTCCCGTTCAAAATCCGATCCCTCTTTCAATCGATCTCATCATATACATACAACGCCTACTTTCAACCGCACAATATGAACCCCTTCTCCTTCTTCTACAGCATCACCCCCATGCTCCCAACCCCCCCACCAACCCTCTTCTAGGCCCTCACCCTCCTAACAACAACAACCTACATAACCACCCACAACCTCCAAAACGCTCACAGGCAGCGCAACAGCCTGGCTCCGGCCATTCCTCACAACACGCCGCCAGCGTAACCTCGCCCTCGCATTCTACATCGCCGTCGTGCTTCTCGAGTTCCTGCAGTCGGAATGGATCATGGCGGGCGATTGGGGCATTGCGTCGGGGATGAAGGCGTTTGCGGCGTGGGTGGTTGCGAGGGGGAAGCGGGGGGATGGGAATCAGAGTCCTATGTGGATTGAGCTGTTAGGGCCGTTGGCGGGGTTGCTTGGGAGGATTTTTGTTATTTGTAAGACGGGGTCGATGGTCTTTTTTTGGTTGGGGATGGCGGTTAAGGAGTTGGTTTTGCTTCATGTGGATGGGGAGGGGGTTGCGAGGAGGGAGAAAGGGAGTAGTGAGAGAAAGGAGTAGGGGTCAACGAGGGGAGACTGCTGGGAGGCTGCTTTATGACGTTTTTTCTCTTGGTGATAATCTGCAAGGGATCTCGACTTGACCTCGAATTGACTTCACACGAGCAAAAGGCAAATCCAAAATTCATCCACCCTGACATCAGGATTCGATCAGTTCCAGCATTTTCATTGTGTATAATCTCATAAGCCGTCCCACCGTTATACTACATGCTCATCTGGATACGACCGAAAGTCAAGTCTCAGTAACCGAAGGGTGTCAAGTATTTGATCAACATGCCATATCAGCTTGCAGCTGGAATGGAACGAGGAGGCTGAGGTTAGTCCAAGACGTAATGGAGTATTATTCATTTCATTGTAGATATCATCAATCAGCCTCACGGCTCAACCTATTACCATCTCACCAGGAGACAGACACACTCCATGTCTAAGCCGACGCCCCATCCAACCCCTTGAAGAACTGGTACCCAAAGTCCTCACTGCTATCGTTGAACCGCAGCTTGCGGTCGATCCCGCGGATCTTCTTCAGATCCTCCTCATCGAGCTTAAAGTCGCCCTCGATGTTCTGCCTGATGCGCTCGGGCGTCTTGGACTTGGGGAGGACCGAGTGGCCTTCGTTTATTGCCCATGCTGGTCACCTCGTTAGTAATCGAAGCAAGATGATGATGCAGAGAAAATGATGAGCATACCAAGCGCAACCTGCGCGCCCGACTTGTTATACTTCTTCCCAATCTCCACGAGCACCGGATCCTCAATGAGCCGTCCAATCTTGCCCTCGCGCGAATACAGCTCGTTCTGGTTGCCAAACGGCGAATAGTGCGTAACGTGGATACCGTTCTTCTTGTGCCAGTCCGCGAACGCGCGCTGCTGCAGCCACGGGTGGCCCTCGAGCTGGTGGACAGCGGGCGGGATCGTGGCGTTGTCGACGACGCGCTGGATCTCTTCTTTGGAGAAGTTTGAGACGCCGATGGCTTTTACTTTTCCGGTGCTGACGAGTTTTTCGAGGGCTTTGTATGTCTATACCCTCCCGTTAGCTTTTTGTGCGGGTGTGGAGGGATGAGGGACGAATTAGATGGAGAAGCAACATACATCCACATAATCAATATCCTCGGTCGCAGGCTTCCCATCCGGACCCTTGGGGAACTTCTCTTCGCCGCGCTTAAACGCAACAGGCCAGTGTATCAAGTAGAGATCCACATAGTCGAGACCGAGATCATTCAGCGAATCCTTGAGCGCCTGCTCAACATCGTCCGGGTGGTGCTTGTTGTTCCACAGCTTCGTCGTGAGGAAGATCTCTTCACGGGGGATGCCGCTCTTCCTGATGGCATTGCCGACGGCTTGTTCGGTGCCGTAGCTGTTAGTTTGTCAGTATTCTTCGTGGTAGTCCGGCCACGGCTGCAAATTTGAGAGACGTACATTCGTGCAGTGTCGATATGTCTGTATCCAGCCTTGAGCGCCTCTGCAACGGCCTTTTCCTGCGAGCCGACGTCCTGCCAGGTGCCGAAGCCGACGGCGGGGATGGAGGCGCCGGTGTTGAGCTTGAATGTGGTCATTTTCTTCGTGTTCTCGTCTTCGTTTCTTTTCGTTTCGTCTCTTGTATCTGCTGCAATTGAATTTAATTGTTGTGGTTGATGCTGTCTGGGTCGAGGTGTTTTATAGCTGTGGTGTGTGGACTGATTGACGTCAAATTGACGCGGAGTCATGACGTCGGGATGAAGGTTGTGTGGATTTCGTGATTCTGCTTATCGAGCACTACCTTGTGGGCTTCTAGAATATCTAGAATCCGGTTTGATCGCCGTTTCCAGGTTCTGCGCTGAGCTTGGCCCGCTGATGTGCAATGTACTCCGTAAGGCTGGCCGGCCCGACTGGCTATACTCTTTGTATGTACATTAATCACAAGCGATCTACCTATGTACAATGGATGCAAATCTATTCCTTCGCGCCCCATCCACCGCCTCCAGCAGTCATGATAACAATGCGATCATGCGTACTGACCGAAATCGTATTCTTCCCTCCGATATTCACCGTGTGATCCTCGCCCGTCTGCGGATCCTTCGTGATCCAGAGATTCATTCCGGGCTCAGCATCCTCACCTCCCTCAAGTCCATACGGCCTGTGCACGCGGCGCTCCGACAAGATCGAGCAGTCCATCGGCGTAAGGAACTCGATTTCCCGCGTAACCCCTTCACCACCAGGGTGCTGGCCCTGTCCGCCGGATCCGGAGCGCAGGGTAAACCGTCGCAGCAGCGTCGGGTAGCGCTTCTCTAGGATTTCCGGATCCGTAATTCGCGTGTTTGTCATGTGCACGTGGATACCGGATTCACCGTCCCATGAAGGACCCGCGCCGCTGCCGCCTGCGATTGTTTCGTAGTATCCGAAGCCAGGGATTACCTTGCCGGTTTCAGCGTCTTCTTTTGCGTTTGTGCCAAAGGTCAGGTTGTTGCAGCATCCCTGAGAGGCCGCGCAGGCGCGGAAGGCTTTCAGGACAACGTCGGTCACTCGCTGCGAAGTCACAACGTTTCCGCCGACGACGGCCGCGTTCTTTGTTGGGGAGAGGATACAGGATGGTGGGACCTTGATGTCGATTGGGGCCAGGCAGCCTTGGTTCAGTGGCATGTCGGCGTTGATCATGCATCGCAGGCAGTAGATGATGGCAGAATGGGTAATTGCGATCGGAGCGTTCCATGCGCCGTATACCTGTGGCCCGGTGCCTTCAAAGTCGAAGACGGCGGATCCATCTTCGCCGTTAATGGTCACCTTGAGTCTGATCGGTGTCCCATCATCCATGTAGTCGACTGCATGCAGCGGCTTGCCTTCGAAACGACGGTAGAGGTCTTTCAACAGGTTCCGCACTGCAGTCTCGGCGGTGTCTTGGATGGCGTGCATGTACTTTTGGACTGTCTCTGAGCCGTATTCTGCAAAGAGGGCCTGGATGAGGGAGATGCCCCTGGTGTTTGCAGCGATTTGTGCTTTCAGATCCGAAATGTTGTCGCTGATGCATCGTGCTCCGGAGCAACCTGGGTACTCCGCAGGCTTTTTGACCAATAGTTCGATTATTCTCTCCTCGTCAAATACTCCATTACTGACTATCTTGTCTCCTTCGATCGCCGCTCCTTCCTGCCATAGCTCTGTAGATTTGGGAGGCATGGAACCTGGAAGAATACCACCAATGTCTGCATGATGACCGCGAGAGGCGACATAGAACATAATCTCGCTGCCGCCGGGCTTGTCGAAGACGGGGGTAATCACCTAGACGGTCAGTTAACCTCAAAAATGCCAAAAGGATCGGACTCACGGTAATGTCAGGGAGATGGGTTCCACCACAGCTGGGATGATTGGCAACCAAAACATCTCCATCTTTCAGGTTGTTCAACCATTTCTGATGTTGGTATCTAACGGCAAACTGCATAGACCCAAGGTGTACAGGAACGTGCGGTGCATTGGCCACCAGTCCGCCATCTGGAGAGAACAGCGCACACGAGAAATCTAGGCGCTCCTTGATATTTGTCGAAACAGACGTCCTCTGCAGCGTCCGGCCCATCTGCTCTGCGATCGCCATGAAACGATGGCCGAAGATGCTCAGCTTGATCGTGTCAATGCCAGACGAGGCGGCCTCCGTTTCTGTAGACTTTGCCTCTTTCAGGTCAATGACAATGCATGTCTCCAAGACGGTGGCCACGGCGTCTGGGACGACGACGATGGTTTGAGTTTGGTCAATAATAATGGCTGGGCCGTTGATACGGGAGTTCTTCTCAATTTTATCGAGCTGGTATACCGGCGTGTCGAGACGGTCCTTTTGTCCGTCAAAGTATGTCTTGGTGGTGAGGTCTGGGGACGTGCTGATATCCTTGATCGTCGCTTCTCGCAGCTGAACCAACGGGCTTTTCTCGTCTCGCACCTTTGAAGCTGCGATCGTGCGCACACGGATGTCATCCACTAAGACGGGTCGGTCGGAGTTGAAGCCGAATTCCCTGCGGTGCCGGATTTCGAATTGCTCCAGGAAATCAGAGTCGTCCTCTGGTTCCAGAATCATCAGGCTGGTGTCGGAACCGTCGTAGCGCAAGTTCAGATACCGCTCGTGCCGGACCTGGTCTGCGGAGAACCCTTGCTCCGCCATGTCTTTTGTGGCGGCTTCTGTCATTTCGCCCAGTCGCTTGTTAAGCTCCTCCTTGGAAGTGGTATACTGCGTTGAGAGAGGCTCTTGTGACTCCTTGACCACCTCCGCCAGAGCCAGACCGTACGCCGATAACACCGAGGAGAACTTGTGAATGATAATCCGGGAGATACCCAGCGATCCCGCCACTGGGCACGCATGTTGGCCTCCAGCTCCGCCAAAACAGGCGAGATGGTGTGTCCCGGTTTCGAAGCCGCGTGCCTCGGTGAGGTTACGGATCGGACGAGCCATGGATTCATCAGCGACCTTTAAGAATCCCAATGCCACTTCTTCCGCAGAGTATTCCGACTGACCCTTTGCTTTTCGCTCCTTGTTGACGGTCTCGGTGAGTTCGTTGAACAGCCGCGTCGTGATTTCAATGTCGAGCGGTTGGTCTTCATTCTCACCAAAAATGTGGGGGAAGAACTCGGGGAGCAAACGTCCAAGAAACAGGTTGGCATCCGTAACAGTCAATGGGCCACCCTTTCGGTAACAAGCAGGGCCAGGATGAGCCGATGCTGATTCCGGACCAACGTAGAATAGCCCGTTGCGCCAGTTTAGAATCGAGCCACCTCCAGCTGCAACGGTGTTGATATCCAGCTGCGGAGACTGAATCTGGACACCAGCAAGCTTGGACCCAAACACGTGTTCGAGATGGCCATCGAACCGCGAGACATCCGTCGAGGTACCGCCCATGTCAAAGCCGATAACGGGAATCTTCTCCTTGGGGTCCCAGCTAGTCGCTGCGAACCCAACTACACCAGCCGCAGGCCCGGAAAGAATCGCCTTGAGCCCGCTGAACTTTCGAAAGTCAACCAGGCCTCCATCGCTCTGCATGAACTCGAACCTGCACGTATGCTGGTTGGCGAGACCGCCCTCGAAGCTCGACGAAATCGAATCAATATAGGTCTTGATCACCGGTGTCAAGTAGGCATCCGCTGCAGCAGACATTCCTCGGGGTACAATCTTGATCATGGGTTGCAGCTTCGACGACAACGTGACTGAAAATCCCATGCTCTCTGCCATCTCGCCGATAAGGCGTTCGTGCTCAGGATACGCATATGAATGTACCAGGGCCACAGAGAGAGACTGATATCCTTTCTCCTTCAACCGCTCCAGCTCTGGGCGAACCTTTTCAATATCCAATTCTTTGACGACGCGGAATTTCTCCCCAGTGACACCTTCGACCAAGCGGGCGCCGGAGAAGGCCTCCTTATCTGAGAGCGGATGACACGGTACGATCCGCTCGTCGATCTCCACTACTGCCTCTGGCAAGACACCAGGTCGAGCCATCGACAGATCGAAAATATTCGGCCGCGATTGGTCTCCGATGCGCAGCAAATCGCGGAACCCCTTGGTTGTGAGGAGGGCAGACCGAGCTCCCTTCCTCTCGAGCAATGCATTTGTAGCGACGGTTGTGCCCATTCGGAGACTCTCAATAGGGCCCAGCTCCAGCGGCTTTCCTCGAGGGTGCGGCTTGCCCGTCACCCTCTCCAAAATCTGGCGAACACCTTCTGTCGGAGCATCTTGGTAATGTGCGGGGTCGACGGAGAGGAGCTTCAGGATGATATCGGGCTGGCCGGGGACGACAGCATGGACGTCGGTGAAAGTGCCACCGCGGTCGATGGAAATCGTTATCCTGCCGTTCTCGCCCATTTTCGTCTCTGCTGAACGGCTTTCGCGGAATTTCGGATTTGGAGACTCTGTGCAAACATGAGGGGCTCCTTATCGGCTTAAATAAGCAGCGATGTCAAGCTGACGCCATACTGCCAGCTCTCGCCGCCTCGGTATACATCAATTAGCCCAACGATAAAAAAAATCGGCAACAATGCAAAATGCCGTCAGGTAGTCAGATTCCTATCATACATCTATCTATAGTATATCATCTAGTACTTGGTGTAGCGCAGGTAAGGCTTCAGCTCGCGGACCTCACCAAACTTCTTCTTGGCGTCCTCGGTAGACACGGAAGGCGGGACAATCACGTCCTCGCCCACCTGCCAGTTGATCGGGGTGGCAATTCCCTTCTTATCGGCAGTCTGCAGGGAGTCGATGACACGGAGGACCTCGGCAGAGTTGCGGCCGGTAGAGGCGGGGTAGCTCATGGTGAGACGGATCTTCTTGGCGGGGTCGATGATGAAGACGGAGCGGATGGTGAAAGCAATGCCCTTCTCGGCAAGGTTGACCAACTCCGACTCGTCAATCATGTCATATAGCCAGGCAACCTTGCGATCCGCGTCGGCGATAATGGGGAACTGGACGTTGCTGCCGGTGACCTCGTTGATGTCTTTGATCCATTCGCCGTGAGAGCCGATGTCGTTGGCGCTCTATACATGTGTCAGGAGCGCCTTTCAAGGTTTTTATATGCCGCATACCAATCCAATCATCTTGACGCCACGCTTCTCAAATTCATCCTTCAGCTTTGCGAACGCGCCGAGCTCAGTGGTGCAAACGGGGGTGAAATCGGCGGGGTGGGAGAAGAGGATAGCCCAGCTGTCGCCGATCCACTGGTGGAAGTCGATCTCGCCTTGGGTGGTCAGGGCCTTGAAGTTAGGGGCTAGACCACGTCAGCTGAGTAAAGACGCTGATTGATGGTGGGCAACAGACCTGTAGCTCCGAGACGCAGGCGAGGCTGCTCTTGAGCGGTGCTAAGGAACCGACGGACGAGGGGTTGCGCGAGGGGCGCGGAGACGGGGCTCTTGCACCAGGGAGCGGCCTTTGAGAAGGCGCTAATGGTTCGGAAGGTTGAGCGAGGAAAGAAGGAGGCCATTGTGAAGAAATTAGTTTCAACCAGCTCAATTGGTAGTGGAAAGGTGAGGACGAAGAAAAAGAAGACGTTGGTATTGACGCAATCAACCCCATGCTTTCTACCGCCTTTTATACCGCCTGATTTTGTCGTCATTCCCCACTTTTGCGATCGATGGGCATTGTTGACAATTCCCGCGTCCCATGTCCCATCGATCGCTGTTGGTATTCCCTGTTTGGAGAACCCCTGATTGCCTCGTCACTTGAGGTAACTGACATCCGAGCGCAAAGTATGGTTACGCAGCACAGATGCCGATCAACGGCTGAGTGCAGAATGGCAGTCCTGGGTTCAACCGTCCAATGAGAAGCCTGACCTTCAAGCTTCAGCCCATGGAAAGTGACACCCACCAAGATCTGACACACACACGCTATTTCGCGGAGACGAGCTCAGGACTCGAGTGCGCTGGAGCCTGAAAATAAGCCACATCAAACAAGAAATGCAAAGAAACACTTGACTTTGCTGTTGACACGCACGACAGATGGGTGCTGCATTCTTGGCGCTCGTGTTCGACGAGAATTAACCATGATAGGTTGCCTGCGCCCCCCCCCCGGCTCGTATTCGCCAACTAGGCTAGACTGCTAGTCCCTCGATCTACATCATGGACCCTTTCAAAGCCTCAACTTTCTGTCCTTCTTCTTCGTCTGGAGAGACATAAATAGGACGCATATTCATCTCATGGCTCTTTGTTTTTGTCCGAGAGGTACATCCTCTTCAAGGCACAGAATAACCTGATAGCTCGCGCTTACTGCGCAGCACTGCCAACATGAATACTACCAATGCAGATGCTCCTCTCCTTCGACCCATCTCCTCTCTCCGACTATACCGACGCTGCTTCAAAGGGCGCAAGCAACTCTTCTCCGAATCCGATACAGCCCCTGCGAACTACTTCGTCGCAAACCCCGTCCCTCACAAGCACGGCGACTCATGGAAGCCAATCTTCTACCGCGGCGACAACCCCAAGTATACGCCGGAGGCAACTGCCATCGGCCGGGCGCGCCGCTCGGCCATGTGGGGCTCGTTCCGGGTATGGCTTGGCGACGGCGTGCAGGAAGTTCTAGATAATGAGGATCGCCGAAGACAGAAGCGGAAAGCGGAGAGGAAGAATAAGTGGCGGAAGAGGTTTGGAAAGGAGCCGAAGCCTGTTGAGGTAGAAGAGGAGAAAGCCGTGCAGGGGAAGGTGATCATGTTTCGAATGCAGAGGTTGGGACTCTTCAGTCGAAGGGTTGAGTGGGAAATTGAGGGGGTGCGGTACCGGTGGTCTGGAACCAGGATGTTCTCGACGGGGTTCATGAGGGGTGTCAAGGGGTGGTCGCATAGTATGAAGGTGAGACTATTTTAAGCAGCGTTCTCTTTCCGACGACTCACTCTGACTCGTATAGCTGATCCGCGTATCTGACCACGCAATCATCGCGACATTCGAAAAGGGCTTACTGGGATCTCCGAGGTCAATCAAGACCGGAGGTCCTCCGAACAAGTCCAAGACACTTCTCGGCAACCTTAAGCTCTATGATCGGGCCGGTACAACCGGCAAGCATCCTATGCAGACGGAGTATGATCAACTCACGAGCTTCGTGGCCCAGGTCGATGCGGCGAACACCAAGCCAAGCGATATCCAGGACGAGAAAGACTTGAACCCGGCTGGGTCGCATTCAGGCAATCTCGTTGACGAAGCGATTGCCTTTACGTGTTGGATCGTAGTAGAGGCTGAGCACCGGCTTCGACATAAGCTTCCTGACTTTCTGGAAGAGGTCGCGGAGAATTTGGAGGGCGGTTGAGCTAGATAACATTGAGGTCACTCGTTTTTTTCTCATATGTATCGGTTATGTTCTTGTATGTGTTTCGATTATACTATTATAATATTCGTGTACAACTGGAAGTGTATGACTGAAAATAGATGTATTGAATCCATTAAGCAGCCTCGCTAAAGAGCACATGACCTCAACTCCGTGCCTTCCAATGTTGACATTTTCCGCCCAAGTGTTGCTCGCTTTCTCGTCCATCTCAACTCAACCCACTGAAATCAATCCATCCTGAACCTGAATCGTGTCATCGGGAAAAGACGCCGTGAACAGTGTGTCCACGTGTTTCCGCCGCATATCGTCGTACTTGCTCTGCAACCAGTAACACGTCTCAACCCAGTTCATCGCTGGAAAGTCGGCCTCGTACCCCACCAGAATGTCCCTTATCTGCGCCCTTACAGCAAAGTTGTCCGATGCAGTCCATGCCATCGCAAGCGAGACCGGCATGAAGCTGACTCCGAATGGCCGGTGCTGCTCAGCGAGCTGTGAGAGTCTGATGGATTCGGCGCATAGGTCCGCCGCCTCCTCCGCCAGTGTATCGCTCGGGTCGAACATGCGCAGGATTATATTCAGACTGAGAGCGAGACAAATGAGCACGGAGTACGCGACTTGCGGGCGTGTGTGTAGGCGTCCTGGTGGCGTCGGTGCTGCCGCGGTGAGAGCCTCGAACTGATCGAGCAACGAACGCATTGTCGCGCAATCACGGATAAGCTGGTTGTACGCGGTGGCTATGTTGACGAGGTTTAATACCGGATCACGGATCCATTGCGTGACCTGGGCCATGATATAGATCTGGAGACTCGGAAGGCGACCATGTTGGTTCTCTAAAAACGGTCTCTTTGGCGTGTACGACTTGGCTAACGTCCAGAACCAGGAACCCAGGCTTAGGCTAGGGTCGACGATACTTTGCAGGACCTGCGGGCCATTAGTACAATATTGTCCTCCGTTGTCGTTACGGTACATACCACTGGTGAGCTCAAGGTTACAATCATATTGTCTTCGAATTCTCCTCGCCCAGCTTGTGAGACTGCTGCGTCGAGGATCTGAGCGAGGATTTCACCGTGGTTTGCGAAATGGTCATCAGGACTTCCAACCCAACTCTGACATTGCCATTGTGAGTTGGGAATTTTGATTTCCGGATGCGAGAGAACTGACCTGGCAAATCATCATCAGGTAGATGGCAACTACAGTGTGTATTGACTTTGTCTGCTCTGGATCGCTAAGACTTGTCCTCAGAGCCTTCCAACCTTTTACATACTTCCCAATGGCGTCCGGCATACCCTGTCGCGTCCGCAATGCTTTAACCGCGCCGGTTACGGCAGCGATTGCTGCGTCTAGGGCAGCGCTTGATCCAATACGGCTTGGAATAGTCTCGAGAAATGGGCCGTACCACGTCACATCGTACCGAATGTCGGTCACTTGCAGAACTTCTATAAAGTCCTTTGTGATGTCTATTGTGTCATTACTGGGGAACCGCACTACAGCGGGGGTTAGGATGATGGCGCCCTGCTGTTTGCCCGAGTAGCCTTCCTTGAACTTGAATCGCCGTTGGCCAGATCCAACGCAAGGGATCTGAAGACGGTTGCATCTTGAGCATGCGGGCTTGAGTTGGTCGCACTACTCGAGCTTAGCAGGCTTTCGTTCAGATACGGTTTTGTGTGTGTCACCTTCTTCTTTTGCTTGCGACAGGCGTCACAACCACGACTTGATGGTACTCCAGGCATACCGATCTATTCGGCTTTTCGATTCGATTTCTGGGGGCTCAGCGCGCAAGAGGTGAGAAAGTCGCGATTTTTAAGTGATGACCGTGGAGCCAATCCGGAAATAAGGAACAAACGGTGCCGCGCACTTGCTGTGGATTTAAGATTCTTATTTCTTGACTTGTGAATGGGAGCTTGGCCCGTTGCATCATCACGGCCTTAGCGGTAATCCTGCGCCTGCGACTTGCAATAATGTCCCCCTCCAAGCCACGCTGATGGTCGGGGGAAATTTGATCAATCAAGTTGATTGAACCAACATTCTCCTGAGTCCGATCCCTGTTCCTATTCCTCAGTGTGTGAAACCGGCCCACCAAAACTATGTAAATGTACTCTGAGTCTGTATCGAGTTATCGATTTGCGAACGTATCAACATCGAGTCATCACGCTCGCTGCTCGATCGACAACCAATGTTCCACAGCTGAAAAACGCGGAAATCGGCGATTCCGTCCCCAGGACTCTCATTTCCACCCACCACGCCAACAAGACGCGGAATTTCCCCTCTGTTCTTGGCCACCGTTTTGGCCCCCATTTGCAGATGAGGCCAGAATCGCAGATGTCTCACACTCGATGGCTTCTTTGGTCCGAGATAACCCATTCATCGCCTGGTCTGTGTCCCCTCGTTGGGCCTTTGCTGGCGATCGTCATCGCCAAGCAGCGACCTTGCGGACATTTGTGAGCGCGTCTGGCCATCCTCAGGAACTCATTGGAAGAACATCTGGTGAGGCTATTCATTGAAGTAATTGGTCTGCTTCGCCCGTGCATTCAGTAAGCACTGCCTACTTCACAACGCGACCCTTCAACTGGGAGTCTGGCAAGGCTGACTCGTTTCACTTGCAACAATAATGTGCGCGTTTCAGAATAATCTGGGCCAAGGATAGAGTAATCCAAAGCATAAAATCCACCCAGCTACCGAGTTCAGGTGTGACGATTATCAGCGGCCACTAGTCCGAGGGAAACGCCTGGTTTCGGGTCAATGTCCAGATGCGATCCGCTTCCCCGTGGCGCCGCGGACGAACGCATTATTGGCCCAAGTTGTCCTCAAACCACGTTGTCGTGGACAAAGCGACAAGCTGCCGAACAACGTTGTTCCCTCAAGCCACTGAGCTCATTTCGCAGGAACCTTGGAATGGGTACTACTCGGCTGTCCGGGGTAATTCATTTGTTCTCTACGGACTGCGATCTCAACACATTTGGATTTATGCATTGCGTCAGCCAAAACGAGCGAAATGAGGAGACGAAGTCCCAGGATGGCTTCCTCCGTACTGTCTCTTTCCCCATCTCAGCCCCAAGAAGTATGCAGGGGGCCTTAAACTTCCAGGGCTGAGCCTGATCATCCATCGGTCTGTATTTCAACAAGAAGTCGCCACTGCGATCGTCTCCTGTTATCTTTTCTTGACGAGCGGTTCTATATATGGCATGTGGTTGTCAAGCGATGAGATTCTCATGAGCCGTGATCAAGCACCAACCCCTTGCACCAGGATCAGGAATAGAATCTCGCCAGTACCCTCCGCTTCATGTCCCGTTACAATAACGGAACTCGCTCGCACTTGTGCCTCGCTTGTTCTCTGTTTCGCGCTCAGGGCCAAATGAGGTACAAATCCCCACCATGACCCCGCGTACGCGCGCGCTTCATCCGTGTTGACTCTTGACGGCCAGAACTCGCGCAACCATCAAGGCAGATTGGCGTCCTGCCGAATACCCACCCGGGCACCGAACGTGATCGGGCTTGGCTCTTCATCAGCTCGCTGCTCAGTGCTCACAGGTTCACACAAGGAAACGCTTCTTAACCGCTTGCGACGTCGCAATCGATGCTACAGATTTGGCCGGCGCCAAGCGGCTAGCGGACCTGACCTTGGCGTCATCTTCTTGTTGGTTAGAAATCAAGGGTCGAGTTGGCAACATTTGAAGCTGACAAGGGGGCAACTCGATGCGACGCAACAGAGGCAACGGGCAATCTGATTTATAATTGCGCGACTCATACATACATTACTTCAACGCAAACTTATGACCATACAATTACTCGTTGGGAGGCCATTAGGCGCCCAATGAAAGCGAGGATTCCCTGGATTGAAACACCACAGCTTATCGGTCGCTTGAAGTACCAGCCCTCCAGAAGCCTGTCAATTGGTGACAGAGCCTGAGTGCCAACATCAGCTTACTGCATTGCGTGTGACGGGTTAGCCAACGGCTGCAAAAAGCTGACGTTGGAATGTGATCGACTAGATAAGGGCTTATCGCAGTGAAGAGCCGAAAGAAAAAAAATTTGCCTTGAGGCTGGTCCGTCTCGATCGGGCAACCTTGCGATCTGGAGTCGCTGTAGGGAACTTGTTAGTCTGAATATTCGAAGCCATTTGTGTGCTGCCAAAGTGGAACGTACCACGCGCTACCAATTGCGCCACAGCCCCCAAGTTGTTGCAATGGAGCCGAAAAGGCCGTCGTGAAGCGGGGCAGGAGTGTTGAAGATAAAAGATGGAGCAAGAAAAAAATGAGCAAAAAAGAAGGTTGAGGCTGGTCCGTCTCGATCGGGCAACCTTGCGATCTGGAGTCGCTATTTTGGGAATTAGCAACTAAGGTTATTGTTGTGGAGAAATTGGTGTGAACGTACCACGCGCTACCAATTGCGCCACAGCCCCAATGGTTGAAAACTGGTCTCATTCTTAAAGCCTATATTCAAACAGGTTAAACTAAGCCTACATATCCATCGCGACCAGTTTTTAACCACTCCACGACAACTATTATGCAAGGTACGTCTGGTCCAATAATTGCTTCGTGATGCTAAGTTGATTCTTTGAGCATGGAGACTGTCAGCCGTGTGTTGAGTTTGCTCGGCGTAGTCAAGTCAATCATGTCATTTTGAGGGAAACTATATATACTGTCCGCAGGTGTCCGACAAGGGAATACCCAAACGATAGTGGATTTTAATGCCCAGTAGTACCTCCAAACGGGGCCGAGGGTATATGCAGGTTCTATTCGATCAAAGACAGTCAAACTACCAGTAGCTTGATTGAGACCCATAGGCATCCGAGAACCACATGGCCTTAGATAGTCTCGACCGCGTCCCAAAACATCTCAGCGTCCTCAGGTCCTGCATCCTTCACAGCCTGTAACGCCTGCAACAAAACTCGATGCTGCTTCTCGCCTCTTAGCCTCGCCAGGTCCACTGCAGCGACGTCTTTCGCCGTCACCCGCCAAGCAACACCAGGGCCAACCTGCCACGATTTTAGTTCCGCATCGGCCCCAAGTGCCAGAAGAGTACAAAGAGTGGGATACGCCCCAACGTACGCAGCAACGTGGAGAGGCGACCAGCCTCTGGCATCCTGAACGTTGATACCGAGATTGTATTCTGGTCTCGCCAGCTCTTTTACAACATCCGTGTTGCCCATTATCGTCGCGTAATGGATTGGTGTCCAGTTGATAACCCATGCGCGAGCGCTCACGGAGGCGCCATATCGAACTAGTGTGGATATGTCTGATGGACTACCAAAGTTTGTGGCTCGATGGAGAGTGGTCCAATCTCCGGAGGCCTGGTGAGCAAAGTCGCAACCGTCGTATTGATGAAGAAGCTTCAGAAAGGCGACCCAATCTTCTTGATTCTTCGAGAAGCGTGGCCACAGATAGAATGCAACAGTCCAGCCACTTCTGTCAACATGATCTCCATCGACGTTCTCAACCAAGAGACGTCGGAAAACATCGAGCTGGTTGTGCTGCGCCGCTAGCTGGAGAGTATTTCTGGATCATAAGTTAGGTTGGACAATCCTGGATCGAAAACAGATTAGGGAACTTGCGTGCTGCAATGATCGAGATGTGCTTTGACATCTGCTCCTGCCGCGATGAGAAATTGAACGAAGTCAAGATTTCCGCTTTCAATCGCGCACTTGAATCCGTCAACTCCAAATTCACGTTACCCAGACTGTAGACTCACCATCAGAGGAGTCAAGCCGAGAGAAGTGACATCGTCTACGCTGGCTCTGCCGTGCCGGAGCAGCTTCTGAACCCCAACGAGATCCCCCCCTTTGCAGGATCGAATGATATTCGAGTCATCTGGCACTAGTCGTTTAACAGAAAGAGTGACTTTCTCGAGTTGAAGGCCCCAGCTGCCAGATGACAGATGCTGCACACCAAACTTGAACCTAAGTACTCGAGATCCGCGGAACGGCAGTGGCAGAGGTATATCGATAGTGCAAGTTGAGCGAGGCTTGCGTCCTCCAGTGTACATATGGCACTCTCCTCGCCCATTCCACAGAGATGGACGGAGATAATAGTGTGTCGAATGCTCGAGTGAGCGACTCGTCTTTCCCAATGGTGTGACCCCCAGGTTCTCTCTGACATTGTCGACGTTGGTGAGAAGGTCGTCGACACCTTGCTGGACTTCAAGGACCGCCGTATTCAGGTTCAGGCTGATCTGTCTTCAATAAGGCCAGCAGCTGCCCATCGCGCATATTCCAGGTTGCCCTGTACATTTCCAGGATGCGAAGACTCAGACTCAAGCTCTGCTCCGCGGTTTGGAGCCTCTGCGAGACCACGACGACCTTGCTACGATCAAGTAGTGCCCAATGGACCCTGGAGGAGAGGTTGCCCTTTGACTGGAGAGGTCGAATAGCATTTTGTAACTCGACATTGGCGACCCGCGTCTTTGCAAGTGATAGTTCGATCGTCCTCTTGAACTCTGGAGAGAGAGTCCTGTCTTCGGAGCGACCAATGCTATTTTTGATGATGTCTAGCTGCTGGAGCTGAGACTGGATAATGGAAACTTTAATAGCGATTTCCTGGAGTTCTCGTGGCGCGTCGCTTATGGCCCGGAGCAGTGCTAGTGTCGCCTCGGTCACTGTGATAGCTGCCGCGAGCAGTTGCAATATGGAAGCAGTTCCTGAGACAACCTCCATTTTCGGTGTCCATCCTCGACTGTGAAAAGTTGGCAGTTTCAGAGGGCGAGAAGTTCCCCCAGAACTTGGGTGCCCGTCTCAGCCCAGAAGTTTGCCCTCAGCACAGCCTTGTCGCTTCAACCAATCAACCCGACACACGTCGGGGAAACTGCATGACCCAAGTCTCACAGGTCATATCATAATAAATATCACGAGCAACAGGCAAACTTGATCCACCAGGCTGTCATCTAGAAAAGTTCTCATCAACAACGAACAGTATGTGCGTGCACCCTAAGATGTACATGTGCGTGCAGCCTGAGATGTACATATGTGTTGGTTATCCACCCCGTCAATTTATATCGAGGCTAATTAAAGACTACCAGTGCATGTGTGGTACGGGTCCAATGGTCTGGATTCATTCTCCAACATGCTATGTGTGCAACCATCAAACCTGCGAGTAAGTGCTTATTTTCCAGGTTGCTATATCCTCAATTGTTAACCTTTTTGCCCCAGCAACTGCACGCGCGTCAAATAGTGGCATGGGAACTTTATCATATCCACAAACTCCAGTTTATGGGAGAATATAGCAATGCCAGGGCTTGAGGACACTTCAGGGCATCGACGTCAAATGTATCTCACACTGAGATTACAGAACATCGTCGTTTTCATCAGAAATTGATTCAATGCCATCAATTCAATAGGTGCCTCTATTCTTTAGAGAGCTGATTATGTTTTTGCAACAATGCTCGCAGAAAGTCGCCATTTCCACCTGGCAGTAAATGAATCGGGTTTCTCTACCTTCTCGACAAGCTTTGATAGACCCAGGTGAGAACGGCTGTCCTCTACTTCCGAAGAACCCGGGTTCTCGAAAGATAGTGACCGCTGCAGGTGTCTATTACCTACTTGAGCCTGTAGAAGGCTCTAGGTACACGGCCTTTGGGCTGCTACGGAGTACTGATAGTAGGTCGATAGCAAAGAACAACGAAACTGTTATAAGGAGAAACAGCTCTAAATTAGTCCTGTTCTTTTCTCTTTTTTCTCGTTCTTTCAAGTGTCGAGCTACTGTTTATCCCTTGAACTCAACGGACTTATTTGATTGATAGAATGGGTTACGTACTTATCTATGCTTCATGTCGCAGGGTTGAGCGGCGCGATAATTCCACCTAAAGATCCTCCGAGTCAGCAGCCTACATAAACGAAGCACGGCCAGGCTAAACCCAGAAGCGCATCATGACAACCCTTACGGGTAGCTCTTCGAACTTCGATGAAAAAAAAAATGTTAAAAAAAAGATGATGAGGCTGGTCCGTCTCGATCGGGCAACCTTGCGATCTGGAGTCGCTGTTCGGGAATTAGCAACCAAGGTTTTATCAATTGGTGGATCAGTAAGTGGAACGTACCACGCGCTACCAATTGCGCCACAGCCCCATTGGGTGAGAAAAGCAGGAATATTTGCTGCTTATGAGGGGGTTGCGCAAAACTTGTGGGATACATTACCACCACCATAGTCTGTTCTCTTTCAAAACCAGTTTCGCTTCATGGCAAGGTGGACTTGATTTGATTTTTGTTGCTTAGAGTAGATTTGTAGACTGGCGATGATGTCTTGATATTGTTGGTGCCTTTTCAGTCCCTCTATGTACCTAAGCCGCGCCCTGTAGCTTGATATATATATGCCCTCGTGCTCAAAGCTTTGTACTTATGTTATGGCCCTCTACTGATTTTCGCAAGATGAGGAACTCCAGTATAGGCCTCAGTATCACATAGCTAAAGGCAACCGCTGCAGTAGACTGCTTTCACGAGGCCTGCACTGTTCGACAGTTGAGGAGCATCAGATTCACATGTGCAATAACTATGGTAGTTATGCTGGGAATAATGCCCATACTAAATGACCACGTGGAGTAGGAATGCTTCCATGCAGCTCTAATCGAGATTTCAATTATGACACGACCGGAGCCTTCGGTCGCAGTAGAGCTTAGGTATAGTAGTGAGTCTCATACTCAATTACAGCCCACGAGCCAGGAATCAAAGTCGCCCTAGACAGTCAGTACCCGCGATAATAATGGCAGACAGATAGTAACTTACCGCAAACTCATCACCCAAAACCCATTCACCCGCCACCCCATTCTCAGGTACAGGCACAGGTATAGCAGGCTCATCCCTCACAGCACTACTGCATCCATCGACCGGACTCGAATTTCCTGGCGCCGCAACGGCCTCCAAGACGCTCACACTCGTAACAAGACTATCGCGTAGCGCCTCATGGATAGCATCGTTAACATTTCTCCCAGCCTGCAGCGCATTTGCTTGCGCAAGGATACAGTGGAAGATGACGTATGGTTTTACATTTGTTTCAGCGATTTTCAGGCGCGCGAGGTTTGAGGTGAGGAACGCGTCGAGGGGATTGCGGAGGTTGTCGTATGTTTCATTATTGCTGATGTTATTGGCCGTTGGTATGGTTGATCTTGATGACGGTCGGACAGCGTTGTCTCTCGTGATTTGCGTGAGAAGCTCGTCAAAGAGGACTGCGGCGGCTTGCATGGGGATGTCGCGGAAGCTTGACGTCCCAGAGAGACAAAGGGAGACGTAGTCGCAATTGGTTGGTTCAATGGATGAGATTGGAATTTGGGGTGGGGAGGGCAAGAGGATGTGCAAGGATGTTTTCAGAGCGAACTTTCGCGACGGAGTGTAGGTCGGCTTTGTCTTGGCTTGCATGGAGAAGGGGTCGTGGAGAACAAGGATGAAGCGCTGGGTCATGAGGTCGTAGAGTCTGCGTTGAAAGGTCGTTGGTTGGTTGTTTGGAGTTGGATTGGCCTTGGGGTACATTATGTGAGCGGCTTCCCGGTAGAGGTCGGAGAGCTCTGAGCTGAGACGGAGCGTCTCTTCGTAGCTGGGTCCGTCGCGAAAGTTGTTGATGATTCGCGCGATTTGGAGACGGAGGGGGAGAGATCGAAGTAGGGCTACTTGGATGGATGTTTCTGTGAGACCTTGCGGATCACATGGCGGTAGGGTTTCCCGTTCGATTCGGTCATCGTTGAGGTTTCTCGGGGATGCACAGTCGTAGCCATCTGGAGAAATCTGAGGAACCGCGCCGGCATCCATGCTAGTCTGGATAATCAGTTCGAGAACGGTAGCCCACAGGCGTCGACGCATCTCAGCCTGAAAAGGCGACGGCTGAACAAGATGGCCCGGATCCAAGTGTAGACCCATGTGCATAGCAGCGTTTAGTAGGTTCCCAGTGCGGATCCACATATTCTCTGCATCAAGTGTCGTAGCTTGACGAGCAATGAGCAAAAGACACTGCACCTGAATTGCATCAAGGTCGAGCCTCGGCTGCTCAGCTGGCAAGTCGAGCCACTGTTGAGCAACATAAAGCCACTGCGCAACAGCAGGTCGAGACACATGGCCCGGTTCAAAGACGCTGCCAATAGCTAGCATAAGCAGTAACTTGACGATGAACACTTGACTGGCCAACGGACACCCCCAGAATTGATCGTAGCGGCGCAGGAAGGACGGTCGGTGGATTATCCGGTAGACAGACTCGAATGTACGAAGGTACCCTGCTACAAGTATATCGGCAACGGACTTGGAAGGAACAAGGTCCCGGAGGTTTGGCAGAGCGCCCGGGACCGGGGAAATCTGCATCTTGATGGTCCGTGCTAGCCGATGGCATTGCTCATGGAGGATGCGAATCTCAGACGCTTCGTCGGCGTTGAACTGGTAGAGGAGAACGAGTAGATCGCGGAACTGCACTCAGGTGAGCCATATTTATGGCGTTAAGAGGAACAAGCATACCTTCGACTCGCATATATTGGATCGATGACTAAATCCAAAGAACCGGTTCTTGAGAAAGCGGCCATGAATAGCAGGGTCCTGAGGTGTGACCGAACAATCTGGTAATCCAAGAAACTCTTCTAGGACATGCTCAAGCTGCCGAACCCGGTCAGTCAGCGCCTGCACTGAGGGGTCCGGCTCCTGCATGTGCTGCGCTGAAAAATCGCTGCCGGACGAACTCGTGGTGACATCGGTAGAGTTGAAATCAATCGTCTGGACGTAGCGCACAAGAGCCCTGTTGTAGCTTACAGGGACATAGGTGCAAGAGGAGCGCCGCGAGCGCATGCAATTGGAGCATGGCGATTTCCGATCACACCTAAGCGGGTCAGCCTTGTATCAGAGTATGCAGTAAGACGAGCTGCTCACCCAATCTTTCGCCGGCGACATTGCTCGCAAGCGAGGGGTGGGCGCCTCCGATTTCGAGTCGACATCTCCCTGCAGCAGATGTCGTGAGTCAGGCCTCAGTAGAGCTATCTTTCTACCTCTGGTTGTATTTTGAACTGTTCGGGGTGAGATTCGTGCCACCGGGGATAAGGTAGGCTAATCACGACGAATATGTGGGTAACATAACGTTATGCCAGAGACAACCCCGAGTAAACGATCGGAGCGTGCACCATGTGCCACTGGCCATCGAGTTAAAAGCGCGTCAGAAACCACGAGGATGGTGCGTTACCTGGGTGTCCTGTATAGGGAAGGACGGAGCGATTCGAGACCACGAAAACACCGCCTCGGCCTGGTTCGGTCGTCGAATTCCGTAAAGGGAATAATCGCACCAAGACACGGGCAGGTACCCAAGGATATTTATGTACAACGGCCTTGGTGGATGGAGGCGTGATGAAAGGGCGCGGCAGTTGCTCGTATTCAAGCGGTGATTTCCCGATTGGGAATAAGCCGCCGGAGTTACCCTTCGGCCTCGGCCAGTCTTTCCAATATCCCCGACCCTCCATTGCACATTCCACCATCCATGCTCAAGATCAGACACAGACATGATCGAATATAAAGATGGTGGCGCTCCGGAGAGGGACGCTTGGTCTCACAGGGTTCAAGCATACTTTTCCCTTCATCAGCCACTATGGACTCCACCCAGACACTTTCCCTCCCCGTAGAGGGCCTTTCGGATAAACACCCAGAGAAGCAGCAGTCAGAGCAACAACATGAGCCCCGACAGCATGAGCCCGAGCCTGAGCAAAAGCAATATGGCCTTCTCGACTTTCCTGAAGGTGGATGGCGAGCCTGGGGCGTAGCCCTAGGCAATTCCGGCGTTATGCTCTGTACCCTAGGCTACGTCAACTCATGGGGGTATGTATATCCTCTCCCCTCACCAGGCCCAAACTAACAAGGGAAACAGCGTATACCAAGCCTACTACCAAGTCCACCAGCTCCACTCCGAAACCTCCTCCGCAATTGCCTGGATTGGCTCCCTCCAGACGTTCTTCTTGTTCAGCGCCTCACTCGTCGGCGGCCCCCTGTTCGACCGTTACGGTGCAAAGGTCATCTATCCGCCCGCTGTCATCTACACACTCACCATATTCCTCACCAGTATCTGCAAGGAGTACTATCAATTCATGCTGTGCCAGGGTGTCCTCAGCGGCATCTCCTCGGGCCTCGTCATGGCACCCGCCATGTCCGCGACACCTCAGTACTTCAACAAGAAGCGAGGGGCCGCCATGGGCCTCGCCGTCGCCGGATCCTCAATTGGGGGTGTGATCTTTCCCATCGCGCTGAATCGCATGCTCACGAAAACGGACCTGGGCTTCGGCTGGTCTGTTCGGATCGTCGCGTTTCTTGTTCTGGGTCTCCTGCTGATTTCCTGCCCGCCGATCCGCGCGCGCCTACCACCAAGGGAAACGGACTTCTTCCTCCCTCGCGCCTTCAAGGAACCGGGGTACACGACCTTAATGATCGGCGCCTTCTTCACGTTCCTGGGCATGTTCCCACCAATCTTCTACCTCCCGAGCTACGGCATCTCGCAGGGGATGACGCCGACAATGGCCTTCTACCTCAGTGCAATTCTCAACGCCGCCTCGTTCCCAGGCCGAATCGTCCCCGCAATCCTCTCCGACAAATTCGGCAAGCTAAACACCTTCGCGGGCGCGGGTATCACAACGGGGATTCTAACCCTCTGCTGGCAGCGCGTGGAGGGCAGCGGCGGTGTAATCGCCTTCACTGCGTTATTCGGCTTCTTCTCGGGGGCGATAATCTCCGGTGGAACTGTTGCGCTGGCGTCGTGCGCGAGCGATGCGAAGAATATCGGGACGTATATGGGGATGGGGATGGCGGTTGTGTCGATTGCGCCGCTAATCGGGCCGCCGATTTCGGGCGCGCTCGAGGATACGAAACTCGGGTTTCGGGCGGTTTCGGATTTTGCGGGCGTGGTTGGTGTTTTTGGGGGCTTGTTTACGTTGTTTGTTGTTAAGACTGCTGGGGGGAAGAAGGTTTTGTCTTTAGCATGACCCATGACCCGGGACTTGCTAAGGAGATTGGAGGGTCCTAAGGTGTGCGATGGATGCTTGGTACTGCATGGTACTGGCCTAGACCGCGTTACATGGAGTGGTCAAGGAGGTGTGTGAGGTCTGAGACTGGACATCAGGTCGATTTAATATGTATTTCTCCCCTCAAATTTTAATACAAGGCGTCAGGCATTCTTCACTATCCCTGTCTAAGAGCGTATTCTGGCCCGGTCATGAGCTGGAGAGTAGAGGCATATTGCGACCATTAAGAATGGTAAAAAATCGGTATCATGGAAGAGAGCGCCTTGTCCAATTCATCTGGCATCCAGGCAGCGGTTCGAGCATCACCAATTTCGTCTGTGGCGTGTAGGTAGTCGTATGCATCGTTGGAACATTTACAAACCACTCTGGTATTCACAGGCAAAGTGGTTCGTCCCCAGCAAATCGAGCAGTCCTAAAGAGAGTGATCGAATTCCCGCCCCAGAAAACCTTGCTTGATACCCTCAGACCTCCGCATGTCACAAATTAAATTGCCAGCGCCAAAGCTATCCTTGTGTGTGCCACCATTAGCAGCAGGGGTAATAGACCGTCTGTGAGAATCCTGGGAGGTATCAGACGTGTCCATTTTTGACCTATGAAAGTCGATGTGTCCCATGATATGTGGCGGACCGTAGAAATATGCGAGGTACTCTAGCGCGTCATTGACGTCGATGATCGGAGGCTGCAGCGAGCTGCGTATTCGGGCAGCCATGAGAGCCTGCGGTGGACCCGACATATGCTCGACAAGATATGAGAGACGCCTTTCGGGGGTGTTGAAGCGGTGGCCCTCGGTCTCTAGCTTCCACCGCAGATGGTATGCCCAGTTCCCAAATTCAAAGCAGCCCATGTTTCTGAATAGAGGCGGTTCTGGGGCAGACGGAGGTTCGGTTCTCGGAGCAACAGTAGGCACCGCGTGTGCCTCCGTTTTGCTATCGTGTTGGCTTCCAGAGGCGGGGGTCTGTCTGATATCATCACCCCTGGGAGCCGCCCTGGAATCATAACTAGTCCTAGTCGCTTCCCACTTCTCTTCAACCGGAACTTGGAATTGTAGGTCTGTCTGAGCTTTGTATAGTGCCTCGAATAGAGACCACGAATCCGCGAGGTAGCGACGATGGAAGTTCTCACGGTCAATCCACAGCGTTCCACTGGGGGTCTTGACCATGAGCATGAGATTGTCGGAGACCCTCATTCCGAGTGTGGCTTCGGGTCTTGCAGGGGTTCGAATCTGTCCGGCTCTCAAGTTCTTTTGGGGGTAGATCGGCCTGGTACCGGTCTCCATGTTGGATTCTGGATTTCAGTGAAAGATTGAATAAATGGGATGCAAAAGGGTTGAGTGTCATAAGAATGGTAGAGAAGAGCCGTTAGTGAGTTTAAAATGACGTTGAGGGAAAGTCTTTGCGAGTATTAAATTTAAAGTGCTGGTCTGCTGTTCAAAGTTTCCGCTACCATTTTGAATGGGAGTGGGCAGGTCCATCGCACCGGCCATCATAATGTGTTGTGGCCGCTTCCTGGATACCACAGGCCTCAATCGTAGCTCGTAGCTCGAGCATCGCCTGGATCAGTTCGGGGGCATCTCCGACGGATTTTTGATATGTCTTCGCGTTGGATCAGGTTGTTGTCACGAATACTTCCAGCGGTGGCATTCACTCTCCAGCCGAAGGATTAGACCAAACCAGCTCGATTAAAGAGCATACCTAGATTTCTGCATCTGCGTTCCGGAATACCTCTCTGGTTTTGTCTCTGACTCAACCCCCTGCTCTCGTGTCCAAGACTGGCCATAACGCTGATCGGCTTCTCGACAAATTCTCATTGAATGCTTCTCACTGCTGTACGTACATCCGAGGTCAGACGTCCCAGCTGTGGAAAGCAATGCAGCCGTCTACACAACTCAACCAAAAAAAACAAAACAAAAAACACACGCTAAAATACCAATCAAACCACAACCCTTTAGAATGAAAGGAACAAGGAATCACACCCCCGCAACCGCGTCCACAACCTCGCCCGCCGTCTCTATTGCCCCCTCCTGGGCCATCTTGACGGCATAGATACTAACAAGCAACACCTCCACGAAAAACTCCCCAAGCGGCACCAAAACCTGCAATTCGCGATCCTTTCCGCCGATAAACTTCTTCCAAGTCCCCACACTGCTCGGCCCGCGACTCTTCTCGTACGTCGCAACCACATTCTTCGCCTCATCCTTGAGCCACATCTTACTCGACATCGATTCCGTATGCCACTTATACGTCCCCATCCCGGGAATCGTAATCGTGTACTTGTCGCCCAGCGTCGATTCCTTCAGCAGACATACTGTCCCCCGGACAGTAAGGTCGTACTTCGAACTGAACGTGTGAGACCCCACCTCGCCAACCAGCGCCTGCGGATTATTCGGGTCGGCGCCCCGCGCGAGCACATAGTCTGCCTTGCTGGACTTGGGCGAGGAGGTCAGGCTGTAGAGCGGGGGCGCGGTTGTCGGTTGGCCCACGGGGTGGACGAGGATGATTTTGTGTGTTTGCGGGGATTGTCGGAGGAGGAGTGTTTGCGGACCGTTTGGCATCCTGGGCGGTTGCGGACTGGGGCCGCGGTTGTCGTAGCTGGGACGAGGCGAGTGACCGGGCGATGGCACAGGCGATGGACCGTGTCCGTAGTGTGTCTTTTCAGGCGGATACCCGTGGCTGAGGCCATGGCTATGGCTATGACCGTGACCGTACCCGTTGCCTACCTGGAGAGAAGGAGGAGGTCCCGGGTAGGGGTTGTTGTACCCGTTTGGTTGTGGTGGTGGTGGTCCGGAGTACCCGTAGCCTGGACCTTGGGGCGGATATGGGCCGGCAGGTGGTGGATAGCCGTAGTTGTAGCCGTTGGAGGGGGGAGGTGGACCTTGTTGATGAGGGCCAGGAGGGTAATAGCTGTAGTTTGGGGGTCTGGAAGAGGAGTTGAACATGGCGCTTAGTGGTTACCAAGGACCTGTATAGATCCAAGGAAGAGAAAAAGGATCAAGTAATATAGAAAAAAGTAAGATAGACCGATCGAACCCTGAAGGATCAAACCCCCAAGAAAAAGCGAGGAAAGCCAACATCTTATATACCCAACCCGCCCCCAAAGCCTCAAAACCCAGACCAGCAAAAACCAAGCATATCGGTGGCCGGCGGCCCATAGAACCCTCGACTCCTCATCACCGTCAGCACCATAAATAAAACTAAAATTATTGTTGAAAGCCCAGAGCTGTACCCTGGTCCCCACATCCTGAGCCATCAAAACGACCAGTGACGCCAAATAGCGCTCTATCGGACCGAAAGCGGCTTAGCGTCTTCGCGACGTCAGTCTTGGCCGAATTTCTTCCCCGATGCAGCGGGCAAGGCTGAGTCGAAGCGTGCGGGAGAAAGTGGCTTGGCTGCGAGAATGATGTGGTGTGATTGGGTGGCGCGGCGCGTTTGGGCGGTCTTGCCATTTGGTGGCGTGCTAAGAGGGGCCTAGCGGAGAAGTAGCTGAGAGCTGAAGTGTTGAATACGGGTAAAATGGAGTAGATACGGAGTAGTTAGGGGAAAGATGGGGATGGGGTGACATTGCGATTAGGGATCGATTTGTAATAGGGGATGTTGGTGGTTGTAAGCAATTTTTTTTTCTGTATTTTTGGTAGTTTGGACGGGAATCGTACAAGCAATGTAGCAAGAAAAGAAAATTCTCAAAGCAAAAGCTGCGACTGAAGAGTCCTAACGGCCGCTAGTCGCACTGGACTCGAAAAACGAAAAAAAAAGTGTAAAGGGACGGTTGAAACAAGGGTAACGGGTGCCACTTCAGAAGCGAAATAAGGGAAAGGCTTCGCCAGCTGAAGCTATCTAGCTAAGCTCCTCGAAGTATCAAATGTTTTCTAATCAAAGTCTCCGCCTTGCGCCTGCGTCGCTTGTAACCCGTGGCGCCATACTGAAAGCAGTGGTGTACGATCCAATAATCTCGCGGCGTTCTGTTCTTCATGTACCGATCTCAAAACACCCCAGCTTCAGCCCCCAGCACCATCACTAATCAGAAACCGCTCTCTCAGTTTTCACACGAAGTCGGTTTTAGCGAAGGTCTGCCTTCCAACAGCTTCTTCATCTTTGCCTCCCATTTGATCGCACGGAGCTCACGTAATAACTGCATGACCTCAGCGGACCTCGCCGGACCAAAAGCCTCCAGCAGGAGAACGTTGTTCCGTTCTTTGGCGAGGTCGGCCTTGACTTGCCTTCTCTCGGCCTGTTCTTTGAGGAGCTTGCGTTCAAGTCGCTTCTTCTCGTGTCGTTCCTTGGCGAGTTCGCGCTCAAGCTCTTCGGTTTTGCGTTTCCTGTGGGATTGTTCCATGGCGACTTCGCGTTGGACCTCTTCGATTTTCCTCCGCTGCTTCCACTGCGTTCGGTGGAGCTGGTTGAAGAGCTCCCTGCAATTCTGGCGGTAGTAGATGTGACATGTTTTGCGAGTGGCCCGATGGGTTTCGCCATTGGGGGCTGTGAGGATGACGGAGGGTACTCTCATGGGTTTCGTGTCGTTCTGGATCTTGAGCTGCCCTTCGTTCTGGGCCTGGGGCTTTTCCTCAGTTCGGGTAGTGGACGACTGGTGAGACATGGTGACAGTAGCGTAGAAGATGCGTTCGGTGTTTGAAACTGGGTTTGCCGTCTGCTAGGAGGTATAGAGTGATGAAATTTGCTGTGTGGGTTATCGCAGGAGACTCTGGAGGATAGGTGGTGAGATGGGTGAAGGGTGATCCGAGGAGAACGAGCTAACAGGTAAGAGTGACTCACGTCGAAACCTTACTGTTGGAAGCAGATTCCGATGAAGTCATCCAAACTTTAACCAGTGAGTCGTGGCCATCTAGGAAAGCTTCTGAGTTTCCTGGCGTTTGAAAGCGAGATGCTTCTTCCGCCATGATGCACACATATTCGCATCTTCAACCCAGAGGTTACCTGTAGCTGACAGAAACGTCCGAGGGAAATGCTGCACACTCGAAGATCACGGCAGCAAATGATCCATCCGAAGAGAGCGAATGGTACAGACGTCCCCAAATGCTGCCTGAGTAGATGCGTGAGAGGAGAGATCTCAGATTCTTACACGCTTCGCGGCCGCCATTCCATGCATTGTCTGGCAAACTGATCCCGAATCAAGACTCCTTTGTTCCCTCATCTGCGGACTCTATTCTAATTCCATCAAGATTATGCCTGACTGGTAACGATTCTTCGTCGGCCAATGCCTGCCGAGTAAACAGAGACTCGAAGCGGCGTTCAATCCTATCTTCGAGCTAAAGGGATTAGTTAGTGAATGTGGTCAAAGGCGGAGATGAGGGTAGATTACCTGCGAATCGCGCTTGAATATCATCCATACTGTCATTGTCAGGACGATTGTGCCACCTGCTAGCGGAATATAGAGCCACCATGGTGGGTTGGATTCGAGTATGTCGACGTTCATTCCGAACAGGCTCTGGAGGTGTGTTAGCAGGGGTTCGATCGAGAAGGAAAGGAGAACTTACGGAAATAAACATAAGGGGCAGAAATATGAACTGGGTTGGATCAGATCAAGTCAGTCTTGTACGCATTGGTGCAGCTTACTGTGATCCAGCTCAGACGTTTCAGACTTCGATTCGCAGATGTCGACTTTTGTGCTTCGGCGATTGAAGTCAAGTTGAACTCCTACCAGAGATTAGCGCGTACGAGACGATCATAATGAGATAATCACCAATTGTATAAGCTCCTGTGATATCTTCGTCAACCGAGCAATTCGCTCTCTAACTCTTGTCTCGGCATTCTCTATCTCGCTGGTCAAATTCTCGCGCTTCCACGATAACCACGAAACCGCTCCTTCCTGCAGAACAGGCCACCGATCATAACTATCAGTTAACGATCGTAGATACCTCATCTGCGCTAGATGTGTTTCGTTAAACCTGGTCCACATTTCCGCGTCGCTCAGGTGTATCTTGACAAGATTGTTGTTTCTCCCATTCGAATGGAATGTCATTGTGCGCTACAACGATCAGCGACAGACCAGGCTGAGACCCAGGGTGCATACCATATGCGAGAGATGGCGTTCGCCCGCACCGCAAATGCTATTCCACTCAGTCTCCAGTTGCCGAATGCATGGCAGAAAAAGCTTGACTGGTGAATCTGGAATCTCCGCATGCTCAAATGTTGTGAAGAATACTTTGGATTTGAGAACGTGCTGGGAGTGCGGATATTGCTGATTGGGCTTGGCCATGATCCATATCATCGCATGGCGTATTGGCTGGGCTGCGAGTGGTGAGAGACGAGTGGATGGAGGAAGGACCCTGTACGCTGGGAGAAGCACGCGGCACTCTAGGAAGCCTGCTATCTGTTAGCTTGGAAAATAAACATATGAGCGAGCCATTACAATCTTCCGGCGGCGGCTGGCGTAATGCGACGGCTGCTGGAATCTTGCTCATTTGTATCTTCCATGACCAGCCTTCGAAGATGCTATGAAGGCCGCTCCCGGACTTTTCCATCATCTTCCTCCACCATCGCCAATATACGCCGTCGGGAGAGGTTGATGTTTTGAGAAGGCTGTCGTCTTCAAGGAGACTGAATAATGTTAGAGGCACCTTGCATCTTCGAAGAAATTGAGCTCACATTATCATTTTCTCAGCGCCGACTGTTGCAATACATTCGCCTCCCTTGTCAGCTCGAATCTTGGTCCTGAAGAAGTCCAAAGGGTACGATTTTGTCTCGAGATAGGCAAGGAGCTCCTTTGCACTCATAACCTCGGCGGACTGGAGTCCTGACTCAAATCTCGAGAGAATGATGTTGCGACGCCCACCCTCCGGCAAACATGCTCTCCATTCTGAAGCCTTCACTAACCCACCTGTCGTATGCGGAAATAGTAGTTTCATCATATTGAAGTTTCTCATTTTGGCTGCCCGTTGAAAGGGTGTCGCCGTGGTATAGTCCTCAATCGAAGTCCGAGCTCCCCTGGCCAGAAGCCACTCGGCGACACGTACCGCGCCATTTTCAACAGCACGGTGCAGTGCTGTGCATCCGTCAATATCGCCAATGTTTATGTCTATCTGGACGGAGGAGCCGGACAATAATTGAACTGTGTGTATATCGTCGGTCATGGCTGCAAGATGAATTGGCGTTTGTCCGAATGCATCCACTTCTGCCATATGGGCTGCGGCGCCGAAGTCAATGAGCATTTTGAGAACATCGAGATCTTGAGCTGTTACGGCAAGGTGAACCAACGACGACCCATTTGAATTCGCAGGTTGATCGAGTCTGGCGCCCCTCTCAAGAAGTAGCTTAACCGCATCCCTTCTTTTCATGTATATTGCCGCCTGTAGCGCGCTCCCGTGCTCACCACCCTGAGCGTTGAGATCAGCCCCTTTGCTGATAAGTAGGCTCATCAATCTAGGGCTTCCTCGACAAACTGCCGCCTGAAGAGCATTACCATATTGTCCGCCTTGAATATTCACGCTAGCCCCATGCTTCAGCAGTAACTCCACAATCTGCGTATTCCCCTGATATGTAGCAGCTTGCAGAGCGGTTCCAAATTTCCCGCCCTGAAGGTTGACGTCGGAACCGTGGTCCAGAAGTAGGGTGATTATGGGGAGACTGCCCTTGTAAGCAGCGGCCTGCAAAGGCGTACCGAATTCTCCACCCTGAGCATTGACTCGAGCATCAGAGGCCAGTAAGAGTTGGACAAGCTCTAGACTTTTCCCGTAGACTGCAGCTTGCAGTGCATTGCCTAGAAAGCCGGACTGCAAATTGACATCGGCACCATTTGCAAGTAACAACTTGACAATAGATCGACGGTCGGTGTATGCGGCAGCTTGCAGAGCGGACCCATGCACGCCACCTTGAATATTAACATCGGCTTCGCGAGATAACAGTAAGCTGACCACCTCTTCCCTCCCCTCATAAGCTGCCGCTTGGAGCGCGGTGCCAAATCTGGTGTTGCTCTGGACGTTGACATTGGCGTTGTTATCAAGAAGGAGCCTGGCGATATCGGCATTGCCATTGTAAGCGGCAACCTGAAGTGCGCTCCCGAGGATTCCTTCGTGAGCGTTAACATCGGCTCCATGAGCAAGGAGTAGCTTGACTATCTCGTAATTGTGTGTTGAAGCGGCAACTTGTAAAGGGGTCCCGTATTCCCCACCTTGAACATTCACGTCCGCATCCTTGCTGAGCAGTAACTGTAGGTTATTGAGGGTTCCTGATCTTGCGGCATTGTAAAGGGACATGTCGCGTCCAATTCATGACTCTGGGAGCACCAGATCGCTTATCAGCCAGAAATCATGGGCTTTTTTTTTGTTGGTTTGGACCATGCGGCCAGAAACGGATGGACCTTGAGATACGAGATGCGCCGCTGACTTAATTAAGCGCCGAAGACTCACAGCCACGAACGTTCGGCACGAGGACTGGAGCTTAGTGCCTTTCAGGGGAGGTAAACTAGTGTAGGCGCTCGAGGCCCTCGGGATTTGATTCATCTTCAATCAAATGTGTCTTTGTCTGTGGTGACTCGGCGACAATTGTCGCAGTACCCCGTTGACAGTATTGGGGGGTTGGCAGATAAATGGCACAGAGTCGAGTCGCCTTGTATGTACTGCTGAACTTGCAAGTATGCGACATTGATGAGATCGAGAAATAATGAACAATTGAAATCGTTGGACTGGTCTCTCTGCGAGCTTTGAAAAGCATTGAGAAAGCTCTAGAATTGTGTTGGTGTAAGGCTGACCGGTGGGTGGCGATAAGCGCCCAACAGGCAAAAAGTGCGTGTGCTTAGCCCACTCAATGTCATCACAAACCGAACTCCGACTCTTTCATTCTCACTCATCACCGCCTCTCCTCGACAACCATCACCGTCTTGCGGCATGGGGTCCGTGGTGCTCACTTTGTCTCCGGAACAGGAATACTCACTTCTAATAGATTAAGACGTTCCCGCGGAGCGCTGATTCCCGACTGAGTCGACACGATGTTCCAGTCTTTCACAGGCAGCTCCCGCCGCCCTCGCCAGGTCAACCTTTCAGGCCGCAACAATAACCCTTTCGCCGCGTATCCCTCCGGTCGACAAAATCCGCATGGCTCCGGTGCCCAGAATGCCCTTGCTATTGCACAGCAGGAGCGTTTGGCGAGACAACAAGAACGAGACCGGTTAGGCGCGAGTCGGACGATACAGCGGACATGGAGGGGCTATCAGAGCAGGAAGATAACGCGTGGGATATGGCGGGCGGAATGGGATTCAATGGAAAGCCGGCGGACACATTCCCTGCCTGAATTTGAGAGTCTTGCTCAGCAACAGGCGGGTATCTTGCAGCCTGCTGCTCCGTTTGAAACGGCCGCAGCGTGCCTGTCTCAGCTACGCCTCTTGGTGCAGTTTATTGAGCCATGGAACTCCGGGGATGTTGTGCGCTTGGTATACTTCTCGGATGCCTTCCATAAAACATTACACGAGGTGCCTACCTTGGCGACGGAAGGAGAATGGACGATGTTGCTGCAGCGGCTGGCGAATCTTGCCTTACGTGTCTTACACTCGGCGACTTCTCCTACCGTGCCGGCATTTGCTGTTGGCTATCTTCTTCGGCTATTGGTGTTCCTCGCGGGCCTTATCCCAAGACAAATGGCTCGCCTTTCCCGTGAATACTATGCTACTATGGCGACTCTCACGAGGAATATTGATTCAATATCGGAGCGCTCTTCATTGTCTAAACCTGATTTGGTTCAGTGTGTACTCGCTTTACTTCTGCCCATCACTTCTGAGACCCTCACTGCCTACGAGTGGTTCGCTCGGAGCTACCTTACCCTGCCTGATCTCTTGGAGACTCTAGGATCTCTTGATTTGTTGGCGAACAGCATCAATTACAAGTTATTAACGTCTGCTCTTGCGCCATTGTACGCAAAACTTGGTGACCACATACAAGGCTTGGAGGATGTCGATTCGCGGCTTTGGCTACTTGCTTATTTCATATTTTTCCACCGTTATGCCTTGGGCGCTCACGCGGCGCAACGCTCTCCAGACCTCGATTTTGTCAAGGTGGTTTCGGGATTGCTCAACTCAACGGCGGTCCAGATTTACCGACGGGTAGAGTCTGAAGAGTCGGCTGATCTGGACGATGATCAGAGGAAATCCCCCTTGCATCCGTTCGTCAAAGACCAATTGTTCAGTTTGCTCAATCAGAGTAGTATCACGGGCCTTCTCTCACAGCTTCAGCCTGCCCAGACATCGCAAGGTAAATTCGCGGACTCCGGCTTCGATGCTTCCAATCAAGCAAAGGTACTTGCAGGCTATGCCTTGACACTTCTCAGGGTCTTTCCTCGACGGGGCGATGATATCCGTATGTGGCTGTACCTGGGTTCTGCTACCTTATCTGAGCAACCGGGAGAACTGGGATCGAGGATTCCGGCAATCAAATATTTCTGGCATGCATCTCGCTCCAGCAAGGTGTTTTCTGCGATTAGCCGAGACTCGACGAAGGTCTTGTCTTTGTTGAAGCCAATCAATGAATCCAACTCTGGCCCAGTTGGCTTATCCCAGACGGATCGAGACCAAGAATGGACGATCATTCTCCTCTTCCTCGAGCTGTATACTTTTGTTCTCAAAGTCATGGACGATGATGAATTCTTTTCTAGTGGCTCATCCTTTACCACCTCATCAAACGGGCGAATGTCGTGGACTAGAGAAAGCGCACTGCCTCTTAGCGACATCAAAGATATGACAGTCTTTTTGAAGAATCTTGCGTTCACTCTATACTGGAATTCCGCAGATCTGAGCGAAAACGAGACTGTCCAGGACAGCGGTGGAATTCGAAGTTATTTCAACTCGACAACTCCGCATTTGGAGTCCATAACAAGTGTGAGAGACATTGAGAACAAAAACAAGGAGAAAGGACTGCCTGGTGTGACAGGAATTCCACTTGACTACTTCAAGGGCCTTGTTACCGGGCTTCTGAGAATGGTCCACGAGCGTGACTCGCGGCGCAAGTTCCTTCCAGATGGCCATTGGTTGATGACTAGTCGATTTGACATGGAAGGATTCATTCCTGCTGTCGTTGCCGAAGAGGAGAGCAGGCATCAGCTTCAGGACGAGGACGAAGAGGGCGTGGACGACCTAATGAGCGACGAATCTTACGAACCTACAGGCCTGGTTGGAGCTGGGCGTGCGCAACGGACGCTGCAAATCGAAGCACTTAGACGACGCCAGCAACAGGCTCAACGCCGAAAACAGTTGGAGGCTGTGGCACCGAGACTCGAGATTCTAAGGAACATGCCATTCTTCATCCCGTTTCCCACTCGGGTACAGATCTTCCGCGAGTTTATCTATCGTGACCAGCTGCGCAGACGGCACGGATATATTGACCCAGATTCATGGCGAATGTCGGTGGCACAGGCGTCCATGGGCCGGATGATTGACGGACGTTCAAATGCGATGCAAGACATTCTAAGCCGACATCACGCCAACATTCGCCGGGAAAGTATCTTCGAGGATGCATTTGACCAGTTCTACGAGCTCGGCGAAGCCCTGAAGGAGCCTATCCAGATTACTTTCATCGATAAGTTTAACAACGCGGAAGCGGGAATTGACGGTGGCGGTGTTACCAAGGAATTCCTCACCAGTGTCACCAACGAAGCTTTCAAATCCACGGTCGGCCTCCGCTTGTTCGAGGAGAATGACCAACATCTGCTATATCCTAGTCCAGTCTCAGTAGAACAGCGAAAGGAATATCTAAGACAACAAGGGCACAGGGAAAACACACCCGAATGGAACGAACAGGTCCGAGATCTACTAAAACGATACGAGTTCTTGGGCCGAGTGATTGGAAAGTGCTTATACGAGGGGATTCTGGTCGACGTCGGGTTTGCACCGTTCTTCCTCCTGAAATGGGCGTTGACGGGAGGCATGAGCTCTGCGCAACGGGAGTCAGCATACCGAGCTAATCTTAATGATCTCAAGGATCTGGATTCAGGGCTTTATCAAGGCTTGGTAAGTTGAACCTAAGCAATACCTGACTGTCGCTCCTACTAACTCCGGTCTCAGCTGCAATTGAAGAATTATCCCGACGACGTGGAAGACTTTGCGCTGAATTTCACCGTCACCGACACGATCCCACTACCAGACGGCAGAAGCCGGACAGTCACCAGGGATCTGAAGAGCAATGGCTCCGATACGGCGGTCACAAACCAGAATCGTCTAGTCTATATTTCCTATATCGCTCGCTATCGCCTGCAGGTACAGCCCGCTTTGCAGACCAACGCATTCCTGCAAGGCTTGGGACAAATCATCCAACCGTCCTGGCTGTCGATGTTCAACCAAGCTGAGATGCAGACCTTGGTCAGTGGTGAGTCAGGTGACATTGATGTGGCGGATCTAAGGCGAAACACATTGTACGGCGGAGTGTACACAATCGGTGACGACAAAGAAGAGCACCCGACCATCCAATTATTCTGGCAGGTGCTGGAAGAGATGACAAACGAAGAGCGCCGCAAGGTACTTCGATTTGTGACCTCGACACCACGAGCCCCGCTACTCGGTTTCAGCCATCTCAATCCACGATTCAGCATCCGTGACTCGAGTGACGACCAGACGCGGCTTCCAAGTACAAGCACTTGTGTCAACCTACTCAAGCTTCCACGGTACGAGAGTGCGCGCGTGTTGCGGGAGAAGCTGTTGTATGCAGTCAGTTCGGGAGCCGGGTTTGACCTTAGCTAGCGGGTCAAAGTAGAGGTAATGAAGCTGGGTAATGTGCATAGTGTAATGTGCATAGTGCTCGACTAGGACATACGGATCACATGATACCCGACGAGTGTTGTTACGACTGCATACTACTAGATAGGCGTCTGAATTAAACTACTATTTCTGTTGTTCTTTGAAGCTCAACTTCTTTCGGCGTCTCAGGGCGGCCTTTCAAAGTTTCGGCATCCATTCGACCAGGACTTTGTCTCGTGGAGCAGGAGCTGTCAGTGGCCGTCCCATCGCCACTGCCGAAACCTTGAAGAGTCACGAGGCAGGGCCGATAAGCAATCCACGCTTGAGGCAGCGTCGGTTTCCGCTGAAAGAGTCTTTGGAACCCTTAGAGCAGCCAGGCGCTAGCCGCAAAAAGTCTAGCGCCACCCATGAACCAGAAAAATGTAAGAAAAAAATCCAACCAAAAAATCAATTTTTTTTTGCCTTGTCGGACCGTCCTGAGTTTTTTTTGTGGTGTCTTCTCTTCTTTGATCTTCATTCTTCCTCCTCCCCTCAAAGACTCTCTTCCCTTTCATTCTTCTCCTCCATCCTCCCTTTTTTTCGACTTCTATCGGAAAAAAAATCTCAAAAAAAACCGGAAAACCCAAAAAAAGATAAATATCTCACGTCCCTCCTCGGATCCTCTTATCTGAGTTTCTATCTTGTGTCAACTGTGCGGTGTGTGCGTCTGTGTGGTCTAATCCCTTTCCGCCGCCGCTTTTGCCTCGTCTTTTTGTGATCGCGTCTCTCGCATCGCCAATTCTAAAACCAATACCTTTCCTTGCCGTCGTCACCTCTCGAGTGTTAATCTAATCCGTACGTCTATCGCCCTGTGCTCGTTGTGTTGCTTCGCTTGGTCCCTGCCCGCTTTGCGACCGCCCCTCTTCCCGCTTCTGTGTTGTGGGATTTTCGAGAGAAAACACTTAGCTTGTCTGCTCACAGCACACGCTGTGCACATTTGATTCTTCAGAGACAGGTTCTCAGACGTCTGTTCTCATCTTTGGACCTCGTAGCTTTGGTCTGGCATCAAAGCTTTCGGACATTGATCAATCGAGTGTCGGCGTGTTTTCTCGCCTAGCACTTTCACCACTCTCATTTCTGCCTCACAAAACACGATTTGAAAGCCTTCACCGAGCTAACTTCTGCTCTCGTCTGATATAGCATCCTCTCAAAATGTCCGCTGAAGCTTCTACTACCCCCGCCCCCGCCGAAAACCCGGCCAACGGCACCCCCGACAATGCCACTGCCCCCGAGGTCACCTCTGTTGAGGCCCCTGCTGCCACTTCTCAGCCTCACTCGGCATCTCTCTACGTCGGTGAACTTGACCCCTCTGTGACCGAGGCCATGCTCTACGAGCTCTTCTCCTCCATCGGACAGGTCGCTTCCATCCGTGTCTGCCGTGACGCCGTTACCAGACGCTCCCTCGGATACGCCTACGTCAACTACAATGATACCACCCACGGTGAACGCGCTCTTGATGAGCTCAACTACACCCTGATCAAGGGCAAGCCCTGCCGTATCATGTGGTCCCAGCGTGACCCCGCTCTGCGCAAGACTGGCCAGGGCAACGTCTTCATTAAGAACCTGGACAACGCCATCGACAACAAGGCTCTCCACGACACCTTTGCCGCCTTCGGCAACATTCTCAGCTGCAAGGTCGCTCAGGATGAGTTCGGTAACTCCAAGGGATACGGTTTCGTTCACTACGAGACTGCCGAGGCCGCCAACAACGCTATCAAGCACGTGAACGGCATGTTGCTCAACGACAAGAAGGTTTTCGTCGGCCACCACATCTCCAAGAAGGACCGCCAGAGCAAGTTCGAGGAGATGAAGGCCAACTTCACCAACATCTACATCAAGAACATCGACCCTGAAGTCACCGACGATGAGTTCCGCACCCTGTTCGAGAAGTACGGTGAGATCACCTCCGCCACTTTGAGCCGTGACAACGAGGGCAAGAGCCGTGGTTTCGGTTTTGTCAACTACTCCACCCACGAGAGCGCGCAGGCCGCCGTCGAGGAGATGAACGACAAGGAAGTCCGTAGCCAGAAGCTGTATGTCGGCCGTGCCCAGAAGAAGCACGAGCGCGAGGAGGAGCTCCGCAAGCAGTACGAAGCTGCTCGCATGGAGAAGGCCTCCAAGTACCAGGGTGTCAACCTCTACGTCAAGAACCTCACTGACGATGTTGACGACGAGAAGCTCCGAGAGCTCTTCGGACCTTACGGCACCATCACTTCCGCCAAGGTCATGCGCGACACAGTCCCCGCCGAGCCCACCTCCTCTCCTGAGTCGGAGGCCCAGGAGTCCAACAAGGAGAATGAGAAGGCTACCGAGGAGAAGGAGGAGCCCGCCGCCGAGGAGACCGAGGGTGAGAAGAAGAACGAGAAGAAGCCTTTCGGAAAGAGCAAGGGCTTCGGTTTCGTCTGCTTCAGCAGCCCCGACGAGGCCTCCAAGGCTGTTACCGAGATGAACCAGAGAATGGTTAACGGCAAGCCCCTCTACGTCGCTCTTGCCCAGCGCAAGGATGTCCGCAGAAGCCAGCTCGAGGCTAGCATCCAGGCCCGTAACAACATTAGACAGCAACAGGCCGCTGCCGCTGCTGGTATGCCCCAGACATACATGCAGCCCGCCGTCTTCTACCCTCCCGGCCAGCAGGGCTTCATTCCCGGTGGTCAGCGTGGCGGTATTGCCTTCCCTCCTCAGCCTGGTATGATGATGGGCATCCCTGGTGGACGCCCTGGCCAGTACCCCGGTCCTTTCCCTGGCCAGCAGGGCGGACGTGGCGTCGGCCCCAACCAGCAGATTCCTCCCAACTTCCAAGGCCTTCCCATGGGCGCTATGCAGGGCCCTGGTGGCATTCCTAACGGCATGGGCTACCCTCAGATGCAGGTGCCCGGATTCGGTGGCCGTGGCCGCGGTCAAGTTCCCGGCATGGGCGGTCCTATCCGTGGCCCCGGCTACGGTCAGGGACGTGGTGGCGCTCCCATCCAGGGTCAGATCCGCCCCGGCCAAGGTGGTCGTGGACAGAACCCCGGTCAGCCCGGCCCCACCGAGGGTGCCAGCGGCATCACTGCTCAGGCTCTCTCCTCCGCCCCTCCTCAACAGCAGAAGCAGATGCTCGGTGAGGCTCTTTACCCCAAGATCCAGGCCCAGCAGCCTGAGCTGGCTGGTAAGATCACTGGTATGCTTTTGGAGATGGACAACACTGAACTGCTTGGCCTGTAAGTTTTCGCATTTATCCACTCAACATTCAAACATCAAACTAACGAATCTCAGTCTCGAGGATGACGATGCTTTGCGCGCCAAGGTCGACGAGGCCCTCAGCGTTTATGACGAGTACATGAAGAACAAAGGCGACGAGCCGGCTGCCGAGAAGCCCAAGGAGGCTGCTAAGGAGGCTCCTGCCGAGGAGAACAAGGCGTAAATGGCATACACGCAATAAATGCTGTACCGCGGATTTGCGTCCATTCTCCCTTTTTTTGCAGGCCGCCATGTCGGTTTTTCGTGACCCACGTTCTATTTTTGATGACATGACCTACCCATTGAATTAACGATTCATCTCTTTCTATCCGCATCCCCCCATATCCTTCATAATCCGCCGACCCTTCTCTTTTTCCTTTTTTCTATTTTCAGGTTTTTTTTTTTTCCCTCCTGGTCCTGATATCCCTGGGTTCCCGAAGTCCTTAAACAGGACGGGAGAAAAGTTATTCGGATTCCATGGTCTTTTCTTTTCTGTGACGAGAGGGAGGAAGTTGTGATGTCTTTTAGCTTCTTACCTGCTCGTTACTATCGAGATGACACGAGTGTAATATAGACTTATGACTTCCTCACGGATTCCAGTATTCCACGTATATTAGTAGGCTCAGTAGTGTTGCTGACATTCGCCTATATAGCGTAGATTATACACACATCGATTCCAACCATTGACTAAAAGGTCGGATACTGCTGTCCAAATAAATCCATCAAACTATCGAAGTTCCCCTCTTGCAGTAAATCCACCATGTTCATATCCAAAGCGAGTGTCTGATCCCAGTTCAAATCCTGCTGAGACCCGAATGCGGCCTCACTCTCAGTCCCATTCACCCCAAGACCGCGATTATCTTCGCAAGACCCCTCTACGGATATCATTTGAGTCGGCGGCTCACTCACATGACCGAACCCTGACCCAGATGGACCGGCTGGATGCGGGTAGGAAGACGATAAAGAGGCATCTAGTCTTCGCTTCTTGCGGGCATTCGATGGCGACGAGTTAGTTCTGTTCCGGGATAATAGAGACACAGTTGAGGAATTCGTGAGACTCGGATCTGGATCCGTTCGTGATGCGGATGGAGGAGCGGTGTCTGCTTTTGCTGTGCCTGTGTCTGTGCTCATACCGGCGATCGGTCCTGATCTAGGACCGGAAGTAGACGCGGTGAAGGGGCCGGAGGTCGTAGTATCGGGTTTCGAAACGGCGCGCAGGAGCAACGAGAGAGCGCGATGGCAGTGTTTCGCCGGTTCCCACTGCGTCGACATAATCCGGAGGAAGTCGAGGCAGGATAAGATTTCCCTGTGGTTGTTAGTCCCCACATGGGCCATGAAGAAAACGATAAACACGAAGAAAAGAAAGATGAGCGAAGACATACTGACAACCCTTGGCCCGACTATACTGTCCCAGCTGACACGCAAACGCAAGGACCAGCCCCGCCATCCAAGCGGCGGACAGGAACCCCGGCCAGAAGAGGGCTTGGTGGGAGTCTCGCTGCGCTTTCAGTGCGAGGAGGATGTGACGGGCAGCTGAGATGCAGGATTGTAGCGCGGAGGCGAATTCGGGGGTTGAGTTTGGGAGGGAGAGGGAGGGGCGGTTGAGTAGTAAGAGGAGGTGTTGGTAGAGGATTGTGAAGAAGGGAGTGTAGTTGAAGGGGGTTGAGTCTATTGATGTTACGGAGGTCGGGCTTTGATGTGAGGATGATGATGATGATGATGATGGTAAGTGTTGCGAGGGAGGAGAAGGAGGGAGGTCGAGGCTATTCCACCATTTGTGAACTGAGGTCGTCAGGACGAGGACCGAAGTCTGCGAGATGGAGCGGACGAAGATGGATTTGTGGAAGAGCTCAAGGGCTTCGCCGGTTAGTTTGCCCGATTGGACGTAGCTGGCAAAGGGGGTTTCCTTTTTGCTTTGCTCGGATTCCGCTTCGGATGGCTGTGGCGTTGAAGCGTTCGGAAGAGGGAGATGTTGGAGCGGTTTGTGGATTTCTGGACTCCCTGGCGGGCAGACGTCGATGTCTGAATCTTGGACGCCGAGAGGAAGGCCGAGTGCCTGGCTGAGGTATCGGTCTAGCGCGTAGGCAGACCAGAAGATGCGCTTGCGGAGGTGTCGGTGTTGCGAAGAGGCAGAGAGTTCGCGGTACCGGAATGGGCAACGGTGCAGGCCAGCATGAAGCATTGATCGGAGCATGCAGCCACCGACGGTCGACGCGGTACGCAGGGACATGGTTGCTACCAAGTAAAGTTGAGAGGCGAGCAGCGCCTGTAGTGAGAGGAGATCATGGCGCGCTGTAAGAGGACTCAGAAGAGAGTGCATGCTGGTGCTGATTGGGGACTGGATACGACACTCCGCAGGAAGTTGAAGATCCTGACGGACCAGGCTAGCCAGGTGAAAGATGCATTGGAAGATTGTAGTCCATGAGGTGTTGCTTTTGTTCTGCGATATCTCGCGAGCCTGGTTCGGGTCCTTCTCGGCGTAGAGAGACTCCATGGCATGCAGAAAGGTCGGTCCGTGAAGGAATGGAAACAGAGGATGCCAGACTTTGAAGTACACCATCATGAGGTCGCGTGCCAACTGTTGCGGCGGCGACTGGCCGAGGACGCAGGCGATGGAGGGGTCATATTCCCAGTGTGAGACCGGTGTCTCTTCATGAGTGCTCGAATGAGGCGTCCAGAGACTTTCGACGAGTGTGTCCTCAGGAGGAGGGAATTCTCCCGATGACGGGAAGAAGGCCTGCCGGACGGTCTTGATGAAGAAGACGCCGCTGGAGGAGCCGACGAACTGGCTCTCTTGAGGCGATTGGGCTGTTAAAGAGCCGATTTCGGGTGTCTCCATCTTGATCATCTTATTTTATGAAGGTAAAAAGGTCATGTTCGAGGCAGGGTCAGAGATTGTTGTGAAAAGCAAAGAGGTTGTACGGATGAAGTTGAATCAAGGCGAGCGGCAAATCTTGCTCCCGACAAACAACACTATATTTTCTAGCACTCACGCATGCATCACCACCACTCTAACTGAACGAATATACCATTATCCGTGTCTATTGAAAATATCTATGGAAGACGATCAATCTCAGCACATACAGCATCGACCACATCCTGCGTCTTGGCCTTTCCTCCCAAATCCGCAGTCAGAATCCCCGCCGCGCACACACGCTCAACGCATCCCATCAGCTTGTCCGCAGCTTCCTTCTCACCAAGCCATGTGAGCATTTCCGCCGCCGACCAAAATGTGGCTACCGGGTTCGCCACCCCCTTTCCCGTGATATCAAACGCACTACCATGAACCGGCTCAAACAGCGAAGGATTCTTCCGAGTCGGATCCAGATTACTCGATGGAGCAACACCGATCGAACCGGCCAGTCCGGCAGCCAAATCTGACAGAATGTCCATGTGCAAATTCGTTCCGACGATGGTATCCAGGGAATCTGGCTCAGCGACCATACGGATGGTAATCGCATCGACGAGCATTTTATCCCAGTTGACGTCGGGGAAGTCCCGAGAGACCTCTTCGGCCACTTCGTCCCAGAGAACCATACCGTGGCGCATTGCATTGCTCTTCGACACTACTGTGAGCTTCTTGCGGGGTCGCAATCGGGCTGTCTCGAATGCGAACCGCATGATGCGCTCGATACCGACGCGGGTAAACACTGCGACCTCTGTGGCTGCTTCCCACGGGTGGCCGATGTGGCTGCGGCCTCCTTGACCGCAGTATTCGCCCTCGGAGTTCTCTCGGACGAGTACCCAGTCGATGCCATTCTTTGCTGTATTCAAAGGAGATTTTGTGCCGGGGAACGTGCGAACGGGACGGACGTTGGCGTATAATTGGAGAGGGCTGCGGATTTTCAAGAGAAGACCCCAGAGTGAAACATGGTCAGGGACGTCTGCGGGTGTTAGTTGATGTTATACATATCGAGGAGAGTGTATACCTGGATCACCAACGGCACCGAAGAGACAGGCGTCAAACTTGCGGAGGACATCTAAGCCGTCGTCGGACATGAACTGGCCGTGCGCTTTGTAGTAGTTCGTGCCCCACGGGATATGGGTGAACTCGATTTGGAAGCCCAGCTTCAAGGAGAGCTTGTTGACAACCTCGATGGTGGCCGACACCACTTCAGGCCCGATACCATCGCCGGGGATAGATGCGATCCTATGCATTTTGTTCGGTTCTTAACAGTTGTTCTGTAGTATGGTTTACTGAGTGCATCGCTATAGTGGCTCTTATAGTGCAGCCGATCTATAGCGGTTGAACTTATCGGCTGAACCATCAACCAGACCCCGCAGTGCGATTATCTCGATTTCGGTACTCCGTATATCCTTGAGATTCATCTCATTACTGGCTCAAGTCCGAGTATTTAGCGGAATTGGAAGCCTGAGAGCAGATACATGGCATGACGGGAGGGAGAACAGCGCTGCGTCAGTAGGCTTGATGGTGGTCGTCCGACGTCGGCTGGATAGCCTTCTGAATGCCGCTCTCAAGTGCTCGCTGAGATGTTGAAGATACCTTGGAGAAAAATAATCGCGTGATATTACAAATTCTACGGCACAGATACCTTTATAGTAAATTATTGCAGTGGTAAAGACGAGCGTTGTTGGACTGTGTGTAGGTCATGTGACCTGACGCGTTTCTCCCAGGGTCGTCAATTCATGCATTCTCAACGATGCTGTTTGCAATGAATTCGTCTCTTACCCAAATCATCTCCATCTCCTTATGCAATGCCTGCGCGACCGAAGTCCAGGATCACAACAGCCTGCAACTCATGTAGACTACGAAAACAAAAGGTAAGGACAACTGCCCTGCAGAAACCCGGCTAATCGTGCAGTGCAGTGGAAACCGGTAAGCAAAAATCGGCAAGTCGCCACGAGCAGCATTAACAAAACAGACCAACATGTATGCAATGCCTACAGCATCGGCGAAACTGCGATTGGCCCGAGCAGTTGAAACGGTACTACCACATTTGGACGCTCGAGGAGCGAAGCCGTGCTAACAGAACCCAGGGGCCCCGCAAAAGGCTACATCGAAGCCCTCGAGCAGCGGCTCCACGAAACAGAGGGCCTGCTCCTGGGGCTCTTGGAGCAAGTATCTGATTCCCAGCTGTCATCTGGTATCCCGCACCCCACAGCGCAATCCCGACCGGGGAAACGGGGCAGCGAATACTGGAAGCGGTTTCCACTGCGGTCTGTGGAGGGGATCCGGTCGTGGCAGGAGGATGCCCTGCGATCTGCAACGGAGCGTTCTGAAGCTTCTACTGCCACGCCTAATCTTGATCTAGCCGGACCTTCATCGGATGCTGTAGAGGCATCTCCTGCGACTCTTACTCCCCAGGAAGAACCATCCCGAATACAGCAGAAAAGCCCAAAACCACAGGCGACTTTGAGTTTGTGGAGTGGAGCTCCCTCGACCGATTTCCAGCAGCGCTTTCTGTGGTAGCGACGGTACGTCGCCTCACTCGTTCGATCGCATGATTCATGTTTTCCTCGCCTCGTGCACAGATCGGCGCTTGTCTACTCCCCGAATCTGGGGCCTCCCCGGCCTCCGCAGCCCCGCAATCCCAACTGCATAAGGAGGAGTCATGCCCCACGATGAAGCTATACAAATGCTCCTCGCAGTCAATACGTTATCTGCAACACAATCATGGCTCTCAAGAAGGTCAGGCAATTCATTTTAAATCTGAAATAGCTCTAACATGTGCAGATTATCATCGTCGGCGCCGGCCCCTCGGGCCTCCTCCTCGGCCTCCTCCTCTCAAAACAAGGCGTCGAAGTCGACCTCCTCGACGCCGACACAAAAGTCAGCGACCAACCGCGCGCAGCACACTATGCCTCGCCAGCAGCGTACGAGCTCGACCGCGCCGGCGTCCTCGACGACGTGAAGAAGCGCGGCTTCCAGTTCAAGACTATGGCCTGGCGCAAGCCAGATACTACTTTCGTTGCAGGCACAACCACAGAGCATCTTCCTGCGGACTATCCGCACCGCATGGTTGTGCTTCCACTTGACCAGCTCGGCGAGCTCCTCGTCGAACATATCATGCGCCAGCCGACGGCGCATGTGAAGTGGTCGCATCGCGTCACTAAGGTCGGGCAGGAGGCGGATCGTGCTTGGGTTGATGTTGATACGCCGTCTGGCCCGCAGCGCATGGAGGCAGACTATGTTATTGGCTGCGATGGCGCGAGCAGCACAGTCCGCCGCGAGCTCTTTGGACCGGAATACCCTGGCGAAACACTAAACGCGCAAATCATCGCTACAAATGTACCTGCCCTCCATTCCTTCCCTTCTCTCCTTCAATCTCCGACCCAACCCCGTCAGCCCACCCAAAGTAACCCTTACACAGGTCTACTACGACTTCACAAAATACTTCCCCTCCGACTCCAGCTTCATAATCCACCCCGACAACCTGTACATGGCAGCACGAATCACGAACGACGGCCTCTACCGCGTAACATACAAGGAGATCCCGAATCTCTCGCGCGAGGAGTACATCGCGCGTCAACCGAAACGCTACGAGGAGATCCTCCCCGGGAACCCTAAACCGGGCGAGTACAGAATCACAAATATCAGTCCCTACAAGCTGCAGCAGCGGTGCGCGCAGTCGTTTCGGGTAGGGAGGATTGTCCTCGCGGCTGATGCGGCGCATTTGTGTAACCCTTTGTATGCCACCCCGATTCACTCACCTCTTAAAACCGCATAATTCGTTGGCGAGGACGACTAATAGGAAAATAGTGGCGGCCTCGGCCTAACAGGCGGAATAGCCGACGTGGGCAGCCTTTACGACTCGCTAATGGGCATCCACACGGGTCGAGCCTCCGACGCGATTCTAGACAAGTACGCGGAGATCCGACGGAAGATCTGGGTCGAGATCATTGATCCGATGTCGCGGGAGAATTTCGCGCGGCTGCATCAGGATGCGGAGACAGCGCGCGAGAATGATCCGTTCTTTAGGCTTTGTGTGAAGGCTGAGACGGATCCAGAGCTTAGTAGGGAGATTGCGATGGGGTATGAGAAGTTGAGAGTTGATATGACGGAGTACTACGACCTGTGAGTAGGAGTTTGACGGAACTGAGAGTGTATATATGATATGAAATCTTTCTATTATGTCCTCTCTTCATTTATATGTTATGAATAAGAGAATTTCTAGACATCTACATCTCCACATAAACTTTACTACATCCCCAAGCCCAAGCCCAAGCCCATCTATCTATTTCTATCCATTCCTCCCCCAAAGTACTACGAAATAACCCCCTCGTCTCTTAACGCACGAATTTCTCCCTCCGAAAGCCCCATATCACCCAGAATTTCATCCGTATGCTCCCCGAGCAATGGCGGCGGCCGTCGCACACTCGGCTCAGCATTCGAGTACTTCACCGGCGGACTAATTACCTTGATCGGGCCACAGGCTGGATGGGCGATTGTTTGGACCATGCCGCGGGCCTGGACTAATTCGTTTTAATTTCGTTAGCTTACTAGGGCCGGGAATGGCTGAACTGGAGAGAAAAGGGAAGGCATACCATGTTCATGCTCCATCGTCCCCTTAACATCATTAACAACAGCAAATGGCAGCCCACTCCCCTCGAAGCGCTGCTGCCACTCTGCCGTGTCAAGCCTTCTTGTTTCTGCTTCGATGAGGGCCTCGAGGACCGTGCGGTTTGCGACGCGGTCGGAGTTGCTCTTGAAGCGGGCGTCGGAGGCCCATTCTTTCTTTCCCAGTCTCTCGCAGAGGATGCCAAAGAGGCGGTCGTTGGCGCCGCCGACGAAGATGTCCCCGTTAGCCGTTGGGAAGGATTGGTAGGGGACTACTGAGGCTATACAATTCAATGCAGAGTTAGCCACCAGAAGAATGTAGAGAAAGGACGAAACAGATAGGGCAAGGGCAGATAACATACGATGCGCAGTCCCCCACCGTCCACTATCCTTATCCCCACTGATGAGCACAGAACTCCCCATATTCGCCAGCGTCGCAACCTGACAATCACTCAAACACACATCAAGATGCTGTCCTTCATTTGTAGTCGCCCTCGCAACAACCGCCGCAAGAATCGAATTAACCGCATACAACCCCGTCGTGAGATCCGTCACCGCAACACCAACCTTCACCGGCGGCCCATCGCGACTCCCCGTCAAATGCGCAAGCCCGAATTCGGCCTCGACCATTACGTCGAAGCCCGGACGGTTCGCGTACGGACCTGTTTGGCCGTAGCCTGTTATCGACGTGTAGATGAGTCGCGGGTTTAGGGATGAGAGGGTTGTGTAGTCGAGGGAGTATTTCTTTAGGGATCCGGGGAGGTAGTTTTCGACTAGGATGTCGGATTGCGTGGCTAGTTTTTGGAGGATGCGTTGTCCGCGCGGGTCGGCGAACGAGAGGGCTAGGGAGCGTTTGTTGCGGTTTACCTGTTTTGCTGTTAGACGTGCTACCATGTGAGGAAAGAAATTTTGGGAGAGGATGTACAGAAAGGTAATAGGCGCTCTCGCCCTGTCCCTCGCGGCCGTCGAGGTATGGTGCGTAGGGAGGGCCCCAGGCACGTGTGTCATCGCCGCGGACGGGGTGTTCGATCTTGATAATGTCTGCTCTGTGACGAGTTAGTTTTCATTCTCTACCATCTCTGGACTTTTCTTCCAGTTTCATGGGATCGCACCCTAGGTCGCCGAGAATCTGGGTACAGTACGGCTATGGGGTTCAAGTTTTCAGCAATTGTCTGAACCAATTGATTGGGATATGAGAGGACATACGCCTGCAAGAACACGACTGAGATCTAGCACTTTCAGACCGGCGAGTGGGAGTTTCTTGTTCTGTTTTGGTTTCGGCGGTGTTGTTGTCGTTGCTAGGGTGCGGAATGAGATTGAGAGGCCATTGGGTTTAAGGAGGGGCCTGAGAGCGGCGAGGATCATTATGAGGGTTGCTTGCTATTGTGGCTCTGACTCTGCCATAAGGATAGGTCGTTCGTTGGTGTTTTATTGAAGACGGTGGTGGTGAGTGGTGACCTTGCTTGCTGCTGATGCGCGCAGTGCCTGGCAAATGCCCCACCAGGCCGGTGGGTTCGACCCCACATACTTTTTTATTTCTCCAATTTGCGTGCGGAGAAGAAGGAGCCTGGCGTGTCCTCACTGTCCTTGCTACTTGCTACGGAGTACGTGGACTACGGAATTGATTTTATGGTGCAGAAGAAAAATACAAAAATCTATTCAGCTAGGTATCATATTTACAGCATGGGCTTCAAGTCAGCGGCAACCTTGAACGGCGCCTCCGTCTTGCTGCGGATCTCCTCAACGGACACGCCCTCGGCGTGCTCAACCAGGGTCAGACCCTCGGTCGTGCTGACCTCGAAGACGGCCAGGTCAGTGATGATCTTGGACACGCAGCGGGGCCCAGTCAGGGGGAATGAGCACTGCGAGAGGATCTTGGGGTTGCCCTTCTTGTCGGTGTGTTCCTGCTTCTGTTAGACTTTGTTCTGCAATTGGATGTTGATAAGAAGGGGTGAAAGAGTGTAACGCACCATGGTAACAATAACCTTGGTCTTCTCGGGGTTGGCGACCAAATCCATGGCACCACCAACACCCTTGACCTTGCCGGGAAGCATAAAGTTGGCGAGGTCTCCGTACTGGCTGACCTGCAGGGCACCAAGCATGGTCAAGTCGATGCGGCCAGCGCGGATCATGCCAAAGCTCTCGTGGGATCCAAAGAGGGAAGCACCCTTGCTCAGGGTGACAGTCTCCTTTCCGGGGTTGATAAGATCAGGGTCCTCCTCGCCGGGCTGGGGGTAGCCGCCGAGACCAAGGATGCCGTTTTCTGCCTGCAGGAAGACCTCGACACCCTCGGGGAGGTAAGAGGGCGCGATCAGGGGCATGCCGATGCCGAGGTTGACGTACATTCCGTCGCGGAATTCCTTGGCCGCGCGCTTGACGATGCGTTCTCGGCGGGCGGTTGCTTCACCGGAGCCTGCACAGTACATATATTAGCACACATTCGCCTCCATAACTCCTGAGGGTATGTATACGCACCAGCCTGAAGCATCTCACTGGGATCCTTGGCGAAGGTGAGCTTCTCAATTTGCTTCTTCTCTGTGCTCTGGATGACCTTGTTGACGTAGATAGCCTGTAGATGGATCTCCTCGGGTGCGATCTCGCCGACCTCGACAATGTGGTCGGCTTCGACGATGGTGTACTTTGCGTTCTTGGCCATGGCCTCGTTGAAGTTGTTCTGGGCCTTGCGGAACTGGCAGTTGCCGAGCCTGTCGGCCTTGTCGACCTTGATCAATGCGTAGTCACCGAAGATGGATTCTTCCAGGATGTAAGCCTTGCCGTTGAATTCGCGGGTTTCCTTGGGTTTCGAGTATTCTGCAACCGTGCCGTCCTTGTTGTAGCGGACGGGGAGTTCACCGGTTTGTACTAGACAGGAATCAATTAGCTTGGTTTAATTGATCATCAAGAGTGAAAATGCATACCGATAGTTCCATAAGCAGCAGGGGTATAGAAAGCAGGGACACCAGCAGCACCAGCGGCGCACTTCTCCGCAATGGTACCCTGGGGGGTCAATTCGAGCGAAAGGTCACCACTGAGATACATCTTCTCAAAGACCTTGTTTTCGCCAATAAACGAAGCGATCATCTTACTGATCTGGCCGGTCTCGAGCAGCTGGCCGAGACCCGCACCGGGCATACCAGCATTGTTCGAGACAACGGTCAGATCTTTGATGTCGGGACGATCGCGGACAGCGTTGATGAGCGTGTTGGGCACACCAGAGAACCCGAATCCTCCGACAAGGACTGTGGCCGGGCCCTTCATGTCCTTGATGGCTTCGCTGGCGGAGTTGCACCGCTTGTCGACGGCGGGCCGTGTGCATGAGGCGGAGAATTGCCGCCGCCACACGGCGAATGGGCGGACGACCGCTGGTGTCGGTCGTGCCATGTTGTCTGTCAGCTGTTGGAGCAACAGAGGAGAGAAGGGAAGAGGGAGAGGCGGAGAGTTAAGAAGAGCTGCTACTCCATAATTCCGAGTGCTTCGGCAGTCGAGCTGTGGGGGGAACCCGAGCAAAATGATTATCCGGCCTGTGGAAATTCAAAAAGTAGGTTTAACTAATTTTCGGCTGTCATGAGTTTTCAACTTTTGAGTAATTTATCCAACTCAAGCCGTCGTGCGCCACAATTAAAAAGCAGAAATGCTGGACAAGATTGAGCAATCAGCGCATAGAGGGCAGGTTCCGCCTGGAGCTTGACGAATGATAGAACCGCCTTGCTGGGAACATTACTTTTCTGCCGCAGAGGCTAACCCCAATCGAAAAGGCGGAGAGGCCTTTTATGTCTCTGTGGCCAGCAACCTGGCCTGAGATTTCATGTAATTTCCAAGCTCGAAATTAAAAACTACGCCTGCCACCTCTGCCGACCATCGGAAGCCGATTGACGTCTCGGCTGGGGTAGTCGGCTCTATCCTCTTCCGACCTACTAAGTTGCTTTTTTTGAGACACTTTCAACTGCTGTTCACACAAGACAGTGAACGCAAGATCAAGGTCAACACAGGAGATTATCTACGGGGTATCTCAACCCTCTCACAGCCCCCCGCGACTTGACTCTTGAGCGCCCCGCCACACAACTCACCGGTCTTTCTTTGCAACACTCGAAATGTTAAACAAGGATGTGGGGCCAGGCTAGGCATGATTAGGGTAACCGTGATCCTATTCGTCCCATGCCAATTTGCCAAACGGATTTCCGGACATGTTTTTCCAGACAGGACAGACGGATATCAATGTGCGGATACTGGAGTTGTTTGTATGCCAAAGAAAGACACTATTCTATAGCAAGAATGCCACCTTGCAGATGACAATTAAGTGAAAATTGGCATCGAAACTACGCATAACTCAAGCCAATTTCATGACTGTTTGCTACCACTAGTGGGGCAAGTTGAGTCTCGACTCTCCACACGAGCTCACACATAGTTAGTACTTCCCCGCACGTGGACTGTACACACTCTCCAATCTTGAACTCCTCGAGTTCGTGTAGCGGACAAAATATTCTCGTCCAGCATCTCACCTCGCGTCGCACAGACAAGAAAAACCTATCACAATGTTCCGCAACGTCCTAACCAAAACGCCACACGACATTGTCGTCCTCTCCGCAGTGCGCACCCCGATTACACGTGCCTTCAAAGGCGGTTTCAAAGACAGCTACCCAGAAGACTTGCTCATGCCCGTGCTGCAAGCCGCAATCAAGCGCGCAAAAATCAACCCCGAAGATGTCAACGACGTGCTCATCGGCAACGTCCTCGCCGAACTCGGCTTCGCAAAAACCGGTCGCGCAGCGGTCAACGCAGCAGGGTTCCCGAATACAACGACATTCCATACCGTGAACCGGCAGTGCTCGAGCAGTCTACAGGCGATAACACATATCGCGCATGCGATTCGTGTGGGACAGATTGAGGTGGGTATTGCGGGTGGTGCGGAGAGCATGACGAGGAATTATAATCCGTTGCGCGGGATTCCTGGGGATGTTGGCCCCGCACTCTTGGGGTCGGGGGTAAAGGATGCGACGGATTGCTTTGTCCCAATGTTAAAGACGTCAGAGAATGTGGCTGAGCGGTATGGAGTTGGGAGGCGCGAGCAGGATGAGTTTGCGGTGGAGAGTCAGAGGAAGGCTGCTGAGGCGCAGAAGGAGGGAAGGTTCAATGAGGAGATTGTGCCTGTGAATGCGAGGAGGGTAAACCCTGAAACGGGGGAGGAGACGTTTGAGGTTGTTGATAGGGATGATGGTGTTAGGGCCGGGGTTACGGTTGAGAAGCTGGGGATGTTGAAGCCCGTTATCGAGGGGGGTGCCTCTACGGCTGGGAATTCGTGAGTCCACCATTCCCTACATAGAATCTTCTCTGTCTACTCCAACCACTACTAACAACGCAAACAGCTCGCAAATCTCCGACGGCGCCTCCGCAACCGTCCTCGCCAGCCGCGCCTGGGCCGAAGCACACGGCTTGAAACCACTCGCCCGCTTTGCCGGGACCCAAGTCGCAGGCTGCGCCCCCGACGAAATGGGCATCGGACCGATCCCCGCAATCCGCAACCTGTACAAACACAGCGGGATCTCACAGCGCGACGTGGACATTTTCGAGCTAAACGAGGCGTTTGCCAGCCAGTCTATCCACTGTATCCGGGAGTTGGGCATTGATACGGAGAAAGTGAATCCGAATGGTGGTGCGATCGCGCTGGGGCATCCGATTGGGGCTACGGGGGCGAGACAGACGGCGACTTTGCTCGCGGAGTTGAGGAGGGGGAATGGGGAGGTGGGTGTTGTTAGTATGTGTGCTAGTACCGGGATGGGGGTTGCAGCGCTGTTTATTCGAGAGTAGAACACTATCCTAGAATTGTATGTACCTCTCTTGAAGCGAATATCAGATTTCTACTCTGTACGAGCGGAGATGCGGAGACGAAGCTATAGTACCCCAGCCCCACACACTGCAACTTCCCAGGCTCGTGGGGCCCCAGGATGGCCATATTTCAGCCAAATAATGTTGAAACACCATAACACACCTCAATCAATACTCTCGCTACGAGCAGCAACACAATGTCACTTCTCAAACAACTATCCCGCCTCCCACGAGGCTCAATCCGCCCAGTTTACATCCCCAAACGCTCCCTCGGCTCCGTGAGCGCCATCGACTCGAGCATCTTCCGCACCCTCTTTGGCACAGAAGAAATCCGCAAGGTACTGTTTACCACAAACTTCACTCTCCGCCTTGAATTACCCAACTAACAAAACTCAGGTCTTCAACGATGAATCCTACATATCCCGGTGCATAGACGCCGAAGCAGCCCTCGCCCGCGCCCAATCCACCTGCGGCGTGATCCCTTCACACATCGGGTCCCTCGTCACCACAAAAGTAACCTCGACACCCCTCGACATGGAACGCCTCCGCACCGAAACCGAAATCGTCGGCTACCCAATCCTCCCCCTCGTCCGGCAACTCAGCGCAATGTGCGGATCCGAAGCAGGAAAATATGTACACTGGGGCGCGACGACGCAGGATATAATGGACCTTGCTAGTATCTTGCAGATGAAGAGAGGATTGGAGATTGTCGAGAGGCTCGTTGGGGAGATTATTGGGGTGTTGCGCGGGTTGAGTGTGCGGTATCGCGATACGCCCATGGCGGGCCGGACGCATCTCCAGCATGCGCTGCCGGTTACCTTTGGGTATAAGTGTGCGGTGTGGCTGAGTGGGTTCCAGAGACATGCTGCGAGATTGAAAGAGATGCGCGAGCGCGTGCTTATGGTTCAATTCGGGGGTGCGGCAGGGTCACTTGCTTCGCTGGGTGACGGGGACGATGGGATACGGGTTCGAAAAGCCCTTGCGGAGGAGTTAGGGCTGAGTGATCCGCCGATTACGTGGCACGTCGCGCGGGATGGGGTTGCGGAGGTAACGAACTACCTTGCGCTGCTGGGCGGATCGATGGGGAAGCTCGCGCTGGATATTATCATCATGTCGTCGAATGAGCTCGGCGAGGTCTCGGAGCCCTTTGTCCCCCATCGCGGCGCGAGCAGTACGATGCCGCAGAAGCGGAATCCAATTTCTAGCGAGGTTATCCTTGCGGCGTCCAAGGTCCTCCGCTCGAATGCGGGACTTGTACTCGATGGGATGGTGGCTGATTTTGAACGGGCAAGTGGGCCGTGGCATCTAGAGTGGGTTGCTGTCCCTGAGAGCTTCGTGATAGCCGTTGGGGCGCTGGAGCAGACGAAGTTTGCTCTGGGCGGCCTGTGCGTACATTCCGAGGCGATGTTGCGGAATCTGCACTCGACAAAGGGTCTCATTGTGGCGGAGGCAGTGATGATGGGGCTTGCGCCTGCGGTGGGGAGGCAAAGGGCGCATGATATTGTGTATGAGGCTTGTCGGGAGAGCATTGAGAGTGGGGGGTCGTTGGAGGAGGCGCTGCTTGGGAAGACGGAGGTGACGGAGAAGATGAGTGTGGAGAGGGTGAGGCAGCTGTGTGACCCGGTCAATTACCTGGGGGCTTCGGGTCGGATGGTTGATGATGTTCTCGCTGTTGATTAGTAGACTGTACTTGGTAGTGTCCCACATTCTATGTTTCTGGAATACACAACATCTATACTTTGAAGTAAGACAGCGTAGCTCTCCACAAGCCCCGCAAGCACTTAAGCTGAGCCTCACCAGGCCACCTGGGGCTGGGAGCGGTATTCCACATGAAAGCTGGGACCATATCAAGCTCCCCAGCAAAGCAGAGCCAAAGCTCATGCATGTGGGTCATCTTGTACATGGAGCTGCTCCACATACTACCATACGGTCATACGTCTACCAGAGGGACCTTCTGGTTAAAGGTACTAAACTGCAACAGCAACTCTCCTCTGCTGCCAACTGTATCATACCCAACAATCGCTACACAGCACAATGAGCGTACACCCCAAAATGGACGCTCCAGCGATCACACAGCGAGTCCCCATCAAAGACCTCCAAAAGGTCTTCCATTACACCGACACACTGACCCGGAAGCCGACCCGCGACAATGACCCTTACGAGTATATGGCAGGCTTCGGTAACCGCTTCCAGTCCGAAGTGATTCCGGGAACGCTTCCTGCTGGGCAGAATAACCCCCAGGAGCCGAGGTTTGGGCTGTACGCGGAGGGCATCACATACTCGGCGTTCACGGCGCCGCGGCATGCGAATTTTAGTACTTATATGTATCGTGTGAGGCCGGCTGCTGCGCATAGTATGTTTACTCTTTGCGAGACTGTGGTTGGGGTGATTGCTGACTTGAAAAGATGGGTACAAGACTGATATCCCGCACAAGGCAGATATCGAAAATTGCTTTTTGACGCTTAACCCTCGTGTGGCGACACTAGCAGAACAGGGCGAGTGGGCCCCATTTCCGTTGCCAAAGGAGGACGAAAGGATCGACTTTGTCGATGGGCTACATACAATTGGAGGAAGCGGGGACCCGAACTTGCGCGAGGGTATCGCGCTCTACGTCTTCATGATCAACGCAGATATGGACCACCGGGCCTTTTGCAATACGGACGGTGACTTCCTCATTGTTGCTCAGTTGGGTAATCTTGATATCCAGACCGAGCTGGGTAAACTGTTCCTTCAACCCGGGGAGATTTGCGTCATTCCTCGCGGAATCCGGTTCAGTGTACGACTTGGACCTGGCCACTCGGTGGCCCGTGGGTACGTTACAGAAGTCTGGGGATCTCGATGGGAGCTTCCTGACCTCGGTCCCCTGGGTGGCCACGGTCTCGCGAACCCCAGAGACTTTCTACACCCGGTAGCCTATATCGACGACAACCTGCACGAGGACTGGATGATAGTCAATAAGGCTAACGGGGTATACAATGCGCTCGAGCAAGATCATAGTCCATACGATCTCGTCGCATGGCACGGCAACGTCGTGCCGTACAAGGTACGTCCCTTTCACTCTCAGCCCTAGCAGCTCAAGACTGACGCCCGTTACAGTACGACCTCACAAAGTTCGCCTCCCAAAACGCAACCTCAATCGATCACACGGACCCATCCACAAACTGCGTGCTAACCGCCGCCTCCCGCGACCCCGTCACCCCTCTCGCCGACTTTCTCTGGTTCGGGCCGCGCTGGGATGTCGCATCAAACACGTTCCGGCTTCCATACTTCCACCGCAACTCTGCTACCGAGTTCCTGGCGTGTCTGTATGGGAGTGGGCTGGGGAGGTCCGATGACTTTTTGCCTGGCGGTGGAAGTGTCGAAATCAGCCACACGCCTCATGGGAATTTTAGTCAGGATTATGTTTGGGAAATGAGGGAACAGGTTAATGAGCCGAGAAAGATCCTTGAAAGTATGTTCCTCCAAAGCTAGAGTTTATGGCGACTATGCTGACTGGAACAGATCAAATGACGATTATGGTGGAGAGTAGCCGGTCGTTCCTCTTCACAGAGTATGCACGGTCTGGGTGTGGAACATTCAAGGACCAGGGGACGGACCCAAAGGTTTGGGATACGTTGCCAGTAAGTGTTTAGTCCTCCTTCAAAATATGAGACCGTGCACTAACGATGTGACAGGACAAATTCTCGTCGTATCCCAACATCCAGGAGATACTGCGGCAGGTCAAGGCGGATAAGGAGGAGAGGAAACGGAAGTTGGAGGTGTATTATGACGATGAGCGATTGGCGAAGCTGGCTCGGTCATAGAGCCATGTAAAGTATTTTTTAAAGGATGGATTGGCCAGAGGACGAAATTGACGTTCCAAGGGTTGGTTGGGTTGACCCATCCATGTTAGTCAGTGCTTACTGAAGGGTTCATCGACCTTGTTTGGTGGACGGTAATTGCGGGAATTTGCGGCGACCCGTGGCTCCTTCCTCAACGGGGCTAGTAGACAAGTATAACACAATCACAAATTACACAAGCACCAAAATCAAAGTTATTGCCATAATGCCAAGGCACTGAATTAAATATATCCTCGCTACGCTATGCCGATCGGGGTTTGAACCTATTCAGGATTAGTGGAGGCTGTAACTTCTTTAAGATGCATTGCTCTCCCTTTACTCAGCCGCATCTTCGGATCTAGACAGCACGATGCCCGTGAACTATGGCAAAAGTGACCATGCAGCAGTCACAGGTAGCAGCTTCCTTTTCATCGACTCCCAAAGCGACCAGTCGATATCCTCAGCTGCCAGCAAGCAGAAACGCGCCTTTCTCCAGCGGGAATTCAGGCGCAAGCAGAAAGAGGCATCGATACAGCGACTCAAGTCCTCGATCCAGCCATTCCGAGCGCAGTTACCGTTGAGGTACGAGGCTGCAACTACAACCCCCGGTCTCGACGACGGAGTTGAACAGACAAGCGGACTTGCTGCTGTTGCTGCGGCAGATGGAGACTATACCAATCATACTAGCAGCAAGCCAAAACAGATTGTACGGATTCAGTCTCCAATGTCACTCGTGAGCCAGGCCTTCGTGGACCCGTTTTCATCCTCTGTGGTGGAAATGACATCGAGCATGAATTCGTACTTTGATCACTGTGCGAGTCCCTCCTCTCCTTTTTCCCTTTATTTTCTAACAAATATAGTCCGAATCCATACCATAAAACACTGCTACCCACTGGACGCAACACGGATGAGCATGTGGCACTGGCAGAAAGCGATTGCCCAGCCCGCGCTCTTACAAGCGCTGCTCTGCTCTACTGCTGGGCACCAATTGATTCTCAACACGGTCGAGGGCGTCCCGACCCTGACTTTTCAGAACTCGACAAAAGAATTTCTCCGTTTACGAGGGGACGCCCTCAAGACGTTGAATGGGGTTCTACGGGATTCGATGAGGGCTGTTGCTGAGTCGACTATTCTTGTTATCGCCTCACTTGTGGCGATTGAGGTATGTCGTGAACGGATTTTGGTGGTTCTTTCGCCCTGATACTGACATTGTTCGTGTTATCAGGCTATCAGCGCCACGGTCGAAGCGGCCGAAGCCCATAACAAAGGCCTAAAGAGCCTCGTCGACGTTTTCGGTGGCATCGAAGCCCTCGACCACATGACCCTTTCCAAAGTCTATCAGTATGAGGATTTCAACTCATCTTATGCACAGCAATAGCAGTATACTAAGACCACTACAGAAGCGACGTCTTCCGCGCAATCCTCACAAACACCCACCCAACCTTCCCGCTGTCCCCAAAATGGCGCAGCGAAATCCTACAGGAGGCAAAAGTTTTCCAATCAGTCGACTTCCTCCTCCCCTTCTACAACAACGCCAACACCAACAACCCAGACAACCCCTTAATAGAAATAATGAAAACGCTCTCCTCGCTTGGAACCTCCTTCTTCAAAGCCCCATGGTACATGTCTCTCGACCCAAGCATGAAGAGCTTCCTGCACGTTATGAAACGACTCATACAGTACTATGAAATCGCGCAGCTAAGCCCGTCAATCATCATGCCGACGGATAATGATCTCTTTCTTCTGCTCGAGTACCAGCTTGTCAACGTGACATATCCCGTTTCTCATAATGGGTTCAATGAGCCGCTGCGGTTGGCGTTGCTGATTTATCTGAATATGCGCATTTGGCATCTGCATAGTTTCCCGTATATGGCGTATCTGACTGGGTATTTAAGGACGGCGCTTGAGGGAGCGCTGGCAAGACTAAGGGGGGATGCTCCTAGGTTGCTTTTTTGGATTTTGTTTATTGGGGACATGGCGTCTTTGGGGCATGAGGGGCATTCGTGGTTTGTTGAAAGGCTGGCTGAGATTGGGTACGAGCATCTTGGGATTAGAGGGTGGAGTGAGGCAAGGGAGGTTCTAGTTGGGTATTTCTATACGGATCAACCTGGTGATAGTGGAGGGGAGGATCTATGGGGTGAGGTGTTTTTAAGGGGTAGAGCAATTACGCTTGTTTAGATATAGAAATATTACACAGTCACATTTATAACCTCAGCCTGCCACCACAAAGCGGAGGCTGGCATACATGATCAGGTCCCTACCAAGTCTTGTACCAGGGGCAGATATAATAAGCTCAGGTCCTAGGGTACTACCTATCATCTCCTTCAATATATGATAAGCACGAGGTCATATTTCTCGTATATAGCTGACACACACAGACCGAGAAGCACCATAAGGAATACAGATAAGCCATATACTATAAGACGAAAGTGACAAAACAGTATCAGGATATCACATCTGAGCATCACGACTCGACCCAGATCAAAACACCAACCCTCAATCCCCGCATCCCCGCCGCCCCTAACGTACACCGATAACAAGGCCCGCCTACCCTCCTCACCACAGCACTAACCCCCTCTCTCGCACACCACGCCCTCGCTACCACCTCCTCGACGCCCTCCGTCACACAGATAACAATCGTCTCAAGCGCCGACACATCCTGAGCACGGCGGTCTTGCAACTCATGCGCAGTCCACACACGCGTCTGGTACCGCTCTGCTTCCCGGCGATGCACCTGATGCGCATCGGCTTTCTCGGGAGGGTAGCATCGAGGTGGTGTGATGAATGCCGGCGTCGTCCGGAGCGGGAATGTGACTATGTATCCATTCATGCTGAAGGCGATTTCGGCTGTGTATCTTGTTTCAGAGGCGCGCTGGGCGTCTGTCATGAGCTGCGCTCCTTCGAGAGGCTCGGCGCGGACGCGGATGTGGGAGAGCTCGATTGGATCTGGGGGCGGTTGCGCTTGGTTTTGGATTTGGATTTGGACTTGCGGTGGAGAGAGTGTGGACCAAGCATCTGGATCTTGGATCTCATTCTCATAGGAATCGATGTCGTCGTCCTCTGTGGGTTGCATGCTGCCTGGGCCGAATTCATCCTCATCCTCGCTGTCGTTGTCGAATCTCTGGCTTTGGATATCCGGTGCTATAGCGTCTGAGGTGACGCGGATCCAGCGGGGTCCCGTATTGTCCCAATCAAGATAGACGCGGACTTCAGGACAGGGACCAAGCCAGCCGTTCAAGGCGACAACACCGGGGTAAGCCCCTAGGACGCGGCCAATCGCGGTTCTCGAGCGCCAGTAGCTGACACCCGGAAGGATCAAACCAAAGTAGAAAGATGACTGCCCGAACTCGGGCCTCGCTGATTCGGGCGAGCAGGCGACGAGGGCATTCATAACAGTGTACGCAAACCACTTCCCGGGGAGCATGACACCGAACAGCCAGTCGTGTAGGCTAGCGGGGATAGTAGCGCCCTTACGGAGGCTGGGGTAGATCTCGTGAAGACGTTCACGGACCTCGTCAATATACGGCCAGCGGATGGCCTCAGCGAATGCGAGCAGTCCTTCTTCCTGGCGCTTGTGGACGATTGAATGGCCCTCGTAGTTCTTGCCTAGGAGGGCCCAGTCCTGGTCTCGGAGCTTCTTTTCAAGGGTGTCGCGCTTGATGGGGTCGTCGATCATACCAGCTAGGTTGCGCTCGACACTATAGGCGAGCTCGGCGTCGGTGAGTTGGTTCTGATATGTGTCCTTCTCGTTTGGCGGCGCGAGCTCGACGGCGCGGGTATACGATGCGATTGCCTGCTTTGTGTTATCGAGCCCCTGCCAGGCTTTCCCGATTAGTTCCCATGCTTTGGCATCGTTCGGGGCGAGTTGCTTCCACCCAGAAGCCTCCCTGAGCACCTCCTCGTACAGCTCGGATGCTTCCTCTTTCGAGCTCGCCTTTATCGCTTCATCTGCCCGTTTCGCAACATCTCTCGCCTTTGCCATCTGCCTCCAGACAGGTTCCTTCACTCCACCAGGCAGGTCCACCGGGGCATCCACCAGAACCAGCTGCACGTTCTTTAACCAAAGCTCCGAAACAATCAACGAGGCCAGGATTTGCGCCGTAAACCCCGAATGCAATCCGTGCCCTTTCTCGAGCCGCCGCGCAAGCTCCGTGGTCAGTATAACCTGCCAGATGAAATTCCACATGCCTATGCACATCTCCGACCCCTCGCTCAGCCACTGCGGCCCGATATCGCATAGCGTCGTGAAATCCATGAATACATCCCTCCGGTTCAGCACGCCGTAGAGGACCTCGACTGCGTCCCGCTCGTCGAGCGGTTTGCGGCCGAAGGTCACGGAGCGGACGGCGTTGTCGCCGATGAATTCGATCAAGTCGAGCGAGTCTTGTTCTGGGTTCGTACCGAGCTCGACATCTGCCCGTCGCAGCTCGTCGAGCCGTCGAAGCAGCTGGCTCCCCCTTGGGTTCGGTAGCTCGGACATGAGGACCATGGCGTCGCCGCTTAGCCAGGTCTGCGAGTCCTCGAGGTACTCCCAGCATTCGCTTGCGTAGCCCTCGCCCGTAACTGTTCCAGGGACCGTGTTCTCGTAGTAGGGATCGGCTTCACAGTCGAAGTACAGCCATTGTTCCTCGTCGTGGTAGAGATGGGAGCTGCCGCGGTGCTTGATGTATTTCTTCTTGCGTTTGTATAGTTCTATCGTAGATCAGTCGCTGAGATAAGATGTGGTACAAGACCCTGTGCAGCGTATAGAGCTTCAAGGATAGTAATCTCTTACCAAAAACCTCATGCGTTGCCTGCACAAATCCCCTATCCGGATCATCCAACGGCGTAACCCACTCGGGATCATACCGCGACCCGCGCGAGACGGAAGCAGTCACCTGGGAATACACGTTGTTCGTAGGCCCGATCAGCGTCATGCCGAGGGATCCCTCATGTTTTGCTCTGATGAACTTTCCGACCGCGGAGAACCGTTTGACGATGGCTTTTTGCTCTTCATCCAGGCCGTAGAGACTTCCTTCGTCGTCGCTTGAGTTTTCGTAGTCATTATTATTCTCGCCTTCGCTGTTTTCGTTTGAGTGCTGACCTTGGTTTGCCTCGAAGCTTGTATTACCTAGGGCATTCTCATGCTCATTGTCGTCTTGAAAGTGCGCTGCCATGTTGCCACTTCGTTAGTTAGCTGTATGCCCAAGCGAATGACAGTTGCTCGTAGGATTGAGAAGTGTCGTTGCAGCGGGTGACCGGTGTACTTCCTCCCCCACCTCGCGACGAGCCGCCTATTTATTTTATTGGAGCTGGCTGTGTCATGGGATGCATATCTCGTGTTCGAAGGAAAAAACAGGGAGCCAAGTCGAGCCTGTGTGAGCATTTCTCGTATCGGCGCCCATTACGAGCCTTGGCAGAGGCTCAAGGGCAGAGTGCGCATCTCAGCCTCCGCTCGAAAGAGGGTTCACCGCGGGCGGAGCCTTTGGGAAGGATCTATATCACCTCTCATAAAGCTATGTGTAGCTTGCTTATTCCAAAGAACGCTCCTATCAATCACAATTCCCTCAAGCTAACTTATTCCTTCCTCAATTTCTTTCTGAAACCTGCTCACGAAGAAATATCCCAGGGTTCGTAGCATTTGGGGGTTCATTCCTCTCCCTCAGAATAGTCAGTCTTCGGAATCCTCAGACTCCTCTCTCTTCCTATCGTTCTTCCTCTCCCTTCCCTGTTCCTCCTCTGCTTGACCTGATGAGCCCCGCTGGTAATATCGCTCAGTCTCCTGTCGTCTTGTTCCCTGCCAGTAAGGATAATGGTAGTCCATCCCTTGTCCAGGGCCTTGCTGGTACAAGAACTCATCCGGCTGTTGTCTTTCACCGGGCCATTGAGGAGTTCTGTAACCTCCCTGTTGGCCTGGTCCCCATTCCATAAAAGGGTAATCGCCTGGTTGAGATCTGGCTTGATTGGGTCCGTCGGCTAACATTGGGGGTAGAGGTCTCCGGTCGTCGCCATCCCTCGACCCCTTCACTACATCGAGGTACTCATCAAACCGATGCGATAGCGTACTGGAGTGACCAAAATGTTTACTCCGCAGCCTAAGGCCAACTCTTTTTCCGCCAGCCAGTTCTTGTCTGGCGTCGTCCTGAGCTAGAATGAGGGCGGTCTCGCACAGATTCACTATCTCCCTTCCATTCGGGTTCGTGTTTAATTGCTCAGAGTTTTGAGAGAGCTTTTTAAGCACGAAGGGAATGACTTCCGCTCTTTCGATGAGGCAACGGACCCCGGACCTCTCGAGTCGATCTTCTATCCGGTTCAGAGAAAGTTCTAGTACGGCCTTAATTTGCTGCCGATCGAACTGGGTGAAGTGCAATTTGAGTGGAATTCGGGAGACAAACGCCATGTCAAACACTCCAACCCGATTCGTGGTGAGGAATAGCAATCCGTTGTGTGTTTCCACGAGCTGCATGAACAGCGTCCCCATGAGGTTTTGTGTAAGGTCGTTTGCGCGCTGGGAGAGGAAGACATCGACGTCGTCTAGTAACATGATACAACCCCATCTGTCAGAAAGCTGGAAGGATTCTTCGAGGCTTTTTGCCAACTCATGCATAGATCCGCCAAGTTTGCCATGAGTCAACCGTAAAAGCGGCTTCTTGAAACGTTCTGCAAGACATTCAACGCAGAATGTTTTCCCAGTGCCTGGGGCTCCATGCAGGAGTACAGTTGTTCCATTCGTCACAAGTGTTGAGCTCGCGTGACTTTCCTCTCCCAAGGCTTTGCCGAGTACTAAGATTCGTAGTAGTCGCTTGTACGAGCGATCCATTATAACCTGGTCCAGGTCTCGATCTCGATCGACAACCAAGTCCTGTATCTTGTCAATGTCCATTGTCGACCAGCGCAGTTCGGGTAGCAAATAAACTGCAATGTCCGGCGGACAGGTCATTAGGACTTGTGGCTTCATACTTTCGGCGAGTGCTTTTTGGAACTGATCGGCTTGCTCTTGGGGTGGTTCCCCTAATGGGCGCATTTGCTGATCGATGACGACGCGGACGGGGCCGTGCTTTCCTTCAAATTGTTTGTAGTTCACGTTGCTCCCCAGTTCCCAATACCGGCGGCCGCGGTCGGCAAGCGCCTTGCGCACTGTCGTTTCATCAGGGAGATACCCTGCAGGAGTAAACTTCAGGCTGGTGATGGCCTGCTGTCCACTGAACTGACCCACGGTCAAGGTATGATAATTCCTAGCAAAATACTTCCCATTATGATCCACAGACCAGGCGCGAATTCGCAGAGGCGTAAGATAGCCTGAGGGCTGTCTATCCATACCGCTGAGCTCCGCGACGATAAAAGCTCGCCAGTAGCTGTCATGCTTCTGATAGATCAATGTCCCTGACGGATAGAGGAAGGGGAGCTCATGAAAGCTGACAGCTTTGCAACGTCTTTCCTGGATCTCGATTATCTGATGCGACATCAGCTGAGCTTGGTCTTCCGCTGCAGCCATAGATAGACTCCGACGGAGACCCCCAGGTTGCTGTTGTGAACGAAAACGCATGAGAGCCTGGTATTCATCTGGTAGTGTCGCCAGTGGTTGCGCGAGTGAAGCTGTCAAAAGCACTTTCACGAATTTGGTCCTGTCCTTGATAAGGCTGTCCAACTGTGATATCACCGTGTCCTTCTCATCCACTTCCAGATCAGCCGCTTCAAGGTTGTCAAAACTGTCAATAATGATAAAGGTGCACTGAGCGTTGACGATTTCCAGGCACTCGACGAACAGGCTCCATAGTCCTTGACCGGTCGATGTCTTCTCCTGCGTCAATGTGTCTTTTTTCTTCTCCAGAATACTTGGATACCGCTCGATGATTTGATACAAAAGGGCTTGTATTAATGTGCTGGGCTTTCTCGCCATCCCAGTGCCACCGCAGAAATGACGAAGAACGAGGGTCGATTCGTAGCTGCTCTCACCCATTACCAGCAAAGGTATAGCAAAACAAGCATTGAATTCTGATCTCCGCAAAACGTTGTTTCCCTCTACCCACAAAAGACGTGACGTTTCGCACTCGATCCAGGATAGGACTTTCTCTGATCGCAGCAGATTCCGCTGCGTTGACCTGTGGTTGCGCATGTCTGGGATCTCTTCGATAGCGACTTTGCGCCGCTGGGTCTCTTCGTTGTAGTTCTTGAGATCGGCAAAGAGCCCTCCCAATTGATCCAGGACAGAGGAGCCTTCAGCGGTCTGTTTGACTGCTTCCTTCCCTAATGTTGGGTTGTCTCGCTTTTCTTCGACATGCTGCCGAACTAGTGACGCCGTTTCGTTGACGTCTTCCGACTTGGTGAATTGAATGGAAATAGACGTCAATTGCGCCAAAATCTGTTCCAGTTTGGCATCTTGATTGTCGGCTCTTTTCTGTTGGTCTTTAACTAGGGACAATGTCTGTTGACCCACCTCGAGTGTGACACGGCCGGCCAGCAGCCCGTGGAGCTGCGCGATAACTTTGATGTCCCCAAAGGCCTCGCTGATGGCATCTACTAGGTCCTGGAACCGTGCCCATGGACGCGTAATCGACTTCCAGCGTATCTTCAAGCGACTCTGCGTGTAGTACTTGACTGCCTTGTCCAAGAACTTTGTGAACAGGCTGTATGCGCTGGCAACCTTGTCGACAAGCTCCTTGGTTGGAATATAGGCCGTGAGATGATCGATGATCTCGAATCTGGATGTAATTCTCTCAAGATGCAGCTCTAACTTCTCCTTGAGCTCCTGGTGATTAGTGTGCGCGACGAGGATGATTTTGATGCCGCCATAGACGAGAGAAACGTATGTAGGTGCGTGGGCGAGCATCGGATCCAGAATCTGGGAGTACCGGTACGCCTTTTCAGAGGCTGAATTCCACCCATTTTTGACCTTCGCCTTGAAAGACGCATCCGTTTCCCCATCTTCTCTTGTTTTCTTGGCTGCCTTGGCCTCCTCGATTAAAGCCTGTAGTTGCTGGTGACTTCGCTCGAGCTCAATCTGCTCCTGGGCAGTGGCATTCGTGAGAAAGTTGCTGATTCGATTCTGCAGCTTCGTTTGTGGTATCTGCATGTCTTTGTGTTTCAGGATTGTCTCTGACCATACCTCCTCGCTCCATTTTTGCGCGGTCCCTTGATTCTGACCTTGAGGGCCACGAGGGTCGACTTTTGGGGGCTGATTTGAACTCGGGTCTGCCATTGTTCGGAGAGCATAACCGGCGGAAAAGGTTGGAGCTTAAAATTCTCGTGCCTGCATGCGAAGAGGTGGTTATAGCTATTGATGGAGCGGGGTAGGTGAGCGGGGCGGAGCATCCTTGTCGCAGTCACACAGTCTGATTTGAGGCTGACTGAGCGCGAAAGAAGATGAGACACGTAGCTGCATCATGATAAGGTCTAGAATATGCTAATTGATTTGTCGTTATTTGGGCAATTCCTGAGAAGCCTGGGTACGGATTCGCACAGCAGTAGGAAATTACCCAGGTAGCTGAACAGGTAAAGAGCAATGCTTTGGGGGGCATGTTGACAGAATGCCAGCCGACGAGCACCTACCTCACGTCCAAGTGCAGCGCTATTTCCTATCAATGTGTCTTGATGAGGAGAAGGCTCGATCATAAGGGTCCATACGGTTGACGAAGATTTCGCGGGTGAGGGAGAGCCAGGCTGATCGATTGGGCGGGTGGACCTGCACCTCATCAGACCCAGATAACAATCTGAATACGTGATTGGATAATAATCTTAGCTGCGGCTCTGCTCCTTTTTCCAAGAAATTTTGTGTTGATCTTTCGATTTCTGCACTTTCCTGAGCCTCAATTCTTGATCATAATTAGTAGCGAATTTTTTCTTCACCAGCACAATGGCGTTCCTTTTCTTCCTTTTCACTCTCCTCCCATTCGCTCTTCTTGCCACCTCCTCTTCAAGTTTAGTCTCGTCTCCACAAGGCTGCTTTAGCGACGCTGGCGACATGCGAACCCCGGGCCCTTGGCGCTACATGTCAGTCAGCTATTGCAATGATAGCTGTCGGAGACTAGGCTGGGATTTTGCTGGCTCGCAGGGCAAATTCTGTTGGTGCGGCGACTCTCTCCCATCTATTGATTCCGTTGTCCCCGATGACGAGTGCGACGAGCCTTGTCCTGGATACGCAAAGGATATATGTAAGCAATGGATCCTTGACGAGGTTTTTTACTGCAAAAGCTAATGGATTGACTTGTGCAGGTGGTGGAAAGCACAGGTGGTCTGTGTGGGCGATTGGTAGCGACGAGCCGAGCGCATGGTTATCGAGCATGACTGCCATATCGACAAGCACGACAGAGGCATCTACGGCTTCGGAGGCCGTTTTGTCGTCATCATCGGCCTCAGAGACCTCCTCGGTCTCTTCTTCAAGTACCGACACCAATTCGGCATCAACCTTCACCCAAACACCCTCTTTAGCATATGTATCTGAATCCCCGGCGTCAACCTCGACTAGCCTGGGGCCAACGCCAACAGAGAACAGTGCGGCTCGTCGTTACAGTATGTTTTTCTAAACGACGCGCTACAGGTCTATTATGGACAATGGCCTCATGCGACCCTCCAGAGAAACCTCCCATTAAAGGGCGCAAGCGAATGGTTAGACTGGATGAGGTCTACTGTAACCAAGCGCAGGCAGCCACCGATCCCAATGTTTCTTTCTTCTACGCACTTCTGCTGCGCCGATATTCGTGGTAAACGCCGCTTGGCCCGCCATGTGCTTCGCCTGGCTCATCTAGATTGGGCACATTGCGATGACGATGGACACCAACCAATCAGGTGACTAGTGCGACGCAGGCAATTGAGCAGTCTAGCTGTCTACTCCTTAGTAGTAGCGAGATATCCTACAGCACTTTATTCGCAAGTTTCGTAATTCGAGTCTCAAAGCCTAGATCTTTGAATGATTCTATTTTTGAATGGCAGTTGCCTTCTATACTGACGGGTGATTGGCCTAATCGCTAAGGCTAAGTCTCTTACAGTTAGATCCAGCTCGTATGGTCTTAGTCCCTGAAACCTCTCCACAATTCAAGCTTACCTGAAAGATTTAGTGCATCCGATTGCACCACTCACATTCTCTACACATGCATGGCTGATCTCCACAGCCATGCTTCAAGGGACTATAGATGTTTTGCAGCTATTGCTTCTGCCTGATGCCGGTGTGCTAAGTTTATATCTGCGGTCTTTCTCTCAGTCTGCTCATCCAAGAAGCATCCTCAAACCTAACAGCCACCATGAGTGCCACTACTACCACTGCGTCGGCAACAACCTCGCCCAGCAGCACAGCAACATGCATCTCCATGACTCCAAACAATGTCGGCTACGTGCCACCTGAAGGATGCGGGAATATCCTATTGTACGAAGCCAGCTTCGCTGCTGCCGTCTTATTCGCCGTTCTATTCGGCCTCACCACCATTGTCCACATAATCCAAGCTTTCATGTACAAAAAGGTATGATCACCCACTCAACATGCACAACCACACGCACCCACTAACGACTCAAAACCAGCGCTACGCCTGGGTCCTGATAATGGGCTCACTATGGGAACTCCTTGCCTTTATAATGCGCTCCCTCTTCGCCAAGCACCAGAACAAAGAAGCCTACAACACCCCGTTTACAATCCTCTTCCTGCTGGCTCCCATCTGGGTAAACGCCTTCCTGTACATGACGCTCGGCCGCCTAATTTACTTCTTCATTCCCGGTGCGCGCCTCTGCGGGATCCCCGCGCGGCGCTTCGGCCGCATCTTCGTCTGGCTCGAGATCCTGGCGTTTATCGTGCAGCTTGTCGGCGCGATGTTCACGACTGATTCCGAGGCATCAACAAAGACGATTATGCGTGGTGTGCATATCTATATGGGGGGAATTGGATTGCAGGAGTTCTTTATTCTGGTTTTCACTGGGTTGTTTATTCATCTGCAGCGGAAGATTAGTGAGATGGAGCGGGGATCCCACCTGAACAGCGATCCCACCTTCGCCGAGAAGATACACCGCGGCGTCATGCCCTGGCGCTGGCTCTTCTACGCCATCTACGCAGCCCTCTTCCTTATCACGGTCCGAATCGCGTTCCGGCTCGCGCAGTACGCGCGGGGGACGGACGTTGATAACCCTGCGGTCCGGTACGAGTGGTTCGAGTACGTGTGGGATGCGGCGCCGATGTTTATTGCGCTTGTTGTGCTGAATGTTGCTCACCCGGGGCGGGTCCTAACTGGCGACGGTAGTGAGTTTCCGCGGGTAAGTCGGGCGGAGAAGAAGAGGCTTAAGCGGGAGAAGAAGGAGACTAAGGCTGCGGAGAAGGAGGCAAAGAGGAAGCGGAAACATTACAGGAAACATGGGAGTGATGGGATTGATATGCTTGATGTGCAGGAGAGGGGAGTTGCTGGTGGTCCGATATAATCTTGGCGTTACTGCTATGTGGAATAGCGGATGGAGGTAGAGGATATGGTAGCATTATCATAGGGGCAAGATTAGATGGTTATCTTTTTTGGCGTGCATAGGCTCATTGTGCAATTAGCTTGGTTGGTTTATTATAGCGAAACGTGCTTTAGGATATGTACTTGGACTTCTTATTTCTTTTAGAACCATGCCTCTGTCAGCAGCTACTACACATACATGACTCGTATGTCTACAAACTTGTCAATATTCAACGCAACGTAAGTACCTATCAGTAATAGCCCAGGTATATGACTATTCAAGTCGAATCACCATTCTTGATCAAAGCAAATAGCTAATATATCATTTGCTGAACCGAGGAGTAACAACACCTAGCTACCCATTAATATACCCAGGATCCCCCCTCTGCACGATTGTACCGACTCCTGTTGCGATTCCGTAGCAGAGCCCGTAACCTCTTATTTCATTTAATTGATATAGCATGTTCCAATGCTCTTGAATATCCCTGTACGTACCTGGCTCCTTTCCCCGCTGGTCATGTCCGTTGTCACTTTCAGGAGGTCATTTGCGTAGCCCCTCTGTCGTGGGCGCGGCGCAGTTTCGGCGCGCTCCATCTCAAACCGCTTGTGGCTTCTGTTCTTTGCTGATCGTAAAAGTAAAAGAGTCCCAGGACACCCTGATTCTTTATCTCATTCCTTTTGCCGAAGAAAGCGACAGTTGATTAAGCCTGGCGGCCAATGTCTCCTGAAGCCGACACTAGATCATGACCAAGCCACAGACCAGGGTTGTTCTCGAGTCTGAATAAACTTGGCTGCCCACCCATGCATTGTTGAGACAATTACCACGAGAGAACCTCCTCTTCAAACCTTACATTGCCTCTCATATAGACAACTCTAGCCCTCCTCCCTTCTTGCAGCCTCCCATCAATCGTCACGCGCGCCTCAGGCGGGATAGAAACCGGTGTATACACCGCACCCACATCAAGCCCCACCGCCTGTTCTTCATGGCGAGCAATCTGGCGCGCCAGGCGAGAATATAGATTCGAGTCCCATACGCCTTCGCGCCGGTTGCTCCGGCCGAGGAGGTCGATGGCACGGTAGCGGACATGAGAATCTCGGCAGTGCGTTGCTATCGTCCAGAGCGCTGGGATAATACCAAGAGATATTGAGAAGCGTGATGGGGTGGTGTGTAGTGGGCGCGGGAGGATTGGGGCGTATGTTATGGGCTGCGAGAGTTCGTGCTTGGGGGCTATACTCGAGGATGGGGGCGAGGGCGATAAGGTCGAGATGCGCTCGCCTGGCGGACTGCGGGAACCAGAGGGTGATTCCACGGGAGGAGACATGGCGATGATCTCCTCTGCGAGGCCCAGCATGGCAGTGAACTCGGCGACATAATTATCCCAAACGGTCTCACTCAGAGTCAACCCCGTTTGCAGAACCACGCCCACCATGCTGCGCCATAACTGTAGCATACGAACCAACTGTTGCGATGCGCGGTCTGCGCTGTTCCAGCAGAAGAGGTTAGCTAAGAAATACTCGAAATTTAGCGTCCATGCGTCAATATCCTCCTGAACCTGCCGATACCGAGCCAGAACCTGGTCGGTGAGGCGCGCCGCCTCCATGTCTGTCTGGGGCTCTTCGAGCTTGTCCGCAAAGCTGAAAAGACGCAAGAAATCATTGTATATGGGGCGAAAAGAGTCATTGGCCTCTTCGAGCGTCCATAGGGTTTGTTGCGGGTGGCCAAGGCCCCGTATCAGTGGTCCAATGCCATTCGAAAGAGGCGACTGTCCATCAATTTCCAGCATCTGAGCTTCCAAGCCGGCGAACATGGAATGGATCACATTTAGAGGCAAAAGCGCGTTATCCACCAACCGTCCTTCTAGTTGCTGCTGGGCGAGAATACGCAACCCCGCGGCGCCGTGCCGCAAGGCCGCTCGGAAGTGACCCTGCAGACTCTCAAAGCAGAAGAAGAGCACGCACATGGACAGAATACCGTCTGCTGAAACATCTGCGCCGTCGCGAGGAAAATAGTTCAGTCCTCGTCGAATAGCCGAGTTGTACTGCTGCAGAGCGAGCTGCATGCCCCTCGTATGGACATGCGGGAGCGTTTCCTCACGGTACAGTACAAGGCGGTGCATAGTTCCCAGCGCAATAGCAGCGAGTCGGATTCCGGCGTCGTGGCATGCGGCGTTGAGTAAACTCCCTCCGGCCCGAGCTCCGAAACACGAGATGGTCTGGGCGTGGAAGAATTCCAACGAGCGGTACTCATCTTCATTGAGCATCTTGTTTACTGCGGGGAACATCCACATGTGCGTTGGGATAGTCACCTGCGGCGTATGCTGGATGATGCGCAGCTCAGGGGAGGCCTTTCTCGCCTGTTGCTGCTGCTGCTTCTGTTGTGGTGACAGGTATCCATCGCATTTTCGACCCGTCGACCGACATCGTCGACAGTGCGGCCGTTCTTCATCACATTTCACCCGTCGAATTCTGTGAGCAACACAGTCATTCCCTCGTTTTTCCCTGGTAAACCCGCCGGAAATGGCTTACCGACAAGTAATGCACCCAGTCCGGGATCTGCTCGGCCGATTTCCCGTCATAATCAGGTAGGTCCTTTGGCGTCGGAGCGAATGCTGCGGGATTGACAATGAGTTGCAAGACGAAAAATAGTTACCTGATGCGTCAACGAAGACTTCAGCGATTAAACTGCGTTTGGCCCCCTTTCTTAGTCAGCCGCTCCTCTTCTAGTTCGTTACCTGACCTAATCGTCTCTATAGCCAGATTCTGGTGGTTGATGCAATATGAATACCCCATGGAGTTCTCTGATACAAGAACCGCCAACATGGGTCCGGGGAAATAGGCACTTCCAGCGGCGCCGGAGCTGCTGTAAATGCATGGTCATGCAATGGCGCTGGTCCCAACGGGTGGGTAATGCTAGGGTCGACTGGACTTTCGCTACTGGGTATTTATACTTTGCAAGATGATGAGGAAATTACCATGATAATCCTATCCACCTAATATTAAATAAACATCACGCTTATTCGCACCAGAAACAAGCATATATTAGCACATGGGCTCTAGCGCTAGTGGAGGGTGGGGGCTCTGTTCTCGAGGAAATATACGAGCAATGAGTGTTACAAGGCTGGTAAGGGCTAAGTGAGTAGTATACCATAAGAGCAAGAAGTTAGGGAAATATGGTAGAGTAATAACATACCGCCCCCTTTTAACTCTTTTCAATTTCACTCTTTATCAGCCAGCGCTGGCAAGTGCATAGTATCTATGGCAATCACTTGTGAACTTGCTGAGTGCGAGATGTCTTCAAGGGGCAACAGTGAGCGTGGGGGCGGAATTGGGGAAATGAGCATATAGACGAATAGACCAATGGGAGCGCTTGGTTGTGAATAAATTAAGGAGATTAAATGAGCCTCAATACCATAAGACTTTTCAGCTGGCCGTTGTATTTTCTTGTCAAGATAAAGCTGACCCTTCGTTTCTTTCACCTCTCTCTCCTCCATCTCTCACTTGGCTTAACCTAACCCTCCTATCAACGAGTATGTCGCAGTCTAAGCTTAGTCCTGTCCTCATCACAGGGGGGAATGGCTTCACCTCCTACCACATCATCGACAAAATCCTCACCGAAGAGCCTGACTGTATCATTCACTCACTAGACGTGACAGTAGACCGCAATCGCCATGACAATCCCAACGTCCACTACCACCTCGCAGACCTCTCCTCGGCAGAGGACGTACAGCGAGTAATGGGGCTCGCAAAGCCCGTCACAATATTCCACACCGCATCCCCCGAGTTCTCCGACGCCCCAGTCTCCGCCTACCGCAGCATCATCGTCGACGGCACACACCATCTTATCGAGGCCGCCGTCAATATTGGCACCGTCCGCGCACTCATCAACACTTCAACATCAGGCGTCATAAACGATAACCACACCAACCTAATTGATGCCACAGAAGAAAGTCCCATCTTACGCCCGCCGCAGCAAAAGCGCCTCTACTGCATCGCCAAAGCCGACGCCGAAGACGCCATCCACGCTGCAAACCGCAACGGGGGCACCGATGACAAGGGCATCCTCACCTGCAGCATCAGGCCGTGCCTCGCATTTGGGGAGCGCGACGTCGGTGCCTTAGGCAAGATGATCGATGTCGCCCGGCAAGGTCGATCGCGGTTTCAGATAGGTGATGGCCAAAATCCATATGACTTCGTGTATATCGGCAACCTCGCTGATGCGCATCTGCTCGCCGCGCACGCGCTCCTCGATGCTTGGGGCAAGCCTCGTCCGACAAACGATCCTGTCGACGGCGAGCGGTTCAATATCACCAATAACGACCCATGGCTGTTCTGGGACTTTCAGCGCGCTGTCGCTGCGCATACGGGGAACCCTGTTCGGCCGGAGGATGTTGTGGTCATTCCCAAGTGGGTTGGGCTGACAATGGGCTTTGTTAGTGAGTGGATTGTGTGGGCAATATCCTGGGGCACTCGAACTCCTAATATGACCCGAGAGGGCATTCGCTTTAGCACCCTGATTCGTACGCTCAATATGGATAAGGCGAAGAGGGTGCTTGGGTACCGGCCAAAAGTCGGTATGCAGGAGGGGATTGAGCGGAGTGTGCGGTGGTTTATGGAGCAGAATGACGTAGCGCCGTAGGTTCTGAATTCTACGTATTGTCTATACCAGTCGTAATCTTTACTGAGGGAACCTCCGCCACATAATAATATAGAAAGACATTATTATTAGCTTGCCGCTATCGGCGTATATAGATCGGAATTCGGGAGTTTGGGAACGGAGAACTGCCGAGTCTCCACTACCCGATATCATGTGCTTCCCCAGCTTTTTCAAACTGACCGGAATTCATCCAGTCACCATTCATAATTTCATGATTACTGCCTTGATTTACCAAAGTGCTAGTCCTGCTTTTTGGCCTTCATACGTTCTTTTTCATATTATTAAGCGGCTTATGCGGGTGAGTGTGTTGACTGAAGGATCGCAGCTTAGCCTCCCAGCGCATACTTGCGCCACAGCTTCAAAATAATCGTATAGTCTCCAAACATTATGAGAACCAAATTGTCTGCCCAAATTGACCCTTTAAGCGCAGTCATCGCAGTATTAGCATCCCTGTGATTGGCATGTTGCTTAATGCATACCCCATACTCACAGCTTCCTCCCCGGCGAAATACGATACAGTACCCCAGATCTTCAGCCACGGAGGGCTATCCCCCGGTATCTTACCGTGACCTGACGGTATCAATTAGAACCGGGCATTCCCCTCACCCCAACTCCGCCGCGGCTTTCACCAATGCGGCGTCGCCCGTTTTCATCATTCTCCATCCATCTCCTCCTCCCAGTTCCCACCGCTTGCTGCGCAAGTCCTTCTCCAGTAGCTCGTGCTACGATATGCCTCCAACTTGTTAATTGAAACTTCGTTTATCACCCTGCCCCTCGCCCCGCGAGTCCACCATGGTCATCAGAAAGTGCAACATCTGTGACCGTCGCTTCAAGAAGACGGAGCATTTCAAACGCCATGAGCGATCGCGTCAGTTCCTCGATTCTATAATTGCTTCTACTGCTGACAATTCATCAGATACCAAGGAAAAGCCCTACGAGTGCAATGTCTGCCACAAGCGATTTTCCCGAAGGTGGGTAGCCTCCACTTCTGCCCTGCACAATGCTAAATACCACCTGCAGCGATGTCCTGAGCCGCCACGCAAAAGGCCACAATACAAACGGTACATCGGCGAATGCGGCAAGCTCGACGCAAAATAAACCCCGCGCTCCCTCCATCGCTCAACCCTCCAATTCCCAGCCAGCGCCGACTCCCATCGACCCCTCCCGCTTCCTCCCCATGGACGCGGGCGATGCTCATAACCACGGCCTCCCCGTCGCCCCAAATCTCCCTTCTTCTTCGTTAGATTTTCTCGCAGACATCTCCGCCCACCATGCGCGAACGGAACCGGACGTCAATGTCAATTCGATGATCGTCGAGGAGCAGCAGGCCTACTTCGGCTGGAACGAAGTGGCCGCTCCCCCGCCGCCGCAGATGGCCCCTACCGCAGCGGACCAGCAAGCGTACCGGACGCCAATGTTCGATCCCGTGCCGAATGATATGCTGCAGTTTTGGTTGGAGCCGCGCGGAGATACCGCGTCGCATCACGGCTCGCTTGATATGATGGGGGACGCTAACTTTAGTCTCATGGGCGAGAATGTTGCGATTACGCCGGAGCAGCATGCGCAAATACAGCCGGACGAGCTGAGTGGCAAATCCACTGGTGATATCCCGAATGAACGGTTTGCAAGAGTTCAGCGGTACTGGCTTGCTCCGTCCAACACCACAGGACGGCTCATGAACAGTTTATGGCGCGATGTGGCCTGCAGCGAAGTGGACAACATCTTTTCCTTGCACTCGTCGCACTCCTTCAGCAGTCCGTCGGGACTCCTTCCGGGATCGAGGTATGGTTTGGACGAGGAATGCCGTCAGCAATTGCACGCGGCATTTGGGAATATTCGCGGCGGAAGCCAGTTACACTCGCCAAATAGTGCGCTCTCACCTACGTCGAATTCGACATTCGGCGGCCGTCCGAACTTCCCTCCAGCTGAGATTCTCGATATGGCGCTCGACTTGTACTTTCGCAATTTCCATCCGCTCGTTCCTTTCGTGCATGTTCCGACCTTTTCCGCGAAAAATACGCGTCTTCCAGTGTTATATGTTATGTGTCTTATCGGGATGATTATGCTGGGGACAAAAGGCACGACGACTTTTGTGTCCAAGAACTTTTCCGTACGGCATCTGCTATCACTTTCACTAGCCATTGCTAATACCCGACAGTTCGTCCTAGAGAAAATCACAACAGAGCTAACAAAGTGCTCTGTGGGTGTTGAGAGCACCATGGGCACGATGAACACATTCGCGGCCGCATTTCTCTTTCTCAACCTAGCGGCAATGACCGGGGTACGATTACTTTTCCGGGGTTGATGGTTCGTTGGCTAACGAAACACAGGAGAAGGAACATCTCGAAAAGTCACAGATGCTTTACGTGAACCTCATGTCGGTATGTTCTATCATTACTCAGATCTTTCCATCTCCCGGTCTTCTTGTACTCATGTGTCTAGATCGCCCAACGGCACGGCCTGTTTGCCGCCACGGAGGGTCAAATCCTCGATATAACGCTCTTTGAGGCTGTTCCTGATATTGATATCCGTTGGAAGACGTGGAGCAAAGTCGAGTCAGTCAAACGGTATGTTTGCTCATCGCTCTTTCCTCATTGTACTGCACCGTCCATCGCTCTTTCCCAGTCATATGCCCCTATCGTGCCCTCCCCGTTAGGGGGTTTATGTTTCTCTCCGCTTAATGAAGGTGCGATGGACACGACGCGGGTAGCTCCTTCCTTCTTCTACACGGTCGTGCCATCCCAATCGGGGTGTTTACGTGTCCTATTAAGGAAGGTGCGATGGCCATGGTGACGGTTGCTCCTTCCTTCATCTACGCCGTCGTCCCTTCCTAATCCGGGTACACCCTTATTTGCTCAAGGAAGGTGCGATTGCCATTATGCAGATCGCTCTTTCCTAGTCCTGTCACCGTCCATCGCTCCTTCTTCATTCTGCACGCGCTCAGTCGTGCCTTCCATGTTAGAATCCATGTCGTGGTAGGGAAGCTGCGATAGGCGCTGTCAGTCGCTCCTTCCTTATCCGATTACGTCCCCATCGCTCCTTCCTAGTTTTACCCCCATTGTGCCTTCCCTTCCAGGTTGCTATCTATACCTTCTCTTCCAGGGAAGGTGCGATGACTATTATGCCCATTGACTTTTCCTACTTTTAAATCGCTGGAGCTTCTCAACTAACCAATCAGACTGATCACTGGGCTCCTCTTGTTGGACTCGTGGTATTCGTCCTTCCTATCCACAAGCCCCATCATCGTCCCTGACTCGATCCAACTCATTCTCCCATGCAACGAAAGTCTCTTCAAAGCCAACGGTTCCATGCGATGGACGCAGATGGTCCGCACCGGCAAGCGCCTCCTCATGCCCACCGTCATGGCACCGTCAGAAAACGTAACCATCCCTGCACTCGACAACCCCGTCGACGACTTTTGCATCCACGGCGTGCTAGCAATGGTCCAACTCCGCCTCTCAGAAGCATACCACCGCCTCCTCTCAAACAGGGCAAGCTACCCGTTTGCCCCCTGTCACACCTACGCCATGGACGGCCGCGCCCGATGCCTCCCCTCCCTCCAATTGCAAATCGCCGACAAATACGGCGAGGTGCTGGAGCGCCTGAACCCCAACGCCGCAATCATGTGGCACAACATCTGCATGACGCTCACAGCCGACACGCAAATATTCGACCTCGCCGCCGGCCGCGCGGGAGCCGGCCCCGCCCGAAAGGCCCTCGACGACATTGCGACCTGGTCGCAGACCCCTGCCGCGCGACGCGCCTGCCTCCACGCCGCACATATCTACAAGGCCATGACAAACCGCAAGGCCTCCGACCACACCATGTTCCACTCCGTCTTTTCTCTCTTCTCCGCGGCCCTCGTGCTCGGGTTGTACATCTTCATGGTGCCCAGTCCCAGCGAGCTCCAGGTCGGCGGGACATCTATCGAGCTTCTCGATGATATCGACTGGGAGCGCGTCGGGACAGAAGGCTTCACGAGCTTCATGGAGCCACGCGGGACGCAGTCGTTTACGCCGTCGGATGACCCCGCTGTGAACTTTATCCGGAATGGAGGCACGGTGTATTTCCGGGGCGTGCCCTTCCAGGGCGGGTATCAGTCTGCGAGGAGGATTCTGTTAGATTATGCGGGGCTACTCAAGGATGCGGGGAAGTGGAGCGTGCGGAAGTTCTCGTATGTGCTTCATATTATGAGTGATGTTCTTATGGAGGTTGAGTGAGCGGCAGCTGGTCTGCATCAACCTCTATAGACTGGAACCCTGGCCAGATGGCTCCTGGTCTCAAAACCGTCTGCTGGCCAGACGAATATCTTATAATATGGACCTCGCGATACTAACGGCCTCATGTACGACTACTTATACATATATTCCATGATACCAAAAATGATATGCCTTTTCCTCGCAATGACGAACGATCAGAACAGTGGAGAACTAAACAAGACTCCGCTCCTTCACACGCGTAAACAGCGTATCCAGTTCTTCCGCCGAAGCATCCACCCCAGGAACATCCACGTTGCCCTCCACATTATTAACCAGATCCTCGCTCCCATGTGGATCGCCCCAGAGCACGACACGCGGACAGCCGTGGTAGCCCTCCCCATACCATAGCGCTTCGCCGTGTCTATGGTTATGTCCGTGGCCATGCAGATCATCTCCATCCTCATCTATCTCCCCCTCACTCGCAGAGCCACTACTGCTCTCCCCTTCACTAAAAACCCTAACCTCTTCCTTACCACGCACATCCCCATCCGCAGAGCAATCTCCGCCGCAAACCTCAACCCTATCCCCCGTCGTTTCACAATACCTCCCCAAACAAATCCCATTACATTTCGCACCGGGAACATGCAACACATCCCTCAGCACAAGCGTATTCATTCGATCCTCATCGGGGCTCGGCCCCCGACGAACCTTCAACTCGACGGTGCCTACGCCCAACACTCGCCTCCCCGCGATCTTCGTCGGTGCGCGCTGGTACGTGCAGAAGGAGGAGCGGTTCTTCGCCCAGTGCATTGTTCCTGACGGGGTTAGGAGCCAGGTGAAGCATCTTTTGGTGTTGCTTTCGCTTGGGGCGCTGTTTCTTTTTGAGGCCGGATGGGGTGTGGGAGGGTTGGTGGTGGTACGAGAGCGAGGGCGCGGGTGACTTCGTTTGGTCGGGTTGGAGGGTTTTGGGGAGGGCTTTGGCGCTGGATTCAGGTTGTCGTGGTCATGGTGGGTGTAGTAGGGGTGGTGGTTGTGGTGGTATCGGTTGTGGTGGTATCGGTTGTGGTGGGATTTTATCGATGTCATTGTCGTGGTTAATATGCTGTATAGGTCGGCCTCTGTTATCGAAAATGCAACAAACAAATGGACATGAAGTAGTGGTAGGAGAGAGTATGAGGAAGGTATGAATACAATAAAAGTAGGTCTTTAACGTGAGAGAGATATACAGGGCAAATTCGTTATGGACCTGCTCTGTCAAACGTACACTGTAGATAACTGGTTCGTGGCGAATCGATATGCTTCGAGCATACATCGGATGTAGGTATCCACGGTTGTGTCGCTTTCCACATGCGGCCACCCCACAAACAGTCAACAACGGCTATTGGGCGTGCCCGCCATGAGGTATTTCTTCGATGTGTTCTAGACTTCGTGGTGGCCGTGTGTCTTGACGTCAAGCGTGGCGAGCTCGATCCACCGGACGCATAAGCTTCGCTAAGCTTGTGTAGTTGCGTTTCTTTGTGGTTCAAGCTGTCTAGGCGAACTCCCTAAAGCTGCGTACAGCCAATGTATGTATATCCGCTGATGCTTGAAACTATATGTAGTAAATGTTCTCTGGTATCATCGATAAAGAATCCCGTCCACAACCTCCGCAATAGCCAAACAACTCGTTAACCCAGGGCTCTCAATGCCCAACAGATTCACAAACCCTGGGAACCCCTCTTCCTCCTGGATGACAAAATCCTGAAACCCCTTGCCCGTATTCACTGATCCACCCTTGGACAATTTCGGCCGGATCCCGCAGTAGCTCAGGCTGATCGCCTCGGGATCGATATTCGGAAGATATGCCTTGATCTCAGGGATAGCAAGGTGCAGCCGCTCAGGGCTCGGCTTGAGATCGTTCGGGTCATCGACCCATTCCACGTCTGGCCCGAAGCGGATTTGCCCGCCCATGTCGAGCGTCAAGTGCGTTCCTAGCCCGCCGTGTCCGGGTAAAGTAGCCGGGTATACGAGGACGGAGGGAGCGCGCGTCGGAAACGAAGCCGCGTACGAGAAATATGTCCCCTTTGCATAATACGGCTTGCGATGCCGTGACTCGGGAAGGAGCATATTGTTGATATTGCACGCAGAGTTCCCGGCACTGTTTATCAGCGTCTCTGCAACAATCGATGTCGTCTCCATTTCCTCGCCGCTCCCCGACCGCGCCGTAATCCTATATCCATCACTACCCCCATTCAGCGCCTCAATCCCGACAACCTCCGTCAGGAACGCGCAGTCCCCGCCTTTATCTTCAAAATCCCCCTGCAGGTACGTCATGAGCGCGTGGCTGTCCACGATCCCCGTGGTCTCGCTCTCGAGGATGCCCGCGCGGGCGCGGACTTCGGGCTCGCGGCGAGCTGCCTCGGAGCTGCTTACCATGCGCGTCGGGACGTCGAGCTGTTTCGCGATCTCGTGGACTTTCAGTGTAGCGTCCCATTGTTCTTCATTCTGCGCGACGACCCATTTCTTCGTGTTGCGGTGCGGGATGCCGTTTCGGGCGCAGAGCTCGTAGAGGAGGTTCTTGCCGCGGATGCAGAGGTGTGCTTTTTGGGTTGTTGTGCCGTAGTAGAGGCCTGCGTGGATTACCTAGTTCGTATCTTGTCAGAGATGCCTATCAAGTGTGGTGGAATGGGCGAGGGTGAGTTGGTATGTACCTCCGAGTTCCGGCTGCTTGTCTCTGTGCCGGGGGCATCATGTCGTTCAAGGAGAATGGTGGATGTGTTTGGGCGCGAAGCGAGTTGGCGGGCGACTGCGAGGCCGACGACGCCACCGCCAATGACCTATACCCGAGTTTATAGTGAGCGACTGGGCCATTGTCGCGAATATGGATAAGGGAACATACCGCGTGGGTGACGTCGGCGGAGGAAATGCGGGAGGTGGAAAAGTGACGGCGGGGAAGAAGACTCCGGCGGAGGGAGAGGCTCGCTCGCGTAGCGGTTGCCATTGAGGGGCGGACTCGTGTTGGAAATCAAATTGATCTAATAATGGTATCTTATTCTCATACTTTGAGTGTTTTTGAGGGTTGAAGTTGGGGAAAGTGAGGAGCTGGCGATAAGATAGGTCGAGTCGGGTTGCTTTGCGTGTTGAAGGTGGAGTCGGTCAAGTTCCGATCCTGTACTTACTTACTTTGGAGCCGAGCATACAATGCCAATTTGCAGGATTTTCTAGGTGAGACGATCAAGTTTTCCGTGTTTACGTCGTAGAGCGCTCTAAAAAACACTTATCTTATATACTATGCTTACTTTGTCCTACCATTCTTATACATTTTACCAGAACTAGAGTCTAGCAAGGCATATATTTATATATTCCATAGTATCACCACCATCTGAAACTGATACTTCAGTTTCAAGGATTGCGTGATATGCGTAATACCTCCACGTGCGCCGGAAGTATCTTACTGTGCACCGTAAACAGAAAATACTACGTGTTGTCGGCAGAGTTGTGTGCTGAGGTTTCGGAGCCGCAGGTAGGAAGCATTTGCAGGTTGCCCCAGGTATATACATTATGACGCTCATTTGCGCCGATTCTATCGTCAGTCTCCATATGATACATAACCATCCTCCGCGTTGTACGTACATCGCGTGTCTATGTCCAGATATATCGGGAATATTGTGAGGCCAGAACGTACTCGCACCGTCTAACCGCGTCGTCCCACGCTCTTGAGCATCTCTTCAAAGTGCTGTCAGAATTAGTATCGTGCCCCGTTTGCCCAGAGTTAGAGAGGGTAGCTCACCTGCTTTCGTTCCGTTGCTAACTTGCCTTGCGTATCCTGCCGTGCTGTTAGCGCTGCCCCAGCAATAGGAGCGGCCACTTACGCTAATTATGGTCATTATCAAAGAATAGTTATTGTAGAGGAAACGCTCTCTCCGCTTCGCATCCCCACCGATTCGGCTGAGTTTGGTCAAGAGACCGTCGAACTCGGTCGTTAGCCGTGCAAGACTGTTTGCTACAGGCTCATCGTCGCCTGCCTCGCTACTGAGCACGAGGATACCATGTAGCAACTGGCCAAAACGCTGGGTGAGAAAATGAGGTGCGGAGGATTGGTTTAGGTCATCACCGCCTGCAAGAGACAAAGCAGAGACCGCACTGCGGCCTGTGTTTGTGCCTATTCGCTTCAGTGATTCGCAATGCGTGTCCATAATGACTTGGAATCGGGGCCAAAGAAGCATATTGATCCCGTTGATGTAGGAATCTGCGACTGGCACTTTCCGCCGCTGTAGCTCAAATGCAGCCTGCTGGTTTAGTCGTACGCACATCAACACGCCCAGAGAGTCTGTGGTGTTCTCAACCAGTTGCTTGGCTAGCCCTTGGCCAAGGGAAAAGATGGAGCTGAAAACCTCGGAAGCCTTTCGCGAAATTTGTTGGAATGACATGGTAGAGAACATCTCAGTCATGAAAGAATACTCAGCGGCCACGTTATCCACAAGTGCAAGGTTGAAGTTTCGGAAAGGAACCTCGATGCCATGGAAGGATGTATCCTCTTCCGCCAGGTATGAGGATATGGCAATTTGATTGCCCGTTCGTAGAATGTCTATTCGTCGGCCGAGAGAGAACGGATCATGTGCAGCTGCGCCAGTTCGGCCACCAGGAACCATGTTGCCTGTATTGCATTAGACGCCATCGGTAACTAGTAGAAATAAAAACCGACCTGATTTCTGAGCACTCGGGTCTCCTCCTAGAATTTCATTTCTGTCACTAGGGTAGATCTTGATCTTTCCCACCGCTTGAAGGTAGCGGCTAAAGTGTGAGTGATAGTACCAACGCATCGTGTTGATATACGCTTGGGTGATTTCCCCAGCCAGCGCTGGATGGGCTCTTGAGATGTAGCTATACAGGTCCTTGTAACGAACCAGGCGCTGTTGCTGAATGATTTGGGCGTTGATATTGGGCGATCGCAATGCCCGCACCTGCGAAACCAAGTAATCTCGAATTCTTTCAATGGCCTGACCCGAATTAGTATCCGTATCAGAACAGCCATCGCCAAACTAACCTTCTTCTTTATATCTTCCAATAGCGGCCGCACGTCGTCAATAGCCTTAGTAGAGCTAGAGCTGGCAATCTTCGACTCAATGCTCGCTGTACGCGATTCGATATCGTTCAGTGCCCTGACCCAGTTCTCGTCAATAGGCCCCTCGACGATCATTCGAACTGCAGCTGGAGAAATACTAATCTCCTCCACAGCGGGCCCTAGCAGTTGTTCGACGTTCCTGCGGTTCTCAAGCATGGCATTGAGCTGCACGGATCGAGTCTGCAACGTCTCAATCTCCGCAGATACCGCCCCTAGTTCATTCTGGAAGTCATTCAGGTACAGCTCCACCGACTTTGATACATCATCGCAACCAGAGATCGCAGAGTGTAGGTCCTGAAACTTGTCCCTCTCCTTCTCGAACTGCTGGATTGTTTGGACGCCGATATCACTAGCCCCAGATTTGGCGGGTTTTTCAATTTTTTGCGCAAACTCCTCCAGGCTTAACTCTCCGAAGTCAATGTCTTCCACCAACTTGTCTGGTTTGGCTGCTGGAGCTGATCCCCGAACGGCTTCAGTCTTGGTTTCGCCATTGCGCCTCCGAATAATTCCGTTCAAGACTTCCAGCGGATCAGCGACGTTTGTTGGGCGTGTCCTTGCGGCATCATTCTGTCTAGTCTCAGGGCCGTCCGTGCCACGTATCGTCGGTAACGAGGTGGATGAAGCGTTCGGGGAAACCAAAGCTGACAGCGATGACCCCGGTCGACTGAGTCCGGGGCGACTGTTTTGGTGATTCGGCGAAAGGCGGGATGAGGATCTTCGGGGAATTGGAGAGGGGCCGCGACTATCAAACTGGGGTCCGGATGGTGTCGAATGGCCGGCGATGCGGTCGAGCCACATGTTGGGAGCAGCTTACGCGGAGAAGCTGCGCGGAGAGGAAATCATGAACGAGGGAGCATGTTCCGGGGGAATTGAGGAGTACGGGGACTACTCAAGCGTCAAACTGCATGCAAGAGAGTAGAGTGAACAGACACGAGGAATGTGGAGTTGTCCTCGTACGATGCTTGAAGCTCAATGTTGTCCCCATGGACCGGATTATCTTGCTCAACGGAGGAGCCGTCAGGAGGGAGAAACTATCTGCAAAGGATTAGCGCAGTGCCAAACTAGGCTAGGCCGCATTCAGTGCTAGCGACTAGACCCCGCCACAACAAGGCGGCGATTTGTCGATTTCTTTTCGTGGATTTCCCCTCCTTGTGCTGCCCTTCATATTTTTCTCTTCTTCTCCTCTTCCCATCCTCAAAAGCAAATCCTCATCCTCTCTTTCTTTTTTGTGTCTTTTCTCGGGTCCTCCTTGTGAATTCCTTTAGCAACTATCACCATGGCTGACGAGGTACGGCTCCTGTTCTATCTTGCTTCTCTGCAACTCCCCGTGGAATTCTGCCCTGTCCCTCATACCTGCATCTATCGCTGGGCTCGAAGTATCGGGACACAAGAATCCCCTTACCCCACCCGCATCCCATGACTTCCATCGCTACGAAGAAAGCAGATGTATTAGCACATTTGCGTTTTCTCATCGGCAGCGGATGTACTGAATAGTTCAAACCCCTCGATACTAACTTTCCGGTCTTAGCATGATGTTACCTTCGAGTCCGCCGACGCTGGCGCCTCGGCCACCTTCCCCATGCAGTGTTCCGCTCTGAGGAAGAACGGTTTCGTCGTCATCAAGGGCCGCCCCTGCAAGATCGTCGACATGTCCACCTCCAAGACCGGTAAGCACGGTCACGCCAAGGTCCACCTTGTCGCCATCGACATCTTCACTGGCAAGAAGCTTGAAGAACTGTGCCCTTCCACCCACAACATGGACGTCCCCAACGTCACCCGCCGTGAATACCAGCTTGTAAGTAGATGTCGCTGGATACGCGCACCAACTTGGTACTGACACGCCCGCGCTAGCTCGACGTTACCGACGATGGCTTCCTCTCCCTCATGGACGACAACGGTGGCACCAAGGATGATGTCAAGGTTCCCGATGGTGAAGTTGGTGACAGAATCAACAAGATGTTCACTGATGAGGGCAAGGACTGCAGTAAGTTCTATTTTATGCTCCCATGCCGTGACTATGTTGACTGACATCCCCGCAGACGTCGTTATCTTGACCGCCATGGGTGAGCAGGCTTGCATGGAAGTCAAGGAGGCTCCCAAATAAAGAACCATAGTGTCTATTTATTGTGGCATCAGCCCTGTTGGTTTCAAAGGCGTGTTTCATGAGTTCCCCTTGAATCAGAGGATGATGCTCCATTTTGGGCAGAGTATGACATGACTGTTGATTACCCTATCAGTGTAACCTTGGGCGTGCTCTGTATGCAGACTAGTCGCATTTGTTGGCAGGTCAGGCATGCTTTCAGCGGGACAGTCCTGAGCCCCGTACTCTTACGATTGTTTGACGAATAAAAAACCCCTTCTTGAAGCCATTATTGTTCACTTTGTAAATTCGTAGTATGTAGAAAAAAAATCGCTCCGAAGGCTATATATGTATGAAAAAAGAAGGCTATAGCTGTAGTGTCAAAACCGATTTGTCCCCATTACTAAAAGCAGAGTGACGGTTGGTGCTCGAAGCTTTGCAGTCGGAATCTATGGATCATCGTCAATTCAAAATCTTGGAACAGCAATCCTCACCCAGATTTATCCGGTGCAACACTCGGGCGCAAAAGGCGATGCCTTGTACACCCCATATTTCACGACTATGATAATGAAGCACATTTCCCCTGATGGAATACATCACACGAGAGCCTTGCGGCCAGGATGGGTGCCGTGAAACTCGCTTTTACCTTGACAACGGTCTGTGGTTCTGCAGACGCGGCCACCAGCAGCTGGTAACTCACTCCTTTCGAGCGCCACAACGAAAACTCTATCTTTACTCCTCATCATACGATCGCTCAACTAACACCTAGTCGCTAGGGCCGACAAGTAGAGGAAGACCCCGACGATTTCGGGACGCAGGGCAAGACAAACCGGGTGAAGAAACCCGTTGTCGAAAAGACGCAGAAAAGTATGTCAATCTGCATCTGTCTATTGGTCCACTTTCTGACGAGGAGCAGAATACCGTGGCCGTCAGGCTCATCGCCTCTATCTGCATATTTATCAATTTATCCTCTTCAAGCAGTGCCATGCTTTGGTCAACGAGCGAGGTTTTCCTCCACAACTACAGGTGTGTTGTCCTCTTTGATGCATCCTCTCGCAGAGCTAACAAATTATCTCAGAATGTTGTCCGCGATCTCTGGGCCCTCCGCTTGGAGACCTATGCTTTTAAAATCGCTGATCCCGCTGATGAAGACTCGCAACCCGAGTATTTCAGTTCCCAGCCGACTAGTGCCCGTGAAGACACGGATACGGAGGGGTTCAAGGCGCGCGGCAAGGTTGTTCAATGGCCTCGCCTCATTGATACACTAGGTCTTTGCTACCTTGCAACTCTGCTCATGAGGCTTCCTGTGAAAATTGCGGACTTCCACCGGTATGCTTATTGGGATATGTTGCATGCTGTACTTTTCTAATTGTTATCCAGGCTGGCCACGCGCAACGATATACCTTACTATAGGGTGTTGAATACTATTCCGCGCGATATGAGAGAAAAGCTGCCGCAGCAGTACATGGCTCTATTTGAGACTACGGTATGATGCCAACCACTTACAGTAACTTCGGGCTGATATCAAATAGAGCCTTCTTAAATGTGAGGATCTCCATGCGGCAGTCTATGACCTCGTGTCTTACTATCGTCGCCGGTTTGAGATGCAATTTCCGCCGTTGAATGCTCCTGCTCTGTTCTACAGGCTTATTAGGAGACTCGCACTGCCAGGTACATTCTAGCGCCCCAGATTTGCGCTCTTCTCACTAATAATCTCCTAGTTGACATATATCCCGCCACAAAAACACTCCAGACACTACTTGGCTTCACGTTAGAGTACCCAAGCAGGGCCGCCGGAAAAAGAAAACATCTTGACATGCCTGAACTCCAGCTGGCTACTCTTGTTGTCATTGCAACGAAGCTGCTGTTTCCGTTCGACGGCCTTCAACGCCACCCCACTTCTACGCAGGAGCCAGCTGCTCAGACAATTGACTGGAAAGCTTGGGCAGAATTGCAGCAGCGCTTCAACAAACGAGATGCCGCGGCCGGGCGAATCGGCAAGGGCAACGAGATTTACGTCCTTGATCAAGATGTATGGGCGATGAACACAAAGCAGCTGGATGAGTACATGGATTGGTACGAGAGCTCCTGGCTTGACACCAGCAAAGAACCTGGTCCACTCGATCCGTTATTCCCGCTCGGTTCAACCGCCAGAGAGAATAGACCAAGTACATCTACAGAGCAAGACAATGTAGAGGACGCGATTGACGCTATGCTGAAGAAGACTTCGCATTTCCTCCAATCCCGGCCTGTTGTTGGTGACGCAGACGAGGACATACCAAGGCCGGGTTCGCATAATGCGCGTTACAGGACGAAATCAGAATTACCACGCTCAGCCCGAGTGTTCTACAAAACCGCGGCTCAAGTTACGGGAATTGCTTTGGAGACGCTTGTTCACTGTGTTAATCAGGCTGAGGTTCAGATCTTGAAGCGGTGGCAGGAGCAGAGGCGTATCGAGCATTTCGCCGCGCAGTCGATGGTCGAGTTGGAAGATTCTGATACTGATGAAGATATGGACCGTGAGTCGGAGGATTCTGATATTGACGAGGACATGGCAAAGCTCCGCAAACAGGAAGATATAGGCAGAACTGCTAGTAATGAATAACTTCTCTTCTCTGGCAGCCTTGAATTACCGGAATTAAACAAGATGCCTCTTCTATGGAGCAGCCGATGAGATCAGCAACGGCTAACTGCCGGAAATGTGGAGAAGGCCCAAAATCAGGCGCCCAGGCCGTCAAGGACTAAATTACTAAAAATGGACCATTTCTAGGGCATAGGGTATGACTGTAGTCCCGCGCCCCGTCCACCGCATGCTAAGCGAGAAATCCATCCAAATTGACATTGGCCTCATCCGACCCTTTCAGCGATTGTCAGCCAGCAACAACGATAAATCGCAGCCAGTACGTTACCACCCGATATACCTACCGCGATATGGATAATCTTTCTGCTCCGTGGATTGTCAGCTAACATGGACCTTCTTTCTGCGAATTTACAGTGCAGATGTAGGTCTCCCGAATCTTTCTTGAATCCGCCCGCCGTCTTCTGTCCCTCAGCGCCGCGACACAACCGAGAATGCTTTCATCGACTCGACATCGACTCGAATGAACTTGCTGGAAAGTGGAATTTGGATATGTTGCTGACAGGTATCGAACCATAGTTTCGTCAAGACCCTGACGGGTAAGACCATTACCCTCGACGTCGAGTCGAGCGACACCATCGACAACGTCAAGACCAAGATCCAGGACAAGGAGGGTATCCCCCCGGACCAGCAGCGCCTGATCTTCGCCGGCAAGCAGCTTGAGGATGGCCGTACCCTGAGCGACTACAACATCCAGAAGGTATGAAAGACCTGTTAATGATGATGGTTTTTGGGCATGTGTTTTGCGTTGGATATGGTGGCATGGCAATGCGGCTATTTTGTTTTGCTGCGATCGTCGCACAAATAGTCGTTTCGCTCTCGCTTGGAAGAGGGGGAATATGTGGATGATGCTTGCTTGGGATCTGCACATGCGTGGATAAACGGCCGGCTGACGATTCACTTTCCAACGTATAGGAGTCCACTCTCCACCTGGTCCTCCGTCTCCGTGGTGGTATCATCGAGCCTTCCCTCAAGGCCCTCGCCTCCAAGTACAACTGCGAGAAGAACATCTGCCGCAAGTGCTACGTACGTCTTACCCCCATACCAATCCGGATCGTCCTGGTCATTCTGATCCATGCGGTACTAACGATGAGACCAGGCTCGTCTCCCTCCCCGTGCCACCAACTGCCGTAAGCGCAAGTGCGGCCACACCAACCAGTTGCGCCCCAAGAAGAAGCTCAAATAAACGATTTCATGTTACGTTTTTTTCTGCGTTGCTGGTGCGGAAAGGTGTTGTGATGACGATTGCAACGCTAAAAAGGTTCCTTTTTTTACACGCGGCGTTGGAATGATGAGAATCATCACGAGCTGGGAGTCGAATATATTTTACATGACCACTCTCGGAACCAGTTGCAGTCAATCGAACAATTGTAAAATTCAGATCTCCTAACATGCTTTCTTTGGCTCTCTTCCGTAGATACACATAACAGGTACGGGTGCAAGGTATACAATGGTAAATGGTCAAAATGGAACCGGGAACAACCAGATATGCCTGCGACGAAGTGCTGCCTGAGCGACTCAACAGTCCGAACAGAGGAGACATCACGCGCCCGGGCTCGGCTTAGAAACGAAACATGCGCTTGTCGTCATCCTTGTCATGATCATCATCGTGATCATCATCATGCCTGTCGTCTTTCTTCGAGACAGGGCTTCCATGCCTACACACGCACAAAACATCAGTACCATAACCACCGAACAACAAGTGTAGGAAGAACTTACGCAAAGAACAGGATCTTAATCGCAATCGCGAACCCAGCATGCAAGAGAATAACAAGCACCAGCAGGATCCGACTAGCCTTTGCATCCGTCGCACTGAGCACGGGATACAGATTCCTCAAGAGGAAGAAGACAGTCCACCCAAAGCCAACACCCACAAGCGCCCAGTTTAACGCCGTCAACGGACTCCAACTGACAAGCGCGACCGCAATCCAGATCAGATTCGAGTATCCGTACAGCGCCCAGCATTCAATCAAATCAGCCGTCGAGCTTCCAAACCATCGTAGTGAACCCCAGAGCGCAACGGGGAGAACGAATGTATACCCGTAGACGAGACCGGCAGCGCCAGAGAGCAAAGTGAAGTCGTACTTGAAGTGGTTCTTGTCGTTGTTGGAGAGCCATTGCGAGATTGTGCCTGTGAGGAAGAGGATGACGACGACGGTGGTCGCGATCCAGAAGGGGCCGTAAAGGTCTGCGTTGCCTTCGAGGACGTCGAGAAAGTTGCTGCGGGGGTAGACGGAGGCGACGCAGCGGCGGAGAACTTCGTTGGTATCGACGTCAAAGTATTGCTCGTAGTAGTGGATGGACCACCAGGCATGCTTGGTGGGCGTGCCGCCTGGGGACCTGTTGCGGCGCGAGGAGGAGCCTGCTCCGTTGCCGCCTAGGAAGGGAGCATTGTCTGTATGAGCTTTGGCATTTCTTTGATCGTTCTCAAAGTCTATGCCGGATTGATCAGTTGATTCCGGGGTAACTCATCTAATGCTGGTGCTTACTCGATGGGTGAAATTCAAGGTCCTCTTGGAGGTCGGTGTGTCCGAGGTCATCGCCCTATCATGGAGTCAGGAAAAGTGCTGGATATATATGCATCAGACCAACCTCTGCGTCTACGTCAACTACCACATCATATCCCTGGTTTGCCATTGTGGGTGATTTGTTTCTTGTCCGAGAAGACAGCTGTTAGGATAAGGAAGGATGATGCGGGAACTGCCACCCGAAACTAAGCTCCACCAGCCACGCATCAGCCACAGCCACGCATCATCCACATACTTGACCAGCAGGCGCAACAAGTTCCTCAAATCTAAACCATGGAATAGTACCTTCGCATGAATCATTTCTTGTATTTACTAGCTATAATCGAGACATTTGCACAGAGGGTAAATTTTGAAGCTTAGTACTAGAAATAAACTGTCACGAGCTGATTTACCAACTTAACGCACGAAACCAAAACCTCGGCTTCATTCCGCTCCACTACAATCAGGATGAGATGTCCTTGGATAGAAAGCATTGGTCTATTCCTGTACGATAGTTTATAATTTGGAGTCTGCTCGCAGCTCGGTTCCCAAGGTAATGAGCTCCGAAATGACTTGCATGGTTGCTTTTGCTATCAAATGAGATCAGACAGGCTCCAACTGACGTGCGTTCTCCAACTGAGGGGCGGAATCTCCCGCTGCTGCATCACGACCTCTCCCTCAACACTCTGACAGCCTTCTTTCCATCTCCTTACGATTTGCTGTGCGGGAACACGGCGATTTGATCAAGAGATATTTCCATCCCGTTATGAGGGAGAAAGCGACCATGCCTCCCTCAGAGACGACCCCGCTTCTCCTGGTCCATGTCGCGCCTCAGCGGCACCAGTACCCTCATAACAAGCTTCGCCGAGCCTGCACTTTTTCCCTAGGCCTGCTCTTGACCATTGCTTTGATTCTATTTTTATTCCCTATAGCCATTCTCCCGCGAGAGGGTGGCTCCATTTGGTCCTACCTTCCCTGGGCGCATTCGTATCCCGAGCACTGGCCGAGCGGGAACGGTCTCGACTACGAAGAGCTCCAGACTCTCCTCCTCGGGACACCGTCCGCAGCCCGCGCACGCGAATGGAGCAAATACTACACCGCCGGGCCACACCTTGCGGGCAAGAATCTCAGCCAGGCGCTATGGACGAAAGACCGATGGGAGGAGTTCGGCATTACCGATACCAAGATCGTCTCCTACGACGTTTACCTCAACTACCCCGTTGATCATCGATTGGCGTTGCTGGAGGGTAATAAGGTCACATTTGAAGCTTCTCTGGAAGAGGACGTGCTCGAGGAAGATAGCACTAGCGGTTTGCCAGACCGTGTGCCAACCTTCCATGGCTACTCTGCGAATGGGAACGTTACCGCGCCTTTCGTCTATGCCAACTTTGGTACCTATGCCGACTTCGACGACCTAATCAATGCAAACGTGAGCATTAAGGGGGCCGTGGTTCTAGCAAAGTACGGTCGCGTCTTTAGAGGTTTAAAGGTGAAACGGGCACAGGAGCTTGGGGCAGTGGGCGTTATTTTGTACGACGACCCGCAGATGGATGGAGAGTTCACGGAGGAACATGGCTATAAGCCGTATCCGGAGGGGCCAGCGAGAAACCCTAGCGCCGTTCAGCGCGGAAGCACCCAGTTCTTGAGTAAGTCCTCCATATTCGCGGTCTAGATCCGTCCCGTTAACCGAATATACAGGCTTTGCCCCAGGTGATCCTACTACTCCAGGATGGCCATCGAAACCAGGAAGCGACCGACAAGATCCTCATGATTTTATCCCGTCCATCCCCTCAATTCCCGTCTCATACAAAGAAGTACTACCCCTCCTCAAAGCTTTGAATGGCCATGGTCCGAAGGCATCTGATTTCAATGAATGGTGGCAAGGTGGAGGTCTCAGCTATAAAGGCGTCGAGTACAACATCGGACCTTCGCCAGACGATGTCGTCGTCAACCTGTACAACGAACAGGAGTATGTCACTACTCCCATCTGGAACGTTATCGGTGTCATTCCCGGCTCACTTCCCGACGTCGTGATTCTGGGTAACCATCGCGATGCTTGGATTGCTGGCGGCGCAGGCGATCCTAACAGTGGCTCCGCTGTGTTGAACGAAGTCATCCGCAGCTTTGGAGAGGCCCTCAAGGCTGGCTGGAAGCCTCTTCGTACTATCGTCTTCGCAAGCTGGGACGGGGAGGAGTACGGGCTACTAGGCTCTACAGAATGGGTGGAAGACAACCTCCCTTGGCTCTCCAAATCCAACGTTGCGTACCTGAACGTCGACGTTGCTGCGTCTGGTACCTTCCTCGGTCCTACAGCAAGCCCACTATTGAATAAACTCATCTATGAGGTTACTGGCCTTGTCCAGTCTCCAAACCAGACCGTCAAGGGACAGACAGTCCGCGATGTGTGGAACGGGCACATCGGAACGATGGGTAGCGGTAGCGATTTTACCGCATTCCAGGACTTTGCTGGAATCCCTAGCTACGATCTCGGCTTCAGCCGTGGGCCTCAAGACCCTGTGTATCACTACCACTCCAACTATGACAGCTTCGATTGGATGCAACGATTTGGTGACCCGCAGTGGCTCTACCACGAAGCGTGCACCAAGATTTGGGCTCTGGCTGCGGCGAAACTGGCAGAGACCCCAGTCCTGTTCTTCAACGCCACTGATTACGGCTTGGGGCTGCAAGGATATGTCGACCGAATTCAGCATTATGCCGACAACTTGCCGGACGGAAAGACCTTTGACTTCGGACCACTATATAATGCCATCAGTAAGCTCCAAAAGGTCGCGATCAAGTTTGATGCCTATGCAGCGGCCTTGACGTCTCAGCTAGACGAGGATCTCCCTTGGTATCTGTGGTGGAAGAAAGTCAGGCTGTTCTTCTTGATCTACGAAGTCAACACCAAGTACAAGAACATTGAGCGCCAGTTCCTATACCAGCCGGGATTGGATGGACGCAGCTGGTTCAAGCACGTGGTGTTCGCACCTGGGCTCTGGACAGGTTATGCCGGTGCGACGTACCCCAGTCTCGTGGAGAGTCTAGAAGCCGGAGATGTAGAGAACGCCGAGGTGAGTTGTTAACATCCAATCATATTTTGTTAGTGACAATATGCTTACTTCGCGAAACAGAAATGGCGTGGTATCATTATCGAGCGAGTCGTTGCTGCGACAGAACTACTGCACTACTAGGGAAACGGGCAACGGCGAGGTCTAGAAAGCTATGGATATGGTTAAGCAAGATGTTCGAAGATAAATATATTGAGCTACTAGAACTATATGTTTGATTGTTCATAGACTACTGTATGTACCAAGTACTGGGTACATAGCGTCGAGGAACGAGCGGAGGACTTGGATTCACGGTCCTATTAAGCTTTAAAACTTTACCTCCACTCGTTCCAGAATTATCCTTACGATATTATGGTGGACGAGTCAATATTGACGCATTCATTTCTGGAAATTCATGAGAACTAGTGACTGACATAGGCGACCAGAAGATCCTCTACACTCTCTTTAGGTCTTTCATCATGCACGAACTAAGCCTTCTGGTGAATTATTCAATTCGACTTACTAGTATATACTGACCTTGATATCCTGCAAGGAGCGTTTGGTTTTTGAATCTCGTTAGTCTCTTTAGCCTCTTTATCGTCTGAAATATCTCTTACTTTCCCCAAGATTTTAACTGAGAGCTCATCTCATCCCTGCTTAGGGTTATCCCGATGTCGGGTTTAGCAGAAGCGAACAACCCAGGGATAACCCCATCACAATGGTCGTGATGGTGGACACTTTGACTGGGGAGTCTCTTTGTGGTCCGACTCTGTAGGGACGCAGTCTTGGTCCGGCTGGCAAAGGCAACAGGGCAGGAACCCTAGGATTCCTCAATTTGAAAGACAAGGCCGGCACGTAGCACACTTCTGAGGTGACCTGTTTCCACTGCGTCCTGCCAAGAAATGATAGCCTGGCAAGATTAAGCTCAAATGACAAAGGACGTAAGTAATGTTCTCGACTGGAGGCATCTTGGTGCTAACCCTGGTAGGGTACTTAAGTTGGCGGCGCAACAGTATCAAGATGTCGGACCGTGATCGGCCGCGTCTCCTTCGGTTGGACCACCCCACGATTGACGACATGGCGTTGAAGCAGGCAGAGCTTCATGATGCCATCACCCAGCTTACCAGTGACCCAGAATGCGAACAGTGTCAGGAATTTGAGGCTAAAGGGTATCTGGAGATGATGCCCCAAGGTGTCTGTCACTCATATATGGCGAATAAGCGTCAGCTGCAGGACCTCCGAGAGCTCTTGAAGACTATAGCCGAATGGCGGCAACGTAAGACTCAGGATATCGGCTATGTAGCTGCGGCCTCGGGCTTCCGCCGCCGTCTTTCAACCACGATGACAGCGCCACCCGGTCAACCAAGAGAGTCATGCCTGGATTGGGCACCAATAGATATTTAACGCAAAAGAATGGGAGCAAACTCAGTAGGCTTCTTTTTTTTCTTCTCCCCGATCCCTTCGAATGGTAAGCAAACTGGTTTGTTGCAGCTGATGAAGGGGAACATCCTACACATTCCGACAGAAAAGCACTTCGAGATGCCGTCAGAGATGGACCTCTTTATTGAGGGCCGTTCTTCAGGCCGGTCAAAGGTGCAATATAGCCCGCTAGCCGATGTTCAGGTTTTGGGGGAGACCGTTGACAGGAAAACAGTTCTCGTCAAGACGGCTAGAGCACACAGCAGTATAGGCTCAGACGAGGACTCCAGCACCGGAGGGGACTCCGAGCCCGTAGTCCATACTGCTGGGGGACATATGATCGGCTTGTTGCTTGGGGGAGCTCAGGGCATAATCTGTCGCATTTCACCCACGTTCTTGACCTCTTCGCGGACGTTATCCGCGCAACGGGGGCGACGGATATCCGTCTTGTCGACTGAAGCTTGATTAGCTCAAAATCTGTTTTTTGTGCGGCCTTTGCAGCAACCAAGGCGCCGTACCTATTGATAGAGACAGAAAGCAATAAAGTTGACCTTTTGCGAGATCTTCGTTATTAAAACAGAAGGCGTGGTTGTACAACGTTTGCGGGGATCCAGATCTGTGGCACGTCGCACGATTAGTTGCCTGGGACCAGCTCATACAGGGGGCCCATGGGTTCAGTGTCTCTCAGTATAGAAATCGGTAAACCGAGTCTAGATCGAAGATCGAAGGTCAGTGCGAGCTTGATAGACGTGAGATGAGCAGCAGAGGAGAAAGAGGGGGCGATCACTTGACTCAATCCTTGCCAAAGCGGCGGAGAAGACGCGCCTCCAACTTCTATGGTTGCATCCTTCGCCTGTCGCTGTCTCACTCACTTGCTCACCTGAATTTCTCCTAATCTTTTCTTTCTTTCTTTCTTTCTTTCTTTCTTTCTTCCCCTTCGCATCTTCCTGCTTTCCCTCTTGCAGCCGGAGAGATCTCGGCTCGGCAGTCTTGATGCATGCGCGTACCCCGAAGCTGCCCGTTCGGCAGCTTTTCATTCTCTGTAAGTGGCTAAAATGTCGCCATCGCAGGTCTTTGCTAGCCTCCTGCTAACTTCTGCGCGTGCTTAGCAATATGTCGCTTTGCAGAGCCAAGTACGTCTACCGAGACTCATCTCGAGAAAGAACACAGCTAAACAAGATGTTATTCTGGCCCAACAGTTGCCCTGACCTCTTACCTTCCGTATCTCGTAAGCTTCTTACTTAACCCCGACCAATAGATCTTCCATCTTCTGACTCTTAACAGCCCGAAATGATCGAGAGCGTCGGCGTCCCCAAAGCCGAGGTTGCAAAATGGGCAGGCCTGACCACGGCCATTTCGTCCTTCGCCCAGGCCTTTATGGCTGTTTACTGGGGTACGGCATCAGATCGATTCGGTCGTAAACCGATCATCCTGCTCGGTTTGACCTTTACCATGATCTTCTCGCTAGCGTTCGGTCTCTCAAAGTCTCTGGCTATGTTGGTTAGCTGCCGCGGTATGATTGGCTTTATGAATGGGAACGTGGGCATCATTCGGACGGCTGTTGCGGAGATGGTGACGGATAAGGAGCTGCAGCCTCGAGCCTTCAGCGTGATGCCCATGGTTTGGACGGTGGGCTCAATTTTCGGACCGGCCTTTGGAGGTTCGCTTTCTCGCCCGTCGGAAAAGTATCCGGGGGTCTTTGGTCACTCGAAATTCTTCCAAGAGTATCCCTTTTTCTTGCCGAATCTGCTTTCTGGAGTATTCTTTGTCATTGGTATCTCGACTGGCTTCTTGTTTCTTCATGTATGCGGTCCCGTAACCTCTTTTCGAGTAGTTCTGACCGGATATAGGAAACACTGGCGGCGAAGCAAGGCCATCGCGACCCTGGCATAGTCCTTGGCCGGGTCCTAACTCGTTCCTGTACACGTCGGCCTGAGAAGGCCAGTCTGATTGAGTCGGACGACGAGAGAACCCCTTTGCTAGGCGAGAATCACCCTGCCAAATCGCCACAAGATCAGCCCGAAGTAAAGAAGCACGGCTGGCGCGAGGTACTAAGCCCACAGTCTACCCTCGTTCTGTTAGCATACTCCTTGATGTCAGTACATACGATGGCATTCGAGTCAATGTTGCCTGTTTTTCTCCATAACCCTCCCCAGAACATACAGGACAATCCGAACGTGCAGCTCCCCTTCAAATTCGTGGGTGGCTTTGGCATGGGTAAGTCAATGCTCTCCTCAACTCCGAGGCGGCGATCACTGACCTTCCCAGACGCTCAAGAGATTGGAATGTTCTACACGCTAACAGGTATCATTGGTATGGTGATGCAATTCTATGTATTCCCCGCCTGCGCAACCCGATTTGGCGTGATCAATTGTGTCAAGGCCACATCCTTCGTCTTCCCCATCCTCTACCTTGTCACCCCGTACATAGCACTCGTCCCCGAGTCCATGCGCAACGTCACAGTCTTCTTCGTGGTCCTAACCAAGCTGACGGCCTCGATATTCAACTTCCCCAGCATCACAATCCTACTCACCAACTCTGCCAGCAGCCTTAGTATCCTCGGTACGCTGAACGGTGTTGCTACGAGTGTGAGTGCTGTTGGGCGCGCGGCGGGGCCGGCCCTGCTGGGACCAGTGTTCTCGCTCGGGGTCAAGATGGGCTACGTTATCCTTCCCTGGTGGTTGCTCGCGTGCGTTGCTTGTCTCGCGGCGATTCCGGTCCCGTTCATCGTCGAGGGTGAAGGTTTCCAGGTACAAGCTGCTGCTTTAGAGACAGGCCCGGAGCCAATTGCCGTGGAGTCGCAAACTGTCAAGCACACTGACAGTCGAGCCAGGGAATAATTCCAGGTACGGATTACCCGCAGTCCTACCTCACCCAAATATCCACAAAAATATCCAGCACGCGAATAAGGACAACAGAATGGTACTGCAAAACGATATACGAGAATCACGGCATTGGATATGATTAAAAGTTATCGAAAAATAAGCATATGAGATTCGAGTATAAGCATGAGCATGAGCATGAGCATCTGACGTATATAGCATTTAACCACCGACATAGATTGATGCGAGCAATTTATAGAAAAGTACTTTGCATATATAGCGAATCAAATTGATTCTGGACATATCTCATCAAATTTCTCTCGAGATTGATTGGTATTTCAGAGTCCGATGCCAGCCAGTACTATATACTCCGCAGCAATGCAGCATGCATACATAGACTTAAGCATTAATAATCCAACCACAGCCGGGCCCGTCCGTAGCCATCCTCCACGACTCCACCAAAACTTACTCCACCCATCCGACCATACGATAGCTTCCCAGCCAGACCTGAGCTTCTCAGCTTCATCAACATCCGTCACATAGCATCCAATCCAGCGCGACAATTACCTTGACACCTCTTAAACTTTGACCAGTTCATATCTCGAAGTTCTCACAAAACAGCAAAATGGTCCGCCGCTACCCCTCATCTCTTCCCTCCCGTTTCTCCCACCTTCCAACAACCACAATGAGACTAACAACTACTCATCTGACAGGCCGCCCCAACAACCTCCGCCCTAACCCTCTCCATCCTGACCTCCCTCGGCGGCACAATCGGCTACCTCCGCACAGGCTCGCTCCCCTCCGTAATCGCCGGCGTGTCTGTGGGCGCACTGTACCTCCTCTCCTTCCTCCGCCTGCGAAGCGGGCAGCCCTACGCCGAGGAGATCGGGCTCCTGGCCTCGATTGTGTTGGGCGGTGCGTCGATCCCGAGGGCGATACGGCTGCGCAAGACGGTGCCGCTTGTGCTTAGTGTATTGGCGGTTTATGGGCTGTTTGTTTTTGGGGGGGCGGTGTTGGGAAAGAGGGCTTGATTTGATTCTGTTTGGTTTGAGGATGATGACGGCCTTGGGATACGCGATGACTACTACTACGTTATGCGATGCTACGTGAAATACGACTGCAGTCGAGGAGCAAATGTGGATGAGTTTGATAATTATAGTGTACTCGTGTTTATATCTTCTCAGATTCATGGTATGAGCCGCCTACCTTGACAAGAGACTTACAGTAGGACATGACATCTTCGCCCGGTGGGCTCAATGCAACGAAAGGAAAGCGCACGCAGGATAGGGACCAGGTTTCCTTCTCTCATCGAAGCCTTCCTTCACAGCAAGACGGCCAGACAATCGCATCAGGCCACATATCAGTTCCTTCTGTCAGGGTGACACAACTCACCGAGACTGCTCCCGATTCCGATGAACCATAACAATGTCGTCGCGCCGCATCGCGTCCGGAGCTCTTTTCGTTTCGATGTCCCAGAAAGTAAAGCCCGTCGCGCGGTTCGCATGGAACCGCGCCGGCAAAACTACTGATAGAAAGCATCAGGGCAAGAAAAATTGCACGAAGATATGATCATAGAAAAAGAAAGACAAGGACTCATAGCAAACATCTTGAACTTCAACATGCATCGACTTAGCTGGAAGTATGTTGTCTCTGGTTTATTTTGCGCCTTAATATTATGCCGTCGGGTCGTGATTTTATTGCGCTCGGTCGACAATGGTTTCCGATTCGCGGATTGTTCCCACGACTGCTGAGGAAGGAAGCTCTTCAAGCGTCGTCTCCGTCCGACGATCAGGAGCGAATGCGTACCTTGGCAATCTAGCCATCTTCTCCTCCGGGCTGGTCTCATTATCTGAATACACCAGCCTCGACTGCTTGGACTTGTCTTTCTTGCTCGGCTTCTCTTCCACGGTCTCCGCGGGTTTGGGTGCTGCACTTGCGGCCGCTGCTTGATCGGCTTCCTTGGCAGCGCCAGAAATGAGGTCGTCGATGGAAGAAGAAAACGGTGTGGCTGCGGGTCTTTCTCCATTAGCTACACCAGGCACAACCGATCCTTCGGGAAGAGGGTGCCCCATGTGCATTTGTTGTAGCTGATAAGCGTTGACCTGGGGGGCACCAACTGCAGGTCGCTGTGGTAGACTTGGTGCCGCTGGTAGGCTTCCCGTTCGGGGAGGGAATGCGGTCGTCTGAGGAAGGTTGGCCTGAAGAGTCTGTTGCTGGTGCAACTGCGGTGGTGTGTTTCCGTACCCTGGAACAGGTTGTGGCGAGTATCCGACGGGGGTAGAGTATTGCGTAGACGGAGGGAACTGTGGCTGCCCACCTGGTGAAAAACTTGGGTAAACAGGACTTGCCGTTGATTGGTATGGGGAAGCAGCCCCTCCGTATGGTTGAGGATAAGAGAACGCCGCTTGCGCCGGAGCGACGGGGTTCGCGGGAGATTGCGTCTACAGGGATTCCATGGTTAGAGAACGAAGGACAATACAAAGGTAAATCACACTCACAAAGCCAGCCACGTTTGAAGTAGGAGTCGGAGTCAGGCCCGCGCCGACCGGGGTCGCTTCGCCGCTACTTCCTCCAGTTCGAGCTTCGGCCTTCTTAGCCTTGTGCTCCGCCAAGCGCTTCTTCAACTCCGAGATGTTTTCCGTTTTCGGCTTCTTTGCCGGTGGTCCGCCGGAACTCGACGCGCCTGGAGGAGGGTTGCCAGTGATGGCTTGTCGCTCTGCCTCCTCTTGCTGATATTGGGCAATGACGCGTTGGTTGTGGGACTGTATAACATCTTCCGGAATACCTTCCATGCCAAAGATTTCGACGTCAAGGCTTGACCGGTTTGAGAGCGCGTTGTCGACAGCCGTTAGCTGTTCCTTGTGTACCTGACTCATGTGGACCGACAAACCTAGGAAAACGAGTTATGTTAGCTGTTGTTGCGTTACGGTTCGCATCCGGCCATGCCACATACCTCCCGCTGTGTTGAGTCTCCTCCCACATCGCTCACACTTGAAATGCTTCGCTTTTTGATGCCCAATGAGCACTTTCATGTCTATGAATGACTTTTCGCAGTAGTAACAGCTATAGAGATGTTAGATCGAAACACGGCTGACTGGCTTATCTATTACTTACAATGGTTGAGCAAGAAGCTCTTCCAAAGTTGGACCACGTCTCTTCTTTCCCATCGTGAAAGTGAAGCAAATAAATCCCGGTTTCCGAGGGCGATATATGACTATGGCGCGTCGCGACAATTCGTATGGGGCTATGAGCGTGGTTGATGCAATGCAGATCGATGGTGAGAGCTGGACCGCGGGAGGAACTTCACAGGTCACGTGCTAATTCCCACGTGATGTTAACCCGATCTAGATCCACCCTTCATCATTTGTAGTTGTCGTAGACTTTGTATTATGTATTAGTCGAAGTGCAGTCCCCTTCTCTCAAATAATACTTTGAAATAATTCTTCCTGATTCAACCTAGATTCAACTGTTGCAACCAAAAATTGTACAAGTGCTCACTGTAGCCAACCTAAAGGAATCCGCCAAAAAGGAAAACGAAACATTCGAAACGCCATTCGCTAGTGGATACACATAAAGCACAAAAGAAGAAACGTCACAACCCTGTAGTCTGGTGAGCGCCGAGCCAACACTGCCGGCCAGACACGTATAAACACAAATTGCAGTAGATGTACAGCCTTTTAAGGGTCCGCTTGATGAACACAATAGGGTACAATTAGTATTAAAACAACGGCGGGAGTATTTGAACACAAGAACTTCACAAAGAACATCTAAACAGGGCGCGTGGGTCCCGGTGGATGGCTTTGTGGAAGCCCTGGAGGAGGCAGCGCAGCGGCTGCCCCATAAGGGCTGTAATAATCAGGGTAAGGTGTGCGATATGGTTGGGGCGGCTGCTGAAGAGGTCCCGGCGGCCCGCGAGGAGGAAATGGGGCAACAGCACGGGGATCCAAAGCTGGAGGCGGATAGGGAGCCAGTGGGCCTGGAGCTCGTGCCGCGGCAATGGGTGGTAGCTGTGGGGTCGGAGCATGATGGGGATGAGGATGAGGATGAGGGTGAGGATGAGGGTGGGGGTGAGGATGATGTTGAGGATGAGGATGAGGATGAGGATGAGGATGAGGATGAGGTTGAGGTTGAGGTTGAGGTTGAGGATGAGGTTGAGGATGAGGTTGAGGATGAGGTTGAGGGTGAGGGTGAGGGTGAGTATGCGTATGAGGGCCAGGGGCCAAGTGAGGCGGCGGAGCAGCCAATCCCGGTGGCGGGAGGCCAGCCTCGCGGGGTAAGGGAAGAGATGGACTCTCAGACTTCTTCTTTTTGATACCAGGCCTCGCCTCTATTGCCTTTCTTGCCGCCTCTGCAGCTCTGTCTGCTTCGATTTGGGCCTTGGATCGCTTTGGATTTCGGACACGACCCTCACGGTTAAAGCGAGCCCAGTGATTAAGCATGGCCTCTGTACGCTTTGGATTCTTCGAGTTTGCGATTTTCTGTCGTCGAGCGAGCTCAGCGGCGTCAGGCGTCTCGTCTGGTGGAGAGGGCCCCGAGGGGCCTTTCTTAGAATATCGGACCACTGTTCCATTGGGGGCTGGCTCGATCGGCAACAACTGCGAACTTCCAGATCGTGACTGCGACAAAGTATCCCCCACCGGGGTTGAGCGAGCAGTCGCAGCATCCATTGCCGGCGCCAGGGCCATTGGAACCTCCGAGCCCGCGCGAGAACCCGCATGAGCAGCACCCCTGCCGCGTACACGGCCACCTCGACCTCGGGTACCGAAAGCCCGTCCAGCGCCATACTCAGGGGTCTCGGCCTCAGCAGCTTGGCGACGAGTGCGAGCACGGCGCTTCGCTGGGTTGGCGAAATCTCCGTCGGGCTCGCCTGGCGTAGGTGCATCACTGGCCCCGGCTTCATCAGAGTCGTTCGCTCTACTGGCAGCTTCAAGTTCCGCGGCTTTGCGTTTGCGGGTAGCTTTTCCAACAAAGTCTTCACGTGGAGGGTTCTGAAACTTCGGCACATGCTCGACATCAAACTTGGTAATAGTTGGCCATCCATCGGGATTGGGATTGTTGGGACCATTTTTAACCAACATCTTTCTGTACTGAGCGGGAGTGGGTTTAAAGCCGCCCTGCACAAAGGGATTTTGATTGCCGACTTTGTCTTCCTTCGGATCATGCTTGTATCCGTACAGCATTGCCTCCTTTTTGTCTTCGAACACTTGTGGTCGTTCAAGCTTCCTAGGATCGCTCGTGGTCTTGAGATTGTGCCTCGTGGCCAATTTCTGAAGCCTGTCGATTGCCAAATACTCTTCCTGCCACACTTTCAAAGCAAAAGCAACATTCTCCGTGATGGCATAGAGCTCGTCACTGCTGCGCAGTTCAGGGTCACGGAGTTGAGCTAGATAATCTTCAAGCGGTGCGATTTCGAGGAATTCGCCACGATCGACTTTGGACTTTTTGTAGGGATTCGGTCGCTCGATGAGCTCTGGCATGTCGCGCTTCTTTCCACGCTTAGATTCATGGAAAACAGCAGTCCATGTAGCACTCATTTCATCCGTGCTTGCATCGTAACCTTCGGCAAACTTGCGAACATCATGTATGTTCCAAAAGTTGTGAAGGCGCTTATCCACAGAGGCGGAGTCTTGTTCGCGAGAAAATTCGTGCAGTTGATTGGAGAGAGCAACATCGGATTCGCCCTCAGGTGCCTCCCCATCGCCGTCATCTCCATCTAACTCGGCACGATCTTTTTCATCCTCATACAGCTCAGCTCCTTCTGCCAATTCGTCTTCAGCGCCTACAGCACTGTCCTCATATTCATCGGGTTCGGCTGTATGCCTCGACCCATTCTCTAAAGGTGTCGCCATTTCTTCATCTTCAGAGCGCTCATCATCGTCAAGTTGGCTTTCCTCCTCATCGGACTTGGGTATGTTGCGATTCCGGGCGTGTGGCTGGGCAGCACACATTTTGAGGTGCTTCTCCAAAGCCTCATCGCGGGTGGGTTCAATTGTAGGCGGCTCATACAACACTCCACAAAAGCTACACACTGAGCGGCGTTCCTTTGGTGGCGGAGATGTCGTTGTGTTGACAGAGTTAGATGTCGCGTTATTGGGTTCGGAGATTCTTCGGCGCAGCATGGAGTTCTGGCTGCCCACAGCCGAAGTATGGCTCTCCATGTCAGTTTCTCCCTGAGCAACGGGGGTCATGACTGGCCGAAGCTGAAGTGGCGCGAATGAATAGGTTGTGAAACAGAAGACTGATTCACGAAACGGGCCAATTAGTTGAAGTAATTGGCCCTAGCGCGTCCCAAAAATAAAGAACCTGTTAATACAGTCAGTTGCTGGATGAAAAAGTTCGCTTGGTTTGCCAAGACCCCCGAAGTAAGAACAGGAGTGCAGCGCGCCGAGCGACAAAAGTGTAGTGTGAGATGTGGCTGAGAAACACGCAGAACAGCCACCGGGCAATGAAAGAGTTTAACGAAGTTGGAAGGTAGATTGCAACAATTGCAGCATGGAAAGCCTTGACAGGGAGGATTTCCGAGGTACGTGGTGGAAGCAAAATGAGCGACTTGTAACACTTACCTTGGAGAATGAACAACAGAACCAGTCTGCTGCAGGGAATGAGATGAACCGATGAGACGGAAACAAAGAAAGAGCAGCGCTGACACCCCCAAGCAAGGCCCACGGCGAGAAATCAATGGGCAGAGGAAGAGGAGGCGAGTAGAAGAAGAAGGAGGTCGCGAGCGGCTGCCAGGGATCGAAGTAGAAAGTGGTCGTAGTCAAGCACGGGCTAAAGTAGACTCAGGATTGATCCAGCGGGTAAGCAAAAGTCTATGCACCCCCGGGAAAACACCCCAAACAATACACTGAGATAGGTCTGTTCCCTATCGGAATAGCCTATTACTGGAAATCAGTGAAGATCCGAGGGTCTGACCCTGTGCAAGTCGATTATCCTGTTAGGAGTTGCGAAAAGTTCTGAGGAGAAGTATGAGATTACACGGGGCGAAGGAGAAAGGAACTCAAAAGTGGGTAAAAGAAAGGGAGACCAGAAGGAGACAAGAATAAAAATCACAACAGATGCCAGGAAATGAAATCGCGACCTGAAAAACAAGCAGAGGCGGAGGTGGATGTGTTGATTGAGGGTGTTGTAGAAGCAATGAAAGTAAAGGACTGGGAAAAACTGAGTCTACAGTGTCGAGGGCTGTAGAGATGATCCTACTAGTAAATTACTACTACTATTCCTTGTGCCGTATGGGCTGTTACGCATATTACGACTTTCCCTGTCCGGATCCACACAGGACGGGCGAATCCGCTCCCTGGTTTCAAGCGCCTCTGGATGGATCCCCCTCTTCTTTGAACTCTTTTTTACTCCTACAAGAACTGCTTCCTTCCCTGCGATAGAATCCATGCATTCTACTTTCAGCCTTGATTTTGGCACTTCGGGTGCACGCCATCTTTTCCACGAGTCTGCGCGGATCCTCCTTATTCGGTCGCATGGCCTGTCATCAGACTACTAGTAGAAAATAAACTCAATGTGTATCATTCCGTACTGTAATTACAGCTACCAGTACTGACATCATTTACCAGGGCGTGGGAAGAACTAGAAGACTGGGAAGAGCAGAGGTATTATTAGCCATTCGTAAGAAGATTTCATTTATCTAAATAGGCCCTACAAGAAGGTTGCGTTATGTAAGAAAGGGAAGACAGCTCTATCTATTCCGTAGAACATGGCGGAAATTGTTCGTATTGACATGGGTTGGTAGAAGTATATATAAAACCGCTCTCGACTAGGTAAGTGGGATAAGTCGTCCGGCAATTTGATCGTGAAGTACCCGTGTACCCCCTGCATGACACGAATAGCGTTGTTTGATTACATATCACTCATAAAGTTTTGCCGCTCAAGGAAGGTACTTCAGTCTTCAGGTACAGAGTATATCGAGTGCCCCTTGCTTGTTTGGAAAGCGTGACTGTTTCGCCTTTTTCAAGTCGCATATGCAAGTAATCAGTGATTCTTCTCTCCGACGTCCAATGCAACAAGGAACCTCGATACGCAATTATATGAAGCGCTGGTAGCTGTGATTTCCACAATCTCTCGGTCGTTGAAGTGCTCCTTGACAGCCTGGAAAACCTCATCCGGAACGGTAACAGTTTTCGTCATGACATCCGTATATCTCAGGACTGCACCTTCAGCAGGGCTTAGCACCCCTTCCGCTACCTTCTCCTGGACATCAGCTCCAGTATCACGAACGATTCGTAGTGCAGTATCGCTCAATCCGGCCTCAGCTAGGAGTGGCGAGTGTTGGTCCCACTCATATAGTGCACCGTTTAGGACCGCTACGCGGCAGATGATCAATTCACGGACTAGAGGGGCGAGGCTGGTCCGCGTGCGAATGGCGCCGATGAATGAGTTCCAGCCGTCCGCGACTGGGAAACTGTGTAGAAGAGCTCGATCTAACGCCAGGAGTCCGCCAGGGGCTCGTCGAGCCTGCACTCGGGCGAGAATCTCAGCCTCTTCGGGAGTGCTGGTGGGTGGCGGGTCGGCAACGTATGGCAGACGCATCGTGAGAATAAGCCTTGATTATGGGAAGAATCTGGGCTTGATTGATATACGATTGTGCCCCTTGATCGCTCAACTCTTCTGTGGGGTACGTTAGCAAAAAGTCCAGAAAATCTGAAGCCATGAGCACTGTGTTGTTCCACTCACCGAATTGTCTCGAGAGGTGAGGAAAGTAAATAAAGACTTGTGTGACTCGTTGGTAGCAGTAGCAAATGTTCAAATACAGTGGACGTATGCTTCCATTTATGTACATAGCACCGTCAACCCCACGGGCGGATTGCGGGAAGGGTCCGCCGCGGGACAGCCGAGTTGGTTATTTTCTCTCCTCTATACTTCGGAAGACCGCCGCGATTTCAACTAAATCGTCCAGAATGCCAACAGCTAGCGATGAGCTTCTGGATTGCAATCAAAGACCAGGGATAGGGCCAAAATGCGCTTGCTCAAATCATGGTGCGACGACACATAGTCGGCTTCGATCCGGGTTCGTTCATTATGGACCAGTGGTCGATATATTTTAATACAGAAAGGGTAACTCGAGACCAATGAGACGATATATTGCGAAGGAGTACCGTCTTCTGAAGCACCTCCAAGATACCAGTCATGACATTCTATTGCAGGTAGCTCTCGGTGGTAATAGAATCGTGCTATCAGCTCTTGATCGAGTGTTGAATAGAAGGCAAGATGAATATTAGGATCTTGTTTTTCAGCCAGATCCTACAGCACCATCTTCCAGTAATGACAGAAGGCATCTAAATAATTGCTAGATCTGACGGAAGTAAAAAGTCCAGTATGGTGTATGTTTGTACCCAGCGCAATCACGCTAAAGGCTTCTTGGCGAAGGTCACGCAGTCCCCACCGCCAAAACACCAGCGGAGCTTGAACAGCAACAGTGGCAACACTGCGCCCTCAGCCACCACACACCCAGCTACACTCGGGACTCGATACATACAAGCGTGAATTTGCAATGCCCCCCAAAGGGTCGAAACCTACGAGCGACGAGCTCCTTGCCCAATTTGACAACTTGGGTATCGAGTCCACCACCGATCCCTCTCCAACAACTGTCACAACTACCGCCCCCAAGACTGCAAAGGTCGATGAGGATATTCTGGCCGAACTGGGCAACCTAGCTTCTCAGCGCCCGAGTAGCAGAGCTGGAACCCCGCGTACGTCGACTACAGAGCAGAGACCGTCGACGAAATCACCTAAGCCCCCCGCGACCCCGGCAGGCCGCTCGAGTGAGGACAAATCCGCGCCTCGGAAGTCGGGAGAAGTACAGCCTAGTGCTAGAGAGGAGCCGGCAGTCGAGGAGAAGCCGTCCTCGAATGATGGCGGCGGTGGGTGGTGGGGAGGTCTCTTTGCGACTGCCAGTGCTGCTATGAAGCAGGCCGAGGCCGCCGTGAAGGAAATCCAACACAATGAAGAAGCCCAGAAGTGGGCTCAGCAGGTCAAGGGGAATGTCGGTGCACTAAGAGACTTGGGTATGTCTTTTCATTTCTCCGACTGGGGTACCTGACGGGTGCTGATTATTGTTGTTCAGGCGGAGAGCTTCGCAGCATGGCGATGCCTACATTTACATCCCTCATCCACACGCTTGCGCCCCCAATTTCATCCCACGAACGACTTCAAATACACGTCACACACGACCTTTCAGGATACCCTAGTCTTGATCCACTTGTCTACGCGGTCTTTTCTCGTGTTATGGCGCAAGTGGAAGGGGGCGACCTGCTAGTCATCCAACGGGGGCAGGAGTCGGCGCCAAAGCGCGGACAAGACCACAGCGCATCGACCGCAGGCTGGCACGATGGCCCCTGGTGGCGAACAGTTACCCCAGGAAACCCTCGAAGTATTTCGGCCGTGCCTGGCCTCGTGGAGGCAACCAAGCTTTGCCGAGCCAGCGCGGAGGGGTATGCCGCCGAATACTTCGCCGCAAAAGGTGGGGTGGAAGAGGCAGCGAAGCAAGCCACACAGGTTCTAAGTGAAACAAACCCTGTCCGAAGCAGCGACATCTTTCTCGCCATTCAGGCAGTCGTCCAGAAATCCTCATCGACAGGCGCAGAGCTCTTCCAGGCCGGTACATCCACGGAGAAAGCCTCGCGCTCAGGCGCCGTGGACATTTCCGACGCAAGCGACGACGAAATCACCTTTGCCCTCTACCTCCACGACCCCATCCACGGCATCGCATTCCACACCGTCTCCCAGGCCATCCCCCAGAAATGGGTTGAATGGCTCGATGCATCCTCAACCCCAGCAGCACATGACCAGGCAGAGCCATCATCAACGACAGATGTCCACGTGCCTCGTGCCGTTGTTCCCGAAGAAATCGCCGAAATTGTCGAAGGCGGCGGCGTCGACCCGCGCGAGTGGGCGGCCGAATGGATCGAGGAAGCCATCTCGCTCGCGACGGGTGTCGTCGCGCAACGCTACGTAGCACGGAGAATGGGCGTTGGCGAGTCAGGAGCTGCGAAGGGGAAGATGCGTGCCGAGCAGGCGTCTGTCGTGGAGAGTGGAGCCGGGGAGGCTGCGCGGGCGCTGTAGCACTTTTCCAGCCTTCTTTCTTGTTGCATTTACATTTACACATTAATTTTGTTCCACGTTGTACGAATCCTTCAGGTTTAGCCGGCCTCAGCTCTGAGCTTCAGTTTCAGCCCTCGAGCCTCCTTTTCATCCCACGTCATCTTTGCCTTTTCTGAAGGCTTGTTCATGAACTAATAATGATTTTCCATTTCTCGTATTTTCGGCGCCTGTCGTTCACAATCTCCTAGCTTGGTATTTCCTGTGCTAAAGCATTCCCTTTGACCAGGGCCTGACTATTTCGTACGGGGTAGCTGGTAATATGCAAGGCTGCAAGCACAAACGCAATGCTGGGGCAAATCCCAACCTCGGAGGCAAGATGAGAAACACATGCTGCTTATCTTATTGCACTGTCGACCTATAAGCTTCGTCTTCGTGGAAACCCTGTTCCTTTTTGGTGTCCTAGTATCAGTAGTAGCTGCCCAAGAGAACGGCTAGATATACCACTTTCGCCCTTGGGCTTGGAAACTTCGAGTTGAGTGCAAGCTAGAGATTTTAAATCCCCTCAATAAAAAAAAGCAAAACGAGAACCGTTGCGGGTATCATTCTAGTACTAAGTAGTAGTATCTATCTAGCCGTCTAATCATATCAATTGGATTCATGGCATGGCACATGACGTATGGCACGATCAGAGGTTCAAGGGCCCTCCGAACCCAGGCACGTAACCGAAATTTGCGCAAAGAGGTGTGACACTATGGTATATCAATTAGCTTGTATGGTCTGACCGGCGAGGGTAGTTTTCCCGGGGGTGGAAAGAAAGTAGTAATAATACGGAGATAGTTGAGGTATTTACTACGTACCTGGTGCTTCCGTTCAACACGGTATGTGCGTCTGTGCCCTCTTCACTGGCCTGCAGGGCCTTTTTCATGTCTGTCAGCTGGGCGGACCATTTGAAGTCGCGCTGCCGCAAGGAGGTCGTGGTGGTAGTGGTGGGCTTGACGCCGTTGGTGGTTGCTGCTGCCGGCACTCCGTTGGTTACGCCATTGACACCGTTGACGCCGTTGGAGAGGGTATCCCCGTTCTGAGCGTGATGACCATTCGTCGTTCCATTGATGCCATTCGTTTCCGGCTTCTCAACCTCGGCATATAGGCAACCGTGGGACCAGTAGTACGGTAGCGTCCGCGTGTAGAGCACGGGTCTGCTCTCCACGTCTTCGCGCATGGGGATATTTAGGTTGTACAGCTCCACGCGCTCATCCCAGTTCTTGTATAGATGGTGGATGATTTTCACAGCCAATCGCGCAGCAGCCTGAATTATCTCCATCGGCTGCTCGTCCTTGCTCCCGAAGGAAACGGCAATCCCACGCTTCCCGCACGTTGCGGCCTCGAGGGCGCCGCCTACGGTTCCAGAGGCGAGGTTGTAGATGGTTGAGGCATTGCGGCCGTGATTGGGGCCTGAGATTACGAGGTCAACAGGGGGACGGTCGGTGAAGAGATTGAAGAGGCCGAGTTGCACGCAGCTGGCGGGGGTGCCGTTGGTGAGAACGACCCATTCGGGTTCTGATTTCCCTTGAGCTTGATCTTGTTTTTCTTGCTCTGAAGGGGTATATGTCTCGTCCCAGGTCCCGTCGTTTCGGAAGGCGTTGGGGGGCACGTAGGTAGCTTTCAACGGGGCTTCGATGATATGCGCTTTGCCGATCCAGGAGCGTGAGGCGGCGGGGATGGCCACTGAGACGAGATGGCCTGCATCTTGGAGGGTGTTGACGAGCGGCCGGACATATGGGGACAATCGCCGAGAGGGTGGTCCATCATCGTTCACTAACTATATCATGGCGTTCCACATCAGTACTGGGTAATCATTGAGATCTCCGTATCTGGACGCGTGCATCATCATCGGAGGCTACCGATTAAGCGCTCTTTGGCTTATTTTTTTTTTTTGGTGGGGGACAGAGGGGCAAAAAGTGAAGCAGCCTAATGCTGGTCTGGTGACTTCATGGAGTGAGGAAGATCAATGTAGATACGGCGGGCTGGGGGCGAGCATTGGATTTTGCCCCAGAGCAAGGACACTGAGCGAGAAAAAGAAAACATCATCCATCATCCAAACTCGGGAGTACTAACCAGTATATGCATATTTCGATACTTGGCAATGGAAGGTGGAATACGGAGAGGTTACAGCGGGGAGTATAGTTTATCGAGCTCGAAAGAGGCAAAAGTGTGGAAGCTTTCAAGAAGAACGATAGCCTCGGAGACGGCCGCAAATATTGTATTTATAGCTTCAATCAACCGGATAAGAGTTTGAGGCCTTTTCTTCACCGTTTTCCTCAGTTAAGTACCGACCACGACTCTGGGGAGGCGAGTCCATCTCGAATCTGGTCGCGGTGAGGCTTTTGGGAGCTTGCGGGGGACGACGAGGAGTGTTTGCTTCGTATTGAAGTATGAAAAGAAATGACGATACATGTTTCAAACCGACTGCCTGATAGTGCAGTAACGAGAAAAGTAAGGCGTTGAAACACGTATGGTTTGGGACATGACGAAGCCAGACTTGAGGCGGCCAAAAAGAGGCTGCGGTGAAGCTGTCGTGGGGAAACGAATTCCGTCACCCACAGGTCCAAGACCCCAATCAGTCGCAGCCAGAGTCAGCAGAGTCCGCCGCCGCAGTTCACTTAAAGTGCGTGACAGCTCACTTGCAAAGTTGGGATTTGGAATGGAATCGATGAAGGGCACAGACCAAGAGGGAAACAGCAGGGCGAGAGAGCAGCATTTGCCAAGGATCGGTAGACTGTATATAGTTCTCCAGCAACCGGAAAATCCTCAAGCGCCGAAAATTCGAGCGCAGTTCAGTTGCTTGCCAAGGCGCCGGAATCGCAGAACGTTGCACAGAATTTTCTTGGGTGGATTCATGCCAAAAACTACACGGAGCTGACAGGGGAGATCATGGTCCGGGCATTCCTCCAGGGCGTCCAGGCTCCAGCCTCCAGCATCTGGTGGCTACGGAGTATTTTGTAGGCGAAGGATGAGGCTGGCCAGGGAAACACGTCGTCAACAACTCCTCCATGCCTACGGATACTACTGGGCGATTTTGCCCTGCAGTGATTCTCCTTGTCCGTTCACTGCTCATCATGCAAGATGCGCATCTGGCTCAACCATATGTTACATCGCTGCCGACCTTGTTGACATTACTCCGTAAGAACCACATTTATACGCTTGGAACGAACCACACAGGTGCTTCCAATGGCACACGCTTCTAGAAGGGCACGGCGGTCCCCTGGACTGGGGGGTTTTAGTATAGACCAAATTAGTGATAATCCATGAGAGACATCTCCAGCAGATCCGATTGGGATCTAATTGCCGAACCTGGCGTAATTCCACGTCGAACCTCCCCTGTGCGACGCAGGGTCAGCAGGTTAAGATCGGACGATTCGGTCGCGTAATGCTGATAACCAGGATTAAACATCGTATGAGAAATCCGGTGTCAAGAGGGCGTTATCACCCCTCATGCAAGCAAAAAGGTTGCTGGGGATGCATTGAGGAAAAGGTGGACTAGTGCAATCCGGCTATAGCGGTGCGTTACTATGGACTTGGTATTTCCTGGGCGTGTTGGCGCGGTTGGCGATCATAGAAAATGCAGTTTCATGCCCAGACTTGATCATCTTGATCTTCGCCAAGTGGGAAACCATTCACCATCCCTGACAAGAGAATCTGGTCAGATCTCGTGCAGCGTATGCGGAGTCGGGGGCCCGAGACGAGGAGTACATAAAACACCGAAGAAGCCTGGAGGAGAAATCCTGTTCGAAAGGCATCCAAGGAGCAACTCACGCCATCTCGTCTCCCAGAGTTTGAAACCCTCCGCGCACGACGCACTAAAATAGTGGGCAGGTCTGGTCTGTGCGGACCTCATTCCATTATTAACCATTCAGGCTCTGACGAGGCTACACCACCGCATCGGAGGCCGATCGCCTCAAAATCTCTAGTGGGGAACCTGTCTCTCGTCACCATCGAATTTCTCACCTCTGAATCATTCCTCCTCCCTTTCCTCTCTCCATCGCCGCTCACGACCATCGATTCCCGCTACTTTCTGGAGGTCCTTTCCGCCTCCAGGAACTTTAACAGCCAACAACACTCGACCCGTCTGTGCAAGGCTCCCGCCTCGTCGCATTCCTGCACGGCATACCCACTCGGGACCTTGCCGGCTTTCTTGAGGTCTTCACGACGCGTCCCCCCGCTTTCGCATTCCCCTGTATGGACTCCGGGAGTGCTCAATCAGCTGCGGGCATTGACCCCAAGATTCTTGATTCCTATCAATCCGATACCGTTTTTACTATACCGTGGGAGAATACAGGCTACGACCAACAGCTGGATTGGGATACGAGTCAGGACTCGAACCAGGGGGATTCCGACTTCGCAGAGCTCAGTAGAAACCCTTCGCTGCTGGGACACCCCGGCGACTACCACAGCGATGACAGCAGGTATGGGCTTTTCGGACCTTTTTTTTTTTCCTTTATCGCTTCCGGGGCAGCCGGCTAATACATTCTGTATAGCAGACATACGAATTCGCCTGACAAGTTTGGGATAGCCGATGGCTCGGCTGAGGGCACAGTCAGCAGCACCGTCAGCCCCAAGACCCTACCCTCCGCCGACGATAACTTTCAGTTAGACGAGTCATGGCCGCAGTTACAGCTGTACAATAACTTCATGGCCAGTTTCCCAATGGACGCTTCGCTCATGTACCCCTACGCCAAGGAGCACTCAGCCCCCGCCGATGCCTTCATCGTCGAAGACGGGCCTGGATTATCACAAGGACACGGGTTGCCCGAAATCCCATCCGACCAGTTTATGCCGTTCCAGAGTATCCCGCCTGCATTCCCGTTCACAGCAGCTGAGCCATGGGCTGAACCGATTACGAATGCTACTAGGGCTATGCCGAGGAATATCCCTGTGGCAGTCCCCGCCATGGGCCCGCTATCAATTGACAAGGATCCAAGGCACTTTGGTAGCTTTCCAAGTTCCATGCAGTCCCTCGAGACCCGTTGGCTTGACAGTCTTGAGTCCCAGCTGCCTAGTAATATGACGTCCCCGTCATCATTCTCCACTGTTCCGCAGCAGTCACTATTCATCAAGGACGAGACAGCTGCCCAGGATTTGTTCAACTACAAATCTGAAAGTTCGTCGGTGTCGGATGATGTTTCCGCTGCCTTTGAGTATCCCTTCTCCGCTACAGACGACGTTCCGGCCTTCGCGGAGCGACAGCTTGATGAAGAATGCGTTTGGAAAGAATCTCAGAAGGAGGAGTCGCCCTCCGAGATCTCTACGCCTCAAACGGCCACCGCGTTTGTTGTCAGTGAAGACCCATCGGAGCCACTATTCTCGACTATCTCTTCAGCCCCTTCACGGTCAAGAACTTCGCCTCTGACACAACGCCCGCCCGCGAAGCCACAGCCACTCGCAGTCCAGTCCGCCGCTACCATAAAGAAGCGCAAGAAGCGGACCTCAATCATTACTCTCAACGAAGATAACCCTAAGCCCTTGCAGATCGTCCAAGAGGATGGCCAAGGCGGGTCCATTGCTTCGGCAGACTTCGTCTCTCCGCCTCGTGGCGCTCGTCGCAAGGGCCCCTTGTCGATGGTTGGCAGGGCTAATGCCGGGATGCGAAGGAAGAACAAGGACACTTGTGTTCAATGCCGACTGAACAAGCGGAAGGTAAGCTTCTCTGCGTCGTCAATCTAGACCACGACTGACTCTAAGTAGTGCGATGGAAGCTCTCCATGCGAAGCTTGCCGCCCCACTCTGCATGAGCAGCCGTGTGCCCGGGCTTGCTTCTCAAGCATCGTTGAGTACGGAACTTGCAATTATATCTGTAAGCACGTCTTGTTCCCCATATAGGTGCTCTGTTAACAAGATCAGCTCAACGAGCCATAAACCATCCCACTCTTGATAGATCTGGCCGAGTGCGGTTGAACATTCCTTTCGAATTTGACTTGAATGACCTGCTTTCATTTCTTGGGGAACGCCAAGGGAAGTTCAACATTCGCGCGAGCCAAGCCTGGGGCTCTCTTTACGTTCTTGATCTCGGAGAGACCTACAAGTTTCTCCGAAGCTTGAGCGAGTACAACGGCAACTCACGATCCAACTTCCTCGAGTTCATTGACCGGCGGATCGTTGAGTCAAAGGACAAATCAAAGAACTGGCTGACCTGCGTCAAGGATTGTGATCCGATGAAGAACATTTACGTAAGTTCTTTGAATCTCGGCTTTATATATGTCACTAACGTGTCCGTTAGACGCTGCTTTCTCAGTGGAACAACATGCCTAGCCGTGCGAGCTATAGCTTCATTCCCCTTGACGCTAACGAGGAGGAGAAGCCCATGGACGTCAGCGACCCGAAGCACCAGCGCGAAATTCTTCTCGCGGCACAACTCTCGCGTATTGTCTGCCGCATGCTCGAAGTGGAAGGATTCCGGAAGCTCGAGAGGGACTTTTACAACATCAAGTGGAAGCAAATCTCTCAAGACACACACATGAACTTCCTCAAGGAGCTTGGCCACATCCTCCTCACCCTCCGCTGGCGAGTCTCGTGGTGGAAGCGCCTTGGCGACGGCGGCCAGGAGCCCGACCCGACCAAGCAACACTACGTGGACCGAGTTGACCTGCTCTGCCGAATCCTCTACGTTTACTACACCTGTGTTCTCGCGAAACTGCCATCTTGGTGTGCATCTGAAGTCCCCAAGGGCATCTGGTCTACGTACGCCGACGCAGAAAATCCAGTCTGGGACGACTTCCCTGTGGACCCTACGGACGAGGGCTTCAAGCGCTGGATCGAGCGAGGCACAGAGCTTATCGAGCAGTCCGGTGCGCCCATTCGTGTCGCTAAAATCTGATAACTGTTGGCCAAAAAGGCACTTCAGCCGAAATTTACTTCTAGAAGACTGTGGGTGGCGGCGGCGTGGAATGAACTTTATTTGAGATACCCTTGCAAGCGTCTTGTTTACATTTCCTCTGTTTTACGAATTACGAATTTTCCATGTTCCTTTGGGCTCCGTTTTTACCTGACTTGATTTACCTGATTATCATCTGCGCTGGCTACAGTTTCGTTTCAGACTAAGAAGATGTTTCTTTGTATATACACTTGCATTTCAGCTCAGCTTTTGAATACCAACACAGATATAGACGGGTATCAAACTTAATTAATCATATCACTTTTGACTAACACCAACCCAATGCATCGCACATGCCCATTGCAATGTAAAGGCGTCCAGATATACCACAGAACATATTCTTCCCATCCAAGCTCAAGACCTTACTTTCCTCCCTTCTTTTCCTTCCCACCAGCCGCCTTCTTATCTTTCTTTCCTCCAGCCAACATCTCAAGATGTCCAGCTCTCTGCGCAAGACTCCGCTCTGTCTTCGCCACAAGTCCAGCCGATAGTTTCTGCAAGCGAGTTGCGTTAGCACATGGCCCTCCACTTGAACAACAAGCCCAAACGGATGAAGTCCAGTCCCGGAGAGAGAGACTAGTCTGAGCACTCGAATGGTCTGCGTAATCGATGCATCCGTCCATACCTTGTTCATCTTCTGCTGCTTGATCAACGAGGCCTTCTTCGGTGCGATCGTCCGGTTCCCTTTCTTGGGGCCAAGGGCCGAGGGCCTGTTCATGGGTTGAATGTTAGCTTCATGTCTGAATTTTGGCATTAAGCCTGAAATCGTTCGTTCCGCCTGTCCCAACCATCGCATCGGAGAAGAAAATCGGCGCAGATCGAGATATGGAAGATGGGTGTCAGGCACTCACCGTTTTGACGTCGCCGTGCCGGCTTTCGCCTTCTTGAGCGCTCCTTGTGTCATTTTCAATAGACGGATGCTAAATGCACTGCCAGCAGCACAAGATGAACGAGACCAGATACTAGGTGTGTTCACAGGAGGGGATCAGAAAGCTTTGATGATTAGATAATCTGCCTCAGTGCCTGGCCCGAGGCGGTGGCCAAGATCTCCGCGCGGTCGCGCCGTCCACCGCTTTGTTTTTAGTCTCCACTTCTGTTGATCTGAAGTACTGGCAATACCTAACACGACTGTCTTCGCATCTATGTTGCTTCTACCTTTGAACCATTGAATTTTACCTCTATCTAGCTATACGAAAGAGACGCGGTAATAATGTCTCCTGTGGTGACTGTTTTCCTCCGCTAGAAGAGTACAAGTCAGTTACCTCTTGGGCTTCGTCACCCGCGGATATTTGGTCGAAGACCCTCAAAGGAATCTCGCGCCAAAAGTCCAATTAACTCTAAAGCCAGGCTCCTACTGCGAAGGCAAAATAACTTCATGAATCAAGCATCCCCGATCTCCCTCCGAATATAGCCCGCCACCCGCTGCGCATCCACTAACCACGGCGTGTGCCCCGTCGCAATACTCTCAGTAGCAATCTGCGCACCCTGCGCCCGCGCTTGCTCAACCATCATCTTCTGCACCTCAACTGGAATTGCCCGGTCCTGCTCACAGAATAGATACGAGCTTGGAATCCATGAGTACGCCGTGCCCGTCGCTGGGGAGATCTTTGTCGCCCACGCGTGCGGGCGGAGTTTTCCCGCCCACTCCTCGCCACCTGGGACGTCGTGGAAGAAGAGGTCATATGGCGTGGAAGGAGAAACGGTTCCGTTGGCTTCCTGTATAGAGTGTCAGTATGCGGGAGCAACTTGTCCTCGTTCCGTATAGGATATCAGGGACAAGGAAGGCAGGGGTTACATACATCTCGAACATACCACGGCGCAGGCTCCCCACCAAACGCCGAGATCAGACTCTGTCCAAGCTCAGGGATGAACGCTGAGATGAAGATGAGCTTCACTACTCCACCTCCACTTCCACCAGCTACCTTCGCCAGCCCATCAAGCGCACTGTTCACCGGCAACCCTGCCCAGCTATGCACGACAATCACAACCTCGTTCCCCTTCTCAACTTCCGGCTCGACGAGCGCGCGGACTGCAGCGATATCTGCTGAGAGATCTGTGACAGTCGTGGCCTGTTGGATTGAGGGGAAGGCGACTGTGTGGCATGTATACCTGTCGGATTCGAGGAGGGCCGTTAACGGCATGAATGCCGTAGCGGGATACCAGGCCCCGGGGGCGAAGATGAGGGTTGGCTTTCGGTCTGGCATGTTGGAATTGGTCAAGTTGTGATTGTTTGCTGTGTGTCGGCGTGGTTCGGTAGCGGTTAGTACTCCGTAGATGTATTTCAGTATATCCCTAAGAGAAGAGAAAAGAAGCAAGGAATTGGCTCTCTTTTATACCTACACCCAGGACACCCTCCGTGTAGGCGGGAATCCACCCTGCAGAGGTAGGCTAACCACGACATCGGGATGGCTGGGTTGGTTGGGTAGAACGTATTGAAACAACGAGCTGATAGGGCGTAACACGAGCGAAATACAAGAATCGACTCGGGGGTGGGTCATAGGCTGGGCTTGTGTACATAGCCTGGTGGGTATATACTTGCGCGGCTTTGAGAAGACTCTGGAGAGAGACGAGGTGACCAATGGGAGAATAGCCTCGCGAAGTGGAGTACTATATCTCGTCTCGTTACCTCACTTTTTTGGTTTCAACTCAGCTCATGGAGCTGTCCAGCATGCAATGCCAATAATAACTATAGATCGCTAGATACGCAATTAGGAGACCAATAGCACAACTCGTACATACAATGTATGTACAGAAGTCAACCACCAACAGCCAAACATGTAGGACTAAGAAAGAAAAAGGTATCGAGCAAACAGTCCAAAGGCTACCTAGATATAGTACAACATGATAAGAAATATGCGATGCAAACGCTTGAGCGGGCTCGTTCTGCACACCAAAGACTACGACCAAGACCAACGCTATTGCTCTCCTTCCCCATCTGCTGTCCCCATCTCCTCTTCTGAGACATGCACAGTATCGTTGGGAGCAAAGTTCACTTTCTCGCCAAGGTCGATACTTTCGCGCATGATCTGTCGGGCGGTTTCTTCGTCGACTTTCATGTCCTCTTTGATTAGGCGAACAGCGAGCTCAGGGACCAGGACTGACTGCGAGTAGCCAACGGGGCCTGCCTGAGTGATGATTTTGTCTTCTTTGGCTAGTCGGGTGAGTCTTCGTGAGAATCGAGCGGTAATTGCGTCTAACCTGATATATGTTAGCCTCATGAACATAGCATCTTGGAAAGAAAGCTCTTACATTATCCCAGAACCTCTTGTGCCGTAGTACCCGCATGATATGGTCTCCAGGCTATCGCCTGCCAAAGTGAGGGCAAAATTCTTCGCTTTGCCTGACTTTAATGTCGAGATCAAAACATTCCTGTAATACGACGAGCTGCCGGGTGCCAAAAGTTTCTCCAAGTCATTAAAATGAGCTTGTATTCGCTCATCGAAATTCTCCCAATCAATTGTAGGATAGCCCTTTGCTACCCACTGATCCTCTATAAAGGACTTCTTATGGGAGTTACAAAACGCTTGTTGATCCCTGAATCGCTGTCTTGGCTGGGCCTCGAATTTGATTAAAAGTCCTGGATCCACCGGCTCGTTGCACATGGGACATAGGTACTCCCTTGGAGCTTCCTCTTCGTCTTCGTCGGCGTCATTCATTATGTCGTTAGGGGACGGGTAGCTCTTCAGAGAACTGAGAACAGAATCATCATCTTCATCGTCTGTATCCGGTATACCACGATCTCTGGCCGATGAAGTGGGAACAGAGAAGCTAGACGCGCTGGCAGGATCCGGAAGCTCAGGAGGGAATATGAACTTGATCTCCTCTTTAGATTCCTCTCCTTCCTCCTTCTTAGGGCTCTCTGACTTTTTCGCAGCCGGCCCCGACGCTGACTTGGGCCGTGCCGCACTTGAGGAAGGGCCTGCCATACTGGAACTAGGTGTTTTCCGAAACTTGGACGAATAGCTCTGCCTCTTTGACTTAAAACTCTGCTGCGACGGCCGGATAAAATCGAACATATCCTCTCTTGTATCGTCTGAGCCAAGCATATCCTTCATGGTACGCTTGCGACTCGAGCTTGGCGACTTGAATTCCTTCTCTTCGTTGTTTTTCCGCGCAAGTTTCTCCTCTAATGTTGGCCCTGCCTGTCGCTTCTTTCTAGGCGTGATTCCATCATCGTCATCGTCTGGGAGGTCTGGCTCCTCGTCACTTGAGCTAAGTGGTTCATCGTCTGTCGCGGGTTCGGGTCTTGAGGATTTCGGGAGAATTGAGTTGGTCTGCGCGCTTGCTTTTTGGGGCTTGCGCGGCGTAGTCTGTGAGAATTCACTCAAGTCGCTGTCAAGTAAATCCTCGTTCACGCTTGAGAGGGGCGACTCGTCATCTGCCGAATCGTCTATCTCTAGGGGGTTCGAGTTTTGCCTCGCTTGGAGGCTCACCATCGTGAGGGGAAAGAGGGGCGGGGACGGCGACTTGCAGGAAGAACCGAGCTGAGTTCGCAAGATTGCAACCGATTTTCAAGAGATGAAAGATTAGTGTGTGTAAGAGACCAAAATCCAAAATCGACCGTCAGACGCCCTATGGTTTGATTGCGCCCGTCCGCAAAGAATGAAATCCTCCCCTCACCACAGGCAGCTGGAAAGGATGGGAGAAGAGTGGGTAAGACGAGGAGAACCGTAGAATTGGCAGAAACGAGGGGTAGCAGAGCTCCTGGAGAAGCCGTTCAATGGCTTTGTGGGAGTAGAAGGGCGAGCAAGAAGGAGCTGTTAGAGTTGGGAGGAGACGCGTGGGCGACACGCTCTCAGGAGCTTCTCCGCATTTCATTTTCGAGTTGCCTCACCGGACGCCGAACCCGTGGTTACTACACTTAGTATAGACTTTGTGTACGCTATGTGAGAACGTTACTGAGAACATAAGGTGGAATTGGCTATAATAAGGATTCAATGGCTTTCGCAATCCAAGTCTGGCAAATATATATTCTCCTAAAATATGCTCAAGACAAGCAATCTCAATGCTAATGCAGGAAACCGACAACTCCAAACGCTCGTGGGGCCCTTAACGAGAAAGGAAACTAAAATCATTGAAACCATCAAAGAGTCAACAGGGAGGGCAAAAGTCTAGTGGCTTCAGTCTAGTAAGCCCCAAATACAGTCATAGCTCATCATCACTCAAAGGTCATTTGAATTTCGTCTTCGCCTTGCTCCGCCCAGGCGTTTTCTTCTAGAGCAAGTGCGCCTACTGCGCCGGCGCCAATTGTACCAGCAGCACCAAGACCAATGACGCCCGGCGTTGTCAGGGATGAACGAAGGGCAGGTCGAGAGGAATAGGAATCGTTGGTGCTGTATGTCGGGGTTTCATAAGAAGAGAAAGAGCGCTGAGGCGGCTCATGATAGGACGATTCAAAGGTCATCTGTATCTCATCTTCTTCCGGAGGAGATCGTGTGCGCGGTGCAGGAGTAATGCTAGGTGATGGTATTGTGGGTGGTCGGGGGGAATCCGTAGCTGACAATCGCGCCTTGGAATCCTTTTCCTCTAGAGATGCCGGAGTCGCAGGAGATGCGAGGGGTGGAGAATTAAGATCAAGTTTCATAGGCGGTAGAGTGGACTCAAGCTGCTTGACTTCAATCATCTCCGAAGCTAATTCAGCCCGAATGGCGTCAATATCGAATAAAACGGTTCCGGCTGCGTTGGAATCGGTCGGTGTCTTCGGCGATTCGGGTTGATTGACTTCGTAGTTTTCCCAGGCCTTCTTTTGAGCGAGTTTTCCGCGTTTGAATAGGCCAAATCGCTTCTTATCTGGCTTGGTCTCTGCTTCTCGACGGGCCTCGTCAATCTCACGGATAAGCTCCCTCTGCCGCTCGCCGTGATTCTCAGGGTCCGGATCCTCGATTTCGGCAAATTCCTCACTCAAAACTTCCCAGTCAACAGCCTTCAGAAGGCGAGGTATGGCCGCACGATAGTCCATGTGACCGTTGACAAGCTTGGTGCAGTCAAGGTTTTCAAGACCTGGAATGCCTTCAATGGGAGCCAATCCAGCTACTCTCATGATACCACCACTAGTGGCTCGGAATAAGTACCCTAAGATCCAGTCGTTGGACGAGTACCCATTGACAAACCGGCCTGAGACTACCCCTCGTGCTTTGGTATACTCGTCTTTATTCGCCACTAATGGGGAACCAAAAAGATAGACATTCTGAACAAGCCCGTAAGCACCCTTGTCTGCGAGCTCTTTGAGACAGGAGAAGATCACTCTAGAACCGAGGGAATATCCTAGCAGTGTTACTGGCCGCTTGCCTAGGTTTCTGTCTATCAGTGAATCAGCGAGGATGAGCCCAGCAGCAGTTGCACGTGCGAGTGAAACGTTCCATGGGTTATCGATCAAGTAGGAGAGCTTCGTAAGGACGAGAGGCAGTTGTAACGAGGCCATCAGAGCTGTGAGGATAGTGCTCCCAAGCACTTGTTGTAGTCCTTGCGTCAAAGCCTGTTTCTTTTGTCAGTACATCAGATACGGGAGATAGGCAGCTGATTCGCACCTCTGTCGCGAGGATATTGATGGTTTCACCCATGCTTTTCAGCATCTCAGGCTCCCACAAGACCGAATAGATGTCTCCCATTATAGGGTCGACGGTGCTATAAGGCAGCCGCACGTCATCAATGTTTCCTGTCATCCACCCAGACACAGTAACAATCAGGTTGAACCTCTTGTTGTTATGCAGCGGCCGATATTCGAATGTCTGAACAGCCCCCGTTCGTCTGTGGGACGCTCTCAGCCCTATTGTACTCCCGGTCAATGTCGCTCCTGATGCAATAAGCGCTGTACCACCGGCTCCACCCAAAAAGGCACTGGTACCACCTACTCCGATGGTGGTGAATCCCGCGGCGAGACCAGCACCGATGACGGGGGCCAAAAGGCCTGCTGAAAGCCCGATAACTATGCCTCCGCCAACAGTGGCCAAGCCCATAATAACGTACTTCCTTTTCAGTGCCGACTTGCGGCGCTTTTCCATGTGCTCGGACTCGTCCCAGGTCTCCTTGTCCGCAGCTTCTTGCATCTCAAGCGCATCAATGACGCGCTTCTCGAATTTAGCGATTTGTAACCATGAAACCTCCATAGAAGCTCCTACCCTTTCCAGCAATGTCCGCGATCGCGAGTCATAGCTTGCATCAGAGATCAGGACTAGAAAAAGATCGCAAAGCACCGTCCATCGAATATCGATATCGATCTTCTCAGACGTTGGTAGCTCTGATGGAGTATGGACGTCCGGCACGTCTCCTTCCTGGTTGACCTCGTAAGGTGGAGGAGCTGTACCTTCGGACAAGTCGTCAACCTCAGTTGTAGAGCTATTGCGATCTCCGTCCGTTTGATTGATCGAAGTTCTCGAGGATGTAGACTTCTTCGGTGTGTTAGCCTTCTCTGCCATCGGGTTCTTGACGCGAGCGTTCTCCATAAGAGGTCGGACAAGGTCTTCCGGCTGCACGCCGTGTTCTGCAAGCTGTTCAATCATCACCTGTTCCGCAGTGTTGATTTCCATATGAGCGTACAACCTAGCCATCATTGCTTGGCCCCATCCTCGCATTGAATCGATGGCCTTCTGCTTGCTCTTACGAGTCGACTTACTTGCCAGAATTCTCTCCATATCCCGAACCATCTGGAAAATGGTCAGACGCGTTGCTCCGACATAGGCTATCCTCTGGCTTTCAGTCAAGAGATCTTTCGTAGCCTGCAGCTGGCTCAATGTATCACGTAGTTCCTCTCCCTCAATGCCAGCAGCCGTAGCATGTGACTCCTTAAAAAGGTAACTCGTGTCTTCATCCAAGCTGTTGACTGATTCGGCATCGTCGTCAAGTTGGACCCTGGTGTACCCGTTTCCAGCCCCTCCTAGTCCCGCATAAACAGCTCCGTTGTCCTCCTGCTTCGCACCGCGGGCAACTAATCGCCCATAGTCATCATAGAAATCGAACTCATCGATAGCGGGCATCTCTTTCCAGTCTCCATCGTCGTCGTCGCTTGCTTCTTGCTCGTGATCATCCTTGTTGTCCTTGTGTTCATGAAGTCGTTGATGTGACCATTCCGACATTGGTATATCCTTTTGCGGTACGTGTGCGGCCCGAGGCGAGTCGATGTCTTTGGTTGGCTTTTCCGTATACGCAGGAGGAGGGTCTCGTTCGGAATTGGGGGACGGGCTGTGAGGCGCATGTTTCTCGACTGTGGAGGCTTTCACTCCGTACTGTGTTGAGGTCCGGAACTCGCTCGGTCTGGGCGTTGTAGGGCGTTGCACGGCCTCCTCCCCTGCACTATTCTCTGTGAGTTTCTTGGTCTGAGGCGGTTCTTCAACCACAAGACTCCCACGGGTCTCTGACTCGACGATTGCGCTAACATCATTAGTACCGGTGGCACTTTCCTGAGCATCATGGAATTGAGCGTCATCGACAGGCGATTCTGTCCTCTGCCGAGCTGGCCTCAGCCGCGATCGTATCGGTAAACCGAAATCGTCGACTTCCTCACGCTTGATTGCGCTATTATCGGTACCTTCTGTAACTACCGGGGAATCCTGACGGAGGCTTGTGTTCTCTTTCTGACGGTCATCGTTGGATGTATCAGCTGCGGTCTTCGGAATGGATTGCGGTGAATTGTCCGAGGGAGGCAAGGGCTGATCGACAGGGAGGTCGCCAGAGGGGTCGCCAGAGGGGTCGACGGTGGCAGCCGGGCCCGAGCTCATACTTCATCGAAGGGAGATCCAGACGTCGTCTTCAAAATGTTCTAACCCTGTATTTTTCCCGGTTGGTACCCCCGTCTGCAATCTGAGGCCAAACTACGACCCATCCGGGCAAAAGCAAGCTGAAACCTCAAGGATGCGTTTGTGGTGGCCCGGACTTCGATAAAGCGTCGTCTGATCGAGCGCAAAGTGTAGGACAGATCTCCGAAGTCAAATAGTCCGAGCCTGGGGAGGGAGGTAGGTGGATCCGAATAGGGGGTGGGTTCAAGACTGGAAAACGGCTGACAGGGGGTTGGCGGCGGAGACTGACAAGAGGACAACTTGATGGTCAGTACAGGTCATAAAAGATACGAAGCCCAAGATCGAACCTGTTAGACGCCTACCACTTCAGAAATACGTATGCCAAACCTATTCGGGTTGAGCTTTCTGGTCGGGAGCAGTGCGGCGTGATCTTTGTGAAAGAGGTCCGACTCTGAAAGCGGCGATCCACGAAGCATCCGTGGGGTTCAAGGACAATTGAAGATCACGTCAATCATCTCCTCCAACTAATCAATATCAAACTACACATGAACTGGTGGGAGCTTGAAACAGCGATCAGGGTGAACGTATATTTTCTCTTCTTAGATTAATATCGGGCATAGTACATCGTGGGCTCATTGAGTGCTGAACTTCGACTTCAGAATTTTTAGGTAGCTCAGAAAGCACACTCAATATGGCGCTGTTTTACACGAGGGAAAGGCTTTTCAGTAACTAGAAATTCTCAAAAAAAAAAAGAGAACAATGAAGGTAGGTCAAGAGCCTGGGATCCTTTGGAGTACATATGCGTATGGGGATATGTCTGTGCATTGGGTGCATGCGATTTGCTAGATCTTGAGCTTTCAAGGCAACTTCTCCATATTCTGCTTGAGAAGATATCAATTGTACTTGTACAAGATTCATAGTCAGTTATCCTCAAGACTGTTCAAATGCTTTTCGTCAATTGAAGTGGTCTAGGCGACTCCAGACGGATTGTGCGTCCTGATACTATCAACACTGTAATAGAAAACAATCAGCTTGAATCCCAACTACCGTATACCGACCAGACTGGGGCAGATACATACACACTCCTCGAAGCTCCTCCTTCTACATCGACTTTCTCCGATCTCGCCTTCTCCATATCCTGTAGAGCCGGAGCCTTGTTTCTATCGTAATGCATCCCCTCCGCTAATCGCGACTCGGGGCTTGCAACGGACTCTCCGATATTACTATCCCTCGTTTTGAACTTGTCAAGAAGTTCCTCTATTATACTCAGTTAGCAATACCCGTGGGAAAACATGGGATTGGACGATAGCGTACTCGTTGACGGTTCCTTCTTGGATAAATCTGGAAGATGAGGCATGTTGTATATTGCTGGGCTATTCGAGTGTAGTAATGTCGATATTGGTCGTCTCCTCCTAGATTAGTATTAATAGGCATGGTAGTTTTATGCTGTTTTAAAGGTCCGTTGAGATTGATGAAATTATTCGTCATATGGTTTGCCACACTCGTGGATCTATAATGGTAAAGTATGGTATTTGAAGAGAAAACGCGCGCTCGCCATTTCCAAGGATGCGAGCTGCATTATGGTCTGATCACAATAAGGCTCGGACCTTGTAGTTGTTTGGCTAGGTAGCACAAATTCTCTTCAAGGTCAATTGTGAACATCATCCGAGTCATGGATCGGATAATGTTCCCGATTGCCGAGTTTATACTGGTGAAATCATCACTTTCAAGGCTGATCAGGTAAAGATCCAGCGGAGTTTAAGTAAGTTAAGAATCCCAAGTTTCCCCTGTCAAATTGGAAGAGCAAGAATAGTTAATCTGGTCAAAATACTTAGCTGACACATCCCCTGTATCTCCGGAGTACATTCTTTTACTACTCCGGGGCCCGAAATCAGGTTGAAAACGCCCGATCCGACGCCCGTTTATCGCGGCCTGGGCGCATTAACTAGGCGGGGTGGCTTGCCCAGCCATTTGGTAACTTTGGGAAGCTCTAAAAGGTTATGGTAACACGGATCGCACACAGAATCTCGATTACATCAGAGTTTACTCCGCAGTAGCATTGTACTACAAGTACTGCTGAGCTACTCAAGACTCCATGAGAAGTGCAAGTTTCCTGAGCCTTCACAATATTGTTCTATCGACGGATTAACCGATGTGCTCCGCATGATGTTAAGCCGCGCGCCGCTTGGGCATACTATGACGCGGCTCGTTTCGCGTCAGAACTGCCGTCGAGATGCATACGGTTTCAAAGCTGGAACTTGGGATGATACATGATCGAAAAAGTAGCCTCGAGAACTTAGCTACCACCCTACTTCAATGAGAACAGGGCGAATATTTCATGACTCTGCTGGAAACGGATTGATTGAGCGCTGCTTGGACGATTGTCAGCCGTGCCGAGGGGCCCACAGGGCTGGACAGAGGTGACCACTCACGGCTTGAGGTGGAAACTGAGCACACGACAACTTGGAAAATGGAAGGCTTGGGGCCTTTGGGCTGCGCAGCAGCCATCATCCAAGTTTCTCAGTTGTTCTGACTCTCCCTATTAATAACTCGTCACCCTGTACTTATGCTTTTTCTTATCTCTCACAGTATTTGCTCAGCTTACACGTTTCTCTCCATCCCGTACTAATTCTTATTCTTCTTCGCATTCTTATCCCTTTCCAACCCCTGTGGTTCTGTTCGTGCCCGTATTGTGTAACCCACGTGTACCCTGTATGAAATCGCAGCAACCCGAGCGAAGATACACGACAGCACTCGCGACTCGGAGTGTAGTTTCGCTTCACAATGCGGTCATTGACCTCTACCCTTCTCCTCACCTTGTGCGGCCTGATATCCGTCCAAGCCGAAGTAACTTTTGACGACGTGAGAGATAAGCTGCCAAAGGTTTATAGCGGACAGGAAGGCGAAGGGGCGCCGAAATATTTCAGTGAGTCTCAGTTCGCGCAATCGCGCTCAATCAACTTGCGCTCAGAACTCGTCGTGCTAACCGCCCATAAGAGGAGTCCTCGTATGTTTAGTTCCCTGATGATCAACAATTCTCTTAACTAACCTCAATCCCCGTTAGCTTCCATTATCATTATGACGGACGGTGCGCATATGTTACTGTAACCATTCCATCTGAATGCAGACTGACTCCATCGAAGATTTGCAGAAAGCGTCCTCCCCGAAGAAGAAACCCTCCCTCACTTATCAGCACTTATCCAAACTTACCTATCGATGATGGCCGATCTGGGTGCGGAAACATGGATAATGCATGGGTCTCTTCTGGCTTGGTGGTGGAACCAGAAGGTGATATCCTTCGAGCCTGCCTCCGTGTCAATAACCTTCGCTAAACCAACCTAGATCTTTCCATGGGATAATGACCTTGACGTCCAAATCTCCGAGCCGGTGATACATTTCCTTGCCGATTACTATAACATGACCGAGCATCATTTCGACATCCCTGATGTTGAGGGCGGACGGACATACCTCCTCGAAATCAACCCGCACTATGTCATTCGATCAAAGGCCGACAAAGCGAACGTAATAGATGGGCGGTGGATTGATACTTCTTCCGGATTATTCATCGATATCACCGCTGTACGAGCGGATGACGCACGCCGGGCTCAAGGTGAACCCGGCGCTCTGATGTGCAAGGATCGCCATAACTTTGACGTGAGTGGCCATGGTTGGAATCCCTGCGCATACGGACGATGCTGATGAGCCTCAGGAATCCGAAATCTTTCCCCTTCGCAATAGCTATTTCGAAGATGTTCCCGCCAAAGTCCCTTATGCGTATACTAAACTGCTTGTGGACGAATATGGCTCGAAGGCACTGAGCACAACGACCTACCAGGGGTATGTCTGGAGAATACTGCTAAATCTACAAGCTGTAGAGTGTCAACAGCGTGAACTAATGACCTTTTCGGCAGTCACGAATTCAACAGCCAGACGAGCTTATGGGAGAAAATCAAGTAAGTTTAGGTCTAGTTTCAGGCATTTAGATTGCTAACAGTTCTTCTCTTAAAGAAACCACAAACTACTAGCTCGACGACGGGCGGCCGCCGCCATACCAAAACGTACTACGCCTCTTCATCGTTTATACGGCAACAATGCCAATTAATACTGTTCATGGGTCTGGCAACACCGGATTACGGTTTCCACCATATAATGACAACTCATTTGCATATCTGGCGTTTACATCTTGAGGTTCAAAACTTTGGAAGTTGGTTGACTGGCGTTATGTTCTTAGAAGGAAGAATACCATTTTGGCTTTCCTCCAGGCCCACCTTTCCAGGGGCTATGGCTACGATATACCTGGTTTCTACTTGAGTTACCATCTCTATGTCAATACTGTGATACCATGTAATTAGGATCAATGTATAAACCTTTCTTATTGTTACGCTTCTATTGGTGTGTCCGGTGCACTGTTCTCTTGTAGATACCGACTCATATCATCGCCCGGACCCAACTTCGGTGATGGATAGGCCTGAGTAATGTCCATCACCAATAGATTTTCTAAAAACGGTAAACAATCCATGTCCTTGCCAATTGATCGTGATTAGTCAGCGAGGGAAAGCTGGAGTTTAACTACTAGTTAACTAGAAGTAGTGCGGGGAGCAACCGCAACGAGAAAGCCACCAAGATTTAGCCCCCACTATGAGTCGACGACTCTGGATGCTAGAAGCTGGATGGCACGACGGGCCTTAAGTTTCATCCGGGCAGCGCTGTTTAGACATCCAAATTGAGGAATTCAAGTGATGCTGACTTCCTTGCGTGGCTGCTTGCCCTCACATCTTCCCCTCTGATCTGGACTTTGTGTTTCTTCGTCCCTACCATGACCCCATCCTGTTGACAATGTGAAACAGAGTGGATGCTGCTTTATTCTCTGTCGTGATGTCTTTCTCACCGCAGCATCAACCAGGCCTCGGTTCAGGATCCGACCCTTCCTCGTTCTCTAAAGGCGACGGAAACGAGGGTGTTCCTCCCCCAATGGCTCATAGCTATGCCTCTCAGGACTCTCTAGCTCATAGGAGCTGTATCACTTGTCGCCGGAGGAAGGTTCGTTGCAACAAAAGATCGCCATGCTCACACTGCATCAGGGCAGGCATTGAATGTATCTTTCCTCCACCCGGTCGAGCCCCTCGCAAGACAAAGCGTTCACCCCCTGAGAACGCAGAGCTTCTTTTGCGGTTGCGACAGCTCGAGAGTATAGTTGAATCGGCCATCACAAACCCAAACGCTCAGGCTGCGCCGTCCCCATCCCAGCAGAGTAGTGATCGCTCAAGTGGTGAACCGCCCAGTAAATTTGGGAACGAAGGCCAGACTGTATGCCCAAAATCGATGGGCCGGGATCAACCGACCAGTCTAGAGCATGAGTTCGGACGATTGGTGATTGAGGATAATCGGAGCCGATATGTGAGCAATCGGTTTTGGGCTAGTCTTGGGGATGAGGTCTGTTCTTCTTTGATTTCCCTGCCTTTGAGCCCCTCAGAAGCGCGGTACTAAACACTATACCAGATTGAAGAACTGCAGGATATCCTTGATCCTTCGTCTTCTGGAGATGATGACGACACTTCCCCCGGACCAACTTCCCACTACTCCACCACTCGCGATGGAATGCTGTTCGGCTTCTATTCCATTGCACGTTCTCTTCAAAGCTTCCATCCAGCCCCCGGCAAGGTGCCGGTGCTATGGCAGATATACGCGGAGAACGTGAAGCCGCTACTGCCCATAGTTCATGGCCCTGCTGCTCAGCAGCTTTTCACACAGGCTGCCCGGGTGCTGAATGATCTGAATAAAGACAACGAGGCTCTGGTGCTTGCCATGTACTTTGCAGCCATTGTTAGCACGTCTAATGAGCAATGTATGGCCCAGCTAGGAGAGGCGCGGGATACACTTGTCAGCCGTTATAGATTCGCAGTGGAACAAGCTCTATCCAAAGCTGGCCTCATGAACACCCAAAGCCTGACGCTAATGCAGGCTTTGGCAATATTTCTGAATGCTGTCCGGCGAGAGGACGATACGAAATTCGTCTGGTCCATGTCCGCTCTTGCACTCCGTCTGGCACAGGGACTTGGATTGCATCGAGACGGGAATAACTTTGGTCTAAAACCATTTGACGCAGAGATGCGTCGAAGGCTGTGGTGGCACATTGTCTTACTCGACCTAAGGTCATCTGAGGATCATGGAACCGACGTGCAGATTCATGATCAGATGTTCGATACCAAGCTTCCTCTGAATATAAACGACACTGATATATACCCAGAACTGGAAGAGCGCCCGAAGGCACGGACGGAGTTCACGGACATGAGTTTCTTTCTCATACGATGTGATATCTGCTATGCTCTACGGCGAGTGTCCTATATTTGTCCTGATGGTGCCTCTGCGGGGCACATGGCCGGAAATTGTGGGAATGTTGTGCAGACTGTCAACCGGAACATCGAGGAACAATATTTGAAACATTGCGATATGACCGACCCGATACAGTGGGTAAGTGCGACAGTTGCCCGCCTAGTACTTACAAAGATGTGGCTGGTCATCCATCATCCGATGACTAGCTCTGATCACGACTCGAAAATAAGCAATGAGTCTCGGGAGAGCTTGTTTATCTCGTCCATTGAAGTTGCCGAGTTTGCACGCTTGGTAAAGGAAGATGAAAACACGAAGAAATGGAGCTGGATGTTCGACACTCATATGCAATGGCACGCAATTGCCATGATCCTATCTGAGCTCTGTGTTCGTCCGTTGAGCCCCCTGACGAATCGTGCATGGCTAGCTGTGACGACAGTATACGACGACTGGCTACGCACCGCGAAGCAGCGGAAAGGGATGCTTTGGCGACCGCTTGCCCAGCTTATGAAACGAGCCGGCGCACTGAGAGAGAAGCAACTAGCAGAACTACGTGCTCATGTGGAAAACCAGCAGGGTGCGGCCCAAAACACCACTTCCACTCCAACCGTGTCGGGTCGACCCGCTATAGGGTCAGCTTTCTCATCGCATTTCCCTGAGCACTCAAGACTGATATCTGCCGCGCCCCCACTGGATCCGGACGCTTTTCACGGCCCGCTGGACTTCGATGTGACTCAAGGCCCGGTCAATCTTCTCAACGATTTCTTCCCAGAGGGCAACTGGCTTGCTACTCCTGGGAATCTTGACCAAGCTCAACCGCATCCACGACCGCCGTCGACTGTTCCATTGTCCATGTCAGCTATCCCAGAACTACAATCTACCCCTGGCATCAGCCACCCAGAATGGGACCAGGTATTGCGGGATTTCCAGGTTGACATGCAAGACATGCCGGCCCCTCCAATGGATGATATTACGGGTTGGATCACTTGATCCTAGCACGGGAGGATCGCCTTATCGTCTGTCTTCGGTTGTTCCCGCAACGAGGGCCTTCGTATGAGGATATTTCACGGTTGTCATGGAGTCTTTCTGGTTTGTGATTGAACACTGGTTATTGAATATGACGACCGAGATCCTGTTTCTATATATACCATCGCCTCTCCAAGTTTATAGACAATTTTATTACACTCTTAACTCCTCTCTCAAATGATCCTATACAACAATATCTTGTGGAAAGTCACCAAAGTCGAGTGAAAGGCACGGAGGGCTTCTTATATCCTATTATCTTCGTGTAATTCTCCAGAGCCTAAACAGTATTCTCCGGAGACTGTTCAAACAATCCCACGAATCGCAATTTGAATCAAGCTCTCTGAATCGAAGGATTCGTCACCAGCTCTTATACTTCATGTTTAGAAGTCACGTGAACTCCACCTATCCGGACTGGACAGCTTTCCAGAGCTCTGACTCCCTCGTCATCCTCCATTGCTTCGACCCTCGTTATTGTCTCTTGATCTTTCTATTAAGACACCCCAATACATCTAATACACAAGCGATTACACATCCCGTTAAGAAGGGAGAAACAAAAATGGCTCCAAAGCGCGCAGCCAACACCCCCTCCGCGCCCTCACCATCCACCTCCGCATTCTCATCAACGACAACAACACTCTCCTCAGGACCCAAGACGCTCTCTGCAAACTCCTCCGTCTCCGATATTGCCGTCCATGTCTGGCAGCAGTACCTGACGACTACGCCGCAGCGCACAATGCTCCTGGATGCATTCATGGCGTTTCTGGTCCTTGTCGGCGGCGTACAGTTCGCGTACTGCGTCTTAGCAGGGAATTATGTATGCCTGTCTTAAATGATTTCCTCATTTTTTTCTGTTCGATTCTGGCGAATTACTAGAAGGAGTTGAATAGCTGGCTAACAAGGATTTTTTTTGAAACAGCCCTTCAACGCCTTCCTAAGCGGCTTCTGCGCCGCAGTCGGCCAATTCGTTCTCACGGCTAGTTTACGGATGCAGACGAGCTCGGTTGAAGGTGCAAGCGGGAAGGGCGTTTCTTCGGTGCCTGCGAAGGCGGGCAAGGAGGTTACTGGTCGTGGGAAGGATACGGATGGTGTGTCGCATGAGAGGTGAGAGATCTTTCTTTCCCTTGCTGTCATATTCAGGTCTCGGTTGTGCGGCACTGCGCATCTAGTGTGGCTATGACTCGGGCCCGTGCTAACGTGCTGTGTGACTGTAGGGCATTCGCGGATTTCGTTTTTGGGAGCTTGATTCTGCATTTCTTCTGCATCAACTTTATCAATTGAGGGGCTGCCGCTGTCGAGGACCTGGACTTGCCAGTTAGGGTTACTGTGCCTGGATATGGAGATAAGATGGCGATCCATGATGGACGTAAAGTTATGGCGCTGTTCGCGTGGAGTCTTTCCCTGGTGGAATGATTCTAGATGGAATTATTCTAGATGATCTTCGATAACTTCGAGTTCTATGCCCCTCGCTGTTGTCGGGGCTAGTATATCTGTATACTATACTTGACGCTATCTGATTTCTATCGGATACCAAATAAAACAAAAGCCTGGATGGGGTATATTATACATGGTCTATAATCTATGTACTTTTTCCTGAGTCATCGTAGTCGTTCAGTTCTAGGTGTTCGCGTGTGCGATCAGAGCTGGAGCGTCGAAGCATGTTGCTCTCGTTGCACTTCCATTGCATGTCTCTGGTCAACATTGTGCGTGTTCCAATATATGAATGCCCAATTTCTATTCCAAGGGCAGGCGCGTATGGGGGCTCCCTCGGACTCTGGTTTCTGGGCGATATCTAGTTATCCATGACATTAACGGTCATCGGGCCTCGCCCGCGGACTCTCTGAACCTGGGTTCGTCTCGCGAGAGACCAGATGAGGCCATCAGGTTGATAACCCGAGATGCCTCGGTTTAAACGTGTCCTTTATGCAGAAAGGGTCCTCGAATCGCGGACAGCAGCGCAACGAGATATGGGCGAATATCGACGAAGAACTTGCTCAGAATGCGCGGCCCCCTTTACGCTTGATCAGCGGCTTTTTGACCACACTTCCACCACCACCACCGCCTCCTCCATTAGGAGTACTGGACCCATTGCTCCTCAGCGCCGATGACGCCGTAACACCACCGATCTTCCTCGCAGCGGCTGCAGGCCTTCGCACAACAGATGACTTGCCACCAACCTCGACCTCATTTCTGCGTCTTGAGGACTCGGTCTTTTCCTTCTCGCGCTGCTTCTCCGCGGCCGCGCGTTCGCGGTCCGCGGCGATCTGGGACTCTATTTCCATGCGGCGGTTGAACTCGAATTCCGTGACGCGGCGTTCGCGGTGTGAATAGCCTTTCTCTTTGACGGAGTAGAAGACGCCGCCGAGTTCGGCGAGCCACTATAGTTTGTCAGTTTGCCATTGGGCCATATGTTAGGTGAGGGATAACTTACATGAGGGTCTACAGCGGTCACAGTGGACATGTACTCCTTGCTGGTGAGGATGAGTTCGTGGTATACCACATACTCCGGGACGTAGCCTAGGCCGTAGAGCGCACTGGTGGGGTGCAGCGCCATGCTAACTGATGTCCGAAGGTTGAGAAACTCGCCGATACCCTTGACGCGTGCAGCCTGATGGTAGAAACCCGAGCAGATACATTTGCGGATCTCATCCCAGTCTGTACCGCAGCTGACAAGGGGCAACTTCTGCACGACCATGATATCGTTGAGCTGGTCGCGGACTTCCTTGGCTCGGCGGAGGGTTTTGGCGTGCAGGAAGTGCTTGATGCACCAACTGTCTGAGTAGCCGTTAGACTTCCATTGTGTGTAGACGTGTAGAAGAGTTAGGTGGTCGGATTCGGGGACGAAGAACTTCTCGCGCGCGGCGTCGGATTCGTCTTGTCGTTCTTTTGGTCGATAGAAGACGTTGGGAACTGATAGCATCGATACAATTGTTAACATCTCCTCGCTACACCCGTACTGTTCTGCAGCTGTGATGATAAGCTTCGCTAGTGGCGGGTCCATTGGGAATGGGGTCATGCGTCGCCCCAAGGGTGTAAGGTCGCCCAGATTGTCAAGTGCACCAAGAGACCAGAGTTCGAACAAGGATGTCGATATCGTCTCTTGGGGTGGAGGGTCCATAAAGTCAAAGTCGAGCAGATCCTTCACTCCGAGTGATTTGAGCAAAAGTACCGTATTCGAAAGGCTGGTCCGCTGAATCTCCGGGATAGTTTGCAGATATAGCTCATTCTTGTACGCCACTTCTGTGTAAAGACGGTAGGCTTTGCCAGGCCCTGTCCGACCGGCTCTTCCAGACCGTTGATTCGCATTGGCCTGTGAAATTGGAGTGATCTGAAGGGTGTCCATGCCCATCTTAGGATTGTAAACCTTGAGTTTGGAGTAACCCGCATCTACCACGAACATGATACCGTCCACCGTCAGACTGGTCTCCGCGATGTTGGTGGCCACGATCACCTTCCGTACTCCCGGAGCTGCGCGTTCAAAGATCTTTGCTTGCTGCTCCGCGGGCATTTGACTGTATATGGGCAATATACTGAGTTTCGGTGGGTCGTTTAGCAGTTTCAGCCTTTCGTCCACTAGCTCGCAAGTTGCTTCAATATCCTCTTGCCCGGTCATAAAAACAAGGATATCCCCAGGCCCCTGTGAAACGTGAATTGCCAAGACCTGCTTGACAGCGCTGTCCACATAATCTTCGCAAGGGGTCCGAGAGAAATGTACATCAACAGGGAAAGTTCTTCCAGGAATGATAAACTCCGGTGCGCCACCGAAGAATCTCGAGAATCGCTCAGAGTTCATTGTAGCTGACGTGACAATCAACTTCAAATCTCTCCGTCGAGCTAAGATCTTCTTCAGCAGACCCATCAAGACATCCGTATTAAGCGCGCGCTCGTGCGCCTCATCCATGATAATACACGAGTATTTGTCAAGATCTGTCTGAACCAGTGACTCTCGGAGGAGAACACCATCAGTCATATACTTAATGACTGTATTTGGCCCGGTGCAGTCTTCGAATCGGATCGCGTACCCAACGAGGTCTCCCAAATCGCATTCCATCTCTTCACTCACGCGCTTGGCCACACTCATTGCAGCTACTCGACGGGGCTGCGTGCATCCGATCATACCAAAGTTCGCGTAGCCATCTTCGTGTAGAAATTGTGTAAGTTGTGTCGTCTTCCCAGACCCCGTCTCACCAACTACCACAACAACTTGATTGTCCCTGATAACCCGTAATAGATCTTCTCGGACGGCAAACGCCGGTAGGTATTCTCGTTGTTCGCGGAGAGTCTTACTCTTACTGAAGGAGCTCTGCCCCCTCTCATCCTGCTTCTTCATATGTTGCGCAAACTTGTTCCCGCCCTTGTAGACATCCTCCACAGGCATCGCAACGGCCGTATCCCCTTCATCCTCCTTAACACCCATCAGATTTCCCAGCGCAGTACCTGCAACCGTGGTAGCCTCCTGCGCCTGCTTTTGCCGCTCCCGCTGCTGCCGTCGATCGCGCACAACCTTGCTTCCCTTCCGACTGAATACGGCCATATCGCTCTGCGGGTCCCGGACAGCCGAGATGGGCTCAAGCTGCTTCGTGAAGATCGTGCGGCCATCGAGGAACGGCGGGCGGAGGTCGTGGACGAGGAGATGGACACGGGTGCCCTCTTCGTCTTCCGGCATGAAGTCGCCATCAAAATCGCGTCTTTGGGCGACGCCGGAAGTTAGCATCCGGTTTGCCTCCCAGTTGTCGATGTCTTTGCGCTTCGCATCGCGGAGTGGCGCCGGAAGGTTCGAGGTTTTGTGCCTCTTGGCTGGGGGCTCGCCTGAAGCCATTGTGCAGGAGGACTGTATAAAGCACTTCTATAGACAAGATGAGTTTTGAGGAACAAAAAGAGAAGGATTTCCCGGAATTGCTGTTTCCTGGGAGTTGTGGAAGTTCTGCTGAGAAGCAATGCTGTGGACTTGATAAAGCATGATCCAAACACTGCAAACTGTATCTTGAAGTCACGTGCAACTGGTATTCTTGCTATGAATCTTCTTTGAAAAGAGTTTGTATGATGGTCTAGGAAAGTGGAATATGGACATAGCTGTAACTAGGAAACCGCATTTAGGCTTGTGTACTGGCATCAAGCTGTGTACGTTGTACGTAGTGTAGAAGCTTGGCTAAGAAAGTGGCCGATAACAGTCCGCCCCGCAGCATCATGATTCCAGCTTTGCACTTCACAACTCCGCATTTCATAGCCACAGACACAATGGCCAGCCAACCACAAGTTAGCTCGAAGAAGCAGCAAGGTACGCCTGCATGACCATTTATATATCCAAGATATACTGCTAACATCGCACAGAGCTCCAGGCTCAATACACAAACTACAAGAACACACTCCAACAGCTGGCCCAGAAGATTGGAGAAATTGAACAGGAGGCTGAGGAGCACAAGTAAGTCAACTACTTTCTCCAAAAAAATTTCATCTCAGTGTGCACACCAGTGTTTTTAGTATCTTTGAAGACTAATGTATGCGTTCGCAGACTTGTAATCGATACCCTCGAGCCCCTGCCCCGGGAACGGACATGCTTTCGAATGGTCAATGGAGTTTTGGTTGAACGGACGGTTGACGATGTTCTACCCTCATTGAAGACAAATGCGGATGGGTTGAGGCAAGTTCTGGAGGAGATGTTGAAACAGTACAAATCAAAACAGACGGAGATGGATAATTGGAAGGTTGGTCTTCATACTAGCACCAGGAAAATTACTGATGATGGGCGCTACAGAAAAAGAACAACATCCAAGTCGTGCAGCCATAATGAGACGCTACGTCAAATGAAATTCATGCAGTTTGCGCATCGCGGGCATTGTTCTCGATTGTACCATATGCTTCGAGATCGCGGGTAAACTCGATATCAAAATGGCGTACTTAGGAGTCTTGCTATAGCTCGGGAATCGGCTTGTGAAGCTCAATGGAATACGGAATGCTTATGTGTACGAGAGCTGGGACTACAATTGCGAGACTATCCCGGTTCTTTGGGACCGCGCAGTAACCCTGGGTTTCCTTTCCGTTCCATCATGCAATACAGGAGCACAGGAAAGGAATCATCGCCGGAGGCTGCCTCTTCTGCACTTTCGCGTGCCTAAAGGCCAAGGCTTCCAGGATGGAGATATCCTGTCATGATACTCATCGGCCGCCTGAAGCGATGGAAAATATTGCATTAGTTCTTCAAGAACACCATTTCAAAATTCCTTTCCTGCGTCCGAGGCCGATTTTTGAGTTTGATGATAGTGATGTAGTGGCGTGAATCCTAGCCAACCGTCTTAAGGCGCCTATGCAGCAATTAGGCGCACATGGTTGTCTGAGTTGGCGACTCGATCAAACCGGTCACGCCATCAGTATCAGTGCTAATTGCTTGTGAAGCGCACTGAGGCGAGCCTTTGTTTGACTTGGCTGCAGTTGAGGCTACATCTACGACTCTCATGATAATTCGAGTCTAGACACGCTGTAAATTCATTATATGCACGTTAAAGCTGCCGCTGTTGGCCGCTTCACATGAGCCTGAAGTTTATCAATGCTTTGTTTTCCAGAACAGCTGTCTCCATCATACACTGTAAAAGCTCTTGATGTCAAAGCGAGAACAACAACGAGTTTGGGCTGCGAAGGTTACACGTTGCGGTCTTTAGACAGCGCTGCTCGGTGTTTCAGCCGATGGGTTGACGTCCCCTCCTTGAAATAAGGATGCGATTGATGCCTGAAGTTGTGAACCACCTTCAAGATGGAAAGCGGGATGAACATGGTGTGAAGATCCTCTATTGACCTGTTTCCAAACCCCAGTAGCCTAACGGAGATTTTCAGCCCACAAGTGAGGTGATAGGACGCCGGAAGACGCCCTAGAAAGATCCCTGGCAGGATCTGTGGCCAAGATATGAGTTGTCGGACAATCACAGTTTGTCTTCTATGCTGATGACGGAGAGTGCCAATCCACAATGATGGCTCGACTCAAGACTATACTCATACTGAATGAGGTTCATGAATTTGTGTCCGGTGAGGCTGATGATGTCAGGAAGGAAAGAAGGACAGTCACGTGCGTTACAGCTGTGATACGAACCCCCACTTCAGCAGCCTCAAGATTGAGCTGTAGGCTGACTCCCACTTAGCCGAATGCGGTATTCTGGTAATAACCAACCGTCTCAGCCCCGTTACAGGAACCTGAGGCCAGCAGCCATGAGGTTCAGCAGCGCAATTCACATCCCCTGCAGCTCTTCCCTCTCTCTCTTCCATTCTCCCTCCTGCGAGCATTGTTCGATCGAATTCATCCAATCATCGAGCCATCAGCCCTCAAAGAGCATCTCTCGTTTGGAGGAGGGCCATCTCGATCCCATTCCGGATTTATTGGCGTTGTTTCGTCTGTACTTCGAGACTCCATCAGCCAGTGATCGTGCTTCTCAGCCAGGGACTTCTGGTTCGCCAATTGCCTGCTGCGCGCATCGCGGCGTCTCCAGTAATTGCTCCCCATCTCCAGCCCAGTGCCAGCAGACCAATTATTTACTCGAGTCGCCAGATCTATTCCACAGGCATCCAAATCCTAAAAGAATAGCCCGATCTTCGACTCGTGCCCTTCTTGTTGGATCTTTCTGCGCAACGTGCTGCTGTCAATTATTGGCCCACTGCTTACTTTCCGTGTCGCATCGCCCGCGTTACTTCCGATCTGCCGCCTTGAGCGCTCGCTGACGTTACTCTCCTCTACTGTCGCTGCCCTTCTGTAAGTCCATTCCCCTCACCCCAGGCGCGACCAAACAAGCCGCTTGAGAGTTCCTGAACCCTAGCGCACTATCCCCGTCCCTGGGCACCAAATCATCCTTTTCTGGCCCGATAAACATAAAATTTCTATGGATTAAAATAAAAAAGGGCCTCCCCGAGTGGTCTAGCGCACTCTTCATATGCTTTTCATCAAATGAGAGCCTCGCCTGGCATGTCATTTCACCGCTAGGGCACAGTTGTCATGGACGCGTCGCCAATCCCCCACACGCCCTGACCACTGCTTTTTTTGTTCCTGTTCAGGCTGTTGTGAAGCAAATCGCTGCCCAGCCAGACACACTCTTCCCTTCCTTGGTCCACAAGCCCTGAATTCGAACATTCATCGCGTGGTGTGCCTCTCTGACGTGGATGCCAGCAGAGCTTGAACATAATCCTCACTTCCAAAACCGGTATCGCTTGCCCATCTGCGAACAGCTAAAATCATGTCGTCGACCTCTCCCTCAAAGGATCCTGAGGTGGAACATGAAGCTCAATCAGGTGAAGACCAAGAGCAAATGGACAAGGACCAAGACACCCAAGCGCAAGGTCAGGGAGAGTTCGAGGTGAAGGAGCAAGATAGATGGTTACCAATCGCAAATGGTTAGTTGCGTCTCCTTGCAGCTTCTTCTGTTCGCCTGATTTGCGCGTACCTTACGTTTAACCGTTGCTCTACCGCTGTCGCCATGCTGTCCGAGCACTACCCCAGCTTTGACGTCGTTCTTTTTTCTCGTTGGTTGCCGCCCCCTTTTCAGCGCCTTCATGTATCCGCTTACTTGGTTATCTTGAACCTTGTGTTTCCTTTTCCCACGTTCTTTGTTCTTCTCCTACTGCTTCTCAGTCCGACGGCACCCTTCACGCCCTCTTCCTCTCTTCACATCATGACGTCGGGCCGAAAACTGACATCTGCTGTCTAGTTGCCCGGATCATGAAACTTGCGTTGCCGGAGAACGCAAAGATTGCAAAGGAAGCCAAAGAGTGCATGCAAGAATGTGTGAGCGAATTTATCTCGTTCATCACCAGCGAAGGTTAGAATAAATTCTCCTGGTTGCACATATCGGCTCATACTTATCCATTGAAGCGTCCGAGAAATGTCAGCAAGAGAAGCGCAAGACCGTGAATGGGGAGGACATACTGTTCGCTATGACCTCCCTTGGCTTTGAGAACTATGCTGAAGCCCTCAAAATCTATTTGTCGAAATACCGAGAGGTAAGACCTGTGCAACGTCCTTGGACAACTCTGTTCTAGCCCCGGTGGCTTTTGTGCTAGGGTATGGGTCGCTAACTACTTCTAGACTCAATCCGCAAGGGGAGATCATCAGAACAGGCCCACAAGTAGTAGCGAATATGGCGGAATCCCAACTGGGCCCTCAGTTGGGCGGCCAGGAGGTGCAACCGGAGGAGGCGCTTTCCCGGATGCTGCGGATAGCACCGGTAACATCATGAATCAGACCTTAGACCCTTCTGAACAGGACACCGGTGCATACGGATACCCGCCCATGGGCGGTCAGGGTCACAACGGCACGGGTGGCGAGTCCTATTAAGCTTGTTCGCGCAGAGAACATGCGGAGGACTGTGGACCACCTCCATGCCAGGACGTCAGAGTCCGTTAAAAAATGATTCAGGGTTTTACGGACTCGGGTTTTTGAGCTGGAGAAACAGCTTTTTTCCAGACTACGTCCAGACTTCACAGTATGAGTGTCACGACAGTTCTTGAGTGTTACTCGCTACATGGCATTCACATGGGTTGGTACGATCATATGAATTTTGACACATCGGAGTTTCTCAACCGACGGAACACAGGACAGGAATATGACATAGTTTGTTGGGGTTAGCGCGTGTTTTCTTTGCTTTATCTTTACGTCTGCGCCTTCGGCTCGCTGCCATCTATCACCGCAACACGTCCATGGATGCTCCCGATCAATCCCAGAAGGCGATCTCCTCGAGTCCCATGTCACTGTGAGTGGCTGTCTGCAGTATACCAATACTGCTGTGGTTTCCCCTTCTTATTGTTATTCACTGCGTGTTCATATCTATTTGTGCTCCAATTTGTTGACGATGGAGCAATAAGTGGTTGGGTGGTCAATTGATCAAGAGCCGGGGACTTGACTGATAGAGTTCAATAGGCCTGGAAGGTGTCTTAGTAGTAGTATATCACCTTATTAGGTCATACATCTCCCTACATACTTAGCTACATACATTTGGCTGCGACTTGGCTAAGCCAAGTATATACCCTGTTATGCCTTGACCAGGATCATAGGAGCCGTGAGGATTATATTCATACGAATCAATGATATATATGAGTAGAAAAGCAAGAACAGGAAATATGATATTACATATCCATATAGCAAAAAGGCCGTTATGTCATGATTCATACAACAGAGCATCTCCCAGTGAAGCCCATTCTCCCAATACGATGTTCAAAACCATTTCTTGACTACCATCATTTAACCAAATATACAGTGACATGAGTTCACCCATGCATCCACCCCCCATCCTGCAACAGATCCGACATGGGCGTCTCCTGCCAATAGATCTGGCGCCACTCATCCTCCAGCTCCGTGATACCCTCCATCACCGATGGAAGGACCGGCCCCTCCATATCAGTGAATGAGAACAGTTGCCGCCAGTCGAGTAATTCGCGCGGGTTATCGATATTGTCCATAGGTGTGAGGTTACTGGACGGAATCCAGGTGTCGAAGGGTTGCGTTGCGTGCGGGCTTAGGGTTTGTTGTTGGGCTTGTGGAGTGGAGTCGGGGGTTGGGACGTCGTAGGGGAGATGGGTGTTGGAAGTGCTTTGGAGTTGAGTCTGGGGTTGGGTGGTGGCGATTGTGTTTATGGTGCTCGTAGCTGCAGAGGTAGTGGTCGGGTTTGTGGGTGGAAGCGAGGTGGTTAGAGAGACTTTTGTCGGAGAGGTAGTGCTTGTTGTATTACTTTGGTTGTGATTACTGAAGCGGCGGGGTCGGTCAGTGGTTGCTGTTCGGAGGTCTTCTTGGAGGCGCCTTGAGTCTTCGAATAGTCGTAAGATGGTGCTAGCGTGGGACCAGAACTGGGCTAGATCGCGCAGCGAATATGAGGCAGAGTCAAAACGGCGTAGAGCGTTGATTGCAAGAACTGGATTGGAGAATCGCAGCTCGACTCGAACTTGGATCATCGCTGTGAACAGAGTGTGGACGCCAGAGTACCAGAGGAACTTCAGCCGATCATGCAGGCGCAATTCCTCGAATATGGAAGCAATCACACCAGCAGCTGCACTGCAGATTTCAGCGTCGTGCGGACCATAGTCATCAGAGTATGCCGAAGCTCTTGGGTGAGGCCGATGAAGAAGAATTAAAAAATTATTGTATGAAAGGTGCAGCATGGCAGACCAGGGATCCATATCCGACGCGCGCAAACGCAGTCTATCCGGTAGCCGTAGCGACCAATTCGCCAGAGCTTCATCTGCCTCTAGCAGTGCGGCTTTGCGGCGCTCAGCACTTATTCTGAGCCCAAACCGTTCGCGGATAATGTACGAGATCATTGTGCACAACTCTGAGAAATGAATCACAAAGTCGGCCTGTACGCCGGGTCCGCAGCCCTCAAAATCAGAAGCTGTCAATGGGGATACATCAGAGTCCTCGAGGTTGCTACAGAGTATTAGCCAATCGAACAGGCAGCTCAGGCATAAAAGGGCTCACTTACATAGCTTGTGGTCGACCATACGAAAGGGAAACCATGACGTCGAATTGAACGAGAATGTACCATAATCTCCTCCACATTCGCCGGTCTCGAGGCACGAATCTACTGCATACAGGATTACGATGCATCCCCAGGCCAGTGGCAATCCTACTGGCAACCCCAATCCAGAAGTGCGCGTTGGCTGAGACGTCATCGTCGGCAGCGTCTGAATGCCATGTGAGCAAAAGAGCAGCCTGAACCAGGATATCGCGATTTCGTTCAATACGATTGTCGAACAGCCACTTCGCGCGGCGGAAGAAGATCTCCTTTAGCGCATCTCTTTCGGCTCTCGGCCGGGTAACGTGCGCCCCAACTAGTAAGATGGCCTGCAGGAGCAAAATAGGAGGGGCATCGGCCGGATCCCGGTTGCGATACTGGGTCATAAACAAATCCTCTTCGACGATAGGGTAGCCTGTGTTGACTTGGGTGAAATAGGCTTGTACGAGCTCATCAGCCAGGGCGGGCTCTGGTAATGTAAGAGCATCAAGAAGAAGCTGGTCGTGGCCTGTCCGCAGCTGTCGCCGGGGAATTTCGTTCCCCGCAAAGTGATAGACGTCGTCATCCGTGTTACGTTGCTGGCGGATCAAGAATGACATATTAGAGAGCTCATGTCCAACGTAGATCGCTCGTACGCCTCGTTGTATCTCCCGGGTATCCGATGCTTCTTCGTCGATCAATTTCACCAGTCGCTTTTCGATTTCCGCGCGCGACTCTCCTTCGGAACCATCAGAGACGGGGTTGCGGTTGTAGACTGGGACCTTCGAATTAGGGGACATATCGTGGTATCGAACACCATTGTTGACAATACTGCCGGCGACTTTATCATTGTGCTGAGTGAGGGGACTGTGACTACTTTGACTCGCGACATTGGATTCAGTGACCAGGTCCGGCTGGACACCACGGAACGCAGTTGTAAACGCATTAGGAGTCTCGCCTGACGGGGTGGCGGGAGAGAACGACTTTGCGCCTTGCTCATGGGTAGGCGGGCGAGAACGAATTGGTACCGGGTCAAGAATCGAGCGCACTGCTAGACGTTTCTTTTTCTCGTGGATGCGACAGTCGGTCTTCCCAGCAGAGCGGCAATTGGAGCAAGGCAGTCCCACGACACGAGCGTCACATCGTACCTTTCTGCGATGGCAGTGAATGCAGGCTGCCGAGCCTAAGAAGTGTAGAAAGTCAGAGCCGAAGGTATAGGAGATATTGGGTTAAAGGTAAGCTTTTGGGGGAGGCACCTGACTTGCGCCTATTTACACCATGACTGCCGGGGGTCAGGTTGGCGGGCTGCGCGGTGGAGGACATAGCCGAAGCATTGACGAGGGATTCAGAGCCCGCAAATCGGCAGCTTCATTCTCCTGCTTGCGGATGTCGTCCCGAGAATTAGCGAGAAGCAGCGGGGACGCAAAACATAATGTGAGATGGCTCCCTGGCTGGAATTACTAAAGTGCAGGTGAGAGAAGAAGGGCCGGAGAGATAAGAGCAAGGCGGGGGCTGTCACGTGGGGTGCGGAGAGAGGGCCCAGACTCAATTTATCAGCCTACTTACTCATGGAATTAAAGATGGCCTGATATTATGTGGTGACATTCCCTGATTATCGACAGGTCTACTGGTCAGACTGAATGAGGCTGTGAAGTCTGATCCCGGGCCTGCGTGAACTCGCACCAATTTAGGCGTGGATTTCCCTTGTATACTTCTGTAAGCCCCCACCAAAGCACTTGATTGGTACGATCCAGGTAAATTTCTTTTTTTTTTATTGCTGGCCCCTACCTGCTTAGTCTACATGGTCATAAGGCTAGAAAGAATTTTATACATATCTTTTGTCACTTGCCATTGTCGAGGGGAATGCGAGAGTTAGAAAAGACGTCCTTGAAATGCTGCTCTGAACCGATCAGCATACGACAGTATCGAGTTGTCGAGCCCCCGTTTCCTTATCCAGATGGACATGGCGCCGATGAAGACCGCCACAGCGACAGATCCGATGGTTCGCCGGTGGCTCCAGATAAACCCAATGAACTTCTGCTTGTTCTCCTCGCGGCGGAGCTGGTGTGTTTGTTGATAGAATAGTTCGACGGCCGCTTTGATGGACTGTTTCCTAGAGACATCCCGAGAAGTTTTCAGCACACTGCATCCCGGGATCTTCCTCCATACCCCCGCCGGCAGTGACTCGGGTGGATGATCATGGAACAGCTGTACGGCTCGGGATATGAGAGTTTCAAGGTCCAGCGGGATGGGTAGTTTGGACAGCTTAAAATGCAGCATTTCCGGTTCGTCGAGGGGAATTTCCAGAAGCTCCTTTCTGCGGGAAAGAACAATAGCCGCATAGAGATATATGGAGACAACAGGCTCCCAAGCCAATAAGAAGTCGAAGAGCCGTGCAATATCACTATACTCCTGGATATCGTGGGCATACAAGGTGAGAGTCGCTGAAAGTGCGAAGAATGGCCGCGTGCCCGACAGCCGAATGCTCAGGTCTGCGTCCGCTGATGCGATAATCGCGGGGATGAGCTGTAGATGCTTCACTGCCGGTGCAAGTGAAGGTAACATGTAGTCTCTGAGACGTAGCAGAGACAACTGGGCGACAGCCTGTGTAGATTGGCTTTCACCAAGAACTAATAACAAGACTTGCACAATGTCGTGGAAGCCTTGAAAATAGCACAGCATGGGGTAGTTCCGCAGCACTCGCTTGATTACGCGCGATAACTTGGTCTTCTTCGATGAGAGCTCTTGCTCAGAGCCTGTTCGCTCTAAGTTAGTAGTGGAAGTAAAGGTTGCGGAGAGAGAAACTTGCAATCGGGATAGTACACAAATGAGCGATTCACGTCTAGCTGAACTTGTTCTTCATCGCCATGTGGCGGCATGTCGTCTTCGGGAGAAAGCTCATCTCTATGCGCGTGTTTATCGAAATGAAGTAAAATAGGCCCTGGTCAATGAGTGAGGCTCGACATTAAGTTTGTTTGAGGCAGCATACAGGCTATTTGTCTAAGATCATCTTGAAGGAAGCCACCCTCTGATGTAGCGAGAGTTATTAAGGTGTCTATATCGCGAGTGTCGCATGCCAGCCGGATAGCATTGATTTTCTCGTCGTTACGAGCTGATTGCTCTTTAGAGCCGTGCTCAACGACTTCAGCTGTGAGGTTCTTTTCAGACTCTGAGAAGGCGGTTTCTGCCTGGTGGCTGCTGGGAGTATCTGCCATTTCCAAACTTGGCGCAGTAGTGTTGTTCGAGCAGGCCGCCTAGTTCAAGAAAGGTAAGAGTATACTTGAAAGATGTGATAGCTCCTTTGCCGGCCAAATAAGACTTTCGAATAGTTTTCTGCCTGTCACATTTGAAGAAATGCCGGGTTACTCATGGGCAAGGTTCCATATAGGATGCGGCTCATAACGTGCCCAGAAACCGCTGATGTTAAGAACTCCGAGTTTAAGCTGACAGGGCACTCCAAGAAGCAGCAAACAGCGGATGGACGTTCATCAGGCAAAGCCACTTCTGGCTGCCTGAGGCTCACAGCGGCGGCCCTGTCACCCGTGATTCGCCGACGTGATTTCTCCGGTCGGCGCTGAGTCAGCCGTACAGACAGGCATCAGTGAGCTTCATCCATTCGATCATCCCACCAGCCCCTCCGAAGGGTTCTTTGGAGTACCAAGAACTGGTCTACAGCTCCAAAGCACTGCTGAACGACCATGATATGATGTACCCCGAGACAACACAGGTACACTGCCTCACTCGCTGCTTGAAAATCGCTCGATCCGAAGCTGCGTGGTGAAATCATAGAAATTCCTTAGCAACACCCGGACCCTATCCACCTGCACTCAACTTGGCAGTCATGCTTGGTTGGTCTCTTCGCCAGCTTCATATAGCTCCAAGTCCACCTTTAGACCTGGTACAGCAGTGTTGGAGAAACCTCTAACAGCATTCCTGTAAGGCACCGTCGTACCAGAACCCAACCCACTCCCCACGGGTCTCTGTAAGTTTCCCTTTTGCAAGGTTACGCCTTATACCATAATTCGATTGCTATTACAGGAATCTGACATCTGATGGTGGCAGCCCTTAGTGTGAGGGTATTCTTCGCTCGTGGCGATAGGAGCTCTGAATGGCTCTGCTGTCTACCTACTCTCCTCGCCACACACAGCAATCATGAGACCCGTCTTTCTTCCATTCATCCAAGCATGACGAGCACATATTACCCCAGCTTCTAACGCTTCGCCATTGTATTAGTCTTGATCCTATTTTTTTATCTGTGATTCCTTCATCCGGACCTCACTTTTTGACCACTTCCTTTTCGATTGTACTTGTACTTGCTGTTCGACCTTTTATTCGATAGAGGAGATGAAGCGAGAAGTGCCTCTCTTCAATGATCTATTGAAATCGCATTTTTTTTACCGATACACGCTCGTCTTCGTTACTCTGACACAGACGACACTGCCTTGAAGTGTCCTCCAGCACCAGTCATGGCCAGCCTAAGGAATTCCCAGGACCCAGAATCGGGCCACTCAAATCCTGCTGCAAGGCAGTCTATTGGAAGAAGCGATATGGACATCGATTCGGGGCCATCATCCAGCAAGACGAGGATTGGGCTCCTCACCCACACCTTGGTTCCCAGCCCAATAATCCAGTGGATTTTACCGGCACGCCTAAGAAGCAAGTATCAGAATGATGTCGTATTTGTTGGTGAACGGAGCTTGCAAATCAAGGAGGCCATCTCGGGGACACACCTAGAGGAAGTCACTTCGAAGTCTGACTTTGATGCCTACATTACCGCCGCGAAGGTGATCAACATCAGTACAGAACTACCCTGGGAAACCCAAATGAAGCTTGGGTCCAGCAACGCAAATCCCAACCTAGAGTTACAAAAGGATCTTCTCCCCTCCCAGATAATGGTTCTAAGTTTGGCATCCAAGGAGCTGGTTTTCCTCTATTACTCAAGTATCGCTGGCCAATTCATCCATTACCACCGCCCGTTGCCAAGCGACGTCAGTACTTTTGAGCGATTTGGCCGAAACATCGCTGTTGAGCCGAGGTAAATCCAACAATCGTTGTGTATGAGACTCTAGACTGACCTCGTTACAGGTCTAGGGCAGTTGCTGTCAGCGCTACTTGCGGCTACTTTGCCGTGTTCATTTTAAAAGCGCCGTCTGTTGTGGAAGGCCAGATGTCCGAAAACCAGCTTGATCCTGTGGCAGAGGTACGAACTCACTAGCTCATTTTCGCCATAACCCTAAAATTCTAAACAATGGCCCCAGGAACGATTCTTTCGCGTAGAAGGTGATATCATCTTTATGGAATTCCTTTACCCGAGGCCTGAAGATGGTGATAAGATGATTCTTCTGCTGCTGGTGTCCCATGGAAAGACAACACACGCTGTGTGCTATGAATGGAATGCCCGTCAAGCTCTACAACAAGCTCATCCACGCATCACAAAGAAGGAATTGCCACCCGAGGACAGACTACCCACCATGCTCATCCCGTTAACGAAGGCCTCGTCTTTCATGTTGGTCACAACGACATCGATGACCGTCTATAAAAACAAACTCGACTCCCGAATAGACCCTACTAAATACCCGCTCACAGTTTCTGGGCGGGAACCCCAGAAGTCTCCGCTCTGGACGCGGTGGGCAAGACCACTGCGCTATCGGGTGTACAACCAAAAGCACGACGATATCTACCTTTGCCGCGAGGATGGAGCGGTGTGCTACCTAGACATTGGCCATGAAGGTCAAATTGACAATCAAGCACAGCTTGGGCGCTTGCATTGCGATGTTGATGCGGCGTTTGATATATTGGATATTGGTTATGAAGGTAGTGATCTCCTCCTGGCCGCTGGGAACACCGGAGATGGTGGTTTGTTTGTTCTCACAGCTCGAGAACAACCTAAATGCGTCCAAAAGTTCATGAACTGGTCCCCAGTCACGGATTCTGTCCTCGTTAAACCACCCTTAAGCCCGAAAGCAAAGACAGATGATGTTACTGGTGATCGGTTATTTGTTTGCTCTGCCTCTTCCTTTGGTGCGGGGGCAGTTGTTGAACTTCGGCATGGCATCGAAGCGCAGATCGGCCTATTGATATCCCTGGAAGAACTCTCCGGCGCCGGAGATATATGGATTTTGCCGGACAGCACAAACGGGGGCGTCTTTATGTTGACATCCGACCCTATTTCTTCGACCGTACTTTACCTTCCGGCTAATTTTGACGAAGAAATATCTGCGATCGATGAAGCCGACTGTGGACTGGACTTGAATGCACCGACTCTGGCAGCAGGTTATATGGACTCGGGTTCTCTAATTCAAGTCACCGACAACGCCATTCTCGTTGGAGGAACAGCAGAGTCGCGGTCCAATCTCCGATGGGACTTCGATATTGGTCAGAGCGTGACGGCTGCTGCCGTTCATGGCCCAGAATCGCTGGTTGTGGCTGCTGTTCGGACTCATCAAGATATACTCATCCACGTGAAGAAACTTGATATAGTAGGAGCCCATACCAACTTGTCGAATGCTGTTTCGCCCTTCGCGATCGATTGCGAACCGATTTGCATGTTGATTGAGAATCTTCCCGTCGGCATTCTTATCTTTATAGGTACCGGTGATGGCAGGCTTCTGGTTTATCGTCTTGGCGATGGTGCGCAGCGTCTTCTCGATGTCGCCGTCACGATTGAAGATGATGACGATTTATCTAAGGCTATCAACGGTCTCGCAATTCTTACGCACGCGTCAAAGAACAATTTCAGGAGTGCTACCCTCCTCTGCGGCTTGCGAAGCGGCTTCTTGGTCATGTTCAGTATCACAATGAGTATAGATAGAGCCGAGTCTCCCATCGGTATGAATTCTTTAGGACCCCTGAATTAGTTGTGTACGGTCACTAATGTCTTGACTTGCAGATATACGCCAAACGGCGCTCCGACACCTAGGATTCACTTCCGTCAATGTGCAGGGTACTGGAGGCATTGTACTATTAACTTGTGGAAATGGGTTTTGGCAAGCAGCGTGCTCACCCGGGGATGATGCCTCAGACTGCACTGTCCAAAGGATATGGATTACCGATCAGAACAATGTAAGTTTCATATCATTCTTGACGCTTTGCTCAGTATCTGATGGCTTCAGCCCGCCTATTGTCCGAAAATTATTCAAAGCTTTGCCATGATGGGTACTGCCGCTGCTGGTGACAAGGGTCTCTCCGGGAGCCTGTTCTGTATCGCGGACGGGCAGCTAATGGCATGCACCTTAGACAGCACTGTGAAGCCAGTTCCTCGAAGAATCAGCCTACCTGGGAGTGCAAATAGACTAGCATATTCCCAGCATCTAAAGTGCCTGGTGGTGTCCTACACTCAAACCGTGCTTGAAACTGATACGGATCCTGTCAAGCGCTATACCCGGCCGCATATTGAGTTTCTCGACCCCGACGTACAGTACCCGCTTGATGACTCTATTGAAGAAACTCAGGCGCCGAAAAGCAAGCCTTGGAGACCGCAAGGCGCAGCTGGGGAGAAAATAAGTTGTATCCTAGAGTGGACTCCCAAAAAAGGCGACGAGGAGTATCATTTCATCGTGATTGGGACCGCACGCCGCAACCAGCCAGACCGTGGTCGGGTTATCTTCCTTCAAGCTTCTCGTGACGCGTTGTCGGTTTCTCAAATCGAGTGTTCGGTCAAATACATCCACAAGTTCGACGGCCCCGTCTATTCCATCGTCCCCTACGGCGATTTCACATTGATGGTAGCAACCGGCAATGAGATCGTAGCGCTAGAACCCAAATTCGCACAGTCTCGTCGAGCCCGTTCTGCAAGATTCACCGTCTTATCCCCCGCTGTTTCAATGTCCTCGCATGAGCCATACGTTTACTTGTCATTGGCGAGAGAGTCCCTCCTCATTCTGAAAACGACAGAAGACAAGCTCGCTCTCCACGCGTACGATCGCCAGAAACACGATGGCCTCTCCCACATCCACATCGGCGGCGACCGCAACCTCACCCTCGCCTCCAGCAGAGGCGGGCGCGTCAGCCTGTTCACAGAAAATGGAATCACCGAAGCCAACAAAATGATACCAGCGGCATTATGCGAAGCACATCTCCCCTCCTCCGTGATGAAACTCAGCTCCAGCTCCAGGTCGTCCTTCCTTTCCTCGCGCTCGCACCCGCAGACGTTCTTCGGCACAGCGATGAACGGCACTGTCTACCGATTCTTAATCCTCGAGGAGAAAGAGTGGCGCCTGCTACGACTTTTGCAGGATCTCTGTATTCGCGATCCTACCATCTGTCCGTTTACACCGAGGAGGAAGAGGCTGCGGAATCCTGTGGGCCATGAGCCGCTTGAGTTTCAGCCTTCGCATATGCATATTGATGGGGATATATTGAGTCGGCTTGCTATGCGGGACTCGAGTTATCTGGCGGGAATGTTGGATGGGGACGAAGAGAGGCATACCAGGTCTGCACAGGCTGTTGTCAAGCAATTTACCGAGCGGGCTCGAGATGTTCTTGGAGAGCCTTCGAGCCCGATCGAGGCAGTTATGAGGTGGTTGAAGAGAGTGTTCCATGTAGAGTTATAGTCCAATCTGTTTTGAGGATTCTGTATAGCTGTTGAAATCCACCCTCCGTCAGTTATGTATTCAATCAAGTACTGTGTATCTACGAATAAGCAATATCAAAATATAAGTAATAACAAAAAAAATTCCATGTCCTAGTAGACTCAATATGTCGACCAGTATACTCGGGGTAAGAAAGCGCTGCAGCGGCTTAACAAATCGGACCACCCTCGAAACTCCCCACCAAGTCTGAGGTCCTCAAAATTCTTACTTCTCCCGCTTCCCCCATTCTTATCAACCCCACGTTATCCTCGGGGCACAGAGAAAAACGAGGGAATTCTTTACCATCCCTTCGTTTACTATTTCATCAACTTCATTGTTGAGAAAGTCTCTAGCCACGTTTATTTTCCCCGGCTAGTTTTTTGCCACAGCGCCGACCGGTGTCAGTCGCCGGCCGAAAAGCAATCTGATATTGTTCGTGCCCGCACAATCCGCCACCAAAAAATATCTACCCAGACAGGGACTCCCACTAACCTCCCTCTGTAATTTTTAGTCGCCGTTCTTTTCCCCCGCGCTTTTTCTCGCGAAACGGACGATAACCACCCGTCATGGCGCCAAAGAAGAAGGGAAACAAAAAACAGCAGGAGGAGGACTGGGAGGCAGAACTCGGCGAGAGCATCCCTGCCGCGGGAGGTGAAAGCCCGGATCAGGAATCTCCTGCTGCTGAGGCAGAGGAGAGCGAGACAGCCGGTGCCGGTGGTCTGCTCGCTGCTCTGAGGAAGAACAAGAACAAGAAGCAGAAGAAGGGGAAGCCCATGAACGACTTTGTTGAGGGTGAGGATGCTTCTGCGGAAGCGAATGGTGAGGCAGATCTCGCTAGCAAACAACCTGAGGAGGGCACCTTTGACGAGGACGATGTCTTTGCTGGAAAGCCCAAGAAGCCTATCAAGACTGCGGCACCTGCGCCGAAAGAGGATGAAGATGACGATTCTGGACCTCGTGTGAAGACAAAGAAGGAGAAAGAGAGGGAAAAGAAGGAGAGAGAGAAGCAGCGAAAGAAGGAACAAGTATGGCTTCCGTGATCCCTCGAGCAATATCCGTAAGGGTTGATACTGACCATTTCTTTTCCAGGCCGCCAAGAAGAAGACTACCGAACCCAAACAGCCCCAACAAGCGAAGCCGGAACCGAAGAAGGAAGAAGTGGCCGCCCCAGAGCCTGTCGCTGCTGCTCCTGAGCCTGCTACTGGGGGCAAGAAGAAGAAGCTGCCGGCCCATCTGGCTGCTATTCAGAAGCAACAGGAAGCTCTCCGGAAACAACGTGAGGAGGAAGAGCGCCGCCTAGCGGAAGAAAAGGCTGCTGAGGAGGAGAAGCGACTCCGTGACGAAGAAGAGGCTAAAAAGAAGGAAGAAGCTCGCCAAAGAAAGAAGGAGAAGGAGAAGGAGAAGAAAGAGCAACTCAAAAGAGAAGGAAAGCTTCTTACCAAGGCCCAGAAGGAAGCAAAGGAGCGAAATGAACTCCGTATGAAGCAAATGCTTGCTGCGGGTGTTGGAAAGGTTGCCGGCCTGGAAGAAGGCGCTGCCGAGAAGAAGCGTCCCGTGTATGAAAACCGAAAGAAGAAGGGCCCCAAGAAGCACGAGGAGGACTTAGAGGCCGCTGCTGCTCGTGCCAAGGCGCAGCGTGAGGCTGAGGATGAGCGGCGAAGAAAGGAAGAAGAAGAGAGGAAGGCCAAGGCTGAGGCTGAGGCGGCGGCCGCTGCCGCTGCCGCTGCTGCCGGTGAAGAGAGCGATCTTGACGACTGGGAGAAGGCTGCGGATGCCGACGATGATGTCAAAGACAGCTGGGATGCACCTAGTGACGAGGAAGAGACAGAGAAGCCCGCCGCCGCTAATGGCGAGACAAAGACGCTGCCGGAGAGACCTAAGCCCGCCACCGACGAGGAGTCGGAAGAAGAGTCTTCAGAAGAGGACTCTGACGAGGACTCTGAAGACGAAGAGCAGACCGCCGCTCAGAAGGCTATTGCCCAAAGGAAGGCTGAGGCTGCTGAGCGAAGAAGGAAGCAGCACGAGGAAGCTATGGCAGCTCGTTCAAAGGATAACCTACGCTCTCCTATTTGCTGTATTCTTGGACACGTCGATACTGGTAAGACAAAACTGCTGGATAAGATTCGACAGACAAACGTCCAAGAAGGCGAAGCCGGTGGTATCACCCAACAGATTGGTGCCACTTACTTCCCAGTCGACGCTCTGCGCCAGAAGACCAATGTCGTGAACAAGGACGGGAGCTTCGAATTCAAGATCCCCGGTCTGCTTGTCATTGATACCCCCGGTCACGAGTCTTTCTCCAACTTGCGATCAAGAGGTTCCTCCCTTTGCAACATTGCTATCCTAGTTGTCGACATTATGCACGGCCTTGAGCCCCAGACTCTTGAGTCCATGCGCCTGCTTCGTGACCGACGCACTCCCTTCATCGTTGCCCTGAACAAGATCGATCGTCTCTACGGCTGGAAGAAGATTGACAACAACGGCTTCCAGGAGAGTTTGGCGATGCAGAGCAAGGGTGTCCAGAACGAGTTCCGTTCGCGTCTTGAGCGCACGAAGCTTCTTTTCGCCGAGCAAGGTTTCAACGCTGAGCTCTTCAGCGAGAACAAGTCCATGGCTCGCAACGTCTCCCTCGTCCCTACGTCAGCCCATACCGGTGAAGGTATTCCCGACATGCTGAAGCTGCTCACTACCCTCTCTCAGGAGCGTATGACCAACTCTCTCATGTACTTGTCTGAGGTTGAGTGTACCGTTCTCGAAGTCAAGGTTATTGAGGGTCTCGGTACCACCATTGATGTTGTTCTTTCCAACGGTATCCTCCGCGAAGGTGATCGGATAGTGCTGTGCGGTCTCAACGGACCTATATCAACGAATATCCGTGCGCTACTCACACCGGCTCCTCTTAAGGAACTTCGTCTCAAGTCGCAATACGTTCACAACAAGGAAGTCAAGGCCGCTCTCGGTGTCAAGATTGCAGCCAACGACCTTGAACAAGCCATTGCCGGTTCTCGACTTCTTGTCGTCGGACCCGATGATGACGAGGAGGACCTTGAGGAAGAAGTCATGTCTGATCTGGAGAACCTGCTCAGCAAGGTCTCCAAGGACATGCGCGGTGTCAGTGTCCAGGCCTCCACCCTTGGTTCCCTGGAAGCTCTGCTCGAGTTCCTCCGTGTCTCCAAGATCCCCGTCGCCAACATCTCCATCGGTCCCGTCTATAAGCGTGATGTGATGATGTGTGGTACAATGCTGGAAAAGGCCAAGGAGTATGCGGTCATGCTGTGCTTCGATGTCAAGGTCGACAAGGAAGCCGCGGCCTACGCCGAGGACGTCGGAGTCAAGATATTTACTGCAGACATCATCTACCACCTGTTCGACGACTTCACCAAGCACATGGCAGAGCTTACCGAGCGCAAAAAGGAAGAAGCCAAGCTCCTTGCCGTCTTCCCCTGTGTTCTCAAGACCGTTGCCGTCTTCAACAAGAAGGACCCCATTGTCATCGGTGTTGATGTCGCCGAGGGCAGTCTGCGGCTGCACACCCCCATCTCCGCCGTCAAGACCAACCCCACAACAGGTGCTAAGGAATTTGTCGAGCTCGGCAGAGTGTAAGTTATCTCGTCCATTCCCTCTCTCAATCAAAGCCGGAAAACTAACCCTATCCCAGTTCGGGCATTGAGCGCGACCACAAGGCCATCCAGGTCTGCAAACGCGGCCAACCCTCCGTTGCCGTCAAGATTGAAGGCTCCAACCAGCCCATGTACGGCCGCCAGCTTGAAGAAACCGACACGCTGTACTCTCACATCTCCCGTGCCAGTATCGACACACTCAAGGAATTCTACCGTGCCGACGTCTCCATGGAAGAATGGGCCCTCGTCAAGAAGCTCAAGCCCCTCTTCGATATTCCTTGATCGGCTCGCATGCTGTTGAACCTGCAGCTCCGAGTCCACCCTTCCCACGGTCCCGGCTGCGCGCAGAGAACCATATCGCCCGTCAATCGACCGTGTCGATCCAACGGAGCACATAGCCCGGATAAAAGCCGTTCAAACGACCTATTATGTTGATAAGCTACGACAACGTCACGTCTTACGAGACTAGAAGATAAAATGGATATGGGTGATTACGAGGTTGACTGGACTTGGCTCGGAAAATGTACATGACAATAGGATGATAGTTATAAAATATAGGCATGCAGCTGAATACCCACACTTTGTTATGACTGCCTGAGTTTATCAAATAGGTAGGATATACATTCTCTCCCAGCCCCTCTAATATACTTTTCACCATATAAGCACAAAAACCACCCACCCAGTCAAGTCAAGAACAAAGTTGAAACAGCCCTACTCGTTATTCATCCCCCTCCCACCTCTCCACCCGTCCCCCCCTAGCCGCCCAATCCAACCAAGACCCCTCATAAACACCCACCCGCTCCGCATCATATCCCGCCTGAACCGCCAACTGCGCCGCCGCCCTCGCCCTCACACCAGCCTTGCAGTAGAACACGATATCGCCGCCCTCGTCCTTTCCGCCCTCGGCAGCGCCAGGCTTTGGATACCCGAACCGCGTCTCGAATTCGTCGGGGGTGAGGAAGAGTGCGTCGGGCTGTGATGCGAGAGGAACGGCGACGGCTGTGGGGATTATACCAGTGCTGGAGAGCTCGGCGGGTTCGCGGACATCGACTAGGATTAGGGATTTTTGGGGGGTTGAGGGGGGACTAGATTGTGGGGTTGTCGAGGGGAGGAGGGCGTTTATCTGTTTGAACATGTGTAAGTATATGGTATATTCCTTGTTGTTCAGGGTGTGAAAGAATGAGCGTACATCTTCAAATCCCCATTGCCGGAATGTAGGCGTGTTCTTGCTGCTGTTCCATCGGACGGATGTAGATGCGTATTGGAATTGGGGTTGTTGTGCAGCTAGCGTCCGAGCTGGTGTGCTTCTTGAAGACTTTGGAATCCTCTTATTGTTTCCATAACGAGCGAGATATGCTGTTCCAAATCGTCGAGAGGGAACGAGGTTCTGTGTTGCTGTATATTCTCTTGTGAGGGCGTACTTGGTCGTGCGGGAGAGGAGGGATGCGACGTCGCTGGGGCGTCCTCGGATCGAGGTTAATGAAGCCATAGCTTGCGGTCTGCGTGTGTGAGACAGGTTTAGGAGAAGTTGAGAAGATCTTCGAGGCAGAGTCGGCAATCGTGTCTGCACTTGAGATGACGTTGGCTTGAAACAGAGTTGGAGATGTCGGTTTGCCTCGGGTGATCAGTGATGCGCCCCACCGCCTTATAACAACTACATGCAGCCTTCTTTACTCTGCCATCTTTCGACCTCAATTGAAAGCGTTTTTTGATTGTGCGCGAACGTGATATGCCTGGGTCTCATTACAAGTCCCCTCCATTCAGCCGGTCGAGCGTCCCTGCGGCGCAGAAGTAGCTGCTCCTTGACAGCGGGTCTTCATAACCATTATACACAGCTCTCTCTGGATATGGACACACAATTCCTTGATGCTCAGTGCCATTTTCATCAGTGAAGGACGCCAGCAGGTATTTTGGGACACTGCCTCTTTCGACCCATGCTACCATGTCTATGGCAACCCGCTTGCGGCCGCTCCGTAAAAAACAATTTTGGCCAGTATACCGCCGGAGATGAAGCAGCGATCCCATCATACGCAGTCGGATATCTTTGCGCAAGCATCATCCCCTGCCATCCGCCTTGAGAACACCCGCTAAGGTACGAATAGCCAGGCTCGACTCCATAAAAGCTCTTAGCAACACTCTTGCCAATAAGCGCCGCGTCATTCAGCGCGACAGACGCAAAACCCCCAAGAAGATGCAAATCGACTCGCCCGGGATTCTCGAGCAGCCACTCAGAGAGATCCTGCTCCATGGTGTGGCCGCAGTCTGTCGACACGGCAGCATAGCCCTCTCCCACTGCGCCAAGCATGGCTATCATGTTTTCAGGGTAACGCCCACAATCGAACCCCCCTCCGCCTAGTCCCATCAGGCGTCCATGCCATGTATTCGTCGGCAGCCACACCTCGACATTCACAAGCTCTGGGTGGTGGGTGTGCGTATAGCCCAGCGAAACATGGCAATATGATACATCTGTGACGTTTATAGGGCCATGGTTGATATATTCAATCTCAGAAACATAGTCAGATGCATTGTGGACTAGGTTTGTGTGGAGGTAATTGACAGTTGCACCGGCGATCTGGGGATGTGAGATGACGAGGTCAGAGCACCGGCAGGAAAAGTCCATAATGACAGTCGGTTTGCCGAGTTCGAGGGAGTAGGAACCGGGATATGATTACCGGCACTGGGAGGTGGGAGAGCGTAAAGCCCAGCGAAACATGGCAATATGATACATCTGTGACGTTTATAGGGCCATGGTTGATATATTCAATCTCAGAAACATAGTCAGATGCATTGTGGACTAGGTTTGTGTGGAGGTAATTGACAGTTGCACCGGCGATCTGGGGATGTGAGATGACGAGGTCAGAGCACCGGCAGGAAAAGTCCATAATGACAGTCGGTTTGCCGAGTTCGAGGGAGTAGGAACCGGGATATGATTACCGGAGATCTGAAAAGGCGCATATGCACATCTTCACGAGGTCCGTCCATGGTAGAGTACCAAGTACCAGTAGCAGACAGTAAACCAGCAGTTACGGAAGGAGCGATCAGCACCCATAGCATGGGGGCTACCAGGTCTGGGCGATACTACTAGTAATATGAGAGAATGGACGCATACTACGTAGTAATAGTAGTGCCTAGTAATCTTATAAGATAGTTATACTGGAATTCGATCGTTAGATCACGGTCTAGTTGGCGATACTCAAACTCTAGAGCATATATAAATATATATTCCTGATACACTCAACATATAAGGCTTTTGCAGGATAACATACACTAGTATTCTAGACAAGGGAATCCATAGTAACAGTGTAATGATAAAGACATAGCTTACATCAATACACAAGTAGTTAAGATAACTCAATCTACTCCTCGTCAAAGGTAATACGCAAAACAGCCGGATTCCCAGAATCCTTCGACCAGATCTCAAAGGAACCAAAGTCCGCCCCCAAGTATATTGAGAACTGCCCATCCTCATCAGCGTCCTGGCATGCATTTGTGACATCAAGCAGAGGCGGGTTCGTCAAGGCAGGGACAGGAACGATGGCGATATCGCCATTTGAATCGGGAGCATTGTCCCCGTTCACGGTGTCCTCATCCCAGTCGGACGAGACGGCGGGGACAACAGTTAAGTTGAACTCATACTGGGGTAGCCTCGTAAAGGCTGGAAATTGAACGGTACATTTGGTGACGTAGGAGGGGTCCACGTTCTCAGGAAGCTGGAAGCCGACGAGGCTGCGGACCCAGGCGAGGCCACCAGTGTTGGCCCGTAGGTGATCTTCGAGACCGTACGTGCACTTGTAGCAGTCGTTGTCGGGGCAGGTGGCGCAGCTGACGGTTGAGCGGAGGATGGTGGAGTCTTTGATGGCTGGCCTGTTTAAGATGGTAGCTTGGGAGGCTGCGGCGAGGATTGCGAGGCTGGAAGCAAGCTTGGCGACGTGCATTTTGAAAACTCGAATAGAACTTTGTGGAAGATGTTCGGAATGAAGTAGAAAGAATGAACTCTCAGTGTTCAACTCCAGTGCCGCATCTGGTGATTTATACCTCCACCCCACGGCTTGCGACACACTCAAACTGCCCTTCGTATTCAGTCACCGTTCCAATCCTTTAGAGTCCCAGCCGCTGATGGCTCTTCCTGTCGCCAATCGCTGGGACAAATATGGTTGGTCTGAGCACTCACAGCCCCAACGCATGTTTTACTCAATACGAATCGCGATCCAATCGAGAAGCTTGGCTGAAGTGATCGCCGTGGAGGAAGCCTATTTAGTCAGTATGATTGGAGATGTTTTTGAAGGCAGAAAGCGAGGTGAGCTCACCAGAGACACCGCAGAAAGTGGCGTTTGTTGATACTTTATGCGGTCCAGGATCAGGGTTGCTTTGGGCTGCCTGCCACCTTTCAATGGTGCAACCAAACCCTACGCTGTGTGAGGGAGAGAGGAAGCTCGCATCGTAGAGATCTATTTTGGGTGAGACCTCGTAGCTATTTATACTTGTAGGGCTGGAACCTGTTGGCTCGTTGTTACCATCAGGTTGGATCGCGCCTGCAGCTGCAGTCCACGTCATGTGCCCTTCGCGCGGTGCTATGGAAACCTTCTCCAGGAAATTAGAGACTGGGGTCCTCTTCAAGTTGTGTTAATGTGCTGTGCTTTTCACTGCAGTCAGGTCTTGAGAAGCTCTCTATTCTCATGCCTTGATGCAACAGCATGATGCAGCCTTGAACACAATGCAACATCAGTATGAGCATGGAGCATATGTCGATGGGGCCATGGGTCTATACGCACACCGGCGTCGGTTGATAATAGCTCAATACACAGGCATAACTAAAGTGAGGTAGCCTGCCTAGGTAGTAACGCAGATGGCCAAGCAGGTGTTGTAGCCAGACGCGTCAACTCGAGCAAACACCATCTGCAGAAACACGCAGAAAGCACCCAAGCGGACACTCGATAATCTGACCAGGCACTCAAGATGCGCATGACTCCTGCTGTAAGCTTGTTTAAGGAGAATCTCCTGCAGGTAGTACTGTGCGTGAACAGCAGAAGCCTGTTAACTTCCAAGACCAGATCAGATCCAACGGCAGGCATTGGTCTGGCACACAATAGGCATTGTTAATGACCCCATGTCATCCTGTTGTCTGCTTGCTTCGCACATGGTCAGCAAGCACGTGCCTGGTCCCTTACACCTTCTGGCTGTTTGTTAGAGGTCCAACATTAATCCTTCTTGCACCTCTCGGTCCCTGATTCCCGGTGGTGTCTTGTTCCCACGGGGTTGAGTCTCCTGTAGGGAAGGATACAGTGCTATGCAAAGCTTATCGACGCCCAGCAAGTATGTGGTTTGTTCGAGATATCGACTATGTTGTCACTGGGGTAATGCTGACCCTCAATATCAGCTTCGCCATCAAGGGCTAATGATGTTTAGATCATTTGAACTGGCGCCCATTATGTGGTCTGACAATATGGGAGCACTCAGGAACATTCCATGCCGGCAATATCAAGACCATGGCTATGGTTGTATATCAAACGAGGAGAGTTTGTGCCTGAACCTCGATCTAAAGTTAAAAGTTGTTCGAAGAATCTTCGGCAGGCCCAAGTACGGAGTTACCCCTTGATGCTGCCTGCTAGCGTGATCCGGCTTCTCCAGTCCCGATTGGCTCGTGGAGATGCTCGCATGGCCCGTGCGCCTCGGCGTTACGGTATAATACTGTATGGCCTATTACCAAGCCTCCATCATCGCCAGATTTCTTGTTGTTCTTGAGCTACCTATTGGTGGGAAGCTCGGTTGCTGGGGAAATTTCGGTGTAAAATAGTGGTATTGGCTCAAGCCTCACCCGCCCACAAAGCCCCCCATTAAAGTAGAGGAGGTAGTACTGAAGCTACGGAGTATTATTGATCCCGCCTTCCCCGCTTCAAGAGGGCATTCTTTCTCACATGCGAAGTCCAGTCGCTTGTTTGAATAGTTAATCTGCCATTTCTCACAGGAGGACTTTTTTTTGTGACGTGTTGACGTTGTCGTGACTCGAAGTTGTGCCTGGTTGCGTGGTTGGTCTGTCCGGCTTGCCGTTGTGGATCTGCGGCCGCTTCTCCATCGCATCTTTACAAATTTCCTCCTTATCCGTTGAATCTCCCCCTTTCCGAATCCAGCCGTCTCCTCGAACTCGAGATTCCTTGACCTGTGCCTCCTGTTGACGCTTCCTCGCGGAATCTGTTCAATTGCTCAAGATGGCCGAGATCAATGGGAGTTTTGTCTCCCCTCCGGCTGATGCCACTCTTTATCCTTCACTTTTCCAGCCTGCCGGCATCGTCGCGGACTTCCTGAACGGTTTGACTGTGTGGAAGGCCCTGATCACTTTGCTCGCTCTCGCCATCGCCTACGACCAGTGTAAGGACCGGCCTTTTACTTCTGGCTTTGTATTTTCTTGTAACTAATTCATGATCTCTCTCGCAGTCCGATACATCTATCTCAAGGGCGCCATTATTGGCCCAGCATGGAAACTTCCGTTCATGGGGCCGTTCCTCCAATCTGTCAACCCCAAGTTTCATGAGTACAAGGCCAAATGGGACAGCGGCGACCTGAGCTGCGTGTCTGTTTTCCACAAGTATGTGCCCTCAACCCTGAGAGGTTGCTCTTTCAATATCCGGCGCATTGTTGTTCGCGCGTGCTAATCACGATCTTTTTGACAGGTTCGTCGTTATCGCGTCGACTCGCGATATGTCGCGCAAGATCTTCAACTCGCCAGCCTACGTCAAGCCCTGTGTTGTCGATGCCGCCCACAAGCTGCTCGGCAAGACCAACTGGGTCTTCTTGGATGGCAAGGAGCACGTTGACTTCCGCAAGGGCTTGAACAACCTTTTCACTCGTTCAGCGCTTTCTTGCTATCTCCCCCGCATGGAGGAGGTGTACAACGATTATTATGCTCGCTTCCTCCAAAAGTCCAAGGACTCTAACCACACGCCAACTGCTTGGATGCCCGAATTCCGTGAACTGATGTGCGCTGTCTCTTGCCGCACCTTTGTGGGACACTATATCACCGATGAGACCATCATGAAGATTTCTGATGACTACTACAACATCACCGCGGCCATGGAACTGGTCAACTTCCCCATCATCCTTCCCTTCACCAAGACCTGGTACGGAAAGAAGGCTGCGGATATGGTTCTTGAGGAATTCGCCAAGTGCGCTGCCAAGAGCAGGGCTCGCATGTCTGCTGGCGGAGAGGTCAGCTGCATCATGGATGCGTGGATCAAGGCTCAGCTCGACTCCGCCAAGTACCGTGAGAAGATTGCCCAGGGAACTGCTGTCGACTCGTCCGAAAAGCCCCCTCAAGTTCTGCGTGACTTTACAGACTACGAGGTCTCCCAGACTATCTTTACCTTCCTGTTCGCGTCTCAGGATGCCACCAGCTCCGCCTGCACATGGTTGTTCCAGCTCATGGCTGATCGCCCCGAGATCCTGGACAAGGTCCGCGAGGAGAACCTCAGACTCCGCAACGGTGATATCACCGCGCCTCTGACCATGGAGCTGCTTGACAACATGACCTACACCCGCGCTGTGGTCAAGGAGACCCTCCGCTACCGGCCTCCCGTCATCATGGTTCCCTACGTGTGCAAGAAGGACTTCCCTATTACCGACAAGATCACCGTCGCTAAGGGATCTATGCTCATTCCATCCGTTTACCCTGCCACCCGTGACGAAGAGGCTTACCCGAACGCGGACTCCTTCGACCCTGAGCGTTGGGTTTCCGGTACCGCTGAACAGCACCCCAAGAACTGGCTGATTTTCGGCACTGGTCCCCACTACTGCTTGGGTCAAACATACGCTGTCCTCAACCTGATGGCCATGATCGGCAAGGCCAGTATGGAGATGGATTGGGAGCACACCCCTACTCCTCTTTCCGAAGAGATCAAGGTTTTCGCCACCATCTTCCCTCAGGTATGCTCACCTTTTGCCCTTGGTCTCCTTATCTTGAACTAACATTTAACAGGATGACTGCCTGCTTACTTTCCGTCCTCGCGTTTGAGCGATTTTTCATGATTAACCAGCATATCGGGGTTCCATTCTATGTATGAGCTAGTGGCGTACCTCGCGCCATGAAGCCTTACTGGGCTCTCATATACCCAGGACCTTAGAAGCGAACCGCTTTGTAGGCTTCCACCCCCGGCGTTTCTATCCTGGCGATAGAGCAACCGAAGGGTCTTCTCTCTTCCTCTTCTTTCCTGTATCTATTTCCACGGATGGAACGCTGCTGTCCGACGGGTGTACTATTTGTTTCCTTTTTCTTTGATTCCTTGCTTTGCCAGAAAAAATCTTCCCGAACGCCGGTTCCGCGTTCAGCGCCTCCTTTTCCTCTTTCTTCGAGGCGGCGAACTGCTTCGGATAGAACGACTCGGACGTCAATCCATTTACCAATGGAATGCGATACGGAATTGGTTTTGCATTGTGTGGCTCGTTCAGTCGTCACACTTGATTGAAGCCTTCGAATGACCTAGATTATGTTACTTATATATTAATATTAATCATGATACTTCACTTGCGAGAACGGCGGATTGTCCTAAAAAGACTTTGAAGACGGAGCGTAGAGGATTGGTAATAGTGTGTTCGACTTTGCACATTGATTCCGCTTCGAGAGCAAACAGTGTCCTCTGCGCAAAATGATGTCCAGGCAAGTGTGACGAGATCTAGGCCTGGACCAAGTTGCGGTCGAAATTTTCAAATTCTCAGACTCGGTGACTACGTTTCAGTCGGCGATAATTATACATATAATCTGCAGTCATAAATCTTATATTTGGAGCTTGGCACAGCAATAGAGACGAAGATATCATAATACAACAGGTGCATCTACCGACCAAACCCAAACCATCCGCGCCGCCGCCCTTCAGTAGGGGGCTCCTGCTGCTGCTCTGCTTGTGGAGCAGGTGCCGCCGCAGAGACAGCCGCCTTGCCCTCACGAGGGTAATCAATGTAGTTCCACGCGACGTCCAGGAAGAGCGGCTTCACGGGGATTGGCTGGATCTTTGGGGGGTAGGGAACGAGGTTGTTGAGGTCAAGGGAGTCGCCGGAGTATTCGTGGAGGCGTTCCACGAGCGGCCGCTGGCTGGTTGATTTGGATTGCTCCTGCGCGGTGATGCTTTCGAGGGTGACGAGGCCTTGGTATTTTGTGACGAGGGCTCGTAGCTCGTGCTCCAGCGCTTGTGCTTGGCTGGGTGCGATGTCTAATCGGGGCGGGCCGTCGATGTCAATGGACGACTGGAGTGAGGCGGCTGCGGCGAGGACGATAGTGAGGGCTTGGGAGAAGAGGGCAAGGGCGTTTTGGGTCTTGCCTAGGATGCCGTGCGAGCGTCCGATGGTGAGGCACCTGGCGATTGATGTTAGCAGACGTGGCTTGATGAACCTTAGGGTTGCTGCTTGTCATACCTCAGGGCACGGAAATAGCTGCGTTTGGCCTCTAGTTCCTGAACAAAGGCCGAGTCTGCGGCGATACCCGGTAGTTCTAGGATGAACTCGATGCTCTGCAGGGTGGAGTCATACAAAACCACCCGCTCCCGCAACCATGTCAGTTTCTTCCCGCTGGGCTCTTCTTGTCTGGTAGCGGTTTTGCTGCCCTTGGATAACTGTGTCCGGTGGGGCTCAAATGTGATGCCATCATTCTCACCGCACAAAACACGGTTACGTCCAATTCTCCATCCTACCAGTGCGTAGTTCACGGCTGTTCGTGTGATCTGCAAGCTCTGCATTCGCTTGTCACCTAGATCCACGCCTTCGCTTGAAAGATCGTCGATGGCTGTCTTCGTGGCGTCGACCGCATCTTGACTGGCAATAATCACGCTGTCATAAGCGGCTGCTTTGTCCTTGGAGGATGCGGAGCTTCCGTCTGAAGAAGCTAGCCAAGCAGCAAGTCGAGACTCCTCCGCCGATGCCGCTGCGAGCGCCTGTGCAATCGCAGCATCCTCTATTGCCACAAAGCGAGACCTCCATGTAACGTTTTCAGGTAGCTGTTGGACTTCTCCATCGGCTGTCCTCCGTGTCCCTGCCGCATCCTCCTTGAGGCAATTCGGATCAGCCTTTTCCACCTCAGACCTTACGGTGGCTTCCGCTGGGAAGTACTCGATGGCTAACGATGAAATAGGCTTTGACCGTGGGAGTTTCATCTGATAAGCTGCATATCTGAGACTTGGGTCGATATTGCTGGATAAAAGGTCGCGGAATGCATCCTTCTTCGCCGCTTGGCTTAGGGCGGTATAGATGACTCGAGAGACTGAGTAATTCCGAACGCACTGCTCCCAACTACGCTTCTCCAGGCATGATGCCCCCGTGAGCGACGTTAGGTAGGCACGGGCTTCTAAGATATCTGTGTCGGTAGCACCCGAGGCGCTCTGATCTTCCAGCACGCCAACTAGTTGTTTCGCGGATCCAGCCGCCTTATTCAGGCAGGTGATAATTTGACGCCTAGCAGCACCGGCTATCCCCTTTGCAGATGGGTCGGCCGAGTGTGTTGATTTCATGTGCATCGCTTGAGCCCATGCCCGTTCCGCAGTGAGAAGTAAGAGATAGACATTACTACCAGCAATTGCTCGTTAGCTCGCTCCCGTAGACAAAAGAGGGCACAGGCATTGCTGGGGAACATACGCCACGTTTTTGCCAACATCTTCGGCAGTAATAGGGGCCTTAGCGGTGTATTTGCGGCCTTTGGGAGTGGCCTGCCCCAGCTTCTTTCGAAGCTTGTGCAATTTGCGAGTAGTATGTGCCCGGTATGCATTGTAGTCTCCGGCAAGCAGGACCTCCTCTCTCCGGGCGAAGATATACTCGGTGATATCCATGATTGCGCACACTGAGCTGGTCGCAGGTGAGGGGCGTCTTGGTGCGGTGGTCACTTTGGCTTGTGGCCGCCCGCAGCGGATCGTAAGATGCTCGGGAAAACTTGGTCCCGGCTACTGGCTCCGTCCATCTCCCATAATTTCGTTCCTTTTATCAACACCACAGCTCACTCCACCTTCGTGACCAGCTGTATTCAACCTGCTCAAAATTGATCTGGAGCCCTCGCCTTCTGTTATAGAAGTGCTCTAGCTCGGCCACCCAGGTATTGGTTCGTTTTCTCGTCTACGGAGCCATTGGGGAAGCTCATCCTCTGACATTGTTTCCTCTCAAGTTAGGTAAAGAAAGCAGCAATCGATATGCTCCTGTATCTAGCGGGGCTGCGGCGAATCCTTCGGTGGTAAATTACGCTATAGGGGCCATGCTAGAGCGAACCGCAGGATGCATTGAAAGCGCAGGGCGCCGTTTCCTCCGAGGTCCCGGGCAACATGCTGGTGCCATTTCCGACTATTCACACTGGCAATTTGCGCCTCGGCGCGCACCGCGACAAGGACGCTCAGATCCACCTGGCTCTCCGGCCACAGCTGACATTCGGGCTCCATTTCTCCATTTTCTATATCCAATTGGAACCCAAGAATTCATCGTCACGCGCTTGCTGCGCTCATCAAGGAGCGTTTTCTCCCGGAGAAGGAAGCGGAGTGTCCCTAACAATACCCGGTCGTATACCTCCGAAGCTGCAGTTCATCAACCGGTGGAGAGACGTCAAGCCGTTGGCACCTCTGGCACAGAACTTTTGAAACCACGGACCATCTCGGCTGAAGATGCACTTGTCGAATTACTCAATGAGGGGATTACCGGCCAAACCGATGAAGCATGGAAACTCTGGATGGCCGCTGATCACCGGCTTGACTTGAATCGAACCTTTCTCGCGCAGCTCAGCAATACTGGAAATCGAGAAGACCATACAAGGGCCAAAATCGTTTGTGAATCAATACCTGAACATCTGCGGTCAAGTGATGATTACTTGCATCTTATATTGTCGTCTCTCGCATTCGGGCAACCAGGTGCAGTGAAAAGACTCTGCGAGGACACGCTGAAGGGCAAAGACCTGACGCACTGGGCATACATCCTAGCCCATTTTGTGAATAACTCTCAATGGTCTCTTGCCGCTGAGATTTGGGAAGCCAGGACTTCGCTTTCAGTGAATATCGATGAGGAAGGGGAGCTCTGGCTAAGAAGCCTTCTGTTACCCTCATACGATGCGTTTGGCGTGCCTAAATCCACGAATCCCTTTCTCAATACTTCGTCGCTTTTCCCGAACTTGCTCGACCTTACTCGGACCCTCGAAAACTCTGGGAACAGTGCGTCAACAGAGTCTTTCCCACCACTGTATTGCCTTGCCCGTTTTCTCGTCCAGTTTGTCTTTAAGTCTCGCACTGTGGTCCGAAATATGTCTCCGCCAATCCTCTACTCCCTGGCCAAAGTCTCGTATTCCGCGGGGCTGATCAATATACGGCACTGCTACGATATAATGCGTATCCTTCTGGCTGCCAAGACAGAGTCAGACGTCCGTCGTGCCGTGTCTCTTTTCCAGAAGTGCCGCTCGCTGGTCAGCGACGAGGCACCCGCCGTCGACCTCTTTGATCTTTTCTTTATAAGGTTCAGGAATTTCCGGATCACAGACTTCGTTGAGTATTTCCTTGATCAGTACACTCATTTCTGGGGAAAGCCAAGCCGGAGATCATATGGGGAAGCGCTTGTTACCCTGTCTCGAGCCCGTGATGTAACGAAAGCCCAGACAGTATTCCAAAAAATGCTCTCTCACTACGAGCCGGTGACGTCTAAAGATCTGACGCCGCTTCTGAATATGCATGCATCGGCTGGTGAAGTGGAGAAAACCTTGGTCGAGTTTGAGAAAATATCCGAGGACTGGAACCTTGAGCCAGGCACCATGTGCTGGAACATCACACTTACTGCATATGCAAAACGTTCTGACTTGCACGGATGCTTCCAGCGCTTCAAGCTGATGACCGAACGAGGTGTACGGCCGAATCACTACACGTATGGTATTTTGCTGGGGCTATGTGGCAAGCGTGGTGATCTCAAAATAATCAGCGAGTTGTTGGCTTCTGCCAAAGAGCAGGAACTCAAGTTGACAACTGCCATGCTCGATCCGATTGTGGAAGCGTATTGCAAACACAAGGACTTTGCGATGGCAGAACGAATTGCAGAGCAATGTCTCAGCCTAAAATTGTCGGGTTCACGAACGAGAATGTGGAATATAATATTATGGAACTACGCGCAGAGGCTGGACTTGAAATCGATATCCAGGATTCGATCACGCATCGAATCTGCTGGAATCACACCTGACGATATGACTTATGCTGCAATTACGTTAACCCTGTCTCTTTTGGGTGACACTGAGTCTGCCCATCGTATTGTTAAAACGCTTCATCAGAGCGGCAAAATGCATCTCACGGAGTTACAGTTTGCTATCCTTCTTTTGGGTTACGTGAAGCAAAAGAATAACGACATGATACTCGCCACCTTCAAGCAGTTGCAAGCACGGTTTAGGGATCCTCAGGGCGGTTTAAGCGAGGAGATTCAGCTCTTAAGGCAACAACTCCAGCGGGACTTGGTGACCATGCATTCCCAAGGTGATGCGAACGCCGGTTTCAAATTCACAGAGAAGTTTCTCTCCGAACTTATCGCAAAATGCAATCCTGTTTATGTTGAAAAAACCAAAAAGCTGGCGGGTATCGGCGGTCAGCAGCGCCCTCGTCGTATTGCAGACAGGCAACCTACGCTTGATGAGGGTGAGGAAACCGCAATGGAGTCGATGCCTATTGGTTACGAATTACAGGAGCCTCGTCGTCACGCCGAAGGGTATAAGCAAGAACATCCGTTTCGCTCCATGATGCGATCTGCAAGGAAGGGTTGGATTGACGATGTTGAGCGGATTTGGAAGAACTATATTGCAATCAAAGGTTGCCCGGACTCACTCGATTACGCTCCCTTCCGGATGCTCGTGACTTTCATGATCGCCCATGCGACTGCAAATAATCACCAGATGGTGGATGAAATCTGGAGAATGGCCTATCGTCGAGCACTAAAAATGGCACTACCCCTCGGCAGCACTCAGTTGCCTGACCAGACATCCGCCACTGGTCTTAGTACGTCTCGAGCTTTGCCACAAGATAGCAACAAAGACGAGAGCGATTCTGTTAGCGAGGGGTATACGATAGAAGAGCCACTTCCAAAATACTCCTCCCCGATCCTTCGCGTGTACCGTTTCTTGCTGACCCGACATTTGTCGGCTTATATGTGGTCTTTGCGCAGAAGGCGCGAAATATCTAAGATCAGGCAACTGATAGCAGATGTCGAAGCTGCTGGGTTTTCGCTGACAACATTCAACTGGTCTACATACGTTCAAGTGCTTGCGACATCCCAGGAGTACGCAGACATTGTTGAAGCGTTTAGGATCTTTGAGGAAAGATTCATGCCCAATTTTCCCGGTTCCTGGGACAACATGATGCGTGCAAAAGGTTTCAAGCACTCCGGTGTCTCTGATGCTATTCACTTGCTCGACCGCAGCCGACCATCGAATTTTCTAGGTGGAATCACCAGGAAATACTGGCTTAAACAGAACCCAGATTATATGCAGCCAACCATGGTTACGATGCTGCAGCTCGCTACGAGTCTTTCTCGAGTACGAGAAAATAGCGTCAAGGCTGGAATGGCTGAATACCAAGAGCTCTACAAAATCGCACCGCGCACTATCGATCGACTCGCGAAGATGCCGATCAGTCGACGGCAATCGCGCGCTCGCAAAGCATTACTCGGTAGAGGGCGCCGTGGTCCACAATTTACTGTCGTCAAACTCCGGCCTGGTTGGACAAGAAATCGAATATTCAGACCCAAGAGTATAGGTCCAACCTAGGAGCGACACTTGCACAAAGCCCTGCCCAAGCGAGCTTGGCGGCTCCTGGCACCTCTAACCGATGCAGTTTAATATTAAAGATCAATGCTTGAAGACCTCGATTCTCACGAGCTCCAAATACCCTCCCACGCGCATCGGGTATGCATTCCGGCGAGGACGGGTCTACTCCTTGCGGGGTATCACAAGTTGTATATATATAAACAAAATTTCATGTACAATACTATGTTCTACTTAGCGATCGTTGTACAAGACTATCCGAAACTATATCAAGTAATTTGATGAATCGACCTGGAAATCTTAGCGACGGCTTGAGCTCTGTCATGTGACCGACGCGTCGGCCCAACACCGAGCCGTGGACGCGTTTCAATTATGCCGAATTGGGGCTGCGCGTCGCTAAAGAATAATCCTCCATCCCACCCTTCTCCCATGATTCTACTATCACAGGACAGCAAGGTTCACCAGTTCACGTTCAACTCAATTCTTGCTCAATTAATCTTCCGATCCTTTTACTTCCCAACCCTAGTCCCTCTCACACACAGATTTTCCGCCGTTGTCGGCGAATTTACACATCGCCATGGACGGAGCTCAGCTTCGTGACCAGGCCGCTCAGGACCGAGTGCGAGCCGCTGTTGAATTCCTCGATCCGAGTATGTGATGAATATCTCGTATGCTCTTAAGGACTCCACTAACAGTGTTTCTCACAGGCGATGCCAGAGCACGCAGGTCCGTGAACCGAAACCCCCTTCCTCAAAACAGTTTTCTGCGCCCGGATAGAAAGACTGACCCTCGCCATACAGTTACCGGGCGGATATTGTGTTGATGCTAAACCGAAAGCTACGCCGATTGACGGTACGTATATCTCCTTCGCTTCGCCGCATAATGGGGGCCTGGCAATGAACTGACATTATCCCTGCGGTGTAGGTCAGCCTGGATGAGATTAGAGCACACAACCGTGAAATGGCCGACGGGTAGGTCCTATCAAAGGTATTCAGCGGCGTTTCTATCTTTTGACTCGCATAATAGGCTTCTTACGTCTCCCTTTGAATGGTCCCAAGCATTCGATAGAGCCCTTAAGGATGTTGTCAAGACACTGCCTAGCCGACCATCAAGCGAATCAGCTGATGAAGTGGTAAGTCCTTTTTACTCGGTGTATGTTTCTTTTGATCGCCTAACGGTCAACAGAACTATTACTGCGCTTTTGTCGGAGCATTTGGAGAATTTTCATGTAACCCCAGAACACTCGGATCCTCCCATCTAAATCGGATGGTGTCACTCGAAGGCATTGTTACCAAGTGCTCCTTGGTACGGCCAAAGGTTATACAGAGTGTGCACTACAGCGAGAGGAAAGACAGGTTCTTCGCAAGGAAATACAAAGATCAGACCATGACCGCCAGTGGCGCGACAAGCTTGAACGTTTACCCTCAAGAAGATGACGAGGGCAACCCGGTAGGTCTGTCCTGGTCTGACTCAGAGCGTCACTGACGTATATATTGGAGTAGATTATCACCGAGTTCGGCTATTCTACATATATGGACCACCAGACCATCTCCATCCAAGAAATGCCGGAACGTGCCCCCGCAGGTCAATTACCCCGGAGCGTGGATGTGATTGTAGATGATGATCTGGTCGATCGCGCAAAACCTGGAGACCGAATTCAGCTGGTGGGAATCTACCGCTCTTTGGGAAATCGAAATGCTGGTTCTGGGTCATCCACCTTCCGCACGCTTGTCATGGCAAACAATATCATTCAGCTCTCCTCGAAATCTGGTGGAGGTATAGCACAGGCGACGATTACCGACACCGATATCCGAAACATCAACAAGATCTCCAAGAAAAAGCACGTCTTCGAGTTGCTATCCAACTCCCTTGCGCCCAGTATCCATGGTCACGACTACATTAAGAAGGCCATTTTGCTCATGCTTCTGGGAGGTATGGAGAAGAACCTCGACAATGGTACGCATTTGCGTGGTGACATCAACATCCTCATGGTTGGTGATCCTTCAACTGCAAAGTCCCAGATGCTTCGCTTTGTTCTCAACACAGCTCCGCTTGCGATAGCAACGACTGGTAGGGGTTCTTCCGGAGTGGGTCTCACTGCTGCTGTCACATCAGACAAAGAGACAGGGGAGCGCAGACTCGAGGCTGGTGCGATGGTTCTTGGTGATAGGGGTGTGGTCTGCATTGATGAGTTTGACAAGATGAGTGATGTGGATCGTGTGGCTATCCACGAAGTCATGGAGCAGCAAACAGTCACCATTGCCAAAGCAGGCATTCACACTAGTTTGAATGCTCGCTGCAGTGTTCTGGCTGCCGCTAATCCGATTTATGGTCAATATGACCCGCACAAGGACCCTCATAAGAACATTGCCCTGCCCGACTCACTCCTCTCACGTTTCGATTTGCTCTTCGTCGTGACGGACGACATCGAAGATGCTAGAGATAGGATGGTTTCGGAGCACGTTTTACGCATGCACCGCTATCGTCAGCCAGGTACGGAAGAAGGTGCCCCGGTTCGGGAGCAGCTCGGTCAAACCCTAGGTGTTGGTATTGATGACGCCGAGGATACAAATCAACCAACTGAAGTCTTCGAGAAATTCAATTCCATGCTCCATTCCGGTATGGCGAACTCAAGCAGGGGTCGTGGAAAGAACGTTGAAATCTTGAGCATCCCTTTCATCAAGAAATACGTCCAATATGCGAAATCAAGAGTCAAGCCAGTGCTGACCAAGGGCGCTGCTGATCACATTGTGGGAACATACTCTGCACTAAGGAACGACGAATTGTCGGCAAACCAGCGGCGAACATCCCCAATCACTGCCCGTACCCTGGAGACTCTGATCCGCCTGTCCACTGCGCACGCCAAATCACGCCTATCAAGCCGGGTTGAGGAGAAAGATGCCAAGGTTGCAGAGTCGATTTTGCGGTTTGCCATGTTCAAGGAAGTTCTTGAGGATGAACGTCGCAAGAGAAGAAAGGTTACAACATTCGACGACGACTCCGAATCAAACGAGTCTGAATCAGATGACGAGGATGGCGATGACAACAACCCCGCAAACACCTCCTCAGCAACCCCTCGATCCACAAGGAGAAATCTCCGAACTCGTGCAGCCGCAGCCCGCTCCTCCACCAACGACGATGTTGATATGGACGCAGACGGCGACGACGTCTCCGTTGATGGAGACGGGCTGTACAGCGCAAGCCCCCGCGGGCAACGGATACAGTCAAGCCAGTCGCGAATGTCCGTTGCTTCGTCCCGACCCGCCTCCCAGCTTGTCCAGTCCCAGACGGATACTTCACAGTCCCAAGGCGCTTCTAGCGCAGCTTCCTCGTCTCAACCAATTCAGCCTGCTCGCTTGACGCTCTTCCGACAGGCTCTGGGTCCGTTGATGGGCACGAAACTCTTCGCCTCGGGAGACACTGCTGATGTCGAGGAACTTATTGGCGCGGTGAACACCGCTGTACGCACCCGCCAGGGCGAAACACAAGTCTTTCAGCGTCCGGAGGCTATCCAAGCTCTGAAGGCTATGAACGAGAGGAATGAATTGATGTAAGTCATATCACCATCACAACCACCGTGGTGGATTCGCTGCAAGTTTGTCTAGTCTCACAACTAACCTTCTATTCTCTACATAGGTACCTTGAGGACGACGAGACTGTCTACAGGATTTAGATGATGATAACAAATACATAACGAAAGCCGGGAAGGTGTCTGTCTTGAAATTTAGCTTGCAATCTTCGCAAATGGGACGGAAATGCGCGTTTCGGTTCTGTGTCTTTGGCCATGGAATCTAGTGGAGTGGGATAGAGCGCAATGTCTCGAATATTTCCCCCGGCGTCTTGGTGGTTTGCATTACATACGGAGGGGTATAATGTTGTCGTTACTAACATTAGGCTTGAGGATTTAGAGTTAGCTGTAGGATATACCTCAATGCGCAATTGTGTCTCTATGTCAATGGGCAAAGGTCAATATAGAACAGCTCATATAACAACAGCGTCATTTGCAGAATTTACTGCTCGGGGCAAAAGTATAAGTGTAGTGGAGCCTTGAAACATGACTTCATTATGCAGCTGGTTGAGAATTATGGTAATATAGTGTAGTAGTATGAACCGGAAATAAAAAATATATGATTATAATTTCATGCACCACCCAGAAGCATTTCAACCATCTATGCCGTCCTCCCTCTTCTTGTCCTTGTCTAGTGACAGCCCCGTTATCGAGGACGAGTCGTCAGAAGAAAAGGATGACGTGCGGACTCCCTCACGGATTTGCGCCTGCGTTAGAGGAGACAGACCCCGGTTGAGCGTTTTGGACCCTTTCCGTCGTCTATTTGGGGTGTGTTCGGACCCGGACGCCGCAGAGGACGGAGTAATGCTTCCTCGGCCGGGCCGGCCAGTTGCGGATGATCGAGACGGGGGTCGGTCATCTGTGTCGATGGGGGTGCTACTTCGAGAAGGTGTGCGGGAATGGGAGCCGGAGCGTGTTGCACGTCGGAGAGGAGATTTGGACTCGTGGGCTAGCTTGGAGATGCTCGGGTTAGGATGATGATGGTGACGGTGGCCCTTGTCGCCTTCAATCGTCCTGTGTAGTGTTGCTGCAGCTTGTCGGCGGCGTCGCGTCGCTTTCCACCCTAGGCCAATCCACCAGAACCAGGCGCCTTCTTCTCGGGCTAATTGGCGCTCTCGCTGGCGCAGTTTTCCACGGATTTGAGAACGTCGTTCGTTTTCTTTCTCCCAGTAGTCCGTGCGGTAGTCATCCCAGTTTCCGCGGAACTCGGGCGAGAATAGCTTTGGTAGTAAAAGTAGCCGAATATGATCACCTCCCGGGCTGAGATCTTCCTCCACCAGGCCGGATTCTGGGTCCACGTTGTAGTAATATTGTTGGGAAGCGCGCCCGGTGCGTTTCTCAGATAAAGGACGATCAAGGTAGTGGAAATCCCCTAGAGCAGAGGGGGAGAGGGGCGTGGAGAACGGGAAGAGAAATGAGAGGTATGAGAGCAGCTCCTGCCACCACGGACCCCGGATAACCACAATCTTAGTGTTCATAGTTCGTAAGCCACGATTCGCAATGGCAAGCCAGCGCCGTGGCCAGCGAATGCCGCGCTCCCACTGTCCCGTACCCCAGACGAGAAGTGCTGTTACCACACCCCCAAGGAGCGCGACCCGTTCCCACATCTCCACGACCCAATATACCGAACCTCCAACTCCGCGTCCATCTTCGCGGGGACGCAGGAATAAAGCGTATGAAAAATATGTAATCCAGGCTGTGAGCAGGAGGAGGAAGAATGTGTTTTGTCGCCGACGTTCGCGCAGCGCCAAGTATTGAGCTCTGAGTGAACTTTCGAGGATGAGAAGATTCAAGTAGATCTGCGGAGGGGAAGAGGGCAAGGTTGAAAGAGGATCGGTCGTGGACGGATGTGTTGTTGAAAGCGAGTCGGATGCGCCGGACGGGTAGGATTGAGGTTGGGATGACAATGAGTCTGCAGATGAGGCGGACAATGCAGAGGATGCCGACAAGGAACGCAAACGGTTGCTCGGAGCTGGAGAGCCCTTGACAAGCTGATCCAGGCTCGGTGCAGCAGCCATGGTGTCGGGAATGATAAGAGGTCGGAGTCGGAGCAAGCAGGACGAACAGATGGCCGCCGCAAAGCCTAGGGCGTTGTCATCGCATGTGAAAAGAAGCCGTGAGGAAAGTTGGGGGAGGTAGTCAGAGAGGGGAGAGACGGAGGTTACGTTGTAGGAGGATCTGCCAACTTCGGCGAGCGACGAGCGAACGTGACGAACTCCACCACTTCGGCTCTGTCTTCTACTCTACTTCGAGGCACAACTGCAAAATACTTACAACATACGCGAGCTAGGTACCAAATCTTGACATCTTGTCACCCGTTCATCTCTGACGTTGAGGCTTGCGATTGGGTCGGGGATAACCGGTCTTTGGCGCGCTCGATTACTTTTCTCTGTCTTCGCCTCCCTTTGCTGCCTACCTCCGCTTCGCTCTCTATTCTTATGAGCCCGAGTAACAGACCGAGAGTCCTTCTCTTCTGTTACTCTGCCCATTGCGCGACAAGCTGTCTCTCATTCGACTCCCTCTCCTCCCGTCCCAGGCTCCCCGACCCTGGTCCCTGATCCCGCCACATTTCACCTTCTCCCGCCGTTCGACTTCGTCGATGGCCTCCGAATCAATAAACTCGTCTCGAGGCGAGTTTCAAGACCGCAACCAGCAGGGTTCTGCGAACGACAGCGTTCCTCACGCCGCTCGCGGTGCCAGTGCAACTCCAGCGCCAATGTCCTGGTTTCCCCTCGGTTATAGAGAGGGGTTCAGCCAGTGGGTAAGTCCTATCGTCCGGATTGAAACTGAAATTGCGCAGAAATTCTGACGTCGGTTATAGTGGTCGTCAATACCAGCTGCTGCGGCTGAGCACAAAGTCCTCTCTTATCTTCCTTACCTCCAGCACCAACCGCCGACACATCTACAGACCGGAAAGACAGCCAATGGCGGAAACAGCGAAGCCGCCAGCCTACAATCCGCGGACCAGAGCCAGCAGAGTGACGTAGCGGCCACTTCATTTGATGATCCGTACGGGCCTCGTCGATGGCTCTCCAGCATGGTGCAATTAAGCGGTAAGAACCGGGCGCTTAACGAATTCTCCGTGGAGCGCGTTGGAGAGGAGGCAGATCAGCACTTGGTTATGCTTCACGGTTACGGCGCCGGGCTAGGTTTTTTCTACAAGAACTTTGAGCCACTGAGCCGGCTTCAGGGATGGCAACTTCATGCGCTAGATCTCCTCGGCATGGGTCGCAGTACCCGGCCGCCATTTCGCATCAAGGCCAAGGAGCGCGAAGATGCAATCAGAGAGGCGGAAGACTGGTTCGTGGATGCGCTCGAGGAATGGCGTGCCAAGCGCAAGATTGAGCGGTTTACACTCCTTGGACACAGTCTAGGCGGGTATATCGCCGTGAACTACGCGCTCAAATACCCAGGGCGCATTAACAAACTCATTCTAGCCTCACCCGTCGGGATTCCAGAAGACCCATACGCCGTGACAGCCGAAATGCCATCAAAGCAAGACCAAGCCGCCATCGCAGCCGAAGCTGCCGCAGTACCGCCCGGCGACGCCCCGAAAGGCGACAACAACATCCTTCTCAGGGGCCCTCCAGCCGACGCCTCATCTTCAACGGACCGCCCTCCCCGTCGCACAGTACCCAAATGGTTTGCCTACCTCTGGGAAGCCAACATCTCCCCCTTCAGCCTCATCCGGTGGGCCGGACCTCTCGGGCCCCGTCTCGTCTCCGGCTGGACATCCCGCCGCTTCTCCCACCTCCCCGCCGACGAGGCAAAGGCTCTGCATGACTACTCCTACTCCATCTTCAGCATGCGCGGTAGCGGCGAGTACGCCCTCGCCTACATCCTAGCACCAGGGGCCTTCGCGCGCAGCCCGCTAATCCGCCGAATCGAGGGCGTCGGCCGCCAGATGATCCCCGCCTCCGTACCCCTCCCCTCCTCTTCATCATCAAGCTCCTCAGGAACTACAACATCCCAATCCCGCCGCGAAACAGGCCTCCCCGTCGTCTTCCTCTACGGTGACCACGACTGGATGGACTACAAGGGCGGAATGGCAGCCGCATCAAAGATCATCAAGGAGAAGCGCCGCATTCTCGAGAACGCAACGCCTGAGGAGCGCGAGGCGGACAATGGGTCTGCGAAGGTCGTTATGATTAAGAACTCCGGGCACCATGTTTATCTGGATGGGTGGGAGCAGTTTAATGATACCGTGCTGTCGGAGATGGATGAGGTGGCGAGGAGGGAGCGGGCGAAGTTATAATAATATAGATCAAATCACTCGCTAAAGCAAGCGTTAGATATACACACATCACTCTTGTTTGTTTTTTATGTTGGGGTTGGTGCGACCCCTTTTAGCGGTTTGTTTTGGGAACGGAATTATTGATGGATTGATGGATAGCTAGGATAGGATAGATTTACTCTAGAGAGTGTGTTCCAGCACAGTGTCTCTGCTTGCTTGCCACACTTGTTGTCCTCACTTGTTGTCCAAGGTATAGGTTATCTGTTGCAGCCAATACGTATGAATAGGAATGAATATCAGGATATTGGTCATAACTTCGTTAGATAGTACCTAAGCCACGACGCTTTTGCAATGAATCGCCTCGTGTCAATATCACAATGTCATGGTTTTATACACGAAAGATCCGTCAAGAGATCACGGCTCGAATGACTCCCACACGCCCCCGTAACCCATCCACATAGTACCAGCCCTTAGCCCTCACTCACCGACCCCCCAGCGAAGGAATAAACTGCGACATAGCACCCAGTCCCGCCGCAACAACCCTCGCCGGCTTCCGCTCCTCATTCGGCGTCGTATTACTCGTCGTTCTCGCTCCGTTATTACTCCCGGAATCCCCCTGCGGCTGCAGAGCAAAGTACCCAGTGTTACCATTACCATTTTTTAGCCCGGAGTTCAGTGTACTCGTCAGCGGCACCGCGTGCCGAGCCCAGTGCTCGCAGAGCGAGGTATGGGACTGTGAGCGCATGGATATACCTTGACCCTGGGAAGTACTCGTCTGATCCCAGGATGGATCGTGGCGCCGAGGCGGTTGCAATGATGGAGAGCGCGGCGTGCTGGTGTACCCGGCTAGCATGGACGTTGTTGCTGAGCGGCGGTGGTGCCGGTGGCTTCCATGGCCCTGGGCCAAGTTCTGGCCCTGGCTTTTGGTTCGCTTGCGGTCCTTGGTTTCGAAGATGGTGACTCGGCTGTTTTTGCGTCGGGGGAGGTGCGTGTCTGAGGTCGATGTTGGGGTGGTGGTTTCAGCCTGCGTGTCGTTGACGTTGCTGCTTCCGTGTCGGAGGGTGAGAGGTTGAGAGGGAAGCTCTAGCCGGCTGTTGATTGAGAGCCAGGCGGTTTCGTCGGCTTCGTCGCTGGCGCTGTGAGTGGAGGACGGGGTTGTTCGTCCAGATCGATACCCCGGGGACCTGGTCGAGGACAGTGGGCACCTCCAGCCGCCTAATCCTTCAAAGTCCCGGTCTTCATCTCCATTGGTGAGTCCTAAGAAACCGCTGGTTTGGGTGTATGGTGGGCCCTTGCGGAGATTAGGTCTGAGCGTGAATCGGCTATCAAAGCTGTGCAATTGCAATGGACTTTCTTGACTCTCTGGGCTCTCCGATGGGTTTGAGCTACCCAGACGAGGGAGACTTGGATGGCTCTGTTTCTGGCCCTGGGCGCGGATTTGCTGTGAGAGAAGAGGGCCATGGAAGACGCCATAGTCTGATGATCGGCGTCTAGCTGGGGTAGTGGGTTCTGAGACTGTAAAGCTTAGGAGGGACCAGCTGGTTGATTGCGGAATGGTAAAGAGATTTGTCAGGAGCGCGGAGCATAGCTTGAAGCAGATGATGGAGAATTGTATGTATAATGTGACGGTGGAGAGGAAGATGGTGAAGGATGCTATCAAGGCGAGGGGGATGGAGACCAACGCTAACAGGGGCAGGGCGATCAGCGTGGTGGGCATGTAGGGCGGGGTAGCAGGTATATATTGTTAGGTAGGTGTTGCGCAGATGAGCTCTGTTTGAGGGTCAAAAGACGTCCAGTATTTCATGACTAGAGAAAGATGATATGAATTCATTCGGCTGATGATAAAAACCTGCTTTTAACTAATGTTTTGACTTCCACAGCGAGTCGTGAGATGCGGAGAGAAGCATGTGATAGTTTGGAAGTACGTGGTTGGCGCCTGAGGCGTCCACTCAACCGCCGATTCGATTCACGATTACATCAGTCTTCGCCATCTGGCTGATGTTTATATCCAACCTTAATTTTTCGAACAATTGAGGGCGACTTACTCTATACCTCCGCGAAAAACAATGGACCAAGCCCAATCCCAAAATGAAGCCGAGTTCCCATGGGAGATCGGGGTCTTTGACGCCCATTGTCACCCCACCGACACCATGTCCTCGATCGCCGACATTCCCCGAATGAAAGCAACCACGCTGACGGTCATGTCTACGCGAGGCGAAGACCAAGATCTCGTCCTACAAATAGCAAATGACCTCGCCAAGGAATTGCCGGGCACCCAGAAACAGCGACCCCGCATCCTCCCATGTTTTGGCTGGCATCCGTGGTTCTCGCATCAAATACTAGACGATAAAGCCGACAAGTCAGACTCAAACTCCGGCATTGGAGAGTCGGCCGCCGAGTTAAAGAAGGCGCATTATAGGAAAGTGCTCAAGCCGTCCCCAGACGACGCATTCATCTCCACTCTCCCCGAGCCGAAACCCTTGTCGCAACTCATCTCTGAGACAAGGTCTCGGCTGCTTGCTTTCCCAACGGCCCTTGTTGGGGAGGTTGGTTTGGACCGCGCGTTCAGGCTCCCGCAGGCGTGGATGCAGGAGGAAATTGACGCTCGAAACGGGGAGATGACGCCCGGGTCGCGGGAGGGTCGGCGTCTCTCCCCGCATGTGGTTCGCATAGAGCACCAGAAGGCGATTCTGGAAGCTCAGCTGCGGTTAGCTGGAGAGTTACAGCGGCCTGTCTCTGTGCATAGTGTGCAGGGCCACGGTGCGGTATTTGAGTTGTTTAAGAGTCTTTGGAAGGGGAATGAGCGGAAAGTCGCCTCGCGGCGGGAGATGAAGCGGCGGCATAATGTTGATGGGGCTCATGCAGGGAGTGATGCAGAGGGGGACGAAGATGGGGATGGGGAGTCATTGAGTGATGGACGGGTGAAGCAGCCTCTCGCGTTCCCGCCGCGGATATGCATGCACTCGTACTCGGGCCCCGTGGAAACGATAAGACAGTTTCTGCATCCATCAAATCCGTCAGATGTGTACTTTTCTTTCTCTGATGTTATCAATTTCGGACATCAATCTGACAAGTCTGTTGCTGTGATCAAGGCTTTACCTGACGATAGAGTCTTGATTGAGAGTGACTTGCATATTGCTGGGGAGGAAATGGACGAACGACTGGAGCAGGTTACTCGACAGGTCTGCGAGCTTCGCGGGTGGGACTTGAAGCAAGGGGTGCAGCAACTTGCAGATAACTGGAAGCGCTTTGTATATGGCTAGATGATTCAAAGCTTCTACAAGGTAAACACTTTACAGAAGACCGCAGCAAAGATCATCACGTTTACACATTAGACTAGAGCAGGTATAGGTATAAAAATTTTCAACCAAAGAATCCGAGATCCATTAAGTAGATACACGAACAGAAGAACCAATCAGGTCAAAGAAGAAGGAAAAAAGAGGTAAAAGGTTGAGTGCATCACGTCATCCATCTAAACTCTTCGGCCCCAGATTTAGAAAGCAAGAACGGCAGCGACACCGGCAGCGACGGCACCGAGGCTGATGGCGTTGCGGCCAGCAGCACCAGTGAACTGAGGAGGCGCAGGGGTGAAGGTAGGGGTCCAGACAGGGACGGACGAGCTGGGGACGAGGGTGGGGATGGTAGGGATGGTGGCAGTAGGAGCTCCCTCAGGGCAGGTCGTGGTGGTGATGGTGCTGGTCAGGGTGACAGTGCCGTGAGGAGGAGTGGTAGGAGTGCCAGTGGGGATAACACCGGTCTCGGTAGGCTCAGCGGTGGTAGTGGAGGTGGAGGTCTCGCCCTCGCCCTGGTGGGGGTTGGAGACGCCGAACTGGGTAGAGTACTGGTAGGCACCCTTGTTGGGGCCGGTCTCGACAACGAGGAGGATACCGTAGTGGGTGACGTCGTCCTCGAGCTCGGTGCTGGGGGTCCAGACGTACTCTCCGCTGTTGCCGATGTTCTCAGCGATGGCGTACAGAGGGACGACGTTGGTGCTGGGGCCACGGAGGAGGACAAGGGAGATGCTGCCCTCGGTGGTGGGGGTCCAGGTGATGGTGTAGGCCTCGCCAGCGGTGACGAGCTCATTGAGGCCGGGCTTGATGATGGCATTGCCAGTAGGAGCCTGAGAGTAGTCGGGGGTAGTCCAGGCAGTAGCAACGGCCATGATGGCGGAGAGAACACCAGCTGTGGAGAAACGCATTTTGATATGTGTTTATGTGTGGATTATCGTAAAAGATATATAGAGGTTGCAGGGTCGTTAAGGTGGTCCGAGGATCCCCAAGGGATAAAGAGTGACTGGTCTTATAAAAGACTGGAGGTTTGATTCAAAAAGAATGACTGGGTCGGAGAGACTGGAGGATGGAAGGAGAAGAGGAGAAGAAAAAGGCGACCAGGAGGGGGGCGCAGGGCTCATTAAATTCGAGGAATTGAGGCGCGAAGCCTGGAAGCACACTACGACAGAGCTAAGCCTAGTGTTAGCCCCAAGGATAATTTCAAAAAACCACCCTCATCATCCTCCGGCTCCGGGGCTCTCAGGGCGGGCTGCGGCTCATGATGGGAGTGGGTCGAACGAGAAATTACACGAGGCCAGGCACGCTGTCTGATTGACTCTCTGCTGGCCGACTGGATGTAACTACAGCGCGGGATGAGTGGGAGAGCCCCGAAATCCCTGCATTATTCGCCTGGCGCTCTCCTGAGGCTTGGAATGTGACTCGGAGTGCGAGAGGACTAAGCTCACAACAAGCAGACAAGGGGAAGTTGGAGAGGGGCAGGCACAGGACCAGATGCGACGTTGCTGGACGTTGACTGGGCCACCCAACCAGGAGGCGATTTTAGTGCTGGGCTGGAGCGAGCGCGAGAGATGAACCCTTGGATCCGGGATTGGTGGAGATTCAGCCTAAGAGTCAGCCAGGAAATTACTCCTGCGACTCGATCTCGCGACAAATTGCCAGAGTTAATTTGTCTCATCTCATTATTCTTCCCCTGGGACGGTGTCTTGCGCATGAGCAGTCCGATTCTAATAATAATCTGCTGTCCCAGGGTTGAGATAAGATGGCATTGTCAACGCCGAACGGTGGCATACTTCGCGTCGACAAAACAAAATAACCGGGAGAATTTCGGGCGCGTCAATCGCGAAACGGAGCCGATTCTTCTGCTGAAAACCTTGACCTGTGGCATGCGGTTATGATAGGCCAAGGCAAATTTCTCGTATTTATAGTAAGCGTACCTAGTTTAAGTGGGAGAAAGTGTTCCATGGTACCTGGCGGAAATCACCCTGGAAGACTGGCACTTTTCTCTGTTAACACACAATAAACAACAATTTTATCCGGTTCTCATCACATCGCAAGTCAAGAATCACATCGAATTCAAGGGTCCCTCACCTGTTGCTGAAGAATGATCATCGAGAAGATCATTCCAGGATGAAGTCATCCCACGTTTTGCCGAGGAGATTTGCAAGCGATCCTTCTGGTGCTCATCTCCTGTGCCTGAGCGCGGACTGGGGCCGCGGCGCACCGTTCGGATCTTAGTCCCAGTTTAGCCAAATTGTCTCAGCAACACCGCCAGGCACGAAATGAGCAAAAGAAAATTCAAAGCCATGATTGGATCACGCGAAATACAATGGAACTCTCGCGACTGACGCCTAGAATGATGAGATTGGAGTTTATTATTAGCATTGTACTGGATTCATTTGAAGATATGTTAAGGACCGTCAAAAGACTCAGAACACCATCGTAGCACAGATCAGCGCCATATGGCAAAGACGTTGCGTATTTCTTCCGTCTGTGTCACCTCCACCCCGCGGTCGCCTGCAGAGGCCCGTTGACTCGGAGATTGTGTCAATTGATGATTCAGGAACCAACAGTCGGCGCAGACGCTCGTTGGTCGAAACGGATGTATGTTCCTGCGCCATGTCACTCAGCTACTGCACCTAAAACTGCAGCTAACCATCCTGGCATCCACGGCGCTTCGAGGAGCTTTCCAAGTTCTGCCAGGGGCCAAAATCCGGTCCCTGAGGCTGACTCTCGCACAAAAGCATGGCAGCATGGCCAACGTGGCGGTCTGGATCGGGATCAAATGTCCGATCGATAAGTAGTATTTGAGATTTAGGAATCTCAGCTTCCAGGGCTGAGCGAAGTGAGCAGTCGGCAAAGGCCCTCAGCCTGAAATGGGGAGAAGTCGGTGGCTGTAGCCTTCGGTGCTCCTGCCTTGATTAGGAAGTAAGCTGCTCCCACTGCAAAAGCTCTCCAAACAACAAGCATCCCCCAACTTTCCGTAACTCATTTTCCAACTTGATATCTTTTGCCTCCGGATGATCTTCCGAATATTTCCACGCTTCTCTAGGAACATATCCCACCAACTTAGCTTCCGTGGTTTGTAGATCTTTTGTTTCAAGAAAACAATCAACGAGATTTCAATTTTTTGGGCTAACGGCCGACGACTAACGTCAAACAGCCTAGATGAACCCACTCACCCAAGGTCCTCCGGGATTCGGGCGACCTGCCCAGGCTGCCCTCAACTGCATCAAAGATAGAATAACTGCAATTGGCTTCCTCGGTCTAGATGAGTCTCTGAGATGGGGCCGAGGGCCCGAGAGGTGGACCGTTGGGCGCAAGTATCTAACTTGTAAGTTGTGAGTGTTCCAAAATCCCGAATTAAGCATTTCATTCTGCGAGCGTCTCATAATGTGACAGGGATATCGACTACTCAAGAGCAGGCGCATGGAGGAAATAAGGGCTCAATAGCCTCAATAATGCTTGTCACACAGCCCATCCCCAACGCTGGGGTGTGCAGTTGCCACGATCTCTCTCTTGATGAGCGAAAAAGGGACAGACTAAGCGGAGAGATGGCATCATCCACGTCATGAAGCTTGGAAAAGCCAGGCTCGACCGAGTCCACCGGACCCGAAGAACCACGAGTACACATTCAAACTATTGAAAGTTGGTCCATGCGTGGAAAATATCATTCGACCTCGAATAAAGCACAGTATGTCAGTATAAACTGTTTGTATCGTCACTATCGTGGGGTTGTGGCGGACTCGAGCGAGCAGGTCACTCGAGAAATTGAGAAAGTGCATCCATTTGGCATTTACTCAACCCAAGTGATTGTTTTGGTTTGCACCCATTCGTCATAGCCAGCAGTGCCTCCAAATCGTCCGAACCCACTGCTCTTCCATCCGCCATGAGGAAGCGTAGACTCATCATGAACCGTCAGAGAGTTAATATGAACAGCTCTATAATTAGAATGATTGTTAGCCGCTGGCGTGCAAAATCCAGAGAACTAACTTACCCCGACTCGATTTGCTTGGCCACCCTGAGACCTCGGAACAGGTTGCTGGTGAAAACTGCTGATGTGAGACCATATTCAGTGTCATTGGCGAGTTCGATAGCCTCCTCCTCGCTGTCCACAACGATGAGAGACACCGTCGGTCCGAATGACTCGGTGGCATAGAGGTCCATGTCCTTGGTGACGCCGCCCACAATAACGGGCCGCAGGCTGTTGGCGCAAGTCTCGCTAGCCGTGGGATCACCGAATACCACATTGGCGCCCTTTGACACCGCGTCTGCCACTAGGTCTTTGTTTTTCTTCACAGCAGCAGCAGTAACAAGGTATGGCGCTGGCACATTCTTGCCGAAGAGTTTCTCAGATGCGTCGACAAGCAGCTTCTGGAATTCCTCTGCTACACCTCGCTGGACTACTATGCGCTCCGTTGACATGCAGATTTGGCCAGTCTACCCCCCAGAATCAGCCTTCAACCGAACTTTGCCAGATGACGTTCATCTTTTGCAACCACTTACATGCATAAACGAACCGAGCGCGCAGCCCATTGCCGCTTTTTCTAGGTTGGCGTCATCCAAGACGATGGCGGAGGCTTTGCCACCCAGCTCAAGCAGTACTGGCTTGATGTATTTCCCAGCGGTGGAAGCGATGATGGACCCAACGATGGTGCTCCCCGTGAAGCTGATCTTGCGCACGTCTGGATGTGCGATAAGTGCATTGGTGACCGCAGCCGCGTCTGATGACCTATGGTATAACACATTCAAACACCCCGCAGGAAGACCAGCTTCCCGGAAAATATCGCCCAGCACCCAAAAACATCTTGGAGACAGCTCGGAGCCTTTCAGAATCGCTGTGTTACCGGCGGCCAACGGAAGAGCAATAGCGCGAGTTCCGAGAATATAAGGAGCGTTCCTAGGCACGAGGAATAACTCTGTTAGCCATGGCATGGGAAGCTTAGCAGAGGAAGACATACCACGGCGCAATGCCCAGAACAACGCCATATGGTTGCTTCACGACCATGGCGGACTCGCCTTCATGAGCGATAGTGGGTACTTTGCCCTCAACAGTGGGAATCATTGCTGCAAAGTTCCTCAAAAAGTCAACGCCCAACTGGAACGTCTTCTCTGTGAACATCCTCCCCGCGCCAGTTTCCTCCATTTGATAACGAATCAGCTCTTCTTTTCGTGAGGCCATGACGTCCGCAGCCTTGGTCAAAATCGCCCTGCGCTCGTACGGGCTGGTCTTGCTCCAGCTGGGGAAAGCAGCTCTTGCAGTTGCCACCGCGTGGTTGGCATCGTCCACAGATGCACCGGCGCAACGGTCCAGCAGTTCTCCCGTTGCAGGGTTATGGACTTCGAAGGTTGTGTCGGTAACCACCGATTCGTTGTTGATGATCAGCGGAATCACCGCCTTATCGCCATTATTGTTGATGCCCATTTCTTCGAGGGAACTAGAGGGAACTAAAGGTGCGGGGTTTGAATTTTTAATTTTTTTTTTTGGTCTCAGGAACGCAGGGTGACGGAGGTTGAGGAGGGCAGATGCGCATCGAGCTTCTTCGGCGGAAAGCTTCTCAAATAAGGAGGCCAGAACCAAGGGGACGGAGCGGTACAAACTTCGACTAGCTAAGACCGCCGTTGCTGCAAACTACCATTTTTCGATGCCGCACTGCAGCCACCAAAGTGAGGGGAAACAATTTCGGTCCGCATTCGGGTACGTGGGGCCGGCAGCCCTTTGGATGAAGATGGCCGCGAGAACGTCCATTATTGGAGGGCTGCTTCTCTTCCCCGGCGATCCAGGGAATGTTCAGATCTGAAGTGAGTTCGGCTCTTGCACGGGGAGAGTAAAAGCCGACACACGGTTCTGTTGGCTCAAGATCGCTCCTCATCCTTCCTCATGAGGCGAATGATGTGGACGCAGGTGGGTTCCAAACAGTCCTTCTCACTTCAATGGTCTTCCTTGTTGCCGGGAGTTAAGTCCGTAAATCCGAAGCCAGAGGAGAGATGCTGGGAAGATGCGGAAGACCTCGTCTCTGACCACATCTTTCCCGAGTCACAAAGCGATTCTTACCGTCTGACATGACAATAAACTGACGCGGGGGGAGCCTTGCTTAAAGATAAAGGGTTCTGACAGTACCGACCTGGTGGGGTGCTGCGGCTTTATGCTGTCCAATTAGCACCGCGCTTAAATAGTACTGCCAACGTCTATTTCTGCCTCAGGAATCAATTTCTGGAGACATCAGAAGTCAATCTCGAATCTGGTTGACCAGTTTCAATGATCGCCAATATTTGTGGTACGATATGATGGGATCTCATCCGAATATGGCTGTTGTGCGACCAATACAAGGTTGTAGTGCCTTGCATCCTGCAGGTCCCAATGTGAGTAGAGAATATGCCAGGAACTGGCACTACTACACCCAAGGTTTGATCAACAATATTGGAGTTCATATTCGAGGCAGAATCTATTAAAGGAGCTGTGCAAGCCTAATTAGTACATGCTGACTTTGGACCAGAATCAAAACTCTAATTCAACACCGTCTAATGCTATTTAGGGTTATCACAGGCAATGGCCGCCATGGTTTTATTATATATCCTCCCGAACGCCTGTCATGCTTTCGTGTACCAGTCTACCGCTTTTATATCTTCCTTGTCTGCTGCAGGAGCGCACTCGATGCTATTTCCCAGCCCAGATCCTAGTCTGCGTAACCGGCTTCGCAAAGTCCGCGAAAGGACACGCAGAAGTAGTCGAGGGCGTTACCGAAGGCGCGATCGAGGGAGCCATCCCGCTTCGAATACTGGCACGGTCATCCTCGCCCGAGCTGCGAGATGAAGAGCTGCTGCTGTCGCCGAGGATCTTCTTGCCGTCCACATACCCCTCTTTGCTTTCGTCATCGAGGTAATTGGACATCTCGTCGGCGAACTCCTCGCCGTCACGAATGCGCCACCGGGCAATGAGGTCGTTCTGGATCCAGATAATCTTGCTGATAGCTCGAATGATGGCGGTCTTGCGGCGGATGGATAGAGTAGGATGCGAGAGCAGAGCCTCGGTGAAGAGATCCTGGATGTACCCGAGACATACGCCCATGTGGATATATTCAATGTTGAGCGTATACAGACGTTCCTGAGCCGTGTGCATGATTCTACACCCGTTAGCCTCACAATCCTCTTTATCATCAAGAAGAGTGGATTGCAGGTAGGCACTCACCCAACTTTATTCAGATACCGCCAGAAATCCATTTGTGTCGGGTCATTGATGAGCTTCGTCAGATACCAGCGCAGGAACATCTTGCGCCGCATGATCTGCGGGCTTTCCTCGGTGTAGAACTCCTCAATCGGCGCACTCGACGCCGTGTCTCTGGTGTGGAATGATCGCGCGGTGATGTCGTATTCGAGCAGTTTGCGGTAGACGAGGTTGACGACGGCGGGGATTAGGGTCTTGATGTATTTTGCTCCGGATTGCAGGGCTTCGACGTCGCCTGTTTAGTAAAAAGCCTGTTAGCCTTCTTCTTCAGAGGTAAAGCCAAATTAGTCGGCAACGTACTGGAATTGAAGTCGAGGAAATCTTTGAGGTAGTTGATGCGGGCCTCGAGGCGGGTGTATAGTGCCTTGCGGTCGATGGGCTTGACCTCGCGGCCGTCAAGTTTGAAGTTCGCCTTCCTTGGCCTGTCGAGTGGTGATGTTGTTGCGGCCGGTTTAAAACACTGCTCTGACGACATTGTTGGAGATGTAGGTTTAGATGTTGGTGTGGGGATGCGTGTGTTGGGTAGGTTCAAGAAATGGACCGTCTTGTCCTGTGACATCAAGTATAAATTATTGGAGATGAAGAAGAGGACTAGGGAGGATTAGACTTGAATGAGGGTTGGAAAGCGCAGCACAGGGTAGAATATGATATTAATAACGAGACCCCAGACAGAGCGAGGGAGTCATACGGTTTTATATAGGAGTACACCGCAGCCCAACACAAGCGATTAATAGTCACACCTTGTTCAAGCAGTTCTCTCCGACCCGGGGCCCTCCACGGAAGCGACAAAAAAAAAACTATGATGACATTTGCATGAGAATAAGCCATGCACTGTTTCAGATTAGTCCAGAGGATCCCAGCCTATCACGGCGTGTGGGAAGAAAAACCTCGTCGCCGATTCCGACACGGTAGTGGTCTGATATACAATAGATGAAATCACACGTGCCGACGTAGGTCTGGCTCAGTCTATAATCCGGATAGTATGCAGTTGGCGAGACTAGGGTGCTTTTTTGACTTTCTTCACGACACTTCTGGAAGCTATCCCATGACCTTGCCGAAGGCACGGAGATATGACGAGCCAAGAGTGATATACTCGAGATTCAGGAAAATCGTGCACTCTGGATTGAAAGAGAATGTTCATTTCGCATGCAGGAGTCTGTAGCACTAGGCAAATTGCATAGCCCTTGGTTTGTTGGGAAGGCGGCCACCCAGGAAGGCCTGCAGGTTTTCCTGACGAAACAAAAAAATAACACCACTAGAACTAATTGCATATTCTGTTGCCGTTTGAGGATCCGATGAGCAGAGATCGCGTCCTTGACTCATCATTTTGAGCCGATTCATCGCGTGATGGATCGGAGGAACAGCTGTTCTTGAGTGGCTTGTCGGCGGAGATTATGGGGTCTGATATGGCATGATGTCCTGAGCGCGGTCCGGTTTGTCCCTACGTGCGGAAATCCGTAATCGAACTCTGTTTTCGTAGCGAACAAACAGTAGGTAAGCATTTGGAATAGAGCGGTCCATGACTCGATTTTTCCCTTGAATATATTCTGCTTTTAGCAGAGGTGGACTGGTGTGGACGTCTTCTCCAAGTCGAGCTGACGTCCCGAGCTCGGGGTTTAACCGAAACCTAATCGGTGGCATGGGTTCAGCCTAGTTAATTTGAAGTAAACTGGGGCTGCCTATAGGCTACAGGGGAACCTCGCCCATTTGCATGCGCTGTGCGTACGACTTTCTTGCTGATAGGCTGTGGTTGTCGCCGAGAGTTGCGTCTTCACCCTCGGCTCACTCGGTCTATTTTCGGGGTTCTCCATAGTCATTCCACCGGCGGTTTTTTGACGCTGTCAACGGTTTCTAGCATCGGTATCCACGTAGTCTCGGTATCCGTTGTCTATACTGCTATACCCTGGCCAGCAGCCAGTTCTGAGCCGAGGAGGAGATCATCCCTGGCATCTGCAGAAGAGTTGAAAGAACTCGCTTTCAATAAGAAGTTCCACTTTCTTGGGCTTCGGTCAGAGATATTCCTTGACGGAAACGTCCATTTAACCATCTCAAAGGTGTCTGTCGCTGAATCCTAAGCCCAAGTACAGTGCTTACCTATTTCACGATCGCGAGTGTGGAGGGAAGACCACTTGTCCTCTGGCATTCGGAACATGCCGACGAGATTGAGCTGGCACCGTGCACTGATTCCACTGACAGCCGCGGCTCCATTCGGATCATGACGGTTGGCTGTGAGGCCGTCGGCGCTCGCGTGTTCAGAGTTAATACTAGTAGGCCCGCTCGCAGGATGACATCTCTGTCGATTTGGTTAACCCACTGATATTATGAGCCTCGGGAGCCCAAGAGGGTATAGGAATTTGCACCCACCTCCCATCGTACCGTCGTGCCCTAGAGGTACTATCTTGTCCCGAAAAGCCAACAATATGTGCCTTTGTGTACCGTTTAGTATGGACGAGCACCTGGGCGGATGATATTTGCCGCTCTAACCGGAGCGGAAGCTTCTAACGGCAAAAGATCCATCTGGTCTCGATAGTCAGCTCTTTTCCCTAACTTCTGCTGCCGAGGACTCGGGCGTAGTCTAAGGCAAACCGATATCAGACAATGTTCTCACCAGCGTGAACGCGAGTACTTGCCATTCGAATAGTGTCAGACTACCTCTCATAGCTGCAAGCCACCTGCAAGAAATGCACCCCAGTCGAGCTGCTTCTGGAAGACCCAAACCCCGTACTGAGTAGAGCACTCGATGAACGGAGAGCGCAAGGGGTGATACGTCACATGACATTCGAATGGAGGCCCATTTTGCACACTGCGGGGGACGATCTCGAGTCATAGCCATCCATCCAGGCGGAGAGCTCCACAGGTTCGAAGGGTTGAACATGGTAAGCTCGAGAGCCGGTCATTTGTTGGTGTTAAGTACCATCACGTGGTGTCCGTCGCCGGATTCGTCCATCCGCAACCTTTACCTAGGTACTGATGGATCCGGGGGAAGTCTTCTTCCACTTCTTTGTCCTGCCCTTTGTGGGGATGGAAGGCTTCAGCCCTGGTCCTCCGGATGCGGAGGCTGCATTGGGGAATTGCTTGGTGCGACTTCATGATGACTCGACAAGAACTTTGTCGCAATCGTCTGTGGCAACAATGGCTCCAAGACGAAACTAAGTTTTGCCTGAAGCCAATTCCCTCATTCTGACTCGCTCGAAACTTGAGAACGGCTGCAGAAACTTGAACCGTGTCCGGCGAACTTTGAAAATCCTCATCATGCACAGCTGAGCTGCGTCGCTCCTTCCTGTTTGACTTGATGAACCCGCCGCATCCATCGCTCCTTCCCTTAACTGCTTCCGTCACGAGACACCAGAGGTATTGTCAAGTAGTCGGAACCGGTAGCATTGTTTGTTTGCGTCTCATCATCCGCAGGTTTCGCCATCAACCTATTTAACAGGGGGGGTCGGCCGTTCCGCAGATGCACTTTGTCGTCTGACATTTCTATCATAATCCCAACCTCTCAAAACCATTCGATATCTTGCGCGCCTTCGGAATGTTCTCTCGCCTTTCGAAGAAGGCTATTCTGGCCCTCTCATTGTTGTCAGTTGGTACTTCAGCTGCCCGAGTGTTAGTTGCATCTTACCATTACGGAGATCTCGCTGATTGATTAATAGCCGTTTACAATCTCGTCAACTACCAAATGATGGCATAGTCCGTGGTGTAAATCTCGGTGGCTGGTTTGTTCTTGAGCCGTGGATAACACCGTCCTTGTTTGACGAAGCAGGAGATGGTGCTGTCGACGAGTACACCTTAACCGAAATCCTGGGCAAGGGTGAGGCCGCAGCTAGATTATCCAAGCATTGGAATTCTTTCATAACCCTCGGTGATTTTGCGCAAATCGCTCAAGCCGGCCTGACTCACGTCCGCATTCCCATCGGTTATTGGGCAGTCGCACCAATTGAAGGAGAACCCTACGTCGACGGGCAGTTGGAGTACCTCGACCAAGCTGTTTCTTGGGCAGCTGCCAACAATCTTGAGGTCATTGTTGACCTACACGGCGGTATGTTCCCAGAAACTCCCGCTAGCAGTGTATCGTATTGCATTGGCTAACAACCTGAGCAGCACCTGGCTCGCAGAACGGATTCGACAATAGCGGACGCAGGGGACCTATTCAGTGGCAAAGTGGGGATACCGTATATCAGACCATCCGTGCCTTTGAGGTTCTTGCTGAACGATATCTTCGCGATGGTTCTGTAGTTACAGCTATCGAAGCACTCAATGAGCCTCATGTTCCTGCTGGTGTCAGTACGGATGGGCTGAGGGAATATTACAACAATGCCCTTGCGGCAGTTCGCAAAAACAGTTCTGATGTGACCTTAGTCATTCATGACGGGTTCCTGCAAACAGAAAGCTGGAACGGGTTTCTGACCGGCCAAGGGGTCGTCATGGATACGCATCACTACGAAGTTTTCGAGAACAGGCAGCTTGCGATGAATATTGATGAGCACGTCAACAGCGCATGCCAGTTCGGGTCGCAACATCTTCTGGCTGTGGATAAGCCAGTCATTGTGGGCGAATGGACAGGTGCTTTGACTGACTGCACCAAGTACCTCAACGGTAAGGGAGTTGGGGTCCGCTATGAAGGAACCCTAGCTTCAGCAGCATTACTTGGCGCCTGTGGAAGCAAAAGCGTCGGCAGTGTAGCTGGACTGAGCGCGGAGGAGATTGTGAACACCCGTCGTTTCATCGAAGCTCAGTTGGACGCATACGAACTGAAAAACGGCTGGGTTTTCTGGACCTGGAAGACTGAGGGAGCTCCTGGCTGGGACATGCAGGATCTTATTGCGAACGGGGTCTTCCCACAGCCCCTGACAGACCGCAAATACCCCAACCAGTGTGGATTCTCTGCATGATCAACTCTATACTTGTTATCAGCTTTGTTATTCCTTTGTGACGCGGGTTTTATTGCCCTTATCGGTGTTGTCTCGGTTGCCTTGAAACGATCTAATAAACATTCGTGATTCACATTTGGCCATCTATTGGGGTATTTAGACTATGTGGGAAGAAATAACAAGACCCAAGTAATGCGGTTGTGTCGGAAATTGACCGGTTTGACGTTACCAATATACTCCGGTAGATCGGATATCATTCGAAGGATCTGGTCAGATCAATCTAAGAGCGGCAAAAGCGGCAACCACGTCGCGATCAACATTGAGCAGCCAATCCTCCTGGAATCGCTGCTCGCCACCGCAGCCGACAATCAGCGAGTGCAGCCGCTCGCGAACGAATGACCGGATGTTCAGCTTGTGAACGACGTCCGTAGAGTCCCACTCGCGTTTGCGTGTGTTCTCGGGAGGTTCAGTCTCGTCGAATTTCCCTGTTCCAGCCTCGTTCCAATAGATCAGGTAGTCGCCGCCACTTGGGTCGCTGGGATCGCCTTCTGTTGTGCCCTCCGCTAACTCGGTGATTATATCGGTCCAGACGTTGAGGTAGGATTGTAGATGGCTGAGGAGATATGTAGGTGGTTGGGTGTTGGGACCGTTCAGGGTGAGGAGCTGTGTGAGAGCGAGGGCGTGGAGTTTCTTTTGTTTTGCGGTACCGATGTTGTCATAGTGGGCAAACCATTCAGTTAGGAGCCAGGTGAGGAGGTCTTCTTGTGGGTCATTGTTGTTATTACGGGAGATGGAGGATTCTCCGGCAGCGGCGGCAATACCGGAGGCGAAAAGCTTTGGGTGTGCGAGGGCAAGACGGGCCAGGACGGAGAAGTAGTCTGTCTCGACACCACCGTATACATGTGTCTGTTTCTTGTTAGGGCCTGTAGTCTGGCTTGCTTCGTAGGCGGAGTGGAGGCCTTCGAGTACAGCTGCGAGGATGGAACTGTCCAACAGGGAGCGGATTATGACGCTATATGTGCTTTCGCTGCCACCATCTACGGCGTCGGCGCCGCGGATCATCAGTTCAACCAGGCGGAGAACAGCAGCTCCACGCTGGCGGGTAGTAGCCTGTAGAAGCACTTGAAGGGAGGCGAGCAGAGGGAGACGATTGCGGTCGCTGAGGACTTCCTGGGGCGCTAAGAGAATGTATGATTCTACAATTTGCAACGCCATCCCGACGCTATCATATGCGGCCTCGAGTATATGGAACAAGGAGGGTATTAAGGAGAGGATTTCAGGAGATGCGGGAGCGGGTGTTTGCAAGAGTATGGCGCTCCAGAGATCTAACGCCTCGTCCAGAAGATAGAGTATATTTTCCTTCGCGATATTAGTGCCTGTTCATACCATCAAGGTCCAGTTTATGCTTACCGAGCCGGGTTCAACTGAACTCTGAATCAGTGGCAGAATCAGGGAATGGTACTTTGTTGATTCTTCTTTGAGCGAATAAATCAGCGACGACAGTAGGGTGAGAATAGCCTGCTTCATCAAGTTCTCATCTCCAGCTTGCTCCCACAAAGGTGGCAGCAACGCTAGAATCTGATCGGAGTAGGGAGCAATCTAGAAGTCATTAGAAACAGTGCGAGACAGTAGTGAGGAATGGGGATGGTTAACTCACATGATCCTCCATCCTTGTCACAGCCATCCGTAAAGTATCTAGCAGGCCCAACTGAGTCTCGGAAGTGTCGACTTCATGCATCAAAGATATCAAGTTCTGGAAAATGGAGAGCGCGTAAGGCTTGAAGCCATCGGGAGTAAATTCAAAGACTGAAAGCACCGGCTTAAGCTGTCTTCCGGCAGTGATACGGACAACCAGGTCATTTGACGGGTCCTGACTATTCAATAGATGCTGGAAGATTTGGTAGACGAAGTCAGGGTTCAGGTCGCCCGACTTGACGGGCAACCACTGGCCCAGCAAAATGGCGATCCTTCTCCTCAGGACATTATATCCGGGCTCCTGAATCTGGACTTCGGGGACAAGCGTTGACTGGAGGAAAGCACCAAAATCAAGATCTTTCTCTAGGCAGCCTGCAGCGAGGCCAACGGCGGAGTAAAGGGAGTCCTTCAGGAGGACATCGCGTTTATCTGGGGCTTCATGAAGAGCATACCTATCAGTATGACTTCCGCAGTCAGAATGAAGAGAAGAAACTCACTTGCAAAAGAGTAAAAGACGTTCAGCAGGCGGGGGACCAAAAGGTCTTTGAAATGCGTAACCAGGTCAAGGAAAAGCTTCTCTGAGCAAGCACGTATCGAGAATTCCCAGGCCTCCCCGATTTCCTCTTCTTTCCGCTCCCATTCCTCAGGCTCTTCCTCCCATTTCTGGAAGTCGCCCTTTTTGAGGCGGAAGAATTGCGTGACAAGCAGCTCCATCACATGGACAACAAAGTCATGCGTGAACAATTGTGACTTGACGAGTTCAACAGCTTGCTTCTTTTCTTCTTTGTCCTGAGGGGTTTGGTATTTGAATGTTTGGGCTGGATAGAACGCTATCCTGACGCAGGCCCTTATGAGGAGAAGGGCTCTGAGCCCTGCCTTTTCCATAAAGGTCTCGCCTTCCGAATCTGAGTCGGCGCCAAGCTCGCTACAGGTTTCACCGAGTTTGACCATTAACGTCCAATATGATTGAACTAATGGTATGGAATCCGGAAGTAGCGCGAAGGAGGCTGCACGGTCTCTAGCCATCTCTACATGCAGCTTCGACAGCTGCAACAGGTGCTTGCCAACAAACGTTTGCACCTCCTGAGGGATTGGTGTAGAGCCACTTATAAGCATGAATAACCGACTAAACTGGGTGTGGGTCAAAAGCCAAAACTCGCGAACGTCGTTGGTCCTGTTGGGGTGCTCAAAACCAGCAATAACTAGGCGTCGGAGAACCTTGAGGGAAATAAGGCTTTGCTCAATTGTTGCTGGCAGCTCCGCGGCACCGTAATTGCCCTGTTCTACTAGAGCGGCCCATGTGTTCATTTTGTTCACGTATATGCTTCCGAGGACATGAAGTATCTCCGGGGATATAGACTGGAGACTCTCGCGAGTCCGAAGCATTCGCGCTTTCGATAGCTCCTTGATAATCTGCAGAAGGATGTTAAGGGTTCGCGGTAATTGCAGGGGGTTCGCGCCGGGCTGTGTAGATGAGCGAAGAAGGGCGATGACTGAGGAGATTGCATCCGGCCTTTGCCAATGTGTTAGCATCAAGCCACTGAGTACGACAAATTGTGGCTACTCACCATTCGACGGGATATTCGTAGCGCATGATTTTCGCAAGCGCCAAAGCATTTTGGGTAGCCAGTTGAGGGGCCGGCTCAACAACACCAGCCTGTAGAGCCCTCGTTTTGATATAGTCCTTCTCCGGTTTCTTGATTGCACTTTTGAAGTCGTCAGCCAACTTTTTCGACCGATTAGCACGAACAAGCCATTGCGTACGTACTTTGGGGCTGTCTTCCGCCAGAATCTATCAATTCCGTTCTTTATTTGGATAATCGCGAGGGTCCGAACGTTAAGGGGAACCGAATGGTCTAAAAAGACATCCTTCAAGGTAGTTAGTCTTCCAAGCCTCAGCTGAACAATGGCAAAGACACGCCTAGAATAAAGTCCGATCGAGTCCGTACCTGAACAAATGTATAGTACTTTTCCTGCTTCTCCCAGTTCTGAAGCTGCTGGGTTGCAGTTTGAATTTGCTGCGGCACGGAGCTAGCAGCCTGGATCAGGGTATGGAGGACATTTTGCGGCGTGAGGGGGTTGGACTCTCCGACCAACTCAATGACCTGAGCCATAGCGGAGAGATTCCGGAGGCCGACAGGAGTCACGGCTGGATGCTAACAGTGAGAGATTGATCTCGGGAGATGGAGCTAGAGCTTGACGTAAACAAAAGGAATGATGTCCGCAGCTCAGTGAGCCATAGAAACGCGGAAAAGGAGAAATACAGACCGCCCTGTTTAGTAGCTAAGCTCTTGTTCTTCATTGCTCCTATGCAACTTCTGTATGTCCGGCTCCCCACCTCTGCGGGATAGTGCGGGACATTGTTGTTCCAGATCCGGACTGCCCTAGGTTTTGACCCTCAGCGCTATACCTATTACGCACCATTGGTTAGGGCTGGTTGACTCTTTGAAGTATATCTGTAAAAAGAAACAGCTATAATACAAAGTGACATGGTCTACCTACTATGGGATGTTAATAGTGTAAGCATAGAGCTTACCTTGGTATAAAGAGTATACCAGACTCCAGAGACTTTAGCGTCATTAGAGCAAGGTGGCCGAGTAGTCTAAGGCACGTTGTAGTAATGTGACAATAAAGCATTTCTTTAGTTTTTCACATGGATCTCAATAAAGTAAGCGGCATCAGGCAGAGCCCTCCTGTTTACTCTGGTGGTAAAGCTCTTGCCAGCTTGGACCAGTCGAGAGAGTCGAGGTCCTGCAGGGGAGGGCTTGAAATGCCGATTCAGTGACGGCACAGTTATTCACATTGATTATAGACACTACTAGTATACTTCAAGGACTAAATAGGAGGGAAAAGCTCAATAATAGGGAAGGGCCCGCAAGTCAGCCTGGCCAGGTAGCTATCACGGACTGTCGGTGAGGGCTTAGGGGTCCTGAAACATATCATTAAGGATCAGTTGAAACACAGTATTACGCGGTACGTAAGCCCAAGTAAAAGATGTACCACGTCTACCCGGCGTTTCTCGGAGTCATAGTTCCAGCCCTCATCAGACGGCAAATCATTCAGCTTGATCAACCCCTACACAAGACAGTTGTTGAAGGTACAAGGACAGATCCTACGTGGCCTGTAACAGGATAATGAGGAAGGTTCTAAACAGTATCTCAGGCAAGCGAAGAAGGCATGAACAAAACTTTGGCCGCAGCAAAAGCAGCCTTACCAGCATGGAGGAACCCCTCGAGCCAGAGACATCTCACGCTCCCCAGCCCTAACGTTGCCAGGGATATGCCATATGGCGGGTAGAAAATGAGCGATATTGGGATACATGTATAGTGTGGACAATACTTGGAGGAGAAAACCATTTTGATAAAGATGGTCCCGGGATGGGCACACTGATATCAATATGTAGAATGGTGGATCACGAAATCTCCCCTATAAAGATTGAGTTGAATATTTCTTTGTCATTTACCTATGTATCGAGCAGCCAGATAACGCCGGGCAAAATGGGCATGGCAGTGGAGATCACGCATAGGAGTGCGAAGGACCTCGGAGCTAACACAACACGAGCATTATAAGAAACTGCGTTCGAAAGAGGGGCTTCACTGATAGGAGGTCTACTTGCCATGACACCCACATTGTAGCCGCTCTTAGTATCGTAAGGGAAGGGGCTTGTATAGTTATAGCTTGGTTCAGTTCCAGCATAAGTCCTCTTGACGATATCAAGGACTCCATGACCAGCAGAACATTTAGCGTCGGTGACGGGATTCGGCCAAATTGGCGAGAATTTAGACAACTGCCCATTTGAAAGAGGCCCCGGGTATGTCTGGTTGAGCGTAAGATGGGTTGTGTTCACATTTGAGTTGACATAGCCAGTTTTATTGGCAACAATCTCAAGGATATTGGCTCCACAATCCCAGCGACCGAGGGACGGGAGACCCCAATTTGCAGAAACACTGGCGATGACAGAGTAATGGGTATAGAATGTATCATCTTGGGTACCCCGTAGGTGATCTGAAACAGCCCCTCCTAAAAGGATGCTGAATATTCTATTGGTCTTCCTGTAAGTTTTGTCCTCGTCGAAAGTAATGAGGACTAGTGTGTCATTCATAAAGTAGTCGTTTGTGAGCAACGGGGAAATCCAACCGCGCAGCCACTTAGCAGCGAACGTGATATTGGTGTCGTGAGCATCGTTTGTCATGTTCGGAGTGAAAAAAGCCCACTGTGGAAGCTTCCTGTTCGTCAGGTCATTCTCGAAGTGTGTAAAGTTTTTGATCTGGCGCAAGCGCATGCTGTTTTTGGTAATTGAGTCATACAGGATGAGTGGGTTGTGCTTCCGAACGTAGTCATCGGCGTACGTCTCTTGGTTCGAATAGTTGAACCCTTGGAAGCCCGGGTAAGGCAAGTGTTCCTGGTACTCGCCCCAGGAGATATACTTAGTATCCAGCAGATCGACTATAGTTGATACATTGGCTGGAACCCGTTGGAAGCCATCGTTGTCCATGCCAAAAGTGTCGCCTCCAGCCGCAGCACAATAGTTCGGTTCAGACGGGTGGGTGACAGCAAATAAATTTGTCCTGCGCAGGTCAGATACCAAAATATTGTTAACCAATTAGCGCACAACTCACAAAGCGATCCCTTGTGACGCTAGCCATTGTAAGTTGCTATCTGCTGCTGCATCCTCGAAGTCCTGTTGGGAGTACTCTTAGTTGGAGAGCAAACTGTCGCTAACAGGAAGAGACGTACAATATTCTCAAACCAGACCTGGAAAAAGCGATTGAAAGCGAGACCCTCGACGTACGATACAGGGGAGTAAGGCTCAGTCGTAGCAGCACTGTTAGCTATATCCGAGAGTGATATTTGAGCATCGGGTGTTGTCTGAGCGGCGGCGAAGGCGATAATCCCAAGCCAAATGGTAATAGAAGACTTCATTCTGACTTTTTGACTCTGCACCGTGAAGAGGCACCAAGAGATGTTCGCGGGTCTGATTGCGAAATCAGCCAGGGCGTCGGTCGCTTAAGACAAGCTGCAAGGGGTACCCTGGGAGTCGACTCGATCTATCTAGCACGCACCAGTCTCGAAGTACCCAGTAGACCAAAGACTGCATTCCTTGTATCTGCTGTTTTCGATCAAGCCGTAACCCCTCCTGGCTAATTATTCGAGTCGTAGATGAGGGGGCCATTGCGACTAGAAGGGTCGATGATCAGCGTGCCACACGGATGATTTGCGGGCTGAGAGAGGACCAGAAACCAAGCCGCCAGCTTGGGCAAAGCTTGTCCAATTCTCAAAGTGACTGCTGCACGTGCCCACATAACTGGACCAGTGTTTCTAACAACCCTGGGGGTTGCGGGGGGTCTGGAATCCCAATCTGGTTTTGGCGGTTCGGAGAAATTGTCCTCCTTCGGCGACGGAGTATATCCAAGTACTACTTAGTAGCCTTGGAGAATGGTAGGCAAACCGTAAGTAATCATGATTGATATGATGATGAGTAATATGCAAGTGAAAGATACAGGGAAACGTTTGTTCCTTGCGTCTTTTCTTGGTCTCCGGACAGTTGGAATCATGTCAAGCAACGAAGGCAAATAAGCTATTGTCAGAGAGCATTTCTTCAGAGTAAGCAGGAGCAGTGCGGACTGATTAATAATACTTTGTCGGCTTAACCGGAAAAGCTTCCAAGCTCATATTGATACGCTCTTGAAGCGCTGAAAATATCCTTGCTGTTCTTGATTTCGTTAAATGGTGGCATAAAAATGCTTGTGCATATTCTTACAAAGCAGCACAAGTCACGTTGAGATGGTGAACCTCGGCTGTTTGCGGTCCAATCTGGGGAACCGGCCGGCGCTCCAGCGGCTGGCCCATAACACGGTCTAACATCGTCTTCAAGTTGCCAGCACTTTCATACCATCGCATGATGATCCGACGATGAGCTCGACGAACTTTGCTGCTGCCCAAGAGCGCGTTTTAGAGCGCCGTCGACGGCGCGAGGCCGAAGCCCAACAACGGCTTGCACAGCAACAACGGACCTCTGTTATCAACCATCCGGCCCTGAAACGACTTCCCTATCCTTTGAGTACTCTACCCCAATCAGGCCTCTGGTTATGGAATGCAATAAGCGGCCGTGAAGGCATAAGGCCTGCCTTTCGCGTTGGCCAGGTTGATGCGGAATTGTTGGATGAGGAGTTGCTGGGTCTGCTGAAGGGGCAGGTTGGGGATGCCTTGAAGTATTTCGGGGTACGTGCTGTCCTGTTGATCCACCCACAGGCAATCGAATGCTAATCTTCTGAGTGCTTTAGCCTCATTTGCGCGAAGACTGGTCACATGAAGTTCAGCTCCTTCTCCGTGCAATTCTTTTCAAGCTCTCAATATGGGACCATGATGCTTCCTACGGCGCGGCGCTCCAAAGCCTGAAATACATCGACAGTCGCAGTAAAGGACCGGTACATTCTACACCAACGAAAGTACAAAAATCGCTATATGGCCTTTTAACTGTGGGTGGTCGCTACGCCTGGGACAAATGGGAAGACTGGCTCGTTGCTCAGGAAGGTGGATATGAGGAGGTGAGTGGCAATCTAAGCCGGTTATCCCAGCCCTATGTACTGACTTATGTAGCCATCCCAAGAAGTCCGATCACTTTCTCGACTGAGAAACTTCCTCTCTACGACACACTCCATTGCAGCCTTTATCTCCTTTCTCGTCTTCCTTGTAAACGGCCGTTATCGAACATTGGTCGACCGTCTCCTCCGCATGCGCCTCACCCCACCCTCTGCGCAAGCAAGCCGTGAAGTGTCCTTCGAATACCTAAACCGCCAACTGGTCTGGCACGCATTCACAGAATTTCTCCTCTTCCTCCTCCCTCTGGTCGGGATCAGTCGCTGGCGCCGATGGGTATCACGGGCATGGCGTAAAACAGCATCCGCGCTCAGGTCTAGCACCAGCACAGAAGACGACTACCAGACGGTAAAGCAGGGAGAACTCGCGTTCTTACCGGAGCGCACATGTGCAATCTGCTACAAAGATACCAATGAGAACGGGGCAACAGAAGGCGAGGTCATGGCTTCGTCAGGTGGAATCATTGGATCTGCGCAGACGGATATCACGAACCCGTACGAGACGATACCATGCGGCTGTGTATATTGCTTCGTTTGTATAGTTCAGAAACTTGAGGGTGAAGAAGGTGAAGGCTGGGTCTGCCTGCGCTGCGGCGAGATTGTGAAAAAATGCAAGCCTTGGAATGGAGATGTACTCGAGGAGACTCCGCGACAGTCCACATCGGGTAAAATCGTTGGGTTTGCAATGGATGACGCTATCAGTGTCAGCTCAGAACCGACATACGAGAATACCGTGGACGAGAGATGATTGGCAATCAAAGCGAAAGCTGTATGGGATCAAGCTGTAGAGCAGAGCACTTCTTATAATGACTGGCTTCGTTTGCCGGATGACGATGTATATATTCTACTAGAACTATTACCTACCCAGGTTCCCATCTCGACTCGGTCGAGTGATCGACCGAGGCTGTTGCTCCTTCCTTTTCTGCAACGATAACAAAGCTCCTCAGACAGTCACACTTTTCTTGAAATTTTGATGGAGGAACTCTGTGCAGGGACGTGCGAGAACTGGAAAGCGCGTTTCTCTGCCCGAGGACCTTCTAGGAAGGTGCGAGTAGGGAAGGTGCAATGGTCGCGGCGTTGGTCGCGCCTTCCACACCTTGCAAGTATACCAACAAGCTTTGAATCATGAAAAGGAAAGCGCGGACATGGATGGTGGTCTACCGCCCAACCAGTCAAACAGAGAGGTAATTTGATTACTCCATGGCGCAGTTTCCCCGCAACGGACTCCTCGCCGACTACCGGTGGGAGCTCGCCGCATCTCCGATCAGTGGAGGGGCTGGAGGGGCTCGTCCAATGTGGATCGCACACATTTGCTGAGCTTCGTACCTCAAGCTGCGCAAAAGCTTTCCCTATATAAACAAGGCCGATACCTCCGAGATCAATTGATGCTCGGAAGCTTCTGATCATACTGTACCCCGCCACTATGGATGCCTCTCTTCCCACGAATCTTCCTCCGCAGGAGGAGGCAAAGTACATTGAGTTTCCTTCTCTTCCGGCAGATGCAAAGCACGCCGATGGTACTCCTGCGCTGAATCGGTATTCTACGCATATTACCCGGGGCCATGACTTCCCTGGGGCAAAGGTTCGTCGTTATCCTGACTGTCTTGTGCTATGTTCCTATCGTTCTTGCAGCTAATTGGTATGCTTCAATAGGCCATGCTCTACGCCGCCGGCGTTCCTGACAAGGAAGCTATGGCAAAGAGTCCGCATGTCGGTATCGCCTCTGTATGGTGGGAAGGAAACCCTTGCAATATGCATCTCATGGATCTCGCCAAAACTGCGAAGAAGGCGATTTCAGACCAGGGCATGATTGGGTGGCAGTATAACACCATTGGGGTTTCAGACGCTATTTCCATGGGTAGCGAAGGTATGCCCTCTCCAACTTGGATCTATACGGCTATATCAGGCAGAGATCAGAATCTCACTCATGCACAGGTATGCGATTTTCACTCCAATCGCGTGAGATTATCGCCGATAGCGTCGAGACCGTGACTTGCGCACAATATCATGACGCCTGTATTGCTATTCCGGGCTGTGATAAGAACATGCCGGGTGTGGTTATGGGCATGGCCAGACATAACCGCCCTTCCCTCATGATCTACGGCGGAACGATACAGAAGGGTTATTCTGACCTGCTCCGAAAGCATGTCAGCGTCTCAACTTGCTTCGAAGCCGCTGGGGCGTACGCATATGATACCTTGCGCCAGCCAAACGACGGAGGAGACACTAGCAAGACCAAGGATGAAATCATGGACGATCTTGAGAAGCACGCCTGCCCGAGTGCAGGTGCATGTGGTGGCATGTTCACCGCGAATACCATGGCGACTGCTATCGAGTCTATGGGTCTATCCCTGCCTGGATCATCATCAACACCTGCTTCGTCGCCGTCAAAGATGCGGGAGTGTGTCAAGGCAGCTGAGGCAATCAAAACCTGTCTGGAGAAGAATATCCGCCCTCGAGACCTACTCACCAAGGAGTCGTTCGAGAACGCTCTTGTCATGACCATGGCGCTTGGAGGAAGCACCAACGGTGTGCTCCACTTCCTTGCAATGGCACGGACGGCAGGAGTAGATCTGACTTTGGATGATATCCAAAGAGTCAGCAATAAAATCCCCTTTATTGCCGACCTTTCCCCGAGTGGTCGCTACTATATGGCGGATCTGTACGAGATTGGGGGTATTCCATCCGTTCAAAAGCTGTTGATTGCAGCCGGTCTTCTCAATGGTGATATTCCTACTATTACTGGTCAAACGCTCGCCGAGAATGTGGCATCGCACCCTTCATTGCCGGATGACCAGGTTATCATCCGACCGTTGGATAACCCAATCAAGTCGACGGGTCATCTCCAGATCCTCAGAGGAAACCTTGCTCCAGGTGGCGCAGTGGCCAAGATTACTGGTAAGGAAGGAACAAGTTTCACTGGCAAGGCACGTGTCTTCGATAAGGAGTACCAACTCAACGATGCCTTGACCCAGGGCCTGATCCCTCGCGGAGAGAACTTGGTCCTTATTGTCCGCTACGAAGGACCCAAAGGAGGACCAGGAATGCCTGAACAACTGAAAGCCAGTGCGGCTTTGATGGGTGCCAAACTCACCAATGTGGCATTGATCACTGACGGCCGGTATTCTGGCGCCAGTCATGGATTCATCGTGGGCCATGTTGTGCCTGAAGCGGCAGTGGGAGGTCCTATTGCAGTCGTCCGTGACGGAGACATGGTCACAATCAGTGCGGAAACAAACGAGCTAAGCATGAATGTCTCGGACGAGGAGATTCAACGGCGGTTGAAGGAGTGGAAGCCTCCAGCCCCCAATGTAACACGTGGTGTGCTGGCGAAGTACGCACGACTAGTAGGGGACGCATCTCACGGGGCGATGACAGATTTGTTTTGAAGAGATTTGATTGGCATAAGAAGCATTTCGGGCAGATTTACAAAATATCAGTATTGTTCAAGTAGCAATCATGTGCTTCTTTTGCCAGCAGTCATTGGCAGGTTATATTTTACCGGGAAAGCTGGAGAAGTTTCATGTCAACGGGGCATCACTCTCTAGCAATCAGAGAGTGATCCAAGGTGAGATTGTTTGATCGAATACTGGGTCCTGTTGGGTTCCACGACTGTTAAGCTCTTGCCTGGCAAAAGAACGGTGAAACTCCAACAATAATCAGGCCAAAAAAGCTCGGCAGCTATACTTGATAGCTTATCTTCACGTGGAAATTGATCGAGAGCGATGACGTTATTTATTACGATTTTGTGTTTTGATTGTGTTTTGCGCCGCCGAAGTACAACAGCTGTCAGGCTTGAAAAGGGAGCTCAAATAGGAATTGGCCTTTTGAGTACCCTGGACAACTGGCAGTATACAGCATAGGTAACCTGGGGAACTCAGAAAATAGTCCAAGGCAGCTGAGCAAGCCATCAATCGACTTTTTGACCTTGGCCTGACACTGAAGAGCCGATCCATGGTGGCGGCGTAACAGCGGAAGGCTGAGTCATCGGCCACGGGCAGCAGTGGTGAGCGATGACTGGGCTGCCCAACTGCGAAATCAATTTTAATGACTATTTTTACGTCGCTGCTTCCTTCCTGCCTATGGATTTGAATGAGCGCAGTTCCACGATGCTGCTTTCCCGAATGTGACAGGCTCGGATCATCATCACCGCCATCGTCAGCAAGGAGTCTCTTCAAGTACAACGCCCAATTCTCGTCAAACGACTGTTACGCAGGATCGGCTCATTGTCCGGACAGGTCATACAAGTCACTCGTTATACTCAAAATCTACCATCTCATATCGCTCACTTTCTCTCTCAATCTTGCATAGTATGTACTGCGTGGCTTCCTATTCGCACCTTATGCATGTTTGCTAACTAGCGCGAAGCAAGCAGCACCTTCTACAACAATATCCTTACTCAATTGGCTCTCAACATTGGGAGCCTCTCACGAGGCTCATCCCAGCTACTACCCCTTTCTTAGCTTCAGTGTGAAAGGTGGGCCTTGAAGGATCTCTCCGCAGCCATCTAGATCCAGCCGGACGGTCAACGTGTGGCGCCTCAGTCGTTCATTGGTTCGATTCGGTATAAAAGTAGGGAGGAGCTTGGCTTGGGATCTTCCTCTCTCCCTCGCATTTCAATTGTGCTGGGCGACCCGCCTTGTCGCCTCACTATTCAGCCATCTGCAAGCTTTCCTCCAAACAGCTCTCGCCATTCCGACTCGTGGAGCGTTCGATTCGCATTCCAGAATAGATCAACAACACCCCTGCTTCGTTCCGCTAGGTGGCCCCTTTGAGTTTAGAAGCGGGGAACTTTGCTATCTGGGCTAGATCACCAACTTTATATAAACGTCCAGCGCCGGGGCGAACTTAATCATGAATCCTACTAATGCTATTACGCCGAACACTCGCCGTTTGAGGCATCCCAATCCCAACGCCTTACGGGGCCTCCCGCAGCATATCTTCGCCGCTCTATCGGAGCTACTTCCTTTTATCACATCTGTCTTTTCTTTGCACACGCTTGATCCCGACCCGAGTGTGAGAAAGGGCGAAGTCATCTTCTTAGCCGGCTGCTTTATCGCAATGGTGGGCTGCGGGTTACTGTCCTCGTTCCTACAGCACAGACACAATGGGCGAGCGACCAACAAGAAGCGATCTCGCCGCTCTCTTCACAGAGACTCTCGCAAAAATTCGGAAGGTACCGTGACCTCCTCCGAGGACGACGGTTATGAAAGCTCTGGATCGTGGCATCGTGCTTCGGAACCTCCTCGGCCTAGTCAACAGGCTCCCGACCAAGTTGATGGATCCATGGATGGTGAGTTTGTACCCTTGTATCCGCTACACGATGCTGACGGAATACTCAGCGGATGATACCGACCCGGGTCTTCTGAAAAAACACTCTACGTACCTCTCCTACTCGACCTCTGTCGCGAAGTACCCGTCGATACGGACGTTCTATCGCCCACATCCTCAGATGGACAAATTTCCAACCGAGCCATCGCCTATTCCTTTGCTAGTCTTTGTACACGGTCTAGGTGGGTCGCTAGCTCAGTTTAACCACCTTCTCACGAGCCTTTCCAACGTTGGCCCATGTTTTGGCATCGATTTCCCAGGCTGTGGACTGTCTTCTTTCGCACCTACATCGTGGGACGCCTACACAATCGAGGCGCTAGCAGAGTTACTTGCAACGGCGATCGATCAACATCGCGACAAAGAAGCAGGCCAGGGAGTTGTCTTGGTTGGGCATAGTCTAGGCTGTTCCATCTCAGCTCTACTAGCATCGTCGACGTCGCCGCTCAAACACGCTTTGAAGGAGCATATCCTTAGTCTTGTCGCCGTCTGTCCTTCCGGTACACCTCCTTCCTCCAGCGAAACCTCGACGAATCGCCGTTTACTAAACATTCCCTCTTTTGTATTCGAACTCTGGCGACGTTGGGACAGACGTGGCGGTATTGATAGCAACAGTGTCACACGGTTTGTGGGTGGGGAGGCTGATGCCGACACTCGTGGTCTTCAGGTCCGATATAACAAGCAAAGCCAAACTCCGGTCTTCAGACGGATGGCCTGGGGAGCTCTTCCTCAGTACAGCGGGCCCAACGACAAACCAATTGGCGGGCTTCCAGGAGAGGGCGTTTGGGCGGGCGTGCGAACACCTGTCTTACTTGTGGCCGGTCAATCAGACACTGTGACCAAGCCAATAGAGGTACAGAAAATCCTGAAGTACCTTGGCGATGCCAGCGTGAGTGCTGCTGAAGGCACGAACGGTAGTGCCGCAATTCCTGATGCTTCCGGATTTGAAGAACAAGGTCCGAAATCCTCCGATTCGCGGGCAGACGAGGAAAAGTTCGGTGTCCAGCCACAGGAAGGCGAGAAGAAGATCACAAATGGAACTACCGGCTCGGGCAAACCCAGACGCGCAGTGAAGACTGTGATACTCCCAGCGCCGGCGTCTCATGGACTTCTGTATGATCGTGCGACGTACCGAACGCTGGCCGGCATTATCCAAGATTTCGTTGCTCAACATGCCGATCACCGCTTGAATCTTGGATGGCAACTACAATACCTAAACACTTCTGGCAAATGGGACGTGAAGAATCTGGCGAAGTGGAAGAAGGTACCACCCGTTTCTGAGCGGATCGCGAACACATTTGTGGCTCTCAAAATGTTGCGAGAAGTCGATGAGGAACACAACCCGACATTGTTCTCTCAAGCACACCGCGATGACATATACGCGGTAATTGACATCAGCCACGAGAGCCCAGTGTATAACCCGGCTTCGTTGGAGGCGGGTGGGATTCATTATCACAAGTATCCCACAGTGTCCAAGATCCCTCCCACACCGGACGAGGTTCGAGACTTTGTTGCGCTTGTGGATCGGCTGCAGAAGGAGATTACCGAGAAGATGGAAAGCAGCGGTGAGCCAAAGGGTCCACGCCCCGTGATTGGGGTGCATTGCCACTATGGATTCAACCGCACAGGCTTTCTGATTGTTAGCTATCTCATTGAGCGATGCGGGTTCGGCGTCCAGGAAGCTATCGATGAGTTTGAGAAGCGACGTCCGCCTGGCATTCGACATGGGCACTTCATTGATACCTTATTCGTGCGATACTGCGTTGGATTGAGGAGAGCACCCACACTTTGACTGGCTTTTTCATGGGCATGGCGTCGGGGCACAACTATACCTAATTGACGATTGATGATAATGCTATAGACTGTACAGTAATTGGGACGGGATTTCGGTAGCTAGGCGGATAGACTACGGGTTTAATGAGCACATGACTACTCTTGCGAAGATGTCTCGTCGCGTAGACTATTCAATCTGGTGTCAGGGTTATCTATCTCTCGTATCTAGAATAATGCACTGTCTTTGTTATGTTAATCTATGTCCTGCTTAGTCATTTCAGCATAACTCGTCCGGCATTTTCTGCCTCAGGCTGCAACGGACTTAGGGTACAGCTAATCCCGAACAGGATAAGCGAAGCGCCCACAACCAACCGAGAGGCCAGCGCCAGCTCCCGTTGTGTGCGAAGTGAATTTTCGAGGTTTGACCTGACCGACTCCCCAACGACGACGACAACCGACGACCCATCCCTCTCACCTCGCCCTTCAACTCCCCGTACACCTTCACCTCGAGGTCAAAAGTCGCCAAAATGGGTGGTGTCACCGTTCGCGATGTGGACGTAAGTTCCAGTCACTTCATCTGTCCTTTTTGCATCTTCACCTTGGCAACGGAAGCAATCAAGAGGGGGAAGGCAGCACGGCACAGCACAGCACAGTCGAACCGCGCAGTCGAATATTGAGCCGTGAACGAAATTCTGGATGGAATCGATATGCGTGGAGGATGGAATATGACGATTCGGGGTGTGATATCTGGTGGTTTTTTTGGGTCGGAGTGTCTCGCAATATGGAGTACGGTTCATCTGCAACTGCGACTAAAATTGCGACGACGACAAAGACGACGATGGTTTCGACTACGGAATCCATGTAATCGACACATGGATTGATTTTGCTGAGAGCCGCCGTTGCCATGGGACAGATTGAAAAATTGGATTAATGAGAAGGGCATGAATGAATATGTGCTAACAAGCATCTTCACTACAGGCGCAGAAGTTCATCACTGCCTACGCTGCTTTCCTGAAGCGTCAGGGCAAGCTCCCTATCCCCGGTTGGGTTGACACTGTCAAGACCTCCGCCTCCAACGAACTCCCTCCCCAGGATGCCGACTGGTACGATACACCACAGCCCAGCTGAAGATTTCATCCGGGAAGAAACCCCCCGCCTGACTCTCAATCTTAGGTACTACGTGCGCGCTGCTGCCGTTGCCCGTCACATCTACCTCCGCAAGACCGTCGGTGTTGGCCGTCTCCGCAAGGTTCACGGCTCTACCAAGAACCGTGGCTCCCGCCCCGCCCACCACGTCGACGCCTCCGGTGCCGTCGAGCGCAAGGTCCTCCAGTCCCTTGAGAAGATCGGTGTCCTCGAGCAGGATGAGGACAAGGGCGGCCGCCGCATCACCCAGTCCGGTCAGCGTGATCTTGACCGTATCGCCAAGACCACAGTTGACGAGGAGGATGAGGAGTAAATTAGTGTCGGATTCTAAACTAATGAAAAAGTCCTGACGTTTCACGTTTTTCCTCTACTTCCTACTTCTTCCTCTCCCGTTTCATCTATATCCACGAATTCACTTCGAAGCCGAGGGAGAACAGGGTTGGGAAACAAAAAAGCGAGGGCTGGTTTCTGCGACACAAGGACGGGGAGAGCGAGCGGAGAGGGTGCATCTCATGCATATTACGGATTTGAGCGGAATGAGAACTGAGTTCTAAATTTCTTATGTTTCATATTCCCATGTTCAATTGAAGGGCCAATCGAACCGCCTGCCTGTGGTGTTCTTGGATGTCTCCTGCGTACTCCGTACGTCTTGCCTTGGGCCTAGAATGAATAGACATGCGTAACGATACACCTGCTGCAGTTCTTTGTAGAGTAACGCTATGACTCCCGGATATCCGTCTAATAAAAGTCCTGATCAGAACTATATCCGCCCTATTTCTTCCCACCCTGCGCCGTCGGATCCTGCACATATCATATTAGCTTCTCACCCTCCCCCCCCTCTCTCTCTCCCTGTCCACGGGTGTGAGAACAAGAACAGATGAAAGAACTCACCAAATAAACCTGATAAAACTTCATCCTCAACTCCTCCCCCTCCTTGACCCCATCAAAAACCACCCTCCCCGCCCACGGAACCTCCACCTCCCCTCCATCCCCCTGCCTAAGCACATACCTCACAATCCCATGCAGCATAACCTCATCGTCGCCGCCAAAAAACACCTTGACGGGCTTGTGCTTGCGCGACGCAACGTGCGTCCACAGCCCGAGGCGCAGCTGCCGGATCTCCTCGGTGCCGACGGCCGTCTTGGGGCCCATGTGCAGTGTTGCATCGCGGGTGAAGTAGTCGACGTAGGCGTCGTGTTGTGACTCGGTGTCGCTGGTTTGGTAGAAGGAGGAGAGGAAGGTGAGGATGCGTGGGGCGGTTGGCGGGGAGAGGGTGGGGTTGGTTGCTATTTCGTATGTCATTTTTGTGGTGGGAGTTGTTGTTATTAAGTGGGAATTCGGTAGGGGAGGCTCGAGAAGTGTAGGAGGCTGCTTTTGCTCAGTGGCATTGAACGAGATATATAAAATGAGATGGTGGTCGCGATCACTGATGTCAGTACGGAGCATATGAAACTATGCTGTCGGGCCGATGAGAGGGGGTTCTATCCGATCTTTGTCGGATGGGGCGGATGGGGGCCATTCTTCAGCCTCTGGAATATTGAAGGCCTGAGAACGTGCTTCAAGAAGATCTGGGGTCTAATTAAGATATAGTGATCTGGGGTTTACCTTGTTTAGTGGTTTGATCTAGACCTTGGTTGTAAAGTTTCAGATCTCATACTTACCGTGGACATGTATTTGCGGTTTGCAAAAGAACCCCTTTTGAACGTTCCAATTGATCCCAAGACAATGGCGCTGCAGAGTGTGAAGCTTGGTTTAGCATGTTATCAGTTCGAGTTCAATCCGCATGAGTTGGGCTTGGTGGGATACATAGTTCCAGCGGCAAGCCAGGACCGACCAATATGAGATTGAACCATTGAACCATTGAAAGAGATTTCGCTTAGTCCAATATCAGTATTATGTTTGTAAAGCATAGTTTATGTGCTATCCATTTTCCATTCAAATAGTACTGGCAATAATTGGTGATCTTCGGATGTGCAGTTTATAGGTCGGAAGAAACTACTACTAGTGTCTATGTAGACCTCTCTGCCTTAGGTGTCGAACATGATATACCTAGTTATTGATTAGGGCGCAATAGCCCTAATGAGTGGCACAATGCCTACGACGAAGTTGTACATAGTTGCTAATTCTTCAAGGAATCGAGCGCGATTATAAGAAAAAAATTACGAGTCAAGGACTGTGGAACTGAAAACGCGGTCATATATGTCGGAGTATGGATTAAGCCTCGGGGATTCGAAGATGCGTACAGGACTACAGGTAGAATAGAAGTGTCTCTCAACAAACAGGGCAAAAAACATAGTTTACTAGACCAACACAGTCGCGATGAATATCGAGGGTCTTGTTGAAATGGCTAATATACATCTACAGCGACCAAGCCGAAGATGACCGCCAGAGAAAGGGAATCGTTGCCACGATATGGCTGCCTTCTGTATCCCGTTGTGGAAGCTTCCAATTGTAACATACGAAGCCAGTATAGTGTAATAGACTGTCAGTGCGTCGAGGACAAATAGCTGTAGAACTCTAGTTTTGGCAGTTCCGTGTGAGCGAATGTGGCTATATCAGGTGGAAGCTGGAAAAGTGTTTGCTCGACGAGCCCCGTTACGGAGCATCAACAGTTCAATACACAGAGTCACTCCACTCCCTTACAGATCGATGAGGTATGAGTGGTGCCCTCTCCACGGCCAGTTTTACCCCTCTTGCCTTTTCTTGATCTCCACTGAACAGCAAAGCAGCCTCGGAAGTAAGCCTGGATCAATTGGTCAATCCGAGTTGATGCGCAGGCAAGGATGGGTTGATCTTCAGCTCTAGACTCGCGCTCGGGTAGATCAAAAAGGGACAGTCAGGACTCGGGAATCAACAGTGCTTATGGTGTGGGCAACACCGCGGTTGTCCTGAAGAATCAAGATATGTGTACTCCGTATTGTGTTGATAGTGGACAGATGCCCCGCCCCCACGCAATGCTCTTGGCCGTCCGGCCAGAAGAGACTTGAGAGGGTGTTTGCGTTCCGCATTCTACTCAGTTCTAAAGGGCTTCGGCGGCAGCAGGGATAAAAAGGAACGAGGAACGCAGGAGGCCACCAATGGCAGAGAGAGCGTCGTCGGAGGGGTGGCAGGGGGTGCCGTGACCCGAGTTTACCCCGCCTGGAGACCTGCCAGTCTGACCTGCCAGTCTGTTCTCAGGGTGGGAGATCAGTCAGGGTAGGTACTACTACTGCTATGAGGGGAAACAGCAGAGGTGAGAAAGAGTACCTGACTGTTTCTGCAGGAGAAACTGGACAGCGTACAGTGTACAATCCGGAGTTTGCAGGTATGGTCCGGAATGATCTGACCGGTGTCTGAATGGATATAGAGCAGAGACACAGTTGGCAGAATAAACTCTCACCAGCAAAAGGCGACCACGTCAGATCGCAAACTGATCGAGGGGCTGAGGAAGCTGGATGCGACTTGAAGTCTGAATTGTGGAGGCAAAACCGCGGACAGTGCGCAGATTGTTGAAGATCCAGGGTTGGGTTGATCCCCACGTGCGGGAGTCGCGAAAGGTTGTCGCTCACCACAATTCGTCTCAACTCTCGACAACTTCAACCCACTTCCAAGGCCCGGCGCACGGGCGCCAGGGATTACTCTGATATGCTCGTCATTCTCGCTGCAGAACGGAACCGGGTGGAAAGATGATGTCGTTGTCCCTCTGCCCGAGGCACCCAGCGTAATCAGTACAGTCTCCGAGTGCTCCCGGAAACAAATTTTAGCTGACATGGGGAGTCTTGACCAATCGACTCACCCACGCCCTTCACCCTGAGCGACAGGCACTCGCTGATAAGGCGTCTAAAAATAATCCCGCATTCATACTCCGGTACAAGTAAAATACACACTGGCGACTGAACAGCTGACATGACTGCATACCAGCGCGGAGGACGATAGTGCTGCTGCACCTTGCTTTCTCTCCTCCTTCCTTCCCTCTCTCCCCTCCTCCTCCTTCTCTTTTTCCTTCTTAACGACTATATCTATTACTTCGTTGCACTTTGCTGTTCGTGAAGCCCAGTCATCTCCTGGAAACCCTCCCACCGTCGCGTCCCTTATCTCTCCCACACTAGCGCGTCGCATCGCAAATCCCCTTCGGTATACTCCAGCCAGTATACCCGGGTGCACCTCTGCATCTGCACGTCTCAGCCCGCTGTCCATCTATCACATTTTGTGCTGTAAGTTTATACTTCTTTTCGAAAACCCATTCTAGAACCCCCAAGGCTTGTTTCTTTGTCTTCCCTGTATTTCGCCAAATTAGTCATCCCTTTCTTTGTATGGCTGGTTCATTTGCCCCCAACTCTGACTCATGTGATAATAGTTGAGCCACCATCGCAGTCAGCGAAGAGAACTTGCTTCTTCTCGACATCATGGCGACTCAGACTCCGACTTCTAGCATCGCTATGGCCCTTGCCGGCAAGACGGCCTCCGTTGATATCCCCAAACCGCGTTTCGGTCACCCTTCCGGCGCCCACGCCCAGCGCACCCTCCATCCTAACATGCTCCCTACTCCTCCGAACTCCATATCTCCCACTCTTGCTCCCCACGGTTTTAAGCGGCACGACATTAATCTCCCAGCTTCGCCCCCTCTTGCGACGTCGCAACTTGACTCGGATATCGACCTCGGCGATGCGGTTGACTCTGCGAACACGGGACACCGCAATGCGACTGCCCACAGCCTCGAGGCTGCGGGTGCAATCACACCGGGCATGCTCGCCAAGTATCATCTCCCTGAGATCTTGCTACAACATGGCCCTCTGGCGATTCGCCATGTCATGGGATACTTGACGACCTCGGTACCTGGTTTTTCGGGAATCCCTCCCGCAAAGGCCAGGAGACTAGTGGTCGCTGCGCTGGAAGGCCGAGGAGGCGACGATAAGGGTAGCGACGCCATTTTTGAAAAGGTTGGATGGGGTCGCTGGGATGCGCGTCGTCGTGGCGAGCCGTCGGGAGAATTGCGCCGACACGAACTGTCGCCACCCTCGAGCGTCTCGGACAACTTTGCGCAACGCGGCATGCAGATACCGAGACGAGAAAGCTTCAATCCGTACTACGGCTCTAGCGTTACTGGCGGCTCTGCTGTTTTCTCCTACACCGAGATGGAGTTTGGCGGGCGCGAGGACATGCTCGAGCACGAAGCGGACAAAATGTCCCTTGATGGCGTTGACCGCGACTACTGTTCTTCATCTCCTGCTCCGGAGGATGATATTCAAGACGAGGATTGGGGCGAGGAAGACATCACCGATGAGGAGGACTGGGCACAGATAGGTGCAGATGCGCTACGCGCACGTTCCATGAATGGAGGAGGTGGATTTGTGAACGGGAGACACCCGCCACAACTCCATGGAGGAGGACCAGCCTCCTCGTCCCTCGCGAAATCAGCACCACGCGGGGGTCCCATTCAACAACTCGGCTTCTCGCTCCCCGATATTCAGGAGCGGGCTGCGGTCGAGGCTCTCTTACGACTTGGATCTATGTAATAATACCCTTCGGACAGGCGTTTTCTGGACAGTGGGCCTCTATTCTAGGTCTACCGCATTCACCTTGTTTTCTCATTCCGGCTGGTCCAATTTCGACATACATACGATTATACGACATACATAATTCAAAAACCTGCACCAGGTCGCCGAAGACAATTTCTACTCGACTGGATCGAGGCGCTGGCAGCATTTGCATTGGGCTTAGGAACTCGGTTGGAATTGGGATCACGGCGTTCTTCGGCTTTCTGGTTATGATATGGGACCAAATTATTTCTTTTGTGACGAATGCTGGTCTCGAGCGCAGGAAAGCACGGCCAGCACCATTCCTTTCATATAACACGGGGCATGCAGTAGCCCCAGCATAGATCTATAAATATACTGCACCTCGCCACTCTGTATTTCTTCTATGTGTCTCTGGTTGGACTGATTGCATACCAACCTTGACTGTCCATCTTACTATCTCATCGGGTTATACTCGCACTCCGATGTTGTCCATATGGCTTTTGACAGGCTCAATCACATATTGAAGATCCCAGACTTCAACAAGCTGGGGATATTGAATATAGACTTATTCAATCGATTACTTTTAATACACCTTTCTATACAAGACCGTCCAAAGCAGCCAACCTATAATATAATACACGTAGAGATAGAAACCAATATCTGGCCAAACCCTAACCGTAACCAATAAGTGTATAAGTATACAACCAACCCATAACAATAGCCGTTATATCAACAAACACCGACAGCCCATCTACCCCAAGCCCAATACCAAGTTCAGCCCAAGAGCCAGCCCAACCATACGGAGTAGACAGATCAATCACTTATCATGCGCATCATTAATCCTCTTCCAGACCTCCGCCTCCACCTCCGCAAGCTTATTCCCCGCCGTCTGGAGCCACGACTTTGCACTTCCCCACAGCCCAGCTTCAGATTCGGATTCCTTGTCATTCGCGCCATCGTAGCCGCCAGGACTGGCGTTATAGTGAATCGGCAATGTACTCGGTGTCGAACCCGATGCAGGTGAATACACTGAAGCATAGGGCGTCGTTGTTGAGTTCGGATATTGTGGCTGTTGCGATGCCGTGGCAGAGGGAGAGTAGCTGTAGCTTGACGGGTAGCCGTAACCGCCGCTGGGATTGTAGCTGCTGCTAGGCGCAGGAGCAGGCGCAGAAGGAGGGGGAGGAGGAGCGGCTGTCTGAGGATGTTGAGCTGCATCACCACCAGCAGCTGTCGTTGCAGAAGAAGTAGAAGTAGATATTGGAACGGGAGGATACGCAGGCGCAGCAGTGATAATAGGCGGAACCCCCATTGGGGGCGCCGGAGCTAGATGTCCTTCCTGCGACTCTGGCAAGACTGCAGCAGGCGTAGGTGCAAGAGCAGCCTTGGGCGCTGGTGCTGGCTCGGGGTATGGAGGCGAGTCTGGCTCCTGCTGCTGTTGGGGTGTAGGTTCCGCCAAGCCTGTAGCTGTATCTGGGACAGCGCCTGGTTGCGGCGGCGGTGGTGATGAGGATGATGCTAGTGGAGGTGCGGTTGTTGGCGTTGGGCCTGTAGGAAGGTCTGGTGCTGTAGGAAGCGCGGTCATTTCAGGCGGTTGAGCTGTTGCGTAGATTGGGGAGTATGAGGGAGCTGTTGCCGTGGATGCTGAGTTTGGACTTGTTGTGGTTGACGCCTGGGTCTGAGGGATATCCTGCTCTTCACCAGCAGACTGAGGGGGGTCAGATGATGTAGCCATGGTAAATTCTGTACAAAATACTGTGCTTGTAAAAGAGAAGACTCCCATGGGGATAGAGCTCAAGTATACATGCGCAACGTCATCATGCTAGCACGTGACCGAGCCGCGATACGTGTTCTGTTCTGGCCAAAAATTGCTGCGACCAGGGTTTCGAGTTCAACAAAGCTCGAGATCACTACATTGTACGGAGCAGGCCTACAGAGAAAGTTGGTCAAGTCTAACAAAAGTACAGTTGGCAATAAATGAAAAAGCTTGCAGGCAGTAAAGTACAACTGGTACAAGAGAAAAAGTCACACTTTGTATGCTCAAGACCAGACCACTCTTGAGGCATATCTCTAATAGATCCCCTTCACCATCGTCCAACACCCAGGTTTTATCCCAGATGTTGGCCAACCCCTTCCCCAAAACGCTTCCACCAACTTGATCAATGTCAGGTTGTGCGAGGCATTTAGCCGGAACCACCCTTGAACTTCTTGCCGAAGAGGATGAGCTGGACCTGGTCGTAGATGGACAGGACACCAGCACCGGCAACACCACGGAGGATGTTAGCACCAGCACCCTTGAAGAGGGACTTGACACCCTCACGGGCGACAATCTGGCGGAAAGCATCGAACGAGGAGGCGTACTTGACGGCCTCACCGGAGGTCATCATCATACGACGACGGACGGTGTCAAGAGGGTAAGAAGCAATACCAGCACCAGTGGTGACAGTCCAGCCGAGAAGGAAGGAAGCGAGGAAAGAGCCCTCAAGAGGACCGACCAGGAGAACAGGCTTGATGGAGTCGTACATGCCGAAGTACAGACCACGGTAGACAACAATACCAAGAACGGAGGGACCGAAACCACGGTAGAGACCGGCAATACCGTCGGAGGCGAGGGTCTTCTTGTAGACATCAACGAGACCGTTGAACTGACGGTCACCACCACCCTTGGCGGACTTGGCGTCGTTGGCAAGACGGGTACGGGCGTAGTCGAGGGAGTAGACGAAGAGGAGGGAAGTGGCACCAGCAGCCTGTAGTGTGTTGTTAGTAACGGTCAATGATTGCAGGAATGGACGAAACATACACCACCGGAGGCAAGGTTACCCATCATCCACTTGGCGTAGCCATCACGCTCCTTCTTGTAGGCGAACATGGACTTGTAGGTGTCACGGAAGGCAAAGTTGAGAGCCTGGGTAGGGAAGTAACGGATGACGTTGGCAGTGTTTCCTCTCCAGAGAGAGACAACACCCTCAGCGGCAGCGGTACGACGGAAGCAGTCAACGATACCGTTGTACTTGCGGTCGAGACGACCAGCGCGAAGCATCTCATCCTGGAGGAAGTCGATTGTTAGTTTCGTATATCGAGGGCTGAGGTTTCGTGCCGGTTGGATTCGGAAAATTCTTCGATCGGCGCGATTCCGTGTCGTTCGTGTTCGCAACAGTGTTCGCAACCACGACCATCACGTATTTCGCAAATCGAGGAATAGACGGAGCCAGACTCGGCAGCTAGTAGAAAACAATTCTGGATTAACTAACCTGGTTCTGGATGAGGAGCTTGATACGCTCGATGGGGGCAGCGGCAGTCTTGGAGACGGCAGCGGAAACACCACCCACTACAGAAAATCATTAGTACTTATCGCTCATGAAACGATTGAATCGAGTCTGGCAGTCAATTGGAACGGATTGATGAAATAGCAAAGCGATCCAATGATGCGATCTCTCGGATTGAATGACATACTCAGGAAGTCGACGACGAATCCCTGTGTGAAAATTTTTCATCAGCCATATTTCCAACGACAGCGAGGGCAACCGCGACTGAGAACATCCGAATCCCACCCGCCCTGAGCATCAAGACACTCTCGATGCATTTTCTGATATCTCGAGCGCCATTTTGAGGATGCTTTTTTCCCGGATGTTCTTCTGAGTCGGGCGCAGGGAGGTTCGAAAACACCTGGGTTGTACTAACCGGCATCCCCAAGACACTTTTATCCTGCTGCGATGAAGCCATCTTCGGTGATTAGCAGAGAGGAGATGCTACTGGCAATGGAGAATTGAATGGGAGGGCGCTTTCAGAATGCGCTGGTAAAGGGATGGGGAAGAAAGAAAAGAAGAAGGGGATGGGAGAAGGGATTTCGCTCTAATACTGCACCGGCGGGTGGAGACGCTAGGCACTCTTGGGTTGCCGCTGGGCCGAGATTTTCCGGCTGGCGATTCTTCCCTATGATTGCAGACGACGCTCTAAGTTCTTGGAGATGGGTGGATCAAAAGCTGGTCAAATTACTATTGCGATCCTTCATAACTATCATAAAAAAAACATATCAACGACTCCGGCGTGTGGCTACTGTCCTGAAAAACATATGTTGCCTCGAGAATTCTTCTGTGAAAAAAAGACAGCAAAAAAAAAAAAAAAAACAGTATTGGAACAATCTCCTCCGCGATTTGTTCAGAACCTGAAAAATCTCGAGCAATAAAAAACCCGTCGCCAGACCGTCTCAAGTAAAGGTATTCGCTTTTAACCAGAAATTCAGAAAAAAATAAATTAACGACATTGACCAGCTTGCGCTCTGGGTCCCTGCCCAACAGCTCAAAATGAGTGTGCATTCTGCACAAAGTCAAAGACCTTCGTCGACAGACGCATCACCAGCATCCCCTTCGCCGGTATTCTGATCGTTCTCCTCACCACCCTCATGAGCCTCTAGCTCGGCCTTTTGCGCACCGGTCTGAGCGGCATGAGTTCCCGGAGGTCTTTTACCTGCGTACACCTTGCCCAGAGTCTGACCACTCACTGGGTCTTCGAGACCGTCGTCTCCTTGTCCCTCATTATCGACTTTCTCAACATCCTGATCGGCGTCGTCGTTTTTCTGAACGTCGGCTGTAGCGTTCGCGGCATCTTCCTCAGCTTTGGGGCTCGGTTTCCGGGCAGTTTTGCCGCCTGCTTTGGACTTGCTCACTCGAGCTTTCGGTTTGCCGGCTTCTTTTCAGCGGACTTTGGCTGTCCGGTTGCGGTTCCTGAACGAAGACGTCCGAACTGGCTCCGGATGCTATCCTTCGAGAATTCTAAATGTCGATCAGTAAATGAACACTTTTGGATGCTAATATGCTGTAGCATGAAGAGGAGATGACCCACGAAAGTTGTTTGCTGCCATCTTTTCGACCACTTTGGGCCACACAATCTTCACTTCGCTGCTCCCGATCGATTCAACAATGGGGCCCAGGTCGATCTTTTCGCCGTACAATTTGAGCACCGCCACGACCAACTGTGACAGAAAAGTTAGCATGTTTGCGCGGTTAGATGAAGCGAAGGGTCAAAGTATGCACATACCTCGACGTTGGCCTGCTCTGACCACTTGGTCATCTTGCTCAGAAACGTGCGCGGTTTTGATGTGATTGAGAGGGAATTAGAGCTGTTTTGGTCGGAAAAGTGAGCTGTTGCGGCTATCTTTGATGGGGGTTTGCTCCAGGTTGGAGGGATGGTGTTGGGTGGTGCCTGTTGGAGTTTGGAGGAGATTAAACAAGATTGAAAGGGTGGTTGTCGAAAATGAACTCCCCGGTATCAGATTGAGGAGGTGAGTTGAGGAAGTCAAGTTGGGTTGGTGAGGTTGAGGCCTTTTATACTGGCGAAGTGAGAGGGTTTTGCCGCCCACAGTGAGAGAGATTCAGCCAATATTCGTCAGAACTTGTCGAGACTTCTGTTTACAATCTTCTAACCTACAACAACATTCTACGACCACGTTCCGCAGACCTTTCAGAAGTTGACTGTTTATGAGCTGCTATCTCGGTGTTTTAGCTCTGTGCCCACCACAAGATTTGACCAGAGAGTGGACGACAATGCCCAGTAGAGCTCGCAGAGGGCCAGCCACGGTATGTGTTTCTATTGCAAATCTCAACGCTACTACCCAAGGTATGGTCAACGGCCGTCCAAATCTGTTTGTTTTACTGTCCATATGTGAGCTTGATACTAACGATACTCATAGTTCTATGTAGAAGGTACCGAGCATGGCATCCGTCCCGATGAGGAAGGAGCCACCCTCCCGCCCGGTTGCCTGCTCGCCAGGAGATGGGTTCCTTCGAACACTTTTTGATCATCTTGACCATCCCTCAAGCCTTAACCAGACTGCAACGTCGCTCTTTTTGTTCCGATATTCCCCCACAGTCAGGTTCAGTCACTTCCTGAGAAGATCGTGTTGTGGGGAAGCTTTCTGGCAGGCAGTTCAAGCTTGGGTCAAGTATGCTCGAACTCGGCGAGTATTACGGTCGTTTACAGCATCGTATCTGAGGAGACCGGTATGGTTGAATACCCGATTCTGCACATTTCAAGAAGGCTACTGACCCAAAAGCAGCTACGGACAGAGGATCCCCAGGCGTGTTTTGTTCAGGATTTGAACGAGCGGAGGTGTTTTTCAAGGTAAGATAACCCTGCATTCTAATCACATTTGCTCAGAAGTATGCTAACTACTAGTATCACACCAAGGGCTAAAATGTCGGAAGTTATCTACACAGTCCTTTTCCTTGCGAGGGATTCCAGTTGGTCGGTGTACACCGAAGGGAAACTCGGCAAGACCCTGAAGAATTTGCGTTCGCAATATGTGCGCAAGTATGGAGCCATCCGTGGACGAACGCTGGAACTCGCTTTCGTTAAGCCATCGAATGAAGATACACGGGGATCAAAATTACAGGACAAGATTGAAGAGTTAATGAGTATCGCTCGAGAAACTGGACAGCCGCCGATGATCGTGCACGCCGGTTTTGATGGCATGACTACCCGACTGAGCTCGTTTAGGAAGCTATTCAATAGCTATACTGAGAGCGAGATACTGATCAGAGTTTGGGCGTCACCCCCCAGGTCATTGTCGGATACCCAAGCTCAACTCGCCCGGTTTTATGGCTTATCAGTCGCTCATGTAATTTCTATCATGGATGGTTTCAGAAACAGTTTGGACGGAACTTTGCGCATGGTTCAGAATGCTATGCTGTACCACGACGAGTGTCTCATCATTTCCAGGCTGAAAGATCTGGAGAGTTTGATCAAGCGTGAGCGATACCGGCATACTCACAACCGAAATTTGATCCCAGAAGCTCCCGTGTCCGATGGAAGTCTGCCTGAAAGTGCTCTGATGTTGACCGATGATGGGCTCGAAGTTGACCCTGCATTGAACCATGGAGTATTTGAAATTGACCCTGCGTTGACCAATGGAGTACTCGAAGTTGACCCTGCCTTGAACCATGGAGTATTTGAAACTGACCCTGCGTTGACCGATGATGGGCTCGAAGTTGACCCTGCGTTGACCAATGGAGTACTTGAAAGTGCGCCTGTTTTGCTCAATCCTGAATCATCCAATCTCACATCCGAGCATTTTCGCGCATATCCTAATGCGTCCCCAAGTGCTTTCGACGCCGCGTGTCCTGATAGTAAGGATATCGACAGACTCACCGACCTCGTTTCGCTCGCCCGAACAAATACTGCGCAATTTGTTGCCGAGTTTGACCCGAAGCAATATGAACCTGTGGTTTGTTCGTTCTGTGGTGACTCATTCCGACCCGAGTACATCAAAGATCATGAAGATCGTTGCATCATCAGCAACGAAGGCAACCGCGTTATGAAGTGCAGTTTCTGTCGAAAGCCTATCACGCAGCGCTACCTTGCTGCTCATGAGCACCGATGCTCATCCCGTCAAAGTCAATACTCTGTGCAGTGTGCGTTCTGTGAGGAACTTATTGCGCCACATCACATACAATCGCACGAAGCCCTGTGCATGATACAGACGGAGGGCCATGTCCGGACCGAATGCTTTTGCTGCGGTAATATGCATCCGTGTTACTACATCACAATTCATGAGGCATCCTGTGTGGTATCCAATGAGGCGCAAGCTCCAGTCGAGTGCTCATTCTGTGCGCAGGAATATCGTCAAGACTGTCTGAGCAAACACGAGGCTCTTTGTGTGGTATCCCTCGAGCGCAAGGTGCCCGTCAAGTGCACAATCTGTGCGCAAACCGTCCCACAGAAAGATTTCGAGGTGCATCAATTAGCCTGTGTCCAAGGTCCTGTCTCCTGTACTTTTTGTTCAGAATTGGTTCAACAAGGGGACCTTCGTGCGCATGAAGTCAGTTGTCTAAGAGGTATCGAGGGCCAAACTCCAGCCAAGTGCGCATTCTGTGCGCAGGAATATCGTCAAGACTATCTACGCATACACGAGCCTCGTTGTGTGGTGTCCCTCGAGGGCAAATTGCCCGTCAAGTGCACGATCTGTGCGCAAACCTTCTCACAGACGGATTTCGAGGAGCATCAATTAGCCTGTGTGCAAGGTCCTGTCTCGCGTACTTTCTGTTCAGAATTGGTTCAACAAGAGGACCTTCAAGCACATGAAGTCAGTTGTCTAAGAGGTATCGAGGGCCAAACTCCTAGAATGTGTGCATTCTGTGCGCAAGTCTTCTCACCACAGGATATCGAGGTACACCTCTTGACCTGTGGCCGAGACGCTGTCGAGTGCCCTCTTTGTTTGAAATTGGTCGAACAAAGGAACTTCCGTGAACATGAATATCATTGTCTAAGAGATATTGAGGGTAAAATCTTGACAGAATGCCTTTATTGTGGGAAGGAATGCACGCATAACTACCTCAACGAACACCAATCAAACTGCGTGGTAGCTTTCGAGGCAAAACAGCCCGTGAAGTGTTCATCATGCGATCAGTTTTTCCCACAGAAGAGGATCGACGAACACAAGGCGACGTGTGCTATTGCCAATGAGGATTCAAGTCCTTTCGCTTGCGCAATTTTGCGGGCGAGGTTTTGAACAAGAGAAGGACTACGAGGACCACCTGGCTATCTGCGAGAAGAAGAGAATCTGCCAATTCTGTACAACGCCAATCCGCGACGTCAACCTAAAAATGCACGAGCGCCAATGTTCCGGGAAAGCGGTAAAGGCACTTTCCCAGTGCAGGTATTGTTCAAAATTCGTCTCGTCCATGAAACAACACCTGGGTACCTGCAAGAAACGCACGAATTGCAAGTACTGCTTTTGTACATTCCCTACGAACCGAGAGGTACGCGATCATGAAGCAGAATGTTTGCACAAAAGATTGGATTGTATGTTTTGCGGCAAACATTATGTACACTGGCGCAATCTTGAACGGCACGAGATAAGTTGCGAGTCCAATCCGAATGTTAGAAGGTTGGGAGTGAACGACTTTGCGTTGCCAACGGCAAAAAGGATTCGGTTGTCAGTTCAAGACTCGGCAACTTCTACACCTTCATTGAACGCTTTTGCCACGAGTTCGACTGGACATGCCCCCATTTCGAACGTTTTCAGTTCTACTGAACATGCTCCCATTCCGAATGCCCTCACCACGAGTTCTCCCGGATTATGCTTTCCTTCACTTTCACCACAAGTCCAACCGTTTTTACCCCCACCCTGAACAAATTCGGTGGCTCTTAGCCGAGTCCTGACACCTTCAGCTGTTGTTCGAATGACTGCTAGGGCAGATTCGGCAATCCCACATCTTTATTCGGATATTCCTGCTATGCATAGTTAGGTGCAGTTTCCCGGACACGATGATCAGTGTTCCAATGTCTCGGTTCTATCAGAAGGTTTCTTAATGCATTTCCTGTTCATTAAGTCTCCGGGTGATGACTTCATGTGATCCATACACGAAGATAGTCGATTTTATTCCTTACTATTTATATAGTATCTAGTTTGAGTGAGCAAAAGAGATTTTACCAATTTTTCATTTAAGTTCGTATAAGTATTTTAAATGTCAGGAACTAGTTCTTCTTTGACCTCTTTCTCTTCTTCTTTCGAGGCTCTCCTTCTCGAATATCGACATTGTCTGTAGCATCGTTGTTCTCTGGCGCAGATGCCTTGCCGCTGCCGAATACAAACTCCCCCGGACCCTCTTCATTGCCAAATGTGTCCTTGCGCCATTGCCTCAACCGCGCCTTCTTTCCTAGTCTTTTCTGATCCCGGCGCTTCTTCTCGTCTTCACGGAACGAAGCAAGTTTCTTTAAGCCAGCGAATTGGTTGAGATGTGTATCGTCAGCCATTAAGATGTCCAATGCTGACAGACCAAAGCTCTGTGGAGACGTTTCACGATACCGGAAGCCAGTGGTATTCTTCTTGGTTGCGCCAGGGAGGAGGGCTAGGTCAAGATCGATGTTGCGGTCGACGGCCTCTTCAATACGAAGCTTGTCCTTGCGAGCTTCACGTTTTTGATCTCGTCGCTCCTGGGCCTTGCTTTTCTTGTTCGAGTCCTCCTCATCATTGTCTTCCATCTCGACGTCGGAAAGACCGACAGCGGGACGTTCATCATCCTCAAAATCGGGGACTAGGTCGTTGATATCAATGTCATCATCCCAGGTAGGTTTTTTCGGTCGCTTCTTCTTGCCCCCGACTTCATCTCCGCTACCGGCTGCATCATCTTCATCGTAGTAATTGTCGCCAAATCGCTTTTGCATTTCCTCCTCCCAATCCTTGTCGTCCCAGGCAGCATCCAGGAATCTGGCCCAGTCTTCGTCGGTGAGCTTGGATGCGTTGAGGCCGGCAACTTCCTTGATCTTGTCGACCTTTTCCTGTAGCTCCGCCATTTTCAGTTTCCGCAGACGATTCTTCTCTGATTCACGTTGCTTCTTCTCCTCCTCCTTTTTCAGGCGAGCAGCATCCCTGATTTTCTTTCTGCCACTGACTTCCTCCCTGCGGACGGACTGCTTGTTGGTTGTGTCACGAGAATGGGTGATCAGTGTGGCGTTGATCTTGCTAGGATCCTCGAATCGGAAATTGTATGCTTCCTCCCAAGCTTCTGCCCGCTGGTCTTCCTCTTCGTCATCAGACTCGAATGGTTGGAGTTGGGCTTTTCCAGACTGTGTCCAAGCCCTGGACGACATGAAGTTAGAAAGGAACGTTTCAGGATCCTTGTCTGCATTCTCCACATCAAGCTGTACATCACTCTGGCGCGACGACACAGGCTCAGGAGCCGACTTGCGAACAAGAAATCCTTCGTCCTCGTCTCCCTCCTCATCAGAGGTATCGTCTTCACCGTCGGCAGCGGCGTGCATTTCTTTGACAATGGCGTTTTTCAAGTCTTCTTGTTCCTGCGCGTAGGTCTTAGGGGCGTCCGCGTCCTCATCCGCTAGGTCGGCGCCGTTCAATAGATTTTCCCTGTGGTAGTCTCTGAGCGTCATCGGCTTCTCTTTCTCCTCTCGTTTCTGCGGTCCCGCGCTTTCCTCGAGAGATTGGTAGAAAGTGACGTTCTTGTCGTAAACTCGCGGATCTTTTGATCGAATGGCCTGAATAGTCGCCTGAATCTCAGCGTCTAGAGCTTCAGTGGCCAATTCAGCATCATCGTCCTCATCCTCATCCGAGGAGGATTCCTCTGAGCCGTCGGATTCATCGTCGCCATCGGCGTTACGTCGTTTCCCGAGAGAAGATGTTTTTCCTAGTTTTGACTCGACTGTACACAATATTAGTGAGAGGTTACTTTTGCGGAGATCTCAACTTCTCGGCATTGTTATACGTACGCTGCTGCATCTCCTCTCTTCGCTTGTTGTGTTCGAAGCGGCGGGCATATTCTTCGTTGATTTTGAATGCGACTCCCTCTGACGAATCGCCGAGAGGGACACCGCCAGACTCATCGCCAGAATCGCTGGACGAGTCGTCCTCGAGTAACTTGCGTGACCTTTTAGCAGGAGGCTCCATGGTTAGGTTCTTGCAATTGCATTGAATCTCCGAGAAGGGAAAAAAAGTTGTAAACTTGCCGGCAGTAAAAAATGGGTGACCACTGACCGCTTCCAAAGGCGGAGCCACTCTTTATGCCTGACAATCCAGGCTGCAGCGGCTGGCCCAGATGACTGACGTAGCCAATTAGATCATGGTGTCTCACAAATCGTCGATAGCTCGACTAAGAACAGGCGGCGACGTTGCTGAGTCTGTCAACAACCTCCCTTTTCCTCTCTTACATTGTTAAATGTCTGTGATACTCATTGCATGTTCATTGTCATTTTCTTTCTGCCATCTTCCTTTTATCCGCATCGGATGTATGGCTGGTGACATGCACTAGATGTCGACTCAGCCGCAGACGCCTTTACCCCAGGTCGGGAAGCTCGTCAGTGTGGTGTAAGTCACCGTCAAACCAAGACCCCTGTCCTTTGCGCAACACAATGTGCTCCGAGCTTTTAGAGAGACAAATTAACATTTGCCAATTCATATAGACCTGTCGGGTTAAAAGAGGCTGCATTAGACTCACCTACCTTCCGTGCCACTACCCTCCACTTCTCCGACCAGATCGAATACCTCGAACGATGGCTAGATGGGTACGCAAAGGCCGCATCGCGGCTTGCAACGGAGCTCTCGGGGCTGGAGAGTATAGTGGGCGCCTTCCTCTCATATTCTACGAATCCTCTCATGGTTTCGGAAGCAACTTTGGATCATGATTATACCATGCTCTCAATGCGGAGATGTGGGGATAGCTCGAAGGACATGTGGAATGGGCTGGTCGCTGGGGCTCGAAAGATAGAGACTCTAGTTTCAGAGCCCATCAGAGCCTTCATCCAGGAAGACATGCGCAATTTCAAGGTGACTAACTGTCATACCCCTTATCTGTGTTCGCTGAGCTCCATCTAACCCCAGTTAAGGAGAACCGCCGTATACTCGACCAGGCACAGAAGCAATACGACACTCTACAAGCGAGATATTCCGCCCAGTCGAAGACGAAGGAGCCGTCTTCCCTTAGAGAAGATGCGTTTCAGCTTCACGAGGCTCGCAAAGCTTACTTGAAGGCGTCAATGGATTTCTCTGTGCAGGCGCCACAAATACGAAATGCCCTAGATCGGTTACTGATCCGTGTATCGTTCGATCAATGGAGGGAGCTGAAGATGCTCAACAGTAATAATGGAGGAGCCTTCGCGAAGTGGGGATCAGAAATGGACCGTATCAAGGGCTGGGTGCACGAAATGGAAGGCAGCGAGAGGTTCTCAAAGCGTGAGCTATTTTCTGCCAGGAACCAGATCGAAGAGGCTGCGGAAGTTGCTGCTCGACCATCGCGCGAGTTAGAGGACTACTCCATCTCCACTGTTCCATACCTCGGATCCCGTCCAATCTCAACTCTGAACACCAAAGACGCACGCCCCGAGAAGCAGGGCTGGGTGAACCTACGGATTATTTCAAATAAGCCCACGCGCACTACGTGGGTTCGGCGTTGGGCTTTCCTGAAGAATGGGATATTTGGTTGTCTTGTGCAGGGAATGCGAACCGGCGGCGTTGAAGAGACAGAAAGAATTGGCGTTTTGCTCTGTAGCGTCCGACCAGCTTTTCAGGAGGAACGGAGATTCTGCTTTGAGGTCAAGACCAAGAGTAACAATATCATGCTCCAAGCTGAGACCCAGAAAGAACTCATGGATTGGATTGGCGCGTTTGAAGCTGCTAAGCGAAAGGCCCTGGAGAATCCGGCCAGCACCGATCTCTCAGTTTCTGGGAAACCAGCTGTTCAAGACCCTGCATTTGCAATCTCGCAACCGCCGGCTCCTGAGTTTGCCGCGGACCCTGCCGACTACTTAACGCCCAATGTTAGCGACGAACAAAGCTCATCGGACCGCAGTGGCTTGCTTCCGCTTCCAGATCGCGATCCAGCAGCTTTCCGAAATAGCAGTGATTTCGGAAGCCACCGACGGCTCACACTAGAACCTGAAAGCCCTGCGCGAGATCATGCCTCACGCATTATTCAGAAACTTGACCTTCACCGTCGATCCAACAATGCGGCACAGCCTTCCAACTCTATACCAGGTGCTGGTGGCGGCATCGCCAATCTTATTTCCGCTAGCCATAATACCATTGTCTCGACTGAAATCGATGCAAATAAAGCAATGCCACCGTCAACCCTCACGCCCGCAACGTTAGCGAACCCTCCAGCCCCTACAAGCTTGAGCAAAGCGGCCGTGTTTGTGAGCAATGAGAGGGGAATCGGAGTGGGCGCTGCGGACAAAACAGGAGGCATGCCTAGTGGCATGATGGCCAATCTTTGGGGAAGCTCAAACTGGGGCTTCATGAATCGGCTGGAAGTTGAGTACAGGGGGCAATCGGACGAGAAGAACCAAGGTCAAGATTTGGAATCATCGCTCCAGCCTTCTATTGCAGAACCAGACACGGCCGGTGGCCCCACTGGCAAATTGAAGGCGCGTCACAGACCAACTGTGAGCCTTGATGGCGATGCATCCAAATTGCAACGGGCAATCATGGGAGTGGCACACGAGTATCCAGAATATTACCCACCTCAACTCAAAATCCAAGATGCACAATTTCGTCTTCTGTTCCCAAATGTCAAGAGGGAAGAGCCACTGGTTTTGGTGTTCCGTGCGACTTGGAACCCTAATGACCAACAGGAGTTCCCTGGACGAGTTTATGTCACTACGCGAAACATCTACTTCTATAGTCACTACTTCGGTCTTGTACTTACCACAAGTGTCTCGTTGGAGAAGATTAAGGAGGTTACAGCCGCGCCTGGAAGGGACTGTGACTTCCTGTTCCTTCATACGATTCCGCCTCCTGGGAATGACACACCCGGCCGAGTCACAGTGAAAACTTTCCTTGAGCCTCTTAAGGTCCTCCAAAAGAGGCTGAACTTCCTGATCTATGATTCCACAGCCGTTGAGCCCATGGGCTTGGAAGCTATCTTCAAGGCCCTGAACAAAATGGCTATGGAGACCATTACCCGAACCCCCAGCTTGGATAGCTGGGAAGATGTAGCCGCAGCTGATAAGCCAGATGACCAGATGGAGGTCCCGAAGTCCAACCTTAGGGCACCTATCTACATTGACAAGAACTTGGACTTACACCCAAGTAAAGCTGGTGGTGATACTCCGAAGTTCAGGCTCCCAACCCAAGCAGTGCAGTATGTTCCTCAAGGAGACCTGCACCTCGCAGCGGAAAAGGTCTTTGACCTTAGCCCTAAAGCTGTCTTTCACATCCTTTTCGGCGATAAAAGTGCTGTATGGCAGTTGCTTCTATATCAAAGAAAGGCGAAAGGTAAGCCAAGACCTTCAGGAATCCGATAGCGTCAATTCCTGCTGATAACTTGCAAGACATCAAACAAGGACCTTGGGTGAGAAATGAGTCTCGCCATCTAAAGCGTGACTTTCACTATCAGATTGAGACCGCCGATATATTTGGTCAGTTTCCTTCCGATCAGTCATTGACCTGTCCCCCAGCTGACTGAAGTAGGCCGAACAAGTGCCAAGGCGATATCTGATTATCAATTGGTTGATGTTCTCAATGACCATCTATGCTATGTGATCACAGACAAGAGGACCCCGTGGCATCTCCCTTTTCGACGTTATTTCAGACTGGTCAACAAGATTGTGATCACGTTCGTTGCGAAAGGAAAGAGTAAGCTGTCCGTTTACACGAAAGTAGAGTGGTTATGGTCACCCTATGGTATTCAACGTGAGCTACCCTCGTGATGTCTGTTAACCGTCCATCATAACTAAATGTGGCAGGTGTCATTGATAAACAAGCTATGGGTGATCTGGAAGAAGACGCCATGGACCTTGTTGATCTCGTGGGCGACCAAGTGCGAAAGCTCGGTGTACATAGCCGAACCAAGAAAGCGATCACAATTTTCGGTCACGTTGGGCGACAGAGTCTCACGTCCCAGTTCTCCATTGATCCAGGTGCGAAGCTGGAGCCCCGCAGGCCTCGGACCCAGAGATCCCTGGTCCAATTGCTGTACGAGACATTCGTTTCGTTCCTCCAGAGCGCCATCTCGTCTATCATAATTTGGATATTCGCCCTCCTACGTTGGGCCTGGAAGACCGCGAATGCCAACAAGATTATCCTTGCGTTACTTGTGTCAAGCGTGTTGTTGAATGGATTTTATTCATCGCGGGCCACACTCGACTGGTGGCATGAACGCAAGGTTGGTAACTTCATGGCACGGATCGGAGTGCACCCTGATCATGTTATGAGCAAAGCTATCTACATGCAAGATATCGACGATGCAATCGCCAACTCAACCATAGGATATGCCACCGACGACGTCAGCGATTGCTTCTATACATTCCAGCAGCAGACTGTCCGCGACGCTGCCACTCCATTCTCTCTAAGCACGTCCAGTCGAAAAGATTCAATGGCGCGGAGCGCTGCTAAACGAATCCAGCATACCCGCGAGAAGCTCGGTGTGTACCGACACAATCTTCTCGTTGCGCTTCGCGTGGTCAATAGCATCGAGAGAGAAGTCATCCAAAGTGAGTGGGAGCGCTGGCTCCAGCAAGAATTGCGACGTTGCCGCCAGGTTGAAAGTTTACTCGCCGCGAAAGACGCTAGTGACAGAAGCGGAACACTTGGTGAGCAAAGCGTCTTGTCGGGGCTTAACGGCGATGTTAGGGCGTGGTACGAAACGTATTGCTCAAGTTGTCAGAAAGAACAGGAGCGATTCGACCCAAATGTGCAGGACTAGACTTCAAACTGACGGATGGTGGATCGCGGTGGACCATTGTGAGCGTTGACATGATACCCGATAAAGTTGGCGGTTTTGTTGCTATGTCAAGATGTTCGTGGGGGCCGCGCTGCAGTGGCGCATTGGTTCATAACCCCAGACGTATATAAATATATGACTTGAGTCAAACCGGCAGAAGCTGCTTAGGCAAAGCATTTAGTTCTGCCTCGGCTTCACCGTACCCTCCTGAGCGACATAGTACACCACAGTACCCTCACCACCCATACCCTTATCAATCATAGCGAGAAGCAGTCTCTTCCCACCCCACTCCCCTGTTCGACGAGCCTTTGCGCGGTATTCATAGTATTCCGCCAACTTTGCCGCTTTGTCCGCATCCGCGCCGACTGCAACATCTTCGTCTGCAGATTGAGCCTCGGACTCCGTCGCCTCGTCTCCAGGATCAGGAAGCGCATCAAATACCGCTACCATTTTCTCCAAGCTCCATGATTGGCCCTGCACCGTGGGGAGAACGAACATGCGATCCAATTCGACATCTTCCTCGTGGAGGCCGCGCTCGACCATGTATAGCTGCTCATCGGGGTGCGTGTAGACTCGATGCGGCGGAATCCCGGATATTAGTGAGATAGGAAAAGATAACTCGAGGTCGTGGACTTTGAGGGATGTCCATAAGTGTTGGTGCTGGAGGTTGTGGAGAACTTGAGATGTTGTTGCGGAGGTCGTCGTAACTGGAGTAGAAGTGGAGGAGACGAAGGTGGTGAGTGCAGAGGGATTAGGGATGGTCGGTGAAGGGACTGGTTTTGTCATTTTGATTTCTGTATGTTATTTTCTTGGCCCTGATTGAGTTGGAGAGCAAAGTGGTGCTCTCACGTTTTATGGTTCGTTGAAAATGATCTGCAGGGCGGTCGGAAAAAAAGTAGGGCGGAGATTAGTCGGAGTTTCGAGGGGGTCGGCGCAAGAGAGAACACATGGCATCTCCTACTATACTTTCTCTTTCATCCCTGTGAGCATATTTTACTCGATTTCTTCCTTGCAATGATCCCCCTTTGCTCTTGATTCAGAGGCTTGACTTATTTTTCCTATATCTCATACCAATGGCGCGCCAGAAACAGAAAACGCCCATCCAGCGGGCTACATCGTCTGAACTGATGCATACGCTCCCTGACGACGCATCACAGACTCGAAACCAGAATGGCGGCGCGAAGGAACTTGCTGCTGCGACACAGAGCGTGACTGCGGACAGCAAAGCGCATGAAGCTGCAGATACTCCTGGTTTGATGCAGCTCGCTATTTGTGTATTGGGAATCTACGCTTCGTTGTATGTCTAGCATCTTCCGATCAAACCCGGTGGTCCCTACTAACCTTCGAGCTCTACAGTTTGTCCTGGGGCGTTCTACAAGAGTCTATAACCACTGTTTCGTATCCCATCCGACCTCCCTCTGCAGCGGATCCAGAGCCACCAATAGAGCGATTCACCTTTTCAATTGTTTTGAACACCATCCAGTCCACCTTTGCTGCGATCACAGGCTTTCTATACCTCTACTTCTCCACTCCCGCAGGCGCAAAGGTCCCGTCCATTTTCCCGACGCGAAAGATTGTCTTTCCTCTCGTCCTTGTTAGCATTTCGTCTTCCCTCGCCTCGCCATTCGGGTATGCGAGTCTTGCGCACATCGACTATCTCACCTTTATTCTCGCCAAATCATGCAAATTGCTTCCGGTCATGTTCCTGCATCTGACCATTTTCCGGAAGCGATTCCCCTTGTACAAATACGGAGTGGTCCTGCTGGTTACACTTGGCGTTGCGACATTCACCCTTCACCACCCGGGAACAAGCAAAAAGGTTGCTGCTTCGGCAGCAAAGGGCCAATCAGGCTCGTCTGCATGGGGGATCTTCCTTCTATCCATCAATCTGCTCCTAGACGGGCTGACAAACACTACGCAAGATCACGTCTTTAGCTCTCCTCAGATTTACACCCGCTTCACCGGCCCGCAGATGATGGTAGCTCAGAATGTTCTCTCCACTCTTTTGACCTCGGCGTACCTTTTGGTGATGCCTCATCTCTCTTCGACTGGCATTATTCATGCTATTCTGCCGATTCCTATTCCCCCATCTACGGAGACAGAGCTGGCGACTGCCGTGTCTTTCCTATCCAGGCATCCCGAAGTCCTCAAGAACGTGCTTGGCTTCGCAGCTTGCGGTGCCATTGGGCAGCTCTTCATCTTCTACACCCTTTCCCGCTTCTCATCTTTACTGCTGGTGACGGTAACAGTCACCCGCAAAATGCTCACTATGCTTCTGAGCGTCTTTTGGTTTGGCCACTCGCTCTCTGCAGGCCAGTGGCTTGGGATTGGTCTTGTCTTTGGTGGTATCGGCGCTGAAGCTGCCGTGCAAAGGCAAGAGAAGAAAGCCAAAGCCTTGGCTAAGAAGAAGGAGTAGAAAGTCAATCTCCTTTGGGGTTATACAATGTTATTCGTATAATGTATTCAAATTTAGACTGACGTCCATTCTGTTCTCATGCGTCATCGACGACATCACATTAGATTGAATAAGGAGATAAGAAACGAGGATCGGAGGAATATTATGGTAGTAGGTAGGCGACGTATCAACAATCTTGGAAAGAGAAAAAAAAGAGATATACATATTAATGAAACTAGGACTGGGGAAATCACTTCCTCCCCTCAACCATGATGATATGGTACCCGAAGCTTGTTTTAACATCCACGTACTTTGGATTGTTCGTCGTACTGGGTTCCAGGTCGTACGCGGCTTTTTCAAAGATCGAGTCTAGACTTCCTCGAACCTTCCATCCTAGGGAGCCGCCTGCACGCTTTGTAAGTATGAATGGATACATGAATATGGGGGAACATACCTTGGCGAGCCTTATCTTCTGAATATTCACGCGCAACATCATCGAATTTGCCGCCATTCCGGAGTTTCTCTAAGGCTTCTTCCTTTTTGGAGAACTTTTCACACTGTAACATGTCAGCATCAAAAGCCCTCTCCTTGCGTCTTGCTTTCGTTTTTCAAGAGGGAAAGGCATGACCCGTTGACATGGTACATATGATATCAAACACGAGCAAGAAAAGCAAGCCACCTGGAGACGTCGAGGGTCTTAGAGACTGCAGATTGCACAGCCTGCACAGCACTGTCCCTCTCTTCCCCACACAAGCTCGCGCCCTAACCGAGCCTTTCATGAAAACTTTGCAGAAACAAGACAACGAATGAAAACAAGACAAACGTACAAGAATATGTCGGACGTTAATGGAGTTAGCGGGCTTCAGGCCCTTGCCCTTGTCGCCGTCCTTGGACGAGTCGCCGGCCTTCTCTTTCTCCTTTCCTTTGCCCTTCTTGTCGGCAGCGCCCTTGGCGTTGTTCTTTCCCATTGTTCTTTCTTTTAGAAGGATTGGCCTTACCAAAGCAGATAGGTACGGTGCGGATGACGTCTAGCGAGTGCTACCGGAGTACTGCGCCTGGCAGCAGAACAGATCGTGTGTGGGACGTAACTCAAGCGTGAGTGAGTCCGGGGAAGACGGGAAGCTTGGAAGCAGCACGGCTAAACCGTGAAGAATACTACCGATGGACCTTAAAATATACTGCCACTTCGCAGTAGGAAAGAAGCTGGAAATGAGCCAAAGATATTCTGGAACAAATTTGAGTGGGGCGTTTCTAGTTCAACACGGTGGGGGTAGAAAGGGTAGAAACGCAGAGAGAGAGAGGGTCCGAGGCAAAACAACTACAGACATGGTGAAGCAGACTGGAAACGACGCTTTGGTCCTTTATACTGGGGGCAGAAAAGGCTACATGCCGCCATGACCATCATTGAGCATTCAATGAATGTTGGTGGTGGTGGTTGTGCTTTTCAGCGGAGCCTCTTTTTGAGGTTTGTTTTTTTGTTTCTATTTTCTCATTTGCTGCAGCCATACAACAAAGAACGAGAGCAGCACTAGATTTAAACATTGTGGTTTGCAGGCAGCCCGTGGAGCTGTCGTTGGCCGTTTCGACCGGGGACACTGCATTGCAAGTTGGATGCCGCCTTGCTCATTATGGGGATGACTGCATCATTGCTCTGTGTCTGGGGCAATCCGTTGCTGCTCGTTTTCTGATAGATCAAGATTTCGTAGAATTCCGGTGGTTGGAGCGTCCGCCGATTCGCTCTCCCCGAGCTTCTAGCCCTTTTGATCAGACCCTCGAATATCATCTTGTATTCATTCATTATTTCCTCGCTCCGTCGTTGCTATATCGGTATTCGGCGTCGTCGATATCGAACAATAATGAGCGAGCGGGATCCCAGCAGCTGGAACTTGGAGGACGCCCGCATCACCCGACTGCCCGGCGACGGGGAGGATGCCTTTTACATTGCAGATTTCGTCACTCAGGATGAGGAGGAGAGGCTCCTGCAGAAGGTCCGTCGCTATCCACTTTCCCTGCTCCTCCAAATCCTTGAAAGTACATAGGACCATACCTCAGGTACCTGGTACTTACTGTTGTTGAAAGTCCCTACCCCAAATATGTATGTATAGATACTAAAGATAAACTCCAAGATAACAACCGCGCCCCTCCCCACCTGGAAACACCTCTCGCACCGGCGCCTGCAAACCTATCCCTCGCCTTTGACAAACAATAACACCCTCCTGGCCTCCCCACTCCCATCCTGGCTCGTATCCCCGATCATAACCCCCCACTTCGACCGCCTCGCGCTCTTCGCCGGATCCCCGCACCGCGCCCCCAATCACGTCCTCGTCAACGAATACACCCCGGGCCAGGGCATCATGCCGCATGAGGACGGCGCCGCATACTACCCGCTTGTTGCGACGGTGAGTCTGGGTGGGGATATTGTGTTGGATTTGTATGAGAAGTTTAAGAGGGATGATGATGAGAAGAATGGGCACGAGGATACCGGTAATAATGACGATGGTGATGATAGCTCCTCGGACAAGCCTATAACGAAGGAGGAGTTTGTTGCAAAGGAGGGGCGTGGTGGTCGGCAGCCGAAATACCGGATCTTGCAGGAAAGGCGCAGTTTGCTGGTGACTAGAAACAGCATCTACAGGGATTATCTGCATGGGATCGCCGAGCGGTACAGAGATGAGGGTCTGGGTCCAGATTCTATATGTAATTGGGACTTATTGGGCCATCCGGAGCGGTTCTGTGACGGAGCGAATGCGAGGGAGACGCGGATTAGCTTGACGTATCGTGATGTGCTCAAGGTTGCCAAACTGGGGAATACGATGAAGTTCTTGAATAAGAGGTAGTAGTATAGCCTTGATGGCTGGCAGGTAGTAGTTTGAAAGTGTGAAGTGGTATTTTCTTCTTCTAATATATGATAGGAATCATGTTCCACTTCCCTCGGACAGCCTCCTCGCCGAACTTCTGTCTGTACCATTGTCTCGTCGTCGAGGCTGTGATGCCTAGATTAACTACGACGAATGCGAGGGCGGAGAGCACGGTTTTGTTGACCATCTCCCCCTTGGGGGCAGCCAATAGCGCGATGGACAGATAAATCATGCATTCGGCTGTGTAATGCGGGCAGACGAATTTGCTAAACATAGGATGGGTGGGCAATGTGTACTTTTTCAGCGAGTAAAGATAGTGGTGGCAGTCGTGTTGAATGCCCGATGCGAGGATAAAGATCGGGAGGCATAAGAGCGTGCGTCCGGAAAACCGGGTAGCTAAGCTAAAGTCGTCTAGGCTCAGCTCGTGCGAAAGCACCGTTCCTGCAACCCGGATTAGCTGAATTATCCCCTGTGATGCGGTGACGCCTCTTGACGCTCTGGCGAGACGCGACGGACCTGCTCCCTCAATCCAGATTGCAACCGGCACTGCCAGGTAAAATGCAATGCCCGCGAGCCAATGAACAAACCACATCTCCGACGGAGAAGGCTTGGAGAAGCTAAGACACTCGTGTAGTCGCCTTAGCCCCTGGATCAACATCAAGCCCCAGCATAGCATAATCTGGTTAATCGAGATTGCTTGATGCAAGTGTTCCGGGCCGACTCTAGTCGCAATAGCCTGGAACGCGGCGCCGTGAAAGAGCAGCTGCAGCGCCCAGAAGATCGAGGACAGCACAGAAACTACGTAGAACTGCGTAAAGTAGCTGTGAGGGACTCTCAGTGTGGCAATGTAATCGAGGGTGCGTGTTACTGGCGACGCGCTCAAGGGCGAGGCTGGTGACGCGGGTGTCTCTGTCTCGACTGCAGCTGTCGAGGTCGCACGAGCGCCGTAGGGGATGAAGCGCGACCGAAGTGAATCTGGTAGACTAACGGAGAGGATCTGGGGGATTTAGTTCTTGTCCATTCAAGAAGGAAACCGTCGAAAATGCTGATGCAGCAAGACTTGTTCACTGATGTCGATCTGCATCTCACTATCGACGATTTGTTTCATACCGTGCAAGCTGCAAAAACAAAGAAGGTTCGTAGGGCGTCAACCGCGTCCATGTTGGCCATGGAAAGCGCGGAATCGACCGCATGAGCGACGAAGTCCATTTCGAATACTCCACACTTCTTGATTGGAACGGATGAATGAGACGCTGTCTCCCGCTTCTGTTAAGTATGAGTGATCATGCGTGGCGGCGGAGGGAGAAAAGGAAAGTGATGGCGTCTCAAGTTCTGGTCTCAGATTTGATTTGATTACGATACGCCGACAGGCCGATGATTAGCACTCGGCTGGGCTCATTAACCCAGCCGAAGCGGAGCAGCACCCTCGAATCGCCTTGAGCTGCTGCGAGTCTGTAAGGAGAAACATTTGAGGGTGAACCATGTCAGAACTCATATCACGGGATGAATAACTGCATGGAGAGCTTGGAGAGGCCGGAAGAATAATTGTCGTCGCCGGCTGTCGTCCGCTGAGAGACTGCAAAGCCGAGATCACGGGATCTTTAGCAAAGGCAATTTCCCCTCTTTTGCCTTCCGCCATTTGTTGTCCCGTGACTCCAAGGAAGTGCAGACGCAACCTTGGCCTCTGCGCAAGAAAAGGGGGGCGAGTTCGAGGGGTGGGGCGATAAGCTGAAGTTGCCTCTGGCGTTTACTGGCTGAGTAGAAGCAGATCACTGCAGACTAGGCTGCAACCAGCAAAGCCCATGCTGATGCACCAACTCATTGGCCACTCCCGCCAAAACAAATGGATGCCTTGGCTGATAGCCTTTGGGTCGCTGGCGGCCTTCCAGGGAATCCCCCTGGAGCGCACAGCTGGTGACTGGCGGTCCAAGGCGAAAAAAGAAATGGACAGGGAGGATCGGCCTGTGGTGTCTCGATCCATGATTCATCCGCCACCTTCAGGTTTCAACCCGGTGTCCCCGCTCGCTTTGGGCCTTCGCGCATCGCAGAATCATCATTTCTGAGGGCAGCCCTTGTCAAAAGGCGACCTCCGTACTCAAAAGTCCTCCAGACTGGGAAATACACTGGTGCGGCGGAGATTGCAGGCAGCATGTCGACTTTCCACGGTGCGCAGTGGCCGAAGCCTCACGCGAGTTAACTATTCTGGTACCGTAGCCTTGGGAGGGCTTTCGTCTTTGACGATGTTGACACGAGATCAAACATTGTTATTATTATTGCTTGAGCTCTCCCTGGTAGCATCATGAATTCATGATTAGTGCGCAAGCCCAGGATTCCTCATCTGTGACTGAGGTCTGACGGAATCGTCAATTGGAGCGTGCCGTCAACTCGCCATAGTCGCTTCGACTAGCGAGAAGCGATCGCTTGCTCTGGAGGGATAGCCAAAGTGCATAACATCAGCTTCTGAAGAGCTCTTGATCTGATGTTGCGCAGTGCCATTCGCTGTCCCAGGTTCAACAGGAAACGTGGTCGCCTCCGTCATGGCAATCGCTCACAATAATCATTACGCCGGGCTGCTTTAGACCCAGCCTGCCTGAGGCCACTCTAGTTCCCACCACTGCCACCAGTGACCACACCAGGCCAGTCGCAGTCCAGTCCCAGTCTTAGTGCCGTGACCTTCGACCGTTTGGGTCGACTCCTCTCTCTCGCTCTCTCTTCTCTTCATCCATTCCTTCCCACTTCCTTTCCTTCTCCCAATTTACTCTTCCTCTCCCACCCCTCAACCACGATTCCTCCACCACCTTCTCGACCTTTGAAACCCCTTCAACCTCGACTTCTATCCCGTCCTTTCCCCCACGACTATCCATCCGATCATCGAGTTCGCGAGCTGTGCTATTCTTGTAGCGTTGACTGGCCCTCACCTCGAATTCGCCAGCCTTGCCCTTCTCGCGACCTTCCTATACTGGGCGGGACCTGAGCCTACCGGGCTCTCGATATTGCTGATCCTTTCAACCTGTTACACTAGCCACCATTCAATCAACACTTCCCGCTGTTCATTCCTCGCTGTCTCTGTCTAGCGTGGTCGAGCACCAGCTTCCGCGCGCAGCAGCTGGTGTCTTTGAACCCCAAGCCAACCTGCCCGCTACGGCCTCCAAAAATGTCGAGAAGAACCCCAATAAGTTTAGTGTTACCGCTATGAGTGATGTCGACACTGTCCCCTCGCTGCCGGCTACCCTGGACTCTAAACAGAACGGCTTCGCTGTCAAGGTGAACCACCCGCCTACCTTGGGACCGCCCTCTCCAAGGAGAACGTTCCTTCAGTCTGGTCCTCGGACCGATGATGTACCATCCAAGGAGGTTGATTCCGCTGCTGGAGACAGTGATGGACCCCCAAGCCCCAAGGCTGATTCGGAGGCGGAAACCATAATCCAGTCGGGTCGCGAGTCCCTGTCGCCGGAGAAGAGACGCAAATTTATCAAGCATGAACCGAAACGACGAGATGATGACGAGAATGACCGTGTGAGCGACAAGTTGGCCGCAATAAACGATGCGCAAGTGAGGAAGAACAACTCGTTGGGTGATAAGCATTATGATAGGAGCGACCGTGAAACACGACATCCGAGCCCTCGTTGGAGGGATGCTTCGCCGTCCATAGTGAAGGTAGAGAATCTTGATGATTCTCGATCCATCTCGAGCAGGTCAGATAGTGTCACGGCACCCAGCAGGACGTCAAGAAAGCGCAGTTTTAGCGAAAGTATCAATGGTGAGTCGGACGTCGGTCGGCCTCGACATCGCAAGGTATCGCCACCTCTTCACAGCCGCGAGGATTTCGACCTCAGCAATAGGACTTCCCTTCCTCGACCCGCTTCCACCGATCGATCTGTTTCCCCAGTGCGCCAAACTCACAAGCGAACAGCTTCTGGCCCTCAGCTCTCCGGGAGCACTCTTCCTAGGAAGAGAAAAGCTCCTACGCCTCTGATCACGGGTTTCCAAAGGCAAAGCTCCGAGGATCGCCAGTCGGTATCATCAAATAATGGATCTCCGTTACCAAGTGCTCATATACACAAGCTTGTTTCGGCCGATGGGGCTTCAGCTTCTCCTGCTCGCCCAATCAATTACAAGAAACTGCGCGATCAAAATGGCAGAACCCGGCTGGCACGTGCCTGCGCCGCCCAGGAACTTGAAGCAGTGATTGCAAGGCACGAGGAGCGTCCGGAAGATCTGAATGTTGCTGATAATGCGGGAAATACGCCTTTGCAGATTGCATCTTTGGAGGGTTGCGCCCCCATTGTCAAGTACCTGATTGCGGCGGGTTGTGAGATTGAAACCTGCAACATTGACAAGGACACCCCATTGATTGACGCGGCAGAAAACGGTCACTTAGATGTTGTCAAAATCCTCCTCGAAGCTGGCGCCAACCCGCGTGTGGTTAATTCACAAGGCAATGAGCCAAGCGATCTAGTCCCTGACGACTGTGACGAGATTCGACAAGCTTTGGAAGAGGCAAAGGCTAAACCACGTCCCAATCGACGATCTGAGGAAACAACTGCACCATCAGGACGCGAGTCATCCTCACGGCGGATCTCTGGCGCTAGTCCGCGAGAGTCTCCTCCAGTGAGTGGAGCACGGAGCCCTCCCTTGTTCGGAACGACGGCCAGCAAACGAAAGAGCGTAAGGAGCGAAGCCACGAGAAATGACCTGTTGTGGACCAAGGCTACTCCCGAGAATCTCCAAGCCTTTGCCGCGAAAGGGGACATTGTCGGCGTCGCAAACATTCTCAACGTGGGCCAGAAGGCTGATACTGAGTCAATGATTGCTGCTGCCAAAGGCGGGCACGATGAGGTTTTGTCTCTTCTGCTTGGTATGGGAGATGCGGATCCTGATCCAGCTCCTGTTCCGTCGCAGAAGCCCGGTCACAACACTCCGATGCTAGCCGCTATTGGTCGTGGAAATCTAGCTGTGATCAAGCTCTTTTTGGATCAGCCTGGCTTCAACCCGGCCCGTCGACATTATGATGGCCTGACTTACTTTGAAATCTCTCGGAAGCGGCGAGCAGATAATTGGGAAGAAGAATACGATATTCTCAAGGACGCTTATGACAAATACGTTAGGACCAAGAAACAACGAAAACCTGACCTCTCCTCGCCGCGTCGGCAGCGGGAAAAAGAGAGAGAGGGCAAACGCTCTGCACGCAAAGACTCACCATCACCTGTCCCTCGATCGAGAAAGGTTGCTGGCAGCCCTGGCCCTCGCGATTTTTCTAAGGATTCCGCCATGCCAAAAGACAAGAAAGGAATTGCCCATCCTAGAGATAAGTCTGCCTCTGGAGTTGCACGATCAAAGTCCTCGCTTCACGACCTTGATACCAAGGAACCGCCAAAGCAGAAGCCCATGTCGGGCGAAGATGTGATCAAAAGGAGGCGTTTAATCCCAGGACGACCACCCCACGATCGAGATCGGAAGGTGCCGAGCTTGCCTTCATCTGATTCGCTTTCAGGACGAGAAGACAGTGTAAAATCTCGCGTTGATCGGTCATGCGAACCAGCGTCTAGAGCCTCGATCCTAAAACGCGGACGTAGCAGTGCTAGTCCCGAACGACCTCGCTCTCGCGGGCCCGAGGCCGAGCGTCATCGTGATCTTCAGAAGAAGAAGAGGAGAGTTTTGTCTGAAGAAGGGGCGCCAAATGTCACCAATGGAGGACTGAAGAAGCCTCACCCACCTGCAAATGATGCTGTCAAGTCGCCCAACCATGAAAAGAATGGCATCGTATCCAATGACTCCAGAAGAGAAGTTTCGCAGAACTCCGGTGCCGGGCCAAAATCCGTGAAGGAAGAGCAAGGGAAGCAAGAGCCGCAGGATCTCGCTGATATTCCTATGGTGGATGCAAAGGCGGTGGAGACGGACAAAGAATCCGGTCAGGCAACGAAGCTTAAATCATCGCTTGACCACTCCGAACCTGACACGCAGAATGTTGAACCACGCAACGCCACCCATGAGTCTTCCGAACACAAACTGGCCGAGAAAATGGAGCAAGAACGACTAGCCGAGGAAGCACGCGTAGCTGCCGAAGCAGAAAAGGTTCGAGCTGAGAAAGAAGAGGAGGAAGAGCGGGCAGCTCAAGCAGCACGCGCGGCGCAGGAGAAGGCGGCAGAAGAGGAACGCAAGCGAAAGGAGACCGAGCTACGACGAATCAAGCAAGCAGAGGACGAGCGCCAGAAGCGACTGGACCAAGAAAGACAGCGACTTGCCAAGCTACGTCGGGAACAAGAAGAGCATGAACAACGGCGTCGAGATGCGCTCCCTAGCCGGCTGTGCATCGCAGCTAACCTCGTTGGAGCCAACGATACCCAAGCACGGAATCACTCTTGGCTGAGGAAGTTCATGCCGGTTGTTACAGCCGAAACCAAGCAGCTCGATCCTAGTTGCAGCGCAGAGATCGCTGGCGAGAGATGGGTTCCGAATTATCTTGTTGCGCCATTACTTGCCACCAACGACTTGCAGTTGTCCCAATACGCTGCTTGGGAAAAGCGCGACGCCACTCCCCAGCAGCGAGTGAATCTCTGGCGCGTTACACGGCGAATGCTGGTCCAGGCAGATGACACTGAGTTCTTGACAGCGTCATTCGGGCAGATCATGCAGAAGGATAGCGAAACCCGGAGCAAATACTTCGACATGGAGCATGTCTTTTGGGTTAAGGTATGTTATATTATCTCGGAAACCCTTTGGGATGTATGCTAATATTTCTCACAGCTATCGGACTTCATGGACCTGGTTCCTCATATCCCGCACTTGCACGGGCTAGACATTCGGTTCCTGAAGATGCACATCGACCAAGAAACCTCTCCAAATCCTCCTTTTCCGCTGCCGCAAACGAATGGCCACATCAATGGACCTTCGCATGCCGGCACTCCCGGGCCTTTGCACGAGCAAGGCCTGACTAACGGCTACGGGCAAAGCCTGCCAAGTACATACGTCTGATTGTTTTCCGTCAGTCCACGCCTCTGTACAGGTGGACGATTTTCCTTGCATGTATGACTATGATACCTCTGTTGTGACGTGATACACGATGTCAGTGTTGGATAGATGTTGCAGCTCTGGGCTGCCTGGCGTTTCCGTTGAATACCATTATCAATAATGCAATAATGCAATACTGCGAATGCATACCAGATTAATAAACCCCCTGTACTCGTCATAGCAAAAGTAAGAGCACAAGAATGCTTCTAGTCACGTGAGCTGTTATCGAGGTGGTATCTTCACGTGATAATTACTAAGATGCGTAGGGCACACGGATTTAGCGAGGAGCCGGAGAAATTAGCATGAGTCCCACAGTCGAGAGAATCACCACCACATACCACCACTCTTTGAGGAAACCCGACATTCAAACAACAAATCAACAAAACATCAAAATGGTGCGTATAGCTCCAGAAAGCCCAGCGTCTTCCCCGTGCAATTGACGCTTCTTACTCGCCGCATCCTCCGCCAACGCGAACAAGTGTTTCAGCAAGCTAACCATGAATCGCAAATCTATAGTCGGACGGAGAAGAGACCGCTTCCAACCCCCCCGTTGCCGCTGCCGATGAGGTCGAGGTTTCTGCTGACGCCGGTGCCGGCGGCCAGATGTCCGTCCTCGACGCTCTGAAGGGTGTTCTCCGCATCGCCCTCATCCACGACGGTCTTGCCCGTGGTCTCCGTGAGGCCGCCAAGGCCCTCGACCGTCGCCAGGCTCACATGTGTGTCCTCAACGAGGGCTGCGAGGAGGAGGCTTACAAGAAGCTTGTTGTCGCCCTCTGCTCCGAGCACAAGATCCCCCTCATCAAGGTTCCCGATGGAAAGCTTCTTGGCGAGTGGGTTGGTCTCTGTACGTTTTCCCCTCCATTATCAAGTTATAAATCTTTAGGGAAATATTTGTGGGCTAACGTGGTTTTCTCTGGAATAGGCCAGCTCGACCGCGAGGGTAACGCCCGCAAGGTCGTCAACTGCTCTTGCGTCGTCGTCAAGGACTGGGGTGAGGAGTCCCAGGAGCGCTCCGTTCTGCTCAACTATTTCCAGACCGAGCAGTAGACTCCCCTTGGATTTGATTTGATGGATCGGGGTTGATTCGACAAGGATAAGGGGAACGGACCGTAAGGGTTCTGGGAAGGAGAACGAGGATTGCGATCATGTTAATTTTCGAGTACCTACCTACCGATCTGTCTGTCATCGAAACATATATCTATCCACAGAACAAAATACAAGCAAGGATTCGATGAATGATGCAATGTACGAAGTACTGTCTTTCGGGAGGCTATGTAATGGGTATGCCTAATACCTGAGGTAATAACAAGTAGAGAACTAGAAGAAGCTACTTATGTGAGACTCATTGTCCAAACTGCCAGTTCAAAATGAGCAAAAATGCCATTGTAATTTAACACGAGCCATGCGAGATTGTATCATGATATTGACGTTGACTCGGACAAACCAAACGCCTTGTGACTGCAACGTTGGCACCTAGAACAATGGCTACCGGAAGCTGTACGAAGGTCGAACCATTTTTTTCGTCTCTGGCTTCAAGGACAACTGCTGGTAAGGTGAGCTGCCGGGATCGTAGTATAGCCCTTCAATATGGCCGCTCTCGCGATGTAGAGAGATGTAGTAAAAGCCGGATATCGTAAGTCCTTGCCGTGCATCTGTGGGCGTGATGAAACATCGTTCTGCGATTGATTAGCATGAATTTCATGAGTCTGATAAAAGGCACAGTAAGACGCACCCTTCCATCTCATCAGAATCCACCCCTTGCACAGCTGTTCAGTGATCCACTTCCTACTCACAAGATTCCGAGTCATCTCTTCATCGGTGAGGTTCTTGAATGGCTGTAGCTCCCGCCAATACGTGCTGTCGATCTCCGCATCCGCTTTGAAGTTCTTGGTTTCCAAGGTATGGGTGTTGAAGTCGATAATCTCTCCCTCTAGGAATGTCACAATATGTGCATCATGAGACGGCGACGTCTTATCCGGAATATTGTATGCTTCCATAGTTCCTGATAGCGTCATGTCCTTAGTGTTGATGTTGTGAATTGTGACTTTGACAGGCCAATTCTCGTCCTTTCCGCCTACAATATTGTATACATGGCTGGCAAAGTATCGTCTCCCGTTGGCTGTTTGCACACTGATGCGACTCTGGTCACTACCATTGACAATTATCGGATCATTGGACGAAGAGGTCAGGCCTTGCTGAGGTAAAACGATGCTGGCACCGCTCGCAGCTCTCTGAAAGCCAGAAAATGTCATGCCTGGACGAAGCCATGAACATTCTGGCGGCGGAGATATTGAGGCTGTGTCTAGAATGAAGTCATCCTCATCCCAGGTGAGGAAATCTAGCTGAACGAATCCCCCCGCCGCCGCAGAGGTCAAACTTTCCTCGAAAGAATTGGAGTAGCGTAATCGGTCGAGATACCGAATGGTTTCTTTTAATCGTGGACTGGGTGGATTTTCCAAGTGCATCTGCCGATGAGCGCTGACTCGGGCACGAACATCGCTGTGTGTTAGAACACGCTGTGGCTCGCTACGACCCCCAGGAAGAAACCGATATGCCCGAGGCGAGGATACCGCGGTCGGCCGCTCATGGCTCTGATCTGTACTCTGGTTGGCTCTTTCGCGGTCAAGAAGATAATCGTGAATTGTTCTGTTTCGCGAGAATCTGGATTGCCGTGGTATTGACTGTAGGAGGGCCTCAGCTGTGGAGCCTGAAGTATCGTTCTGTCGGCGGCTGCTTTCCGTGGAATCGTCCGGCATGGCTTGATTTCTGGAGGTATTCTCGCGACGTGCACCTATCCTGGCAGGACCCCGTCCTGAAAGTCGACCAAGCCATGATGAGAGTGCATTGATGGGTGGATATGCCATATCATCATCATCTTCGTCGTCGGAGGCCGGAGCCCAGCCATAGAGGGTACGAGGATTCGAGACTCGGGCTTCATAGTTCGGTAAATTACTATTATTGATGGTGCTATGACTCTCTTCACTAGAGCGGTCGCGCTGGCGCAGGATGGGTATGCGACGATTGATCTCAACCGACATGCGCATGCTAGCGTCATCCAGGTCCATTGGGTCGATGTCGAATTCAGACCGCAACTCGGAGAGTATGTGTTGTCGGCGGCGGCGCTGGCGACTGAGTACGGACGAGGAGGAGTCGGGCGGCGAGCGCACACGAGACCGCAAGAAACTCACGTTATCATCATGGGCATCATCGGACACGACTGCGGGGAGAGACTGGAGGGAAGAAGCGGCCAAGGGCGATCGGGAGGGGGCATCCTGCAGACAAACACAAGTAAGTATTGGACCATGACGCAGATGGAGGCCGTTTGATCTAGATGCATTTTCTTCCGCGGTAAAGCGGGACGGAAGACAAATCGAAATACGTACAGAAGGCGAATTGACCGGGGGCATGATATTTGGAGGGGATTTCTGTGATCAGGCTTGTCGCAAGAAGACGGCGCAGAGAGGATGCGCCCGTGGAGAGACAACATGCAGTGGTGATTCAAAGGAAAGACAAAATAAGGTGAATGCAAAGGAATGAAGTAACACAACAAGATGATCAGATGATGGCAGATGAGGAACAAGGGTGAATGATCAAGGAGAGCGAAAGTGAGGCGAGAGGAGAGGAAGAGTTATTCAAACTGCAAACCGGCCGAGTGTCAGTCCCTGTCTGAGTCCTTCTCGCAACTTCTGATCCTCTCAGCCGAAACTTCCCCAAATTGTATCCAATATGCGCTGGTTTCCGCTTCTTTGTATGCGTCAAATTGCATGAACATGCGTCCTTTCCATCAAACCGGCCTTCATCCCCATCTTCTTCGCCATCGTTACCATATCAATCAGTATCGCACTCAAACTGTTCCTTAGGGTATCGAGTTTCAGTTGTTTTCCCCCAGCATCAGAGGCGGAACATGTATCCTGATTCTCGATCACTCAACCGCTGGTCCGACGTAAGTTGATCCTTCCGACGCCTTCGTCAATCCAAGCCCGAGACAACTTCCAGAACGACCTCGAGCGTTGCGCTTATCCCAAAAAGACATAAGGTCTCTTCGGTTATCACCCTTGCTGCATCTTCTGTTTCATGGACCAGTCGTCGGTAGTTCGGGCTGACTTGGCGGAGCAACTCCGACTGTTCTACGGCTATGAATCAATACAAATGGGAACTCTTTGACCTACCTTTCATCTTCAGACATTTCGTTCTTTTCTCGTGACCCCCTGATACGCAAGAATGGCTAAGATCAAGACTATTGAATACTTTCGGGTGCTACCCCGGTGGCTGTTCGTCAAGATCGTCGACGACGACGGCAACTATGGCTGGGGAGAAAGTACACTAGAAGGGCACACCGAGGCCGTCGAGGGCACTCTCAATGCCCTCATTAAGCGATTCCAAGGATATGAGGCAGAGTATGTTCTAGGACATTCACTATTTCTGTATATTCCTGCGCTAATTCCTCCAAGTGATATTGAACACATATGGCAGATGTCCTGGCGCTTGGGCTTCTACCGTGGAGGTCCCGTTTTTATGTCCGCCATATCCGGCATTGATATCGCCCTCTGGGATCTAAAGGGCCGCAAGCTCGGCGTCCCTATCCACCAGCTGATCGGCGGCAAGGTTCGGAATAAGCTTTCCGTCTATGCTTGGATTGGCGGCGACCGTCCTTCTGATGTAGAAGCCGCGGGGAAAGCCCGTCTCGCACAGGGATTCAAAGCTATCAAAATGAACGCAACGGAAGATGTCAACTGGCTAGATTCCCCCAGTGCGCTCGACTCCAGCGTCGAACGACTAAAAGCCGTAAAGGCACTAGGCCTAGATGCTGCCCTGGACTTCCACGGCCGCCTGCACAAGCCTATGGCGAAACAACTCGCCAAAGCACTAGAACCATACCGTCCACTCTTCTTGGAAGAGCCTCTCCTCTCCGAACACCCCGAGGGCATAAAACAGCTATCAGACCAAGTCTCCTGCCCCATCGCCCTAGGCGAACGCCTTTATAGCCGATGGGACGTCAAGCGATTCCTCGAAGACGCGAGCGTCGACGTCCTTCAACCTGATATCAGCCACTGTGGAGGCATCTCCGAGTTGCGGCGCATTGCTTCTATGGCGGAGACGTACGACGTTGCGATAGCGCCGCATTGTCCGCTAGGTCCTATTGCACTAGCGGCTTGTATGCAGGTTGATCTGGCGACGCCGAACTTCGTGATCCAGGAGATGAGCTTGGGGATGCATTACAATACTGAAGCGGGCGAGTATGATATCACGAGCTATGTTAAGGATGCGAGTGTCTTTGCTGTGAAAGACGGACACGTTGATGCGCTCACGGCGCCTGGGTTGGGCATTGAGGTTGATGAGGACGTTGTTCGGCGTGTTGCTGAGACCACTGAGCCATGGCTGCCTAAGGAGTTTTTTGGTCCGGATGGAGGCCTCCGGGAGTGGTGATTAGTAGGTCGTGTTGCAGTCGTTCTATATAATGATTTGAGGATTCTGGTAGATTTGGCGTAATGCGCTGCACAATTTGGGCGAACAGTATAGAAAGCAAACCTACATTAAAGCGTATAGAAGTTGATAATTCCTCTATTCGGTCGTTGCATCTGGCGCTATATACACTCTTGACATCTCTATGTACTCAAAATATCCAAAGCACTCACCGCATTTCAAGCTGCTGCCCGCGCAGCGTTACACTCATCTGCGCGTCTAATGCAATCCAATATCAAACCCCAGAACGCCTCGAGATCGACAGCGCGGGGAATAGTCACCCCAGTGGGATTGCTTGCAACAACCGAGCGACCCAGTGGCCCGACAAGGGCAATATCCGACCCATGCAGACCGTCAGTGATGACATTAACGGAGAACCGTTCTCCGTTGCGGTCGTCGAATTTGAGAGTTTTGGCGGGGTTTCTATTAGTGAAGTCGGGGTTGAGCGTGGAGAGAATCACAGCCACGGCGAGAGGGTCATGGAGTGGAGGGCCTGTCGTCAGGCCAAATTCGGTTTCGTAGGTTGAGGCAAAGAAGAGTAATAGTTCATAGAGCATCTGGCGGAGTGTAGTGGGGGGTGTAGATGGGTCGCCGTCCCCGTGTAGGATGCGGGTTTGTACGTCCCTCGAGGCGAGCACTTGGTGCGTTAGATCTAGTGTGATGAGGAATGTCTTTGGGGCAAGGACGGGGTTGCTGAAGATAGATTGAGAAGATTCAGGATCGCACTGTATGGTGTTTCATGATTAGGAAGAAGCCATCGCCGGCTGTTCTTAGGCAGGACACATACGTAGATGTTGAACTCTGCCAGGGGAGTCACATTGCCAATCCTGTTCTCGTGCCCGTCCAGTCTACTGATGGGGGCCTCGGAAAACCCCTCGCCAACGCCGCCTCCCATGATGCTCAACCCTTTGATATGCGCCGCGACTTCGGGGAAGGTCGCGAATAACAAGGCAACATTGGTCAACGTGCCCGTAGCTATGACCCAGGGGGTACCTTTGGGCCGCGCCATCAGCGCATCACGCATGGCGAGGATTGGATTCTTGTCCGTAATCGGTGCTCTTGAGGCCTTGGGTAGAAGCTCAGTGCCGTCGATCCCCGAGTCGCCTGAACCCGTCCATCCGATGGTTAACCTGCAGAACGAAAGACGTGATTGCGGGGTACTGACCATGGATATTTGGGGCATGCACTGCGGGCCGGCAAAATGGCTTCGTAGTTCCCGGATAGACAGGAACTTCTGGCCTACCAATTGCCTCAAGGACCCTCGTGGCATTGATGGTAGTGTTCTCCAGTGAAGCATTTCCATGGATCGTGGTGATACCAAGGAGATCCAGGGATGGATGGTGAGCAGCAATTAGAATTGCAAAAGCGTCCTATGTATTTGTAGATAGGGCCTTGGTAAGTTTTTAATGATCATCAAGCCGCCAAAAAATATGAACAGCTTGTATATATCACTTACATCGTGGCCTGGGAGCAAATGTCAGCATTGATAAGGAATAGGGTGTGTGATCGGGTAGGGGTGCAGACCAGGATCGCAGTCCAACCAGAGAGGGATCGGCTGATCTGATGTCGAGCTCATAATTCCTTCTAAGGCGGGAATGTTGCCTCTAAGCCGCCGTTATACTGAAGCGCTGGTATGTATGAAGGCTGCAGACAACAAGCAAGGAGGCGGGGGGTGGGGATGCGATAAGCCTCCGAGTCGTTATCGCGAGCCGCAACCCTATGCCCTACCTTCCAGATTAGGAAAAGTAACTGCAGTGACGTCTCATCCTCGCGCGTCCGTCGCGGAAGTTGATGAGTTGCTTGGACAATTCTCCGATACTGCCCCAGATCACCGATTTCTGCTGGTTTTCAATTGTTTTACTCCGTCTACCTGTTTTCTGCGATGAAATGACCACCGACCCTGTTTCTTCGGGCCTCCACCCCATTTCCAATCTCAAAGCGGGCCCGACGACCTCCAGTTCCAGGTCAACAGCCATCCCAGCGTCTTCAACCCCAGCGCCGCCCTCACAGTACTCCCAGCGTCCGCAGGTGGCGAAGAACATTAGCCGAGATGAACTGAGCAACTCAACAAGCGACAAGGCTACAGCCGCTCTGATAAGACGCGTGCTTTGTCCTCAGTCGGGAAGCTATGGCGGAGCCGCATCTTCTGCTCCTGAGGAGCTACTTCCCCCGCTTACGAGCTCGAATGATGTGGACCGTCAGCTCTACGCCCTTATCGCCATTATCATCAAGGAGTTTGTCTTGTCTTGGTATTCCAAAATTACAGCAGACCAGTCTTTTATCAACGAGGTGCTCCAGGTAATTGCACACTGCACCCGAGCTCTTGAGCAGAGGTTGCGAGAGGTAGATGTTGCCCAGCTGGTTCTGGACGAGCTACCCGCATTGTTGGAGGCCCATATCGTTTGTAAGTGCACTGATATCCGATATGCGTGGGGCAATCATTGACCCTGACCTTTTTGTACCTAGCATACCGACTAGCCAAAGAGCAGTCTTACTTGTCCGGCCTGTCGCCTTCTTCTCGCGAGATATATCATGCTCTGAACCCACATCCAGGTCTCTCGCCAGTGCCAGATACTTCGGATCCTCCTTCTATCTCTACGCAGCGAGAAAACGAAGCGGCATATCGAAGGCTCTTGGCGAATGGGGTTCTGGCTGTTCTTCTTCCGACTGAAGATCTCGAGAATGCATGCCTGCGGACTCTCATGAACGACATCTTCAGCGATCTCATCCTAGGGAACGAAGTGAGTGGGAGGGTGTGCGAAGGCTGGTTCTTGTGGGAGAGTACAGCGAAGCTGCTTGACTTGCTTGCAAGGAAAAGAAGCGCCGATAAAGACGGAATTGCAGAGACCGAGGCATCCCGCTCAAATCAACTACAGCAGTTTGGCTTGCTTTCCTCGCCCAACAGCAGCGAAACTAGCCATTCCTCTTCCAGTGCCCAATCACAGACCACAAGCTGGATGTGGTCTTTGCTTCAATACTTTTTCATGGCATATGTGACTCTACGTTTCATCGTAGCCGGCCTTTTTCGCGTTGCATCCACACCTCCAGTGATTTTGAGTTCGCACTTGAGCCCTGGTATCCCCGTGGACGAGCCACTCTCCAAACGCGGCCAGCCAGGAAAGCGCCCCGTGCTTGATTATCGGTTTTATGGCATGCTGTCGCAACTGTTGGATATTCCGCGTCGGATGCCATGGCTAGGAGGACTGCTAGCCCTCTTTCAATATTTGATTCTTGCGGGTCCGGGAAGAGTAGGAAACTCGGGCGGTGTTCTCGATAGGTGAGTCGCTCTTTTTATTTGGAATTTTGAAACTTCATTTTACCGTTGCCCCTCCGAGTCTTGCGCCAAATGTCTCGGGCCAGTCCACATGGTCCGGATCTGTCTCGAAGGAATCGGAAAAACTCGAGGGCTGTCCACGGCTGTGAGCGAATTGTGGAGCAGGTCGTATATGGTTTGATCTCCGAACGATGATCTACGAATGGCGCTGGCAAGTGCTTTCTCAGACCAGCGAGTCATTGGAAGAGGGTCGAAAAGCAGCGGGACGTCAATGCAGTTGATTTACATTGCTCGCATGCTGCATCGATCACTTGATCTGCTGGTGGATGCACCGCGCATCCTTCGCAATCTGCAACAATCGACTGTCATTCGCTCGTGCCGCCAGGTATTCGGCGTTACGGACCCTGACCGCAAAATACGGTTATATAACAATACGTGTATCGTCAATACGGCCGGAGAGAGGAGGTCCCCGGCAGACCCCTGGCGACTTTTCGGGTTCATTGCTCATTTTGTGCGGGTCTTTAGGACTGTTTGTCCGCGATTCTTCTGGTCGCCTCTTGTGCAGCTTTCACCCTTCAAGGGAACCAGGATTGAATATCACGCCGTTCGCCGATTGGTTGTGTCTCGCAAAGCAAAAGTCAGATTTCACACTGAGCTCTGTCCATTCAGTGCTTATAATTGCTCAGGAATATTTTGGACAGGCCCGGCCCTTTCCGTCCCGTGCTGGATCCAGACTTCGTTGTCCATCTCCGCCTTGATTTTTCAAAGATGCTGGCAAGAATCGAAAGCAACAAAGAACCCTCTTCTCTCGCAGATCATAAGGTGGCGGGGCGCACTCAACCCCTGCTGCAAACACTGCCTGCCACTTGGAAATTTTGACATCAGTGTCTCAGAGACCCCCCCGGCGATCGCGTATGGGGAAAGGGCTCTTTCGTTAGTCCTGGAGTCTTTCGCATAAAAGGGCCACTGGGCCAGTCCATTTTGCCTACATTTCTCCTTTTTCGGGCCAATCAGCGAAATTCCTTGTCGTGATTTTTTTGAATTCCACCTGCAGCCGAGGAGCGTTCCGTGGCTCCTGGCGTGTTCAGGCCCGGCGGCTGAACCTATGACAGTCCAGCAAAATATCTGGCCGCTTGGTGGCTCTCTCTGATTGACGATGTACGCGCCGACGAAAAGACCATCTCGATCTGAGCATTGAGATTCGTCGCCAGCCTCTCCATTGCTGAGGGGGCTTTTCATTCTTCTCAGCAACTGGCCCAAGCTCCTCGATTCGGTCTGATTAGACAGCTCCTGCCCATTGAATGACCGAATTCTCTCATGGCACTGCAATCTCACCACACTTTTCAAGACGGTCAGAAATGAAAAGGCGGGACAGAGCAGAATCCCTGCAACTAAGAGAACGCTTGTCAGGGCCGCCAAACCCAACTGCTTCTCCACACCTATCGCTCGCGCCCTCAACGGCAAGTTTCTACCTTGTTCTCTTGGGCATTTGTAGAGCTACGGGTTTCCATGCCTTCGTTCCGGACATCACTAGGGAGCACAGCCAAGGAAGTGAAAATCATTTTTTTACTGACCCTAGTTCTCCATCCAGGTTCCTCCACGAGAACATCCAGGAGTATGTCCTCACCCCCACTTTGTTACCCAATCTCCTACTTGCATCACGAGAGGCGCTTTTTCCGCATAATACTCGTCCAAAATCTGGAGCGAGCGACAGTCGCATTGAAGGGTTGACCTTGACCTCGACGCCGGCTCCGCCAATTTCAGAGGAGGCGCTACCCTCAATTGTCCATCATACGCAGACGACTACTGCCTCTGGCGGCAACCCAATAATGCCCGCTCTTATAGCGACAACGGCGGGATCTTCTCCCTCGTCGGCGGATCCGCAGCGGCGTCCCTCAACCGCCGAAATCGCCTCGATAAGGCGAAAGTGTGCCGTCGGCATTCTCTCCCTGATACCTCGCCCAATCGCACGCCGGCTGCTTGGCATTTCAACCGAGACTGCCCCTGGAGAGAATCTTAATCCCGCGCAATCTCCGAGTCATTTACACGAGTCTGGGCCTGCGATGCCACAGTCGCCTTCGCCTAGCGAGTCTCGTAAGGGTGGCGTCGAAGAGATCCTCTTGCTCTCCGCGATCGAGAATGATATCCTAGATCTGTTCGCAGATGAATACTGCAATAAACATCTGATCTACTCGATTATCGAGGCTGTGCTCGCCAAGCTGCTGCCTGAGCTGTCGGATCGTAGTATCGCGGAGCTGATGGAGGATAGGGGAGTTTTCGTCCATACTGGTTGAGTTTGCGATACTAGCAATTCCTTGCACAACCTACGTCCCTAATGTTATCCCCCCTTAATGTAGTAATGGCTAATGAAGACTTGTTCACTCTTAACCAACTTGTTCATGTACGCCCTTCTGCGGCACCATGTTGCGCCTTTCAGCCTCGTCTCAACGATAAGACGCTGATCCTGTCTGTATGACCCCCTCAAGGTTTCTCCAATATGCGAACTCGATGCAGAGCACAGACTCTAGAACCAAGAAGGTTAACGAGCGGTGCGGTACAGACCGACGGCGGCGGCGGCCAGCCTGACAGACAGGCAGGCAGATGGCAGATCGCCTCTCTCCCGCGGAAACCAATGGCTCAAGTCAGCCAGTCCAGATTCCAGACGGTCAAGGGAGGGTAATAAACCAAGATAAGATCGGATCCGCGCCGCAAACCGCGATCGTTCCTTAACTGCCAACCAACCCATCCACTCCCCATCCCCCGATTATTCCCCATCGAGGGCGGCCGGCCAACCCCGGAGGGCGATCTGTGGAAACCGGATGTGGGAAGGTTATAACAAAGAAAGAAAGTTAGAGTTCGCTACCGAGGTGGGGACAGCCTGGAGACTACTCCGTTAGACTAGTCCGGAATCGAGGACCAAGAGGTCGACTCGAAGTTCGAGTTCGATGACGGGTGGATACGTGAAGGACACTCAAGCCTCGGTAGTGCACATTGACTTGCGCTGAATCAGACGTAGCTCCAGCAACCCTTGAACCTAGGGATGGCAGGGTCGTACAAACTCATTCCCAAAGCAGTAGGCGATGGACACTGGCATGGACCGGGGGAGATGATCGGATGCAGTGAGGATGAGGAGCTGACTTCGAGCTGCCGAGCTACCTATGCATGCAGAACACCTAGTTTTTCCGCAATTGATATGCCAACTGGATGACCCCGGGAATCTAGACGTGGATTGGCTGGATTTGGGGGAAATGGTGGTGGGTTGGTGCGCGCTCCAGAGCCGAGCTACAGTGCACACTCCGTTCTAGGACCAGTCTGTATGCGGCCTCCCCGCGCGAACAGGTACATATGCCTACAGGCTGAGTACATGCAGCAACAAGCAGACTTGGGCCTGAGAGTTAATGGAGGTGGCACAGTATGTACGAGCGACGGGGATGGTCGTACAGGTACCTAACGCGGCGGTATGCGGTACCCAATGTGTACTTCATCCCGACGCGAGTTTCCGCAGCGAGCTCAAGTACATCTGCTGTACCTGCGACCAGGATGTGAGGTATAGATACATATCTTGTTATCTGGGTACTTATGTATGCAGGCCTTGAAAGAACAAGGTCGGATAAGTCTTCTGAGTCGGGTGATGGAAGGAAAGGTACGGAGCTCGGAAAATGACGCAAAAATTGCGGTGAGCATAATTAGGAAGTACGTTGGGGGAAACAGGGAAGAAAAAGAAAGGAAAAAGGACATTCCGTAGCCCGTATTTCTTCGTCCAATCGAGAAAGATGTAAAAAGGACGGTGATGCGAATATGAATATGTTGTTGTGAGGAATGATTGATGATGGAGAGGGAATGACAAGGGGGAATCATGCAATTTCGCGTGAGCGATCTGGTTTAGTGCAGGCAATAGATCGTAGGAAAACAAAACAGGAATCTCAGGGGGTGTAAGATTGAGAGGTAGTGCGCGAGAGAGATGCGAAAGAAGAAATCCTAGAAAAACGCGGCAATATATCCTCCGTGCGTCTGTTCCTCAGCAAAAGTAACCGTAGTCCTCCGTAATATCGTATAGAGTGAGGTTGCCCTCGAGTATCTTTACCATCCGATTTTGCCCAAAATCCAGCAGAATGTGCAGTGTGCTTAATGAAACAGGGAATCAATAATAATCCAAACATTACAGATGCAGAAAAGCAGATAGCCAGCCAGCTCCATAGGTTGCAAGAAAGAAAGAAAGAAAGACAGAACGGGTGGCGACGGTCACTGCCTTGTGACCTGGTGTCGCAAGGACGGCGTATTAATTATCCTAGATTATGGATGCTTCGCTTCTTGACGAGATGAGGCGCGTCTTCGTGCTCATCGATGCGAGTCAGCCCCCCGGGGAGCGTGGGAGGAGCTTGAATCTTGGCAAGCTCTAGCCTCTCCATCAGTTTGCCAATGGTCACATATTCCTGAGCGCCGAGTCCAGAAGGCTGATGTTCGAAATAGCTCATTACCAGCTCCAGGGCCTTGCGGGCTTCATCCTGAGTAGGAGATCCTGGGGAGCTGATGGGAGAAACGGTTGTGGACTTCGAGTAAAGCGGAGGATATATGGTCTTGGCCCGGATTTCAGGATTGCTCCGATTTCTCTTGATCGTACCGGAGGATGTGTCGATATTAAGCGCAATTTTCTGGTCCTGCTCTTCCTTCAGGAAAGGTTCCTCCTGCAGTGGTAGAAGCTCCTTAGAAAACGTCGATTCGGGTTGATCAGCCGTCATCGTCGTCATCGTATCGGTATTAGGAAGGGGAAATGTTTGGCTCCGAGGCCTGCTCGAGTTTCCATCGGTTGGAGATATCCGGGATTGACTGGTAGGTGTGAAAGGGCTTTCGGAGATCAGAGTAGATGTAGGCGAGAAAGAAGATGTCGTATCAAGCGAAATTGTACTCTTGGAGTGCGTATGTTGAAAGTCAATGCCGAGATCCCCAGGGCCCAGAGAGATACTCCCTCTGATATTCTCCTGGCTTTGCACCGGGGACAGTGGCGAAGGCGAAGCGAACCCGGTAGGCGATATGGGGGAAAGCACGGTGGGCGACTGTACAGCGGAGGCAAGAGCCGAGTTGATACTCAAACCAGTCGGACTCTCCGAATCGCTCTTGGTACCATTGAATGATCCTTTGCGTGATTTTGCGCCGAGTAAGCCGTTCTTTTGCTTGAACTTCTCCAGCCAACTGTTGCTCAGCACCTTCTCTTTACCGTCAGAACCGCCACAGGTGCTCGCAAAGAAGAGAGCCTTCTCTCGAATGATCTCGTCGTTAATACGATTTCCGCGTCGCTGGTAGTTCCTCACCCAGTTGGCGAGGGCTTTTTCAATGTCCGGGACCCTGCCCTTGGCCCTTTTGATGGGCGATCGGCTCCCATCTTCAGGATTCAGGTACTTGTCCTTTTGCCGCAAGACTTTTGAGACGGTGCTAGAGGGGCAAGTTAGAATGCTTTGACCCGGGAGTTCAAGCAGCAATGCCCCTAGGGGAGTCGTCACTTTACCTTCGTTCTACCCCAAAGAGAGCTGCTCGTGACTCATTAGTTCTGACTGATTTGATAGGGTGGGGAGGTGTTAAGGCCAGGCGACTTACCTCCAATATCGGTCTGTTTGGCGGTCTTGTTTTCTTCATGGTAAAGACACATGCGCCGGCGGTCTTCATCAGTAAGCGTCCTGCGTGGGGTCGAGCTACTAGTGGACGACTTTCGGGGTGGCGGGACAGGAGCGATGGGAGATACAGACGGGGCAATATGTACCGGGGCTGCTGGAAGTTCTGGCGGCGGGAATGGCGGCTGAGAAGTAGTGGTGAGCATGCTGGGCCAGGCATTGGAAGGGACGGTCATCGGCAAAGGCGCATAAGGAGGTGGTATCGTGACACCGTAGGAAGTATCTAATGGCACCACACCGTATCCAAAGCCGTGATATTCCATTGGAGGCGAGTGCTGGGAAGGGTGAAAGCCGCCCATGTCAACCCAGGGAGACTGCGCAAAGCCATTGTCTTGCGCATGGGGGGTCTCTGTATCCATGGCTGTGGGAGCTGAGCTGTTGGATACAATGCAACTTTGGAGGCGCCAAAGGGCTGGAGAAGGGGCGGGATGTCTGGCGGGGAGGAGAGCACACTAAGTATAAGCTGCAGGCCAGGCGCTGCTCAATCGAATTTGAAAGCGAAGGCGAGAGGCGTGAGGGGATGATGGGTCGCGAGGAGGAGGATAGAGGAAAAAGCAAAGAGACAAAAAGCCGGTAAGAGCAGCAGCAGTAGTCTAGAGCCGGGACAGGGAAAGACCAAGCAGATGATGCATGTTCGACATTAGACAATGAAGCGATACGCGATTACAGCAGCGAGGGGCAGCACGAGCAATCGGCGGCATGGGCAGGAGATCGGTTCCAGAGAGCTAGACAGAGCTATCGCCAGGCGACATGTATGCATACAAGAGAGCTGGGTGACAGGGAAGAGACGAAGAGGAGGAGGACAGGAACTTCAACAGGGTGGATTTGGATGCGTGTAAGGCATGAGCGGAGTTTAAAAATTGGTCAGGCCAGGGCGCAGGCACAGGGACGATCACAAAAAGAAAAAGGAAAGGTATCGGCCAGAGCGGATTGCGTCGAGGGAGTAGGGACGGAGTTAGTCTGTCTAGCAGCAAGAGGGCAGGTCAGGTATACTCCTCAGGACAAGGCTTTCGGTCCATCGCTGTGTGGATGGTGGAAGACGAGAGCCCGAAGTTAGTGGTACTTCCTCGTCCTACCCCGACTCTTCCTGATTGCCATCGTATAATTCCTTTTATTTCCTTTTTTTCTTTTCGATTTTTATTAATTGTACGGCGACTGGGGCTGGATTCGACAGACTCGACACTTGCAAAGCAGAGACCGATTAAAATTACGGCCGGAGTCCAGATAGTCGAACGGGATCGAAAATCCGCGTTTCTGCGCTCTCATAGGCTCGTGCTCAAGCCTCTGCAGCAGAAATGGTGGGGGAATCTGCCGATGATTCGTCCGCTTTGAGATTGACGAACAGGGACCTCATTTTGGGCTGATATACCGTATCATAACCACTGCCCTCGTCACGCCCCGTACAGCATCGTGTCAGCGTACTGTACGGAGCGTTGAATCAGGGTTTCAAGGCCTAACGCGGGTGGGAATGGCAGCAACAGTGTGAACATGGTGATAAAACACCCCAAGGTTCATCAGAAACCGATGACGACTTCTTGACTCGACCCCTCCGCTCAAAACGTGGTGGTCGGGGTTCAGAGCCCGATTCCAGGCCAGGTGGAGCTGAACGAACAAGGGCCAAAGGGAACAAAGAAAAAAAGCAGGCTCCTCGAGTCTCAAGCGCTCGCAATAATGGGGGCTGTCAACTCAAGTAAGCACTCATAATGCAATTCTCCTCCCCCTCTTCATTCTTCATTTTCACCTCCTCAACTGTACCTCCATCTGAATTTTGCTTCCTTTGCGCATTTCCCGCTTCTGGCTGCGAGCCTTACATAAGCGCTTGGTTCCTGTATGACACGATCCCCCAAGGTGTAACTCCACCATCCATGAAGATCAAAACTGAAATTGCAGGGAGGATCGACCGCGGTCGAGAAATCATGGCTGTTGACTCGCTGGCCGCTGTGGATGAAGTACATACTCGACTAAGCGTCCAAGACTCATCTTGAGTTTATGACGGACGGGGAGCGGATCGTGAGAAACCGGTGAACCTAAAGGCCCGCATGACATTTATGAACGAAGACCACCGAGTCTTTCCATCTCTATGGCTTATCGACTGGTGACCTTTGAGCACAATGCTTCCGTAAACGGCAAACCAGGACGCCTCTTTCATTACGGGCCATGATATAGATCAAGCCCCAGCAGGTACCATGCACATGTGAAGCTCGGCTTGGGCATTTAGAAGTAGGTAGCGCTTTTTACCCGTCAGAAACTGGTTCGTTGAGGCGCGTTGAGGAAATGACCAGCAAGGTCGATCTTTATCATGATCCCGGAAAGAACAACTTGAACGAAGGCCTTATTTCGGCTGATCATCAACAAATCGAAACTCGAGCAGGTCGGTTGTCAGATTGGGCGGATATCCACCCAGGGCGTTACTATTCCTTTCTCTGCTCGTCAGACCGAGAGGAGCGGAAAGAGCTCGCTCGCTCAGGAATCCTTCCACCAAGCTCTCAGTTTGGACTAGCTCCAGGAAACCTGATCAGTGAGTTAGCCCCGTCAAAAGAGCAAGCAAGCTTGATCTGCTTCCATTGTACTCCGTACTTTGTCACGAGCGAGCCAGTTAGGAGAAGACTTACACGAATCAGAGGCCCTGGAGTGATTTCAATTTCTTATTTGCAACGAAGGCTGAGCAAGGATTGGAAGAAGAGCGCAGCCTATCATGGCGTGCGCGGCCAGCATGGTTCCTTCAGAGGGTGACACTAACTGTGCCAGAGCTCAAGCCAAAAGCAAGAGCAACAAAAAAAAAAGCTAGGACCCCACGCTCCACAAGGCCCGCTGCGGTCCACACCGGGCCGCCAGTCTTTAGCTATGCAAATCTTAAGTGGGAGAAATTTGCAACTCGCCTTTCTTGCAAAACCCTGTCTTTGTGCAGGGAACTCCGAACAATCCGGTCTCCCCGGTCTTATACCCTGAGGTTCTGACTCGGGGGCTGAATCTCGTTCGTTTGCAAGATCGTACCTGACTCCGCTAGAAAAAAGCGGTCCAACCCCCATATTGGCCTGGGCCTATTTGTGCCGTCTTCTCACGTCGATGTGTAATTCAGGGAATTGATGTATCAGTGGCGTGGCCAGCCTTACTGGGGCTTGGAACCCCAGCCACTAAAGTGTTCAGCAGCTGCAACTTGTCCCGATCGGGTAACCGTAAAGGTCCACTATGAAACGTGATCAGGGCCACGCTCCAATCATTGCCTCTGGACTGCATGTTTTGGCTGACCACGAGGACTGTCAGGCTTCAGCCAAGTGAGTTACCGATGCCGATACTCGTAACACGTTGGTGAGTTGACGGTGCTAACTGTGGCTTCCGCTCTTCCTTGGGTAAAGCCCCATCTACAATCCTAGCCTCAAGGAAGGACCCTGGGTCAACCTAGGTCGTCGAATCTCCAAGATCATCAAATCTGAGCCATCGTACATACTTTATTCTGGGCAGAAATATTTTGACAGCTCATTGATGATTGTATCCTTCTCCCTCTTTCGCTTCTAGGGACATAGCCCGCGCTTTAAACAGCGAACTTTTGACCACAGTCCACATGTGCCTCTCGAAGGTGCATACTCCGTACATACTCCGGAGTAGGCCGGCTTGAAGCCGACAATCCCTTCCACAACAGGCAAAGTGGAAGTGAGGGTTGAGGCTTTTTCGAATCTGCATTGGATACGAGTCAGGGTCACTTGAGGCGGTGCGTATTCAAAGTTGATGGGCAGGCCCAACCAGTCGGATGCCTGGAAAGAGAAGAAAACGCACGAAAAGAGGAAAGTTAGGTGGAAACAGAGTCATTCATGATTTATCCGTGTCGGAGAATCGCAATCTGCTTGGTGAGGAGGATTCGATAGCCTTATCGGGGGATATCTCCAAGAATAGATCTGTCAGGTACCGCACCATGACAGCAGGTTGCTTTGCGTCTATCAAAGGATATACCCTCCTGTTTGGGTGATAGTTTTGGTGAGCACTCATTCGACAAGGTGTTCTCCGTCGGTACCCCAGGGTCAGCATGCAGCTCCAGCCAGGAAATCTTGAGCGACTCAGCGAGACCATCGTGGGGCAGAGGCTGGATTCTCAAGGTTGTCGTCATCATCACTCCAATGCTTGAAGTCAAAGCACGTAGGGCTAATGAAGCTAATAAGGTCCGATCTCGCCTTCGAATAGGATCATGACATCAGGCGACCAAGGGGAGGATCCTCTGGAGTCTGCAGCGATGGTATGACAACTACTTCAGGCCGAGATCTGGCGGCAGGAAAAACAACGACTTGACATGTCTCATCAAGATTTTCTCTCTAAGATCAAGGCCAGAACAATGAATGACCGATCGATTCAATCAAGACCAGCCGGGATAATTGCCTTCTTTTCCGAGTCTCTTTGTTCATTGGCGATTTGGCATTAATAATATTGTCACAAACCCCCGCCATCCAAAATCCAAGCTGATATGTGGCTGGACCGAAGGATCCGCGACATCCAGACCAAAAATAAGGTAGCGGAATAAGAAAGCAACGACAAGCGATGTTTCCGCGGCTGCCATATTGGCATTTGCATGGAGGCCAGCCTCTGAGACTCGTTGATGTGACAACTGCCTAAGGGAGAGGGCGTTGGCGAGTACCTGCCTGGGTACCTAACATCTTAGGCATCCAATGGCTCTCCGGACGGTCCTCAGGCACTGAGGCTACAATCTGAGTACCCAGGATAGACTATTGCACACAGAACGAGGCTGTGCTAGGAACAGCAGTATTGAGCGACTGAGAGACTCGGAAAGACTCTGCCCCCTGCGTCAGGGAAGAGCATCCTTATCCGCCGGAGTCGGTGAATAAACCCCGTGTGGGCTACGCAAATATTCGGCGGAGATTGGATTGCCTGATGGGCAGTTGAACGGCAGGCTGAGACCGATAAGTGAGCGGTGATGGCGATTCGCAAAAACTTATCAATCAGTGCCCGATGGAACTAAAGTTGCTAAGTCACTCAAGAGATGGAAGGGGCCCCATTCCCGCGTAGACCGCCGTTCGCAAGTTTCTTGAGGGCGGAGAGTGGATTGCAAAGTGAAACTCCCAACTCCAGTCGCAATGCACGTCATCCGCATCGGAACCTTATTGGATCGAGCCTTCTAGATGCAGTGGATGAGACAAACAACAGTTAGCCGCTTTGAGTAAGTGCTGGGCAGCTGGACTCCAATCCAAGATGCCAAAGTCTGGAAGGCTAGAGGAAAGTTGCTGCCGGACTGTAACACCGTCGAGGATGAACCAAGGAACCGAAGAGGGGGAATTGTACTTTTGAATGTTCAATACCGCAGTGAAGGGCTTCTTGAGAACTTGTTCAGGTTCAAGTCTGACGGTAAATACGGAGACCAGATCGAATAACTCGCATTGGCGAATCAGCGAATGTGCAATCTCTGAACTGCCGCATTTATTTCTTATTCTCTTAGCCTGAGGGGTCGTCGACTCGCAGGCACCCCGGACCCTGTCGACCTGCAGCACGATGGCTGAATTGCAGCCTTGACTCCCCCAGAGTGACGAGTCTAGTCCGGACAGATTCAAATCAATTCGGGTCCAGTCTGCTGGCTCCTCATGCAGGATGCAGTCCACGTTCAAAAAGCCAGGAACTCTCTCCTGAATCCAGGGGGGCGCTGCCATCCGCACTGTCGAGATCTCGTGGAACGGACTAGAAGAGTTCCTGCTGGGTGCACGAGGGACATGTGTGAGTTTGTCTCGCACAAGCTGGCGTCAACCTTAGTCCATCATCGGACATCCGGCAGCTTCGACCTTGCTTCGTCTACAATGGCTCACTACTATGGCCAAGAACTCGCCCATCGCCTTCCACCACCATTGGTGGACACGAGTCACATCACCAGGTGCTTTTATTTGTTCTGTTTCATTTATCCGAGGCCAAAGCGGCAATTTTTCTCAAGCCGCAATATCTTAGTACGTTATCGGGGCAATCACTCGCTCTGCCCGTCAACTCGTTCAGATATCCTGGGCTGGGATCTAGAACTTCCATTGCTTTGACTTCGGAGAATTCGGATCTTTGCATGGTCCAAGAGCGCCTCGACCGTTGAGCTAACATGAATGAGAGCGAAATAAAGTTGGCAGGACTATGTACTGCTCACCAAGAATCTCTGGCGTTTTGAGTAGCTTCCCCCATGCCAAATCGCGACCAACAAGCTTCTCGCGCCCCTCCTCACACAGCTTCTCGATTAAAATCGTTTGCGCATCACATCGGGCAGCAGGCGACTGCAGACTTAGTCGTGGTGCAGGTACCCCAAGGCTAGCTAGTGATCTTGCGAATCCAAGCGGCAGATAGCAGCTTGCTGCCCGTGCGCATATCACCCCCTCCAATCAGACCTCTTATCCCATTTGCAGGTATTTGTCACAGGGGTCGAAAACCCGAGGATATAGAATCCTTAGCGACAACACCCCTCGCACACAGCCGGCTCAACCTCATCGACGCGATTCGTCGCAGGTAGATTCGTGTCCAGGCGAACACCTTGGAATCGATCAAATTCGGGTACCTTTACCGCTTGATAATGGTCACTATTGTCTCACCGTTAGTTCTGATATTATGCCAGAGAACCTTTAAGATAGGGGCAACGGACCAATATCCTCATCGGCGAGCTCGTGGGTGAGACCGACACGTTGAGGTTGGTGTTTAACAGACCGACCATACACAATAGCTTGTTTAAACTGATCCTTGATCGTCCGGTGAATTGAGTTACACTAACTGCGGGTCAGCGAACCATGGTTTGATGAGCTTACAAGGCAGAAAAGGGGCACATACGAAGTCTTCGACGGTGCAAGCCGTGGATCGAAGCACAACAGGTGCGGTATAGTCAGGCGCCTTGCCCTTGGGTTTCGTGTAAACCCGCCTGAGATTGAGTTTTTCCCACATCATTTCCAGAAGCTCATCAATGTTCCAGCCGTGTTCAGAGCTGATGGGGACTGCGTTAGGAATTCGGTACAAGAGGTCGAGCTCCTCAATTGTGATGGCATCAATCTTGTTTAAGGCATAGACAACAGGGATATATGCACGGCTCTTGGCTTCAAGGACATCAATGAGATCGTCGATCGTTGCGTCGCATCGAATTGAGATATCTGCGGAAGAAATTTTGTATTCGCTCATGACAGCCCTGATTTCCTGTTTGATTGGGCAAAGTCGCGTCAGTTGCTGCGACATCTTGAAGTACCGGAAAAGAAACTCACATCATTATCGATATGGGTTAGGGGGACAGTGCTCGTAATCGAAATGCCACCCTTGTCCTTCTTCTTGAATAGAATGTTGGGAGGTTGCTTGTTGATCCTGATACCGAATCCTTCCAATTCGTTTTCAATAACCTTCTTGTCAACCAATGGCTTGTTGACATCGAGAACGATGAAGATCAGATGGCAAGTTTTGGCCACAGCAATAACCTGTCGACCACGACCCTTACCATCCTTGGCACCTTGAATGATACCTGGAAGGTCCAGAATTTGGATTTTCGCACCATTGTATATGACTTGGCCAGGAACAGTCGTCAAAGTCGTGAACTCGTAAGCGGCCGCTGGTAGGTCATCTCGTCAGTACTAGAGAGATAGGTTGTTTGCTAATGGTTGAACATACCTTCCGAATGTTGACCCGTCAACTTGCTCATCAATGTACTCTTTCCTACGGACGGAAAACCGATGAACCCACTATTCCCGGTCAACACCAAGCCCATGGAACGGCAGACGCGACGATATACTTACACACTAGCAACACCAGTACGGGCGACATCGAAACCAGCTAAACCGTCGGGTCAGCCCCAGCCTACGTTGGCCGTTAATGGAAGCTGCACTTACCACCACCGCCGCCGCCACCTCCTCCGGTCGGCGTAAGAAGCTCTCGCTTCAATTTTGCAAGCTTAGCTTTCAACTGTCCTGTACGTCTTCCATCAGTCATCTATTCCTGTTGACATAGAGCTCGGGTGCGCAAATCCTACCCAAGTGATAGGCCGTCGCCTTGTTCTTCTGCGTCCGAGCCATCTGGAATCCGTGTTAACGTGCGTCAGAGTAACCGTTATCGGAGGGCGTGGAGCGAACCTCATCTTCGACTTGCTTGATCTATGTCGTGCATGGCATGGTTAGCAGCGTTCCTGAAAGAATGCCGCGGGGAAATCCAACCTTTTCAACTGTGGTGGACATCTTGTTGCGAAGTTACGAGGTTACCCCCTCGTAAACAGGACAATGCAGGGAATATGATGTCAATGTATAGTTGAGTGTGGCTCGCTGAAGACTCCTCGCAAGCTAATGCAGTGTTGAAAAGCAGGATGATGATGTTTGAAGGTTGGCGGGGATAGTTCAATCTTTGAATTTGTGGCCGCCACCTGATTCGCCGGCTGGCTGGGCGGAGTGGCCATGTCGCCTGAGGCAACAAGGCACCAATCCTTATCCCCTTATCCGCTTATCGTCGGTGGTGGCGCGACATTGGCTCCTTCCTGCAGGTCCTCATCGACACAATTGCTACTATATCCAACTGAACCCTGAGCTTGCGGTTACGTACTTTTGCCGTGTGTCACTTCAACAGCCCAGGCGACCTGTCTCTTCCCATGTCGTTGACAACGGAAACTATTATTTATTATTCACCGTGACCTCCCAGTCTCCCGACTTTCTCTACTCCCATTTCTATTTCATGACTCCAGTGTTCGACATACCCAGCAAGGAACTCTACACCTCTTAACTCTCGACCATTGAACCTCTTCAAGCAGTGAGCTCAAAATGCCGTATCTTGAATCCGGATCAGAGACCTCCTTAGACTCTGGGAAAGGGTCTAACAATGCATTCGAAGAGCTCGTCCGAGATCTCAGTGCAGCTCTAGGTCCTAGCTCAGGGCTCGACTCTGACGATGTGGACCCCATTGATATCCAGCGCTTGATGGAGCTTTACACTTCCAATCCAAAGGAGTGGCTACCTTTTGCTTTAGGGGATTCCAACAAGTCTTACACGCGGAATCTTATCGATGAGGGAAACGGGAAGAGCAATCTGGTAAGCGTCCTCCCTCTCACCGCCAGTTGTTATCTCGGCTACTCTCTTTCAGTTAGAAGGAGGCTGTTGTTGCCGTCAATATGCATACGGATGCATGGTGCATTGGGCCTTTACAGGGCGCCCGTGGGCTGAGAGAGATGGGTAGGTGCATGGAACTTGGTGCTAATATCATGATCAGTTAATCCTTGTCTGGAGTCCGGGCCGAGGAAGTGCCATCCACGACCATGCAAACGCACACTGTGTCATGAAGGTACTGTTCTGTACTATTCCCCGAAGTACAGACTTAACGTACTGAACTAACATTACCACTCTATCATGACCAGATTCTTAAGGGCACCCTTCGGGAAACACTGTACACATGGCCAGATCAGGATAAAGTACAGCACGGGGAATCATCGCCCCCCAAGATCACTAAAGTGACCACATACGGCGAGAATCAAGTTACCTATATGTCTGACCAGGTTTGTTGGACCTCCTTTACCAATTCTGCTTGAAAAATAGCTTACGTCTCTTGAAGTTGGGTCTGCACAAGATTCACAATCCAGACCCGAACAATGTGGCCATCTCTCTGCATCGTACGTACTTTTCAATCATTTATCGGATCTCAATTCTTCATGGCTTACACCAGGTCTCCCAATCCTAGTTTACACCCCACCCAATGCCGCAAACTACGGTTTCTCTGTGTTCGACGAGAAGTCCGGAAAGGCATGCCACATAAAGCAATCGCACTTCTACTCGGTACGGGGCGCGCGTTGTTGAACAGCAATGCCGCCCTCAATCAAACTGTACTCATATCACTCCCCGCCGCCTCAACATATCACAGCCCTCCGCCATGAAACTCGCATTCCTAGTAGCATTCTCATCAACGCCATTCGCCGCCTCTCCCGGCTATGCTCTCCAGCTAGGGCAAGGATTGAGCATCGTTTTGTGTGAATATTAATATGCATAATCGCAGTTGCCGTGTGGTAACTACTCATTACTAACGCTGAAGATTTGGCAGACTCCTCGTTTTCTGGCTTGCAACGTTCTGCGTCTCCCTATTTGTAGTTGGATACCAAGATACATCAATGCGAAATGACAATCAATGACCCATAATGTTCAGTCTGCTCTGTGCCAAAAATGGGAGTCAAATATCCATCCCACTCATGCAGTCTGCTCCGTATAGAACGATGCTAACGACTAAGACAAGTAGGAATAATGTGGTGAGTAATATACATGATACAATTATGCACTCTGGAACAAAACAAATAAGAAACAGCCCATTGAGCCAAGTATAATGCAAAGAATCCACCAAGGCTAGTATTGACCAATTCACACGGTCTACCTAACTAAGATTCCTTGTAGAGGATCTTAGTCAACCGCTCAACGAGCGATTCTGGATTGTCCAAGACGCCGGACTGGCGCCGCCGCAGCTCTTCGAGGCTGACTGAAGGATTCTGTAAATTCCCAGTATAAGTACGTCGCTCGAAGGAGGTGTAAAAATACATCAACCGTGAGACCCACCCAGTCCTCCTGGTTTGGCACGCCTTTTGCGGCGGGAAGTTGGTCTGACGTGTATTCGTCCGGGCTTCCTAGGGCCGGAGGGCGGTGGATTGGTGCTGGGGTGACAGGGAGACTGGGCCGTTCGATTTCGCTCGGGAAGTCGGTTACCCGCATTCCACTGCTCCCGCCCCTTGGGTCCTGATTTGGTGGAGATTTCTGTGGATTGGGACCACCGGAGAGGACCTGGATCTTGCCCTTGCGGGCTTGTTGAATGGTGTGTATATACTGTTGGATCTCGGGGACTTCGTCCCACGCGTTGGACCGGGAGTAGGTATCCCATGATTCACTCAGTAGGCTAGTAGCCTCCGATGTCGAGGATGCCTGTAGGGAAGATTGGGATGTCCGTGATTCTTCTTTAGGAGACTCTGGCAAGGTTGTTTGTCGGAATTGTGGCTCATCATTAGCAAAAACACGAGTCGGCTTTGGCGCGTTCGTTTCCCAGGGAAATATCCGAGCAAGTTTCTCTGGTTGTGGTTTTGTAGGGGGCACTTGGTAGTACATATTTTTCGGGGCTTCCGGATAAGACTCCGGGGGTTGAAAAAGCTGGTGGTCTTCAGACATAGTATATGTTTTCGTCTCTAATGCGATTCCTTCTGGCTTCGAGTTTAGCGGTGGCGGCTCACTAGAGTAAGACTCAGTAAATAGTAAAAGTGAATGACAGTGCAGTTAAAACACACCGAGACGCATCCCATTCAGCCTTGGGAGCTTCAAAGGTCGTTTCTGGTGGTGGCTGAGGTGTCGGTTCGCGATGAGTTTCCACTACTGGAGGTACTTGCTGATGATGGGCGTCAGGTTGACCGTGGTCCGGATGATGAACTGGCTCTGAGGCCACTGTGTGTTCTTGCTCTGGGAGACGTTGTACAAAGTGCGGAGCGGTTTGCCGATGCTGCTGAGGCTGTATATAGGTCCTGACATGCTCTTCTCCACGAACATATTGTGGAACCGCACTGACAATCGGATCAGGAGGGTGGTGTTCTCGTGGCTGCTCTTGGTGCCGCTCTTGATGGATCTGCTGATGACGCTGTTGTTCGTGCTCATGGTGGTGAACATGATTGTGTCCTTGGCGGTGTTCCTGGCGATGCTCGTTATAGTGCTCGTGATAGTGCTCATGAGAAGGCTCCGCCTGGACGGGTTGGCTCTGTTCTGTGGCCCACGTCACCTGAAGGGGCTCCGACGGATGAAACACTCGTGTCGTATCATGCGCTGCCTCTACTCGTGGATGGTGCTCCGGCTCTGGCGTGCTGTGCGTGTATGATGAGAACTCTGGCTGCGGCTGTCTTTGTTGGTCATGCGCTGGTGCGGAAACAAAAGGCGCCTGTTCAGTATGCTGCTGTTGTGTGGGCTCTGAAAAGGTCGTCGTTTGGACTATCTCGGGAACGGGTTCATTGGGTGGGGGTAGGGTTAGCGATCGGCTACTTGGGTATATTTGTTCCTAGTCACAGTATTAGCGTCAGAGACAGACATGTGGCATTCGTGGAGCTCAACGCCAGTCATGGGCGGCGACACTCACCACAGGCACAGGCCGATAATGTCGATCGTATATTGTCCACCATCTTCCCAGTAATTGATTGTACGGCGAATCAAAGGGCGCCACCTGTCGCGGCATGTTCCAAGGCTTCTGTGATCCAATAAAATGTATCATGCTGATCGTACTCTGGAAATGCTTGTACGCCGGAACATATTGGTAGTTTGCGCTCGGTGTACAGTTATACGTAAAGCTCAGCCGATGCCACTTCCGAAAGTGCATGTTGAGCAACCCCTGGTCGGCGCCATCAAAGCTGATACCCCGTTCCGCAAGTGCCCTCAGCGCATAGTAGTCCTGCAGGTTAGGTCGCAGTACCATTACTCCGCTGTTGAAGCAATCGGGCCAGCCGACATCTGGAGCAGCGGCAAAATCCACGTCCAAACTCAGAAGCTCATCCGGGGCGCGAATGGCTACCACATCAGAATCGATGTATACAATGCGCTTGAACTGTGTCTGTCGCCAGAGCTCGATCTTGGTGAACGTGGCTATTAGGTCTGGGCGTTCCATGAGCCAGAGGTTCGCAGGAGTGTGGTTTGTCGTCCGGTACACAGGTATGAGCACATCGTAAACTGACTAGACATGCGAATTAGACAACTGTGTATATAAACCCTTCTCCCAAGCGGTAAAGTGCGCACCTGAAGCTCACTGAGTGTTGCCGGCTGCAACGTGTCCGGCGTGTAGAGAGCGACCAGCTTAGCCTGGGAGCCATTGTCACGCAATGAGTGGGCGAGGACCACGGCACCTTAAAGGGAGAAGAAACAATCAGTAACGGGTATTGGAGGTGAATGAGCGATCAATAGTTTACCAGGCAGGTAGTTGTCACTCAGAAGCAGCTATAATCAAGTCAAATGACGTTCAATAAGCTCAAACGCTCGAGGTGTGGAACCTACAGTGCAATAAACTGCACCTTCTGGGGCAACCATCCCGGAAACGACAGACGGGGAGCGAATGTCCCAATGAGGCGAAGAATGAGGCGGAAACAAGACGATAAAGGAGAGAATCTAAAGTCCGACTCCCAAGCTGTTTTTGGTCGGATGACAAGCAGAGAAACAAGGAGCCCGTCAAGGAAAGGATGGGAGATGGCGATGCTTCCCCTCACGAAACCGGCGCGTTATGACGGGAGTAACCCCGCCCGCCACGAACAGGGGACAGCACCTTAGTCGGAGAAGTCTCGTGCTATGATGCGCTACGAAGATGAATCTGCATCATCTCAGCCAGTCTTCGCAGAGCTAGGGGCACTCCATTCCGATAATTGAGAGGCGGGTAAAGTGAAAATCGCGAGCTAAGGGGCTGGCTAGAGACGTCAGCCGGCAGCAACGGGGCTGTCTAAATAACACACGCTCCCGCTTTGTTTGCCTGTTGTTTAGGAGAAGCTTGGGCCTCATGGGCCCAGTCCACAGCCCCGTGCCAAATTTCAATAACTCTTATCTGAAGCAGCTCGTCCAGCCAAGCAAGGAGACAATATTCATTGGAACTTTCGCCATATTCGCATGCAGTTCAGAGACCCTGCTCAAGAGCCCCTTTCATCTCCATTTAGCCAACATCTATAGAATGAATCGCCACGCCAGTAACACGAAAAGCTTCAACAACCCGCTAAAAGTCAATCCAGACCAAAAGCGCAATGGCCAGGCAGGCGACGCTCAGATCACATTATCAGTCGCGGCGATATAGCTCACTTCCGAGCTAATACTGTCGCTCTCGGGTAGCAAGCTTCAATCACTGCCCCGATATCTTCTTGTTCGCCTTTGACTGCCCACTCAACCACCGCACTCAACGCAACCCGACTCTCTCGCTCCAGCGGAGTAAAGTGTGCAGAGCGTGGAAGGTCAATGACCTGGCTGTCCTGGCTAAGATAGTCTGAAATTCCATCCAGGCACAGTTGAGAAGTGAGCGCAGAGTCCCTTTTGCCCCAGATAATGGTCGTACGAGCCTTTAAAGCTCCCTCCGGCCCGTCATCAAATACACCCGCGCCACTACTAGCGCGGCGGATTCCAGTCTTTTGAGCAATACTGTGCAGGCTAGCGATAGTCTCGATGGACTTGTTCCAACGCGAACGGGATGTGCCGTCCCGGTAGTAGCGACACATATCGAAGAAATTGACGAGGCCACCTCTCTTCACCGTGGACTCGGCATATCCTTCGCCATCGGCGTTTCGTGTCTCTCCTTCGTGTGCAGAGGGGCCAATGCTGCTTGCCATGCACTCAGCAGCATCGGTGATGGTGAATTCCTGATTTCCCCAGGACATCTTATGAATGAGCTTCAGGAAAGAAGTATTGCCTCCGTTACCGAGGTACTCCACCAAAATTTGAGGCAGCTGGAAGGCGAAAATATATCCCGAGGCATGCATTTGCTGAAAAATCGGCCGTAACGTTTTGGCGGCGTTGAACAGTAGGGAGCGCGAGCGAATCGGCGAGCGTAACAAAGATTTGAACATCTTTGAAGAGGTTGATAAGCGGCGACCAATATTGGACTCAACCAGGGGCATCTAGATAACCTGTTAGCTAGAACTAGAGTTGCTATAGCTAAGCCAATGCCTACCAGTGGCCCATTAGTGACGATGAACCTGTCCGCCAACTGGGGAGCATCAGTCGCCAGTCGGAAAGAAAGTACACAACCCCAGTCATGCGCGACGACAATTGTCCGCTGCTGATGGGTCTTGGTGTCGCTATCGATCCCATACTTTGTTCTCATAGCAATGATAAACTCAGTAAGGTTTTCAAGAACCGCGGTTGCCGAGTACCGATCCAGATTTTGAGAACCTCCATAGCCTGGGAGGTCAACCGCAACCACGGTTGCTGATTCCTGGAGAGACTGTGAACTCAAGATATGACGCCATATTGCCCAACTGTCGGGGAAACCATGAATAAAGATGACCAAAGGTTTATTGGCGCTGGTGACTGCATTGGGCTCATTGCAGAGGTAGTGGAATCTAAACCCACTTCGAAGGGTATAGATTTGATGCGAGTAATTCAGCCACTTTTTGGACAAGTCCCAAAATCGATTGCGAGCTGTAGAGCAATTGTCAGGACGACGAGCCCACGCTCTATACAATTTGTGGCGCAGTAGTGCCTGAGAGAAAAAGCGCTTACCTAGCTGCAATTCCAGAACTTCCTTTTCAGTTGCTTTTCGAAAGAAGTATCCTTCCCACGTTGCGACTACACAATAGATTCCCATGACTATTAACCCATTAGTGAAGATGAAAGCCGACTTCAGCGACCTGAGCAACACGGACGCCATGTCGTGTGATTTTGTGTCGCAACAGCGGGGAGGGTGGGTTGTTCTTGGATTTGTGGAGCCAAGGATGGAAAACGATGGGGGGGGAAGTTGGATAGGATAAGGACAAAAAAAGATCAGAAGCAGACCAGCAAGTGAGAAGGGATGAGAAACATAAAGAGAATATTGTGTATGGTGGTGGAGGGGACTATATATTGGCTCTCACGTGCAAGCTGAGGACGATTAGCCCGAATCCTTTAGCGATATTCACAGCCGTAGTAGTCTAACACAGAAGGTGGATGTTCTCCACCCGAATGCAATTCGTAGGTCATTGGCGATTCTGATGCGATATTCCCTGTTGATCTGAGGGAGGAACAGCTGCACAAGAGAACGCTACCATGATTTGGGCATGCGTCCGTGACCTACTTGGTCGCCACTGGTGCCATAGCGGCCCTCACTTAGAGCATCCTTGGCTCAAGGAGTTCTATAATGCTTGGGCTCTTAAGTTCTGGCTGTGTCGAGCTCGCAGTTGAGCTTCTTTAGTCTGATCTTCCCAAGGAAGCAGATACTACCAATGAGCTACAGGATCCTTGGGAAATGAATGGACGTAATCTATAACATGAGACGTAAATCGTAAAGATATTGTACAACCAGATCGCCTATACATATATGCAGCCGAACAATATCATGCGGGGTATCCTAGGGCTTCCCTGTTATCGTCGACCAAACGCCCGTACCTGCAGAAAGCAATGTTAAATCTCGAATACCCAACTCGTGACGGTATAAGGAACTTACTCCAGTAATAAGCGAAAGAACCAAACTTCCATATCCTCCTTGCGTAATGTTCTTTGTGCCCAATCCTTTCCTTGTTGGGCGAGACGAGGCGCCCCAGCCATCCCCTCTTCTTCTGAGGTAAAGAAACGCATAGTCTCTACAACCTCGTCTCCCTTCAAACTCAATGGAACATAATGGACCCAAGGCTTGAGTACCTCATCATGCCATTCGCGGAACAACGCAACTTTGCAAACTAGGCTGTTGCTTTGGAGGAACGCATGATAACGACCGCTAAAGGCATTTCCATCAACATCGACGAGATATTTGTAGGCCCAAGCATCTTGCTGCTCCACCGGCTCCGTTATGTTGAAGAACTCCGTCTGAGCAGCGCAGTCATTTCGATCACATTGTCCAACCGAAGTAAATTGGACGTCAAAGAGGTCATGATAATCGCTGCGGTCAACTTTCTTGGAATCCCATCGTCCGGTCTCAGACTTGGTAAGGACTTTAGCTGTATTCAGTGCGTTGATGTTGCCAACCATCAATTGTCGATGGTGCCGTCGCCAGCCGCCGCCTTTTGAGAATCCGCCGGTAGTTGAGCCTCTCCAGTATAATTTATCAGCCTTCTCCTGCCAGATGTAGTCCTTCTCTTTGAGGTACGGCACCTTCTGAGCCCAATACCATGGACTCGGGTAGAGTATGTCCTGAAAAGTAGAAACCTTGCTTTGAGAGAAAACGGGGAAGAGATCATGGACAACCGCGAAAACATTTGGCCGGTCAAAGAAACCATAGGTATTTCGCAGGGAAGGAGTATTGCACACATCTGAAAAGGCACTAGTGTTGTGAATGAAGCCCAATTCACCAAGAGCGTAGCCCGTTGTATGATCTGGCGTGTCTTCGTCGAGAGAACGAACGGGACTGTCGACTGGGCATGATATCCTAGAGCTAGTCCAAGCCGGCTGATGCGACATTCGGTTGAAACGGGTCCTCCGGACTTCGTCAATGCGATCACCCCTGTTCAGGTCGTCGGGACGAGGAGACCATGCGTTTACTGGCGATTGTGTATGGAGCGAGCTCGAGATGGTACTGTCTCGGGCAATCGTGACGAGTCTCTGAAGATCCTCGCTAGGTAGTATAACTCGAGGCTCATCATGGGCATTAAAAGCCAGATCCATGTCAGGTAAATACTGAACAAAGTTCTTCATCATGCCGAGTGTAGCCTCGCGCTGCCAATCTTGCTCCTCGTCGAGACCATCGGCCAGCGATACTTTACCGTCTCTGATGAGGATCCCCAGCAGCGAATTATCGTATCCGAGAGCTTCCCGAGCGCGCGAGCGGATAGTTTGTGGTGAAAGGGCCCAGAACGGCAGCAGGGTATGGTATATAGTATCGTACTCGTCAATCAACTCAACACCTTTTGATTGCGCAAACCCGAACCACTTATCGAAATGCGGCGGAGGGTGCATGTTATAGCGTCTGCGATATTCTTTGACAGCGTCTGCAAGTGTTCTTGACTGCCGCTCTCGGAGCGAGTCGAATTGTTGTCCCGCATCTTCGATGAGAGCAGCTATCGGATGGACGTCGTTCGGATAGTGCCTGGTGGAGTTGGCTGAAGGTTCAATTGGTTGTTGTAAAGAGGATTGAGGGGTGGATGAAGCGAGAGGAGGGACATGAGGGGCATTTTGAATGCCGATAGTGGAATGAGAGCCCTTAAGGAAAATGATTGAGACACAAACTAGAAGGCCTGTCAGCAGCAGGCCGAAGAGACGTTGAGATCGCATGCTGCCATTGAGAATCAACTAGACACCAGCATATCGGTCGTTGGACAGCATACATGCAAAACAGAACTTGCAGCAACGAACTGATGCTGTCAAGCGTTCAAGTGCTGAAGAAGATCATCCGAGGATTAGTCTGTTGGTTGCTATAACAACAGCCTTATCAACTGCACCACGTGTGATATCATCTTCTTGCGTTCAACAAACTAACCAATCGCTCTTCTTCTTCCCAAAGATGTGTTTTGGCTTTACTTAGCTCAGCGCTAACTTACTCCATATCGTTGTCCTCGTGCCACGTTCCAAAGTTTGTGCTGCCGCAGCTTTTCCCTTACTTACCCTTTAAACCTCGTACTTATACATCGGATCACCTCTCGGTATACTCCGTATGTCCCGGTCATATGTTGCTATCTCAGCCATCACTGTACCGTCTTGTAGCAGCACACTAGGTTCACAAGAAAAATCCCAAGAGACTCGAGGACAAACGCCTGCGCCTGCGCAACATGGACATATGCCGCAAGACACAACAACCCTACTAAGAGAACATGCGCTATATAGAAGGCCCTTCTCCTATTTTTGATCGAGCCCTTCCATATCCCGCCGGTCGCTCCTATCGGTCGCGCAAAGACCATAATGGCGATGGCCATGCTGACTGCGCTGATACCCCACTGCACGTCAGTGTCACGCAGGCGCTTTGAGAATAAAGAGCCAAAATCAGGATGACTCGACTGCAGAAAAAACAGGCAATAGAAGAATGCATGCCCAACGAGCAATGGTGCGATCACTACGCGAGCAAAAAGGCGATGATAAGCAGTCACTGTTGGCTGCGGGATGGTGGCCAATACTGATATCAAGGAAGATGCTCTCGGCGTCGAAGTGATGTAGAAGGCGGGCGACATGGCCACTTGTAATGGCAATTGCGAGAGGCCAACATGACCCAGCGCCTTTGTGAAGTGTAAGTAGTCTACAGTACATGTTAGCCCAAGCACTTAGGCAGCTGTCAGACGGCGAAAAGAACTGGGAGATTTGCGTACCGTCACCTGTGCTCCACACAGAGAGGAAGAGCAACCAAATGAGCCAGCCAAGGCAGAGGAGATACTGTCTTCGGGTCTCAAACCATCCCGCGAACAAGGGCGAATCCAACCATGACCTTTGCCGACGGCCTCTTGTCGGCTGGTCAATGGCGGGAAACGCGGTATATGCCCGAAGTAAAATAATGGCCAGGAGAATTGATAGCTGGGCGTAATATCCACGAAGGGTGAGGAGCTCGTGACGGTGCTGCTTTTCTGATTCAGAGAGCGAGACAAAATGCCATGGCCATGAGAGAGCCATTTTGGCGCAAAGAGGGTACACCAGTGATCCAATTGTCGAGGCGGCTGCGGCTGTTTGTATAGTTACCAAGCCAGCTTGAAGGGCGATGACCGGAGCGGCAAGTCGCCTGTAGGAAAACAGGATTAATAATGGAATCTTGGACACTGCTTTACGGTGAATCACATGATCTCAGCCAACCGTGACGTGACAAGCTTAGTGTATTCGTAGGAGTATTTGAACGGGCCAAAAGAATCTACATTTGAAAACGCCTTGAAAGTTCATCCCAGTCAGTTGTCCTGACTACTTCTAAGGTGACTAGATTGAGATCCACCCAAGATGTGAGCGCCCTTGGGTCTTCTTTCGCTCACATTCAAGGTGCTTTACAAATCTGCCAAGCAGGGCATATAAAAAGCCGAGGACCAAGCCTACGGTGAGGTCTGCATAACCTCTTCGTGGCCGCCAGCGGCAGTTGTTGCAAAGTACCGAACATCAACATCATCGTCAGCTTGAAGTTTCTCCAGACTCGGGAGGATACTCTGTTGGATAAGTTCCTGGCCCTTTGGCGAAGGACCCGCTGGCTTGCCGGTCTTTTCTACGTCCGCTAGAGTGCCCTGAGGGGGAAGACGTCGCAGCGTGTCGATCAAGACAGCATATGATTTGGCGACATTGAACCGAATGTTGGGAATCTCATCAGACACGAGTCTGTCCAGGATGGGGAGTATCGAAGTCTCAATGATATCCAAAGTAGCAACGGGTGCGAGCGTCTGGAAGAAGGTCAGCAAAGATTATCAACAAGGCGTCGGGTAGCATACGGAGATTGCGAAACACGTTGTCATTCTGTAGAGGTAGTTAGGATGTTGGCCCATGGCCATCACCTTCGGGATAATCGAGCCCTTGGCCCATTCGACGCCGAACACCTCTGTTAACTTCCTCAAGTTCTGTGTGGCAGCCTCTCGAATAGAGAAAACGGTGTCGCCAAGCCAGCCCATGCAGAGATCGCTGAGTTGTTCATCGAAGAAATTAACTCCCAGCTGGCTGGCAAGCAGAGGAATGTATTCAATGATGGCAAGTCGGACTCTCCACTGTTTATCTTCGGCCAATTGGACGATAGCGGGAAGAAGGGATTGAGACAGGAGCTCGATCCCGATGACTATGACGGTTAAGAAGTGACATTAATGATGGAAACTTGCTGTAGACTTACCATTGTTAACCAATTCCAACTTGGAGATTATATGCAGCCGGACATCCGGGAACTCGTCTTTGAGCATCTGGAGGAACATCGGCAGAAGGTGGGAGATTGTTCTGTGACGGACTTGTAAGATTTTTGCCACAAAGCATCGGTCTAACGTTGGAAAGATGAGACTTACTCTTCCTTCCCGAGAATTGGCGCAAGACCGCTAATCTGAGTTCCCAAAGCCGCCCGCACGTGTTGAGACGGATCCGAGACGAGATCTTCCACACTGGTCATTATTTCGTTAAGCAAGGTTTCCCGATCAATCAGAGAGCAGAATCCTGTTTAGCGGTTAGTGACTTTGACCGGAAATCGTGACCAAGCATCGAGAATGGGAGTACCTGGTATCTGGCCGGCAACAGCAGTGCGGACTTCAGCCTCAGTATCTTTCAGAAGTTTGACAAATGACGGAACCATGTCGCGCGTTACAACTTCTTCATGCACTGCTTTGGCGATCTATCAAATGGATTAGAACCCATGAAAGATTCAATTGAGAAGCGACGGTCGAAAACATACCTTCTCATAGCGGTCGGCAACCATATATCTGACCCTCCAGCTTTTATCTTCAAACAAACTCCGCAGGGAAGTCAGCAATACGCCGTGGCTCGGCTGTTGCTCCTTGGGGATCTCTTCGGCAATTGAGATGAGGATATCCACTGTAAGCAGGCGCACACTATCCTGATCATCGCCAGCCAAGTACTGGAAAAGGGGTATCATCTCGTCAATGACTACTTGAGTGTTCATCTCCTTCACAAATTTCGCTAGGTTGTTGGCTGCTTGACGCCGGACCATTGGAGTCTCATCGCGCACGAGCCCGGCGAAGAATTGCCGCAAGGTTTGCTGCAGGGAAGGAGAGGATTTCTTGTAGGGAACGCAGTAAAGGCCAGTAGCGGAGACTTTCGAGGTAAACCAGTCGGCTTTTGATAAGCGTTGGACCATTGGAACGTAATATTCTTCAATCTGCTTTTCGGATAGTTGCTCGCCGATCTTGTTTAGGGACTCCACGGCCTGTAAGAGGTTAACACGAGACTCGGCGCTGCAGGATCACAGTATCTTGCCTTCTCCCTGACCAACGGTTCCTCAATGGCGGCTAGGTTCTCCAGAGGGGAGAGAAGTACGTGTCCATATTCCGGGCCGCCAACATATTCTATGAAGGAACCCAGTTCCTCGCTGAGCGCGGTCAGAACCTCGTCTTCGTCCTCGACAGAGTCTGTGTCGTAGATGTCAATATTGGATCCTGGAGCGCAAGAACATGTCGGGCGCATCGATTACTAACCATCGAGAAAAGGGATGAGCTCCTCGCGAGTCCTTTCCGGCCCAAGAGCTAACGCAATAGTGGAGAGGCGGTGGATTGCATTAAGACGGAGGAGGACATCATCGTGCTAGGGGACTCGACCGTCAGCAACAATGGCTTTTCATGATGCAGAAATCCTTATCCAGGCGGTGGGCGATACCTTTAGCTCATCAATAAGAACAGCGATAGGGTAGAGCTCGTCGTTTTCACCCTGACCCTCCATCACGAATGTGTCGTCGTAGTCTGATGTAATTTTGAATTAAGAGATGACTAGAGGGCGAGGATGTGGCCGGTCCAAGTCCTCCCTGACGCAATTGATATCACGCGAACACAGCGAACGACTTTTCCTCCTGGAGCGGACAAAGAAACGAGGGTCTAATGCACAAGAACAAATAAAGTCCAGCACCTGCACTGCTTCGGATTAGCTTGGGCTGATCGAGGGTGATGTCGTGGCGGCGGAAGGGGATAGTGGACAATGAGGTCCCCGGGGCGAGGTTCGTGGGGTTTGGGCCGCCGCACGACGCTTGAGAAGCAAGAGCAGCACACCTCGCTGGTGGGATTGGGGCCGAACAGGAGAGAAACTAACCTCGGTGAATCGTCGAATTAGAATGATTCTGGGTCGAAGAGAGAATAGGAAATGGGATCGCTAAGTGGAATCTAAGAGTGGCTCCGCGGGCGCTCTGGATCGGATATTGTTGTGAAGGTGACGACGGGGCAACTGGTCGTTTCCCAGCTTTGCACATCGCCTGTGGCTGGCGCCCATTTCGTTCTAGAGAGGGGTGTGTGAGTGGCGGTGCACGTGGCTGGTGTGCCCGCCGCCTTTACTCCTCCGCTTGTGTCCCTCAAATTTGTATGACTCCGAATCTCCATTGCGCAGAGGAATTATACCCAACCGCGGGGTGAAGTCAACAGAAGCCTTTCTCGTTCAGAAAATTGAGACACACTTTATCCCTGTGACGCCACCCCAGTCTCACCCCCTGGGCGCTTTTCTCTCCCTTTTGCCGGCATTCTTGACTCATTTGAACCCCTCCCACCATGCCCACCATCTCGGTTGATAAGGCCGCGCTCTTCAAGGAGCTCGGCAGAGAGTAGGTGCAATTGCGGATTTGAAACGACACACGGTCTGTTCTGACACAAGCTCATAGCTATACCACCGAAGAATTCGACGAGTTGTGCTTCGAATTCGGTATGTGTACTCTATACTGCACCTTGGCGGGGTTTGCGCTGACTTTATCGAAACATAGGCATTGAGCTCGACGAAGATGTAAATCCTCCGATAACCCCTCTCCAACACAGTGGCAGTTTCTGAAACAAGGCAGACAACGAATTCGGACCGACCGATTGTGGATGGCAAGCAGGAGCCCCCCCAGCTCAAGATCGAAATTCCGGCGAATCGGTACGCACCAGGTCTTGAAAAAGGGCATCGCATATACTGAGATTCTCCGCAGATATGATCTACTATGCTTCGAAGGAATCTCTCTCATGCTCAACATCTTCTTGGGCCGAAAGCCGCTTCCCAACTACAGACTTGTTGAGCCTGCTGGCGGGGAGCTGCAGAAAATCATCGTCAAGGAGGACGTGAGCGATTCCCTTCAAGACCTACCTGAGTTATGTGTGCACGTATTGACGAGACATGATTCAGACGATGAAAATTAGGCCACTCGTGTCTGGCGCAATCCTCCGAAATGTCACCTTCGATAAGGCCCGCTATGAATCCTTCATCGCTCTTCAAGACAAGCTCCATCAGAATCTTGCCAGGCAAAGAACGCTCGTCTCTATTGGTACTCATGACTTGGACACTCTCCAAGGGCCTTTCACCTACGAAGCCCTCCCACCGAAAGACATCCGCTTCACACCTCTCAACCAAACTCAAGAGATGAACGGCGAGGAGCTCATGGCTTTCTACGATGTATGACCTCCTACTCGTCGCCCGCGGCCCCTCATATGCTAACTCCCATTACAGAAAGATAAGAACCTAGGCAAATATCTTCACATCATCAGGGACTCCCCCGTCTACCCGGTGATCTACGACTCGAAGAGGACTGTTTGCTCCCTTCCTCCTATTATCAACGGAGACCACTCGAAGATCACCCTCAACACCAAGAACGTTTTCATTGAAATTACGGCGCTCGATAAAACTAAGGTGGAAATTGTGAACAAGATCATGGTCACCATGTTCTCCCAATACACATCTGAGCCGTTCACGTAAGCTCTTTGAATTTCTCGTGGCTCACTTGACAGTGTACAATCGCTAACTTCAGAACGTGTAGTATTGAGCCCATTCAGATCATTTCTGAACACAACAACGAAACAAGAATCACTCCCGACATCGCACCCCGGACAACCCAGGCCGAAGTCTCCTATCTCAACCAGTGCTGCGGTTTGGAACTCTCTCAACAGGAAATCTGCGACCTCCTCAAGAAGATGGCCTACGAGGCAACGCCATCGGCCTCTCCCGATCTGGTTGATGTGCACATTCCTCCTACACGCGCTGATATTCTCCACCAAGCAGACATCATGGAAGATGTTGCCATTGCCTACGGATTCAATAACCTTCCACGATCCTTCCCTAGCAAGTCAGGAACAGTCGCCCAGCCTCTGCCGATCAATAAGCTCTCCGATATTGTCCGCATAGAGGCTGCGATGGCTGGCTGGTCGGAGGTTCTGCCCTTGATTCTGTGCTCCCACGACGAGAATTTCGGATGGCTCAACCGCAAGGATGATGGCAACACCGCCGTCAAGCTCGCCAACCCCAAGACTCAAGAGTTCCAAGTTGTCCGTACAAGTCTTCTTCCCGGTCTTCTGAAGACCATTCGCGAAAACAAGCACCACACTGTTCCGATGAAGGTCTTCGAGGTCAGTGACGTGGCTTTCAAGGACTTGTCACTAGAGCGTAAGAGCCGAAACGAACGGCACTTTGCTGCCGCCTGGTACGGCAAGACCAGTGGTTTCGAAGTCGTACACGGTCTTCTAGACCGCGTCATGTCGATGCTGAAGAGCGCCTTCCTCACAGGCGAGGAGGGTCTCGAGAACCCTCAAGTAAACGACTCACACTACTGGATCGAGGAATTGGATGGTAAGACCCTGATACCACTCCATAGACTAGAATCATCTCCTAACAGAAGACAGACCCAACCTACTTCCCCGGCCACGCCGCCTCCGTCCACGTCCGCATCGGTGGCAAGGACGTCATAATCGGCTCCTTCGGTATCCTACACCCAACTGTGCTGGAGAACTACGAGATGAAATACCCCGTCAGCACTTTGGAAATCAACATCGAGGCCTTCCTGTAGTGCAGACACATGAAGTCTGGACACGGATTGGATACGTAATGGGTGGTTTAGAGCTTAGATAGATATATCTTGCGCTTGCTCGATACCTTGTGTACATGTCTACTTACCTCGAGGCTGATCTTATGAGCTTTCGACGAAGATAAAATAAAAAAGTGGAAGAATTTTTCTGTTCAACTTGCTTGTCGTGGTCAAGGTAGTATCATATTGGCGGAGGGGAATTATGCAACTATATATATAACGATTTACCACAGCTTTGACCCACCGTCCAGGCATTTCCGGTGTTACCAGTACGGAGTAGTCCTATCAGAGGCCACTAGCTGAATGGCCCACCGACTTTGCACATGGGAAGCATCTTCGTAATCAAAGACGAACATCCCGAGATACATCGGACTTAGGAACGTACACTCCCTACAAATACTACGTACAAGACAAGCCTATGAAGTTCATATGGTTCTTTATTTTTGGGTCATGGAAATAGGGTAGATAACAAGAACGTAGCGCAAATATCAGAACCCGATAATTACTCCTGCGCATAAGCCTCGCCGCTAGCAGCACCTTCCTGGCCCTCCGCAGCCTGTTGCTCGGCCAGACGCTGCTGCTCGGCGGCCTGCTGGGCGGCAACGGCCTTGGCACCGTAATCCTGGGAGACGGGCTGGAGAACGGGTTGCTCCTCCTTGGGCTCGATAATGGTGACGGAGTCGGGGAGGGTCTTCTGGGGACCGGCCTTGCCCTCGGGGTCGGAGCCGCGCATGATCTTGACCTTGATACCAAGGACACCCTGGCGGAGGAGAACGTGGCGGGTAGCGGAGTCAATGAACTCCTTGGCGGGTTGACCGGAGTGGATCATGAATCCGTCCTGGAGAGAGAATTGTATGTTAGTGAATGGTTCCGTGAGCGTTCTAGACCACCAATGGATGTTTCAATGTCCGAGTTTGCTCCCCCCTTCGCGCTGCGATACCCCAACCAAAAAATCCATCCTTTGGGGTCTTTTGACGATTCTGATAAGACGTACAGTGAACTTCATGGACTTGGCACGGGCAGCACGGAGCTTTCCGGAAACGACAACCTCACAACCCTTGGCACCGCTCTCCATGATGAAACGGAGAACACCGTAGCAGGCCCGACGGACGGCCAGACCGTTGAGGAGCTTGTAGCGGAGGGACTCGCACTGAGCGACGGCGGACAGACCGCGGTTCTGGACCTTGGCGGCATAGAGGGAGACGGAGTTCTCGGGGAACTTGAAGCGCTTCTGGATGAGGGAGGTGAGCTCGCGGATGCGGCGACCCTGCTCACCGAGAACCTCCTGGGTGTGGGTGGCACGGATGACTATGGGAAAACAAGAGCCTCTGTTAGCAATGTCCTGATATTCTGCTGATTCTTGCGCCCGCCAAAATATTGATGTCGAGAATTCCTTCAATCCCATTCCTTTCCTCGTCCTCTGCCTCTGGAAACCCCGCCAGAAAACTCAATTGCCATTGTAGAACCGGGCGAACGTACTGATATCGGTGACGGTGGGAGTGACACGGACTTCGACACCGGAGTAGCCCTCCTCAGCCAGCTCGCGCTGGAAGAACTCGTTCAACTCGGCATAGAAGACACCGTCGGCGACGAACTTGCGGCGCTTCGAAATAGCTCCCTGGACTGCAGCCATGTTTGCGTCTATTTGATTGTCGAGTAAAGGGCCGAGGACGCGGTGATAGGGCGGTGCACCAAAGTTGGGAAGTCGTTCAAAGGTCAGGTCGGTTTTCAGAAGTTCGGCGTTAGTGGGGAATTTTGCCAGTAGGGCTTCCTCCCTTCCTAATCGGGACAGGGCTCAACCCTCGCTTGCTCACCGCCCGCGCCTTCCTCCTCAGCGCCCGCCAAGACTTCAAGACGCTCGACCTGCTTCAGGCGCCAAGGCACCAACTCATACTTGACAGCCTGATCCAATCCGAGCGCTGAACAGTAGTCTGCTATAATTCATCAAATGTATATCGCATGTAGCTCTACACTCACAAGACACAAGACTATTGACAAAAAAACAGGGCTAAACCGAGAAATCATAGGTAAGGCGTATTTTGGTCGATGCCAACTGGATCAACGAAGCCATCAACTCCAACGCCCTGTTCATAGTGGCTTTTGTGTGCTGCCAGATAGCCTTTCCCTTCACTGCATCTCAACCTCCATTTGGCTCATGCCGCTCGAGCCAGAGTTTTTATCCTTACCTGTGGAGAAGGATAGATCAGAGATTCCTGATATCACTGTTGACACCTTGTTCATCGATGGCGGGGACTGGTTAGCAGGTACACCACTGCCCAAGGCTTGTTGGCTCGTTTCAACACCTGTCAATATGGGTGACCCTGAGTTATCCCGGGGAGTAGCCTGAAAAGCGCTGCTCATGCGACCTCCGTTCATTTCCGCGTCTGTCCGGCCGAAAGCTTCACTCCACCACCTGACTTCCTTGACTCGAGGAAAGATCAATCGTTCTTTGCCCCGCTGGTTGTCGTCGATATCTGCCTCGTACTTTGGGTTCAGAAACTGCTCTTTCCTCGCAAGGAAATAGTCCCAGACACTGCGCGTCCGCTCCTTGGCGTTCATATCCACACGCTCTTTCTCACTATTGAAGACAAAAGTGCCATACTGGCATGAATACAGGTGGTAGAGCAGTCGTCGTAGAAACCGCTCATTGAACTCGAATCGCGTGGGGTATTGATACAGCATCTGGTAGGTTGCGTCGAGAAATTGATGGAAGACCGGGCTTGTCTCTTTCGGTTTGGTAACTTCTTTCTCAGCAACAGCGGTCCTCGGCGTGGGTGACGGCCTCATGGCCGCAGGGGTATCGGAATCATATTCTCTGACGTCTCCCTCCGAGTCGCCAAGCGAATCACGACTGGTGTTGTCTCGAGCAAAAAAGCCCTTTGCGCTGAGGAAAGCGTTTTCAATGGCTTTACCGGCGCCGCCACTCTCGCCAGAACCACGTCCCAAGTCACCCCCTATCCTTTCGTTCTCGATCTGGAACCATTTTTCACTATTCAGGTGTCCCGCTCTGTGGCGGAACATGTGGCCGAAAGAAAGCCAGTCCTTTTCCACCAAAACCATGAATCCTTCCATGGTTCGATAATACGGATCAAGACAAATCTGACTCAAGGCGCTCAGCTGACTTGTGCGATCCCAACCATCCGAGCAGTGAATTAATACATGCGAGTGCTGAAGGCCGACTTGCCGAGCAATCAGACCAGAGCCTTCCAAGATGCCGGATATATGCTTCAACCAGCCACTCTTTGCCAGCTGATCTCTGTTCGGACCAAGTGGGGTTAGATCCGAGTCCTTGAGCGCGTCTATCACCCTGTTGAGAGAATCCCTCATCACATGGATGTTATCAATCCCGAGATAGGCTTTCGTAGCAAACGGATAGTGGTCCATATTCTCTGAGCCTAGTCCAACAGCTTGCATAGCGATAGCATTGACGGTGGGCCGCGCATCGACGATTAGATTATGTTGTTGAGCACCATATATGTGAGGTTTGTCGTCAGCTTCCTCAACCGACGCGAGAAGCTCATCTTCTAACTCTTCAGCATTTGTAATATCCGGGAAGCTCTGACTGCCAGGCAGCTCGCCTTGTGTCGAAGTTGAGGACTCATGGTCTAGATTCGGAGGGGTAAAGTTGGCGAGCGGCCTATCTGAGCGCGTACTCGCAAAGATGGCTGCCAAAAGCTTCTCGTCCTGGATGCTTCTGTTCCCGCGGAAGCCAACGAGCGGTTGAGAGCTTCTGGTGATGGAACAGTTGTTGATGGGGTGCAGGTACGTCAATACTGGTATCCGAGCACGAGACCTGAATTTTCCGGCATAATTGATCGTGTTGTCCGAGATGCCGGTCGGGACAGCGAAGATGGCAGGGTAGGTGGGGGAGAACTATAAACGCAAGTTAACTTGGCTCGTAACAAAAACAGCCTGGGAAGTGATGTGAGATATACCCCATAGTCTGAGTTTATGTGCGATATGCGCCAACCATGACCATTATTGCCGTCTACGCCTTGTCGCGCCAACTCTTTGCGGGGATCGTAGAGGGCCCAGCCATTAACCTCGCGCTCGGGAGTCGGCGGCTGAAAGGAAAAAGCATATAGTCTATCGATTCGCCCGATCTTGCAAGTCCACGATTTAATGCTCTCAAACACATCTCTAGCTCTGCTCTCTGCGGTAAAATAGAAGCAAACAAAGGTGAAATCTCGGCATCGTAGGCGAATCGATGACGGTTGGCGGGAGACGGCGGGAGTCGGACGATAGGTGCAAAAGGATATGATGGGATATGTTATCCAAAGCTCTCTTGGCCTGACAACTGCGCCTTGTGCCTGTGTATTATCTGGTTGGGGAGGAACGTGGGAGAAGATAATATGATGCGGGGTGAGGTGAAGCGTGCCAACAACTTGTTCTCCTCGGCGGGCTAAGGTCACGTCTTCAACCTAGAATATGCACAAAGGCAGTCAGACACATTATTCATGTAAATGGCTTCCCAGAAATGGGCCAACTCACCTTAGCGACCCGTGTTCTCTCCATGCCTTTGCTGCTAACGGGTGTGTCCAGCCTTCATGGCTGGTGTGCGCGAGGGACCGGATTGGCTGGTTCAGCGCAGTATGAGAATCCGAGCGATTCGAACGAACGGATTCACAGATATAAGATGGATTCGCAGTATGTATAGCAGCAGAGCCGAGGATTGGATTGAGGATAAATTCAGGTTAGGAGTCAGTTGCACGGACTCGGTCAGCTTGCGGCGCGGCCCCTCGCTCGCTAGCCTGGACCACATGAACTACGTCAATTCCCCGGATTGGCTCCCGCCATGCATTGATGATTGTTTAAGCATACTACCGGACAACGACTGACTTGGGCATTGCCGGATAACAAAGCCGGCGCTCTCTTTGTTTCGCAACAGGTAACCAGGCTATTTCTATACATATATTATTATACACAGCTCGCTAATGTCCATTCCCATCCAACCATGACTTCGCCAATAGAGCCATAAACACCGATTTGCACCTGCAGAATAGTCTATCATTTTATATCAAACCAGGTCGAGTTCAAATGATAATGCACACGCCGCGCTATAAAATGACTTGAACTCATCTTGAAGAGACTTGGTTGAAGCCGCAGAGTGATTATCCCCAAGTTCCATCTGCAGGAATAAATCATCTGTCATGGACGCTTCGAATGGTCCACCTTCAGAGGAAGAAAAGACGAGTCGCTGATTCTGGAATTCATACTTGTAAGTCACCGTGTCACCTAGGGCGTCGTTCACCGGCACGTATAGGTACTCCGCTGTAACAGTCGAAGATTGGTCTGCATCAACGCTTCGCGAAAGGTAAGATGGCAGGGTGATCATAGTGGACACTGGTAACGGAACCGCACTGGTGGTAATCCTATTCTTCCTAAAACATCGGCGGAGACCGGTTTGAACGCCTTCCAAGGAGTACACTTCCTGTGGCCCAGTCAAAAGGTCATGGGTCGCACTCCTTGTGAACCGAATGTCTGCTGTGGCTTCCGGGAGTAGATAGTCAACGCTGGTTTCGTCTAGAATGGCTTTGGCACCGCGAATAACACATGGATCTTCGCTGCTGTCGTTGAATATTGCCGGAGTTTCAACCTCCAACTCGAGCTGTGGGAGGACATCTGCATGAGAAGCAGCTGGAACAAGCCGAATGCGATGGGTTCTCGTGCCTTCTTCACTTAATCTTGGTGTCAATGAGCGCATGAGGTGGCCCGCACGGGGGACTTCCTTGACAAAAGTCCTCGAGAAAGACAACTGCCCTAATTGAGCGGCACTTAATCGTTTCTCCTCGAGGAAGGGCTTATGCAAGAAGAGGCATTTGCCAGCTGCAGCAGTTATAGACTCCCTGACGCTGGGAACTGATACGTAACTGGCACTGGTAGATGACTTTCGCTGAAGGAAGTTTAACAGCTCGTCTGAGATGGCGGACTGGCTAGTATTGAAGAGAAACTCGGATGGACTTTTGGACTTTCGTAGCGTTGAGGGGATTTCCCAGCGGAACCACGGCTTCCCTCTATTGGGCCAAGACGCGGTAGTCTCTGTATTGACATCATGAACATCTGCCTGCTCGGAGGCAGACATATATGTGCTGAAAGGGACAGGGGGTGATCGGGCCTTGTTCAGCGCTAGGTGAAGAGTTCTTCGAGCATTCTTCGCATCCCCTTTGTTCTCAAGAAGGTAGAATAGCCTTTGTGGGATGCTGGAAGAGCTTTGCTCAAACGAGACCTTGTATGTTTCCGACACCCATGACAGGAACTTAGAACTGAATATTCCTTTGGCGCTCGCCTCGTCGAGCTCAATGCCGATGTTGACATGCTTAATCCTGTTTGTAGCGTCGTGTATCACGTCTGCGACGTTTTCGCAGGACCGTTGTTTCCCGGTAACTCTGACAAGCCCCATAGTATGCACAACATCGATACTTGCGTCATTCATACCGGCTAAATCTTCGAAGGAAAAGTGCGTTGAACCCAGAAAAAGCGATAGGTGGTGCGAGGGAAGGCGAACATCGAGTTGGCCAATCTCATCAACGACTCCGACCTGCCAGCAATCCCGGAGGATCCTTTCGGCAAGAACAAACTTGCGCGGCAGAGATTGTAGCCCCTTGGTATCTGCAATTCGAGTAGTGACGCTGTGGCCGTGGCCACTTTTAAGCTCAAAGTAAGGAGAGGTTCCGGGGTTCCATCTCATATAACTGGAATGCTGAAGCATACCGGGCTTAGGATGAGCATCAATGTACTCCTTCATCTGCGCATACGTGAAGGACGATTGTAATTTTTCTCGGAGGGCCTTAAAATCGGGCTCGCTAAGGTTCGTATGTAGTTTGTAGTCTTCGGCGAAACTCTCAATGGCAACGCTGGTATTATCAGGACTGGTTTCCCCAATATGCTGCAGCATATATTGGGCGCCATCTCCCTGGACACTTTCTTTCCGGTCGTCTTTGAAGAGGACTTTCGAGCGTTTGTTCTTTTCTCCAAGGACGATGACCTCCCCGGGCTGTCCAAGGGCAGAAACACTGAGGCCCACTTTCCTCCCGAAATAGCCCCGGCGGTCACGATGAGTTTGGGGTTTCCGACGCGAAAATTGTCGACCGGACAGGTCAGGATCGTTGCTAAGTTCGCGTTCTGTATCATTAGGTGCATCATCTCCTGAGTTGCTGGCGGTATTTTGGTGCCGAGCATGGATGCCACGGGGCGGTAGCGACGCACATATCGCGTCTATTCGGCATATTGGGCGTAGGCGACAGTCAAGTAGAGTTCGCGCATGTCGGAATGATGGAGAAAGCATTGGGAATAAGGGATTTGGTTGCGGACAAATTTGCTCGAAATCTTGCGAGGCGGCGGCGGCGACGGAGCTTCAAGATTATGATAGAACTAAGCCAGATATGGACTAGTCTAGCGCCAGAGGCCTTATCGATAACAGCCCTCCATGTGCTCCATACATTTTGACAATGAACAAACGCGATGAGTTGAGTCTGAAACCTGGAAAGCTAGGATTTGACCAAGTATCATTGTTTATTACTAATCTCCCAGCTTCGCAGGTCATCTCGTACGTCAAACTCTGACAATTCATGCTCTGTACTACGGTTCCTCCAACTCTTCCCCATGTCATTGTCATAGAGTTGGTGTTCGATACTTCCGCTCTTCTCGGTATGTTCAATCGCAGGGGAAAAGTCCAATGCTTTATTGCCTTTGCTGTGGCGACTTGAGCTTCGTGCCCGCCGTTCGTAGCCTGGTGATAGAAGGTTCCGCGACGCAGCCTGCTCTGTACGCCCAGTTCCACGATTAGGGGACCGCTCATTATGGTATCCTTCGGCGGGTGGCCCGGAGCTCGAATCGTGGAGATCAGTTCCCCCAACGGCCCCAGAGAAGAGCCCCTCAATTAATTTATCGGCAGGCAGGTCGTCGGCGCGGGATGTCCAGGAAGCTGCCAGCGTGCATCGGTACATTTCTTGCATATCAGCAACCTCTCGGCTCTGGGTGTTGATCAAAGGTAGCTGGCCCATATCATCAGCCTCGACCTGTTCTGAGGCCACAACTCCTGTGATGCCTCCAAAGGCCATAGCGGATTTCAATGGCGGCCTAACAGTTATCAACAACGGTTAGCATAAAGGTTCAAGGGCGCGAAAAGCGACCTTTGACATCAAACATACGTCGTGAAGTTCCGATCTCCCTCCACTTGCTGCACAGAGATGCCAATCTTGAGTGTGCTATTTATTTTGCTATCCTGCAACAAGTATCGCCGGACAATCCCCTCGTCATCATCGCTTTTATCCACGTATTCGGAAAGGTTGAGCTTGACCCTTCCCAGGAGGTTTTTCTCGCCGTGCCCTCCCGATGAGAACTCCTGTATAACATCGAATTGAATTTCGCAGTCATGAAGCATGTGATCGCGATCGATCGTCAACCTGAGCTGCAGTGTCCGCTCATAGTTCCAGGACGCTCTATGGTCGATAATGAGGGCTTTGTCGGTGTTTCCGTGATGCTCGTTTGCATTCGAAGAAGGTAAGCGCCATTTTACATATGCAGTTCCGGTAACGAGAGGGATGTTATTGAGGTCAATGATCTAGGATTCAAGTCGACTGGTAAGCGTCGGAAGATGATCGGAGGCTCGGGTGGCTCACTCGGAGGACTAACTCAAACCTAGGCTGTGACGTCGTTATCAGACCTGGAATCTCAAGATAGGAGCAGTACTTGCCCTTCTATTCTTTGGGACTGGAGGCGCTCGCAGTCAGCAAGGGCATTCATCCCATGACATCACATTGGCCAAGTGAGAGAAAATCGAGGCGCATGTAGGGCTCAACTTACCGAAAGCTTGCATCTTCCACGGATGGTCACAGGCGACCGTAAATCGCAAAGTATCTCCCTCTTTGACCTAGATCCCGCTGTCATTACATTGTTCCTCTCGAGCCGCAACCTAACACCCTCCCATGAGTGCTCTCCGCAGGGCGGTGTGGAATAATTAGCAGAAAGCTACCGCCCAATTTCCCGAGTCTCTCATCGAGTCCTCCGAGACGAACCGCAACCTGCCTCAAAACTGATCCGCGAGTGACCAGAAAAGGCAAACTGACTACAATGGACCGACCTCCTCTCTCGCCACCTTCTGAGCCATCCCCGTCTCCAAAAACCACGCCAATTCCCCTCGACTCGCCTATGCGCACAACCCCAATCCACGAGCTCCTTCCAGACATCTGCCTCCCAAGCGCTCTTCCAACATACAACTACAATCCGGTAACCTGCGCTCCTCTAGACACCGACGATGTACGCGCCCAGCTTGAGGAACTGCGCAAAGAGTTTCCGACACACGAAGCGGCGCTAAAGGCGCAAGAACAGGCCGCGCGCGAGCTGAAGCAAAAATTGGAGGATGCGGAGAAGAAGCGCGAGGAGGTGCAGAAGACCATGGATAAGAAGATCAAGGAGCGCAATACCGAGCTGAAGGTTCTTTCGAAGTACCAGGATGGAAAGGCTTCAGGCTTGCCAACTTAAAGGCCCGAGGTGGTTTGCTATTGTTACGGAGTTTTTCGAACATAACTCTGGTTCCGGATTGGAACCACAGGTCGAACCCTTATGAGAAGGAATCGCGCTCTACTCTAGTATCAGGGGCAGAAGCGCTGGTTGATTCTGCGAACTATACCTCGAAATCACCAGGATAGTTATCATTGCCGGGCCGTGTAGCGCCCTTACTCGAAGCGCAACGCCCGCTTTGGTCGTCCACCACTTTACTCGCCATCTGAGGCACTACAAAGTGAACTGGACCAACAAAGTGGACTGGCGAACCTATTTTGGCGCTTACCAGCAATATATACCGCCTCAATCGCAGCCAGCAGCAGGTATCCGCGAAGAGAGGATCAACCGGGCATTCAGCGCCAGGAAGGTTGACTACACCAAGCTATATATTTATCTACAACCACCGCTATACCTTGAGGAACGCGCGATCTTAACACTCAACCCGACGTCGAATTCAGACATCCATTATAAACATTATTATCATGACGTATAAACAGTTGACATGTCCATAAAGTCGCAAGCATGATTAATCATATGCACATGTAAATGAAAGTCGTTGCCCATTATTCATGGCTTTCACAAGTTTGGAATCAAAAACCGCTTCACAGGTTACCCAAGATCTGCACCAACGCGGGAAGTAACTGGATATACAACGTTAGCAAGCTGATTCTTTTAGGATATCAGGGGGTATGCGCGGTGGTAGCTTACCTCCGAAGCATCCTCAATCAAAGTCTGCGTCTCATTGACAAATTTGCCGGTGAGCAAGTCGCCGGCGTGGTCCAAAAGACCACCGACCTGTACGAGCAACTCGGGCGTGATAACAGGCGCGATTCCATCAATCAGTTCCTTGGTCTCGTTGACGAATTTCGGCGTCAAGAGACCCGTGGCGTTTCCAACCAGGAAGGTCACATTGTGGAGGAGATTAGGCGTGATGGCCGGGCCAACGCTCTCAATGAGGTTCTGAGTTTCCTCGACGAACTTGGTTGTGAGAAGCTTGTTGGCGTTACCGAGGAGACCGCCCACATCGGCGAGAAGCTCGGGCGTGATGACCGGTGAGATGTCGCTGATGAGGCCAGAGGTTTCATTGACGAACTTGGGTGTTAGGAGATCGTTGGCGTTATCCAGGAGGCTGCCCACCGAGTCAAGCAGGCCGTCGCCCAAGATCGGGCCGAGCTCGGTGATTAAGCCACGGGTATCCTTGACGAATTCAGGCGTAAGGAGGTCGTTGGCGTTGCCAAGTAGGCCCTTGGTGTCGTCAACAAAGTCCGACGTCAATAGTTTGCCGGCATTGTTCAGTAATCCGCCGACTTCCTTGAGAAGTTCGGGTGTGAGGACTGGCGCCACTGCTCCAATGAGGCCTTGGGTATCATCCACAAAGTCTGCAGTTAGGAGGTCATTGGCGTTACCCAGCAAGGCGGCAACCTCCTTGAGAACGTCAGGTGTAAGGACAGGAGAAACAGCACCAATCAGACTGCGGGTATCCTGCACAAAGTCCGCCGTCAGCAAGTCGTTGGCGTTGCCCAGAAGAGAGCTGATCGATTTGAATAGTCCAGGAGTAAGGAGAGGACCGGCGGATTCGATCAATCCTTGAGTGTCGTTGACGAACTCGGGGGTCAACAGGTCGTTGGCGTTACCCAAGAGACTGCCAACTTCAGCAAGGAGACCAGGTGTAATCACTGGCGCCACATTGTTGATCAATCCCTTGGTGTTCTTCACAAAGTCCGCACTGAGCAGGTTGATGGCGTTCTTGAGCAGCGTGCTGAGCTCCTTGATCAAGTCGGGCGTCAGGAGAGGACCAGCAGCCTCGATCAACTGGCGAATCTCCTTCACAAACTCAGCTGTCAACAGGGTGTTGGCGTTTCCGATCAAAGCATTGACCTCCTTGACAAAGTCCGCAGTCAGGAGGTGGTTGGCGTTTCCGATTAAGGTGTTAACCTCCTTGACAAACTCTGCAGTCAGAAGGTTGTTGCCGTTCTCCAACAAGCTGGAAATCTGCTTAAATAGATCAGGCGTCAGGAGAGGTCCGACGGATTTGATGAGTTTCTTGATCTCATCGACAAATTCCGGCGTTAACAGGTCGACTGCGTTATCGACGAGACTCTCCAGTTTCTTGATCAGGGCCTGGGTCAGCAGCCCGGACGCAAGGTCAATCAAACCCTTGGTCTGCTCGGTTGTCTTGTCGTCGAACAGGTACGCAAAGTGATGGAAGAACGATTCAATATTCTTCAGTAATGTAGGTGAAAGGAGGCCAGTCACGCCGCCCAGGAGATTTCCCAGGTCAGTCAATGGGTTTCCAGTTACTCCATCAGGAATCAGTGGGTTGTCGTCGGATGAACTCGATGTTTGGCTGGAGCTGCTAGACGTCGTGCTCGGCTTAGTAGTCTCCGTCTTTGTCACTGTGGTGGTTGGAGCTGCAGACTCGGTAGGCCCATTCGTATTATCGGCAGCGTCATCCGGGGCGTCGGAGCTCGAGGGAGAGAGGATGCCACCTAGTAGACCATTGCCCGAATCATCGTCCTGCTGGTCGGTACCGTCCTGGCTCGGGGTGGCGGCCGGCTGCGTTGTTGTCGGCTGTGGAGCTTGGGTATCCTCCTCCTGGTCATCTCGGGTGCTCTGAGTCGGCTCTGCAACGACAGTGGTGGTTGGCTCTGCCACGGCTCCCGTGGGTACCGCGACAGACTGGTCTTCAACGGCCTCCTGTGACGGGGATACTTGAGCTGGTGTCGCCAGCGCGGTGCTCGAGAGCACCAGCGCCGAGAGAATTGTTGAAAAACGCATTCTGAGTCTCCGACCAAGCTTCACAGGAGGTTGTCCAGCAATTGACAGCGGAGGGGAACCAAATTTGAAAAGAAGGGAGGTGGATGGGGTTCTTTATACTAGACCTGGACCAAGCAATGCCCCCGCTTGCCGCTAGTATTTGAGTCTGGGGAGCCGAGCAGACGAGAATCCCCGCATGTGAGGTGATACGCCGCCTATCTCACTCTTAATTACAATGGAGATTTCCTTGTTTATTCCCCCTTGGCTTTGTCGACCCATCGATGATGGAGAAGTCTTGAATCTGATCTAACGGAGATTGATACCTGTTTAGCACGCGGTAATTGTGATTTTCCCTCGATCTAGAGAGGCCACCATGGGTCCGGGGGCGGTGGTTACCCTATCAGGTAGCAGCAAGGGGTGATAATCCTCGTTTGTAGCGACGAGAATTGATCGAGAGCAGCCATCGTCGTCAGTGGAGATGACTCAAGCGGACGGAGCAACCATTCTGGTCATGCTGGGAACAGACGGTGCCTCCCGCCTGTCTTGCGGGAATGCGGTTCTGCATAATTGAATTGGGAAAGCCTTGCGATGAAAGTTGCTTGGATCTTCTGCTCTCTTCTTGAGCCTATCGACAAAACGGGAAAGATTGACCAGCAGCAAGGTACTGGGCCCAGCGCGCCTTTCGCTATGGGAGGCACTATTTTACTACAATGCTGATCAGTGATAACTAGCGCAGCCATTGGACGAGTGGCGGCACTGCGCGAATACTGAATTGCTCACTGAAGTCTGAATATCAAGCAATCGGTATTCCGAAGCCTTCTGTCTCCGTTGGCTGTTGTTGGTAGCTCTATGTTATGCTCTCGGTGGGCGCTTTCATGGTCGTACCAAAGGCATTAGCGTGATGGGAAAGACAAGGGAAACTTGTCAAGCAGAAAAGTTGTGAAAAAGACCAAAATCATGAACTTTGGAGCCCCTCTAATCAACGGGGGTCCCAGAAACGGTGCCTGAGAGGGTGGAGACAACCCGATTCCTGGTGGGCCACTCTGGACAAGCAGAGGGAACAACACTGCGGCGGTGCAGCCTCTGGTGTCTATCAAAAGCATGTGATAGAGGCAACGTGCAGGGAGTGCTCCGAGTATGTACATCAGCGTGTTGCCGGAGCTTTTCTCTTGCTCTGCTCTCATCCGATGATGCCTTGGTTGGAAGTTGGTGAGGAAGGTTCTCGGAGCAGCGCCATGCACTTCGTCTTGCTGGTGACTCTGGCGGTCACGCACTGGCTCCTTAGCGATCGGCAGTTGTCGCTAGCGCGATTGGCTCCGACGCCGGAGGCTCCCCACAAGAACTCTTGTCTTCGCTCCCCTGGAGAAGCCGAAGAGATGGGGATTGGGGAAGGGTGGGTGCCGATTTCCTGAAATGATGAGAGATCTTCGACCTCGCCAAAGAGAGTTGTCTGTCGTGTTCGACCACAGAGGAGTCTTCTGAGCTGCGTTTATCAAGAGTGCGAAACTCTCGGAAGCCGAATGCGTCACATTCGGTGCTGAGTGCGAACCACCAAGAACGACCAGCGCAAAGGTATCGAGGAGATGAAGCCCAGGCCTCAAGCTGAGACTCTAAAATCTGATCTCACCCTGCGCAGGATCTCGAGTTGCACGCGGCTGGCAGCTGAGCAGCTCAGGTGAAAGGAGCGGGGAAACTTGGAAACGGGGTCCGCCATGCCAGAGAGAGTAAGGTGAAAGGTAGTCCGTGGGATAAGCAATTGCTTAGCGTCCTATGACCTCATAGCCCCCGCTGCCAGAAGCATGCAAAGATCAGCAGAGAACGAAAAGTGCCGAGGAGGAATGAACCTCTCAAGAGTCGAAACCAGCCTTTGAGTGCGGAGGTGTGGGACTTTCTCCAGATTCACAAGACACTTGAATTTGCCGAGGATCTGACTGAGGAGTTCGAGCTCGACTCTCTGTCAGATGATGCCAGGAACAGGCTCACTCGCTGCTTATCTTCCCAAAAACGAATGTCGGGGACTTATTTCATGAATTATGGGCACTCTCATTGGTGGAAACATACGAGTTGTCAGTTGAGACTGTTATTCGGGGTACTGGTACTCTTCTGGGGGTTGTCGTTGGAGAAAGGCGACGTCCTTCATCCCGGCTCAGGCTTCAAGCGAAACATATGACGTGCTTTTAATGACAGATGGACCCTGCCTGGGAAGGACAGCCTCCTACGTAATTGACAGGGCATGGTTTCAAAGGTATGATAACTATAGAGTTGGTGTGCATCCGTGAATATCATCCGAGACATGACAGCTAAGCTTCATTTCGTGGAAGTGGGCGAGAGACCGCAATTGTAAGTGTCAACGGTGTCATAGTATCAGAATGTCCTCTCGCTGATCGACCATTCCCAGTGATTCTCTCACGTCGTGCACAATCTTGAAGTGCTTCTCGAGTCAAATCGCAGATTTGCGTCTGAATGAAGTTGCGACGCCTCTTCACCAATAGCACGCCTAGTGAAATAACATCTACCACGCTCCAGAAATGTATCTTTTTGAGAAAACCGAGTGACAACCATCTCTGGGTAGCTTGTGCCAAGGTCATCACATTGACATGACCGGTATGGACTCCGCATTACTCCCTAAACGCATCAAACCCTAAGAAGACAAGAGTGTCTTGAAAAAGCGAAAAGATGTCACATGAACGATTCGAACTACGTATAGGAGGGAAACAACTCAAACAGACCGATGATAGTTGCGCCCCATAATACTGTTATCAGGAGCGAAGTTGCATGTCGGCTCGCCGGCAACACTCATCGCATACTCGGATTTTCCTGGTTGTGCCATCATGGGTAATGCTTGCTTGTTGCATCTGTGGATATGTTCCCTTTTGTCTACCTGTCAAGGTACTTTGGCCGTCTGAAAAGGCTACCAATTCAAGGATTGCATCTGGAGCTTCCAAGCTCCGCGCACTGTCCAAGGAATATCGATTACCACTTTCGTTACTTACGCATTCATGATTCTGTGCCCAGTCGTTAGCATGACCAGGATGCACGATGCCCAATGAGATGAAAGAACGGTTGTCCGGGGATGTGACTTTCAGCAACTTCGCTGCGTTCTCGTGGAGGCCACTGTATGCAAGTTGGGCTGTCCTTAGGCTGCTGAGAAACAGGTACAGTGTTTCGGGTTTTCATCAGTGTCAGAGTTGCTGCAATCTGCAGTAGAAGATATGATTGGAATCTCATCTCTTCGAGTCCCCACGCAAGGACAATGGTTAGCCGCATACACTGCCCTATCCGACAGCACCTTCATGTCAAGATGCGAAGGCTTGGTTGTTTCAACGTTGTCAAGCCAGAAGCAACCAATACTCGAAGGCGTTCTCCGCTATATCTTAAGATTTGGGACGCTCTGGAAAAGAAACGCCGATTCCCGGCTTGGGAACGGAGGATATCAATGCTAACTGTTCTCAAAGCCTTGGTGATTTCCTGATGACTGTTTCTATAAGAGAGATACAATCAACCTGGCGGTTGCTATACACCTCTCCAGTCTCCAAATTACCACGGTCATGATGGCAAAGAGGCCATGATTACGAACTCGAATGCTAGCCTCGGCCGGAACTTCCACACTTGCAGGTCCCTAGGGCTTGAGAGGGTAGTATTACATGCAGAAACATACGCTTGGCTGCAATAGCCGATGCACAATCAGCCCTTCCCTAGAGGGAAAGCAAAGTTGTCAGCATACTCACCTTGTCGCGGTGTAGTATACTAGAGGTATATCCCAATTTACCCCTAATGGTCTTGTACAGCTTTCAAGCTCGGTGTCAAGCCAGGGAACGGGCTGTATTCAACTTCCCTTCCACGTCCAGAGAAACTCTATGTCTACCACAGTGAGGCGTTAGTAGTCCCCTTGTCTGCACACTCCGAAAATTCTAGCACCTTTGTAGGTGTTCTTTTGTATAGCATGTATCTCCTCGATGGGTCCCCCCTAAATACAACCATCAAATGTGGCTGCATTATCTCCTAATTCACCGCTCTCATGTGTTGACTGGAAAGGCGACGCGTATTTCAAAGGAGAGTACTAGTATGGGTCAGAAAAGCAGCCACGTCAATGCATTTCATCTCTTGTTCATCTGAACCCATCCATTGCGAGGTCAACCCGATATCAGCCTCCAGGATATGGTGATATATCGCTAGCAAAACAGCCATCAGACATCTCAGTTGCGCTTTCACAACACATTAGTTCTCTAAAACGGTTGTCGTTGAATATATAATCGGTATCAATCCGCACTATCCATGATATCTTGCTCAACCACGCCCGGAACATGAGTTTGTCGCGTATCGAGGCATCAGTAGCTCTTTGCTCGGAGAATCACCTATTATTTGTCTTGAGGGACTATCAAGTTATATGCTAGTCAATGTTCTCTCCGATCATCTATATCGAAGGTGTGGGCATGAGGGACTTACTTGAGTATGTACAGAGTGCTGACTGCAAGAAGAGTAGTATATTTTTAGACATCAACTGGGCAAAAGTCTTCTAACCACAAAAGAAAGTACACGAACTCAGAGAGACACGAGGATCGGTAAATGCCTAGCAGGAGACCACTTCCTGAGTATTCTTCTGGGTAAGTTACCTAGGCTGAGTACGTAGACTTTTGATGAAGCGGAAGCCCGAGGACTAAGGCAATGAAATATATTTCGATATCAAAATCCGGGAGTAGCAGGTTGATAGTTACTTTTTCAGAATCCTAAAAGTCCTGGTTCAATGACTTCTTTTTCAGTTTCGTAGGAGCTTAGGGCTTCTAGTAAGCCTCCTGCCAGGTCTGGTTTCGTGTATGTCCAATTGCAATATAATGAGGCTCGTTTGGGCCTAGTTATTACTGCAAGTTCAAGTAGCCTTGCATATTCGCATTGAACTCAAATTGGATAATAGGTCTTCAGATATAGTTATGTAGAGAGTGCAAAACTACCTAGGATAACGGTCCTGCCAAATTTCGAGATTCCAAGGTCTAGATAGAGTCATTAAGCGAGGCTTCCTGTGCGGTTGAACATACGAGCTAGTGATCCAGTTGGTGACACACGTTGATGAGCAAAGAAGGAGGGTAATGAAAATGACTGGCCAACAATGATTCAATTGCATGGACACTGGCTGAGAGCATGACCTAGAAGGGCCCAGCGCGTAAGACTACTTACAGGGACAAGTCCTCATCAGAGGGAAGGATGGCCTTCCTTGATTGTGGTTCTCAAAGCACAATGCCTAGATCTTGGGTAAGTCCCAATAAGCTTCGGTGCAGTAGCTGACGTTTAACTTTGGGAAAGACCTGCAGACGGGACGGTCCAGAATGTCCACACGTACGCAATCAGGAACTTGGGCCCATCACGAAACAAGGATCACGCTCCCATCACGGTCTTGATGGTTGTCGGCTCATTGTCAGAAAACTCTCCTCTTCTCCTCCTCTCATTCTTCAGCCATCCATGAGCAGATTTGGGTAAAAGAGCCGAGTCCGACAACGGACCACCCTAACAGGACCTAGCACAAGCTACCCCTTGCCTTTCGTACTTTGTACAAAGCAGATCAAGGAAGGTATGTGCGCAAAAGTGAGGTGTAAAATCCGGTCGCGGCGCTTCTCCAATCCATGTCGCTTGCAGGTCTATAACATGGGCAGCGGCAGGGGTGCACAAAGCACCAAGACTCAAGTTCGATACCTTTTAAGTCAGTCCAGGCCGTTCTGTCACTGCCCAAACTGGTTAGCAGAGCAGGTGACTGAACCTTTATGCACTGTCAGCACCACTAGTGCGTTGGGGCGCCCACCAAGAAGCCGAAGGTGGGATCGCACGGTTCCACGGCGATATTAATATTGATTGAGGTGGGACTTTGGAGACATGCCGGAACCACGCATGGTGTGACTATGTTTGCTCTTTCGTCACCAGTCGAGGCCAAAGCAGGAAGCCGGGCTGAAACATATGCAGAGATCGCCGTCGCCAAAGCAGGTATCGTGGATGCCTAGATTGGTTGATTCCTGTTCGAGGGCGGCTAGAGACGAGCGAGAGTGTTTTGAGCGTCATGGAGGGGTGAGAGCGGGAAAGGCCTCTTCGATCAATCGAGTCAAAAACGTACAACCCTTTTACCGCCATTGCTTTTAGGTGCATTGGCTGTACGACACAAGAGGAGGCCTAAGGTGGCAGGATCCCGGGCGTCGAGGATGGAAGTGAGATGAGATGCTGATTGTTGAGAACACAACGCACGGATGGCTGATCTTCGTCAGGCGGACAACTCTCCATTCTTACCGGATCCTCATCGAAGGTGTCAAATCTGGTGACGCTGGATTGACTGTCTCGATGTTGTGTTGCCAACCGAGTTGTTTTCCTTGCGGGAGATGGATCCAGAAAGACCCGCCTTGCTGTCACGGGGCGGGAGACGACAAACCGATCCTGACTCAAGCGCTAACCACTTCACAGAACAACCCCTGCTGATTTTTTTCAGATTCCTTCGATGTATCCTCTTCTTTTTCGTTTCGCTCTATTCTTCCTCCACTGATTTTCCGGGCGCCACAGCGCATCATTATGTCATTGCTGATCGCTGCAGAAACTTCGCCTCACCAGTGTGGCTGATGCTTCGCTGGCGAGGCGCAGCCGGGCATCACCGACACGACACTGAGCAGCTGTCAGTGTTGCCATCCTCACCGATCCACATTCGCCTAGTCGCCAGCGCTCGGTGTTTCCTTTGCTACGCATTATCATACCCATCCAGAAATAAGGTCGATGTTCTCGGCAAATTCAATTGCTAGTTGTGATAGATCACATGTCAAGTTTGAGGCTAACAAGATCTCTAGACTGATAAGCAAAAGAAACCAGGGAAGAGACGTCCGGGAATTTCCTCGTTCATCTTGCCCTCCGACTCCAAGCGCCTTGCATGGCTCCTCGTGACTCATACATGCACTCCACATCTATCAACCCAAGCGACTGGGCGCATGCTGATGTTGGGGCGGCATCTTCGTGTCTGTTCTTTTCATCTGACCTCATTCTGCCGCTCTGCGACCCTCAATTCTTCTGCCTGTTGCATATGCGCTCTTCCAGTTGCGGGCCGTGCAAGGCAAGCTGGAGGCATGACCTTCGGTCTCGAGACAAATGTCCTTCCGCTTCGGCCTGCTCATCTCCCAGTCTCATCCAGTCGTGGTTTCGCCACTCGCCTTCCTTCTGTATCTCCTGCCTATGGCCACGGCTCTCGTGTTGACTTTGGAACGTCATGCGGCCAGCTTCCTGGGGACAGGAGGATCTGTTCAAAGCGGCCTACCATTTCCAAGCTTATACTCCCTGACGGCCCCTGATTGCATACGCACGCTAGTTAAGGGGACCTGCGACATGCATACGGGGGAGTCCAGAGCAACGCCAAAGACGCATGGATGCTGATCAAAGATTCAGCGAAGGCCTCTCAGAGGCTTCCATCCTTCTTATTTACTTTTCTGATACTCTCTTTGGTGGATGCTTACTCAACGTAACACCCCAGTATCAGCAGTAGTATAATTACAAGTGCATCTCACCTTTGACTCAGATTCCTTTTTCAGAAAGGCTGGAGATGATTCTCAACGAGGCTTCGTCCAATCGTTGGTCATATCAGGGATATCGGATGTAGCGTCCCGGACGGCGTTTCTCAAGGGCAACAAATGAACGTCCAGAAGAGCCACTCTGTCGACCCTCGAGCCCATTTAGCTCATGTGCTAAAAGACGGACGCCGTGGGGCTAGCTGAGTTTTTTTTTTTTTACAAGAGGTTTTCCTTGCTTTCAAGTCCTTGCTCTCTTTCTCTCCTCCCTTTGGCGAACTTTCCACGTGAGGAGCCAAGGTCATGTGGGATCCAGTATACTTGACTGAACGACTGGCGACTGCAGACGGATCGTTTCACTTGCCAGTCGACCGAGTGCTATGAACCTTCTTCAAAGACTCAGGAAATGAAACCGTCCTGATTTGGCTTCTCGTACGTCTTGTCTTGACCAGTGAGGCCGGAACGAGGATGCACGCGGATCTTGTTGGAAGACCGGCCGATGCCTAGCGGTACCGCACACAATACTACGGAGCTCCGGAGCTCGTACAAAGGCCAGACGCATATACAAATCCGACTAGGTTTGACACCTGTGCTTGCTCTTTATTTCGGCTTCGATTTGAGATATGGAGGCTTGAGTTTAAGGAGATATTGAGTTACACTCGGCGTACGACCCTGGCCCTTTCTGCGCATATTCCTGTTGTGTTCATTGTGGAAATAGGGAACCATGGAACCGGACAAGGCCAATCTCTGGGTCCGTCCCGAAGAGGTTGTATACGGATGGGTATTAGTTCCGCAGAGTCTATCTGAATTGCATGCTCTCAGTGTCCGGCTGCGGTAGGTCTTGTCTTGGATGCTTGAGAACTTGATTTGATAATGATGGTCGAAAGAGGCGCAATTTTATGCAGCAGCAAATAACGATGCCGAGTAAATTTCCAGATGCACAGTGTTTTAGCTTCCTCAAACTCAGCCACAACACGAGGCCACAAGCGAACATTAACTAATCGCTGTTAAAAGTCAAGTGATTTTGGACACTTCCCAGCTGAATCTCGGTCCACTGTGGTGGCCAATCGGCGAACCCGTCAATGGGATCGGGTGCATATTATGGCCTACGCCCAACAGCGTTAGCGACTGCAGATGGCGGCCCTGAACAGGTTTATGAGCATCGGATGATTTTCCGCGATGCACTGAATCCTGATGCAGCGTGGAGAACTCTCAATATGTTCGTGAACGCTTTCTGGGACGTCGTCTGGTCGGCTATCCTTGGGATCGACGGTAACAAGGAGATGAGAACTTGCGCAATAATCTGGAGTAAAACTCACGAAACCTAAAGGTTGAGGGTCCAGGAAGCAGACAAGACCATGATTCGAGGTGGAGAGCGATGGGGGCTGAGCCAGCTGCCAGCCTCCCCGAGTCAAGTCTGAGAGACTCTCTGACTGTAGTGTTTCACAACTGCAGCCAAACCCAGATCATTGGAAGGTTACTCAGCGTTCACAGTAAAATTTATCCTGCCTTTTTCTGACTGGTATAGTGGTGGTATTAGTACTCCGCCGCCGGAGCGCAGGAGGGGCTAGGAGGGCTGTGACACTCCCAGTCGTCGATCTGCCTTCAACGGCTTCCCTTCTTGCGACTTTGATCCGTCGCACGTTCCATCGCACTGGAGGAAATGCTCCTTTTCCGTCTTTTCTTTTTTCTATGCTCAGCATTCGAGAATCATCCGAAACCCCCCGAATCAGTAGCGACTGCCCAAGGAGTCTAGGCGCTTTGGTTGAACTCTCTTCCAGCGGTTCCATGGAGCGCAACCCATCAAATGCATCTAGTCCAGCTTCGCCCCAACAAGCATGTCGTCGCAGGCTGGAAGTATATTTAAGCATCGAATCGACGAGCAGGCAGCGGATTCTGGGCTAATGGAAGAGTGTATTCTGGGCGTAAAGCTCAGAGGCAGACAGACCCTTCGCGAGTCTCCACCGGCGATGACGATTCTGGACGCCTGCATACTGCTAACGCTCGGCCAGGAGAGGCAGAGGGAGGCAGCGGGGAGAGCGAGGCCATGCGCAGCTGAGATCGCACGGCGAATCCGGGTCGTGGCCAAAAGGGACTGACTTGTTCCATACGATCGGGTTTCCACCACCTGCGCCAGAAAAAGTCGCCGGGTAGACTCGCTCTTTGCCAGGACTCTTAAAAGACGAGAGGATGTATGAGGGATGTTGAGTTGAAGGTGTCTCGAAACCACAAGAAGAGGTTTAATTGCATTCTATACAACCAGTGGCCCCAGCGACAGCTTCAAATTTGATCCAGATTATTATTGAATATATTTTTATTTTTATTTTTTACCTTGAATGATTATTTTTCCCTGTTAAACTCGAGTCTTCGAAAAGTCCAGCAGGGATTATTCGATCCTGCCGGTTTGCCTGTGCCATTGCTTGCCTGTTCGGGCCCTGTTCGCTGCTGCAACCGCCGCCCCTCCTCCTCTTTTCTCCAGTCTTCCTCGTCGCTACTTCTTCTTCCTCTTCTTCTCCATATCATCATCGGTCTTGCTTTCTTTTCTTCCCTCTTTGCGGCCCTCAGGCCTTTTTCTTTCTTTATACTTATCATTCTTTTCTTACCCAACCTTTTTGTTTTATTTTCTGTCCTTCGTCCACCGCGCACGTTCGCCCACATACTACTAATTCCATTCAATACGACCCACGGACTATCACGACTTATCCAACTGCAATAGCAGCGACGAATCCACACGACCTTCTATCTGGTTCGGAAACCCCGGTACCTGGTACCTGGATATCGCCGTGGCCCCGTGGCAAATATTATCATATACGGAAACAGGAAGAGGGCGAATGTTGCCTGGATGAACGATTTTATTTCTCGCTATTGACCAACTCCCGACTATTTCGTTCCTTCTCGGCTATCTTACTTATCATTGGTCTTAACTCTGCACTGAAACACAATGCCTGTTGTCTTGCTGCCATCGTCGGCAGCCGCCTTCGCGCCGCGGTCCTCGCCGAACGTGGTGTTAAACTCTCGGATCGAACCATGGCTCACAGCAACCCTGAAGCGGGTCAACCGGGTTAAACGACCTCTCAACAATGTGTCGCAACATACGAGATGCCTAACCGAAACGCTCTCTTCGCCAAACGCTATCTGGACGCTCTGTTCGATGATGTTTCCCAAGGCTCCCGAGTCGGAGCTGAGGAAGGACGAGAACCCTCTAGTAGAGGCACTATTCAACTACCAGATGATTCACATGGAAGCATACGTGGTGCATGTTGATATGGTGTCTCAGAACGAGGTTGCGTTCAAGCTGACGCCAGAGACGATCGAGGCGCTCGTTGATTACCACAAGGATGTCTACTCGGTCGACGCCGCCGCCAGCACCTGGGACTGGTCTGAGAAGGATAATCAGCTAAAGAAGCTACAGGAGGAATTTGTCCAGGCAGCCAACAAATTTGTTTTCCGCGCCGACGTCCAGGCCCTTGAGGGCTTGGAGGAAGACGGTGCAGGTGAGCTGCTTGGTGGTAGGAGTGAGACTGCGAAGACGGCCATCTCGTCCCTTTTCGTCCCTCTGCTCCCGCCGCCTCCTCGTGTGGTTGATGTTCTTCGATCGACACCTTTGCTCCCTAGCTCGACGGGACCTGAAACGTGGTGGCATGACCCGATGCAGCAGCCGGTGACCATGGAGTCATGGAAAGTGCTACCATCCAGCCCGGCGCCAGTCACGACGGTCACATCTGGGGATGTAAACCCTGGGATGTGGGCCGGACTGGGCGCCTTGCCTGAGATGCAGATAGCCTCTCCATCCCCATCGCCGGCTTATACACAAGCATACACCACATCTCCCTACAACACCTTGCAGTACTACAGCGCCGCAGCCACGTCGGCTGCCCTTGCAGTGCTCCCTCTTCCGAGTATGCTCGTCCAGCCCTGTAGCACAGCGGCGAACATGACGAGCTTCGGATGGGGAGATCGTTACCAGGATTTTGCGCTGCCGTACGGGACAACGATGTAATGGATCCAAGACACCAGACACTTGATGTTGACGGTCTTCCTGACTTTCGCGTGTCTTTTGGATTAGATCCCAGGGTCCTTATCGACAGAGCCAGTACCGGTCACCAGTACCACCCGATTCCGAGAATTTATACCCACGAGAACCACAGGGATAAGCTCCCTTCGACTACAGACAGCAGACTAATCGGCATCAGTGACGGCGTTATCCATGATTTGTTTTTCAGCCCGATGATACTCCACTTCGCCTTTGCATTACGAACACAGAAGATAATATCGTGTCTCTTTTTTATCTGTTTGGTTTCAGCCTGTTTAGCGTTTTGTTTCCCCTTCTCTCTCTTGCATCAAGAATCAGCGGCGGGACGGCTTTCTGTCTTTTTTGTTCCCATTCAATCCCGCATTATATGTCATGAAGACTGGTGGGCCTCGCGGCTTGGGGTATGGTCTGGATGAGAAACGTTTACCGACACTCTTTTGAGGTTTCATTTCGTTTCCATGAGTTGGCAGGGCAGGCGGCAATGATGATACTGGTTCCGTGAACTGGTATTGTTTCGCTATTCCCAAACCAACATCTTCTCCTTCTGGTACGGGTTACCAGACTGGTGTCTGCACGGACAAGGGGCGGATGCAATCGTGGTGCTGCGATACATACTCATCTGGGATGGTATGGACGCAGAGTTGCGACAGTGCGGTTTGTCTGGATTTGATCGGCGTTGGATATACTGATCTCGGCGGCCTTGGGAAGTCTGCCTGTGGCAGATCCCGAGCGAGGAAAAGCCAGCCTAGATCTGTGATCTCAGTTGTTCATGCCTCATGAGGTCAGTGTACCTCCGCCGTTCTGTCCATATAGACTGGCTGTTGCTTGGTAGGTTCATCTCCTACTGTCCAGGCTGGGATTTTTATTTCCTGGATATGCCCGATCAACTATCTGTTCACTGGTGAGCAGTTTGAGTGACGGGAATCGGATGCTGGAACGGGCAGTGCCCCAATACGTTCATTGCACTCGCGATCATTTTTATGCAGCTTCAGCTTGTATTTAGTTTGGAGTAATAATTTGAAACCACACATAAACAGATTGACAATGATTGCCTTTTCTTCTTGGTCTTTCTTGGTCTTTCTTGGACGTTCTTGGTTAGTGACCTTCATAGGGCAGGAATGCGGAGAGCCGAGAACAGTGACGTCAGGTCCACTCGACCCTGGCAGCAAGTTGCACCTCTTCCTCCAGGCTGCAGCAATGATTTTGGATCTTGCACAAACTGCCTCAGCTCTTTAACACTCTCTCGGATGAGACTCTCGATGTAATTCTTTCTCTCTATTTTCCAGATTAGCGGCATCAGACCAGGGTCGATCATTGGAGCCTGGTTTCCTCGCCGTCCCCTACGAAGTATACAACCCACCACAACACAAGAACACCATTTTCATTACAATCCTCAATGGCCGCCCTCCACGAAGCACTAAAACTCCTAACTGGCACCCACTGGGACACAATCCCCGCAGACCAATCCGACCTCCGCACCTACCTCGCCGACCTCTCCACGAAAGCCCGCCTAATAATCGACTCCGTCCCCGAACCCCATTCCTCCTCCTCCTCATCCGCCGAAACTAACAACACAACCACATACGGCAAACTAAAACCCTCCCGCGCCCGCCTCGGAACAACAGACGAAACCATCCTCGCCCACCAACGCGAATGGAGCAAGCCCGTGAAAGTCGGCAACGCCCGCGATAACCCGCTCGGGATCCAGGTGTACAAGCTCCCCGGCGCAGACGGCAAGGGCCACTGGTTCGGCCGGCGTTCCATACATGAGGGCTTACCCTTCTCCGTGTGGGAGGAGAAGCTCTCGAGCGAGATGAAGGAGACACTAAAGAATAACCAGTGGCGTATTGAGAGGGGTCTCCCCGCGGACCAGGCAGTGCGGGGGATCGGTGCGGAGAAGCAGATTGAGGAGGTGGAGGTACGGGATGAGGATGGGGAGACCGTGTTGGGGCGGGTGAGTGTTTATCATGTCTCTGCACAGTTCCCGCGGCCGACAACGGCGAGGGATTTTGTCACTATGATCATCACGTGGGAGCGTTCGTGGAGCGTTGCGAGTGAGGGGGAGGGGAAAGGGAGGGCTGGGCGCAGCTGGATGATGGTTTCGAGGCCGTGTGTACATCCTGATGTTCCCGAGGTGCAGGATTATATTCGGGGCGAGTATGAGTCTGTTGAGATGATTCGGGAGATTTTGGTTGATAGGGATGAGAGGGAGGGATCGTCTGGGACTAGCTCGGGTGGGGGTTCGAGTTCGAATGGGACTGATAAAGAGCCTGCAGAGGACGAGTCGAACCCAGTCGAGTGGATTATGGTGACTCGGTCTGACCCTGGAGGTACTATACCGCGGTGGATGGTTGAAAAGGGGACACCGAAGAGCATCTGCTCCGACGCAGCAAAGTTTCTAGACTGGGCGTCCCAGCCAAATTCGGGGGCAAAGCAACGCGAGCGAGCATCCACGTCGAAATCACAGGCTTCTCAGCCAGCGACTGCAGATGCGGAAGATTCAGAGAGCAGCGACTCGGATCTGAGCGAGTACGATCAGGAAGAACACCACGGCCTCATAGCGAGTGTTAGCCAGCTCCTCCAGGCGGGTCTCGAGCGATACGCACCACAGGCAGTCCTAAGCTACATACCCCAGCACTCACGCCAACAATCCGCTTCAGGCACAACAGACGTCGATAGTAGCTCAACAAACACAGCTCGCGAAGTAACCCCAGAGAGCCAGAGCCGAGACGTAAAATCATCGGACACCCAAGACGAGACACTGTCACTCAACTCCGAACTCAACACCGAACCCAACACGCCCGGAGACATCAACCTCGACATCTCAGCTGCGGAGCTCCTCCAGCGAACAAAGAAGGGCAAACTCTCCTCACACGAGCGCCAGCTCGCCAAGCTCGCCCAGCAAAAACGCAGCGTCGAAGCCCAGATTGACCTCGTCCGCTCGGACATCCAGTCTCTCGGCCTGCGCCCTCCGGAAGACGACGTCAGAAAGGAGAAAGCCGCTGCCCTGGGTTCAGTGGACGTGCCATCAGGCGGTACAAGTCCCACAAGCAGCACGCAGAAACTCGGCTCCGAGGACCGCACGTCGAGTAGCAGCAACGTGCGCAGCCGCGCCGACACGCCATCAACCGAACACCCGGAGATGAACAAAGTCGCTACGGCGCTCTTTCGCGAGGAATCGAAGCTCGTCCGCCGCCTTGCGAAGATCGAACGGCACCAGCTCAAGGAAGCCGCGAAGCTCGAGGCACATCAGCGCAAGGAGGCAGAGAAGCACGATAAGGCGCACTCGCGGAATGAGACCGAGTCGTTGCGCCGCGAACTCGAGAGCGTCAGGAAGGAGTGCGAGAAGCTGAAGAGTGAGCGCAAGCAGTGGCTTAGCCTTATTGGGTCGTTGCAGGCGGAGAATACGAAGCTTGCGAGGCAGGTTGGGGCAGTGACGGGGGCGGGGACAGCGTCGGGTGTGGAAGGGAAGAAGTGATTGCAGCTGCACATAGGTCTTGGGGTTTTCTTTTCTTTCGGCTGATATGATAGGACTGAACGTACTGTACATTATGACCAGACAACGAATCTGAGTTCCTGGGAGGTAGATACTCATCGGGACGTGGGAATGAATTTATGCATTTCATGGTATATGGCAGACTTGACTCCAGACTCCAGTTCTAAACGCCGTAAAGTGGTTCCTCCCAACAAATGTCGTCGCAGTCCCAGGAGGTTATCAGGGGTATCCTTTCCATCTGCTACCGTGCTAAAAACACAGCAAGCGGCGCCCTTTCTCCCCGCGGACCATCTTCATTCAGGTCGACCGACTGATGCCGAAATGGAACGGTAGATCGTGGGTTTCCCTTGCGCAGTCCCTCTGTTATTGTCCAGATTCTTTCGATCGAGCCCATTCACGGTATTAGAGGTATCGTCGCATCGCACCGTATCACCAAGTCGAGCCGCCCGACCGTCGCATCCATATCCCCAGCCAGCCGCGCAGCGAAAGCCCTCCGCCTCGTCTCGTCTATAAAAACCGCTCACTCCTGCGTCTACATCAAAAAGTCAGCACAACCATCTTCCATCGAACTAGACCAATGCGAAAATCAAAAAATCTCAAAAAATACTAACCTCCGGGGGCGCCCCAACCCCCCGAACCATCCTCTCAATCATCATCGCGCGCACTTTCTCGCGCGGCTCACCCATGGCCACAGCCATGTACCCGAGCAGCGGCGGGTGCCCAACGTAGCTTGCATAGCTGTCGCGCGCGATGTTGGAGAGGAACTCGTGTTTCGTCGTGTCGGCGTGGCCTGTTCCGATGTAGCGCGCTTGCATCGCTTCGAGGTTTTGGAGGGTGCGGAGTTTGTCGGCCATTTTGGAGGATTTCGGCTCTGATGGAGTTCCGAGAGATTATTGGTGGTGTTTGTGGTTTGAAGGTCTATGGTTGGTAGTCGGTGTTGGAGGGTGAGGGTTTGACTTGTGAGGCGGAAAAGATGGAGATTGATAAGGTGGGCACGTGACTAGTCTGGGGTAGAGGTACCAGGAGTATACCAGTTTCTCGCGGTTGGATTAGAGGATTTATCTTTTATCGGTAGGTAGAGAATTTATAAGTAAAACTATATTAGACTTTGCGGATATAAATTCATAACTAATTTAGACTAGAGTCCTTGGAGCGGTGATTATCAACTAAATCCATATATCAAGTCGAGAGCCATCGATAAACATCAGACGCCTACCTCCAACTCCCTCTCCCAGTCCTGCTTCTTGAACCACTCCTTAGCAGTCTGCAGCTGCACTGGTACTCCCAAGTCACTTGGGTTCACAGTGCTCTTATCAACATTCTCAGAATTGTCGCCAAAATATCCAAACTCGACAAGAAACCCCATCATATCATTCATCTCCTTGTCCAGGTCAGGGTCTCCTGACAGAGTAACAGGTTGGCTGTCAGCAAACTCCACCTTCTTCTCTAACACTTCACCTAGGATTTCAGTCATGTCTCGTAAATTGAGCCACTCGTTGACGCCACGGAGCTTTTTGCCCGGTGCGGCGCGAAGCAACGCATGCACGAGTGCTCCGGTATCATCCACCGCGGAGTACATGGGAAACGGTGATCTAGCCAGAAAGTCGGGCAAGGTTAAGACAAGAGTGTCTTTGGCCTGATTTAGTTTGGGGCGGAACAAAGCGCCAGAGACCCCAAAGTAGTTCTCAAGGTATAGCCCTGCGTAAAGCATACTGGTCTTTGCCCAGAGGTCTGGATGAGTTGACCGGCCGTAATCCTCAGAGAGTCCCTTGCCCTCGAAGTGGTAGACATGCGGGTATTTGCCACCGCTCAGCTTGTTCGTGTTGACCAAGCCAGAGAAGATAAACCGGTCAAGCGTGCTGATTTTGGCGGCGGCGTCGATAATGTTCCGGTTCATTTGAATTTCTCTTTCCCGGCAATGAACGCCAATAGGTTGGCCTGATGCGACAGCCTTCTCGCGCTCTAAGGGGTCGAAGAAGTTTATCCAGAAATCGGTGACGCTGAAGATAGCAGATGCGCCTTTGAAGGCAGCGTCAAGGGATGAAGGGTCGTCAACGTTAGCTTTGACCATGTCAACGCCAGCAGCGGCCAGAGAAGCAGACTTGGGCGAGGATGGGTCTCGTGTGACGCCGCGAAGAGCATAAGGAGAAGGTGACAAGGAAAGAAAGTATGAAATGACCGATCCTCCTTGCTTGCCTGTGGCACCAAGGACAACAAGGATGGGCTTTTCAGAAGGCATGTTAAGAAGTTGTTTCGACGAGGTGTGGATCTTTGAAGTGGAGTGTGAAGATGGCTTGATGAGTTGAAGACGTGAGTTGAGAGGAAGGAATGGCACAATTTATAGCTTGAGCTCTCATACAACGGACATGATGTATGTATCGGAAGTATACAGGAAGGCTCATCCACTTGCTCCAACTTCGGTCTAGTTCCCACAAGTCAGCCGTTGTGGGCGTAGGCCAGCAGAGCTAGAAACGCGTCTCCACGGAAATCACAGCCTGGTCCATCAGATCGTTGCCCAAATTCATGCAGTGAAATGAGCCTCTCCCCGACATCCTCGCCAGTTCTCGCCCCGGCTGTCGCTATCCAGGCTTGCGGCGACGTCGCCATCCACAGGCCGGCGCGTTCGTCGAATGGAAGCGACTCCATGAACAACCAATGAGTGCAGTATCCGTACTTGAAGCTACTTAGAGCCATCCCGAGACCGTAAGACGAGACAATAGTGCGCCGAACGCTCTCTCCAAATAGCCACGCCTGCCATGGAGACTGGTCTCGAGGCCTTCTAGTCTGGGCCGATGCTAACAGAGTATGGGCCCATTCGTAAATGACCTTGAGAAATACCTGCGTATCTATCTGTTGAGCTGGGAAAAGAAAGGCTCCGTAAACCAGAAGCAACTGAAGGCCGGTCAAGTTTTCCATAAGGGATATTTGCTTGACGTCAAGTTGGATCAAGCGTTCAAACATTTCATGGTCCAGGTTATCTTGCCGAGCCTCCATCAATGCGACAATGTGATTAGAGTTGCCTTGAAGTTGCAGCTTTGGATGTACAAAAAGCGCAGGCTTTCCCAGGTTCAGAAGATCCGGGACACATTGATAACCTAGACGCAAAAGCTCTAGGTTATCTGTGTTTCCGGTTCCACAAATTGCAGGGTCTATGAAAGGAGGGTGGAGATTGACGCTCTTCATGAAACAGTATCCCGGGGTATCGCATACGCTCGTGTTGAACGTCATGGTGTGTAGCTGTTTATCCTGCACAGTTGCAGCTTTCAAAGGCTCGAGATCATAGGTACACTCCAGGCCCCGCTGGGCGCAGCGAGTGCACTTTGGCAGCTGAACCACGCATTTCCGCTTTGCTAGAGTGCAATTTTGGCAAGCTTTACGCAGGATAGTCATTGTGGGTGCGAAGGATAGCTCTCAGTAATGTTGATGAAGCAGCTCTCCGGGTCAAGAAAGGAAGAAAGGAGGGGGTGCATCATGGCGTCTATGCTTATATTCGAGGTTCCACTGATCCTTCGCCTTGTCTGGGAACTTAAGCCTCATCCGGTTTAGATCCCACAGGTACGATTCAGAGCTCTCCAAGGCTCCAAGCCTCAACGGGCCACCCATTGTGAGATATGACTCAATCTCAGTCTGAAGTATTCGGATGAATGTTGCTGCTGTTGATTATCAAGCGAATGACAAATCAAATTCAAAGCAACAAGTTTCACCATTGCAGGTGACAAACGTGAGATGGATGAGATAGAGGCTGTTGGACGAGGGAGGGAAGGAAAGAGGACCAGGATAAAACTGCTTACTCATCCTCCTGCACAAAGTCGCCAATATGCATAAAAATCCTGCTCTAAATTATCCTCCTACAACACCGTGACGGCCAGCAAAAGCTTCAGCAAGCAAGCAGCGACCTCAAAGTCTGCTGTGTCTGACTGGGTCCCGGCAATGGGTGACGCAGGACCAGAGACTCAGTCACTACCATCTCGAATTGCCACCCTAGTCCACTCGCATTTCGATGGTCTGCCGAAGCGCAGCAAGCCCGTTATTCGCGACGATGGCACAGTCGAATGGGTTCCCATGACGGGCATTGTTATTGTCAAGGGTGAGTTATTGTCATTATTTGGAGTATATTGTTATACTGTGTATGTGGGAAATCAGCACACCCCGATATCCCCTCATCCAAGCACGGCGCAGGCTTCAATATTCCATGCACCTAATTTTTAGTAGGAGAAAATACACCTTCAGAAACATTAACATGTATTGCCGTTGCGTATGCTCCTCTTCAAAGCCTATTTATATTAGAAGGATACTGACCCTCCCAGAACTGGCGCAAAATGCCTCTCTGCGAGCCGAATCCCGCATTGCAAAGGACTAGTACTGCATGATTGCCACGCCGAAATCCTCGCCATGCGTGCTTTCAACTTCTGGCTTATGTCTGAATGCCACAGTGTACTGGCTCAGGAGGCCCAATCAGTAGAATATACAAACAGACATACAAATGACTCTGCCTCACCATATATCCAGCGCCGTCAAGCAGATATCTCAAACGCAAATATCAAAAGAGGACCCGAGCCTCCGTTCGAGATTCAGCCCGACGTGCGAATCTACATGTACTGCACCTGTGCCCCTTGCGGCGATGCAAGCATGGAGCTCTGCATAGCAGCACAAGACGACCCAACCCCATGGGCTATCCCAGCCCCAGAGACAGAACCCGACAATACCCCCAGCGATACCAACAATGAATCAACCAGAGCCACACCTCTCCTCTCCGGTCGCGGCGACTTCTCGAAACTAGGAATCGTCCGCCGCAAGCCAGCCCGCGCGGACGCAGAGTCAACGAAGAGCAAATCGTGCTCGGATAAGATTACGCTGCGCCAGGTATCGTCTTTATTGAACTACGAGACGAGTCTGCTTGTTGCGCCGACAGAGAATGCGTATATTGCTGCCCTTGTTCTACCTGAGGAGGAGATCACGCGCGTCGGGTGTGCGAGGTGTTTTGGGGAGGATGGAAGGATGAAGGGGCTTAAGGGGAGGGCGTGGCCCATTGGGAATGGCAATGGGGCTGAGATAGAAACTGGGACCGGGGATGAGGCTGTAGTGGGTCCTGAGTCCCGGTACCGCTACGAGTTCCGTCCATTCCAAGTCCTATCCATCCCAACCGACCAGCTCAAATCGCAATGGCCGTTCCGCAAGCCCAGAGCAAGCGATCCCATATCGGAGATTGAATCAGACGACCAGTCCCAACCGGATCCCGCGGCGACAATGAAAAAGGCCAAACCAAGCAATCTCTCATCGATATGGGTCCGCGCCCCCACGGTACCGATACCCGCGGATGCCGAGGGCGCTCCGCGGACAGTGATTGGGGATACAGGCTCCAAATCCTTGCCTTCCCTGCGCGGGTCCAAGACAGGCTTGTTTGAGAACATCATCAACGGCGTGAGGCAGGGCAATAAGCTCTCTGCGCCGGGTTTACGAGGTGCGTCTGCGCTCTCGAGGGCGAAATCCTGGAGTTATTGTGAAGTGGTTCTGGGATCGATCTTCCCACCATCTACGGAGAGTGCAGGCCCAGTTGATGGAGACGCGGACGGCGGAAGGGTCAATGCAGGAACAGGCCCGCCTGTGTTACAAACATCAACATATCGCGAGTTTAAGGAGGCAGACCTGACGGAGACAATCCGAGCGCGAAGAAGCGCTATACAAAGTGCCAGAGAAGTTCTAGCGGGATGGGTACCGAATTCCGGTGATGAAGCTTGGGGTTTAGATGTGCTCGTCGATACGAAGAAACGCAAGCGGTAATTAGAATAATCGTTCCGCGTATAATTTAACGACTATAATGTCTATGTTCCAGCAATTATGCCCAATCAAGCTAGAACTTGAAACCGTACATAACTTTCCATACAGGACTAATCACACCATAGCCCGAGACCCATTGCAGCGTGCAATTGATGTAAATGATTAAACATTTAGGGAGTCAACCTCCTTGGCGGATTGCAGCTACCTCACCAACGGCGCGTGCAGCGAATTAATAGATTCCAGGGACAATGCGGCTGCGGACCAAGGAAGTGTATCGGTCCCAATCCTTGCCGTACTTCCTCTTGCATTTCTCCTCATCACGTCGCTCACGGTGGAGGAGGAGAACACCAAAGTAGATCAGGAAGTAGTAGGTGAAGATGATAGCGTACCCACGCGACTCCGGGGTCTGCACAGCCTGCCTCTCAAGCTCGCCGGTGGACGCATTGATCGACTCGATAATGACGAAGCCGGATATTCCAGTGGGGAGCGAGTACGACCACGACATGAGCCAGTCGCCGAGGTAGTTGATGTGGCGGGCCATTCCCCACCAACCCGAGATCATCAGCTTGGAGCCCTGGGAAGTCTCAATGTACTTGATGTGGCTGATCCGGGGGTCGTTGGGGTCCTTGCGGAAGCGGTTCTTTTGGTTGTTGGCGCCGCGGAAAATCATGTAGCCTACGGCTGTCGGGGCCAGGGCGACGGCGATGCCCTTCAGTCCGAGCTCGTAGGGGAACATGGCGAGGTACCGGGTCTGGAAGTTGTAGATGAAAGGGACCCAGGCCATGTCTCCGAAGGAAAGCATGTATCCGAAGCCGTCCATGATCACGTCCATTGTCGTCAAGAGAGCCGGCTCCATGTAGAGACCGTCGAGGACGTAGAAAGCCTGTAGTGCGGTTGAGAGGACAATAGAGTCGGTGACGTATCCGTAGGTTCTGTACTGGCGTGCAATGTTGGACAAGTTCAAAATAATCCATCCTAGCAAACCAGGCCGCATCTCGCACCAGGTCTTAATATCAATTGTTCGCGACGGCTCGTCGATGAATGGGATTGGCAACTTTACTCGCGGGTTCAGCTCGCGCCCGATGAAGAAGTCATAGAGCACGTTGCCTGAATGTCCGCCCGGTGCCAATTGGCGAAGCTCGGGGTTGGGCTGACCTGGCGCAGGGACGGAGAAGCTCCCCACGTAGACAAAAATGGCGATTGACCAGCATACTATCAGGTTCGCGGTGATAACCTGTGGATAGTTGTCCCAAATGAATGTCCAAACAACGAAATCGGCTCCATGCACGTAGGTCCCCACAGCCAAGCCAGAGAGAATGATCATGGCAGTCGGGAAAGCTAAAAGCGTGTTAGAGATGCAATGAAAATCCTATAGCGAGCAGAGTTTTACCATTGAATTTGTATCGAAGCCTCCCGCCGCAGGCCAATTCGGTGCCCTCCGCGAACTGGCCGGGTAGAGCCACGTACAGAAACAGCTGGAGCAGGTAGTAGCTCAGAACCCACAGAAAAACTTGTGTATCGTAGAGCGCGCGCAATCCTCCCTCGGGCCAGCCAACCTCTACCTTCAACTGATCGAGCGTAAGGGTCGAGGGGTGCAGCAGGGACGGGGCAGGGCAGCCGGAGACATCATTGCACAAAAATGTGAAGCCGTAAAGGAGAACGGGGAGACCGAAGGTAATGGCAAAGGCACCAGGCCTGCAAATGTTGGTAAATTAGGTCAATTCTTGCAAGTTGAATAGAGCGCAACGTACGGGCCAAAAAACTCATATCCTCGTTTCTCAGGGACAGGTTGGAGGCGTACAGCAGCTTTGGAGTCTTTTTTGGAGGCCATGGCGAAGAGCTCCTCTCGGTACTGTTGACGCGACGGACAGGACAGAACAGCTCGGGGAAGCGCTCAATTGGAAAAAGAGAAATTCAATAGAGGAGGGCTCATTGGCGAGGACCAGAATTTATGTGTTCGACCGAGATCTCGGCAAGAACGTCTGAGGACGGATCGACAGAAGCCGAGCAGGAGACAAGCTGCAGCCTAAGTGCAGCTGGGGTCTGCGAAGCGAAAGCAAAGGAGGCCGAGTTCTCCGCATCCGCAGTAATGCGACGTTTCATCTTCTGAACAACGCCTCGTCCTTCTTGCCTCATCGCTCATTACTATTCCATCTCCATCTCGTTCCCTTGGTTTCCTTTTTGTTTCTTCTTTTTCTTCCGCCGATCACCTCAGCCGCCGGCTCGCGCTGGACCCCGATCCCCGCGATGAAGTCACCGGTCTCCCTCCTCAGCTTCCTCCTCGCCTCGGCCTCGTTGACCTCTGTATATGCGGCTTCCGATTCCTCTGGCTCTAAAGATGATCAAGCGCCATGCGTCGCGCGTTCTCCGACAACGGGACTCTACTACGACCTGAACAGCTTGACTGTACAACACCCTTCAAGCGACTCCGAGAAGACCCGCAAACACCAACGACAAGAGAGCTGGCACGCAAAGGGCTACGACTACAACGCGAACTTTACACTCAATGTCTGCGGGCCTGTTATTGAGGATGTTACGGACGTCGTGGGAGTTGGGGAGAACCTGTGGCAGAACGTCAGCGCGTACTACAAGAAGGATGACAAGACATATTCTATCGGGTTGGTTTACCTGAACATTACGAATGGCCGAGGAGCTGACATTATCTAGACAACAAGCGTCTGAACTTTTCTTTCGAGGCCGTAAACTCGTTCTCAACTACACAGACGGCTCGCCGTGCGATGGCGATCTCTCTTCGCGTAACAAGTCGACCCTCATCTCATTCCTATGCGACCGCGACATTTCCGCGTCACAACCGACGGTCTCTTTCGTCGGCACGATGGACGAGTGCACATACTTTTTTGAACTTCGAAGCTCCGCCGCCTGCGGTGGCTATGGACATGATCCTGCTGGCCAGGGTCTGTCTCCAGGAGGGATCTTCGGTATAATGTGAGTACCAAGTACCTGGTATTATCGTTCCAGCTAACACATGCGCGCAGTGCCCTCATTGCAATCGCAGCTTATCTGGTCGGTGGTTGCGCTTACCAACGAACCGTCATGCACCAGCGCGGCTGGAGACAATGTCCCAATTACAGCCTGTGGGCTGGAATGCTCGACTTTGTGAAGGTATGTGTACTGGCAGTGACACCGTTTCGGCGCACATACCGCAGGCATCGTGACTCGCTCTCGCACAATCACCCGAGCAATGCAAAGTTACCGGTTTCAAGGCTGGATTGAACCCTGCTGCTGGTCTAGCATGTCGCTCTCTCACTCATTATTGTTTCCTCATCGTTATGTACAAAATACCTGCATCCAGCGTTGACCGCTGCAGCCATTCTTTCTCCTTTTGATGCGCTCCTATGGATACAAAATAGCCTCGTCGGCCTTGGTCACCTATAAACAAAAGAAGAGAACGATAGATATGCACACACCCTTTCTCCCTCCTCCTCCTGTATCCTAAATCGTGTACCTCCAATATCCATTCTTACCATACAGGCTCATTTCTCATCAGCACGTTCCGATATTTCAATCAGTTCGATCCACGCTAACAGTCTCCTAATCTAGGACATGACAATCATCCTATTTTCTTCACTCCTCCGCCTCCTGCGCATCCGACGCTCACCGCAGGGCTACACCGCCCCCAGTAGCAGTCCCCAACGAGGCCGGTACCCAGGCGGCCAGCGCGGCCGCGCCGAGGACGTCGATGCAGAGAATCGGTTGATAGACCAGTACGATGAGGAGTGGGACGATTAACGCAAGCGATCTGTATTTTGTTTTCTTCTCTTTGCTTTCATGTCCATGAGCTTCACTGCTCGGTTAGAGGGATTGATTCTCTGCTCTAGTCTAGGCAGGACAGTGATGACGATGTATTGTATGGAGTGTGATGTTATTGTATGAACTGAAGGGAGGATTAGATTTACGAGGGTATATGGTTATATGATTTCATGGACATGGGGATAAGTACATTTATATTTCGACCTACACATCAGGAGAGTATCTTGCTATTTGAATCTTTGGTATCAATCTGCCATCAGAACAAGAATACTTTATAAATGGTGCAACCATCACTTTGCAGCATGTATGTGCGAAGCGCAATTCTCACTTTATGCTGCCGTATAGTGTCAAACCATGACTAGGCATGTATCAAGTAGCATCATTGGTCTAGTGGTAGAATTCGTCGTTGCCATCGACGAGGCCCGTGTTCGATTCACGGATGATGCACGAATATTTATTTTTTACTTTTTGATCTTCTATCGATCTTGCGAAGTTGCGAGTATGCAAGAAACATGCCTCTCTTATCTTTTTCTTTTTTTCTTTTTTTTTTTGCCGGGAATCCTTCTCCTACGGATACATGTGAGAATATATCCAGCTGCATCTCTGGAATTTAGTTGGGTCTGCTGCGCATGCCGCGAAGAATATATATATTATCATCGAAACATCATTATCTTCGATAGAATATAGATAAGTTACACACTTGGTAAGAATGAATTTCAAATAGCAACCCTCACGCGGCTATATCACGATAGGTAGGTTCACCAGTACGACGACAAGCAAAGGAACCCATCCCATCCGCAACGCTATATCCAACCAGCCAAGCAAGACACAAGCAGAATGCGACCTCCCATGGTATCCGCCAAAACCCAGAACATACCATGACCCACCCTGGCAAACAGATAGCTCAAGAACCAAAAAGGTAAAAAAAAAGAGTATAGAACACAGCTTCATTGAATAGTACATAGACCTCTCACACTCATATCATATCACGACTGAAGGAATCAATCAATCAATCAACCACCAAATCAACATGGCACCCACTTAATTATCCTTCCTCGGCAATCCCCCCATCCCTAGATCATACCCCGCCATAGGCCCAAAGGCAGCCATTTCGGCGCCCGCATCCGGCTGCTGCGCCGTCGCATCCATGCCGGCGCCGGCGCCGATCGGGTCGAGGTTGAATGGAAGAAACCACGCGCTTGGCTGGTAGAATTCGCCTGTGCCCGAGGGCGCGTTGGGGTCTAGTTGACCCCCGAAAATCCCGCATGTGTCTTGCGTTGCTGCTGCTGCTGCGGCGGCTGCGCCAGGTGGGGCGCCTGCGGCGCCGACGTCCTGCCCGCCGTTTAGAGATGTGAAGGGGTTTTGGTGCGGGTCGCCGGGGACGTAGGAGGTGGGTGAGGGCTTGAATCCTGCGAAGGAATCGTAGACGAACTGCCGGTCGAGTTGCGGGAGTTGGTCGGTGACGGGGATTGTGAAGTCGAAGGGGCCCGGGGTGAAGTTGGGGTGCTGTCCGGTGGCGGCCTGGGCGTTGCGGTTGTGGGGGAACATGGTTGGTTGGGGGAATCCTGTTCCTGAGGTTCCGAGGATACCGGGGGAGGTTTCCATGTTGACGTCAACGATTTGTTGTTGCGAGGTGGGTGTGCTTGTGTTTTGGTCGAGGCCTGCGATGCTCTCGATCCTGCTGCCTGCGCGGGAGTGCCGGCGGCGTGGGAGAGCGGGTTGTGGTGTTGGGGAGAGGCTGGCGAAGAAGTCCTCGACGCTTTGGAGATCGGGCTTCTGGCTCATTACGGCCTCGTCGTCGTTCTTTCGCGCGTGATGCTCGGGGTCTTCCCAGTGTTGCCGTGAGACGCCGTGCGGGTACTTGTCGAACCAGTCGCCATACTGGAACATGGGTGTGACAGGCCCGTTTTGCGTGGTTACTGTGCCCTTGATTGCTGCGTCGGCGAACTGGCGGTAGCGGTCTTTGGCGCTCTCGACCATGTAGTGAAACATTCCCCAGTATTTCTTCATTTTGTTGAGGTATCGATATGTGTGTCGGAGGTTCTCCTTTGAACGAGCTTCCAGCTGCGCGTTCTTGGAAAAGATGCCCCAAATGTGCACGGTGCTGGCCGAGTATGCGCAGTACCCAGCAAACGGTACTGTGAGGGGATATGGCGCGGCGTGGTTGATGAGGGTCGAGATGTGATGCGCCGCTTCTACGGCGGCTCTTCCGGCATTGCTGAGGAACGTCCGGGGCATGTCGCGGGGCGGGCGCCCGCCGGGTGAGAGAGGAATGGCGAACTGGTTGAGGAATAGTGTGTTCTGATGGATAATAATGTGGAGGAAGAGGAACTGATTAGCGACTCGGTCTGCGGCGTGGACTTGTAGATTCTCATATGTGAAATGTAGATGGCTCGGAAGCGAGGCAGAGAAATCCTCAATCTGCTTTCTGAGGCGCGAGTATCCCGACTCTGGCGACCACAGTGGATGACTATCTCGCCGCTTTCCGCCGAGGTTGAGATAGTCCACAATCCGACCCCAAATAACGACGGCGCGAATAATATAGGCGAGCACGCCCATATTCGATCTCGCATTGGATAGCTGCCCGACGTCCTCTGGAACGGGGTTCAACACATTACCCTCCAAGTCTTCTGTAGGCCCTGGAATCTCCATCTGAAAATGCGTCTCCTTGATCGGAAGCTGTATCTGGAGGAATTTCTCGTTACCGATTGGCGGACGCTGACTTCCTGATGAGTTATACCGGTCCATCAAAAAGCACGCCCACATTGTGCGCCGCCGTATTTCTCGGTCTGTGAAACTAAGTTGTGTACTGCCGCCATTCGTTTGGGTGAGGAGGGGGTCGTAATCGAGCTCTCGGTGCAGCTGGAGCGCGTACGCCATGCGCATGGCCTGGCCACCAAACGACCAACTCCGTCCGCCATGGCATGTACCGAACTCGTGAAGCCCGAGTAGTAGGAACACTGTTAAAATCGTGATATTCGGCTCGTCATGTCGCTTCAGCGCGATATTCGCAGCGGGGCTGGCCCAATTCTCTCCGCGCAGAAACGGGGGCTCGGAATTGATCTGCGGATGGGTCGAGAATCTCGCGGAGACAGCGCAGACAGCAAGGATAAGCACAGGAGGTACCGTCCGTGCCTTGAGCCTGCGCATGAAGCTCGGCTTGTGAAGCAACAAATACGACTGCCCATAAACGCAATCAAAGAAGACCTCCGACAGATGCTCCTGAATCTCCAACGAAGGGAGAAACTCCACCCCCTCAGTCATCAAACTCGGCCCATCATTCGACTTGCCCTCACGACGCATCGGAAACGTATCCTGCGGCGCATTGCTCCTACCCGCACCACGCGCCCACTCCTCCATCTCAGCCTCAAACGCCTCCTCAGCGGTCCTCTTCTTCTGACTCTTCGTCGTCGCCGCTTGGGCCTGACTCTGGTTCTGGCCCTGGCTCTTCGCCGCCTGGCCCGGCTGCGGCGGCCGCACATTCGACCGCCCAATGGACGCCATATCCCTCGCCTCGTCCTTGGGTATCGTCTTGATAACCCGGTCCTCCATCCGCTTCAGCCGCTTATCCAACATAGCCATGTAGTCCGTCCGCGGGGCTGCCTTGCGCGTCGTCACCTTGTACACACAGGGGATCCGCGACCGCGAGCAATGCTTGCACGCGGGCTTCTCGCCCGAGCACCGAATCTTTTTCCGCCGGCAGGCAATGCACGCCAGCGGGAGCCGCTTCCGCTCCTTGCCGGCTTTTGTCTTCATCTCGCTCCAGGCGGGCTTGTTGTCGCCCTGCATATCGGGGTTTTGCGAGGGGTCGCCGTTGTCGTCGACGGCTCCTCCTCCGGCGGTGCCGCCGGGTGTTGTTTCTTGTGGGCCATCGTGGAGGGCGGTCAATTCGTTGGCTGTTAGGGCGCTCCCGGGCTCGCGCGAGCTAGCGGGGCTGTGGGAGTCGAACTCGTCTGGGGGAGCGCTGTCGTCTTGGTGGTGCTGGTGGTGCCCGGTCAGTGGAAGCGAGGAGAGGGCCATCGGAGAGTCATCGGATTCGGGAGGGATCATGATGGGCGCGGGTACCCCAGCGACGGGGCTCGGATCATTGTTCACGGGGAAGAAGAAGGGAGGAGCAGAAAAGGGGGAGGGGGCCCAGAGGGACGACGGGGACTGGGCGTCTCGTGCGAGGTTGTTGAGAGGGCGATAATTATTGTCTGGAGGCGGAGAAGACGAGGACGGGGAAAAGCCTCGAGGGTCCGGGCCGGTCTTGGCGCTGCTGGCCGCTGCCTGGGGAAGCATTAATAACCGCCTCGTCACAGTATCAACACACAGATCAGAGTCATCAAAATGGACAGCGAGCAGCTAGAAATTCAACTGTCGGACAGGGTCTCCTGTGCCGGTAGAGCTCCCTTTCGACAAGCGATGTCATGCGGTATAATAACCGTGACCACCATTGGACGAACCAAATGAGCTGCGTAGGCAAAAATTCGGGTGAACCAGCAAATGAAGTGAGCTCTGCGGAAGACCATGGGGAAACCCTGGGGATTACTTGATGGTGCTGTGTGTCTCACTGTTGTCTACAATATGGAGGTGTATAGGGTACCCTGGGTACTGTCCTGGCTCTACCGGAATCGCCCGGAGTGCGGCTCTTACTTCGGTTGTTATAAGGTTCATCCTTTTCACTGCAAGTGACTGTAGCGGGTCTATCTAACATCGGTAGCGGAACCCAAATGTACCCCAGTCGGTCAGATCTTCATCCCTTTTTGTCTGCTCAGTGGTCCGTCTTATGAGTGGGGAGACTTCAGTGCTTCCTGGTAGACCGGATTGCGCAGCTACATCCCTCAGGATCCTTCGTTCTTGTCGATCGCGACGTTTGTTCTCGACACGGAGGTATACATGCAGAGAGAGGGCCAGCGTTGCTGCAAGGGCGTAGCAGATCAGAATTATCCGGAAAGAAGTCTCATAAGCTGGTGCTTCACTCGCCCGAAACAGATGAGGACCTGCGATATTTCCCACGCAGTATGCGACGAACATTGACCCTGTCATGGTCATCTTCTTGGTGACACCCTTGTAGTTTGACTGGGCTAGGGACATGGTCAGAGGCAGCGCACCAGGCCCTACAGCAAGGAGAAAGAAACCGAGAAGCTGGGTAGCTTGCGAGATATGGTAGATGCGCGCGTGAATTAATGCACTTCCGGTGCCGGCAAATGCGAGGATAAGCGCAATAAGGATGCAGTTGACTTTCCGAAACTTGCCTGCGAGCCAGCCTGTGTAGGTGACTGTTGCGCCGCCGATGATGCTAAACGGGATATTGACCAGCGTCGACTGCAGAGCTGTAAACCCGAAGGACTCGATGACAAGGTTGGCAAAGTTCTGAATACCTCCGTTGGGGATCTGTGTCAGAAAGGCGATTGCGAGGAGATGCCATGTTTTTGGGTCACGGAAACACTCGACAGCTTGGTCGCGGTTCCAGCTTGTTCCCTCTGTGCGGCCTGTTCCGGCAGTGATGACCCGGTGGCTGATTAATTCCTTTTCCTCTTCCGTTAAGAACGAAGCAGTCGAGATACTACTGGGAAGGAACGCGAGAAGCGCAAATGCCCATACAAAGGTGGTGAGACCCAGGATGATGAACATCCACATCCACGGCCGGAGAGGATGCTCGACATGGCCGATGCCATAGGCCAAGATGCTGGCTAGAAGACCACCGATCGAGTTTCCCGCAAACCAGATAGCAGTGCGAATGGGAATCTCGTCACGCGTGTACCATGTCGAAGTGATGAACATGAAGGCCGGTGTTATGGTCGCCTCCGCGACTCCGAGAAAAAAGCGGACAACCAGCAGTCCGCTATAGTTGAAGCAAGCAGATGTCAACGCCACAACCACGCCCCAGAAGAGAGTGTTCACAGCCAGATATTTGGCGACCGGCAGCCGGGGGATGAGAAGACTGGTGGGCTGATTTGTGAGCGAGAGCTTTGAAGATGGACAGAGTGCATACCAATTCCCAGACGAGGTATCCAATGTAAAACATACTCGAGACCCAGCTGTATTGTTGTCCATGTAGATGCTAGGGAGGTCAGTGACCCTGCCAATGCCAGAATGGAAGACATACAGTATCGTCGATCAAGCCAAAGACGGCAGCACTGGACAGGATGGTCTTGTCCATGAAGCTCAGCATGTATGTTGTGAACAGCAGGGGAATCAATCGCCGGTCAATCTTGCGGAGCAGCAGCGACGGAATAGCTGTATTTGCGTCATGGTTATTGCTAGAATTGATATTCATCTGATGCCTCAGCTGTTGGGCCTTGGTTGGTTGGAGGGGTGAAGACGAAGAAGCTCTTATCGATCGGTGGGGATGTTCTCTGCCTTTTGAGCTTATCGGAAACCTCCGCTTGGCGGCCCGGAAAAGAGCGATCTATCATCTTTATTCAGTGACATGGGCTTTGAGTGTGCTGGAATATGTACATAAAACCTCTAAAGGATTCTAGATATCTATAATGGTCATTGTCGGGAATGATAGCGCATAGATGGGTTTTTCGAGTTATCAAGAAAGGGGACGTTTGAGAGAAAGGCGTAGGGCATTGCTTGGGGCGAGGGTCGAATAGACAATGATGTATGGAAATACACGCTATAGACACACCCTGGAACCATCTGCCGTGCAACTCAGAATTTCCTTTCCCTTAGAAATTTGTGGGGGAAAGGGAGTATTTCGTGGAGCGGAAATGTGGACAGGTCGGGTCAGCCACTTCCCCAACTATCAGATCCCATGCGGGGAAGACCAAGTATAAATGTTTCTCTTCAGGAGCTCAGACTGTCCTCCATTAAATCCCTCCATACTCACAATGGAGCGAGTCTGGATCTACACGAGCATTGCGCTCGCCCTCTGGATCGTCCAGGTACTTCCCTTTCCCCAACACTCGAACACCTACTGTCCTAACACAACCCAACACAAACAGTGCCTCTATAAATTCCTAACCTCCCCGCTCCGCGCCGTCCCTGGTCCCTTCTACACAAACTTTACTCGCCTCCCCCTCAAAATCTCCATAACAACCGGCAACCGAATCTACTTCATCGACGCCCTGCACAAAGCCCACGGCCCAATCGTCCGCATCAGCCCCGACGAAGTCTCCATCTCATCTCCTGCAGAATTCAAAGAGATCCATCGCGCTGGGTCCCCGTTCCTCAAGAGCGAATGGTACAGTACGTTCACTATGGGCAGTCGGCCTGGGGTGTTTGATATGCGGGATCCGAAGATGCATGCTGCGAGAAGGAAGTTGTTTGCCCGGGCGTTTTCGAAGAGTGAGTTGAGGAGTCAGTGGGAGGGGGCTGTTAGGGAAAAGGTGAAGCTTGCTGTTGAGAAGATGAAGATGGAGATGGAGATGAACGGTGGGACGGGGAGGTGTGATGTGCTCAAGTGGTGGACGTTTCTTGCGACGGACGTTAGTGGGCATTTGATGTTTGGGGAGAGCTTTGATATGTTGAGTGTTGGGATGGTACGACTCTTTACTACTCATTAACATATTACTGACTGACGCCAGAAAAACGAGTACATCCACGTCCTCGAATCAACCATGAAGGGCTCCGGTATCAACGCCGAACTCCCCCTCGTCGGATTTATTGGCCGACACCTCCCCATCCCCAGTGTCAAGGCAATGTTCCGTGCAAGCGACTACCTGTCAGAGTACGGTCGTCGTGCAGTGACCAACAGCCGCGCAGCTAGCGACTCCACGCGAAACATCTTCTCGGGAATGATACACGAGTCTGAGAAGGGCAGTTTGGCGCTCTCTGACCTCGACGTCATTGTAGAAGCAGGGAACCTTATCGTTGCAGGCTCGGACACGACGGCTGTCACTCTGACATATCTCGTCTATGCTGTTCTTCGCGACCCTCGTCTACAAAAAGAGATAGAAGATGAAGTGCAGGCTCTTGCAGACGACTACGACGACGCAACGCTGGAACAACTCCCCCTTCTCAACGCCGCAATCAAGGAAACACTCCGTCTCTACGGCGCTGCCCCCGGTTCCCTCCCCAGATCCGTCCCCGAAGGCGGCGCAGCGTTCTTGGGCTACTACATCCCCGAGGGAATGACCGTCAGCACGCAGAGCTACACCATCCACCGCGACGAGAACATCTTCCCAGACCCCGAAACCTTTGATGCGTCACGCTGGCTACCCGGAAAGGAAGGAGAAGGAGTATCGAGCCAAGCACAGGCCGCATTCTCACCATTTGGTGCCGGCGCTCGAACGTGCCTGGGTATACATCTGGCATACATGGAACTGCGTCTGGCTGCGGCGGAGTTCTTCCGGCAGTGTAAGGGGGTGAGACTGGCGCCGAGCGTGAGCTGTGAGACGATGAAACCGGAGAATTATTTTTTGATTGCGCCGCGGGGCCATCAGTGTGAGATTGTGCGGGGATGATGGTATTGATGGACAATCTGGTAGTAGTTTTCGAGTAGCATCTACCTGATGCAATCAAGTGCGCTTCTTATCCTGCGGTTTATACCGCACCCCATGCGAGAGAAGCAGATATTTTGAAAACAGCCCCGTCGCAAAGTCATCAAACTCTTCATAAGTCGCACCAAGCCGGTACGCGGCTGCAATACCAGAGATACACGCGATCTCATGCATATTCTATACGCCATTAGCATCCTACCTCGCTCAAGAATCCCATCGAAATATCTAAAAAGAGTGAAACTCACCACAAGAGTCCAAGCCCCGGCAAAAACCGTGCTATTCTCCCCATTAACAAACATCATCCCAGGGACAACCCGCAGATAATGCTGCCACCGATGTCCAAACTGATGCCACCACTTCTCCCCAATAACCTTGTTTTTATCAATCGCATCCTTCGTCCACAGATCCGACCGTTCCTTATCCAGGAAAATCGTCTGATAAACATGCCTCTCCGGCGCCAGCGGCGCATTCCCTTCCCCAACCGCCTCGCGGAACTGGTGCTGGTAATTCGAGCAGTCAAAGCCCATCTCGATCTTATCCTGCTCGGACTCGTACGAGTGCATAAAGTACATGGGCGCAAACCCGCGCCACCCGTTTGTCTCGCAGACGGGCGGGGATGTCGTTGCGAAGGAAAGCTGGTCCTGACGTTTTGCGCTTGCGCTCGTGATCCGGTCGGAGCAGAGCTCGTCGCGGAATCGGGTCTCGAAGATGCTGTTGAAGTACGCGGCGTCGCTGTGTGTGATTGTGACGTCGTCGTAGAACTTGACGCCGCCCAGAACGTATCGCTCGCGCCACGTCGCGTGTCGGCCCAGCAGCTTCAGGCTCTCGTCGGCGGGTGTAGCGAGGACAAGCTCGTCGAAGGACTCTGTCCGCTCGCCCTCGCGCGCATGGAACATCAGCACGATGCCACCGGGGCCGGATTTCCGAGATACAATATCAACCGTCGTGCTTAGGAGAAGTCTCACCCCCTTCCCCTGCTCGAGATCCGTCGACCACGCATGGTAGAATTCGCTCAGCCGGGGAAACGTATACATTGTTGGCAGATTCGTTAAAAGTCCATCAGGGTCATACGTCCAAAGCCCCATCTGCGGATCATTCATGAGCCGCTCCAGCAGCGCAGCGGAGATATTCGGAGTCTGGTTGCCCGTTCCTAGGAATAATGCCAGCAATGGCAAGAGCATACGATTTCCAAACTCCGTGCTGAACCGGAAGAGCTTCAAGATAACCTTCACGGGAACGATTCCCAACACAGGGAGAAAGTACTTAATAACCTTCAAGACCCGTCCCAACTTCCGAATCTCAGCCGCGAAGCTATCGACGAGGGGACTGGGGAAGACATTGGTGAAAAACGCATCGGGACCCTTTCCAAAGGAGACTTGGAGCTTCACTTCGTGCGGGGAGAACCCGTATCGGCTGAAGAAGCGGAATGTATGCTTGAAGATGCCCGATCCCCCTTGTACACCGTCGTTTAGCCACGATGCGCCGTGTTGCTTTGGATCTAGGTCTAGGGAAGTTGCTTGGCCGCCGGTTTGGCCGACGCTGTCGATTAGAGTTACGGTGAATTTGTCCGGGTGCTTGGCTAGGGCTGTGGCGCAGGACTGGGGATTTAGTTAGAACTTTAGAATCGCCCACTGAGGTAATATCTATGGGGATGTGTGGGGATAAACGTAGGTATACGTACCATACCAGCCGCGCCGGCCCCGATGACTGCAACTCGTTTCTTTTGCTGGGTGGCCATTGTAATAGACTCTAGTCGGCTATTGTTCGATCTACGATAATCTCAAATCTGATCTGAATAATAAGACCCGGCTGGTCATTGATGTAGGTATAGTATAGTAGGTGGTGATGTCATACCGGCCGCATATACGATCGATCTCAGATCGATCAGATATCCCGTCATGCATAGATCAGAGCGATAAAACTTTGCAGAGAATATAATGAGAAACTCAATTCCGGCCGCTTGCGGGAGATGCATGCGGAATGGTTGTTTTGTACATGCTGGGCGAATATATACTGCGAAATAGGAAATAGATAGCGCCGATGCTGGCTGATGGGCAAGGAGAAGGTCTTTTCAAGGATACCGAGTGCTAGACATCGCTCTCGCCTGGCTGGCTGGATTTCTTCAAGCAGCCTCAGTCTGAAGCGTCTCACTGAGCCTTTGGCCGGTCTGGCTCACGAGGACCACCGCCCGCCAACGACGCCACTATCTCTTCTCCTAGGACATGCAGATTCCACGACGGAAAGACGAGCCATGCTCCGCTGGACAGGCATTAGCATCTGAACAATAAAGGCCGTGGGTAATCACGTACTTGGGAATGATCCATAGGATGATAAGGGTCCACATATCATTGTGCCCGATGTTCTCAAAACCATTGCAATACTCTTGCACCCCTAGATTTCGTCAGCCTCAAATCAGAGTATATGGAAGTGAAGTGTGCTTACAGTAAAGAATGGTCTTCGACAGAGTCATAACGGACGCACTGAAAGCAACAAGCAGCGCAATCGCCCCCGTCCGACCACCAACGACCCTCTCCCCAGTAAAAGCACTCCATAACCTTTGCGACTTGCTCCCGCGACTGGCGCCCGTCGCTGGAGTCCCGTACTTGTACACAATCCAAAGGTAGTACAGATATGCAGCCGTCTCCGCAAGATTGAGGTACGTCTGAGCGGCGGTGAACCCATTGTGCGCATTATACGCCGGCCATCCGTAGATGTAGTCAACGGTCCCGTAGAGCGCGTACGGGGTCCAGATGGGCGAGTGCCACTTTCCTCCCGGCATCGAGTGCGGACGGAGAAGCACGTAGCCGGCGTCCCAGAGGACGAGCGGACAGGAGATAAAGAGCCATAGGCTGACGGCCGCTGTTGGGGTGTGTACCCAGTTTGTGGATGAAGGAGTGCTGTCAGTTGATCTGGAGGGGGTCACAGACCTCGATTTTGGTGCGGGCGGGAATTCCTGCGGGTGATGGCGAGTGGAGACCATGATCGCGATATATAGATGTGGAGAGGCGAAAGTCGCGATCTGACCTATATTGTGGACTGTGATGGATATATCCTGCGATAACTCGAGCTACTGTAGAAGGAGGACAAAGCAAAGTGAGAAGACTCGCAAGTTCAGGGGGTGCAACTGAGGGGAAATGGTACGAGCGAGGAATCCGCGGCAAGCCCAGAGTGTGACGTTGCTGGCCACCCTGACAATCGCCCCCGCGGGCAGACGATGGTTATATGATTCCAATCAGATTTCTTGGTCAATTATATTTTCTCATCTTTCCGTATAGTAGACTTGGACGATTTTCCGATGAATAGGAGACCCCGCCAAGCGAGGCACCTCAGCGCACAATCACGTGACCTCCAATTTTCCTCAAGTTTTCTTTTTGCGTTGTTTTTGACCGGACTTGAAACCCGGCATAACAGCTGCTAGCTGATCATCACAGGCAAGATGGACTCTGCGGCGGAAAAAAAGGTGCGCTTACACTTGAAAACGCTCTAAGTCACATCTGACTGGATTAGCGACTCGAGAAACTCGCCCGTGTGAGGGAGAACCAGCGCAAAAGCAGAGCGAGACGTCAAGATCATCTTCACGATCTCGAGCAGAAAGTGCTTGGCCTGCAAAAAGAGCTTGATCGCAGAGATGTGGAGAACAGACTCGCCGTCCAGAAGCTGGAGGCTGAAAACAAAAAGTTAAGGGATCTCCTCTCTGCCTCGGGTGTTCCGTCGGACGCGCTGAACGCGTATCTCCAGAGGATGGACAACCCGGTGATGGCGCAAAAGGTTGCAATCCCGGCTCTTCAGCGGTCAAATATGAAGGCAGCGTCTTCATGTGCTCAGAAGCCTACTAGCGAGTCGTGTACCTCGGACATCCCGGAGGATAAAAACACAAGCATTGAGACAACTACAAATATCCCGACAGAAGTACGACCTGGAAAAGCCGAGAAGACCCCTTCCCCCGAGATAGAGTCATTCTGTGGCTGCTCGCCCGAGGAAGGATTGGAGACCCTGCCCATTAGCGAGCGCGTTCTCAACACGACATTCTGCGGGATTGCCGAGCAGTTGGTCGAGCAGTACAACACGCGCGGGGTGGACATCTCTGAAATTCGAGAGAAGCTACGCGAAGGATTCTTTCGTGGCCTCGCTGAAGAAGGGTGCAGAGTGCAGAATCAGATTCTATTTCAAGTTCTGGATGAAATAAGCGGACAATAGGAGTCATATCTCCGGATGCCGCACCTTCCCTGTAGGGTTGAATCCAGCCGAGGTAGGCGCGATTGAGGGTTGTCCCGAATAGGAAGGGGCGACTAGGCGCCGAGTCCATCGCACCTGCCTTGCGAGAGGTATTGTTACTGCTAGTTAAAGGAAGGCGCAGAGGGCTTCCAAACAGAAAGGAGCGACCGCTACCGGGCGATCCATCGCGCCTTCCATATAGGGTTGGATTTCATCCGAGGAAGGCGCGGTGAAAGTAATAGGAAGGGGCGACCAGGCACCGGGTCCTTCGCACCTTCCTTACGAGAGGTAATTGTTGCAAGCCAAGGAAGGCACGGACAGGAAGGAGCAACCGCTATCGATTCAACGTGCCTTCCATGTGTGCAGCGGTATCCATCATACTTCTACCACAAGTTGAAGACCCAAACTCGTCATCACGCCGCCCATTTTTGTCTTTTCGCAAACCATTTCACGACATAAACCAACCCCAGCAGCACCGGGACTTCAATAAGCGGACCAACCGTTGCAGCCAAAGCCTGGTCACTGTCCACCCCAAACGCCGCTATTGCCACTGCGATCGCAAGCTCAAAGTTGTTACTCGCAGCCGTGAAGCTCTGCGTGCAAGAGAGCTTATAGCCAAAGCCGAAGCGGCGTGTTACCGCGAGGGTCGCCAGGAAGATGAGGGAAAAGTACACGATCAATGGCGCGGCAACCCGAACAACCGAAACGATCTGATGCACGACCTGTCTCCCTTGCGAGGCGAAGAGCACCAAGATTGTGAAGAGGAGTCCGATCAACGACCAGGGACTGATCCACTTGAGGAAATGTCGGTCGTACCACTCCTCGCTTACCAGGAATCGCAGGGAGAACCGTGTGACCATGGCCGCTCCCAACGGGATGCCGAGAAAGACACCAACGCTTTTCGCCGCCAAGGAATATTCGATCGTCACTCCCTCGCCTGTGCCGCCGATGACGCGGATGAAGAAGATGGCTAGCGGTGCGAACAAGACCATCTGCAGGATCGAGTTTATGGCGACGAGAATGGCGCAGTAGTCCCCGTCGCCTCCTGCTAGTCCGGTCCAGACAAGTACCTGCTCAGGTCAGCTTGGGTTGTCACTATGTTCGGAAATACATACCATTGCAATGCACCGAGCGATACCGACTAGGATCAAGCCTTCTCTGAGACCTCGTTCATCAGGCAGAAATGCCCATGCCAAGGCAAGCTATACCACGAGTTAGTCTAAACCCAACGGACTTGGAACTGCACATACCATGAAAAACGGTGCAATGATCCAATTGACGACGACACTGAAAGCAACTTGGGTCCAGAGGCCCTTCTCGTGAAACGAGCGGTGCAGAGTTTCGTAGCGGACCTTGCAGAGGATTGGGTACATCATCACCAGCAAGCCGACAGCTACTTCAGTCAGACAGCGTGCGATATGCGCGTAGGAGCTAGCATGGCTTACCAATGGGCACCGAAACCTCGACGAATTTACCCTTCTCTAGCGCCTTGCTAGTGTTCGGCACGAAGTTTCCCAAAATGATTCCGATGGCCATTGCGAGAAAGATCCAGAGGGCCAGGAAACGGTCAAGAATCCCTAGTTGTTGGAATGCTGAAACAGGACCATCCTCATTGCTGTCCGGACATTGCACTGCACAGGCAGCCTCTGGATCTACTGTGTGTTTTTCGTGGATTGATTCCATCTCGATGCTTGATGAACGCAAAGAATGCGACGGATTGCTCAGCTGAATGAACAGGAGGATTTTGACGAGTAATGGCAACAAGCAAAACGCTTTCTACGCAGACTTCTACTTCATCTGTACCATAAACGATGGGAATAAAGTCTTAGTCAATTTGAACCAATTACAGGGTACGAGTGACATCCTCACTTTGCCGCTCTTTCACCGTTGAGATCCACGTGATCTGCTCTTGGCATTGGGACATGGGTTTCTCTTCGCTTGCTCGCAGCATTGCAGTAGAAGTCAGCTGGCTTGAGCTTTGAAATGTAATACTGGGCCGGTGTCGGAGAGTTATACTCGGCATCACTCCACGAAGGTCGGGCCCGAAGTCGCAGCTGTTCGGCTCCCGACACAGTCTGAAGACGGATCATGTCCGACTATCAGGGGAATGACATCACTTGAGCAGTTAACTAGGACTTCACTAGTTCAATGGATAAAGAGCATCGGCTGACGGAACGGTCCCTCGATTAGGAAGCTGCATAGTTAGCAGACGATGGTCTCGGTAAATCATCGGAGAATCTTTTTGTTTGAAGTGTGAGTGCGAGGAGGTGTCAAAGATGGAGCATTCTTCGCGGAGCCATTGGAGGGCCGTGCCTCAGTAGATTAAGACGCGCTGTGGGGCTCTGCAGGTATTTAACCCGGGCCTCAAGGCGTCGTCGCGAAGGACCTAGAATCAGGAAATGTCAATTAGCCTCCCGGAATTATGACTCGCGAGTCGCGACCCTTGCCGTGGCGGATGTAAGGCGCACATACGTGACGATTCGGGGATATTGTGATGGTCGACCGTCGAGCAGCTCGACTTGGCTGATGTTATTCGCACTTCGCAGGGACAAAGGAAGAAACCTTGATGCGGGGAGAAGTGCTACAGTAACATCGTCATGACATGATGAGCGGGAGAAGGTCAGGATCCAGACTGGAGAACTCAGGCTAAAGACTGGAGTCCGGAGTTGCCCCGGACACTCACGGTGCAGAACCCACTCAACACAGGGTCAATGCGAAGGCAACTTGGTGGATTATCCAGGGTCGAAGCCTCGAGAGACTATGCGAAGGATTCATTAATGCAACTTGATGACTCTTTCACAAACAGGCAGAATTTACCGCAGTCTTTTTGAGTGTCTGCCCCTGGAGCCGGGCCTGGACTATCCGTGGAAGGGCCCAAGCTTCCCCAATGTTTGCGCGGGGCGGCCACGCCAAGACTCTGTAGTCACTCACCTTTCTGCTCCTTTGATGCTTGTCAACTCTCAACTCTCCTCATCATCCTTGGTTATATCAACAGCAATTGAAGAGCTGCTCGGCAAGGCGTAGAATCACGGAAGATTACGACCAACAAGCACCTTCCCTTCCCGACATCATCCCTCTGTGCAACGCCTCTCAGGGATAACCCCCTAGTGCGGAAGCGCGGCGGATGGTTGGACATTGCTGCTGCCGATCACTGACGCCGTCCCGAACCTCCACTGAACATTTCCCCAGCTGGTCGAGCCCAGAGTCAGACAGCTGCACAGTAATACATCATCCTGCTCCACCGGCAATAGTGCTTGCCGTCGTCCAAAGGAAGCATGGTGCCATGGCCGGGAATCCAGGTTTATAATCTCCTCACCTCCTTTGCTTCTTCGCTCTTTCCTTCCGTCCAGGTCCAACCCACTTCACCTCTCGCACAATATTCCCTGGGTAGTTCTGAGTCTGTTCAAGCTCAAACTTCCGACAATATGAAGCTTAGCTGGGTGGAGGCTGCTGTTCTCACGGCTGCTTCTGTAGCCAGTGCTCAGGTATTTCTGTGTTTGTCTGTCTGTACCCGTGCAGCTCTGACGGTGACCAGGATGACCTGGCTTCCTCGCCTCCGTACTACCCTTCTCCCTGGGCCACTGGACAGGGTGAGTGGGCTGAGGCTTACAACCGCGCTGTCCAGATCGTGTCGCAGATGACTCTGGATGAAAAGGTTAACCTCACAAGTGGGACGGGGTATGTTCTCTCTCCATTTGAGACTTGCCTGCGCTAAGAATTGCAGATGGTCGCTTGAGCGTTGCGTCGGTCAGACAGGGAGTGTCCCGAGGTAAGTCTATCCTTATCTCTACTGTGAACCGTACTGACCTGGGCAGACTCGGGCTCGGATCGTTATGTTTGCAAGACAGCCCGCTCGGTATTCGGTTCTGTATGTCCATGTTTCCTCCAACTTCACCAAGCCACCACTAACCGTTCTAGCCGACTACAACTCCGCCTTCCCCGCTGGCGTCAATGTCGCGGCAACATGGGATAGAGATCTCGCATATCTCCGTGGTCAGGCAATGGGCCAGGAGTTCAGCGACAAAGGTGTTGATGTGATACTCGGTCCGGCTGCTGGTCCGCTAGGTAGACACCCCGATGGCGGCCGTAACTGGGAAGGGTTCTCTCCCGATCCAGTGCTCTCTGGTGTGCTCTTTGCCGAATCCATTAAGGGTATTCAAGATGCTGGCGTCATTGCCACCGCCAAGCACTATCTTGTCAACGAACAAGAGCATTTCCGACAAGTGGCCGAGGCCATTGGCTATGGTTACAACATCACTGACACCCTGAGTGAGAACGTCGACGACAAGACCCTGCATGAATTGTACCTTTGGCCATTTGCCGATGCCGTGCGCGCTGGCGTGGGTGCCGTCATGTGCTCCTACCAACAGCTCAACAACAGCTACGCTTGCCAGAACAGCTACCTCTTGAACAAGATCCTCAAGTCCGAGCTCGGTTACCAGGGCTTTGTCATGAGTGACTGGGCTGCGACTCACAGCGGTGTTGGCGCTGCTCTTGCTGGAATGGACATGACCATGCCGGGAGACGTCGCCTTCAACAGTGGCACTTCCTACTTTGGTGCTAACCTGACAATTGGCGTTCTCAACGGTACCATCCCTCAGTGGCGCGTCGATGACATGGCTGTTCGTATTATGGCTGCCTACTACAAGGTTGGCCGTGACCGTCTCCACACTCCTCCTAATTTCAGCTCCTGGACTAGGGATGAGTACGGGTTCGCCCACTTTGCCGTCTCCGAAGGAGAGTACGGTAGAGTCAATGAGTTTGTTGATGTTCAGCGCGACCATGCTTCTATCATCCGTCGTGTGGCCTCGAACAGCGTTGTCCTGCTGAAGAATGCAGGCTCGCTTCCTCTCAGCGGCAAGGAGCGCAACGTGGCTATCTTGGGTGAGGATGCTGGCTCAAACCCCTATGGTGCAAACGGGTGCGACGACCGTGGATGTGCTCAGGGAACGCTTGCAATGGGCTGGGGTAGTGGAACGGCAAACTTTCCTTACCTGATCACTCCTGAACAGGCGATCCAGCAGGAAGTGATTAATGGACGTGGCAACGTATTTGCGGTGACTGATAACTGGGCCTTGGACAAGGTTGAGTCGACGGCTGCTCGATCCACGTAAGTTTACTTGGTTGCCTTTCTCTCTCCGGTTCTAACAGTCTCTAGGGTGTCTCTGGTTTTCGTCAACTCTGGCGCCGGAGAAGGATACATTAGCGTGGATGGCAACGAGGGTGATCGCAACAACATTACTTTGTGGAAGAACGGAGAGAACGTAATCAAGGCCGCCGCAAGCAACTGCAACAACACTATTGTTGTCATTCACTCCGTCGGACCCGTTTTGGTTGACCAGTTCTATGACCACCCCAACGTCACCGCCATCCTCTGGGCCGGTCTGCCTGGCCAGGAATCTGGCAATTCTCTTACTGATGTGCTCTACGGCCGTGTCAACCCGAGCGGAAAGACTCCATTTACCTGGGGCAAGACCCGCGAGGCGTACGGCGCTCCTCTGCTCACCGAGGCCAACAACGGCAATGGGGCTCCCCAAACCGACCACACTGAAGGGGTTTTCATCGACTACCGCCACTTTGACAAGACCAACCAAACTCCGATCTACGAGTTTGGATACGGCCTGAGTTACACCACTTTTAAGTACTCGAACCTCTCCGTTGAGCGGCTGGACGCCCCTGACTATGTCCCCGCCTCGGGCCAGACGCGGGCTGCCCCCACATTCGGCAGCATTGGCGAGGCCGCATCTTACCTGTTCCCAAAGGGACTCAAGAGGATCACCGAGTTTATCTATCCTTGGATCAACTCGACGGATCTGGCAGCTTCGTCTGGTGACGCTAACTACGGCTGGGACCACTCTGAGTATATTCCTGAGGGTGCCCGCGATGGCACGCCGCAAGAAGTTCTCCCTGCTAGTGGAGGCCCTGGAGGAAACCCTGGCCTCTATGACGGTTTGTTCCGCGTGTCGGCGACCGTCAAGAACACGGGCTCTGTAGCGGGTAGCGAAGTTCCCCAGCTGTACGTCTCGCTGGGCGGCCCCAACGAGCCGAGAGTGGTACTCCGTGGATTCGACAAGCTCAACCTGCAAGCGGGAGAGAAGCAGGTGTTTGCAACCACTCTGACCCGCCGCGACTTGTCCAACTGGGATGTGGCGGCGCAGGACTGGGTGATCACACCGCACCCCAAGCGGGTGCTTGTTGGAAGCTCCTCTCGGAAGCTTTCCTTGAAGGCTACGTTGCCGAAGGTCGAGTAAGCGATTAGATTGTATAGTTTGCGCACGGGCTCGATCCGCGACTAGAGTATTGATGAAGCAATGAATCAAAATGACTGGGAAATGTCCTCATTCCGAACACTTACCAAACTACTGTTGAACCCCCACCCCCACAGCTTCTGGCCCTTGTGCAGAGGCGCGAAACTTGGATTGGATGGTAATCAAAGCCTCGGTCTCAGATAGGGTGTGGTTATGACAAGGTACTTGTGTACTCATGATCAACCAACCAGAGTTTCGCCAGAGGACAGTCCAAGCCTATTCTGTCCACATCCCGACTCACTCTCGGCTCTCATTACTACGAGCGGGTTATCCGATTGAGGACCCGGACTATCCGAGCAGCTGTCGCGCTTGGATCCCTGGCCAAATCTGGCCGAGACTGTAAGCGAGACCGGTAATCATTATCTCAAGTTTTGCCGCGCGACGCCCAGTCCTTTATACACCGGGCTGTGGACTCGCATCCGATGTGGAGCCGAACGCCACGAATACACCAGGATCCAGCTGTCATCCTGAGATCTTTCTGGGGTTAGTCTGGGGAAGACGGCATTGGGCAGACCAGAATTTACCTAGCCTGTGAATTGAAGGCGTGGAGATCTGGGGATGGCCCTCCAAGCTGCCTTATATTAGGGCACACCCCCCTCGAAGATCCCATCACTCGGCCACCACTCGACGACTGAGCAGCCTCCACCATGTCCGGCTTTCGCCACGCCTTCTCCCTCTCCCGCCAGCAGGTCCAGGACGCCGTACCTCCTGGGACAGTCTCCCTATCCAGTAAGCCCTCCACTCCCCTCCTGTCCTTCCCAACCAGACAACTCATCCCCCAGTCCACGCCCAACAAGTCGCGCACGGCAGCAACACCAAGCACGAAGGCGAACTCATCCTCGTCCCCCAACCCTCCTCCGACCCCGCCGACCCGCTAAACTGGCCAACATGGCGCAAGACCACCATCCTCGTCCTCATGTCGCTCTATGCGTTCATCGGCAATTTCACCTCGTCTTCCATCGCCAGTGCGTTTCCGCTGTATGCGACGCCCATCGCGTTTAATCCGCCCGTTCCCATGGGGGATTTGAGTCATCTTGTTGCTGTACGCGTACCCGTTCGAGATTCTTGAGATTCAGTTGTGGAGACATAGGAAGTGCCTCTCTTGCTAATCATGGTTGGTGACGCAGGTCAACGTCCTCATGATGGGCGCCGCAAACATCTGGTGGGTGCCGCTGGCGAATACATTCGGGCGCCGCCCCGTGAACCTGTTCAATATCTTGCTCTTGATGTTTTCGTCCGTGTGGGCGGGCAAGGCGACGAGCTTTGAGAGTCTGCTTGCGGCGCGCTTCTTTATGGGGGTTGGAGTTGGGCCCGCTGATACTAGTATGTTCTCGTCTTCTTTCTTTTTTATTCAACTGGCTCGATTGTTGGCCCTGTTTTGTTCATATGGTTGTGGTTTGGTTTGTTCTTGGCTGACGAGATGGATAGTTGCGCCGAATGTTATTGGGGAGATTTACTTTACGCACCAGCGGGGGAAGGCTATGGTATGCTTGCCTTTCTGCTGCAGATGTCAGGAGTTGAGTGTTGACTGTTTACCGTTTAGGGATTCTATACTGTACTTCTAGCCCTGGGCTCTCTCGCTGGAGGTATCTCAGGCGGCTACATTGCAGGCAATCAAGGTCTGGCGTGGCTGCACTGGGTCAACGTTATCCTCTCCGCGATCCTCTTCGTCGGCTGCGCACTCTTCGCCCCAGAGACACTCTATAAACGCGAGGAACCCGCTCCTACAACCCTGGCTGCTGAAAAGGCACTCAAAGAGGGCGCAGAAACTTCCCAGATCGAGGAAATCATCACAACTCCGGAGCGCGAATACCCCAAATACACCTTCCTACGATCACTAAAGCTCTACACCTACCACGGCAACCTCGCAAAGAACTTTGTCGCCCCTTGGCTGACCCTCCGCCTGCCCGGCGTCTGGCTCGTCATGTTCTGGTACGCCGGCTTGGTCGGCGGAATCGTCACACTCAGCACCGTCGGTCCATCCATCGTCGCATACCCGCCGTACGGATGGGGCTCCAACGCGGGCCTGATCATGGTCGGCGGTGTTATCGGCTCGATTCTAGGAGTTGCAGCGACAGCGCTCTTCGCTGACCGTGTCATTGTCACGAACAAGACGCTAAAGAAGGGTGAGTATGTTGAACCCGAGGCGCGTCTCCCCGTTGCACTGCCTGGTCTGATTCTCGCGACGGCGGGACTCTGGACGTTTGGGTTCTGTGCGCAGAACGCGGGGCCGAAGATGTGGATTGGCATGCAGTTTGGAATCGGCATGCTTTCGTTTGGACTCATGCAGGCGCCGTCTGTTGGATTTAACTACGTATGCCTCCCTCCCTTTCTCACCCACCCCGTTCCCCTTAAAGAGGCTCGTCTAACCCGCACAGGTCATCGACTCCTACCGCGAGCTCGCAGCAGACTGCTTCGTGGCCATCACATGCATGCGCGCAATCATCAGCTTCGCCTGGAGTTTTTTTGCCGGCCACTGGGTGGAAACGGCGGGGCCCGCGGTGCCGTTTGGAGTCTTTGGTGGGCTCATGGGCGCGTTTACTCTGCTGTTTGTGCCGCAGTGGTTGTGGGGGAAGAGGACGAGGATTGCAACGGCGAGGTGGGTTGTTTAGGTACCAAATATGGAAGTGGCTCAGAACCAGAACCAGAACCGGAATATGCTTTGTTTGAACCGGGAAGTTGTGTAAATTTAGTGGATAGAGTAGCGTGGTAAATAGCGGAAAGAAGAGTCATGGTGGCAGCCGAGGCCGACGTCATCGGATCTGTATCTGCACTAAAATCTCCGCCTCCGAAGTGACTGACTTCTTCTGACGAGACCACCTCTTCTTTTCCTCTCTTCATCTACCCTCTGCTTCGTGCTGCACACAACTCATCTACTCAATCTACTCTTTGATCGACATTCTTCTTATTATTGTATCTGAATAAAAATATCTACAACACCCACCCGAATTGACGCGGACCTCACAATGCCACCCCCGTCCATAGCAACGACACAACCACCATCACAACATGCTCCCTCACCCTCACGGCCACCGAAAACCTCCCGCTTCCACGCCCCAGCAGCAGCCCTCCTAATCTACCCAGCAACCCTCGCCCTGGGCTCCATCTTCTCCGTCCTCTCGCCAACCGCCCACGCTCCACCCCCCGGCTCCGCGGCCTCCCAAACAACGCCCGCCCCAAACTACTTTGCCCGCAAAAACAACATCTTCAACACCTATTTCGTGAAAGTCGGCTGGATCTGGATGACCCTCGCGTCCGCCGCCTTGATCCTCGCTTACGCTCCACACCTCGCGCGCGGTCGCCGCCAGGCACAGGCCGCGCTGCGCTACGCGCTCGCTACGGCGGTCTGGTACGCGACGACGCAGTGGTTCTTCGGACCGCCGGTCATCGATCGGAGTTTTGTGCTTACGGGAGGCAAATGCGAGGCTGTCCTGCGCGAGTTGAGTGGGGGTATAGAGGAGAAGGGGGTTCTGGGGTCTCTGGGGGAGGAAAAGTTGGGTGTTTACTTGACGGCTGCGGCGTGTAAGGCTGCCGGTGGGGCGTGGAGGGGTGGCCATGATGTCTCCGGCCATGTGTTCATGCTTGTGCTTGTTACAGCGGCGTTGGGGTTTGAGGTGTTGGGATTGTTGGCGCAGGGGGAGGGTGAGACCGCGAGACGGGATGAGACGGTGGTGAATGGGGGCGTGGATGGTGATGAGAAGAAGGAGACTGAGGGGACACTGATGGCGGGATCGAGCGAGGCGAGGAAGTGGACATTGAGATTTGTCGGTGTGGTTATCGGACTGAGCTGGTGGATGCTGCTCATGACAGCCATTTGGTTCCATACATGGTTGGAAAAGGTACCGATCTTTCCTTCCCCATACCTTCCCCTTGATTTGTGGTCAGGCAGCTAACAATCGACAGGCCAACGGCCTGCTCATCTCCCTGGCGGCAGTCTACGCCATCTATATCCTCCCCCGACGGGTCATTCCCTGGAGAAATATTGTTGGCATCCCCGGCGTATAACCCATTATAGAGCGCATGTACACTATGTTAGAATACATTTTCCATTTCGAATATTTGCATAACCTTTTCACCCTGGCAGTTTCCCGGTACGTCACTTTCACAGTCTAGGCTCCGGACCCAAATACCCCCGTTGAAATGCTATATCATATCAAAAGTTAGTTATACCCCTCCAAACCATTCATCAAAACAACCGGAGTGTAAACTCACCACCAGGGACCAACGCAGCCGCATACATAACCCTCGTAATCGCCTTCATCCCAGCCGGCGTATTATGATTCCTCCTCTCATCCCCCAGTGAAACCTCCATGGTACTCGCCCAGCTCTCGAGGATGCGGTCCGCGTACGCGCGCATGTCGACCGACCGCCCCTTCTCGGGGTCTTGCGACGACATGCACTTTATGCCTAGCGCTGTTCCGAATTCTCGGAAGGCGAGGCGGTATTTTATATTGCGGGAGAGGTGTTGGGAGGTTTCGAGGAGGTCGTCTACTCACATCAAACCACACTCATTAGCTTGCTTTGCGCACGGGGGGATATCGGGACGGGAAACATACAAACCCTCTCAAAACAACTCTCGACAATCTCCTCGGCCCAATCCTCATTCGCAACCCACTGCATCGTCCAAAGCGTCATGCCGAGATCGAGCGGGTCGCTGGAGACGAAATGTCGTCCTTTCCGCTCCATCACGCGGCGGTAGTCGTCGATTTCCTCCTTGAGAACCCCGGCACCCCTTTCCCCATCAAACCGCTCGTTCGTCGCCTGCAGCAGGCGGAAAATGACAAACCCATCAACGGCATCCAAATTCCCCTCGGACCCCACAAGGACCTCGTCAAGGCTACTGTTCATCTTCCACACCATCCGCGGCTTCTTCCCTCCTTCCAACCCACGACTCGCAAAAAAAGGCCCATGAATCGCCTTCGCAAGCGCAATCGCCGAGTCGTTATACCTCCTATCTCCAGAGGCAAGACTCATCCGGTTCAGCGCAAACATCCACAGTGTTAGATAATGGTGGTACTGTCCATCTCCGTCGGGTCCGTCGGCGTCCATCTTGCCGATTCGAAGGCCGCCACCCAGCGGATTATTGTCGCTTGCACCGGGCAGGCGGGATGACCCGTCGCGTGTTCGGCCGAGGGTTTCGTGGACGGTGGCTATGAGGCGGGCGGCCAGGGTTAGGTACAGATTCGCCGGGGCGGATTCCGGGGAGCGCGATGTCTCGCGGTGCAGCGTCAACAGATTCACGACGCCGAATGCGTCGGTCCACAGGTACCGACCTTTGTGGCCGTCGGAGCGGGCTGGTGGCGTCCAGGTGTCTGGGGAGGGGATTGAGGACGGCTCGAGGGGGCCGTAAAGGGTTGAGAGGGCGGATTTGAAGAGGGGGAGTTGGGACATTGCGGATGTTCTGCCTGTTCTTTCCCCTGCTCTTGATCTTTTGGATATGGATGTGGATATAGATTTGGTTGAATTTATTGCTCGGAACGCGAAGGTGAGGGTGTGTGTGCGGAATCGCATTTGCACTCGGGTCTACATTGTGATACGATACAGACTACGGGCTCAGAGGGCAGGATAGGATGGTGAGGTGAGGTGAGGCGAGGCGATGTCAGCTGGTCAAGGTTGCTGATATGGATAGTGGTTGGTGGTTGTGGTGGTGATGAAGTCATAATGACCCCCGCATGAATTCATCGAGCCACCCCGACTATACCACGACCCGAACCCCATATTTGACATCTCATGCCAAACCGCGCGCCCGCAAGCACCCCAGAACAACCTCTACAGCCTCAAAAGATGACATGAAAGCCCTGCGCAATATCAACCCCTTCAAATCCAAATCCAAAACAACAAATATGTCCCCAAAATCCAACGCTGAACTCTCCTCCCTCCTCCGCAGCTCCCTAACCCCCCTCCTTCGCCAGCCACTTCGACACCTTCGCCTCCAACCGCCTCGTCCTCCTCGGCGACGGCTCCCACGGCACATCCGAGTTCTACACCGCGCGCGCGGAGATCACAAAACAGCTTGTCGAGAAGCATGGGTATACCATGGTTGCCCTCGAGGCCGATTGGCCGGACGCGGAGGCGCTGGATCGGTATGTCCGCCTACGACCTGGGCGCAAAGCCAAGATTGGCGGGGGGGATGAGTCGAAAGAAAGTGGGAAAGGAGGGGAAGATGAGGTCTTCGAAGCCTTCAAACGCTTCCCGACCTGGATGTGGCGCAACGCCGAGATGCAAGAATTGGTCGAGTGGCTGCGCACCCACAACGCCGCCCTCCCACCCAAAGACCGCGTCGGCATCTACGGAATGGACCTATATTCCCTCGGCACAAGCATGAAAGCCATCATCAGCTACCTCGACTCCGTCGATCCGGCCATGGCCACCGCCGCGCGGAAACGCTATGGATGCCTCCAGCCCTGGGCCGAGGAACCGCAGGAATACGGCCTCGAAGTCGTCCAGGGCATGGAGAGCTGCGAGGGGAAGGTCGTCGCCATGCTCACCGACCTCCTCTCCAAGCGACTCGAGTACGCCGCGCACCCGGGCGACGGCGAGGAATTCCACTCCACCGAGCAAAACGCCTACGTCGTCCGCGACGCCGAGCGCTACTACAAAGCCATGTACTACTCCTCGGCGGGATCCTGGACGCTCCGCGACAGCCACATGGTCGATACGCTGCGCCGCCTGCTGAAATTCAAGCCCGAGGGCAGCAAGGCCGTCGTGTGGGCGCACAACTCGCACTGCGGGGACGCGCGGCATACGGCCATGGGTCGGCGGCGCAAGGAAGTCAACATCGGGCAGCTCTGCCGCGAGACATTTGGGAAGGAAAATGTCGCGCTGATTGGGTGCGGGACGCATACTGGGACTGTGGCGGCGGCGTCGAATTGGGGGGATGATATGCAGGTGATGAAGGTGAAGCCGTCGATGCGGGAGAGTTGGGAGCGCGTGGCGCATGAGACGGGGGTGGAGAGTTTCCTGCTGGATTTGAGGGAGAGTGTCATGAGTCGCGAGGTGAGGGAGACGCTGGCCGAGGAGAAGAGTCGGTTGGAGAGGTTCATCGGCGTTATATACCGGCCGGACACGGAGCGCGTGTCGCATTATTCGGCGGCGGATCTGGTCAATCAGTTTGATGCTTTTGTGTGGTTTGATGAGACGCAGGCTGTGAAGCCTCTCGAGGTCAGGCAGCCGCATACGCCTTTGGGCGTGGGCGAGACGTATCCGTTTGGTCTGTAATGAGCTTAAAAGTGACTTTAATGTAATGAATCTTGTGTCATGTCATGTCATGTCATATCACATCTCATCTATCTCATGGCCATATCTCGTCTAATCAATGCGCAAACCGGAAATCCAGCCTCTTGCTCCCTGTATCAGGGCTATTCTTGATATAATCCTCTCGTTGCTGCAGTCGTCAGTCACGCAGTCCCAAATTAGAGTACCTAGCTAGTGGACCCTAGGATAGTACAGCAAACATACCTCATCCGTCATCCCCGCCCAGACCCTATCCCGATACTGGTTCCGCTTGATATAGTACACTTTGGTCCCGAGGAACAGCGCAATACCCAGAAGATTCAGACCCAGCAGTACTGAATAGCCGCGCGTATACCGTGGCGCATCATCCGCGCGAAAGACGTTGTTGCCGATGACGTTACCCATTTGGACGCTCACTGCGCTCGGTCAGTATACGACGCAAACACTTCCGTCAAAGGAGGAAAGAGAGGCGTCAGGGAGGGAGAGGGATGTACTATTATAAACCGCCGCCGAAACTGTCCTGGTTCCCACATTATTCGAATTCTTCGACGTCCACCCGACCAAGATCGCATGGGCGTACGGGTACGACAGCAGCACCGTCATGATACTGTACGTGCCCCACGCATCGACCATAGCCCCGGACCAGAAGCGCAGCGTGAGGATACAGGGGAGCACCCAGAGCGGTTGTATCATTGAGACGAGAGAGCGCTCGTTCAGCCGCTCACTTAGGTGCGTGAGTCCGTTGAGCATGAGGATGTGGGTTATGTTGTAGGGAATTATGAGGAGGTTTGTGACGAACTAGGTTCGGCTGTTAGATTTGTTTGAGAGAAATGGGAGCAGACGTACCGTGTCAAAGCCCACGCCTTTCAGCGTTAGGGTTATGTATGTTCTGATGGGGACCATGGGTGTGTAGACCAACAGGCCGAGGAGGTAGATTGGCCACAGGTCGTAGTCGCTCAGTGCGCTCCAGAGTCGGGAGAGGGTGATCGCTTGGCGATTGTGCATGTCGCCTACAAATTAGAATATGATCGTACAAGATAGCAAGTATAGGTTCGGTACCTTTCGACGGATCATCGCGAAGAACACGATTAACGACGATTCCCACCTCGCGATCCGAGAACCAGCCCTTTGGACGGAACCAGGTCTTTGTCTCCACGGCAGAAGCTGGCATTTTGAAGAACGAGGCCAGGCCGATGAGTAGCGTGAGAGAACCCTCGATGAGAAAGAGCCATCGCCATCCGCCCCAGCCGAGGACGCCGCGCATGTGCAGGACGCCGAATGCGAGGAACGAGCCGAATATCTCTGTCACGGAGAGGGTTGTCCAGAAGAGGCTATACCATTAGCTTGACTCACTTAGCTTTCATGGAAAAGTACCTTAGCCGAGTAGGCAGCTCGCGGCTGGTGTAAAAGTACGAAAGCCACAGCACGATATCAGGGATGAATCCACCCTCGAGGATGCCGAGAAGGGATCTTGTCAAGAAGAACGAGCGTCGCCCCTGCAAAGCAGACTGGCTGGTTGCCACGATTGACCAAAGGGAGATCTGGATTGGGATCCAGCGGTCAGGCCCGACTGCCTTGGAGACGAGCTGCGAGGGTAATTCCGACATGAGGAACGAGATGTAGAAGATGATGTTGCCGGTGTTGTAATCTATATCAGATTAGCATCACGTCTTTCCATAAAGAGTAGGGGTGAAACCGTTCGTAGACAGGCCCAGGTCGTCCAGCATGTTATCAGAAACCGCCTGGATGAGGTTTCCCCGGTCGACCTGGAGGCCAAAGAACATGACACACTGCCAACCAGTCAGTCCTAGAATCGCGCATTTGAAGGAGGTATCAGACGCACCGCCCATAAACAAACATGCCAATCGATCTTGCGAACAATAGCCTTCTCCTCTTCCCGCGTCCACGTCAACTTGGGATCAAACGCATGTCGACATTCATACTCGGCATCCTCATAGATCTGCGCATACCGCTCGGCGACCTCAGGATCAAGAAACGGATTCTGCTGGCTAGGGACATCATCATCCAGCTCAAGCACCAAGAGCGAAGTATCTTTGCTGGCTCGACTGTAGGACAGATCTGTGTAGGAGGAAGACTCTCGGCCGTCCAGCAGCCGCTGCCTGACTTCTTTATCCGCGTCCATGTTTGTCTCTGGCTCCAACTCTAGCTGGAATTCGGAGTCCAAGTCTGACTCTTGCCCCGCTAAAACAAACGAGTCCAGCTCGATCGACATGCCGGGCGTGCCCAGACTTAAATGATCTGATCACGTAGTGTTGGAGGAGAGGGTGAGACGCACGCCATGGCGCGCCGGAGTCGCGTGTCGTGGGGAGACAGGCACCAGGCGTCCAAATTTCAAGATATCATAAATACAGAGTATGCTTGCTTACTTTCGAGTAAGTGTAGTACGCGTCTGTGCGTCTTGTGATGCAGGTTGTTGCAGCTTTGAGGAAAGGATAGGCTCTTGTGACGCGCTCGCAATCCTCAGCATCAATTGTTTATAGCGGCTAAATCGCCTGGAGTGGTACAAATGCAAAAAGCAATGCGAAACACACGATTACACCACATGATGGGCGAATCTCGCGATAGGGGGTGGTTCCTTGCGTTGGTGATGGCGTCATTTCGAGGGGTTGTTACGAGATGATGTGCTACAGCTGACACGAGAAAGGGACATTATCGAGGAGAGAAAATCAAGAGCGTTTGAGGAGAGTATAAAGATCTTCAACGAGAAGACAGGTGGCCTCCGCTTGTTATGGAAGGGGCATCTTTCTAGTAGAAAAGGAAGGCACGACCAAGGCCAACCCCTGATTGCCATCAAGAGGAAGCCACGGGGTGATTTTAAGAAGACATGTACTTCTCGTGCCATCCCCAAGGCTGGCCATCTCTAGCTGGATGCCTTAGTCTCGTCGTGAATAGCAAAAGGTGATGATTTACCGCTGCTGGCACTGTCATCCACGCCGTTTGGCACCGCAGCCACAGTCTCTGGATCCGATGCCCCAATCCGTCCCCTGAACCCAGGAAGCAGTCGACCACGCCGATCAACAACAATATACCGATCATTATCACCCATGTACAGCGCATCAATCTCCTCCAGGCTGCGACCCTGCGTCTCGGGATAAAACAGCCAGACCAGGCACGCAAAGAAGACGTTCAGAACAAAGAAGATCATGTATGTCTTCCAGCGGATGTTTTCAATAGCAATCGGCGAGATCTGTACAATGAGGTAATTGAAGATCCAATCGCTCGCTGCCGCAAGCGCGGCGGAATGAGTTCGATGGCGCAGAGGCATGATTTCCGGCGCATACATCCAGGGCACGGGCAACCATCCAATGGCAAAGATGGCCTCGTATAGGAAGAAGAAGGTGAGTGATGCTTTGGCTCGGGCGGGAGTGATGTCCTTTTGCAGGATGCCGGCCTGAGATTATTGTTAGTATATGTTTAGTGACCTCTCTAGGGAACGTACGCAGAGAAAGCAGATGGCACATGCTAATGCACCATAGACGAGCGGTGGTCGACGTCCGGTCTTGTCGAGGCAGTAGATGCCCACAAACGAAAAGACCCAGTATGTGAGTCCGAGGCCTGCGCCGACGTGCAGAGAAGGCCCGTAATCCATGCCAATGTCGGTCGTCAAGGTATGCGGAGCATAGTACACCAGAAGATTGATCCCACTGAGCTGCTGCATGGCTTGCAGGCCTGTGTCTGTTAGCTGGTGATCAGGGGATAGGCCTCGTTAACGTACCGATGGCGAGCAAGAAGCGATGGCGGATCTTGAGGGGGCCATCTTTAAGACACTCTGAGAACTTCCACTCCCCATCCGCCTGCTCCAGAGCGATGGCGTCGTCGATCTCTTTCTTGATGACCGTCACCTCTGGGCTTTCCACCGAGAGACCCTTTCCAGTTATCTGCGAGAGTACATGACTGGCCTCGGCATGGCGACCGCGTGCACTCAGCCAGCGCGGAGATTCTGGCAGCACAAGGGTCCAGGCCACCTGGAGGATAATGATGACAATCTGGAACGCAATAACCAACCGCCATTGCACCTGTCCGCTGGCATACGACATGCCGATATTGAAGTAATAGGCAAGCACGATGCCAAACGCAATCAGGTTACCTTCAATGGCAATATGCCGGCCACGGTTCTTGGCTGGCACGAGTTCAGACACCCAAAGAGGCGTTGTTGCCGTGTTGAAGCCATTTCCCCATCCGCTGCAGGGGTCAGCATTGCAGATAACAAACTGAGGGTACGTACCTTACGATGCGGCCCACGATGAGCTGCGGGACACCGAATGAAGCGGCTTGCAGGATTGCCCCGATGAACTGCAGCAGAGCTCCAATGTATATGCAGTTTTTGCGTCCGAGAGAGCTGCCGAAGAAGAAGACAGTGATTGCACCGCAGAAGCAGCCGATACTGCTTTGTGAGCGCTACTCCGGTTCATCAAGTCTAGAGACTTACTCGAAGATGGCACTGATTGTGCCCAACAGGCTGGAGGATGGGTAATCAAACTGCTCGAGGAAGCTGTCTCTGGCGATCAAACCCTGGCATTGTCAGTCGATATCGAGACACTGGATGAGGGACAAACACTGAGAAAGCCCTGATCGTAGCCAAAGAGTAAGAAGCCAAATGCGCCGGCTAGAGAGACATTGTTCCGGAGAGCTCGTCCCTGAGCGCCAAAGAGATATTTTGGGAACTTGTGGTCGTTCTGAGTCAATGCCATTGTGAGTTACACTAGAACTGTGTCAACAATCCGTCTTGAAGGCCTTGATCGCAGGTTTTATACTGTGCATCGTGATCTATGGATGTGCAAGAAACGGGCCGTGCGCCTGAAACTCTAAACGACCCTCGCAGCAAACTCCGACGTGGATCAAGACTGAAGACCCGCTTAGGCTCTTGGGGGACTTGTCCAGACAGGATCTGGGGTAGCTGTATGGGGCCCCAGCGCTGTGGGACTGTGGGGATGTGCGGGGGACCGACTCGACCGACTCGGGGGTTTGGCCCCGTTTTGGGAAATTTTCCACGACCTCCAACTACTCCAACTGTTGCTGAAAATCTCACCCTCCGCATCAGTCGTCACTGCCGCTACGACCGTGATCCGCAAAGATTATCGAAATGAAATCCTGGTATGTGGTGCCTGTCGTACTAGACGTCATGTCTAACAACCTGCAGCATCCCCTGCAGCAAGAGGCACCTCAAGTGTGCGTATTCCCGGGAAACCCCCAGATGTAGCGGCTGACAGCTCGTCGCAGGCGATAGGCGTCATCCCACTTGCTTGAGATGCGAGAAATCGAGATCGAAAACTGCCTGCACATACTCTGGCGCGAGATTCCGACCAAGTCGACTGTCAATAGCGGCAGCCAGTGAAAGAACGACGTCAGAGATTACAGACGACTCTCCGGGGCCCCAGAGCGAACCCGAACCCCGGGCTGAGAGTTGCTCATCCCCACATGGAGGCTCGCGACGAGAATCGGCGGCGTCGCAGGATTCACCAGTACCCCGGGAAAACTGCGACCTGCCCCAGTCTGCATCGCCGTTGACGGCGTCTCACAATCTGCCCAGTGCTACGCCACCTAACAGTCGACCTCTACTCGATCTCGCCGGACACGACTCGCATGGGCCCCTTTTGATCGACTATTCTCCGAGCGACTTTCTCTCATTGGCATATACTGAAGAGCACGGGCCACGCTTGGAGTCGCAGAAGCTCCACGTCAGTCAAGGCGAAGCCGACTTCTTCCAGTGTTATCTCGAGCACGCTGGAGTCTGGGTGAGCCTGTCCATGACGCTGTACCTTCTAGACTAAACAAACGCAGCTTGATGTCGTCTGTCCGGCCCGCTTATTTTCGCAAACAGTGCCCCAACTGGCCTTGCACAACCCTGTTCTCTATTACTCGTGCCTCGCCTACGCTGCCCATGTCCAATATCTCTGGGGCCGCGCCGATCGAGCAAAAGCCGACTATTACCACAACGAGGCAATCGGCTTGTTGATACCACTTCTAGACGCAAAGACCCAGCCACAGGCATCAACAGAGGATCTCTTAGCGACCATTGTAATTCTCCGAATGTCGGAGCAATTTTCCGAGCCTGGCGAAGACGCCCAATGTCATCTCTACGGCGCATTCTCCCTGCTAACCAGTTCTCGGGCGAAATGGCCACCTGATCGAATCGACCTCAAGGGCACCGCGTTCTGGACGTTTGTCCGCCAGAGCCTGAGGATATGCTTTCTGTTCGAACAGGGGTGCCCGTTTGACTTGGGGATTGTCGACTGTAGCAACCTCTTCGCCCCGGCCAAGGATGAAATATGGACGAATAGAATGACGTATCTGCTTGCGAGGACCTGTAACCTGTGCTGGGGCTCGGGGTACGATGCAGACCCTCGCGTCGCTCAATTAGATGCCCTGGAGGTCGATATCAATTCCTGGCGAGAGGCACTACCCGATGCTTTCAAGGCCTGGTATTATCGCCAGACGCGGAGCGAGACATTTCCAACAATCCGGTATCTGAGTAGATGGCATGGTAAGTTCCTCCTGCTCTGCTAAGTACTTGAGCTAAACTTTTAGTCGTCGCCTGGCAACAATACTATACGGCAAAGACGATGCTCGCGGTCTACCAGCACAAACCGCAGTCAACAGACTCATATCGAGATATAAACATCCACGTGAATGTAGGTCTATCTAATTGTGATCAATGGTAATAAAGCTAACTGAGTAGTCTACTATACTTACTGCTGCTAGACTGACCTGCGGCATTGTCCTGTCAGATACGGACGTCGGCTCGTGCATCAACGGAGCACACCTGGCCTACTGGTGTGGCCAGTTCTTCACGGGTCGTGAGGAGCAGAGTAAGCTGCTAGAATGGCTGGAAGGATTTATGCAAAAGACAAAATGGCCTAACAAGACGTGCATCATGCGGCTGCAGAAACTATGGGGGATTTCGGACGGGCAGAGCACGACCTCGCCGCCTGTAGTATAGAAGGAATGAGTGAAAGAATCAATGACATTGAAGACTATCATTTACACATGGGCTTTCCTCGGCTTCGCCTTGACGAACAGCTCCTTTGGCCCGCGGTTGAATCTCTCAATCGTCTCCATGACACTGCCTGGCTCCGCGAGCTCCCACTCAAAGTTCAACACCAGCGCAGCAACAACGATAGACACCTCCATATATGCCAGGTTCCTCCCAATACAGGCTCGCGGTCCCAAGCTAAACGGGATACAAAAGTTCTTCAGATTTTGCGCCTCTTTCCGGTCCACATCCGAGTCCCCATCGGTAGCCAGCCACCTCTCAGGAATGAATTCCTCTGGGTCTCGGAACAGGCTCTCGTCACGATGTATCGCATGGATGGGAGCCGAGACTGTCACTCCCGCGGGGATAAAGTGTCCGGCAATATTCGCTCCTTCCCCCGTTGTACGCCGCGGAAGACCCCGAGCAACTGGGGGCCGGCACCGCCAGTTCTCTTCCAGCACCGCACGGAGGTAAGGAATCTCCTTGAGGATGGTACTCGGAAGAACGAGGAATGGGTTCCCTCTATAGTCCTCCGGCACCGCAGCAGCAAGTGCATGGTAGAGCTTCGCCTGCTTTTCGGGGTTCTTTGCAAGGTGATAGATCGCACCCGTCAGCGTCGCCTGCGTCGTGTCATTGCCCGCATCCAGCATCGTTGCGCACTCGGCAATAACTTCATTAACAGGCATACCCTCGGGCCGCTTCTCGCTCGGCTCAATAGGGAAGAACGAGAAGAGATCCGGCTCAGCGGGACGATTCTTCAACCTCGCCTGGACCATCGCGCGCGCCATCCCTGCGAAATCAGCACCTGCTTTGTTCCCGCGCATGAAGAAGAGCGCCCTTCGTCCGGCTTTGTAGAGTGGCAAAGGGAGTTGCGCGAGGACAGTGTTGAAGTGGCTTGCGGAGTGGAAGCTCTCCATTGCGTGGACAGTCGTCACATTCCCGTGCTCGTCGACGGACTGGCAGAGGTCGTTCCCGGTCGAGAGGAAGTTGTATCCGTTGGTGAAGAGCATCGCGGAGATTGCGTCGTACCCGAACATATTCAGCCACGGCCGGATATCGAATGCGCCGTCTTGCACGCGAAAGGGATACTCATCCCCCGGATTTCCATCCCGAGACCTGACATTCACACCCCGCGCCTTCCCCTCAACAACAGCACACAACCCCTCGACACACTTGACAACCCGCGGCTCCAGCCTAACAACCTCCCTCGCCGAAAAAACATGCGCGAGCGCCCGTCTCTTGCCCGCATGCACACTCTTCTCCGTCGCCTGCGCGACACTTGGATTCCCGTCGGCAATGTGACTGTAGAAGTCATCTTTCCTGAGACTCGCCCCGTGCCCGTAGATATCCCTGTACGCGGCTGGATCCGTGAAAGAGATGTGGTTTGGTGCGATGCGGACGATGGGGCCGAGGGATTTGTGGGCGGCGTAGATTGCGGCTGTTTGGGTGGCGCTCCAGGAGTGGTACATGGACCAGAGGGGCGTGAGGCCTGCGATAGAGGGGGAGGGGAAGCGGCGGAGGGATTTGGGGTCGTGGATGTAGCGGGTTAGGGTGTAGATGAGGAGGAGGAGGAGGGAGAGGGGGAGTAGGGCTGGCTAGGATGTTAGTTTGGCATCCATCTCTTGGATTTGAGGATGGGATGAACGTACCGAGTACAAGCATGCTGACGTATTGAATAGTCCTGCCTTGACCTTGATGTTGGCTGAAGAAGTTGTTACGATGTCTCTGTCGCGGCTTCTCTCCTCGTAGCAACCGGCCCTTTATGAGTCCAAGACACCCAATGTCCCGCGTGACCATTCGAGATGCAGTGATGGAGGGTAAATGGTATCCGTGCAAGTTAGGTCTACTGCCACGTTCGGGTCTGGGGAGTCGGGAAACCAGTCAATCACACAACGCCAAATCCCGAGTTTCCCAACAGGGGATTAATTCCCGACCCCCGGGGCCCCGGCCCTTGCACCACCAAGAAAAAGGCAGCCACCGTCTGCAAGAACCTGTCGATTGTACATGGAGACAAGGTCGAACTGCTTGTCACGTTGCTTGTTAGCACCCGTGGTTTCTACTTCGGTCATTGGTACGACGCCTGTTTACTGCAGCAAAGATCGCGAGAAGGAACGCGGAGCGCGTTTACAGGTGTCCCGAATGCATGGCCACGTCTTTCATGCACGAGGCAAATATCCTGGCTACGAGGCTTCTTCCAACATGCCAGATATCGCTTTAACTCATCTTCTAAACACAGTCAACTCAAGGACGACAAACACACCATACAAACCAAGAAGCACAACCCCGGCGCCCCGCCCAAGCCCCAAAAAGACCACCGCGGCAAAACACCCCGCCGCCAGCCAGACGGTAACCAAGTCAAAAAGAACAAGCCCGTCGTTCGCCTGGTCCACCGGAATCCCCGCCACCGCCACAACACCCACACACAGCGTCAGCAGAAAAATGTTGCTGCCGGCGGTCGTTGCGACGACGATCCCGCCGTGGCCGCGGGCGCCGCCGAGGAGCGCGATGAGTTTCTCGGGTAGGGTCGTGGCGAATGCGACGACGGTCAGGCCGAAGACGGTGCCGGAGAGGTGGAGCGTGTCGGCGAGGGCGCCTGCGCTGTGGGCGAGGATGTAGCCGGATAGAGAGAGCGCGAGCAGGCCGGAGATGAGCTGGGTGATGTGGTGGTGGAGGGGCCGTGGGAGGCGCTGGACTGTGTTGTTTTCAGGGGGAGGTGTTGGTTCTGGGGATGGATTTGCATTGTCCAGGAGCGGGGACCGTTCGGAAGCTTGCGTCCAGCTACTCTGTCCATGGGGTGGGTTGGCTATTTCAGCGTCGCTGTCACTGTCGCTGTCACTGTCGGATAGGGCAGGCGGCTCAGTGACGCCTTTGTAAATCGCATATCCGATAGATGCAACATAGAGAACGAAGACGGCGATGAGGATCGCACCGCTGATGCGATTCAGCTGGTGGAACAAAGCCAACGCAACAAAAAGGGTCGTGATGAAGAGCAAAAGCGCCGAATACATTTTGGCACTTCTGTCGCATTCCATCCCACCAGGTCGACAAAGGAGTCCGAGCGAAAAGGCCCCAAGGATGTTGGAGATGGTCGATCCCAGGACGTTGCCCAGGGCCAGAGGGCTGCGGTGCTGTGCGAGGGCCGCGACGACGACGGCGAGCTGTGGACATGATGTAAGTACAAGCTTGAAGTACAGGAAAGACAAGGCAAGGTAATCACCTCTTCATATTCGGCTCCAGCGGTCAAGAGAGCAATCAAAGTCGGCGAAATGCCCAACCGCCGGCCCACGATGACGGTGTGGTCAATGAACTTGTCGGCGCCATAGTCGAGGACAAAAACACCCGCAATCAACGTTGCGATGTTGAAACAGAGCGCATCCCAGTCCATGATGTGATTGGCCTGCAGATGTGCTGAGGCTGAGTTTGCAGAACAAGTGGCTTGTCATGAAGAAATTGCCCAGGGGCTTTGACTGCTGACGTAACACGCTTAACCTTAAGTATAAATAATACATCGTAGAATAATTAGAATCATCTTCATTTCAATTACCTTATTGTTCAAGTAATAACAACCTCCTATAACCATGTCCATTTATTACTCCATGCACAACAACATCCCCCTTATAGACTCACCTTCTAAACACACAACAAGTCCCCCACTTCTCCCTCACTGCAAAGAATCCACCATACTCATGTAACCAGTGACTTGGCCAGAGTTGGCTGCACTAGACCTTTGATTGATATATTGACCCTTTGCTCTATGGTAGATTTTTATTAGCACCAGAGTCGCGTTGGCGACGACGATGGAGCTGGTGCTGGACCAGCCGATGCTGACAACCGAGGAGAACTGGGAGGCGACCTGGGTGATGCTGTATCACTTTTCTCGTGACACCGCGCTCGAGTCGTATTCTGGGCATGTATAACCTCTTGTCTGACATCTGCCCCACGACTTTTGCCCTGCCCATCGTCCTCACCTGGCTGGGCTACCTCCCCTTCATGACTTTGGCCCTCGACCACATCCAACCCTACCTCACCCCCAGCCTCATCGCCAGCTACTACGACATCCCGCTCCCCTTTTCCCTCGGCAAAGCATCTACATCGCCATCACAGTCATCCTCAACATCATCTTCCTCGCTACGCACATCGTCATGGCCGTCATCTGCGTCGTAGGCTGCTGGTACCACGTCTACATCGGGTACGAGAATACATTTGGCTACGAGACGTGGCTGTATGCGACTATCGCGGTATGGTTCTTCGATCGGGTTGTGCGGCTCGCTCGGATCCTCAAGACGGGTGTTCGGCGTGCGACGGTTACTGAGATTGGGGACAGTAGTGGTAGTGGCGGTGGTATCGTCCGCGTCAATGTACCTAGATCTCTGTTGGAGATGACGGCAATGCCCAAGAAAACTTTCGTCTCTGTTCGTCATGTCATATCTATTGCCTATACGTGAGCTAGCTGGGTCGGTCTAGGCAAACCAGGTACACTACTGTGTGAGGTTCAGCCTCTCCAGCTCCTCAATTTCATCACTACCCAGCAGCCCCAGCGCCTCTCTCCGCGTCTTGGCCTTGGGGTCGAAGAAGGGCTTCTCCGCCAGCGACGTCACCCTTGTCCCATGCCGCGGCTCCGAGCCCTCATAGTCCCAACTCGCATTATGAATCGTGATTCTAACGTCGTCAGTACCGCACACCCTCTTTCTCTTCTTCCCCAAACCAAATCTCAGGAACCACATACCTGTTATCCCACAGCGCACTCGTCCGCGGCGTCCACTTGAACCGCACCTGAATGTCCACACTCCGCTCATAGACATCATACAAGTACCCCAAGATCAAATCACTCTCCGCCTTGTCAAGCCCGACAATCCGATCCGTCATCGCCCGATTCACCCACAGGGCTTTCCACCCCGTCGCCGGATGCACGCGCACAATCGGATGCTCGCGCTCCACATACTTGGGCCCCGCAGAGGGGTTCTCCCGGTCGAGATACGGGTGCGCGGAGCGATAGATGGCCGTCCGCCCGTCGATGATCTTCCGGAAGGCCGGCGAGAGTTTCTCGTACGCGGCGTACCCGCTGGCCCACAGCGTGTCGCCGCCGAGGGTCGGGACCGTGTCGTTGTGCAGGTGGGTTACTCCCGCCGGTTGGCGTTCGTGCACGAGGTCGGTGTGCCAGCGTGAGGCGCCTCCGGGGCGGCGGAAACCGGCGGGGTTCTCGGTTGCTTGCAGGGCGGGCCAGATTACGGTTACCCCTGGGACGCCGGGGACTTGGGGGACTTGGGGCTGATAGTTGAAGCTCATTAGCAGGGGCTACGTCAGGGGTAGTAGGAGTGTTTGTGCAGGGGGCGTACATGAACCTCGACCTCCCCAAACCACTCCCCCAACTCCTTTTGCTCCTGGGGCGAGATATCCTGATCGCGAAAGAAGACCACACTCCGCTCGGCAATCAACAAACCAAGCTCATCCCTCTGCTGATCCGACAGATCCTTCAACTGCAGTCCTACAATCTCCGTCCCGATATGCTTGGTTAAATGAATAACCTCCTTCGCTGCCGAAAGCAGGGCCTTCTTCTCGGGATCCGCGCGCGAGCCCGGATCGACGTGTGCCCGGTCGTAGTTGCGGATCCCGTAGACGTCATCGAGGTATAGCGGACGCGAGGGGCGGTAGGGGTATCCATTCGAGAAGTCGATTCCGGCTTTTTCGAGGCGTTCTCGCGTGCCCGGGGGGAGGTTGAGGGTGTCCTTTCGGGGTTCCGCGACGTCGGTGATGCTCGGGTCGATGGGGGCGGGGGCCATTTTGGATTCTTCTTGACTTGACTTTATTTACTTAGTACTGTCACATTGATCTGCCCAGACTGGATGGAGCAGTCGGCGGGTCTTATCTGTCCCACTTCTACATACCCGCAGCAGCTCAGCTCAGCTCTGATCATCCAGGATGGTCCAGCCGATCCCCGAATGGTGGTCGATCACACCATCACCACGCATCATTGCGCATCACCAATGTCGTCCTTGCTCAACTCCAAACCCCTCACTACCCCTCTTTGACGTCTTTATCGCCTTTATGTGGTTGGTGATGTTCTCGATCTCGCCTTGCAGGGGTTCGATCACGATGGGCGAGATTTCTAATCGAATCCGCTCCACATGCTCGTTCCACATTCCACCTGGAAAGCGAGTCAGGGAGGATGCATCAAACCGACTGCGAGACGATCAGGCCAGACGGACGATACTTGTATGATATCATCCGAGGGCTGGATAGCGTTACCGAACAAGTCGAAGCCGGGTACCCGGATTGATGTCCCTAGACAAGACAGAACCCGCGACTTTCACGAAATCAACCTCCCCAGACAACCGTGTATATTCAGACTGGTGATACGCGTTGCACGACACATCGCCGATTATTCAAGATGACGCGCGCGCAAATCCGCCGCGTCGCCGTGATAGGCGCCGGGATTAGTGGTGTCGTGTCGGCGGCGCATCTGCTCGATGCCGGGTTGGAGGTTGTTGTTTTTGAACGGAGTCATGCGGCTGGGGGAGTTTGGTGGGTTATACCTGCAATTCTGGCGGTAATGATATTATTGGTACTGTTGCTGATCATGTAGGTTATATGATGAGCGCCGACCACTCGAACCATCGTATAAGCAGCTGAAGCCGCTTGAGGCCGAGGGCTTTTTCGATACGGATGGGGATGGGCATGGGGGGTCGAAGGTTCTTAGCCATGCGCCGCCGGGGTGAGCACTCATCTCTCTATCCAAACCCCCTTTGCATGACTGGGGGTTATGCTAAAGCAGACAGACCATGCTACCAAGGCCTGAAGAACAACGTCTCTACACCGCTGATGCGGGTCACGCTAAATGCATGGCCAGAGGGCACACCCGACTTTGTGAGCCACAGTGTGATGAAGGAGTATATCCAGGATACGTCGAGGAAGACGCGGGTGGAGGATGTCACGATCTACGGGGCGCGGGTGAAGAATGTGTTAAAGCAGGGCGAGGCATGGAACGTTACATGGTCGACGCTGAGGGAAGACGGTGCGGGAGTTATAGAGCAAGAGATTGATTCAGTGGGTATAATTCAATCCTGATTGCCGACCAAAGTGAGCTGACGATTCAGATCTTCGACGCCGTCGTCGTTGCCTCGGGTCACTATCACACGCCTCGGATCCCCGAAACACCTGGTCTCGCAGAGGCCAAGGCGCGATGGCCAAATCGGATCATGCATTCCAAGGGGTATCGCAAGCCCGAAGGGTTCGAGGGAAAGGTACGCCACCGAACTACATATATTTCATCTAGCAAAATAGGACTAATGAGGCAGAACATCCTCCTAATCGGCGGCGCCGTCTCAGCCATCGACATCGCGCGCGAAATCAGCTCGCAGGCAGACACAATCTACCAGAGCACACGCAATGGAGAGTTTGACATTGCAGCCAGCATCCTCCCCGAGAATGGCGTGCGGATCAGCGAGATTGAGCGGTATGAGATTCTCGAGGATACCAAGACCGAGTCCCCCGACGAGAATACAGCTCTACCGCTGCCATTGAAAATCCACCTGAAATCCGGACAGACACTTTGCAACGTACACGAAATCATCATCTGCACGGGATACCAGTTTACGCTCCCATTCCTGCCAGAGTACCACAACGACAGACTCACGCCCGCAGAAGCCGACGAGAGGGTCCTCGTCACAGACGGAACGCAGGCACATAACCTGCACAAGGACATCTTCTACATCCCCGATCCCACCCTCGCATTCGTGGGAGTCCCCTTCTACACGGCTACATTCACCCTCTTTGAGTTCCAGGCTATAGTCGTTGCGAACGTTCTTTCGGGGATTGCAGAGCTCCCAGCCGAGAGTGAGATGAGACAAGAGTACAATGAGAGAGTAGCTAGAAAGGGTGTAGGAAAACGGTTCCATTCGCTCAAGGATATCGAGGAGGCGTATGTGGATGACCTGCTAGATTGGGTGAATGGCTTCCGGGCGGAACGCGGTCTCGCTAAGATTGAGGGCCACACTCCGACATGGCACCAGGCGAAAGAAGCGCAGCGCGAGCGGCTGAAATCCTTCTTTGAGGACAGTGGCAGCAGGCGAGATAGTGGGATCGGGGGCCTTCCGGAGGTGGCGAGCTGCACCGCATGATTCTTGATTCACCTGCATACATAGTTGAGAGCCTAAGCACACTTGATAGAAAGCTAGAGCACCTCTTAACGCCGATAACCAGGAATTTATCGAAAACCCTCCGCACAACACGCCACACACCCCAGAACAAGAAATAAAAACCCTCCGAAGCTCGACCTTATCAATCAACTCACAGCCAGCTAAACTTCCCCTTGCGCAGTACGCACAGAAATGAGGTGCTCCTTGCATGCCGATCAGAAACAAGACAGACGGGCGATATCTTACCCCTCCCAAGCCGTCGAATAAGCTTGCCAATTTGCTTAACTCGCGCGGTGGCGTTGGGGAGCTGATTGGTGCAGTGGGGGTGATGAGGTGCGTGGTGCTGCCGATGAGCAATATTTAGGGCTCGGCTCGCCCGCTGCGCGAGTTTAGCTGCGATGACCCCATCGTCGAGTCGGATGGTTTTTGGGACTTCCAAGCGGGTTATCTGTGTAACATGGTATAAAAGATTTCGTGGGGGTAGCATTTTTTTCTTTTCCTTTGCTCGAGCAAAATTAGAGCTCGAGAGCAGCAGCGATTGTAGCCATGGGTCTGTCCAAGGCTGTCGTTGATGAGCGGGCGACCGAGCCTGATACGGGTGCTATTCTCCAAGAGACCCCGAAGAAACGATGGGTCAGTTACATCTGGGATACGTTTGACAAGTCGCCGGAGGAGCGTAGACTCCTTACGAAGCTGGATGCTGCCATTCTGAGTTTTGCTTCGCTGGGTGAGTTTATCAAGACGTTTTCTACGAGGACATATTTCTGACTGCGATAGGCTATTTCATCAAATACCTCGACCAGATCAACTTCAACAATGCATTCGTCTCTGGAATGTACGTATCCCAACCTATTTTTCATGTACAAGACTGACCACCTGCAGGAAAGAAGACCTGGGCATGTACCAGAACCAACTCAACTACATGCAGGCGTGCTGGACGGTGGGCTACGTGATTGGTGAAATCCCCAGCAATATGCTGCTCACGCGAATCCGGCCGCGATACTGGCTGCCGACGATGGAGGTATTACCACACGTTATCTACTCCGAGCTGGGTACAGCTTCTCGGACTTGTGGACAATACTGACGGGCTTGTATAGCTCCTCTGGACGGTCCTCACATTCACCCTCTCCCGATGCAACACGCCAACGCAATTCTACGTGCTCCGCTTCTTTATTGGTATTGCTTCCTTCCATATCCTTGTAATGGTTTCTCTAACAGAGCAGGCCTCGCGGAGAGTACTTTCTACCCTGGCATGCAGTACATTATCGGCTCGTGGTACCGCAAGGATGAACTGGCCAAGCGATCGTGCATCTTCCACACCTGCAGTGGGATTGCAACCATGTTCTCTGGGTACTTGATGGCTGGTGTGTATAAGCTTGGTGGTCGGGGAGGGTTCAAGGGGTGGCAGTGGTATGCTTCCCATTCTCGATTCGATATGAGGTCTCGCTGATGGTGCCCAGGCTGTTTATTATCGACGGAGTGATTTCGCTCCCCATTGCCATTGCGGGCTTCTTCGTCTTGCCTGATGTTCCTGAAATCTCGAATCCGTGGTATCTGACTGAAAAGGTTCGTCTATTTCCCCGTTACAAGGTTGGAGGTGTTAAGGTAAATAGGAAGTAAAACTCGCCCAAAAACGCATGGAACTCGAAGGCCGCAAACCAAGAGGCCCATACACAAAAGCGAAGCTCAGAAAGATCTTCACATCGTGGCACATCTATTTCCTCACCCTTCTCTACATGTAAGCTCCCCCGCTTTTGACAATTCTCTCAATTGCATCCCACTAATCAAAGAATAGCACATTCAACAACGCAAACGGCGGCGCACCTATCTTCCAACAGTTCCTCAAAGCCTCCACAGACCCAGTCTACTCCATCAGCCAGATAAACTCGTACCCGACGACCACGCCCGCTGTGCAGGTTGTTACGACACTTATATATGCTTGTACGTGCACCATTTTACTCTCCCCTCCAGAGAATCCACCATCCCCCAGATTACCCCCTCTCTGCACCATACTGATAGTAGAGTATAGGGTCCTCCGACTCCTGGCTCGGCGGCCGCCGCTGGCCGCCCATCCTCGTCGGCGCAGTCTCCAACATCGTCTGCTACGCGTCGCTGGCCGTCTGGGACATCCCCATCGGATGGAAGTGGACGTGCTATATCCTCTGTGGGGCGGGGTATGGACTCAGTGGGCTTTGCATGGCGTACGTGGACCTCTGATTCCCCCTTCCTTACCTGTCTCGCACTCCCCGAGCAAAATCCAAGAGGGAGGAGTAGGCTAATCTAGGCATCTAGCTGGGCGCACGAGATCTGCTCCAGCGACAACGAAGAGCGCGCGCTGGTCGTCGGGTCCATGAACGAAATGGCGTACGTCTTCCAGGCGTGGTTGCCGCAGGTTGTCTGGCAGCAGGTGGATGCGCCGCAGTACCGGAAGGGGTTTATCACGGGGACGGTCATGGGTGTTTTGCTTATCTTTACGACGGTGGCGATTTTGTTTCTAGAGAGGCGGGAGAATGCGAAGAAGCTTGGGCAGAGGTATGTTGATGATTCATTTGGTTGATGATCAGGACATCGGAATGGCAGGACAGGGCTAATACGAGTGGTTCTAGGGACGGCGATGGGGATGGCCTGGGGGTTGAGAGTGACGTTGGAAGTCAGAGTGGGAGTGGGAATGGGAGTCCGACTGAGAGGAGTGAGGTGGAGGTGGAGGTGCAGCGAAAGTTGTAGGCGATGGATTGGAACGATCATGTACTGAAAAAAGGCTCGAGGAGCAATGTCCTGGACGATTGGGTACTGAAGGTATCTTGAATGTTTCATTCATCACTATCGAGCTATCAAGCCAATGGCTGCAGTCCTCATTAGTCCATCTGGACTTTGGATAAATATGGATCAATTTAGTCACGCATCGTACGCTCGTTATAATGCTCAAACATGTAAAGCTACCAAACACTCTCCAACCCATCAACACCGACCGGCCTCTCCCCAAGCGTGGTAAGCCGAATCCCATGTCGCGGCCCATCCGTCGTGGTATCATAATCCGAGATGGCCGTGTGGGCAGTGACGCGGTTATCCCACAGCGAGACGGTCCGATCGTCCCACTTGACGCGGACTTGGATATCCTGCGAGAGTGAGATGTGCTAATGGGCCAAGGTTAGTTGAGCTCCGTGATCAAAAGTGGTCGGCTACTGACCTTGAACAGAAGCTGCAGAATAGCATCCGACTCCTCATCCTTTAGGCCGATAATGCGTTTCGTGAAGCCCGGGTTGACGAATAGGGCTTTTCCACCGGTGACCTACAGCGAGTTAGCTCTTTCCTCTTCACCGTAAAGTATAGGACCGGACATACCGGGTGAATCCGAACAATCGGATGATCGCTCTTCACCGGCTCCCGTCGAACATGCTTCCCATCCCTCCGCGCATTCTCCGCCTGCGGGAACCCACTGTGCTCCGCACGCAGACCCTCGATAAGCTTCTTGATCGGGTCCGACAGCCGCTCGTATGCAGCAACCTGCGACACCCAGCCCGTGTCGCCGCCGGTCGACGGGACGCTCAGCAGAGCGAGGAGGGTGATTCCCGGCGGCTGGTGCTCGTACGAGACGTCCGAGTGGTAGCCGGTGGTTGTGAGCCGGCTGGAGCGCTGGCGCAGCCGGTAGAGGTTATCGGCGCCCAGGTAGATGTTGTGGAACTCTTGGTGGCCTTCCACGTGGGCGCCGACGGGCTGTCATGCAGTTAGTTAGCTACGTTGCTTGAGCCGAGGGGCTCGGTGACGTACGTGGATGTGCAGCTTCCCAAAATAGGCAGCAAACTCCTTTTGCCTCTCGGGGCCAATGTCTTTAAAGTCCTGGTCACGAAAGACAACGACACCGCGTTCCGCGATGAGCAGAGCCAATTCGTCCTTTTGGGCATCGGTCAACTGCGACAGCTGCAGGCCGCGGATCTCAGTGCCCACGCGGGGAGTCAGCTTGTCAATCTTGACCCTGGCATCTCCAGTCTCGAACAAGTGCGGCTTGGCCTTGTCTGCTGCGTGGCCGCGGTCGTTGAACTCGAATGGCTCTGTGGGCGGGTACTTGGTCTCGTTGTCATAGACTGGCAGGTAGCGGGAGTAGGGGTACTGCGAATGTTAGACTCGCCTCATCAACGGATGGAGGCCGTGGCATACCTCGGCGTGGGCCTGGTCGTCAAACGCCTTGACAAAGGCCGGCACGGCTTGGCCCTCCTTGGTGACTGTGACTGACATGATGAGAATCGTGGTCGCACTAGCTGGTTGCTTGCCTAGCCCCTAGACTGGGATTTTGCGACGCATTTATAGGACGACGGTCACCTCCGCTTGGTGTTCTCCTCCATCGGCGTTAATATAGACTTTGTTGTCGGCGTTAAGAAATGCAGAGTCGACTTGGCAATAACGTCGCTGATTATGCCATCGTCACCATCACTGACAACATTCGTGTTTGATAGGTCGAGGATCAGCGACTTTCCACTGCAGATGTTGCAATTGCCAGACAGGAGTTTATCTCTTTCTTTATTGGGTACAAGGGTCTCTTGGCTGCTGCTCGTGTTGCGGGGGTTGCTGGGTTGTCGGGGTTAAGGTCCATCCTCTCTCTATACAGCATTCGCCTCTGCTGTGCAGAGTGGCAAGGGGGGTATCAAGGCGAGCAGCTCCCTGTCAACGTTGCAGCTGGCAGTTGGGATCAGCAGCCACATGGCCGGACATTTATCGAATCCATGTAAGGCGTCAAGTGGATTATTCAGAATGTCAACGAGAGTTGATACTTTGGCATGATGTTGACTTTACCTTTATTTCGTCACTGAAGAACGACCCTACTTACCCCAACGCAGGGATCGCGGCCCGTATAGATTCGTTACAGACAATCCCTCCGAGGAGATACCGCACTTCGCGCCAGAAATGAACTGTATACGTCGCTTCCTCTTGCCACGAGTCTCGTCCCAAGTCTTGTTCCAAGCGGCCAAGCACCTCATTGACTTCAGCGGGAAGAATACCAAGAGCAAAAGAGCGTAGAATTCTCCCCACGCGGCACAAAGCATGTCATTTTGGCGTCAATAACCACATCCGTGCACGAGTATGTAGGGTACAACTGCCGATCTGTGGTATAAAAGCGGTCGACGTCCGATGGAGTAGCATATAGAAAAAGGTGAGCACTGCAGCAGATTCACCGCACCCCCAGCAGCAAGCACCAGCACCATGTCAGACTTCGACTCCAACGAAAAGACGGCTCGCGTCCGCGAGCGATCGACAGATAGCCCCCGAGACAGGGACCGAGAGGAGCCAGAGGTTGTGCAAGCCGAGCCGCCCCAGCCTGCCATCGCTGCCCTCTTCTCTCGGCGCAAGAAAAAGGACCCCGAGGAAATCGCCACACAGCCATCTGTGTATGATGACCCGAAGTTGGCTCCATTCTACCAGCCGAACCCCAAGTATGAGAACCTGCATCGGTTTGATCCGAGCTTTCGATGGACCTGGGGCGAGGAGAAGGTATGCTGCCTACTTTTCTTAATGAGATGAGGTGTGAGCTGACGGGTCCGCAGCCCTTGATCCGCAAGATTGACTGGAAGGTCACCGTCTGGGCTGCGCTTGCCTTCTTTGCCCTCGACCTTGACCGAAGTAATATCAGTCAGGCGAACACTGACAACTTTTTGGATGACATGGGACTCAATACTAATGGTGAGTACTTGGTGCCCTTGCCTTGGAAGATCTTCGCTAACATGTCAGACTACAACTTGGGGCAAACGCTGTTCAAGACTGCATTCCTTCTTGCCGAGCTTCCCTCGCAGCTCATCAGCAAAAAGATCGGTACGACCATACTACTTTCGTGAGAGACATGGCTAACAGGGTCAGGCCCTGACCGATGGATTCCCGCTCAAATGTGTCTTTGGAGTATCGCTTCGGCGGCTCAGTTTTGGCTCAACAGCCGAGCGTCTTTCCTCGCCCTCCGGGTGGTTATCGGGGTCTTGCAGGGCGGGTTTATTCCCGATGTCATCCTCTATCTCGTACGTACTGCCGCCCCCTTGCATGTGCCAACTAACAAGCCAGTCCTACTTTTTCAAGAGCAACGAGCTGCCCCTGCGACTGGCCATCTTCTGGACCGCCAACCGGCTTACAGACGTCGTCTCGCCCTTGATCGCCTATGGCGTTCTACACATGCGCGGAACCCACGGCCAAGAAGGCTGGCGATGGCTGTACGTCACCTCATCTCATTCCATCAACGAAACTCGACTAACATTTGCAATGCAGCTTCTTGATCGAAGGCCTCATCACCCTTCTCATCGGCATCTGGTCCATCTTCCAAATGGCTCCCTCTCCAACACAGACAAAAGCCTGGTGGCGACCCAAAGGCTGGTTCACGGACCACGAAGAAAAAATCATGGTCAATCGCATCCTGCGCGACGACCCCTCCAAGGGCGACATGCACAACCGACAGGCGATTACCTTGAAACTGCTCTGGAAGTCTCTCTGCGACTTTGACCTCTGGCCCATCTACGCGATCGGGCTGACGTTTGGCATCCCACCGAATCCCTCGGACCAGTATCTTACGTTGACGCTGCGCGGGCTGGGATTTGACACGTTTGATTCGAATCTGTTGAGTATTCCGGCGCAGATTACGACGACAATCAACGTATGTTCTACATCACCCCCTCCCCACTCTCTCTCATGTAACCGGCTTCGTGGAGATGTAAAAGCTCACAACTACAGATGCTCATCCTAACCTACATCTCGGTCAAAATCAACCAGCGCGCGTACCTCGGTCTCTTCGTGCAGTTCTGGTTCCTCCCCTGCCTTATTGCTCTCGCCGTATTGCCTGCGAATACGCCGCGCTGGGGGTCATATGCTCTTGTCACCGTTATACTCTCGTATCCTTCTCGTATGGCCTTCCCTGCATCTACGCGTCTGTCCACCTAGCTTGAACATGCTGACCTTTATAGCCCACCCCATGCAAGTCGGCTGGTGCAGCTCCAACTCCAATACCGTCCGGACTCGAACCGTCTCAGCCGCATTATACAAGTAAGCATCACCCCATTCCCCACTTTGAATAATCGACGCTAATCTCTTGCAGTATGATGGTCCAGATTCAAGCAATCATCGCGTCAAACATCTACCGCGAAGACGACAAGCCATTGTGTAAGCCATGCCATGCCATGCCACTTGTTGCCTTCCACGTGCGATACACAAAATAGATGCTAATCACTCATTTTTCTTTTACAAGACCGCCGCGGAAACCGCGTCCTGATTGGAATCAACTGTCTAAACTTTGTCCTATACCTCTTCGCAAAGGGCTACTATATCTGGAGGAATAAGCGGCGTGATGCGATTTGGGATAAGATGACGTATGATGTAAGTTTGCCCTCGACAGTCACTACGGGTCTAGAACTGTGGGAACGGGACTGACAGAATGTAGGAGAAGGAAGAGTATCTGAACACGACTACCGACCAGGGCAACAAGAGGTTGGACTTTAGGTTTGCTTCGTAGATTTGATGCCCGGTCCTAATGTTTTATGTTTTCATGATATGTCGGGACTAGATGGGAAGAATGAGGGGACTTCTCGTATAGCAAGTCTGTTAATATAGTAGCAGAGATATACATACACTTCTAACCGACGGGATAAAGCAATTCGGACGTCACTGGAGAAGTTACAGTGGGCAGGTGCTAGGCTCTGGAACAGGGACTCCCTTGCCACAGCATGGAAGTATGTAGTACCATAGTACCTGTATGAATGAGGTGGGGACAAACCTGCGAGCGTAAATATTCCTCTTCATGTATCTTAGCAAGCCTTTGAATGGGTCATTGCTATTGAATTTGAAACTTGAGCAACACCATCCCCCTTGAGTATAGATGACATCGCCCTAAGTGGCTCTGTGCGGGGCACTGGCGAGTCACGGTGGAAATGCGTTGTGGACTCTGCGGATCTACCATCGGTCGTATGGTGGCATCTATTTATCCTGCCCACTTGGGCCCGGTCAATTACATGACCTGGGGGCTACAACTTCTGGCCAGTACATAGAGCGCACAGCCGTGGTTCTATCTTCCCAAAAGAAAGGTCATGGACAGCGACGTTGGGCCTCGGTGGAACTCCACAGCCCCCCGCTTTGGTCCTTTCCCTCTTTTAGTGTGCACTCAGAGTATGATGATGGTGATAGTGATGGCGGAATGAACCAGTCTCAACCGGCTGGGGCAAAGGGAGGAGAGATTGCTTTGTGTCTGCGGGAAGAGTTGGGATATATTCAGAAGTTGGCAAGTTTGCCACCAGGTCAAGGCAAGAATCTAGGCATGGCCTCGAGGACTCGTGGGGGGATGTGTGGGAGTAGGCTCAGGTCTACTTCTGATTTGAACTCGGGGCTGATATACCTCGCAGTAACGTCACGGGGCAAGTATGGGCCAATATGCAGCTAAATTGCGGGTGGGAGAGCCTGGTAATTAGTCCGGCAAGCGACTACACTGCAAATGAGCTCGAGTACCTTCAGGGTCGGTATTCGAAGGATGGAAGATGATGGCTAATGGCGATTTTCAGGAGTAATAAAGTCAACGACGATCAGGTCCTAGTGACCACTACTTGCCCCCAAAGCCTCGAGATCTCAGGGTCGATGGATTTGACGTGCCAGGAGGCAGCCATATACTTCCAGGTGCCCATTGCTGGCCTGCAGAATTTGAATCCTCCAGGGGATCTTAACTGCCGAAGACTACAACATTACCCTATGTGCTCCACTTTGTTGCCCCATTACGATTGTCGATATCGATGCCAACAACATACATGTTGACCACTGGGTGGCTCGTTACGCCAACTTCAGTCTGCCGCAGTTCTACACCTGGAACCCTTACCACGGCCTTCCACTACTGGCAAATGGAGATGTTGTATGTTCTGGGTAAGTTGTATCAGAGTTGAAGTCTCTCGACAGCAGACTTCAATAGTTCATAGCTGGCAACCTCGGCCTAGCCCTCCAGGAGGTGTATGCATCCCCCCGTCCGTGACAGCGCCGACAACAACCACAACCACGAACACTTCAACGTCCGATTCCTCCTCTTCCACTGCCACCACCCCATCGTCTTACGTCCCGCCTCCTAGTCCCACCGTGTCAGGAACTACCCCGTACTGCTACGAATGGTGCACCATAAAGTCTGGTAATAGCTGCACCGGTTTCCTCTCCGAATATGATCTCACATTGCGCGAGTTCCGCGCTCTGAATACATATATCGACAGCGGCTGCAGCAACCTGTGGCCAGACTACAGTTACTGTGTCTCGGGAGTTCCGGCGAGCAGCAGCACTACGACCTCTGCAACTAAACACAACTCCATCTAGTCCACTAACCACACCGACGCCGAGACAGAGCGGCATGGTAAGCGGATGCACCGAGTTCTACGAAGCGAAGAGTGGTGATGGATGCTGGGCCATTGCAGCGGATCATGGAATCACCCAGCAGATATTCATCGATTGGAACCCAGCAGTCGGGGCAGATTGCATTGGTCTCTGGCCGGAGTACTGGTATTGCGTCGCTATCTAGATCAGATGATTAACAATACGAAATGAATATTACGGTCTTAAACATTATCCATCGTACACTGGCCGACCTGCCAGGAGATATTGCTTGCCTTCACGTCTCTAATCAGCCTCGCAGAAGTTGCCAGACCTGCAATACTTCTTTTGCATTATGACCTTGACCACTGCGCCCTGTGTATCATATTGTCTGATCTTGATATAAGAAATCATGGAATCGCCTCGGCCCATCCATCGGCCCATCAATCTCTTCCGCATAAACAACCGTCCCGGCATACTCCCTAGCCTCCTTCTCTTCCTCCTTTGGATCCACATCAAACTCTTTTGGTATCTTCTTGCCATCCATAATCGCGTGCCCAATCATCCAGCAGATCTTTTCACCAATACTCCTCCACTCCGCCTCGCGGAAGTCGTCTGGGTACCCATACTTGTCCCTGAGAAGACCCCTGACAATAGTCGCCTTTTTAGGGGGTTTCTATTAGTATTCGTATTATATCTTTGCAGTGATCTACTATCAGGCGAAGAAGGTACGTGAAGGGTACGAAGGGCAAGTAAAATAAACAAACAAAACGAACCTCATTTCGCGGCGGGTATCGCGGGTCGATCCAGTGCAAACTGGAACCGCCCGCACCTGCCCGTACCGGGACAACTTCATCCAGGGACTTGATTTTTGCCACCCAGTTCGCGAGCCAGGTGGGCGCGTGGTGCGGGTAGTAGTTTCGATAATGGTACTTGTCGTCTGGGCGCTCGGGCTTGTAGACGTAGTTGGTCGGTGCGTCTTTCCCGGGGTGCCTATCATGAAAAGGCTCGACCCGAATCGCGTCTAGCTTTCCAGGCTTATTAGAGAGGGGGGGAGAGACACACACACAATGGGTATGAGCGGGATAGTTGGTTAGGTGGAGAAAGGGGGTTGGCCTTACTCTCTTTTATATCTAGAATAATATGACTGCCCTCATCATGATCACAGATCAGGACAACCTCGTGCGGAAGCAGGTAATCGAGTCGAGGTTCCTGGAAAATAAAAGAACGTCGGGTCCCGGCCACCGCGGATCTCGTCGTCTTCCAGGTATACCATGGCGCGGGAATATTTGTAGACCTCAATGTCCATTGAGACCAAAGACCCCTTAATATACGGCAGCTGTTTCATCAGTGAAATTACAGCCTGATCAAGCCCAATCTCGCGACACAGTACCTCGTTAATGGCGTGTCCTGTCCCCTTGGGCGGCCAAATCACCTCCCAGCGCTTGATGTAGTTGAGTCTTAGGAATGTTTTGTAGAGCTCTTTCATGAGGTTGACGATTTCGTCTTCGTTGTAGGGGGTGCGGGGGAGTTTGAGTGGCGGAGCTGGTTTTGGAGGCTCAAGCTCAGACTGGATGGTGGGTGTTGGTGCGCGCTCCCACGGGTCTGGGCGGGGAGGCGGTGGAACATACCATTGTATGATCAGAGTGAAGATTAGAAGGGTAAGCGATATTTGGGTGAATTGCGATAATGATGGGATGAGTGGCATTGTGCTCAAAAGGGGCGATGGAAGCCGAGATGGCCAGTGGAGGAGCGTTGTTGGTTAGCATTTGAAGGCTCGAATCCTGGGGGAAGGCTTATCAACCCAGAGGACACAGGCTTATTCTATTCAAGGCTAGCACCACGCTGAGGCTAACAACTTCTAGGCATCCTTCAGGCAACACGTGTGTTGCATGTGATATCCGACCACGGGCTTGTGTAAGCGACGTCAGGGTCGTTCCAGCGGCGCTCTGGTGGGTGATATCAACAAAGGTGAATATGCTATAAAGGTTATAATTCTAATAGTCTAGGCTAGATAGATACAACTAAAATTACTTGGAGAATTCATGTGTTTGCACTCCATAGCCACGAGCCCCGCAGGATATATATTGCTTGGTTAAGATGAGGCAAGTCGCTTAATCTCGCGTCCTCATCTGATATACCACCCTGGCAATGAGTATTGATAATGCTCTCTGCAAGGTGCAAAACGCCTTCTATTCTGCCTGGATGGAATCATACTACATATTGCTGGTACGAGTTTCTAAACTGCGGATGCCGCTCGAAAAACCCCGGCTTCAAGCTCCAGTTCTTCAGGTCCTTTAGCGACTGGACTAGCTGGTCCTCACCCATGCAGAGACCACCCGCCGCACATGACAATTTGGTTTCGAGGAACTCCCCGAGGTCCGCCATGATGGGATGGATGGGAACACGGTGGATGTGGAAGTCGAGGATCAGTTGGTTGCGCATGAGTGGCCTAGCTGAGGTGAGTGTCTGTCGACTGGCCATATTGTACAGGGGACACTAATGGGACGAACCATGGCATGAAGCTGATAAGTAATGGATGAGGGATTCGAAGTTCCAGCGCTGTTGGGCGGAGCCAGGTCGGGACATTGTTGTAGAGGGATTCCTCCTGGTGGACGTACCACTTATTCGGGGAATTTCTCGTCTTAGCGGATCGCAGACGCACCGAGACTGGAGAAAGGAAAGGATACAGGACTTACCCGGACCAGAGTAGCGATTAGCCAGTAACACGCAAAGTACTCCTCGTTCCTCCTCAGACGGCGCATCGGCTCGAGGTACTGTTTCAGCTCCAGCGAGAAATGGTTCGCCGTACTGTCCAGGACACAATCGACAAGCTCCGGTTTGGGGATCTTGGTGTCACTTATCACGGCCTGCCAGCGGGCGCTTTCAACCATTGCGTAGAGGACCTCGTCATCTTGCAGGGCGGGGAACAGGATGTTCGGGATGCTCTTGTGCGGGAGTTGAGAGGGTGTTGATTGGGGTTGGATGGGGCGAGCATCTCTCATAAGTACATCATGAGACTGCAGTGGAGTAGGAGTAGGGAAAGGGTGGGAATCGTGCCCTTCAGACGACAAGAACGGCTTGTTATATCCGATATCTGGAAGGATCGCAAGGTCCAGCTGCCCTAGGCGATCCCACATGGACCTAGACAACAGTGAAGGATAGATATCGCCTGAATGGATGTCTTCTGGCAGTTTGTGTGTGTTTGTATGGAGTGACTCGGGCGGATCAGCCCGAGCAAGGTGATTGCCCTCTGGCGTTGGCTGCAGCATAGAATCGGCGAAATGCGATGATTCAAGGTTTTCATGCGAAATAGTATCAAAGTCCAGAATATCTCGTTGGGGCTCGTTCTTTCTCGCGTATGCCTGGTCGTAGCCATGAGAGCTACCGGGCGGTGCAGGAAAAGACGTCTCAAGGGATGAGCTACCGAGAATACTGGCCGGAATGGGCCCGTCTGACTTGTGGTTGCTCGATGGAGGCTCACCCGACGGGGCTTCGGTGGTCTCCTGTTGGGCGAGACTGTGCTGCATATTTGGATTTGAAGGAGCAGGAGAGACAGGGTGGCTTGTCCCTATATTGCCTTGAAGTTGCGACATGGCGACATTGATAGAAGAAGCAAATGCTCGGAGTTGTTGCAGCTACCGTGTCGAGATTAGCATTCCGACAAGATCGATGATTGATCACGTAGAGGAATCGCACCTCAGCTTTGAGTCTTTCGTTCTCGGCCACCAGTACTGCGACAGACTCTGAGTGGCTGCCCTCCTTGATCAGCTTGAGTTGCGCCTCGAGCTCATCAATGTACTCGCGTTGCCTTTTGCGGTGCTCGCGCTGGGCCAGCCGGTCGGAGGCCCGTTTTCTCTCCCTACGGTCCTCGGCCGTGGTGGCCGCAGGTTCGACCTGGGGGCTTTTGGTCGCCAGGCGCCGGGGTGCCTGTGCTACTGATGCCATTATTTATGTATGAATGAATGAATGGAAGTCGGGCACTGTTGATATGGCAGGGGAGGCCTGTAAATGACCGTCCCATTTTGCCCCAGCAGATGGGAGAAATGCGGGGTTTGGTCTGGAGCGCACTACTCCGCAGCTGGTCTTGAGTTTATCGCATGGGAGGCGGGGGATTGTGGGGAGCAACCGGTGCCGGACCCATTACAAAGGCTCGCCAATAGCAAGGCTAAGTCACTTGATTCAGTATCAGGGTTACCAATCAGATCTGCTGGATAGTTTGACTCGAATTATGTCAAGAGGGCGAGTCAGCACGACTCCGCGTTACTCCAACTCTGCACTAGGCTTACTTTCTCCACAATGCTCGAAACAAGCGCAGACTCAGTGATCCAGAATAGGCTTCGCGAGGAATTCAGGATCCAGATACCAGCTCAGATCCCCGCCATCCACCTCCTCCTTGGTAAACCCATTGCCCATGAACTGGAATCGATTCCGCGATCGGTAGGTGATCTCAAAGTCCTCATATCGAGGGTGTTCCAGGATCTTCCGCCAGTGGACAAGCGATCCGGGGTACTGGGCTGTTACCTTGCCGTCCTGTCGGCCCTGGTTGTACCATGAGCGACAGCCACCAGTCCAAACACTGTCGCATCGCAGATCAGTACATAGCTCTGAGGACATGTAGCAACAAGGGGAGCTCACGTTCTCTTAAGCCACTTGTGCACATGTTCATTGTATTCTGCGACCGCGGATGGGCGTACACAGATACTCTTGATGTTCTCCGTCTGCACCTTGCGGATCACCTTGCAGATATAATTCTGCGCTGCCTCGAGTACCGTGATGAACGATCCATGGCCGGCCGGGCAGTTTGGACCTAGAGAGCCGACTGCAATCATTTGAGACGTGTCAGATATTCAACTGTCAAAAGTAGCAGATTCCGTACTCACTCAGGAAATTGGGAAATTTGCTGGCCGCCATGGCGAGATACGCCTCTGGGTCCGAGGACCAGTGATCAGCGAGATTGACTCCTTCCTGGCCCAGGACAGGAAAATATGGCCGGAAGCTGACATCAAATCCCGTCGCGCAAATGATTACATCGACATTGAACTCTTCGCCACTGTCAGTGCGGATGCCTTTCTCCGTGAAACACGCAATCTGCCCCTCGGCCAGGATGACATTTGGTTGCAGCATGGCTTCCAAGAACCCCTCCGCTGGTCCCAGGCGACGACATCCAACGGGGAACGTAGGTACCAGCCTTTTGACGAGCTTGGGATTGTTCCCGAGGCGTTCTTTCATGTGCTCCTCGGTCATCTGAACTTGAAGTTAGCACATAATGCACAGGACGGTTTGGGACGGTATTCTATTTCCCTTGCGCTCTAGCTTCTGCCAGAGATGGTCCTTTAGATTGTGGCGGAAGCTCGAGTTGATCTGTTTCTCGATCGCCTTGCGCAGTCCCAGATAATACTCGGGGTCGTCACGGAATCGCTCTTGCATTTCACGCGAGACTTTAACACATCATTAGTCATTTGCCCCCAAGGCTTATGATGATGCGAATCACCCACAGTGGAAGTTGCGCCCTTCTGGATCCGTGTAGCCCTCCACAGCCAGGCCGTTGGAAATCCACTGCGGTGTACGATAGAAGCTGACAAGCTCCTCAACTTCATCCACGATGGCCGGGATGATCTGTATCGTCGAGGCACCTGATCCAATTACCGCCACACGCTTGCCCTTGAGATCAATGCCCGTGTCGTACGCCGCAGAATGCGTCATCGTCCCCCGGAATTCTGTTCGGCCAGGGATTTCAGGCCACTTCCAGGTATTGAGCACGCCGACGTTGCCAACAAGGAAGTCAACCTCGTCTTGGAATTCTCGGTGGTCGCCGTTGGGTAGCGTCTGCGTTATTGACAGCAGCCAGGTCCCTGTTTCCTCGCGCCAGACGGCTTTGGTCACTTCATGGTTGAGTTTGATATATTTCTCGGTGTAGCCGTGCTCTTGCGCAAAACTTTTAAAGTATTCCTTGATATCCGCTGCAGAAGAGTAGTACTTGGGCCAGTCCGGCTTGGGTGCGAACGAGAACTGATACGCCGGCGAAGGCACGTCACAGCGGCATCCTGGATATCGGTTTGCGTGCCACACGCCGCCGACTTCGGGGTATCCTGAATATGTCCATACCAGTCAGCTAATCGAGACTTGCCTTTTTTTTGAAGCTCACGATTACGGGGTCATGCTCACGGTCATAGACGACAAGGTCAATCGTGTCTCCGAATTCCTTCTCCGCTTTATAGCACAGCATGAGGCCCGCAGCGCCGGCGCCGATTGAGGCCACGCGGATCTTTCGCGGCGCCCACATGATGTGTTCAGAGACCTTGTATGGCAGGGCTGGGTCTAGACGCTCTGGAGTATACCCGTCCTGGTTGTTGTAAGTGTACTCGTACCCATCTTCGATGAGGGTGCTATGCTTAGCTGGCTGGTCGCTAGTGTCGAGGGTGGTGGCCGGTGCCATTATGCTGGAAGGCTGGGGCGGGTGAATATGCAAGCTCACTGCGAGAGATCAAGAATATATGTATTCAAGTGAGGTAAAACGTGATGCTTTGAATGACAAGTATATTAGGCTTTCCAGGAAAAGACGCGCAAATAGGATCTCTGAATGCGACAGGGATCCAGATTGTCAGCGCGGAGCTCATTTCGTGGCTAATGTTGGGTCTGACTCGCCGGCTTGACTCGCGCTGACAGACAGAACAACCACAAAAAAAAAAAAAAAAAAAAAAAAAGGCAAATCTGGCTTCTCTTTTTGCCTCAGATACCTGAAGCTGAAGACGGGGCTACAATCTGACTTCCCTCTCTCTGACCCGCATTTCGCCCAGCTGCTCCAACCACTTTGTATAGGATTCCTCCACCTCCAGCACTGTAGTTCCACGCACCCACAGACACCGACCGTGACCAGAGTCATGATCCATTGCAGCCAAACGTAAAACAGCCCGCGCCACATCAGAAGCCGAACTGGTCTGGGATACTGCGTGTTCATCACGAACGAGGGAATGGCCTCGAGTCAAAGGCGTATCCGTCAACCACGGCGCTACCATCGAGAGCGTCACCCGGCCAGTTTGCCCACCCGGTTGTGGGCGCTTCGCAGTGGCTCGAACAAGCCCCAATATTGCGTGCTTTGATGCGACATACATCTCCTGATACGGGAATCCAACGTAGCTCGCGGCAGACCCGGTAACGATGATCCGCCCGCCATGGTTCTTCAGGTAGTAGGACGCAAGCTTTATTCCGTACATGACGCCGTAGAAGTTCACGTCGAGGATAGTCGATGGTGGTTTCTTGAGCACGTTCGGTGTGCCAGTATGCGGCCCGTCCGGCTCGTCGGCCAGGTAGTTGTACCGAACGAGACTCTTGCACTCGGTGCTTGATGCTGGGTTGCTCACAGCCAGCTCCGGGTCGATTCCAGCATTCAGGCAGACTATCGTGGGTGGCCCGATGGTTGTTGATACCTTGTCAAAGAGTTCGCGTTGCGCGGACCATGATGACACGTCGCACACATACCCTCTAGCATGACCGCCAATGGCCTTGATGGCTTCGTCGAGCTGTTCCTGGTTCACGTCGACCAGAATAACAAGGGCGCCGTGACTCGCAAATGCTGTTGCAATCGCCCGTCCGATTCCCGACGCGCCGCCCGTTATGAGGACGCGGTGGCCGCCAAATCTGGAATGGTTAGAGACATGACCGTGGTTTGTAGATGCCATAAGGCTGGGAGCGATGGTCTCAAAGTCGTGCGCGTCAAAATCAATCAAGTCCGCGATTGAGCGAGAATGGCGTATCTGGAACTGGGCGTCCGTGATGAAGGGCTACTTCCCGCTGACTCGGATCGCTGACCCAGGAGAAGGGCGCACCTCAGGACTTCTATTGTCAAATTGAGTCTGGGGTGTCCTACAATGGATTCCCTGATCACGAGAGCTTATCTGCCAGAGTTCCGTTTCCACTTTGCGCCGTCGCACAACACGGTCATATTATCGAAGTTTCTACATCGCGCTCGAACTCCAACGTAATCAAGTTGCATTCTCGGGTCCCATAAGATACATCATGGAACCAGGTATGAATGGCGCACGAGATCCGCGGGGTCCTCCCCGAACGAACAAGCCGGCCGAGTATGGTCAGCACCCCATCCACGAGACTGCCACGAGGCCGCTACACATCGTGATTGTTGGCGCCGGGCCATCCGGGATCGCGCTAGCTATCCAGTTGAAATCACTGCCTCACGTTACGTACCAGGTCCTCGAGAAGAACCCCGATGTTGGCGGCACGTGGTTCGAGAATAGGTATCCCGGCGCTGCCTGTGACGTCGCCAGCCATGCGTACCAATACACGTTTGCCTCGAATCCCAACTGGAGTCATCAGTAAGTCGCGTCATCTTCTCAATGATCTTCGCCTGGGATGAAAGGCTAAAGTTTCATGTCGGCAGCTTCGCACCGGCTGAAGAGATAGGCCAGTATTTCAAGTCAGTTGCCACAAAATATGACCTGTACGATTCTATCAAGATGAATACCGAGGTAACGAGGGCCGAATGGGATGAGAAAGCGGGGATGTGGACTATCGATGCTGTCGATCGTGCTACGGGAGAGCGCTCGCGAGTGACAGGGGACATCTTCGTCAACGCGGGCGGCATTCTCAATGCCTGGAAATGGCCAGAGATTGATGGGCTCAAGGCCTTTGATGGGCCGTGTCTACATACGGCTGCTTGGGTAGGCCACTTCCCACTACTGTCGGGACTATCTTTCACCATGAACTTTGCTTATCCCGAGGCAGGACCCTTCGGTCAATCTGCAAGGCAAAAAAATAGGGGTGATTGGCTCCGGTGCGACTGGCGTCCAGCTTGTGCCCCAGCTGCAAAAGGACGCCGCTTCTGTGACGGTTTTTGTCCGGAGTCCCAGTTATATCCTACCCAATGTCGGATTTGGGATCGAAGCATCCTCCTACAATGAGAGATGTGGGTGTTTTCACGCAAATGTCCTTGTCGATAGCCAACTGGTATGCAGATAGCGAGCAGCAGAAGCAAGCTTTTCGGAACGACGCCGATGCCTACACTCAATTTCGAAAAGCAGTGGAGCAGCAGATGAACGAGAACTTTTCTGCCAGTATCAAAGGCTCTGCTGCCCAGCACAAAGCTCGCAATGTATGGTCACCATCGGCAATGACGTCCCACAGCCTCTTAACGTTTACGTAGTGGGCAGAAAAGGCAATGAGGGAAGCGCTAGTTTCCAAGGAGCTGCAAGACAAGCTTATTCCAAAGTACGCTTCCTTCTTTCAAGCCGACGCTCGTAGTCGCGTCAAGCATACGATTTAACGCACCTCTCGCTTGTACAGCTGGGTGCTTGGCTGCCGCCGAATAACACCAGGCCTTCCGTACCTCAAGGCCGTCCAGGAAGCAAACGTGGAGATCGTCCGAATGCCTATCGACCGAATCTCAGAAAGAGGAGTCCACGCGAAGGGCGGTGCTCTACATGAATTTGACGTCCTTGTTTGCGCCACCGGGTTTGACACGTCGTTCCGTCCTCGCTATCCAATCCTAGGACGCAATCAGGTCGACTTGCGGGACTTGTGGTGCAAACAGTCACCCGAGGCCTACCTGGGACTCGCAGTCTCTGGATTTCCGAACTATTTCAGTAAGCACTCGGAGAAACCGGAGTAGGCCTGTTGTACTTGGCTAATGCTCTGCTTCTTCAGCCATTCTGGGTCCGAATTGCCCGATTGCAAATGGGTCTTTGATCCCTTGTATTGAATGGAGGTGAGTCCCAAACCCAGCTTGAAGGCAAAGCTGCGACAAGTAACACGGGCAGTGCGAAATACATCTGCCAGGCCGTGCAGAAGGTGCAAAGATGTCAAATCCGTACCATCGACGTGAAGCTCGAGATGCAAAAGTCACTGAACGAGTACATGCACAACGTCCATAAAGACCTCGTTTGGACTGGAAACTGTGTCAGTTGGTGTAAGTCAATCATCACTTTCATCTTTATTTCCCAGGATACTAACTTCAGGGCCGTGTAGACAAGGACAGAAGCACTGGAAAAGTGACTGCTGTCTGGCCAGGATCTAGCATCCATTACATGGAGAGCATTGAGTCACCCCGGTGGGAGGACTTTGAGATTGAATACTGCAACGTAAGTCACACTGCCCCTTGGTGACGGCATACGACTCATGTATTCCATTCTTTAGCGCAATCCATACACCTTTCTCGGCAACGGGGTGTCGCAGAGGGAAGCAAAGAGGGAAGATCTGGCGTTCTATCTGGCGTAGAAATTGAGGGGCCGGAAGTTTTGCTAAATCGCCCAGTCGTCTCAACATATCTAGATTGTTGTTCCGCTCACAGCCTGGCTAGCGTCGCAATGCCTGATCTGACCACAATACTCTCTGTATCTAGATGGTGTGCCGGATTGAGACTCGTGCCAGCATTTTACTTGGAAAATATTCGGATACTATATAAACTTGTCCCAGCTGAAGGCATCCTCACCCATGAAAATACAGCACGCGTTAAATACACCGAAGCAGGATGGCCGCATCTTACCCTGCGTAGCCAATCTATTTCTGATGCACTCCTTCCTCCCTGCAGCCTAACGGATCATATTTACCGCGGTTTGCATCGGCTACCAGGTGTCTGGAACCGAGTATCGCGCGATGACTCGGCACTCTGACTCGGGCCGACGAGAGACAGTCAGTAGATATACCCAGGGGTGATGGATAGAAATATTGTCATACGGCCACACCAACTCTGTTCGCCAAGAGAGACGAAATTGAGAATTTCACAATGCCGCACAAGGGACCTCCGTTGGATATACCAGGTGAGCCGTCGGTTCCAGCGGTTCACGTACGAGCTACGGAAGCTGATACCATTTTCCAGAGATCAAGGGGTTGAGTATCTGGTCTTTCCTCTTCGAAACCAGAAACGATGGGGACAATGCCGTGTTTCGCGATGCGGACACGGGAAACGCAATACCATTCGGGGTGCTGAAACGCCACTGCGAAACGCTGTCTACCGAGTTGGCTCGTGGGTACAACATACAGGCCGGGGACGTCATTTGCCTGTGCTGCACAAATTCCATCTGGTACCCGGTGGCCGTCTTCGCGGCTCTTCGCCTCGGCGCAATCATTTCCCCGACCAGCCCGGAGTGTACGGCCGAGGAGGCAGCACATATGGTCAGGACCGTGCATCCCAAAGTTGTCATTGCCGACAGGAGGTCACATCACGCCGTGGAAAGATGCATTAAGGGCGGGAATGCCCCTGACGCGAGATTGCTTGCTCTGACAGTGGACGAAGGAGCCTCGCTGGGCCTCCCCAGCATACAAACCCTCTCCTGCCAGACGGCTTTCCAGCAGCCAGTCGCCCCTTGGCACATCGATCCCAGCCAAACAAGCCACGATTACTGTGCTTTCTTGTGCTTTACATCGGGCACAACTTCGCTCCCAAAAGCCGTGAGGTCCCTCATCTACATGCATGATGCAGCCCTAACTTGGTTGGACCAGACAATGCTTTCGCATCAAAATATCATTGCGCAGCTGCACCAGGTCAAAGCATACACGAGAGATGATCACCCAAAGGTCGTCCTCGGCGTGTTGCCGTTCCACCACAGTGCGTTACAAACCCCTCTCCACCGACAGGTCTACTGCTGACGATAATACAGTCACCGGCATTGTCCACCTCCTACACCTGCCGCTCCTCCTGCACCAGGACGTGGTCATTATGTCCCGATTTAATATGGATGAGATGCTCAAAACAATTGCGGCCTTCAAGTGCGAGGAGTTGTGGCTGGTGCCGCGTAAGGATTCCCCCCAAGCAAGTATCGCCATTCAATTGACAGATTCTCGTGGCCATACAGCGATCCTCATCCGTCTCGTTTCTGACCCCACGGTAAGCAATCCCGACTTGCAAAGCGTTCAGCAAATCAACACCGGTGCAGCACCGCTCGGCCGTGAAGTCATCAGCAGATTAGAAGCGCAGTACCCGAACATCGCAATCCGGCAGGCGTGGGGGATGACCGAATCCTGCAGCTGCCTCACCCTCACTCCGCCCAGCGACCAAACATACGAGAATGCACACACAGTTGGCAAGGCTGTTGCTGGAACGGTCCTAAATGTGGTGAGGCCTGGGACCGATGAGGAAGTTGGGGTCGGTGCAAGTGGTGAGGTAGGAGCCCCGTGGCTTATAGGGAATGGTCGTACGAAACAATGCTGATAGGCGTTCTGCTGAGCAAGATTCTTGCCAAAGGTCCGCAGGTGATGATGGGGTACCTCAACGACCCAAAGACAACGTGCGAGACGATCCGCCCGGACGGCTTCCTACGCACCGGCGACATCGGCTATGTGGATGACCTTGGGTTCGTGCATATCGAGGATCGCTTGAAGGAGATAATCAAGGTGTGTCAAACCCTCTCCTGCTTCCGACCCCTTCGTACACCGTGACGAGTGTCTAGCGAAGCAATGTTAACCTGCATCCAGGTCAAGGGAGTGGGCGTAGCGCCCGCTGAGCTAGAGGATATCCTCATGGGCCACAAGTCCATCAAGGATGCAGCCGTCGTAGGTGTTGCGGACTCCTACTCCGGCCAGGTTCCCAAGGCCTACGTGGTCCTGCGACCGCAATTCGAGCCTTCGGTGGGGATTGCGCGGTCAATCCAGGAATACGTGCGGCAGAGATGCTCGAGGCCCAAGTGGCTGCGAAGAGGGATTGCCTTTGTTCAAGAGATCCCCAAGAGTGGCTCGGGCAAGATTCTTCGGCGGAGATTGAAGGATATGAGTATTATTCTCGACGTGGCAGGCGATGTTGGTGGTTCCGCTCGTCTTTAAAGGCTTCCCCTTGATGGAATATGTGCAAGACGGACCCGAGAGCCATGTTGGGGCTGTCTGCTTCTTGAGTCTGATCTAGCACGCTACAATGAACGTGTTGGTTCCTCTATCTGGTTTTGAGCTGTAGTGTTATTCTAAAATCCAGTCCCGTGAACCACTCAGACTGCGCGCACGGTTGACTGGGAGCGGCGAGTCAGAACGCCTCCACACAAGAACTGGACGGCACCCATAACAGTCCCACCTTTTCCCAACCAAGCTTGGCTTTGATGCATGCTCATCAGGGCACAGGCCAGCCAGTCTTCCATCTGCTACACGACTCACACCGCGAATCTAGCTACCCCACCATGACCGTTACTGAAGGTGCCACCGCTTCGATCAAGGAAGGCGAGCAGTGGATGGAGAATATCAGCACCCGCGCTGAACTCGCCGCTCAATACGCTTCCTTTGAGAAATCCCTCTCGTTTTCGCAGACCCTCCGCATCTACTGGAGATCCATCGCATGGGTACTATATGGCCTCGCTGTGGTCTTCGGTTACGGCATCGACGGCGTTGTGGCCTCTAATCTGATTTCAATCCCCATCTTTCGCGAACATTATGGTGAAAGATTCGACACGACTGGCACTGTCAGCTACATCATCTCTGCCACATGGCTCGCCGTCTTCAATGGCGTCTCGCAGGCTACCGCTGTTCTTGGAGCCTTCGCTGCTGGGTACCTCGCCGAGAAAATCGGACGCAAGTACACAAGTCTGATCTCATGCCTCATGTCGATGGGTGGTGTTGCTGCCCAGTACGCTTCCAATGGCTCGCTTCCCGTAATCACCGCGGGCAAGGCAATCAATGGCATCCCCGTGGGGATGTGGTTGGTCATTGGGCCGCTCTATGCCTCCGAGGTGGCGCCGCTCAAACTCCGTGGATGGCTCGTGGCCATGACAAACATTGTGCAGTTTAGCGGAGTGCTGCTGTTCACTGGCGTTATCTACGAGCTTGGTCCGCAGGCCAGTGATCTAGCATACAAAGTCCCCATCGCCTGCCAGTGGATCGTCCCTGCGCTTGTCATACCGACAGTCTTCATGTGGCCAGAATCACCCGTCTGGCTTGTTCGAATGGGTAGACGAAATGAGGCCTTGCAGTCAATCAGTCGCCTATACGGGAACAACGACTTGATCCGCCACGAGGGACTGTTGGCTCAGATTGAAGAGTCCACCGCGAAGGAAGACGAAACAAGTAACAGCGCGAGGAAGGGCGATATCTACGTTGAATGTTTCCGCGCGGCCAACCGCCACCGGACGCTCATCTGCATGTTCATCTACATGTGCCAGTACCTGTCCGGACTGGTCTTTGTGCTGGGCTACCAGTCGTATTATTACCAGCTGGCCGGGTTCAGCCCCCGAAAGTCGTTTCTTCTCAGCATGCTCAACAACGGCTCGATGTTTGTTGCAAACATCTGCTCCTGGTTTCTCCTATCCACACTCGGTCGTCGGCCCCTTATCGTCTGGGGCCAGCTGTGCGGCGCCGCCTGTCTTCTGATTATTGCGGGCTGTTCCGTGCTAGAGTCTCGCGCGGGCTATCAGGCCGCCATCGCATTCATCTTTGTCTGGGTAAGATATCTCTACCGTCTAAACGCCTGTGTGTAAGACACTCCTAACCCCTATCATCAACAGGGCTTCACATACCAACTTACCCTAGGAACCGCCGCGTGGACGGTGGTCGGCGAGATTCCCACGCTCCGGCTTCGCTCCCCAACCCAGGGATTATCCAACATGGCGCTCTGCATAAGTCAGTGGGCGGTTGGGTTTGTGTTTCCGTACCTGTTCAATCCGGACTCGGCAAATCTGCAGGGAAAAGTGGGCTTTATCTTTGGGGCTACCAGTTTTATTGGGTTCGTTGTTGTATATTTCTACCTGCCGGAGACGAAGAACAAAACGCCGCTCGAGTTGGATGCAATCTTTGAAAAACGGGCCACGGGAGAGTCTGGTCGCAGCCGGACAGGTCAGGACAGTAGTTCTTCGGGGCCAGCAGAGGAAGTCTAAGTAAACGAGCATGCGATCTCCATGGACGGGGACATTCTTGGGTAGCTATAGCTGTTGACTAGCAGTTCTAGTCTTGATAGTACCCATATCGAGCAGGTCAATTGTACGGACTATTGGGCGTATTCCTCGCATGTGATTGTTCTTCTATGCACCCATTTGGCACGAACACGACAGGCTACGGCCGTGCGATCCCCAACGCCGCTGTAGTTGCGTGCTCCGAGTCAGGACGACGAGTCAGAAGCCGGTGTCGGGGTTTCCCAACGCAATCACTCCCGAATCCCCTTAACAAACCATTTATAAAGCATGACCATTTAATGTGCCAGAAAATGCAGAGTAAAGTCTATCTCAATAATGGAAGAGACTTCAGGAACCGCCCCACCAGTCATTGGTGTCGAAGAATTCCAGTGGATGAGACAGAGCCGCGCCCCAGTCGCCTGTCAGCAATGCCGAATCCAACGAACCCGCTGCGACGTCGTGCTCAAGAAGGGCAGCTGCACAAATTGCGCCTTCTACGAGATCGAATGCCAGGTGGTTACAGGGAAGCGCAAGGCAAGGGCACTCGGGCATCTCGTCACGATACCGGCCGGTCAGGTTTACATGCGGCCGCCCGAGTGCGCTGCTGACCGGTCGTCTGGTGGCGCCGATATGCCGCAACCAACGTTGCCTCTGACAGAGAAACCGGCGAATATCTCCGACGAGGAGTTTGTACTTTTGAGGAATAAGGGGCTTTTTGAAATGCCAGGGACGGAGCTCCGCCATCGGATGGTCGAAGCGTATCTTCGCCATGCGTATGGCAATTTGCCGGTCATAAGCTTCCAGGACCTGGTATTTATGGCTGATCCCGGACGGCGGTATTCCAACTGGTTTGTCTTTATGGCGGTGTGTGCAATATCTGTGAACTTGGTCGATAAGGTGCATCTGGAGGAGCTGGGTGTTAGATCAGCCAAGGAAGCATCTCAGATGTTCTTTGCGAAAGCCGAGGTGAGTTAGAGAGAGCTGCCGACGACTCCTATGGCGAGGGCACTTCTGACAGCCACAGGCCTTGTACCGGTTCCAATGGCAAGGGCACCAGAAATATACAACCCTCCAAGGCCTCCTCGTGCTGGCATTCTGCGAGAAAGAGGTATACATGAAGGATGGCTGGTCGTGGACCTGGGCAGCATACACAACAGCAGTACAGCTGGGCCTCGACCAAAAGTCAACAAAGATGAGCGTTCGCGAGGGTGGGCTTCGTCGAAGACTATGGTGGACATGCTACACTCAATCCTGCTTGATCAATCTCCACAGCACAGGCCCACCGCGCATTCGCATCCCAGAAACCGATGTACCCCCGCTGACCGAAAAGGACTTTGAGCCACAAAAGCCTATCTTTTGTCTTGACCTTATCCCTTCCTTAACCATGGCGCAGGAAAGCTGCAGCGCTTTCATACAGAAGGTCCAGCTTCTTCGCATGTACAACGAGTGTACGTTACGAGAGCAAATGGCAAGGGGCACCGGGCAAGTGGCCACCGATGTGCTGCTGGATCTGAAGCAGATTTTTAGGTCTGCAACGAAAACAGACTTTAAACCGCTTTTGGGTGAGAAGGATACCTCTCGAGATAACTCCATCTGCTCCATCCCATCATCACCATTGGACACTGGCCCAGCTTGTGAGCCACAAGAGGAGCCACATTTAAGTACGAGCACCATCTGTATGTTCCTCGACATGGAGAGGATTCTCTACAACTGTGCGTCTGAGTCGGAAGCTGGGACGGAGAATAATGAATTGGACGTATTTCCCTATTAGTCCACAATCCATATCAACCAGTACAATAACATGCCCCCATCCCTTTTCCTTCCAGGCGTACTAGTTGGAGCTGACTCTCGCTCTTGACTCGGGCTGACTCGCTCATGCCCCACAATTTGGGCCTGACACGATCCAGAACGCGGGGTTCTTCGCCGTCTCTGTAAGAGAATACGTGATAAGGTCTCTCTTCAAGCCAGAACCCATCATTCCAAACACGTCCTCTATCCACAACATGACCATCATGTCCTCACAACCAAACAAGAAGCTACTCAAAAACCAGGTGGCCATAATCACCGGAGCCGGCGGAGGCCTGGGGCGGGAGTATGCGCTGCTGTTTGCACAGCTCGGGGCAAAGGTCGTCGTCAACGACTACGGCGGCTCCCTGTCCGGCGTCAAAGGAGACGCGTCGCGCGCAGAAGCGGTTGTCAACGAAATCCGCCAAGCGGGCGGCGAAGCCATTGCCAGTGGTCATGATATATCGGTCCCCGACGAAGCCGAAGATCTTGTCCAGGCAGCGCTGCAATCGTTCGGTGCACTGCACATTCTCGTGAACAATGCTGGCACCGCGGGCTCGCACAGCGCGCACGACAATCTCAATATCCACTCGTACACTCGGACCTGGGCTATCGCGTGTCTCGGTACGAGCATTATGATTAGCAAGGTGTGGCCGAGCATGGCAGAGCAGAAGTATGGGCGCATTATCAACACGTCGTCGGACTCGATCCTGGGGTTTGGGGCTGGCGGCGACGGGGCCTATGCTGCCTCCAAGGGCGCTGTCTTCGCTCTCACCAAGGAGCTCGGCTGCTTCGGGCAGAAGCACGGCATCTACATCAATGGAGTCCTCCCTTCCGCTGCGTCTCGCATGTCCGATCTTTCGCCGTTCATCAAAAGCATTACGAGGAAGTACTTTGGTGCTCCTGTCGTTGCTCCCTTCGTTGCGGCGCTCGCGTCTAGGGAATGCCCGTGCTCTGGGGAGCTATTTAGTGTTGGCGCGGGGAGAGCGGCGCGGATGACGTTCGCTACGTGCCCTGGTTTGGCTGGCGCGGCGGAGGCGAGTCAGTTCGTGGATAATTTCGATACAGTGTTGGGAAAGGGCCAGGAGTTGTTTGTGCCCGCGAACTGTGTAGAGCAGATTGCTTATAGTATTGAGCACGCTACTGGGGAAAAGGTGGACCTCAACGAGATAGAGCATGATGAATGAATTGCACGTCTGATGTGCCGCATTAGCCATATCCGACCTTGGTACCATTGTCAATATGGCCACCAAGTATTAGTAATTTCAGCATCAGAATCGCTTTCTCGGACATTTCAACAGCTGTGCTTCTGTTCTGTGCTGCTCCTTTGGCAATAATGCGACTCTGGAGAGAAAACATGTCTTCCTCCATTTTATGATTACTGACATACCAAGTCGATCCAGCGGGCCTCGCTTGGCCCGGTCCTGTTCTTGGTCCCATGGTGTGAATTGAGGCGGCTTCGAGCCAGCAAAAGTGCTGCCGTGAGAATGCCAACCACCAAGACAGACCGTGTACCACGAGAGGTTCTCATACGTGTACCTTAAATCCCTCGCGGTTTCCACAGCTGGATAATCTCATCGACCGTGCACTGCGCGTATGTCCATAACATGCTCAAGGCAACTGCACGGGCCAGATCAGGGCCTTACGCAATGCCTCCGGGGAGACGAATGTGACTCGCATCCGCGAGTCAGAAAGAGACCCTGGACTCTAACTTGATTGAGCACGATAGCCGTGAGATGAACTAAACATAGGCCATATCGCGAACGGGTCCCATAGGCTGAACTTTCAAAGGCGCGACAAAACATATACATATTTGTTAATGTTCGACTTGACTACTATGAAATCCTGTGATGCAGAGTATGTTGGGACCCTGCAGGAAATGCAAGTCAAGATGCAAAAAGAACCCACGTTGCCAATAAATGCGGCGGTCGCGCGGCGTGCAATGTTTGCGGAGCGTTTCTCGTTGGTTAAGCCTCTGAATTACGATTCTAGCACGGTCACAGTGTGCCAGTACTCTCTTCAACTCCCTGATGGGCATGACTTGCAGATATTCGGTGTCCATCCGCCGTCCATTTCGTCCTTTGATTCCTCTCTACCAGGCCCAACGGCAGCTGTCCTATACCTCCACGGGGGCGGCATGACAATGGGGTCAGCACTAGACTCCCAGCCCCTCCTCGCCTGGTATGCCTGCTCCGCAGGGCTCCCACTCTTCTCCGTGGAATACCGTCTGGCGCCAGAACACCCCTACCCGACCCCGGTTGAAGATTGCTACGCGGCTCTGAAGTGGCTATACCACAAGGCTCAAGAGCTGAACATCGACATTGCCAGAATCGCCGTCATGGGTGACAGTGCTGGAGGCGGTTTAGCTGCAGCTCTGGCCTTGCTTGCGCGTGATCGCGCGGAGCTCCCGCATCCGTTGGCGAAGCAGATTTTGATCCAACCTATGCTGGACGATCGGGTTGGGTCTGCCGGATCCTCAGTCCCGCAGTTTGTGACGTGGACGTGGGATGATAATCTGGCGGGGTGGACTGCGCTCTTGGGCTCTCCGAGTGTAGGGGGGTGGGAGGACGTGTCGTGTTATGCTGCGCCTGCTCGCGCCACGGATCTGGGCAATTTGCCGTCGGCATATCTAGAGGTTGGGACACTGGATATATTCTGTGAACATGTCGTCGAATATGTCTCTCGGCTACGGACGGCAGGCGTTGAAGTCGAGTTTGAACTTTACCCTGGCGTGCCTCATGCTTTTCATTCCATTTTGCCCGAAGCGCAACGCGCTTGCCAGGCCCGGCAAAATCATCTCCGTGCTTTACAGTCATTCTAACTGTTACTGGATTGGGACCTAGAGTCGGATTAGTTTCCTTGTTCTGGACAGATCATGTCATATTGATCTGCACGCCACGCCAAGTAACATAGTGGTTGCACCGAGTTCCATCAAGCGAAGGCCGGGGACGGCTGCTGGGCTATCGCAACAGACCATGGAGCTGCTCAGGAGACATTTATTGACTGGAATCCAGCAGTTGGCTCTGGTTTTACTGCTCTCTGGCCGGATTACTGGTATTGTGTGGCTATATAAATACAGGAGGGAAAAAAATCAATGCTAGGGAGTACATAGCTTGCTTCATTGCTCAGGTCCGTCAATCTCCTCGGCGTAGACTGGCTTCCCATAATTAGCGATAGCATCTGCCTCTTCCTTCTCGTAATCCACATCATAGTCATCGGGCACATCATTGTAATCGAGAATACTTTTGCCAGTTTCCCAGCAAATTTTGCTCCCTACGCGCCTCCACTGATCCTCGTGGAAGTTGTCAGGGTAGCCATATTTATTCTGGAGGATATCTTTGACAATAGCGCCCTAAGTAAAATATCAGCAAGTACAAGCCCACTTCTTTCTTAGCACATATGGCAAACCTTGCTCTTGTTTTGTGTGAACAACCCACGATACCCACCGTAGTTTACGGGGATCACATCCAGAGACCTAATCTTTTGCAACCAAGATGCAAGCCATGTCGGCGCATGGTGCGCGTAATAGTTTCGGTAATGATCCTCCTCATCTGGTCGCTCGGGCAGATAGTCATAGCCGGCGGGCGCGCCAGCCCCTGGAGGCCAATCGTGGAAACCTTCAACACGAATAACGTCTGATATGGAGGTAAGCAAGGCAAAAACTAAATAGGGCAATGCCGTACTGTTTTTGACATCTAAGATTACATTGCTCCCTTCATCTCCCTCGCAGATGAGCGCGATATCGTGAGGCAGGAGGTGATCAAGCCTTGGCTCTTGGAATTCAAAGAGGCTTGGGTCGCGTCCACCACGGATCTCATCATCCTCGAGATAGACCATTGCGCGAGAATCTGGGTAGAACTCGATATCCTTTGCCGTTGAATAATCACAAAAGTATGGAATCCGCTTCATCAGCGAGACCACAGCTGGGTCGAGGCCCAACTCCTCGCAGAGCGCCTCGTTGATCGCGTGGCCCGTATCCCTTGGCGGCCAGACAAGCTCCCATCGCTTGATGTAGTTTAATTTTAGGTATATACGGTAGATATCCTTGATCAGTTGTACGATTTCATCTTCGTTGTACGGCGGGCGGGTGGGGCTTTCGCTGGGCCCTTCTTGTTGTTGGCCCTCGTTCTCTTGCATGCTCGTCGCAGGGTGCCTTGGTTCCCAGTCCCGTGAGGGTATATGCCAGTACCAATCCGCTGCTAGGGCCAGAATGAGGATGATAAGAGGGAGGAGCAATGAAATGTTGGCCATGCTCACTCACGGCGGTGGTTCAAAGCGGGGAATACTGTAGCGGAGTGGCAGGAAAGCTGGTCTCTTGCACTGTTTGTTGTGTTTGCTTGAAAGAACATGATGGCCCCGATATTGTCCGTCGAGGCACGCACCCCTATCTTCGTTGGACGGTCTCTTAAGAGAACTATATCTTTGGCAATAACTGCAAGTAAAGCCTTCTGTAATTCGGGGTTCCGATTAACCAGAAGCTACAGTCACCGCCCAAAAGCGCTGGTGCGGGTCGCGCCCGAAATATATACTTCTCATAAGATCGGCAAGATCAAATCAGGAGATTCTCATACCCACACCTAAGCAGAACTACTGAGCACATCTAAAAGAAGCTATATTTTTATCTTGTAGACTAGCCACATGCCCTATACAATTCATGATGGCTCGTGTGTAGCTCCAGTCATGCAGTATGAATCAGCAGATTGATGTTTGCGCCGTACAGCCATTCCTATCAAAGCTACCTAGAAATAACCCTACCTAATACGCCTATCTATTGAGGCTACAAAGGCAGGAGAGTGCCTTATGTGGTAATTAGAAGACGTACCTTAGGTACTATTCAGAGGATCTAATACCTGACCTCTATCCCAGACCAAATGTGGCGGGCTCCTGGTTTAGGAATTCCAGTACCCTGTCTGCAGTCGCCTATCGCAGTATTGATTAGTACAACATTTGGCTTGTAGCCCAGTGAGTTACGTCGCAGACGTCGTCGACACTGTTTGCCAGGGCGGGCCACGACGTCCTTGGAGCAGTGGGTGGTGCGTTAGCAAATCACAATATCATTACATAAAACAACGAGCATCTTAGAGAGGAAACGTCTAGTCAAACATATGCTACAAAGCATGCCCCCATTCTCTCTACTCCTGACCACGTTGAGCAGCCACCTGGGATACCGTAGCTTAGCTGGTCATGCAATGGCTTACAAAAACCCTCTCCGTCGCTCAGGCCCTTGCCTTTAAATGATAGATGCTCCCTGGAGGAAAGGGTCCGAAGTTACAGTTGGACATTTTGTTTGTCAACATTATCAACAAAATGCAGGAGTAACGGTAGGAACCCTAAGAGAGAAAGTAAAAGAGAGTGGAAAAGAAGATAAATTGTAATAATAAAGCTGTGCTGGAACTCAGGTATACTGAAAGGCAAGGCCACTAGCCTAGGTATACATTAGTATTGTCCAATCCCAGGGATTGAATCAAGGGAACAAACTATGTGAATCAAAGGAAACGTAGATGCAAGTGCTAAGCTAGACTAAGTGCAAATCCACATCATTACTATGCGGAGTCAGTCATCATAAATGCCTCACTCTCCTCACTGGCTTCCGCCACAGAGGCTGTTAGAAAGGGAAACACAGGCACCGCCCAAAAAAGTTCCCCAGATGCATTCCACAAGGGCAAGCAAAGAAGAACAATTTGCCCAAGAGCAAAAACAAAATGATTTACCACAAGCCAGCCACTAAAGCACTCTATGCTATACCATTTAGGTGAATCAGCTTGTGGGTTTGTTTCCTCGCCCCCACCCACCAGACGCCATGGCCAGGATATAGCGAGAACAGCAAAAACAATAGCTTGGAGTTTGAGGCTGAGCGGGCTGAGTGCCGAGGCAGGCACAGGGTTTGAGATTAATTGCTGTTGTTGTTTGTGGTGTAGCTGCATGAGAACCTGACGAGCCTGTAAAACAACCGCGAGGACACCGAGAATGGTCGCGAGCATGTGTCCTAGCCAGACAGGTATCAACGCAATCTCTACCAAGTAATCACCATAGGACATTTTACGGGTTCCATCGATAAAGAAGGAGAGCTGTGGTAGCAGAGTTAGACAGAAGAGAGAGGTGTACCCGATAATAGCAGCGCGTTTTGGGCTCTGGTTTCCACATGGATAGTAGATAAGGGTGAGGACGAAGCTAACACCATGCAATATTTAGCTTTGAATCGATTGAGAGGTGAGAGGCCAAGGGAAAGGAAGGCGCCTTACAAGGCGAAAGCGAAAAGAAACGCAACGAGGAGCTGCAGTAGGTTGAGCCTGTCCCCATTATCGATGGGCTTATGGAGGAAGGGGCCACCGCCATCAGGCCAGTTATTGATGCAAGCAGCAAAAACGGCAAGTGAGCTTGTAGCGACGATCGCGTTAAAAAGCACGTAGTATATGGCGATGCCGACGCTATCCTTGGTTGACCAGAGCTGGTTTAACTGGGGGATGAAGGAGATGGCGGTTGCAATGGTCAAGGTGCTGTTTTCCAATCAGTATTTTGATTGCCAGAACTTCTGGTCACGAAGCGATCAAGTAAGGCTAGGAGGAATGGCGGACAAACATTCTTAGCCAGTTCGCCATGTTCTGCTTGTTCCCCTATTAGATATTTATGGATGCATGTAATGTTTCTGCGGGCGAAACGATGAGGTAGGAAATAGGGCAGTGGGAGAGAGAGACGAAGCAGTGCAGGAATTTGACTAAATCCCTGTACGTACTTTTGAACAACACGTAATCAACTTGGCGCTTCCCTTTGAATGCTGGACCATGTCAAGGGAGCCTGTTTCATGTGATGTCCGACCTCGGCCTTGGTAGTGGCTGGGTAGTGCTAGGCGAAAGCGAATTACAGACTAGAGCCGAAGAAATTGAATTGAATGTTGGCTCAGGACTTGACTATGTTATAATTGTCAGAGTTGGGTTCGGCCCGAATTTCAGGGTCCTACAAACCAAAGAGTCCCATCTACTTCACTATAATGGTCATCTCACTGATAAAGACTTTAAATGTCGCTTAGTCAAGTCTCACCAACCAACACCGAACATGCACGAAGCCTATGCGGGAAACTGAGAAGCGTACGCCTATTGTAAGTTCTGCGGCCAGTTTCAGGACAACTCTTCATTACGACCTCGCTGATAGACGTTTATACTCGACGAGGACGTCGCCCATCATCTTTATAAACGGATATGGCGAGTTGCCTTGCATTACATGCGACCACACCGTGATGATCTGCTCCGGAATCATGGCGGGTGGTGTAGCCTTGCTGAAAGAGCCCTCGTTTGCTGATGATAGGCCCTCGGAGACGATGTCTTGAATCCATGTGATGAGTTGTATTTCGTGATCTGGTACAATAGACCGATTAGTATCCGAAGCTTGGTCCCAAAATGCGAGCGCTACCGGAATCCCGGAGTGAGCATGCTACCTACTTACCCGTCAAAGGGGCATCACACATAGTCTCCTGCACACGCCGAAGCCACTTTTCGAGAAATATTGAGCAGTCAAGACCACAGAGCGCAGCCTCGATACTCCAGAGAACGGCCTGATTGTGTTTGAAATATTGCACGCCGAGCTTGACTAGCGTGCTAAGCAAGTTCGTTGCGTGGTATGCTGCCAAGAGGGTATTTTGTTTGCGGTCCACGGGAAACGAACCTTGGAGTAATTGGGCAATGTCGGTTGGTGCCCACGTGGAGAGTTTCCTTGTTTGGAATCTGTCAAAACAGTTGCGGACGTATGCGAGGCTGAGCAGGGCGCTGGATGTGAATGGTAAGGGTCCGTTCGGGTCGAGGGGCTCTAGATTTGACTCTGGGGTTTGTTGCCATGAAAGCGTCCATCGCTGGAGTGCGGATCTGTTTATGAAAACTAGTTAGTGCGGATACCAAAGAAGCAAATAGAATTAGATACCAAATGGGGAGTTCATACTCAAGCGTCGCCTGAAAATCCTCAGAGAAAGCCCGCGACAGGTTTCCAGGTATAGATCTCCGAGTCCACATAATCTTGTGCAATAAGCCATGCATCAAGACATAATTTCCTACCGGTGAGACGGTAGCAATATTCGGGTCCACCTGCTTCGTCCCAGATAACAGTATCTCAAGCGCGTCATTGAAGTACCCCTGCTCATTCGGTGTCGTCGCCCTCCGCAGCATATCCCAGCTTGTCGCATCTAGTGCTGTCCACTCTGGACAAGAGCACGGGAGCTTAAGATTCACCTCATCGCACCAGATACTCGGCGGCATGTCATATGCAATGCTTTGGACATTGAGGAAACAGAAAGCGAAGAGCTTCGTCCGTCGTTCCGACTCTAGTTGCGACCACTGTTCCCAATTATCGTACCGCGTAGTCTGCAGCCTTTCTTCCAGGCCACACTGTCTCATAGACTGCCCGAGTAGGCCCACTAGAACGCACGTTTCGTTCCTGATGCTCGGGTCGCTTTGCCATGAAGCAAAATACGCGAGACAGAGTAGGCAGCGCAGTTCGTCGATGAGTTGGTTTTGCAGTGTGGTGTCACCTATGAGAGACTCTGTTTGCCTCCGGGTCTCAGATCGAACCCTGTGCTGTCGGCTATCAAAGAGCAGGGCCTTGGAAAAGTAAAATAGCTCGGTGGCCGCAGTGAACTCGAACCTGTCCACAGCACCAAGCGCCATCATAGCCAAGCACAGTTCCGGCGAGCATGACTCGAGCTTGAAAGTCGGCGTATGAGTAAATGGGACATGGGCATAGAACCCGGTAAAGTATCCAGCGATGTACCGTGTGAGGGCATTACTCGAGGGTAAGTTAGGCTTGGGAAAAAGCGTATCCACCCTGCCGAGGGAGAAGAGCAGTCTGGATCTGTCGGCATGTGTGACTTTGGGGCTTGGGGAGTGTGGAACGATCTGAGTGGCTTTTACGAGCCGTCAGCCATAGTCCTAATGAGATCTCACGATCATCCTTGCTCACCTAGGGATAAATGGGGGGACGGGAATATGGTGGGAAAACCATGGGCATAAGATTGATCATTATTCTGGCGGAACCAGAGAGATTGATTAATCGACATTTCATGGCCTTTGATGATAAGTCAGGAAGCTCTAGTTAGAAAGTGCAAATGTGAGTACTTACCATCTTGAGTAGGTATCTGGTCTGAGACGGGAGACGATTGACTTGCTAGGGGATTGGACAGATTTCTAGCTCATGTTAACCTCTAATATCGATAAAGTTTATTCATTGGATTGGATCACAAGGCACAGAGACTATTTACATACCTTGAAGAATGGTGGGGATCTATGCCAATCGAGGACCCCGAAGAACCAGGCGTCTGGAGGGAAAAATAAGCTTGTCCAAAGTGAGCAGGCGGGTTCCCTATGGGCCTATGTTGGGAGTCAACAGGGGATGTCTCCTGCTGCGACCGGACCGAGATCTCATGATCATTGTCCGAAACCTGGTCGGGCACGTTGCTTTCATTGGCATTAGTCCAAGAGGGATGGACTATCCGCTCATGTCGACGCAGCAGATCGCGCCGGGTGAATAGCGCTCCACATCGACATGCAAACGGCTTTTCATTTGTATCTGTTGAAGGTCAGTATAGTCAATACGACCGTAAAATACAGAGAGAGTACAGACGTCGTCGCGTGTGACGTTGGAGATGCTCCAGCCTGCGAAAGGTTTTCTGACAGTAGGCGCAAGCAAACTCTCTCCTATCATCAGAGCCATGACCCGACATAGTAGACATCATTAGACGGGCAGTATGATATGCCAACAACCAAAGAACAAGAACCGATGGCCTCTCAAGGGAAGAGCTGCCCTTGTTTCGCTAAGTCCAGCGTGTTGGGGCCGACGGGGGCGACGGTGATTACTCAGCCTGGATTCTGCGACGGAACGGATCCATTTGATCCATGGACCAATCAGAATCGAATTTGCTGAAAATCGTAAAAACTATCGAGGCGTACACTATCTGGTTAGGGCTAAGGGAAAAGGCGTGCTAGTTATATTCATGCTCGCATACTGCCAGCAAAGGGAGTTCGAGTTGTTAGCCGGTTCCTTAGACTAGACTTTTATTCGTGGCGTCTAATGGTCAGTTCTAATGGTTAGTGGACGGAGCACAGACGCGGCCTATATATAGTGTAGTCAGATTTGGTGATGTCCAGGCTTAATGAATTCGAGAGATTGGTAGTTACCATCTGTGTATAGTCCGAAGCCTGGCAGTCTCTACAATCCTTGAACGGAAATATATTATACTTCATGGGCTAAGAGATCTTTCGAGGATAATTTCCCTACATGCCGTATATATAAAGGTAAATCAGCTTGACCAAGGAAACTAAGCACCATTGGATGATTTCTTGAAGCATAAAAATTGAGCTACAGATCTAGCAGGCTTATATTCGGCTAACATATCGTCCGCGATCCCAACAAGGAGAGCCAGGATATCTACAAATTCGGCGACATTTGATACAGTCGGACGAATAAATGTGACCAGGATAGGATTGCCTCTAGGACACCGTAGAAAGGGTCCGAAGGAGTAACCCGACAGTATTTGGAGACCTGGGGGCACTCTGTGGTACGTTTGGAGAAGTGGGCCGTTTTGGAGAAATTTTGGAGAAAGAGCCCCACCACGGCCAAGTACACTGGGAAGTCGTGCGGTGATTGGAGAGGTGAATTTTGATTTTGGCCTTATCCATAGATTCAGATGACGTTGATTATGCGAGAGAAACTTTAACTGATTCTTTGCTGATAAAGCTGGGTGTATGGATGGACCAGAGAAATACATATAAAAAGATGTAAACGCAGCTCCGACCATCCTGTGAACCCAAAAAAGTCTTCCTCAATCAACCTTGATCACCATGTCGCAGCAGACCGTCATCCGCATCCCCGGCGAGCGCAACTCGCTCAAAAACTTCAAAGCCTTCGAAGAACCCATCCCCAAACCCGCTAAACATGAGGTCCTCATCAGGGTGCACTCGGTATCCTTGAACTATCGGGACGTCGGCGTTGCCCTCTCCCTCTACCCGTTCCCGACCAAGGACAACGTGGTCCCTTGCTCCGACGCCGCCGGCGTCGTCGTCGAAGTCGGCGAGGGCGTGAAGAATGTCGCCAAGGACGATCATGTCATCAGCACCTTTGACCCTACAAACCTCTACGGCCAGCAGATGGACTGGGAGAACGGGCACGGCGCCCCGGTTGATGGAGTCCTCCGCGAATACATTACTGTTGCGGCCGCTGCTGTCGTCAAGGTCTTGAAGGACTCGCCTCAGAGTTTCTCCGAGTGGTCCACCCTTGTCTGCACTGGTGTCACGGCCTGGAATGCTCTCTACGGCCTTACTCCGCTGAAGCCGGGCCAGATTGTTTTGTTCCAAGGTACGTAGCCCCCTTCCTTATGTGATCTCATCGCTAACAACCGTCGTTGAATCCAGGAACGGGCGGCGTCTCCATCACAGGTCTCATCCTCGCCAAAGCCGCCGGCGCCGTCACAATCATCACCTCCTCCAGCGACGAGAAACTCAAGTACGTCCAGGAAAAGTTCGGCGCAGACTACACAGTCAACTACAAGACGCACCCCGAATGGTCCAAAGAAGTCCTCCGCCTGACAAACGGCGAGGGCGTCGACTACGTCTTCGAGAACGGCGGGTCCGGGACCATCGCCGAGAGTATCAACTCGGTGAAGATGGGCGGCAATGTTTCTGTTATCGGGTTCCTCTCCCAGGCCAAGGAGATGCCTGATGTTGCGAGCATGGCGCTTGCTAAGGGCGTGGTTGTTCGTGGGGTTGTTGTTGGCTCGACGCAGCTTTTGCAGGAGGTTGTCCGCTTCGTTGCGCGCAAGGGACTGCGTTTGCCTGTGGAGAAGGAGTTTGGGTTCTCCGAGGAGAATGTTGTCAGAGCATTTGAGTATCTTACCTCGGGGAGCCATATTGGGAAGGTTTGCATTAAGCTGGTGGAATAAAAGCCTGGCAGGCACAGCATAGGGATTTCGGCTTCCGGACGAGGTATTCCGTCAATATGCGAACGAGGAAGCGAGAGAGAGGAACATACCAAAGCCTTAGACCGCTGGAATTGCCGTAGCTGGATACCAATCTACTTCCGACGAGATAATGTAAAGTACTGGTTGTAAACATGGTCATGAATTGGAATAAATTAAGGAAGCCGTGCGACATCCAGAAGAGGCCCATGGATATAATCAACCTTCTATCAAGAGAACTCTAGTCCTGTCGGTGTAGAAAAGTTATCCTTTACATTGACGAAATCACAATTCATCAACCCGTAATATACCTCCAAACCTTGCCATACCACGTAGTCGGCGCCACCGTCTCCCAACACTCATTCTCAAACTGCGACCGGCCCGTGTCCAAATCCGCCTCAATCGGCTTGACAATCGGATGCCGATAGACAAGCTTATGCCCCAAGTACAGCGCAACAAAAAGAAATAAACTAATATACGCAACCACAAAGTCCGCAACACGGAACCTCGGAATCCACGCCGTAAACCCCTGGATGAAGATAATCAGAATATTAAAGCCCAACCCATACCACGCCAGATACGGCTGCCAGATAGCCTTGTAGGGCAATAAATCGCGCGACATATTCCGCGCTTTAAGGGCACGCATAAACGCAATGTGACAGGCATTCAGCGTCGCCCACGTCGTGAACCCCGCGACGCCGCAGATGTTCAGCAACCAATTGAAGACCTTGCTCCCGGACTCGGAGACGTTCATAAACGCCAACAGGCCGAAGGATGCGGTGGTCAGGACGGCGATGTAGGGGACGCCGCTGGGCGTTGTCCGTTTCATCCACTGGGGCGCGAATTTCTCCTGTGCCAGGCCGATGAGGATGCGGCTGCCGCTGTACACGTTGCTGTTTGCTGCGGAGATTACAACGGCCAGGAGGACGGCGTTTATCAGGCCCGGGAGGACTTTGACTCCGGCGAGCTTTGCCGCGATGACCAGCGGCGAGGCGGAGGCGTTGGTGGAGTCGGAGAGGAGATTGGGGTTATCAGAGGGGATGAGGATTCCGATGAAGAAGATGGTGAGGATGAAGAAGAGGAGGATCCGGATGAATGTTTGGCGGATTGCAGCGGGGACTGTTTTGCGAGGGTTCTCTGTCTCGCCCGCTGCAAGGCCGACGAGTTCAGTACCTTGATAGGAAAATCCGGCTTGGATCAGGACAGCGCAGAAGCCGACAAAGCGAGCCTTTGGCGCGGGCGAGACCAGGTATTCGGCAAAGGGGCCGGGGTGCACCCAGTACCGAAAGCCAATATATCCTTCCTGGCCAGCGCCGGCGTTGATGCAAATCCCGAATATCAGGAACCCGACGATGGTCAGTACTTTGATGCTTGAAAACCAAAACTCGATCTCCCCGTAAAAGTTGACTGGTAAGAGGTTCGCCACTGTTATCACAACCAAAAACACGCCTATGAATATAGCAATCGGGATCGTATCATTCCAGTACTGAATTATAAGCCCCGTAGCCGTGAGCTCCAACGCAAATGTCATGGCCCAGGAGAACCAGCAGATCCAGCCCATCGCAAACCCCAGGCTTGGGTCGATAAGCCGAGACGCGTACGTCATGTAGGCACCAGGGATCGGAAGGTACGTCGCCACTTCTCCAAGGGAAGTCATGACGGAATAGACGAGAGAGCCGACAAAGATGTATGCGATTAAAGCACCGACGGGGCCGGCGTGGGCGATGGCCGTGCCGCTACCGATGAAGAGTCCTGTCCCAATTGCACCACCTAAACCTGTCAGTGAAAGAATAGAATCCATGGGGGGGAGTACTAACCTATCGCAATCATCTGGAGATGCCTACTCTTCAAACCACGTTTCAATGCCGGTGGCGGGTTAGGATCATGCTGTGTGTATTTCTCGGCGTCGACGGTATCCGCGGTCCTCGATACGTCTTGTTCGATGTTCTCGCTGCCCGCGGCCTTAGATGCGTCTTTCGCATGATGCTCGATATCCATAGTTGTGGTCTGGTCGAAATGTATGGTCAATTGCTGAAGAAAAAGCGAGACCAAACCATCCGAGAGAAGTGGGCATGCACCAGAAGAAAAACCTGGAGAATGCCAGTGCGGGGAGGTGGGAACAAGCATGTCAGAGCAAAAGCCAAGTGCGTATCAGGAAAGAGCGACTGAATCCGACTGGCCCCATACAGTGACCGGCCCGGTCAGTTGCCGGCAACGGATATCGCGCGAAACTTCCCGACTAGGAACAAGGTGGACACTCCAGCTAGGCTCCCCGCAGATGATCGGGTCCTTTCCTCCGTGTCCGCGATCTATCTACTCCGGATCTTCCGATTATTTACGCAATAGTTTCATTAATGAGCGCGTCGGCGTACTCCACCCGGCCCGAGACGCGCCGCCGGTCGAGCTGGATCATGGGGTAGAGGTTGGGGTAAGATGAAGCACTAGTACGCAGAGGGCAAGGAATGCCACATTTATTGCAGTACTAATATCATATATAGGGGACCTGTGGCTGTCCTGAGCTTGTAGCCTAGTGGTGAACAAAGCCCGCCCCATGGGTCACTCGCGACGTGCCACTGCAACCCCTCATTTCTCCCACTTTGAGTGTTATTAGCGAGGGTTGTACCTTGGTTGTTGGGTTATGTTGCTGTCCTCGGCAAGGTTTGCATCAAGGTCATTGTATGAATACACTCGTAAATCCTTACTACTGGAATGGATGCCGATAGGACGGGCGAATGGAAGTGTGTGAGAACACAGATAGGAAGATGCTCTAGTGAGTAGAAGTCCCATGAATATGATGACCGAATAACACCAGGTTACCCACCAGCAACTTTGGTGTTCAAGCCCTTAGCACTCAGTGCCGTAGCTGGCGTAGCTCTCGCATAGCGGTATCAGAGGTCGCAAGGAAGTTCCGTGGTTTAGATCGCGAAGTATGCGGGTACAAGCTTTAGTATACATATTGCGATTTCTTTCTTCCGAGTTGCATTAATTATTTAATATAGTAACTAGTAAGAACTAAGTAAGTCGAGGAAGAAAACAGCGCCCATTTTCCTCTGGTATATACAGTATCATACACAAGCGAATCAAAGAAACACATCCAGACAGAGGCCAACGCAAAGAGGTAGTTGATACCAAGGAATAGCACCAGCATCGTGCAATCACTACAGTTGGCACTGACAAGAACAGATTTTCGAAGTTGAACCGCGTCGGGCACAGGCAGACCAGGACACCCTCTCCTCGTCTAGGCCTGTCCAGCCTGATCATTAGTCTTTCCCTTCAAACTCCTCCACCCCGACCCCAGAGCCAACACAGTCGCCAATCCCGCAAGCACAATAGATAGGATATAACAATCTTTTAAGCCTTCCACATACCCATGCAGCACAATATCCAGTTCCTTTCCCGTAAAAGCAGTCCGAAGTTCCGTCGCACCCGTGGCAGTAATAAGGTGGGTGCTCATTTCTGGCAAAGATTCATGCACAACATTTACCAGCCGATTACTAAACGCCGCCTGGCCCGCCTGCACAAAAATCGCGCCACCGATACACTGGAAAAACAGAACCATGGCTGAAATCGTCGAGAGGTCTTGCATTTCCACAACAGCCTGGCTCGCGATCATGGGGACTTGGATTGCAATTCCGATGCCGATCCCCGCCATCGCTTGGTATCCGATCCATTCGGCTGCGCCAGAGGATATGTCGAGGGTGTACAGGAGGCCGCTGGCCATTGTGCAGAGGATTCCGCCGAGGGTTAGCAGGGGGAGGTAGTACCCGATAACTCCAAGAACGAAGCCGGAGATTGTGGCGAAGAGGCCGTTGCCCAGGACGAGCGGGAGGGTTCGGACACCGGAATCTGCGGCCGAGGCTTCTTTGACGGATTGGAAGTAGATGGGGAGGTAGTACAGCAGAACGTAGAAGGAGCTGCAGAAGAAGAGCGTAAAGGCGGAGCAGAAGAAGAGGGTTCGGTTTGCGAGGAGGCGTGGTGGGATCATTGCGCGGTCCTGTAGGAGGAATTCGTTGATGCAGAAAAGGATGAGGAGGATTGCGAAGCCGATTAGGGTGCCGATTACGTCGGCGTTTCTCCAGGATTTTGCGGAGCCCCCCCATTGCAGGGCCAGCAGGAAGCACAGGATCGCGCCGAGGAGGAGCACGATTCCGGAGACATCCATTGCCAGAATTATTTCTTTCCATGAGGCGTGCTTGGCCTGGGCTTGTGCTGGGGTCGTGAAGAAGAAGATGATCAGCGCAGCTGCGAGACCTCCGATGGGGAGGTTGATCCAGAAACACCATCGCCAGATGGAATGCTCCGTGAATGCGCCGCCGATAAGGGGGCCCGCGACACTGGCAACAGCGAAGCTGGCACCAAGTAATCCGGTCATGGCTGGGCGCTGCTCAGGGCGCACAGAGAACGCCAGGATGGTGTATGAGCCAGAGGAGATGCCGGCTGCTCCGATGCCCGAAATGGCTCGGCCGACAATAAGTGTGACGGAATTCTGAGCAACGGCGCAAATCAAAGATCCCAGCTCAAACAGTAGCACCGAAGCGGCAAAACTGGTCTTTAGTGGGAAGTAGCGGTAGATCTTCCCCCATGTCCCTTGAAACGAGGCGAGGGTGAGAAAGAAGGCTGAGCCGTACCACCCGATATCGCCCACTGTGTGGAATTCGTCGGTGATGCGAGGGATCGCTGTGGACACAATTGTTGTGTCCAGTGCAATGAGAAAGATTGAGGCGACGAGACCTCCCATGATGATGGCCAAAGGGAGCCCCGAAGGATATTGCATCTCGTCTGTCGAGGGTGGCTCAGTGCCAGGGGTTGAGCCGGGGCATTGCTCTTGTTTCATTTCCATGCTGGACTGGTCTGACATGTCGTGGGATGGATTCGCTATGGATATCAAAAGGTAGAAAGATCCAGGAAAAAGTGTGATCTGATGTCTTGTGTCTAACAGTGTTAAAACTAAAGTTGCCTTGGTTGTTCAATAGACACAAGCAGCTTTGGGTCCCTTTATACACTACGGCCCTCGATGGGTTATTAGTGATACATCCCTTCTAGAACTAGATATTTTTCATCAACTGTTCCAGGCCATTCTTGAATATCTGTTCTAGACTGGCAGCCATCAGGTTATATCGTGAATAGTCTCCGTGATGTCGCCGGGCCAATCAGCGCCCAGCAGCATCACCCCGGATTCGTCTCCACGCAGCTGAACACACTCCAGCATGTGATTGGTGATGCTGGTAATTAGCCTCATCCTGATTCCCTGCATTGCACAGCCCTGGAGGCTAGCGCAGTCGCAATACGCGGCGCATAAAAGAAGCTTCAAGGTTTCAGCTCAACCTCAGTCGACAACACACCACCATGGCTTTGCAACGCTCCCTCTTCGCCCGCCACCCCTTCAAGTTTGTATTCACGACATGGTTTCTCGCGAGTCTACCGTTTCGCCTCGCCGGCATTGCTGTCTATTATCTCCCCTCTGCCACGCGCCCCAAGAGAAGCTGGCGGCAGGCCGTGACAACAAAGCTGCTGAGTCTCTGGTTCCAGTTCGCGACAACAGTCGAGTTCCGAACCCCGAAATCACTCGAACCCGGCGCTGAAGCAGAACGCTTCGTCTTGATCGACCCTGAGAAAATAGTTTCCGATACTACGTCCCCGTACACCGGCCCCCTCACGACAAACCCCGCCATTAAACCTTCCAAAGTCGCCGCCTTTTGGTACGAGTCGCCTCCAGCAAGCGGTCAAACCCCTCCACCCCTCGTGGTCCTCCACTTCCACGCCGGCGCCTTTGTCCTCGGCGGCGCCCGCACAGCAATGGAAGCCGGTTGGGGTCCCATAGCCCTAAGCAGACAACTCTCTTGCCCAGTGCTAATGCCCGAATACCGACTCTCCAACAAATCTGACCGCACAACCAGCTTTCCCGCAGCGCTCCAAGACACCGTAAGCGCGTACAAATACCTGCTTCACACGCTGAATATCCCCCCGCGAAACATCATCCTCTCCGGCGACTCTGCGGGCGGAAATCTCGTCCTCGCTCTCATCCGGTATATCGCCGAATACGCGGCCGAGACACACCTCCCACTCCCGCGCGCCGCACTCCTCTGGAGCCCCTGGGCCGACCTCACGACCCCGGCCACGGCAGTCAACGCACACCGCAACGCAGCTACAGACTTTGTCTCTGGCGCCCTCCGCGACTGGGGCGTGGCCAGCTACACGCCCGATACCTGGACCAGTTCGCACGAGTACTATAGCTATATCAGCCCGGCCGGCCATGAATTCCGCACGTCGGTCCCGATCTTCATCCAGACGAGTAGGCAGGAGATTTTGTATGATTCGCATGTTGCACTTGCGCGGGGAATGCAGGATGTCGGGTGTACGGTCGAGTTTGTAGAGGTTGAGAGGGGGCCGCATGATGTGTTTCTGGGGGCGAAGATGTTTGGGTTGCTTGAGGATGGCATGCGGATTATTGGAAAGGCAAAGGAGTTTGTTTTGCGCGTTGGTGGTACGCAGGAGGTTGCTGAGAGATGAGGATTGATACGTGCTCGGCTTGAATAAGGCTCCTTTGACCTGCAGCTGGTATGCGTGTTCCTTGCTCTAATACAGGTTTAGTGATATTGCGAATCTCTTTTCCTTCATACACACTGGACCTTAAATACAACGAAGTGTTTTTTTTTTTTTTTTTTCTCCCGCCTGCGACGACCTCGAATCGGCCATGTCCTGTCTCGCTCGAAGGGAATCAAAGGAGGGCGCTACCTCGAAATTGCACCATTTTTACGTACAAGACAGTTACAAAATACCGTGTTCTGGAACTAATAAGCGGCGGCCCGTACTATGTATTAAGGGTCGCAGATGGACTTAGCAGATTGTTGAGAGTACAGCATGTGTACGGGGGAACAGTGAGCCAAACGAGTCGGAACCATGCTTTGGGCGTATTATTGCATCCAAACTTGTTCCATGTCATACTGCTAGGATCCGGTCTTAAGTGGCCACAGACTGTAAATCTACGCTGGAGAATAACAAGCCAGTCACCTCCATGCAATGCCCGAGTCAGCTTGGAGCACTCCGTCACCTGCATTAAGTACAACTACAGACAATTATCGTGACTCGCCCAGTGTATTCAAGTTAGGGCCCGATCCCGGACCTGAGTATGGACCTGTGTAATAACCTCGGTGAGCGAAGTAGGTATAAGCGAGCGTACACCTGGGCAAGCGAGCACCTACGAAAACTAGACACCAACATGAACATGGCAGGCTAGCGCTTAGATGATTGCTTGAATATTATCTTCGGGCCCTGGCTGCCCGCCAAAGGCACAGTAGGAAAGTAAATCAATACCAACGCTGCTGCCATAAACATATGCATATCTAGCAGGAGACACGAATCCAATCATGAAGCCAGTGTTGAAGCATAGAATAAAAGCATATCATGACGCCCTGCCCCATGTATTTCAACTGCATCCCACCCTCAATTCCATTACTGCAGCAACACCCCACCACTAGAATGCACACTCGCCCCCGTAACATTCCCATCCCGCATCAGATACCCAAACGCTTCAGCGACATCCTCCGGCCCCGCAACCCTGCCCAATAAACTCGTCTTGGCAAAATACTCCCTCGTCCGTCTGCGGTCTGCCCCCTCAAGGCTCCCCCAGAGCTCCGTCTCCGTCGCGCCGGGATGTACAACGTTGACTCTCAGCGGCGCAATATCCAGCGCAAGCGCGCGCGTCAGCCCATCCAGTCCCGCTGAACACGCCGCGCCCATCGGCCACCCGCAAGAGGGTTTTGTGCCGAGGCGTCCGCCGCAGAATGTTAGGCTGGATGTGGAGGAAGGTTTTAGGAATCGCGGGGCGAGCTTTGCGAGGAGGGCCGGGACGATGAGGGGGAGGTGGAGTTCGTTCTGGATGTAGCGCAGGTCGATATCGGGGAGGGCGCGCATGCAGGCGCGGCCGGCGGTTAGGATGATGTGGTTTAGTTTGAGTTTCGAGGTGGCTGTTACGGATGTAAGGAGGGCCTCGAGGTCTGTTTCCACGGTTGCTGTTTGGAGGTCGATGGTGAATCCCTTTATATGTGTTTCTGGAAGGGAGGGGTGCGAGGATTGGAGTCTGGTGACGGCGTCGGCTACGCGCGTAGGGTTTGATGAGGCGATCGAGACGAAGGCGCCTTGCTGGAGTGCGAGGTTCGCGACGGCGAAGCCAATGCCAGATGAGCCGCCGATGACGAGGATGGACTGGCCGGATATTGAAGGCATAGTAGACAATATTCTTGAACTATATCTAGGGGTCTTCGTCCTTTGGTGGTGGTGGAGTGGTCGCGTTTTATATCTCGTGCTTATTATATGATCTTGTCTTTTCCTCGGAGAGCATGTTTCCCGACTTTACAAGACTAGTCGACAGAATATCCACGGCCACACACTTTCCCACTACGCCGATGCCGACACTGAGCGATCTGGGCGAACTAAGCACCCAGTCCGTTACCTCCGCAGCTCAATGTACAACGCCAGGAATAGGAAAAGCTGGTATCTCTGAGTCGCTGTCTGACTATAGGGAGCAGCGCCTCGTATCAATCCGGTACAATTGAGAGACTAGGGCGGGGGGCGTTGGATAGTACATATATGGACAATCCCACCCATCCACCCCCCTCCACCTCCTCCTTAGGTCGACAAGGATGGGCGGCGGGGAAAAACAGTACATCCTCCAGTCTGTATATCATATACCTGAAGTAGTTACAACTAGCGGCCACATCACGACAATCCCATCCAGCCCTGTCGCACAAGCCCTCGCTCTCCGAAATCTCACCCCCACCCAAAGCAAACAACGGGGAGCAAGTTGGCAGTAATTACCGCACCCGGAACCCAATGTATAGTAGACCACCCCCACCTAGATAGGAGGTCCAACAACACCCTTCTCACCCACAAGCTTCTTGTCCATACCCCCCAACCCTCAACCGCCAACCCTTAACCCCCAACCCCCAAATCCCCCAGCCACAGCCCCAACCCCAGGCCCGGGCCGCTTATGAAATGGAATAACCAGCGAAGTAACCGCCCTAACCGCCGCGCCCGCGAGCGAAAAGGGAAAAACGCCCTTAATCCCCACCAGTTGCGCCTCATGCACGGCATTGAGCTGTGCGCCCTGGAATACGCGCATGATTTTAGAAGCACCCGTGGTAAGAACCTGGATTGGGTCTAGGCCGATGCTGGGGTAGTTGCTTGCGAGCGTTGAGAGCATGCGGTTCGCGAAGAGGAATTGCGCGGCTGTTACAAAGTACGCGCCGCTCATCAAGTTGCACGATGAGGTAGCACGTCTCAGCTTAGTAGAGCTGAGTTAAAAGAGAGTCGAATGAGTGGGAAGAGGGGAGCGTGCTGAGCATAATCCCCGTAATAGTCACAATATGTTCAGGCCCCGCAAAGCTCTGCAGCGCCGTCATGGACACCTGGTTTCCCAGCCCGGACGATAGCCTGGGGACCGATAGGGCGTGCCTTGGAGCAGCAAACAGCTTCCTCATGACGAGGTTCCCACTTGCCATGGAGCCGAAGCAGAATAAGGCCATGAAGGGGGGTACTGTTGACACCGCTTGCGTTGGCGGGCTTGTCCTGGATAGATTAGAAGTAGGGCGAGGTCTAACGGAACATGGAAGCTAGGGATTGAGGCTGTTCCCGAAGGTATTTAGTCTAGCTAACGTGATCGACAGCATAAGTCGACAGTCTCGCATCCAGCCATACAAGGCGTTTGACCATACGAGATGCTGTTTCAGTAGAGCTACGGGGGTCATAACGTATCGCCCTGGAACCCCTCCATGATGAAGAACACGATTGTTAGAGCAATTCACAACACGAGTATCGCATGACGGAGCCATCGCTCTAGGGTTGAGTTTGACCACCCCACTGCAGCGCCGGGATAAAGCAAATAAGCGAGACGAGGGACCTTAAAGCCCGACAGAGGGAGATGACGCAGTATCCCCACCCCCGACGCAGTCCGGCGCTTAACATGCTACGGCACTCTGAAAAAGAGCTGAACCAAGGCGATGATCTGGCCACCAACAGGCGAGTTAATCCTGAAGCACTAGCGCCATGTAACCTCGCTCGTAAACGCGCCGCCAATCAGGGGTCCGATGATAGTCGAAAATATAAAGACGGAAATCCACACCACGATAAGCATCGGCCGTAGTTTCGGCCAAGCGACGTGGCTAATCATAAGTACGCTTCCGCCGAGTGTGCCAGAGCATCCCCAGCCCCGCAGGGTTCGACCGATGATTATAGCTGAGTTGTTCGGGGCGGTTGCGGCGACGATGCCGCCGGCGAGGAAGATAAGCACAGAGGCGAGTAGAGGACTTGTGCGTCGAGGAATTTGTATAGCTTTCCCCACATAGGGGAGTAGCTGCCGACGAGGAGGAAACAGGCGCTGCCGTACCAGCCGCCGTCGTCGAGACGGTGGAAATTGTTGGTTATGCCGGGGATTTCGGGTGCGACTATGCCCTGCGAGTGCTGTCACGGCTTGCTTTAGATCATTCGAAAGATGTATAATATCCAAGGCTGCTAGTAGGGTCCCCAGAAAGATGGCTCCCATGGTAGCGGATAGCCGAAAGGCAGTAGCATACTCTGGCACCACACCATCTCGCTTCGCCTGCGGAACAGCATGGGCGCTTTTTGCCTTTTGATCGAGATTGTAGCAATTCCGAAGCCTGGTAGGTCTTCGCTAGAACCAAAGATTGATCCAGACTCTATTAATCCTCAATCCTATTTATACAACAACCCCATGGGCTCTAATCCCAAGAGAGTTTAGCCACCGGGGCAATGACATATTAACGCGCCCAGCTAACGCCATTACTAATTACCCCGGACCAGTCAAATGGATCACGATATCGGGCTGGTTGGTAATCAACTTTGGCGATTCTCCCCACGCTGAATTTCCATCTCCCCTCTTCGTCTGCGCGACTCGGTCCGTACGATAACTTGATACCAGCCATGGCGGGGGTGCGGCCCAGTGCCCTGCCCTGCACCAGGCTGCGCGATAGCTGTGTCGCGTGCGCCGTGTCGAAGCTCAAATGCTCCAAGCAGCGGCCCACATGTTCCAGGTGTGAAACCCGCGGGATCGACTGTCAATACTTCTTTGCTAGACGACCGGGTCGACGGCGCGAACATGGCCGTGGTCATCCGACAAGTTGTACGAGCCGGAGCAGCCGCTCTGCAGAAGCACATTCACAGCCCGTTGCGGCACAAGATTCCCAAGGCGACCAGTCTGGACATGGCGACTCTGCCGAGACTGGGAGAGCTTCTATAAGCCCTGTCGATCTAACAGCCGATCCAGGTCCCGCTGCTAACCTACCGGGGAGTCACGGTTGGACTATTGTCCTACCGGAAGATGGGGATGGAACATATCCGGCGGACGCATTCTCGATGCCCACGGGGTCTACTACTGTGCCGCAGCTTAATGACAGTGCGATGGATCTCCTCATGGCAGATTCCGACCAACGCCCCGTCATGGAGACCGACAAGATCGCCGCCACGCCCGAGGGCACCATGGGCGGCACACTGCCCGTACCAGATGCGACTACTCTCGAACTCAACCTCGATGCGCCATTCACCCGCAGCAAGGTTCCCCTATCCGCAGGTCCCTCCGGCAAGGACCCGCGTGCATCGAGCAACCGGGCCTCACTCCCATCAGACTCTACTACAGTCAACCCCGCCAACATCACGAATTCGAGCTGCAGCTGCGTCCCGCGAGCCCTCGCCCTCCTCCGCGCCCTCTCATGCGCGCAATCTTCTCAAACCGCCCTCCCAGAAACCCATCCAGCCCTCTACACGCTCTACCAACACAAACCCAACATCGCCCTCGCGCGCCGGATGCTCTCGTGCCCACCCTGCACGGAAAACACATTCCTCCTCGCGATCCTCTCGCTGATCGTCCTGAACATCCTCGAGCGCTACGCGACGGCTTTGCAGCGCCAACTCCACGACAACAACGACTCCTCGCAGGCGAATGGGAGCGGGAACGGGAACGGGAACGCGAGCTGTGTTGACCCCGGGACGATCGCGAAATTGGCCCATTGTATCATCGCGTGTCGGCGGGTTCCTTCGAGGGTTATTGTTAGTGAGCTTTGTCGCCTGCAGAGTTTGGTGAACCATCTTGCCCCGAGGGTTGTTGGGCAGGGGGCTGAGGCGTTGGAGAGGATGGAGGGGGGAATGCGGGAGGGGCTTGGGGGATTATCTGGAGATATTATCGAGAGGTTGAGAAGATATTAGGATACCTCCACGCTGTGGTTGCGGGGATGGGTTGTTGTGACTGGACCATAGCATATAACATCGCGCCAGACATGCATGTTTTTTTTTTCCGTGGCAGCTGCTGGCCCTATCTAATGTTTGTTTGCTTCTTGCGGATTATACTCGAAACTATGGGACCACTCTCAGAAGTGACCTTCTCCCCGAGAAACGGCCGCGGTCGAATACCTAGGCATGGACGCGTCACCCTGATCCCAACGGTTCCCAATCTAGTATATCGCCGCATAGGCTTCATTTCGTCATACCCACGAAACCTTTGAGCTGCAGCCGCATTTCTCACCCTCATCATCATCCCACCCCTCGCCTTGGCCGAAAGCCCCATCTCCTGAGACGTCCTCAGATCTCAATCGGCATCGTCCGAGCTAAGCTGGTCCGGAATCCGGATGGCGCAGGTGGACTAGTATCAAGTCGGCCGTGGTGGGCCGTCCGGTCGGGGCATAGAAACGAGGGACAAGTTGGCATTTACTGGTGTAGCGAGGATGGAGGAATAAGGAGTTAGGTTACGCAATTGAGTAGGCAGGCTGTTCTGGAGTCCGTAGATAACAGTCCTCCGCAGATTCCTTTACAGTGCACAATGTGGTCATTACACTGCTTTTGTACAGTCCATGAGATATAGAAGAGAGTATACAATAAAATCGACGACTGAGGGAAGCATATATGTAGAGCCCTGCCGGTTACCCTGGAACCTCGTTTCCCTCCATGTTACCACTGGGCAAAAAGCGTCTCATGAAAGATTCTTAGATGGAATTCGTATCTTTTCGTTTCGTGCTTGATGTCCTTCAAGGCAGGTCTACCATAATTGCTAGAACTCATAACTATCAAAACTCAAGAGCACCGGATCGAGATAGAGCGGCACCTCGACCTCCTCATCCACACTCTCACACCCTGTACAATCCGGCCCCCAATTCACAAAGCTCTCCGGCAGATTCAGTGACCCGGGCCCGAACCCGTTCAGCCCCTGCGCCCGCGCAAAGGCCTTTTCTTTCTCATTCTCATACCCCGCGCCCGAGGATATGTCCTGCAGATCAAGCCAGGCCTGGGACGGGGTGACGAGGTGGAAGAGGCGCTTCCCGATGTGGAAAGCTCGCCGCGAGCTGGGGTCCTGCTCTGCCATGCTGTGCAGCCAGAGGAGGGCCTTTTTCGACGCTTCGCGGATGGCCTCGGCGTCTTCGCCCTCGTTTTCTTCGGCGATTTGCTGTTCGCCGTAGACGTTCATGACGGAGACGAGGCCGATGGAGAGTTGCGTGAGTAGGATCGTCAGCGCGCGCATGATCGTGTGGAGGAGCGGCCACCACGAGGTCATGGCCGCGATCCATTTGATGTCGGGGACGTCTGGGAGGACGGAGATGAGGGCGAGGGCGAAATGGACACAGGCTTTTGCGGTCTCGTCTTCAAAGTTGGAACGTGGGATCTTGATGTTTGTCCCTGTTTCGACGTCCAGGTCTGTAAGGCAGGGGCGGTTGAGGATCATCTGGGAGCTGTAGTACGCCATGGCGAGAGCGACCTGCTCTCGGCAATTAGGTGCAGAGACCCTGCTGATGTCGTTTGCATCGTAGATGATAAACGCAAAGGCTGGTTGGAGGCTTGATAGCCACGATTGAAGCTTCTCCTGGTAGAATGAGATATTCGCTCCGATGCTATCTTTCGTAGCAGTGAGACTATAGACTGCTTTTGTGGCAGATTGCATTGTAACCGAAAGGTCGACAAGATGGAAAAAGTAGAGCGACTGGCTGGGAATGATATCTCGCAGCCATTCGTCCCGTGCGTATCGTTCTGAGTTGCTCGCAGATATAGTCGACTGGAGCTTGCTCTCCCGTGAAGAGGCGTCTCCTAGCAGCTCTACCACTTCAGGTAGCGCGAATTGGGCCTCGTCATATGGCAGTGGTAGATGTACAGACATGGACTGGTTGTCAATGCATGATGTACGTCCGGTCATGCCGGAGAGAACATTTTCCAGGGCGACGATGGACCACCAGATTCGGGCTCGCGTCTCTTTGGACACAGTGTCGAGTCGACTGCTACCGTCGACTCGGAGATTGAGGCCCATGGAAATCGCCAGGCGCGCAGCGCGACCGTTCGCCTGCCATGACCTAGAAGCGACGGGGTCAGATATATTTAGATGTGGGCAGCTCGTAGACATACTGGTTGAGTTCACCTGAGAACAGGTAGTAAATTGCAAACATCAGGTCAATCTGGACCTGATGTAAGCCGATGTACCTGGTGGTGCCGGGGGTGGAGCTCAGCGCCAATGCTCGCGAGAGATAGACGCGATCATCGACATCACCCCCGGAACGTGCCTCTGACAGCCGATAACATCTGGAGCCCACGGCAAGTATCAAATTAAGGACAGCAAGCCATTTCCGTGAGGGCTGCGATGCAGTGAGAGCAAAAGCTTGATTGAACTGGACAATGAATAATGATTTATTGATGAGTGGAAACGAGGGTGCCACTGATTCGAAGAAAATGTTGACCAGACGAGCCGCCCAAGGCTTGGGGGGAAGGCATCTCGGCTCGAGTGGCGGAATCGTTTCGGGGACTTGGGTACTGTCAAGGTGATAGTTCATGGACGGGGTCGAGTCCTCAATCTGGAATGCGTGGCGCTGTTCCTGGCCTGTATTCAACTTGTTAACTGCAGTGCCCAGTTTCTGCAACCACGCGACTTCAGATGCCTTGCCAAAATAGCCGGTCGCTCTGCTGGCATCGTCACGGTTGAGATCTTCGGTCAATGTACCAGCATCCTCAAAAAACTCGATCGACGTTGTGGACGTTGCGGATGTATTTGTAGACGGAAAGTCTGGCATTCCAGGACGGGACTTTTAGGATGGACAGATCACAGTTAGACAGTGATTCTGTTGAGTGCATATGGCTCACTTACCATGAATCCATCCCCGGCCAAACTGTCCCCTGCGCTGTTTTCAAAGAGTGGGCTCTCACTATCGACAGTCTGTGTTTCCGAGGCCTGGAGAACAAACGTTAACTCCATAAATATCATTAAGTCAATCAGCACCCAAACCTGCTCGGCATTTCCAGTAAAGGCGAGGGAATCCTGGCTTCCTCGCCCTGCGCGCCATTCCCCAGCTGCAAGGAGCAGATTGTCGAGATGCGGCCTATCGCCGGCATTAAACGCAGCGATGAGGTTATCCAGCACTTGCTGTGCCGTGTCAAGCTGGTTCTCAACCCGTCTGAGCGCAAACTTCCTGCGCCTGTCGCTCTCGGCGACAAACACGCAGTCGCAGCTGTTTGCCACACAGTTGTCACACGGCTGGTTCCCACCACACTGCTGGCATTAATATCCGTGGTTGATTCAAGGGCAGAAGACGGTATTTGGGAGCGTGTAGATTGGCAATTACTTTGATTCTCCGCGTCCGACATGACAAGCAGGCATTTGATCGTTTGGTCCTCCGGGGCACCGCCAGCGATGCTCTGGGGATGTAGCCTGGGGTGAACGGTGAAGGGACCAGGGGTGGCGGTCCGGGACCTGAATGTTTCGGCATGTTTCTCAGGAGGTTTCCAAGATTTAAACATCAACCGTCAAGAAAGAGAGTGGCAGCAGTTTTGGAGAAAAAAATAACAAAGAGCAGGATTGGGCCGTTGACCCCTCGCAAATTGGATTGAGCCTCTGACGTCACACAATCTTCAAACTGGATGCTTGTTAAGATTGATTGGTGAAAGGATTCCAGTTCCACTCCAATGACCGCCCTGATTTGTCGGGATAGAGTGTAACAGTGCCGATCATTGGAAGGTTCGAGCTCTGCTAACCGGAATTTGTTCCTATTGGCCAGGATCAACTGATTTTCTGTGATTCTCAAATCCCCCAACCCCCTTGGGCCTCAGATCCTCAATTCACCCAGCGCACCCTCATTGTTACCCACAAATCCGGCGAACATGAGCAAAACGTTGAGCTTCAATCGAGTGCCCATAATGCGCGCTTTGTGACGCTGTCGCTTTCGGATCGCAAAAGAGACGAGGGCGACGCCAATGCTGCTGCCGAATATATTTTGCGGAGCGAAGGTTTCGTCCGACGCCACGACAAATGCACAGCTGACTGGGTGTATGCCCAAGGAGGAATGCCGGTTCCGTTGCTGGAGCCTTGTGGAGCGCCCGTGCAGGTGCCATAAGGCCGATATGAAGCCTAGATTGCGATGACTGCGTTGGCACGTTGCCGGCATTATGCGAGCGCCATTGTGCTTGAATTTGGCCGAGTGATAGTTGACCGTGGTAGATGATGAAGTGTCCTTACTGGTGTCATCAAAATATCCACAATAGCCCAAGGCAGACGGGACATGACCGCGTGATGGCATATCAGCCTGTTAAACTCATGGACTCGAGGCAATTCTAGTCCGCCTCGCACGGTGGAAAGCCTTGAGTGTACATGGGACGAGTAGCGAATTGAATTGTCGTTGTAGCGGTAGTGATGATAAAGATGGTCCCTTGTCGCTGAAGAGCCTGAATGTACTCATGGCCTAGGAGCCCCTAGCTCCTCCCAAAGAGTACTATAGCGATGACTTTTTTGAACAGGGCTAAGCGACTTTGTAGTGGACTACCCCGACTGTTGTAGCTCATGGTAGTCAGGATTGTGTTGGTGTTGATGAAGAGGTTCGGAACGAGGTGAATGTTTGAAGCGGAGCACACCGAGGGTCCTTCGCGCCTTCCCGGACAGTACCGACTCATCTACCTGGTAGTTCACACTGATCTCAAGCTAGGTAAACGAGATAAAGTGCCCTCTCACTGGGCGATGTATGCATTATGTCGCTTGATACCTTTTCCCTACTGGCACGCACGAACGGAGTTACTTTCACTATTACAGCGGTCTATCGATATCCCGTATGGCTTGTCCAGGCGTGGTGCTGCTAGATTCCAAATTACGTCCCTATTCTTGCTTAGAAGGAGCACCGGTTACATGAAGCGTCCATGAACGCAGTGGTATCTTGTGTGTAAAAAATAAGACTTGCCAGATGCACATGTTAACTTGTGAGTGACTACCCAACTCAACCGGAGTGATAAGTACAGAGACCCATTCGCCCTACCCAAGTCGAAGTCCTACCCCGTCTTTCCCACACGGCTACTGCGTTCTCGCATATCACGCTAAACAAACCCCTCTTATTCATGTATACAAAACCAGGTTTATGCAGAATACGCAGAAACCCCCCGCTGAATCTCCGAAACAATCCCATTCGCCAAGTCACCCGCAATCCCCTGCAGGGCATCGGGCACCTTGGGCGTAATCGCATCTCTCAGCGCCTCAGCGGCCGCCTGCTGATCCTGCAGCGAGCTCAGCACATCGCCGGAGCGCCCATCGCCATCAAAGTTCGACTTGGCCCCCACGACCGCATCGACAAGGCCACTGACGTCGGACGTCAGATCCTGAATGGGACTGACGAGCGCAAGGGCGTCGGCGTTCTGGAGCGGGTCGAAGCCCGGGATCGCGGACGCGCCGTTGTTGATCGTTGTCGCGAGCTGGTCGGATGCGCTCTGGACGGCGTCGGCGTTCGAGGAGCCACCGACGTATGCGGAGACGCTGTCGGCTACCGCGGCGACTTGGGCGCTGATTCCGGAGAAAATGTCGGTGTAGTCGGCGAGGGCGCGCTTCTTGGTTGGGATTGGTTCGGCGAAGGCGCTGTAGGTCAGGGCGAGGGTGAGGAGGCCGGTTGCGAGCTTCATTTTGGAAAGTTTGGGTTAGGTTTGGTTTCGATTAGAGTTCTGCGGACAGTTTTGATTGTTTTGGTTTCTCTGGTGATATTGGTGGAGGACGATTCTGAGACGCAAAGCTGCTATTTATGCACTTGTCCACAGCGGTAGTTGGTAAACGAAACCTCGGCGGTCCCTTTCTTCACGGAACATGGATGAGGCGATAATAGAGTACATGTGCCTCAGTATCGTCGTCTCGAGTGGCCAAATTATGGGGTTATGGAATCCTTCGAGGCGATCCTGTAGATCTCTTGCCCTATGAGTATGGCATTAGCGGACCCTACTGGCCCAAATTCTGCGGGGTCGATCAGGGCGTTGCATCTGCTGCCGGAACTCCTAAAAGCTGGAGGTATCTCAGTCCAAAGTCCAGTACTCGATCGACCGTCACAGGGCACGAGTCAGAAACATAATAGATCAGCGTCGTCGTGCGGATCGAACACCAGTCACGGATACAGAGTACTGAGTTGGCGCCAAAAGTATTCGCCCTGTAAGCTGGTAAGATCGGCATCGACCTTCATCGAGCATGCTGTCCCCCGTTACTGAGTGATTTGCTACTGCGCCGGACATCCAAGCTCGTTGCAGTTACGAATTCGACGGTGATGAACATGTTTGCGCCAAGTATGAGCCTCAACAAGACCGAACTTCAACTCAAATAGGCACAACCCTTGATAGACTGGTTGAGCCATTGCGATGACGTGATATCCCACTGTAATGAAATACTAGAAGGACGAATCCATGTTCCGCGCAACCCGCGACTCGGGACGATCTCTTTTCCATGAAAGCTAAGGCGATTTGTCGACGGGTGGCGCGATCTTCCGCCCACCGAGGGCGTCCGCCAAGATCTTTGACTGTATCTGTGAATGTGGGGAATTGGGATGAGGACAGAACAAGGAAGCCCTTACCGGCCGAGTACGTCGTAACACGTAAGGAGGCTTGTGAGTCCCAGGGATAATAATGTTGCAGGGGATATTGCATCATCGTACCTCCGAGTGGTTTGGTTCTCAGTAGATGCAAGGTATCATTTTATGCTATCGGGGTACGTTCGTCATGCATAATTCAAGGTAAGGAGAAGAAGGTCGTTGTTGAGGAGTCTAGAAATATATCCCCAACTTAGTGCATAACATTTATGCATGGATTGTTTTAGGTATGATAGATCAAAGTTGCCGCTTAGAATATAACAATCAAAGTGATTTAAATAGCGCCTGCAACTGGTACATAAAATGTATGATAGCACCAGTGCCAGAGACGACCTGAAAGGAATGGAAAACTTGACAAATTCACGTATAGCATATAATCATCTGTTCCGCACTGCACAGAGAACCGCAATCGCCGAGTGAATGAACTATCGGGCTGATCAAGTTATATATTATGGATAGTAGGCCCGGGGTTTCCCAAGCCGAATATCCAGCCCATAAAGGGGCACCTCTTGAGAACGGATATTATCTTCTACTCACTTATGGGTAAATTAGAAGCCGGAACACTCCTTATTTACCACCCTTATATTCGCTATTAGCATTCGAAGGCGACTCGATCAGAAACCGAGATCTTGGGCTGCATTATTGTAAGAGGCAAGTAATAGTGTAACTAGCATCATCCATACCAGGAAACTTTGAACAGCATAGGTCGACCTTGTACTACCAGGCAATTTCATATGCTGAGGTCTTTGGGCAGGGACCCGAGTACGCCGGCGAGCGTCTTACTCGCCGAGAATAATTCTCGGGCCCGAGCTGCCAATAGAGCTACCGTAGGCACCGAACAAGTAACAAGCCTGTTATTCTAAACTGCGACTCATGGGTTCGACCTATAGCAAAGACAAATCCTTTATCAGTCCAGATCTGAATGACAAGGCTGTTGCTGTGTAGTTGAGAACAACCAATCACGAAAGGCTGAAGAGGATTTATCACATTGCCCACTAACAATCACCATTCCTCCAGTCAATGCCGGGAAGCAGTTGAGGCCCAATGGCATCGACTCTCGTCAGTCCCACGCGCGGTAAGCCTGTTGGCCTGATATCCGCGGTCTAGAGTCATTTGGACCCATACTAATGTCTAAATAATGGGTCGTCTCCTGTAACTGTTATGTCTTTACTAAAAAAGCCGTGAATTGCACGCGTCTATCTAACCGCAATCTAGTATTCACAGCAAAAGAAAACCCCTATAATCTAAGAAGAATTTTTTGGAAGGGGGGAGGAGCATAATCAGATATATAAAGGATTCCTGTTGTCCTCCAGGGAAAGGAAAGGGCAGGCACCACTCACGATCTCGGGGTCTGATTTCGTAGAGCATCACCGCCGCGACCTGTGAATTGGACATGCATTCGCGGTCGCTGGGGAGACCACATCCAGATGAGCAAGGCGTATTACAGGCCTGCCGCCTAAGATTGCTCCTACCTTTCAAAGGAGATATGAAGGAGGTGGTTGGGAAGGAGCGACGGGCGTTTCTTGAGGCTGATTCGAAAACCACGGCCCTAGGAGGGGTAACCAAGATACTGAAGTAACGACTACTGGACAGTAACAGTGCCCTTGTATCACCAGCACCACATGCAACCCGTTGCCGCCAGGGTCAATGCCAAAATGCCCGAGCACGGCGGCCATTGGAGGCTTTCGGGCTGAGAGTCTTAACACCACGCGCGGACAGTCCATTGAGCAGCAAATCAAGAAGCGAGTGGCGAGACAATGGCATGTTTGCTTCGCCTAACTCAAAGCGAGGCGGAGAATTCCTGTTCAAGCATGAAGAAGAGCGGGGCGGAGATCCAGCCGAGCCTTAGGTGAGGCTTACCAAGATCTGCGTGTGGGCTGATTTACGAGAGGGTTATTGGTGGAGAAAATCTCAAGCTGCAGAGTTAAGCCGGGAGTAACCTAGCTTGCTGAACTTAATCTAAGATTAATATACGCCAGTCGCCTTCACGTTCGGGCGAGAGATCCTGCAAGCGTGTCAGAAGTGCTCGCAGTCAGGGACAAACCAGCGAGCTGATCATGGACACAGACAAATTTCGGTGCATTGCCATGTCTCACAGGCGTACACGTGCTGACTAGAGCTTTCTCATCTCGCCTTAGCGCTCTAGTCGTGGAGTTCAAGCGGGGCAAATGTCTCGCTGAACGGACCATGTGGGCCACCAGCCGCCTGCGCACTTCGCAACTCGCACAGTGCCATACTGGCCGGACCCTGTGCTTATAGTGCTACAGGGCCCAGCGGCGAGCCAGCAATAAACGCTGGAGAGACAAGGGCCGTTGGTAATTGCTTACATGCATGGCCGCGGTCTATAGCTATATCCACTTCACACTGGGTGGCACGATACTTTCGCCTTCAACGAGAGTATAAATAGCCTGCAACATCCCACGGGAAACAAAACTTCCCCTCATCAAGACTCCAAAACCCAAATCAAACAAAATGAAATTCAACAACATCCTCCTCCTCTCTACCCTCACCCTCGCCGCAAATGCAGCCGACTGCACGGCGCCCAACCAGCAATGGTTCAGCAGTTCAGCAGTGCAAATGATGTGGTCAATTCGTGCCTGGCTGTGTCCCAACGCCTGGAACCAAGCCATCACTGCGGGTCCCGACGGCGGCTGGTGCGAGGCTGGTGGTGGCGTCATCAGCGCGTACTGGGGTACCTGGACGATTTCGGGGATGCAAAGTGAACAGCAGTGCTGGGTATTTCACCTCTCGTCTCCCTCCCCATGTTCACCTCCTTTGGTGGCGTATGTTGTGTTTGTATTAGATGCGGGTTGCTAACCCATATGTACAGGACATCACCGAAGAAATCATCAACCAGTGCATGTGGTATGACTTCGAACAGACGAGCTACAATGGCGGCAGCTGGACATATGGCAATATCTACGCCGGTGGCTGGTTCTGGGCTGACTCCAGCAAAACCTGCTCGCATGCTGTGAAGAGGGATGCAGAACTCGAGATTGAGGGACCGACGAACTTTACCCTTGCTGATGGGACGGTTCAGAAGGTTGATCGCCAGGTTTGGCTTGATATTAACGAGGAGGGCGTCACGGTTGTTAGGGAGGAGACGTACTAGTAGTATCTTCGAGTACAGTGAAGTCGGAGTAACGGGGGTATGTGCTGTGCGATAGAGAATTGGGGAAGAGGCTGGGGAGTCGGAGCCTGTGAAGTAGGGAATATCATGAATGCATTGACAGAAACACTGTGTGATAGTATAATCGGGAACTTCAGTATCTGAGATGAAAGCGCTGAACCTCCTCTATGATCTTCTTAACACGCGACTCAACGCTGTCCTCACGAACCGAGTCCCGGACATCCTGTACGATGTCCAGATACATTACTGCATGCCACCGAAACTTCCCATCCGGATTCATCATCTCATCCAAAAGTTCCAACACCTTCCTCAGCTCAAACTCAGCTTTATCGAGGTACCGCATGCGAACACGCACCACAGCGTGTCACACTCGCGCTGGCGGTATCCACATGTAGTGTGCTCTGGGCAACTTCGTCGTATACGGCGTCCGCATATGGAAGGGTAAACTGTTGCCTCTTGCTCGTTGGAGCATGTCATGATGTTTCATGACCAATTGACTTGATGGCAAGGGTTATCATTTCCCTCCACTCGTCCTTTGACATGTTCTTCTTGAGTACATCTTGTACATAGGGAAGCATGGAATAGCCAACATGTCCCCAGGCTAATTTTAATTCTAGGAGACTATATCTCACAAGGGATGCGGTAGCACTATAAAACAAATTCTCGGTCAATGCGACGTCCGAAAGCCACCGGCTGGATTCGGGGAGTAGATCGGCCATGACTCTAGCGACTAATGAGTACCGAATATTGTCATTATAGTAGCAGGCCATGAGGTAGAGGAGTTTTGCTGAGTTGGGAAATTTGCTCTCGATTGCTTTGTATGAGAGTGTGACGGCTGTTTCCAGTGGTTGTTCAGGGTGTGTCTATTGTTCATGCTTTCTGTACAGGTGCTGGTAGTTAGAGGGGGAGACTCCCAACTGGGTGATATGAAGACCCAGCCATCATCTGCATTCCACGTGACTCACAAGCCCTCCACCATCCTCCACTTTCTCAATTTCTCGGGAGCTTCCCATCTCCATCTCTCACCAGCCTACACAATCCAATTCCTCACGAGGGTCTGGGACTCTGTTGAGCTGCCTTTTCTGAATATACTCCTCCCAAAAGACCCTTTACCGACTACTGATTAAATCCGACAATGCACAAATATCCTCTGGGACCCCACGACTAAGAGGCTCGGACTTGAGGATATGCCTATTTTTCCACTGGGCTCGTAACCCGCCCCTAGTTGACTTGACGTCGATGTCGGCCTAATCTGCCCGCCCATGTCTCAATGCCTTCAGCGCCAGCCTACCGAGCACCTGTTATGCGTTCCAGCAACGGGCTAATCACCCGACCATATTTCGTTTAACTCCCCAAAGATCGGGGCCCAGACATTTCCCCGCGTTCTGTCTTTAGTCGGTAAAGATTTCCGCAAAGGACAAAACCTTCCGAGCCGCATAGCCCAGGCCCAAGGGGAGGCTTATAAGCACTGAATCTCCATTGTGCATAGCCAATGGGGTAGGTATTTTGTCCCGTCCCTCTTTTGACAAGCAGCCCTCCACCCAGATGCCGAGAATTCATCTAGCTAACCAGCCGTCCTCCTTGTCGTCGGTAACTGCCAAAGAACCACATAGTGAGGGGACCGCGGCGGACAGTCTGTGCCAGGACATGGTCCAGGTCCTGCCAATGTTCAATATTGCCTTTATCCGCGCTGCAAGGCAGGGACAGGATGGTGTATGAGCACAAGCAATACCTAGTGCAGATCCAATGGGGGCCATTTTGAAAAGGCGGCCATGCCATTAGACCGTTTGCTATTTTGGGGAAGAGCGTCTGCTTACGTCGGCCGTTCTGACTTCTTGTAGGAATCACTGTCCTGGACCGGCGAGCTATCAGTGCTGTGTCGCTAGTTGAGCTGCTTTCTTAGGAGTCTTGGCTCAGATTCATCGGTCATTCCTTACGATTTCAGGCCGCGCGTTCAGCTTGCTGAATATGTCGCCATATATTGCCTATAAAATAAGTGTCTAGTACACTCAGCCTGGGATGCGCCTGTGGTTACGGCTCTACTAAGTCTCTTTCCTGGTACTGTAAGTATAACCGACTTCCAAGTCTTGCGTGCTTTGTGACGAGGTATCTAACTTCCAATCTTCTATCGCCGCTTACTTACAAATAAAATTGTCTACCATTATCTTCAACGCGTTGTTTCAACTTGATCCAGACAGCCTCACACAGTCCCCTGTATATTCCGTTCCATAAAAGGCGCTTTTTCCAAAGCATTGGCTTGAATGTCCCAGACCTTTTTCCACATCCTCCTCCACCTCTCAACAGCTGTAGCCGCCGCATCGGAATCAGCCCTGATATTCGTAGCAAGCATATAGAATGAAGACCTTTTGGCGTGAGTCTTTGGGTGCTTATACAAGCGGACGGTCGCAAACTTGTCAAACGTGTACAAAAGATTTAGGGAATCCAGCGCCTCGACCTTGTGCAAGAGAACAATCATTGACCCTCCAGCCTTCAGATGTCCAAGACCCAGCGCTAGCTGTGTGAGGCTCAGCCGGGTTGCTTCTCTCTTCTCGCGATAGTCTGCGCGGTCGTGGGTTCTCAGAACTTGACCATCACACAGCACAAGGTCGAATTGATCCTCTGGTTTGAACTGTCTCGGCAGTAAGTTTGCAGCGTCTGGGTGCTCGGCCGGGATATCTGTCACCGCCACTCCCATATCTGCAGCCAGCATGGTTATATCGAGGAACTTCAGAGTAACATTTCGAGGGTGCTGCAAGAGGACTTTATGTCCACCCTTTTCCGTCGGTAGGCTGAATCCGACAGCTCGAGCCCGGGATTGAGGCGCAATGCTGTGGCCAGAAAGCCGCCCAGGGCCATGCACATGTCGAGGATGGCTTTCTTATTATCCGGACCAGCGCTGTCGGTGTTGATCTGGAAGACGCCAGTGAGGTGATTGATATGCGTGGCCATGTCCCTCATCATGTTGAAGAAAATCCTGGCTGTTTTTTTGTCGGCGTTATCGGCTGTGTTTCGCTGCTTCTCGAAGAATTTGTCGCCTGCAGGGTTTCTCCAGGCCTGTTTGAGATTATTAGCTTGGAGCCTGGAGCTCTGGATACGCGAGGAAAGGTCTTTTGGACCACTTACCTTTTCTCTGAGCTCTGATAGTCGCCGAAACTCTGGAGCTTCTTTGAGGAGGTACTCCACTACTTCGTAGGAAACTCTCCCGCCGCCACGATCAAGAGACGCGTGTTCCTCGCCATTCATTTCCTTTTGCGAGCAGGTCTCGGAGGTACTGCTGATCACCGCTGGTGCATTCATCTGACTGTCTTGGAGCTCCGCTGGTGAGGTCATTTTCGTAGCCACTGGTTATGGGAGGATGGGGGATGACACACACAGAGAGAGAGAGACGGCCAGAGAGAAGAAGAAGAAGGGAGAAGAAAGAAGAAAAGAGTGAGAAGGAAATAAAAACATGAATATATTTTCACTTAGGCTTCCATCCTTCTTTGATTCATACTAGGTGAACGGAAATCTTCCCTTTGGCATGGGAGGGCGAACAAACAAACCCCCAGCCAATCAGATTATCTATACAACCAATGGAGAGTATTAGAGAAGCGGGCTGACATGGCACTGCCAAGGGCGCGCGGGAGGGAGGCACGCACATATAAACTCAGGAGACAAATACCAGGCGTAAAATGAATGATTCCCACCAACCTTCCCACCACCATCCAAGCTGCTCCCCGAAGGACAAACAACCCAGAATCGAGCTACTCCAAGCTGAAGTCGATGAAGATGATCAAAGCTTTTTCCGTCTCTTGGTCAATAGCGAGTCAATAAAATACATCACCATGGAGCCAGGGCTTATAGCTCTAAAGACATGTGTTTTAGCCCATCGCTTGTATCTCTCTTGCCAGAATTCCCTCCGGGCGATTAGAACGATGGACTCGTGGCTACGAGCCCCAATGACGGCCAACTATATTTTGCGCATACTCGCCTCACTCAATTTCCCGGAGTCCTACATACGTGGCACGCCCGTGGCACGCCACCTCAGTAGATTACCTGGAGCTCACAATCTGTCGAAAGTTACGAACAGGCATCTACGAGACCATATCATCAGTGTTCGGCGAGGCGACCATCGTTGCGAAATTCACCCGCTTTCCCTGGGAGATTGGATACATGGAAAACGAAACCTGGGCATATAAATGGATAAATGGCCACGACATCGGGCCTCGGTTTCTAGGTCATCTGACTGAAAACTGCCGAGTGATTGGACTCTTGTTGGAACGTATAACAGGCGCTCGGCATGCTGGCGCTGCGGACGTTGATATCTGCAAAGGGGTATTATCCCGGCTGCATGGGCTGGGAGTTCAGCACGGGGATACCAACCGGTTTAACTTTCTAGTAAGTGGCGAGACGGCCGTTTTGATCGATTTTGATACGGCGAAGAAATGCGATGATGCCCAGCTGCTTCGGCAGGAGCTTGAGGATCTCCCCGCTCGCCTCTCAGACGTGTCAAGCAGAGGGGGTGGAGGCCTTCTTTGACTGTGCAGAGGGGAATATTGTAGCAGTTGCTTTATGGCGGTGGAACCTCTATGCCTCAGTGGGAGCAATGCGTATAATCGTTCCGGTTACTAGGAGACGAGTGCTGTTGGGGTTAGAACGAAGGACCACTCGATAACGTCTTAAGAATCTCCTCTCTCGCTCGAAACTTTTTGAACTGATTAACTATCGTCTTAACTCTGCTGCATGTATTACGGAAGACCTTCGCTAGAACTTCAATTTACTGCATTCCTTCAAAAACGCTGTACCGTACTAGTAGTAAATCTAACTATAGTTCGCCCGTGAAGCGTGGTCTGCTCCTGTTTCTTCGGTTAGGTTGAGTTGGTTGAGCTAGCTCTCAAAGAACGGATACTCTATCTCTACTAAGATCCATTATTTCTCCAGCAAAACGGGTCCTCCTATCCGTCATCCTTCACAGCGAGGACTTGGCCTTGACCCGGCGGGAATCACTATCTACGCTCAAGGTTAGCATTGGCCATACCTTATTCAAGTAGATGAAACACATACTCTGCGCCAGCTGCTCCGTCTTCCTTTGAAACCGCTCATATGGCGCCCCGTCAACAAACCGTTCCGACAGGGCGCTCGCAGCATCAAACATGGCAACAATCCGTCCATCCCTCAATGGTGCATTCTGCAACCGCTTTGTCTCCATCATACTCTTCCCATCATTAACCTCCAACTGCTCCTTTAGAAACGCACGCACATGCTCCTGAAAGCCCTCCGCGGGGAAAATCCGATTAATGAGTCCCCATGACTCCATTTCCTCGACGGTACACTTGCGTCCGAACATGAGGAAGTCGTTTGCGCGGCGCACGCCCATACTCTGTGCGAATGTCCGGGCTGCGCCGAACTCTGGGACAAGACCCAGGGAGTTGAAGGGCACTTGCAGGTATGCGCCGGCTGCAGCGACGACGATGTCTGCGATGCCTTCGAACCAGGCGGCGCCGCCGCCGACGGCGGGGCCGTTTAGGGCTAGAACGAATACTTTGCGGTGGTCGATCATTGAGCGGAAGAGTTCCATTTCTGCGTATGTTATTGAAAATTGGTCCAAGGGCTGAGGCTAGGTTAGACTAAGGACATACCACTTGAGAATTTGCGCATGTACCAGAGCTTTTTCTGGGCGTCTGTTGCGCCCGGTGGTGGAAGTTCGAGTCCGGCTGTCCATGTTAGATCCTGAGAATAGTGACTATAAATATATATACTTACCCTTGATGTCCGCTCCAGCCGAGAAGAAACGGCCTTCGCCGGTCAGGACGGTGAAGACTGTATCTGGATGCTCGTCTAACTCCCGAAACGCAGTCACCATATCATGGAGAAGAGTCGTGTTCCATGCGTTTAGTGATTTCGGTCGGTTCAACTACGGCCGTGGTGAGCCAAGAATGCGATGCGGGGAGAGTAGCTCACTTTAATGACACCGATTTGGTTACGAACATCGAGTTCAAGATGTGTATATGTAGGGGACATGCCGACTAGGGTTATAGAATAGAAAGTCCTCTTCAAGAGTAATCGCGAAGTTGAAATCGTCAGCAGCTGAATTGCGCTGAAGATGTCCCTCCCTGGCTATCGGCTCTACACTAGCCGCGGCTGTCGGTCAATCCCCCGCCAAAGTCAAAGTCACACAGAGGACTCGAGAAAGGTCCGGCAAGCTACAACTGTTGTAGGGGCTTGAAGCAATCCCGGGCCTGTAGGTACTACATTCAGGCGAAGAAAAAGTCCCGATGAAAACGGAAGGAGGAAGTAGTTCGCGCCTGCCTTCTGGTGTTGGCAGAGGAGGGCATAAAGATGCATAATTATTCAGCTCAGCGGCATAGCTTATGCGGCCCAAAGAGGCATGATGTAAACAGTCGCCACTGAGTGGCCAACCGCGTTGGTGCCATGACGTCAACTCACCGCCTGCCGCTTGTGGGGTTTTATTTACCGCTCCATTTTGCTCTTCACGCAAGCACCTCACACATTCCAACATCACACAACCTTGCGTCAATTTCGCGAAAACCCGGCACCCTCAAATTCATCGCTCCCTTCCGGCCTAAGAAACATTTTTTGCTGTTGATTTCTTCTTCCTCCTTCCGCAATGGCGGTTCGTCGCTCCGCACGCCTCAGGAGCCTTCAGCCTGTCGAGGTAAGCTGCTGCTCTTGACGCCCTTGCGTTTGAACGCTGCTGACCCTCACTTTTCGTCGCAGGACACTCCAGAGCAGCCCAGTAACGCTAGCAACAAGCGATCAAAACCTAATCACAACAACAAAACACCGCAGAAGAACCTCGAGCCCGTGATCGAGCGCGAAGAACCTACCCTTCCCAACCCTCACCGCACCCCCACCTCAGCCGTCAAGATGCGCACTCCCAAGAGCACACACTTCCAGAAATCCTCCCCCACTAAGACTCCGACCACCTCCATAACACGCCCAACTCACAACGAAATGCACCCGAGCAAAGTCCACCAGAGCACAACCAAGCAGCCCGACTCGGGCCTGATCCTCGGATTCGGCCCGGTCAAGAAAGACGCCCAGGGCAATGTTGTAAAGGAGACTCCCGCCCAAAACACGCCGAGCAAAACAAACGCGTCGCCTTCGTCCGCGTATTACGGCACACCCGCGTTCGAGTTCAAGTTTTCGTCCGAAGATTCCCAACTCAGCGATGAAGCGAAGAAGCTCATGGAGAGCCTGCGTGATGATGTCGCCCGGTGCAGGGCACAGATGGTCAAGGGGAAGACCGTGTCTACCGCTGTGCAAAACATCGAACGCAAAATCGCGAAGCCCAAGGGTAAAACTAGCAGATTCTCGGACGTGCACATGGCCCAATTCAAAAAGATGGATTCTATCGCCAATCATCCGTCCGCGTTCCGTGCTACACCTGATCGGTTCAAGCCGGTAGACAAGACCCTCAAGAGAACTAACTCCAAGGCGCGTTTGAATGAGGCTGCAAGCTCTTCGCCTTCTAAAGCTGCGGACGAATCTGCTCCGGAAACTCCTGCGGCGAAGCGTGTCAAGCACGATAAGCCTGAGGTCTCCTCTGCAAATCGTCCCCGATCGGCTAGGCCAGCTGCGTCTCGTCCCAGGTCTAGCATCCGCAGCTCCCTGCTCACACCGACTCGTGCTTCTTTGGCCCGTGCGTCTGTCAGCTTGAAGCCCAGTCGCACTAGCATGATTCCTTCTCTCGGTCGATCTCCTCTATCTAAACAGATTGATGCTCCAAGCACTCCTCGCACGGAATTCAACCCACGCTTTAAGAGCAGCATTCCCACCTTGAGCAATCTTAAATCAATTCTCCGCCGTCGCGAACCTTTGTTCTCGAAGGACCCCTCCAAGATTGCTGCTGGCACACACCAGGCAGCTCCCGACTTCACTCCCGATCTTCTGCTACGGCCATCTCGCGAGAGCTCGCCCTCTGGAACACCCTCTCCCAAGAAGCGGGTCGAGTTCACCCCTTTCGCCAAGCCTCGCGACACCGAGGAGATCCTCTCCCCTTCACCCTCCAAGATCCCTACCACCACTTTCACATTCTCAACCACATCCGACGTGGTCTATCCCACTTTGCCGACGCTGACCCCCGAGCGTGGCAGCGCTCACAAACCCACACCTGTGCGGCCGGTTCGTCCCTCAGAGGTGCCCGTTGAAGCCACCCTCCCCGAAGTCCCCGGCATGCCCCACGGTATTAGCCACAAGAAGAGACATCGGGCTACCGAGGACGACGCCGACCGTGAAAACGTCCCACCTGCCGATGAGTCTGCGAATGAACGCAGCGTAAAGCGTGTCAAGATCAGCTCGCCCTCGCCAACCAAGGTGATTGCTTCCAGCCCACTCAAGTCTCGTTCGCGCACTCCTCTCCGATCCACCTCTGGCAGTCGCACCGGAACCCCAGCCAGTGCCCGCGCCAAGTCCCGCATGCTCAGCATGAGCAGACTCAACCTGCTAGCCCAGCCCAAGAGCCGGCCTTGAAGGATCACTGAACATAACGATTGCATTTACAGCGTTCAGGATTAGCATGTACCTTGCCGAGTCGGTTCAGGTGTGCGCCCAAGCCGCCTTGTGTATTTATTACTTCTTGATTTGATACCTTGGTCCCGTTGTGGCCTTGCTTCTTGTTGATTCTTCAGGCGCTTGGAGCATCCGGTCTGGTAGCCAGGATTGGTGGCGTTTTCTTTTTCTTCTATCTGTCAGAGTATTGAAATTGCCGGATTGCCTTCTAATATGAACATAACGCTTTTCGAGACTTGACCTCTATAAATACGGCGAGGCAGATGTCACGCCCTCGTACATTTCGATCCCGAATAGCAATACCTAAAGCACGGCGTTCCCGTCATGCCATGTGGACCTGCTACTTGTTACCATTCAACCCTACCGTCGGCTTCCTGCAGATTGAACGGTCTATGAGAACCCGCTCAACACTCGCGCTCACTCAGCGTTGGACCCGTGACCGATGATCCCCAACTGTCGAGTTCCAAAGATAATATCCCTCCCTGACTCCTTGGCCTGCCACGGTAGCCATCATGATGCACTCAGCCCTGACTACCCGCTCTCGTTACCTCCGCGTCCGAGGCTCGGAGCCAAGAGGGTCGCTTGCACGCTCCACCACGCCTTATCGACCGTGCGGGGAGGCCATCCAAGACGAGGGCCCTGAATCGGGGCTTCTGGGTGGAGGAAGAGAGACGGAGCGAAACAGCCTGCAGCACTCGTCCTAGTAGGTCCACGTTGGAAACTGTTTTGTGGATAGATGGGCCCGTTCGGAACGACGGAACACCTTCCTGAATCGGACTCCGCAACTCCGAGCTGTTGTATGATGTAGTGGGGTTTTTGGAGACGTCATAGAAGCTGCTTCAAGTCCATTCTTGTTCCACGTGTTCTGACTTTAATCTTTCAGAGCCGCCGTTGACTTGCTTTTTTAGCATATGGCTTCAATTGAAGCCCGTGCGATTCAACCCTAATCAATTGCGAATATGGCGATCCCGCAAACCATGAAGGCATTGCGCCTGGTCAAGGTGCGTTGAATGAAGCCGTGTACTTATCCTACTGCATGAGCCTAATAAATCACAGTATGGAGAGCCTTACAAGCTACAAGAAATCCCCACCCCCACAATCACAGATAACGACCTATTGATCAAAGTCGGGGCCGCCGGCTTCTGCCACACAGACTACCAAGTCTACAAGGGGACATACCAATCCCCCTGCCCGCTAACAGGCTCGCACGAGCCCGCCGGAACAATTGTCGACGTCGGCAAAACCGCCGCGGCGTCCGGATGGAAGAGAGGGCAGCGGATCGGGATGCTGAATTTCCGGCACGCGTGTAAGGCTTGTGTCGGGTGTAGGGTTGTCCAGCAGGACACACAGCGTCCGGATATCCGCTTCTGCGAGAAGAAGGATATGGCGGGGGTTACTGCCGATGGCGGGTTCGCCGAGTATGTTGTTGCGGATGCGGACACCACTGTTCTACTGCCTGATGGGTTGGAGTTTGAGCAGGCGGCGCCGTTGATGTGTGCTGGTGTGAGTTAGCTTCTTCTTCTTCTTCTTCTTCTCTCCTCATATCTGTGGGATGGGATAGGCTGTGCTGACTTGCTCTAGGCGACGGTGTGGGGAGGACTCGATGCCGCGGGGGTAGAACCTGGCCTGCCCATTGGGATAATCGGAATCGGCGGGCTAGGTTCTCTCGCGGTGCAATTCGCCGTTGCACGAGGCCATCCCACAGTCGCCATCGATAACCGGGCTGAAGGCCGACAACTCGCCAATGAAGGACCAGAACAGCTACGACCCCAGAAAACCATTGACTCGACCTCCCCAAATGCAATGCAGGAAATCATCGACTTTGCCGGTGACGGAGGTCTCGCAGCCGTGCTAGTCTGCACCGACAACGTCAAAGTAACGGAATGGAGTCTTAAACTCCTCCGGCCACGGGGTGTCTGCGTGCCGCTCGGACTTCCAGAGGATGGGTTCAAGTTCAGTGCGTTTGATCTGATCTTCAAGGAACTTAGGGTCAAGGGGAGTCTGGTGTGCAATCAGCCGCAGGCGTCGGAGTTGATGAAGCTTGTGGCTGAGAAGGGGGTTCGTTCGCATGTGACGAGGATTGGGTTGGCGGAGGCGATGGATTTGCCGGAGAGGTATATGGATCCGCATCTCAAGGGGCGGCTGGTTGTTGTTTTGTAGATGGCCTCATTGTCGATACTTTGCTGGAAATGAAGTAATATATGTCTGAAGCCTCAAGTTCGCGGTGATTTAACTGGCATTGGGCGATGATTCGATGACCGTGGTCATGGAAGTGACTTCGTTCTAGTTATTGAATGTTGTGTAGATGGGGAGCATAATAGAGGTGTCCAAAGACAACGTGGATCAATTGGCCTTTGCAGATGCCTATTCCACAGCCAATCGGGTCTAGGTACCAGCGGCGATGTAGACGCAAATTCAGTCGTTTTATCCTTGACCCCCTCAAGGTGCTCCCTGGATCAACCACCCAGTCCTCCCACGCCGTTATGGAAGAAGGCCTGTTAGGGACTCTCGCTTTCTGACCCCGTCCTACATGACTGCAGTCTTCTAGAAAGCAATACACGATCGAACTCGGGGAAGCCCATTCTACTCTACACCAGTTTCAAAAAGCCACTGACGGTCTCGAAGCCCATCCACGACGTGTTCCCTAGCTCAATGTGGCGAAACGGCTGCTTTGTTCCTCGTCGTCCCGACGTAGCCACTGCGGTAACAATGGCCCCGGGCGCAATGCTGAACAATGAAACACTTACTCGTCAGCTGGGTCGGGCGGCGGCTGTGTGGTCCTGGATCCAGGGTCCATTCTCGAAGACAACATCAAACGGTCGCCCAGGTTCATTTCCGCAGCGGATACCGCAACCCGTTGGGTCTAGGTGTACCCAAAACACCCACTGTGTAGGCCGCGACGTGGAACATTCCGTACCCTCGCTCCTCACGAGCACCTTGTGCTTTCGACTTGGACATCACGCTCCGGCAGCCGATGTCTACGCGAGCATGTTCGAGTTGGCTTTCTCCGGCTACACACGCGCAGGCTGATCGGCTCCGGGCGCTGTGTTGTGAGAGGAGACTGATCTGATTACAGGAGGAGGGAGCGAAAGGGCGGATAAGTAACGTTCGGAATTTGATTCCGGTGGAGAGGACGTCGATGACTTTGACCCTCGACGAGGGGATTTGTCCCATTTGTGTGAGGGCCTCGATTACGTTATAATATGGGACGCCAAGAATGCAACCGGAGACGGGATTCCTGCTCCATGGTTGGGCGGTTGTGGGAAGGCCGTTGGGAACCAGGAGCTGGTCGACGGCGGAAAGAGGTCGAGGTCGGGGCCGGCGGATGGGAGGACCACTCTTTTGGGGAGGGGAGGAGGACCTGGTCGGAACCTGGAACGCGGGAGGTGAGGTGGGCTGATAGAGGATTCCACGTGTATCTTGTAACTTCCGCGGAGATGTGACGAGTCAACTGTAAATATCATGATGCAGCATGTGTCTCATTCCTGATGCGGGTACTTTACGCGACGAGACGGCCCAGTTCCAGTTCCAACAAGTCTGCAACAGGCGCAGCGAGAATAATCATGTCGATAGCTCGATTGTACTTTTACTATTGAGCGAGTCTCAGTCCTTTTCCCCCTCCCCGCCGGAGTTCAGCCTCCGCCTCGTTTCCCAAAAGTCTTGAATCAGACTTCAAATCCAATGCCATTCACATCGCAGGGCTGCAGCACGTCTCCTGACACGCTCCCCAGATCTCCAGAAACTCAAAGCGCACGAGCCGTGGTTCCGCTGCAGCAGATTGTTGCCCGCATCCGGATGAGCTTCCCATGGGTCGGGCGAAGCTTATTCTGCTGCAGAACGCTGGCCTATCAAGAGCACTCGGAGGCTACATCTGGAGTCCGGGTGCTATTTGAAATCCCGAAGCTAAGAGAATTGAGACGTGACCAGACAAAGAACGGTCTCGATCTCGGTCTTGGCCGGCTGTGCATGCCACCGTGTGGGAGTGGTGGTTATCCATCAACTGCGCCAGGGTTTCGAGATAGCCGTTGGATGAATGTTTGATGGAGACACGCAGCTCCTGAAGACATGTCAAATCCATCACCTGGATCGCGACCGTTGCCGCTCGGACCAAGGGCTGCGCCAGCCCATCTCCGCCCTGCACAACCAATGCGCGCGCAATCGCAAATCGCGACAGCCAGTAGGGAACGCGGCCAGACTCGAGACGGCACGATCGACGGCTAGTCCCACAACAGCGAGCGGGTCTGGATGAGGTTTTCAGGAATTGACAGGTCTGGGGGCCGATTGTTCGTCCAGATGCTTTGACAGGATCGACAAACATGGTTTAGGCAGAACAAAGAAAGTGACTGGCGCGAGCGGGGAATGCGGCGCACGGGCTGAATGACCCATCGCTGATTCTGGCCAGTCACATTCCAGATCACCTCTGGGCGAGGCCGTGGTTTCTGAGCCATCGAGCCCTGAGATTCTCCACCGGGGCCGGCTGGCCAGGCCCCGGTCCCCTCCGCCTGTGGTGAGATCATTCCTGGATGCATCAGAACATGGTTTCGTTTCACACGTGCACGTATCTCGTGTATAGATACTTGGGTCATTCTGCTGTCAAGTTCATTGTCCTGTCTATTCGACCTTTCCCCATGGCATTCATGTTTGACAGTTCCTAGCAGGCCATGGCCTCGGCCTACAGTGAGACGGGAACTGCGGTCGCGTGTATTTTCTTCCTGGTGACAGTCTGGGTCTCGTCAGCCCTGCGCGTGTATGTGCGCGTGAGCTATGGCAAAGGGCCCTTCCTTGATGATCTCCTCGCAGTCCTCGCAGCAGTACGATTCCTTTCATGATAATAACAACTAGCCCCTTTCTAACTCGCTATTGACAGATCCTTTTCACCGTCTACACCATCATCTTCATCTACTACCAGATCAACAACATCACCCCCTTTGATGTCTCCGCAAAGCCCACCGGCGGCCAATCACAGACTCCTCTACCCCCGTCCCATGAGCGAGAAGTTACCCACCGCAACCTCTTCATCTGCGACCTCCTCTACACCTTTGGCACATACACCATCAAGCTCTCCTTCACCGTAATGCTCCTGCGTCTCGTGCAGACGCGCCGCCAATTCTGGGTCCTCGCCGTCACCATCATCTCCGGCGCCATACTCACCGTCGCGTCGATCATCCACGATCTGCTCTTTTGTCGGCCGATCGAGTACCAGTGGACGCGGTTCGGCCATCCAGATGCCAAGGGACACTGCGATGCGTTTTGGACCCGGGCGGTCATTACCCTCATCCACGGGGCGTGGGTCATGCTTGCGGATATTACCTTGGGAATTATTGTCCCGCTCATGCTTCTGTGGAACATACGCATGCATCCGCGGACGAAGCTTTCGATCAGGCTTTTGCTAGGACTGGGTTCGTTGTTTGTCTCCCTTTCCCTTCTCCCTAAAAAGAACACCAACCCCCTTCCCTTTTTCTTCCACCCCACTTCCCCAACGCATGCTAATCCACGCAAAACAGAGCAAGTATCGCAACCATCATCCGCCTGGCCTACCTAGGCCTCGCCACAGACCCAACGGTAACCTGGGCCATCGTCCCCATGGCCTTCTGGTCGATCATCGAGCAAGGCGTGAGCATCACATGCATCGCGATCGCGACGCTGAAACCGCTCTTCGTGCGGATCGGGGTCGTCGATCCGCGTGATCAGTCTCCCGTCCGCTTACCGACGAGCGATGTCTTTGGGCAGGGGGATGTGGAGAATATGGCAATGCAGGACTCGATGAATTCGGGGTCGCATGGGGCGCAGAGTGGGGTGAGTGCCGGTGGGAGTCTGGGGTCTGGGGAGTGGGGTGCAGGTGGGAATGGGAATGGGACGGCGACGCTTTTGGCGAGCAAGAGGGGGTGGAGGGAGAAGGTGATGGTTAAGGTGAGGAGTATGAGTGGTGGGGGACAGGGGAACGGCAATGTGAATGGGAATCGGAATTGGAATCCATGATGCAAGCACGGGTTCTGAGAGTCGTGTCTTTGCAGGGATGAGGTGAAATGCGGCATTTAGCCTGGATAAGAAGGTGAGGGTGGAAAAGGGAAACACGCTGTGCGCTAAGACTGTGATTCTTTGTGGCATCCTGCACGGGTGGAGTGGTGTCTGATACCCATGGTCGGCTGCCTTTTTTTTTCTAGTTCATCCCCAGCGAATGTCTGGGAGTTATTCCATGTATTATATGTACCCATACAGACTTGATTCTCTAGAATCAATGTGACTTCCCTATTTGGATCAGGTTGTAATTTAAATACACTAATGCTTTACATACTAAGTCCACGGCGATGGCCACCTGGATTTGCCACGGCACCTAGTTTATTAGTAAATAAAAAGTCCCTGCTATAACTAATGCTAGCGACGCAAAAATAACTATTCTTGAACCTTATTCTCGGAACCTGTTATTTTGTAATTCTTGATAGGAGCTTACAATATAAATGTTTTATATTTCTGGTGGAGCCACATTTAGGGGCACTAGCAGTCAAGACTCTAACTTGGATAGCATATTTAATGCGCTCACAAAGTTTATTGTCCCCACACTTATATAATATGCTTCGCTAAATAGTGTTCACAACAGGCTTCCTTTAAATACGCATATTCGCCGCTCCACCTGAGATAGAATGGTCAACAGCACTGAACATGGTGATGCTAGTTAACTTCCGATACTTGAAGAGTTGGACTAGCGTGGCATTTGCCTCGAACCAGACATGGCAATATCTGCGAGGATATTTGTCCGATTGTTTCTGATCTGACGTCTCAAATAAAAAAGACATCTGCGTTCGCTGGTTGTGAAAATAACGCTACTATTGATTTCCCATACTTTTACCTACGAAAAGTACCAGAACCCTCATTTGATCATGTTTTTAAGTCTTTATTTGTGGGATAGTGGAAATTCATGCCATACATAGAGCCATGACGCAGCGAGCGAACAAATAAGGATCCTTACATTCTGGTGCTCAGCCAGGTAAGCAACAAGCGCAATTGAATAAATCACATAACTTTTCTCTCCTTTCCAGGAATGGTGGGATGAAGACTAGCTAGTCCCCATTAGCGGCAGCGGTTCCCGTTATCAAGCAGCAAACCGCGTATCCCACGGTTAAAGCAAATTGCACGGCCAAGACAACTCCCGGGGTCTCGCCAGGGAAAAGATATTCAGAGGTACCTGGGGTTAGCATGCCGCCGAGATCAAACAAGATATTGGCCGAGAAGGAAGCTCTCGAACTCTCCGTTCGGTTGTTCTCAATAAAGTCGCCGACAGCGGGCACAACCCAGGCCACATTGAGTGCACATTCCGAGAGCGGCCCAATGATCTGTTGATACTCTTGATCTGCGGCAATATTGTCCACTGCGACCTTTCCGATACTGATCGCAGTTATATGCCAATTTAAATCATTGTACCAAGTCCGGCTGGTCTGGAGCCCACCTATAAGGTCTGGCATGACGTACCCCAGGTAGGAGACCATACTAATGCCTCGAAACGTCTTGGATGCCGGCACGCCAGGAGGAGTAGCCGCCTTTCCAGCCGAGCAGGCCCAGACAAAAAAGCCGGACACGAACGACACGCCGTTGGACACTATGGTGCAGATGTCGAACACCTTGGCCTTGTCGGCCGCCACTAGGTTCCCCTTCCTGTCACTTGTTATCATCGTTATATATTTCGCATAGGCCTTTTGCTGCTCCAAGGTGGGCTGGGACGTATTGAGAATGTTGCGAAGTGTAGCATAGTCGGGCGCAGTGATCAACTGGTTAGTGAGCTCGTTCGCTGGGAAGGGAGCCGTATTCGTGATCGCCTTATAGATGACTGTTGCTGGGATGGCACCAACGAGGCAGCCGAGGTCCAGGAAGCTGAGCTGATCACCGGAGATATCCTTATAAATCGGTGACAGTATGGGGATATTCAAGGGGGCATCAAGAAGGGCGAAAAACGCATCAACAAAGAGCTTGGTAAGGTCCAGGAGTGTCAAGATACAATTTTTGGCCGTATTCAGAACAAAGTCGGTGATGATTGCGGCGACTTTCTCGAACAGCTGCTTTGCGCTAAGGGATGCAAAGTCCTTGACGACATCCACAAGGCTCTTTACTAAGCCGACAATATCTGTCTCCTCCGCCTTCATCAAATTATACAAAGTGTTGAATGCATTCTCCAGCTCCCCTGTAACTGGGACACTTAGGTCATGGTCTGACTGAGCATTCTGTAGATTACTTGTGGCATGATGCAGCGCCCAATTTGCCTGAGGGCTGTTTCTAGATGGGACACTTGACTGAGCTGCTTCCTGCTGGCCGATTGTCTGGCCAGGATCCGGAAGACTGCCCCATTGGTCGACCTTTTCCTCGATCGTGGCAAATTCATTTCGAATGTCATCTTCAGTCTCGGTAATTGAGTTGGTCACCTGTTGAACAGATAATCTGAGGATGTTCTTGACGACCAAGTGGGTTCGCTTTATATCGGCCCAATTGAAGATAAAGCCCAGATATTTGACGATGTCATCGTATGCAACCACAATCTGGTGGAACACATACTCTGCTGCTCCCACAACAGCTGCCACAGTCTCGATCGCCGCGGAGTATATATCATTTCCAACCTCCACGATAAAGTGCCATACCCCATCAACTACCTTGGAGTATGCCCTTTTGACAGTGTTCCATGCCTTCTTGAACCACCGCACCAGATCACCCCACAGAAGCTTGATCCAGCTGCCGCCACTTTCAGCAATGGCGCTGGAGGGTCCGTCTTTCGAGGGTCCATCTTTCAAGGGTCCATCTTTCAAGGGTCCATCTTTCAAGGGTCCATCTTTCAAGGCTCCATCTTTCAAGGCTCCATCTTTCAAGGCTCCATCAACCAATAAACCACGACGGGCGTTGGCCGCAGCACCATTTACTGGCAGCTGTGACTTGATGTCCAGCAATGTTTGGAATTGGTCTCCTGCAAAACCTAGCTGGTCAAGCGGGACCGATGATAGGGGTACAAGCGGCGTGGTCACTCCATTAGAATCAGTTACAGTTGCCGCCTGTAGAGCATCACCCGTAGTGATTGTAGACAGCCGTTGGCAGGCGTTGTCATGTGGGTCGATTATTTCAACGATGTCGGGACTATCTTTCACATGCACAGTGACAGTGATTACTGTACCTGAGAGTGTCTGTGTTTCTTCAATGATAGTGATCACTCCAGATAGATCTGTGGAAGTTTGAACCGTCTCATCGGGGCGGAGGATCATGTAAATATCGTTGATATTTACCGAAATGGGCCCGGTGGAGGAACTAAGCGAAACCGGATAATTCGGGACTCCCATGCCGTTGACATCCACAAGCTGGACATGACTGGTGTAGCTGTAGAAATCGATCAACGAATCCACATTATCCGCTGGTAGGAGCACGCTTCGCTCGGCCCAGATCGAGGTGGTTGGATCCTGGGTAAACTGCGTCAACTGGTTGTCAGAGGTTTGGGCGAACAGGATACTATTTGCTGCTCCCTGGTAGGCGTTCAAGTAATGAGCGAACTGGAATACATCGTAGCAAATTGGCACGGGGTTGGACCACGCATTCGAGTTTGTCTCGGAACCCGATGGGCAAGATAGGCTGTACAACTCGGATGCACCGTTGAGACCCCAGAGTACCGTGCGACCCGCAACACTGGTCGCAATGAGATTCCGCGTATCGGCCAGAATCTGTGTACTGAGAATAAAATATGATCGGGCTGCTAATTGCGCATAGGCGCCATCGTACTGGTTGTCTGGTGTGAAGACACAGATTGCACCGAATGCCGGCCATACAAAGAATAGGAATGTATTCCCAGACGAAGGATCCACCATGGACGCAATTGACGTGGCGTCGGACGGGATCCTCAAATGAATACTTTCGGGGAAGGGTCTGTCCTTCGTCGCTGCAGGCGTGTAGATTAGATCCTCGTTGGAGCCGAGGAACCCGAAGGTGTAGATGCCACCGACTGGGTCCTGGGGGCGCTTTCCTAAGCAAGTAATTACGGACCCAGCACTGATATTGTCGGGTAGTGGGTGGAAGGTCCACATCGGGTCTGATTTTATATCGATATAATATCGATCTACCACCTGGCTATTGTCGGCTGGGTTCCTAATCACGTCGGCGAAACATAGTACTCCAGATCCAGGAATATTCAAAAGATATACGTCGGCTATGGTGAAAGGAATCGGTTCTGGCCTGTCTCGGGCGTCAAATGAAGCGCTCACCCAGTGAGGTGAGTTTTCCCACGTTGAAGGCATATTGGGCACGTCCAGAGCCAGAAAAAGGCTATCATTACCATTGAGGCGGGTGACAACGGCCAAATCCACGCTGTCTGTAGACCTGGGACTCTGAGTGACAGCGAATTGCGTCGCCGCAATTGTCTTTTGTGCAAACCTGCCGGCCAGTACGCTGGAGATATCATACTTGACCCAGCCGGTTTTGGATGCGGTGGTCTCTCGAGTAGCGTATAGAACATCATCACCACCTATGGAGAAAAACAAGGAAGTGCCGTCCGGATTCTGCAAGACATCAAACTGGCGAGCAGGGTCCATTACACTGGCATACTTTTGGTTCTTCATCAACTCCGACTCGGAGTTGATGTTGGCTGGGATGGGAGAAGCCATGTCTCGCGACTATGTTTTGATAAAGCGAATCGCTAGTTGTCAATGTTGCGTTACAATCATTTTATACACTCCAGAATAATTTCATGCAAAATTGCATGGGCAGTCCTTTTAAGTATCATCCCTTGTCATCCCTCGGAGATACAATGGCCTGGGTTTGAGAGTGGCGCAACGCAGCTGGTCAAGTCCAGGCCCCGGCTAGTTGCGTCATGAGGTCTGGCTACCATTGCATACCTTGTTCTCAAAGTCATCCTTTAAGTCGAGATGTGGACTAGTAACCTGCATCTCAATTGGTCTACTTTACAGTTGACCGGTTCGGATGCAGAACCTCCGAGTTATAATTTTAGTATATTTTAACACTATACTAGAATAAGGTTAAGTAGATCCTGGCCCACAATGCAAACGGATTCTGAAGCTCTTTTGATCCATGGTACTGTCACATGTAGTGCTACCACACCCGAAAAGCATCACCGTTTGCAGTCAATCTACCACTCCAGATATGCTCAGATGACTGAATACCATTTTTATATAAACTTGGGACATGGAATCCACTGACAAAATCAATCATGCCATCCAACTATAATATCAAACTTGCTCCATGGAATGTCTGGACTTCTTTTGCAGTGCATATGATCATGAGACCTATGACGCCGCGCTGTATAACTAACCACAATGCTTAGCTAGTACATTGGACCGACTAGATAAAAGAAGGAAAAGATAGGATAATACGTACTTTGTTCTCTTCACTCCAAAGCGGCCTATAAGCCCTGGCTAGGTAACGTGTGTCCCGCATAACCCTTTTCCGCCGTAATCGCCGAAGAATAAGGACCAAGTACGCCTCAGTGCAATAATCTAAAAACTAGAAATTTTGATAAAATATTAACTGTTTCTCAATTATATGTGTTCGGGATCCCACAAAGTTACCGAATCGATGACCGGGCCGTTTGGCTCTGGGATGCAATCTCAGGCGCCTAGAAAGAAAGATATCAGCTTGACGTAGTAATAGCGACTTTGCTGTTTTCACCTAACAGCTGTGCTCTCGTCACTGCCCGTGGGTCGCTGTTTGTGAGACAATCACCCCTCTAACTCCGCTGTTGAGCATGAGAATGGAATATTTGTCCATGACGAATGGATAAGTCGCACTGGACAGTGATTGCTTTGTCTCCCCTAGCGTACAGGGCAAATTCTGTAGCTGTTATTGGTACCATAGGTACAGAGCGGATCTCTTCTCCCTGTTCCATGTTTGCCTCGTCCTCTTACAATGTATGGATTTGCGCGCCGATGCTGATGTATTACAGGGTCTGTATCTCCGCTGGTTCTAGCGAGGGGGCAGAAAGTTACACAACTTCGGCGAGGTTGGCGAAATGGTGGGATACGCAGTTCCTTCTGACCTACCAGAGCAGGATTATAGCTCCTGGTTAAATCCCCTATCCAAAACAATGGGGGTGTATTGGAGACACTGGTGCTGATCGGGGAGGCAGCTCGGTCGGATGGCGAGGGAAAAAAGTTTAACGCTGAGTTTATTGGCCATCCAATAGAATGGAGGGGAAATTCGAGTATTGGCTCTGTCTAGGGAGAGAGGAAAAAGGGAAAAATGCTTGGTGAGAAATAATCATTGGGCGAAAAACACACCAACTTGATAATGAGCTCTCTGCTCTCTTACTCGCCTAGGTCGCAAGGAGAAGCACCTTCGGGGGAAGATGAACGGCTTGTATTCATGGCCTTTGACTGTCTGACCATTCTCTGTTGTTTGTCGAAGTTTTATTTTATTTTATTTGGTATTTTTTTTTTCTTCTAGTCGACGGCATTGCACCCAGATGTCACGCCCACCACAAATACCATCCTATATAAGAGATCTCAATAGAAGATGAAACTATGCTGTTGTCCTATTTATCCAGTCGATGTCAAACGAAACCATCTCCTGTGCTGCTTTTGCTTTCCTCAAAATACCCTTGACCGATGCTGCAAACGTCTCCTGGTCTTGCCGTGGTCTATATTGCAACACCGTGAGGTGGGAAGAATCAATCGTCAGGGATATGAACTTACGCAAAATGGCTCACACCAGGTAGAACAGTGAGCTGCGAATTCGGAATCTACTCACGTTAGCATTGGTCATTCCACAAACCACCGTGCCTAATTCAACCAGAAACACTCACCTCCAGGGACAGTATGGCCAGCCCAAGAAAACCAAGGTTACTACGCGAGAAATAGAAGTGGGGTTGGTTGTACCAGGCCTCTTATCTGAAACCCAGTCAAAATCAACATAGGGGATGGTCAATCTTGGGGACCCCTGTTGGCGATCCGCAATGTGGCTGCTTAGAGCATGCTTAGGGCATGCTAAGATCTACTTAGTAAAAAGTAGCAAGGGGTAAGCACTAAAATAGAAAAGGAAGGCCATTAACCCTCCTAGAAAATCAAGTATGTATGCTAACATAGTACTATCCAAATTGTTCCACCGGCTGGATCTATGGGTAGGGGATATCTGAAGGTATAGCAACAACCCACTACCAAACCCTGACTTATCTCCTTCCTGTACTGACTGTATCAGTGACACTGAATGCTGAAGTGCGCGCGGAGCACCGTACTTCTCCTAGTAGTCGCCCGAGATAAGGTCTGGCATACGGGGGTAGAGAGCGATTCTAGAAGGCGCAATGGGGCCCCGGGGCGGCCCTGTGTTTAGAGCCGGATCAGGAAGAAGCTACCACCGCCAGGCCCGGCCAGGCGCCCATACGGCAGGTCCGATCGGTCCAGCCAGGTCCCGATCAGGAAGGCGCAACCCCTTCGGGACCCTGCCGTATGGTGCAGGAGGGCCTGGCGGATGTCCGGCGCACATTCCTAATAGAAAGAGCTCAAGCATCCGAGGCCGAGATAATGCTCTACGACTAAGTCTTTCAGTTTCATCGGCTGGTACACTCGACGAATTGAAATCAGGCGGAGTCAGTGGGCTAGTTTGCAATTATGGAGTCCTGGGATCAGGTTAAGGACGCGGTGCTCGGCCATCTACGGCTGATAGCGTCCTTTGAATCTCATATTGCAAGACTTGTCTACGCACTGGGGGTAGGAGGATGAACTAATGCGGAACTATGACGGCAGGTGGGAAATTTGATCATTATAAGAAATTCCTTCTGCCCTTGCTCCGCATACCTAGTCGTGTGGTCGGCGTATTGGAGACGTTGGCAATTCATAAACCCGATCTCGAGCGCCTCTTCCTGATACTTCCACTGCAGCCACTTCGCGCGCGGGGAGTTCAGCCTTGTGTACGTCCTTCCCCTCAAGTTCAGCTATTAACGCTCTCGTTCTTGAACCCTTGCATTCCATCCCCATCCTGCGCCGTCGTCTCATCCAAAACCATAATGCGCCCCCGATCAAGACGCACGCGACCAAGGCACCAACCACCGCTCCAGCAATCAACGCGCTGGACGTTCCCGCCCCCGATCCCGACTCAGATTCCGCGCCTGAGATTCCAGGATCGGATCCGGTCTCCGAAGGTGCTGTTGTCGTCGCACTCGCCGCAGGGGTAGGCCCCGCCAACATCTCCACCCCCGCCGTAACGGGGACAACAATAACCCCATCACGAGGATACCCGCTCGAAGAAACAGCGCGGTTTGTCGTCGTAGCCCCTGCGGAAGAAGCCCACTCTGTCCAGGTCGTCGTGCACCCCGCACTACTCTCCGACTCATCCCCCGCCATATCGCACGCGACGTAGTACGTCCGTTTCCGCGTATACCCTGCAGCTTCCCCTCCGGCGCCGTAGGACGCCGTATACGCGAATAGGGTTGGGTCCGTGGTAACGGTTACCCGTGGCCCGTAGCCGTCTGGACCACAGCCTGACGAGCCCCCGCCGAGGGTGCATTCGAACACGAGGGCGGTTTGGTTCCGCTGCGTGTTTACCGAGGAGACGCTGCCTGCGTGGTTGTTTAGGAGCTTGGGGTAGAGAAAGGGGTTGCTATAGATTGAGAGGTGGGTTGTTGTGGATGGGGATGGACCTGCGGATGTTGTGGATGTTGTGGACTCGATTGTCGTTATTGTGGGCGTGTAGACCTCGAAGCCAGCTTCTGAGGTCGTCGACAGCGCCGAATCTTCCGTGTGTATGCCTGCCATTTCTCGTGGCGATTGTGAAGAGCGTAAAAGGCATGGGCGTGCATTTTCTGAGAAGAGAATCATGGGACATCTGCACCGATAATTATCCCTCGATGCGTGGCGCCTGCAGATGCCAAGAGGACCCTGAAACCCTTCGCCCCAAAAGCCAACGTCTGTCCCTTGGAAATCTCCGCGCGATGCCATCAAAGGAGGCGACATTGATAGGCCATGTAATATATTCAAGACTTGTCTAGTTGAGAAATAGCCGCCGAGGCCCTGGAAGCCAGTCTGGGCGTTCCAATTCGATCGGACACTGTTCGCATCCCCGATTTGACTTGGAGCGCCACGGCGCTTAAGATCCCACCTAAATTTAAAAACCTACCCTTGTTTTTCCTCTGTGCGGCCCTGATTCTTGGTGGTAAAGAATGTATCTTGGCGAAAGATCTAGCCTGAAGAAGCCTCCAACGTTGGATGAATCGCTCCACGTTTTGCCTGCGAATCGCAGAATTTATCTGCTGCCTCGTGATAAACCCTAATGACTCCAATGTTGCCTTTGCTTTCAGGAAAGATTCCTAACTCGGCACAATTCTCTCCAACACCATTGGGAAAAGCAAACTATATTAATAGCTCATTGTCAGAATCCAGCCTCATATATGTAGGCTCATGGCAGGGCTAGTCAAGTCTCTGGGGACAGTTGCTACGGACTTTCCTCACGCTAGTGCGTACTACATCATTCGTCCCTCACGTATCATGGATCTGCAGTGCGTACCTACCACCTCAGCTACCAGCCTTCCTCAAGCGCTACACTGCAGTTTCTGAACAGCAACGCCGGATCTCAGCCTCGCGTGAGCGAGTTTTCACAAAAAGGCGAGCGTTTCCCTGCCCGCTTGGTTACAAGAAGCGGGGAACCATACTACTCGCTTCCATATTAAAAAGCCAAATAAATGCGCCGTTGGAGTCTGCGATCGGGAATACACCGTCTCCGTGTTCAACGGCACTGCATCGTTCAATGTTCTCACCCCCCAGACTATGGAGAGCGGCTAATCAACCCGGAATTCCACCATCTCTAATCATCTCTCATGCGCTGGTAGGCTTGACGAGATTCTGGCCTACGTGCTGGAAGCCAGCCTCCCAAGGCCGCCCGGCCAACCTTGTCAACGTGGCAGAGATTCACAGAGGGTACGCGACGTGGACGAGTTCACATCCTGCTGAGCGGGCGACTTTTCTCATGTATATCTATATCTGGCCGAATCCACGACGGGAGAACAAATCATATAGCAATACGGGCCAGGAAACTTCTCCGACTGGGGTACGGTCTCCGCGCGAGAATTTAACACGCCCGAATCCAGCTATCGCAAGGATCCTCGATACAGGCGTGGAGCCCGTGATGAGGGGCGTCGCTGCATTATTCGCACAAACCGGTCGCCAGCAACCCTACCGCTGGGGACCGTACCGTCCTCGTCGCGGAGGTCTATGTTGCCGTTGATTGGGTCTGGGTGGGATTTCCGGGCGCACTGGTGGGGCTTGCTATGATGTTTCTGCTTCTGGCGATTGCGACGAATAGGCGGAAGGGACTTTTCTTTGGGAGTCGTCTATTCTTGCTGTGCTTCTTCATGGCCTTGCTGGTGGTGGCGAGGGGCAGAGGGAAAGGGAAAGGTGGATGTAGTTGGGCAGGCGCGAGAACAGATACTGTGGCGGAGATGGAGCGAACGGGGCAGGATATTCATGTCAAGTTGAGATTGGTGAACCAGCGGAGAGGCCTCATGTTGGATCCGCCTTGACTTGCCAACGGTAAATAGTGTTTCTTTATCTAAGCTGTGTCTTTTTCTCAGGGCGTCCAGGGGATGGCGTACTCCTTGCGGTTGAGTCTGCTACAGCCTTAGCATCCGTCCTGGCCGACCCGAGCCAGAACCGAGCATAAAAATAATTCTTTCAATTTCAATCCTATGTTTGTTTCTCTGTTGACAGGGATTGCCGCAAGTACCTTCAAAAACAGGCTCTGACAAAGTAGGGGTGCGCTCTGCAAGCGGGCGTTGTCTATCTCACATGGTTTGCTGCAGCGGCTAAACCAGTTTTGACGGTATCAGACTAAGATATTAGAAGCACGCCAAGCCATTAAAAGATCACGTTACTCTTAATCCAGCCCATGTGCTTAGGGCACATCTTGCTCGCGTTTTAGATTGCTAGCTGCTGTTGGCTGGTGGGATCCGAGGTCAAGGGACTCGCCGCGCATGAAGCAGAAGCCGTCTTCATCGTGTACGCCGGTTTTAAGCCCTGATGATAAGTGCTATCTCAGCCATTCCTTTGACTTGAGTGGGAGTAGGGTAGTTCTCAAAGAAGTACACCAAGCCTATGACGGCGGAGACAGGGGGTGAAATACATACTCATTTCCGTCCACTACCCGCACATGTGTGCGAGATTCCAGTTCCCTCTTATGTAAAGGGAGGTCAGAAGAGGCGACACAATTGGACCAGCGGAGGGGTAGACTACCAACGTGTCTGCAGCTTTGCTAGTAATGCTATTTGTTCTATAGTGGTGCATTGTGCCTAGTGATGCCTTTTGACGGTAGGTAAAAACATAAGGTGTCAGGTGGTAAACAATTTGTATGATGGGTATCAATTGTCTGCTACAAGAGAAAAAATCAACGGAAAATAGGGGCCTCGGACCTGGGGGAGGTGGGGGGACGCAGTTCGAGGGGTTCCGCAACCGCTCTTCTCAGGGAGAGAGGCTCTGCCACGTCATTGTCCAAGTTGACTGGGCCAAGATTCCAATTATTTTCTTGGCCTGAGGGAGTCATGGATGGAATGAGCTAGAAAGAGCTTCGGATTGGCTGGCTGAGCGCACAGCCCCAATCACATCGGGCAAGCTGCATGAGCTGAAAGAAAGACGAACTCATATGCGGGCTCTTACATAAGTAGTGGTTCCCTTCGTACCCTCTTGCATTCCTTCACCCCCTTGGCTATTCTTCCCTACATCTTTCTTGTTTGTTTATATACATCCCAAGTACACTCTCTCATTCCCTCATTATAACCTTTGTTTTCTTCTTCCAACGTTTGACGAATATTGAGGAGCCATGGATGCCATTGCCAACTATGGGGTTACTGCAGCGGCGTGGGTCTTTCCTTCCCCAGTAGAATGGGCACATATTGTTCACTCTGTTCGTAAGTATAATCGAAAAGCGGAGAGGCTGCGAAGTGGTTCGAGCCGCTTGGAAGTGAGAGTCAAGAGGGTGGAAAGCCAAATGGACATGATCTGCGAAGGAATAGCGTCTTTTACCGAAGAGGCAGCGAGAAACACTGGGATGGTCCTGTACATACGGCTTAGAAAGAAGATTATCCCAGCAATCGACGAAAGTCTCAACGAAATCAAGGATAGTTTCCCACAGCACGGGCAGCACCATGTGCCGTTCTTCGTTCGTCGTGTATGCTCGGTGTTTAAAGCGTGGCGGTTGGAAGACCTAAAGGATGAGTTCGAGGACCACATTGCGACTCTTCGAGATCTTGGTGTGTTTGAAGGTATTTTAGAGCTTTTGTTCTTACTTTGGTGGTCTGTACTCGATGGGGGTGGGTGAATGGCTAAGTGGTAGTGCGGGTTGCAGGTTCGGATGTGTCGAGAATGGTTTGATAACTCAGAATTGGGCTAAAAGGGAATGGTTGATGGAAAAATGGCAAGTATTCCAGTTCTGGAAAGAGATGTGGTGGGAGCTGTGGGTGACCGTGGATGGTGTAGGCAGAAATTGCTGGATGGGATGCGGTTGGGATGAGCGTAGCCATTTGGCTGAGTGGCCTTCTAGTCACTAGCTCAGTTTACAGTTTACTGTCTCTTGTCTTAACTTTCCTTGCCTGTTTTCTGTCTATTAGTTCTGTTAGTTTGATATGCGGAGCGAGCTTGGTTCTTTACTTTGTGTTTGGTTTGAGTACGTGCGCCGGTTAGATCTGTTTTACTTTATCAGAAGTTATACTGTACATTTGCTACAACTATAGGTCAAAAGTCTGTGCACACCCTAAAATATATAGTTCACCCACCAACTCAAAATATCAATAATTCAACAACCACAACGAATTAAGACTTCCTAATACATGCAAATTGAAGCTATTCAATATTTTGTGTACCAGCCGCGCGCTCGAATTACTACCTCTATCCAGCGAGGCATGGAATCGATCAAACCATTAATCGAGGCCTGAGTGATAGCCCACCAAGCTTCTTAAATAGCTTCATGGAAGTTCTTCTAGTCAGTCTAAGCCCTTCCATCCTTAAAAAGAAAGGGATGAAGCTTTAGAAGAGTCCTCTTTAGTATATTCCAGACGTGCTCGATTGGGTTTAAATCTAGTGAATATAGAGGCCATTTAATAACCTAAATCTCATGAGATTTAAACCACTCCTGCGTCCTCTCTACTATATGAATCCGGGCATTATCTTGCTAGAATATGAAGCTAGGCTTGTAGTTTTTAATAAGACCTTCCTCAAGCGCCTAGATGTAACTATTCGCGCTATATCCCTGCTTTTTAGCCTCAGGGTCCCTCTTCATGACCACTAACTTCGACCAGCCACCACGCCAGATAGAAGCCTAAACTATCTGCGATATAGGCTTCCTATGAACCTTAAGATTTACTAGATCCTCCCTAAAGCTCTTTTTTTAATAGCAAAAGACAAATTAGACTCTATGAGAGGCCTTCTATTAGACGCTACATTTATTAGAGAAGGTCCAGCGCTTCTAAAGCTTATATTTCTACTATAACTTCACAAATCTATATTATTTCTTTATTAATTCTTTTAATAAAGGTATTCTCTTCTTTAACTTTTACTTCCTAATATGGTATTGCTTTAGAACCCGCTTAATTATTAAGATAGAGAGAGAATTAGATGTACTAGTAGCGAGGGCCCTCCAGCTTAATATTAGAAATCTACATACCATCTAGTATATATATCTTGTAGTTAATTAGCTAACCTTCAACAGCCTTCCCGTTCTAGGCCTAGTTTTAAGTGTTTTGGTGGTAATCTAGCAGTTTTTAGTATTATATACCACGCGCCTGGAAACGCGAAACTCAGTCGCGATTTTCATCGGCGATTTACTAGCGGCCAGGGCGTATATAATAGCTGCGCGAGTTTCCTTTAAAAGTTCACCTCCAGGCCTTCGATTTCCGCTTATTTCGGTGCCAAAAGCTCTCATTTTGGTGGAGCTGTTGGTGATTGAAGTTGTTGTCGAAGTTTAGAAGTTCCACGGTTGCGTGAAGTGTGCACAAACTTTTGACCCACGTTGTATATTATAATAAATTTCAAATTGCCTCTTGGTGACTAGAAATACTCAGTCAACTTGGTTCAAATCATGCCCTCGCATTCCAGGTGAACCTGCCCGAGAAGCCAAAAGAAGGGGACGGGCATCAGGGAAGACTCTCAAAGGAGTTACTAGTCGTATGGATCCCTTGAATGGGGTCTGGGGCTCTCCATCTCCATCAGCTTCCGTGATCATCAAAGCTTGGGAGCAAATATGCTGCGTGATGTCTCCTATGAGTTGGCTATTTTCTGCTTGGACTAGAGGTTGGTGTTGATTAGTTGATCCCAAGATGGGAAATCTTCAAGAGACCGCAGATAACGGGTACTATCATTATCGGGGGTGTTGTCTGTTCTTGTGCAACAAGCCTCGTATAAGAGGGAGAAGTAAAGAATCAAAAATGCATCCTTAGATGAGGCATGGTCAAGGGCAGTTTAAATAAGGGCAGCGGGCTTGTATCAGCGATGTGAAACCTGGCTGAGACCATAGTGCTTCATGAGCCGATCAAAAACCAGTCCCGCAAGCTCGCTCTAATACGGCACTAAGATCGCTGGCTCTGAAAAATCCAAGATATGTTCAAGAGATTGTGGATGTCATTTATACCCCAGCCGCGATTCGAAGGCGTCAAATGTTCAATCCGCTGGAGAAGAGCGAACACTGGGGTGTTGATGACTCGTCGTTCCGCCTTTCACGTGAGTTCCTCGGGCCAATATCGGACCGGACCAAGGGTTATATTCGCCGAAAAAGGTTTAGCATTCACGTGCTTCAGAGACCACACGCTGCTGCTCTGCGTTGATGCGCCCGATTCAGCTGAACCCCGCCAGGGGCGGCGCATTTATCTCATTCACATTCTGTTCACCTGAAGCACTTGTCAGTGGAAACAGTTTCTACATTTACGACGCAAATAAAGCTACCATGAGGAAACTGCGAGAGGCCTTCGGAGGACGACGGAAAAAAGAGCGCTTCTCTTGCAGCGAAGAAGTCAATTATCCGCAAACGTCGCAGTCATCCGCTGAAAGTTCTTTCCCGCTCGATTTCCCTGACGGTGTTGAAGTCCTGTATGATTGTCCTGACGCTACAGTTGACATATGCTTTGTCCATGGCTTGACTGGTGACCGAATCACTACTTGGACTGCCCCCGCGCAGTCTAATCCCTGGCCTAAAACGCTCCTTCCGTCGAAGCTCAGCACGGCTCGCATACTCACTTATGGTTATGATGCTTACGTGGTGCGAAAGTCGGTTGCCGGATCAAACCGCTTAATCGACCACGCTACGAATCTTTTGAATGACTTAACAACGGATCGAGATCTTCATAGTGCAGCATCTCGCCCCATCATCTTCGTCGCTCATAGTCTCGGGGGTCTAGTGTGCAAGAAAGCTATTCTGCAGTCACGAAATAATCCTGACGCCCATCTTCGGAGCATATTCAATAGCACTAAAGGCATCGTCTTCATGGGCACACCACACAAGGGATCATGGATGGCAGACTGGGCCGACATTCCAGCTGGTGCTCTTGGCCTAGTCAAATCCACCGGCAAGTCACTGTTAGATATCTTGCGGACGGACAATCAACTTCTTGAAGCTATTCAAGTTGACTTCTGGTCAATGGTTAGAGAATTGCGAGAGAGCGGTAGGCGCCTGGAAGTTATCTGCTTTTTCGAAGAGTTGCCCCTGCCGATAGTGGGCAAAGTAGTCTCCAAACAATCAGCCACTCTTGAGGGTTACAATCTGATCAGTGTCCACGCCAATCATCGTGATATGGTCAAGTTCAGTTCTGCGAATGATAATGGGTTCAAAAGGCTTCTTGGAGAGTTGGTTCGCTGGGAGTCAGATGCAAGGTAATCCATTCCAACATTGATATCACTTATTTGGCTCCCAAATAACATCACTGGAAGAGACAACAGTCAGAACATATATCTTAATTCGGTGACTCAATCTAATGGTATTCTCTTCCCAAACTTCAAGGCTCCTCTTGAATAAAGCCTGTAACCTTTACTGAATCGTGCGCTAGTGACCGATCAAATCAAACAATACGCAAGAGACAAGCTCATCGCAAAGTTTTGCCCTCCAGGCTCTCATCCATATATGGATAGAGTGAGACTCATCCCAAACCGCCATCCAGGAACCTGCGATTGGTTTCTACACCATGAAAACTACAATACCTGGCTGAGGTCGGAAGATGTGAACCTTCTTCTCGTTTCAGCTGATCCTGGCTGCGGAAAGTCTGTTCTGGCGAAAGCCCTCGCCGAGGAGGACCTGAACAGGAAACTGCCGGGGGCCGCTATTTTCTACTTTTTTTTCGAGCAGCCGTATCAGAACAGCGTTCTTGATGCTCTCTGTGCCATTATCCATCAGTTATTTGATAAGTTTCCTCGCGCTTTAGACGACAAGCTCGAAAGCAAAATTATACGAGCCGGGGATGTTCTGACTAGAAGCTATGATAAGCTCACGGAGATATTCAAGGAAGCCAGCGATAATATACAGACCAAGCAAATCGTGTGTGTACTGGATGCTCTCGACGAATGCGAGGCAACAGAATTAGCAGACCTTACGAAGTGGCTGAAATCAGCTGCTTCCACAAAGGATAGCTGCCCGGCAGGATGGAACAGTTCTATTCCACGAATGAAGTTCGTTGTAACGACTCGGGGCCTCCCAGAGATTCTGGAACATTTTGAAGACATTGAGATCGGTTATCTTCGCGTCTCAGGAGAGAAAAAAGAACAGGCGGATGGGATCCAGAATGACGTCAATCTGGTTATGGAAGCACGGTTCGACAAGCTTGCAAAAAGGCTAAACCAGGAGCAGAGAAACGCTGTATGGGACTGTATGATCGCCACTGGAGCTGGACAGCGCACCTATTTGTGGGTGAAATTGATTTTCGAAGAGCTGGGAAGGAACAAAAATCTGGTAACGAAAGTCCTCTTGGACCTGGTAAGAAGTCCACCTTCTGATATCTTTGGAGCGTACGAGCTTCTCCTGAAACGCGTCAAGGACAAAGAATCTTACCGAGTCCAGTGGCTATTGCACTTGATGTTCTCAGCACTTAGACCTCTCACTCTCCGAGAGATGAATGTCGCGATCCAAATCATGGAACAGCCTGATGTGCCTTCGGAGAACAGCCTTGACTTAATGTCTGACCAACAATTTCGAGACTGGATCATTGATACTTGTGGATTCTTCGTGACCGAATACGATGGACGGCTCTTTTTCGTTCACTCGACTGCCAGGGAATACCTTCAAACTTCTGCGATGACCAGCGTGCAATCAAAATTGAGGTCATTCCGAGGTTCAATAACTGAGAACTCTGCTCACGCGACGATGGCCAAGAGCTGCGTTCTCTACCTATCCATGCATGAGTTCGAGGGTCGACACATTGAGATATGTATCAACATTTCCGGGGCCTCTCTCCTCAAAGTGGACCCTACTGAGTGTTCCTTTCTGGAATATGCTGCTCGTAACTGGACATTACATTTCCAGGAGGGGCGAGATTTTAGTATGCTAAGCGCCGCCATGAATCTTTGCGACCCACAGTCCCAAAAGCTCCAGGCATGGTTTCCGTTACATTGCGCAGCTAAGCATTCATCTATACCCACACCCCTTACCCACTTGATGATAGCTTGCTATACCGGACTCGATACGCTTGTGCAGGAGCTGTTAAGCAGGGGAGTGGCTGTTGACAAGCAAGATATGCATGGATGGACAGCACTCCACTGGGCAACCATACTAGGATCTGGCGCGGGAGTCCTGCGGATGGGAAATGGATTTGAGCTAAGATGGGAAGCGCATGGTACCTCTAATGCCATAGTGGAATGCCTAGTGAACAAAGAAGCGGCAGCATTGTCCCTGCAGGATAATGCTGGATGGACAGCACTCCACTGGGCAACCATACTAGGATCTGCCGCGGGAGTCCTGCATATGGGAAATGGATTTGAGCTAAGGTGCAGTCCAAGTGATACCTGCAATGCCATAGTGGAACGTTTAGTGGACAAAGGAGCAACAGCCTTGTCCCTTGATAAATAATGACCTCCCTTCGGATCTCCAACAAATTCGACTGTCTCTGCGACCTCGTCTTTCGTGAGTCTGATAAGTGTGATTGGTTTATAGCCGCTGTCAGTTGCATGGGAACACTCAAAGTGCAACGTAATCTCATCAAAGATTCGGATCGTGAGGTGACACTCCTGGGGGGGCAAAGCTTGTGATGAAGGAAAAATATGTATATCCGCATACACTATGGCAAATTCTTCGTATGACATATGGAGTAAATTGCCAACGGGTTCTTCATTTGACATCGGGGCTGTACAATGTCGGGGCAGTCGTATGCTCATTGAAATAGAGGTGGGTAGCGTCTTTTTGTGGGTCAAGGCATTGCTCCCTGAATGGGGCAGTCTACTGCTACTACATGCGTGTAGTAGGAGGCCGTACCTTCCACTACGCAGCCCATTGGTGAACCACTACATCGGCACGATACTGTCACGGAAGAACTCGAATTATACTTAGTCATCTGTACACTCGTCACCCCTCGAACTTGCCAAGCATCGTGCTGTATCACAAAACCAAGATATTACGCGGATCATAGCTAATCCGGCGCTTTACCCGATCAATCTTAGCTTTAGGGCTTAGAGATAAAGGAAGAGTATAACCATTTGCGCCATTTTTGCAACTAGGTGTATTGTGGTGGCTGTTGGTCATGTTCTTCCCCCTCCTTCCATTCATTGAAAGGAAGATATCCGAGTCGGTCTATCTGCTGCAATGTACTATGCGGGAAAGGGCTTAGGGAGGATACAGAGAAGCAACCAAAATTACCTAGTGTGGGGGCATTCCATTGATCGGGCGTCCATGGGTGCGAGTCATCGTTATAAACAAATCGATCATTCGCCATTGCTGTATTTATCGAGCAGGATACCTATCGAAGGTGTCAGATATTAGCCTCAGGCACCCAGTAACACGAGACTAGTCATGGCTACTAGCAGGGGGTGGACACCAAGTTACTAAATCCAGTACCAGTATTAGAGAGCTTGATGATCCTGCTTGGCTTAGAATAGCCTCACGCAAGGGTTTTAAATGTGGTAACCCTCAGCAGCGAGCAACTGCACGTTGAGGCAGAAGGCAACTTGTTGACAAGTTGCCAAATCAGCGACCATTAATTGTTTGCTTGAGTTTGCATGAAATCTTCCAGATTGGATGCCAAGAAAGTCTAGATTCTTGGTCTTGTCTGTCATGAACACAACTTACTGCTTACTGGTTTGGTACATCACGGCTCTTACAGTTAGCAAGTTCTGGTTATACGCTAATCCTAATTCAACCTCAAATGATCATGTGATTAGGGTTTGAAACGAAAGCATATGTCTTCGAATGGGAAGCAGAAGGCACGTCCCACTGTACTGTCCTTCTCGAAATCGCTCTGACCTTCACACAAGAGAGAATTGTCTTCTGGACCCACTGCCAAGGGCTTAGTGAGTTTGCTATAGTGAACCACCCCGCTTGGAACTGAGTTTTGTGACAGGTGCGGGTGACAACCGAAGGTTTTGGCCACGAAGATACAGAATTCTCTGAAATCAGTTTCGCTGCCAATTGCATCCGCGTTGTTTTCGAACCCTAATGCCAAGATGCGCTAGTCTGTATATGGATTACATACGTTTTATGCGAAACCGTCAAAAGCGCTGCAGCCTCAATCTAGTTTTTTTTCACGTAACGACGAAGTATCGGCTACTCAAGCGCGATTATTCAGAATATAAGCGAATTTCTTTGGGAGGGAGATATGGACAGCCACTTCAGTAGTGAAAATACGTATCTGTCCTAAGCCTTCCGCAGCTGATGTTATATGGCCTCCCTCCATGCAAAGTATTGGTAGTTAAGATATACAGTTAACATTGCCACCATGAATGCACCAAAAGCGAAGGCAGACGAGTTATCCGTCGTGATTGTTGCGTAGATGATGACACTGGCACAGGTCACCAAGAGAATGGTGAGTATCGAAAGCAGGATCATGGTCCAGTTTAGACACTCATTTACACGAATACCCCATCCAATAACATGTTGTCCATCGGGTCCAGGTAGTCGAACCAGTGGATCTCGGATCTTTTTGGGAAAAGTGCTCAACCAGAAATTATCAAAATGAGGTCCTGGCTTAAGCAGATGTCGCAATGGTATGTCGGCGAGTTCAACGTCTTTCATCGGGACTGGCTCATAGATATATCTTCTTGCCTTGACCTCAGTCTCTGGGGGTATATCTCGTGCTTTAAACCATCTGGGACAACATTCCACGCCTATCGGCACCAACTGGAACTACATCGAATATTAGAACTGCTGCTTGATTTCTGGCCTGCACATCATACTAGGCCTGACATATACGTACTCGGACAAAATCTCCAGATGATATTTTGTGAAGGTGCATCGCACCGACGGCAGAGCTGAGTACTGAAAGGAACCTAAGAATGCCAGGTAGAGAAAGAGTGGTTATTGAGAACCGAGCTGAGATTGCGTGCAGCAAGTTGGACGCCCATAAGGGAAGAAAATTTGTGATTCTGAATTCATGTTCGTGGCGTACCCTCTGGTATTCCTGGTAGACTTCTCGAAACAAGCTCTGGTCGTTGGTAATGCAATCAACGTTTATATGAACAAGTTTCGTGGAATTTTTTGTGTTAACACACATGAGAAGGAAGCGTGATTCCCGACTTGGAAAGATGCTGTCTCCAGCTTGGGTACTTCCAATCATCGTGGTCTGGGGAGGATAGTAAATTGTGGCGTCATTCCGCGCCCCGTTTGTGCCAGATACTGGTGTACCTATGCTTGGATTAATATGCGCTTGAGGCGGGGGTTTAATGGGACTTGAATCTGGTGAACCATGCGGGCGATTGCTGATACCAGCAATGTTGGCAAGAAGTCTCTGTCGAAATCTTTTAATCCCACCGACTGAGAGTTCCTTGGCATCAACATATGAAACTTCCCCACATCCCTAGAGCACAGTCAGGACAGATTCAAGTGGAGATAGCAAAAACTAACACATCTATAGTAGATCCTTTCGTAACCAGCTACCGGTGGGGAGTATATGTTGAGTAGGCGCTGCCACCAGGATAAAGATATCACCATGCCGTTGGTGCTCATCTGAACTGTTGAAGCTCCCTCAGGCGGACTGTCACAATCCTCCCTAAACTGAACGGGCTCGTGATGGTGTCCTTCTGACGTGCTAGATTGCACGAGATCGCCAAACCGGCTGTCTGTTATTTTTAGTGAAATGGACGCTACGCATCATGACGCGGATGACTAACCTTGAGTGATTTCAGGATCTGAGAACTGGAAATTTTTCTGGACTGCAGGGTTGACACTATCTGTTCTCTTCACCTCTAGCCATTTCTTAAATTCTTCGCGCAAGAGCAAAAAGGCATTGGCCGACAGCAAAAATAGTTTAACATCGTCAATACTGCTGAGCGACGCTGGCTCAAACTCCTCCGAACCATCCGCATCGCTGTCGGTAGATGAACCGGTAACATCGACCTCAAGAAGGCCTTCAACTTGCCGCTTTGTGTGGCCCACTTTTTGTGACTGCAACCATGCATTAACACGAGCTGTTCTTGAAGCATTCAAGCTCTGTTCAATAGGAAGGTTGCTCCTATCTTGCTTCAGGAGGTTGCATAATTGAGCTGCTGTTTGCTGAGCAGATAACCGTACGAAATGCGCTGCTTGACACTGAATTTCGTTTAACGCTTCGCCCTCCAGATTACGGCCAAATTTCCTGAGAATGCGCGTAAAGTTCCTTTGAAACCTATCGGGACCAACCTTTGAAATAGCAGTTGGCCACAGATTCTGTAGTTCATTGTCGGTTAGAAGTAACTCGGCTAACTCAGAGATAGCGATGGACGTTATCTCGCTCTGGGATGATTGAGAGGACAGTATTGATCCCTCGGAAAATATACTTTCAATGTCGCTCTGATCATAAAGTAGGCCCTCAATACCAGCATCATTTCCGTAGTCAGCAGATGGCTGCGGGCCATATTCAGTCTGAGCACCGAAAAGTCGATTGAGAACAGCAAGAGGCGGTTCGCCGATCTTTGGAACTTCGTTAAGTCGTGCAACAACCTCGTTGAGATACTGTGTAGGTTCTAAGTTGTGATTCTGGAGGTGGCTGCAGACGGTAGCTGCGACAATAAAGGATGGAGCCGACACGGTAAGTAGGGCCTGAATGTCATCTTTCTCAGGCCAGTCCGAAGGAAGCTTCCGCTGCTCCCGGATTATAGCCATCTTGTGTTGTAGGAAGAAGGCGATATCACGTTCTATAATTGGCTGCGGAATTTCATGGAGGCTAAGATCGTGATAATCAACCCCTCTGAAGCCTGATCGTATAGGCAGCTCGGGCCTACTTGTGATAAAAAATCGCAGACATGGAGAATTAAACTCTTGAACACGTGGAAAGAGCTGGAGGAGAACCTGAATATCATTGTCATGTTCGCACTCATCTAGTGCATCAACCACAACCACTAGAGGCGAATTCTGAAGACTGGCTTGGTTCAAGCTTCGGAATGGTTTGTAAATAAGCTCATTAAATTGTTCCTTGAGTGATTTGGTGGAGATTTCTGGATTATCTTGAATCACCTGTAATATAGCAGCGCGAAGTTCCGGGATCCTGCTAGATAGCTGCTGGATGATAGTGGGGAAGAACCGGGCCGCGTTTCCACGATCTCCTTCACCTCTCTTGAAGAAGAAGCTCGCCCCTAGTAAGCCTTGCTCCTGAAAGGCCTTTGCCACGGTTCGTGCTATTGTTGACTTGCCAGTCCCGGCCAAACTATTTAGCCAGAAAATGCATTTTCCATCGGCTGCAATGGCCCAACGTTGAATATCGAGGAGAAGCTCTGTTTGGGTCCCTGGCAGGCATATTGCTTCAATTCGGTCCATGTGCTTTCCGAATCCAGCTCCAGCGGCGATCGGCAACTCATTCGGGTCAATGCTCTGAGTAAGAGCATTATTTTGCACGGCAGCTCCGTCGGTGGCGCTTTGAGGGAAGTCCTGGGGTAGAGAAGATTCTTGATTGGCCAATGATTTGATGTAAACCCTGGTATCTTCACAAATACGAAGACATTGCTCAGTAGCTACTCGCTCAGCATCCAGGTCTAGATTCCCATCCAAATTATCGGAATTTTTGATGGCAAGCTGGGCTAATACCTCGTCAATGCGCTGTAAATGCTCCTGGAGGCCATATGATGTATCCTTGACCATCTCATTGTACTCTTCACGAACTTTGTCGGATACTTTAGATGCATGCCTTAGAGAGTATTAGTAAACTTGAGGTATACAGAAGGTTTCTACTAACATTGTGATGGTGCATAGACCTATAGAGATGGTGGATTTGTATCCTGCGAGTGTGTCGATAAACTCATCTATATCGCCTGCCATGAATTTCATTCCCGCCCAATCTTGAAAGCCTGTTTTTGATCTCGTATCAAAAGCTTTCATAGAATCTTCAAACTCGCGGCATAATCGGCTGCATTGCTCAATTGGACCTTGGAGAAGCGCCAGTACTGATGCGTCGGTATCAACCATTTGACGTAATATAAAAAGGGTCCTAGAGAGATCCTCAAGCCCATTTTGGAGTCTGCCTAATGTTTTGTTGCGCTGTTTGAAGCGCTGGACAGTCTCCTTCAGTGCGTTCGTTGACTGAATAGCGGCGGTAATAATGGCGAACACTGAGGCTGTAACTGTAACTCTCTCAGGGTCTGCCATTTTTCATCATCACCACCAGGCTCTTTATAAAGTTTGATGGTATAGATGGAGCAATAAGAAACAAAGTGAATGCTCGCAGCACAAAGGGGTTGGAGATGAGTTGGTGGGGCTGAAGCGGGGAGAAGCCCAGGCGGAAGGGGACATCCGTATCCTCCGACAGAAATAGCACATCAGGTGACCGGTAAGGACACCCTGATATGATTCACGCATAAATATGCATAATCTATATATGGCTTAGTGTCCCTTGGCATTCATGGCTCAAGAATAATTTCGCCGAGTACACTTCGGAAACTGAAAATGAATTTGTCTGTATTCTCTTCTGTCTCATCGGACAATATGGAACGGACTGTGCGTCTATCAACCGCCGTATGAGCTGCCAGACAGATACGTGGAATGACAGAAAGGGGAAGTTAATGACACATGGCATCGATGGAGGGACGATGAACAGGAGTTTCCTGGTTCTGCGAAAATGGTTCCATGGTCTTCCGTGGAGATCTCCGCGGTTTGCACGGCTGACTTTCTACATAGTTACATAATATTATGTACAAACGTAACTAGTGGGTCGAGGATTGACGAATGAGAAGCGAAAACCAGCTTATAAAGATTAATAAGCTGATGCATAAATTGATACGCTAAGAAATGTGCGGCCCCCTGATTTCCAAGCGGGTGGGTTCACTATCACATACTCACTAAGTGCTTGGCAGTGGGTCTGGAAGACAATCCTCTTTTGCTTGAAGGTCAGAGCGACTTCGAGACTGACTGTATGTCTGGGCCGTAAAAGACTACTTATATGGGGAGCTTTTCTTTCGGCGTAAAGAGTTGTCAGTGTCACTTGAGTCTAAAGGCTGGGACCATTATTGTTCTCTATATTATACATTCTGATACCAATCGAGAGCGTGCTTCTGCTCGCAGAGCTGTGAATGCCGCAAATCCCTGGAGAAGCTGCGGGCCATTATATCCGCCAAACATGAAGGCAACGTGAGCGAGATTCATGGACATGATGCCATCGCTGGTGACGCGAGAAGGGACAAGCTGCTAAGTACCAGGGTGTCCACGATTCTGATAGACAAAATCGAGCTATACCGAGTGCTGATCGGGTTGCAGCCATGGTCAATATATCTAGACTGGCATGAGAGACCGTGATTGGGTTTTCGTGACCTTGCCGCGGCTCGTGAGAGTCAGGACGCTGTGCCATCGCGGGTAGGAGGCTTCCAAAAGAGTTTATTGCGGGAGTATGCATTGGGGGCAAGTACGGGGGACAGCTACCGCTTTGATAGTACAGGCCTCGAGATGGGGAATCCTGAGGAGCAGCACCTGGATGTGTGGACCCCTCTTTTGTTCCCATGGTCTCAGAAAAGGACCTCTTACATCTTTGAAGGGTGGCCTCATCCACGGAAGCAAAGCCGCCATGATCCGCGGAGCTGATGTCATTACGAGATGTTCCTCCCGTGGTAGCGTTACCTTTTCTACACTCAGCATCACAGAAAAGTGTTGGTAAATGCTCACTCTCGCGATCGGTTACAGCAATATATTCAGAGTTTAAAGGACTTAATTGACTCGACTTGACTCAACTACAAAATAGTAGGCAACGTACACTCGTTTCATAGACCTCAGGCAAGCAAGGTCGTCCCCGAAACGTCCCTTGTATTCATACCCGCGGCACCAACCACAGCAACAAGGAGATTAAGCACACTTCATAACCTTGCAAGCTGATTGCTGTTAGTATCGGTAGGTGGCCGCCTCTCGACTCCTTGTTTGAAAACTCACCTACTCGAGTCTCATCCGGTGGCTAGGACAGACGGTGTATTTTGTTGTCTTTGTCGGGGTTATCATTATTACTTTGTCGCACTCCTCCCACCACGTTTTCGCGAAAGGTGCTCCACAGGTTCTGTAGGTTCGAATGCCAACATAATTATGCACTCCTGTGACGTTATAAATTTTTTCGGTACAGTTGGCCCAGGCAGTAACATGCATTGTCACATTGCCAGTGCATTCGCCAGAGGTACACATGTCGACTACAGGTAGCGCAGCAAATGGTGTTGGTGAATGTATGACTATGATTTTTGTCCTGGATGAGATATTAAGACGCTATTCAGAGAATTATGGGATGGGAAAACACTTACTTCGGAGTAACGGTAGGGGTGGTCTGGACCAAGTTGAGCACTGCTCTCAAACGCCCTTTATAGCGTGTGCAGACGAGGCTGGTGCATCTGATAGTCTTTGGCCCCTCCACGCACGCAAAAGACTGATGGACTGACATCCAATTGAACACCACCACGTCGCTGCAGTCAGTAGACAGGGCGAACACCCCAAGGCAGAGTCGAGGCTCCTGCAATCTGGCCCATTCCATCCAAGGACGCGAGATCACGCCAACTTCACAGCCCACAACCACGAGCAGTAATTCCTTGGCAATATTTCCCGCTAGTCGCGCTTACGACCTGCGCGATGCATGCCCACACTAGTCATCAGCCCATTATCAGCCCATTCGCCACTCGATAGGCGACGGTGGGATTGTGGCATGGCTTTCGCATTTGCAGACCGGGCCTTGGCAGAAAGATACAGCATCGACCAAGGCTAGGGGCGTGTGCGGTGTTTTTGCTATTGAATCATATCACCGGGCTGTGCTTTCAAATATTCAGACTGGCTGGAGAGGAACCGGAGAGACCGATGATGACGACAACAACGGGCGCCACAGAAATCGTGACTAGGCAACCGGGAGCCGTTCTGTGCACCAGGGCTGTGCAATGCAACCTCAGCTGGGGCGGACGGAGTCGAATATGCGGGGGTGAGGGTATCGGGGATCAGAGACGAAAGGCGCCGAGATAGAGGAAACCTAGATAGCTTGGTGGCATGGTGCACATTCACACCCATACGGAAGGAGTTAATTGATCAAGACGAAATCAAACGATTGCGCTGCGGCTTGCATCAATTCAGTGGTTCTGCTCCTGGGCGACAGGCATTGCAAGCTGGGCGTCGGCTCGAGCGGCGAGGCTGAAAGCCAAATGAAGGGCCAGTGCCTTAGGCTGAAAGCCAAGCCGCAGTGGTCGGTGGGAGCCAGAGCGAAAGAAACGGAGCGGCGATGAGTGCAGGATAGAGGAGTGAACGGTATGTCACCCGCAGCCAATCAGAATGGTAGACCAGGCGCTGGGGCACCCTTCTGTTTCGTTTTCAAAAAGACAAGCTAAACCAATGTTTGTCCACCTCGGTCGAGATACATCTTTGCCCACTCACATTGATATACCCAGCACCAGAATCTGCCTCGTGCATAGAATAGCTGGCCGAATGCAACCCACTCACTTTACAAAAACGAACGTTGATAGGTCAAAGTCAGTGGTATGCAAATAAGACTTTCCCTTTTCAATCAACGTGTATACTGTTGTAGGTTAGATATTGTGAAGGATGGCAGTCTTTGCCATTTGAGGTACATTGGCATATTCGTGACCTCTTGTTGCCTTAATTCCCGCACAACTACTAAATATCCTGGCACTCGACCAATCGCAATGTGCCAAAGCTAAGCGTGCTGCGTTGGACAAATCTATTCACTCGAAATGTTGCCAGCAAGCGACGTGCTTAAGTAGGCGCTTAACCCACCAAATAGGTCTGCCAGATAAGTGCTCCTTCCTCTTCCAATATCAAAACCCACTCCAGTTTCAACTATTTTGAAGAGTCAAAGCCAAGGCTCGACCACCACGATGCCGCAATGCTTTAGTGACGCGAATGGCCAGTGGTGGATTACAGAGTCAGTATGGCTGACATCCGTCGCTGACATCCTCGCGTTAAGCTGATGTATCTCCCTCCCTATTTATCGGATTTAAACCCCATTGAGGAGTTCTTCTCTGAGCTAAAGCGATTTATTAAGCGCAAGTGGAACGCGTATGAAATGAGTCCCAAAACAAGGTTTTGATGCATTTCTCGTACGGTGCGTGAGTGTGTTTGCTCAAGTGTTTCGAGCGCAGAGGGTCATTTCCGGAATGCAGGCCTGAACTTTGATTTTCCCAACCAGCAGCACGGAAGATATCTCAAATTATATAGATGCTCAAAGTTCAAACCAATGCTCGCACTATATGTCCACTTCGCCTGCCACGCATCCGTCGTAGTTTTCTGTCCAGTAACTCGTTCGTGTCATCGGTAGAATTAGCAAATATCTAGACAGCCAGCTGGATGGGCTCCATACATACAAAGACCTCTAGGACTGACGCCGCAGGCAAGAAAGCACATATGTCATCTTGCTACTAAATCTAAGCGCCGACGCATATCAGCTGATCTATTGCGTACAGGGTTCCCCGCCATGACCACTCCCTCCGAATCTCACGAACCTCATCGCTTGTCCATAACGTTCAGATTGCTTATCAAGTCAATCAAATCGAGGCAACTACACCTCCAATAAAGTGAAAGAAAGTGGAGCAACAATATCAGCACTCCTCCTTGCCAGTCACTCCTCCATGGCGCAATTGCCAGAACGCATCACAAGGTACCTCGATTGCTTCCACCGGATAGCAGACTCATACGCTTGCAGCAAGCGCTAATCATGCCTTGGAACGTTAGCATAGATCAGTTTACCTCTAATATTCAGAATTCCGCCCAGCCCGTCTTCCTATTTCTCCTCTCGAGCTTCTACGTCGACTTTGCCCCCGAAATCCGGCGCTTTGCAGAGACACACCCCCATCTGAACATTTACGGCATTGCGCGCCCAGCCTTTATCCGCCCCAACGAGCATACCGACCTCATCCTCAGGCTTGGGGTCTGTGCAGAGGCAGAATTTGTGCTCTGGAGAGATGGAAATAACGTTGTTGAGCTTCAACGCCCGCAGCTTTCAAATCTGATGACCGTTTTGCAAGCGATGGGGGTGTAGAGGAGCGGATTTTGAACTTCTCTTCCTTGATGCTTGTGCGCCAGCCCTTCCAATTATACTATGAGCGGGAGGTATATCAGGCGGAAACCCAGCATGTGATGGATGAAAGGGCTGTTAGTCTTTCGGCTCTTTGATTGTCTCGTTCTTTTAGGTTAGAATGAAGAGAGAAATAAAAAAAAAATATGAAACTTGAATAAACAGCATAACCATGGTCAAGGCCATCCTTGCTGATGATAAGATCACTAAAGTATAGTCTCAGGGCCTGGTTATGTATACGACGTCCCGCTCGATAATCTACTAGATACCGCCACACGATCTGGTAGCTAAATGAAGGCTCTAATAGTGAACAGCTTCTATATCCTCTCTGTACCCCGTGAACAGATTCTATGAGCCACATAGGCACCATTATGCAAAGGGTGTGCATCCAGCAATCACGTGTAGCTCTCGTCCAAGCCTACCTTCCTTAAAAATTGCACCCTAGAATCCAATATAGCCTTCCTCATTCAGAGCCATGGGAGATGCCACTCTCGGTCCATATATCCATCATGACAAGCGGCTTGCTAACGTGACACCATGCATCGCTTTTGGTTCTTAAGCCAATGAGAAACGTACATGAATACGAGCCTCAGTGGGGGAAATCTGCCTTGGGCTCCCGCTGGACGCACGACCGCAATCAACCCAATGCAATGAGTTGGATCGTGGGATCTGCGCAGAATTGACACGACAATCTGCGTTCTTCGTATAACCTTTCGTTATATCGAAACCTCAACCTCTGTTCATCCTTGGCTAACATCCGACCACTGCTGCTTCCAACGGAAGATTGTCCCGCGATGACCCCGCCACATGAAGAAGATCTGCACCACGGCAACAATCCCGCCAACCTTGATCGAGAAATAGATAATCTGTCAAAGCGCCTCTACGAGGTTGAGCTCTACGCATTCGAAAGAAACAAAGGCGCCCTGCGAGTCAGCGCGCACGGCCCAACGGACCTGAGCGTCCTCGTAGCGACTGAGATGTACTGGCAAGGCAATACTGAACGGAGCGAATCGTACCTAAAGAGTCGGCACAAAGTCTCTGCACGAGTTGAGCATGCATCCTTTGGTATCTTCCCTCCGCCGCGCATAACTACTGGTATAGCAGTAGCACTAATGAACAATCCCAGACTCATACTGGAAGAAACAATACATGAAGTCACTCCCCGATACAAACTGGGCGTTCCGTGACGACGAAGACAGTACGCTCCTCGACGTCGAGTGCTATACCTATTACGAGAGCCAATCGTGCCCTGGGACCGTTACACTCGAGGGATTCGGACTCGAGTGCTGGGATGCTATCGAGCCGCAGACTATCAGCGTCCCGGTCAGCTATGTCCCACTCCCCACGCTGCCCATATCAAAGCTTCTCCGGCGGGTGGATGAGCTTCGGAGGGGAGACATCGAGCTCGGGCAGGATTCGCAGAAGGATCTCTGGGACTTATTGGAGATGCTTGGGGATGAAGGGTATGAACTATCAATGCCAAATCATGCTGCATGCGCATGCATGCCTACTCAGAGAGAGAGCCAGAGCCTAATCACGTACAGAATCCGTCCATATACCACACGCCGCGCCCCCGAAATAACGCTAAACATGCCGGACCTGTACGAACAGCTCAACCGGCGCGACATCATGGCCGACTTTGGTCAGATATCCAGCGTGACGATGCAGACGTACGCTACCGAGGGCTATTCCCTTGCGGATTTCATCTATCAAATGATCCTCTCCAAGGAACTGGCACGGCGATTGGAACGATATGACCACGTGCGTGCGTATGCCGGGTTCACGGAGAAGATCCTTGCCTCGTTGATTATTGCGGATCGGTGGTTTCAGAATACGAGATTCGTCCTGGAGGATATTAAAGAGGACTTTTCGAAAGTCCACAGGCCAGAGACGGAAGAGGAGAGAGCGAGGGCGGAGGAGCTTAAAGTCCGAGGGAATCGAGCCATGGATGGCAAGGAGTACGAGAAAGCGGCTGAACTGTACGAACAGGTGATTGAGATCGACGGGACGAATGCAGTCTATCGATGTAACCTGTCGGCTGCGCTCGCCTCGCTAGGGAAACATTGGGCTTCGCAGGAACAGGCAGTCAACGCAACGGCCCTTGATCCGGCGTATGCAAAGGCGTGGGCGCGTCTTGGATTCGCGGAATTCCAGCTGGGCCGTACCCTGAGAGCTAAGGACGCATATACACGGGCAATTGAGGTAGCCGGTCCTTCAGCAACGGCGACAATGAAACAAGGCCTCGTCGACGCACAGGCAAAGATCGATGCAACACTGAAAGCAATCGAGGACGAAAGGGATAGGGAGAGGCAAGATAACCTCCGGAAAGCACACCTTGAGGAGAAATGGGACGTTGTCGGTATGGATCTCCATATGCGATCTATTGTTCATGAGCGCCAGGCGGAGGGGTTGCTCGTCTTTGCGGAGAAGATGAAGTGGCCTTATATTGATGAGGTACGGGATTGCTTGGAGACTGCCTACAAGAATGTCCAAGCCGGACTTGCGATTGATTTCTTTCTACATGACTGGCTGACTGGCGTGATTCTTCCTGGGAGGTGGTTCGCCTTTACGATCATGTCGGCGCTGATTATATGTTCGCCGTCTATTACTGACTTGGGCGTTGCCCAGTACTATAATTCGGGCTTATCCCTGCCCGACTGTTCCTACTGGAGAGTCCGCACTGTCCTGGGCCGGGTACTGGCATCCCTCCCTGGGGTGGTCTCGCTAAACGGCTGGATTGGACCCTGTCCCCCTGTGCAGGTTGTCGGACGAGCCAATGACGGTGACAGCAGGCCCCGCCATGCTAAGCTGAAGGCTCAAGGTGTGCTACCATCGGAGTATATCACCGTGATCGAAGCCGATAATCTCTACCTCGAGCGACGTCCAGAAGCACCACCGAGGAGGCCCCACGAGGAAGAGGAGTCCTATATCGCCGAGATAGAAGATCCTTACTACTGGGTCAGCCCTGAGCCACCTGCTGAGCAGGCGACCATCTGTGAGATCAAGGCGATCCGTCTCGAGGCCTTGCCGCTCAACCCCGACATTACTATCAAAGTTGCAAGTGGAGAACTTGACACAGCTGCCGCCGACAAGGAAACGGAGTACCTTGCGAGCATCGAATTCCAGATTGGCGGCAGCCCCGGCACTGTGACATACGCTCTCCTCACAAACCCCGCCTTTGTCTCGCTGGAATCTTGCTATCCCGAGCCTAATACCGCGCATCACGTCCATGCACGCGAACTGCCCGAGTATCAGACGAACGTTTGGACGGTCGAGCAGCTCAAATCTTTCATCCCGGGCAATGACTCCAGCGATATGATCATTATTAATGCCACGGGCAAGGGTGCAAGAACCCTCGCCCAGGCTTGGTGTGCTGAGCGAGGACAGAACGCTGTCGTTCGCACAGTGGGTGGTCCTTGCTTTGCGTGCGCTGTTCGCGCTGCGGGCAAACTGGGCTTGGGGATTGGTGCTTTGATATGGTTGTCGTAGACCGATACTCTAGTGTGCAAATCGTCAGCCTTTAGTACGTCTCTGAATGTAGCTAAGCATCCCGTTTGAATCGGTGCCCTAGCACAGGGTAAGGTCGATCAAAAGGCTCTCCAAACGGTTCAATTTACCAAGTCACGGTCAACTCATGAGCTTACATATCCTGTATCGAGCAGATAACCTGTTCTTCTTCAATTATAGGTTGGACCTGCTAGGTTTCTATTGCTCCAGAATCCAACTAATTGCTAAACAATATGCGCCACTAAGCCATCACACTGGTTCCTATTGATGGTGTGGTGTCAGTTAATGCAGATGCTTGGTGATAAAAGAGGCATTGTATAAAGCACCTTTGTATATATTATCTAGGGGCCACTTGAGGCTTCCCCGGCATACTTAGGAATAAATTCTCTAACAATTTAGCTAGAGGCACCCCACCTTCCTAGTGGGGCCTCTACCAAGATACCGGGACCCGTGACTCATGACCTGGCTATGGAAGCAAGTCTGAAGCATCTCCTACACCGTTTTGGACTCCCTAGCGGGTCCCGCGCCACTCCAGGTAACTTCCTATTCAAGCTTAGTTCGTACCAAACTTGGAAGCCCGATGTCAATCTCCGCCCCACGCCCTTTCTATGAATGGAGCATACCTAATGTGCAATTTTCAGACCCAGACTCTACACAAATTAAAAACAAAAACTTTGCTGAATGACCCAGATAAATTGTACAGTGTGAAAATCAGCCCAAGGCTAGATTACTAAGTGAGATGTATCTTATATGAGCCGGGTGTTGCGCCTTTTATGTCTAGGCTCAATCCTCATTATTATCTCTATTCGACTCTTCCATTCCTGTCATTTCCCATATCTTGATTTGGTTGCAAATCCTGACTGTCGTACTCATCCTTCATAACAAGCAATGGCTGCAAGACTCACAGCCCAGCAGTTGCTGGAGGCTGCATCCGTATCTCCAGAAATTTTCGCCCTACGCCCAGATTATCGCGCCCTGCTCATGGTTGTCGAGGGACTTCCCTCAGGCCCGAGCGATGCTTCTAGCGAGGCAATGTTGCGGGAAGCCGAAAATCACGTCAAAGAATTGCTGAGTAACTCAGATGTGACCAATTTCCCACACATAGCTGCATGGAGAGACACCTACAAAGCTTTTGGCGCCAAGCCGAACAAAACGCGCAACAGCCTCGAGGCATTGACCCGGCGTGCAGAAAGTGGCTTACCGCGTGTCAATCGGCTGACGGACATCTACAATGCGATTTCAGTCAAGCACCAAATCCCACTGGGAGGAGAGGATCTCGACAAGTATGACGGCTCGCCATTTCTAGTCCGTGCTACAGGCAAGGAACACTTCCAGACATTCTCAAGTGGAGAATCTGTGGTAGAATCTGCAGTCCCTGGGGAACCGGTTTGGTGCGATGCCACCGGAATCACGTGTCGCCGTTGGAACTGGAGACAAGGCCCTCGCACCGCCCTGACAAATACTACGAGTCGGGTACTCTTTATCCTGGATGCTTTGGAGCCATGCTCCGATGAAGATCTCACCCGGGCGGCAAATGAGCTTTCATCGGTGCTGCAACGTCTGTCGTCAGAGATACAGATATCACGCCGTATCGTTGATGCTTCATCTTGATCACTCACCACTATTCTCAATGAGAAAGGAGAACTGTATTGTCAAGTGAGGCCAATAGGGGGATATGTTTGGAATGGATTGGGAACTAGGATGGCGCCCCTCCTTTGCAGTTCTTATTCACGATATCTCCACTATGCTGCTTTAGATTTTCGGATAATTTGATGATATATTCACCTGAAGATCTCCCTTTTCTCCCAGCTTGTTTCCCGTAGGTTACGGAGCCCCTGGCTTGGATGTGGCTTGGACGGATCGCTATATTTGACCCAGTAAGGATTAGGGTCGGCCACCTGGTTGCTAGGGTATGGTTCACCTCGCGGTGCTTAGCTTCATCCGCACGAATGTAAATTATCAAGTCATGAATCTTCCGTTGAGCCTCGTCAATTGCCCGGGTGTATATGATAACAGCCTCTTCCTCAGTAAATCGATCAACAAATACACGCCTTGGGCTACGTCTCTTCCGGGCCACCTGTGCTACCGACACGGCACGAATGTTACTATTACGGCCAATTCTGGTTGAGTTCCTCAAGTCAAGAATCGGTAACCCGCTTCCTTGTTTAAGTGGTGTAAGCTGTACGCGTGCCTTGGACCTAATGCTCTCAGAATATTCGCGCTTGTGGTGTCGGCTCGCACACGAAATGGTCGACATTTACAGCCGAATCAAGACGCTGTATCTCCACGAACCAGTCCACTTCCATCCTGCTGGTATTCAGTACTATGTATGTCAAGTCCGGTAGTTTTTTTTTTTTTTTTTTTTTTTTTTTTTTTTTTTTTTTTTCCTGCACAAGCCAAGCCAGGATTGACCTCATCCCTTGAGCCAGATGTCTTCACAGGCCGCGATCATACTTGTTCTGGAGCGGTTCCTGTACCGTAATAGCCGCACCGAACCAGCTATCAAACATGCATCCATATCATCATCATCATTGTTGTACTCATCCATCCCGGATCATCCAGACCTACAGGACGATAGCCGACTCAGCGACTCAATGTCTAGACGCGCTCGAGACACTCTCAAAGACCGTTGGCGTGCAAGAGCATCGGCCGGCCCAGGCAAATTTCCGCAGGTCATTTGTGGAAATGACTCGGCTTCTGGGCGAGCGTACTCGTAGCCTTCAGCCGTTCTGTTCGGATGCCTTTTCTGTGGCTAGGCTGAACACCGCCCGCTCCAAGCCCGTGGGCAGGCTTTGATGTGGGCAATGGTGTAAGAAGCCATCCTTGCCCAGGCTTGATGTGCGGAGCGAGGGAAAGTATGCGATTGTTCGTACTGAGAGTGGTCCATGTTTCGCCTGTGCTGTTCGCGCGACTGGGAAGCGGTTTTGGTTTAGGTGTCTTAAAGGACGCGGGTGCGAAAATATATACCGTTGTTTACGCTTGCAATTTGCAAGGTTCCAATCTTTGACGAGTCTAATGGCTGATAGCAAGGAGTCGCTATTGGGCCTTTATATTGGCTTTTGAATGGTGAGATCAGAGCAGCAAAGGAGTCTGCGTGCAACACTTGAGGCGACTTCGTGGAAAGGAAGACGAACCAAGAAAGGCCGAAACGTAACCAGGATGTAGTTTTAAGTTATATATTTAGAAACCGAGCGATAATCAATTAAGAAGCATCATTGGTCTAGTGGTAGAATTCGTCGTTGCCATCGACGAGGCCCGTGTTCGATTCACGGATGATGCACATTTTTTTTTTGTCCGACAACCGCCCGTCTCGTCCAAGTATCCACAGCTCGAGCCCGTTAGCCCTACAAACTACAAACCACAAAGTAAACTAAAGCCTCTGCCTACGTTGCCCTTCGCAACAACGGCTCCCTTTCCGTACCCAACACACCCTCTCCCTCTCCAGCTGCACCATCGCCTCCCCCGCGGCCACTCCGCAGCAACAAGAAGAGCAAGAGCCCCTGCCCAATCCCAAAGACCGCATTATCGACAGCGATCGAGCCCACCATTTCGAACCACACCTTCACGACGCGGGAATCCCACCAGGTCGCGCCCTCGGGGAGAGGCGGGAACACGACGCGGAAGATCCATGATGCCGCGAGGAGAATGAAGAGCATGGACTGGATGGCGAGGGCGCACACGCTTAATGAGTTGCGTTTCAGTGAAAATGGGACTTGCGAGGTCGATTCTGACTCTGATGCGAGGGCGGGCTGGGACTGGGACTCTGATGGATCAGGGTGTAGGATCGCCTGCGCCTGCCGGTAGGTGGCCATGATGACTAGCACGGTGCCGACGTAGGTTAACCACAGCATGTGTGGGGTGAAGGCAAGGACGACAGGCCACTCGCGGTAGGCGCTCTTGTCGTCATCAGCTTTGAGAACGATAGCGCACAGAAACAGCGGGATTATTGCGACAACAAAGTAGGCGATGTAGGCTCCGAGCATTAGTCTCTTGCAATTGTAGTTGCTCTGCGAGGGAAAGGAGAGGCAGAGAGCGAAACTAAGTAAGATGAGGATTATATTAGTTGAGTTCTCGCAGTCAACGGCGCAGTCGATAGCGTAGCGCTTAGCAGTACCCTGAAGAGCAGAGTTGGCAGTCATACTATACAACGAAGAGCAAACAGACCAAGGTCGTCTGCGCTAGATTCAACCAGTCCCCGATGGTAGCCGGGTCGTGGGCAAAGACTCCAGCTCTGGGTGATATAAGGGCGATATAGCCAAAGTTCACAGCAAACTGCTCGGTAGCAGCGATGAGGTTTAATAGTACGTAGGACAATGCGATATCCGAGGCATTTTTGCGTGCGCAGATTTGATGAAACTGGGGGAGGAACGACACCAAAGTTAGGAAGAGGAGAATGCTATTGGCCGTCAGTGCTGATGAAGACAGATATCGTGAATACGTACACGCGAAGCCAATCGGGGAACATGGCTGAGGTTGGATGATAAAAAGGGCGGTTCGTTTGATGGGATGAGGCGAAGGTGTGCCAAAGGAAAGATGCGAAGTGGCTCAACGAGGGTGACACCAACGGGCAGGTGGTGGTTGGCTGGTGGTTAGACGCCGAGCTCAGGCTTAGGCTCACCTCTCGTCGTTGCCTAACGGTTTCAATCAAGGCATGTTTTCTTGAACTCCTGATAAGCCATCAGTGCAACTGCATTCTGACATTTGTTCCCACTATTGACTCGCGATGTGGATTATTTTAATATATGCGAAGATTCACTTGCGAGGTGCACTCAACGGAGTATAATGACTATAGGACCTCAGCCCCGAGTTCCCTTGTCGACATCCTCATGAGTAGAGAAACTGAGTACCTGGGCATTGCGATTCATGGGGTTAGTGCACGAAGAGGGGATGTATACGTCGCTCGAAATTCCGTTGGTGGTGATAGCAAGATACTCTATGACGACGGGGACAATTCATCACTCTTAACATGGCTAGAAATTTAAACTTTCACTCGGCAAGTGTCAAGTTACGCCTCGGAGGTTCAAGAATATTAGCTCAAGGCACCCTTGCTCTCACCCAGCCTAATCACAATCTGGAACTAGACCGCTGGTTGAGCTGCGCCCTGATCGACGAGGCTGTGCCGACACCAAGCATAGTAGAGGTACTTCTGCCCTGAACTTACCCCTCAACTTCGTTCACCATCACTAGAACACAACTACGGAGCTAGCATCCGGTTCTGAGGCACCAAAATGTCCTTCCAGCTTTCCCTCGAACTAACAAACCTCATCGGCCCAGTCGCCAAATCCGTCCTCCGTCTCGCCTCGCTCGGAACCCTCCAAGACATCAACCGCTCAGGCTCAGATGGCCTCACCGAACTGCGCCTCGCGTCACTCCTCGGCCAGAACCGCGTCGCGGAATATATGCGCGAGAACTTTCGAAATATCGTCGCGCAGTCGCGACAGCACTCTTTTCCTGGGCTATTAGAAGCTGCCGGGCAGTTGTTCCTCGAAGCCGGTGCGGGGCCGACGGTTCGGCAGGCGATTACGAACCCAAATCCGGCTTGGCTGTCGATGGTCATTCAGGTTTCAACGCCGGCGTTTGCGCATGAGGCGCAGTCGTTGGCACAGGCGGTAGCGGCTGTGTCGGCGGAAGGGTTGAGAGAGCATTCCGGGGAGAGTGCTCTCGACTATGTCTCCGTGCTCGGGGTTATCAATGCGTGCCAGGAGCAGACTGCAGAGTTTCCCTGGGTGGGATTCTTCGAAAGAACAGAGCAACAGATTTGCAAATCCATTGGCAACGCGCCGCAGCGTCGGCTGAGGCGTGAGCGGAAACGGAGGATAGACGCCACGGCAAGGTCTGCGGCTATCGAGCGCGCGAAAGATCGTTCCTTGCCCTTTCCAATCCTCAAGGCCCTTGTTGTGCATCTCGCCTCAATCCAGGATCTTCCCGAGCATCGGAATCTGCATCTTCGCACAAATAGGGGACTCAGCACGATTGTCGTCTGGTGTCACTACGTGCTAGGGATTGGTGTGAGTGTTGAGATCAGTGGGTCAACCGTGGTTTTTGGGGACAATCCTCGTATCTTCGTGGAGGATTGCGGTGTATATCCAGCCTCAGCAACTGTACTGGATGCTTTGGAGGAGCACGAGCCATTGTTTCAACTCAGTCAGGCCGAGGAAGATCCTGTGCTCGAGGGGGAAGATCGTGCCCTCGCACGCGGGTTTCTGAAGCAAGCTTTACGTCGCTTCGGTGTTTCTGAGGCAAGTATCCTCGTGCAGGCGAACTGGGCCGCCGCTTCCTGCATGAACCTCCTTTCGTCGTCAAGAGAGCCCGAGTTTGGTCCCCTCCGTGTTACATCCATGACCTCGCAAGTTCGGGATAACATCTTCAACTCTATTTCCTTCCTTTTTGATATTCCAACACGAGATCTGAGCAAAGTGAAACACGGAAAGAAATGTCCCAATACCAGGCAAGTGTCATGGTCCAGCATCATGGTGGTCATTCTGGCATTTGCTAGAATCCAACGTCTACCCGACTGTGAGACCATTCCACTCTCTCTAAAGGCCTTTTCAAAGATTGGCGGCCATAAGCACCCACTTGGGATGCAAAAAACCCACGATATTGGAACCATCCCAGACACCATGGACTGCTTCGACATCATCTCCCAATTGCTGCTGGGATCGCAATACTCCGCGGACTACGTCGCAAATTCAGTCCTGGTGAGCGCCCAAGGCTGGAGTATCTACCTGTACTCCCTCGCAGCCGTTGACGTGAGCGACATCTCGCCAGGCGTCATCCACGTTTCATTGGGGGTCCCGTCTCGAAATGGCGAGCGCAAAGCTCGCATCGTCGACGGCCCGACCGACGTCCCCATGGCCTACGGCGAAGTTCTTGATGATACCGAGATCCCCATCGTCTTCTGGCCGGGGATCTCGACCAGCAGACTCAGCGCGACACTTATCGGCTACCATGGACGTGACGCGTTTTCAGCCGTACAGGTGTATCAGTGGGATGCAGACGGGACAAGGAACGAGACGCGGAAATGGCGCCTGGGGCTCCGAGATAAGCAGGATATGTCTTTAAAATTTTCTATAATCAGCGACTGTCCTTGCGAGGGGTATTACGATGTCAGGTGGGGTGCAGAGTGGATTGATCGGGTGGTACGGGCCGGAACGGTTGACCGAGAGGACGGGCAGGGCTATTCCAGGGTTATCCAGCGGTACTCGAAGACGCGAGTCTCTTCTTCCGAAAGGGTCTTTACCGCCGGCATGGAGCCTAGTACCGGCAGTGTAAGCCCGCCTGAACAGGGTTGGTTCTTCTTCGTCACGGAAAATGCCGCGGCGAGATGGCTGGCGCTCGACGGCCTGGACCAGCTGAATGGTAACGATGCTGGGTTTCGAGGTGTGGTGCGTGGGAACAATTGCTGTATTGAGTGTGCCTGTCGCGCGATAAGCGATAGAAATTTTGTCCTATTGTAAGGAAATGGTTCATGGGTCACGTTTATTGGACCAAACATGACGGTGTGTGCAGTGTGTTACGGGACAGTTATCTGTCTCGGTTAGATGTATATTCTGGTGTAGTCATGGGACAGCATTCTACGCAGCAGAGACAGAATCTAGATGGCCTCATCTTCTCGCCGAGTGGCTCCAAATGGCTTCGAGGACATTCGACCGCTGAAGCACCAGCTTTTCCCTCCCAACATTGTCCTTAAGACTCACAACCTCCCCAAACGCGTTAATCGTGACAACCGTCTCTTTATGCTCCTCGCGTCTCCCATAATCCCACCACTCCAACGGACCACCCATATACTGCAACCGGAAAGCATCACCGCCGGGCCCGACGGTGTTCTCACCAGGGCATTGCCAATCAAGACCAAACACAGAGAAGGATCTCTCCCAGACCTCGCCTGGAGACAGGACTCTGAAGGTACCATAGTTCTCAGCGACGTTCATCTCGGACGGGGATTCCTCGTAGAAATCTATGCCGGCCATGCAGCCGACACCGAGCTCTGCGTCTCGCCATTCACCGTTGAGCAGATACTGTAGCCGGTATCGGGAGACGTCGGTCACGCTGGACGCCTTGAAGATGATGGGCTCCTGCGGCCTGTTGGTGTTTGGGATGGCGGGATATGTGACTGTGAACTTCACAATCCACGCTGGGGCTGGCCGTCCAGGGCCGGGTTCTTTGGGGGTTATTGCGCCCTTGGTTGACAGGGTCATGGCGAGTGTTGGCAATGGAGTGGCGGCGGGTCTGTGCGACATCTTGGCATGCAGATCCTAGTAGAATAAGGAGGCAAAAAGCAACTTACCTTGATAAGCCATTCTGGCGCAGTTGGGATAATCGTTCAGATTCCATGGTGGATGTTCGCAGGCAATTGACAGAGATGGCGGTGTTAAATGTGCTTCTTCTTGCGGCTCATCACTCTTCCCGGTATCGGCCGGTCGCCCAGGCGCCAAGCGAGGCTCAGTCGCAGCTTATAGCTAACCTGAGATTCTGATTCGTTACTATTGCCAAACTGCCTCGTCGAAGTCAGCCTACAAGGAGAAATACAGTGGTTGCTCCAATGACATGCCTGTGGACTCTATCCGATAGCTACCCTGTCATCTAGGTGGCTCTCAAGGGGTAGCGACTTTGCTGGTAACAGCAAGTAAAGACATTGAATCAATCAATACATGCCGAAGCTACAGAACAACCGGTTGGAATTTGTTAATGATTAAGACCGGGCTCGTATAGCATATCCTGGCTACTACGTTCGTCAATCCACCCGCCATATCCTCTCTACGGCCGACAACCGCACTCGCTCCTTGCCTACCACTTTCTTTCCCAGGACTCGTCTAATCCACAAAACGCTCTTTCTGTTCCAGGGCCTGGCTTTATTGATTCGTTATCTCACTGCCTGGAAGATAGAATATGGGAAGAAGATACAGGATAGATTTGTTACGTACAACAGTGTGGAGGGACCTCGGGGGTGCATGTAGGTATCTATATAGTGACCAGCATCTACGGAGAAGCTAGAGCAGATGTTACGACTTTTAATCCCTGCTAATTTCACCTGATACGTGTTCCTGCTTATAAACTGAACAACGCCTGGAAACCTTGCTCGCAAAAGGCGAGCTTCTCATTAGATTTTATCCGGGGCCGAGTCCTATCACAGTGATAATTTATTCTTGATACCGGTCTCTGTCGCTAGTTCAATTCATATTACTATCAAATTATACCTTCCATGGCTAAACTGTACTGCTATCACTTTATAGCCAGGGCGTTTCATCTGAGTAGTAACACTTGATGAACAAGAACCTAGAATGATTCAAGACATGCGGTCCAGCTGGGGCTCTAACTAGGTGCATTAGAGGGAAAGTCTAAAGTCCTTTCTTTGATAAGACTGCTGCATATATCCTTAGTAAGATGCGACGGCATCAGACGAGTCACACCCTCTGCAATACGCGATTCTTATCGCCGAAATGCCACGTTTCTATTCGCCCGTCGGCCCTCCGCGTAGATATCATTCTCGAATGAATTGCGACAGGTGCGGCGAGATTTGGTGACTGACTGTCAGGAGACACGAGAGTGCGCCATGTGTTTGGTGTGGTGATTCCGCCATCCGCGAGGAATATGTCGCCCAGCAAACTGTTATCGTAGCATAGGAATCTGATTGATCGTCGATCGCGTCATCCCCGCTTACATCTCGCTGGCTCGCCAGACAAGCATTATTTCTGGAGTCGCGAATCGACGATAACGATGGCGCAACGGCTGGCGATCTTATCCCCGAAAGCCGATGGCTCGCGGCTCATCGGGGATACTTGAGTTGTATACTTCGAGGTCTATAAAAAGGTCGATTTGACCGCGCAATCCAGTCACAATTATCGTTCCATAATCAAGATCATCACCCAGCAAGAGTTCGAGCAATATGACTGTCGCAGCCACCCCATCCAAGCCTACCGCCACCCCACGCCAGTACTCCTCGGGGTCTCTGGATGGCTTCAAGTCCACCGTCCTAACCCCCGTCATCGGCAACGAGTTCCCCAAGGGCTCGATCAACATTGTTGATGACATCCTCAACGCGCCCAACTCCGAGGAGCGCATCCGCGATCTCGCGATCCTCAGTACGTCCCTACCTATCCCATCCCACTCCTCATCTTTCTCTAACAATTCGCAGTCTCCGAACGCGGCGTCGTCTTCTTCCGCGCACAAGACAACCTAACCAACGACCTGCAAAAAGACCTAATCCTCAAACTCGGCGAATTAACCGGCCGCCCCGCAGACCACGGCCTCCACATTCACCCCGTGGTCAACGACGCGCGGGAATTCGGCGACCCCGATCCCGAAATCAGCACGATCAACTCGCTCGAGCGCAAGAAGCTCTACAAGGGCGCGGCGCTGGGCAAGCTCGCCGCGCTGTGGCACAGCGATATCTCCTTTGAAAAAGCCCCCTCTGACTACGCCGCGCTCCGACTGACTCTCCTCCCGCCAACGGGCGGGGACACGCTCTGGGCTTCAGGCTACGAAGTCTACGACCGGATTTCCAAGAGCTACCGCTCGTACCTCGAGACGTTAAGCGCCGTGCACTCGGGCGACAACTTCCACCGCGCGGCGGCGAACGGCGGGTTCCCGCTGTATACCAAGCCCCGCGGGTCGCCGTTGAATGTGGGCGATGAGCTGAGCGCTGTGCATCCCGTCGTGCGCACGAATCCGGTGACCGGGTGGAAGAGTATCTATGGGGTTGGCGGGTTCACCAAGACGGTGCAGGGGCTGACGTCGCGCGAGAACGAGAACCTCCTCAAGTACTTCCATGATCTGGTCACGTATGGCCATGATCTCCAGGTGCGGTTCAAGTGGGCGCAGCCTAATGATATTGGTGTGTTCAGCCCTTTTTCTCTCTTTTTTATTTCCTCCTCACCGAGCCTCTTTCTAACATCATGTGTCAGCCATCTGGGATAACCGCAGCGTCTTCCACACCGCGACATTCGACTACGATAACATTGGCGAGCGCAGCGGGAACCGCGCTGTGGGTATCGGTGAGGCACCGTACTTTGACCCGGGGAGCAAGTCGCGTCGTGAGGATTTGGGAATTGAGGATCAGCTTTCGCCGGTTCATTTCTAGAATCGCATGGAAAGAGCCAGGGTGAGGTATGAGAGATGTGGCAAATTGTATATAGGTTATCCAGCGCCGAATGAATCACAATCATAAGAACCAGAATGGGAATACGAGTAAAAGGAAACAAGAGAGAAGAGGCCGATGAAGTGAATAAAGAAAAAGCCCGCTCGCTCGCTCACTACACCCTCAATCCAAACGTCTCCCCCATGTGCAATCCAAACGCATCCCCCGCCCAAAAGTCCTCCGCAAACAACCCCGAAAACGTCCTCGCATCCGGCGTCTCGGGCGTTCGCGGCGTCTGCTCACCCCCACCCCCGTTCCCATGCCCCCGACTCGCCAGCGGCGAGGGGATGAGGAACCCCGGTGTTGGCGGGTCCGTAAGCGACCGATCCAGCCCATGCCCATGTCCGTGTCCGTGCACGCCCCACGGCGGCTTCTCCGGAACACTGGACATGCCCCGGTGCTCGTGCTGCTGCGCATCACTGACGTAGTCCATTACGCGGTTGATGGTTGTCTCCAGGGCGTCGCGGTACTTGCGGACGCTCGGGTGGCGCTCGGCCATGACGAAGAGGGCGGAGGAGCAGGCGCGGAGATCGTTGGAGACGGACATTGTCCAGAGGCTTGGGGAGCGGAAGAGAAGGAGGCTGGAAATAGAACATATCAGTAAAGAATACAGTCTTGGGATAAAAGAGGTGCAGCGTACCATATCGTCAACCCCGACATGAAGATCGTATTTATCAACATGAACGAATACCACGTCGAGTCGCGCTGTCGCAGCCGCTTGAAGTACTGGCACATCTGCCCCGACGCATGCAGACACTTTCGTGCAAGCTCATCGTCTGGCGGTAAGATGCTCAGAAACGGGTGTAACAATGTCCGTATCGCGCCATTCCAGTGCATATGTATGAAATCATCCTCGTACGCAGAGAGGGCAGGGATATTCCTCTGGAACTCATCCAGGGCAGCCAATGTGGGCGGCACCTCTGGCAAGAGAGTCGCGACATCGCGATCAAGCCGATACACCTTGGCACGCGTGGCCGACGAGATCCGCGACAGCTTGATGCAGGTGAGTGCGCAGCGAATGTTCGGGCCCTGCCACCGCTCATGCGGGCTCTTTGGGTTTTGGCGCATCTCTTCGATTGCGCGATCATCTGTCAGCGAATCGTCAATGTCGGCCGGCGGCTCCGCGTCGATTTCCTCGTCCGTAATACTAAACGGCCGGCCCAGCGACCAGGCAACGGACCGCTCGTGCAGGTACACGCTCCAGAAGAGCCGTCGGCGCCGCTGGGCCTCGTACGGCCGCAGTCGCCGATACTGTGCTTCGCGGTGCAGCCCAAAGTCCACGCAGATCCGCATGGCGAGGCCCATCATGTACCAGACGCTGGAGCTCGCGGCCGACTGGACGTTGTACATGGCCATCAGCATCAGCGCTTCAATACTGTTGATGGAAAGGGACTCCTGCAGCGAGGGCTGGTACTGCATCGCGGTGACAAAGTAATGCCTCGGCGGCGTCGAGTCGTACATTTCCGTCATCTTGAGAATCGCCGCCCCAATCGCATACACCATGAAGATCTTGAACCGTGCAAACTGCTCCGCCGTCGTGTTTCCCACCGGGAGATGCCGCTTCGCATGCAACTCGTAAATCTCCGACCGGCACAGGAAGGGGAGCCGCATCTGCATGCTCTTAAAGTACGCCTCGAGGAGCCTCGCGCCCATCGCGTCGTCCGGCGGCGGCGCGGGGCCCGTCACTTCGTTCTCACAGGGCGCAAGGAACTCGTGTGTCTCGTTGACGGGGATCGATTTCCAGACTGCGTCCTGCACGATCCGGCTGATGTTCTCGGCGATCGCGAGGCCGGATGAGGGGCCGAGATAGTTGCCCTCGACTTTATTCTCGTACCCCTGGCCCTGGATCAGGAAGTGCATGACGCCGCCGCCGTGTGTGTCTGTTTCACTGGGTGAGCTCGCGATCGCACTCGCACTCGCCGTCGTACAGCTCCCTGGACCCTGTAGACTCGGGACGCGGTCCCGATCCCGATCTCGTTCGCGATCCCCAACCTCCGACCCGTTACTCTCCGTGAGTGCAGCAAGCTGCGCCTCGAGCGTCTCGATCCGCTGCGCAAGCGCCCCCTTGGACATCCCATGGTGCCACGAGGGCACACTATCCGACCGGATACAGGCCTGCCCCGCGAGCTCGCAGTTTGCGCAGACGGGGGCGCCGACGCACCGCTGTTTGCGGCGGTGGCAGCGGCGGCACGATTTGGGGATGCGTTTACGGATGCGTGTTGTTGCTGTTCCTCCTGCTGCTGCTGCTGCGGTTGCTAATTCCTCGGGGCCGTGGACGTGTGGAGTTGTGCTGTCGTTTCCATTACTCATCGCCATGTCCATGCTTTGTCTGTGTCCGTGCTGGATCGGGGACTAGGTCTGTGGGAGATTGGTCAAGGGTGTCATTCATCTCGGACTCGATGGGGATTTGGGATTTGGGATTCCCCGCAATTGCCATTGAGGATGATGCGATTCGTCATCGTGAAGGGTGATTGGAGATTGCCTGGTGTGATTGCGATGCCGGAGCACGCCATTCGCACTTGGGCTTGCTAAGATCGCTGAGCGTGTGGACATTAAAGCGACCATGGATGGATGGATGGAGGATTAGCTACTGTGATCGGAGGTGCTTCGAATGTTATCGCCCGCCTAAATCCCACGGATTATGCTTGGGATACCTGGAAGCGAAAGTGCTCTCCCGATCATTCCGCGTCAAGCACATACCGTCGGCTTCTCAGAATGTACATGGCGAAGGACTGAGATCACCAAACAAGCTCATTCAACATAAAAAGTTCAAACTCGAAAATGCGGGACGTCTACGAGTATACATCTCGGATCTAGCGCGGAGTTCTAAGTATTTCGGTCAATCTTGGACGTGCTCTTATATCCCTCTGACGGTCTGGTCTAAGATGGTCGGGAACTTGAGGGACCCATGTCAGGAGCGGCCTGGTAGATTGCTGCTTCCCTATGGGTCGGGTCGCTCGAGTTGTTCCATTAAATAGGAAGGAACGACCTTTGTCTGACCTCTGGATTGGCAGGTACGATTGTTGATTGTCCCCAGATGCGCATCGCGATCCAACATCCGACTGCCGGGTGGTATACTGGCACAGCTGAAACGCTGTCACGTCCCGTGCGCGGTAGCCGATGACTGTCGCGCTTAATCTGCCGATGGAGAGGAGATATCCGGCCGTATCATAATCGGCATCCCTTATTGATCTAGAACTCCCCGGGTCGGCGACGGGGACTTCGGTCGGCCTGTCGACGACTCGGCTCGCGATTTGCGCTCCCTTTCCGTGAGGGAACGTCCAATACCATTGGACATGGATCACGCCCGGCGAGCTGTCGCTTTCCCTCTTCAACCGGATTCCGGATCGTCATTGGCTGCCGGAATATCGCTACAGGGCCCGCTTCTGGAGCCCATGCCCCCCTGGAGCGCAGGGAAAGATGCTGTCTGGATCGGTCAACGATGGTTAGAGCACTCTTCGGCAATCACCCGGTACCGGGACTTGGGCTGAGGGACGAGGCGAGATGCAGACAGATTCGGTGGTTTTGTTGTTTCCACGAGATGGAATGGGCGGGTAGTATTATTACAGATCAGAGTCGACAGCTTGCTGGCAACGTGGCACAGTCTGGTCGGTCTTTGCATCTTCGCTGACGCTTTTTACACCAGCTCACACATACTATGTGTATATTGATCTCGAGGACTGTATTCTAGCTACCTATAGGGTCCGCCAAAGATATCCGCCTGCTGTTTCCTGCCTACCAGTACTATGGTCGTCGCTCACAGGGTAAACCGGAACCCAGGCGTATTGAAAATCTCCTTACCATTCCTCTGCTTCTTGTTCCTGCGAGACATGGTCATCGTCGTGATTCCCACGGAGAAAATCGTAATCCCCGCCGCGATGAAGCACGTCCACAGACCGGGCCTAGAGCACACATACACATTAGCAAGGCAATTCCTACCACACAGACCGTACACCAAGTCGCGCGCAAAGGAGGAAAAGGAAAAAAGAGTAACTCACTCATAATCCGGCGCATCCTGATCCCGAAAGACCAACCCTCCAATAATCCCACCAACGCCACCAGCCCCAACAATAAGCGCAGACCCAAACGCTCTCCGCCACTGGCCCGTGATGTTATTTGACTGGTAGGTGAGTGCCGCGGGGATATTGGCGTTGCAGGATCCCGTGAGGACAAAGGCGCCGAAGTATCGGACCCCGTTTTGCTTTGCGTACCCGAGCAGTGCGATTCCGATTATCTGCAGGATGGCGTTGAAAACTACCACGGGGCCACGCAGCTTGTATTTGTCCGACAGCCAGGATTCCGTTAGGCCTAGGACTGTGCCGAAGAGGAAGCACTGTGGAGATTGTCAGGGTTGTGGTTTTGGGGGAGGGGAGGGGGTAAGGGAAGCAGTCGAGGCTTACCGGTGCAGTGAGTGTTTGTGCTTTGGCGACGTCGAACTTGAGTCCCTGCATCAGGACGATGGGAAGGAAGTACGAGACCGCATAGCTGAACACTGTTAGCCCTCATCTCGATCGATAAAGGATATTGGGTGTGGCACTCACATAACAACAGCCGTCATCAAAAAATTCGCTGCGAGCAACCACCCCTGCCACTCGAGCGCATAGCCAAAATACTCCTTGAGATTAAACGGCGTGAGGTGCGCATCGCCGCGATCCTTTTCTACGCGATCAATCATGATGTCGATCTCGCGATCCGTCAGGAACCACTTGGTGCGGCGCGCATCTTCGGGGAAGTCGACGATCAGAATGAATCCCACCAGACCTACGGCGACAGTGATGACGCCCTCGATTATGAAGATCCAACGCCACCCGGCGTGGCCTTGGAGGCCGTGCATTTGTTGGAGCTGTGGGTGTGATCAGTAATGATTATATATTAGATCTTTCCGGGAGGAAAAAGGGGGGACGGAGGAGTCGTATTCGGCTTACCCCGTAAGCAAGAATGCCACCAAACGAACTAATCGCACTTCCGAGCAGATAAAACAATCCAATACGTTTCCCCGTCTCGTGGCGAATATACCAACTGCTAATCAGGAACACTGCAGCGGGGAAGAGACCGGCTTCGAAGAGACCGAGGATGACGCGTAGGGCGGCCAGGTGTTTCCAGTCATTGACCAGGCCCATTCCGACCATCACCAGTCCCCATGCGACAGTGATGAAGCCCATGAAGATCCGCGGGCCGATTTTGCGCGCGATGACTGTCATCAGTGGTTGGAAGACGGTGTAGGTTGGAAAGAAGACGGCGACGATTGTGGACTGTTATACTTGTTAGTCCATCTCTCGCAACGGACCAAGCGTGAAGGATGAGGTACATACGTAGTGCTGCCCCGTGAGGTCAATCTCCAGTCCCATTCCCGCGACGACTCTACACAACACACAGTTAGCTCAACCTGACTAAAGATAGTGGGCAACATACGCATTGGCCAGGTTCACTCGATCAATTTGACACACGGTATACATGACAGCCACGACGACACACAATCGGATATCAATCTTGCGCTTGATCGCCTTCACCTCCGCCTCATCATACTGAAGCGAAGACTCGGACGCATGCGTTGTCAGACCACTCTTCTCATGATCCTGGTTGAGCGCCTCCTTCAGGTCCAGCTTCGTGTCGGAGGCAGCGTTGATTTGGGTTTCGACGGCCATGGTCGCTAGTGTGCCCTGACGTTCAAGACTCTATCCGGGAAACCGACAGCAGAGACACAATAGCAAGAGAGAAAACTCGAATAACTTCACAGGAGCCATTGTGCGTTTTATATCGTCAGCGTTGTGACTTGGCGTCGCCAAGCGTTACACTCACGCGGGGATTACACGATTACTGTAATCCTCTGTCATCACCTCTGACTCGCCAACGAGAAACTCGCTTCCTTCACGAGAAGTCGCAAAGGAAGCGAACCCCAGCACGAATCAAGAGCTTCATCCCTCCTCCACTGAAACAACAAATGACCTGTAACGCGCTTGGCGGGAATGTGGCGCATAGCTCGAACGTCTTGGGGGGATTGATCCCTGCGGGGTAGCACGCGGGTTTATGCTTATCGCGCCGGTTAGGCTTCTTGACCCGAAGAGATGGGGTGAGAGGGCGGGGCGATTGTACATACTCGTATTGGGAGTTCGGTCCGAAATGAGGGTCTGGAATGCGGGGGTGGGACTGCTGGAGACTGACGGGGCGGATCATGGATGACAGGACAATGTCGATGGCGGATGCCAGAGCTCGCAGTGGGGATTTTGGCTTTCTGACTGGTGTTATATGGCTCGTTTCCAGCGATCCTGCACAGGAAAACAATACACTCATTGTCAGTCCGGACATGTCGTGCAGGCATGGCCTGGTTCCAGGCTTCGGTGGAAATTACAGGACATCGGGCAGGCAGAGCCAAAATATCTATCCTCTAAATCCATGTCCATGAACCATGGATACTTGATCCTCGAGCTCGCGACAAAGCTCGCTTGCAATGACCGCCTAACTCTGCCTTGTCTCCGCAGATATGAAGGATTCTGTTGCCGAGGAATCTCGGACCGAGGGGCGGCCAGCTGATCCTCTCGTACAATGCACGCCACAGGAAGGTAGCTGACTCTTCAGCTGAGCGGAGCTCTTGGTCTTGGCTGTGATTCTTACTGGGCGGAATCTGAGAGCCCTGGGTTCGAGACGAAGCGAGGGCATTGAATAATTTCTCAACATAGCAATAGCTGGACAGGACTGCTAGGCATGGCTTGATGACTGCCCACGTGGTGACTGATGAGAACTCAATCTTCCCCTGTTTCTAGTCACGCGCATCCTCTCCCTTCTTCTGCAACTCCTCCATGCGTAGCAAATCGTGCCACAAAAATCTACGCCCCCCTATCGCTGGAAGCCGACTGCCATGCGGTCGGGCCATCCCCCAGGATATCCTTGCCCACGAACCGTCCAGCATGGACAGCGTTACACATCTTCGCATCCTTCCGAACCGACGAGCCGAGTCGCACGTCGGCAGGGGCTCGATTCGCCGAGCTTGGCCATTTTGTCGAAAGAATCTTTGGTGCTGTGCTCTTGGAGACGGCAACTCCAGGGTACATCGAGCATTTGCATCGTGCCCTCATGCTCAAAGCTTAATTGCAAACTGAGTGCTCCTCGTGCTTTAAGTGAGGGCCAGTTCAAGTCAATACATCCAATCACTCGCCTTTATCACCCTGAACAATACCACTAGTAGTCGATGCAGCCCCTGGTGTCTGCACGTAGTGGGTTTACTTGGCCGAAATAAGGGGGGTAAACAAACTCGTCTAGGGCAGGAGCAATCCGCATCCTTCTATATGGTTCCCCAATAAAGTATAATTTTGTTTGACCATAGGGATGAGGTTGATTAGCAGGGAGTGTGAATGTAAGTTAACTGCGCGTTTAGAGAGAACCACTACTATTATCTTAGGATCCTTGTTATGGAAAGGCTAGATCTTATATCGCTCTAGTCTCAAATCCTGTTATTGTGCAGCCTCACTACTGTAGCGGGGATATATTGTTGCAGGTTCCACTCTAGGTAGGTAGTCTCCCGGCTCCGGCAATGAGATGCCCTCCTTTAAACTCCGGGGTTTTGTTTGTAGACTTCCTTAATAAACTCGTGCCTCTTCACTGCCTCCTCAAACCTGCAGAGAACACTGTTGTCTCCTGCAGCAATGGCCTCATAGACACGTGCCAAGTTCCTGTTGATCGGCTCCATCTCGGCGAAAGCCCCCTTCCTGAGCTCAATTTCTTCGACCGTGTCTGTGGTAAAATCATGAAGCTCAATCTTTGTTATGCCAACTATCTCAATAAACCCGTTGGGCCCTGTCACCCTGATCTCGCCCTTCTCTCCATAAATGGTCCACTCGAGCCCAGGGGAACCTTTGAACGGCGTTCCACCTCGCATGGACACTGAGAGAACAGCTCCTGACTCGAGCTTGCCATGGATCATGATGTGATCGGGAGTGGTCTTCCTGGCGCCCCATTCGACGATAGAACCACCGTCGCCCACGAGGTTGATAACTGGGCGCTGGTTCGCAAGGAGGGATTGGAAGCTTGTGAGTTCTCCCAGCACTGTATTCAGTCATTATGCATATTCGAGGACGAATGTGGGGTTTCGAAGAACAGACCTTGCCATGCGGTGTCGAGCAAATGGATTGCCGGAATTGTTAGGAGGGACCCCCCGCTTCCCCGGTCCGTCAAGTACGATTGAGTCTGCATTTCTGTTGGCCCACCAACCAGTCCTTGCGCGGTAATCGTAGAACTGAGGACTTGTCCAATTCTTCCTTCTGCCAGAATTTCCCGCAGTGTTTCAACTGTGGCCTCAAACCGGCCCTGAAGTCCCACAGCGGTGAGCTTGACGCGGTTGTCTTTGGCGACACGAAGAAGTTCCCTGGCTTCTTCGTAGCTGCTACCAAGTGGCCACTCGACGAAAACGCTCTTCCCAGCTTTCAAGGAGGGGAGGATCGACTGGTAGTGACGGTCGACTCTTGTGGTGCAAACAACAAGGTCGATCTCCTTATCACTAGCGATATCTGGTTATCAATTAGACAAGATTTCACAGACACGACTGTTGCTCTAGGTTTCAAAACGGCACGCTAACATACCCTGAGGGTTACCATAAGTCCTAGTTTCTGCGGCTAGTTTCAGGGCTTTGACGCTCCGCGCGGCGCTCTGCACCGAAGAGTTACAGACAGCCACTATTTCAAACTTGGAATCCGGGGACTGGAGGTATGGTAAATGAGCTTTAGCCGCCCATGAACCATCCGAGAGACCAATTATGCCGATCCGAAGTGGGGACATAGTAAGAAGGGCTGATGATGGATACGATGAAGAATTTGAGCCGTGATATGCAAGACAGGTTGGTCAAAAGATGTATAGTTAGCAGACGCCACGTCAACTGGAAATCAATTGTTGGTCAAATAACCAGGGAAAACACGTCTGACCTCCGTTATTTAATGAGTATGATGACAGTACTTACCAAGCCAGCGGGATGCCGGTGGGTGGGCTTCCGGATGGGATTCCGGATGGGATTCCCTTAGGATATTAACTAATACGACGACATTAACCAGGTTTGGAAGAACTATCAACAAAGGACAATTGGCATAGGGTTATTAATCAGCAGGTACCTAGTAGTTGCGTCATTTTTCTTCCAACGAGGTATTGACGTATGCCGAACGATTTGTCCACCTTGCACCTCAAAGCCTTACCAACTGCTTGACCGCTCCACTGCATTGAATACCAACAGCGATATGAAGGAGGCAATCAACCTTCCCGGGCCCACTGTGAAAATTGTGGATAGTCCTATTCCCGAGCCGAACGATGACCAAGTTCTCATCAAAGTTGTTGTCTCCGGATCAAATCCTAAGGATTGGAAAGTCCCGGATCTGGCAGCTTCAGGGGATTCCAGCTTTGGCGTATTCGTCCAAGCCAGGAAGGGTCTTAACCAAGGAGATGATATTGCTGGAATTGTCGAAAAGGTTGGTGTGAATGTTGTCGACTTCAAGGTACGTATGCTGCGCACCTTGTAGGCCTTCCTAACTTCTTGTTAAGCCAGGTGATCGCGTTGCAGCCTTCCATGAGATGGGCACCACTGGTGGTTCTTACGCGGAATATGCAATTGCGTGGAGCCACACGACCTTTCATTTACCCCAGCGAACGTCATTTGAAGGTGAGTCCAGGCCCTTTTAATGGATACTCGAACTCACACAAATGGCAGAGGCTGCTACGATACCCCTAGCGGCCCTCACCGCGGCTGTATCATTGTATGCGCATCATCGCCTGCCGTTCCCCTGGGCTCCCGCGCAGAGCGCGATCCCAATCATTATCTACGGCGCGAGTACCGCCGTCGGCTCTTACGCTATAAAGTTCGCATGTAATAGCAAGATCCACCCGATCATTGCTGTTGCAGGGAAAGGATCTCACTACGTGGAAACACTGATTGATCGAAGCCAGGGCGACGCGGTTCTTGACTACCGTGAAGGAGTGGAGGCCACCGTGGAAGGAATCCACCAGTGTCTCAGAGACACTGGCCACACGTCCGTCTGGCATGCGGTCGATGCCGCTATCGTTCCTCAGAGCGCAGAGATTTTGAGACGGTCCGTTAGCCCGGGCGGAATGATCAATTTTATCCTGCCCAACGATCTCGATGTATCGATTAAATCGGTCACTTCAGTGGGGTCGGTTCACGGCCAGGCGGAGTTTGAAAACTTCGAAGAGTTGGGGTATATTATCAGTCGCTACTTCACAAGAGCCCTGAAAAATGGAAGTTTCTCAGGCCACCCTTTCGAAGTCAGGCCGGGTGGTCTAGAAGGAATTGAGGATGCGTTGAAAGATTTGAAGGCTGGGAAGGCAAGCGCCACGAAATATATTTTTCGCATCGCAGACACTCCTGGAATGGGTTAGAAGAACACGTACCCGCCCTTGCTTTAAAAAGATGATATGCTTTTCTGTTTTATCAAAATCAGAGATATCTGAGGCAACTGCAAGTGAATGCTTAGCTGTGTAGAGATCCAGACCTCGAAAGGCCTGTCAAAAAAACTGTCTGATTGTCGGTTCACTGAGACATTTCTCCTTTTGTCGAATGTCAAAGATGAAGACCGCGCAATTCAAGAATCCTTGTTAGCTGGTCAAGAGACTTAGGCTCCCATCTCCGCCCTAGAGCGACAGGTTCTTCCCTTCACACCCCCCCTCCCTCCGACCCTTTCCATGGTCGCCCGGCAAGTGTAGTTGATAAGTCGGGGCGCGCCACCCGGATCCACTGGGTGTGGCGTGGCGTGGCCAATCACGAGTGAGTTATGATCCATAGAGGGACAAATCCATTAAATCTTCTAAACTCTATACTATACGTCATCACTCATCAGGTGCCGCCAGAGATCCGATACAATTATAAATATGTGGTTTGGAAATTCGAATTCAGCGACATTGAATTCCTACTTATAGTTTAACGCATACTTACCATGGCCGACTTGCAGGAAATTGCTGTAATCGGAGGGACTGGTGCCCAAGGGATGCCTGTGGTCAAAGGTAGGCAGCGTCCATTATATCGCCCATGGCTCGCGCTGAGCCCGGAGTAGCCCTATCCGCAAGCGGTCGATATCGCGTTCGAGTTCTGACCCGAAATCCCGATTCTGCTCGTGCACGCAAGCTCGCCGGCCTCCCTAATGTGACTTTGCTTCAAGGTGCCCAGGATAACCAGCGAGACCTACATAGTCTCTTCCGAGGTGTCCATGGAGCTTGGGTCAACACGGACGGGTTCACTCTGGGTGAGAAGGACGAGCTGTTCTACGGATTCCGAGCCTATGAGATTGCAAGGTCTGAACGGGTACAGCACTATGTCTGGGCCAACATCGAATACGCCCTGGGTGTTGCAAACTTCGACGAAAAGTACCATTGTGGCCACATGGACTCTAAAGGAAGAGTTGGCAAATTTATCCTCGCCTTGGGGCAAGGCGGCATGAAGAGCACCCTTTTCAGTACTGGTCCCTACATGGACATGCTCATGGACGGGATGTTCGTGCCTGTCGAGCAGCAGGACGGCTCGTTTATGTGGATCAATCCAGCGCGTGAGTCCCGTACCTTTACTTCGCTCCCACGGTTCCCAATGGTGGGAGCTGCTATGGAACTTTCTAACTTTTGGATTAAAGCCAGCGATGTGAAGCTCCCATTGATAGCGCTTTGTGATGTCGGTGCCTACAATCTCTGGATTTTTGACAACCCATCCGAGTCTGCTGGCATGGATCTCCAAGTCATGACAGATAATGTTAGCTTTGGAGAGATCGCCAAGGTTTTCACTGAAGTCACGGGTAAACCCGCGGTTCATAAAAGCATCCCGTTTGAAGAATATGCCTCCATTGCAGAGCCTTACCCCGGTGCGTATGTCAACTGGGCTCTCGGCCCTGATGCGGTTCGGGATGACTCCGTCATGACTTGGCGTGAAAATTTTGGGGCCTGGTGGCGCTATTGGGGGGGCGGCATAACTAAAGCTCGTGACACGACAATTCTGGACAGAATCCATCCTCGGCGCATCAAGAGCCTAAAGGATTGGATGAAGTATGTCGACTATGATGGTAAACGGAAGAGCGTCCTGAAAATGGTCGAAGACTTGAGTTTAAAGAACGGGAGATCATCGGACAAGTGAACCCATTTGTAAGTTGCTCGCTGTGAGTGAGACTGTACCTTTAACTCCCAAGTATAACAGGAAGCCAGTGGTGATTATGTTTACTACTGATTAGCAAGCTGCCAATCACTTAATATGCTGTTCTGCGTGAAATTCAAAAAGAAGTTGTAATTTGATGTAACCGTCAAAGCAATGTATGGTACACAGACATGTTACCACGGCAAGACTGGTATAGTCCAATACACGTTGCTTCCTGCTTCGCCAACATGCACGCCAATGAGAACATTTACCAGTGTACTTCCATGTTGGCGCCGGAAGCCAGCCCACGACAGTTGACAGAATAGGTCACAACCTGTTAATAGTGAACGTAGATGATACGACGAGACTGGGTGAGGAGTCCAGGGAAACTCCGATCTCTTTTCACCGTCGCTTTGATGAAGCTCAATCCCGTTCGAATACAGGACCGGGCGCGGAGAAAAAGAAACTTACTACGAGTCTAGTGGTGATAAAGCAGGATATTACTGCCCCAGCCTGGCGCGTGGAGATGGGGAGAGAGCCCGGCGCGGATCCTGCAGTTGTGCTCTAGACATGTGTCCGCAAGTGGGAGGTTTGAGATAAAGATCCTCTACACCTTGCCAAAGTCCAGGCGGGACTTGCATCCGGGATCTTGGCTGACAATGAATCCTCACTTTCCGCTGTCAAGGCATTCATTCCTAGTGATTCGGAGCTCAAAGAACTCGAACGCCAGTTTTACGACGCCGGCAATTTGCAGCATCTGACAGTCCAGGCCGCTCTCGATTCTGGATGCGAATGATGTTTCACTCCGTACTTTTGAGCCCTCCTGCGCAGTAACCAGCAAGTCGAAGAACCTGAACGCTGATTATCAGCCAATCTCCATGGCCCCGGATGTCCTATCCAAGATATTGACTGATCGCCAAGTTGAAGAGTATTAGGCTCAGTCGCAAAGTCATCCACGTAACCTCGAAAGTCGCGGAATTCAGTCACGCAAATGGGAGCCAGCGCCTCGTTGCTTTTTAGTAGACATGATTTGCCCACTTGAACCAGACAAGGGGGTAAAGGCGTCCACTTCGAGTGAGGAATTATGATTCAACATTGGGATGTTATGTGGAATGCTGGTGTTTGGAGCTATTGACTCAGCATGCTTAGCTTACAGGGACGATGGATCCCGAATCAGAACCTCCAACTGCCCGTCCTGGTCCGCAAAACCAAGATGAGTCCTACGCCGCTTCCACTCGACATCGAATACCTAATCCTAAACGAGCTGTCGCATCTCAGCTTGTACCCAACACGCGATGAATGCAGAACCATCCTCAGCTGCCTTTGCGTCTGCTGTAAGCTCCGCAAACACCCCACCAGTTCCCCCGCATTCACACCCACCCACACACCTCAGAGACGAATACTGACCCAAGTGCGCAGCACGCTGGCACTCTACGCTCCAAGAACTCTTAATCCGAAACAACTCGGCGCGATCCCTCTTGCGCCCGCTGAATCAAATCGGACAAATCGCCGTGAAGCGCGTCGCGGCAGAGTACGTCGCTCGGAAGAACCACACCCACGCCGATCCTGGTCACACCGCGCCAGATAATCGCCATGGTCCACAACGACACGGCGGTGACCTCGAGGTTCCAGCGACATATTCAGCCCGCATATCAGAGAATGGAGACGACACGGTCCTCGTCAAAGACCTGGAGCGCTGTGCACGCCTCGCCCCTCGCCTGGGCGACCTCGATTCCCTGCGCACATGCCTCGAGGCCGGCGCGCCGTACAATTACAATTCATGGTGGATGCTCATCGACGGTGTGAACCACCACCAAGCCGCGATCATCAAATACATTCTTGACGCAAGCTACGGATCTCCCGACCCCGCAAAGAATCGGATATGCAACGCAAAGCTAATGCAGCTCGCCATCGTCAAGGGCAACGTCGAGATTGTGGGTATCTTCCTTGATCGGGGCTTTGGCGCCAGGGATCGTGTCGATCCGAGGATTCTGGTGGATGGCCGGTATTATTCTGTGAGTGTGGTTTCGTATGCGGCGTTTCACAATCAGGTCGGTGTCCTTGAGGTACTTCTGCAGCGGGGGATGGGTGTGGAGGATCCTGGTATCCCGGTTCGGCCGGTGTATTGGGCGGTTAAGCATGATAACGTCGACATGATGAAGGTGTTTATCACGCACAAGGTTGATTTGGGTCCTGGAGAGTCTGCGGAGGGCGAGGATTGGCCCCTGAAGAGGGCTGTACAAGGTGGAAGCGTCGAAATGGTGCGATTACTTTTGGAGCACACGCGGCTTCCGCGATGGTGCTGTTCTTTGAAGAAGATACTACGTCAAGCCGTGCAAGAACGTGGGGACGATGGTATTGATCGGGAGCTGGCGTTGTATGGATTATAGTAAGGAGTAAACGAATCCATCCGCGTAGCTTGTTCCACAAGGAGAGACCTTCAGATTATAGGGATTTGAGAACGTACTTAGATTGTCACATAGAGCTCTTTAACGCCCATGTTACATATACTATCGAACAGCCCCAGTGTAATCGAGAAGATAAAGACAGGCATGCACTTGGCCCTCGATGACAGAGCTTGTCGACAACAATGGGTATAAAACGGCATTGTCTCAACCAACTTGCGCGATGGGTTGATTGGCCGACATATCACCATTGTACAAAGTGCAAACAAAGACATCACAAAGACAATATCGCACTTGGACAGAGGAGGGGGATTTAAAGCCCGTTTGCTCTCCCCTGCCACCTCCTCCCAACCTTTACCACCAAATTCCAAATCCCAACCCCTAAATCGAACACCATCGCTTCCCATCCTCGCACGCACGCAAAAATGGATTACAACAAATACTTCCGCCGCTACGCCGAGTCCATCATCGGACAAGACGAGCACGATCCCGCGGCTCTCTCAGAGTCCGGCTATGCAACCTACGACTTCGTCGTCGTCGGTGGCGGCACAGCGGGAATCGTGGTTGCGACTCGTCTGAGCGAGGATCCCACTATTCGGGTTCTTCTTCTTGAATCAGGCGGCGAACATGATGATGATCCTAGGACTCACATTCCCGGGCTTGCGACGCAGGCGTATGGGGATCGGGAATTAGATGGGAGGATGAATTCTATCCCACAGGTAAGTTCGTCCAAGGTATTGTCGAAATAGTGTCAGCTAATTTGAAGACAGGAACAACTAAACGGCCGCCAAATCCCCGCAACAGCGGGCAAGACACTTGGCGGCTCATCGACAATCAGCTTCGGGATAATGACATACCCCTCGCGAGTCGGAATGAACGCCTGGGAAGCACTCGGCAACCCCGGCTGGAACTGGGACGGCATCGCACCCTACCTCAAGAAATTCCAAATGGCCGCTCCGCCACCACTCGAGGCGCGCGCGCAGTTCGAAGGTCTGAAGTGGGAGCCGACGGACCAGGGACGCAAAGGACCTGTCAAACTGGGTTTCGGGGCGGAGTATACGCCCTACCATGTTGCCTGGTGGAAGGCGTTTCAGTCCCTTGGCTACTCGCAGACAGAGGACCAGATCAAGGGCGGCAGCGCTGGCCCGTTCATCCCTCCGGTCGCCGTTGATCCCAAAGCAAACACACGCAGCCACGCTGCCTCTGCATATCTCATCCCTGAAGTCCGCGCCCGCGGGAGCCTCCGCATCGTAACAGGCGCGCACGTCGAAAAACTCCGCCTATCAGACTACATCGCCGAACCACTAGACAAGCCCCAAACCGTCGTGGCCGTAAGCTACACCCAGAACGGAAAATCCCGGCGGGCCCACGTCGTCGGCGAGGTTATTCTCGCCGCGGGAGCCCTGTCCACCCCGCACATCCTCGAGATCTCGGGGATCGGCGATCGGAAGAGGCTCCGCGGGATTGGGATTCCGAGTTTTGTGGATTTACCGGGTGTTGGTGAGAATTTGCAGGATCACCCTGTTGTGCCGTTTAGTTATGAGCTGGAGGATGGCATGCCTTCGGATGATGTGGCTCGGGAGCCGGATGATGTTGTCAGCGCTGTCGAGGCGTATCAGAGGGATCGGTCGGGGCCGTTGGGGATACCGATGGTCTCTGCGTTTATGCCGTGTCTTGACCTTCAGTTCGAGGATCGTGTGAAGCTGCTCAAGAAGATCGAAGACTTGACCCAGGATGAGGAGCTCCCGGTTATGTATCGCAAGCAGTACCAGCTAATCAAGCAGATGCTGCAGGATCCGGACGAACCGACTGGTCAATATACCCTCGTCCCGTTTCAGATGCATCCTCGCGCAGGTCCAAAGCCGCGACATATCTTCCGCAAGAAGCATGCTGGGAACTTTGTGAGTATACTCTCGAGTTTGAACCACCCCCTCTCGCGAGGCTCCGTGCACATCACTTCTCAAAACCCCTGGGCCCCGTCAGCCATCGACCATGCGATTCTGCGAGACCCCATCGACCTAGAACTGCACGCGCGACAAACCATGTGGGCTGACGAACTCAGCGATACACCCGCCATGGCCCCTGTGTTGAAGAAGGGCGGCGCACGCCTACATTCCAGTCGCCAAGTCAAGCATCTAGGCAAAGCCCAATCCCTCTGCAAAGACCTGGCTCTCTCAATGGGCGCTGTCAGCGGAACCTGCGCGATGATGCCGCTGGAAGATGGAGGCGTCGTCGATGCGAGTTTGAAAGTATACGGGACGGCGAATCTGCGCATTGTAGACGCGAGTATCTTCCCTCTTCTTCCGAGGGGAAGTATCGAGGCTACGGTCTATGCTGTCGCGGAGAAGGCGGCGGATATTATCCGGGATGAGTTGAATTTGTTGTCTGGTTAAGTACTCGAAGCAGTAAATAAGGGAGTAGGGCATTATACTAGAGTTTGAATTTAATTCACTTGTTGACTTTCTCTCAGAATAAGTCATCTTACTCTCTATACAGGGACACCTCCCCTCTCTACCGCTGGTACTCCTTCACTCATACCTATAGGCTACCACTAGTCCCGTAACTGCAACTACTCCTAACAGCAAGGGAGCAACACCGCGTGTATCTCCTGAACCTACCTATCCCTATGGGATCTCACCTACGTAATCCATTCAAGAAGCTACATCCGTAAATCCGGTCACCCGATGATCATCCCTGCAACAATCGGGTTTCCCCCAGCGCTGAAGAACGCGGGGGATGTCCGACGCAGATCAGCGGAACTGCTGCGCACTCTTCAACGAACAAGGAGGTACGGGCAATCGATATTTGGGAAGGAGTGATGGATGCTCTTTGGGCTGAAAGTGGAAGGATCGTCCGGAGGTCGCACCTGCCTTCCATGGTGATTGCCCATAGTTCTACTGGGAAGGCGCGAAGGAGGGGTTACTAGGTCCTAGAGTCGCCCACCATCGGAGAGGCTCCTCCCAAATCTTATTGCTGGACTGTAGAGCACATTAGCATAATGTAGAACCATTCATTAGCCCGGGTGGTCTAGTGGGTAAGAGAAACCGTTTAAACACCCAAACAGCACAAGTTACTAACAAATCGATAGTATGATTCTCGCTTAGGGTTCACCCTTGGCATATATGCGAGAGGTCCCGCGTCGATGCGCGGCTCGGGCCGTTCTTATTTTTTTTCCCTCCATAAATATATAACCCACAATGTCGCTTGCGTCTTCTCAGCTCATTCATTGTATTCAGTGATCACCTAATAACTGCTACTTGGTCCAATCCATCCCACTCCCCAAAACCGCCTGCCCCCTCGCCAGCGTCCTCGCCGGCTCCTCGCCCAACCACTGAGGCTCAAGCCGGTCCAGATTCCTCTCAATCTCCCACGCCCGTCCACCCTCAACATACATCGACGCCCCGTTCAGCCCGTCATCCCCCATAACCGCTGCAATTACCTTGCCCACGTCCAGCGGCGTGTTAACCGGTAACCCAGCGGCATACCACGCATCCTGCACGCCGCGCACCATGCCAGTCTGCGTCATCCAGGGACAGATCGCGTTGATGCGGATGGCGTGGGCTGCTTCGGGGCCGTGGAGGTAGAGGCGGAGGGAGCGCATGAGGCCCAGCACGCCGTGTTTCGAGGCTTGGTAGATGAAGAGCCCGGGGGATTCTTTGAAGCCCGCGACGGAGGAGATGAGGGTGATGGAGCGGTCGGCTTTTGTTGCTTCGGGGCGGTTTTGGCGCAGGTAGACGGATGCGATGCGCGCGACGTAGATGCATCCGTTGAGGTTGACGTCAAGGACTTTGGTTGTGGGGGGCTGGCCTCTGTGTCAGATCCGTTCTTTCTGTAGCGGCGCCTAGAAGGGGGATTGACTACCTGGCGAATACTCTCCATATCAAGCGCTGGATCAAACGGATTCCCAATCTCGGTGATTCCAGCACCGGCGACGGCGTGGTCGATGTGGCCGTATGTGTCCATTGCGGTGTCGAAAAGCTTCAGGACGGAGTCGTAGCTCGTTACGTCTGTCTGGACGAAGACGGCGCGTGGTGGTGAGGAGTTGGATGCGTTGACCTTCTGTGCGATCGCTTCGCCTGCTTCAGCTGCGAGGTCGCCGAAGCAGACGTATGCGCCATGTTCGCAGGCATACTCGACGAGGGCTGCGCCGATGCCGTTTGCGCCGCCTGTTTCGTTAGACACGGTCAGGTTCAGGCGGGGTCAGGGGAGTGTACCAGTTAGAACAATAACCTTATCCTTCAAGGCGCCAGGAGCCAAGGCACGAGTATATTGAGCCATGATGTTGATAGTCTTGGTTGAGAAGAGGTGCAGTGAGAGAGCGCAACAAATCCGCAAGGCACGCCCGGCGGCTTTTTATCCCTCCCTCGCCTCCCCGATCCCACTCTTCATGAAGAACAGGAATTCCGCACCGTGGACCGCACTGGACCCGGAGCAGTGGAAACTAGTTGATCATCGTGATCATCATTGGCTGCTCCACGAATTGCACTCCGTTACCCCGCGCATCGGGACCGTGGTTTATTGGGGGTTTTCCGGGGTACACGATGGGGATCTGCATACACGCCGGGGTATAAATGGGGAGCGGAGGGAGTACCTTGAAGACGATAGGCATTCGCACCGTATCTGAATCGACTTACTTATACGTCCATCTATCAAGGCTGATTCCGTCGCCATGCCCCTCCAAACATACCACCTCTCTTCCTCCCCCAAGGGCCTCTCCAGCATAACAACGCTGATCGTGGGCGCCACCGAAGCCGTCCTCATCGATCCCCCCTTCCTCAAACCCGACGGCGAAGCCGTCGCTACGTGGATCAAAAAAACAACCGACAAACCCCTCAAAGCCGTCTTCGTCACCCACCACCACCCAGACCACTTCTTCGCAGCAAACTCCATTTTCGAGGCATTCCCGGACGCCAAGTTCTACGCGGCACCCTATGTCCTCGCGGGAATCAACCGCGAGTATGACGACAAGGTCAAGTACTGGCCGTCGGTGTTTGGGGAAGAGAATGTGCATGCGCAGCCGAGGCGGCCGGAGGTGTTTGACTTTAGCTTCTTTGTCCTGAATGGGGATCCGGAGAGTCCGGTTGTCCTACTGGGCCCCTTGCAGGGGGATAGTGTGGATCATACGCTGTTTTGGTTGCCGGCTGAGAAGACGATTGTTTGTGGGGATGCTGTCTATGGGAGGAGTACGCATGTTTGGTACGTTTCGTTCCCGCGAAGAGATAGTTGAGCCAAGCTGACAATAGCAGGGTCGAGGAGGTCGAGACACCGGCACTGCTCGAAGCATGGAACAAGACGCTCGAGCTCATCGGCGCTCTAGAACCCGCAAAGCTTATCCCCGGCCATATGGAGTCTGGATGGGAGCTTAACGCCAAGGAAGACCTCGCCCACACAAAGCGGTATCTCGATCTCTTCTCGAAGAAGATCACGTACGCTCCGAAAAAGGCATCTGTACAGGAACTCTTCGACTTCTTCAAAAACGAGTTCCCTCAGTGCAAAGAGAATCTCGATTTCTTCTTGGGTCATCTGTCGAATCAGTATGGCGAGGGAGGCCAGGTTTGGAAGGAAAACAGACATCATAATGTTGGGGCGAGGACAATCGAGGGGTTGAATGGGTATTGGTTCAAATAATGCATACTGGGTCTATGTTGTCTAATACACCACATCTCACTGTCCTGCTTTTCATGGCGTAGTCAACTCTGCGTCGGTTCTCCCCATTTTGTCTCCAGGCGACCATTGAACCTATGGGGCTGGTGTCTACTAAGGCGAGGATCAGGCTATCCCCGTAAGTACACTTGGCCCGTCCGCAGTGCTCCAGGTTTGTTTTCTCACTCGAGAGGCATTGTTGGGGGCTATACAGCAAGCCTTTGCTGTAAGAATATAATAGTTTATTCATAATATTCTAAACAAGCCCCAAGCAAAACTATTGAAAGCCTTTATGTCCTATACTCTAGGTAGATCGTATTTTGAAGGAAGATGGGAAATAATCAACCTTGGTCGGCGCATTACGCACCAAGGCCTCCAGCGCTACCACCTACCCAGATGCTGTATAGTACTTACGAATGTCGGGGAGACCGCGAAGGCGAATTTTTTCTTGTGTACTCTCTACTTGCTGTTCCTGCTACATGCTATAAATCAATATCTCACCTTATTTTCTTTTCCCATTTTTCATCTGCTTATTTCTCCCGTCCTTCACATGAACCACCCTTATCCCTTACTCAATCTGGCACTGAAGAACGCTTATTCGTCTCATAACAAAGCCACCCCCTCAAGCAGCCGCCAATAAGTCGGTGCTGGCAATGACAACAGCGCACATGATAGCCAGAACAACAATGAGGCGAATGACAGCAGATAGGATGGCAGTCACGAGAAACAGCAACGGGAACTGAAACGGGATCGGGAACGGGAACGTAAACCGTCTGAGGCTGCGGCTGAGGCCCGTAGGCCGACATAGTTTGTGCCAGAAAGTGCTGGAGAGGCCACGAAGTGTGACGCGACCAAGTCGAACACGAGTTCGTCACCCTGGACGTGTTGGTCGAGGTTGCACGGCTTCCATTGGAAGACCTGACTGTGGCGTTTGACGCCGTGTCCTGGGATCGGATCATGCCGTTTGTGATCCCGGATCCTGTTGAGCTGCGGGATGACCGCATGCCCGAGGGCCTGTGTCAAGAGGAGCTCGTGCTTGTGCGTCCGGAGGAGAGGCTGAAGTCGTTCCCCTAACAGTGGAGAGACGGCTGCATGACTGCGAGGACGTGGATGGGTTGGATTGCCGTGAGGTCGTCGACTGTCGGCTACTTGGGCGCGAGGACTTCGTCGACTGCGATGTCCTCTGTCTAGTGTTCCGAAATGTGCTTGATGTCTCGGTGAAGGCAATGCGCACGCTATTCACGATGCGCGAGGTTCTAGAAGAGCTCTCGGTCTGTGTAGTGCTAGAGGTTCGCGCCTTGCTGCTGCTGACTTTGCTGCGGAAGGACGAGCGCGCAGTGCCGCTGTTGGTGCTGGTTTTTGTACTGCTCGTGGCCTTCCCTGTGGTTCTTGGCCTCAACAACCGCGTACTTGCTCAGCTTTCACATGACTAGCTGGGACTCCGAGTGTCGTCATTTCCTGTTTGGGAGAAAAGTCGGTTTGGGCCGACCAACCCTGGTCCCAGTTCTTCACTTGTTATCTTGATACCCTTATAATAATCAATCTTACTACCTATTATGAATAAAAGGGGCGTGATGCGTAATGTCAAGGTTACCTAGAGAGGTATTTTAAGAATTCTAATGTAGGCCGGATGACACGGTAACCTAGTTTATTTGATTATTAGTGTGAATATAAAGAGAGCTCTAAGTGGCTGGAAAAAAACATCTGAATCCAGGATAGATGGCCTGAGCGCGTACCGCAGGACTGATATCTAGAAGACCGGCTGAATTATTGGTTCGGCTATCTTCACGCCAATCATACTGCAGGCCAAATCAAGCTTACCACAGATCTGGTGTCTATAGATTACTTGTAAAATAGTGTTCGTTGTCGCCATTGAGAGCTGTAATCAACGGTCTAGTTCTCATCAGATCACTGACGCAGGTGTTTGACTCGTAAATTTTCGAGCGCAGAAATTCCCCCTCTCGCGACTGAAATAACAAAAAGGGTCCCTGGCCACAAGAATTTAAATCCCATCCTGTTCATTGTGCTGTTGGGCGTTCGTCATCGAACGGTAGCTCCTTCTTTCTTTCCGGCATCTGCAGACGTCTAAATGAGACAGCTCCCGGAAACCCCTGATCCCACCTCCCCACCAAAGCCCCTGGCATCATGGCCGGGAACTTATTCAGCACAAATTCCTCCAGCTCGCGCGTCGCCATTACATCCATTCTTTGCCTGTTCTGGGCCATTTCGACCATGGCGGATAGTCGGGGCATGCGTTGGGTCTGGAGCGTGCTGAACAAGGACCGGAGCTCTGAAAGTGAAAGAGGAGTTTTGCTACTAGCAACACCGATGCAAGGGCGGCAAAGAGCAGACACAAGCTCATTTGTAAAGGCAGCGACGGTCTCAAAAGCTTGGTTTCCGCCTTGAGCTATTATAGGCAGCATCTATCCTTCCTGTTAGCGCCAACATACTCTATTAGGTCTGCCGTACCTTATGCGCAGCGTCCCCGAGAACAACCATGCGTCCACAAAACCACTTTTTTAAAACAATCTCCCTGAGCGGAGAGGCAAGGATATGAATGCTTCTCTTATAGAGATCCGACAAGTGTATCTCGGCGGTGATCGGATCATCCCAGTGCTTTCGTATAATGCGCTCTTTATCTTCTTCTGTAAGCACTGGAATTTCCTTACCGTAGTATGTTCTATCGAGCTTTATCATCAGCCCCCAGTATGTACGGTCTTCAGGACCCGTGCCTGTTATATAGGAGTAGTCATGTCCGAGATTCCAGCCCAGAAGGCCGCGAGGAAGGGTGGGTGTTGAGGTCGAGAGGCCGAAGAGGCAAGCATATGTGGCTGAAATTACTTGGAGTTTGTGAGTACATTGTAGCACAACGTATGGAGAAGCTTGGTTTAGGGTACGGAACGTACGGTCATCATCTGTGTAGTCCTCTGCTACTCCCAGCTCTTTGGCATACTGAACCATTTCTTGTCGAACGCGGGAATGAACTCCGTCTGTGCCCACAACGATGTCGCCTGTATATTTTGATCCATCTGTCGTGGTAATCTCGACTATATCTTCTAAATGTCGGATTCTTTCAACCTTTTTGCCTGTAAGTAGTTTTGATTTGTCGATGATGTGGTCGTAAAGTGTCTCGAGGAGCATTGAGCGATCACACCAGAGACCATTATAGCCCCATCTAAGTGATAATCAGCAATATTAGCATCACCTTAATCCAGTTCGAGCTGACAACAAGAGATGGAACAAGGGAGGGAGATACCGCGCCTCCATTCTTTCCTTCCATCCATCCGAAATATGCAACTCCGTCCCGTGATGATCACGCACATACACCGCCTCCAGGACATTGTTTGCTCCCACCCTCCCTCGTAGATCCTCATAGCATCCCAGCTGATCTAATATTCGAAGTCCGTTTGGGAGCAGGCAGATCCCAGCTCCGACCTTTGGGATAAGGTTAGGGTACGATTCAAGCAGGGTATAGGGAATATTATGTTTCTCGAGGGCTAGGGCTAATGTCAGGCCTGCGACGCCGCCACCTGCAACGAGGATGTGGCAGGGACGAAGATGAGTATCCATTGTCCGCAAGGAATACTGGTAGGTAAATTGGATAGCACGAGGTCGAGATCGAAGGACGGAGATGTGATTAATTTATAGACATCTTGAACTGTGAGATGCCTTCCTAGTAACATGATGGAGAAAATCAGCCGCGACGTATGTGATTCATCGAACCCACCTATGTTCTATTGGCATTAGTCAGATGGCGCATCTGCGGTACCGATTTGAAACTAGACAGGTGAGCATCGTGCATTTCGCGCCTTAAAGCATCCATATACATGCTTGCGGGTCAACAACGTTTAGCAGCCACCCCAGGCAAACCTGAAAGCGTTTTTCAGTTTTCTGTACATATACAAAGTGACTTTCAAAAGCTTTAGGAGATTTACGGAGTAGATGTCCGTCCAGTAGTAACCCTACACACTACCCTCTCTTCCGAGAACAGAGGAAAACGCAGTCAGGAAACGTCTAACTTCCACTCGTCTCTCCAACCGTTAATCTCCTATCATGAGCCTGACGGAATCAGTGATCTAGACGCGCCCTTTGGACCGGTCAGTGTGGCTCATAATACCGAAGGCGGCGCCACCGGATCAGTCAGGCGCCCAAGCTCTGTCTATCTCAGTACTCATTTTAAGAAGCAACGGTCCATTAATGCCTAGTCTGCAGAACACGTTATTGGTCCTTTCGGCAAACTCATGGAAGATTGGCAGCCTTACCCAAAGAAGGGAGTATGATTAGTGATCGCCGTAGGATGTTAACTTGTGGGGCCATCATGATGCTTATCAACCCCAGTGTTAGTCTTCACCATGTCACTGTTACAAAACCTATCAAAGTTCAATGTGTGATATTCTTTCCCTTTCCCTCTTTATCAACGCCCCACTCTGTCAACCTATTGTCTATATAAATCAAGCGAGTTAGTTCCAGGATGCGATCTCTATCTATAGAGCACATAAAAAGGCGCATCTGCAAGAGATTGCAGCCCAGTATGATCCCCTTCAGGTGTTTCAGAAGATTTCAAGCTTGTTGGGGCACCACTTCCTGGTCGGTACCAAGTAAGCCCTTAGTTCTTGGCTTATGTGCGCTTGTTTGCTATTCGCTCCCCACTCCTTGTATACAATTAATTTAATCACAAATTGGAATTAAACGTATCTACAACAGTCTGCCAATAGAGACATCTGAACCTTGCCAAAGCAGTCCAGGACTCGGATACAGCAAATTTTAACGTAAGAGAAGGTCCGGGTACACCGTGGAAACGTAGGCAAGCACTGAAAAAGTCCATTGTGAGAACCTTAGTTAATTGTCACAAGGAGGTAAGCTGCCGTGAGGAACGGTCCCGCATTACTTCCTGTAGCCAGTTCGGCAGTCCGCGAAGCATGGAGGCAAATCCAAGTGACGCCGGAATGATTACCTGTCCCCCATTGCCACGCATAAGCTGTCTTATGATTGCCGCAGACACGCTCTCAGGGGCCAGCGTGGGACTCTTGAATTGCGCACCGCTGGACAGGAGGCTGTCGAGCATCGGGGTGTGTACCCACATTGGATGAATTATGCTATTCGGAAAGTCTGTTAGCTCTTTCTCTGGTGGCAATTTGCGTAGCTCATCGGAGAAAAAAACTTGAGAATTTCATACCTCGTTCGGATCCGCCTAGCGCCATACAGATGCCGGATTTCCTGCGACAAGCTTTCCTGGAATTCTAAAGCCCCGGCCTTTGTGCAGGCGTAATCTGCCATTCCATTCAGGCCAGCAAAGCTAGCCATGCTGGCGATAGACACAATATGTCCATGATAACTCTTGACCATATCTGGCAGCAATTCTTTCACGGTCCAGAAGTGGGAAACCATATTGACTTCCAGAGTCCGGCGGATATTCTCTTCCGGTTCCTCCAGAATACTCCCCACAGACCCCACCCCTGCATTATTGATCAGTATTGTCGGAGAACCGTGGTCGCGGCGAACCTGAGTGGCTGTCTCCGCAATCGCAGTAGAGGAGGTCAGGCCGACATTATAGAAGAATATATTGTCCGCTAGGCATACGTAATTTGGTATTAGCTCGTCTTCTGAAAGCTCACTGCGGAACCTATAACTCACGCAGAGGTTGTTTTGGCTCCTGAACATCAAGTATAACGGTTTTTATATGCAGTCTCGACAGATCACGCATCACCTGATTTCCTATTCCACTGCTCCCGCCAGTTAGAAGCACGAGCTCCGTCAACGTATCCCAGGGTGGCGCTTGCACCCAATTATTCTGTTTGCGCTGCGAAATGTGGCTGTTTACAACTCGCAGTAGATGGTAAATCGCCCAAACACTAATTGCCTGGCCTAAAAATGACCGATACAGATAGCCTGCGATGTTTGCTGGGAGGTGGATGAGTTGGGTGGCATTTCCGGCCCCGATATATGGGCGGTGGTTGGTTGTCATCGTAGAGGGCCGCTGCGGTAAGCTGCTTGCGGGATGGCTGCTGCTTGATGTGACTTTTTATAGCAGTCAGGTACTGTAATCCGTCACTCCGGGCCTTGTCTCCTCTGCGGTCTTGCGTGTCCCGCTCTCCATCTGCCACTGGCTTGCACAGCGACACAGAATATTAATTTCCAGGACGCCAGTTCCACTGGTGAACTGGTCGAAAAGGTTTCTCTGCGGCCAAATACTTCTCCCTATTTGCATTGTTATCAGGACCACCACATTGAGTTGGTTACCCTTGCGAGCCGCAGGCCCAATAGTCAGCCACACGGACGATAAGATCCGGAAGGAGACGGCGTACGCTGGCTATTCAGAGGTACCGTGTTTACTGTACCGTCTACGCTACGTGGCAACTGTACATAACTTAATGGATTACTGGTATACTAGACCTTTTTCCCCTGGGACACTGTAAAAAGAGCAATTCGCCTTTTTTTCATGCCGTGTCCAAGAGAGATTCATTAGCTTAAGAAAATGCCACCCCTCATGTTTGGAAAATGATAAATGATTATGATTTATAGGGAATTAGTGATCAATTCAAGAGGCTTATGGATTGGTCCCTAGTGAGCCAACGAATGGGCTGTCCGATTCCACTTTATTTGCTGAGCTCAATTTATACCTTCGCAACAAGAGCTCATAAGTCAGAATATCGGACTAGATTTTCTTATACAGCGCAGTCTCTAGTAGACCAAGAATAAGCCTTTTGCTATGTATATCTTGGGTATCTTGTTTCTCAACCTCCCGGCGCCATCCGTGGGGTGTGGTTTGATAATACATCCATAGTTGACCGCCGCAGGATGCCAAAAAGGCGTCGTGGATATGTTTAAAGATATACAGCCTTATTTTTATTTGCTTGGTGCTTGGCTTCACCAACCTAGACCTGCCTCTTAAGCATCATGCTTGTTCTAGAGCGAGATTCTTCTGATCAAGCCAACTACAGCCTAAAGAAAATTCGGTACTCCCCCGCGCCAGAACCCTTGTGAAGGTGTTAGCCGACTTCAGGAAGAGTCTGTGTGATGCTGTTTCAGATCACCCGAGCTTAAGCAACGAGTCAGTCAACAGTCAGTGAAAGCACTTACTTATTCATCGTCCATAACGCCTGGGAAACCGTGTTGCTCTGCTGTTTGCCCCCAATATGTACATTTTTCGAACATTTAAGTGGACTTTTACAGCACGTGGCTGCGCCCAATCAATGACGCTGGGACCCGATAAGAAGGGAGATAGAAATGGGATGCAGAGAGATTTGGCCGCAGGTCCCGTTGCGAAGAGAAAGAAACAGGGGTATAATTATTATTCTTCCAGTAAGACTCCGCTATCTCTATTGTTCTCTTAAATCAGTCCTATCGACCCGCTTTCATGTAGGTCTAATTGGTCTTTTCGCCAAATGTGGAGGCATGCCTTGCCCACTGGTACTCGTTGAAGCGGGCAGCAACAGGCGGAAATCTGGCCTCCGCCACGGAAACTGGTCTAATATCAGTCGATGAAGTTAAGAGACTAAATGTGTCGAAAAAAGGTCCGTCTATTGCTGTTATGCTGGTGATCTCCTTCATTCTGGGCTTACTTGTTGTAGACCGTTATATACTTCGAGTTTGGACGGGACCACGGAATGGGTAATTTACAAGCTGCCCTAAACGCGATGTCTCCTGGCGTAGCAGGACCTATCTTAAGTAGATGGACTGTAGTCGTCATCTGCGTTACTCCACTTCTCCACTTGGAGTTTTGCACTATCCCGGGATCAGTCGTGCTCCCGCGGAAATGATTTCTGATTAGTTTCAAGGCTGGGCTTCGCCCACTGCGACGTTCAACCCGGAGCCACTGCCACGCATTTAAGACGTAAATAGCCCTCAACTGTAGACCTCTCGTCAGGCTTTATCCAAACAAACAAATATTTTTCCCTTAAGGCCGCCAAATGTTACCAAAGGTACCTGATATACCGCTAGATGGGGACTTCTGGCGCCCAACCACAGCGTCCTTGGAGCTCGCACGATATCCAATCTTGTCTTCCACATATGCTCGAGCCCACCCATACGAGGCTATCAAATCGCATTATGAACAGGCCAGGGCAATTTGCAAGGCACATGGTAGGTTCACAATCGCTGTGACCGCTGAGGTATTGCTACCGCCTTAAAGACGCTGACGACTCCCTTGTGATAGCATTGAGCGTAGAAGATGTCCTGACTCTGTCGCCCAAGTTCTGGAAACTCCATGCCGACCCAGTTGTTCCGCGCATGAGCGCTGCCTTCACCCTCATAGGGTCTCAATACAATCTCGTTGTCGGGACAATTGCGCCGTACGCCAAACGAAGGCCGGAGCTTTTGCCGCTCCTCCAGCGGCTCATGGCTTTTGATGTATCGTATGTGATGAAATGCCAAACTCAATAGTCAACCTCGCTAACATTATAACCTTTTTGAGCGGAATATATATGCTTACGGAACTAGGACATGGCTTGGATGCGAGGAACTTACAGACGGTAGCAACCTTGTTGCCTGACGGGGGATTCGACCTGCACACTCCCACCCCAGATGCTGCCAAGTATGTAAAACCCATAAATCAATTGATATACGCCTGGGCTCTCTAATACCACGGCGATACCTACTAGGACTATGCCCGCCGCTACACCGATCAGCAGTATGGAGAAAATGGCCATCGTATTTGCGCGATTGCAGATTGGCGGCAAAGACAATGGTATTCGCGGGTTTATCGTTACTTTGAACGATGGAAAGAACATGGCGCCGGGAATCACTGCCAGGTAAGGAAGCAATTACTCACAGCTGGGGAGACCAGCGCAAAAGTATGCTAACTATCCAGGCTGCTTCCCAACCGTGCTGGCGCGCATTACCTGGACCACTCGATTACAACTTTCAACCACGTCTACTTATCCAAGGAGGCCCTTCTCGGCGAGCTTACAAAAGATCCTGCAGCAGATGCACAAGAAGAATTTTCAAAGCTCATTTGGCGCGTCCCGATTGGTACGTTATCTCTGACCATGAGCTGCATTCCAGTCCTCAAGGCGGCTTCCTGGATTGCAGCGCGGTACGCGATGAAACGCACGGTCGGGGGAGATATTTCTTCGTCTTCGTCCTATTCAACCATAGCGACAGCTACAGCTACACTCACCGTGAGCGATCCCATTCAACGGAACAATGAGATTCCGATCATCGAGTTCCGCACGCAGCAGATTCCAATCTGCCACGCTCTAGCGCAGGGAGCTGTCCTTGCAGAATTTGCGGCGTGGTCGGTGAATCGGTTCGTGGAGCGTGTGAAAGGAGTGGATAATAGACTCCGTCATGCACATGCGATGCTTTTCAAGACGGTTGCAATAGGGCACGCCCTTACCTCCACTCGAATCTTGGCTCAGGAAATAGGATGGAGAGGTCTCTTTGAGGATAACGACATCATAAGGTTCGAGGTATGTCGTTCTGAATTCTCCTAGCGGCCGACGACTAAGTCCATCTTCAGCTCGAGACTCGCGGAGTCAAAATTGCAGAAGGAGACACCACAGTCCTCTGTATCCGTAAGCCACTCCCTAACCAGCATCTATCCGTAATACAATTTTCCACATACTAAGCTCACACAGGTCTAGCATCCGACATCCTCTATGGAAAGATAACTCTCCCCACACCACTTGATTCATCTACCCTCCTCGCCCAGCACGAAAATATCCTCCTCGGGGAAGCGCGCGCCCTCCTACTGAAATGCAACGGTAATTTCCGTTCCCCCGCCGCAAACCGCTACCTCCTACCTCACTGTCGAACCCTCGTCAAAGCAATCGGTCACAGAATGGCGTATGAGGCTGCGGCCGCGGCAGACATTGACCCCGTGCTTCTGAAGCTCTACGAAGTCGGCGCTGTCAAGAGTGACCTTGCGTGCTACGTTGAACATGGACTTGTGTCGCGGAGCAAGGTGGTTGAGATAGAGGATAGCTGTATAACGGAGCTTATGAAAGGGAAGATTTGGACTTTTCTCAGTGATATCGATGTGGACGTTGGTACTTTCTGTGATGCACCGATTCTCTCAGGCGAGAGGTGGGGAGAGTTCCTAGGAACTTTGGACACGTTTAATGGTCAGGAAGTGGTGACAACGTACTAGAATGTACGTGCTATGATGTCGTCCTGGATGGCTTGAACCCGCATTTATGGAGACCGGTTAAAGATTTGCATAGATTCGGGGTGCTTAGGCTATCATCTGTCGGAGCCCAGGTTAGCTACAAAACCCTAGGTAACTGTTGCGGAAACCGTACCATCGGGAGCATCGGAAGACTCAGTATCAACGTGGAGATCTTTTTATCGCTTGAGGGGCTGTTTTAAGAGTTGGCCTTCCGATTACTCTCAATGCCTCAGTTTTCAGCATCTTGGCGACTTTTCTCATCACCCTCGTCCTGATAAAGGCGAACCATCTTCTTAATATCTTCCTTGTTATGACAGAGCAGGCCATAAATATGACAACATAATTCCAGCTTTTACCGACGAGAGGGTCGCAGAGCCAGGCCTCTGACCAATTCGGGGACAAACTCCTTCCAGAATGCTTAACAGGACGGCTTCAACCTATTCCGTCGGGGGTCTGATAACGATCCCTTTGTCATAGTGACAATTGACAGCATGGATGGCCATTATAAGACCCTTAAGTTCGAAATCAGCGCAACCAGACAAGTCTCCAAGACAATATGTGTCACAGCACTAGCAGACCAGCGGCCTAACTATTTTTAAAAAATATAAGCGCATGTGCCACCCTTGTCTACGGCATGGGATTGCGAGGAGCGACCGCACACACCCGCTCTTCTCCAGCCTGCTACAACATACTGCCGCCATACCTCGCTAGCATCAGCACGAGCAACCACGCACCCAACCCTGCCATCCGTGACATGCTCTCGCCCGCTTCGTATCAGGAGGATCTAAAATTGGAGGAACAGCGCGTTTTACGAGATCACTGCTTGCGTTCCAGTTACCTTTTAGATTTTGTATCTCATGCTAAATGTGTTAACGGGGTTGCTATCACGGCTTCGGGCGTCAGGCTAGCAGCCCCTAAATTATGGGAAGGCCCGGATAGGTGGTTTGTATGATCTTGTGTTTGATCAGCTCGTTTTTGATTGGCGCCATGTCGTTTACAACGCTATGTCCGGCTACTGCTGAGAATATGTGTGCGTCTTTCGTTTCCGAACTTGCGTTCGCCTGTCTGACTTGATGACTAGGAATTACTCTCTCCTTATCGCCTCGATTTGCACTTGGTGGCTTACGCCGAGCGGTGATCCAAGCCTGTCGGTGATTTAAAGCGCATGAACGGAGTTACGATCACTTACCCCAAGACGATGTTCAAGAACTGGACTGGAATATACAAAGAAGTAATAAGCTGGCTAAACGCGACACGGGCCGGGAAGTTGGGCAAGTTCGGCTATTTAAAAATGGCAAATTTCATTACAAAGGACATGCAGGTACATGGCAAAGCCTGGTTAGCAATCTAACACTCAGATTGTAAGAGATTGCGTACGCAGAGGTTATAGTCATCATCCCTACAGACGTGCGTCATCATATATGAGGCATCTTAGAACACGCCGCCGTGACACCGACAATCACGCAGCTGACTCGCTGGTCGATTCAGCTGAGTCGCCGAGCCAATACTGCTCCTTCCTCCAACCAGGCCCACAGTCTTCCAGCCAGAAACAGTATTCCACAGACGAAATACCTGCGCTAGAGCGCACGCAATCAGACTGGGTGGCTGAAACCACACTGCCGTCTCGCAGGTAGACCCTGAAGTCTAGAGTGAGGATTCCGTATGTTAGTCCGACTGCGGTCTGGTTTTCTTTCCAGTCCACGGGCCGCCGTGTCTGGAGGAAAGTAGCTTACGGTAATTGGAGGAGTTGACGATGCCAACAGCCTTCACGTTCAGGTTTTCAAGGTAGATATCGCCAGTTCCACCGGCGTCGATGAAAAAATCACGGACAAAGCCTTCAGCACATTCTGTTCCGCTGTAGCTGTATGGTCGAACGCGTATGTTAGCTGATTGATTGCTTGGATAACACTTCAAGATACCACTCAGACTCTTTTACGTACACGTTGAATTGGGCTGTTGCTGATACCAGATACGGTATCGCAGCGAGAGACGCAATATTTTTCAGGAGCTTCATGGTGAAGTTTGAGATCACAGGCGCTCGGATTGTTGATTGAAGGTGGAAAGAAGAGTGATACTTCCTTGCTCTGGTGTTGGTTACAGGGTTTATATACATTGATTTCTGGTCAGTGCGTCAAAAGTTGGGGGTCGTAGGCTGAGGGTTCTCCATTTCGGCCCGTGTGGTGTAATCCTGGAAGGCTGGAAGGCCTGGAGCTGCCAGCTTTTCCAATTGTGGACATTGCCACTTCTATACGCGAATATGTCCTTTTGGAGATACAATGCGGAACTTGCAGTTCTGGAAAACCCCTGAGATTCTGAACCTACTCATAGATTGCGATACTTCATACTGTGTGTGGCTGAATGATGGAGTACTTTGCATACTGAATTGAAGAAACATACTGTAGGTGCTCAGCAACAGTCGCCAAACAGACGGAATACAGGGGGCATCCGCGGACAAGATTTGGTATGCCCAGGAAGCAACCCAAGTGCAAGTTTGGACGTCAAATTGATCGTCCTTGCACTTGCTCTAGACTGCAACTCCACTTTCAGTGTTTCAAGTCCTCCGTAGACATTGTGAATCCTATGTTTAGCTTTTGATCACTAATCGTTTGGGGGGCGAGGGAAGATCAATAACCAGTACTCCGCTTACAAGGGCTAGACAGTTGTCACAGAATGGATGTACATAATGCTTGAACTTGGTCCTTGCCCCACAGGGTGGAGTTCAACCCATCCACAGTCGACTAGGAGTAACAAGCTGCACGCCAGTCTAGAAGCCGTCGGGTCTGGTTATATTAGGGGGACAAATCCCAGACATAATGGCAAATAGAAAGCACCAAATACACGTCCTTGCATACGACCTCCAGCATTGATCGGCATCTCTCATTACATACCAGCAGATCTATTCCGTTTGATTCGCCCACTCGCTTAAGTCAAGGAGAGCTCCGGACCGGCGCCCAGCCTTACATTGTGCAGCACCAGCAATGCTGACATCTTCGGTGTTCCTCAGCAATGGGTTTAAAAGATATCTCATCATGGCGCCTTGGGCTGCGTTCCTGATTATAGGCTACCACCGCATGTCTCTGGCCTGGCCCACTGACAGGGATTTGCCACCAGCTCGCTCTCGCACAGCGGGAGGCCATGCAGCGAAAACAGCGTGGAAAGCACGAGACGTTCCGCTGACAGTAATTATAGCGGCGCTGCAGAAGGACAATCTGACCACCTTGGGATTGGACTCTGGGCTCCGCCCTGGCGACGAGCAGATTGTCTATGTAGCCGACGATCCGAACGCAACACACAGCGTCCCAATGAATAAAGGAAACGAAGCCATGGTGTATCTATCTTTTCTCATCGACCGATACTACTCCTTGCCGGAGGTGATGGCGTTCATGCATGCCGGCCGAACGTCTTACCACAACAACCAGCTTCTCCATCTCAGTTCCTCCCGGCTCGTTAACAACCTACGTACTCAGTATGTTCGCGCGAGAGGCTTTGTTAATCTGGGCTGTGACTGGTCCAGCTACTGCATCAGGCCTCCCACGGCATCAGCATCACCTTTAGTATCGGCCGACAACGAAAAAGCGGTGGCTGGGAGCTTATATCCAATTTCTGTCCTCACAAGGCATCCACCAGCCGATCCGCGCGCGGAGTACTCCACATTCGCCATGGTCTGGGCCTCCCTCTTCCCAGGGCAGCCAGTCCCTCCGGTGCTAGGAACTGTACCTGGCGGCCAGTTCGCCCTATCAAGAGAAGCAGCGCAGCGGGTGCCACTGCGCGAGCTCAAGCGCCTCCGCCAGTGGATCATCGAGACCGACTATCTTACCTCCAAGGATATCGGCGCGGTGTTCGAGATGCTCTGGCATGTGCTGTTCCTGGGGTGGCGCAATGCGCTGCTCTGCCCTGCGCAGCACGATTGCTACTGCGAGCTATACGGAATCTGCCTACATTTGATCAGTGATGGTCCGGGACGGCTCTGTGATAGTGCGATAGCTGAAGGACGCCGGAGGGAGAATCTTTTGAATCGGATTCAGACTTTGCAGATTATTGCCGCGAGACCGCCGTCAGAGCTCCAGGATACAATGTTAAGTGAGTATTCAAATGGTCGTCTACAGCATGGGCTTAAGGGGTTTCCCGAATACCTCGTTGAGTTGCAACGAAATATCTCCGCTATTGAATCACTTATTGATGACATCGCGGAGAGGGCCACTATTTCATGACGATTAATAGGCCCATTAGCATCATGTTCCTCCATTACGAGTATTGTCTTATTGCCATCAAACAAGTTTCCAAAGTAAGCTACTTTAAGCACGCAATATGTAAGGTAGCAAACTGACCACCCTAGATCTTTACCAGAAAATGAACCTCAAGTCCATCCTCCTCCTGGGCAGCCTCGCCTTCATGGTCCACGCCACCCCAACCACCAACTACCAACCTATTCCCAATATGAGAAGCGATGCCAACTCTCTGTCCGACGGCACCGCGTCCCTCACGGCCCGCGGCGGCTACGGAGTCTGGCTCGATGTCTACCATTCAGCCGACTGCAACAGCGGCTATAATGCCTAACCAACTCAGACTGGGTGTGGGAGGGCCAGTGCAAAAGGCTCGACTCATACACCTATGGCGCGAAGCCCGGCTACGCCCAGGGCGGGTGGCCGTGGTGCAAGCTAATGTTCTGGGAGACGACCAACTGCGCTGGCGGGCGGGTGACAGCAATCCGAATCCCAACGACTAGTGACGGGAACTTCAACTGCATCGCGGCGGCGAATAAGGGGGATGGGTTCTACTTGACCTATGGGGCGTCGAGTGTGCAGTTGCTTTGCGATGATATTCGCCCACGACTGCTGCGAAACCTTAGGATGTTTATCTCAGTAAAGATATGCTATATATGTCTATATGGGATGCTTGGATAATTCGGGGTAAAGAGGGGGGTGTTGCGTTTACTCTAGCTTAGACAAAGGGGGATATAAATAGGGACTGCAAGGATAATATCTCCTGTTAAACCAATCCTTATCGCACGTTCTCCGTGCGCCACAGTATCATTCAGCACCGCCTTGATCGAGATGGGAGAAGATCTAAATGTACAGCTAGAAAAAGGTTCTTGTTTCTCATAATGTCAAAGAAGAAATCGAGAGGAAGATGAATTTCGTTAGGTGATGAATTAGAACAGCTTCAGTTTATACTCATACTTAGACACTAGCTGGAATTCTTGATACTCAAATTAAGCGTTCTAAGAAATCTCTTTCATACCCTGCTGCGCGGATGGCTGTTGCTTAAAACATGCCTAGGTCTAGCCTCTATGTGGGTCGTCATTCCTTACGTTAGCCCACCCGAAGCGGAAATCTGAGTATTAAACTGGAGAATTTGCTACCACGGATAGGTAGGCCGGGCTTACTGTGCTGTCCAAGACTGCCTATCACTTTGGGGGCCGAAGGTGGCGGGGGAATCTAAAAGAAAGCTCGAGTAGTACTTAAGGTCATAGATGAGTAGCCTTGTTATTCTTGGCTGTCCGGACGCTGCCACATCTTTGCCGAAACAGCGAATGAGAAGACAGGCAAAATTGGGTCTGCCTAGATTGCAAGATTGCTATGTAGAACCTTATAATGAATACTAATCAGAAATCCCATTGGAGCCACGGCAGTTTAGACCGCTATTTGAATTCCAGCCGCTTTTGACACAGGACGCTCGTTGGGTCTTCTGGCCCGAGGACGCGCTCGCTAAGTTCCAGTGCCTGCGACGCCAGGTTCTCGGCTTCATCCCATCGCTCTTGATAGGCATAGACCGTCGCAAACTGACTTATACTGACAATAGTGTCGCGATGTTCGTCTCCTAGAACTTTTCTCCGTGTGTCCAGAATGTGAATCTGGAGCTTTTCGCATTCTTTCCACTTCCCCTGCACGAAGTAGCATACTACAAGCGGCACCATACTGCTCAGAGTCAAGGGATTCGCTGGACCGTCTTCCCGCTCATGGATGCTTACTAGCATCTTCAACAAGGTCTCGGCTTCAGAGTGCCTCCCGTCACTCGTCAGACAATCTGAGATTTTTTCTATCAGGCCATAATGGGGGGGCACCTGAAGAACAAAAGCCTCCTGTTGCACGAGCGATAAAGAATGGGGAAGGTATTCTCTCCATAGCTCCCGATTCGCGTGGTGATCGTCGGGGAAAACGGCGTCCATTTGGATGGTGACTTCTCGAACCCAGTGATCAAACCAACCCTTCTGCCGAAGCCAGTTCCGGGTTGCCATGTGCACCAGTCGGTGCAAATTAAGGCTTTTCCCCTGACTGGTAGTAAATGAGTAGCCGCTCAGTAGCCCGAGAGCATCTAGCTGTTGTTTCTTCGTGGCTTGGAGAGGTAGAATGGATAATGGAATGTTCCGTGGGTTGATAATGGCCATCAAGAACAGGTAGTCTGCTGCCAACAAGTTCTGCTGCTGAATTTGCTGGAATGATATCAACCAGGTGGTAATCACAGGGTTCTGTATATCTCTATACCGCCCTGAATCTCTGAAGTCTTCGCTAAGAAGTTCCACAGCGTCCTGTTCTTTCTCTTGAAACAATGCAAGGTATGTCGAGAGATCTAGACCATTTTCAACGATATATGACGAGGCTTGTGTGATCGCCAATGGAAGAAAGGCAAGTTGTTCCAGGAGCGCTCGGGCAGCACCTTCCGCAACCAAGTCACGTCCTAACATCTTCTGCATGATCTGGAATGCTGTCGCTTCATCCACGTCGGGAATCGGGACCAGATCGAAGGGCGCCAACTTCATGGCGAGTTTGCGATTTCGGGTTGTAAACACTATTCGACCTTTTCTGCTCCGAGGCAGAAAGTCCTCGAGGGGTGGGCCCTGGCAACTCGGAGTTTCCAGCCACATTTCTGTATCGTCGGCGTTATCAAAGATCAGAAGCCACTGTCCCACTTTCTCTGAGCTGAGGTAGACCTTGACCTGTTGTTTGACCTCGGCGGGATTCGTGCAATCAAGTCCAATGGCTTGTGCAATGTCGAGGAATGTCTGTTCAACAATTGCCCGGCTGGTACACGGGATCCAGAAGACGGAGCAATCCATGTCTCGGTCGTATATGCGATACGCCAGTTCAAGAGCAATCTGAGTCTTCCCGACCCCTCCAAGGCCGGTTATCGCGACTCTTCCGGGTCCATCTTGCGTCGCAACCGAGTGTTCCAGCAGTGCGATCTCGTTGTTGCGACCGACGAACCTGGTATTGCGTGCGAGGGGGACGACCCAGTGCCGCTGTTCGTTCTTGATGCTCGACAAGCCACGATAGGCAGGCACAGCTGACAGCAGGAGTTTCGCGTACGCCGCAGCCACCAGCGCTGCATACCCTTGCCATTGTTTCTGTTTGTGCGAGTCGCAATAATCGCATATCCCCCGGACCACGAGGGTCGGGAGCTCGTCCATCAGACCTGCCGCCTCCATCTCGAAGCAGAGGATTCCATGCTCCTGCGCAAGACGATCGCGCGTGTCCGAGTCCTTCATCACCTGGTCCCCAGATGCAATCAGCCCATAGTGGATATGGGGCGCGTTACTCTCTCGTGGTTGTCGTTTGACTAGCTGCCCTTTATCGCATTCCTCGCAGCTCTCTCCGTTTATATGGTGATACGAGGGGCTGAACAACAGGTCTGCATCCTCCTCTGGCGCGCCAAATCGCTCGCGCATATGCGGATGCTTCTCTAGTACTTGCTGGACCATTGCTTGGACATCATCTGTTCCATCCTCCGCTGTCATTTTTCGTGCCTCGAGCTGACTCAAATGCGTCAAAAGCACCGGCGGTGGCTTGTTCGTCGTTCCCATTACTTCGAATACGCCACCCTGCATGGCCTTGCCATAATCGTACTGGACGACGCCGCTGTGTCGCGGGCCCGGCTTGCTGACAACCACATCTCCCAGTCGAATATCGTTCGTTCCATTTCCCGGAACTCCTCCTCCGATGCCTACCATGAGGGCGAACCGAAGTTGGCGGAATGTTGCTCGCATGCGAGACACCACACCCGCAGCGGACACCTTCCCATACACTCCAGATGGCAAGTAGGCGATCACAATATTATGGCCGTTCACCTCGCCAAAATCATAAGCATTTTGATTGTTGATTTCTTGGGGCGAAGGGTGGGTCTTGTCGAGCATCACCCGAGCGGCCGCTGCTTCGAGGGGTAACGCGCACACCCACGCGGCCGTGTAGTCATCCGGCGTGAGGGAGGCCATCGTCGGCACGAAGACATGGAAGAAATGCGGTTCAAACTATTTGATAACCCGGTTAGATCGAGTTCAATGAGTTTCCATCGCTGTCGAAAGTGAGATGGATGCGCCGTGATGGTTGGGAGAGAAGAGAGGCAGGCAGCCTTGCGCTGTGAGGCTGATGATGCTCAGCCACCTGCACCTCGAGCACAGCCATTCAGACGTCTGTCCAGCCCACCTGATATTGACTGGGGCCATCATTAAATAAGAAATAAGAAGTCTCAACGGTGAACGTCGGACGGCAACCACCGCAAAGATGGGATCTAAGCATCTTTCATGAGCTATCCAAACTGCCTACTCCACTTCTCTTCTTCAGGAGAACCCCAGGGCCTGGCCCAGAACATGCCGCCCCACGCTTGCGGCTGCAGCTTGCTATGCAGGGATAGGGGAATTCTCGACCATTGTCCCAGCCCTTCCAGGATCCATTTTCGCGAGACTTTGTTGTAGGCTTGCAAAACAGCCTTGTAACGGTTTAAGTGAGAAAAATCCGTCCAAGACTTCTTGTGGGGGCAGTTTGGCAGGCACCCAAATTCAGGAACAGGGCTGTTTCAGGGGCTGACTTGGGCCCCGCTGGGTGTCTTGGAGATCGCGTTTGCAGCCAATACCCCGCGATCCAATCGCCTTCTGGGCCCAGCAGGGGCAGTCAGCAGCCAGTCAGCTGCCGGTGGAGCTGGCGTTGTGCTGAAAGTGAGACCCTCGGCTGAGCCACCTGGGCTGGCAACGGACTCTCACCCTTTTGCGTGATTCCTCGTGTTTGCTCGTTTTCTTTTGAAGGGGGTGAAAAAGCTGAAATCCAGTAACTCTCCGTGCAAATCAATGGGATATGCACACCACCCATTGCGACCCGCGATCCAGAGAAACGTGCTGCAGACCCTTGTTTGCAAATAAGGGTCTGACATCACGACAATCACAGCCACGATGCTCGCCCTGAACAAACGCTGGTCGACTGTCCTCGTCGCCGCCTCCTTCCTCTTCTTCCTCGTCCTCCTCCACAGCAAGACGCCCAATTCAACCGTGATCCGCGTCGCTGGCACCTACGGTCAGAATCTCTGTCCCGCGACTCCGCCAAATCCGCCCTACAACCGCACGAACCCCGAGGGCTTCAGCTGGCGCGACATCCCCGTGCGATACCCCGTGCAGAACCCGATCCCCCTCTCCAACGAGCCCCCGATCGCCCTCCCACAGATCCAATTCTCCTTTCCTCCTCCGACCCCCGAAGCCGAAGAAATCCGCAAAGCCCGCCAACAACGGATAAAAGAGACATTTCTGAAGGGATGGCACTCGTACGAGACCCGCGCATGGAAGACGGACGAACTGCAGCCCATCTCGGGGCTATGGCGAAACACTTTTGGCGGATGGGGCGCGACGCTCGTCGATAACCTCGACACGCTGTTGATCATGGGTCTCCACGAGGAATTCGAGCGCGCTGTCGCTGGGGTGCTGGACGTCGACTTTAACCCACACTCCTCGTCGCAGAGCAACATCAACCTCTTCGAGACGACAATCCGCTACCTCGGCGGCTTCATCGCAGCATACGATCTCTCCGGCTGCAGCGACACGCGCCTCCTCGACAAGGCCGTGCAGATCGGCGACATGATCTACGCCTCCTTCGACACCGACACCCGCATGCCGGTAACCCGCTGGAACCCGCACAAAGCAGCCGGCGGCGAAGAGCAATTCCCCGCGGCGCAGGGAATCATCGCTGAAATCGCCTCGTCGAGCCTCGAACTCACGCGCCTGTCACAACTCACCGGTGACATGCGCTACTTTGACGCGATCTCCCGAATCACCGACGTCCTCGACGAGCAGCAGTTCTCCACGCGGATCCCAGGCCTCTGGCCCGTCGCCGTCAACGTCCAGAAACCCGACCTCACGCAGTCGTCCACCTTCACCTTTGGCGGCATGGCCGACTCCGCATACGAGTACCTCGGCAAAACATACCAGCTTCTCGGCGGCGTGGGCCGCGCACCGCAATACAAGAAGCTCTACGATGGGGCCATGGCCGCCGGCGCCGAAAACCTCCTCTTCCGCCCGATGGTCCCAGACCACGCCGACATCCTCGTCGCGGGCGTCGCGCACGCGACCACATCCACAATCGGAATGGAGACGCGCAGCGAGCACCTCGCCTGCTTCGCGGGCGGCATGTACGCCCTCGGCGGCAAGCTGTTTGCCAACGACTCGCACCTCGCCATCGGCCGCAAACTCACCGACGGATGTATCTGGCTGTATAAAAATTCCCCGCTGGGCATCATGCCGGAGATGTTCTCGCTCTCGGCGTGTCCGTCCCGCGGCGAGTGTCCGTGGGACGAGCGCCAGGAGGTCGTCTTCACGACCGTCCGGGACAAGCGGTACATTCTCCGGCCCGAGGCCATCGAGTCCGTCTTCTACATGTGGCGGATCACCGGCGAGGAGCGGTACCGCGACGCGGCGTGGGAGATGTTCGAGGCGATTGATCGGGCGACGTCGACGGAGTGGGCGAATGCGGCGCTGCGCGATGTCATGGAGCCGAATGTCAATGGCGGGGGGCCCGAGAAGGAGGATAGTATGGAGAGTTTTTGGTTGGCGGAGACGCTGAAGTATTTGTATTTGATTTTCAGCGAGACGGATTTGGTGAGTCTGGATCATTTTGTTTTTAATACCGAGGCGCATCCGTTTCGGTTGCCGGGGAGGGAGTGAGTAGTTGGAGTAGTGAGTGGATTTGTGGATTTGTGGATTGGTTTGGGGCAGTGGTGTATATCAGTAGATTTACCTTTTCTTTTTTTTGTTCATATTCGAATTTACTTTTTTTTTCCCCTTCGCAATTGCACCACCCGCGGTCCCTTTGCTATCACGCGGCCTTGTAGCGGTGGTTCGACCCATGTTCCGGATATATATTTCTCATAGGCCATTGGCGCCGACATCCATTGACCATGATGCGTATGGAAATACTCCAGAAAATGGAGTCAGTAGCTAGGCTCCAGGGCCCTCACCTTTATCAGCGCCCATTACTCGAAGTAATTACCCAGGTCAGCACGAACTCTTCAACAAAGTGTGATGTATGCTTTCTGGTGGAACCGGAGACACCCCTTCCTCCGTCATTGGCCGCCTTATCAGGGATGGGAGGGGATGGCAGCCACGTGATTCAAGCAAGTCCAGATGGACGACCATGATCAATATACGCAAAGTGCCAGATTAGGGCCCTTTGGCAAGTAGATTATAAGAAGCTACTACAACCTTGCACCTTTGAGCCGAGTTTCGTGGAAGCTCCCCTGCCGGCCATCCGATCCATGGTCCAGCTCGAAGCTACCTCCACTGCCTGCCCCTCCGCCACGCCACCGCGCCCCCCTGACCCACTAAATGACGCTGCTCTGCTGCCTCATCCCTGCAAACGGAAGTTCCAAAGCCGATTCTTAGTTCTTAACTAGTACCAACCATCTCCCACCAGGCACAATCCTCAACCCTCTCAACGCCCCAATCCTCTCACATCCCAAACACCCCACATCATCTCTCACAATGGCCCCTCACGAAGGCCTCATCCACCCGAAAGAGTACGACATAAAAGACAGCAACGTCGAACTGATCGGGTCGGACCTCGACCACCGCGTGAAACACGCGTCTGCAGCTACAGAACCGGCCTGGAATAATGGCGTCGTCGGCGTCGAGCCGGGCCTGTTTATCTGGCGGATCGAGGATTTCCAGGTCGTCCCCTGGCCGAAGGAAAAAGCAGGCGAGTTTTTCGCGGGGGATAGTTATATTGTGTTGCACTCTGTCAAGTTGAAGAGCAAAGATGGGGATGGGGACGACGGAGAGAACAAGCTTCGCCATGATATCTTCTTCTGGCTCGGCGCGCACACGACGCAGGATGAGGCGGGAACAGCAGCGTACAAGACCGTCGAACTCGACGAGTTTCTACACGGATCCGCAACGCAGCATCGCGAGGTCCAGGCGTACCCGTCTGAAGAATTCACCTCGCTCTTCCGACGGATCACAATCCGCGCCGGCGGCGTCGCGAGCGGGTTCACGCACGTCGAGGAAGAGGCACCCAAGGAGATTACGACCCTTCTCCGCGTGTTCAAACACCCCGGTGCGTCGGGAAGAATCGACTCGACGATTGTCTACGAGGTCGAACCAACCTGGGAAAGTCTCGATGACGATGACGTCTTTGTTCTCGATAAGGGCGACAAGATCTGGGTGTGGCAGGGGAAGAACTGTAGTCCGATGGAGAAGGCCAAGGCGGCACAGGTGGTTAATGAGATGACGATGGCGAAGCATGTGGATGTGGAGGTTCTGTCGAGGCATGAGGCGAGATCGAAAGTGGTTGTTGATTTGCTTGGTGGGCAGGGTGTTGATACGTTTTCGACGGTGTTCAAGGCGCCCAGGCCGATTGCCGGGTCGAAGAGCGGGGAGAAGGGGAGTGTTGGGTCTGAGAGGCCGAAGAAACTGTTTAGGTTGAGTGATGCTTCGGGACAGCTAGAGTTTGATCTTGTCAAGGAAGGGGGACCGGCGAGGAGGTCAGATTTCGATGGCGACGATGTGTTTTTGTACGATGTGGGCAGCCAGCTTTGGGTGTGGCAGGGGCTCGGTGCGAGTGAGAGGGAAAGGGCGCTGTGGCTGAGGGTTGCGCAGGCGTATGTGCGGCATATGCAGAGTCAAGAGGATGATATCTATCTGATTCCGATTGCAAAGGTGGTGCAGGATTACGAGAGTCCGTCGTTCTTGAAGGCGGTTGATTTTTAGGCCTGACTCTAATAGAGACCAATTCCCGAGGCATGAATTATAACTGAATGAGAGGATCTGGTGTTTCATGGAAGCACGGTAACCGAAATATGGGAGTAACCTTGCTAGCCCAAAATGAGAATTGCAGACAACCGCTTTATCTGCACCTTATGTGAGCTTTGCTGGAGTATATAGTATCAATCTCCTACTAGACGACAAGTACATTACTCAACGTCGGAAGTAAGGAGCCATGGCCAAGTAATAGGGGAAGGCGCGCAAAAGCTACAATTACTGCAACAACGATAAATCAATAGGACTACAAGCTGCATACCTAAGGATTGAATCAACAGAACAGAGAACGAAATCACCACTGCTTCCTGCCTCCCCGTTACTGCCACCAAAAACGCTACGCTGCGTCTACGTAGATTGCCACGCGCAATCTGACATTGCTTAATCAAAGACAACGTCATTCAGATCCAGTCCGTCAAAATCAAAGTCGACACCATGGGCATCCACTGACTCAAACCAGTTTGGCGGATCGTCGCAGAATTCCACCTCCACCACGCCTGGTAAGCCTTGGCCGAGAAGGCGCAAGACAGAGACAGGCGAAGGGGACATGTAAAAGCTGGCGGCAGTGGACAAAAGCTGAATCCATGGCTTTGCCTCCCTAAGGACACTAGCCACCTGACTACCCCACGACTCGCTTGCCTGTGCTCTCTCTTCTCGCCGCCCTTGCTGGTTGCTGCGAGCCAAAGAACCATTGCTTGACGGGGCGGATCTTGTTTCAGGGAAACCCTGAGCCGTGCCTGACGCAGTTCCATGTCGAAGCCACCTCCCGGCGGATGTTGTATCAAGTGAAGCGCCATTTGCGATCTCGGTGTATATCTTCAGCTGCAGAGTAGTGGGGTCATGATAGCGTGCTGCAATCATTTCCGCTGCGAGCATCCCTCGCCTGACCGCCGAATTGTCCTTGTGCAGTGCCGTGTACTTCCCATGCCGCATGTCAAGCCCGTGGTGATAGATCTGTGCCCCATTCGAGAGGAAGGGCCGAAAAAGATCTGACTCTGTCCACCGATCCACAAGAGCCAATTTCTCCTGCACTCCATCCGGGTCCAGGCCACTCCAATGCGTGGTCACAATGGTAACATTGGGCATGTAACTCTCGCCGCAGAAGTTGGCCAGCCAGTTTAGGACTTTTGTTGCCGAATCTGACACCCGGTTGTCCAGCATCGCATCAACATAGAAGACTCCGCGGAACTGGACGTACTGCCGTACAACAGAGAGACCAGTCATGAGCCTGACAAAGATATCCCAGTCGTCGAAGTCACGTGTGTTGAAGCCGGGCATATCGAGAAAGAGGCAGCGTTTGTCGCCAATAATCGCAGGCACCAAACTGGTTGTTGTCGTACCTGTTGTAGTTAGACTCGCCTGGTGCATGAATTGGATGTACATGAATAATTACCGGACTCGAGTGTGGATCCAATGTATACATCTTCCAGCGTTATCGATTTGACGAAGGACGATTTTCCAACTCCTGCTTCGCCGGTGACGATGAATAGGTCTGCATTGATGCTACACCGACGATTAGCGATGAAATATCATTACGCAACCTGATGATATTGACATACTTGTTTTTCAGGAAATCGTCGATACCGTTCTCCATCGTGCTAGATACAGCTTCCGAGAAGGCCTTCCAGCCATTGTTCAGGTCTATGATGGGCATTCCGGCAGGGTATGTCGAAGGGTCAAGTCGTTAGAGAACTGGTGGATGAATGAAAAACGGAGGGCGATATGCAAAGAGAAACCACTCTTTCTGTGCGTTCTGTCTGTGGCTGACCCGCTTGTTTCGAGGGCTTTTTTGAAACCGAGATTCAGTCGACGGGTGAGCGTCCTTTTATAGACAGCTTGAACTAGCATTCTGCTTCGCCATATTCCACATCGAGCGCAGATTCCCAACAAATACAATATGAAGATGGCATTGCGCCGTATATTCCTTGGCAAAGACGACAATGCACCCCCGACGAATCCGAGAAGAGAAACTTGCATACACCCCAGCTGTTGTAAGACTCAGGATTACCTGGTTGAGTTAGTCAAAGGGAAGGAAATAAAAGTGCGCAGTAGCTCGATGCTGACTGCATACACCAATAGACTCTGCAGGTTTAATCGGATGACCTGGGGCCGATAAGCATCATCCTGGAAATCCATGAGAGGCGTAGCCGTACCCATTTAACTGGTGCCACGCTGTCGTCGATGCGGATTCTGCCCAGCCGCCAGCGCGTCCCTCATCGAGTCCTCTCCGTACGCCTTTCGAGCTTGCTGCGACTATGACGCCATTTTATATGGTCCTGCAATCAGAAAGGATCCACGTGCAGCATGAAAGCCACCGGATTAGCATTTCGGTTATCGTTTGTTTGCTGCCCACCTTTACGCCGCAACGAGGGGTAGCGAGCTACAGCTTTGTATATCATGCCTGATCTAACCGTCGTGGATTGATTTTAGATCGCTATACCTTTCAGCTACCGTTGAATATCATTACTTCTCACGCCTACTAGGTTAGTTCAAACGATCCTCGATGATGGATCGAATCTCACCCGCGCGCCTTGAGCGAGCCCGGTATTATGGCGTGGTCTATCTGTATGTCATCCAGGAATGGACTCTGGAGGAGGTTCAGCAGAGCTTCTCGGAACGTCTGCCACCATTTAGGCTAGATCTATCGTAAGTTAAATATACCCTGACAGTGAGCTTGCCATATACTAGCAGCCTGCTGACGCGCTAACCAGGATCGATCAGTGGAAGCGTTGGTTGGATGAGCGAGACATAAGCAAGAACATCAGCAAAGACGAAGTTGTCTTTGTCAAGGCGTTCAAAAACCAGTACCCTCAATCACAAGGCCTGTGGAGCTGGCTGATATTCGGGGATGACGTCCTCCTAAACAATGTGAAACTCGAAGAGCGCTTCGCGGAATTCGGACTTCCGGCCCTCGACGATCAATATCAGATACCGCGGGTAGTCATGTTCATCTATTTACCTTTCAACTTTGCCATGTTAGATGACCCGAGTGTGTTCCGAAATTTTCGGCGGCTCTTATTTTTCACGCGGGTCCATTTTGAAGTATCGTTTGAGCGTCGTGTCTGGGCGGCAGATGACCGCGGGCTCTACGCTAGGAGCGCTGAGCTACGAGCCGGACTGTCAAGGCTCAGTGACCTCCATAATGAAGTAGTCGCTGCACTAAAACAGTTTCGAGAGAAGAAACCTCAAGTCGCCCGTACGATACTACGGGACGTCTTTGCAGACAATGCGTCCATTGTGACGACTTCGCACCATCGTCAAATATCGGACGTGCTAGCCGTCCTTTTGCTGATCATGAGGGCCGGCTTCAATGACATCTATCTTTGGTTGATATGGGACATGATTCACTTGGCACGGAGGCTTCTACCGCAGAATGACCCTCGTAGAGTGATGTTCGAGTTTCTAGGAACTCTCCCCAGAGGCCCAGAGTCGCATGTCCATTTGAGCCATCTCTATTTCGCCTTGGATGCGTATTGCCGACATATCTGGATGTCAAGAATGGGAGGCGACAACTTCAAAGCCTATATATCATACAACCAGGCTAGCTTTCCGCGGGCAGATCCAGGGGGGTTTTACGAGTTCTTTGAGGGAAAGGATCTCGACACAATCACTGCCATCCTCGCATCGGCCGACGAGCAGCTAGGGCCAACTAGCCACGAGACATTTCTCCTGTGGCATTCCGCGCTCAGGTTCCTCCTCAGCAATGGGAGGTCTGCGGAAATGGCGACTCTAGCTCAAAGTCTCTGCCTCCGTCTACATCCTTTTACCCAACAGTGGGACCCCACTGTGCAACGACAATTGTACCTGGATTCGGCTCTGTCATATTACCTGTTGGGACAAGCCTACGAGAGCAACGACGAGCCACTGAATGCATTTGTTGCGTTTGACACTGTGGTCCACGCACGGAATCTGGTAGTCGCTGGCAACCGTAGGGATACCACAAGGGAGGCTGCACGGGAAAGGTTGCATGGGCTCAATTTATAGGTCAGAAACACTGACCGCGAAACTGACTAGCATCCAAGGATAGAGGAAGTATAGGGTACCCAGTCTCGAGGTTGAGAGTTAGAGGAACGGGACCTGATTGCATGGTTGGCTCCTTTGCACAAACAGTGGTGGAAATCTACGTTTTGATTTTAGCTAGTCACTTTCGGGCGTTAGAACATTCAAGCCTTACGACTTAACATCCGTCTGACCCGTTTCATGTGATGACGTAGGGGTCGGTTTATCTTACTTAGACGGTTACAGGTTCGTCAGCCACCATCATGACACATGCTGCTACACCTGTTGAATAGATCAAGAGGGATACGGATACTGAGAGTAATGTTCTTGGATTAGAAGGTAAAAGGTGTGCGGGGTGGTATCTCATCATAAATCGTAACTACTACACCCCTGATCAGAACGAAGACTTGAGATCATACGTCTGACTACTGGATATCGTCATGACCGTTGTCCCTGTCAGCGTACTGATGCGCCCAGGCGCCGAGAAGCTATTCTGGGGGCGATGGTACTTCCTCGTCCCGTAGATCTGATCCACGTCTGCGAGGGTCGTCGGAGAGGAGATTGTTGTTAGTGAAACAGCGTCAGCGTTGCTGGATACACGCTCGAGATCGTTTGGTCGCTCGCGACTCGGTGTGCCTCGGATAAAGTCCATGAGGTCGTCTTTTCTATCCCTCGTCCATTCTAGCCATGCTATGACCATTGACCAGCGGAATGTGCATATGACGCCCCAGAAGCCGGTGGCCTGGTCTGTTAGCTAATTGCGCAGCAGACAGCGTTGGGGATACGTACGGCTAGAAGAGCGAGGGCCGACACTACGGTGGCCTGATTAGGCTCAATGCGACTAGCATAGTCCAGACATGCTTCTTGGTCTCCCTTTGAGCCTATCAAGCAATCAATCCAGGGTTGTAACTCATCGTCCGAGTATGCTGCCGGGTCACGGAATCGCAGGACCGCCTGTCCCACGTATACGACATGGAATAGAATCAAGCACGCGATGGCAATAGCACGCCACTGCAGCTGAAGGATCCGCCAGACACGTGTGGAGGTTGAGCGGGTGGGAACAGCTGTTGTTAGATCACTCGGCGACCCCGGCCGCTTGAAGATGGAGAACCGGGCTGTCCCTCCGCGAGTGAGCACACCGCGGATACAGTACCCCATGATAAACAGCTGCATAGCAAAGGAGATGAATGCGACGCCAATCAACGGTCCCCAGAATGATCCGATGCTATCGGGATAGCTGATATAACACACGTCACCGATTTGATAGGAGACTCCTGATACTCCGAGGGCGATTCCAAGCATTCCCAGAGAGCCGAGGAAGATACAGATAATCGAGATGGCGCGGAACTTTTTGCCCGGCTCGACGTCCCAGCAGAGTTGGAGGTAGAGGGAGGCCGATCGGAAGAAACCTGAAGTCGTCAGCTTGGCCATTTACAACTGCACAAAACGTACATCCGATTACCAGAACCCAGACACCGTATAGAAGTAATGATCCGGAAAAGGCACAAGTTGTATCGGATAGCCAGTAGTTCGGTGTGATCGCATCGTAGCAGAATTCGACTGAGGGCCCGAGGGGGATGATAAAGGCAATCTAGGTATTTAGTAACAAATGCGAATAGCCCTGGGAAAGCTGCATACCGACATGAAGATGAATCCCATTAGAGGACTGGAGGTCAGGTAGTGTCGCTGTGTGGCACTCGTAGGAAGGACAATGTAGGTCAGGGCAGAAATGACCATGAGGATAAGAACAGCCAGCCCGATCCAGGGCACCATATCAGCATTGAACTCTGTCCAGGTTAGCTAGGATAGATGGCCGAGGAGCGAGGATCTACCATCCGAATATCTCCAGTCGGTGATCGGGCAAGGGAAGCAGCACGAAATGGATTCGTCTCCGACAGTATATGGTTGACACCAGCGTCCTTTATCATCTACACGGAGTTAGACATGTCTAGACACTCTCGTAGCGGAACTGACATCCACCGCTGTTCTCGAAGGGGAGCTCTGCAATCAAGGGATCTGGACATTGCGTCAAGGAGCTGTTGGACGCCATTCCGTAATAACAACGTTAGGTCGAATAGGGGCAGTAGGGGCTGGACAGGTCCAGGGCGCACAATGCAGAGGCTGCTGCAGAGGACATCAGGCAAAAACCATCGGTATCTCAGGCCATGCCCATGGGAAGAGAGATATCGAGCCGCAAGCAACCAGGAGAACCAGGGCGAAAAGTCGACAAAACCGCCCTGGAAGCTGAGCCTCTTTTAATCAAAGCCAGGAGAACCAAGAGCAAGCACGTTCTCCGCAGGGGCGGGTCCTGCACAGGCACAGTCTCACACTGACCGTTGACGGCAGGACTCGGCGCTGATCCAACCCCGCAGCCAGGCCACTCTGGGCAAGCGCGACCCTCCGCTGGTCCTCGGCTGGCTCGCATCTGTGGATAACTGGATCTCCCTGCCGGCTCCCCGGATTTTGGGCCGCTCGATTCACGGACCTGGGCCTTTGCTGTTGGTCCCCGTCTCCAAGTGAGGATGGTCGAGGTCGTCCTCGAAGCTTACTCTTCATCCAGTATCAGCATTTCGCGAGGCCTCATTATGCCACGTCCTGGCTCCATACCCGAAACCTTGAAGACTGGCAATTTTCAATCGGAACAAATGCATTGTCCAGTTCGAGGCAAGATTGTTGTCTCCAACGCGATGTTGTCTGGACTCGCGCGATCGCGCTAAGAAGGATCAACGGTTCCACAGACGAGCCGTTCGCAATTTCAAATCAACTCGAACTTTGGACGTCCAAGTCCGAATCCTGAACTTGAACATATTCTTCGCATGCATCCCAATTTCGTCTATGATGGAGAGCTAATACCCGGCGACCGTGGGAATAACGGCCTCCCCACGAACGCGTCGGTACTTGCACCAAGGCATATTTAGGTATGCCGCCACATGTCGCCTTTCTGGCTACCATTGAAGAAAAGCCTGACACGAGTTCGAGTTCGGCCCGTCGTTTGAGGTTCAAAGTCAAATTGATGTGTACTATACCCCAATCGGAAACACCAGGCAAGACTCTCTTGGCCTTCACGGACTCGCCCTGCACCAGCGCATCCCCGCGATCCTCACAAACAGAACAGGAGCGATCTTCTTCCAGATTTGGGTTCGCAAAGTTCCGCTCCAAGTCGCATCTCACCTGCCGTTCTCCTGCTAGCGTTCCTCTCTCGTTCCTATTCCCGCGTCGGCAGGGTTTTGCATCCTGCTTCTCCAACCAAAGGGGCGAAGACCATTGTTCACGCGAATCGCAATTTCTACCCTTCCCGTGGACTTATTGAGCAGTGAGTCTCTCAGCGGCTTGTTCCAGTCGACCGGGTGGCTCAGTCGCTGAATTGCGGAGAAGGAATTCCGTGGAGACTAGAGGCGCAAGACGGGGAAAGGGGCTTCGTCTCCAAATTTTAGCCCCAACGTTTCAAGCTCCAGATCCTTGTCTATTTGATTGCATATTGAGGGTTTTTTATGGCTCATCCAGTTTGTTTCTTTCATAATTTGCTCAAAGAGGATTATCGCTCGATTATTCGCCTTTCAAGGTTTCGGCCCCTGGCCCCGAGGCCCTATGGGCAAAAGGGCTCTCGAGTGGAGATAAGGACTAATTTAATTCAACTGTTCAACCTCGCAGGGCTGATCAGAGTCTCTATCTGATCAAGAGACGAAGGCTAAAGGGTGAAATGTGGATCGTGGGCACACATTCCGTGGCTGCCGCTGCCAATTTTCGAGATGATCGTCCCGACAACAGCCGGTCTAGACATAGACTCAAGCTCTAATTCCCAAGATCATGGCCATTTCAGAGGAGGTAACAGTCGATCTACGGCAATAACGGACCTATTAGGAATACGTTCGGAAGTCAACATAAAGAAGCTATGCACCATTTGGGCCCCATCATCCACCATCACAAACAACAAGCCCTGGCCATTTGAAACACTATATAGCGTAGTGTAAGGCAGACCTAGCGGGTGCGCTGCAGTGTCCTTGGCTAACTCTACCAACGCTCTTGGTGTGCAGTGCAGTATCTAAGGGAAGTACTTTAGTATCGAAAAACACAGTCTTGATCCTCCTCCAACAACCTTCTGATAAAATCTGCCGGCCTAGTAGGCTCCCTCCCCAAAATCTCCCGTAACAGCGGATGTGTCGTGCGCAGCCCCCCGCCAACAATCTCATCCCAAAACGTCGCAACCATCTCAAACAGCTCCCTTGGCTTTCCACGCGGGTCACGCCTCCATGCATCAAGATACTCGTTCCGCGAGACCGGATCAAGGTTGATCTGTCGGCCAGTAGTCTCATTTATTATATCGACTATCTGCCGAGCAGTGATTGTGTCCTGTGCGGTGAATAATACCTTTTGGTTTTCGTAACCACCCTGGATCATCATCCGCACGGTTGCCTCGCCCAGCTCCGCGCGGGAGGTATAGGCTACCTCCCCGTCGGCGGGCAGCGTGAGCGTACTAGTCCGTTCGGGGTACCAGTCGAGGAAGATGGTGAAGCATTCGGCGTAGACGCCTTCTCGGATGGAGGTATATGTAAGGCCGGATCTGTGTTGGGATATTTAGGGTGACGCGAACTTGTGAATTTCTTATATAGGTATGGAATGTACAACACACTCTTTAAGCAGTTTTTCAGTCAAAAGATGATCCTGCATCACGGGAGACTTGGATGTATCCTCCAAGCCTCCAAACGCCAGAGATGTATACCAGATCTGGAAAGATGGTCGGCTTGTCAGCAACGCTCATTAATTCTGGAAGGGTCTCGGTATACCATACCAGGAATAAGCAGGGATCAGGTCGTTCACCGCTAGTGAGTTACTAGGTACCCCGATTGGACTGTTGACTCTATTACTGGCTAAATCTATATTTGTTCGTCAAATGACGAACCATCAGCAGGTTCAAAGTGTGTTACTATTTGCACACGAGATCCTGATTGAATATATAGATCAAGGCCCTCGCGTTTCTATATTCTCGTGGACACATAGTATGTAGACAGGGTTGTAGGCCACTCAAATTCTGCGTGATCATATCCGGAATCCATCCAATGCCACGGCTGTGCAAGCCAAGGTGTTGGCTTCCTGTAATATTCTTAAAATCCAGCAGGGCAACGGGCGATCCACCGTGCTCTCTGCAGTTTGATTTCCCCCAACGCACCGATCTGCAGAACCATGCAGCCGCCGGCGGTAGCGCGGCGATCTTTCAATAGTAGTAGCCTGTGCTGCATCATCACAGAGTGGTCACATCAGTCTTTTCTATACTCTCTGCGCGTCTTACTCGACTAGAAACAAGTCCGTCTTGCTTCTTAAAATTGGTAACGTCTTCTTCCGAACAGGTCTTTGTAGAGAGCGCGGGAAGACAACCCCGTCTATATCCAATGCGGTAGGCGTGGCTCGTTAGCAGGGCTGTATTTGAATCACTAACAAAGATCTAGTGAAGGAGTATCCATCAACAGCTAGTCCCCGGCTTCTCACTCGTGGCCTGACGCGAACCCATCCAACTCTCATGCCGACAGAGGATTTGAAGGTAACTAAATAGCACTGCTTACGCTATCAAGTCGAGTGCGGAGGATCACCACTCCCAGTAAATTAATTCCGCCAAGCATCTCCATCACATGTCGTGGTGAGTCTTCCAGAGCTCCAGTCGAGGCCTGTCTAACCGCGATCCCTGCACCAGGTCGACCCATTCAAGCTAAGGAACTCTTTAAATACACAAATGGGCGGTGCCTCCTCAATGAAGAACACAAGAAAGTCAAGTGATACGCGAAATTTGATCTCCATGCTCTCTGTAACCATGTTTCATCTCTTCCATCAATATGTTCGCCTATCGCCAAGATCGCCAAGCTCGATGGAACTAGGCTCTAATAGATATAAAAGTATGAACCTATAAGGCTAGAATACTAGAAAGATTTATACCTTCTAGGTTAGACATTTAAAATACTTTCCCTTTTATTAGTAAGCATTATAAAATCTTGCTATCTTAGTAGAACTTTATAAAGGAGGAATAGGATGAAGATAGCAGCATATAGGTTGGACTACAGTACAAATGCTTAAAGAGCCAGCAGTTGAGATAATTACACTGTTAGATACTCTACTACTCTACCATATAATTGTCCCAAGGCCAAGTGAGTTATACGCAAGGTTATGTACATTATAGAAACTGAGTCACCCTGAAGGATAGCTAATTGTTAGATAGACTTTTCTAGTCAGTCCCCCCTCCCTTCACTTTTGATTTCCCGCTATCCTCTAATAATCTTAATGTGTTTTTGCCTGGCCGTGTATATACCGTGCCTCTAATAGCCCTTATCTTCGACCTTTCACTCAGAGGCCTGTGCAACCTGTCTTTAACGCGCGGTGGATGGTTCTCGGGGCAAAAGAGGCCAGCACCAGACTGCTTGCGATTCTTGTCGTCACCACAAGGTGAGCCCTTCTAAACGTACGCTAACACTACCTCCATAGAATTGCAGGTCGCGTTTAACTACCAAGGATTAGGACAGCGTTAAGATTCCTCTGGATACTACTAGCCAGTTCTAGGTAATACTCGTTCGAGCGGAGCACCAGCAGGCTCTCTTGATCCGGTATTACTCCTTGTATATTGCCATAACTGGATATGCCTCTACCAATTATGTGGGAACACTGGTGGGAAGAACCTGGTTAGTATATGGCATTGAACGGGACTTCCGTCCTGGATGATGGATTCGCATTAAACCTTGCATCATTGCTACTTGTGTTTATAAATCCAGCAATAACACAGTAGCATGACCATGGAACAAAGGGATACCAGTAACGCCACAGCCATCTTGGAGTGGATACGCCCGCCACGATGGTCCAGCACCACCAAAGTCCGACTGGGCTCGTCAAGCGTCATTGAGAACGAGTCACCTGGATCCACCCGAATCAGCTCCAACCTCCATTTAGAGCCGTATAACGAGCGTGAGATGACTAGCCGAGCCCCTAATCTTATCCCAAGCCTCAAAATCCATTCTTTCGGGTAAATAGTGTATGACCTTTCTCTTCTGTCGGATATGCCTGTTAACGTCCTGGAGTAAGTAGGGGTCTCTTCCAATATCCCTTCAGCGTCGGGAGAAAGCCGACGAACGTTGCGCTTTCCGTTACGGCTCCGCGCCCGTAACCGGGAGCGTCGAGGTATAGCCCCAGCGCCATCATATCCCTCCTGATCAAGCTGGTTACAGTCTTGATCCATAGAGGTCGGTTGGGAAATGCGAGCTTTCTGTTCTCGAAGCGCCGGCACACGCTCCGCCGGGTCCGGTGCTGTTCTCCTCGCAATCTGGAAGTCAGACGGCACATATGACCGATCTATCTGATTGGGTATGCGTTTGAGATTTTGATACACGTTTTGCCCGCCCCATTCATGGGAATGTCCTGGATGGCTTGTTAGCAGGTATACGTGTGGACTATTGTACGTCTTCCATACCAAACGTCCATCTGGAGCCACCGAGTGGGTCCCTAGGGACAATTCTCCCCTGCCCAATAGCACGAAACAGTATTTGATGATTTGGATCCGAGGATAGAGCATTTCTTATGTATGAGGATGAAACGACCCCGGCATCGAGGGAAGAAAGGAGCTCCTTGGCACAGGCTGCTGCAGCCGCAGCAGCATAATGCTGCCACTGATCATTCTTATGGGAGTTTGCGTAATCGGAAATGCCGCGAATCACAATGCATGGTAGCTCGGCAAGTAAGCCTGCAGCTTCCATCTCGAAGCAGAGAATATCGCCAACCTCCCTGATAAGTGCGGACTTTTTGGCAGCACTCTTCATGACCCTATCCCCGGATGCGATCAGACCGTAGTGGATTTTGGGGTGCTTGAATTCCCGCCGTCTTCGTATAATGACTCTGTTCTTGTCGCAGCCATTGCAGGTAGGCTGGGTAGAGTCGTGAGGATAATCCGACTCGAAGAGGAGATCTGATTCTGGAAGAGGTCTTTTATAGATTTCAAGGCCGGGGTGTTTTTCGAAGAAGTTTGACAAGTTTTTTGGAAGTACCTTTGACCTTATTAAATGGTCAGACCGCATGATCTGGACAGCACTGCGCAAGACTGTCGGCGGAGGGTGTAGAAACCCTTTGACCGCGAAGCCATTCTCCAAATCGCTCCCAAGATCGTACTGGACAACCCCACCATACTGCCCATCTGGCATGCTGACCACAACGTCGCCTAGGCGGATATCATGCCCCTCACTTGGGACTCCCCCGCCAATCCCTACCAGAAGTCGATATATGATTTCTGGAAATGATCTCGACATGTTCGTTGCAACTGCCGCGGCGGCGCTTTTCCCTTGGTTGCCGGGAAGACACGTAAGCGCAACATTATGCCCGGATAACTCGCCCACGATATATATATTCGGGTCACCGTCTTTTCCTGGTAGGCGCTCATGCTCGAGATCCAACATGTACCGCACAGCGCTCATCTCAAATGCCAGAGCACAGATGACCCCGACATGGTAGTCTTCGTAGGTCCGGTATTGAGGTCCGGATCCCATGGCATCTTCCCTCTCACCAGAGCCCATCCTGCGTTAGAGCTTCATAATCGGTCAAGGGTATCCGCGGCAGGCAATAGTTGTATGGGCCCGTCTGCGATATCCCGTCCCACAGTTTCACACCACCTTGTCGGTACCAGGGCAAGATGTACGATGCCTGGTGATGTCGCATCCGAAAATCAACAGTTTGGTATAAGCATGAACAGAACTTTTGTGAAACAGCGAAACCGTACAACCGTCGCGACGCTATGATCCGAAGCGTCAGAAGGTGAGGCTGAGGGCGGGCGGATCATTGAGTGTCCGAATGGAGGGGTCCTCTGGATCACACTGCCAGCGGATGTGACTCGAAGGAGAGAGTGCTAGATTCTGGCCCCGGTGCTGATTCTCGTTTTCTTCGGGATTGGAAGCCTGTTAAATCGTAGTGAGTGATGACAATGCGAACGGCGGAGGTCGAGGTGGAGGAAGAGGGTCCGTGGATTGAGGAGGGAGGGGCCAGCGGACCACCTCAGCTGCTGGTTGAAGGACCAATGAGAATGGCTTAGCTAAGCTACTGTTTGTTTGCCAGCCTCGATCTATGTTCCTCTTCACTCCGGGGTGCTAGAGGGTACTCGAACAGCTATGCATAGGGTACAAAGTCAAGTACTGAGAATAGGCAATTTCGAGTCCAATTCGCGCAGCATCTCCCATGTCGCGGTACGAGACCTACAGCTCTGGAACAGTGACCCATTTCTAACCGCACCCCGAAGTCCAGAACAGCCCATACAGGCTGCAGGACAATTCGAGTATACTACTGGGCGCTTCCTCGTCAAAGAAGCGCACGAAAAATCAAAGTGATGCGCGAAGTTGGATCTCCATGCTCTCTGCAAGCATGTTTCATTGCTGCCATGAATCTCATCTCCAGTCGCCATCATCGATAAACTCAGGGGAGGCTTCAACAAAGCGCTCTTGATGACGCTGACTAGCCCTTATAACGCCTGTCGGCCCCAGGTATTTGAGCGTGTTGATACTTTCGACCTCGTTTTGGGAGCCCAAGCCTAGATAGGTGCAAGGGTATGTTGAGATTCCGGAGGACTTGCCCGCGCCGGTCAACCTTGCGCAGATGGGTTCGTTGTGAGATGGAAAGGCGACTGGCATATTCCTACCTAAGTCACTATAACCTCCAGCGCGATGCTCAAGTCCCTATGCTGTTATCGCGTGGCCGGCTAACGCATCTTTGTCTTGGTGGTCGACAGTTTCTGCTTCATTTTCATGGGGATGCAGATGACTGAGAGCGTAAAAGATTGTCAGCTTATACTTCCCTGTGTTGACGAACTATGGAGAACACGTACCGCAGGCTGGTGGAGTGTCGTGTCATAAACGGTAGAGGCACAACAGACACACAGCCTGCGAGACCTCTTTACTAGCTTGAGATCAACAGCGCCCGCATTCCTAATATTAGAGTTTGCCAAAATTTGCCAGCATCTGATGCTCTTTGTCGAGGAGCGTCAAGGTATAACAGCGAGTGAGTCGTGGTTTCTAAATGATTTTCGAAGTGATGACCAGCACGAGCCCATGTGCGCAACAATTACCGTACAGCAGCCTGACTGGAGGTACCAAATGCTGGTCCCATCAGAACCGTTAGCCTCGCCTTCGGACAAAGGGGTTTGGACCTGAGGGATATGTTCTTCCATATACTCTTTATCCTCAGCCACGTGCCGCGAGACAACCCTGTATAGATATTCCGGGTGGTATGCGTCCAAAGACGACATTTCCAGTGCACAGGCATACCTCCGCACCTGGTTCAAAGACAATCTCGCGCTCTCCAGGAAATGTGTAGCGCACGCAGGGCCCCTGAGTAGCAGGATCCGGCTATCCCCATTCGTGTCCTGCTATGACCCATTCTGTCTCCTTGTCGCCCGATTGCTCTATGGGCCTACAAACGATTAAAGCCCACCTCCTCACTGGCAATACTAGAACAACAAAGCGCGCCGCGGCAGCAGCGGACCTGTAATCGTCTTCAATATTAACCAAGCTCACGAAGCGAGCATAGGAGAGCAATGGATCCACGGCGAGCCCGATGTCGTGATACACATCACTGGCGTTGTTCTGTTATCCGGTGCGTGGGGCAAGAGGCGCCTGGTGCAGGAGCACTTGCGCCTCACCGAGGCTGGGGTTACTTGGCCTACGTTGCGCAGGGGCCTGGTAGGTTGCGTGAGTGAGACTATCAATAGAATCGTCCCTATAACGACTTGCCCGCCTTTAAATAACAGGGCCAAATAATCAAAGTAGGCAGCCGCATCTCCCAATCCCCAAAATAAACCAAGCGTACCATTGATATCAGCCGAGAGCTAGATAGATGCCATCTGTGTATTATTTATCTGTTATGGTCCACTAATGTTGCCAACCTCAAATGCTAGTTTCCCCTCTCCATGGGCGTTGCCGTGACCATCCACATCTACTCCACCACCTCTGTGCAAGAATTGCAATCATCCTGTTGCTGGGAAATCTGCGCCCCGTGCTTCACTAATAACTCCACAATGTGCTCATGCCCGTTCGAATCCGCCTCCTGACATGCCTTGGTCCCGTACCGATCAACATCAGCACCCTTCTGCAACAGTAGCTGCACCATATTAGAGTTACCAAAGTAGGCTGCGGTGACCAGAGGACTTTCATCCTCAGCAGCAATAGGATTAATATGTGCGCCGTTATCTAACAGAAAACGTGCAACCTCCACCTCGCCCTGGATGATCGCGGTTTGGAGGGGTGAGCCAAACATATAGTGATGGGTATTTACATTGGCACCAGCCCTGACTAGCAGCTGGACCATTTCCATGCTAATCGGTCCAGATTGGAGGACCTCTTCCAGTGGAGTTGCCGGGGCGTCGGGTCCCGGGTTCGGGTCGGCCCCTTGTGCTAGCAGGAGTCGGACTATATCATACCTCCAAGTGCTGGCAGCAGCTAGAAGTGGTGAGTGTAACAGCCCACCGTACAAATTGACATTTGCCCCATGAGCTAAAAGTAACTCGACAACCTCCATGTGCCCTCTGGCGCTTGCTCCCTGCAATGCACATCCGGAAATGCTGTTGGAGATGTTGAGATCCGCCCCGGCTGTTAGCAGGGCTCTAGCAATCCGAATATGCCCATCCATTGAAGCTGTTTGCAGTGCAGTACCGGATTCAAGACTAAGCCTAGCTGGTTGTGCGTTGACGTCGGCACCTCGGTCAATCAGGAGCTGCGCAACATGGTCAAAGTCTTCAGCGAACCTGCATAATAGTGCAGAGGTGGGATCAGCTCCGGCGTCGAGTAGAAGGTTGGCTACACTGATGTTGCCCTGGGTGCAGGCGGCAACAAGGGCCGAGGTGGCGATCTCGCGTGGGATATATGCCTCTTCCCGCTGGCTCTGTAACATCCATTGCACGACCGCCAATTGGCCGTGGAGGCTTGCAACTTCGAGCGGCGTCTTGTAGGAATTGTCGAACGGCTCCATGACTTTTACCATGTCGTTGGCGAACTCAGCGAGCCCCCACGCGCAGACAACATAAGGGTATGGGTTCTTGACGGGCATGTCCCGCAAGCGGTCACCGTTGACTGTCGAGCTGTTCCACCAGTACGACATTTCATGGCCACTTTTGGCCCAAGCGCCTAGTCTATCAACCTCCATCATTGCCATCAGGAGGTCTCTTAAAGCACCCCCCTTCCTAGCGTCTGGGATTCTTTCACAATGTGCAGGCCAGAACGGTATGGCGTAATGCAACCAGCCTTTATGATCCTGGGAAGCATTCAAGTTCGCGAAATCAGTATGAAGGATAGTTGCTAGGCAGGATTCCGCCAGCTGGCGATGGGTCTCTGCGGATGCGAATATCTGGAAATCTTCGTTGTCACTGCTCCGTCTCTGCTCCAAATACTCACGCACTGATAGGTGGGCCAGCACCACGGAGCCGGATTCGTCTACGAGCACGAAGTTGCCGCAAACGTCCATGATGTACGCGGCATCAATCGAGGCATCACTTGCCCCGTCTGGCTCGACGGCAACGGCTTCAGCTAGCTGGTGGATCGTCAAGGGCTGAAAGGCACCAAGCACACACCGCAGGGCTTTTATCGCACAGGTCTCGGCAAAGGTACCAGGCTCAGCATTTGACAGGTATATCTCGTCATACGCCTGCGTCAGCGTCGGGAGGGACAGATCGGATACCAGCCTGTTGAGCTTGGCTTCGAAATCTCTCCAGTGGCGGATTGGTCTTTGGGCATTGAGAAATAAGTCGAGCTGCAGCTCGGCCCAGCGGAACCTACATTGAATCATTTCCTCGGGTAAGCCAAATCCGACCGTACAAGAGGGGAAGGTTTATTGTAGTCGCTTACATGGCACCAGCGCGTTGAACGAGGGCATCCCGGAGTTTGCTTTCCAGCTCTGGCAACTGATTTATACAGCTATTCAGGCGTCTGTTTGGCGAGCGAATTTCTTTCTCAATGAACGCCAGCATTTCGTCCTTTGATTGATCGATGACGGTTATGGTGGTGGGGGAAAACTCCTCCAAGTAATCCATTACCTTTAGATGCATGGGCCGGCTAGAGAAGAAGAGGTGAACATTCGACGATCCAGAGTAGATCCGCTTCAGACTACCAAGCAGGGTGCCATTATCCGCACATTCATCCAAAGCGTCGATGATGATGGTGGTGGGCCGATTCTGACTCGTAAGCTCCAGGATATGGTCTTCGCAGTCTCGCAGTGACAAGCCTCCTCCGTTGACATTGTTGAGCCGCTCATCGTACCGTTTTCGAATCGAACTCGCAATTGCGCTGGCGGAGGGGCTGTAGCTGAGTTGGGCTAGAATGCTCCGCAGAATAGTCTTTGCGTCAAACGAAGCACCCACGCTTTTTGAGCAGTAAAAGAATGCAAGTCGACCTAGGGTCGCTCGAAAGTGCTCTTCAATCACCGCGGAGACCAGGCAGCTTTTCCCAACCCCGACGCCACCCTCCAGGTAGAAGATTCCCGAGGGGCCGTGGATCCAGTCGTTCAATTCCTGGCTACCAACAAGCCAGCGGCCAGTGCTCCAATATGCTCTGCCCAATTTGGATTCCCGGACGAAGACGTGCTGGTCTTTGACTGATACACTCGAAATCCATTGCAGGATTGTCTGTGCGTGGGCGGCATCCTCGTTGAGTCTCGAAGATTGGGCGTCTAGCTTCTTTATTATCTGCTTTGACATGGTAAGGTCAATCCGCTTTCGGCATTCTATGTCCTTTTGCTCGATGCCTGTTAACTTTTCGGGCCAACTATCAAGCAAGAGCACGTTTCTGGCGACTCTCTTTGCTGTATTCTGGGCAAAATACCCAGCAGCAAGCATCTGGAATTTCAGAATAAGTGCGTATAGGTCAACAAACGGCTTCCTCTGCACCTCCTGGGAGAGATAGAAGGATTCGGCCTCGATGTAGAAGTTTACCAGATCAGTTATGAAAACAAGACCATCTAGTAGCCGGCCGTGTTGATCGGAATCATTCGTCACGAGCTAACCACATTTATTAGCTGGCCATGCTCTCAATCTCAAATCGGCTTACCTGTAGCAGAGCGCAAACCCCTGCCCAGGGAATCCCCGCGTGAACCGGATCCAGCGACGCGATCGCCGACCCGATCCCCTCGAACAAGCGAAAGCCCTGCACTATGCGATCGACCTTTTCTCTGACGACGATCTCGTGGTGCCAAAAGACAAGTTTCCACTGCCTCTTCTCCATGATTGCTTTCTGCTTTTCGACGACCTCGCTCACCTGCAGGGCCGGCTCACTACCTGTAGCACTATCTTGCTGCTCGCCGCTTCCGGCCAGAAGCTTGAGATAGTGCTCGACGAGCTCTGGCGTGGCATCGCGCACTTTGTTGAAGGCTTGCGTCCACAAGGTTTCCTTCCTGTCGTTGGCCTCGTCCTTGCCGCCGGCCGAACGAGGGGCGGTAGCTTCCTGTTTTAGGGTGGCGTCTACATCCTCGTGGTGTGCAACGGTGCAGTCGGAATTGCCATGGTGCTCCGGAGGAGGTTTGGCCGTCGAAGGAGTTGGAGCATCATCTCCATCTCGGTCCTGGAGAATGTCATTGTCGGCAGTTCGCCGCTGGCCCGGAGTTTCCACATTCCGATTGCTTGCAATGTCCTCGTTCAGGGACAGTTTTGATATGCTGGTGTTTTGTGGTCTTGATTCGCCGCGCTTGGGACTGCCGATGCCGAGCTTGTGAAAGAATCTATCTCGTCGGCGTTCGGCCATTACTGATCGTCTTACTATAGTGTCGGTATTATCCGCGAGAGATAATAGAGGGCTGTATGGTATGGCTCAAGCCAGAATGGCAATATTGAGCGGATGTCGTGGTGAGGGGCACTGGCTGCCCCTCAATCTGGTCAGCCAGCCACAGCCACAGCCACATGCACGCGTGGGCAGGGTTATGAAGGCCTTATCTTATTTGTTCGTTTAAAGCTCTAATGCATCCACTATGTATTGCACTCAAAGACTCAAGTCATTATGAATCCCTCTGCTTTGGGTTTCGCGCACACACCTGATCAGAAGAAACTAGGGCTATAGAGTAGCAAAACTATCCAAATACAAAAGTTGGCAGAACTCAAGCTAAGTTTTTTATAGAGTACTTTACACCCCTCCCTGCCCTTTCACTACGTGCTTTTTCTTCACGCTTCTTCTTATGCTCCTTACCCTTTAAGCCTTACAACAAATCTTTATTGTTCCCCCCCTTTTTTTGCGCTAAAGGATAAACGCGGCCAGAACACAAATCTACTATGATGCTGAGACACTATTTTCGCTCTTTGAGAACAAGTATCGGCACCTTGAGCGCGAACGGTATGGGTCTATTCACAGTTTCGGCGATCGAGCTTGCTCGAAGGAACCTGTTTGGGCTTGGCGAATTTGGTCGCCGCAAAACGTAACCTGGGAGTTTCCCGGTATGTATAGGGACTGGCAGACGCTAAAAGGGCATACGCAGGAACTGTTGCAAACTGATGATGATGGTTGGGTGAACCCTCGACTTGACTTTGATAAGATTCGGGTGAGGCATATTGAGCTATTCTAGCTTTTTTGCAAAGAGAAAAAGAGGCCATGCCTAAAGAGGAGGCTAGGGATCTTTAGTGCTACATCAATAGAACGTGATATTGGCGCATAGCTCCGTTGAGTTTGCGCTGTCTCAGTTCGGAGCCTGCTAAGGGGCTGAAGCCAACACTCCAGCCCACCGTAATGATGGGCCCCTGAGAAAGTATGAGCACAGTACCGTGCGACCTGGAATCGGTGATCTTTCTGCCATATAGGCAATAGGCCGTTTGTGCGTGCGGTGCAATTGGCACGACATTTTCCACCGGTGATCCTGACCGACACCCACTTGGCTCTCATCGCTCCATCGAAGGGGATCATACGGGTTCCGTTTCCCAGTATACAACTTATCGTCAGACAAGAATACAAAATCAATTCCAGCGGTCATAACTCGTACATGAATAACAGTCATTCATCATAACAGAATCGATCAACAACTTCAAAGATCATAGGAATCGAGCAGGGTCTCTCCTCCAACCAAAGGACTCACCTCACCACACCTCAATCTTCCCAATCACACACAACAAGCGCCGACAAAGACACCATCATACGAAACACCGAGCCATAGCGATCATCCATAAACCGAAGCTTCCCTAGTTGCTTGAAATTCCCAAGTCCCAGATCCGCTGAGAACACCGCGAGTAGCTCCCCACTTTCACCATCGACCAGTTTATAGTTCCGTCGGAAAGGGTTCTTCGACTCCCTCGGTAGCCCATCGGCATTGAACGAGCGTGTCCGCTTCCAGACGAATGTCTTGCGCTGCACGGCGCCGTCGTAGTCCAGCACGGCCATCTCCCAGCGGTACCGGACGCCGGACCACCGATCGAGCCGCTTAAGGTCTTCCCAAATGGCATTCTGCGCGTACTCTGGGTCACCGCGTGCGATCTTCGCTGTCCGTGAAGAGGCGATGAATTTCACGAATGCGACAATCGGGCCGCTGGCGTCTTTGCCCGGGTGCATGGTTAGATGTGGTGCGGTGGGTCGCAGGCCTTTTGTTTTGACGTAGTAGACTGGTAGGCCCTCATCGTCGACGATGGTGTAGTTTGGTTTGAGGGACTGGAAGATTGTGTAGACTCGCGAGAAGTCGTCGTGGAGTGTGCTGTCTGGGGTTGTTGTCCCGGAGCGGTTGATTACCGTTGAGAGTTTGCAGGGGGTCTTGCTGTGCAAGGGGATTGTAGTCGCGCGAGGTCGCATGTCGTCGTCTCGTTACATCGGTCGGTTTCTAGTCACCCTTGGGTCTCCCTGGCCATGGACGCTGTTATAAAATGTGGGCGACGACAGGGCAGGAGTGAAGATTGTTCGTCATGGTGTGGAGGCTCATGTGATGGTTCGAAGGAAGAAGGAATGCGAAGGAATTCGGTGTATACCAAACCAATCGAGTGATTGGCCTGTGCACCGCACACTGACAAATTTGGCCCTCTGAAACGGCACTAGAGCTGTCAACTGAAACGAGAGAGAAACTGGCGAACGGCGTCTGGGCTTCTCGAGAGGGGCCAGGCTGCCTAGCCGAACGGGCCACGTCGAGAAGTGTGGCACACTGACGCATGCCATGCAGGATAGATGAATTGACAGCTCGAAGGAACATGTTCGTCCTGATTCATTGGCTGTTGCGGTTGGCGTCTCGGCTTCGGGTCCTTTGGGCGTGGAACTGCGGGGAAGTCCGGGGTTCGACTCAGACTTTCGAGTTCTCTTCGGGGGTGCGCCTATCACCAGTCTCGTCTAATATAATCCATACGTCACTGGTTCATGAGCGGACGAACGGGACGTTTTTCTACCAGGCGTCGTTCGAGCCCTCTTCCCACCCATCTGGGTGGCCAACTCTAGGTATACGTAATGGCTCTCTGGTATTCCGACGGCGACCTTGGGGATGAAGATTCATTTCTCTTTGTATTACTGTCCTGGCACCATATTCAGATAGTTCAATCTACTTCAAGGCTGCGTTGGTCGGGGGAATCGCCAGTTTGTGAGTTTCATGATGACCCTTCGAGGTAGCACCGGCGACGCTTCCACCTCTATCAAATAAGAACACTGCAAGTTACATGGATTGTGTCGAGCCGCTTCCTATAAAAGACACACCTCACCTACGTTGTGTGGTGGACATCCCGTTCTGAATCTATATTGTCGACTTGGCAAAGACTTCTTCAGCTATTGCTGCGAAAGGCCACGCCGATACTCATCAAAAGCCCTCTCGCAGTCCCCGAGTAAGTCATGATACAGCATCTGCCTCATCCGCCACGAAAAGAGCCACGACCAATCGCTTTGCCGAGTCACGCCCATGTAACTGAGGAGAAAGTCACGAACAGTTTGAACGATCCCATCCGAAATGTGAAAGAGTCTGCGGTTCATCATAGCGGTTCGCACACTCCGCGACGTTCGCGCCTTCCGTATGTGTTCGTATATCTTCAACACGGCAGGTATGATACTCTGCGCGGTTTCCCTGGTAGACAGAGTCGCATCACTTCCGTGTGCGTCTTGGAGATGCTCGTTCGTCAGGCCGAGCAATTTGCCGATTGCGAAGCCGTCTTCGACTGCCATGGCGGCGCCTTGAGCTTGGTATGGCAGGGTTGGATGGCAGGCGTCTCCGAGCAGAGTGACACATCCCTATATACGTTAGCCATAGCGACTCATCTGGTCTCTTTGCCTTCATACCTTTACCCACGTCGGTAGTTCCGGCAAGGTTGTAAGCTGCCACTTGGTCACTGATGGGACGCACGATATCAGCTTCTCCAGACTAGCCAGGGTCAGTGACGAGTCAGTGCAAGCTCGGAGATACTAACGTCTCATCCCATCCAGCGTAACTGCCCCTCATCTCTTCCACGTCCCCCTGTACCCGCCGAGTCCCCTTTTCCAGGTTGTCCGGTCGGATGAGCACGAGGTTGAACTCCATCCCACCACGCACTGGGTAAAAGATGGAATGTTTGTCGGGTCCCAGCCAGCTTGTAATTGCCATCTTCTGACACAGCTCGTCTACTTTAGGATCATTTAGACGTTCGAGTTGCTCCTTTTTGAAGGTTGCTCGGTATGCCAGATCGCCGGTTTCCTCGGGTTTCAGCGGCGCCCCGAGGACAAAATCCCGCACGCGTGAATACAAGCCTACTTCTATTAGCACGCCTTCTTGTTCACTATAATGGGTACGTACCATCAGCGCCGATTATAACATCTCCAGCGATTCGTTCTCCGCCTGCAAGCAGCACTTCTGGTCCTTCAGAGTCAATGTCCGCCACTTCGGCATCCAGGCGAATCTCTCCCCCAAGCCGCGTCGTTTCGTCCAGCAAAACGCGATGAAAGTCCACCCGATGGATGATTCTGCAAACAAAGGTCAGACACAATCCGCTGCAGTGAACAAAAACGCGTACATCCAGGGCACCCCAAACTCCTCCGCAATCCCATCGCCAAAAGGCATCGAGCGCAAGACGCGACCGTCATCATATCGTCGAAAATCAACATGCTGGACAATACTTCCCACCTCGAGCAACTGTTCAAGAACACCCAGCTGTTGGAGAATTCTCGCGCCATTGGGCGGGATCTGGATCCCTGCGCCGACCTCGCGCGCTTCGGCCGACCGTTCTAAAACGACGACATCGAGATTCTCGCGGCGACAGGCGATTGCGCAGGCGAGGCCTCCGAGTCCGGCTCCTACGATGATGACTTTCATGTTGTTTGGATGAAATAAGGATGGAAAAAGGTGGTCTGATTTCGCGGGATGCTTCGATTCTTGTCTTGCCTACAGGCGACCCCACTGCCAATTACGGATTACTCATTTTTGACGCCGACGTGGTAGTACAACGTGATGAATGGCCATTGCACCGTCCTTTTTCCACTATTTATCTTCCATCCGCTCAAATCTGCTCCCGACCGGGTCAGCAATCCCTCGATTTCATCAGGTGTACGAGTTCGAAGGCACGAAATCAGCCCGTCAATCCACAAGGCCAGCGGCGCGATGGGAATGAGGTACGTGAAGAGCAGATGGATTGGAGAGCGCCAGTACCACCGAAGTGTCACGTAGAATCCCCAGAAGAACACGAGCGGCGAGTACAGACATGTCGGTATATCTCGCGCGGTGATTTCGAATATTCTGCGTCATTAGCATTGCCATCAACGCAAGAGCCAAAGGAAACATACACAAACGCATCCGCCTCTTCCACCGCACTTCTCAAAATCCCCATCGCATCGTCATTCACGAAGTGATGAAAACAGATGTTAAAAATCCGACACTCCTTCTTCCCCGGCACCACTGACTCATCCAGCCTCTTGACCGCGCGCGCATCAACCGCCTCACTCACAAACGAAATATTCGGCTGCTTCTTGCTAATCGCCGCCCACTGATCCACGGGCGGGAACATATCCGTCAAGACAAACCGCACCGCATCGCGTCCCTCTTTCTCTGCTTTGCTGTTTAATGTTTTCTCGATGAAGGGTGTTGGACCCCCCGCGCCCGCGCAGATGTCGACGATTGTGTAGTCTGACGGGTTTGTCAGGTGCGATTCGAGGACGGCGCATGCTTGTGTGGCGAGACTGCCGCAGCTCCAGAAAGGAACGCGCAGGTTCCAGAGTTGCGTTAGGGAGAATTGCTCGTGGTGGTGCAGCCAGGAGGGGAGCCAGGTTTGGTCACCGAGTTCGTGGAATTGGATGCGTGGCCAGGGCATTTTGGTGATTTCTTCGCTTGTGTTGTGTTGTGGTGTTGGTGTTGGAAGAAGGAGCGAGTGGAAATTTGGGTTTGGGTTCGGTTTGGGTTCCGCCCCGTCTGCTCCATCCTTGTACACCAGAAATCGGTGTGATTGGAACATGTCGATAATTTGTGTAACGTGAATATGTCTGAATATTTCTGGTTGATGAAGCTTCTTTTTTTTATGCTAGGAAGCCTCAAAACCCTAAAATAAACCTGTTTAGCTTGTATTGGTGGAAATATATATATCGTCACCAAGTTCCCGCTCCGCACATCACAGACATTGCTCGAGATTCCTCAATCGTACCATCGAAAATCAGTACTGAAGCAAGTCTGACATTGATCCAGTTCCTCAGCCATGTCCTACATTCCCTATATTGCTCATTTTGTACTTGCCATGGTGAAGATTTGGCTGTATGGACTCTGTGCCGAGTCCCTGGCCATGAATCTGGACCCTCCAGAAGAAGAACTCACTCACTCACTATCAGCACTACAACACAGTGCACAAATAATCAATCTACTTCTCTCAGATCGATTATCAAGACATGTTGGAACATCTAGGGCCAAATCACAGAGTCACAGTAACTACCCAAGCAATTCCCTCGCCCCCCCCTTTTCCAATACACCAACACCAACACCAGCGCCACGTCCCTTCCTTTTGATTATAGGAAGGCCCCGCGGCGCGCCTCCTATCCACCTCCTTGCATCCGTTTCTCCCACGTGGAGAAATCCATATCTCTGGCGCGTTTGTATCGCCTCCTTTTGTGTAGATCCCGCGCCGCTGCAAGGAAGTCACTCTCTGCTACAGAGACCCGTTTCTCCCATGTGGGAGTGGAGATATCGAGATTGGTACCTGGCCCAGTTGACCGGAGGAAAGATGGGAGGCTGCCTACCACTTCGACGAGATCAAAAGTAGGGTTGGGGTCGGGGTCTGGGGTGGGAACGGGGGTGGGGGTGTGGGTGGTCCTTTGGTGTTGTTGTTCTTGCTAGGGTGCGACATCGGCAGATATTGCACGGATTCTGATAAGAGAGTATCGCATCCATGGGAGTCCCAGTGTCAGCGGATACCCCCGCCAGGTGAGGTTCGCAGGAAATTTGGGCGAGAGCGTCCCAGCATGAGAACACCATGGAACGGCGTGTCTTCAAACTGTAAGCTCCTTGACCTTGACTAAGACTTTGTCCCTGATGGAGCCAGGTAGGTTGGAACCACGCCGCGCTTTCCCAGACGCGTAGATGGTCAGATGGAAATTATTCTGGCTATGCCTGGGCCGTCCGTAGGGGCCACTGGGTCCAAGCATCATGATCAGGTGCTTGATATCCTCTGCCCGTTGCCCAAACACCTCAAGCCCCGCGAGCATCATTGTCTTAGCTTGCTCCTTGGTATCCAGGGCGTCAATCTTGACCACAACCCGCTGTGACCTTAACTTGAATGTGTCACATCTGGGGTAATGGTTGCAAAGTCCGCCATACCAGCGCAGGGTGTATCGCAGCATAGCATTGAAACTTTGTAACTCTTGTCAGAGAAGCTCCATGGGCATGCGTCAGACCTCTCTGACAATGCATCTGGTTACAGGGAAGAGCACTAGAAGAAAAACCCTTCTTAAGCTAGATACTCCTGCTTTATACCTGATAAACTTGATAAATTGCCTGACAAGTATCGTTCCATCCTTGAATTATGATGCTGGATTGCCGTGTCAGACCAGGCAAACCAATGCAGGAGATTCAACAAACTCGACAGAGTTGTTATATGCAAGTTGCGGGACACCTTTTGAAAAAGCCCCAAGATCTCAGCAAAGGGACCTGTTTCATCAAGTGCAACAAGCGCCACGCTAGTACACCACAGGAATAATGGACTAAGGAAACCTCGGTCTGCAAGAAACTGCAGCTTTGGGCACAGTGACTGAAGCAATACACTTCTCACAACCGAGGACCGGGGAATTGGAAAGGTAACATGTGTAGCGTATAATAGCACTGCAAGGCGGCAGGTCAGGTAAAGCTCCAAAAATTGTTCTTGCCTGGTAGATTGGCCGTCAAGGCTCAGGATCTGGCTAGCCGCGTCGTCCTCATTTGGTAGGGAGAACAGTCGGTGGTGGACCAGATCTCGGCTGTCAGCCAGGAGTTCAAGAAGTCGCGGACTATGTGACTGTGTTGATATAATGTCCATGGCGTAAGACAGTTCTCCAACATGTGAAAACACGCTCACAAGTCTCTGATGTACTGGCTGCTCCATTAAGAGGAGCTCGTTGAAGCCAGATCCTGGTTTTCGTAAATCATCACATGTGTCCGGAGCAAATAGTACGAGAGGGGAATCCAGCTCCAGCTGTTGCCCATAGACATCTATCATGGGATAAAGAGGTTTTCGAAGAGTGTGCGCGGCATTTGTGAGATCAGCGACAGAAATCTGCCATGCTAATGCAAAGGGACGAAGCATCTGGATTCCTTCATGGTTTTGAAGCAGCTTGTACATATTCTCCCAGTGGAGGCGGTTATAGTCGCGACCGCCATAAAACTCAAGGGCATGGAGCCCCGTAAACGTGGGTGTAAATGGACTTGGCTCTCGGCATAGTCGCTGTGTAGCCGTCTCGGTGTCGTTCACGGCGAGGACTAACATGGATCTGATGATGCTATCAATAGCTTTCTGCTCGGTGTAGCTTGTGACTTCTTTCCGTAGTGCTCTGAGAGTAAGCCCCTTCAGAACAAGCTCTTCCTTTAATTCAGCTGGATCCTGCGGAATATTATATGCCAGGCGCAGCACACCCTCGTGACGTTTGCTTGACCAGAGAAATGTAAACAATTTCAGTTCGTCGTTGTCGAAAGGGAATGCCCATGTTTGATAAAGGTCAGGGAGATCTAACGAGCCCCGCAGATTTGGTAGGACGTGTCTACTGGCGAAACTGAAAATCTCATGTACCCTCAGTCGAGAAGTGGTTTCGTTAACGGGGATCGTGGGTTCAAGTCCAGAGCCTATGTCGTACAGCGAGCTGCTGCTGCTGGGGTGCAGGGCGTTATAGGAGCGAATATACCTCCCACAGAAGGAGCAGCAAACTGAGCCCACTTGGGCCTTGCTGACCATCCAGACCCTTGGCTTGATGGGCTGTTGGCCTTGATTGTGTCTTGGCAACGGCGCAAGAGGGGTAGCTATCGTTCGGCAAGTACATGCCGTTGTCCGGCCCTCCAGTAGTTGGTTTATTTCGGCCACTGCATCCTTCCGTCGCTGGAGCCGTTTTTCGCGCATTCCTGCTTGGACAACCTTGGACCGGATCCCAGTCCCCTTGCCTGTAAGCACAGGTCCACCAACAAAGACAAAGTTCGTTTCTTGTGCTTTTGGAGTCATTTGTCTCGTGGACGTGCTCATCATGATGAATACCCAACCAGAAAGGAAAGAAAGAATAGAATAAATCGAAAAATAATTATAAAGAAGGAAAGAAAGCCGCCCTCATTGGCATTTATCGAGTCCCACAATGGTTCTTGCCGAGGAAATATGTGGGCAGCCAAAGGAGGATAATACTACAATTGGTCTAGTGTATCGACTACGCGAAATGGGCCGAGCTTGTTCGGATGCCTTACCAAAATAGGACTAGACAGTGGCCAGGCCTCATTAGTTTACGTAAACCGGCCTCAAAAAGGGATGATAAGCAACCAGTCAGCCTGAAAGCTTCGAGGGGTTGAGTCTTCTGATAAAGTTCCAATGTCGGATGCCCATACTTTTCAATATTCGTGAAATGTCCTTCGCAAAACCGTGAATGCCAAGGCCTGCAGGAAGAACACTTCATTGTTGGTGGCCTTATATTTTAGCAGCGCGTCGGGGGAAGATCGATCGGAAGAGCAGATTGCGGCAGACAAGTTAGAAAGATACTAAAGAAGCTCCCCATTCATAGAGTCCGGGACGCCAGTCACCACTTCTTCCGCTCCACCGGACCCCGATTCGATTTGGCGGAAATCCCTGTCTTCCGCCCGAGCCGGGAATTCACATGGTCTCAATCACCGGTGTGGGCGATTACAGCCATTTTGACTTCAGAAGATCAGTTAGGATGATTGGCAACGGTCTAATGGAATACACATCATAGTTCCCCAATCTTTGGTAATTCAACCACCAGGTCCGGGACCCATTCCTTAGGATTGGGTAGAATCTGAATATGCTCCATCACAAGCACTCTCTGGTGGGCGCCACCATCCCCCATTATAATCCCAGTAACTTGCCCTCTCGGTGCGTAGCCTCTCCAATAGATAGTTTATGGAGTATCGAAAATTCAACTCTGCCACTTTATCTTCGAATTTCTGAACAATTTCGGTGAAGCTCTGATGAGGTTGGCGAGCGACATTCTCAATCCAGATCATCACCTCAGCGTACTCGCTGAACCGGGAAAGAGTCTCATAACCCATTCAGTCCGTCATTTCCCACATCGACTGTAAGATTTCGAGCGAGCTCGGCCAAATCAACCATCAACTCGTCGCGGTCGTCGTGCCACTGTCATTGCTATGGTCCGCTTCACAATATACAACTGAGCCTGCGCCACATTTGGTGACCAGTCTGTTATATGTGTACGGAGGATAAGGAAAGTCCCGCTTAGGGCCACTGCTAATGCTGCTGAATTCTGGCGTGCGGTGTGAACCTCTGTACCCATTATCGTTACCAGTTGCACAGGTAAAATATACTTTGTTATAGCCAAGCTTGCTAGACTTGCATACATAATAGAAATGCCGTGGCCCCAGGTTTAATAATGCCATCCTATGGAACCTGAAGCTCCGTCCTTCCCCTTACTCTGGCCAAGGAACCTGACTAAACCTCTACCGAGTGTTTCCAGCGCAGCGTCATACTCCTTAATACTGGGAATAATGCTCTTAAGTTGAATCTAGTCACTCCCAGCAGCCCCCCGGATATGCGGTTGATGGAGCGTTTTGGGACTCACAAAGTGAAGCAAGGAGTAACGGTGGGCCAATCAAACTTAGTAAAATGCAATCAGGCTCACTCAAGTAGATGTCATCGTAATGTGTTAAGCCGAGATTGGCAAACTGTCCACACTATCAGGCAGGGGTTATAATCACAAGTTGAAATTTCTAGGCTCTTTCTGCAACAGTCCTTCGTAAATCCTACAGTACCACTATACTCTAGGCGAGCTTCTCGGCGATGAGCTTCCTCAGGTCTGCTGGTCCCAGTTCTTTGATACCAAGCAGCTCATTATCCGTCACATAAAATGCGCCACCATAAGTATCACCAGCGAGAGCAGTACCTTTCATCAGTTTCATGAAGGCCGACATACTGAAGTCACCGGCTCCAAATTGTTCCAGACTCTCCTGTAAAAGCACGCTTGTCTGCTCCTTGCTAGTCCTCCACTTGATATCAGGCCGAAGCTCCTTTGCAAACCCAAGCAGTTGGTTTTGAGTCAAAATTGCCTCTGATACACGTATGACTCTGTTCTCCGTGTCGTCAAAGTTTTGCAGGATTGCAGCGATAGCTCTCCCCACCCCGGACAAGGAGGTAGAACTGATCCGATTGTCGCCTTCGTCGAGCATAGTCACAGTGTGGTTCTGAAAGTCCAGCAAAATTGGACTGCTCAAAACAGAGTCCAAGAAGGCGCCACATGCAAGAACTGTCCATGACAATTCTCCGGCTGCTGCCTTTTCCTGGAGAGAATTCCGAATCTTGAACATGGAACTATAGATTGGCAAATTTTCGAGCTTCGGATTGGTGGTAACGCTGCCAAATTCAGAAGGAATAAAACGCTTCACTCCTGCGGCAATGGCGGCCTCGATAAGCACAGTTTGATTGTCGACTGCTGCACCACCCACAGTGGACACGACAGCGTCGACACCTTTAAGTGCAGCGGTTAACGACTTCACTGAATTGAAGTCAACTTCGAAGACATCAATGTTTGAGGCGTATGCTCCAGGCTTTTGAGAACGAGTGAGAATCGCGACCCGAAATCCTGCATTGACAAGTGCTTGGAACACGTAAGGTCCCAGGGTGCCAGATGCCTATAAAAAGTATCAGCTGTTGGGCTCTTATATGTTTTTCGGAGTCCTTACTCCAGCGATCGCAACGGTTTCAATCTTAGGCATCGTACTGAAGACTAGTGTTATCTTGAGAGGGCTTCAAAGGATAGAAGAGGAGTGATGGAGAGACTTCTATCGCGGGACATAAGACCATTATATATTCATGTTCAACCACCGCTCTTACAAAGCATTTAAATCACCTTCCAAGAGTCTAATATGAATCCGCACCTAAATCCATCAAAGCCCGCACTGTTCCCGCTCTGATTCTATAAACCCCGCCGGAGTGGCAACCGCAATCTGGCTGACTCAGCACTGAACACTCTCAATTTCCCGCCGGAATGCCGATTCACGGTCCCCATGTCCCGCAATCGATATTAAGCAGGATAAACTCGTCAGAATGGATGCTCGCCTTCGGGTGCACCTTGCCAGAAAGGCTTGCGCGCGATGTAGATCCCAGAAGAGGCGATGCGACAGGGCTACTCCTGAATGCGGACTATGCCGGAGGCGAGTGCTTGTTGAAATGGTACTTGGTAGCCGCGGAATTCCTAACACAGACTCTAGGCTTCGTCAAGCCTGTCACTATGAAGGACGGGCAATATCATCTCCAAATTCGACACCGTCGTCCTCCCTTGACGCAGAGCTCCCCCTTGAAACGTTAAGTCCGGGCCATATCAAAGACGCTATCGCTAAGAAACTCACATCAGCCCCAAGCGATATTTTTGCGACATACATCCAATCCATCCATCCTTGGTTCCCTATTATCGCACAAACATCACCGGATCAGCTCCCGCAATCTTGGAACGAAGCTTCCCTGGATTACACGCTCCTCGCCCTCTGCATTAGTTTGCTTTGTACCTCCCCGCCTCCCTCTTCAGGAGACGGGACTCTACCTGGCCTTCAGTCCGCGTACCTACATGTCAAGAGCTGGATAGCAGTGATCGAAGGACTCGGCATCACCTCGCTCAAGATCGTCCAAGCAAGGACTTTGGTCACACTATTCGAGGTTGCACATGGTTTCTACCCGGCAGCTTACATCTCTATTGGGACTACTGTCAGAGCTGCCGATGCACTTGAAATTCACACTGACTTATCTCCATCATCTTCATCGCCTACTACTGATGAGTCAGGCAGAGAGGAGGCCGTAATAATCGGGTGGGCAATCGGTATTCTGGACAGGTGCAGGCCTTCCTTTATCCCTCAAACCTATAACTCCCCTTTGTACTGATATCTTTTAGATATGTAACAATACAATCTGGACATCGCCCATCTCTCACTCGCTCTCTCATCAAGGGTATCCATGATCCCGACAAAATCCCCTGGCCCACCGGCCTCGAGAAAGACTCAAGGAGCCCTCTCTGGCAACTCTCCGTATGTTTGAAGCGTCCACACTTCTTGACAACATACACAACGTGTTACACAACCCCACTTCAGAACAAGCATTCAACGTGGAAGAAATAGGGCTTTTGGTGGAGACATCATATAGCCTCCGCACGCTCCTAATCGAAGAGGTTGAAGATGCGGACCAGATATACTCCGGCGGGCTAGGACTTTGTCATACATTAGTTGAGTCGCGTTCTTCTCTTCCAGATCTTCTTGAAATCTTCGCCTCGACGCTGATGTTGCACAGTGGCCTACTCCTGGCCTACGAGAACGTACAAAAGTTCAGGTTACCGATGGACAATCTTTAACTTGCCAATCACTTGCCACATCATCTTTAAACCCCGTGCTCACCACCATAACCAACATGGTCTACCCCTTTGTCAATGGTACACAAACCATGGATTTTGATCGCCTTCCTCCATCCACCACATTCCTTGTGTACAAAACGGCAAGCCTAGTGACAGAGAGGATGTGGATGGAAACAGACTCAAGTGAGCCATTGAGAAAGCTACGGATTCTGAGAGGATTCTTAAAAATGGTCAACGCAAGGTGGTTATGTGGCGGTCCGTTGACCCAAGAGCTTCTAGGACTGGGTTAGCTAACTGTGCGTGAATAGAGTATTACCTTGGCCTTCTCAACGAGGATACAGCGCCGCGAATATTAAAATATATCGAGAGCGGGTAGAATTATCTCTGCTTAAAGTTAGCGGAAGATAGGCGCCGAAGCCGAGTAGATCCATTGGAATCATGAATAGACCGAACAATCGAGTCAAAGCATAATACGAAGTAGCTGTTAACCATGAGTAGGTGGTGTGGAGAGCCATGTCTATCCTATTTAGGGTAGTACGTATTAACTAATATCCACTTCAGTGTCGAGCCTTAGACACAGATTAGAAAGGGCATTGACGATTTCTCCTGTCGATTCCCCAGACAAGCTAGGGAGAACGAACATCTAGAACCTCCACTGAAAAGTGTTAAACGTGAGGAAATTCTACGTGGTGACATACTGCTAGACACATGAATGTGCAATGTGGCAGAGTTGTGATAATCTAGGAACCCCAATGACATCTATCTCGAGCGCATTGAAAAGTCACCCCGCCGCCACAAACGTATTTACCCATCTAACTAGGAGAGCACACCACAAATAATACCAGGATAAATCTGCTCAGCCGTGAAAGCCGGATGGGAAGCAACAATCACATCATCACCCTGCCCTTCACAGTTGGCTTTGCTAAGAGAGCGTTAGTATACACCTCTGGTTTTGATACAAGTTATCGAACAGCGTGCGCTTACTTAAAAAGCTGGCAGTAGACGAACTCTCCAGGAGGGATGAGAACTGATTCAATCCATCTATTACAGATGATACACGAGGTTAGTTTATAACAACCTTATTTTTATGGATCCCGGACATTGCAACGTACGGGAATAAGGAATGGCAGGTACCGTCAGCGGGGAAGGTCTGCCCCGCGCCTTGGTAGTTTGGCTCACCGTAGATGGTGACCTGGATACATCAGAATTAGCATTTCAATCGTGAAACTCAAATACAGCGGTCCGGACGCACCTGGGGGGTAATTGTAGCCTGAGGTGACGCAGCGCCCAGCGAAGCCAGGGCAATGCCGGAGATGACAGAGCTGAAGACTTTCATTCTTGTGTGAATTTTGACGAAAAAATCATGGTTCGCGAATCTTCAAGCTTTGCGTGGGTGGCGGAATAAATACTTATCATGAGCTCAACACTCACTGCATGCAGGGGGCTTGAACTCGCCAGGGTCCCCGCGGGAAGGAATGTGCTGCAGCGTGCAGGCGCCCAACCGCGAACTTGGTCACGTTACACAATGCAAGGGTGCTTTCCTACTATTAAAGACTGTGCAGATTGCAGCAGTGGCTGCGCTTTCTAATTCGCTATCCTGAGACGCTATCCTGAGAATGCTGCATTGGCTTGGAACACCAAACGCCGAACTCCGAAAAAGCAATAAGAGCGTATGCAGTACATGTTATATTGGGGATTCCTTGGTCTACAAGGAACAAAGGAAAATTCTGTTTGCGCTCTGGCTCTCTCTGTCCGCGGCTTGAGAGTATTCGCGGGCATAAATACCCTCCGCTGCTGCTCATCTGGTTTCTGGCGGTAGTGTTTAGCATGATGGACAACTCTCCCAGTACCTTTATAGGGTGCATGCCTTGTTTGTGCAGTAATTTGAGCCCCAATATCACTGTTAAGGTTATAACTTTATTTGAGCAGGTTTTACTAGGTTGATGTAGCTGTCTGTCATTGATGGCTGGAAGACGATTTAGATGGCAATCCTGCTTTCCCCAGGCTGGGGCTTTATTAACCACACGAGTATTGGACAACTGCCATTTACATCCCAGACGTTGACTGAAGAGTCGCTCCGCCTACCCTGGTTTTCCTAATTGTTACGCCTGGCTTTAAGAATGCTGCTCAGTCTTCAAGTGCAGCGCCCATCGCCTTATCGACTTCATCAGGGTGCGTCAAAATAACACCCCCTCACCCCGTGCCCTTTGGGGTGCGTTGACGTCGCCAGAGGCCGACTCTGCACAGAGAATCCCACTCTCTAGGATCATGCCCATATAGTAGCATCCATTGAGGGGCTATGGACGCTCTAACAGGGCCGGATCGAACGCAAGCAACCCAAGCTCTGATTGCAGAGCGCTTGCCCGTCCATTTGGATACAGGCTTTCCGCAGAGGCATTTCATCCCTGTCTATATTAAAGGAACTGGGTATATGCTTCACAAAGGCTCAGCCGCTCCACCGGCGTTTGGCAGTTCACGAACCCGTAGTCAACAAGGACGTCGCGTGGGGGTGTGGCTGTGATAGACGGGTGAACAGCTTCAACTCCCAGGCACTCTCATACCAAGTGCCCACAGCACTCATCAAGGATTCAAAGTTTCGCATTTTGTGGATGTCACCCAGGCCGTGCCTCTGGAACAGCTCGACCATTGGAGCTCCTCCTTGCTTTCCAAAACTCTTCAAAAGTCGCTTTCTTAATGAGTAGCCCGTACAGCTGGGTGTGCCTCTCTGTCCGAGAAGCATTGGGGGTTGTACAGAAGCCAAGATAAATCCCATTGTCTTCGTCCACATTTGGCATCATTCCATTCAAGGTTTGGCTCCAGAAAACGTAAGACTCGAGCTTCTCACGGGGCTCCAGAGTGTGCCACTGGAGTGTGCGGTCCAGAGGACTGAGAATGTGCCGCTGCGTCTCAAACCCGTAGCCCAGCTGGTCATAACTCCAGCGCTGAACCCCTTCTGTTCCAAAAGCCATAGTACCTCATTCCTGGTCCTAGCACACGGTACTTGTGATCCGCGGAACTGGATCAGTTTCTTCAGTTTGTCGGACTTCCAAGCCTCCACCAGTTCCTCCTCGCTCACACCCCACTGATTGATCAGGGTGCAGTATAATTTGAAGAGGCGCGGTCGATCGACCCCCGACATAAAGAAACAGAATCCGAAAGCCTTTGCGACATCATTATCTGATGGTTTGGTCTTCGCATTACAGGCTCGGATGAAGCTGTCGACCGCGTCCAACGGTCGGCTCAGGCGGCATAGGCGCTTGTGTTGATTGCAGTCTTTCTCCCGACAGGCCTGGTCGCAATCCGAGACTGATTTACATTCTGACATTATCGCATGGCGGACGGGTATCTTCTAGAACTGGTTCGAAAGCCTCCATCTGATAGGTTGCTTCGTCATCTGTCATATAGCAAGGTGACACTCTTGGCCCTTCGCAGTCTGTCGCATTCTTTCTGCTGTGAATGCTAGCCCTAGACGCTTTGGCTATATCCAGAGCGTCTCATACCTGCCAGACACCCTGTCCATATATCTTTGTGATAACCCCTCAATCTCCCGGGAATGCAGACGGGGGTCGGGAAGAAAGCTCTTCAATGCTCGGGTACGCGGGGTTTGCTAACATTGGAATGTATATATTACAGTCGATCGGCGGACTCCACGTGACAAAAACCCTGACATGGTGACAATCGAATCTAGGGGCTAGTAAAGAAGGAAGCCAGGTAATTGAGTCATCGGGTGTGAAATACGTTCAGCCTACATAACGTCTGTGGCAAGCGACCGGAGCAAGAGGTTATTACTCCAATTCCGGCAAATTGTACGCTATGCCAACTTTGTGAGCTTCTGTAAGAGAGGTTGCTAAACTTGTATAGGCTATTATATTACCTGACTTTGACGTACTTCCAGAAAGTGCCCAATAAAAAGCCCGTGGCATGACCATTCATATCCGATGCGAGTTGCATCACCTCATTCTCGTTAACAGAAAAACCCTGGTACTAAGGAATGAACATAGGGGAATCCGTCTTCGAACATATGATATCAGAGAACATTTCCCCTCTAGGGACCTTCCAGCTCCACCACGCATTCATTTGGTTTTAATAATCTTCACGGCCTGAGCAGATCGGAGCAGGAGATACAGGTCAATCAGACATAATTATAAATGACATAGCGCAGAGCCGGTTTGCTCCTCTCTTCTGCTATAGCTATACCTTTTTGCTATCCCAGTTTGATCTATAAGCGAGCAGCAGGGTGGGATATACAGCGAGTCTGCTACTGTTGTCCACAACATTTGGCTGATAAGGCCCTTGGGGGCACGTCTATTTCTCGCCGATGGTATCGTCAGTCTAGAAGTAATTCCACGGTACTTCAAAACTAGTGGCATCCAAGGTGGGGTGGCTAGTACTAAACCTATTTATAGACAGTGGGACTGTGATGCAGCCTCAGTGTCGATTGGCCGCGATGCCCCATAACCCTGACGACGGGAGTCCATTTTTTTGCAGCCGAAAGTTCAAAATAATAAACTACAATGTCCTCACGGAAATAACGGCATTAGATGACTTGCATTGAAGGATGCCCGCACAATCTAACCTCATCGGAATAGTTAAATAGCTAATATCAGACGTGAACACACAGGTTATCTTCCACGACATTTGAACGTTTCAATTCGGGCTTTTATCTTTTCTCTGCTGCCGAGACCTTCCAAACATTGTGCCTTCGCCTTCCATCAGAACAGTACCATGCGCTCCTACCTGGTTACCGGATGTTCTCGAGGAATCGGGCTAGAGCTTACACGTCAACTAGTCAATTCGAAGGACGATACTATCATCTTTGCAACTGCTCGGTCCTGCAATAACCCAAAATTCCAGGAACTGCTAGGTCAACACCAGGAGCGCATTGTATATGTGCCCCTTGATGTGACGGATCAAGTCAGCATCAAGAATGCGGTAGATATTGTCACATCAAAGCTAGATGGCAGAGGATTGGATGTACTCATCAACAACGCTGGTGTGATGAGTTATGGACCGATTGAAGAGATGTATGCCTTTTATACTTTTATCTCATCTCTCTTACCTTTTGATATTGCCCAGCCGTTGTCCACCTAGCACACCTATCCGCTGACTGATTCTCTGCTTAGGGATGATTTGGAAGATGTGTTCCGCACTAATGTCCAAGGGGTGCACAACCTTACACGGGCAGTCTTGCCCCTGATGAGAAAGGGAACGGAGAAGAAGAAGATCCTTAACATGTACGTTCGTTCGCTCCTATCCCTCCCTTGGTTATCAGGAGCAACAGACTAAGGAAACCGCAAGCTCTACAACGCTTGGCTCGATCTCAAAAGAAGCGGTCAATCGCCATGTGGCAACCCCTTCGTATAAGATTACAAAGGCCGCTTTAAATATGCTTACGGTTATCTACGCCAATGAATTGGAGAAGGAAGGATTCACAGTGTTCTGTGTCAGCCCTGGGGTACGTTTGCCGGTAAAAGCCTATAATGACTCGGGATAGCTGACACTTCACAAAAACAGTGGTTGAAAACCGACCTGGGAAGCGAGGAAGCTGATCTTCCCGTTGATGTTGGTGTTACATCTGTACTGAATATCCTTCACGGATTTGGCCGGGACGGGAATGGTCTGTTTCTCAATATCCATGTCCCCGGGTGGGAGAATGCGCCAGGCATGAATCAGTACGATGGAAAGGAGGTACCGTGGTAGATCCTTTTGGCAAACAGGAGGAAAGATACTCCTTTTCAAATGTTATGGGATCCGGAGAGGCTTCGCTGCCGTGTCTAACTCCGCAGTATCACGTCAAGGAATATCATATTAAATTCCAAAGCTGGTTTTTCTAGCGTACGGTGTCAATGGAACAAAAAAGTGGCGAAATATCAGTTGCCCCCCCTGGAACGCGCATCGCCTATGGGCCTTGACATCTCTGTTTTCCATAAACTTCGCCAGAGTAAACGGCGTGGCCTATAGGCTAAGTCGAAGCGTCGCTACTAATCATACTCACGCCGCGTGCGCGGTAGCTGTTCTCAACGAGAGCCTCGGCCCGCCAGGGTGGGGAGGTTATCAGGATAGTATAAGACAAAGCTCCTGGTACCTATTTAAGGTTATGATCTTGCTACCCATGCAGACGTTCGTGATCCTAATTATGTTAATCTACGCCTGACTATCTTGGTACACTGACATGGCCCGTAAACTGGAGGTGGTGATGATATATTATATGTTATATTGAGCACAGACGATGCACTAACCAGATGCCATATCGCCCTCAACTCGCCGCAATCATTGAACGCGCTTTTGAGATAAAAAAGTCATTACTTTTCAAGTACTTGACCATGAAGCTCCAGAGTGTGATACCAAACAGCTGGCCCGTCCCGCCAGATGCTCCAACAGGAACTATCATCATCACGCTTTGTCCTTGATCGTATACCCGTCGCTTGGTTTTGGAATTGCGCCCGATTATATCGTTTTTAATGTTTGCTGCAACAACTGTGGCCTGCTCAGCGGCTTTGAAAGCCAGTCGCATTGAATTGTTAGTAATATCCCCAGCTGCATAGATCGGATGCTGCTCATTATCATTGACCAGAACGCGAAGTTCATTGTCGACCTTCACCCAACCGTCATCATCAAGCCACTCGCGAGGAATAAAGCCGTTATTTGGTACCACCCCAGTCGTGGGGATGTACAGATCAGTAGTGATCTGGTCTCCACTGTCCAGAGTTATGTTCCAGACCTTGTTACCGTTGGACGTACTTGCACTGGTGACTTTGCGTGACTTGATGAGCCTGACTTTTTTCTGCTCAAGCAGGCTCTCGGCAGACCTGCTCGCAGATTCATTGAGCATGGGTAATGCTCTATCGGAAGCGGAAACAATTGTAATATCCACTGGCTTTCCTCGCTGCTCCGCTGCTTCGGCGATTTCGCCAGCTAGCTCAACGCCAATAGGTCCCGCGCCTCCAATAACGATGCTTGATGCTGAAGAAATAGCATCCTGTGCGTTCTTTATGAGCACCTCCATGTTATCGAGGTTGGACTGCTTGAAAGGAATGGGGACATCTTCTCGGAATGTTGACTGGGTTGTACTTCCTGACGCAATGACGAGATAGTCGAATGGGATGATTCCTCCGTTATCGAGCGTGACAGAATGCCGCTCGAGTTCTATGGAGCATACGCGATCCTCCACAAAATCAAATGAATTCGGGGGGTACTGCTCAAAGGCCGACCTGATTGAGATGAGATAATCTTCCGTGTGAAATGCCGTGGGTTTAGCCACGATCCGGGGAGCGGCAACCGTGTAATAGAATGTTGGGGAGGGATTGATCAAGATAACTTTGCATGAGTGGACATCTTCGAGAAGGCTATGCGCAAGAGGAATTCCGGCAAACGATGCTCCAATAATCACAATAACAGGTTTCTCAGATACCATGGTGATAGAATTGCGAGATAAAACACACACACGCACAGTTCTTCTGGCAGTCTGTATATCGTGATAGAACACCCAGTTGGCCAACTTCAAACTTGATCTCGTAGAATCATTTGGAACTCGTTCGTCAATTTCTAATGCTTATAAATCCAAACTGCCTAATCTTGCCAGTGAGTCTCCCCTAGCCTCCAGTCTCGGCTGAAGAATCCACAGATAAATGAAGGTCCCCCCACACATCCGTAATGGGGTATGATTCTCGGAATCAGAAATCCCGCGCAAAGCAAACAACGTCTAGTGTCTCCGGCCAGGCCAGATCAATAATTATTTGCCACTGAGAAACATTGTGTGGGAGCCCGTGATCAGACCCCTCAAGGGGATTCACAACCCATACTTCTATTGTCTCCACAGTTTGCCAGGGATCAGTCATTCTCCGAAGGAGATATAAAGTCACCGTGAGGGTTATATTTCTTCGTTGCCTTGTATTTCAGTAGTCAAGAAACGACCTTGCTTGAAAATTATACCCATGCCCTTATCAGTCACGCTATGGCTAAAATCTTTTTCAAAAGTCCCCCATCACGGCATTCATATGCCCTTGACACACAACGAACTGACGCACACCATGCTTATGAAAATATTAGTTGTCCATACCACAGCGGCGGAGTTTCTCAGGTAATAAACCATGCTGAAGAAAGTCCGTCATTCAGGGCGTACAGCTTTTCAGGGGTTATATAATGTAGTTCCCGGAACAAACAAGAAATAGGATAAGTGGTTGCAATATCTAGACTCTCTACAATTTAGAAAAGAATTCCCGCACGTCGCTTGCCCACAACTCAGGATGAGAAACAGCCGGCCAATGGCCGCCAAAATCGTATCTCTTGAAATAAGCCACAGGAGCCATTCGTTCCACCCAGTGTCGTGGCTGAGTATACTTAGCAAGACACGAACTGCTCAAGGAATAGTAAGACATACCGTTAAAGGCCAATTGGCAAGCGATGGGAATGGCCCGTTCTGGCCTCCCCACTGTGTGACCCCGGTTGGCACATTCGATTTGGGAAGCATTAAGATGTCAGGCTATCAATAGTCAAATGTTAGTATTGAGTATCTTCAGTTGCGATTTCAATGTTGAATTAGGACCAACTCACCCGGTTCATGCCCGAATATATTTCAATAGAGGGGTACGGTGGCTGTATCCACTGCAACATAGTGTCCGTGATGAGTTCATTGTATTCGTAGGCAAATCCGTCGCTGCTTCCGTATTTGAGGTCCCACAGCCAACCCGCAAATCCGACTGGGCTGTCTGTAAATGCCAAAGATATCGCGGCCGGCTTTTGATTCATCATCGTAGCGTACGATGCATGATTCGCGAACCACTCACCTGCGGCTGCCATGAACTGATTTTCTTCCTCGGTAGTCTCATTTTGAGCTTGCCGTGCAAAATCTGGCTCGCTCGGGGGAACCAAGAAGAAATCCGTAAAGTGGCCGATGATGCTATCACGAACATCTTCCACCATCCACATGCCAATCAGCCAGCCAAGGTCAGTTGTGACAAGGCCATACTTGTCATAGCCTAGCTGTCTCATGAGCGCATCAAAAGCCCTGCCCATCTCCCTTGCGCCGAGGCCAGGCTGTCTTGCTGCCGGGCTGAATCCAAATCCTGGTAAGTCAACAGCCACGACGTGGAACGCTTTGCTGCCTTGTTGTGCCAAAGGTTTTATGATGCGAGACCATTCTAAATGGGTAGAGGCCCAACCATGAATAAGAAGTAGGGGAGTGGCCGCCTCGTCATCAGATCTCTCATGGACAAAATGAAGGGGAATTGGCGCGGAGTACTCGCCGTTTCCAGGGACGGTGGTAGCGTAGTGTGCAAACTGCTCATTCATCCGCTTCTCAGCTGTCCTCCAATCGTAGTCGTTGGCCCAATGATTTGCCAGGCCTGCGATAGCCCCTGTGGGAGGACCTTCGATCGTCCACGACGGGGAGAAGACGGGTGACGGGCGATAATCACGGACCTTCCGTAAGGTATACTCGAGGAATTTCTGGTCGACATGTATATCGAAGCGCTCGGGGGCTGTGGTGCTTGGAAAGTTGAAATTTAGCCTGGTATACTCCGAGTCGGCCCCGGGGGTGACTGTTGCGAGAGAGGACATAATGTGGGAGAAGGGTTTGGCAGGAACGCTTGAGCTTTTAGATTGTCTTTTGTGAGGCACAGGGTGCAGAGAAATAAAGATCTCGCCACTACTATAGATAAATATCTCCTGGTTCTGAATATAATCTTCGACGTATTTCTAATATCGGGCTTGCAATCATTTTCCCCGAATGCGACTAGGTCAGTCGGACTTCTTGAACCTCCGTAGTCCCGACTTCGCGGTGTTCGGCCACTTGAGATGCCGACCTGCTGAAGATGTTTTGAGTTATTAGTTAAAAACTGGAACCAGAGAGAGTCAGCCAATAGTAAAATGAAGATTTGCCAAAGTAGACCCTTTACGGCTTATAAATCCGTGGGCGGAGCTCCACTCAGATTCCTACGCTCGGAGTTAGTATATGCCTCAAGTGGAAATCGGAGACTCACATTCCCCTTGGCCCTCCGCCGCTTCACACAGATTATGTCATGGGCATCGTTGGTGACCACGGACCCACCCCGCCCCATGTCCATAGGGTAGCAAAGGACGGAGCGGACCAAGATATTGTCGAAAATGATTGGTCGGGGCAAGGTGCTCCCATGACAGAGGAGGTAATGTCCGTTATCGCCGTTGACATGCATATCAAAATTTTAGGCCACCATGCGTGATGTCCACAATGTATATTAGACTGGGCTACTTTAAGAGCCCTGCATGTTTTCTATCTAAGACTTCTAAGTTCTCACGCGAGATTACTAGTCACTTTCATTCACTATCAAATCTTTTACAAGTTATTATTACGTCATGCAGCCATTTCAATTCAAACTTTCCAATGGCGGCGTCGTGACTGGCATTCACTCTATTCCACCTTTATCAGCCTCACATGTCAAGCACCGTCCTCTGATCGTTGCTCTTCATGGAGGATGCTATGACAGCTGAGTGAGACTTTAGGAGTCCCTTTTGTGTCCATCGATCGACCGTCCTATGGGGATACTAATTCAATATTGCCTATTCCGGAGGGATCGGACTTTTACGAGGAAACTGGTATCTGGTTGCATCGCTATATTCTCCCTGCCCTCTGGTCCGAGATTGGCACACCAAAGCAATGCAACTCGATTGTTATTTTGTCCCACAGCTTGGGCGTGATGGGAGGAATAATAGCTGCTGCTTTGCATGCGCGAGATAACGCACCGTTATACCCTCTTGCTGGGCTTCTTGCCTGTGGTATGGGCAATACGCAGTCGTCTTTCACGAAGTCTAACACCCCTGACTACATAACGATTGACGCCGACCATGTGCTATTTCCCCCAGAAAAGAAAGACGTAATTATGTTCAAACCAGGGACCACGGTTCCCGAGGTTTTGGAGCTGTGGGAGGGTCTCAATGCGGTGTCGCCTCTCCCGGAAATTTCTCAGTTCCCTGCCGCGTGGCTGCCCGTTTGGAAGGAAAAGTGGGCCGCGCAGGTGGCAGTTCCAGTTATGTTCTCTCTTGTTGATAATGACCCCTTCTTTGTCGCCGATGAAGAAGAATTAGGGGTTTGTGTGCAGGCATTCAAGGAGAGCGCTCGTCTTGATGGGAGCTTGGTTAAAGGTGCCCCTCATTGCATGGAATTGAGTCATTGGTCGCAAGGGTGGTATGCTCGTTGTTTTGGGTTCGCGATGGAATGTTCCGCCACTCTGGCTAGTTCAGCATAGCCTGGAATGACATGACACTTTCTAGCAGGGTATTCTCATAGGCGCTCGTTTATCAATGTAGGGAGGAAACACAATGAGTAGCAATCCTGAGGCATCACCGATCGTAGTCGAATCAGGAAGCTGGAGAGAAGTGGGATCGACGGATGATATCGTGGCTCAGATTTGGCTAAGCGGCAGTTTGCTCTGAATCAGAATTATACAACAGTTAGGATAAATTGTCTCCCACGATCAGCCATCAAAGGAAATGGTATGGAGCCCAGGCAGCTGAATTTTTTTTTTTCTTTTTTTTGCCAGGTATATGCATTGCATTTATTACGGCATTCTGCCTTCGCTAGTCATGAAGCGGCCCTCCGCTCATACCTGTCAATATACCTGTTCGAACTACCGCCGGCGAAAACAGTGCCCTCGAGCTTCTCTTGGACTGGAGCAGTATGCCTTTTCTCCGCTGGTTGCTTCACATCAACCCCTGACGTGCCTGCACGGAGAAACGCCACGTCGGCCATGGATTTTGAAGAGAATCAAGAATTCTTAATCCTGGCAGCCGGTGACAAATATGATAATATTACACCGATTTTTACCGCCAGAAAATCTGATGAGTTAGTTGTTGGTGAACTCCTGCTTTCTCTTGGTGTGAAGTGAGGCTTCTGGCGTACGCAGAAAACCGAGGAAGCAGGATTGGAAATATGTCTATTGCGCCCTCTGAACTGATGTGGCCTAAATGGCTTTCCACATTGGACTTAGCTTTATATTGAGAGGAAGCCAGGCACTATGGCCTTTCTCTATCCTGTGGAGTACGAAAGAGTATACATTCTTGGGACTTGTCCTTCACTGCAAACCTAGCCTTGACACCGGCGTCTGAAGGAAGGTAGTTGTGCGCCTCCCTTTCTGACTAGAGCAATACCCGTAGGCGAAGGCATTGTTGCCTGAGAGGGGCCGACTAAGTGACCCTCTTACCAGTTATCGGAATGTTTGTTTTGCTATCAATCTATATCTCACCCTTGCAATTATGGAAAAGGTAGACTCCAGTATGCACTCAAGCGAGGCTGATACTACCGTGAACTGCGAGCATATTAACTTCACAGAGGCTGCGCCCTGAGCAACCACGGCACCGCTGGGCGGGACTGTAACCATTCCTCATTACCGCGTAGAATATATACGTTTTGTAAGAGTCTAAGTTCAAAGGGAAAGGTCATACCACTGCTTGCTGGTGTGGTTGACTGAGTGATTCCGGCGCTGAGGTTGGAGGGAGCGCACTGTTTCGCTTCAAGGATTCCCGGTCCCATCCATGTCTTCCCATGGTTTTTAATTCCTGACGTTAACCAGCTTTTCCTGACCTGGTTTGGATGAGACCTTTGGAGCTGTGTGAAGAAAGATAAGTGAGGGGCCGGAGAGATAAGAGGAATGGGCTCAATCATAAGGATCCCTGGGATCTTTGGCAGTGGGAGCGCTGAAGCCGCTGAGGTCGGACGTCAGACGTTAATTAACCAATAGAGATGTCTAAGCGCTACGGCATGTAAAGCGCAGCTTCCAGGTTCAGGCATCCAATGCATCTTGTTCTTCTAAACATCTACATATGATTACTCCGCGTGGTACCAATTTCATCCATGTTGGAGCATGAGAGGGGGGCTCAGGCAAAGGTAAGGCAGCTTATCATGGATATATATTGATAATTAAGACGAAAGAAGCCATAAACGGAGGCATCGACAAGGCAGAGTAGGGCGTGCGGCAGAAGACATCTGCAGTTAGAAGCTGTTTAGCCGCAGGTCATATTTCCTGCGTCCAGGTGGTCTGAAGCCAATTATTAGTGACATATTAGAGTATTAAAGTCTCATGACACCCACCTAGTGAGTAGGTTTCGAGCATATCAAGGATGTCTGCACTTCGTCACCAGGCAGGAGCAACAACTCCATACCAGCATAACCCAAGGGCAGCACCGAGCAAAATCGCAAATGCAGGCGGAACTTTAAACCACGCACTCTCAGCGTAAGTAACAACAGCGACAACAACCCACCAGGGCTCCTTTGCCAGGCTCTGCCCATCACGCTCCGATGGACTTAAATATCCTATTTCCCAAAGCCTGTACACGGCCGTAAAAACTAATCCTACGGCTGATGCATTCACACCACGGAGAAAATCAATAACATACTTCTGCTTTCGCAGAACACGCCAGAAGGACTGGATTGCAATGGCAAGGGCAATTCCAGGGAAGAAAATTCCTAATCCACCAAGGAATGCGCCAAAGACTGTTGGGTAGGATGTGGCTTGAAGGGCGAGTGCACCTAGAAAAACAGCGAAGTTAAAGTTTGGACCGGGGAAGGCCTGGATTATAGCAAGGCCAATTAGGAAGTCTCGACTCGAGACCCAGCCTGGGTCAACAACATAAGAACGGAGTAAGGGGATAACAACTGGGCCCCCGCCAAATATCACAGTGCCGGCGAGGTACATGTTCGCGAAGAGATCAAGAGCCAACGGGGGTAGTGAAATCTTGGCTCTTGTGACCAGTATCGCGATAAAAGAGGCTGCGAGTTCTGGATTAGCTCTTGTACAACGTCATTCCAATCCCACAATGGAACATACCGAAGAAGAAAACGAAAAGTGCAATCCCAACACGAATACGAATCACATGGTCTTGTGACACGTGCCCATCCCTTCCTTCGAAAGTTTGGGCACTAGTTGGTTGCGGCAAAGGCCCAGCTTCCGGTTTTCTCATCCGGAGGATATCTACCCCTGGGCCACGAGTCGAATTTCTCGCAGCCGCATCTCCCAGGCCCGCGCTATCGGGAGCATCAGCCTCCGGCTCTGGCTGCCGATTTCTATTCCTCCACGCACTCTTCGCCTTCAAAACCTGCTGATACAGCAGCCCGTCCCACAGCGCAGTAGCAACACCGCCAGCAACCATAAGAACAGGAAAATACCAAAGTGCGCTATAACAGAGGCCAGCACATGCGCCAAAGATTACCAAGATTCGGGAAATCTTATCACGGATGGCCTTTTCAGCCAGCTGGACAGCAGCAAGAGCAATAATGCCTACTGTTGAAGCGTTCAGGCCCGAGAGAAGAGCGTAGACTGGAGCAGGAAGTGTTTCATCAATCCGTTGCACACCAAGAGAGAGTGCATACATGCCGATTGCGCCGGGGAGACTAGCAGATTAATAAGTACTTTATCATGAATCACAAGAGCTGCCTTTGAAGTGAGCACATACGACCAAAGGAAAAATGCGAGCAACGCTGGGATAAACCCCGCATGGAGCAAAACCAAGCAAAACAACATTTTCGTTGACCCTGGTCCTGGAAGACCCTGACATATGGCGAAGAGTTCTTGGTACTATACCCATTAGTGCACTATAGCATTGAGATCAATGGTGCCTACCGTCTGCTCATCAACCCACTTTTCCTTCTCGACAAACCGCGCATGAAATATCTGGAAATGGACAGGCGGTCCTCCGAACGACGTGAACCCCAGATACCAGGTATGCCGAACGACTTCGCTCATACGACCGAATAGGGCCTCGTCCCCGCGTGCAGGGTTGGTTGCCCCAGCATGACGGCGCCATTTTCTGTTCAGTGCTCGTAGGGACGAGACAGGTCGCGACTGAGTAAGGACAAGCATTGTGAACCCCGTCTATGAATAAACCAGCTAGAGTCACAAATCATCCGAGGATAAGAAGCGAACAGTTATCGAGGGTGAACAAGATTATAAGTATTCGAAGATGGATAAATCTGAAGATTGCAACCAACTCTTCTGCTCATCCAATAGAAAGTCCGCCACTTGTCACATGCTTACCAAGGAGACACTTTCAGCTAGTATCTTGGCATCGCCAAGATCGCCGCTGAGGCCTAATTGGTTATGGATACTCGGGCTCCTCTTCGGGTTAGTAGACTTCCGAGGAAGTATCCTCGGTCACCCGTCCACCTTCCCTGACCTCATAACTCTTTCAGTGGACGATGTTCTGACCTTGCTCGCGAGATCACACCTCTGTGCCATGATTACTCATTACGTAACCCAAAATTTTATTGGACTCACCATTAGTGTATTCTACTAAATTCTAATTCTCAGCTGGATGGAGAAACCTCTTCTCCGATGCGGTGTAGCGTGAAATATTCTGGGATACTGCCGCAAAACCGCCCTTGACGGAGCTCACGCAGTGCTCATGCAGAATTTGTCTGTCGCCATCTCGTGATTGGAGAAAAGATTCCGACAAGTTGTCAGCTAAGATACCAACCGAGCGCAGCTTCGAGATACCAGTCCTTAGAATACGCCCCTGGCTGTTCTGTCCAAAGAGTACTCAAAGGCCGTCGACGTGGCGAACATGATCTCGATCCTACCGCCTTCAGGGTAACGAACACACTTCAACTGACGCAGCTCTGATTGGTGCGTAGTTGATGCCTACTTTATGGCATCAGCGCCCCACAACTGCCCCGGGTGGTGGGGGGGGTCATTGGAAGATGATCGATCTCGGTTTCAGAGGGACTGTTTTGGAAGGTACGGATATGATCTCCGCAATTTCGATTGATTGATCATTTTGTACACCGTCGATCCAATCATTTATTAAGGCTCATCAAGCCATTTTTCAAGTGAAGATATTCCCCGAAAGAAGTGGGACAGTAATAGGGCTTAATCACATGGCAAATCAACCTTAAAAAACGTGGGGTCAGGTCCAACGAATGAATAACGAGCGCAGCTTTTCTTGGTGGAGCGCTTACAGATCCCGCTACAGCTCCAGGGGAGATCACAGCCATAGCCGAAGATGATGCATGCATGTGTGCAAGAACGATGAAGCTATCTAGCTAGGGAACCGCTAGATATAGCTAGATGACATGGAAGAAGACATGTGTGCTAGATCCGTGGAAGACAAAGGAGTGATAAGTGGGGCTTCCAACAAGCGCTCATTTGTGACTCGCTCAGCGAATCTTTGAACAGCCAGCATAGCATCCTGCCCCAAACTGTCTAATAAATATTGGCAGTCCTAGTGATCCCTAGAGAGGTGACAGAGCAACATCAGGTCCGTTTGTCCCAACGGTATAGCTCTTCCAGCCTGCTTTCGGGAGATCAATGTTCTGGTCTCCAGACAAGACTTTCATAAAAACGCCATGAGTCACAACCACAACATCCGTCCGCTCCTGAGACTTCAAATCTTCGCTGATTGCCGCTATACGAGATCTCGCCCTCTTTGCCCGCTCCTCTACTGCTTTATCGTCAGGAGAATATAACCCCTCTTTCACCTGCCAGCCCTTGGCCAAGCCCTTGATATCTAGTCTAGGAAAAGCCGTTTCCAGGATTTCAGATGTTGACCCCGTATCACAGGGAAGTGCACTCCTCTCCTGCAAATCTGGGTCCAAGATAAGGGTTGCGCCGTTCTTAATACCGTTCCCGGATTCGGGGTCGAAATAGCGTTCATCAAGGATGTGCGGGAAAGCGGCGAGAGTGGTTTGGACGGCACGTCTCAATGGAGAGGTGATGATTGCCCCCACCTGAGGGGCGAACGGGAACGATTGGACAAGTTGTGCGGCCTGTCGAAGGCCCAGAGGGGTCAAGTCTGGGTCGAATTGAGAAAAGTCTTTGGAAACATTGTGGACAGATTCCGCGTGGCGGACGAGATGGACTTTCGAGGCCATGGGTAATGAATGCTTTGCAACCTACAACGAGGGGAAATTGCTCGCCTTATGTGTCTTATCGGCCACGTGGAAGATGAGGTAATGCTTCATGTACATTGCGTGATACGGAGTCCTCCCGCATCCCAAACCAAATGCATCTCTACGCCGAGCGAAAAGGCTTCCAAATGGTCGCTTACATATATTAATGGAAGCGATCCAAAGTGTCGAGTTCGTATGATGGGCGCCGTAATTATGGACAGGAGCTTCCTAACTTGCTTCCCCAGAAACCGGTTCGCTAAACAGTCATGTTACTGGCAGTTGAGCGGGGGCTCTATCTCTGAGACCTACCCCGAGTGCAGCTTGCAGCACGCTTATTCAAAGGATTAACCAGTCAAGTTTGTTTATTGCACTAAAGCTAGACAGGTGTAGGAGAAACCGGTAAGGCAGGCGCCTTCTCTGAGATTCATTCCACTAAGCCAGCCGTGACCAACCTCCGTGTATATAGATAGTAGCCAGCCTGTATACTACCCGGGCCCTTTACTTCTAGGCAAACAATTGCCCGATTCCCCTACCGCCTTATAGATGGTGGTCTTCATCCATTGTTTGCTTCTCGCCGGCATGTCACTCCTTATCATACGCTGCTTGGGAAGTAGATAGTTAGTCCATACACAGGGGTATTGTATGAACGGTCCTCATACCAGTATATCACCACATAACCCCGTTAGGCATTGAACACCCCAGGTCTTTGGCGAGTGTCACGTGCTCACATCGACAAGTAGTTTCCCGGATGACATGTGCTCGTATCTCCGATCCTTGGCTTGGCTGCTCCAACCTCCATCCTTCCAGCAACCCTGTGTCCCTACTTGGATTTTGCTTACCCGTCCAACTCCCTAGCAATGGTCGATTTCTTTGGCCTTCCTAACGAGATTATTCTCCTCTGTGTTTCGACACTAGACCAGTCTGACATCTTCCAGCTTCTACAGACTTGTCGCTACGCGCAGACCATCTTAACGCCCACTTTGTACGCGATTGGATACGGCGCAGCTCTTCTCTGGGCCGCGGCAAGGAATCAGAAACAGACAGTCGAAAGGGCCCTGAGATACAGCCAGCCCGAAGCCAACGTGCTATTCAAAGCGCTGCTGGCGGCTGCACTACACGGCCACGTCGAAATCGCTGAGCAGCTGCTCGACCATGGCGCGCCGACAGAGCTCCAGCAAGAGGATGAGCAACTGCAGGCAAGACCTCGCCTATTTCAAGCTAACCCTCCAGATGACTCACCTCTCGTTGCGGCCATTGTCGCCGGCCACCCGGCCATCGTCTCTCTTCTCCTCGCCCGAGGCGCGAGGACCGACATCGCAGGCCAATGGGGTTATTTTCCGCTCCACCACGCTTCTGACCAGCACGAGGGGCCGTCTTGTTTATCCTTACTGCTCGCCGCTGGGGCGGATGTCCACGCGCGTAACCAGGACGGAATGACGGCGCTCGATTTGGCGAGTGGGGATGGGTTACATGGGCGCACGCCCAGCAGTGGGATCATACGAGAGTTGCTTCTAGCCGAGGGTGGGAGTGTGCTCTCCCTTCTTACTAGTAATAGGTCGTCAATAGCGCGGAAGCTCATATCCACCGGTGATGAAGATTGTCAGCGGCTGGTGTTGGAATTCGGAATCCCGCGTATGCTGCCCGTCGCGCCCTCTGTGGTTCTTCTGGCTGCTGCGGCTGTGGGTGATGAGGCCATTGTGAGCGAGCTGTTGCAGCGTCGCGATCTCGATGTGAATGGGACAACAGATCTCGCAGGGAACAATGCCGTAATGCTAGCTGCCAAGCACGGTCATAGCGATGTCTTTCGGCGCATGCTACCACACATCGCCGGTGGGGTACATAGTCGGCGTAACATGGACGGGCAAACGATCCTCCATCTAGCGATCAGCAGCGGAGACCTGGATACAGTTCGCACAGTAGCAAACTTCGTCACAGCAACACCAAAGGTCTTCAATATGCGGGATCGCAGCGGGAGAACGCCCCTCCTACTTGCCACAGAATGCAAGACCGAGAAGCTTGAGGTCGTTCGCCTGCTTATCGCCCAGGGCGCGAATATCGAGGTCATCGACATTTCTGGTTCCTCTCCACTGCACAACGCGGCTCGCCGTGGGCACAGCGAAACCGTCCGGCTTCTCCTCGCCACTCTGTCAGGGCTACCGCACAGCAGCTCCCCAACTACTCTCCTCAAGCCATCAGCCAGACTAGCCACCATATGGGGCAGCAACGATAGGATACCAGATGACGACGAGCTCCTAGCCATGCATAAGAAGCCCCCGCAAATACAGCGAACGGGCATGTTTGATTTTGGGGCTCCTTCGACCGCGCAGCCTACATATATGCAGGTGGCTACTCGCCAGGGACCGCTGATCAATCTGGTTAACGATAATGGCTTTACCCCGTTGGCGCTGGCGGAAGAGCATAGAGATGTGGCTAACTGGCTTATTGAGCATGGCGCTGTGGCACTAGATAATGCCCAGCAACTAGAACAGAACGGGTGGTTTACTGGGCTGAAGAAGGCTGCGGGGTATGGGTATTGATGGTGTGGAGTGGATATAGACATGTAGTGTACCAATCATCTGCCCCTTTGGCCGCTGCCTGATTAACAGATTTAGTAATTCCGGATTTGGCGTGAATACAGCCCCTTGGATCATATTTAGCTCCCTTTTAGACATTAGGAGCGCAGATACATCTAGTTGAGCAACGCATCTTGAGTTTTATCGGTTGGGCTATATTACTCGGTAACCAAAGTTTGTGATCGACTCACCTTGCTTGCCCTGAGGGTTCGACGTCAAAACCAGAGGCTTGTTATATTAAGGGTAAAACAGCTGTGCCCTAGTACATACGACCACAGGGTGAGGAGAACAGGGCTTCCCGTCCGCTCAGCCGTACTTAAGCCACACGCCGGTAGGTTAGTAGTATGGTGGGTGACCACATGCGAATCCCTACTGTTGTATGTTTTTGTTCACCCAGCTTTTTGGGCCCTGTCCAGAGTAGTCAAGTTTAGCGCCCACGCCGCACTACCTTCAAGCCTTCACCTGAACGCCCTCAAGCCCGAAATCTGACGCGGCCTTTTTCTCGCAACTTTCGTCGGAGGTAGAGTCTCCCGGCCGCCGTGTCGCTCGTTCCCTAGCCATAATACTCGCCCCATTTACTGGCTCTGTTTTTTCATGTAACGAGAAACGTGCCATCAGGAGAAGTACAAGGCAGCTGCAACAGTGTGGAAGAAGCGAATCCGTGCAAGTCAAGGGAGCAGCAACAACGCCCGTGCGTCTTCCCTGACGTAGAACCAAGCTCGGGAGAAACGAAGTCCCGCGGAAAGGCCAAGGTTTCGGGACGCCAAAGCTGCTGTTATTCGTTCCATAATCCCCATGCACTGGAATCAAGGATCGTCTATTTAGTTCATCCAATGCGCGCTTGATCAGCTGAACCTTGGAGAGATAATCCCAGAACATGAGCTAATAGTAAGTTTTAGATCTGGCGTCTATCCCTGGGCATTTTTATGGTTGCAAAAGCTAGTGTTACCCTATAAACAGGCCTTTTGTATAAGTTTGTTTGTCTTTAGGGCGCGGGTTAGGTCTATTATATATATAAGCTACAGATAAGGAAGCTACTACAAGCCCGAGCTATAATAATAAGGATAGAACTCTTAAGATAATAGATTTCCTTAAGGATCATGGTCTAATATGATTAGAGAAGAAATTGGGCGCTAACTGCTAGGAAGGCAGGCGATTCTCAGTTTGTGGGAAGTCGCGTTTGGGCCGGCGCGCAGGTCGAGTGATCTGACCTGTTTGGATCTGACCAGCCTTCTCGCCTGCTTTTATCACATGCTAGTTACTGCAGACATAACAAACCGCAGCTACTGGCATGAATTGAATTGTCCGTCATATTTGGTTCACGGACAAACTTCATTGGGGTAGGTTAGTGACCCGCCGACTAAACAACTCTTGATATCCGTGAGCTCTGAGTCCGCACGGCTGGCGTGCTTGCTCTAATCGTCGAATCTTAAAGCTTTGGTATAGCAGGGGTTGGAGTGCAATGAGCAAAGAAAAGGAGTCAGCCTATTTCAAGTTTGCGGCTGAAGAGCGGGGTAAAATCGCAGTAATTTCCGGCTTCGTACCCTCACTTTTTGGGCACCAGTCAAAAAAAAAAAAAAAAAAAACTAGACATAACGCAGGCATTCTTTTTGGTTTTGGCATCTTTAAACAGCTTCGCTAAATACCAATCCCACGTCTGAGCTCGAACCATTGAGCTCAAGAAATCCTACGGACCCAGAATGGGTATGGGACTCATCCTATCTGGACTTCTGGTTCCCTTCAGAAGATGCGGAGTTCAATGTCACAGCACTCGAATGCTGGAACTATAATAAGGATTCCATACAGCCTTCACTCTTGGCTATAAAAGCCGAAAAAAAAACCTTCCCAATCAGTATGGTTGAAGCATGGTTGGACGAGCCGTACCCCTCCGACCCGAATCAAAAGCTTTCCTCGGGGTTCAAAATCCTGGTCATACCCCTCGGTGATGAAGATGTCCTTCCGTCGGGCATGTCGAGGCGCACAATAGATTTGGTCCATGCTGCACTCGGACTGCCGCCCGTCTACCGACATGGTGCTTCTGTCAGCACTGGCGCTGATGGGATGTTTCTGCAACCGGATGGGACTTATGGCAAGTTCTACTGTTGCCCAAACTCAGTCCATGGCAACCTGGCTGACCTGTATAACCAGCAATTGTACATCGCAACAGCGTCAGCCATCGGTCAACTGGCGTGACCCTACGCTACGATCCTTTGACAAACGTGACCCAGGGAGTTTTCCTTCTGCACGAGAAGGCCGTACCACTCCGCTGCTTTGATAAGCTCGCATCCCAGTTCTGTACGTGCCCACATCCCTTGCTTGCGCTGTTAGCCGTCCTGGAAGCATCCCTGGAGCTGGGCACACGGTACGAGATGACGCAGGCCGAGACCGCCCTTCGCGAAATAGAATTGGAGACCGGATACGACATCAACGCCGACCCGGGAGATAATGCCGAGAGCGTGCCCGCGCGCACTGCCAAGCTGAGAACGCTGATCCGGCGGCTTGGAACTGCGCAGAGCAGAATGTTTTTCTGTCTGAATGACTTCCGTGAAGTCCGGCGGTCCATGGAATTTGTGCAGCGGAAGCTCCGCTATCTCAGCGCGTCTCTGCCCGAAGATGTTCGACAGAGGCTGGAGCAGCCATCGCGCATGTTAGAGGAACGGATCGAGTTCCTCATGAGCAACCTCGAAAGCGCGCTGGACTATATGGCGCTGAAGGAACGGATGGAGACTCAACAATCTGTAGTATGCTTTTCCTTCGATTTGGGTGTGCTTGAAACGCTCGAGATTGCGCGTCTAACATTTTTCAGGTCTTCAACCTCGTCGCGCAAATGGACGGGATGGTGAACATTGGACTGGCCAAGGACTCGAAAGAGATAGCAGCCGCGAGTAAGCGCGACAGCTCAGCAATGAAAATTGTGGCGGTGCTCACTACATTTTTCTTACCTGGTACCTTTATGGCGGTACGTTGCAAGCCACTTTTTATCTCTTCGTATGATATACTAGGAGGATTGGAAAGAAACCTGAGTATCCTAACCATTAGCGCAGACGTTTTTCGCGATGCCGCTGTTTGACTGGACCAAGGCCTCAATTGACAGTGTCGCCAACAAGCACTTCTGGATCTACTGGGCTGTTACGGGGCCTCTTACCGTTGCCACTGTTGTTGGGGTCGCCTTCTGGGCTTTTTTGCAGAGTCGCCATGCCGAACGTCTGGCGCAGCGGGCAAGGAGGACGGTGGGTGCTGGTATTACAGGCGATGACGAGGCGAAATATAGGCCGGATGGCTTGACGAAAATTGATAGTCATAGTTAGGCTGAAGTTTTGTAGCTCATTAGGTATAGACAAGCTTATAGCAGGAGGGTTATAGGCCCGCTGTTTAGCAGACTTTGACGCGCTTTTGGAGGCATGGTTGGGGGTTGAATCCATTAAAGCAATAAACGTGGAGAATTGTGATGAGATGGCCTGATCGGTCACTGGATACGTTAGTCAGAGAAATAGCCTGCGATCGCGACTATTCTGAAACTCAAGAAGAACGGCTTCATCGAAACAACTGAGTATCGCAGTGGGTTCGTCTCCTGGGACTTTAGCATCAGGGCGGTGTCCAGGCAGGATATTATAGAGAAATGCTTGCGGGCATCGACGTCTTCGGACGGGAGCGCGACTGGATCCCTCCCACTTTTTACTTCCACTTCTCGACCGACAACGGCCGGATCTATGGTCTGAATGCTGTGACACATGTTTGTTAGTGGTTGCTCGCTGATAATGAGGGGTGGTGTGGCGTGAGGAATTAGCGCGGTGACCTTTCATGTTTGGAGAGGGATAGGCTGTTCCAAATATGGCTAAACAGGATGGTGGAACGCATAGTATCAGGGCGATGTGCTTTCTCGGGTCCCGCTAACCCTGTCTAGTTGTTGCGAGATCTGAGAACTCGATGGCCTTGTACTTTCACACTTCATGTAACCTTGTTCTTGACTTCTCTATACACTCCCTTGGTGTTAGGAATTTGTCCTTTGAGGCAAGTCATTCTTTTTATCCTTCGTGCCCCTAGCTATTTAAGATACAAAGACTACCAAAAATGGAAGTTGGCATAGTTGGGTGGTCTGAATGTCACCAAATATTCAACTGCTCCGTGATTCGAGAGGTATATTGTGCGTAGAGACACTTCGGGCTACGGATGCTAAAGTAGAGGGGATAGGGATAGGCAAATACAGGAGCCCTACGCGCCACCTGGTCTCTCTGTGATCCCTCCAGTCTCTTTTTGGTCGAATAGGCATGGGCTACGTACAATAGCTTGGGTTACCTATGTTAGTCCATTCAAAGGGCTGCCAAGTACAGGCTGGGTGGATTATATCAAAACAAGACAAATAAATCCCTGGTAGTCTTATTGTTATATGGCGTGTGGCGCTGACCAGCACGGTGACGAAGAACCATGCCCAAGCTGTTGAGTTTTTACTAGCTTCGACAGCACTTCTTACGCTGCAACATATGCTTGGATTTAAGTGAGTTGGTGCCCAGACTGTAATGCTGAGAGCAAGTTGCTATATATAAAAGCGCTGACGCGTCCTTGTCTCAGTACTTCTGTGGCGGAGCGAGTGCTGTCGTATGCCCGCCAAACACCCAAAGTGAAACAAACAATTCACATACGACTTCCACGGAGAGAACCATAATAGTAATAGTCCAATAAAACTGGGCCTTGAATTTATAAACACTTCGGCCCATTAAATGCAGTCCCAAGGCCCGCCTAGGTTCGTACAGCAAACACAACGTAAACCCCACTTTAGGTGGCTCAGCCTCCTCAACGTGAGACATGTGGATTCAGGGTGCAGATGGGCTCTTTTTTTTCTTCTCCCCTCTTAACTGAACATGGTCTTGTGCTCTTCACTTCCCCAGTTCCCTACCCCCGGCCAAGTTCTGCAACACCTGCAATGCTGCTATCCGCAAGACGCGCGGTGATCGCGACATGCGCTGTCGCGACATTTGTGCTTCTCTTCGCCTTCAAGCGGCTTCTTTTGGTCAATGCAGCGGCCACAACCATGTCGGAATCAGCAGAAGCATTCAAGGGCCTAGTGCCTCATTGGACGACGGAACAAGAGAATCCTCGGTTCGCCTATGTTCAATATAGACAGACTTTGACTACCTGTGCAACGCGGTAGGATAAACCAGACCTGACACGCTCTGTCGAGGGCCTCACGGGCTGAATAGCTCTAGATGATGAACTTTGTGCGCCTCGATCGGTTCGCTACACATTTTGATCGGGTCTTGATCCACCCCGAGGACTGGAATGAGGTTCGATCCCGCCATAACACCATTCACGGTCGCAAAGAAATAGTCACTAAAAATGACGCTGCAGCCCGGGACAAGCCCCGAGAAAACCGCCTTGCGCAATATCCGGAACAAATACCCCCATGTTCAACTACACCCAGTCGAGATACTCTCGACCTCGAGCGGCGATCCAACATGGCATAAAAGCCTAACCAAGTTCCATGCCTTTGCTCTGACAAACTACACCCGCGTCTTGGTGTTTGACTCTGACTCGATGGTCCTGAATAACATGGACCACCTATTCCTCTCGACTCTCGCACCCGTAGCAGTCCCGCGAGCCTATTGGCTCAACGACGCAGACACCAGTATAAAAGACCAAATGCTAGGGTCACACGTGATGCTCATTGAGCCAAACCAGGGCAACTTTCACCGGATAATCAACGAAGCCAAGTCCTCAGGCGCATTTGACATGGAGGTTCTCAACCACCTCTTTCGTGACTCGGCGATGATCCTCCCACACCGGCGTTATGCACTACTAACCGGCGAATTTCGGACTAAAGATCACAGTCGGTATCTCTCTGAGGATAAGGATGCGGAATGGAACGGAATGGCCGAGGCTTCGAGGGCTTATTTGGTGCACTTTAGTGACTGGCCGTTGCCGAAGCCTTGGTTGCCGCATTCTGAGCAGCAGTGGCAAGAGGTCTTGCCCGAGTGTCCGGAGGACGACGTCCCGACCGAGGATCGGCCACGGTGCGCGGATAGGTTCATGTGGACGGGGTTCTATGAGGACTATCATGCGGCTCAGAAGGCTGTTTGTATGCCGCTGACGAAGTGATGAATGCTAACCGGAAGGCGCTTCCGGTGGTGACCTTGGTAATTCTTCTTCGTCGGCCACACCTTTTGGAATCATGGAAGATAGTCATTAGAGCTCTTTACTACTATAAAAGTCCTCTAGATCCTTTTTCCTCTTTTAGCTTGGTCAATCCCTCCTTCCTATACTTCAATAGTTACTATAAGACACACGTAGAACCAGCAATACGCTAACCTTCAGCGAACCCGTCCGCGTTGGCCGAGTAACCCTCGCTGCAGATGTCGCCGGAGGAATTCTCGATCGGTGTCCCCGCCCGGACAAGAAGACTCTCAATATTCTCCGTGCATACCAGGTTCCCTCGCAGATCTTCCACAAGCCAACCATTGATTTTATCCCAATCCTGCAGGCGTATATGGTATCAAATTTGCTTAGGAATAGCTTGTTTCCTCGTGCGATTCCGTACGCGAGGGGGTGCGACGGAGAGCTGGGCGGATTGTTTCGATGCTGGGAGTGGGCGTCAGGTACAGCAGGGGATGGGTGGGCTGGGGGTCCTGGGGGGTATGGCGGCTGGCGCTCCGATTGAGGGCGATGGTTGGGTTGAAGATTGCGGAGGTGGTCATGGGGGCGTAACTATGAATAATGCTGTTATTATTCCAGAGTCTCTGTTTAAAAGCTACTGAGAAGCACCTATAATATACTTTGTCTAGTGCTTACTCTACAAGGCTTAGTATATATAGAGTAAAAGCTGGCTTTGCTCTAGTCTACCTTAGTCCAGTCTACTATAACTTATTTTTGTACAAATGAGACATTGAAGATAGATCCGGTTCGTGGATCTACTTGTTGGGGCTTTGCACGCGACGAGCAGTCGATTTATCCGCCCAGCCTTTGCACCTACCGAACGAGGGCAAGCGCAGCTCCCAAAGCAACAGACGCAACCAAGCTCCCCAAAGCCCCTCCAAACTTACCCGCACTGCTCGACTCACTGGGATCCGCCCTGTCGTCCACACCAGAGTCACCCCCAGAGTCAACGCTTCCCTCCCCGCTATCAATCGATACCGACACTCCTTGTACAAACCGAAGTGCCGGCTGCTGCGAGTATGCAATCCAATCCGTTGCCTCTCCGCGAGAAAGAGTCGTCGTCTCCACCGTCCCAGTCGTCATAGCGGTTATCACATACAGTTCGCCATCCGTGGTCTGTCCATCTTCACCTGGGAACCCGATCGTGTAGGTGGCGACGTCTGCTCTTGTGAAGAACGTTCGGCACGCCGTGGAGGGCCTGAAACTGGGGAGTGTGGAGTAGCATGCTCCATCCTCAAGTAAGGCTGTCATGGATCTAACCGCGTGTGAGTTTTCACTTCAATCAGGACGATATAGACCCACGGCGTAATTAGTACTCAGAAAACTTTCTTTTCTTTCCGTTATTGGGCCGCGGGAAGGGAGCAAGCTGCAGAAGGGGGGTGGGGGATTGAGGGGGGCATACTCAGGACAACACCAAACCGCCATCTCGCCAACATCCAACAGATGAACAATCGCCTCATCGTTATTATAAAACATCGGACGCACCCAGTCCTCATCCGCCGTAGCCGTAGTGCCGGTAGCAGTAGCAAGGAACCCAGACCGCGAAATCGTCCTTTCGCCGCGCGTCGCAGCACCGACCGTCTTCCAGCCCCCAGGGCAAGAAGCGCCTGGCGAGTAATATGCACCGAGATATCCATCGCCGGGAATTTCATTTGCCTCAATGAGGGTTTCCAGCGCGCTAGGGTCCGTTGGGCTTGGTAGGCATAGCTGTGTTTCGCTGGCGCAGTCGTGCCAGAGCGGGACTTCAGGTCGGAGCGTGTGCGCGAGGACCCAAGTGGTGGAGGAGGCGCAGGAGACGGGGAGGTTGTAGGCCGTGGGGAGGGGACCCCAGTTTGTGATGGTCTGGTCGAAGATGCTCGTGGCAGAGGGCATTGTTATTGCTGAGTGAGGGAAATTGGGGATATAATATGGATGGATTGGATGTCGGGGTTCTTTTCAGCAATTGCAGGGTTCTGCGCCTGCAAGGTGCGACCTGCGCGACCATATCTACTTCCTAAGGAAAGTTACATCAGGCTAATTTGTGGTCGTCAGAGCCTGACCTCCTTTATTGGTGGTGTTCCTGAAATAACGAATGTTGGCCAATGGGACCCTGTAGCACACTTTCATTTCCCCAGGGTAGGCTATTGAGAACTGCCAGATAGGCTCTCCCTCGGTATAGGCTATTCTGAAAGTATATGGCTACGCTATAGGTTCCACCAGGTCTATCTCCCAAGGCTAGGTTTATAAAATAGAATAGAAGACGGAGCTAGGGAAGCAGAAAGAAGTTAAATGGAGGGCGCGGCTGCAGAAGTACACTCATGCGAAAGACTATTCGTAGGGCATAAATAGCAGGCATTCATCTGACTGTCTTCCTCCCGTGAGCTTATATAACGATACTATTTCTATTTAGACAAACCCCCTATAACAACATCAAAGAAGTCTACTCAAATAAAACATCCTCGCCTCCCCCGTACCACACGCGACCCCTGCGAAGAACCAGCCCCTCGCGCCCAACAACCCACTCGCCGCCCGCTGGTACCGCACCATCTCGAGGCCAATAGTCTGCTTCGAGCTTGCGATTGATTTCGGCAATTTTATCAATAAAAGTTTCCACCTGGGACCGATCAACCTTTACAGCATCATTCTCATTATCCCCCACCGCGAACCCAGTTTGCGAAATAAACCGTGCAATTGTCACATGCGCCGAGGGCACAACATAGCGCGATGCCACGGGGATATCGGCTCGCCGCACCAGATCCCAGATATCTCCACGGAGATGGTGGTAGGTGTATTGGTCAGGGTTACTCGCAGCAGGTTCCGTTCTCGACTGTAGCTCCGGCTCCTGCCCTTGCGAAGTCTCACCAGCGGCCGGGACGAAGCTCAGCGCCAAGGCCGCGGAATCAAAGCTCACCATCGGCTTGACAAGACGGGTTGGATGGGTTACCGGATACGACGCAATCTGGGACGGGTGGACGTCCGTCGATGAGTGCAGGGTTTTCACGAGGGCCTCGATTTCCTCTTCTGTGCGAGAGTGCGCGACCTCCAGGACGGTTGTGTGTAGGTTCTCGAGGGGCATGAGCCAAAGGGCTGCTCGAGATTTCTAGTTAGTATAGGTAGACTCTACTCTGTGGTTGCCCTAGATTCCTCTATGCTAATACCATGGATCTCGCAATTGGCAGGCACACATACCAGGAGCCACGCTCTTTAACTCGTCCTGGACAAACCGTATTACCTCGCGCACAGCAGGCGGTGGGCGGGCCCATATAACCAAACAATTGCGAGGATCGACAAAGCCGTCTTCCTTGTCAGGTCCCTCGAGCCGTGACAGGATGGTATCTACAGACCATCCAGGGAAGCTTTCTGAGAGGATTTTCCCCCGCTGCTGGCTGTTGCGGTTCACGCGGTGGATCTCGTAGAGCCGCTGTAGTTCAGTCTTCAAGAATGCAGTCAGTATTATTAGAGTTGTGCGAGGGCCCCTGGTAAAATGGACGTGGGCTTCTGTGACAAGTTACGAAATACAAGGCACTTACAGGGTCATGTTGTGCTTCGCTGATTAAGACGTGGAAGGGATTGTCGACCCCCTCGGTGCCCACAGCCATGGTCACAAAGGTGACCAGAGATCGTTGCCTTTGGGAAAAGTGGCGGAGGTAAGAGACATCGAGGGTGTGAATGACAGCATTTCCCACAGTTATGTAGGTTCCAGGCGGCTGGGACCCTGCCGTGACCTAAAAATATCCTCGGGAGGTGTCATTCCAGGTGAAACAAGCCAGGGCAGCCACGCGGCAAGAGTGCAGTCCGACTGTGCGATTGGGCGATGGATCTGTCATTTCTCTGCCCGCCAAGAGCGGAACCCCACACGAACCATCCCTCGAGCCGCAACGAAGGGCGTGGTCCAGATTGGATTTGTAAGCTCGCTTGTTGAAAGTGAGTCATGAGGAGCGATATGTCCATTTGCCTGCTGAGTGGCAAAGTGCAGACTGTTGATAAAATGTGTTCGCGAGAGAGCGGGAAGAACACCCCATTAGCCCACAAGCCATATAAAGTATGATTCATGTTAACATCAGGGCAGGGTCCAGGCCAAATACCTACCCCGCGAACCAGCCTAGTCAGCTATTATGAAAGACAAACGGATTGCTTGCTCAGTATGGTGGGCGCTACCCTTCCCGGAAGTTGTTTAAGAGACGATGGCTACTACATCCAACTACATTCTTCACCGCGCACGCCCTGTCTTCGATGAAGCATCTTTCAAGGGCCCGAATCTCGATAAAAGATAGTAATCCTCACACTAGATCCTCCGCGCCCTTAGATCCCTAACATGCAACACAAGATAAACCCCCAGCAAGCCCGCAGAAGCAAAGTATGGCCAGCAAAGGCCATCACCATCATCCTCATGACTAGTCCTATACTTACCAACCCCAACAACCAAGTCCACCACAATTCCAACAACGAGCTGCAAAGTCCCCGTCACCGGCAAGATCGGCCTCAGCAGTGACGCGCCCCCGAAATACGCATACATTAGCACATGGTGGAATGTGTTGGCTGCCGCAAATGGACGCCATCCCTCGCGGTCGGGCAGGAAACGGACGAATGTAAGGTACGGCGTCGTCAAGTGGTGGAAGGCGAAATGCAGGTTTATGGGGCTCCCCGCGGCACAGACGAAGAAGATGTCGAGGAATTCGTAGAATTTGGAGAGGTGGTAAATGTATCGCGTGGATGCAGCGGGGAAAAGATGGTGGTATTCCTTAGTAGTGCCAGTGCCCGGGCCTGTTGGGGATGAGGGCGCGGCAATAACGAGCAGGAACATCAGCAAGGATACTATCGTGTATATCCAGCTGTTGACTTTGATGATGCGCCTCGCAACGGATATTGGACCGTAGTTGCGGACATAGATGTGGAGCGAGAGCCATGTTGTTGTAGAGAGAAGCGTAAAGGTCAGGAGCTCGGGAATTGTAGTCAGGACGACCGCCATCTTAATGACAGTGTCTTTTGTGTCAACCGATATGGAGAGTATGACTGAAGAACAATCTCCCGCCCTGGGCTTCTCCAGGCTTTTTGAAAGGGCATGTATGGGAGGCAGTGACTCATTGCAATCTTGGCAGATCAAGGCAACAGGAGATCGGAGTTGCAGTTTTTCATCAGTACATTAGATTGGGTCACATTATTACTTAAGCCGGAATTGGAAGATAAATCTGAATATAGTGCTCGTAGTATTATTATAGGTTATTATATGGATAGTTATAACCAGATTTGATAAGATTAGGTTCCTCAGGCGCCCAGTCCACTACCCCACGCAATCCCCCGCCTCACCCCCTCCCTCACCCCCTCACCGCAATGATTCCACTTAAAGATGTCCTTGCTCTCCCTCCCAAACGAACTCCTCCTCCTCATCGCTTCCCACCTCCCCTTCCCGCGCGACCTCTACGCGCTAACCCTCCCAAACAAACGGCTGCACACCCTCCTAGACCCCTACCTCTACAAACGCGACGTCGTCAAAAACCACAGCTCCGTCCTTCTCTGGGCCTCGCGACACGGCCACACAATCCCCGCGAAAAAATCCCTCGCCGCAGGCGGCGACCCCAACACCCTGGCAGATGTCGACGAGGGCCCCTTGCACTGCGCGTGTAATAAGGGATACGCAGAGATTGTAGACCTCCTACTGGCAGCGCCAGAGGTTGAGCCGGATCTTGTGAGTGCGCATGGGCAGACGCCGCTGTGCATTGCTGCGATGCGAGGGAATGTTGCCCTTGCGCGCAAACTGCTAGGTACCGGGAAAGTCGAGGTGAATAAGCCCGCGTTCGGCAATTTCGCGCCCCTGGGTGTTGCGGCTGCGTATGGGCAGGCGGCCATGGTACAATATCTGCTCTCCGTTCCCGGGATTGAACCCGACTTGCGGAACGCGGGGGGGTACAGCGCGCTGACTGTCGCGGTGAACCATTGGCACGCTGCCGCTGTGGAGCTCCTTGCTGGGGTGGATGGCGTCGATTTGGAGTTCCCTGATCAAATGGGGCGGTCGCCGCTGTCTGTGGCGGCGAGTATGGGGGCCGTGGATGTTGTGAGGGTGTTGTTGGCGTCGGGGAGGGTGGATGTGAATTCGCCGGATGCGGCGGGGGAGACGCCGTTGGGGTGGGCGGCGATTTATAGGAAGCATGAGGTGGTAAAGGTTTTGCTTACGGTGGACGGGGTTGATCGGTCCAAGTTGACCGAGAGGCATCTTGTGGCCCTCGGGTGGGAGAGTATTCCATGCGGAGCTCAGTTCGAGTAAGACTGCGAGAAACTGCTTCTTATGATACAGACAGCGGTCAAGACATACGGTTGATAGAGAGAGATGATGCAGCATGGAAGCTGTTTTCCTAAAGAAAGGTATGAAAGAATTCTGGACTATGACCAGTTGCATGCATGAAAAAATGCTCGTCAGAAAGATTCTTATTATATGCCAGACCAGCCTCGAATTAGACCCCAGTACGCAGGGAAGATTAAGTACAGAGAGACAGCCAAGAATCGAACAATTACCCCCAAAATATACACCACCTTCCAACATCTTCATCCTCATCCATCCATCACTCATACCATGCTAGATAGTCTGTACAAGACAAAACGATCTAGTAGTAAAGCGGGTTCTCAGGATCAGTGAGATCAAAGACAACACTCGAGTGCGGCTTGGCCCCACCCCTGTTGGCAAACTCGCGAGAGAAGTCAATCGACCGGTTGAAGCTGAGGGACCCATCATCCTCGATATCAATGTACAGCGCCTTGAAATCAGCTGGAGTGTTGATAAGACCAATCTCACCCGTCTGCACAAAGTAATCCGTGACAACAATGTGCTTCTGGTCAGGAGTAACCTTGATATAGTGAGGTCCGATGGTGGGCTGGTCCTCATCGGGGTCATCGAGACGCTTGACGTTGTTCAGGTCGGTGATGTCGAGGGCGGCGATGTGGTTGGCGGTCGTCAGGGTGAGGTAGATGAAGCGGCCGTCCTGGGTGATGTCCGTGTAGATGGCGACGGTGTCGCGGGCCTTGGGGCCGAGATCGTAGAGGAGCTCGGCCACGCCGGGCTTGCCGTTGGCGTCTTTCCGCTCCGGGTAGATGATCCAGACTTGGCCGAGGTGCACAGCGGTTGCGAGAGCCGCGCCTTCGGGGTTGCCGGGGATGTGCTTGACGTCTTGGATACCGCCGCCCTAGGACATTGTTAGCATTTGTGTAGAGGGCGATGACATTGGAGATCGATGGGAACCTACGTTGGGAATGGTAATGGTGTTGAGAATCTGCTTGGTCTCGAGATCCCACAGACGAAGCGTGTTCGCACGGCGAATGCCTGTGCTGGGCTTGAGGATACTAATCGGCTCGACAAAGTCCGAGGTAAGGATATTTCCACGCTCCCAGTCGATGCTCAGACCGTGAGGCGAGAACTGCTCGCCGAGGATGTTCAGAGTCCCGTCGACGTCCTCGGGCCATTCGTGGATGATGTTGAAGTCGGCGTCGGTCTCGACGAGACGGCCGGGGCTGGTTCCCACGGCGGAACCCATGTAGGTGATGTAGAAACCGCCATCGGGCTTTGCGCGGATCTCGTCGGCGATGGACGAGAGGATGGCCCGGTTGCTCTTGTGGAACTTGGGGCGGTAGGGGTTGGACGTGTCGAAGTAGAATGCGGTGTCCTGATGACTTAGTTGTTTGATCACGAGAAAAGAGGGGAAGGCATACCTGAGTCTTGAGCAGGGACAGGAGACCACCACCGACTAGGAACTTTCCATCAAGAGAGGGTCCCAAGTGGTGAGGGTCGTTGCCGCTGGAGGGAACATCGGTGATCCAGAGGAGGGTACCAAAGGTATCATCGTCCAGACTGTAGGTGGCAAGGAAGTCCTTGTGCTGCTTGTCACCGGCACCAGTCCAGAAGTAACCAATCTTCTTGGGCTTGATGTCGCTGGCCTCGAAGGGCGGGCTATCAAGGGCAGCGGTGGGAACCTGCAGGATGGGCAGGGGAGGGACAATGTTGTTCAGGGCCTCGGTGACTCCTGGGATGTGAGGAATCAGCGGGGGCAGAGAGATCGAGAGCGACGACCCGAGGGAGGCGAGTGGGATCAGTTGGATCAGAGAGGACTTCATCTTGAAGTCGTGTGGCGTGGCCCAATGAACGACTGAGACGTGGACTGGCAGGGAACAAAGAAGAGGAATGAATGAGTGGATTGGACCCGGAGTCTGATGATCTCTGAGAAGATTTGAGCAGATTATCGAGCGAAAGGACCCTTTATAAGTTGCGTCTGCTCGAGTTGACTTGGAGTTCTATCGCGCTTCTCCTGATGGTTTCGTTCATGTTCGACATCTCTGCAACAGAGCACGCAAACTCGATAGTTTGTCAAGATGCCTCCAAAGTTGACCTCGATCTATCCAAGAGATATCGATCGGCCACCAGCGCTTCCCGATTGGGAAAACATGCACCCATCGCCTTGCCTGCGCAGAGTGTGATGAGCGCCGTGCAGTAAATCTCCTATTGCACATCAGTCCCCGCGATAGCGTGATCCCCCACACAAGCGAGGGTCACACAGCAAAGTTCCTGGAAACTGATGGATAGTCGATCCTCGAGGACTCTCTCTTGGCGATGTCGTGACTCAGGCTAGAGAGAGAAGAGCCAGGGCTACCGCGCTACGAAGGCTGAAAAACTGAGCCCTCAGCATCTAAGACAAATCAAGCAAATGCGACACGGACTCTTGGACAGTCTTGTCATTTCCATGATTAATACGAGGATTCTGCAGTAGGTTGGGGGTTAGGCAGAGTTCGCAAGCAGCGCTAACTCGCGATCTCAAGTGTAATCCTGGGCCTGGAAGGTCGGAACTGGCACCCGGCTCGCAGGGACTGCTGAACTGGACATGAAGATCGCCGCCCAGAGCGCCGAGCAGAGACCAAGTCCAAGGTGCATGAACTATATGCGACCGGGATGTTGGGCTGGGAACTTGGAAGAGCTTCTGCACGTCTTGGCTGGCCACACAAGCCTCTCCAAGAACCAAGTCAGGAACCCCTCTCCTCGCGCACGACCTGCCGCGTCCAGCCCTGCCTGCCATTTCTCTCCGAAGCTAGGCAGGAAACAGCATGTCGTGTGAGCGATCTGTAAGCACCCGCCACGCGATGTATATGCCCGATGTCCCTGCGCGTGCGAGAATGGCCCACGGGGGCGCAGAACAGAGTTCAATAAAGATGGACAAGAATCGTCGAAGAATAACATCATCCGCGCTGCCAAGCGGCTAGCACCGCTATCCGACCCATGAGGCCGTGCGAGACCCTGGGATCGACAAGAAAGGGCGGGGATGGGGAAAAGTGCCGGTGCAGGCGTGTATAACGACATGCTTGGCGCTGGTGGTGACATTCGCCCCTGCAATGGCGAACAACAGCAAAACATGCAAGGAACAAACCTCACACTCACGAACCACAATAGCGTCATCCTGTATACTCTCATCTCGCGCATCTGATCGCCCGCCCTGTTTCTGCAATTTGTCATCTCCGCACTGTTGACCATCCTGTTCTGGGAGAGTGTACAACCACTACGCAGCCCGTCGCGGGCTTTGCAGCCGTCGATCCAATTTCGGGATTTACACATCGCAGAAATTGTCAATCGGGGTGCAGATGTTGTCATTCTTGCAGTTGTCGAGCATCTGCACCCTGCCAGGTACCAGCCGTTGTATAATACTTATCAATCGCCCTAAAAGGAGAGGCAAGTCTGCCATTGTTCCAGCCTTCAGCCCTCGTTCGTTGGCACTCTTCTCTCATTTTTCATCGGTGCGGGCGTCGTTACAATGCACTCGAAACTTCTCCTCCTGCTTGCAGCAGTTCCTACTCTGCTTGCCTCGCCGTCACCGGTCAAGCGGTCTGGCTTTAGCAGTGGCCAGCCCATCGACGACAATGGCAGAGGCGCTCCTATTCTTGGTGAGGATATCAACCTTATACCATTATGGACCTGCTAACAACACTCTACTAGGGGGCACCGACCACCACCGTGACGTGCAGAACCCTGACAACCTCGGCGCGCAGTCAACAGACAATGGCTTCGTCCCCAACCTAAAGTGGAGTTTCTCCGACTCTAAGACACGCCTCTTCCCCGGCGGTTGGGTTCGTGAGCAGGTCATCCAGGATCTGCCTCAGAGTCACGACATCTCCGGTGCCCAGCAGCACTTGAAGAAGGGTGCAATTCGTGAGCTCCACTGGCATCGTGTTGTACGTGACTCAATAACCACTCCTTGTCCGATAGTCTGCTGATGCGATATAGGCTGAATGGGGCTTCGTCTACGAGGGCTCCCTGCTCCTCTCCGCCGTCGATGAGGACGGCCGCTGGACAACCGAGAAGCTCGAAAAGGGCGACATCTGGTATTTCCCCAAGGGCGTCGCCCACAACGTCCAAGGCTTGAGCGACGAGAACGAGTACCTCCTCGTCTTTGACGACGGCGACTTTGAGAAAGTCGGGTACGTCCGCCCCCTCCTTCTACCACACTAAGATCCCTATGCTAACCCATCAGAACCACCTTCATGATCGACGACTGGATCAAACACACCCCGCGCGACGTCCTAGCCAAGAACTTCGGCGTCGACCCCGCCGTCTTCGACACCGTCCCCGAGAAATTCCCCTACATCCTCAACGGAACCGTCAGCGAGGAAGCACAGGATGTGCCCCAGGGTACCCTGACCGGAAACAGCTCTTACGTCTTCCACACCTATGATCACGACCCGGAGCCCGTCCCCGGTGGCGGTGGTACCTTCCGTCGCATTGACTCGAGGAATTTTCCCATCTCGACGACCATTGCCGCTACTATTGTTGAGCTCGAGCCGAGGGGGTTGAGGGAGTTGCATTGGCATCCTAATGTACGTTGTCTCAGATCAAATACCGACCCACTGCTAATTTAAATTCCAGGCTGAGGAGTGGCTCTACTTCCACCAAGGCAAAGCCCGCGCCACCGTCTTCATCGGCGACTCCAAGGCGCGCACATTCGATTTTGCCGCTGGCGACACTGCCGTGTTCCCCGATAACAGCGGTACGCACACACCTCCCCCTCCCTCACCTCATTCATCCATCCATGCATCCTTTACCCGCCCATCCCAACTAACAAATACATCTCTGTTTAGGCCACTACATTGAAAACACCTCCGACGACGAAACCCTCGTGTGGCTCGAATTCTACAAGAGCGACCGCGTCGCCGACATCTCGCTTGCGCAATGGCTTGCGCTCACACCTGCTGATACCGTTGCGAACACCCTCAAGATTGATATTGAGGTTGTCAGGCAGATTAAGAAGGAGAAGCAGGTGCTGCTTAAGGGAAATAACTAGGCGGTTTCCGGGGTGCGGGGTTGAGGTTTGGAGATAGGGGTATGGCTCTGGGCTAGGGGGTTGGGCTTTGGGGTAGGGTGTTCTTGGGTGGGTGGACATAATGTTCTAATGTTTTTATAACTACTTAGCTTCATGCAGCTATGGCTGTGACCTCTTAATCTATTTCCATTTTTATGTATAAATAATCAGTCGTGGGTCCGGGAGTACGATGCATGTGCCTCTCTAGACGCCCGGATATCATGTCATGAACAGATGGACTTCCCATCGCTTCCAAGAAAGATGTCGTTCCTTGTGTGAACCTTGCTATACTGAAAGACTTGGTAGCTTTTCTATAGTCTTTGTGCTTTTGGTACGTTGTGATGCGGAGGATAGAGGGAAGGTACAATACATTCGCCGACGGGAAGGGCTATGTTCAGGGATTTCATGTAATTGTTTATTTATTTCTTTCGAAGGATCTATGTAGAGATAATATACGTCGTACTTTTAATTTAGTTTGTTGCAACCTGACTGAAGTTGAGGACATGGTCAGATATATATTTCCGCCGACAACTCCCCCAGGACCCGCGATGATGTTGCAGGCCGTGTATAAACAAGAATATATGTCCAAACCGTCCGAGATTGTTAGGTAGCCGTACAAGAATTGGTTTTAACTTGTTACAAGGATAAATTAGGCTTAGGAAAATCTTTATTATTTTATAATTTTACTTGCGGACTCCGTCTGTGTTGGTAGGTTTGCGATGAACCTAACCGTCTCTACTTTTAGGACACCTCCAGAGTATCTGAATTCACACGTTGCTCGATGTTGAAATCGGGTTCTCATTCGACAACCAAGCCATATTTTCCGTTTGTGACAGATGTTGCTTGTGACATGCAGAGCATCGTAGCGCGTTCATTTTCTTACAGGGTAGTCAAATATGACGGCCCCTTTGCTTATGACAAGGCTCCAGTACTGTTGCTTGTACTCGAACCAGGCTTCACTTATTTGATCTTGTCAAGTCGTATAAGCAAAAGAGGATGGAGTATCAGCGGGACGATCATGAACCATTCCCAGATCTTGTGAGTCTATACCACATATTGCCTGTGGGATATTCTCGCTGCTAGAATGTTGGATGTGCGGGCCCCAGCACTCAAAGTGGAATTGTGATGATCCGGACACCGAGAATAGAGAGACAAAAGTGGGGGCGATGTAGCATTGGGTGAAACGAATTAGTTGCATTGCGGTTTTGTCTTCCGGGCTGAGGTGACAACCCCGCAGGAGAGAGGATTAGAAACTCACGGAGAACGATTTGGACAATAGGCATGCGTTGAATGGCTTGTTCAATGGTTCATTGTACCAATCTATGTACGTGGCAAGTAAGATCGGCCCCGGATTATCCGTTCTCGGCGCTCCTGCTCCCTTATGGCGTCAACCCAGTCCTGCTCGGAGAATATCGAAGACAAGGCAAACCAAAAGGGCATCGGTTCCCCCTTCATCGGGAACCCCAAAGCCTCCATTCTGGCCGATTCCCAAAACACAAACCCATACGGAAGGAAGATGGACTTCTTCCCGTGCCTCAAGGGCGATTGGATGGATCTCGTGCTGCTCCAGACGGGTATAGTCTCGAGGCCCCCCACCTGACAATCCAGCGACCCATTCCCGCAAGTCATCTGTCACGAGTGTATACCCCCGACAGCAGGGACGACGGCTCTCCCTGTCCTCCTTGAAACCGGTGATGGTGGAGCGCAGCCTTGATGGTAGCTGGTAACGACCTTCGGCGCGCTCATCCAGGTATAAAAGGAGGGTCTTGAGCTACTCCAGCAGCTCGTCCCCATATAGGCTGAGTGTCTTCCTGACCCCTCTACAGTCCTGGTGAGCAAAGCGTTGACCTGCCGCGAGATCTCTGTAGTGGCCGGGCCAGGGGCCGGGGCTTCGCCGACCACAGTGCGCAGATCGTAGAAGAACACGACGCAAAGTACGGAGTAGACTTCCCAGTAGTCGCTGTTCCTCCAGCCGCGTCATGGGGCCAATGTCGACGGGGACGTATGGAATGTCCTATGGGCGTTTGCTTGTTTCGGTTGACCTCCATGTGTGACAGCTACTACGATATGTGGTCCGGTGATATATTTCTAGCCTGTTAGGTTTCTGTGAGCGTATGAAACTACAAAGCAGAGGTATAAACCGAGGTGCGGTCTACTTTAATAGGAGTATTTCATTGAAGCATGTTACCGCTAGGCCATAAAACCAATGGGCCTCTAGGCAGCCCTTGATTTAGGTATTGATATGCCGAAATATTTGTGGTTACCTAGGTATGCCCAGGTCTATGACGAACCTAGGTACTCAGCGATAGTGTGCAATATATCTTTTGGGCGCCCTTCAAAGATTTCACACGAAGCCCGTCTAGTAGCATGTCTCTACCACCATATAGATTTAGATTCCAAATCACATAAATGGTCTAGAGGTTTGAGTAATTACATTAATATGTATTTAATCAAAGCTTTTGATCTTTCACGTGTAGGGGACCGAAGCCACCCCCATCAGGGATTTTTATCATCCCTTTTGGTTTCTAGCAATACAAAGTCCAGAGGAGGGTATTTACTATTAGTAAACAATCCTGAGCGCTACCTCTCGCCACTAGAGCCATGGCGTGGGCATGTTCAATTCCTAACTTACCAAGGCTGCCAGTCACATTGCCCGCAGGCAGGAAGTTACTGACGCAACATGCAATTCCTTCGAGTCCTGGACACATAACTGGAAGCATTCATTAGTCGGCCAACTGGCGATCAACAGGTGATATCATGTACCCACTGCCAAAGACAATGAATGGTACTGCTGATGGACGCCACCCAGGTTGCCAAGAGACAAGGCGCATAGAAGCCGGGTATGGCTACATGAACCTCCTATGCAAGGTCCTTGAGGAAGAGCTATAACTTGATAGTGAAGATATGCAACCTCCAACCAGGAATATCTTTACTGAACGTGGCGCTCCCCACGGCCCCATATTGCGGTTCGTGCCACCCACTCGCCTCCGTATGAAGTCATCTATCACTAATCACATATCTACCTCGCCATGTCACTGGGTCTGTTTCAAGCCTCGGCAGACGATAAGTGGAGACATAACTGCATGAGCTGAACCATCGTTCTTAGTCTGCAGTCCTGCAAGCCACGCACTTCGGTAGGGATTTACCTAAACTTGCCCATGATGCGAGCGCTGTTATCACATTGAGCAACACACGAAATTGGGGTATCGGCCAGATGGTTTATCACAAACGGGCAGCGGGACAATGGACATCCGGCACCCATTCCAAGGGCTGGACTGGGTCCTGATGGTGCATGACTCGCGCTGATTCGGCCATGCCCTGAAGAAAGCTGGCTCTGCGTATGCCGGGATAGTAATCTGGAAATGTGATGTAGTTCTTCCCTGTTTTAGCCATTGGGGGCCAAAGTGTGACTGTGGTTGCCACTGGTGAACCGTGGAGAATAACAACGGCTATACACGGGTACTGGGCACACTCCATAGCATAGTACATCAGGTTTTTCTGTGCTACAACACAAGATTTGCAGGGTCATACTCAGGCCTTATAGCGCAGGCTGTTGTTGCTTTTTTCCAATGAGTTCACGTGCTGGTGTTATCTAGAGTCCCATGTAAGACAGCACGAACAGGGGCGGGTGGGAACCCTGTCCGCAAGTTAATCGCTTCCATATGAAGAGTCGCGCTTCTTGCTGCTACACATACCAAGGCACAGATTGTGGATGTCTCAAACCAGTCTCATATCTATTACTATTGCTATCGACAGTCTCTCCAATCAAGATTCTACACTGGAGCATGGGGTGAAAGACCACTGTAGTACCCGGATGCAGATGCGGGTACCTTCAGGGCCACAGATACTCTAGAAACAAGAAACAGCAGTCAATATTTCAGTCACTGCGTGATGTCAGCGGCGTGATGTGTATACGGATGTCTGGTGGGCCAGTGTTGGTATTGTCAATGACCTCCATGATGGGATGACCCTGCCTTATAGGTATAAAGAGGGTTGTCGTCCTCGCCTGATTTGCAGCCCATAACAAGAAGTCAAGCAATCGCTTTATAGTGTACAGTATCCAACTTTACTTCTTTGCTTAGCAGCCATGGTCACTGTTTATTCCTCTGTCCTGGTCGGTCTGGCTGCATCCTTATTATCAGCTGTTTCACGCGCAAACGACATCAATGCTTGCAAGGAAGGAAGCTGCGCAGATTGTCCCTTGTACGCGGAGACACTGGACTCACCGAATTGCGTTGTCTATGAGAAATCAGCGTTTGATAACGGGTAATTCCCCATAATTACCTGCCTGCACTACCCTTGACTTATACAGTTTGAAATAGAGGTTACGAGGTTCTCCCCCGTGGAGGCTATGCCGTGTACCTCGACATTCCGCAGCCTGACCAAGGCTGCGCGTATATTGTTGGCGGCCCCGCGAGCGGCGGCGCCAGCCCATCGTGTGGCCCGATTATTGGACGATACAGCAACGCTGTCTGCGCTCGGTGGGTTTGTCCTGTGCAGTCCTTGACATTCCCCGCCCGCGGATAGGTCTTGTGCTAATGAGGGACTTGCCTACCGTTATAGCGTAGCAGTCAATTCGCCAATAAGCCTGAGCTACTGCTGCGGCGGCTGCAACCCCGAGGAGGCCAAGGTCATTACAGGCAATCTCACCACCCGTGGAATTCCCGCCGCCAAGCGTAACTGCGATACATTCACGCAGTATGTTCATCTTCAATGATATTAGCTCGTCAGGACTTTACGAATCCCTCGCTAACTGAACCGTCCAACAGAGACGGCGATCCATACGAAGCCCTCGGTGGCTCTTTGAAAGTTTCCGACACCGAGGTAGGCCCCGGCCACATCGACGTCTCCAAGTCCGTGGAAATTGGCAGGACCACTACCTTCTCCGCAAGCGTCGGCGATCCTTATGGTATTATCTCTGAGAGCATTGGCGTCGAGTTCAGCGAGTCCGAGTCCACAAGTCTCACCTACAGTCTTGACATCGACGAGGGCCAGACTGGGTATGTGGCGTGGGCACCCACTATGACCTGCTACAGGGGGACGCTCTCCAACTGCGATGGTGGTGCTGAGGAGGCTGGCGAGGCCTGCAACCCCAAGACGGACTCGGACGGGAATGTCGTGGGAACGTACACTTTTGTCACAACCTCGAAGCAGGTGCCTCCAGCCAACGCTAAGCGTGGTCTGCGATTCAGGTACTAGATACTGCTGATTCACAGCGGACCTTGCTTGGCGGTACCAAAGAGGCTCCCCTAAGAGGCCTTCGCAAATCACCTCCTGACTGTGAGATGTTGTCATGACGTTGAAGTTCTTTTGCTTTCATTATTGGAGATTGTGCCTCTTAGACGAACAGGCCTCTCTCCCCGTGCTCTATATTCACTTCTTACGCTCCTTTGATTTTGATTTTGCTCCCGCTTTGTGTGATCCATGGGCTGTCCAAGACTTGTACTTAGTTAATGTGATAGAGTGTTGATAATAATGCCATGGACATGCTGCTATAACCTCACTCTCTGAAGTCCTCCGTCTTCTTTGCTGCCCCCCACACTAGCCTCATACGGTATCCATAATTAGAGACTCTTCTACCATTCCAGGTATCTGCCTATTATAAGATATTGCTGGGAGCCTGAGGCGTGTCGTGGTTTCTCTGGTGAAAGTTAGTGTACTGAGGAGGACTCCTAATGGCCATCTGAGCGTGTTCGATTATGAATATATACGACACTAGACAGAACTTGAGGGAACATATAATAGACAATGACCGACCGCTCAAGATCTAGACATATTACAACTGACGAGTGATTGTGGAGAACAAACCATGGTTCTGAGAGAAAGCGCTACGGCTCCAGGAGAGAACTCAGCCATAATCAACGAGGGTGCATTCAGATGTCTGTCAGATATCTGCCGGAACGATGGAACATGAAAGAAGATATGTGTGCTAGAACCTTCCGTGGAAGGCAAAGGACCGATACGCGGGGCTTCCAACAGGTTCTGATCTGCTGTTTCTCTTTCCTGGCAGCCTAGATTACCGGGATGTCACTCATTTATTCTTTTAATTTTCTTCTCATTGTTCTCGCCTGTGTCTTGATTGTTATATTAAGGCCAGCCTTGTGTCCATATGTCATCCAGAAGGTCCTCCCAGCAATGTTCTAATATAACAACTTAACTAAGACCACTTACATTAATATAAAAGGTGTAGTAATTTAAGCTATTTATTAATATAAAAGTAAGCTAGCCTGTTTTTATAATTTAACCTTAGCTTACTTAATTTCTCTTTTATATTTAAATATTATACTTTCTTGCTATATATTTAGAATAATAAGACCTTTAATTTTCCCTCTCCCATGACCTCCAATTCCATCCGGCCCACAGAAAGGCAGAAACGCGCCAAGCCTGCTGCAATCCGCGAGGCTGCGAGAGGCCCCACCATCGCGCCTTCCTATGATACGTCAAAATGTTCTGCATCTCTTGCTCAGACCGCCATGACACTCGTGAGAGGGTGCTTTGGTGCCAAGATACTAGGTGTAGGCAACAACAGGCGATAGGAATATTGGGGTCTGGGCGCCAGTGGTTGGAGAGTACAGCGCCAACTCAACAGCCTTTCGAGATGCAATCGCCAGTCTCACTTTGCACAAAAATACCACCGGCCAGACGCTCAACGCGAGTCGCATCCACTAATCCTTTAATAACAAGAAGTGCCCAGGGATGCCCCATATCCAAGGCTCCCTGGAGCACTCGCGTTGTCAACCCTTACCTTCTTCACCTACCCTAAGAAATCTTATTGGGAATTGTCACCCATCTCCTAGTAGAGAGTGTAGTATGCCTAACTCTAGCCTCCAAGCCCCCGTCTCGCGCATCAGCATAGCGTCATGGACCAAGTTTAGTGGCAAGACCTGCCGCCCTTTAATAGGATTAATCCTTTATTTAGCGCACCACGATAGAGCCGCCGCCTCAGGCTGAACAGGGTCGACCGGCGTATTGGAAGAACGGGCCCCTTCTTTCCCACGCGGTTATAACCGATTTTCCGGAGAATCTGCGGGGGGTCTCGATCGGTCGCCCTCGCCAGAGAGTCCATTCCGCAAGTTAACTAAGACCGAAATCAACCAGTACCGAGAGGCAGCGGCATACGGAAACTACATCTGGCACTGTACATCCGACCCCACGAAATTTCCGCATCGAGTACAGGACAGCAGACTCGGAGTTGCTCGTGACAGCATGGCACTCCTTCGGCGCGGACCCGAAAGAGGAGTACAGGTTTTGGACGATGCTTGCGCTGTGCATTGGGCCGGATCTCCCGCCGAGAAGGAGCAATTGCTAGTTCTTTGTTACAGAGAGGCCCGTTCCGGATTTCGAGATTGAGTATGTTGATGGGCCTATACCGTATGGAGTGTGCGGGGAGGTTCATGCAGGGTAGTCATGGAGCTGAGCAATGTAGGTTAGGTACTCGAGTTAGGTGTGGAGTGTTTTTGGCTGCCAGGCGATAATTCTATCTCCTATCTCACCCGCAATCTCTAAAGTGGGGAGAGGACAAGCTCCCTAGAGCATACTTTTATACCGAGTACATAGCAAAATATCACCGGTTGTTTCTCCTAACTTTTATCACGCTTATACGTCCCAACACTCACTCTAACCGTCCTCTTAACCTGAATCCTCTCGTCGTCATCTGTACTTGTCAACCACAGCACCTCCTCACTGGCACTTTGTCCACCGCGAACAGAATGCGAATACGACTTGAGATCCCCATACACTCGCCCACTACTACCCACCTTTCTCGCCATGCGATCCATCGGCACATCACTACCGCCACCGCTCGCCGCTTGACTGCGAGAATTCGAATTCGAGTTCGAGTTCGAGTTGTCACTCGCCGACGACTTGTTCTTCAGCGCAGATCCGAACAGAGCCTTGAGGGCGGGAAGGGAAAGCGCGACGATCGCGGCGCTGATCTCGCCGCTCGACCAGCCGAGGACGACGGAGAAGTACCAGGTTGCGTCTTCGGGTTTGTTTACCACGGGGAGCATCGCGAGGAGGCGGCAGATGGAGGTTCTGTACACTTTGTTAGCAGCGGGTGGAAGACTCTCATTGCGTGCGAAGGCTCGGACATACACAACGGCACTGGAATCTGATAGTTAGCGAAGAACCCTACATAAACTGTGCAGGGACGACTTACAAAACCCCAAAACAAAGCACGACCCCCAGCGCAACCTTCCTCGCAAGTTTCGCCTTGAGCGTCCATATAATATTCATCGGCAAAAGCAGCACAATCGAATCACAAACAATCGTCATGCTCGCTGTAACATAATTCACCACCATTGTCGAAATACACTTTCCCTCCACCGCCGGATTCCACAACGCCGAAAGCGGAATACATTGCAGTGCGATGATCAGCGTCTGGCAGATATACACGGCCGTTATAAATCCGAAGGAGAGGCGGAGGTAGAAGACGTATTGAGGCATGGAGTTGAGCCGCGCGTAGAAGGCTAGCCCGCTTAGTCGACAGATGTATAGGTTGAGCATGTAGATTAGTTGGCCGGCCACGAGCCATTTGTACAGCGGGGGTGCGGCTGTGGGGTCGATAGCGGCCAGGTGGCGGCCCGCGCCGTGGTGGAGGACTTGGAGCATGACGGCGAGGAGGACGATGTTTATTGCCTATATTCTCTCTGCTTAGAATATCGTACCGGGTATGGTTGGGGATTGGGTCCAGGGTTAGGGCGAGGGTGCACATACCATTGCGACACAGATGAGGGCATCGTCGAGCCCAAATTTCTGAATGTGTCGCCATCGCGCGTATACCCGCGTCAGCACGACTGCGCCTGCGACGCCTGTCGCAACGGCCATTCCAATGATTGTCTGGGGCCTTCTGTCCTCCGCCAGAAACTCCGGCGGGAGGTCCTGTGGGGAAATGCCAGCCATGTGGGCATGTGGGGGATGTCAGAAACGATCCAGCCTGGGGGAGAAATTATTCACGACGGCAGGATGCGATCATAATATAAACGGCCATAGTCAATCCTTGGCATATTTGAACCCGGTTTCTGGGCGACGGGCATCGTTCGGACAGGGATAATAGTGCCAGACGTTGCCAATGTTCAGGGAGTCTGGAAGGCGTGCGAGACACAGAGAGGTGATGTCTCGTCTGCAAATATTAGATCAACCATCTTGTCAAATCACTTAGCCTGAGGAATCCTGTGAGCCAGGGTCGCCAAATGGAGGATCCACTCCAGAAGGAAGTCTGGACAAGTCTCACGACAGGGAATCTTCAATTGAGTTTCCCAGGCTCCGCCACTTCCTTCGAGGAGCTGGGGATGCGAATTGTAGAGGGAGTTGGATGTGATCTAATGCAAAAGCGGGACAAGATCCCTGTTAAGCGAACCGCTGGCCCGCGAAGGATTGTCCCGGCAATGAAAAAAGACCAAAGACTCAGGGAAGCCGAGGTAGGATCCAATATTCCCTCTCAAAGTGCCGGGTCCTGTCATGTACCTGCACCGCATCTCTGCTTATCTCCATCTTCCCAACGTTACTTATGGCACCTGGGCTCTTCATCTCGTGCGGGATAATCAAACTGACGCGCGCTAAGCCCTAGCTGCATTGACTATGAACTTGAAAGTTAGCGCAACACATGCCACGAGGCCAGGAAGCAATAGCAGACGTGTCATTGGATATTCAATGCGTGACGCCACCTGGGCAGGGTTCGCAGCGGCGCGTGGCCGACTCGCCGCTCGAAAGGGGCAGGAGGGCTGGCCGCCGCATTTCAATGCCCTTCTGTGCGCCACGATTGCACTTGCACTTGCATCTGCCCAGCAGATCTTATTTTCCTCTCCCAATCGCTCTGGACATCTGACGCTGACATCCATTGGATCATTGTAGCATAAACCTCTGAGCGGTGCAGACACTATGGCGTTCCCAAGCGCTGCGACAGCGCTCCCGTGGCCGTTAATCCCAGTGCTCATCCTCCTGGCCCTTGTCGTGAAAAGAAAGTATTTCACCTCGCTCCGGGACATCCCGGGCCCGTTCCTGGCGTCCGTCTCCAGCTTGTGGAAGATCAAGCAGATCATTAGGGGCCACACGGAGGAGGAGATGCTCGCCCTGCATATGAGACATGGTATGCGTCCATAATGTATACACCGATATCATCGCAATGTTGACATGTGTATAGGTGATTTCGTGCGCATTACAGATAACGAAGTCAGTATTGGCCATCCAGATGCCGTGAAACATCTTCTGCACGCGAAGATCGCAAAGGTATGTAAGTCATCCAGTTAGAGGCAATGCAAAACTCACGACACCCAGGGAAGCTGGTATGAAGTCTTCAGCATCCCCGACTACCGGTTCGTAAGCCAAATGTCCGAAACAGACCCGCAGCGACACATTGAAAAGGGCAAGAACGTCGCGGCGGGATACGCGCTGTCAAACATCATCAAGTCCGAGTCCTATGTGGATAATATCATTTCTGAGCTTGAATCCCAGCTCAATCGGATTATTGAGTCAGGAGATCGAGTCGCCCATCTGGATAAATGGTTCAATTACTTCGCGTTTGATGTTGTTGGGGAGGTCACATTCTCGCAGTCATTCGGCTTCGTCAAGGCAGGGAATGATATCGGCAGTGCCATTGCGAATGCACGCAAGCTAGCCCTGTATGTCTCAATCATGGGGCATTACGTGTGGTTCCACAATCTCACAATCGGAAACCCGTTGATGAGCACACTGGGTCTGATCCCGGCGTCTCACCTATTCGATACCTGCGTCGCCGCCATTGACTCGCGCAAGAAGAACCCGGAGGCCAGAAATGATATGATGGAGCGGTGGCTGAATATTAGAAATACCCATCCAGATCGTATGACTGATAATGATGTCTTCGCTGCTGCTGCGGCCAATGTGGGAGCGGGCGCAGAGACTGTTAGTGCTTCATTACAGGCGCTGGTGTATTATCTGCTGCGCAACCCGGTCTACCTGCATCGTCTACGCGCTGAGCTCGACGAGGCACAGCAACGAGGCGAGCTCTCGCGGATCGTGCAGTACGCGGAAGCGCAGAATCTGCCGTATCTACAGGCTTGTGTAAGTCTTCTAAACTGGGATTGGCAGCGGTGTACTGAAGGGAGAGAACAGATCAAAGAAGCGTATCGCTACCACTCGTCCATTGGGACTAACCTCCCTCGCGTCGCACCAAAGGGCGGACTCACAATCCGGGGCCAATACTTCCCCGAAGGCGTAAGATTAACAGAACCAGACAATAACAGAGGGCCGGGCTAATGGGAACTCCAGACCCTCCTGAGCGTGAACCTCTGGGTGATCCACCGAAACCCCGACCTCTTCGGCGCAGACAGCAACGCCTTTAACCCGGAGCGGTGGCTTGATAAGGAGCGCGCGAAGGGGATGGATTATTTCCTTGTTCATGTACGTGTTCTCCATCCTCTCCCCGCCCCACCTTACCTCACCTCACCTTACCTCACCTCACCTCTTCTATCCTATCCTATTCTATCCTCTTCGCTCTGCTCCACATGACAAAAAGACCTGATCAGTCGACTAATGAATACCGCAGTGGGGCGCCGGATACAACCAATGCCCAGGCAGGAACCTGGCTCACTTCGAGATCAGCAAGCTAGCTGCGACGCTGCTCCGGGATTACGAGTTTGAGTTCGTCGATGCGAAGAAGGAATGGTCGTTCAATAACCATTTTATCACGACGCCATCGGACTGGCCTTGCCGAGCGCGGAGGCGCGTTTTGGCGAAGGTATAGGCAGCCAGTGAGATGGGAGACACTGAAGACACGGAAAGTATCTTGATAAAGCCCTACATTTGATAGTATTTCCACTTGAGGTCCATCATGGACTTTGGACCGAGTGCTTAACCGATTGCCATGTTGGGGCTAGGTTGTAGATGTATCTTGCTCAACTTTGCCTGTATTTAAGCGTTTAAGATACAAATTGAGGCTTGATGACGGTTGCTAGTCTCCGTGTCATTGCGCATCCTCACGCGTACCTAGATTGGCTATTGGTAGGCACCCCCGGAGAGTTGGAATTCATGTCAATGATAGACACTGTTGCTTAGTGAGGTAACTGATATGAACGAATCAGTGGGTACTTATTGATCATATTCGCATTTGCGGTATGGAGAAGGAATACATCATCAGTCTAAGCGAACAGTCGTCGAATATCATAGTCCGGTGTGATACAGAGTTAGCAAGAGCAAACTAGATGAGGGATACTCCACGGAAATGGAGTGTCTAATTAAAAGTGAAACATACCCAATTCTTTTTCCAGTACGCCTGTGCGTGTTGGTAGCAACGCAGGTTCCAGATAAGTCAGAGCTGTATTGTCTTAAGTCCCATGATTCGAGTTTGTCGTTGTATCCTTCTCGCTTCGCACCACAGTGCAAGGTCGGCGTTCGTATTCCAATACAGGGGCTGCCAGGGAAAAGGGGCATGATTCTTGGATCTCGCTGATACATAAGCCGACGTTCGCGGTGTGACCTCCACAGAAGAATCACAACAACAAGAATAATGAAGATAATGCGACCACGTATGAAGGTCTATTTCCTCTATCAAGTTGCCTATATTTCCTCTGTTTTCTATGTTTCCTTAATTTCCTCTATTTGCCCGAGTTTCTTTCTTGGCTCCCGTGTCAGCTCAATGAGCCAGCAGTTTCCGTTTGAACTGGCTAGTTTTTTGATGCCTCGCGCCAACCAACTTTTGATGGACTAGACAGAGCACATCCATTAGCTTATGCTCTAATTGTGCACATTCAATACCTCCAGTTCACCTCCCGTTCACCTCCACTTTACCATACTTGACCATACTTGACCACATTTGACCACATTTGACCACATTTGACCACATTTGACCACATTTGACCACATTTGACCACATTTTACCACCATTTCTACCACCATTTCTACCACCATTTCTACCACCATCGCACTGCCATCTCACCTCGAGCTTGATCCCTCAGTAGTGCAATTGTTACTGGCCGGTCTAATATAAAAACCATCGCCATGGTAAAAACCTTGCAAACCTTTCTCCACAACCAACGAAGATGGCTTGGTCGATAGATACCACACTGTCATTCCTCTCCCTCCTCATTACGGGCGCGTCATCACTTGTGGTCGTCTGGGATCCCATAGTTTCTTCTTACAGACGAATTTACCGCAGAGGTTGCTTTCCCCCATATCAGTGACTTCTGTATAGCAGCAGCTGACTGTACCATATAGTCTGTGGCACTGAACCTTCACCAACGAGAGACCACCAGCACCCAAGCTATGGCGACGAGGAATCTCTGCTCGAAGAAGGACTAAGAAACGGAACTGGTTCGTTGCTCACTGGTCCAGCTTATTTTGTTCTCAAGCTTGCAAGCTCATACCAGGTAGATTTCAAGCCTAGTGCGAGTCGCAGGACGCGAACAGCATAGTATTGGGGTGCCCTGTGCGTGTCGGCCCCAGCTACGGTGTGTGAAAAGAAAAGGTCGTTTGTAGAAATGCTCTAGGCTGTTACCTGACTTGGCTATCGGCTATCTGGTGGTAGTTGTGACGAATTGTCAAGCGGACATACTGTTAGGACGGAAGGACGGACCGCTTGACGACTTTGATAAGAATGCTCAATCATCTACGGAACCTCTTCACCTGGGCAAGTATCTCTTACTGTCATTTCCCTTTACAACAGCGTAAAGATACTGCCTCTTGAGCGATGGTCTCACAAGCAATAACAGGCTTCCAGTTGATGGCAGGCAGCTCTCCCTGTCGAAGTAAGGTCCAGGCCTTCTAGCGTTTCTTGCACTTCATTAGCAATCGAGACATAGCTTTCGGAGGTAGCCTGAGACTTCCTTTGGAGATGGGATGTATGTTTGTGTAGGCTACGTACCTTCGCGCCCTCTGAAAGGAAAGATGCCGACAGAGAGAAAGAGCAGGTTAATTTTCGATTCTTGCGACTTGGGTTGCCGGCACGCAGCATCCAATTTGCGCAGCAGGGATGCGTCGGCCTTGGTAAATTTCACCTCACTTGTCGGATTGAGCTCGTGAAACTCGGCCTGGATGCGTGTTGCTGCTTCCTGGCTTTTTCCGATCAGATATACCCTCCGGCTCACTGTATGTCGAACGAATTCTCGTGCAGTGCCCTCGGCGATGGCACTAATGCCGTCAAACTTTTAGTCCGACGAACTATAGGTTCTGTGTTTGAATGGACAAGCACGCTGCTAACGGCCAGGATTGGCTCACCAAAGACACCAACATGACTCGAGCCAAAGCGTTGAATTTCCGGGAGTTGACTCCTAATTTCTTCAATAGCGGTCACTCTGACTGGCTGAACCTTTAACTTCCTCCTCCTTTAGAGTGTATCAGCATGTGAGTAAAGCAGATAACGGAGGGCACTCGAGGAACAACAGGTCTTTGTCAGCTAAGCCATGATCGAGGTTCGCTCAGGTCTGATTTTAGAAAACCCCCCATTTGTAGAACGAGTCCATGCCATCGGACAACTCCTGTGGGTGCATAGGCCCTGGTTGGACTTATGACATAGTATTGCCATTGCAACCTCGGTATACACAGTCTCGGTGGGACCTGCAAGCTGGGTATCGGCCCCGCTTTCTTGCTGTAACTCGCGGAAAATGCTGGGAAATCCTCGGCCGACTTCTCGGCCGTGGACGATGATCGGAACTCCGTGATTTGGAGTAACCCCGCAAGGAGACAATAACTGATAAGCCCGAACAGTCTAGTTCGCGATCCACAAGCTCAACTGGATATGCGGATAACATCACCGAAATTTTGGAGAAGATGATAACGAGCGGCCGGGGACGCCCGACTCCACAATCAGCGCAGGGATACCCAACGAATAGAAATGAAGCCATTGTTTCCATCGAGGGCCCAGTGCATAACTCACTTATTCGACCAGCTGCACTGTGATCTCCCTCCACCATGGATGACACTTCGAGATTTGCCGTGACTCCTCTTGAGCGCACGTCGGAGGAGAGTTACAACGTACGTCCTCCGCTTAAAGAAGCAAGCCATCCCGTACTGAAGCGTTTATAAGTTTGGTGCAAAGGTAACAGGCGTCGATATCAATAACATATCTCGTGAGTAGCGACTGAATTTTGTATTTTTAGTACAGGGGCTAATCTGTACTAGACGAAGATGTCGACCGCCTGAAAGCTGCGATATGGCGACACAAAGTGGTTTTGGTCAAAGACCAAACAAACCTTGACCCGAAGAAACAATGGGAACTCGTCAAAGCCCTGGACCCAAATGCGACTGATGGCCACAGTCATGGGGATCTGGCCACTATCCGCGCGAAAGGCGGTGTTCTTGCCGTAGGTAGCCCTACTTGAAGGATCGTCATCGCTTAACTGATGACTTCTCCAGCAAGGTCGAGACGTCGTCGGAATCCCAGGTGCTGAGAACGTTCGTCTCATCGGAAAGGGTTTTCAAGGAGAAGATCATTTTGGGGTCAAGAACCAAACAATTGAGCGCGGTCTTAGCAACGACTTTCACGCCGTACCGCCGTCACTGGACGACTTCGAGAAAGGAATTACCCGATTTCAGCGATGGCATCTGGATGCTCCGCTCTACGGCAAGGACCCGGCCTGGTTTACCACACTCCGCTGCGTGAAGCTACCCAAGGGTCCTGACCTGACCATCGAGTGGGCTGATGGCTCGGACCTCCGCATGAAGACACCTCCTGGGCGCACGGCGTTCTTTAGTACATCACAGCTGTACGGTCTGTTGTTACCCGAGGAGAAACAGTTGGTCGACCATAGTTGGGTCGAGTACGCTCCCTATCCATACAAGTGGATTGAACGATGCAAGGGGAACAGCAACGGCCTCGGACTAGCAGAAGGCGGCGAACGACTTACGACGGACGAGCTGGGCGAATATGACCCGGCCTCTGTGAAGACGGTACTATCCCACTGCTTCTTCCACACAATCCATTACTTGACTAATGGCTTATAGTACCCAATGGTATGGGTAAACCCGCTGACGGGAGAGAAAGCCTTCCACGTCCACGGGATCTGCGCGAAGAAGCTTTACCTGCGCAGCTCGCCTGACCAAGAGCCTCGAATCGTCGATGATATCGCGGAGATTCGCAAGTTTGTCTTGGACATTCAGTCCCGCATCCTCAAGCCGGAGTACATCTTGCTCGCTCCAGCGGAGGAAGGAGACGTGATAATTTGGGACAATTACGGTGTTTTTCATTCTGCGGTCGATTATCCCATTAAACTGGGCCCGAGATCTATGCACCAGGCGAATATTGGCGGAAGTGTCGGGCCAAAGGGACCTGTTCCCATTGGAGTTTCTGCTTGATCCGTCCCTGCGTTTTTGTCGGTTTTTACCTTGGCCTTTCTTTTGTTGAGCGTTCAACGGGATTTATCGCCATCCAACTTCAGTCAACGCTTTGTTTATATATCTCAGCCTAACTGCTGTATCCAGGGTACCTAGTCAAGCACCCGACTGAGCTAACCCACTTCCCCGTACTTCCCCTCCAAATACATTCATCCACACGCCTGATACGTCCTCGAACTTTGCTTCTACCACATTTTGCAGCGAGCCGTCGCCTATGATCTACCAGTTTTCCAAGCCTTCACAAGGTTGGCCATCTCCTCTGGGAATTGGCCTGCGTAGTGCGGTACGCTACAACCATAGATATGGACTACTTTGGGAATTATTTGATGCGGTCTGCTTCGTATCCTGTGTCCCCGACGGAGCAGCGTGACCCACAAATATATCATTAATTCCAACGGGATCAGCGCGGTCATAGTAAGCTAGACTACCACTGATGTACCTGTTAGCGGTATTCGTTCGAGGTAGAACCGGAATGGAAAGCATACCATTGCGGTAATCCATCGATGTGTGTCCATACGCGATATCATCAGGTCCTAAGATCTCTGCTCTGATATTGTCTTGTAAGCCGGTTGACTTATATGTTGATGCCGTCCCGATGCCTTTGAGCACACGATACCGTACTTGTTGCTGCGATTAGAGGAATTGGTTTTGATTTTATTAGCTTGCAGTTGAGGATGAACTCGAAAACGAGATGTAGAGGATTTGATTGGAAATTGTATTGACTTTCGACAGAAGTCACGCTAAAACTCGATAATAACAGATCCCACAACACCCCGAATGCCCCACAGTAATCCCTAACCTTCCTTGCTTAGAGCCACTGCTTGTTTCCGTAGTGAGATAGGAAAGCTCCAGCATAGCCCTTGTTGATGTCCGCCCTGTAGATGACATCCAGCAAGTGTTCGACAGATTCCTTGGGGGTGATGGGCCCAGTAAAGCCCGGCGCGTAGGTAGCAAATTGCTGAATCATTTGTTTCAGCCCCTCGATTTGTTCCGGTGTCGCTGCATCGCATCATTAGCATAGCCCAGTCGGCGGTGGAGTGAAGCTTACGATTAGTGTTCTCACTGGTGTTGACAAGACCAGGAGAGAGCCCGAGGAACAGAATGCCATCCTTCCGGTACTGCGCGCTGAACTTGGCAACGGCTGCATTCATCGCCGCCTTGCTGATGCTGTACGGGGCTCCGGAGGCGATGTTGAAGTTGGCGATGAAATCGATATCGGCCATGCCGGATGTGATGGTAATAACCTTCTTAGCCTGGCCTTCCTGGATCAAGGGGAGGAATAGGTTGAACAGGTGGACGTTTCCGACAACGTTCGTGTGGAAGGAGCTCATGAGCTCGGCTTCGAGTCTGGCAGAGTCTTTGGCACCGCTATCACCCTGTTAGAACGCGCGTTTGCAGGTTAAGAAAGCAAGACCTACAGATCGCCAATTCCCTCATAGGCACCCCAGTCCGAAATGACAGCTGCGTTTGCAACTAGATAGTCCAGGCTGCTGGTGAGCTTCGAAACTTCTTCGGCGGCTTTCTACGCCATGTTAGCACTTATCCCTAGAAATAGCTGTCGTGACTAACCTTGAGCGAATCATAGTTTGTAAGCTCGCCCTCGACAACGTAGACTTTCCTGCCGATCTCTTTGGCAATCTTCTCCTCCGTCGCAGCCTTGTTGCGCACAAGGCCAATGACGACGTTGGCAGGGTCAGCAGACAGCTGGCGGATGAACTCAAACTGGGGTGGGTTAGCGATTGCGAGTTCTGTTGAGCATCAAGAAAGATTGCGTACTCCGAGTCCACGAGAAGCACCCGTGATGAGGTAGGAGGGCATTGTGGTCTTGATCGTCTAACAATTGATGAAGTTGATGGAGGAGTGGGTGGCGGATTGTAGGATACATTTCAAGGGGGTCCCAGCCTACTTATATATCTTGAAGCCATCATATAGACTGCTGCTATTAGGACAAGCATTCCTATTGTTGCGAGTATTCAATTGGATCACACAACGAGGGATGTTTGTTGGCTGCCTCCACTTGAGATGAGCAAATGCCATTATTCAGCTGACCAAGACCAGCACCGCAGTTTACACCATTTGCATTGATCCACAAGACAAACGGGTCAAATCTTGCAAACCAGCCAAGCATGATGTCACTCAATGCTGCCAAGCCTTAATCCTAGGCTGCTATTGGCCGCTTGTCACAGTATAATCTTGCATATCTCGGGACAACCTGGCCCCGAACCTCTGCATCCGCTGCATATTTCGTTTTAATATGGCCAGCGGCAGGGATTTAGTTCCTGGCCAATTATTGGCCCCAGCCGGTGGAATCACCGTGCTTTGAATGGATTCCACACTGGGCTTATTCCTCAAAGTCCCCTTGACACAAGCACGACATCATCAATTTAGCCATCCCCATTAGCCGTCCCCAGCGGGAGTCAACTCAGGGTACACAAGTCAATCCAGGAACGCTGTTCTGGCGGAGCGATTAGATTTTGGAACCACCATCCATACGACATTACCAGCTGGTTTGTAAGTGTATTCTACCAAGCAATCGCTGTTTTCACCCTAGTCACACCTTATGTTGTTGGAAGCTCCGCTTATCGCTCCTTTATCTTCCATGGAAGGTTCTAGCACCCATGTGACACATGTCTTCTTTTATTCTATCTACCTATATCTAGTAGTCCCTAGCTAGATAGCTTCATTATTCCAACAGACATCTGCATGCATCATCATTGACTATGCCTGAGTGTTCTCCTGGAGCCGTAGCGCGCTCTGTCAGAAGCTCTCTTAGACCATTTCCTTGGCTTTATTTGTACTCTGTGATGCGTAGATACTCAGTACTTCTGCTTCTTTGTGCTCTGTTAGATACAGATAAAGAGTGCAACAGCAGTGGGTTCCCGAACAGACATACAGAACTCCCTTGGGTACACCTCCTCATTATACAGATCTCGGTCAAAGTTCTCTCACATCCGCATAATTCACCCCCACCATGGCCGAGGCATTCACCTAAAGGACCTCGGAGAAGCATACTTCTTCTCCGTCGACAAGTACTGCCGTGTTCGCTAGGAGCCATCCACTTCCATCGGGAAACGAACTTTCAACCCGCTCCCAATCAAAGACCACCAGAAGTCCCTGGCACAGGCAGGATTCGACTCGGTGGACCCTGTTCTCTCCGTCCAGGGCGGAGCACACGAGGTGTACTTCTTCCGTGGACTCGAGGCAGTCCGCATTAAATTCCAGCCCAAATCGGAAGGCGATGCAGGACCCTAAACAAATAGAAGTCTCTGGCTGGAGCGACGGTGGACCGTGTAGGTGCGTCCGCTACCGTCCCGAACGTCCCCAATGAGGCCTAAATACTCAGCGGGCCGCACAATGTCAAGCGCGACGTGCTGAAGGACAAGATCATCTATGGACCCGCAGCAATCGCCAAATAATGGCCCGGGCTCGCCAAGGCTGGCTGGCTTCGACTCGGCCGGTGCCGCGCTACAGGTCCCCAAAGACAAGGCCAAGCAGCCCGGGGAGAGATGTTTCTTCCGCGCCGGCCGATATCTGCGCGTGTAGGTCATCCCGTCTAAGCCGGATGTCTTGCAATGGGGGCCAACGAAGTGGGAGGAGGAGAACCATTGGAAGACACTGAACTGGATCGCCAACAATTCTCCAGCGCACATCCGGCCTCCTCCACAAGCTCAACTCGCCAAGCTTGTCATATCCGGTCAACACATGCAGGTTCCCATGGGACGCAACGGGAAGCGCTGGTTCCAAGAGTACAGAAACGTGCCGGTGACTGGACTCGAGGTCTGAGAAGGGTACTGGTACGCAAACGAATACTGGGGACTCCGCACGGTACAGATTACCTGGGAAGACGGCAGTTGTAGGGTTTTTGGGACCGATATAAATGCGCAGCTGGACAGTGCCTTCTGCCTCAGTGCCAAGCAGGGGAGCGTATTACCAACTTGACTGCCAGGCTTGGGGAGATCTGGGACGCCATGAGCATCGCCACCAACAAGGGCCAGTCCTTTGCAGCGGGCCATTGTAAAAGCCAAAAATGGAGTGGTATCACTATTGAATTTAGTTCGCCTCACTGCCCTCCATCCAGATCCAGGACGCATCTGTTTGGAGCGCTAATGCGCAGGTATGTTGCCAAAGGCAGAGGCGTCATTGTACAAATTGAGTAAGTGCTTAATTACCAGTCGACAGTGCTTGCGCGTCCGATGCTGTCTGTCTTGGCGAACTGCGCCTGCATTCTACGTCGCATACCGACTGGCCACTTTATGCAGCGCTACGGGCTCGGCCCCGAAGGCTTCCGTAGTGCTTGGTAAAGTACCAGACCCGTCATACCCTAGCACTCCAATGGCCATGCTTCCTGACTCTTACCCCTGCCACGGCCGCCGGGATGACTGCAGCTAGGCCGGCTTTCCCTACCGAACACCGACCCCGGCTTACCCCTCGTAATCGGGGACGTGCACCCAGCTCGTCTTGGCCCATTAAATCCCTGACAGGCTAAAAGCAAACATGGTGGCGAGATTGCAAAGTTGGCGCTCGGGGCGTATACTGCCCGTCACGTTTGACCAATAATGGCCTTGTTTAGCTGAGTCTTTCGCTCGCTACAATATATGGTCACACGGATAAATGCCACTCATTCACCTTTTCTCCTGCTTTTTCGGAATCTAGAATAACTCCTGCGCTCCGGGTCAAACTCCAGATCAGGGCGCTGTTGCATGTCTGGCTATGGGGTCGCTCGCTAGGACCTGGTCTACAACGCTGAGCCCGTCTCGCCATGTCGGTATTGAATAGCTGAATGCCGGTCAGCCGGGAGCTTCTCTTGCATAAGTATCAGCTGCCGTTAGGAATATCCATCCAGAGATTCTACTATACAACCAAGCTCGGTCGCTTCACAGGATAGCAAGCCACTTCTCTTTCCCCACAGCTTCTCTCAGAGTAAAATATTTGACTTGATCATGGCAATCAACGGCAACGAACTGGACGGGGTGACGGGAGCCATCGCTGAGCTGGCCACAATCGATGTCTCCAACCCAGCGTCTCGCCTTCAAATTATGCAGAAATGCCAACATATCCTTGAGAGTCTACAGGATCCTCGGATGGTGGCTATGGATACCCTCACCTCTGTACGCCGACAGCTGTTTATCGCGAATGAGACTGACCGTTTTCCGATAGGTTGTCCTGTACCCGTGCATCGCCGTTCTCAACAGACTCGATGTCTTCAAGAGGCTCACAAGCGGACCACTAACTGCAACGGAGCTGGCCCAACAAACTGAAGCCGATCGATGGCTGATAGTGCGCCTGATGCGGGCGGCGACCGCATGGGGGCTCATCAAGGAAATTGGCCCCGAGACCTACCAAGCAACGCCCGCTTGTTTCGTTCTTGCTGCTCCTCCGTGTGCAGCCGGTCTTCGCGTTGGGTATGTTTTCGTCGACCGTTTATTTCCCGCTACCAGATCCGTGCTGACACTTTGGCAGAGAGAAGACGCACAAAATCCTCGACGCCCTCCCCGCCTACCTCAAGGAGACCAACTACCAGAACCCCGGTAGCGCGCGCAACGGCTTGTTCCAGTACGCCTTTGGAACAGACCAGGAAGCCTTTGATTTCTTTTCCGGAGACAAAGAACACACGCAGGACTTCAACACATTCATGACGGTCCAGCGCACCCAGGGCCAGCAATGGACAGAGCAATTCAATATCGCTAGTCGAGTCCTCGACGGAGTCACAATCGACCCGGCTGTCCCCCTCGTCGTCGACATCGCCGGTGGCGTTGGTCAGGATCTGACCCTTGTCAAGAACGCCCTGCCACCTAGGGTCACAACGACAGGCCAGCTTGTTTTGGAGGATCTGCCTCAGGTCATCAACAATGTCCCCGCGGACTTGCATGATCCAGACTTCAACTACCTCGAACACGACATGTTTACGCCCCAGCCAGTCAAGGGCGCAAGGATATACATGGTCAAACATGTTCTGCACAACTGGCCGGACAACGAGGCGCTCACAATCCTCCGTAACATCGCGACAGCCATGACTCCAGGCTACTCAAAGCTGTGGATCCAAGATAGCGTGGTCCCCGACACTGGGGCAGACAAGAAGGTGGTCGCGCTGGATATTGCGATGTTGGGATTTCATGGGGCACTGGAGCGTAACCGAGAGCAGTGGACCACGCTTTTGGGTGCGGCGGGGTTCAAGATTATTGATCTCCCTGTGCTACCTGACGGGTACGGGCTCATCGAGGCTGAGCTGGTTGCTTAGACGGGGTTGATCTGTAGCGATTGGACACGGGGTAGTTTGCTGCTCAACTAGCTTTTTCAGGGAATCCTATTATTGGTCTATCACTCCGGAATTGAATGGAATACTTGCCAGTTCACAGTTGATATATGCATATTTGGGGTCCGTGTGGGGATATCACACCCGTGGCGAATCAGAAAGCCCGCGGAGTCGTACAAAAAGTAAGATGACTGCTGACTGCATCGAACAAGCGGAGTCATATGGGGCCGACGTATGTGCATGAACTCCCGCATGGCATCGACGAGACAGTAGTTTGATCTGGTGGCATGAGAGTGGTTACGCTTTAATGGTCTGGTCTTCTCTGCTCATGCGAGCAGGACTGACGTCACCACGTGAAGCGATGAGCAATGTCCCCACTCAAGCTTTGCTTTTTCTTCTGCTGTCGGATCTTTCGGAATGTTCCCCTCCAACAATCAACATCAAACACCCTCGAAGAATCTGACATGTCCGTCCCATCCACATTCAAAGCCGCTATCCTCAAAGAGGGAGGCGCCAGACACACCATCGCCGAACGCTCCCTCGGCCCCCTCGGCAACGATGAAGTAATCATCAGAATCACCGCGACAGCCATCAACCCCGTCGACTGGAAGATCCGAGACTGCGGCTACTTCCTGCAGACATTCCCGGCCGTCCTGGGCTCCGATGCCGCCGGCAAGATTGTCTCTGTCGGTAAAAGTGTCTCAGACTTTGCAGTCAGCGACCGCGTCTTCTTCCAGGGGATCATCGGCAACTACGACGCCGCCACATTCCAGCAGTACTGCAGAATGCCTGCTGCGCTTCTTGGCAAGACTCCTGCTTCGATTACCGACGACCAGGCCGCGGGAATCTGTCTCGCGACTATTGCCGGTGTCACCGGTCTCTATGACAAGACCGGTCGTGGCCTTGCCCCGCCCCCCTGGGTTGAGGGTGGCGAGCGCGCAGGAAATGGCAAGGCCATTGTCGTCCTAGGTGGAAGTTCCTCTGTGGGCCAATATGTGATCCAGCTGGCCCGATTGTCTGGTTACGAGCGCATCATCACAAATGCCAGCCTCAGACACGAAGAGCGCCTCAAGAGTCACGGCGCGCACGTCGTGCTCGACCGGAAGAAGGCGGGCGCTCAAGACTTTGTTTCTGCACTTAACGGTCTACCCTTGGATTTCGTCTTCGACGGCATCTCCCTCGGCGAGACGCAGAAGCTGGGTGTTGAGATCCTTCAGACTGCCGGATCCAAAAGCTGTGTAGTCACTGTACTCGCGGCTGACGCAGAGGCCCAGTCGCTTGGATCATCCAAGGAGCCCAAGGTCGAAATTCGCCAGATTCTGGGTCTCGGCAGCAAGCCGGAGCTGCGGTACCTGAGTGAGCCGCTCATGAAGCGTCTTGGAGGCGAGAATGGGTGGTTGGCAACTGGGCAGTTTGTTCCTAACCGCACGGTCGTGGTCGATGGGGGCTTGGAGAAGATTGACGAGGCGCTGGATAAGAATAAGGCTGGCGTGTCTGGGGAAAAGGTCATCATCCGGCCATAATCTCGATAACCAGTGCATCCAAACGTACCGCAGCTTAATGCCTTGGCAGGACTTATTCCACGAAGCACAATCCATTTTGTATTTCCTCAACAACCAAGTGACAGTAAATCTTAACCCTCACGGAACTTTCCATCGTCGTCCCCATCTCTTTAAGTACCTCGCTCGAGCCCACGAGCATCTGAAAGCTAATCGCCGAGGCTCAATCTCTAACATGGCTTCGCAATCAGAACAGCCGTGTCATGCGACTCAACAAGCGCCGTGTACTGGTCAGAGTGACAACCCAAATTCTCTCCAGTCCACGCATCAACAATCCTATACCGGCGCCTCCGCCTGAGCCCCGGAATCTCCGAGAACAGCGCCGTTTTACTGACCGCAGCACTGCCCGTATTCAACATGGCAATGAATGTCCCAGCACGACTCTCACCAGACCAGTACTCGGCAGGGAAACTAGCATTGAACGTCCAGTCCAGGTTCGTGCCCCATTTATAAGGGACGGCTGGCTTTTCGTAACGGGTATCTTGGTTGAATGCGATCAACCGGGGGTTCTTGAGCAGAGAGAGCTGAGTGTCAGTTAGGGCGGTTAGGCTTGCGCCGATGATCAGGGGGGATTTCATCAGCGCCCAGAATGCAAAGTGGGTACGCTCCTCGGCCGAGGTGAGGCCTCGGACGCCGACTTCTAGCATATCTGCGTCGGGCCGAGACCTGGGACACTATTAGCTATATCCTCCAGGCACTTTGGCCGGCAGACCTACCCAAACTCAACATAGTTCATCAGGAAGGAATTCCTATTGAGGATCTCCAGCACACGGCCCCAATTCGCCCTGATATCCTTGCTCATGCGAAATGAGGACCCAACCCCCTTCGCCCATGTATGCACCTGTGCAAAGCCCCAGGGACAGAGCGCATATTGAATTGGCCGGTCCTGCTTAGCCAGGGCATCGCCCATACGCCGGTACCGCTCCGCCGTGGGGGAAGTCCCCCAGTCGTAATCCTCCGGCGCTGGATTCGCGAGCCCGACGCACGTCCCGTTGACCGTATTCGACCAACGGTCGGTGCACGCGGTGTACGGATCCGACCAGTTCCTCGGAACGCCGCAGTTGTCGTACTTGAGGTAGTCCACCCCCCACGCCGCGAAGCTGGCGGCGTCGGTTTCCTCGTAGTAGAGGCTCGCCGGGTACTCGGCGCAGGTCTCGGTTCCTGCGCTGCTGTAGATCCCGAGTTTCAGGCCGAGCTCGTGCACGTCGTCTGCGAGGCCTTTGATTCCGCGGGGGAAATTCACGGGGTCCGGGATGAGTTCGTTGGTCAAGTTGTCGCGGCCGGATTTGACTTGCCAGCAGTCGTCGACTTGCAGAGGAAGATTGATGTTATCAGGCCTGGTCTCCTCGGTGAATGAACGAGATGATGGACATACTATTGACGTGGTCGTAGCCTGCATCTCGCAGACCGAGGGCGACTAGGTTCTCGGCTGCGTCCAGAACGATCGCCTCGCTGATGTTGCAATCATATGTATTCCACGGGTTCCAGCCCATCGTGGGCAGTTTTCCCTACACGGCGTTGGTCAATCAGCAGTGATACGAAACAAAGCATGCAGTACCGTACCGGTTCATCTTCTCCACGGGGATAAGCCAGAGATAACTGCAGAAGAGACAGGGCCAGAAGTGCCGCTGGACCCTTAACAACCATGGCTTGTATAACGTCTTATCTGAGCTTCTTTGGCTGTGTTGGTTTCTTGTCATGCACGCCGTGGAGGCATCTCTTTGCTGACGATATATACCTGACGGGCTTATTGTGGTCAGACGAGCGCAAGCCAATTCAGCCGATGATTGAAGTTATCCCGATGAGAGTTAACCCCTCCAACACTAACTCCCTTTCTTTACCTATCATTGTGCGAGGTCTTGTCATGGTCCCCCGCAGATTCCGGGATCGGCAATAATATGGGGTGACATTGTGGAGATAACCCGATCAGCATTTTATGTCGAATATGCCCGAGTAATATAATTGGGGCCTGGAGTCATGTCTGGGCAACTGTATAATCCCGATCCAATCTATCTTCTGCAGTGATCAACGATATAGCCTTTGTGCTGATGGCGTTCGAGCCCGGTGGCAGGTATACTATTCTCTGAAAAGTCGAGGTCGAGAGGGAAGTGTACTTTCTGTATGTCAAGGGGCAACTTGAATCGGCATAATATACCCCGAGCCACCGTAACATTCGACACACAAGTTACATTGCCCGGTCTGATCAGGTATCACGGCAATTAGAGTGACAGTCCCCTCGCGTAAAGCTGAACTCGAGAATTTGCTACGGAAGGCCTACGGGAGAGCTTGGATGATAGATATCAGATTGTCTACGGTAACTATGAGCGAATATGGTTGAAAACCGGAGACAGGGATGTCCGGGTAAACAGTAAGAACGAGATCCCCATTACCAAGACCCCAGCGGATATTCCAGGCCACCATGGCAGCACCTCTTGTTTTCGTTGCCCTTTCTCAAAGTCATACTCTACCCACTCGCCCAGCGTCTGACGTACTTTCCGAGATAGCACCAGATCCTGCTGCTCGACCGTCTCGTTCACGCGTTTGAGATGCGCGACATTCACCTCGCCATCTCTGAGGGAACTCGCCGCTTCTGCTTCGGGTAATAGAATCGTGTTCACGGCGCGTACGTTCTCCTCGATATCGCTTATCGAACAAATGCCAAGCAGCGTGTGAACAGAAACCCCGCCTTGCGATATCCGCGTCGCCCTTGCCACAGAAAAGCGCAGCGCAAGGGCCGCTAATGTCGAGTTCTGCGTTTCAGTCCAGTCCGAAGCTCTCTTGACAGCTGCGCGAAGTCCATTGGGAGACGGGTGCCAGTCTCCCAGCTTCCCCACTGGCACGCCATTTGCCCGCAGAAGACCAGATGCTAGGGGGCTCGAGTTGCATATGACTGGGACACCAGCGTCTCTCAGGGCTGGGACTCCGTATCGCTCCAAGCGAGTGTTTTGCAGCGTCAGTTGAGCCCAGTTCTGCACGACGTCCAATGGTCGACCGTATTTCTCTCTCACGGCGTGAGCGACATGTACAAGGCGGTCCAGGTCATAGCCTGATACGCCCACGAATTTCACCAAGCCTTTCTCCGAGAGCTCGAACAGTGCGCCGACTGCTTCGATTGCCTCGGCTACCGTGACAATTTTTTTTTCAAGCAGAAGACGGCATACGAGATATGGAGTGCCCAGGCGCTCTAGCGAGTTCTGGACTGATTGGTGCACCCATGCTGGAGAGTAGTCGAACTTGTTGACTGATATGCGACCAACCTTGGTCATGAGGATATAGTCGCTTCTCGAGTATTTGCTCGTTAGTTCAGGACTCGCAAGCGCCTCTCCTAGTAGAAACTCTGAGGGGTCATAGTATGGCGAGGTGTCGATTGCTCTGATTCCGACATCGAATGCGCGGCGAATGATCTTCGAAACCGGTACACTTTTCGGGTCCGGATGTACTTGGTAGCTGAAACCAGAGCCCCCGAGGACGACCGGGGGTAACTGCAGAGTTTGACGAGGTTGCGAGACTGACATGCTGACGCCGAGGAAGTGAAAGTACCGCTGGCTGTTCGCCAGAGCTTCTGGTCTTCTCAGTCTATATCTCTTTCGCACATTCTTGCTCATCAAAGCTTTGGACAAATGTCAGCATCTGCCCAGGAGGGTGGCCCACGTAGCAATCGGCGTTTAGTGGGTAAAAGGCGTGCATTGACCCTACTGGCTGCTTGATACCCGCATTATCCCGCCCAAATTACCCGACGGGAAACTGTTCCCCGCGGTGGAGGGAAATCGCACGGCCTCGTATCCAGCGAGCTAAGAATCCTTGTGAATTGAAGACCATGTCACAAGCAGAGTCCTCTGTGCCCCATCGTCCATCGATATGTCGACAGAACCTCTTTTCGTAGCGTCTGAAGCTCTGTCTCACTCATCTCGGGCCGTCGCGCATTATACAGTATGGCTCTAAATGCCTTGCGAAATGTTTTCTTTATTCGTAGATGTCAGCATATGCTCCCCATGCCGCGACGAACAGACTCACCTGAAATTCTGTGCTCAGAGTCACAATGGAGACCTCGTGCGCCCGGATAATTACCTCACAGGCTTCCTCCACCGACGGATTCGGGCCAATGCGGGACATTCTTTCCGCGAATAATAAAAGCACAAAGCTGCCGTGGAAAAGGTAGATGCCAAAAAGGTATGGCATGAATGACAGTTCAGGATCGACCTTGAGGATGTCTGAAATCGCCTGAGCGGCGGCGATAGAGCTTGTGGAACATTCGGCGAATCTGGACGAGGTGATCCAGTCTCCATCGTCTTCTAGCATAGTGATAGCATCCCAATTGCCGTAGAGGAGGACGTAGAGAACTTTGATGATGTATACCGCATATGTGACTATCATGTTGGTTGTGTTCCGCGGCAGGGCTGTATTCGAAGGGCTGTGAGAGATAGTCTGGGTGTCTGAGAGCTCGCAGAGACTGCGCTCACAATGAGTGAGGTTCGCTTTAATCACCTCTAGCGAAGCCTCGTCGTGAGACACCAGGCGTGGGTGGTGCCGCCTTAGACGATAGTCGATAATATCCCCTAGAATGGCCATCATGGGGAGAAAGTATTCGAAAAAGCCTGTGCCGGAAATTGTAGTTGGCGGGCCGTAGGTACGTTGCTGCAAGGCCTCTGCGTCGAGGGTATCGAAACTCTGCCACAGATGCTCCGGCAATGGGCTAAAAACCTCGCATTCGGCGTCCAGAATGTCCAAAGCACGATTGTGCGATAGGGCTAGATGCCTATCGACCGTGTAAACAAGCCAGAATGTCCGACGTTGTTCTTCGTGCTCTTCAATAGAGCTCTGCGCCTGGCCTGACATTGACGGCTCTTTATGTAGCCCGAGATACTTGACGAGGCCCACCGTTTTGTTCCACCACTTGACGCAATCTGATTTGTATTCGCCGCCGGAGATGACAATCGTGAGAAGGACAAATGTCAGTACGTCGTCCACACACGGCGTGGGTCCGTTGCTGAATGTCCTCCGAGACCTGTCCGATTTGCCCGTGTCGAGGCTCGTCGCCGAGTCCTCTTCCAACTGCCAACCACCTAGATAGAAAGATAAACATGGAGTCTCTCGCTGGGGCAGGTAGCAGAGGCTTACCAGGAACCCGTCGCCAATTGTCCATATCCCGTCTGCGCAGTAGGGACATGGTGACGCCGTATAACTCATTGACGATCCGCTGCCGCGATCCAGGCAAGTAAAATACTCGACAATCAGCCGTGTGTGCGACGCACCAGAGCATGGCTGCCAATAATGCCGGCGACATCTGCCGGGGCTTTGACGGATGCAATACGGACATCTTTCGGAAAACGGGGGACAAAACGTATGGGCTGTGGGTAAAGCACAGCGGACTGCCTGGCTCCGAAAAGAAAATATCCAGCAGATCGCAAGCTGTCGCTGGTGAAAGAATGCCGCTCAACGCGGGTAGAAGCGGCCTAAGGCAAGGATATCGGCAGGCGGAGGCTTGAAGGGAACTTTTCTGACTGCCCGACGCACTCGGGGATGCCGCGAAGGTGCCACCGACGAGCATCGGATCCGTCTGAGGCAGGGGCGACAAGCTAAACCCCAGCGCGAGCTGGGATGGATCTAGGGCCAACGGCGAGTCGACCTGAAATTGTCCAAAATTGACCTCTGTGCTGTTTGGATGCATCCCCATGTCCTGCTCCAAGGCTAGACCGTTGAGTTGCCCCAGCTGCAGCGACGGCTGAACGTCATCTGCGGTGGCAGTTGAGCGCTCAGAGGAGATTCCTGACCCCATGGGCGAGGCGGATCTGTGTAAACCCACGTCTGAATGCGATCGCGAGTCAATAGCCCGCCTAGCCAGGTTCGTTTTGCGCCCGCGTTTCTTGACTTGTCGGTTGTATTGACATCGGTGTGCTAGAGCTGCGGGAACCGGTCAATGGCAGTGATCGCGACACGGGCTAGTACGACTTACCATCGCATCGTCCACTGTACGCTCAAAATACATGAGCTTCGCGAAGGTTGGAGCGGGGAAATGAAATACCAAGGTAAATCGCCATCGCATCGTGTGCGAGAGAAATTGCACTGATCGCATGCCCGGCCAACCCTTCGTCGACTCATGGCGGAGCGCCTCATTGTGCCAAACACGGAGATCGCAATAATGAGGGAACACTACCAGAAAGCTCGTCGAGAGGCCTGGTTTTGTGGGGTACGCTACGTTTAAATTCTGGGGTGAGTTCGCCTGCAGAACAGCCACTCATTACTCCACCAATCAGAGATGGGCTCGTAGTTGGGGTACGTCAGCTCATGTAGGTAGTTACTGCGGAGGTTCAAGGTAGGGACATGGATTGCTGGTGAGAACTCAATTGCTATATTATCGTCTGTTCAAACTTGACGAGCACAGCCATAGTACGATAGCTTATTGCTTGCTACACGCAGATACCCTCTCCCACTCTCTCGCCCCCTACTGACCCTCCACCACCCTTTCCGTCGTCCGCTGGCTGCCCTTTTCTTCATCTGCAGTGACTTCCTGAGGACGGATGCCCACGTCGACCGCAGTGTACGCATCCGCACAGTTGCGGTACGAGGGCACAAAGTTGACACAAAGCGGATACGTCCAGGCCGCTACAAAGAAACAGAGTGGAACGACCATCGCGAAACCCGTATTGCGAGCATCTGCCGCCACTCCAAGCAATGGCGGTACACAAGCTCCTCCGATCACACCGCCGATGATGAATCCAGATCCCCTCTTCGTGTGGCGGCCGAGACCACGCATGCCGAGCGCGACAATGGTTGGGAAGCAGATTGACTCGAAGAACAAGGTAACGAAGAGCATTGACATGCCGGTGTTGCCGCGCTGGGTGATGGATGGGGCTATAAATACAATACACATGGTCAGGAAAACTCCAAACACCCAGCGCGGCTTGTAGAAGTGCATGAGGAAGACGCCGACGAATCGGCCGACGGCGAACGCGGCTTGAGCACCAGCGAGGAACTTGCTTCCAGCGCTGGAGCTGGTGCCTGGTCGAGTTTCGGTGACATAGTTGATGAAGTACCTGGTGCGGTCAGTCTTCTGCCCAACGACGACAACAACCATGAAAGACTAGATCTCACCCTGCAATAGCAACTTGCGAACCACAGTAGCAGAATTGCGCAAACGCCGCGTGAAAGAGACGGTATTGCTTTCTTAGCGGCTTGTCATTGTCTCCGGTGCCAGTCTCCTGAGCCTGGTACTCCATGTCCGCATCCGTTATCTCAGGGATGGTCGAAAAGAAAAAGACCAGAGCAAGGGCGAACACAAAGATGGCTATTGCGGTGTACACCCACTGGACGTTCTCTAGGGCCTTTTGGTCGTCAAAGTCGAAGAGCACGTACGATCCGAGGACGGGTGCAACCACGGTTCCGATGCCGTTGAACGCCTGCGAAAGGTTGATGCGGATCTCAGAGTACTTTGGAGGGCCACAGACTAGACCATGTCAGAGGGGTAGAGCAAGCCAAACAGGAGCTGGACCCTTACTCGCAATGTACGGGTTAGCCGCGGTCTCAAGGGAACCAAGGCCGTTTCCGATGATGAAGATGCAAGCGCAGAAGCCTCCGAATGAGTGCTCCTTAATGGCGGGAATCGCAAGGAGAGCGCCAAGTCCTTCAGGTCGAATGTTAGCATTCAGTGTCGCATCAATTGCGAATCATGATTACCGTAGAGGAAAAGCCCCCAGATATACACGGCTCTATAACCATAGTGACGGAGGATCCAAGCCGCATGGCCCAGGGATGCCAATGGATAGGCACTGATCGAGTCAACATGATGTTCTTGGAACTGGCTGGAGTGGTACGGACCCAAAATAAGCCGCTTGAAGCCCCGAAGAGCGGGCCTTGGAGATTCCCAGAGTCTCTTGGAAATGCTTGTTTAAAGTGTCAAGTAGACCGTACGAGAAGCCCCACAAGAAGAACAGGCTCGTAACGAGACAAATCGGGTACAGCGACTCTCGCAGGGTCAATTCGGCAGCGCGAGTCCGCTCGGTATCGCGCACCTTCAGACTGCGCTTCTTCCAGAATGAGGACATGGTGTTGCGAGAGTAAAGTGCTGTCGACGGAGGAATAGCAGATTGGTGGTGAGATCCGATCTAGATGTCTGACTCGTATTTGTAGTGGAGGCTTCGTGCCCCATGACCCCAGGTTAACGGCTCAAGTATGGGGTCAGGATCTCTCGTGTCGGCTGTTCTCCGCAATGGCTTGGTTACTTTGAGGATCATGATGAAACTACCAACTCCCGTCGGGTATTAGGAGCTTCAGCCCTGGCTAATCAGCCCAGACTCATGTGATTCTCTGGATAATTTGATCGGGCTAATTCCTGCAATGCACTGCTGTCGTATTTGGCCGTCTTGGCCGACTAGAGACCCTTCGTTCTAGTGAGATCTGCAGCATCAGGCGTCTCCCCACACTATATTCCCTTTGCAGTCCTGCATGGACCCCCGCCACCATGTCCCCCACATCGGTCGAGGTGAGTGGTACCCCACGTTCCGAGAGGTCAAGACAACCGGAGCCCGGAGGAAACAGGACGGCAGAAAAGGCGCGCTTCCAGGGTCAAGCTTGTTTGCCTCGGTCGGGTTAAAATGACGAATCAGGGTCCAGCAACTGAAAAGGTCATTTTGAGGTTGTCTTCAACGTTGAGCACATGCGAGACCATTGACCAACCATTACGCCTCGTCGTCATCATGTCGACCGCAGATCAGCTACACATATTCTTAACCTCAAGCAACACGCGTTGCAAGTAAGCCGCGGTTCTTTTAGTCAAATGAGAGTTTGATATCTTGATACTGCTATAGCAATACACTGGGCAGGCTCTTCTGACATTGTACTAGTAACTAGTACTCAAGTATCATAACTCTGACTCTACCCTCACACGGTAATAGTGTACGTCTTCCCCTTCTTCGTCGCAACCGGACCCCTATACTTCTTGCCGTTTACATACAACTCCACATCACCATTGACCAGCAGCGTAAGCTCATTCCCGAGCAAAGACTTGACCGTCGCCTTCTTCAGCGCGCCAGACTCCCACTCAATGTCCACCTCGAAGCCTCCTCTCGCCACAAGACCAGTAACAGACCCCGTAGGGACGGCCGAGGGCAAAGCAGGAAGAAGATGAACAACCCCCGAGTGACTCTGGAGTAGCAACTCCGGGATCGCAGCCGTATAGCCCAGATTCCCGTCAATCTGGAAGGTCGTTGCTCCACCCTTGTCACTGTTCCAGAGGTTCGGCAAGAGGAACGTCTGGATCCAGGCTTGGACATTGTTCCAGGCGTCGTCGCCTCGGTATAGCCGGGCATACAGGGAAATAGACCACGCGCGCGACCAGCCCGTGCTGCCGCTGCCACTGTCCATTCGGTGGTCGAGTAGAACTCCCGCGGCATTGGCGAGCTCAGTGGATGCGAGCGAAGTAAGCTGTGTTCCTGGGAAAAGGCCGAATAGAGGTGAAAAGTGGCGATGGGCAGGGTCAACTTCGGTCCACTCCTCCAGCCATTCGAGGATCTGTCCATCCGAGCCAATTTGCGGGGATCGGATCTTGCCCATGGACTCGTTTACTGTCTTTGCGAGGTCGTTTCTGATTCCGAGGACTTGGTGAGTTTCTTTCAGAGCAGTTAACAGCTCGAACAAGATGGCATCGTCCATTGTCGGGCTTAGAGTCAAGGCCTCTTCGGATCCAGCATTGGTCATGTCCTCGGGGATCCTGAATGCATTTTCCGGCGAGCAGGAAGGCCCAGTCGTCAGGTACCCGTCGAATTCGAAAAGATAGCACTCGAAGAATTCAAACGCGCTCTTGAAAATCGGATACGCCTTCTCCCTCAGGAATGTCTCATCGCCGGTGAACCGATAATGCTCCATCATATGCAGAGCAAGCCACGCGCCTCCCATCGGCCAGATCGAGTACTTGGTCCCATTATCAACGGGCACAGCATCACCCCAGAGGTCGGTATTATGATGCAGGACGAACCCAGGACATCCGTACATCCGCTCCGCGACATCGCTGCCGCGCTCCGCTACCAGGGCGAGGAGGTCCCAGAGCGGCGAAGTTAGCTCGTTCAGGTTCGTCGTCTCCGCGGGCCAGTAGTTCATTTCTAGGTTGATGTTGACCGTGTACTTTGCGCCCCAGGAGGGTTCATAGTCCTGGTTCCAGATTCCCTGCAACCCAGGAGGCAGCGAACGGTCACCGGTATCACGGGACGATGCGATAAGAAGGTGTCTTCCGTAGTTGAACATGAGGGTGGCGAATTCGACGTCGTCATCTGGCGCGGATCTATACCTCTCAATGCGCTCGTTGGTGGGAAGGGAAGCGGCGTCTCCGGTGGACGCTCCCAGATCAAGAGAAACCCGGTTTGCGAGCTTTTTGTGGTCCTTGATCGCCTCTGTCCGCAGCCTCTCGTAGCCAGTCTTGGTGGCAGCATCGAGCTTCTTAGTCAATTGCGTCTCTTGGTCGCTCTCTGACTCGTATCGGTAGGACGATTCGGCGTCGAGGAAAAAGTCCACGGTCGTAGCTCCCGTTACATACAGCTTCTCTCCATTCGCAGTGACGTTACCTGCTAATTGTGAGCCCCAGGCGTACTGTATCTCAGATGGCGATCTCACCTTCGTCCACGACGACCCTAACCCCTGCTGTAAAGGTGGAGTAATCCTCCTCTCCGGTGGTAGCCTTCATCACGATAGAGCTAACCCCATCGGCAACACTGGCAGTATTGTCCTCAACATACTTCGAGCGGCGCAGGTATGTGTTCAGGTTAATCGCCTGTGGGGTATCTGCTTGGATCCGGAACCCAAGGACTCCAGGCGGAGCGCTTGCAATGAGTTCACGTCTGCGGGCATCAGTGTCGCATCCGTGAGGATTGAAAAGCATGCTTCAGGCGAGGAGAGCTTACTTGTAGTTAACACCATCAAACTCATACTCACAAGCCGTGTAGCCCTCCATGGTATCAAGGTACCGCTGCAAATTCGTCGCATCCCCGCTCTGCCCAAGATCCACATACAAATTCGCCAGAACCTGATACTCGCGCGGGTCAGTCGAGGACCCCGTCATATCAGACAGAGCCAATTTCCCCGCCTGCGTAACGTTTCCATCGACCAGCAGCTCTCGGACCTTGGGGAACGACTCCAGTGACCGTGGATTGACGCGATCCTGGAACGTACCACTCCACACGGAGTTTTCGTTCCAGGTGATGATTTCCGTCGGGAGGCAGTAGAGTGTGCCCCCGAGACGGCCGTTGCCGACTGCGAGGCTTGCGTTGAAGCGAGTACCGGGCGTATCGTACCAGAGGTAGCGGGAGCCGTCGAAGGATGCTGCCAGGCCGCTGGATATGAGGGCCGACAGAGCGACTGCTGCGCTCAAATGGGTGGGGAATGCCATGTCGGCACAGATGCAAGAATGCGATAGCAGCTTTGTGCTCCAGGGGACGAGGGCTGTTGAAGCCGGATTCTTTGAGTGCACCCTGCACTATACCGTTTCTCATCCTTGCAGCAGTCAGTGTCGATCATACTTCGGCGTCAGTTGGTCCGATGATCATCGCTCGCTATTAACGGACTAATTATGGAGTACCCCACGGGGAATTGAGGAAAGCTGTGGAGATATCCAGGATCGGTTGCTACTAGCAAGATACAAGGAATGATGTGCATACAATATCCCTATTAGCCTATTTTCCTGGGGAATGAAGGAGGCGCCTGAAATGGGCCATGAAGAAGTTTGGAGAGTCTGTACTTGAGTGAATCGCAAGTGTGGAGGCCGGTTGTATATTCGAGAAATCAAAACCCCGATCCTAGCAACCAGTTACAGCTACTGCTACTGCACACTCTTCCTCCGCTTGATGAGAATTTTCACCCCTGACGGCGGAACAATCGCCTCAGCCAACCACCGATTCGCCGGCCTCTTCTCGTGATACTCCTCGGGGAACTTGACATCATAGTGCGTAAGCACATACGCGATAATCATCTTGAGCTCAAAATCAATAAGGAACCTCCCCGGACACGCATGCTTCCCCGTCCCAAAGGGCAGATAGTCGGGACTCGTCGAGACAAAGCTGAGTTTATTCGCCGTGCTCGGGTCCTCTGCGGCCTCGCGGGCGCGAGAGAACCGGAAGGGATCGTACTTGAGCGGGTTTTCATACTTGGCCTCGTCGACGTGCACGGGCTGGCTGAAGAAGGAGACGATGCAGCCCTTGGGCAGTTTGACGCCCGTGTCGGTTTCGAAGTTGTCGACCATTACCTTGCGGAAGACGGCGCGGCCGCCGAAGGATTGGGTGCGCAGGGTCTCGCGGGCGACGCTGTCTGCGCGGGTCATTTTGGAGACTTTGGCCTTTGTCCATGTTGGGTCGGCGCCGAGGACGCGGTGGACTTCGTCGCGGAGGACGGCGATGGTGTTGTACTCGGCGTCTGAACCCATGATGTTCAGCAGCATATTCGTCACCTGGATGCTCGTCTGATGCATCGACCCAAAGTTTGCAGCGCTGAGGCGACGCGCCATGATGTCCAGGTCATACAGCTCGTTGCGTCGCTCCTTTTCAGCATAGCGGACCATCATCTGCAGGTGGTCTTGAGGCTCGGATGGGTCGTCTTTTGGATGTTTGAGGGTTTCCAGCCGTGCGCGGTAGATGGGTTCAAAATGCTTCCTGACTTTTCTCTGCGCGAGCTGCGATTTGAGGCTGACCAGGGGTCCGATGAGGGGTCGGAGAATCTTGGGTGTTCCGCCAGTGACTCCGGCGTTGATGATGCAGCCGTCGACCACATCAAAGCTGTCTTTGAGATACTGCTCGTCGCGGCCTAGACAGTACTTAGCAAGCGAAAGCAAGATTAGTGAGGCAGAAGCGCTTACATAGAGGCAATCCGACAGTGAAGCGACTGGCCGCCTGAGCAACCACCATCCTCACCGTATTCAATAGATCGATCTCCTTCCAATTCTCATCGGTACCAAATCGCGCATCAAATGCAAGACCCAACTCATCATTCATCGCCGCAACAATATTCTCCAGCACGGAATTCATCTCCTGCCGAACCAGATTCCCCTGCCACGGGTCGGCCACGTAGCGCTCATGCCCCAGACTATACACAACCTGATCAATCTCCACAAATGCATCCGCAACGCTGAGGACCGATTCGGGCTGCGCCAGAACCCAACGCAGCGAGCTGGTGGGCAGAATGACCTCATCACGGAGACCGAACCCGGGGAGGATGACCGCCTTGCCGAGCTTCGCGTAGTTCTGGTAGGCCTCGCGGAAGAGCGACTCGCAGTCAAACATGTACGCGATGCGCGTCTTTAGGCTGAAGCTTTTCTTGCCGGGCGGTTCGCGGATCAAGGGGACATTTGGCGGGTTTGCGACGCGGAAGAAGAGGGCGTTGATGGTGTACAGCAGGGCTGCAGGGACCAGGCAGTACAGGCCGATCCCCAGCACGCCGTTGAGCTGCAAATCAAACATGCTCGTTCAAGGGTATGTGCAGCAGAAGAATCTGACAGGAAAGTGAGATTCTGACCGGGGAAACTGGCTGCAGGGTGAATTAAAGCTGAACTCGAGCTGAGCTGAGAGGATCAGAGAAACGGCCCCAGCGCCCCCACCCCGCCGGTTATTACCCCCATTCTCATTGGCTCCTCTCTTTGTTGCGATCCACTTGGTGCGGAGTCTATGCCTTTCAAGGTAGCCTCGTATATTTCCTCTATTATAAGTATCGGTGGCATCTTGGAGTAATCATACAACTCTACAGCTTTGCCCGAATCTCATCCTCAAACGGCACCATTCTCCCCCTCTTTGGCACCGGCAGCGTCTTGATCGAAACCGCCGGGGCTATCGTCGCATCCCAGAAAGTGGGAACAAGATCCGCGGCCATCTGGGGAAACTGGTGCAGCATCACCTCCCTTAGTTCCGGGGTCTCCAGTGCATGCATACATTGTTGCTCGTGCGATTCCACCATCATCTTGGCCGCCCGCGGCGCCCGCAGGTTTTGCACCTCTGTAAACATCGCATCTATCTCCGACACGGACAGTCTGTTGGAGTTGGGACGCTTCAATGCGGCCATTAGGCTATTGGTCAGTGCAGCAACCGTTTCCAGGGCCTGGTTGCCGCCTTGACCGAGGACGGGCGTCATCTGTACACAGTCTCAGTTACACCATGTCTTACAGCCTCACAAAGGCAGTCATTTCTCACCTTGTGACTTGCATCTCCAAGGACGATCATCCGGTTCAGGTGCCACTTGCGATATACAAATTCCCGCAGCGGCGTGTGGATCACATCCTGCTTGGCCTTGTATAAATCCGAGAACTGTACATCCGCAGTAATCTGATCGTCCCAGTGCTCCCGCACAAACCGCTCCTCGTCCCCCTTGGTGAACTTGGGTATATCCGACCCAAAGTACGTCTTGTCCATCTTCCTCGTCACGAACCAATACACTCTGCCCTTGGGCCCGGTGCCAATGACATTCGAAAACCCCTCGTTTACCCCAAACGCCAGATACCCTCGTGGGATCCCCGGACTGCAGTCGACGCCCCGAATAAGCACTCGTACTTGGCCGGGATTTCTATATCCAGGTTAGTGCTGAGCGCAAACGCGGGTGCCTATCTAAAAATGACATACTGTCCTCTTCGGCGTAATCCTCTGCGATGCCCTGCTCGGTTGCATGTCTGACCATCTCCATTCTGACCTGCGAGTGGACTCCGTCTGTTCCGACGAGGATGTCGCCGCGGTAGACGGAGCCATCGGCGGTGGTTACCTCGATGCCCTTGTCGAGTTGGCGAACGCTCTCCACCCGCTTCTTCGTCAAGAGCTTCGACTTGTCGCGGATGCAGTCGTACATCACCTGCAGCAGCTCCCTCCGTCCAACCCACAGCGTCGAATACCCATGTCTACTCCGCCCGTCAGTCAATCACCCTCAAACCAAACCCGAAACCCCCCGAAAAGCAATAGAAAAGCCAAACACACCTCTCAACATTCTTCACCGTAAACCCATCGAGCGTAACAAGCTCCTCCCCGCTCTGATCGCGATAACTCATAATCTCCATGACATCCTGCACCTTGCTAACAAGCGCCTCATAGCAGCCCAGCTGATCCAAAATCCGCAGTCCATGCGGCAACATGCAGATCCCCGCGCCGGCCGGTGCCACGATCTCCGGGTATGCTTCGAGCAGCGTGTATTCAACGCCGTGCTTCTCAAGCATCACGGCAAGACCAAGCCCGGCGATGCCGCCGCCGGCTATGATGACTTTGCAGGGGCGCGTTTGTTGTATCATTTTGTGACGAGGTGAATGCGTTACAGTTGGGAAGGATGTGCAAGCAGGGAGTGCAGTGCAACATCGGAGCTTTAATACTGCGCAAGGCGCCCGAAGTTAATCTGTAGAATATATACCCGTGTCTTGGTCCTCTGGGTATACGCTTCGGTGTCAGCTCGCGCTGTGTCTGCGACGGCCGCGATTGGCAGGCGCGTTTTCGGATCCTCCGCGCCGTTTTTCAGCTCGTCTGGGCGGGGGCGCAGCCTTAAACTTGGAGCCCGGAGTCTGGACCCAGCGCAACAACAGACCGACCCTGTATTAGATTGAGCTAGCGGACTTCCGCCATGCATTTGGTCAAGCCTCAGCCCTGAGACAATGAGCCAAGGCCCTTGGGGTTTACAGTGGGACGCCGAAGGGGTTCGGCTTCAGGGCTGCGGGCTGCGGCTGCGAGCTGCGAAGAATTGATTGGATTGATTCTCATCAGAGACTAATATTGAGGACGAGCATATGGCTATGTTGCTACATATAATTCCTCTCATCGTCATAAACCCACCAGCCTAACAACCTGCCCCACGCGTTTACACCCTCGATTCAGCGGGCTTCTCACTCCTCTCCTCCTCGACCTTGCCAGCCGAAACCTCAATTCCCCTCTCCGCCAGCACATCACTATGCAGCTTATACGCACGCTCCATCTCCCAGAAGAACGGACTCGGCGTCGAAAACAACGCATCAATCGACTCGAGCGACCGATTGCACGTCTCCGGGTAAAACAAATACACAATCGGGATCCAGAGCAGATTCAGCCCCGCGAGCAGGAAATAACTCCGGGACTTCAGGCTATCGAACATGATCGGGTTGACCAGCGTCGTCATCCCGACGCCGATCGCCCAGCCCGTGATTCCGAAGCCGTTACCCTGCGCGCGCAGGTCCGAGGGGAAGATCTCCGTCGGTATGAGGAAGGCGACTGTTCCCCAGGTCGAGGCGTAGGCGAGGTTGAAGAGGAAGAGCATTGCGACGGCGGCGGGCGCGTACTGCGAGGCTTTGTCCGGGTTTTGCAGGGAGGCTTCGTAGACGGAGCCGGCCTACAACTGTCAGCGATGGTCGAGAGATGGGATAGGTGAAACTTACCACGACCTCGACAATGAACAGACTAAGCGCACCCAGCATCAAACACATTCTCCGTCCGATCCGGTCGACAATCTGCGCGCTGATAATCGTACCGATGATTCCGATCGTGTTCAGTCCGCCCGCCAGACCATTCTGCGTGAGATCGCTGTACCCAGCTTGGCTGAGGAGGACAGGCGAGTATGCCGTGACGGCCTGCAATAAACGTTAATCGCATATTCCAGAGTTGGTTGGGTCTGCCATACCGTAATCCCAGTCCACGAGCCCATAATCTGCAACCAAACACACAACCACGCCCTCCGACCCAAATTGGCACCGGGCCGCCCTCCCCTTCCAACCAGGATCTTGCCAAACTGAATCGGCGAGCTCGGCTGGCTATCCTGCGCCATGGCGACGATCTCCAGGTACTCGCGCTCAATCTCCTCGGGCGTGGCCTTGTGCTCTCGGATCCTCGTCAACAGGTCTCGCGCCTCTTCGTTGCGGCCGACCGAGGCGTAGTAGCGAGGGCTGTCTGGCAGCATCTTGATGAACAGGACCAGCAGGATGGCGGGGACGCATTGGAATGCAAGGAGGAAGCGCCAGCGGATGTCCGAGTAGCCGTTGTTGATGAAGGCGAGGCCGAAGGAGAGCCAGTAGGCTACCGAGATTCCGAGGTCTACCATGGTTAGTATCATACTGCCAATTCATGCGCTGATTTAAACTTACAGTTGGCGATGAAGACATAACCCAGGAATCCACCGCGGTGCTGGGCAGAGGACGTCTCCGAGACCAGGACGGGGGTGATACCCGTCAGTGCTATTCCAGATTAGCACAAGTAACCTCAAAAACATCTCCGAGATATGAACATACCTCCAGTCCCAATGCCCGTTATGACTCTAGCAACCAGCATGAAATCCGAGCTCTGAATCGCCGCCTGCAGGGCACCACCCACGGCAGCAAAGATCGACCCGATAAACAAGCCATTGATCCGGCCGATGCGGTCGGCAAGCCACCCACCGGCAAAGCACCCAAAGATGCAGCCGAGATAATAGATACTCACGATGCCCCCCTGGTGCGTCGTATCGGTGACGGTGCCATCGGGCTCACCGATCCCGACCTCGGTCACGTAGTAGGGCGCGGCGTTGACGCCGCCCATGACGCCCTGGTCATAGCCCTCGAAGAAGATGCAGATGAGGGAGAAGAGCTGGATAGCAAAGTTGAGCTGGCGGGGCGAGAGGCTCCGCCAGATGGTTGTGTAGCCCATGGCGAACTCGACCGACAGACTGATGGAGCGGAAACTCGTAGCCGATGATGAAGGCAATTCAGTCACCAACTCCTGGAGGACTGGGATTAATATTACGAGTATCCGGCAAGGGGATCATCGGTTTAAATAAGATTCCAGTACTGAGGTGATCCCACACGCCGGTTGTTAATTCGCCACCGGGACCCCGGAACAGATCCACCCCAGGCGAGGAGGTAATTTGGGGTTTGGCCGTTGGAAAGTTAGAAATCCAGAAAAGTGCGATCGGACGACGGGAGAAAATGAAATTGTTGCAACTGCCCCGGCTCAACCTAAAACCCGGGGGAGGAGACCGAACGTGGAGCCTGCAGTAGTGCAAACGATAGCCGGGGGCAGCTTAGAAGGGTTCGGTTCGCCGGCTCCGTGCAGAGGCGAAACTTTTAGCCTGGTGAGCTTTTAAGCATTTAACCTTGTAAGCTTTTAGCCATTTACGCGCCTAGGCTCCCTTGTCCAATAACACTCGCAGCATCTGCTCGAATTCCAAAAAATGACATCGCTTCAAGATTACTCAACTTCTTCTTGGCTGTTCCAAGCGTTCTACGGTCGCTCATCTATCTAGAAAAATGATGGCAACCGGCGTGCAGATTCGTCCCTTTCAAGCGTTTAGCCGTTTAAGCGTTTAACACCCGAGACATTTATCAATTTACACGCTCAGGCTTCCTTGGCCAATAATGACTCGCAGTGCCATGCAGTGGGGTTTGTCCGCATGTGTCTTCTGATCAACAGCTGCGCATCGAATTCCGGAAAATGACATCGCTGTCAAGGTATTTAACTTCTTCTGGCCTGCTTCCAAGCGTTCTACGGCACCTTTGCGACTTTTCTATCTAGAAAAATGGCGGCCAACGGCGTGCAGAACCATGCGCTTGACCTCACGGTCCTCGGCTTGAATAGCGGCACATCGATGGTAAGTGTCAGTCTTGGAGAAAGAAAGAAATGAGCTCACAAAAGTTGTAACTACAGGATGGCATCGATTGCGCCCTATGCCACTTCCGACAAGAAACCCCCGACTCGCCCATGCACTTTGAGCTGCTCAAGTATGGCGAGATCCCGCTCGAGCAAACCATCAAGAAGCGCGTCATGAACATCATCCTGCACAACAAGACGTCCCCTTCCGAGCTGTCGGAGGTGAATGTAATCCTCGGCGAGACCTTTGCCGCCGCCGTCAAGCAGTTCTGCCAAGACTATCAAGTCGACATCTCCACGATCGACGTCATCGGCTCGCACGGCCAGACCATCTGGCTGCTCTCCATGCCCGAGGCCGGTGAGGTGCGCAGCGCCCTGACCATGGCCGAGGGCTCCTTCCTCGCCTCGCGCACAGGCATCACTTCCGTCACCGACTTCCGCGTCAGCGACCAAGCCGCCGGCCGTCAGGGGGCGCCGCTGATCGCCTTCTTCGACGCTCTCCTCCTCCACCACCCGACCAAGCTGCGCGCATGCCAGAACATCGGCGGCATCGCCAACGTCTGCTTCATCCCGCCAGACTCACACGGCGGAATCGATGCCTGCTACGATTTCGATACAGGCCCCGGTAACGTGTTCATCGACGCGGTGGTCCGGCACTACACCAACGGCGAGCGCGAGTACGACAAGAACGGCGAGATGGGTGCGCGCGGCACGGTTGACCAGGAACTCGTCGACGACTTCCTCACAAACCATCCTTACTTCCGGCTAGATCCGCCCAAGACGACCGGCCGCGAGGTGTTCCGAGATACGCTGGCCTTTGACCTCATCCGCAAGGCCGAGAGCAAAGGATTGAGTCCCGACGACGTCGTCGCGACTATCACACGCATTACCGCACAGGCCATTGTCGAGCATTACCGGCGGTACGCGCCCGAGGGCCTCAAGATCGAGGAGATCTTCATGTGCGGCGGCGGCGCCCTGAACCCGAACATCACGCAGTTTATCCAGAAGAACTACCCCGACACGAAGATCGTCATGCTCGACGAGGCCGGTGTCCCTGCGGGGGCCAAGGAGGCCATCACGTTTGCGTGGCAGGGGATGGAGGCTATTGTTGGTCGGTCGATCCCGGTCCCTACGCGCGTTGAGACAAGGCAGGAGTATGTGCTGGGCAAGGTATCGCCGGGGAAGAACTACCGCAAGGTGATGCGGCAGGGGGCGCTGTTTGGGGCTGGGCGGGATCATCTGCCGCCCGTGAGCGAGATGATTAATTACATTGATGGGAAGGTGTTTGATAACAAGTGGTGAGCATTGGGATGTGTAGATAATGATATATGAATAGACTGCATTTTTTTTTACGTATATCTATCTCTTGTTGGGGTGTATGGACTCTAATCCGAATATATATCTTTGCCTTGGTTGGTTCACCAGCTGCCAATGACTGTGAACCTGACGTATATCATCTCTTTTCTATGACTTCTACATAGCTCTTACAAGCCGCCTCGTAGAGTATCAATGATTATCTTTTCGTCCAATTCTTGAAGAGTTGTTCTGTTTGATGCCTGTGGATGCGCCAAGAGTGAGTTTTTAGTCATGGATCAGCAAGGCCATTGTGGGGTCGCTCCTTCCTGATCCGGGGGTTCTTATTATCAATCAGCCCCTACTAAGCCCGATTAAGACAACCTCGGAAGGAATGATGAGGTCAGAGCCTGCACCTCGGATTTGCCCAAGATCCCCCTGTCCCTGAATATGCGGCGTACGCACGCGTTGACCGATCCTTCGCGCGTCAAAACATGTCCCAACGCCCAAGGAAGTTCCAGCGCATCTCCAAAGCTTGTTCGTAACCCCTGCCTTCCCCTGCCGCCCGTCCCCGTGGCGCGCGGATCTGTCTGTGTGATGTGATGTGTTCGCTCACGTGTTCCCAGGCGACTTTTGCAACCGGCGCAGCATCAAATGCAACAAGAGCAGCGGCCCCCTCGCGCCATGTCAGAATTGCTCGGATTTTGGAGTCCCCTGTACTTATGATCGACCCACCAGGCGACGCGGTGCACGGAAACATGAACATGCCAGTCCTGTACCCGCGGGAGGACCCCTGACGGGATCCAGCGAGAGCGGATCGGAGGTGTTTGGGAAGCTTCCAGTTCCTGTCTCGCGGAATTCAAGTAATGGAGTAACTAATAGCTCCCGCGCTGCCTCGATACCGGCTCTGCCGGACAGCGCTGGGGTTAATCCGTGGAAAGCGTTTGCGGCCGCTTCGCAGGGGACAATTCTTGATCTGGCGCAGGTGTATCTCGAGATTGTTTATCCCATGTATGAATTCTCGGTTATGGCAGAAGAGCGCCGCGCTAAACTTGCTTTGCAGATTTCCACTATTCCACTGGCCTTCATTCACAAGAGCACTCGAGAACCTGGACTACCTCAAAGACGAAGGCCTCTTTGCGTCGACAATGGCCATGTGCGCCCTGGCCTCTGCGCGCGCTCGCGACGGAGCCCTCTATTCGAACCACTGGAACTTGCAACAGCTAGCAAATTCACCCTCCGAAGCATTCTGGTCTGCGGCCAAAGAATCTATCCCCCGTGACCTGTCTGCTGCCAAAGACACCGAGTATATGAGGACTTGCGCGATCTTGAGTATAGCGAGTATCCAGAATGGTCAGATTCAGGATATGCACAAGTACCTGGGCACCTATCATACCCTGGCTGTAATGGACGGGCTGCATGACGAGAAGTTGTGGCCGAAGGATCTTGATCCGATTGTTGTGGAAATTCGGCGGAGATTGGTATGCTCAACATTCGCGTTTCGGAAAACGATCTAACGAGTGTGAAGTTCTGGTCGATTTACACGCTGGATGTCTATTCCTCCATCGTCTGGGGCGGCATCATCCGCCACCGAGAGGCCCAGTCGAATGTGCGCTATCCAGGCGATCTAAGAGACGAATTTATCTTGAGAAACGATACGGTATCGCCCGCCAGCGTGGACCAGAGTGTCGTCTCCGCAAACGGAGCATCAAGCGACTGGATCGTCGGCTGGAATTTTACCACCGACATGTATCGCATCCTCGAACACGCCTTGGACAGCCAGCGCCGACGCTCCCCACCAAACAACGGAACCGCCGAAGTCTGGTCGTTGTTTCGACCCGCGCAGATGGCAGGACCGTGGTTGATGGAGCATGTCCTGGCCATGTACTCGGCGCTCCCTCCGCCATTCCGCGAGGCACGACCTGCTATCGGCGATATCTCTCATGATATCTTCGGTTTTCAGTCTGCGAATATCCAGGCTACCCTGCAGCTGCTGCGCATGGTCATTTACTCGAGTGAGGAGCAGGGCGTCGACGGGAAATGTGATGTAGCGGGGCAGGTCCTGAGTGTTTTCTCCAAGGTGCCCGTTGAGTATTTGAAGGCGATTAGTTCTCCTCTGGTAGGTCATGTCCCTGAACTGGTCACTTTTGAATTGGATTGGCTAATATTTGCAGCTGCATCATTTGGCTGGAATTGGGTACATACTTGGCTCGGTGATGGAGGGGAGTCTATCCGAGTCTTCCTACCAGCGAGTCCGTACGCTCCTGTAAGTTCCAGCTATATCAAAGTCTCAACCAAAGAAGGCTGATCAACGATAGGTTGGAAATGGCCGACCTCCTGCACCGTCTCGAATCCGGCCTCCGCCAATCCACCGGCACAAGCGAGAGACTCCGAGTCCAAGTAGGCCGAATCGACGAGTACATGGCCACCCAAAGGACATCAACATCGAACATACCCCCAGCACCGGCACCGGCACCGCCACGACCGCTCTCGATCCCCGCCACAAACACAGTTAATCCCGCGCAACCCGATTTGATCTCGCCCGTCTATCAGCAGGAGAATATCCCACCGATACAGCCGCCGCTGACGGGGCTCGATGAGCCGATTACGTACTTTCAGCTGCCGCCGGAGTTGTTGGATGATTGGCCCTGGCCGTTTGATGCGAGTGTAAACGAGGGCATGTTTCCGCCTGCTTTTATCAAGTAAACAGCGGCGATCAGTAAAGGGTCGTTCGGACTCGGCTATGATGAGTGACCAGCATCTGCAGAGATTACTACGCACTTCGATAGCTATCTGCTAGATTTGCGACACCACCGAGGCCACTCAAACGGCCAGCGAAAAATCAGCAAAAAAATCTTGCCACGTCGTCGGAAAATAAAACAGATTGAGCCCGGGAAAATCCCACTCGCTCACAAACTGCTCCGGCACAAACGAGGTCAACTCCGTCTGCGCATCAAACAACTCCCAGAACGGCGCCGTGTCCTCGGTTGCGCCTCCATCTGTCCCTAATCCACTCTCGTGAAGCGTCCGCCCATACTTTTCAATGCTCAGCCGAAGAATCTGCAGGTATACATTGCTGTTACTGGCGATGTTGCTGCTCGATACGCTCTTGGTCAAATCGTCGAGAAGTCGGTTTCCATGATTCAGTAGCTCCTCGTGCTCTTCTTTCCCCTCTGGCAGGAGACGAGACAGTTTGAGCAAGAGCAAGAAGCAGAACGCACATTTCGCCCAGACAAAGTCCATTGCATATTTCAGCTTGGCGAGATACGAGTCTGGCTCGATGGTGATCAGGCTGAGATGTTTACGAGCACTTGCCTTTGCCATGAGGAGGATCTTGCGCTCGACGTTGGACATGGCTCTGCGATTCCGAGTTTGTCAGTTGGCTGGCTTTCTCGAAGGGTGAGAGAAGGGAGACGAACGCGACGTTTTCCACCCCCATTGATCGGAGCGCTTTGCAATGCAGCATCATCTCGCCCCAGCACTTTTGCACGCGGAGCGCAGCGAGTAAGGGTCCTCGTTCCTCGTCTTCAGGGGCGAGTGCGTTTTCTATTCAGGTCAGCGTCGCCGTGAATCTTATTTCCCGGCTCTCTCCTACCTATTATTCGCTGCCAGTCGCTGTTCCTTGTCAGTTTGCATACCGAAAGTGTATGATGCAAGGCACTTACTCGAACCACAGGTCCAGATCAAGCTTGGCTTCTTGCACGAACGCCGCGACATCAGCTCGAGCCAGTGGCGCTTTGGTACCTAGAGTTTCGTTTATGTGCACTGCCAGACGTTAGCTTGCTGGGGATAGCCTCGTCCGGGCCTTATAAACCTCTGATAACATTCAACTAAACAACATTAGTCGACATGATTCGAACCTGTATTTGAAAACGTACCTCGACCTGCGAAAACAAGCGGAGGTCCAAAACGGTCGATGACGGGTGATCGAGCAGCTTGCGACACCGCCGCGAGTTTCCCGTCATCCGGATGCCCGGTGGTTTCCCACCGTCGAGGCTGAATCTGCGAATAGTCAGTCCAACAAAAAGGATACCTGGGTTGAACCTGGAGGGAATTTGCATACATATGCTCCAAAACCAACAACCCAAACCACGTCCTCGACTTGCGCATGAGCGCATTCTCATCATCAACCAGGCTCGAAACCCCTGATCCGCCATCAAAATCCTTCATGGTCAAATGCTGCGTGAGCTCCTCGAACGCCTCGTCGAGGCCTAGATCGAGCGCCATCCGCGTCGCAAATGAGAGGATCAGCGACCGCTCGGCGGAGTAGCACGCGATGACGAGGAGCGCCTGGACGGACTCGAGGCAGTTTAGTGTCTCGTTTTGGATGACGACGTTGATCCATTTCTTGAGTTCGGTTTGGAGGAGGTCGGAGAGTTGGGAGCCGGCTCCTGGGGTTGTTAGAATTCGACATACTCTGGAAGGGCTCTGGTTGGTCGAGGGAGATGGCTCGACTTACTGGCCTCTACACGACTCCCAATCGTGCATATTGCATTCAGTAGAATACTGCTCCGGTATCGCACGGATTCAAACGTGTCGTATCTCGGGTCGAAGATCGGAATGTACCTGTCCTACGTGTCCCATCCACGTTAGATTACAGCCATGATACGAGTTAGAAGAGCACCTACACAACCCTGGAAGAACCTGCGCACGTTAGAGCCATAGAACCAGTCCAACATCCCACAACAGGGAAAAAAAGCACTCACGTCGTAAAACAATCAACCGCATACTCAAGCGTAATCATCCCCAAACTCACAAAATCCGCAATCGGCTCCTCCCGCACCTCGAATCCCGAGCGCCGCTTCTTCGACGCACGGAATACATCCCCATGAGCCTGAGCACGTCTAACTCGCGACTGTACTGGAATCTGCCCACGGGCACTAGAGAAATTCGGCTCAGCCGGTGGCATGAGCCCCGGAACACTAGCTGCAGCTGATATCTGCCGAGGGGATATCAGCGAGACGCTCCCGCGACATTGCTGTGCCGGGTCCGGGTCCGTGGGCTGGAGTTGCGAAAACGGTTCGATGCCGGCGAGTACATGCGTGTCAGTGTCATTCTGCGGCTGCGAATTGCCGCGAAGCATCTGTCTCATATCGGCGAGCTGGGCCTGCAGACGCTGGACTTCTGACTCGACGGATTCGAGCCTCCTATACGCGAACATGCGTTAACGCCTTGATTTTTTCACCCGTGCAAGGGAAAGGGGGTGGAATGGAATGACTGACTCGGTAACGGGATCCTTGGGGATTTCGAAGAAGACGCATTGTTTCTTTAGTTTTTCGCATCTAGTGCAATTGATTTGATGGATTAACAGAGGCAATGGTGTATGTTCTGCGATGCAGATCGTGTGTACCTCGTGCATGGCCGCTTCCCATCACATTTCACCTGCGGTGAGTTAGCGACTTGGGTGTGCATCATGATATCAATAGCCGGGGTTGGAAATCGGATACGGACCTTCGATTGCCGACACGCGCTGCATGCTTTCTACTTTCCATCAGACTTGACCAGGAACCCGGGGGGAGAAGAAGGACGTACGGGAATCCGCTTCATAGACGGCGGCGCAGCAACGAGGTACGAGTCTTCAGATGCCATGGTGAGGATATATCAAGCAAAGCCTGGCGAGAGAGCAACAAGATCGGATAATGAAGAGTTGGGCCGAGACGGAGACGAAAATGCGGGGCGGCGGTGTCGTGACCTCGGAATACCCCCGGCCTTGGCTAAGAGGAGGATTTGGGGCAATTGCATGGTTCATGAGAGACAAAGTTGAGTATCTTTACAGACTTTTGGAGTATACTCTTGTAATCATTTTGATGTATATCTGTGGATAGATCAGATCGTCAACCCTCTCCGAATCGTGCTACACTACATACAATCCCCGTCGACCCAGCCTGAACCACCTCCTTCTCCCCCAAATCTCCCCTAGTACACAAACACAAAATCCTCATTCTCAAAGTCCGTAAGGTCCTTGAACGCGTTATCATCGCCCGTCGTCTCTCCTTTCCCAGCCTCCTCGCCCTTGTCCTCCTCCTCAGGCTCGCCAACCGCCTGCATCGAGCGATCGATGATCTTCGCGCTCTTGCCCATGGCGACGCGTCGCTTCTCGTGCTGTTTGTTCAGGTATGCTATGTAGAGCATGTTGAGGCTGATTCATTAGTGTGGGCTGGGGGAAAGAGATGGAAAGGGGACTTACGCCACTAGGACGACGAGGACGCAGAACATTGCGAGGCTGTTTTGGTTATTTGTTAGATAATGTCGGATATTTGGTCAAGTGGGTGACTTACTTGGAGAGGAGACCGCGTCTGTAGCCCGGGGCTTCGTCGGTGGTGTACAGGTTGGGGCCGACGACCTGTTGCATATCAGCGTTGCTCGTCAAATGGGGTGGTGTCTGTTCTGTGTGCATACATTACCAGCGCACTGCCCAACAAGCAGGATACCGTTGATGACCTTTTTCTTCGTCTCACCGGCCGTGTTTCCGGCGGCCCAGGAGTAGACCATTGGTGCTGCACTCGTTAGTGGGAATCACCGACCGAAAGACATTGAAAACGTACTGATTCCTGGGTAGACAGAGATCTGGAACTGTTAGAAATGCTTTTAGATAATGATATCACGATGAGCTTACAATATAATACCCAGCAAGCAACGGCCCCTTGTGAGACTCGCCACGAGGGATCTCCAGCAGCATCACACAGCCAGCAATAGCAGGGAGACAGAGCAATGCAACAACACCTCCCTTGGTTTTGTACCGAGTCGCAAGCCACGCGCCTCCAAGAGTCGCGACCAGTTGGATGGCTCCAAAGGGCATATTGAAGAGCATAGTGTTGAGCTGGTCGAAGCCGAAGGATTCAATGATCAAGGGACCGAATGTGGTGATGCCGCCGCTGGGGATTCTGCATGTTGTTAAGATTATATCTCTTAGGAGGGATTAGGAGTTGGGCTTACGAGATGGAGAACATCAGGGCGAACCAGAAGAAGGACTTGGGGTCTAGGAAGGCTTCCTTTACGTGTGCCCATTTCCATTCGTGGGTTTCGATACCTTGTTGGTTCATGCGGAGTCTGCCGTACTGTTAGCGGTGGCTTGGAACTTGGGGCAGTGGAATGTGTTTACCGTTCAATTGCAAGTAGCTTATCCTCCTCGTTGAGGAACTTGGATTGTGTCGGGGAATCGGGGAGGAACATACTATCAAGAGGTTAGCCAAAGCCATCCCTGAGTGTGTTAGGAAGTCTTACAAGACAACAAAAGCAAACGCAACAGTCAGGCACCCGAAGAAGAGGAAGATGATCTACATGATAGTTAGCCTTGCACTGCTAAAGTAGTTAGGCGCTATTTACCTGGTATGGCGCGAGGCTGGAGTTGATGTGGCCCAGACCAAAGGCGAACAGACTTCCAAACTGTATGTCTCTCAGTATATTGACCACTCTTCAATATGAGAATAACCCACCATGTTCACTACGCCGTTCATTGCATACCAGGAACTGAGCCGCATCGGTTGCTCTCGACGACGGTACCACATTTGCGTGATGGCGATGAAGGCGGGTGCTTTCAAACTCATGTTAGTTCTCCGAATAGATGCGGTGCTTTAGTACCAAGGAGACTTACGGATACCAGCCTCAAAAAGACCTAAGAAGATTCGACAAGCGAGCAAACCCCCAAATGTCTTCGCCGGGGTCATGCAGGCAAGTGAAATACCCCAGAAGAACACCATGACACCCAGAAACTTTCCGAGTCGAATCTTGACAAGGATATAGGCAATAGCAGGCTGGGCAACGAGTTGAACGAGATAAATACTCGATCCGAGCCAGGAGTACTCCTGACCCTTAAGGTTTGCATCCTCGATGAGGCCGAAGACCGAGCCGTAGGAGAGAGTCGACTTGTCGAGCTGCTGCAGGAAGTAGATACCCAGGAGGATAGGGAGCAGTCTCAGATCGATCTTTCGGAGGACACGCTTGTTGTTTTCAGGGGTGAGGATGGTCGAGTGGCCGACATCTTCGATCAGCTCGAGGGCTTTGTCTTTCTTTTGGCCTTCGGGTTGGGATTCGCCTTGAGGAGGCACGGGCTGCGAGGATGCAGCGGGAGCGAACTCGATACGCTCATCCTGCATCGCCTTTGTAGGGGGTGCCGAGTCCGACATGATTGCTTTCTCCCTGGGTGAAAGTTGCAGAGAGAGCAGAGTTTTCAGCAACTTGAGACTGAGTTGAATGAAGTGTAGATGCAGTGTACAAGGCCAAAATCAGCCGTTGAGATACAGAGCGACAAGATGCATATTCTGGCGATCACTCCTCTTCTCGACTCTGCAACGGGGGCATTCGAGTTTTATCTGCAGCCTGCAGCGCCTATAGAAACCGGGGCACCCCGCGGGGAAACCACAATTCCAGCCGTCACGGACGAAATGCCTCAAGTCCGATGGTCATCAGGCCATTGGCCTCGCAACGATGCAGCAGACCACGTTTGCCACATGGAGAAACGTCGGGTCGAGTCAGAAAAAGTGAAGCTGGACGGACGATCTCCGAGTCTCCATCCAATGGCACACTGCCCGTGGGGAAGACGCGCCTAGAACGCTTCGATGAATGCGGGTTAGGGTCGGTTCTCGGGGTCAACCACCGATGCTGCAAGAAAATAACACGGCCTTAGCCTGTGTTCCTGCGATCCTGGGTCTGGTATGCGTCGGGGATACTCCCGAAATCCGATGCGCTCTTGTCGCATCGTCACCGCAACCCCTCAGTGCTCCCCTCAGTTGGAGAGCGGAGAATGCTCCTGCTATGATTCAAATACAGCTCTTTTTCTCGTGCTCCGACGCTTGTCCTATTCTAAACCATTCGCATTCAAGCCAAGATGCCTCAGAAAGAGTACCTGCCCAAGAGCTACCAGGAGACACAGTCGCAGTCGCAGGACGCAAGTCCGGCTGTCTACCTGCACTCTGAAGGCGCAAAGCGATCGTTTGACTTTTCTTTTGAACCAATCCGCGAGAATCTGTTTCGCGTCACCTTCACCTCCCCCGATCACCCTCTCCCTCCCTATCCCAGCGTCACCAAGCCCGCCACAGACCTCAATGGCCTCGACGTAAAGACCGCCGGCGCACCCTCACAAAAGGCCTTCGAGGTCGGAAATGTCAAAGCCACAGTGGACTGGGAAAACACCCCCGTCGTATCCCTGTCATGGAAGGACAACAACAAGACTCTCTACCGCGACCTCCCGCTCCGCTCATACGTCGCCGACGGCGAGGGCATCGCCCACTACACTGAGCACGACCGCAACGCGCTGCACGTCGGACTCGGCGAGAAGAACGCGCCGATGGATTTGACGAGCCGCCACTTCCAGCTCTCGGCGACAGACAGCTTCGGATACGACGTGTACAACACCGACCCGCTGTACAAGCACATCCCGCTGCTGATCAAGGCGACTGCCGACGGGTGCGTTGCCATTTTCTCAACTACACACGGTAGGGGGACGTGGTCGGTTGGTTCCGAGGTTGATGGGCTCTGGGGGCACTTCAAGGTGTACCGACAGGATTTCGGCGGTCTTGAGCAGTACCTCATTGTCGGGAAGACGCTAAAGGATGTGGTCCGATCCTACGCGGAGCTCGTCGGGTTCCCGCTTGCTGTGCCGCGTTGGGCGTATGGATACATTTCCGGCGGATACAAGTACAGCGCGATGGATGAGCCGCCGGCTCACCAAGCGCTGATGGAGTTTGCCGATAAACTCAGAGAACACGATATCCCCTGCTCAGCGCACCAGATGAGCTCGGGCTACTCGATCGCCGAGGTCGAGCCCAAGGTGCGCAACGTATTTACCTGGAACCGATACCGATTCCCCGACCCCGAGAAGTGGATCAAGCAGTACCACGACCGGGGCATCCGTCTTTTGACCAACATCAAGCCGTTCCTGTTAGGATCGCACCCGGACTTCCAGAAGCTCATCGATGGGAACGGCTTCTTCAAGGATCCCGAGACTGGCGAGCCGGGGTACATGCGGCTGTGGAGTGCCGGAGGCGGAACTGGTGGTGATGGGTGCCATATCGATTTCACCTCTGCGGCTGCCTTCAAGTGGTGGTATGATGGAGTTCAGTTCCTCAAGCGTTCTGGAATCGACGGCATGTGGAACGATAACAACGAGTACACGCTTCCCAGCGACGACTGGAGGGTTGCGCTGGACGAACCGACCGTCTCAGAAGCTGTTAAGAGGCAGGAGAAGGACAACACTGTTGGTCTGTGGGGCCGTGCGATGCACACCGAGTTGATGGGCAAGGCTTCTCACGATGCGCTTCGTGATCTCGAGCCGAATGTGCGGCCTTTTGTGTTGACAAGGAGTGCCACGGCTGGTACGATGCGCTACTCGGCCAGCACATGGAGTGGTGACAATGTCACCAGCTGGGAGAGCATGAGGGGTGCAAACGCGCTTTCACTCAATGCGGCCATGTCCCTTCTTCAGGTAAGACAACCAACATAACTCGAGGATCCCAGGCTAACTTGAGACAGTGCGAGGGCCACGACATTGGCGGATTCGAAGGTAAGCCCAGCTTCCAGCATCCCAGAACTGTCGTCAACCAAACGCTAACATTTACATTGATAGGACCCCAACCCTCCCCCGAACTCCTTCTCCGCTGGATCCAACTCGGAATCTACTCCCCACGCTTCGCCATAAACTGCTTCAAGACCTCCCCCGACAACAGCGAAACCGGCGAAGTAATCGAACCCTGGATGTACCCCGAGATCACCCCCAACGTCCGCGCGACAATCAAGCGGCGCTATGAGATCCTCCCCTACATCTACTCCCTCGGAATAGAAAGCCACCTGTATGCGTCCCCGCCACAACGCTGGGTCGGATGGGGGTACGAGGCCGACCCCGAGGTGTGGAGCAAGGCGCTGAAGCGCGGCGAGGAGCAGTTCTGGTTCGGCGAGACGATCCTCGTGGGTGGTGTGTATGAGCCTGGTGTCGAGGTGGGCAAGGTCTACCTCCCGCGGAAATCGGGCGATTCTTTCGATTACGGGTTCGTGAATATGAACGCCCCGTATACGTACTATGCCTCCGGCCAGTGGGTTGAGGTTCCCTCGCAGTGGAAGAGCAGCATTCCGCTCCTCGCCAAGATCGGCGGAGCCATTCCCGTCGGTAAGTCGGTGCAGACGAGGATTCCCGGCGATGAGACCGAGGCGTCTCTAGCCGTCACTGAGGTGGACGACTACCGCGGCGTCGAGATCTTCCCTCCGCGGGGTAGCTCGCACGAGACCGTCTTCTCGACTACGTGGCTAGAAGACGACGGCATCTCCATCGACGCCAAGGTCTCCAAGTACACGATCAACTACAGCTCGACGGAGGATCGGGTGATTGTGGGGTTCACAAAGGATGAAGAGAGCGGGTTCGTGCCTGCGTGGAAGGAGCTGGATATCATCCTGCACAACGGGGATGCTCGACGGGTTGTGTCGGATGTTGGGAAGATGGTCGAGTATAAGGGTCAGGATGCGCGTGGTCGGGAGGTGTACACGTTGAAGTATTAGGATGACCTTGGGATGTACTATGTGGTGTGATGTACGAATGTGACGGCCAGAATGCATCTCGGGTTGGGCGTTGGTTAGAGGATAGAATGAATCATAGAATGAATCATAGAATGAATCATAGAATGAATACATTGATGCTTGCACGAGACACTTTTCCATAGCAACCAGGCCTAGTCGATCTATATAGAGAACAGGGAAGGAGTGAATGGTGTCCATAGCGACTGGGCCAGTCACGCCTTCTGTATCCGTCACGCGTAAGGCCGCTAATGAGGAAGGCGTGATGGAAAATGCTGAAGACTGGAAGGAGCAATGCACCCAGCGTCGGGTTTGTGCCTTCCTTGCAACATGTGCTGTTATCCGTGACGATATATTTAGCATGCGCATGGCTTCTATGGCCCCGAAAATGGGAGCCTAATTTCTTAGCATCGACCAGCTCTCAAAGTGTAAAGACAAAGCACACCTCATCTCTAGCGCGCCAATCAATGCTTGATCAAGACGACCCTTTGCCAAGGCGCTAGCATTGTGAAGGATGCGAAAAGGCGTAATTTATCTATGCGAGGAATTGTATCGAATAATACGAGATACGGTCTTGATCCAGGATGAGGCGCCAAAAGGAGAGCAGGTACAGGTTTGGAGAGCTCCTATTGATTCTTTCGAGGTAGGCAACCGAATTAACCTTGTTTTAGAGGGTCTGAGTAGTACTGATGGTGTATTGGTGGTGTCGAGCTTAAAATGTTGCGGTCTGGGTGAGGGATATTGCAGAGTATATATTAAGCGACGAGCACAGTTAGAATGCCTACCATCAACACTCTCCTAATCAGCACACATACACAATGGCAAAGTGTGTGGCCCCCGAAGAATCAGGATGGACATTCTGTCCAAACCTCCCTGCCGCCATCCTCTTCACCGTCCTCTACGGGCTCTGCATCTTCATCCACCTCTTCCTCGCGGTCAGAACACGCAAGGTAATCAACACCACCATATCACACCTGTCTCCCAAGTGGCACACCCTGCTAACAACTTTGTCCTCAAAGAAATTCTGCTGGGTCATCATCATGGGCAGCGCCTGGCTAACCGTGGGCTTCGCCCTCCGCGCCAAAGCCGCCGACCACATCAGCGGCCTGGGCGACTTCATCCCGCAGAGCATTATCATCTTCCTCGGGCCCCTGTGGCTCAATGGCTTCGTGTACATGGTCATGGGCCGGATGGTGCATATGCTTCTGAAGCGGGACCAGCTATACCGTATCAGTGCGCGAAGATTGACGCTCATCTTCGTTATACTTGATATCATTGCCTTCTTCGTGCAGGCTTCTTCTAGCGGGCCGATGGCTGATGATGACCCTGATACTGCTGAGATGGGCTCGTATATCAGTGAGACTCCTCCCCTCCCATATCTCATCTTCATACGCAAGCTAACGTGGGTACCAGTGATGGGCGGCGTCGCCATTCAACAAGCCTTCATAACGTTTTTCGTGGTCCTGGCCGCACGCTTCCACTACAAACTCCTCCTCGGCGCACGGTACACCCCGTCATACCCCCTCGAACAGAACCACCTGGTCGGGGCTTCCACGCATGAGCGCGACGACAACACAATCGTCAAACCCGCCTTCTACACCGTCCCCTGGCGCCGCCTGCTCTACGCGCTCTACATAACGCTCATCCTGATAACAATCCGGAACATCTTCCGGCTAATTGAGTTCTCGGATGGCGTGCATGGGTATATCGCTACGCACGAGGCGTTCTTCTACTCGCTGGATGCGCTGCCGATTTTTGCGGGGCTGATTGTGCTGGCTGTTGTGCATCCGTCTTGTGTGCTTGAGGGGCCGGATAGTGAGTTTCCACCACGGGAGAAGAAGAGAAATCGCAAAGAGGGGGGCAGAAGGCGGCGGAGGAGGAGTAGGGGAAAGGGGGTGGAGAGTGAGGGTGAGGAGCACCGTGGGGGAGTTACGCATGTGTGAGTTGTTTGAATGGTCGTTGTATATTGCGGCCATGGGAGCGATGGTGTCTAGCTAGAATATTTGCTTTCTTCTGTGTTGCGTTTGAGTCGATTTCGGCGTTGTCGTTGTTGCTTGCGTTGATGCTACGCTTAGTTACATTTGATACTCACTACTATACAGGCGCGTTTGATCTAAAATGGACTCTGATACTTCCTAAACACGCTCAACGGCCGTGCACCATTCAAAATCGTCTCCAGCAACGTCCCATAGTCCCAACCCATAGCCGCTGCCGCAATGGCCGTCAAGCTCGCCTGATCTTCTCTTCCAGGCCGACCAGGCCCAGTCATATTCTAGTATACTCATTAGCCACCTCTATACAAGCCAGACTGAAACAAAGGGTGACATACCGGCTTCATATTGATATCAAAAAGCGCAAACTTGGATCCCTCCTCGAACCTGCGGACATCAACCCGAATCGGCGCCGTCGCCCCAATAAGCCGCGCAACCTCCTCGCACTGCTTCATCGCCTTCCCATACGCGGAATCCTGCATTTCATGCTCCGTAACGACCCTCGAGTTTGCAGTGACTGCCACAACGCCGTTATACGGCGCGATGCCGTCGGCGTGATTGAACCGGGTCACGGGGATCAGACTCCAGTGGGTTGGACGATCGGATGTCGGTGGCATCACTGTGATTGTAGCTTCTTCGCCCGCAAGGAATTCTTCCAGCATGATGAGGGGCGATTCGCCGAGGAGGGTTTGGATGTGCTTCTCTAGCTGCGCGCGGTCATGGCATACCTTCACCCCGTGGCTTCCGCGGCCGCGCACGGGTTTGCCGACGATGGGGTATCGATCTATCTCCTGCAGTACCTCTGCAATATTCGTCGAATCCACAATCCACGACTTTGGCAACGTGACGCTCCCCAACTCCCTCAATTTCCCATTCAGATACGCCTTGTCGTCAAAGTTCTCAACGAGACCCGGCGGCTGGCCGACGACATATAGATCGTCAGACAGCGGCGTCAGCTTCGTTGACGTCTGTAGCGGATGGCTCGAGAAGAGAATCGTATTCGCCCAAAAATGCGTCGCGCCGCGCTGGACGGCGTCGTAGATGCCCTCTTCTGTATCGGGGAACGACCACCCCTCGTGTGATGAGATGAGGGCGGATGGATCCGATTTGAGAACGCTGATGCCCTTTTTCTGGAGGGTGTAGGCGATGTCTGCGCCGGAGTCTTGGTAGCCTGTGGCATGTTAGACACCATATCGATTGGTTGTGTGGAATGTGGATAGTTTACCACCGGGCTTCCGTGGTTTCTGCACGCCGTTGATGATGGGCGGGTCGATTGCTTGGTAGAGGACTGCGACGGTTGGGGCAGCCCTGCCGACCGTGCTAATATGTCGGCGGGCAAGTCTAGAGGCGAGCATCGTGCTTTTATTGTGTGATTAAACAAGGTTGAAAGAGAATTGCGAGGAATTGTCGCGTGGAGAGCTGTCGAGGGGGTTCGGATGCGCTCCGAGCGGATCCATCCGGTCCTCGGAGTCACCCGAAGTCGAAAGGTGACGGACGATTGTTGCCTGAAACTGAAGGCTCCGTTGTCGACAAGTGCAAACTCTCAGCGCTTGTCGGTTCGGTAGCCGGATCGCCAGCCAGAGCTCCATTTGCGAAGGCCAAGGTCGATCTCCGACCGTGGGAAAGTTGGAATTGGGCAGCTTTCATCGCGCGGAGAGCACATGGTGCGCTTCAGCTCTGAAGAGACAACTCGAATCGTTCGACCATCCTCCGTATCGTTTCGGCCGACCGCTTTAAGAGAGAAATTTCGCAATCCACGCACCTCGCGGAGAGGTCGATACCACTCGCAATCCGAATCGCTAGGCAGGGGAGACACGCCATGATCAATCTGAACCTCGGCCTCGAGATCAGACAAATGAGGCATCCGCGTCGCAACGACGGCCCAGAATGCGTCGTACACTAGTCCGGGTGCTCCCCTTTGCATACTGAATTTGATCCGCAGCGCTCGGACAAGGCTTAGCCTCTCACCCAAAACCCCACTGGAAAATCGTAACCATGTTTCCAGCTCGTCCACTTGAAACGTCACTCCCTCGTACAGAACTGGCAGAGCCTCACCGTGTACCTGGCGACACACACGCAGGAGCGAAACCTCACCCCTGGAAACAACTTCCGGTGGGAGATACGGATTTCCCCAGCCAAACTCGGATATGTTGTCGAGGGCCATGCCCCAGTAGCGGAGGGGCGAGAGTGCGCGGCGGACCGCGTGGCAGGCGTGCGTGGTGTGCGCGGCTCGGTCCCCACAGAGCACGTAGAACATGTAGTCCTTTTCAGAGAGGAAATGGACTGTTCCCAGTGGGAGGACATGTCGATAGATTTGGAGGCGGGTCTCGATGGGGAGAATGGTGAGGAATTCGGACTGAGATTCGGCGTCCATCGTCGCTGGCTTGGCCGTTGAGCCTGCAGTGGTTGCGGTGGGGATACTGGAGGATCGCTTCGCCCAGCATCTGCGAAAGCACATCGTCATAAGTTCACAGACTCGCGGTCAGACCTTCTTTGGCGCTGAGCTTGCAGCTGCCATGAGTTGGCACTGGCAGGGCGGCAGTTTAAAAAGCGGATGGATTACATTGGGGCCTATCAGGCACACTCATTCGAGACAACAATACGAGTCCACTCCCGAACTTCCGACTCAAGTCTCACATGAACAAAGCAGCTCTCAACAATACCATTGGTGCGAACCAGCGTCAACTCGCTTTACCTCTTTGATCGTAAGGCTCACCGTTCTGGCCTGGAGGCGCTCCACCAGTCATGATACACGATCAGCGCCAACGTCAACGCCGACACCGACACCGACACCGACATGATAATAAGCTGGGCCATGTGGGCGGGTTTTAGTCGGCCATGTCTCAGTCGCCGCAGTGGATTAATTCAGATTCTATTAATGACCCTGGTCCTCGCTGCGAGGGAAACACGTGTGATTTCGGGTTTTTCATCTCAGAATTCGAGCGAGCTTTCGATCCTCCGTATCCTCCGTGTCCTCCGTCTCCGCCCACTGTGCCGCCAGATTCGGAATCCAGGTCCAGCGATGAGCTGAATTTTGACACCACCCGCAGAGGCCGCGACACTTCCTCGATCCGATCGACCTCACTCGCAATCGAGTGACACGAACATGCCAAACGATGTGGAAAAATATCTCCCCGTCGACACGATGGAGTGGCGGCGGCCGAACAAGAGGCGACGACAGCGCACAATTGCCCTGCGGCTGGTGGTCTCCGTGATTGGCATATGGTTTCTCTATTACCTCTTGATTCCTAGCGGGACGTATACTTCCAAAGACTCAGTGGCCGAGGTGCAAAACTTGCAGGAAGTGATCACCTATTTCGAGCCTGCTCGCCCGCAGAATTCAACATCAATAGATGATGAAACGCCGCAAGAGAAGGAGGATTTGGTAAGGGTAACAAAGCTAAAGGAGGTGCCCTGGCCACAGACAGACCTGGAAACTGCGCTTCAGGATATCTTCACCTTACACCCCGACGAGCTACAAGCGGAATACCTACTGAGGCCGATCGAACTAACAGGCGAGGCCCGACTGCGAGAATTCGGGTTACGCACTCGATACTTTAAGAAGCTTTTCGCAGCATGGGAAACACTTCATATGGTGGCCAGCGCCGATGGTACCGCGCTCTACATCCGCGACGATGTAATCCAAGCAGTTCAGCGCGACCCATCCATCGCGAAGCGACTCGAAATGACCCAGACGGAAATCATCCACTCCTACGAATCGTATCGCTCGATCATCACGCAACTCTCGACGCTGCTCTTCCCTTGGACGGCGCCCTACTACCCAGACCACATGCACCTCCACGCGCAATTTTACCGATCGGGGCGGGGAATCGTCTTTACAGCCGGCGACAAACAGGCCCCGTTCTTACTCACGTCGATCCCAACCCTGCGAGAACTCGGTTGTAACCTACCGATTGAGGTCATGTACCTCGGCGACCGCGACCTGAGCCAGAGCGTCCGCGAGGAACTCGAGGCGCTACCGGGGGTTACAACACGCGACCTGAGACAAATGGTCAACGATCAGGGGTGGAAACTGGCAGGCTGGGCAGGGAAGCCATTTGCGATTCTGTTTGCGAGTTTCCGCGAGGTGATTTTCATCGACGCGGACTCGCTGTTCTTCCAGAATCCCGAGATGCTCTTTGAGGACGAGGATTATCTACAGACGGGCGCGTTGTTCTTCAAGGACCGGTTGATTATGCCGGAGTCGAAGAGGAAGTTCCTCCAGGAGGTTCTACCCAAGCCTCTCTCCTCCAAGGCTCTCGGAAGCCGCTTCTGGACAGGCGACAGCGGGCACATGCAAGAGTCCGGCGTTGTTGTCGTCGACAAGTGGCGACACTTCATTGCCCTCCTCCTAGTGACGAGGATGAACGGACCGGATCGCGATGGGAACAAGGCAGAGAAAATCGTCGGGGTCTATGAATTGGTTTATGGTAAGTCTAACACTTTTATCTCATCAGCCGCCACCCAGTTAACACTCGCAGGCGACAAAGAGACCTTCTGGCTCGGCTGGGAGCTGGTCGGCGACCTCGACTACGCCTTCCACCGCGGCGACGCCGGAACCATGGGCATGATAGAAACAGACCCCGCGCTTCTCCCAGACTCCAAACCCTCAGAAGACAAGCCAGCTGACGACTCGGAATCAGAAGAGTCGCCCGAAACCACCACCCGCGGCGACTACACCATCTGCGCGCCCCAACTCCTCCACCTTGACCGCAGCGGCCGACCCCTCTGGTTCAACGGCTGGGTGCTACCGAATAAATACCAGGGGAAGAATCGCGAGCCGACGGATTTCCAGGCCTTCCTCCGGGAGCCCCGGGGACGGCGCGAGCCGGATGCGTGGCAGTTACATGAGCATAACGTGTGCTGTTTGACATCGGAGTACATGAGCGAGTTCAGCGCCGATGAGCGCGCAGTTCTAGATATGATCATGGCTTCTGGGCGGCGCGCTGGGGCTTTGGGGAATAAGGCCGGGACTGCCTGATTCCTCTGTCCAGTGTCGGGGAGGGATGCTGACAGCTGACGCTCCCCGCAGCTGACGGATTCATGCCGCGGCTGTTGTGCTTATTAGTTTAATGAAGAATACGAGACGCTAATATCAATCCTGCACGCGTATATGAGGCACTTGACTTTCAAGTTCAAGGAATCGAATTTGAAGCGACAGTATCCCACATACCTTTGAGATGGGCGTTCCACTGCCACCTCCTGTTGCGAGTCTGGGCAAGAGGAGGCATGTAGGATTCTAGACCAAGCCCCGTGTCGCACCATGTCCGGACTCCGGAGGATCTTGGCGACCCCTGCAGCCAAGGCGCTGAGCAATTTAGCTGCCTACAGGGCATTAAAAGGATTGCCCTCCCCAGACTCCGACCTCCGATCCCAGAGAATCACCTCCATCCCAACATTCGTCTCCCCACCTCGACACATCAATCAACCAACATCTTCACAATGTCCACCACACAAATCCCCGCCCTCCTCCAGCCCATAATCGCCCTAAATGGTTGGACCTTCGCAATGGAAATCTGGATGTACGCCACACGCATCCCCGTCTTCACGCGCCTCAAAGTCGCCGCGGACAACACCAGAACCCGCGCCGACATGGACCGGCTGACCCCGGCCCCGGTGCGCTGGAAAGCAGACAACTACAACAACCTCTTCGAGCAGCCGACGCAGTTTTACGCGATTGCGCTGGTGCTGGCCATTGCGCGGCGAGCGGCTGGGGAGGCGGATAATGCTCTTGATCTCAAGCTTGCGTGGGTGTATGTGGGGTTGAGGATCGTGCATAGTCTGACGCAGGCGACGACGAATAATATCATGCGCCGGTTTTCGCTTTATATTGCGAGTAGTGGCGTTGTTGCGGCTTTGGGCGTGAGGGCTGCGATGCTTGTTTTCTGATCGCCGAGGATGGGAATCGGGTGATGGAGCTAAATTGGGTTGATTTGGAAATGTATAAGATGGAATCGTGGCTTCGTTATGTACATGCGTGTGTATAGGAAATAAAATGCAGAAGAGAATGAAGCACATCAAACCTGACCCCTCGCCTGCATCTCCGGCTGCCCCGCAGACACAAACTTGCGCAGCTTCACCATCTTCTCAAAGTACCTCTCGCCCCGTCCCAGCGCACAATTAACCTCGCTCGGATGCATCCAGCTCAGCGCCAGGAGGACAATAAACATCAACATGGCATCGAAGACATAGATAAAGACCTCCTGGCGCATAAGGTACGAATCATATCCCATCAGGTACTCGACAACACGAATCACCGAGCGAACAAGGATAAGCACGCTCGTAAAGCACAGCGCGACCATATGTCTGCGCCAGATACTCTGGAGCTGCGGGTCGACCGTGAGCCGTCTCCGCGCCATGCGCAGCTCGAAAACGCCAGCTGTAATGATGAACAAGGTGAAGAAGATAATCTGCACAAACAGCCCGCCGACAATAATGTTCTCGCCCATCTTGGGGTCACTATCCGACTTGACCATGATCCCGGCCCCGGAAGCCTGCATGAGGAAGGAGAGGACGTCGCCGGCGACAAAGACTTTCGTGAGGAAGCGTAGCCGGATGATGGAGCACTCTTCGGCGTGGAGCATGGCGATGATCCGGCCGAGGATCATGTAGATGCTTGCGGCGAGGAGGGCCGGGGCGATGAGGATCAGGGCGCTTTGCATCACGTAGGGGCCGGTTGTCCAGTTGGGGGATTCGGTGGAGGAGAGAACGCGGCCAATGTAGCCGATTGTTTCCACTATTTGAAGAAGTTAATATCCTGTATGAAGTATGGATAGAAAATGGACATACAGACGCCACCGATGGCAAACGGGATCATGAACCATGTTCTTGTTCGGAGGAGCTGGTATAGATGGAGAAAAGTGGTGAGGCCGAAAAGGGCGGCGAAGATAGCCCCTGCTGCGAGGGAGGGGTCGTAGTAGTAGAAGGTGAACTCCGTGACAGCCATTTTGTAAAAAGTACTACGCAGCGTTGATGAAACGAACTGTGTCTGCTGTACCCTGATCAGGAGGACAAGAAGACCCTTATATAGCACCGCCATCCCATTTCCCATATACTGCCCCTTCTCCAGGCAAATCCATTTCAAAGTGCTGATTGCCGCACGCAAATTCAGTAAAAGTGGGTCTCGTTCTCGTACGCATATCCCCTTTGGGCGAAACTGAAGCTTTTTCCCTGGGTGGCTCCACTTGGAGCTTCTCTCTTTCTCTTCGTTGTCTTCTTCCGGTCAAGCTCCGCGTCCAATTTTTATCGTGTTTGAAGATCGCTGCCGCCTGCTCGTACCTCGTATCAGGGGCCACCTTGAGTTACTGCGCGGTGAGGCGCTGCCTCCCACGGTCCATGGACCACCGGGCGGCGGATATCCAGCCCATACCTGACCGTACCTCGTAGCCTGTAGGGCATTCTAATTTTGCAACAAGTTCCACTTTATCTCTGAAAAGCTGAGGACCTGGCTTGTTTGATGGTGACGTGGGATCGTATAAATATGAAAGATCAACGATATTTTAGTCCTCACGACTTTCGTTAATTTCCAACTACCTACTTTCTGACTTTCCTTGATTCCAATCGGCATACCGATCATTCTTTTCCGATGGCGTACAAATATTACGAGTACAACCCCTCAGAAGGCGCTGCAATCCCTTTCGCCGCCCTCTTCGCCCTGTCAACGGCCATCCACATCTGGCAAGCGATCCGCGCCCGGACATGGTACCTCATACCCTTTATCATCGGCGGTCTCTGTAAGTCATCCCGACACGGACCCTAAGAAGACACACCCAAGACTTACAATTCAATCCCAGTCGAGGCAATCGGCTACCTCTGTAGATTCATCAGCGCGCGAGAAACCCCCGACTGGACCCTCCAGCCGTATATCGGGCAGACCCTGCTCATCCTCCTCGGCCCCTCGCTCTTCGCGGCGTCGGTATACATGCTTCTCGGCCGCATCATTCGAACCCTGAATGCGGGCTCTCTATCGCCTATCCGGCCGACGTGGCTCACCAAGATCTTCGTCGTGGGCGATGTTATTTCATTCTTGATGCAGAGCGGAGGTTCGTCGAGTACCCAATTCCTCTCTTGCCGCTTCTTCGAAACCATCTAACTATTTATCTGTATTACAGGCGGCGGCATGATGGCCGGCGCAAAAGACGCCGACAAGGCCAAAATGGGCCAGAACATGATCCTGGGCGGCCTCTTCGTGCAGATCCTCTTCTTCAGCCTCTTCATCGTCGTCAGCATACTCTTCCACCGCCGCATGCTCTCAACCCCTCTGCACTGCACGGGTGGAACCAGCATCCCCTGGAACAAGTACATGAAGATCCTGTACCTCGTCAGCGTCCTGATTATGATCCGCTCGGTGTATCGCGTTGCGGAATATGTGGAGGGCAAGGAAGGGGAGCTCATGAGTAAGGAGGTCTATATCTATGTGCTGGATGCGGCGCTCATGCTGGCGGTTTGTGTTGCGTTTAATGTGTGGCATCCTGGGAATGTTGTGGGGAGGGACGTTGAGTATAAGCAGGCGGAGGATTTGGAGATGTTGTCTGGACGGCCCGAGGGGAGGTTTTAGGGGGCTCTTGAGGTGTTTCTTTGAGTTGTTTGTGGATAGAGAATGGGCGGGTTAAATAGAAATACAGTCTAGATTGTCTTCCTGTCCGATGATCAATTCAGATTTGGACTTGAGTATGAGTAGGCATGGGTACTATTGAGAGAGGACAATCAGGGCTGCAGCGAGAATCCATCGTCTCCTCCAGGAGACAGAGAATATTCTATGGACAGTATAACCTCATGGTATTGCTCTAGTTGCGCTACGAGAGGATAATGACGCCAGTACTAATTTATTTCTCGACCGAAAGTTGTCAGCATGTTCCCCTCTACAAGCAGAGAGATATCAAATAGAAGCAGTAAAGTCATAGCGCCGACTCTATAAAACCGCGAACAGTCTAAAGACCCGAAACCTCTCTGATGAACTGCAGTAAACCCGAAACATAACTTCATAATCACGTCGTAGTCCTGTGGTAACGCCCAAACGCCTCTACCCATCGCTCACATCCAGTATCTATCTTCTTCAGGCTCTTAACCAAAGAAAAAAAAAAAACAACGATAAAACCCCCTTAAACGGCCTCCTGATATTGCGTTGCCTTTCCAGGCACGGTCCCATGCTGTTTGTAGTACCGCCTCTCCTTGATGCAGACGAAAGAAAGGAACCCAGCGAGGCCACTAGAGAAAACAACCCCAAAGTTAGATCCCATACAAACGCAACAACAGAAAGACCACATACGCTAGTATCAAGGCCAGAATGATAACAATAGCGCCCACCGCCTTGCTACTGGTACTGGTCGCCCCGCTCGCACCCATGATCGTGATGACGAAGAGCGCGAACCAGAAGACCGTATCAATGATGTTCAGGACAACGTTGACCTTGGTATTCGCCCATCGCTTTAGCTTATCCACGTGCGCCGTCGAGACCTGGTATGCCATGAAGACGGCGGATTTGAGGGTCTATAAGTGGGTAATTAGTTAGTGATGCGGACAGGCTTGAGCTAGATTGGCGGTTGAGGGAGTAGCTGCGGACTTACCACGGCGATGCCCCATGTGTTGGTCCGGGATCTGGGGGTTCCACTATCGGCTACGCGGACGATGACGAGGATGAAAGTGAGGAGGATGAGAGCGCCGGCGATGATGTGGAGGCGGAATTTGGCGCGGGGGATGTCCTCCGCGCGGATATTAAGCTTTTGGAGCATGGTGGGAGGGTTGGTATGTGCGGGATGTCAATTGAGTTTTGATTGAGGGTTGGCGATAGAAGGAGAGAATGTTATCGATATCGAGAGATAGTTGAATGTGCAGCGGTGAGATAGTAGTGAATGGGTCGTCTGCTGGAATCCAAGTACTTATACCGAATGAAGCCTCGTAAACCAATCCTGAATAGTAATACGAACGAAAAAGTGCTGCCTACCCAGTCCCCGACCCTTAAATCACTTAACCTTAGAGTTAGAGATCCAATCTAATAATAATAAGGTGGCTGGCGCAATATGCCGTGGAGCGCGAGTCTGCAGCAATGGCGCTCTCGTATCGGTATCCCGAAAGGGAAATCTATACTGGAGCGGGGCGGCGCCAGCCACGACCAGGGGCCCCGAATTGGCATTTCCTAGGCAACAGTAAATCAGATGCTTAGTTTGTCGGCTTTGGTTTGCGTACTACGTATTCCTAATTTGGACGCGGCGTTTGATCTGCACATTGGATGGTTTGCGGCCTGGGGCGGGATTATTGTACATGGGCTGCTGGCTGAGAGGTTTTGTGGATTCGCCTCTTCTGAATACAAGGTTTTGTGCAATCAAAGTACGTGTGTTTATTGAATAGACTGTGCTATGTGTGATTGAGGAGCAGCTATTTCGACTACCCATACAACGAGATTATATAGCCGCGCTCTGATATCCCTCTCCCAAGACCTCCCGAATCGGCCACTCAACATGCACCATCCAGCTGGGATCCAAAAGCTGAAGCACATCCTCCAAAACCGCCCTTCCCCACAGTTGCAAGAATGGATTCCAGCGCGCCATATGCAGAAACACACAGTAGTGCGCATGGACCACAAGCGCTAGCGGCGCTTTCGCCTGCAGATACTCTAGATACTCCGGTGACACGCGAATCGCCCATCCCGCCGGAAGCGTCATGGAGTTCGGCTGCGCAAAGGCGTGCGCAGATAGGCCACGCAGGGCCGAAATGACGCGGGTATAGGTCGCTGCGTCGTGTGCGCCTGCGTGGAGGCAGTCCGTGTTCAGTCGGTCGAGATGGTCGAGCGAGCGCTGGACGTGGTCAGGGATTTGGACGGGGGGATCGCCTGGTGTGAAGAGTGGCGCAAAGTTGCTGGTGCACAAGAAGGAATGCGCCTTGCTCGTGATCTGCTGCACGCCGCGACACAGGACAAACACGTTGTTCAGGGCGGCGAGACCTGGTTTCTCGCTTTCGGAGACGGCCGTCAGGGCGGAGCCAAAGGCGTAGGCGACAACGAGGGCTGAGAGCCCCATCAGCGTTCTCGAGTTCTCTGGCGTGACCTGCCGAATGCCCTCTCGGAGCGCATGCAGCGCCTGACCTTTGTGCGCTGTGGCCAGTTCGAGCCAGAACGGCTGCTCGGAGGGAGCCTCGGAGAGCGCAAAGTGCAAGGCCGACACGGCGAGAATACCATGCATGAGCGAGGGCGATTTGAGCGCTTCATCGACGAGGTGCAGCTGCCAGACGATGCGGGTGTCTGTGTCGCGCGAGAAGAACTGACATGTCTCGTTCTGCCAGTTGACCAGTAGTCGCATCTGCGTCAGGTCGACGGTCGGGACTGCGGTTGACGTTGCCGTCGATGTCGACGGCGTTGATCCATCGGCGAACCCTCCCAACAGCCAGAATGGCGCGTTGGGACTCGGCGACGCGTCGACGGTGCTTTCTCTGGAAGGCTTGTTGCGCCGCCGGCTCCGCGGTCGCGCGGGCTCGTCTGCCGCCCAGATGAGAGACGATTCAGCGACATATTCGCATGTTTCGTCACGCTGGCTGCAGTTGGAGCAGACGGGCCTTACTTCGTCGCACTGTAAACTTGGTTAATGCATTGAAACGGATAATCTTCTGAGGGTGGCGCACCTTGACTCGGCGCTGCTTGCAGGCCTTGCAACCATGTCTCGACTTGCGGTGCGTGCGACGCGTGGGCATTACGGCGTTGGGACGCTCACATCACAGCATGTGGCGATTCGATATTCGATTGCTCTTACTGGGGCTTTGTACGTCGTATAGAATTCCCACAAATAGGCATCCTCGTTTCTGATACCGCTGGATTCATTCATGTCAAGAGTTCAAGGTTTGGGGGCGAAAAGTTTGATTTGCCGTGACGGATCTGCCGAGTTGCCGGGAACAGATTACGGTACGAGTACGAGAGCTAATACATCAATCGATCATCTTCGCTGTCTATTTCCTCAGAAACGTCAAGGCTGCAATGCATAATGCATCCACGCCGGCCTTCAATGTTGGATGGATTACCGGCGCGAACAGCGCAGAGTGGTTGCCTGGAATCTCCTCTGTCTGCCCCTGATCCCACAGCGCATGGTCAATCCCCCCAAGGAACCAGAAGACAGATGGGACACCGATGGCTGTTGCCAGTGTCGGAAAATCCTCACTGACATTCGTCCGCTCGGTGTCGGGATTAAAGTCACCTTGGAAATGCTCAGCAAAGGAAGCGGCCAGAACAGCAGCGACTTCATGGTCATTATTCGTAGGCGGGAAGCGCCTCGTCGGAGTAAAGACTGGCGGCTTGGGTGAGCCACTGGCCGCGCACTCGGCCTCGACAATCCGCTTGATCGCAGCGATGACCTTCTCGCGCGTCTCGAGCTTCACCGTCCGGAAATCAAGCCCAATCTCCGCCCGATCCGCAATGATGTTCTCCGTCTGCCCGGCCTGCAGACTACCCACAGTCACAACCGCCAGATCACTCGGATCAACCTCGCGGCTCACGATCCCCTGCAGTCGCACGACAATATGCGCAGCCAGCAGCGCCGGATCAACCGTGTAATGCGGTAACGAGCCATGCCCGCCGCGCCCAAAGACCGTAACCTTCATACTATCACAAGCCGCCATAATCGTGCCCTGTCTTGACCCGATCGTCCCAGCCCGAAGCCTCATAACATGCTGCCCAAAGACAAAATCAGGCTTGGGGATCTTCTCATAAAGCCCATCATCAACCATCGCCTGCGAGCCCGCCCCGCGCTCCTCATTCGGCTGAAACAATACAATCAGCGTCCCGCTCCACGAGTCCCGGATCCGCACCAGTGTCTCCGCCGCAGCGAGTAGGCACGTCATGTGCATATCGTGTCCGCACGCATGCATAACAGGCTTCTCGACCCCGTCGGCGTCGCGCATGCGCACGGTGCTTGCGTACGGAAGGCCCGTGAGTTCCTGCACGGGGAGGGCGTCCATATCCGCACGGAGAAGGATCGTCCTTCCCGGTCCATTTCGGAAGACGCCGGCCAGGCCGTACCCGCCAATGTGGGTGTGCAGCTCGTAGGCGCCTAGCTTGTGTAGATGTGCGGCTATCTTTTCCGAGGTGGCGCGTTCTTGCAGGGAGAGCTCCGGGTTGCTGTGGAAGTGTTTGTAGAGGAATTCATAGGGTGTGAGATCCAATGAGGCGTAGTGCAAGATACTTGATAGTGTGGTCTGTGCCATTGTTGCCCTGTGTTGCCAGAGAAAGGGTGGTTGATTGCGAAGGAAAGTCGATTTAAGTTGACAGTTGGAGGGGTTTTGGATCGGTTTTCCGCGGGGAAAAGATGTTCGGCATCGGGCGCCCTTACCTGAAATAGTATAGCACTTGTAAATGAATCATTATGATTCGATATGGCGTATTAAATACTCACCTTGCTCCAATGTGGCTTGAGCTTATACGGAATTGCTGCTGGTTCACTGCCTCTACCAAAGCTTGCCTGCGAATATTTTAGCTCCCAGGCCTTGGGCAGCTCCGCCCTCCAGGTTAACGCCCTTTACATGTTCTACCAATCGCATATGCATGACGGGTCATTTTCGTCCTGGACGCCAACTTGACCAGGTCATCAAATCCGACTAGCTCCGACTGTTGGAAACTTGTAGGCATGGTGGATGAACGTATCTTATAGGCCGATGCTAAGCTGCTGTTTCTCTTCTTACATTATAGAGAAGACAACATGGAATATATCTCACTCTTGCAGGGCCCTGGGAACCATTGAATCGAGAGGGAACGTAGATGGATAACCTCTGGAGGACCTGCACCTGCTGTGATCTTCATGTGGTACCCGTAAACTATCAGCCGACAGTATCACTTGGGTGGCTCAGAGCTACTAACGAGAGAGCGAGTCTATGTATACAGTAGTGTAATCTATTATGAATTGCTTAGGAGGAACAGAACAAGATGCCAGGGGATTGCAAAAGATACATGACTCATATTACACTACACTTCCTGGACGACAGGCGTCTGTTTCTTCCAAAATGCCTCAATCTCCCTTGCATACTGCGTCTCTTCCCGCGGAACCTCCCACTCCGCCCGATGCGCCTCCGCAATATCCAGATACGGACCCAGCGTCCGTTCCAGATGCTCAGCAGGTGTCCCCGGGAAATGCACCAAATAATCCCCCGGATGCACCTGGTATTGCGGCGGCGAGTCCGAGTTCAACATTTCTCCATCTGGCGATCGCATGTAGGCGTTGAACCATCTCAGTGGAACGTAGACGACCGAGTGGGCAAAGTATTCGTTTTCTTGAAAGAGGTTGTTCATCGCGGACTGGTCGGGCCAGTACAGAGGGATGTCGGGATGCACGATTGGATAGGAGATTGCGGCGGTGAGGAACTCGACGGACCAGGGATGCACGCAGATTGGAAAGACGCCGTTGTTTAGGCCGTTCCAGTCTTTTGTTAGGAGTAGATGGATGTGAGATAATTGAGGTGGGGGGAGGAAGATTTCTAGCGGGATGTTGGGGTTCATGACTATTGTGTCGGCGTCGGACCAACTGTAAACATCAAGTAGGTTAGCGAATGCGAATGCGTCAAAATCGAGATAGTTCACGTACAACAGCCACTCCAGTCGCTGATCATCTGGTTTTGCCAGCTCCTGCAACATCACTGAGAGAAGTATGGCCAGCTTGTTCCAGTACCCGTCCAGCATGGGGCTTTTGAGCACGAAAAGCGGGTAACCCCAGTGGCGACTGTGTTGTTCATGAGTAGCGAGTGTCCTCTCGTATACTGAATGGTTGCCATGGACTGACATGACCTTGCCGACTTTTGGTTGGGGTTGTTGAGCACCGAGTGCTGCGATATGTTGATGAGCTCACTCTAATGAGGTTGCAGGGTGCAGGCGGTTAAACTTACAATAGTTGTGAAAGAGTCGAAAGACCCAGAAGACCCCCATGAGAAACAGGGCGACATGCAAAACAGATTTCAGCCTAGGCCGTTGGCCACGGTGACCATAAGTATTCATTGTACGGAGTAGCAATTGTGGAGGTGCCTGACGCATTTCAACTTGTCAGAGTCAAAGATGCGTAAAGCGAGGCGAGGCACCAGCCAACTTTAAGTGTAATTAAGGGTGCGGCACAGTCATCAGCGCCATCGAAATGTACTATTGGCTGGAGTATCTGGTTTGTTTGTTACACCTCTAAGCGCCGCCCTCGAGTCTCAAGCGTCGGCTGCTCATGATCCTAGAGCAAAACAACCACTAAGACGAGGAGGTCCAGGAATGAGGCTGGCAGACTGCAAGCTGATTGGGAGCAATAATAAGCAACGGCTAGGATCTACCTAGTAACCACAGCAGGGTAATGCTCTGCGAATCCATCCGGGTCCCACAGAGCCGCAAAAACAAAATACGCCCAATTCCCAACTGGACCGGATTACTATTAGCGCTTAGAGTACAGACCCCTTCTGACTCCATGGCCAAACGTGTGCATGGGTTTCAGAGATAAACTTCCACTTAACGAATCAGTATTCCCGTCTTTTGATAGGTATGCATGCATCTACAACATTCATTTTATGCGTCGTAATGTACTGCCGAGATCAAAGACCTCTTTCCCGACAGCAAGAAAACTCATCCACTCCTGCGCAACCTCTTCGTCGAGTGTCTGCTACTGCGCGCCGTGCGTGTCCATCTTGCGATTGCATCAACGCTGATCACCCTTTCGACTAATTGGGCAGATATACGTAGATACAGGGGTTATGAAAACTTCGTGAGAGACCTTATATCATACATTCATATTGTTTTTCACCGGATTGAGCAGAGAGAAGGCCAAGGCCCATGTGTATTACATCCAGGCAATCGGGCCCAGTTATACAGTTCGTAGCATCAAGAACCCGGCACAGAATTCATAATCCATTGACCATTTCCCACGGAAGATCCGTACTGAGATCGCCGGCGAGATTATACCACCCACACAGATCATCAATCGAACCCAAAAGCGAAATGGGATCTGCCTCACTGCTTGATAGGTCAGGGTCACCACCCTCGGAGGACCCAAGACTCCCACTCCCCTGCCCATCGCCTGCACCGCCAACAAGCTGCGGGAGATCGCTAGACCCCGGCGTTGTAGTACTGCTAGTCCCTGTACCTGCACCTCTAGGAAGTCTAACGCCTAACACGTGCTGCGCGATCGTCTGAATCTCCCTTACATTCCGCGCAGTCCGCGGCCAGAATTCACCCAACGCCTTGAGACACCCAATCGTCATGCGGATCTGATCTCTCGCAATCGCGAGTTTCGCGCCCTTGAGGTAGAAGTGGCACGCCGACAGCAGAGCCAGCGTCCCCTCGCTAACCATACACGTCGTAAAAGGCGTGTGCCTGAATGGGCGGGATGGTAGAGCGAGGAGGCGGATTTGGGCTTCGACGGAGCGCATGACGCGCGCTGTGTGCACGTTTATTAGGTCGGGCACTGGGATATCGGGGGGTGGCTCGCGGGCGCAGCTGGAGATGTCTTCGACCGGGTTGAATTTTAGGTCGGAGAGGGGGCGATGGATTCCGACTGTTGCCCTGCATTGCTGTCAGTCGATTTGTCAGGTTGTTCTGAATCAATGGAGGGAGAAACAGGAAGCTCACACGTGAATAAGGAGATGTGCTTGGAACATCAGCTCGTCAATTTCTCCCGTCTTGCTCATCACCTGCTTCTGACCCTTCGGCAGGAGAAGCAGCCACCCGTCAAGGGCAGAGTCTGCGGCCTGGATTATATGCATCGAGTCCTCTTTGGCCGCACGCCTGGGCACCATGGCTATTGCCAATGCCGCACATCGAACGGCGCCGATGAGGTACGCAAAGGAGGAGAATACGATATCATCAGAGGCGAACTCTCGGCAGTCAAAGTCCTGGACCGACTTGGGCTCAGGTATTACCTGCAAAGGTTAGTAAAAGTCTCCAAAAAGAAGTTGTGCCAACATACCCCCGACTCATATTCGTCCTCTTCACAAGGAAGCTTGACCGTTGCATTAACATCCACGGCACGCATCTCCATGGTTCCCAGAGTCCCCGTGTAGTACGCATCGACTATGTACAGCATCCACCAAGTCCGTCGCCAGCTCTCTGCAAGGACAGGATCGTCGCCGCCGTACTGTATGGCGAACTCCTCGCGAGATAGTTGCAGATTCAAAGCAAGCTGTATCGCATCATCGGACTCACTCTTCGCCTGGTTCTTCTGGTCGTACCAGAACAGGGCGATGGAATATAAAAGCCGAGCCTGGATTATGATGGGGTCGGATGGGCTAGCCTGCGCGCAACAGGCTTCAATATGATCTTTTAACTCGGTAGACCATTCGCGACGGGCGTATATGTGTCCGATGAGGCGCATAGCTGCGATCAGTGGTTGCCAGCTGGGCTGTCTGCTGGGATCTTGGTAGTGTCTTGTCATGTGTCGCTTGGGTAAGACGAAGGGGTGGAATTGGTGAAAGTTCTTGTAGTAAGAGTCGATCAATGAATCATGCTCAATAGTGATCATTTGGACGTGAATAGAGGCAGGTGATCGTGAAGAGTTGTCGACGTTGATCCCATCGAGCAGACCGCCACCGAAACTCGTGTCGATGGCCTCCAACGACAGCCCCAGATCGGCTGGCGCAGGAGGCACACCATTGTAAGCCCAGTCTACACCCCTTTCATTCCCACTCCCATTCCCACTCGAATTAGCAGCAAGCCTCTTCCGCCTTTCCGCCAACGCAGCCCGATCCAGCCCTCCCCGCCTCGATCTCGCATAGTTACATTCCTGAGCGGCTTCAGCACAGCGGCTACAACACGGTCGCCTCCCGTCGCATTTTAAGTGTCGCGAGCGACAGGAGAGACAGGCCAGTGAGGAGCGCGTCGCCTTGGAGTTTTTCGTAGGGGTTGTCATGGGGAAAGAAGAGGATGAGGCTGGTGAGGGGTGGATCGTCGTCGCGTTGAAGACGTGCGGCAACTCGGGGTCTCGCGGGTATCCGCTGTGCTTGGATTGGATACCCGGATCGGCGCCGGTTGCTCATTGGTCAGTGGTGGATTGCCGGGATGGCGACTCTGTGTGGGAGGGAGTATAAAATTGGGATATAATTCGTAGTCACTACTTTGCAATAGCATACATCATCTTGTCTATCAAATATATCTGACCATCCCATCAAAACAACATGTCCAAGAGAATCCTCATTATCGGTACCGGATTCGCCGGTGTCTGGAGCGCCCTTGCTGCGAAGCGCCTCGCGAAGCTGGTCAAGAGAGAGGACGAGCTTGAGGTTCTTGTCGTTTCTCCAAAGCCCTCGTTGGTGGTCCGTCCGCGTCTCTACGAGGCCAATGCTGCCAATATGACCGCCTCTCTCGAGCCCCTCTTCCAAGAAGCTGGCATTGAACATGTCCAAGGAATCGTGCAAACCATCAACGCTCAAGACAATACCGTCCTTGTGAAATCGATATCCGGAGAGGAATCAACTATAACGTATACCCGGCTCATCCTAGCAGCCGGAAGCTCTATCATTCGACCAAAGTCCATCACCGGCATCCACGAGCATGCATTCGACATCGACTCCCTCGATGCCGCCGCCAAGCTCGAAGCTCACCTCAACAGCCTGGCATCCCTTCCCGCCAGCCCAGCTCGCGATACCATCGTTGTCTGCGGTGCCGGATTCACAGGCATCGAAATCGCAACCGAGCTGCCCAAGCGCCTCCCAACCCCGAACACGAAGATCATCGTGGTCGAAAGCGCCGACAATCTCGGGCCAGAGCTCGGACCCGGCCCACGCCCCGTCATCACGCAGGCCCTGACCGAACTCGGCATCGAATACAAAATCGGCTCTCCAGTGACAACCATTGACACAGACAGCGTGACCCTGGCCTCTGGTGAACGCATCGAAACCAAGACCGCCATCTGGACTGCGGGCGTACGCGCAACACCCCTAACCCAGCAAATCCCAGCCCCCAAGGACGCCCTCTCCCGCCTCGAAGTCGACAGCCACCTCCGCGTCCCATCGTTCCCCAAAATTCTAGCAACAGGCGATACCGCCCACGCCGCCACGGATAAACTCGGCAACTACGCCCTAATGTCCTGCCAACACGCCATCCCCATGGGCCGCGTATCCGGCCACAACGCGGCGGCCGATCTCCTCGGCGAACCACTCATACCGTACTCGCACGAAACATACGGGTGCTGCCTGGACCTTGGGACATGGGGGACTGTCATCTGTCTCGGATGGGAGCGCGAGGTGAAATATACGGGGGATGTGGCGAAGCGCGTCAAGGGGTTTATTAATCGGACGCTGATTTATCCGCCGGCGGATCTGGATCAGGCGATGGGCTTGGCCGATCCGCTGCCGGAGGATTCGGAGAGGTTGTTCAAGAGGATTTTGGAGGCGGTTGCTGTTGCTGCCTAGGTTAGTCTTGTATAGCTTGGCGCAGTGGGATGGTGGGGTACGCTGCTTTTGTTTATATGTCGGTGCTAGATGATATATTGACTACGTGGTTTACTACTGGGATAGCCCTACATTTGTATTATGAAGTTGAGTAAATGTGATCAAGCATTTTCATTTTTCTTGATGATATCTTTTCTATCGGGAAACGCCCTTGAGCCTAGAGTGAGCAAAGCCCAATTCTTCAAAACGAGATGAAAAACGGTCATGTTGGCCCTAGAGAACCCAAGTCAGCAACAAGAAGAAAGGAGAGTCAACTCACCTGAAACCCAAGGGCAAAGTGATTACGCCTTCTTCTCCGCATTCTTCTTCTTCTTCTTCGCTTCCTCCTTAGCCTTCTCGTCCGCCTCCTTCTTCAACACAACCACGCGATTCCCTGCAAGAATCTTCATCAGCTCCCCCTCAAACTCCTTCGCCTTCGACGCATCAAGAAACCCCTCGCGCCTCAACGGATCAAGGAGGACGTTAACCGACCAATCCTCAAGATGCGGAAGCGAAAGCATCACCATCTTGCGATAATAATCCAACGGGATGCTCGCGATCCAGTGCGCAGATTTATGGAAAGGGTCCGCTTTGCCGCTATCTGGGATTCCGCCTTCTTCGAGATAGCTGTTTTCGATGTACTGCCCCTTCTGGAAGCGGATTGTGAGGAAGCTGGCTGGGTGCACGGATTTGCCTTCGCATGTCCAGACGAGCATCACACAGGCTGGGTCGGTCGTTTAGATGAAAATTACGTCGACGGGGGCTGTGGGTTTGAGGGCGTTCATTTTGGGTATTTGAGATGATGTTGTGATTTTGTAGGAGTGATTGAAAGGTGGTTGGTGGGTGATGAGAATGATTATGGGATAGGGTTGGGATTCTGAGAACTTATATAGAATATTTGGGCATTGTCCATACAGGATACAATGGAAGAACAAGGACCTTTGGCAGTAAACCCGTTGTTTTTGTCTCCTATCACAATGGACTAGAGAGACTGAATGTCGTTTGTGGGGATAAGAGGCAATGCAAATAACAACACACAATATTGGAACAAGACGTTATCAAAGACTTGATAATGGCCTCTATTTTTTGGCCATCGTTGTCTGATACAAAGGATCACAAGGACGAGCATATCATTGACGGCTGGGTGTAAAAGGGAGGTTTTGTTGTCATGGATATCAGGTCATTACTCCCTTGGCACTGTAGAGGAATAGTGATAGCTATCTTTCTGGTGCTGCTCCTACACTCTCGCATTTATACACAGTATATAAAAACAGTATAATAACGTAGTTAGAATGCTAATAAGGTCAACATAAGCTTAAGCCATATTAGGGAAGAAATTCTATCTCAGTGATTATAGAATATTGAACGAGATAGGAACAATAACGTTGATTTATAGATGGTGTAGAAATCCACAAAGATACTTTTGCTTCAGTCCAGAGGTCCCAAAACAAGTATACAAATGCAGCCACTCACCTCGACAACCGCCGAACAACCTTCCCAACTCTCGAACGAACCAACTCCTTAAGCGCCCTCTCAATATCAGGAACAGCCTCACTAGGCGCCAACCTCATCGGCGAAAGATACCTGCCTTTGTACTTTTCATCATGCTCCTTGAGCGCAATGACCCCCCTCCACTCATCCACATTCAGCTTCCCATCACGCTGCACGACAAATGGGACACCCCGATACACAACGAAAAGGCTTAGATGCATCCATTTCCCGGTATGCGGATAGTGCCACGGGATCGAGTACCGGTTATTGATTTCCATTTCCTCGAGGTCCTCATGGGGCACATACGAGGCAACCTTCCGCCTGATGTCTTCAATCCACGTGCTGCCCCGCGTATGCGACGAAGGGAGGTTCGCAAGCTCCGTCGCACGCACATACAGCAGCCAACTCGCACTCGGCGCCCAGAACCCAAGCATGATTGCGAAATTCGCACAGCCCGCCCTGCTGATCGTCCGCGAGATGTCCGCCATGATGTTTAGGGCTTCGTCGGCTTGTTGGCGCGGGCGTTTGGGGAGGAGCGATGGGACTTTACCTGTGAGGGCTATGCCGGTCCAGTCCGGGCCGTTCATTTTTGCGGGGAGGAAGGTGGTGTGGAAGGAGAGCGTTTGCGTTGGGAGGGGGATTGCGCGTCCTAGTCCGGTTGACGGGGCTGGAGAGGATGGAGTGTCAGACATTCAGGGTGGATTGGGGTGCCGCTGTCACCTGTCTGGCACTGTTGCGCGTGAGTTGGAATGGGGTGGGTGGAGGGTATGGGGGGTTGGATGTGTGACCTTCCTGGGGAGGGTACATAGATATAGATGTACTTCTTTGTTTACTGTTATGAAAGGTTACCGGAATTGACTTGTATTAGGCGTCGGGATCAAAGGTTCTGTTGCAAAGAATGGGGACAAAGACTCTACGAGGCGAAGATTGAATCGGACATCAACACAGAATATATGACACGTCTTCTCATGGTAGCCTTCAGATTGATTATGCCTTGTAACTGACACCACAATGGCATTGTATTTGGCCTTTATGTGGATGCGGAGTCAGAAGAATAGTCAACTATTACGATCATGGACATGATTATGGTCTATTATGGTATCAAAGAGCATCCCAGCAGAAGCTGAAAGCGCATACTCGAAATTAATACAGAATCCCTCTCGTAAACGACCGTTGTAGGGAAACCTCTCGCAGATTATGGAGCCGAGGTACAGAGCAGGAATCTAGGTGATAGACTCAGGGAGAGTGGAGCAGAAAGCACGGTTGACGGGGTTTGTGGCATTAGCAATGAGAACCTGTTGAGGGAGAATAAACCTGGTTGACCCGATGGCATCGAGAACTGCAGCAACCTAAACTATTGTAAGCTTGAGGCTGGATGAGAAGAGTGATAGAACGTAGAAAGTATTGCGCGACGTCCGGACTGGACACGTACAGAATGTAGCTGACTGTCTGAAACGCGATTGAGAAACCGAACATCTCAGCCCTACCAAGACCTTAACATAAGTTAGTACGAAACAGCAGATCTCCTCGTATTGACTTGCATCGCTCAGTTTGGCAGTCAGTGGAAGCACACGAATGCGGGCAATGTTGCCAACCACGTTCACAGAACCCAGAGCAGAGTGCAGCCTGAAAGCTCTGGCCACATAGGGATTGAGAAGCATATGGCTGTAGTTGTTGGAGGTGATGATAAGGGTCGTGATGGACAAACTAGAAAGTGGTTAATGAAATCGCGCGTTGGAAGAGCTCGTTACCATCCTTGTTGGCCTTTTGACCTTCACGTTATATTTTCGTGGAGAGACTCCCGTATGAACCAAGTACCTACGCTATAAATCTAACTCTAGCCCGTCGCTTCGCACACAAGAGCTAAGCTAAGAATATTAGAGAAGCTTTGGAATATTCACTCAGCATGTTCAAAAGGCATGTACAGGGTTGCTCGCGTCATATCTACAAGAGGAGCACAGGCGTATCATGACAAAGGAAGACCACTTTCTTCAACAAGATCCGATATGGTGTAATGGTTAACATCGCCGTCTCTCACACGGCAGCTCGGGGTTCGATTCCCCGTATCGGAATATCTTTTTGAAAATTTTTTCCTTCATTATGGACTTATTGTGGAATTGTCAATCTTTTATCTCCCTCCGGTGGGCCAGAGTGGAGCTGTGGGTCGCGTGGCATGACTTGGCACTGTCAACTGAGCATGGCTGTCTCTCGCAATATATGTATGCCAGATCGTAGATGCGAAATCGAGAAAAGCTGTACGATTGCACTTTACACGGTTAAGAAAACTAGAGCGGAGGATAGATATTCTTTCTTTACCTTAGATACCGCCGCGGAGTTCGACGGAGTACCGTACCTGGGAGTAGATTTGCGTCACCTCGCCACAAGCTCTAAGATAAGGGGCCGATTATGCTCATGGGTTTATCGCCCTGTGGCTGACACTCCAGGTCCACCAAGAGAGCCGAGTATTATCCTTGACCATATCAGGGAGTCAGGTCTTGCTACTCTCCAACCCCTTCGGCTGGGTACTTGGGGCCAAGGCCTCGGCCCTTCCAGATTGGGCGTCTGGTACGAGTACGAGATCTCTGGCAGTGGCTGTCATCTCGTTTAAAATAGATGCATCCGCCCAGCTCCGCAGTCTTCTCGTCAGATTCCTGGGCCACTCGCCTCTCGATCGGACCGTCCTGCATAAAAAGATGGCTCCCCTTCGCGGATCTGACGCCTACACAACAAACGGCGCTCCTTCCTCCAAACTGAAGCGGCCTTCTTAGCCCCACGCGATGCTCTGGTTGCTCCTTCCGACGATCATTCTGGGCTACTGCCTGTCAACTACGGGATGGCCCTTGTACAATCACTGGCGACGCGCAAGAGAGCTAAATCTCCCAATCATCATCAGCCCAATACGCCGATGGGGCCCCGCGCATAGATTGCTCCAGCACATCATCGATCGCAACCTCCTGCCAAAGGCAATCCTCAACCTTCCCTTCGTCAGAGTCGCACAAGGAAGTTGGACTTTCGGCGAGAAGTTCTCCATCCACCAGCAATATGGAAAGATCTTCATTCTCGCTTCCCCGACCGGCTGCGAAATATACGTCGCAGACGCGAAAGCTGCAAAGCAAATTCTCGATCGGAGGAATGACTTTCCCAAGCCGAATCGGCTTTTGGCGAGATTGGAGGAGTTTGGGAGAAATCTTGCGACTGTAAGTGGGTGGTCGACCGAAGCGCATATGATACCTACGTAGTAGTTTTGGTATCCCCCGGTACTGATGGTTTTCAGGTAGATGGCGAGGAATGGCAGAGACATCGTCGGCTCACGTCAAAGGCGTTCCATGAGAAGACATATAGAACGGTATGGGATGAGGCTTACTCCGTTGCATCCGCCATGTTTCGAGGGTGGGATCTGGAACAGGGGGTACACTGTACAAAGTCTGATATGGCGACGCTGAGCTTGGAAGTCCTAATTCAAGCATGCTTCAACCTGAACAACGACAAGGACAGTCAAGCGACAGACGCAACGAATGTCCCATCACTTCAGCACCACGTCTCGCGGTACCTGCATAGCCTTACAAAGTTCCGCCCAATGCCTCCAGCACAAGAGGCAGGATCGCACCGTCGAGCCCTGAGCGAGTTCATAAGACGCCTTGTGGAGCATCGAAAACCAACCGCATCGACTCGATCGCAGAACGACCTGCTTTCGTCAATGCTGGCTCCTGCGGGCGGGAGTGATTTTTCGGAGAGTGAGATTGCCGGCAATCTTTTCTTGTTCATATTTGCCGGCCATGAGACGACGGCGAGCGCCCTGGTTTATATTATCCACCTCCTGGCGATATACCCCGAGTGGCAGGACTGGGCGATGGAGGAAGTAGACTCTGTTCTCGCCTCATCTACAGATGACGTGAAGCCCGACTTTCATGGTGTCTATCCCGAGTGCAAGCGGATACGCGCGATCCTGGTGAGTGCAGTGGCTCCTCGTGCTCGAGTATGCGTGCTAAACATGGACAGTATGAAACCCTGCGGCTCTACGGACCAGTTCCAACAATTGTCAGGCAGACGGCGGCACAAGACCAGATATTGCATTGTTCCAACGACACGGAGCTATTAATCCCCAAGAACACGCCTATCAACATCAACTCCATGGCGCTGCATACCAACCCCGAGTCCTGGGGTGAGGACGCTCTTGAATGGAACCCTGGTCGATGGATCTCCACCTCCAACTCTTCTTCTGAGTCTGGGCGAGAGCTTTTCGCCAAGGTCTTCAACAGTTTCTTTGCCTGGGGAACTGGGCCGCGCGTTTGCCCTGGGCAACAGTTCTCGCAGATTGAAGTTGTTGCGGTTGTGGTATGTCTTTTGAGGAATTATCGGGTCACCATCGCTCCTAACGATGGAGAGCATTTTGATGATTTACGGCGAGATGTTCTTCGTTTATTGAAAGCGAGCAGGGTTGGATTAACCCTGCAGATGCCGGAAACAGCACCAATTAAGCTGGTGAGACGATAGTTATCACCTACGACTGAACTTTTAGGCAATTATAGCAAAATGCAATGATATTGATCAAGAGAAGGGGGCCGGTGTGAAAGGTTGCAAGTAAGCTGGTCTACGCTTCAACTAATGTCAAGGTTCATGGCAATTGGACCCTGCATGGTCATCTACCGATGATCTCTGCGACTAGTCCAGGGGATTGTGAATACGTCGACAGCACCCGCCAAGGAATCGGCGGCCCCCAACCTTAGGCGACCCTCCCTCGGGTAGGCTAACCGCTTAAGCACTGGGCCCGGCTGGCCCCTGGCGCCTAAGCCAGGCAGAACAACAAGTGAATCTCATTCTCGACCCTCAAAAAAATGCGACCCCCTGAACAGGCCAAGCATGCACGCCCGCTGGAAAGTAGCCATTGTGTTCTGGGTAGCCCTCATAATGATTGCTTTCTTCACAGCCGACGAAGACTGCGACGAGGAGCAAGAGTACCAAACACCCCTCCAAGCAGCCTGCAACGCGCATGATCTCGACGCCATCAAGGACGCGGCATGGAGCGCCGAGAAAGAGGATCTTGCCCGCTCGCTCTGCCAAGCGAGCAGTAAAGGCGATCTCGATGTCGTCGTCGTCCTCCTGGACACACCGAGGATCGACGTAAATGCGATCCATGACGGCAGCACGCCGATTTTCTGCGCGGCGTCGTCGGCTGACCCGGAGCTGATCGAGTTCTTGCTTGGCCGTGGCGCGGATGTTGAGATCAAGTCGATGAATACGCGGTATTCGATGTATGGGGATACGGCCGATTTGACGCCTCTCCATGGATTAAGCGATACCCGGTTTATGTGGGATGGCAAGGACTCCAAGGAGCAGGAGAATCTACGCCAATCAACGCTTCTACTCCTCGAAGCTGGATGTGATGTCAACGCTGCTACGAAACACGGATACACGCTGCTTTTCGATGCGCTGCGACTCGGGCTTCCGATAGTCGACATCCTGCTTGAGCACGGGGCAGATCCAAATTATCAGGATAAAAAGGGGAATACGCCGCTGCATTTCTTCCATAAGATCAAGGAGCGAAAGGACGATCTGAAACTGGTCATGAACCACGGCGCGAGACTTGATATCCGGAGTCCGAATGATGGGATGACGCCTCTGCACTCGTACGTAAGGTATCACCGCATGAACACGTCTTTACTGGCGCCATACGTATCCGACTGGAACCTTACCGACGCAAACGGGAACACGCTCCTTCACATTGCTGCTCAGAGCCATACCTCAAGGGCCCCGATCCTCCCCGAGATCCTGGCGCTCGGGATCGACGTGCATCAACGAAATAACGACGGGTGCGAGGCCATCACTCTCGTCGCCGACGGCACCTTCGACTGGGAAGAGAGAGTAGATCTCCTACTCGCCGCGGGCGCAGATCTCGAGGCTCGAGACTACAACGGGCGCACGTTGCTCGCTCGCGCGATGTTCGACCGGCCGAACTATCGCTATGACGAGATGATTCCACATCTCGTTTCGCGCGGCGCGAATATCAACACGCAGGACTACCATGGGAACTGTGTGCTGCACTATATGGTCCGGCCGCATCGACTGCAGTTTGAGGCTCTAATGTTCCTCTTGGGAATGGGTGCAGACCCGAACATGACGAATTACAAGGGCGATACGATATTGCACCGCCTGGCCGCGAACCTGGGCACGATCCCCGAGGAAACGATAATCACCGCGATCAAGAAAGTGATCGATATGGGTGTTTCACCTGTAGTGCAGAACTACAAAGGACAGACGCCGCTGCACATGCTCTGCAGTCTCGTCTCTGAGCATCATTTCCGAGTTGCACCGGGGGCCGAGAAAGCGCCAATCGACATTCTTCTTGATGCCGGTCTCGTCGCTGGCCTAGAGATCCCAGACCACGACGGGATCCTCCCCATCCACCTCGCGGCGACTGTCTCCGAAGTTCTCGTCGCGAAATTGATCTCCAGAGGGGCAAGCACGACTGTCGTTACGAAGGATGGACGAAACCTCCTACACATCGCCTCGACGGCGCGACAGAGTAATATAGTCGGACTCCTCCTCGACCACTACCCATCCGCCATACAAACATCCATGGTCAACGCCCCGTGCAAACGTGGCCGTACACCACTGCACGAGGCGGCGCGATCCGGCCGACTCGAAACCGTCGCCGTCCTCCTCGACGCCGGCGCAAACGCCTCAGCTACCGATACGGACGGTAAAGACGTCCTCTACGCGTGCTCGGAATTCATCAAGGAAAGGGAGCTGTGGAAGTACGGGGATGAAACCCAAAACGTCTTCGGCAAACTCGCAGCGGCCGGGGTGCTAGGAAGCGACGATTCGCGGCCTCACGAGCCCAGAGACGACGGTCCGCGGACCCGCGGGCGAATGGCGCTGTACGAGGTCAAATCCGAGCATGACACTGCGAGCATTGCGCCGATTGTCCGACTGCTAGCTGCACATGGCGCGAAGCTTGCACCGGAAGAGATCACCCGTACGACTCCGATCACGCACGCGGTATACGCTGGCTCTGATGAGATGGCTGTCGAGATTACACGGCTCGCGGACGCGCAGGGGCTCCATCTGAGGAGTTTCCACGAGCTCCAATCGGACTATATGAAGCTACGGTCCATGCACCTCCCAGATATCTTGCAGAAACAGTTCGACAAGTACATCAGTAGTCATGATCTCGGGTACATGCTCTTACACGGCCACCAGGAAGAAATTGCCCAAGCCCTCGAGAAAACACCCAAGGAGCTCCTGGAGAAAGACGACCAGTCTGGCCTCGCAGATTTCCTCTCAACGCTGGCGCGATACGGCTATGTCGATCTCTTCTCCCGCCTCGGCAGCCTGATGACCCGCGACGGCTGGGTCAACGGCGGCAAGGGCTCGCTAGGCGCAAAGCTCCCCCCTTACCTCCTCACAGCAGCCCGGCGATCCCTCCCAAACCTCCCCATGCTAAAGCTCCTCATTGAGAAGTTCCACGCCGACGTCAACGCCCCCTTTACACCGGACATGAAACTCAGCCCAGAAGTGTTCTTCTCCTCCCGGGTTTACGCAGACAAATCCTACAAACCGGGCGATACGATTTTGCATTTTCTCGCGCAGGGCGGACACTGGTGGCATGAGAATGCGATAAAGTATCTGCTGGAGCACGGCGCCGATCCGAATGCGAGGAATGAGGAGGGATATACGCCGTTGTATGCGGCTGTGAGGCCGCAGCATCTTGCTGGGTATCGGCAGTTGGATATTGTGAGGGTTTTGTTGGATGGCGGGGCGGATCCGAATAAAGCTACTGCGGATGGGGATCGGGAGGTTGAGGGCAATCCACTACTGGCGATAGCGGCTCATGATTTGGAGATTGCGAGGTTACTTATTGAGTACGGGGCGCGTTGAACGGTCTTTCTTTTTTGGAAGACTGGTGTTGTGGTGTACGATAAGAAGAAGAGATAAGGCCAGCCAAGGAGGATGCATGGGATAATCTGGCATTCTGTACAGTATCAATCTCAATACCAGCCTGATCCATTTACTCCCGACTCAAACAAACAGTACCCTAGTATGCAAATCACTAATCATCCTCCGGCCCCAACTTCCTCCTCCCCGCCTTCTCCACATTCGCCCGTTTAGTCTCGTCGCTTTCACGCGGATCATTCTTAATCTGCGCATCGGCACTCGTCTGCTCCTCGCCCTCGTGCGCCGCACTCTTGATCTCGCCCGGCTGTGACGAGATCGGCGACTGCGTTGACCGTGTGTCGGCCGTGTCGGATGATCGGGCTTCTTTGCCGCGCGACAGATTGATGGATTGGCTGTCGCCGCCGCTGGATAGGGGGTTTTTGGCGTTTGTGGAGGGGCCTGGGGTTGCTTCGGGGGTTGAGGATGCGAGGCGTGCGACGCTGGGGAGAGGCGGGGGGTTGCTAGGATGTTTTGTTAGATGGGTTGATAATAGAGTGGGAGAGATGCGAGTGGATGGGCTTACTGCGGAGGAGGCGGGGGCCTGTTAGAGGCTTGCGGCGGAGGGTGGCTTGTAGGAGAGTCATTTTTATTGTTGAAGGGCTGCTATATGATATGCACCGTGCTGTCATTGAACTATACAATAATTTGTTATATAGACCGGAATAGATGACTTCATGCATCTGTCAGGGATCTCGCCCAATAAGAGAGCTGCACTGTACAGTCAAGTGGACGTCATTCTGACAAAAACGCATACACGTGGCAGAACCGTAGTTGAGATTAACATTATTGCAACATCAGTGGGTACTAGATTAACTATGCCATTGTTTGATGTCAAAGTGGGCCGCTATCGCATCGCACATCCCTCCAGCCTTTCTCAGCCTTACGCCCTCTCTTCGGCTTCCCGAGAATCCATTCGTGTATTGGCGGGGAAGGTCTCCGAATATCGTCGTAGTGTCGATGAATGCGATCGCAAATGCGTATTAGTTCGATGCTTGCATTTAGTGTCCGGTTGTCGAGTCGAATCGTCAAGTTCAATATCGTTTCACTCACGACTTCATCCTCGCCTCCATAACCTCCAACGCCGCTTTGGCCCGAGGCTCACCCAGACTCTGCCGCCGCTGCTTCCTAAGATCCTTCTGCGTCTCCATGAGCAGATTCTGCACTTTGCGCCCGCGCGCATCGGACTTGACTTCTCCCGAATTCAGCATCTCCGTCAGCGACGCCTTGAGCATCTGGTCGCAGCGCGCCTGGTCGATTGTATTCTTTTCGTCGGTCCGCGGGACGTCGTGCTCTTCGGGGGTTGCATTATAGGAGATGGACCGCCCTGTCTCCTTCAGGCTTTGGATTGTTGGGACTTTGTTTGCCGATGCGGCGGGTTTGCGCGTTTGGAGGGCGGACATTTTGCTGACGCCAAAATCGCAATAATGACAAGTAAAAGGACGAGAATCTTGTAGAGTGTAGTTAAGGAAACCCGGAGTGACAGAAGTGATAGATTATTTTCCTCTCCAGGTGCTGATCCTTTTCAGCTTTGAGGGACAGCTCGTTGATAAAGAAGCAGGAACGCCAATGGTCTTGCCATCTCCAAGATGCATAATGATGGCGAGGACAGGGACCCTTGGCCTGAATAGTCTCACATTGCACTCTGATTGGCGGTTCGCGATGCAGTGTCCGCCGATCATCCACCAATTGCCGCGGGTTGGCTGAAAAAGCCTGGAACTGAGGCTCGGAACCAGCCGACCTGGACATGTACACGTCATTCTTACTCCATCATGCCCAAAGTGACACAAAACTGACACAGAATTCCTGTCATTTCAAGCCACAAAGCCACAACGTAGATAACAATACAATCAACTCTTCACAGCAAACCGATACTCCTCGCCCCTATCCAGATAGACAACGCCACCTCCAAGTCCTGATTTCTCAACCTCCCCTTTGAAATCATCCAATGAACTCGCAAACACATCATAGTCGTCATAATGGATCGGAACCGTCACGTCTGGTTTCACAAGCTGCATCAGCTCAACCCCCTGCTTCGCGTCCATCGTGACCATCAACGTAAACGGTGAGAGCGCGGGCGAGGGGACCGTAGTGCCGCCTAGATGGATAAGCATGAGGTCGATGTTGTTTCCGCCGTACCGCTTCGGGATTTCCTTCAGGTCGTCGACCATTAGCGTATCCCCCGTGATGTAGATTCTGTAGCCCGATGCGAAGTCCGCAGCACTGTGGCCGTAGCCGAGTTCCAGGAGCCACCCGTTTGTTGGGGGGATCTGTCGCATTCCATTAATCTGTATCCCATATAGACATGGATTCTAGGTGCGGTCGGATACGTACTGCCCCAACAAACTCATTCAACTTTTCAATTGGCTTCGCGACGGGGATATGCTTCCCCGGCATCCCCGTCACTCTTAACGCGGGCGGAGCCTTTGCGCCGGTATCCGCTTTGATGGTGACCATCATCTGTTGAAATGGTTCGAGGTCGTAGATATTCGTAAACGAATCCGGACCCTTTGATGTTAGGATCGAGCGCGCGTGGCTCGTTGTGATTATCGGGAGGCTCCGGCGGAGGGAGGCCTCGACATGTTGGTCGAAGTGGTCGCTGTAGCTGTCAGCGACACATGGTAACCTGACAGCGAGGGGATATAATGAATGTATGCTATATGTATACATACCCATGGTAATGAGAAAGGAGAACGAGGTCAATCCGGGGCAAGTCGTGCAAGTCGACTGCCGGGTTTGTCTTCCTCTTTGAAGAGACGCCAGGGCCGAGATGGACGTGGTCGCCTGCGTGTAGGAAGTTTGGCTTCATATTCCAGGTTAGTACTTACAGTACACCATCAAATCCACCTAGGCGCGGAATGAAAGGCCTTGCGGCACGTACATCTGTCATGATTCGGACTCCTTGCCACTCTCTGCACTTTGAGTTAGAGCCAGGCCAGGACAACCTCTCTTTGACCAACTTACAGGATAGTTGTCGCCGTCCCCACGAAATAGATTGATGCATTTTCTTTCCCAGGCTTTGATGGGTGTCTCTTGCTTGCTCTGGCTGCGGGGAGACCCTGGGGTATCTCCGCCACCGACTCATCCCGCGTCGGGGGTTGGAGTTTACTTGGGTCAATGGAAATGTGCTGCATGGCTGTCTTGGAGGGGTGATTCATTACTCAGGATGAATTGGCATCGGCGGGGCGACTATATTGAGGTTCTAGGTGTTTGTCGTGGGTATGACGTCAGGCTATATACCCTCCTCTTATGGTGAAGGCTGGCTTGGACCACGACAACTTTCATTGCAAGAGTTAAGTGAGTGAGCTACACCATCCAAGAGAGACACATTGACGATCACTCAGATCCGACACATTCCACCCCAAAAGCATAATCATCTGGGCGCGGAAGACTATGCATACACTGAACCGCCAAAGATCTACACAGGAGTCGGCGTCCCACTCGCGGTAATCGCCGACGAACTCTGCTGGATCGCAACCGCCTGCGGAATCAACGCCGGGCCAGGGACAATATAACTAGTCAGCACCTGATAAATATTAATCAAGATCCCCGGATCCGTCGGGGTGTACAAGTCAGGCCCGAGCGTGCCACTTGGCTGGACATTGCCGGATCCCGTAATCTTTAGATTAAAGCACTGCGGATATAGCTGGGCGCCATTGCGGCTTCCGGCGCCGTGCAGGGCGATGATCTCGTGGCGGAGGACGTAGTTGCCCGGCGCGATGGAGGCGGGGATCTGCACGAGCCACCCGTTTCCGTTGGCGATGAGCTGGTCGTCGGCCCAGTAGCCTGGGGGGCTGGAGCCGTCGATTAGGCCCGGTCCGCTGATCTTGAAGAATTCGAGGTCGTTCTTGTCGACTGTTCCGCAGCTTGCGCCGCAATTGGCTAGGTAGTCGATTACTAGATCGCAGCCGGTATATTAGCATAGCACCCAAGAGGTCCAACAGGGAAGGGATAGCTTACCCGGACCATGATGACTCTCCGGCCACGGGCGGGGCTCCCACTGGATATAGATCTTGTCGCCGGCAGCAACGGTAGCGCTGCCTCTAGCGTTGGTGGCGTTGATGTGGCAGATGATCTTGTCGGTGGAGGCTTCCTCGGGGGTCACGAAGCCGTTCGAGAGATTGGGTGTCTCCCAGCCGACGCCGATGGGAGGATTGGGGTTATATGGGTCCTGGCCGGGGAGCCAGCCTCGGTAGGAGACACCGTTGATCACGATGTTGGAGACATAGCCGTGGGCGGCTGTCTGGGTTGCGGCGGAGAGGAGGGTAACGAGGAGAGAAGTAGTGCTCTTCATGATTATTTGACTGTGGGGATGTTTGAAGGGCTGGTTTTGATGATGATCATGGCGATCTACTCCTGGCTTTTATACCTTGCGTTCCATCAACCGAGACGGAGTCCGTGATGCCACGGGACATGTGGCATCCAGCCAAGTACACCGAGGTGTGCTCGTTCGACATACCGGTGCATTCTCTCGCCATCCGCTGACACGGAGTTGAGGCTTCCTGAAGAATCCAAGTATAAAATGCGGAGGTGCCAAGCGCCAAGAGTGTGCGTGGTACTCAATAGCTTCGTTCATGATTCGTGTGTATAAATGAAAGCTCGTGAAATTGGGGAAGGCACTGTGACGGAGCATCGGCAGTGGGATGTGGCGCGGGGCCAAGGGGTGTTATGAAGAATCCTCTGCAGGACCTAATCTCGTTTCCCCACGGAGAGTAACCCTGGCGCATGCTAAACCCCGGATTCTTCGACAATTGCCGTTTTGGGAACGGAGATGGAGCGTCCACGGGGACGGAGACGGGAATGCGGGACGAGCCCCTGTTACAGATGAGATTAGCCGGCCTTAGTCTGTTAGGAGTGGGTGCCGTGCCAGAAGATTCTGCACAACTCGAGAGCAATCCTATCCTAGCGTGTTCGGGGATTCGACCTTCGCTTCATCATTTGCCTCCAGCCGTCGAGGGAGTCGACACTCAATAGATATGGCGCTGCGGTTCGAGGTCAGGAAACCTGTGCGCGGTATTGAAACCGTTGCAAAATACCCTAGATACCTCTAGCACTAAAGGACCTCTGATATCCGTCTTCACTGAAAACAAAAGAAAGGCTACGTGAGAAGTTGAGGAAATCCGCAGGCGACTCTGGGGCGTTGATCTAAATCATGAATTCTGACCCTCTCGACGGGCGGCAACAGGCAGCGTAGTGACAGATGCATCGCTCCTGTAAGGTTTATTGCTGCTCCACTGGAGGGTTGGGTTTGAAGGCAACCCGGACATCTCTTCTGCCCAGTGGAGCTACGATGAGGACCGCGCGATTCCGCTGTGCTGACCAGCATAGTCCGATTCATGCACCTTCATAGTGAGTCTAGCTGTGATCATGAAATTATGAAAGAGGAAACGAAGCAGCAAAAGAAACATACACCTCGGACAGGGCAATTCGAGACCTAAGAGTTATACCGTGACAGTGTTCGATATAGGATACGTCGGGGAAGCTCCGCTGCGCACTAAGCATAACATGAATGCCCGATGAATGGCGCCAACCTCATCAGCCCCGCAGTATAATCTGGGGTTATTTCCGATGGTGACGACCCTGTGGGTGTGCTCGCGGTTCGTTTGAGGACGATTTGTCCCAGTGCAGCCGGGGATTTTCCTTGCGTGGCGCTGGCAGTTCCTTCCACAAAGGGAGCACCTCGCTCGCACTTGCCGAAAGACCCCTTAGCCCAACCGTGGGCGCTTGCGATTTCTTCTGCATCTGGCAGCAGCTCCTGAGAGTTGATCTCTGAACGTGGGGATGCAATATCTTCAGCCCGCAACGACGGGCCTGCAGGAGGGGACTCAGCAAGTTGAACGAGTCCTCGTTCCCCTCCATTCCACGTAACAGCTGCTAATAAGATCTCGTTTGTGACTCAGCCAGCCCTACACACGGTTGGAAATTCGCCAGGATGGCTTGCTAGCCCTCGGCATCCCAATGTCTTTTTCGCCAGGACGGTTCGCTCGCAGACCGATACGTGCACGGCTCCGCCAATAGCCATGCTTCTACCCATAAAATGACCACATCATAATTGCTTAAATCTTCCCCAGATTCTCTCCGATCCAGATCTACGAGTCCTAGGGTCGGATCGAGATGATCGATTCCCACTAGGCGCGATCACCTGGGTTGTCTGCCCGACACCAAGCCTACAATTGATAACCTACTGCGTGACGATGCATGGCGCCAAAGCCTAGTGGACCATGAGCCCAAACCTGCGGTTGCCGCACGCTTCCCACGTTGGCCTTGGTGAACCCAGACGATGAACGCCTAGTGAATGAAAGCGGCCTGAACATTGCGAGGCCGATCAAGCACCTGCTTACCCATCTTTGAGGTACCTGCAATTGGTGTCCCCGACGGCTGATATAAGGAGGTCCGATCGGGTCCCAGCACTCTAGCAATGGAAACATATCACAAGGTGGTCTTACGGTCCATCGACCCTGCGCATTATTGCGGGAACCAGGGGGTATCCTCAAATAGGGGCTCCGGTGTGAGCAGAGGCGAATTTGCTGCCTCATATTGGCCGTTTATCCCAGGATGCTTTTCGCTGGGGTCATCTGAAGCCCCTTCGCTGTCGGTTCTGATGCTGGGCATTCGGCACGTCGTACAGATCTAAGTAAAGTTGGATTGGGTCCGTGCCAACCCACGCTGCTTCTGCATGTCAGATCTGGAGCTCACATTCCGCCCAGTAGGAGGTCCACAAATTTGGAATCAGGGTTCCGAGTCTCCGCCTTTGATTGTTCCAGCCGGTACAATGCCGTCCCGCGTCCAATGGCCTCCACGTATAGACCTTCTTCGAAGAACATTCCGCTCAACGAAAACTGATGGATTGGAACTGGTCCAAACTCGAACAAATGTTATATAGCCCCAGCATGTGCTCTGCACCATACTCGCTCTTTATCGCGTCAGTCTAATAGCACACGTCAGTAGCCGAAGTCAGCATCGGGAATCATCAAGTGGCACTCAGCCAAAGACAACATGCTACAGCAGCTCGTTCTCTTGTTCATCTTCAGCTTGCTAGTATCTGGCCAGGGCCCTCCCCTGCCATGCTTGGGCAGATCCCTCGCATGTGCCCTCCAACTCAAATTAGGGCTTTCACCTCCCCAGCCCTCCCGTCGAGCTGATTGTTCCAGCTACCAGAGGGTGACTGTTACCCCTGACACAGCGTGAGAGTCACCTCGTATTGATCCCTATGCGCGCAAGCCCTGACCGTGTTTTAGGACCCTCACCACCACCGTTGCAACTGTAACAACTACCGTCACTGTCACGGGACCCGCGTTTCGCCGGGGCATTGACATTGAAGCACGAGCTGTAACCGTCATCCCCACAGCATTTCCAACCTACATTTTCGGACCATGCACTCAGCCCGGAATCTACGGCTCAGCCTGCGCCTGTATCGGCATCCCGCGCATAACAACCACAGCCCCAACCCCTACCTCCTTCGTCTCTGTAACCGCCACCATAACAACAACAGTAACCGTCCCGCCCGTGGTAGGCTGCACAGGCCAGACATGCGGCAGCTACGAGCTTTATTTATGTGACACACCGACGAGATATTGCAGCTGCGGGATCGACGCGGATGGTGGTGAGGGGGTGTGCTTCGAGGGAGGGGGCTGCCCGACTGTATCCTGCACCACCAACGACGATTGCGATCCGGGCTACGCTTGTCTGATCGACTCTTGCTGTCAAATACCAAATGTCTGTTATCGCGTCGCCCCTGGTGGGTGTGTTAGGCCCCCACCACAAATAGCAAGGCTTGCGCTGGAAGGTGAATCCCCCGGGCCTTTTAACCGTGCCGAGTGATGCTGCGAGTTGTATCAGGTGTCTCCAATCATCGTTGTTGATCTTGTATTTTTTTTCGGCTTATCTATTGTTCGTTTCTGGTGTTTAACATGGAGCCTTTGGATGGACATGGTCGATTCAACACGCCAGGCCAACGCCAATGACTCCAACAATAGTGATTCTTGTTCTATTGGACCACCTCAAGTTCATGTATGTTTCCATAACTACTATGCTTACTACACCTCATCGCTCTGATATCATCTAATCCATCCATAATCATCATGCAACCCACTCATAGACACGCTCCATCCCAACGCCCCCCACAAACTCGACTCATCCTAGCCTCGCAAAAACCTCACTCCTTGATCTGCTTCTTATGAAAAACATCTACAGAATCAGTATCAGCACCAGATCCTCAAAGTGGAAGGAAGAGACTCACTCGGTACCTCCGGCATCCAACTCGCGCGATCCTGGCAGAAGAATTCCCCCTTGGGCGGCAGAACCTCTGGATCATCCAGGGATCCAACGACGAGGTAGCGGAATTTATCCTTTACGGCGTCCTAAGCAACCAGATATGTTAACACAATGCCCCATCAAATCTTACCAGCTGACGGAAAATCATGCGGAGGGAGGACATACCCCATACTCGCAAATAAAACTCCCGCAATTATCGCAGAACTCGCGATGCACAATCGACCCGGACCCGTTATCACCTGCAAACTCCTTCGTTGCGCCACTTGTGATCTTCAGCGCATCTTTGGGGATTTTGGCGGTTAGGCCGTAGTTTGTTCCGAATGCTTTCTGCCCATCACGCACCCTAGTTAGTCCCAACTTCGAACTCACAAGATTGCAAATAGGTACAACACACCTTGCAGTTTCTACAATGACACAGCGAGGTGCGCGCATCGTCGGGTGAGGAGAGGGTGAGGTTGTATTGGATTCTGCGGCAGGTGCAGGAGCCGGTGTACGAGGGCATTCTGGATATTAGGGAGAGGGCGCGGCGGGTTGTTAGGTTGAAGCGCATGAATAGTTGATAGCAATTTCAAGGTTAGTTAATACTGTGGTTTTGAGGGCGGATTGAAGTTGAGGGTGGGATGGTGGATGTGGTTTTATATACTCGCGTAGGTTTGACGTCATTGGTGGTCAGGCACGAAGGGCGACGCCACCAGAAGGTATGGAGTATGGATGGAGTAGTACGTAAACGCGATGATATGAAGAACATTTTGAATTGAAAGAGTTGATTGGCTCAACACAAGGGAGATCATTAATACCTTTGCTTGCGGGATCTGGAGTGGCTGTTCATGCTCGTGTCCGACTATCGAATTGGCGCACACATCGCACTTTTACTCTATAGGGCTTGTCCCATGTGTCTTCACAACTGTCTTCATAGTACTCCCTACCGGAGAAATCCTTAGAAGCCCTGTAGAAAAAGCAAGCGTGGTAACCATCTACTCCCGCCACACCAAAATCCCATTCTCATACAACCCCGTAATAATCCCCACGTTCCTCTTCGCATCCTTCGCAGCCGTAGCCCCAGACCCAAACTCCTTGGCAGAAACGTACAGATCCTCTAGTCCACGCTCAGCAGTCCACCTCGCGACCCAAGTCGGGGAATTCGACTTCCAGCACTCCTGCGGGACCGTCCCGTCCTCTGCTATACAGGCCCGACGGTGCTTGACAAGTTTATCGAGTGTTGGCGGGTGCGGGTGGCCGGCGATCAGGAGGGAGCCGTCGCTGTTTGTTGAGAGGTTATCTGGCATATAGGGGACGGGGATCGCGCCCGATTGTACAAGTGAGTTGTCGTCTAGACGAGTATACAGACGGACTTCGGCGGCTGATGTCGCGGCCACGGCGACGGTCGAGGCATTAAGGATCGCAACCCCGTTCGCGAAGGGCGCGCGCGCAACGGTCCGGACTTCGATGGGTTCAGAGGCGATGTTCACATATGTCACTGTCCCACCGGGGATACCGAGGTATGTCTCTGCGAGGGCACCGAGGGGCGAGTCCCGGCGGCGGATGTAGTGGTCATTGGTGACGTAGAATTCGGTTCCGCTTAGGAGGGCGAGGGAGTTGGGTGTGCGGATTAGTGGGTGCAGGATTGTGCGTCTGTGTTTCGCAACTGGTGTGATTTTGGACAGGTCGAGGGTAAACACGTCGACGCGCGAGCCTTCAATGTGGTGGTTGCACACGAAGAGCGTTGACGTGTCGCGGTCGTACTCTACGCCGAGCGGGTGAAACGACAAGGCACCCGGGTAACCCACAAACTCGACCGGGGCCAGAGCCTTCTCAGAGTCGTCGTCGTCCTCGTAGCGATAAATCCAAAGTTTTCCATTGGGAATCAGCTCACGCTTCGGGTGGAAAGTGCCCATGACTGTGTTCCAGAGGTCGCGGCCAGAGTCGCAGCTGAGGATCGCAAAGGCATCCTCTTCGATAATGATGCCGTCTTCGCAGTTGCGGACTTTGTTGACCAGTTTGTACGAGTAGCTGGAGAACTTGTTGATCTCCGGCAGATTTTCGGGCTTGTTCTTTGCGAGCAAAGAAAGGGCTTGCTTGCGGCCGTGGAGCCAGGGGAGGGACCAGGCGACGAGGACAACCGCCTGGGTTTGTTAGCCATGTCTACCAAAAGTAGAGAATAACTTACGATGGCAAGCCGCGACAACAGGCGAAGAGACGGCATTTTGTTGGTGTCTGGCTCTCCGGGAAGAGAAAGAAAGGTAAAAAAGAGAGAGGGATGCTCAGCTGAGGGAGGCCTGAAGTATTTATTGATTAATGTAGTGCACCGGGGCCGGCTCCACCGAGGCTGCCGATCAAGCTTACGGCCTAACGGATTGTCCAATTATCCTTTGCTCCACTATGCCAATTCCATCATTAGGCTAGTTATTCAGCTGCTGCTGAGTAACCCCAGGTGGCAGAGTGGTGCCTGGGTGCCTGGGTGCCTGTTGTAGAGGCCCAGGCGCACTAAACGCGAACCATACTATAAGTCAGGGGCCATTTCTCCTTTCTTCACCACTATTCACCTACCACTTACTCACAAGATACCATGCCCGACCCCTCTACTCTCCCGCGGGAGATCTTCCTGCAAATAATCTACGATGCAGTCGGCGGAAAACCCGACCAGTGGATGTACTGCTACAACATCCTCCCCGCCGATCTGTGCCTCATCAACTGGAACTGGTACCACACGCTAAATCCGGTACTTTACTCGCGTTTCGAGTTCAATGGCAGCGGCGACGATACCAAAGCACTATGGGGCTTCTTCCGCGCCATCATCCTGCGTCCCGAGCTAGCGGGGCATATCCGCATGCTTCGTCTCACAAGTGAGTCTAAGCCCGCGCGTCCGCCGAAGACGGCGGGGTTGTACCGGAGAAGTGCGAAACTCGTCCAGCGGGCTATTACCCAGGCTGGCCTTGGGCATGTTGGGGATGCAGAGGCGGAGCTGAGGCAGGCGGACCATAGGGCGCTGGTTGCGTTGATTCTTGCGCATGCGCCGAATCTGGCCATGTTGCAACTTCATGTTGCGAGGGAGGATTCGTGGCTCGATACGATTTTGGCGCATGCGATTGCGAGCCGGGATAAGGATCGCAGCGATACGCCTGAAGCTGTCGCGTTCCAATCGCTCCGGACCCTCTACTTGGCCAGCGCCGAAACGCCACCGATCAATGCGAGGCGCACATATCAAAGCCGCGAGGTCTCTTATCCCGCACGGATGAACAAACAACGCGCATTTCTCCGTCTGCCAAATCTCCAGGAACTTCAATTGATCGATGCGCAGCTAGACGACGACCTCTCCACGCTCGAGCCAGAAGAAAACTCGCTCACGCAGCTTACAATCGCCTTTCGATCCCCCGTCGAAAACCTCCAACCAGTCCTAGACTACACGACAAAACTCACCCACCTCTCGCTCTCCCTCAGCATAACCGGCCGCCATTACGACCTGCAGATGCATCACGATATGTGGAACGCGCTCCTCCCGCTCCGCAATCAACTCGTCTACCTGGACATCTACTCCCCCGAGATGAACAAGGACCCAGAAGGGTGCGAGAGCGAGCGAACGCCCCGCACAGAACTCTTCAAGTCCTATAGCCACCTCTCCTTCTGCTGCCCGCTCCGCCGGTTCCTGAAAATCCGGCAATTAAGCATAACCCCCCTCCTTCTCCTCGGCCACAACTGCCGCCACGAAACGCCCCTGAAGTTCGTCAACCACCTCCCGCCTAACTGTGAGTCCTTTGCGCTGTACGGCGGCGAGCGCTCGTGGATCCTGTCATACATCGAGAAGCTCGCAGAGGAAATGGCGCTCATACCCCATAACAACCCACCCCTGCGTCTAAACTCGATCGTCGTCGACGCGCCCTGGCCACCGACCTGGTCGGGACGGTTACCCTATGGCAGCATGGTTGGGATTTGTAAGGAGAAGAGGATTATGTTTAATACGGCCGGTCGGGACTTTTTGTTCTATGGCGGGGAGAATACGCATTTTGCGAAGGTTACGCATAACGCGGCGCTTGGTGCTGCATCTAGAGAGGAGTGGCTGGTCAGGAGGAAGGCGAGGGATGTTATGCCTAGAGGCATCGAGGTTGATGGGGAGAAGGGGACGTTGGATGAAGACTGGGTTTAAGCTGTTGTGAAACGTGGTCAAGGGCTTATCTCGACCATCGCGCTGTATCACAATGATTCTCTCACTGGCATGGCGACGCCGAGGTATAGCATCTCAACCAGTCATAATTAAAACCGTCATATTCTCAGCCTCGCCTCGAGCCTCCTACTCTTCGCATCGTCGTCGGGGCACAGATAAACGACTTATCAACCGCAAGACTGACACTGTGCGGCGCTCGGCTATCACCACCCATTTTGCAGACGCAATCCTGCAGGACGCCACAAGGCCTCAATCCCAATCATCCCGTCGCACCGAGTCGAACAAGACAGGGGCCACGCTCCTTTTCACCCGGCTGTGAATGGCCCTCTTTTTCTTCTCTGGGGTTTGGTGCCTTGCGGCTGAAATCACGGGGAAGCTTTTATCCCGCGATCCGCTCACACTGACTTGACTTTGTGTCCACTTCGTCTGCTTCCCGATCAAACATAGTCTCGTTCTCCTATTATGGCACCAAATGTCGTATTTGGGATGGAGCTCGATACGCCCATGACGGGTCTCGATCCCGGTGGTGATGTTCAGTTCAAGCCCGCGGCTTGCACGGTTGCAGAGATTATACGATACCCCGTAGGTCCTTGTTATCACTGTCTCCTAATCGAAGCGTTTTACTAATCTGCGTAGGATGGTAAATGCAGCGACTACACGCACAAGATGCTCCAACCTGGCCAGCTCGAGGAGTGGGTTGAAGAAAAGGTACGATACATCCGCCATCCGAAGCCGTACCGGCCAGGCTAACGTCTCCAGGGCGAATTTGCCAGCGATACCAAATACTGTGGGCGAGTGAGATGGATGTTCGTTTCCCCCTGCAAGTCTTGCAGTCTTGTGACTAAAACGTGTAGATTCGCATGTACAGCGCCCACAGCGCTCGACTCGGAGGGAAACTATGCCTCGTCGAGCGAAACGTTAGAGCTCGCCATGAGCCAAGAAACGTTCACCTCGCTGGCGCAGCGATACCAGTTCTCCGGCTGCCTAGATGCCTGGCGGTATCGCGCGACATCGGGCAGTGCCTCGCGAAAGATCGAGTATGACGATGCTGGCGAAGTCACATCCAGTAGTGGGTACCTCCGCCCTGCGATTCCACGACAAAGAGAATAACAGCAATCCAGTCTTCACCCTCTCATTGCGCCTCTCCGGCAGCTTCGCCTCCATACTTTCCATAAAGCACACCTTCATAACGAACACATCCACAATCCTCGCCCTCCGCGTCTCCCCCTACGACCAGCGCCTCCTCCAACGCACGCTCGAACAGCACAGCAACCTAATCGGACACGCCCTGCTAATCCCCACGATCCTAATCGAACTCAGCCTTGCTAGCAACATGCTCTTCATGCAGAAGATCCGGCATGAGCTCAGCGTCGTCGAAAAGGCAACGGGCCAGCATGCCTGGTTGCAGATCCCGGCGGCTGATGCGCCCGCGCATGATAGTGAGCTTTCGAGGTTGGGGCATGCGGCCAAGATTGATGTTTTGGTTTCGTATAGGAGGATTGAAGCTCTTAGTTGTTTCTTGGAGCTGGTCAAGGAGAGTGCAAGGCAGTTTGAGGAGGTAATCGGGAAGGCTTTTGTGGGGAGTAGTAGTAGGGGGCCGAGAGATGCGTATATCCAGTGGGTTGGCGATTTGGAGCAGTTGGTGAAGTTCAGGATGGTCGATTTGAAGTATAGCGAGAGGAGGGTGGATAATCAGCTCACGGCGGTATGTGCCCGAGTGGCCTTTCATGCAGGTCGAGGAACTGACCGCTGTAGATATACGGCCTCCTCGCGCAACGCGACAACATGGTCGGCGTCTCCGTCGCCATCGAGTCGAAGAAGATCTCCGAAGCCTCAAAGCGCGATGGCTCAGCGCTGAAATCTCTGACCGTCCTAACGGCCGTCTTCTTCCCGGCTACATACATCGCCGTAAGACACTCCTCATCAGTCCTGCTTGTTCCAAGACCACAATCACTCATGTTGACAGACCCTCTTCTCCCTCCCAACCTTCGACAACACACCCTTCTGGCTCTACTGGGTGGTTGTGGTCCCGCTGACGCTGATAATCTTTGGGTCCTGGTCGTGCTGGACGGTCTATCGGCAGCGACAGATTGCGCGGGAGACGATTCGTCGGGATCTTGATGAGGATGTCGAGCTGGATCCGGAACGGGCGGTTCTGTCTTCGAACCTGCAACACCGGTCGGGAATGGGTTCTACGGGGAGTACGTCTTTTCTAGCGAGTACGGTGCGGCAGATTCGGTCGCATACAAGGGGTCTGAATTCTCACGGTGGAGGGGCGGATGGAGGTGTGAATGTGGTGAAGATTAGTGAGTTGGTGGGGAGAAAGAAGGGGAGCTAGACATCATTGAAGGGCGGAGTTGCTGGGTATATTATTATTGTTCGTAGATATCATGACACGGTAGAATGAAGCAGTCAACACACCCCGTCGGAAATCGAAGCGCATATTCGTTTTTGCACACCATGAATGGAAGAGAGACGCCAAACCCCAGGAATAGAGATAAAAGCATAGAACTCGCCACAGGCCCATCTCACCATCCACCCAAATCTCCATTCGCATCCAACCTCCAAACCAAGCCCTACCACGGAGACCGAGTCGCCTTTATTTCCTCTCCTCCCCGCCCCTCATCTCAGTGCGAGGCCACCGGGCTCTTACGCCCCTCCCCTCCCCGCTGCTTCGACCTTTGTACCTCCTCACCTCCGTCGTCCAGCCCCTGGCCCGCATACCTCCCCTCCGAAAAGTTGTACTCATCATCCCAATCCTCTTTGGCAGCGAGCAGCGGCCCCCACGTCTCCCGGAAATGCGCGAAGCCCTTTTTCATTCTGGTGAAGAGGGTAGCATGGGCGGCACTGGGTGTTGGGTGGGCGGCGTTGGCGGAGTTGAGGTCGGTCGGGGGTGTATTTCCGCTCATCGTGGATCGAGTGGTGGTTAGGTTTTATGCAGGTCTGGGATGAGATTTAGGTGAGTTGCTGGGCGTGTTAGTGGAGGGTTTGAGGGAGATGAGACGCGTGCTGGAGGTCAGCGTGGGTGAGAAGACGCGTGATCTTGGGTCTTGTTTGCGTTGCGCAACGCGATCGCAGTTTCTTTGGCTTGAAAGCCGAGTATCCAGCAGTTCTTTAGCCGTTTCTTTCGTGGCTTGTAGGTTGGAAACGTGATGAGAGAGTCATGGCCGCGAGATGAGGCGGGAGTTGTCGAACTGGTGGTGAAGGGCGGATTTGTTTGGGATGACGACACCACTGCCGCGCCAAGCCGCTAACCTGCCTCAACCCCGGCGGTATGCGCGCTTAGCCACGAGCTCACGCTCCTTGATTATTATGTACTCTGGTCGCGTTCTGATGTTCAAAAAAACCAGCGTTCTTTGATGAGCCGATGGGCTGGCTTAGGGCTCGGCTTAAGGGTTCAGGATTTCGAAACATGTAATTAGCAGGGTTCAGCTTTATCGTTGTGCCGGCCAGAGCAATATATATATTGTTGCTCAAAGTCATATATTGGGGGTCCAAAGAGATCATGCAAGTCGTTGAAAAAGTCGTTGAGCTTGGTAAGGCGATAGGAGGTATTCTATCTTCGCGTCAAAGAATCAAAGTCCAAAATGTTCATTCTCAAGCAAGACTGATGTACTGATAACTCTCATGCCCCCACGCTCTCTCGATCCCACAGTCCAGGCCAGTCGTACCAAAGGCATGCTTCACAGCATCTATTGTTCGTCGTACGCTGCCGAGATTACGTAGCCTGTGGATACTCGACAGTCTGTCAAGGACGAATCGTCGATGGTCTTCGTCCTCCACCCCCACGTTGCCGAGGATGAACAGTGGCCAAAGAAGGGTGGCCATGTCCGGGAGGGTCGCGATGGATTCGACTATCATTGAGACGAGGCGGTCCTTAGAGAACCCTGACAAATCGTGGGGGAGGCGCGTGGGCGCTCTCGAAGGGTCGTCTAAGGGGGGATGGGACTGTTTGGGAAAGCCGAGGCGTTCATGCATGTAAAGAAGCGCGGTGAGATGCTTGATGTTTGCGATTTGTTGGAGATCTTGTCGATCTGCTGAGTGTGGGGGTAGGCGTTGCGTTAGCGTCAGGAGAGAGAAGTGTAATTGATGTGCGGCCATATCATAATCGTGGATCTCGGATGGCGTCAGGGGACGTGTTCTCAAGATCTAACAGTTCTGTATCAGAAGGCTTCTCTACATGCGCTCCTGTAACCAACATACCCTTGCTTTCGTGGAAGCCAGGATGGAGATCCGGTTGATCAGTGTCATCAGACCACGTGAGCAGCCCATCAAAACGTCTATCTAGAATCCAGTCAGTATTAGCTACAAATGATTAATGCCACCGTACCTCCTCAAGGTTTTCACTCTCAGACCATAGCTGCAAGTTGTCGCCTCCATCCCAATCATCGGACACCGTGCGGGCCATGATATCGTGAGCTATAAAGTACATGCGGAAGAAATTCCATAGGTCAGGGGAGCGTTGACGCACACTGCAGTCTAAAAGCTGCAGCCCACCACGGAGATGCGTTATCCACGAGGCAGAACAGCCGTCCGAGATCTGTCTCCTATAAGCAATCATGAATGCCGGTAAGGTTGGGGAAACTCACGTCTTGAAAGCACAACATGAGCACAGCAGCAACCGTGCCTTCATCATGAGTGGAAGTGGAGATTTCCTGTCGGAGGCTCTGGAGGGCAATCTGTTTGTAGTGACATGCTTCATGAGTGGACTGTGCGCTACCAAGAAGGCGGAGCTGGTTTGCAGCGACAGCTAAAAGGGCGTTTCGTAGCGTGTTGGAAACGAAAGAGAGTGGGATGACGAGGGAGATGTAGGGATTGTGCGATTCGCTAAGTGAGCACGATGGACTGATGCCCCTGATGAAGTAGTCGAGGAGATAGCTGTCCGAGTCGGAAAATGTGCGGAGGGGATGGTAGATGGAGAATGCGGGGGAGAGGGTGAGGAAGTGGCCCTGGTCGGTGCTTCGAGGGGGGTAATGCGGGGTTTCCACTTGGGCGGATGCAGCCAAGTCATCAAGGGTGACATTGAGAAACTCCCAGCGGTTGACATAGCAGTCCAGAGGAATGGGTCGAAAGTCGGACTTTCTCTGGCGCTGCTTCGCGTTGGGTTGTTTCGTCCAGACTCCTGCCAAGCTTAGCCCTCGAGGCTCCAGAGGAAGGAAGGTCCACGCGACGCACCTTCGCGCCCAAAGCTGATCCCCCGCTGTATGGCATCCTCCCTGAAGATCAACCTTAGGCCTCGTGCGCATGCCAGGTTCAGCCTTTCGCAACGTTTGCAGCGGGGGTGTTCTTCAGTGCATTGAATGTGCTTCGCTAGAGGCTATCAGTCTTCGGTCTGTGCTGACTGATCCATATTCTCACAGAGGGCTGACCTTTACACTGGAAGCATCCAGTTCGCCGACGACTTTCAAGCTTTCTGCGCGACATGGCGCCTACAGGAGTGGTGGGTTCAGAGGTGGGAAGAGGAGTTGGAGGCGAGTGTGGGGAAGAAGCCTCCTTATCTTCGCCACTTTTAGCGTGAATCTTATCTCAGACCAAGTGAGGCACATGAGCGGAGGGTCAATTATATCTATCAATGGAAAAGCAGCACTACTTCCCACCGTTTTATTGTCAAGTGCACTTGGACAGGGTGGGCTAGAAGTCTATATAACGTGGATTCTTCATCACTATTCCTTGGAATTAGAGACAATGGGTGGGAATTTATCCTGACATGGAATCCAGAAACAGAGCCTTTCTATTCAAGAGGGGAACCTGGTAGGAAAACGCATATCAAGGCAAAAAACAAGAGGATTCAAATGCATGAATTACAAAAGATATGCTAAAGGAGACTCTGCAAAGAAGCAGCCTTTATATCCTTGGCACCCATAATATTGCTGTTACATCCACAGGCCACCATTGTGCCAAAGGGCTTATCCTCAAAGCAGGTAGTGCTTCGTGAGCAAAATATATATATATATATCTATATATATCATGCGCCGGGCACTCGTTCCTGGCCCCGTTTTGGAAAACGTCCAGCATAAACGCCGTGCCGTGGGCGGCGCCATACTTGGCATTATGCACCATCTCATCAAGGCCCATGTACTTTCTTATGCTTCTTGGAAACTCGATGATAGCACATCATGCTTGTATGCTGCAGAAGGTTATCAGTCAATGACACACTCTGTTTAACAAGCGACCACTGACCACTGACCACTGACCACCGACCACTGACCTCGCCCGTTGCGTGAGCTTCTAAGAAAGTAGCCACTTGAATACTATGACTCTGCACACCAGGGTCGTCCATTGGGCCGCCTAGACATCAAATCCAGTACCTGACCCAAAACTCCGACGTCATCCTGAATTCGATCACCCAATACACAAACATTCATCAGGCCGTACCGCGTTGGTGATTACATCGTTCGATAGAAGAGGCAGGTGCATCTGAGCGCTTATCTTTTCTCTTAGACAGATTATCTTAGAAGCAGCTTTCTTGACGGGAATGTCTTCCTGCAACGCGACGGTTCGAAGCAAAGTACCAGGATGCGAGAGAGGTTACCATACTATGCAAGAAACATGTACCGGAAGATAGCAAAGCAGACCAAAGGCCTGGTTTAGCTACGAAAAAGCGCTGCGAGATGTATGAAGCCGTAGATACTAAGGACTGGTCTATGGAGGTGTGCATGGCTATGATGTGTCGGTTGATCCTCTTCTTTCGCGTGGATAGATTAGGCTGCACGGTGCCAAAAGTACCATTACCTTTGGAGTTCGGGGCAATAGAAGCATCCGAGTAACTACACTGCGTGTTCCCTTTTCCATGTCAGGCAAAGCTAACCCGAAAGAATACATCCGACACCCAATTCAGGTCCCTTCCCTGGCAACCTAGGCCCTACGAGAGAGCCGGGAAGCGATCCTACTCAGGAGTCGGAAAAAAGCAAATTGGAGAAAGGAGGCCAGGATCAGGAGTCACAAAAGCAGAGAATGTCAAAGAAAAAGCAAACACGAATTCTTGCAGGTGAGTTGAATGCCTAGTGGCAGTGGCAGTGGTCGTTGGCGGTGATGACAATGAGTTCATCCAGACTCTAACCACACGCAAAGCTCGATGATACCCTAGAGACATTGACGAGTGCCCAAACAACCTTCCTAACTCGCCATTATTGCCAGGCCAGCCCAGACCTAGATACTATATATAACTTATGTGGTATACTTGAAATTCCTCTGCTGGAAATCCGTCTTATCAGCAAATGCATCCACCAAATCCTCCTCCCCAGCAGGCGGGACACCATCCGTTCGTTTCCGATTCAACGTGAGCGCAATAACCCAATAGATCCCAATCAAGACAACGCAGGCACAGTAGCAAGCCAACATGGCGGCAAAACCACCAGTGTATGCCGGTGCTTGGCTCTCGCGAAACGTCTGCGGTCCGATGAGGTTTCCGACGGCGTAGCCGATGTATAGGATGGAATACTGTACGGTTTTCTTGGTGTTGCCTGCTGTGTTGGCCTGCGACATGGATATTCCGACGACGTAGGGGCCGAAGTAGGTGTATAACTGAGCCATATTAGCTAGTGTCCAGTTGTCTGAGTATGAGGAGGGCTTTGGCTTACCAAGTAAATACCAACCATCTGGCCACCGATATTCGTTCGCGGCAGGGTATACACGATAATAGCACCAATGGCCGGAACACAAGACGCAAGCATCGTAACCAGGCACCGGCGATTTTCCCACTTGGCCGCAATCCACGAGAAGATAAACGCCGACAGTGTCGACATGACCCCTGTCGGCATATTCAGCAGCGACGTATTCACAGGCGAGAAACCGAGGTTATTGATGATGATCCCGCTGAACGTCGTCAGACCTCCATTCGGGATGTTGATGGCGATGTTGAAGAAGAAGAGGATCCACGTCTTCGGGTCGATGACGGCCTCGAACGCCTGATCCCATTTCCACTGCCGGTTCGTGATTCCCGTTTTGTTTTCGGCGAGACGCTGCACGGCGTGGTATTTCTCGCGCTCGGTGAGGAAGAAGGCGTTCATGGGGGAGTCGGGGAGGAAGATGAAGGCGATGATGGACCAGATTGCGGAGACGGAGCCTAAACAACACCAGGATCAGCGAGGGCAGTACGATGCTTGGACGGGATACTAACCTGTAATCAGGAAGAGGTACTGCCAGATTGACAGAGGTGCGCTGGACGGGATATGGCCGACAGCCCACGATAGAAACCCGTTGACGATTGAGCTTGCAGCTGCAAACACGAGAGCATTGCGAGGAGGCTGCTCCGACTTGCGATAGAATCCGGCGATAATAAGAGAGATCGACGGGACGATGATTGCCTCAAGACATCCTGAGACAACGTTAGCGGCCTACTCGTATGTTTCATCAATGACGTACCCATAAAGAATCTCAACGCCATTAGCCCGCTCCAGTTGCGGGAAACTGGCATGAGAAGTGCCATGGCGGACCATCCGACCGAGCACGCGCAGAGGTATTTGGCAGACGGGAGACGGTGGACTAGGTAGGTGGATGGCCACATTCCCACAATAGCCTGTCACGTTGAGCAAAAGAGCGATCAAAAGGACAGGAGATGACTCACTCCCAGGGACAGGATAGACCCAGCCCACGAGTACTGCTGGCCGACAAGGTTGAGATCGGTCTTCAAGCCATAGATGGCGGCGGTACTAAGGGCGACCTTGTCCACGGCACCCAGAGTCGCTGTAAGGAACAGCTAGACACAGCTGTTAGCCTTGGTGAACATTCCGTTATCATTGCACCCACCATCGGCAGCAGAATCCAATCCATCTTGCGTATCATCTTTCGCTCTTCCTCTGGGGACAATGGGTCGACTCCAGCGTTGTGGGTCAGGTACTGAGCAGCTTCGTCCATTGCCATTGTGACCCCCTGCTTCTCTGCATCGGGGGCTTCAATAACAGGGACTGCATCCTTGGTGGCCATTGCGAAGGTCAAGTACAGAAGAGTATGAGACTGAAAGTGAGAAAGTCAAAAGGTGATCAGACCAAATTGTCCATCAGTCTCCGAAGGACACTTTATACCCATCAGCCCGGTATCACAGATAGCAATCACCCGACTGACAAGATTACCGGTCGTCCTCGAGCCTGCCCCGTCTGGCCGGCTTACTCCAACTTTGATGATAAGAAACCTGGGGGCAGATCCACATTCGTCGCGTGCAGCCCACAATGACCATTGGCCGACGCGTCTCCACCAGCCGTATCGACCTTCCCAGCATTTCGGAGTGAGGAGTCAGGAATCCCGACCACGTTTTGAGAACTGCAGGTCGTATCGACCTTCCTGCGTTTTGCGAGATGCCGACTTGGAGATATGGAATTTGGCCTCGGGCTGCGATTATAAAGCTGCCTGATGACCCGGCGATAGAGGTGAGCACAGATCAACTCACTCATCCAGTTCTCCAAAATGACGATAACAGAGCCGGCTGCCGGTGGTGTCCGGATTGCCATTGGTGAGATAGCTTTTTCTTACTCGAACCCAAAGGCTTATACTCTTTATAGACCGCGGGGGCACATTTACCGATGTATGGGCCAGTCTCCCAGGCAAGCCCGATATCGTCCTCAAACTTTTATCCGTCGACCCTGCCAACTACGCCGACGCCCCGACTGAAGGTAAGTGACCGCCTACTCCAATGAAAACAGGACTATGACTAACGGAAACCCACCCGCACACAAGGCATCCGGCGCGTCCTCTCCCTCCACCGGGGCGAGGAGATTCCCCGTGGGGTCCCACTTCCGAAGGATGACCTCGAGTCTATCCGTATGGGGACCACGGTTGCGACTAATGCGCTGCTGGAGCGCAAGGGGACGAAACATGCGTTTCTTGTTACCAAGGGGTTTCGCGATCTGTTGCAGATCGGATATCAGTCGCGACCTCGATTGTTTGACCTGAACATCGTCAAGCCGGAGGCTCTCTACTCGGACGTTCGGGAGATTGATGAGCGAGTTACTATCGAGGGGTTTGATGAGGATATCGACGGCATCTTCAAAACAAACAAGGAGATTCCTGGTGTTCTCGTGAAAGGAACTAGCGGTGACATGATTCGGATCCTCAAACCACTGGATGACTCTGCCGTCCGGCAAACATTGAAGGACCTCCGGGCGCAGGGTTACGATACTGTGGCCGTCTGCCTTACACACTCACACGTCTTCCCAGCCCACGAGGCCCGCGTCGAAGAGCTCGCGCTCGAAGAAGGCTTCACTCACATCTCGCTGTCGTCGATGGTCGCAGCCAAGATGATCAAGATGGTCCCTCGCGGAAGCTCTTCATCCGCAGATGCATACCTCACTCCGGAGATCAAGCGGTATCTCAGCGGCTTCGCCAAGGGATTCCAAGATGGAAACCTCGACGGCGTCCGGTGCGACTTTATGCAGTCGGATGGTGGACTAGTTAGCCATGACCGGTTCAGTGGCCTCCGTGGTATCCTCAGTGGACCTGCTGGTACGAGTCCCCTTTCCACACCTCAACAGTCTAGAGCTGATTGATGACAGGCGGCGTCGTCGGGTACGCGCGCACATCCTACGATGCATCCTCCGGAACCCCAGTCGTCGGCTTCGACATGGGCGGAACCTCCACAGACGTGTCCCGCTTCGGCGGAAGCTTCGAGCACGTCTTTGAGAGCGTCACGGCGGGCGTCACCATCCAAAGCCCACAGCTCGACATCAACACCGTCGCGGCTGGCGGCGGGTCCATCCTCTTCTGGAGAAACGGGCTCTTCGTTGTTGGTCCTGAAAGCGCCTCGTCACACCCAGGGCCTGCGTGCTATCGCAAGGGTGGGCCGCTCACTGTGACGGACGCGAATTTGTTCCTCGGTAGATTGATTCCTGATCTATTCCCAAAGATCTTTGGCGAGAACGAGGATCAGCCGCTTGATTTGGAGATCGTCAGGGAGAAGTTCATTGCGCTCACAGATGTGATCAATCGCGATACGGGCGATTCACTTACCCCCGAGGAGGTTGCTTGTGGGTTTTTGGATGTGGCGAATGAGACCATGTGTCGGCCGATTCGGGCGCTGACGGAGGGGAAGGGGTATGATATTGGTATGTTCTTCACGTTCATAGCCTCCTGGAGCTTTGTTTGTTCTAACACCGTATAGCAAGCCACAATTTGGCGGTCTTTGGAGGCGCAGGAGGTCAACATGCCTGTGATATTGCCAGGACGCTGAAGATCTCGACGATTGTCATCCACAAGTTCTCTAGTATTCTATCAGCATATGGTAAGTCTGACCATTGCTACCTGCACCAGAGTCACTAACAGCGTATAGGAATGGCCCTAGCAGACGTTGTCCAAGAAGCGCAAGAACCCGTCAACGAGACATACGACGAGGCCTCGCGCTCGCGACTCGAGACGCGCCTCTCAAACCTGCGAAACCAGGTCAAAGACCAGCTCATCAACCAGGGCATCCGAGAAACCGACATTGCCTATGAGATGTACCTCAACATGAGGTACCAAGGAACAGAGACGTCCATCATGGTTCAACAGCCCGCCGATGGGGACTTCAAGGCCGAGTTCCAGAAGACGCATCTCCGCGAGTTCTCCTTCTGTTTCCCAGATGACAAGGTAATCTTCGTTGATGATGTTCGTGTTCGCGGTATCGGTACGAGCCAGAGGAAGGATTGGGAAGGCGAACAGCTTGGACAGCAGCTGTGTGGTTCGAGCTTTGGTGTTAAAGCTGGGAAGCCTGCACCGAGCATGGTCAACCAGGTTTACTTCCCAAAAGTGGGACACAAGGACACGCCCGTTTTCCTGGTCCAGGATCTGCCTCCTGGTCTGCTGGTAGAGGGTCCTGCGATTATTGTTGACCAGACACAAACGCTTGTTGTGGCTCCTGACACCGTCGCAAAGATTCTTCGTTCACATGTTGTCATCGAGGTCCTCGACACGGCGTCCCAGGCAGTTGAGCAGCCGACTGTCGTTGATCACATCCAGCTTTCTGTCTTTGGACACAGATTCATGAGCATTGCCGAGCAGATGGGGCGTGCTCTGCAAAAGACCGCGGTCTCGCTGAATATCAAGGAGCGGCTTGACTTTTCGTGTGCTCTTTTTGGACCTGAAGGTACGTAGCTGTTTTATGCCAGACTGTGAATGCCAGACTAACAAACGTGTAGGTGACCTTGTGGCCAACGCGCCCCATGTGCCCGTCCACCTGGGCTCAATGAGCTACGCGGTCAAACACCAACACGAACTCCACAAGGGCAGACTCGTCCCAGGAGACGTCCTCGTCGCAAACCACCCCGAATCCGGGGGAACGCATCTGCCGGATATAACCGTCATAACCCCGGTCTTCGAAAAGACCGGATCAACTGTCGCCTTTTACGTCGCCTCGCGAGGCCACCACACCGATATCGGTGGCCTCGGCGGAACGTCCATGCCGCCCAACTCGACAGAACTTTGGCAGGAAGGCGCAGCAATTAGATCGTTCAAGCTTATTCACGATGGTGTCTTTGATGAAAAGGGGATAACGGATATCCTCCTCAGTCCGGGCGATTATCCCGGGTGCACGGGGAGCAGGCATATCCAGGATAACATCTCGGATCTCAAGGCACAGATCGCGGCGAACCACAAGGGGATGGTTCTAGTGCAGGCTCTCATCGAAGAATACACGCTTCCCGTCGTGCAAATGTACATGAAAGCCATTCAGTCCAACGCGGAACTCGCAGTGCGGAACTACCTCCTTTCCACACTAACCCGCCTCGGTCCCAACCTCTCGGCAGTTGACCAAATGGACAATGGCACACTGATCAAACTATCCATCTCCATCACACCACAGGGCTCCGCAACATTCGACTTCACAGGGACCGGCGTCGAAATGCTAAGTAACATCAACGCGCCACCGGCCATAACGCACTCGGCAATAATCTACACCCTCCGCCTGCTCATCGGCACAGATATCCCACTGAACCAAGGTTGTCTCGCCCCCATCGACGTGATATTGCCCAAAGGTACCTTCCTGAACCCATCTAGTGGCCCCGCCGTCTGCGCGGGGAACACGCAGACAAGCCAGCGTCTTGTCGATGTCATTCTTCGCGCCTTCCGTGCGGCTGCTGCTTCGCACGGGTGCATGAACTGCCTGGGTTTCTTCGGCGAGGGAGGGGTCGATGCCATTACGGGGAAGAAGAAAGACGGGTACGCGTACGCCTTTGGGGAAACCATCTGCGGCGGTTCGGGTGCTACCGCGGCCGCGCACGGCGCATCAGGTGTACACACGCACATGACGAATACCCGAATCACAGACCCCGAGAGTCTCGAGAAGCGGTACCCGGTCATTCTCCGGGAATTCGCGATCCGACCCGGGACTGGCGGTCGCGGGGCGAAGAATGGCGGGGACGGAGTTGTCCGGGATATCGAGTGTCGTGCGCCGCTTAGCTTCAGCGTTATTACTGAGCGGAGGAGTGTGGCGCCGTATGGCATGGAAGGGGGTGGGGAGGGGGAGCGTGGCGCGAATTATTGGGTTAGGCGCGTACAGAATGAAAAGGGAGAGGATGAGTGGAGGTGGGTGAATATGGGGTCGAAGAATATGGTCAAGATGCAGACGGGGGATCGCTGTGTGATTCATACGCCTGGGGGTGGCGGGTGGGGGGTTCCAGGTGTAAACGGGGTGAACGGGCATGTCAATGGGCATGCAAATGGGGATGCAAATGGGGATGGGGCTCCCAAGATGCAGTATCCAAGGGCGTCTGGGAGTGTAACTGCGTATGCTGATGCGCAGGCTGCGTCGAATTAGATCCTGTTCAGGTAGAGTTGACCCAATGCATTGCATGATCGGTGGTACGGTTTTCTCGTCAGTAGAAGGTCTCCCGGAAAACGTTCCGAGATATAGTCCGGCTACCCCTCATGACAGGTAATTTATCGGTTAATTACCAGGAGATCGGACCCCAGTCTCGCCCCACGGGGTAAATGGCTTCTCGTTCTATCCAATGAGATGAGCGTGGAATCCGCTCATTTACCGACTCCATGCAAGTGGTGTCTTCCGGTACATCCTCCGACAGGAACCATTGCGAAAGCCAGATATTCTGGTCGGAAGAGTATAAATGTCTTGACTTAATCGACTGTTAGTGAGTTATCAAGAGGTCCATTCGCAGTCACTGATCTCTTCTAACCGCCTTGCGCCCAAAATGCTCCAAAAGAAGCTATGGTCCATCCTTGCCCTGGCCTGCGCAGCCCTGGCGGCTGATACGGACTCATGCCCCTCGAAGAACCCGGTGGTAGTCTACCCCAGGCCTGCGGGACTCGGCAGTTCCACTTCATACACAATCCAAGTTCATCCCTCCGGCAAATCCCACCAAAAGCCCTACAGCATCGAACCCTGGATCACAACCGTCGCCGAAGCAAACACTACAACGGGCCGGAGCATGATCCACACTACAAACGTGGTCAACTTTGACTTTTGCACTTCTATCGATATTACCCTCACGTATAATAATGGCCCGATCAAGTCAGCTGTCGTCCGTCCCGCCTCACTTGGCATAAAGCCTCAGGTCAGGGGTAAGACGATCAAGTTTTCCCTCGACAGTCCCAAGAACGTCGTCGTCCAGGTAAACGACGATATATGGGACGTGCTGCATATCATACCCAGCGCTCCGGAAACAGATGTCCCCAAACCTTCCGATCCCAACGTAATCTACTTTGCGCCGGGAATCAACAATAGCAGCGCAGCCGGCAATCTCACAAACGGGGAACTGATCATCCCCTCTGGAAAAACAGTCTACATTGCTCCGGGCGCAAGCGTAAAAGTACCCCTCGTCTTCCGCAACGCAACAGCCGGCGAGATCCGCGGCCGAGGCGTCCTGCAGAGCGCAAACATCCAAGTCCGCAGCTCGTCAAATATCGCGATCCGCGACATCCTCTTCCTAAACAGCAACATCGGCACACACATGGCGTCCGATGTAACAATCAGCAACATTGCCTCCTTCTCCTCAGGCCAATGGGGCGACGGGATCGATCTATACTGCAGTAGCAACGTCCTCATTGATAATGTCTTTATGCGGAATTCCGACGATAACATTGCACTCTATCAAGCGCGGAATGGAGACTACGGGGATTCGTCGAATCTCACGATCCAGAATGCGCAGTTGTGGGCTGACTATGCGCACCCGATTAATATCGGGACGCATGGGAATACGCCGAATCCTGAGACGATGGATGGCGTGCTTATCAGCAATATCGACATCCTCGACCACCGCGAGATGCAACAGTGGTACCAGGGGTGTCTAGCAATCAACGCGGGAGACAGCAACATCATCCGGAACGTTCGGGTCGAAGGAATGCGGGTTGAGAATTTCAGACAAGGTCAAATCGTTAACCTCCGAGTTATGAATAACACGAAATACAATACTTCGCCCGGGCGCGGGATCGAGAATGTGTATATCAAAGATTTGGAATATACCGGTGACCGGGCGAGTACGGCGCTGATCCTGGGGCTTGATGCTGAGCACAGGGTGGAGAATGTCACATCTGAGAATCTGATTGTTAATGGGAGGGTCATCTACGATGGGATGGCGAAGCCGAGCTGGTATTATACGGCTGATATGGTTCCTTTGTTTGCGAATGAGCATGTTGAGGGGTTGAGTTTTGTTGCTTCTCCATGATGTGGTGGAGGCCATGAAAAGGGGCTTGGGTTGGGGTTTGGTGCAGAGTGCCAAACTATGGACTCGGGGGTTTGGCCTCGTTTACACGATAGCTTTAGGAGGGTTGGTCGTTAGCTATCAAAAACAACCAGTCTCGTTGGTACTTGAAACGGTAATCTGTAACTTTAGATCACCGTATCTACATATGAAGAATTAGCTAGTATGGATGACAATGCCACGTCTGGTCAAAGCTTCTAATCCTACTTGTATCTTCCCTTCTCCTCATTAGTAGCCTCAGAGATGTGTTGATCGCGGCCGCTCATTCGTAGAATGCAACGACCAGCCCCGCAAGGCAGTGCACAAATATATGGAATCAAGCGAGATATTAGCAACTTAGCTTCAGCCCCACAGAGCAAGAAATGACTATTCAGCTGCAAGAGTCGATGTCAAGAGGAACTGGGACATCGAGTGATAGGTATTTGACCTAGCCGGTAGGGCTGAAGTCTCAGAGCAGATATTGGCAAGAGTATCCCATGCTTGACAGAGTGGATATCATGATTATGGTGGTTAGGGTTGTGCTATTAGGGGGGAGCTTGTTGGACGCCGTTCAGCCGGCGGGATGCTCTATGGAGACCTTGAAAGGCCGTTACTGCTTCCAGGCGGCTTGAATATTATCTAGTTACTTGAGAACTGTCTTTGCCTTAATCGCCACGTGCATAAATTTTATAATCACATGAAGCTTTGTATAACAGAGTTTAATATAGGGTGTGGTGCCGATGATTATGGCCAACTAAGCTCCCATCCTCAAAGTGGTACTACATACATGGCCCAGGATCTTCCCAACGGTTCCCAAAGGCTCTCATCTGTTTCCCTGCGCTGATTCAGAAACAATCTAGGCACACGTGGGCCCGTTGTCCGCGCCCACGTTCTGGCACGTCTGGCCATTGGAGCAGGTAGTGACCGGCTTGGCGATGCCGTCCTCGCCGCACACCATGATGGTGTTTGCGGCGGCTATTAATCGTATCAAGTCAGCAACGGCTTCATGGAAGGGCAATACAAGTAACAAGGAATGGTTTAGGGGAGACCTACCTCCAGCACCGCAGGATGTTTCGCCCGGTGAGCAAAAGGCGGAGGCGAAACCGGCCAAGAGCGCCGCAAGAGTAAGGGTGAAGAAGCGCATTTTGGTTATATTTCGTCCGTCGAGGAAAAGATCTTATTTTGAGTAATCGAGTGAGATATGGTCTTGGAATTCAGGAACTTCGGGCCTGGTAGTCATGGAGTTTATATAACTTTTGATGGAGGCTCGTGGGACGGTGCTTTCGGGTACGTTCGGTGCCAGGGTGGAGAATGTACAGCCTCAAACCCCATAGCCAGCAGCATCTAAAATATACGAGGACATATAATATCGCGTCCGGTCGACGATGACGCTGGTTATGCCCATGGGACCCGCCCATCGCACCCACTCTGTCTTTCAGCCTCTGTGCCTGGAGGCTATGATAGGTAGAGCCCCCCGCCCCAGGGCTGACATGTCCTGGCCCCCAATCGTAAATATGGATCTCCTGCGCGCAGATCAGCTATCCTGGGGCAGATCGACTTTGCGGTGGGTCTCGGTTAGATGGGGGATGCCAGGATATTGTTGTCTGTGACTGTGGCAGCTCCACGCTGTCAAATCCACAGCAGCCCTCTGATGTCAATCACTTCACATCTTGAAACAAGCCCACTTTACTAAACAAAGGCGATAGCATAGGCCACGTCATAGGCGAGAGCACAAGTGGATTGACTGAGCAACGTCAATGCGTGCGATGTCGACCACGTAGCCTTCGACAATATTAGCACATAGCCAGCGAAGTAATCCCTAGAGTCTCACAGCTACAGCACAAGATGACAATGTTATCTTGGATAACTCCGCGAGCTCATCCAGCAGTGAAGCCTGCAGATCATGTTTAGCAAGGTTTACAGTGGGCCAATGGGTGGGTACAGTCTACATATTTCACCAATCAACTGAGTGGATGTGTGTGAGCTGCGTCTTCCGCATCCTGCTCAATTTAGACTGGAGACTGGGGACGCCTTGAATGTTCCCAAAGGAGATGCAACGACCGCGTGAGGCATTCGGTCTGAACAAGGATTTTCATCCCTCTCGGCGGGTTACCTTTTTGATCCTCAGGGGGCTCAACGGTGTGCGGGATATAGTTGACAGGCATTGAGCCATGGACTGTTCCGAGCACGAGGCATACATGTGCTTGGTACTGTTGCGGGTGCTCTCTCTTCGACACGAGGACTCGGAGACACCTTTACCAAACGATGGTCAATGAGGACTATGGCAGGCTAATTGCCCAAAGTGAGAGCTGACGTTAATTGATAGGAAGGAAAGCTATACAGCTGGCTAACTGGTCAGACCAACGTTTTGGTCCTAGTGAACCTCCAGCAGCTTATGTACAGAAATACTAAGCATTTCATGGAACACATCTCATGGTACACGTACACATCCACAAAATCAGCAATTATAAGCGCGGTGGTAGAGGTTAGACATGCAAAATCCCAACGTTATCTGCTATCCAGTCAAAAGCCCTCGAGCGGTAACGGTCCACAATCAAGCTTGTCTCCGAGGCGAAGACCCGGAGCTGCTCCTGGCTGTTGGCCCAACGCGGCCAGCTCTGGTGGTCGTCGCTTTTATTCGGATCCAGCGAGTAGACAAAGTTGATGAAATGCCGGCGAAAAGTCTCGGCCGCGTATACTGTCCCATTGCCGTTGAAGAAAGGAGCTGTATCGGATCCGTGTGTTGTCCCGAACACTGGTGCACCCTTGTTGAAGCTGCCCATGTACGACCACGATGGAACATCTGGATGGGCGGTGGAGCTATACGTCAGGAATAGTCGCCGCATTAAGATAAAGATGACGTCTCCTATGACGGCCGATCGCTCCTTGAAGCCGGGGAAGACCTCGTTGGCGAATCCGGTTCCGAAGGGGCTGCCATTCTCAACACACGCTTCACCTTGACCATAAGTGTGCACAAGTTCGCTCATCTGATCTTGGTTCCCCTCGGCGAAGAAGCACCCCTGCAGGTAGTCGGCGAGGTGTTCAGTCGTAGTCAGGTTGCTCTGCAGGATAGAGATCAACGTCCCTTCATCCTCCATGGTTCCTACGATCATTGGCACGGCGGCATATCTTCCCTCCCTTGCGAGAATCTCAGGGCTTTCGCGGAGTGTCTTGCCGTCTGGGCGCGGGAGGTATGAAAGGGCAAGGCCATTGTATGACAGGGGGCCCGGCAAGGTCGAGACAGCATGATGAAAGATCTCGTAATCAACCTCCCGCAGGCATTGAAGGCTATTCTCAGCCTCGCTGCAACCGGCAGCTTCGACCACCCTTTCATACACTCGCTCGGCTTTCTCCGAAGACACGGATTCTGCTGGAGTCATGCTGCCGGAGCTCATGATTGCCGCGCGGAACAGTGGCCTCCCCGTAAGCGAATGCGAGTGGTTGCCATTGTTCAGCGCCATTTGATCAAAGACAGAGATGGCGCCCGCCGAAATGCCCCAGATGGTGACCTTGGTGCGATCGCCGCCAAAACTGGCGATATTGTCTGCCGTCCATTCCAGCCCTAGACGCTGGTCGAGGAGTCCCAGGTTTGCAACGCCTTCTTCTGCGACTCGCTGACCGGGCAAGAAGCCAAAGCCATTTATCCTGTAGTTCACCGCAACAAAGATAAACGGCTTGCCAATGTCAACCCCGTATCGAACAAAGTCTGCGGGGTCATTGTCTTCAGTACACCCAATCTAGGTGATGTTTGTCAGTTTATGCCTGTAGCATACCAGGAGGATCTCACCTCGAAAGCGCCTCCGTAAATATAAAATAGAACCGGAAGGCGATCCTGACTTGTAGTACCACTGGGGCGGGTAACTGTAACAGTCAAGCAGTCTTCGCTTTGATCAGTCGGAGCTGGGACGGTGACACCAGAGTCTCCAAGAAAAGACAGAAGATTCATGATCCCGGGAAAGTCTTGCTCTCGGGGCTGCTGCTGGGGACAGGCCATGGCGTGTCCTGTACCGTCAATGGTCCCTAGCTGACGGGTAATCCTTTGTGGAGGTCGCAAGCGTAGGTTTCCGACAGGGGGTTGAGCGTAGGGAATCCCGGAGAAGGTGTCAACGCCGTTGCTAGACCTGCCCTGGACTGTGCCACCTTGGATTGAGACAGTCAGGTTATCGTTGTTCCATCCTGGCAGTCGGTTCACAACGCCCTGGTAAACAACCAAGGGCCAAAGCGAGAGATCCTCAAAAAGACGCATATTGGGTATATCGGGCAGCAAGGGTCAGTCAGTTTGTTGGATTATGAGATCGGTCTTGCAGTCGGTTTATAAACCCGCTCAGGGGCAACTTGAAATAAGGGGCACACATGCTGTGGTAGGCAGCCGTGGGTGTCACAGTGGCGGGCGTTGTATCACTTGAGGAGCCAACACTTTGGCATGTCCCACAATTCTCGGATCTTCTCAGGACATGAACAAGTGGAATTGACATATTACCTATTTAAGACTACTACCGAGGTAATGGGAGATGGACGCGGGGTCTTGACAACCGCAAGGCCTGTAGAGAGAAGAACCAATCTCATTGATCTCGGTCGTAACATATGATTGGATCGGGCTCGTGCGGACAGCACAGACCCTTTAGAAACCACGCATCTCAGTGGTCAAACGAAGATTTCTTTGTTTGTGGGTGGACCCCGCATCTGCCACGTCGGCGTTCACGAGGTTCGAGCAAAATCCCCAGATTTTGTGGTCGGGGACTCTGGGGTACATATCCAGGAACTTGAGGCTATTAGCCGTGCTGCGACTGGGCCGAATAGGGACCTCCTGTCGAAGCAGCTGATACCTTCTGGGGCCTCTCGGACACTTCGCCTGGTCAGAAAAGTGAACTACATGACCCAACCTTGGTCCCATAGGCGAACCAAGTTTCGAATCAGGTAGCGGTTGATCCGGGACTCTGGTTTCTTTCATAAAGAAATACGCGCTAACCAGTCGGCAACTCGCGTGATTTGATCTGGACGACCACTCACGTTGGATCTGTTGCCAGGAGGATTCGGGCCCCGGATGACGCTTTTCCGGCCAGTCACACGCACTCCGGCCAACGATGGCTCTGAACCAGGTTTGTCTGGCAAACCGACACTTGAATCAATTTGAACTTGAGGATTTTATCAGATTCCAGGCCCAGCATTCTCAGTAAGTGGTCCTCTTGCGCTTCAACCACGTGTAGGAGCGGTTCTGATGGTGGACCATGCCTCCAGCAGAGTGGCAACTCATACCAAACAGGCCTACTCATGGATACAATCAACCCCCCTCCCACAAAGCGTACCAGAAGCAGCGGGGTTTGCACTTTGTGCCACGCCCGCAAGGTGAGATGCGATCTGATCGTCACTGGCGGCGGGCCTTGCACGAACTGTCGTCTGGATCGGCAGACCTGCATGCTTAGGCCTCGCCGCAAGTAAGTCCACACTCATCGTGTACATATTGCTCCAGAGTAACCCTGATGGTTTCGTTCTCACAGACGCACGACATATCGTCCTCTGGAAGTCGTCCAGCAAACGCTGAGGGATCCGGCCATTGCCGCCCCCGCGCTCCCTCCAGGCACGCCTTTCCCCTGTGGCGTCCGCTTTGCAAAGACGATTATTGGTGACGCTAAAGGCAACCTTCTTTTCGAGTTCCCAAAGACGAAAGTTGCATGCAATCTGCCTACCAGCCACCTCTCGCCGCCGTCCTCGATTCCCCGCAAACCACGATCAATCATCCAAGGGACCGCCATCGACAAGAGTGTGCCCTTCTCTTCTTATAGCTTCATCGAGTCGACAGCACTGGCCAGGCTTTCTGCCAGTGATGTGAAATATCTGGAGAGCGAGGGATGCTTCAAGATTCCCCACAGACCTCATCTGGACAACTTCGTCCGCGAGTATTTCCTCCATGTCCACTCGTGCATGCCTGTGGTGGATGAGGCCGACATGTGGCTGTCGTATGAGCAGGAAGCAGGGAGACCCAAAATACCCCTCCTGCTATTTCAGGCCATGCTCTTCGCGGCGTCCAGGGTAAGTGCTCCCCATGTAATGAATGGGATTCCGCGAATGCTGATGCTGATGCTGCCTGGAGTTTGTACCCCTCCCCAGTCTCCAGGCCAGTGGCTTCGATGGTTCCCACGAGGCCAGCGAAGTCCTCCACCGCCGTGCTTCAGTAAGCAATTCTGGCTCCCGCTGCGGTAGGCAGGTGATTAATGTATATGTATACGGATAGCTCCTCCTCCAGTTCAAAACAGAGACCGACCATGGGGTCCGGACCCAAGCTGCCTTGTTATTATCGCTCCAATCAACAGCCCTCGACATGTATACGAACAGCTCCTTCTTATCAATGGCGATTCAGTCCGCCCAAGCGAGTCGATTGCAGCTTTACGGGACTCTTCCAGGCTTGACACTGGACGAGCGCCAACGCAAAAAGCGACTCTTCTGGTGTGTGATTGTGCGGGATAGGACAATTGCACTTGCCATGCGCCGACCTCTACAGGTTACACCAGATGCTTTTGATCCCTACCAAGACCCGCTAACAGAGCAAGACATGGAGCCCGAGATGAAGGGGTCTAGTGTGTATGACATGGCTACAAAGCATGATCTCATGAAGATCTTTGTTATCCACTGCCAGCTTGCGGCTGCGCTTACCTCGACAGTGATGATAACGTGCTCTCGAAATAATACGCCCATTCCGGCACTCCCATCGCATGAAGATCTACGCGGAGCCCTTGTGGCTTTGGACCTCTGCACGCATGATCTAAAGATGTGGCTGGACAAAGCAGAGCCACAGCTGCAATCCATAGCATCTGCCACCGCGAACCGTAGCAATTTCATAACAGTATGCGTGGATCTCCAGTGGATGTACTATCAGTCAGTTGCCCAACTCCGGAAACGCTTAACTAGGACAGATAACTTATTCTTCTTTAGCAGCGCGCATATGGCCTTGAGCCATTTCATCATTTTCATGTCCAGCATGAGCACCCATGCCCCCAAGCCTGATGGGATGTCGGGTGTGGGAATGAGCATGAGCAACCTGATGGGCTCCTTTGCAGGCCTTAAGGATGTACTCAGGAGGCTGGTGATGTCAAATCAGGCCGGTCTCCTGCCTATCAGTGCGTACGTTGTGTCTTTTCATGTCCGCTACATGGCCTAAGTATTGACCAGACGCAGAGTAGCCTATACCGCATGGCCGCTATTACTCGCATCTCTCGATGTTCAGCTGTCCAAGAGCCAGAGCCAGAAGCGAACTCGCATGCCCGAGCTCTGGGTCTTTGAAGAAGCGATGAGACAATACAAACAACAGTTCCTGGTTACCCAGTTTCTCACAGACGTCATTGACCGGTTGCTGCGGCTTTCAAAGGGCGAACTGGACGAGACTCGCAAGAATCCACATGACATCGCGCAGCCGGAGGGTCAGAATCAACCACAAGAATGGAGCGAGCTCTACTGGCAAACTCCGCACCTATATTTCAAGGTCCTTTTCTCGTTGGACTATGCCATGTCTTCGGGAAAGCTGCCATCGAAAGAAGAATATCCGGATTGGTCGCCTGCCCAACTGGGCCCTCAACCTCCACCCTCGCAATCGTCTCGGCTTACACCGCTGGCAACCTATCATACTAGCCTTTGCGTATACCAGTGCCTTGAGCCGGCCCCGTTCCCTGTCTTGCCCGAGCAGTCTGCATATGAGGGGTGGAACCTGGACAATTACAATGAGACAGGCCGATTCTGTCAGCCTCTTCTGAGCGAGTCGGTATTTGGCGAAGAGCCTGACGCGGCCAAGAAAGACAATGAATGCACTGATATGACCAGTATGAGCCCATCTGATCTGTGGGAGGCAGCGGTTTGTACTGGGTCTGGGTCTGGGTCTGACAACGATCAAGCCATCACCGAGACCCTCTTGTACATGCTCCAATATTCATGCCCCGCGATAGGATGAGTTATTCGAATACTTATGTAGATCACCATCCGCTATTGTAACTAATAAATGCTCCTTTTACCTACAATGAGTATGACTGAGCCGAGCCCACCAGGTGGAGGTACGCCGAGTCCTGCGCTGTAGGGAAACAGGAAACCGCCTTTTCGTACAATCAAAACATGTATATGGCTCAGATTCTCGCCTTTCAGTACTTTTCTATGCGTTCGAACCATGCATTGAACGCAGCAACGCAGCCATCTAGATCCTGTAAGATAAACTGATGTCCAACCCCCTCCAGAATCGTGACCCAAGAATCATCCCCAATTAATTCTTTCAGCCCAAATGATCTCTCTGGGGGAGATATTACATCCTCACTCCCAGCCAGAAGCAAGGTCGGCGCGGTAATCCGACCATAATCAGGATCAACGTGATCCAGAGCTGCCACAGCCTCGCAGGCCTTTGCATATCCATCCGCATCGCTTTGTGCCACTGCTTCTCGGACACTGTCTCTTAGCTCCTGTGCAACCTCGACGCCTATTGGGAAGTTTGAGATGGCTGCTGTTTCCGCAGCGGCCTTGATTCCTTCTACTCGTGTCTTTGCAGCCAGACCTAGCATCCTCTCGCGGGCCGGTGGGATGTTCGCGATTGATCGGCCGGTCCCAAGGAGCGCAAGTCCTTTGACTCTTTCAGGGTGGCGAGCGGCGTAGTGCGTTGCGATGATTCCGCCGAGGCTGTGTCCGATGAGCAATAGGGGCTCTTCGTCAGTGCTCTGCAAAGATGCCACGAGAGAGTCCAAGTCGTCGACATAGCGAGCGATGGATAATGTCACGTCCGGCGATGATAGATGGGTCTTTCCGAGTCCTTCGAGGTCTGCGCAAACGAGTCTATACGTTTCCGGGTGTAGATGAGGGAGCAGTGGGGTGAATGTATCTGTTGAGCCTCCCAATCCATGGAGCAGAACGATCAGAGTCCCCGTTTGGTTTCCAATTTGAATGAAATGGGTATTGGTCCCATTGGGCGTTTGGTAGTATCCGGATGTAGGAGCCATAGTTGATGAGCTCCTTTGTTGCCAGATTGCCCTGCTGGTTTCTATGTTTCGAATGAAATAGTCTATTCCAGTCAATCCGAACCGCGGATCCGGCCTCGGCCGATCAGCAGTGATTGTGTCGATAACGCTCGTATCTCTTCTCCCCAGCAAACCCGAGTGTTATCTTTCTGATTAGTTGATCGGCCGAAGTTCGAGGTTCTCCGATCATACTGGTGACTTTGGAATGATTTGCCATGATAAAATGTTCCAGCAGCTCCAAATGCGTATCCAGCTGTCAAGAAGCCCCGAACCGAGTCACGATGGTATTCGCCGTTTCAACCACTGCGACCGTGGTCGAGTCACCAAAGGTCCTCTCAGTCCACGAGGTGTATGTTCCGCCCGAGGCCGAGACGAGCAATGGGCGAGTTGTGCCTATCCAGCATTCAGAGGGCAACAAGGTCGACTTTGGCGCAGAGATCTACGGCATCGATCTGAACAATTTCACCTCTGCCGACTTTGCCTTGATATCCGATGCGCTGCATAAGCACAAGCTGCTTGTCTTCAAGGAGCAGCCTCAAATGTTGACACCGCAGCAGCAGTATCGACTGACAGCTTGGTACGATATCTCAACCCAGCCACCCGCTCCTGGCAATAGAGCTGACAGTATAAAGCTTCGACCCTGAAGAGAAAACAGGAGGCTTCGCACATGGCGCCGATCCCATCCTCCTCTCCGAAAACGGAGTGACCATCTACGGCCTCCCAAACAGACCAGCCATTAACGCCCAGCCCCAAGTCCACATCCTGGGCCGCGGACAAGTCCCTGACAACCACTTCGACTTCCCCCCGGGGTTCCAGGTCAAGGGTATCGATCACGTCAATTTCCATATTCCGCCTCACATGCCGCAGGAGGAGCGCGATAAGGGCGCCAGTCGGTTCTATCAGTGGCATTGGGATGGAGCGCTTTATGATATTCCGCCGCCGCGGGTGGGGTGTCTTCTTGCTGTTCGGACGCCGAAGGGGCCTGATGTGACTGTGCACTGGGGTGATGGGACGGGGCGAAGGATGGAGATTGCGCCGGGTGCGACGGCGATGGTTGCGGGGTCGAGGGCCCTTGAGCTTCTTGATGAGGAGACCAGGCAGATCGTCATGCATAGTCGGATTGAGTATGCACCGCATGCTTTTCAGTGGATGTCGACGGCGCGGAGTACGCAGCTCGGCCATACCCTAGTAACCGAGGGGAAAGAAGTTCCGCTTGATCAGCTGCGGCCGTGGAGTGCTGACAGGGTCTGTGTCTATCCCATGGTCTGGACGAACCCGGTCACTGGTGAAAAGTCGCTCCAAGTACACGGGCAAGGCGCGTTCAAATTGTACCTCAAGGACAAGCCCGACGGAGAGGAAACAATTGTCACGGACCTAGGAGAAGTCAGGGCCTTTATGGACAAGTAAGTCGAAAACCGCGAGATTGGGACCGTGGCTAATACGATGATAGAGTCATGAGCCCTGTGCTCTCTCCAGAGAATATCTACGCACATCCTCATCAGGAACAAGACGTCATACTTTGGTATAATCGGGCGCTGTGGCACAGCATTGTGAGACCTCTTTTCAATATTCGCTCTCGAATGGATACTAACTGCAGCATAGACTGAGTTCCCCGAGTCCTACGGGCCTAGGATCATGCACCAGTGCAACATTGCGGCTTCGGACCACCCTTCAGGATAGCTTCCCTCATATTCGCATATCTCAAAGATTGTTAATCAAGTCGGCGTTGAGACCTGCTTCTCTATCGCGTAGCTCGCTGTAAACCACGCTCGAGACATTAATTCTCTGGCCCAATGACCCTTTGTGTACTTTAAGATGTTTGATAGTAGACTTGCAAAAACATCTCTGCTTTCCTCTTCATATGCTACAAGAGCACGCAGAGGGCGGATTTGACTGCTCTCCACAATTAAACGAACGCCGATAGATAGAATTTCTTTGACTCGTCCGTAACCGGCCAACTAAAACATGGATACACAAAGCTCATACGCCATCGACACGATTCTTATTAACATTATTATAATCACTTATCCTCCGGGATAGCCTTATCAGAACGCGCCGCTTGCTTCACATCAGGAGCAAAGCTTTCGATGTCCGAACCCACCCCTGACAGGTTATCGACGATAACCCCAGGCACGACAGCGGGAATAAGCGTCTGTCGATCCGGCCAGAAGTAATTGAAGAACCAGTACATGGCTGTCGAGAGAAAGAATCCATAGAGATAGTTTATGGAGTAAAGGTGCTGAAGACCGGTATTGATGGACACATTGTTTGGCGTTACGGCATGAGCAAGACCAGGCAGTAGCGGTACGATCACTACCAGATTGCAGACGAGGGCGCGCCAGTTTGTTCCCAACTACGAAATGTTAGCATAAGTTACCGGTATAGATGGGGGTAAGAAACATACCTTGTAGTAATAGATACCTTTGGGGTCATACAAGGCCGGCACATCGTACTTGCGTCGCTTGATGATCCAGTAATCGCAAAAGAGAATGCCCGCAATCGGAGCCATGAAGATGGCATACGCGCCCATAAAGCTGAGGAAGGTGGTGCCGTTCCTGATGATAATCCAGGGACAGAGTGCCCATCCACCAAGCAGCAGGCAGATGACCATGCCGCGTTTGATGTTGATCCATTTTGGGCACATGGTTACCAGATCTAACAAGTCAGTTGCCAGTTCACGTTCGCTTCGACAAGACATATATAGCACGCACCGTTCGAGAATGAGATGGAATTTGCAGAGATATTGTTGCAGATCGTTGCGAGCAGCCACAGCGACGAGCAGAAGAATGCTGCTGCGCGAGCACCTGGAGAACCCTTCCAGTTGTCGATGATGTCAAGCGGGCTCCAGAGGATTTCTCCATACACATTCTGGGAGGCGCTCGCCGCGATGATACCAAACAGGCCAGTAATAACCTTGAAGAATGGGATCATTGGCAGTTGCCACACAGGACCTCCAGGCTTCTTGCTGAATCGCGAAAAGTCGGATATGTTTACGGCCAGGGTAGAGAATCCGCCAGTGATTGAGGTCATATTCGTAAGCCATAGCCATGCGCGCTCCGAGCCCTGAACAGTGGCCGGTTTGCTGAAAAGGTCGGCTCCACCACCGGCTTTAACGCTGATCCAAATCACCATTGCCAGTGCCATTGGCGGCACAAGAGCAGACTTGAACATGAACATGTAATGGAGTTTATGCGTGGGAATGAACAAAAACGGAGTTTGCACGGCGTGGTACACAACGTATGAGATCATGCCTTGAGTCGTGATTGCGGCGGATGCTGGAAGATGGTTGGGCAAGTCTGCGTAGCTGGGCCAAATGGCTGCGATAATCTGAATTGGTTAGAGAGCTACTTTATCAACTCCAAATGTGCCCTTACTGGAGTCACGCATCTTCCGCCATACGAACTCTGGACACCGAACCAGAACATGGCCAGAATTGCCCGCGATGCGACACAAAAGTAGCCGAAGTAAGTGCCATAGCTGGCACGAATAGCGATTGGAAAGGGAATGTGTAGATCGGCACCGACAGCGCCATTCAGAACTGGGCGAGCTGTCAGTGCATCGCCGAGCGACTGTCTGGGTTGGGCCCACCTGTAGGGATGGCATTGCAGAGCGCTGCAACAAGAGTGAGAAGGATTGTGTCCGTCGCTGACAAGCCAGAGGCAAAGGCCGAGCTGGCAGCCGACCAGGTGGAGATGGTGACCAGATCGGATAGCCAGTACTGCGTAAAGGTCCACCCCGTCCAGGTCCATTTTTCTGGTGGGACGGGGTCCTGATCTGTTGAGGATACTTAGTTTTTGCTTATTCTGTATCCACAGGTCACCCCGCTTACCAGCATTACTCCAGACGTGATCGGGCGCGATGCTGCTGGGCTGTTTGGGGAGCGCCCAATTTCGACGACGCAGAAGCGACATGATGGTTCAATGAGGGATAACAATCGAACCTGGCCGTCGGCAATTTGGGTTGATCTTAACTGGCGACATTTGGCCGCCGCCCTTGCGTCGTCGTGTTCGAAGGGCCTAGACTGGATATCTCTCTATCTCTGTGTCACCCTATCTGACCATCGGCATGAATGTGACTGGCTGTGCGCCGCCTCGGCCGAACTGATAAGAAACCCGATCCGATTTATATACTGCCAGACCCTCACCCGATCAGCTCGGCTTAGGAGTTATTGGAACCCCCGCGTTGGGCCAAGATGAGCGCTCCAGGCGTGCGGAGACGACTTGCCTGTGCCGAGTGTACGCGCAAGAAGATCAAGTGCGATAAGGTTGTTCCCTGCCGAAACTGCACGAGAAGGTAAGATAAGCCTCTCCGACCGTATCAGGGCGAATTCTCACAGCGAATAGAGGGAAGGCCTGTTATCGCACTCCGCAGCAGAGTCGCCATCTCTGTACCGCTCCGCGTCCAAGAACGCAGGATCCAGGCGAGTCAACCGCAGATACGCTCGAAAGCAATCTCTCAACCTGCATTGAAGAGCTCCAAGCGACACTGCAAGCAGTCAGGCAGGGGAAATCAACCACTCCTAATTTCAACGACAGGGCATTCTCAGTACCTCCATCGCCAGCCGAACAGATCACGCAAACTGAACAGGGACCGATCGCAGTATCTCCACAAGGGGCGATAGGTAATAGAGAGACAACAGAGGTAGAGGACGCTGCGACGATCCTCGAATTTTTGGCCTGGGGACGGCGCAAGGTCCAGGGGTGCGGTGGCTTCAATCCGAATTCAGATGGACCAGGACGGTCGCCTGGCGATGTCGCTCTGGACGGGAGCTCGGATGAGGAAGCTGCTCACTTGCGTCTGAGCGATGACTCTTCGTCACTCACAGTTTTGCAGTTGCTCCTTCCCGAGCCGCGATGCGTGCAGCGCATCGTACAGTATCACTGCGATTCCCTCCTCTGGTATCACGCCTCTTTCCATACTGTGGTCTTTCAACAGGAGGTAACTCAGTTTCTGGAGCGACATGGGTGTCGCATCGACCAGCCGACCCTCGACCTACAATGGGTCGCGCTTCTTTTTGCAGTTCTCGCGGGGAGTATGACTTGTGCCCCTCCAGCGATGGCACTGTCATGGGGCTTTGGCGAACAGGAACGCTGTACGATTGCGCGACGGTGGTTCAAGGCGGCTCTCGTTTGCTTAAATCGAGCAGACTACACTTCCAATCACTCTATCTACGCCGTTGAGTGTATCGCGACCATGACGAGTAGCGCGCACATGTTGGGCCACTCGAACAGTCACTCCGTCATGCTGGCCACCGCCGTCAGGATAGCTCAGAGTCTTGGCCTGCACCTTCTGGGCTCTGGGGGCGACGACACTCCTAATACCGTGGTCCGAAAGGAGATTGGTCGACGGGTCTGGACGGAGCTCTGCATCCAAGATTGGTTCTCGATCCCCTTCTCAGAGAGCTATTTCATCCATCTCCTCGACTTTAGTACATCGGCGCCGATGAACTGCAGAGACGAGGAAATGACAGCTCTGTCAGATGATGAGCCAACGAGCATGAGCTACCATCGAATCCTGTATGGGGTCGCGCGATTGATGCCACGGTTGCAGGACGACCTGGCGCAATCAAACACCCCGTACACAAAGTATGAGCATGTCCTGCGCTACGACACGCAGATGCGGACGTTGGCCAAGCAGGTACCTCGATGGCTGAAGAACACGCCGCTGCATCCCTGTTGGCCTCGCCATGTTCCTTGGGCCAGACATTGCCTATCGATCAGCTCGGCGCACAAGATCATCATGATCCACCGCAAGTTCCTCTGGTCCAGCTTCACCAACCCGGCCTTTTCCTTTACGCGTAAAACATGCATCGCCGCATCGAAAACGATCATTCGCGAGTGCAAGGTGGTTGCTGAGGAAGACGGGCCGATTCTGTGGATCTATCATGCCTTTGCGGTCGCAGCAAGCGTAAACCTTGCCATTCAGAACAAGATCCATCATCCATCATTGACTGACCATTACCCAGATCATCCTCTGTTTGGACATGCTATTCCGCTCACCGTCGGACGCAGAGCACCATGGCCACCGGGGTCTCGTCCAGGATACAATCACCATTCTGTCGCGCAGCGGGCCTAGCATGATCGCAAAACGCGGCGTCAAGATACTGCGTCTTTTGGCTGAGGCCGAGCACAATCGTAGTTCGTCCGAGGCCATAAGCCGTGACCAGGCCTTGTCAATGTCGCCATACGGAGAGCGGTGCGCGATCGATATCCGTAAGTTGGTCCAAGCCGTGTGCGATCAGGAATCGTCTATAGCAGCACCGGTAGACGTAACACGTCCAGAGCCGTTGTCGCCTTTCACATTCCAGGCGCGGAGCCAAAACACCGACGAGCTGTTTGGAAACGTTCTCGGGCCTCAGTCGCGGTTCGAGATCCACGACTCGCTCGAAGACATCCTCTTTCTGGCCCAAAACTGCGGACCGAGTTACTGATGAGAGTGTATAGCAGAGCGATGACGGCGAGACATTGACTTGGTTGAGTAATAATTGCTTTGAACGGTGTTCATATCTTGTTGTCTTTGCAGGGGGAGGAGCAGTTTGAAACTTGACGCGACCGACCGAAGGCGTAAAATGTCGGCGAAGCAACGCCGGATCATAATGCCGTAAAATTGGCCAAGCCAGTTTCTGTGCCTGGCGTAGTCGAGTGGTAAAGCGCCTCGGCCGTTTCTGCCCTCTAGCGTTCGAACCCAAGATACTTCCTTTTGTTGAATCTCTTCCAGCAGACTCTATAAAAGCCCTTATGGCTTCATAGTTATTTCAATCTGGATATAACATAGTGTATTATTTTTTGCACGTACAGTTCTTGCAGTTGACCTGGATATTTCCAAAACACCAGAAGGTGACTTGGAAGGTCCCCCAATATATATCGGGGAGCGGTCACCTTTTGCGACGCCTTTTGCCGCTTCAACAACACAAACATCTTTTCCCTTCAACTTCACGCTTTAGGTAACAGTAACCGAGCGTTTAATCAAGAATCAAAGCATTTCGAAATGTTCGATCGACCAAAACGTTGTAGACAGACGCGACTGATTGATATTTACTGGAGCCGCCACTGAGTGCCCGGAATGCCTCAGGTCATTACCGCTCTCGATCCTTTCTAAATGGTAGGGGCATTAAGTGAAGATGTGTAGGGATATATTGTATTTCGTAATCTAAATTGTCTAAATGGCCTGCTTGCTCTTCGTCTCGATGACCCAATGCCTGACGTTCTCTCGCTGCTTCTTCGGGGGAATCCGAATATCAGACACAACTCGCGTCTTTCTTCCTGGCGCTTGTCTGGTCTCTGGGGCACGTAAATCATACCCATTCAGCCCAACTATGTCTGTGCCCATTATCATGTCAAAGACGAAAAAGCGACCGGGGCAAATCGAAGAAACCCCCCCGAATTGCACCCATGCCGAAGAGTTCAGCGTTCGGTGTGACTTGAACTAGCGGTCGACGTTGAATTTGAGAGCTTCGGGTCCACAGTTCTTGGGGTTGCGGTTGGATTGTTTCGGCTGGGATGGTGGCGAGGCTGTTTTTCCTCAAGAGATAGTCGTCGGTCAGCTTAAAATCCTCCATAACCCGGTATGCTCGAGCGGAGGACGAGTATAGACGGAGGGTTTCCTGCTAAGTCGCGACGAGGACCGGACACTCTTTGCGAATGTCGCCTGGGGCAAGGCTCAACGTAGCTAGATCTGGTTTTTGAACGACATTCTCGATATTCTCGACTTCCTGGCTCACTCGCTCGGCCAATCCAGGGTCTAGTATGATATTAACCAGCATCCAGAATAGTGTCGGAACCATGTTGCTCAGCAGACCATTGAGTAACTCAACTTCGGACCGGCCCAGGTAGTCGCCAGAGCAGCCATCTCTGCGAGCAACCTTACAGCGTTGGCGAACAATGTCTGACATATCGTATTTCCCTCCTCTGGCGTGGTGTGTGCTAAATGCGGTGACGAGCGTTTTGCGGGCTTTGAAGGCTTCTGGAACGGTGTATTTTTGCATTAGGTTCAGGAGAAACAGCGATATCTGCGAGTCGTACAGCTTGATGAGCAATTCATAAGATGCCGAGCACAGCTTAAGGGCCCCTATATAACATACCAGTAATATTTCCTGAGGCTCTGACTCGCAAAGAAGGGGTTGCTCCTCCCGTAGAGGGCCGTTCCTGCTGCGCTGATGAGGACCCTCGAGTAAGTCTAGCAAAGGCACAGCGCTTTACGGATTATCGAGCCCTCAATGTCCAATTTGGCGACTGCCTTCCGTTATCATGCTTTCATAAACAGCTTCCATAGGCTCTCCAGCAGCCAGAGGCCTGTGCTCAATTGACCTCATCTCGTCTCTGAACAGGGTGCGTGCCCTCTTTGCGGCTGGCTTCGTGGATGATAGCAAGAGCTTTATTGTCAAGATGCCTCTGCTTTCTCATGACAACGCCCGCGAGATCCGGTGAGTTGACCGTGTGGATCCGTTCGCCAGACGTGCGTATTGCGTAGATGGGTAGTGATCGTTCTGTTGCCTATGCAGCGAGTCATGGCGTCGATACCTGTAAAGCTTAACCTGAGTTGCGAACTCACCTAGTAGAACAGGATACCTCGTCCCATGGCGGATCATCCCCAGCATATGGCCGACAATCGGGTGCGCAGACATTGTGATGGGCTCCTTGGATTCGCCAGACAGCAGGATGAACGCCACGAGGCTGACGAGAAACGTAGCTATGAGGAGAGTTATTAACTCCATTGTATCGGTTGGACTTTTTCTTAGCCACGGCTAAACGTTACGCAAAGGAAAATATGCGCCTATAGGACAACAGAGGCTTAAACAATGGCCATGGAAGCTGTGTCGATAAGGCTATCCTGAAGACAATGCTTATTCCGAGTAGACCCATTATTATAGCCTCTCAACCCAAGTTAAGCAGGTAGGAGCGAGTCAGTAACGGAAGAGTCACGCGGGCCGGTCGGTCTTTTCGGGGCGAAGGAAGGGGAGGCGAGTTTCGACAAATAGCGACCGAGCAGATGAAGAAGCATGGGACGGTTGACTTTATCGAGGCTGAATGAAGGCGGAACTAACATTATCTATTACATGAAGCTATATAATATACATTGATTCTTTTCCCATTAATATACTACCGCATCCTTATGACACAGGGCACAGTCGGCCATTGGTGTTCCACGAGTAAGGCAAGTCATCCGTGACCTGCACTTCCCAGTCTTCGGAACCAACGGCAGTCAATGCGTAGAACAGACCTCGGGGATCGTACTTTTGCTTCAAAGCATACAGACGCGCGTAGTTGGAGCCGTAGAAGGCCTGCTGCTGGTTGGGCTCGAGAAGGTCACCCTCGCTCATGTAAGCACCAGAGTCTGGAGCGATTTCGCGGAGAACGTCCATCCAGTTGGTGACGAAGAGGGAAGTAGACTCGATGGTGCCCCACGAGGCGTCCGAGGTGAACTGGCCGCCGACCACGATGTGGGCAAGGGCATCACGCCAGGCAGGGAGAACGGAGTTGTCCGTAGGAGGGGTGACAGCCTTACCGGTACCAGTAAGATGGAATCCGGCAAAGAAAAGACCCTAAAAACTGGTTAGCCCTAGATGCAAAAGAGAAGAGAAAGGTGGAAAACAAACATTGTCAACTCCATCTCTGTGTGCAGCGTAGGTTCGCTGACGGAGATCATCGTCTTGGAAGACGCTACGGGGCATCAGACGGGAGGCGGTCTTGACCATGGCAGCTCCAACAGCCTCCTGAGGGAAGGCAGCCTTCCAGGGATCATGGCTATAAGTAATTGTTAGCCGGCTTCCCCTAAGGGCATGGAGGAAAGGAGACGTACAAGTTGTCGGCATGGTTGTACCACGGAGAGTAGGTAATGTTCTGGCTGTCGAGGACCTCGAACCACGGGGCGAGCAGTGCCTGCGTCTCCTCAATCGTCATATCGGGAGCGACAAAGGACTGCATGCGGAAGTAGTAGTCCGTGGAACCGGCGTAGTCGGTGCCGATCAAGAAGGCAGACGCTCCGAGATAGTAGTACCCATAAGTACCGGCATCAACGAAGGTCTCGATGTTATCAAAGTAGGCTTCAACACCGGTCCAGAAGGCATCAGCGCTGGGGCAGTCGTTGATGGTGAAGTTGAAGGTGACAGTAGTGGTGGGGAGCTTGGGGTAAGCCTTGATGGTCAGCGAGGTGACGACACCGATTGTGCTACCACCACCTCCACGAAGCATCCAGAAGACATCCGGGTTCTGGGTGGCGCTCGCAGTGATGAAGCGACCATCGGCCATGACGACTGCTTGTTGTCAGAGGTGAGATGAGGTAAAAGGGGCTACTCGTGCTTACCTTCCATGGACAGAACCTGATCAGCAGCCATTCCGTACATGCTGCTCAGCGGGGAATGACCACCGCCAGCAGTATAACCACCTCCCAGTCCGACAGTGACAGCCTCGCCTCCGACGACCGTAACACCGTTGGCCTTGGCAAACTCATAGGCCTCCCAGACTTGGACACCGGCGCCAACCTTGATCGCAGGGCCAACATAGCCGTTGGTCGCCTTGTACTTGGAGTAGAACTTGGTGTCCTTCAGCCAGTGTGTCCAGATGGACAAAGCACCCTTACCAGACGCCTTGCCGTTAAAGTCATGACCGGTGTTCTTCACCACAAGGCGGAGGTTGAGGTTGCGGGCAAAGTTGACAGCGAGCTGGATCTGGGCAACATTCGAGGCGTTAACCACGTAGGTGGGATAACCACCCATGCTGCAGGTGCCGGTATAGTTGAAGCCAGGAGGCATGCAGCTGCGGCCCTGGTAGAGAGGGCACATGATGGACGTCGGGTCATCCTCGCTATTGTCTCATGTTAGTAACTTTCAGTGCATCGGTTTCAGGAGAACAGGAGACCCATGAACTTACTGCACCTCAGAAGCCAGCCATCCACCGGAGACGCTTGTGCACTTGGCGGCATCATACTCGGGTCGGTCTGGGTAGCAGTAGGCGGCCAGCGGAGACGCTTTGATCAGACGTCTGCCCAGGAGGATATCAAAGATCTCCCAGACCAGCCCGATGGGCCACAAGAAGTCGCCGGGCATTGTCTTGCAGCTGTGGAGGGATCGCTTCTCCAGAGTTGCAGTCGAGTCATTGCCAAAGAGGAACAAGTCGGAGATTGTCTCATTCTGGATGGTGGAAGAGACATCTTCCAAGACCTCATCGGTCAATTGCACCGTCTCTCCGGGGAACAGAGTCGCAGCCGGAGCGACTGTGGTGGCGGCGACAGTCAGGCTTTCTGTAGACACAGTAGCATCCTGACCGTGGACAGCGCTCACCACCGCCAGAGTGGCGAGGGTCGATGAAATAAAGTTCCTCATGGCAATCACAGAAATGATTGTGTCGAGTTTGAGGATTGCTGAAGAGGATCACTTCCCAGACAGGCCGCGCAATTTAAACAAGGGAGGTGTGGGGAGTCCAGAACGAAAAGGAGGGCCGAGTCATGGAGCAGGTGAGCTCGAAGACCAGTGGAAGAAGTAGACACAGCAAGTGGAGAGGATGCAAGCGAAGCTATTGGGGAGTGGCGGCCACGAGGGCATCTAGTGCTGGTCTCGGAGATGAATCCCTTTGCCCTGACTGCCCCATTGAGCCTGGCATCGGAATTACCGGATCAACAATCTATTTCCGCTATTCTCTGGCCAATAGTCCAGGGGCAACCGGAGGCTGCCCCACTCCATCGACCATCCAGAAGCCAGACTATGTGCCGTGTCAATCTCTTTTATTCCCTGCGCCTTCTCGCTTATCTTGTGCGTCTCTGACCTCGTGGTTGTCTTCTTGTTCATACCCGGCGAAACCGGAGCGACGCAGAAAAACCAGGGGCACCGGTGCTCCCTTGTTTCTGTCCCAAGCTTTGGAGGGCTTTGGAAAACCAGAAGTGAGAAGCCTGTAAAATCGGCATTTCCTGACGAGCGTGGCTGGTGAGAAATGCCGGATGCACCGCGAAGGAGTGCTCGTCCATCGCTTGGCCCCCAACATCCCTGCTCGGATTTCTGCAGCGTCTCTCCAATTGTGCAGGATCTCGGCCGTTCTACACGTGGGCGTTCATGGAAAAGCCCTTGGGATGGAGATTAGAGTTTGTTAATTGTGTTGCTGTTTCACAGCCTGTACTATTACTTAAACATAATACTACTACGCCCTCGCTGGTTTTTTTTTTCCGATTTTTTTCTTGCTCGCTGCCCTTCTCCCCAGCTGGACCCCGACCTGGAGAAGCCATAGGCAAAGGACACAGACACTGGCACCGACCATGTCCTCTTCCTCGTCCTCGTCCTCGTCCATTGAGACGCTCCAGCCGCAGCTGGTGGCTCTCAACTTTGCCTTCCCCGCTCTGGCGACGATCGCGGTACTGCTCCGGATCTACATTCGAGTGTGGACTCGCACTTTTGCTCTCGGTAAGTAGACGATCCCGCCCTCAATCGACGCTGTTTGCGCTGATCATCATCTAACTCGGGATAGATGACTGGTTGATGTGTTTTGCGGGGGTGAGTTCTTCAACCTGCCCGTCTCTCTGCTGTACTGTCGCTCATCGATCTTCCCTCTAGACATTATACTGGGCAGAGACGGCCACGGCGTACAAAGGTAGTCCTCATCATGTCCACTCGTGGAGAGATGCACTGACCAGACCCCCAGTCATCAAATACAACTGGATGGGCTACCATGTGTGGGACATCCCTGCCCCCAATCCGAACGGTACTCTGGCCTGGAAATACTCGTACGCGGTAAGATGCCACTCAAGCTTGAAATCCCCAGCACATGAAGCCTGATCCCGTGGAGCAGACCGAGATCCTCTATAACCCGATCCTCTCCGTCGTCAAGTTCTCCATCCTGTTCTTTCTCCTCCGATTGACCGGCCAGAAGATCGCCGTGAAGCGAGCAATCTGGGTGATTATGGGACTCAACACGATCGTCATGGTCACAACGCTCTTTCTCACCGTCTTTCGATGCGTCCCCATTGCCTCGCACTGGAATCCCCTCGCCTACCCCAACGCCAAATGCTTAATCTTCGCCGATTTTGTCACTGGCACCGCCTGTGCAACTCTCTTCACCGATGTCCTTGTTCTGATTCTTCCGACGTGGATTGTGTATAACCTTCGAATGGCGCAAAAGCAGAAGCTCATGCTTATCGGAATCCTGTCGCTCGGTCTCGTGTAGGTCCTCCATCCCTTTGCTCCTGCAGACCAAAGCTAACAAGATGCGTGTCATCCACAGGGGTATCATTGCTGGTGTCGTGCGAATTATTCTTCTTGACATCTACGATCGGAAACTGGCTGCAGGCAAACTGTACGACTACAACTACAACGTCTACTTCTCGCTGTCCACCATCGAAATCGGCCTCGTCATCGTGGCCGCCTGTGCTCCTTCCTTCAAACCCCTCGTCGCCAAGATCCTGCCCAAGTTCTTCAGCTCCCGCGACCGTAATGGACCCTCGTACAGCTATAATAGAGGCGCCAGTGGCCGCATGTATGACCTGGACAACCTGTCTCGCGGGCGTCGTACCCACGGCGAGGGCAACCACACCCAGGTCCAAACCACAAATGATGACCGAGATAGTACCGGGTTGGCCGCGGCCAAAGCTGGGATTATGTTAACCACGGAGACCGAGGTGAAATGGCAGGAAGACGATATCCGACAGGCCAGTGGCCGGGGGAGCAGCACGGAGAGTCTGGTTCAGCCAAGGAAGTGAACGTTACCGTAGTGCTGATAGAATCATGCCTTTGCAATATAAACATCCTATACTGGATTCCGTCTCCTCTCTACACGGCCCCAAGTATCGTACGAAAAGATCCAGGAACTCAACCTGGGATCCTCAGCCGAGCTCAGGCCAGCCGGCAGCAGTCCACGGTTCCCATTTTGCTAATCCTGGTCAACTGCTTCAGAAGCGCGACTCTTCTCGTCGGGCGTCTCTATCATCCAGTTGATAAGCTCCTACTGGATCAATCCTCGTGAAAGACAAGCTCGGCTCGCTGTTTGAGACATTGTTCGTAGACGACCAATGCTCGCTGCTTCGCGGCTTTGGATCTCCACTGTCCTTATTCAGGGCACTCTGGTGGCAGCGACGTCCGCAAAAGTAATTTCCGCTTCCCTTGCAAGTCACGCGAGCGTGGCCTATGCAGAGTATTAGTGTATATATATATATATATAAGCACATTCACATTTCACCAGACCCGATCACCTCTGGTGATTACCAAAGTACCTCAAGAGCAGGCAGCAACCGCATAGAGTCCAGGGAGGGAGAAGACCCCATAAAAATGTTCTACAACATACCCTAAACCTACCGAAGCATTGCCCTGGGAGGTGTTTGGGGTCGGAAGACAACAGCGAAATAATCACGGCGATGTACTATTGGCTAACAAGAGCGGCAGGGAAAGCCGGCCAGGTCAACCCTGCATACTTTAACATAACAACGCGCTTGGATTCCCAGGGACCTCACTGGCTTTTCCAAGAGGCCAATACCGCCTGATCTGCCTGGGGTGTGTCGGAAAAGAAGACTCCTTCTTAAGGGGGAATGGTCAATGCCACATGTGCTTAGCTGGGAGTTCCCCTCAATTGCGACCATTGCCTGTGCCGAGACCAAGGTAAATACGAAATACACAAGTAGGAACGAATGAAAAGAGACATGGAAAGTAGTAGCAGGACGGGTCTCCCGTCTTATCCGGAGGCACTGGGAACTGGAATTTGGGCTCATCGCAAATCGGCTCTGGATGACGCTGAATAGCCTTGGCGCTGGAAGATGTGTGGCTTACGGTTGCTTTGGTGGCTATGTTACTTTCGATTTGAAAAAGCAGAAAGCTCTCCCTCATCCCTGCACCTGAGGCGACTGTACCAGGATTGATTCTTGTGTACAAGGGCGAGCGCGAGGAACGTATGACCCTGGACGTCCACGGGGTCCAACACTGGCGGGCGACGGCTCACCTTTGGGCTGGCATACGCAAGGCAATGATGAGCGACCGTATCTAGGCTATATCTCTGCTCCTCGAATACAATGACGAAGTCAACATTGGTGGGTTCAAGGATGGATGGGCAGACTATATAAGAAGCCTTCAACCACCTGCGAAGTCCTAATCATCAGTATTCCAATCCCTGTGAAGGAAAACAAGACAACGCGAAGACCACTACTCAAGCAAAATTGCACAATGTTCCACAAGACACTCTTCCCACTTTTCGCCCTTTTTTGGTTCAATAGGAGCCGACTGCCTCCTATCAAGCACTCTAGCCGAAGACGAAACCCAACCGGAGACACGTTCACCACTCTGCCTCTCACAAGGCGCTGACGCCTGGACAATCTCTATGCGACTGTCCCAAGTCGCCGTGCCGACCTTTGCGGCGGAATCATATTGGCTGGCGTTCACGAAGACCAAGTGTTCGTTATCTACGGCAATGAGTACATGCCGCGCGGCGTCTACGATCCCCACCAGAGCAGCAAGCGCGCTCCAGATGTCATCGAGGAACATGGCTGCCATATATTCCCACAATTCAGTGTGTGGACCTTGGGTTGGGAGCTGAGATGTTTCTTTTCGCGTATGCCCGTGGCAAAGTATCTGACCGGGAAGAATGAGGCCACCTGTAATGATTTGAACAAAGGTTTAAGGGCTGATAGGGGCTGTAAGACTGCATTTTTGATAGAGGAGGAACCCGAGCCGGGCTGCGAGGCTGTTGCTAAAGGAGTGGCGTCAGGGATCCAGTCGCGCCAGTGGCTTCTATGATCTGGCTGTTTGATGCCATGAGCCCTTTTGGTTTAATGCCTTCTTGTTTCTATGCTTAGTATCATCGATGCCTGCATACAGGTGAGTTACTTGCAAATATATCCAACACTTCAACCAACCACGTTCGATTTATGGTGTCCGCGGCAAGTACCAGCGCTGTGGCTGAGCCCTCTATTCTCGGTGCAAAACCACGCGCCCAGAATGCTCATGTAACCTCACTTTCAAGTGGTCAAGCTCTGGACTACCGTGTAACGATATACCAGACGGTTGTCCGTCGCCTGATTCCCTCTCGCTGTAGAGAAATAGCAGAGGCACCGGATCATTCTTCCACCTAGGAACTCTGCCGCGTTTTACTTTCCAAAGAGTCCCCATTAACGATACAGCAGTGACCACCCACACGAACACAGGCAACGCAAGCCACTGCCATTGTACAGATACGTACGTGGCGGTAACCCTCACCACCCCAACGGCGACTTGTGTGCCATCATCGGCGAGGTCTTGACTATATTTAGAGTCGCGGAAGGTTTTGGATATTGCCTGAGCCACATTATGCATTGTGCAATACAATCTGGTGGCGAGCTGGTCGCTGCAGCCCAAAATCTCACCAAAGCCCAGAGCCTGCAGAATGTCTGGTGCAGCATACAGGCTTGTCTCCCCTGGGTTAAATGCTTGGTTCCGGGGATCCCGCCAGAAATAGCCGCCAAAGTTGATATCGAGAAAGTAGCCAAGTAGTCAATTCTAGAGTTTTCTTCTCCCTTGTTCAGCCAAAGTATCTCAGCTCAACCACGATCCACATCCGCAATAAGGGCCAGGTAGTCCACCTAGACAAATGCGATCTTTCCTGGCGGGTAAAGCTAGTTGCATTCGGCGATCACCTTAGCCGCCCTGTTAGCCTTTTGTCCCACAAGATAGGCTCAGAAGACCTTGCCTTTAAAAGCTGCTTCTGCCTTGGCGAGCCCGCGTAGGGGGTAGTGACCAATGCCCGTGGTGCCACCGAAGAAGACGGCAATGAGTGGTGGGCGCTGGACAAGGGTGGCGAGGGATTCACGGATCGCTTGCTGTCTGACCATTCTGCTATGGCTAATAGTGTGGTACTGGTGGATGATGGAGCGTCCATGGGTGACTTGTAGATCACAGCGGTGGTATGGTGCATGCAGGATACTTGGATCAGCATAGGAGCTTACGGCGATAAGCGGAGGGGAGTATAGCCAACCACATCTGGTTAGTCTCATAAGTACTCCTACCCTATCACTGAGTGACGTCCTGACAAACCATGGCGCAGAGACGGTTACATCACAAGAGCCGGAATGGCTGCTTCGAGTGCAAGAAAAACCGCACCAAGGTACGCGTGCCACTTATTTGTAGGACAACCTGCCTAACTTCGAACTAGTGCGACGAGCAACGACCGCGATGAAGACGATGCGCCAGAATTGGGGTTACTTGCTCCCTGGCAGACAGGCCCGAATCCCTGATTGTTACAGAGCAACCATCCTCCCTGGTTTCACGCGTTCCACCGCATGGAAAGCAGAATTCTGACGCAGAAGAACGAGATGCAAGGGTCGAGAGCCACGGGTATATACATGAAAATAATACACTTGTACAGTGTGAATCAGACCGGCTGCGGTTGATGCATCACTACACCCTTCACATTGCGAACGAAACGCATCGCCAACTTCACTGTCCCCGATCATGGGCAGCCCACGCTCTGGACCGAATTGGCTGTTGAGCTCGCCTTTCAAAAAGGCAATGAATTCCTTCTTGACGGAATCCTTGGCATGAGTGCTCTGCATCTTGCTCTCTGTGGCATCTTGACCCAGCACCATGTCCTCTCCGCTATCCGGCACCACAACACTGGCGTGGCTTTATTCCACCCGTTCTATTGACACCCGCAATTGCCAATCGAGAATCCGGCCGCCGTCTTCGTATTCTCGGCATTATAGCCCTCTACGCATTTGGTGTCGAGCGCCTCTCCGTATCCGAACCAGATTCTAGCCCTGGCAGAAGGATATTTCAAGTTCTCCTCTTGATTTGCAACTCTGTGCTGAATGTAAAATCAGATGTCATCGTCATGGTGCAAAGCCTCTGGTTTGCGATGATGCAGGAGCCTTTTCAGATCCAACAGGCCTCGGACTACATCCTCCCAGACAAGATACGGGAAATGCTCTTGGAACTCGGCAACGTGGCCCGGACACGCCTGGTAATCAGCAGACAACCTATTACACTGCTATCATGCCCCCGAGCTAACTTGGCTATTTCACAGCTGTACAGTGGGCGCCAACGTACTTTCACGTGGTTCATCCTTATGTGGGATCTAGCTCGAAACGAGGATCACTTGGCTCTGGCTATTTTTGCAAATCTCGCTGTAATTTTGTACTAAGCGCGTGAACATGCCTGGGTCGGCAGTTGGGGAGGAGCGATAGTAACTGCTATTGCTGCGGTGCTGGGGGAGAAGGACGTGATTGTATCTCGTGGGCGCCCAGGCAGATACGCGGTGTATCATAGGAAAGCGAAGAGACCTCGCCGTCCAGTTCCAGGTTTAAGGCTTTAGCGGCTAGGTAAATTCCGCATCTACTTGCAAAATGTATAGGAGTCCATCTAGCCCTCGTCTTAATATTCCTTGATATACCTAGTAATGCTTGACGTTGGAGTTCTATTAGCCACTTGACGTCGATGAATAAAGGCGCCTTGCAAACCTCTCGATCCTGCTTGTCTGTGCAATTTAGCAATAATCTTTATGCCGTCCTTAACTGAACCCCCATAGACCGGGGCTCTTTGTCCCACTTTACGTGGCAAACCGGAAATCAAGGCTGTTGAAATACATTAGTCGAGCGACACTAGGAGTACCCACGAATTGCTTACCGCTTATTGCCCTTGTCGGTGCTAGTTTGTCTATAATGGTGCTGCTCCTCGGGAGTCATGGCATCCCACTGTTTGGCCTTGGAGTTGTTGCGCCAGCGGTAGTAGAAGTACGTCCCGGGGTATTGGATAAACTGCACTGAAATTAGTGCTCTATCCACCGGGCAGAGGTTCATATGAAGTTCTGTACTTACACACATCCAAATACATATGACGAGGAGACCTTTGTTCGCTTTAAAGTACCGGGGTGCGTCGCTCGATTGATAGACTGAAGCAGCAGTTAAGGTACGTGTTTGTATACTGTGAACTCAGAAGCTTACTGTTTGCACCGATCATTCCACTAACCTGAACCCACATATTGTAGAGACTGAGAGCTGTTAGCATGAAATCGATGCGTCAGGCTTAAGGTGACCCACGCAGCGGAGACAGTTCTGTTCTGTACGGACCCCGCGTTTCTGCTTGTCCAGGCTACCTGAATGGGATGTGTGCTGCTATCTGTGAGCTGGTCGTCCAGCACGAGAGTCCGTTTCAACTTACTAAGGGAATGACAACAACACCGTGGCAATGGCAAAGTACTGCCACGGACCGATTGGATCTGGCAACGCGATCAAAGCCACAAAGCACGGCAACAGCCATGCATCCTCCGCCATGGCCACAAAGCTGCGGTTATTGACCAGCTCGCTAAATGCCGTGATTAGTAGCATAGTGATACTCGACGCGACGATATTCGGAATCGAAAGCAGGTTCGTCTCGATGACATCGAAGCCGAGTCCGCGGAATGAGAGAGTGAGGTATTGGTCAACAGGATACTTTGGAAGACCGAACAGCAGGCCCAGAGCGTAAAGCGGCCACATGTCATAGTCCTTGCTACACTCCCAGATCTGGCGGACGGAGAGACCTTGTCGGTTGTACATTCCTCCTTTCTGGGGGTCGTCACGAATCACTACGGGCGCATCAGCCAGGCGTGTATTTCAATACAAATCAGCCCAAGGAACTTACCGGAGTTGACAATGATCTTCTCTTCCCTCTCAGTAAAGTAGCCCTTCGGATTCCAGCGGCTCTTGGTCTTGCTCGGGCACTGAGGCATGAGGAAGAACGACGCAATGCCGACAAGGACTGGCGATTGGTTAGTGCGTGGGCTATGAGAAATCAAAATTCACCTACAAGTAAAGGCACCTCTAATTGATTCATTAGTCGAGCCCAAATACTCCGGATCCACGGCACTTACTCAATGAGGAACAACCATCGCCAACCGGCGTACCCTAGGACGCCCCGCATAGACAATAACCCGACCGCAGCAAATCCCACACCAATATCGACTGGGGCAATAAGTATATATCCCAGAGGCGGAGTAGTTGATCACATACCCAGTTGGGAGGACAGCCAGTACCAGGCGAGTCTCACTGGAAGCTGTGAGGGTCAGCAATTGATATATCCTGTGGTTGGACTAAGGCTCCTTACCGCGGGTCCAGTATAGAAGTAGCTCAGGTACAGAATAGTGTCGCTGGGTATGGTTAGACCATGCAGGGAGTTATACCTCGCGATGAGTACTTACGGGATGAAGCCGCCTTGGAATGTTGCACTGGTCGGTGAGCGGGGCACATAGTATCGGGTTCACGAGCTCTTACATGAGGTATCGGGTAGCCAAAAACGAAGCCCTGCCCTTGAGAAAAAACTGAAGCGCAGAGATGAGACTAAAGATGCATATCTGGATGGGAATCCACACATCGGGTCCAATTCTGCGAGACGTCAGTGCTCTGCATCTGGATGAGGAATTGGCCGGAGATGACCGACCGCTTGGAGATGATTTGCGATGGAAGTTCGGCAACGAGGAATCCGACACGCCCGATAGTTTTGCCGAGGTTCTGCTCTATGTAAGTCTTTGCAAGGATATGGGAGGTTGCGGTGCGGTGCAACTTACATAGTCAGCTTGCGTGAGGCCCAGATCGTCGAGCATATTGTCCGAGACAGCGTTGGAAATGTTGTTCCGGTCGATATTGAGTGCAGCAAACATGATGCAGACCCAGACCTAGAGAGTTTAGTCCATGACCGCTCATCTTGCCCAGGCTCCATACCATGATCTTCCAGTCCACCTTGCGGCGCACCGCCCTCTCTTCGCGCCATGTCCACCGGAAGCTGGGATCGAAGGCGCTCCAGTTTTCCCACTTCGGGTGGATGTATAAGCTCTTGTACTCCTCTAGATTTTCAGAGTCCCAGATACTGGGCTGAGTGGCGATCTTCATGAAGTCAGCAAGTTCCTCAGGCCCCTGTATCCTAAGCAGACTGCCTTATACGCACCGCGTCGAGATCGTACTGCTCCCTTCTAGGCCCTTTGCGAATGCGGAGGAGTCTTAGAATAGTGTCTCCAAGGACTGATTCCATCCGTTGCGTCTCTTGGCTGGCCAGCGCCGGAGCGAGAGGCGGTGCGGCGGCTTCAGTTGCGCGTTTGGACGTCAAGCTGTCGCGGTCGGAGGACGCCGAGGACTCGGCCGGCGAGGCTGATACGGTTGGCTGCTTGGTAGACATCTTGATTCGGTCGCCGAGCCAGCAAGGTACAGGGTCACCTTTCTCTGTTGGAACGATAGGTCCGCCACTGCTGAGCTGAGAGGCGCCACCAATGGAGCAGTGACGGCTGGTACTTATACTCCCTGCGTATTCCAGCCCCGCTTTTACCTCGTGGCGACAGCGTGGAGAGCAAAGGCGAATCCATGTCGCGCTAAAATGTCCAGCTTGGCGTTGCCGGGGCGGTTCATTTGTTCGCGGTGTCGGCGTTAGGAACGAGGTGACATATGAAGAGGATGCGATAGGCAGGAGAGATTCTCGAGTGTCACTCTGTGGCTTCGCTTGGGAGCTCTCCGCCACTGAGAGGGTGCACTGCAGCAACCCACTTACTGAAGGTAGTTGGGGTGGTCTTGCGTCACTTTTCTTGGAACTGGCGTATAGATTGACCATCGTGGGGGAAAATGTCGTGCTGTTGCAGACTTCTGCAGCCCTCCCCACTGCACCTCCCGACGCATAGACTTGTTCTGTTGCTACAATGTCGGCGCGTGTTGTTTAAATCTCGAGATTCGAGATTCCCTGGCCATGGTGGAGATCATATTTGGGCTCCTGGTGGTGGGCAGGGTCCTTTTGAGCTCTATTGATTCTACAGCGAGTTCGTAATCTGGTTTCCGACTGGCGATTCGGTGGATCCTTCCTTCGCGGCAGCGGGCGGCCCTATGGGCCTCTTATTCGCCGACTTGAGGATAACCGTTCAAGCTGCGGGGTCGTATTCAGCACGCCATTTATGATACAAACTCCACATTGCTGAAGCTATGGCCTTCAAGCATCTCCTCGGGCAGCTGGAATTTCGGCCGACTGAGCTGCTGTTCGATAGAACCAGGTCGCGCCCCAGCGTCCCAGCTTTCGGACACCCTCATCTTGGCGAACCTCGCACTGATATGCGCGCGGCTCTACCTACCTGCAAGAGAAGACATGTCCGTAAAATAATCTTCACCACCAAACGATGAAGCACGGCAATTTTACTACCATACTAGAGAAACAATATTATCAGGCACGATTTGCAACTCGCTGCGGAATCCCTCCAACCACACGAAAGCCGAACGCAGACTCTTACCCCATTGTCTAGGTGGTTCCTGGCCTAAGTTGATGTGTGCCTGATTTGATCAGCTCTATCAGGTAGTGCTGTGTGCATATATAAATTAAAGGCGGTTCTTCTCTCAGCCCTCCCGGAATGTGGATCTGTGGCGTGTTACAGAGGACAAAGCCAAGGATAAGGATGATAATGACACTACACAGTTTCCTCATGCTCGGGTGACGAAAAGGTCGAGATCAGCAAAGACTAGTTAAAACGGAATCATTATAAGATTATACTCATCGCTATGCAGGCTTCGAGTTTTTGTTAAGACCACTTGTCTCTGCTTTTCTGATATTCATGATCCGATAAAAGTACCTCGAATTCAACGAGAAATGTAAAAGGGGTTAGATCCCTGTGGGCACCACCACGAATATGAACGTTCGATGGCGGGCCAATAAAGGAACTCGTGGCGTCTTCCACTTCCCTCCGTCGAGTGGCTTTTTCGCTGCCATTGTTGTTCGTATCGGGTCCGTTGAATATATGATGCCCGCATCTTTCTGAAGCAGCGATTCTCGTAAGTTGTGGCGGCGGAATGCAGCCGCCACCGAGTTGAAATGCTGCGATTTCGAACTCTCGTGCCGAATATTGTCGCTCCCAAACGCTGCCATCCACTCACGCCTTCCCACCGGCGATGAGTCTGAAGGAAGCTGAACAATTGGCAGCCTGAATGGGCAGTTTACAACTAATTGATGCTTTCCGCTCTTGCACTCCTCTATCTTAACAATCACCGAGTGTGGTATGACCTTGCCGATGAACCATTCGGCTCACTGGGCAGGTTGAAAGGCGTCGGTGCTGCTAAGGGCATGTCGGAATTGATCCCAGTATTTGGTGAACGTGCCCGATCGGATAATGTAAGCTAGGAGCCTCCAATAGATCTTGCTAAGGCTGAACCTGAACGCAATGTACCAGGTGTCGGGCCAAATGGTACAATGCCATTAGCTGGACAGAGTGAGTCCCTCCGGCATCTCCAATGCTTCGTGCGGGGAAGATGGCTAGCCTCGTGACGCATTTGAAGGTTCAAAACCATCTTATTGTCAATACTGGAACTGCTTGATTCCAAATTCATCTTACGATTTTGTTTCGGCACCGGCGGTGCATCCGGGGACCAAAATGGCGTCCGCATCATACTCGACAACATAGTTAAGGAAATGTTTGAATTATATGGCCCTACCCATTGACTATGCACTGACTATTCATAATCCGATCAGCCTTCCTAAAACGGAGAAGCTCGGACATCTCTTTTCAGGTGCCAGATCACACGTTTCCCAGACGATAATCGCTCTGTCCACTACTCAGCCGCCCATTCCGTCGACATTGACCCAGAGACGATTTGCACTAGGTTCTTCGGAGCGAAGGACACCTCTCCATCTGGACTAGGCGGGTACTGTTTTGAGTGCAACATTTTTTTCTATTATATACTCCGTGGGCTAGGTTTCTCCGTCCATATGATAGGAGTCCGCAACCGAGCGAGGATTGACGGTATGCCACAAGGCGAATTCAAAGGCTGGTACGGAGCGGTGACTAAAAATTATGCAGACAAAGCTACTATCCGGAAAGGACCCATATGGTGAACATCGTACAGCTCCCCTCTGGCAACCAGTACCAAATCAACGCAGCATTTGGTGGAGACGGGCCAACCAGCCCACTGCAATTGGCAAGCGGTCGTGTAGTCCCAAACCTCGGTACGCGGGAGGTCCGACTAGTCTATGGGAACATCGGAAAACAATCGCGCCTTGAGCAGAAACTTTGGACATACCAGTCTTGCAATGAACCTGAAAAGGACTGGAACGCCTGTTATTGCTTTGGCGAAATTGAATTTTTCCATGATGATTTTGAAGTCATGAAGCTCACAAGCTGGGAAGCCTTTGAAAAAGGGAACATCTGGGTTGTCAACCTTCTACGAGGTGGGGAGGTAGAGGGACTTTCTCTGAAGGATGGCGAACTTGGAAATGAGACAGGAGGTGCAATTTCAATCATTGGGAAGGTCATGTTTGTTAACGACGTGGTCAAGCTCAGTCTGGATGGCAAGACTAGAGTGATCGATTCGTTTCGAAGCAAGTCAGAGCGGTTGCGCGGCCTGAAGAAATGGTCCTTAATTCCCATTAGACTCACTATCGGCTGATGAATGTTTTCAGCTTGCCTAACGACCACCCATCTAGGCTACGAACAAATTGAGAAATGCTGATAATAGTCATGTATCTGCACACATACCTGGCCGCGGTCTAATCATATGACGATAGAGTCCACTTCAATTACAGCTACGGGTTTACCATCAGTGTCATGTTTGGCATCGAAACGCTACCAAAATCTAAAAGAATGTTCCATGGGTATTTTCATGTGATGTTGTATGTCGGATTTCTGATAAGTTTCTTGGGGAATATTTATGACAACTTATGCATCCAAGCGGTGGACGTCTACTTGGCTACCAGTCTAAGAGCGTAACGTGTGTTTTATACCTCTATCAAGAACTGCCCAGTTAGTATACTGTGCCTGAGTCCATTACTACTTGGAACATTGAGCAAATCTGCCAGCATTTCCAAGTGTACATATATAGCTAACGCTTCATCAAGGCACATCGCTTTCGATACTTAGTCCCCTAGGAGAGCAGCAGCCGATATAGGGTCGATATTGACAAACAAGCAGGGCGCGGCTGACCACACTGAAGGTCTGCGGAACACACTTGTTCCGGCCATTTTCAGTTCCCAACAAGGAGGCCACTCACTGCAGGGAAATCGGACACATATCCGTCGCTAATTGAAATCATTGCTAGTAGCAGGTACAAAGAAAGTTGAGTCTTCAAGGCACTAAGTCTGATGTGACAAAGCAGAGGCTTAGGGTCTAGGTATTCATGAGCCTTATCTATCCACTCTAACTCACACGAACCAAGCATGGGTTATTTCGCAGACACAGTATCCAAGAACGACCCCAAGTAATCTTTCTTTCCCAGCGGGATCCCCTGCGCCCTCAAAATATCATAAGCCGTAACCAGATGGAAAAAGAAATTCGGCACTCCAAATGCAACCCCATACTCCTCGACCGTGAAAACAGGCTCCCTCCCAGCAGCAGGCGTCTTGAAAGTTTTATCCTTATTTCCTTCAAGCGCAGCAATATCCGTTTTCTCTAGCTCAGCAAGAATGGAATCAATGCGCTTATAGAAATCCTCGAACGATTTATCCCCAGCATCAAGAGAAGCGGGCTCGATGTTTTTGGCTCGAGCGAGGACTTTGTGGACCGTGTTGTGAACGGCGAGGACTTGGAAAGCGAGGGGTTGCATGTCGTCGATTAGACGGGCGGTGATAAGGGTATCCAGCGAGATGTTGTTGGATTTCGCATGTTCTTCGGCTTTTTGGAGATCAAACTTTAGTGTGCGGAGGCCATTGGCAAAGATAGGGAATGGAGACGTCATTTTGAGTAATTATGATGGCTTCAATCAATAGGATTTATAAATTCAGTTCTTATTCTTGTAGAGAACCGATAGTTGGGAGTGGAACTGGTGGCTGTCTTAAGTACCACAAACAGTTGGATCTTGCACTGTGATTGCGCAATCTTCTTGCTGTATCACTTGAAATTAGGGGACATGGCTTTGTTCTTCTGTATGCTTCCACCAGCATCGGCGTTAATGAAGCCTGCAAGAGCCCCGCACCTTCCCGCTGCCATATAGTAAACTATCGCCGAAATTATCGCCGAAAGTCAAATGGATATTGATAGCGTGGTGAGAAGAAACAATGCGGGATATACTTACAATGGCGGTCAACGATTCCTCATGGACAGGCAACTGGCTCAGCGCATCTTGAAGATGCCGGAAACCGATTTGGCATAGATCACGCGATTGACGCTTGCGGGGAATAGGTATCCATTGTTCAGTGGCCGGATGTTTTCGAGGGCGGTGACTGGCCCGGTTGATTTCAGATAAAATGTCGCCATTCCGATATCGCGGAACCTCTATACGACCGATACACTATGGTGCAATACTTTGAGGCCATCGTGTACATTGCTCTGTGATGAGGCGAACGACCACTGGTGTCCGCACACCAGGAGCGCCATGTGGAAGATCTTGCCCTTGCATCAGATCTTACTGCAATTATTTATTATTTTCTTCTTCTAAGAATTAGTATAGTGATTGTCCAGCTTCAAGAGTATTATTGTTCACAGCCTATGTATCAACTATACATCCCCCCAAAGAGTAGGTAGTCATTATCAAAGAACTTCCCTCATACTCACAGTATCCTGCGCAACAGCATCCTAAATTGCCAACCCAAGATCGTCTGGCACCTCAACAAGTATTATACTCAAGTTCCCGATTGCAGCATCAAGGTGCCTAGTTGCGTACTTGAATCCTCTGCCTCACATTATATACAGTGAACGGCCACCTACTTCGGTGCAATGTTTGGCGAAGTCCCATAAGTGGAGTAGGTCATTAGGGAATATACATATGAGGGGCAGTTGGAAGAGCAAACTTCCGCACTTCATAAGCATATATGAGCTTGAGTTGACCTGAGATCTTATCTAGTGTCTTGACATTTTGAACAGAATCACGATTAGAGCCAGATCATTCATTATAAGGGAACTCACTACTCAACAGGCAAGAGTGTAGTATTCCAAATCCATGAAGAACAAGCGAACAGAGAGGGACATGCATGAAGTCAGTACCCTGCTAGATAACGGTATATACTTTAAGTATATATATAATGGAACAAGCGTCGTAGTATTACTATTTAAACGGCTAGACTTTGAATCGAAAAAAGTTTTGTTAGGATTTAGGACTAAGTTCTAGATAGATTTTAGCCAACTAGACGGCGTCCGTCTTGGATATGAAAGGTCACCGGCGAGCGGCTGAGAAGCCGAGAGTTTTGATCTTGCAAGTTTAAACCTGGTGGAAGTACATACGTACACAAAGGTATTGTCATACTGGGTGTCCGAAGTGTGAGGCGGCGAATCCTGCCAACGCTAAGGGGGTTAGGGAGAACAATTTATATTTATGTTCCCGCAAATCGGCAAGACTGCATACTGAAATGCTCCCTATATTTATCCAGAACCCACCCATAGTCATCTTTCAGGCCCATTGATATATAACATATCTGTCGTTGATGAGTGTTGAAAAAGCGCCGTAGCAAGTCCAGGCAGGGGCTGTTGCTTAATAAGTATCGTATCAAGGACCAGACGACCCCATAATTATGACCACTTTGGGGCGGGACTACTATACTGCACCAAAAGCGGTCATACGGCTTGTTTACACCAGGCAACTCGTTTTTGAAAGCCGTTGACCCTTTAGAATAAGCCTGTAGGCGCAATTCGACCGTGATATTTTTTTCCCCAAAATTCCGAGGACGCAGATGATCGTGAGGAAGAAAAGAAGACCAGAGGTACTCGCAAGAATCTCCCCTTTGGCGAGGATCGGAGGGCCACGTGGACCACAAACTTAAATGACCGCTCAACTGCTGAGACGGTTGAGGGTGAGACCGGTAAGAAGCCACTCCGTAGAATAGCTAAAGGGCCCTGTCACGTTGTTATCGTATTAGAGAATAATCAAAAGTTTGCGGTCGTGCCACGTTGGCTGCATTACTAGATTCCCTCGATTGTGTATAATCCAGGAGCAGTGTTCTTCTTCCACTTCTTCTTCTTCTTCTTTCTTTCTTTCTCCCTTTTTTTTTTTTTTTTTTTTTTTTTTTTTTTTTTGCCAAATCGTAGGACAGTTAAAACTCCTCTTCGCCCAGCTACTTGATGTTAACTTGGCTATAGCAGGTGTTCGTTATTCATCTATATGTCAACTGCATATCACACTAAGATGATGAAACAGTCAGTATGCCCTGGCATTGAACCCCGTCGAAGCCTTATTATCTAACAGCTGCCCCGTCAGCCCCTCGCCAGCCATAGAAACCGTCTTAAAAGAGGGCGCGTTTGTTAGCCCACCCCCACAGTTTCGCTGTTTCATCTCCCCTGAACCAGGCGCTCTGTTCCCAGCTAAGCCCGGGAGATACCATCTCTATGTGTCGTACGCCTGCCCGTGGGGTGAGACTTGAATACCGCTAACCTGCGCAGCGGAGTAACCCTGTTGGGGACGATGCCATAATACGAGACTAATCACTGCATAGCACATGGCACCCTCATCATCCGGAAACTCAAGAGGCTCGAAGACATAATTGGGGCGACCGCTGTTCATCCACACTTTGACTTGGGCAAAGGTACAGTGTGATACACGCGATACGGCTTGCTTGATAGCCTAAAATATCCCCCTCTTTGTGATCGCCACTTTCAGGCTGGCGCTTCTCAACCGCAGACGAGAATCTCGAAGGCGAGCTGTGCGGGCCGGATCCATTACACGACGATGTCCAAGAGCTGCGTGACCGGTACCTCAAGGCAAATCCGAATTACACGGGCCGCTATTATGTTCCAGTACTCTGGGATAAGAAAACGGAGACAATTGTAAATAACGAGACTGCCGAGATTATGCAGATGTTCAACTCCACGTTTGATTCTTTAATTGACGAAGAGTATCGGCGTGTCAATCTACTTCTTCCCCACTGAAATTGAGCATAGACGAGCTGATGCCTTGGATTTATGATGTTTAGTAAGTCTCATAGAATACCCCTGAGTGATAATTAGGCCTTTCAATGACATGCGTTCCATATAGTAAAGCTAGGGTCGTTAGGTCTGCTATCTATTTCATTAACTGGCCTCGCCACTCTCCAGCAATAAGAGAAGCTGATAATAATAATGCAGAACGCAAGAAGCTCACGAATCAGCGGTAAATACCCTCTTCAGCGCCCTTGACAGGATGGAGAAATGGCTTTAAATAAGTCCCTACTACTTCGGTGATCCAATCTCAGTAGTGGACCTTTTTCTCTACGTAACGCTCATCCGGTCCGACTTTGTCTACCTTACACTCTTCAAATGCAACATTCGCGACATTCGGAACGGATACCCGGCTATTCACCGGTGGCTGCGAAAGCTGTACTGGGATGTGCCCACATTCAAGGGGACGACTATTTTTGGACAGACCAAGGAGCACTATTTTAAATGATAAACCCCAGCGTGAGTTCTTGTCCGGGCCGATAGAGACTGGTAACTGCTATTCACATTTGATGCGCTGCTGACGTTGGATGCTAGGGAATTGTGCCTGAGGGGCCTTAGCCGCATAGTTTGGATCAATAGACATCTCTCTTTCTGCGGATGGCTCTGTTTCTGTCTGAGCGTAAAAGGGACTATTATTATAGGAGGACGTGTGATCGTATAATTGAATCTTTGAACATCTTCTGCCTCAATTAGGTCCTCCACTTTGTCGTGTCAAAGTCAGAAAATTAAATACCAGTGGACTATAGCCAAGCAATCCATATAGTACGGCTATTACTATCATTCTCCAACTGTCGCTTGGTAGGTACTACAATTGCTGGTGCGCGGGAATGCGACAAAAAGCTTGTTGATGTGAAGGATGGAAAAAGAATGCCATTAAGTACATGAACTGCGAGTTTGAAATGAGATACATGTCTATCTCGATGTTTCAGCAACCTCGGCTGTGGCAGGTACTAACTTGAATTTCGAGAGTTAGCCCGCTATCATTGTGGAAAGAATGTCGGGTTCATGCATAGAAGAACAACAAACTCTCACTGAATAAAAGAGCCAATTTACGTCTCCTCGCTAATGGATCCGTGATATGGCTTCCTCGTACTCGCTAATTAAGAGAGGGCAAGCATTGCGAGTAATAGGAGGTGTACGATGTACAAACCCCACTAGCACATGCTGTTGGGCCACTCCAGCCTATACCGCCACATTGACCGTACAGGGGAGCAAGAGAACCAGTGCCTGTAGAAGTGGCTGTGGTGGACGTTGTTTTCGTGGTCGAAATAGTGATCTGGGACGTGGTAGTGGCGGATGTCGATAAGGTACTGCTTGTTGACCCGCTGCTACCCTCATAACCGCTGGCAATTTTCTTCACTTGGTTAATGAGAGCAGCCATTTGGGCCCCTAGAGACTGGGCATTAGTGCCGCCCTACAAACCGCAAGTATTGTGAACGAGCAGTGATCATTTTACACATACCTCCAATCTGGTCAGCATCAGGGCCGTACCACCCAACCCAGTCCCAACAGCCGTTGGGGTTGGGAAGCACACCACCGTTCCAAACTGCGTGAGATGAGCTATCCGAAATTGCCTGGGGAAACAGTACAATCATATTATTAGTATCTAGAGAGCTGTTAGCCGCCACACCGGATCGCATGATTTTTTTTGGGAGTCATTAACAAGATGGGATGCTTACCCGCCCACTTGTTGTAGCCGGTGTTCTCAACAAACTTCGAGCCGATTTTACCATAGTACTGCTGACATCCATGCAAGGCGACATGTAGTGAGCAGACTATGGAACCGCTCTTGCAGCTTTGGGGGACGTATAAATATCCAACTGTACCCATACCACTGGCACCATAGGACCCAGTTTGATCGAATGGAACAATTGACCCAGACAAGCTTCCTGTGTTTTTAGCATTCAAAGTGCCGTGAAGCCATTGTAGGTTAGCACCGGCCCCATCATAGTCACAGTTGCTGATATAAGGAGAGGTTGCTGAGCCGCAAGAGTTATCTCCAGAGCCATTAAAATCGGTTGGGAACGTGTGGGCAGCACCACTAGTCTTAACATAGGAGATATTTGCGGAATCGACAAAGTTTCTCAACTGGGACTGCAGTTGATCCATGACATTAGGGCCGACAGTGCTGTCGGACGACCCTACCCACATGTACACCCTTCGCTGGTCAAGGATGTTCACATCCGCAATTTTGCTTCCACTCCAAGATTTCATGTTTGAGACTGGAGTCGAGATAGATGGTTTCCCGTTGTACATGCAGGTAGTGTACTGTTTGCAGGAAAGCGCTGTCAGAGAAAACAACAGTGTAATCAAATTGAAAAATGAGCGATCTTACATATTGGTTGCGAGCGCAGTCGTATGGGCCTCCAGCAAAGACCCCAAATCCTTTAGTAAAGATATCAGAGTATGCCACGCCTAGCTGAGCTGCCATGAATCCCCCACTGGAGAGACCGGACACTGAGATGCTATTGGGGTCGACGTTATAGGAACTAAGCGCGGCTGCTGAGGCTGCAGTGACCGCAATGGCCATACAACCCACGGTGGTAACCGAAGCAAACATGTCGAAGCGAATTTTTCGTGATGTGCTTTGGCTGTCCAATGAACTCCTTGTGTAGTGAAAAGAGAAGTTTATTAGAGGGGAAGTCTTTGGATTTTATAACCGGAGGTCGACCTCTATACTCCCAGCAGTGCCGCGCACGGGCTTTCCGCGAATGTGTAAGGCGCACCATCCCAGCACTGAAATGACCTCAACCCCAAACTTTCCCATTAGGAAAAAGAAGGTCTAGTAAGATGACTCTAGAGTTGCAAATACGAGCCGAAATGAATTGATGGCGTTATTCGCGAAGGTATTGCACCATTCAAAAGCACTTAAAGTGTTTCTACACGTCGAAGGCGCGATAAATTTGCAGCTGGATCGTACGTGGATGTGTCAGCGGAACGTGGGGTGACCCCGCATTCTGAATTCACTTTGCGAGCCTTCCCCCATAGTGGGTCTCTCTAACCCTTTCCTAGTCGTTCTGGTTGGACCACCGAGATTCGGCAATAGGTAGATGACTATTCCCATTTTCTCCCCCTATTCCGGTATCCTTGCGTGCCGAGTAGAATCCGAATCCCCCTCTTAATAACCCCACATTTAGCGGGTGCGACACGAGAACTTCCACCTCCCCTTAACCACGGATCCGAGTTTTAGATGGCTAGGTGCCTGTCTGACACTACTCCGGGACGTCCGGTATGAATTTTGCAGCGCGAATATTTACTTCGGCCAGAGTACGAGCACCAGAAATCTGTCATGACAGGATTGCATTTTCAAAACATCCATTAGCTCAAGTATCAAGCATTTTCTCATAGTATTTTAATGGCACTTGAGGGTGCATGATGGTACGTGGGAGGACCGACTCGACGATGGGACCAAGTGGCCCGAATCGGAACGATAACAGAAGGCGATGCCTATCATGGGACATACCAAAAATCACCCCACTGAATAGCTTTCCCTTTTTTTTTCTCTCTCTCGTTCTCGGCCTGGATACTCCCGTTAAATGCACATGTCGTTTTCTGAACTCTTCTTTTGGCTCCTAACACAAAGAAACTAACCTCTGACGCAAATGGACTGTTTCTATGTCTAAAACTGGCTGACTGACAAATAAGAGCGCTTTTGAATGGGTTAATTACTATAGCCAAGTCACAAAAGCCCGGTCAATGGCCATTATAACCTGCAGATCCGAGATCGACTGGTTCCAAAGCTATCACCCAGCCGACATTTGGCAGATCCTATGAGGATAGCCTCATTTTGAAGTTCCGTATGCTGCCTTATTCGTCTCATCCGTTCAACCTGTTGATGCTTGGTGTCTTGCGCCACCTGAGACGGTATAAAACAGAATCTAACGAGTTCACCAGAATGCAGTAAGTCCATGGGCAAAGTCAGCTTTACTGAACTATTACCGAGTTCGGTCATGCCAGCCAATGCTGTCGCTACGGGAGAGGAGGTCGAGTGTTGGACTCTATTAGTATTCTCCCCGCATCTGTACGGTAAGTGTCCAAATTCGCCGTATCCAATTAGTCGAGCTGAGAGTGGGCGGCCAACAGCCGCTAACGCCCTTCGGGGTATGATTTATTCAATGTTTACTCGATTCGTTAGTCACCTATTAGGACTCTGTGGACAGGCCCTGAGCATCCATCTGAATAAAGGTGTCGCAGCGGACGCGCAACTGGCGGTATTCATCGCAACTTGAGAATTGCGTGCGGCGGGTAACCAAGGACTTTGTCCATGTTCTGACCATCAATTATAGGAATGGGAGAAGGAGGCCCAACATGCTGTAGATGAGAGGTGAAAGCAGATGGGACTAGGGGGTTTCGCTGAATTTGCTCCCCGCATCTTCCCCGCGTGGCGTTCTTTCCTGGCTACGGCTATCAGGGGTTGACGTTAAGTAACAGCATGTAACCTAGCTGCCGGTCTCATTCAGGGCCATGAGCCCTATCCTAAGTGGGGGTTCTGTTCATACGGTAAGGATTTTAGCGGCAGTAACAATCAGCCGTCTTCCTCTGCCGCCCCGCCATTGGCAAGGCTTGTAGGTACCAAAGGGATCTTATTCAATCCTTTAGAACCGCGAGCCTTTTGGCGTTGTCGGATCCGATGAGACACATCGGATCCGACAACGCCAGCGAAAAGCACGAGATTGGCTCAACATGGCCTTGCTGCATAGCCGACGGAGATGGCAGGGTCCATGAATCGTTAGCTGATTTGGTCTAGCAATCCTTCTCTTTGGAGGGACAACGAGGAGCAGAAAACGGGGGTCGCCTATTTTTCAGGAGGTTCACGCTTCGTATAGAGGAATTTAGAACCCATGTCCCCATTCCAGGGTCTTCTCTCTCATTAAGTGGACGCAGGACTGGAATAGTACGATTGCAAAACTAGATCCGATTGCCTTCAGTCTAAAGCTTTGCCACCTTGATACAAAATTAGAGTTTCTAGAGAACAAAGAAAAGAGAATATTTGGAGGTGACGCTCGTTTTGATCACCTGTAAAACAAAGAGATCGCTGGCCAAGGGGGCTATGTGTACCTCTTCGCTCGGTGGGGGTCTCGCAAAGAATCTGAGAAAGCAAGGATACCTAGGTAAAGTCTTTGAATATCTCTTGGATTTTAATGACCTAAACTGCAATTATCATTCTCGCTAGACACTTGATGTCCGTGAGGCCATAGGAAAACTCACAAACGCCAAGCTGAGCTAGGTGTTTCCGACATTACCCATTACAGGCTTTTACCTATGGTGCGCAATAAACCCGTGCGGTCGACGGGATCTGTAAAAGAGAGGGGGCGTAGCTTGGTTCTCGAAAATAACAGGCAGTAGTTCAAAATGTTGCCCCATGTCCTTTAAATATCAGGGCATCAGGTCCACGATATAGTCGGGGCAGGATATCTATAGATCAACCCCATCCCGTGCTGCCTGTGCTGCCCACAATGCCTACTCAAAGAATGCAATTGACTGGGATCCATAGTTGACAATCGACGCTGCAGAGTGGACTGGAGATCATGACAAGTCCTCGTTATTCTAGTTAATATAAGCCACGGCTTGGCTGATTACCAGAGGGGGGAAAGAAGGTTGCTCAATGAATAAATTTATCACATGATTGTCTTGTAGTGAAGCCTTCCACATCAGCAATCTACTAAATATCTCCTTGCAAGGTTTGGGCAACTTCAAGCAGTTGGCTAAGATTCGCTTCGTAGATGATCGGTGTGGCTCGGCTTTCCGCATGATGGTGTTTTTGTCGCCGCTGGTTATGAAGAAATGGTAGATTAAACACCTGATAAATTCTAGAGGTGCTGGTGGATATACCCTGTTCAATGTAGATATCTTCGGTTTCTTCAATTTTGCCGTGATGACTCATGATAACTGGTTATTGCTTAACGAATAGTGGGTTCTGGGCTACTGGGCATGTTCTCCTTTTCTGTCATCGCTCGCGCTTCACATGATTGTGTCACGCAAACCCGAAGAAACTCACGGATGCTCCTTGGGGTATAGCTCAATTGCCGCAACAAGCAACAAGTAGCTTGAACCGTCCACTTAGTTCCAACAGATAGCAGGAGAGATTGCAATGTCATAATAGGAAGATTCTTTCGCCTAAGGCTCCATTTGGATCAACAGCGCAGCACGACAAAGGAAAGCAGCAAGGGTTAGGCGCTGATAGGTTCACGAGGCAAGAGCCGAACGGACAGCCACCAGCATATGATTGGGTGTCCTCAGCTCAAGTCGAGAGCATAAGCTAGGAACAAATCTTTTACTTGGCCTCTTCCAATCACTACGCCGTAGTCATAAAAGGTAATATACATCAGTAACAACACCATCAACAAAAATGATTTTCTTATGTAAACGCTCTAGGGCAAAAAGAACAACCCGGTAGAGTCAGGCCTACACAGACGCATAGTACAGTATCAACAACAACGTTTAGTCGAACCGCTCCCACGAAAGAAATGAGGAAAATTCATAGTTAGTGAATATTTAGAAGCTGTAGATCGCCTTCCCTTTCAGATGTGGGCCAATCCTGCGGATTGTTCCCAGCAGACTGAGAAACCTTCCTTGCAGCAACAGCTGGTCTAATAGCAAGAACGGCTATATAGATCAGTACGACGACGCCCGCAAGCACCGAGTAGATCACAACCGCACTCGTGGGGCTCCCTGGCTCACCGATTCCAACTAGCATAAAACCCAGCCCGCCGTTTACGATTCCGAGCAGGATTAGTATCCTACCGAGCCAGCGGTGGATGTATGCATAGCTAGTCTTCTCACGGGTCCGCCGGAAGCGCAGGTGTTGGAAAAGGCCCAGGGCTGGTTGGAAGAGGATAAGGGCGCCCACCACGACGAGCCCGATGATAGGGTGGTAGGTCGCAAGCTCGTCATTCGTGACTGCGAGATGGGCACCAATTGCAAGACCCGCAGCCACAACGCACAGGGTGAAGAGTTGCAGCGGGGCATGGACGCGAGTGACGGTTTTCGCGTATGGGATCACGTGTAGAGAGAGGGCTGAAACGGGGAACAGTATTATGAAGGCAATGGCCATTAGAGAGCCGTGAGCGACCAATACCCCAGTGCCCGGGGACTCTGAGTCGCTGGTGGAAGCTGGAGGGGAAGCTGTAGGGTTAGGGTCGGTAGATTCAGTGAATGGATTAGACGTTGTCAGATTGGTGATGGTCGCTTGTTCCAGGTTGATGGACTGGCGGCCGTTGAAATCATGTTCGGATATAACTAATTCTTTGTCGGATGACGAGATAGGACTGCCCTCCTTTGCAGCCCAGATCCAATTGCTTGGTGACAGGCCAAGACAGCTTGCACATCGGACATTCGCTGTCATATACCCATTGCTGATCCCGGTTCCATCGAGGAGATCGACGCGTGCAGCAGGGTTATATTCGGGCATGACGTGCCCCTTTCCCGACCGCGGAGATAGAGTGATGTTGTTCTTCAGAGACGATGAGTACATGACGAAGATATTAGCGCCTGCCATTCCGGTGCCTTGACCCAACGCGACCCACTCGTAGCTCGTTGGTGCAACAATCTGAAAGAACAGGTCTGTTGGTTCGGATCCCACTGAGGAGCTTACGACAGCAATACTGTAGGCGATCTTGCTGTTTGCACGAAAGGAGTATATATCAGCGATGGCACTCCGCACTGTGAATAGAAGATTAGTCTGGGATCACAGCGGGACTTGTGAGACGTAGGACTTACTAAAGCCAAAGGCCATTATGATCAAGGCCCAGTTCATCTGCATCGTGCTGTTTGCCGCGAAGTCGTCGGCGAAAGGAGTGCTATGGCCAGATTTCCCAGCTCTGGCAAGCTTTGGTAAGTAATATATGCCAGTAAGAGATCGCCGTTGGACCTGGACCCTCTGCCTGGACCCCCGCACTAGGATGCTGCGCCCCAGCCCATGACGTGGCCGATCGTCGACTGAAGAAAGATTGAAGGGTTAAGTTTGAGGTGCTGAAGAAACCTAGGAAGCTTAAGGTTTCTAAAAAAAAGGGCCAGCCTGATCCATGGACCACTGGGGGCTGTGTAGGTCATTTGCACGGGACGGGCTTTTTTTGGCGGGCGAAAGCTTATTGAGAGGGTCCAGACCAGGGAGGAATAACCTGCTCCCGTGATTGGTTACTGGCCCGAACTCTATTTTCCCTTTTGACACTAATTTAATTAAGGGGGGTACTATTTAACCTAGTCTATTAAAGTATCCCGAGAATGAATTAGAGTATTGTTATACTCTCTGCCAGTAGTGGTGGTCCTGACGCCCCTCGATTACCTGACCCGGCTTGGATTGATGGAACTACAACCTTAACATTGATGTCCATTACAACGAACAGTATATGCCCTTGGATGTTGGCCTGTTTGAGAATGCTCAGCGCGCATAGCTTAGGATGCTCCCTCAGTGTCGCGCCCTGATCGTTCATATCCAAATAAATCTCAGCTAGATGCAACAAGCCAGGCGAAGGCGTTCTCCTGTCAGCAACGGTGCCTCCGTATAGACCTCGCTGAGCCGACTTCCCATCAGCTGCCGCGGCGGGTCAGCCTTCACATCCAGCCCCAGGGCATCTCTCCCCATCAGCAGCGCCCATTCCTGCCATGCAGTTTTCGCGGTCGAGTCTCCCATCTCGGGATGCTCCCAGGTATGGGCAACACTCGCAAACTGCTCCATCGCGTCGGCCGCTGGTTTCGCGGGATCCCAGCGCTCGTCGACCTCTGTTGACCGCGGGAAGGCCGCGTGTGCAGCAACCTGTCCCATCGTCTTCTCCGCGGCGAATTTGGCCACCGCGTCCTCTGTCAACTTCTCCCCCGGAGCTTGCAGGTGGAGCTCGGTGTTGAGAGCAATGGTGGATTTGGCATGGCCGTCGAGGAGGTCTTCGCCCGGCTGCACAGCTTTGCCCCAGAGCGCAACAGGGATCGCAGTGGTCGCGCCCGTGTTCTTGTTCCAGACGGGCTGCTCCTGCTGTTGCTGTTGCGCATCGCCTTCGAAGTTAGCACTAGATGAAGCAAGTCGTGTAATTTTGACCTTTAGTGTAGACGAGGTCATCTTTGCTTGCAGCCCCATTGGGCGGGAGGAGATTTCCCCCGCCGGGGCAAGCCTGGCTGGCAGTGTTTCCCCTGTGGATTCCGTCGTGATGTCTGCGTGGTCAAAGGGGAACTTGCACGAGATCTTGAAGGTGAATATGGCCCCACGAACAGCCCAGAGCGAAGTATCCTTGGTCTCGGAGCCGGTGCTGGATACTGTCAGCAGACCACTTGTGCAAGAAAAGATCCAAGGGACAGGCGGCGCGCTGAGGGCATCTTCGCCATTGGCAAGCAGCGCCGTCGAAGGGGTTGTATCTGCCTGAAGAACAAGATTGTAGAATTCCTCTAGGCCGAGGACGTTTGCAGGGCGCACCTCGCGCGTTCCAAAATTGATATCGAACCCGAAGACCCAAAAGTCGACATGGACCCGGCCGGCGACCGGGGGCCCCTCGAGGTACAGTGTAGCGCTGATGTCGATGGCAATGGGGATAGACACCAGCCACAGATCGAGCGTGTAGCGTATGCCTACGGCAAGCCCGCCCTGCGTCTCGAAATGGAAGGGCCGGTATTGGATCAAGAAGTCGACGTATGCGTCGAAATACGCGGTCAGAGGGCCTACAGAGAGCGTGACATGCAGTCGGCCGCCGCCCATGCATACCTGGGGCGTCATGGCAAAGTAGGCCTCGCCGGTGATGTTGATCGCGTTGCTGAAGCTCCAGCTGATCCCAAGCCGTGGGGGCGTTGGATACTGTGTCGGGGCCTTGAAACGCGGGTGGTAGCCACCGATTGTAAATACCCAGCTTCCCTGTAACTCTGACACGCTGTCTCCGAACCAGCTGTACAGGGCAAAGCCTCCCGTGAGATGGCAGTGGGGATCGAGAATGAAGGACGCGGGAGTCAGCTGGCCATCGATCAACAGGACGCCAGCATTGACATCGAGGGTTGCGGCGAGAGCCAGCTGCACCCGAGCAAACTTGGTCTCTGCCTTTGGGTCCCGCGGCATCTCAGCCGTTGCAACGCCAAAAAGACCAATGGTCACGTTCGGGTTCCATTCGACTACCACGACGGCGCTGACGGCCAGGATCTCGAACGCAAGCACGGTTAGGCCGGCGGCGACCCAGAAGGAGCCCTCGCGCACACCAAACCAGCCGCTGCCCATCAGTGCTACCTGGGCGCCCTTAGTGTCGTCGCTGGGTGGTACATTCAGAAAGGGAAAGTCGAGCACTCGGGTGATGGTGGGCATGGTAATCGAGGTGTTGTAGCCAAACCCGCCAGTCAGTCCGCGAATCTCCGCATAGCCGATCGTAAACAGAGGACCGGAAAGCGAACAGTATGCGAGGAACGCTGAGTATGTTTCCTCTTTTTGCTGTCTGTCGAGCAGTAGAAAGCCCAGATCAGCTTCTCTCGCGATGAACTCCTCTCCGGTTGTCACGGTGCGCGAGTTCTCGCCGTAGTAGATCGATGCGTTGAGAAGATACGGAGTAAACCCTACCGTAGCACCCCCCTGGTAGTAGGAATGGTTGTCGGAAGTTTTCCCGTGCTCCAGCAAGCCGGCTAATGACAGGGGAGGCGTGTGCAGCGATGCTCCGATCCCGCGCAACTGGAACTCTGGCTTCACGCCGTCCAAGTCGCGCAGGGTCGTGTCTTTGCTGAAGGTGAACGAGGAGCCAAAGCCCAGAAAGGTGAATCCAACTGGCCCCAGATCAAGCGTCCCGTCTAGGGTGAGAGAGAGCGTCCGCGCGAGCATGTCGAAACTCAGACCGAACCCCAGAATGGTCAGCGGGCCAAACGTTTTGTTCACGGGCGTTGTCGTTGCTGGGGTCACCAGGCTGCTGCTGTCCTTCGTCTCGTCGTTCGCTTTCGTCTTGTTTGGATCCGTCTTGTGCCCGAAAACATAGTCGAGAATCACTTTCCCTTCGGCCACCACCAGAAAATGGAAGCCGGGTTTCAATAGTACATCGTCATCGCCTTTCGCAGCCGCCATGTTAGACTTGTCAGCAGTCTTCTTTTTCTTGAGGTTCTCCTGGTACCGTAGCCGTGGGAAGGTTGGCTGGTCCTGCATGAAGTTCGAGAGGGCGTCCAGCTCGGCCCTGGTCAGCCCAACCGAGGGCTCGTTCCCGTCGAGGACCCAGAGGAACATCATCTCCTCAAAGGGGGCACGAACCGTCCCCACCATGGGCACATTCTCAATCGGCTGCAGTCCCGCAACCGACAGCATCATGACTCGTTTTGGTTTCGCGGCAGCAGTGCCCTCTGTTGAACGTTTCTTCTGAATCTGGTAGAACGCCACAGTCGACTTGTCCGCCAGCTGGCAACGGAATAATGAGACGATATACTCGGCTGTCCGTCCTACGCGCAAGGCGGCAAAGGCTTGCTTCTTGTCTTCCAGGGCCTGGAACTCACTACCTTGTAGTACGAAAGCTCCCATTTTGGGGAGATCAGATTGAATTGCTATCGCGCTCACCCAGCTCGGTAGCGTCGCAGGGTCAACGCCAAAGAGGGAAACGGCAACTGCCATCAGCGTGGTCTGCTGCGGACCCAGGCTGATCGAGCCTGTGAAATCCCAGTTCCTATTCCCGGAATGGGTGTACACGTAGTCAAAGCCGAGGTCGCCAATGCGGAGCTGCCCCGTCGCGGTAAACTGCCTAGCCTTGCCGGCTGCGTCGTACTGGTAGTCGAGGGCAAGGTCAAGAGAGATATGGCGCAGCAGATTCATGAGCTCCTGGTTGCAATCGGCGTCGAAAAGGCTGAACAGGAGCTCTCCAGTCAGCCCCGTCAGGCTGCCTGCTAGCCGCCATTTCTGATCAGAGTACTGGACGAGGGCACTGCACGTGGCGGAAGGCGGGGGGATGTCGTTTGGAGGGCTGGTTCTAGGAGGCGCGGTGAGGGTGAATGAAGCCGAGATCGCAAACAGTTGAACACGCTCAGCGAAGAGGTCCCGCCCGTAGTCATAGTGCAGCATCAGGCGGCCAGCTGTAAGCCGAATTGGCGGCAGCCTATAAGGATTTATCTGGTCGAGGGGGCAGACGACTTGGGCGTCGAAGCAGATCAACGGCTTGGAGAATGACCAGTTCAAGCAGAGAAGCTCCATATCAAATGGGCCCGGATTGAGGCTGGTCACATGGCCCAAGGCTCGTTGCTCTTGGCTTGTTGTGAGGGTCTGATACAGTGTCTGCAGATTCGCGCGTCCGGGCGACTCGTCCTCGCCCTCTTCTCCGCTGGGTTTCGTGCTGGCAACGCGCTCTGACACCGTCCATTGTTCATAATCAGGCATGTATGGGATAAACGAAAAGGGAGCAGGGAGGCTGTCTGGTCGATTGTCGTTGAACAGCCGACCGGCAAACAAAAAGTCCTTGTTGGTCAGGTTGTACTGGAGCATGCATTTCAAGGTCAGCGCAGCCCAATGGACTTGGAAATCCAGCGTCACGATGGTTTCCCCTTTGATCGACTCCACGAGGATTCGCAACAGCCGTACTCCATCGAGTAAGACGCTTGGAAACAGTTTCTGAATCTCCGGTGTCCCCGTTCGAAAGGCGCTCCCCACAAATGCCAGCAGGTCGCCCATGCTGACCCCAGCAGCGTCGGCACCGAACGCGATGCTCACCAGTCTATCGCCCTCACTGAAAACCAACGCCGTCTCCAGCGTGAGAGTCTTGCCGCCTTCACCTTGACCGTTGGGCTTGACAACGCAGAACTGCATGGGGATGGTAAAGGCCAGTTGGGATTCCGACTGCAGCGCACCAACGGTGCCTGCGGGTGCCGTGGCGTCCACGGTCCATTTCCGTTTCGCGATGATCCGAGGCGGCTTGATCGAGATGTCTGGCAGGGACAGGGCTTCCATGAACGACTTGAGCACCGCCACCAGCTCCCTGGCGAATCCAGCTGCAGGGTCCGTGCCCGTAGACTGGAACACCATCCGGAGGGTGGCCGTGTGCGTAATCTCGGGGATGAACCACAGCGCGTTACGGGCTCCCTCCTCATCAACGATGGTGAACTCGGCCGCTTTTGCAAATTCTTTAATGATTGGTGCGGCATCAATATTGAATATTTGCAGGATATCTGCCAACTGGATCGCAACAGTGGCCGGACGTAGCCCTTGGACAATCATCTGTGCCGGGCCGATACAGTCCACTACGCCTTTGGACTCTCCTGTGCCCAATAGCCAACCTGGGAGGGTACTTCCCTTACGACTGAACGACCTCTGGTTGTGCTGTGTGCCAAAGGTGAGTGCAAGAAGCCCATTACTGGCCGAGGGGAGGTAAAGCTGCGTATCGAATCCCGACACCGTAGCGCCACGAATGGATGCAGAGATCCTAGCCTGAGTAGTTTCTTCTCCAGTCCCTGGGAAACATGTCTGCAAAAACTGGACCAGCTCATCCGATTCATCAAGCGTGAGCTGCCCCTCGGCCAGATCGCCCGGGAATGCCAGCGCCCCCGTGTGGAGACGTTCGAGAAACAGGTCAAGATTGCTATCCTCGGCTGCTTTGCTGCAGCGTTCGTCGGGACCATTGACAATTACCGTCGTCGTGGCTATGAAACTGCGTGCGTCGTTTTCCAAAATAACATAATCTGGTGTGGGCTGCGAGGAATGGGCGGGGAGTGCCGGGGGGAGGCAGAGGGTCTGAGCTTTGACAGAGGCGGCTATATCCTTCCACATTGCTTCTCCCACCGACCTTGAAAGGAAAAGCCCACCAAAAGGTCGTTTGTGATGCCGCATGGAGTTGAGGGGCGCGCTAGTGCGGTCGTTGAGGGCCATTTTGGCCATGATTCCTAGTTCTTGTGCCTCTGAATGGATTTGACCATCATCCTCGGCCAGAATCCAGTCCTCGCTGTAGAGCAGAGATTGATTGTCTACCCACCACCCCTTCTTGCGACTGAACCGCGACTTGGTCACGTTTCCAACTTTGTAAATGACCTCGCTTTGTTGGGTTGCGTTCTGAACCACGCTGATGACGCGGACAATCTGGTCTGTATAGACCGGCTTATTCCCCGCGGGGAACGCTTCAAGCTCAACGACATAGGTGCCGGAAAAGAGGGCATTATACTCGTCCCAGTAGTCGCTCAACATGGTAACCAGGTGCAAGGCAAGCTTCTCCCAGCCCCCGGTCGTCCAGTACCAGTTGAGGATATTGCGGTGATCTTTCAGCTTCCCAGCTTGAGACCACATTCTCCGGATCATTTCCTTCCAGTCTTCGCACTGCCCATTTTCAAGCGGCTTCAGGTCACCACAATACGTGGAAAAGTCTTGAACATTGAAATCTTTCGCAAGATATCGAGCGAGGTAGATTGGGAAGTTGAGGCACCATAGCCGGTTGAGATCGCCATCTCCAGTCACCGCGGCCCTCCAGTGCGTCCAGGCATGAATGAGCAGGAGCGTTGGGTAAGCTAATTACATTGGAGTCTCGCAGTCAGAATACACATTCTGGGTCGAAACTGGTACAGATGAACTCACCCACATGATTATGGCCTGCATGCATTCCATTCGGCGCGATGATGTTCTCGGGCCTCCAGGCGGGGAGCATGAGCAATGGCGTCGAGAATTTGGCACCTAGCATTAATGGTCAATATTGTCATGCAAGTATAGACAACAGGCCGGGCTATTTACCGTGGTGGGAAAGCTTGATGCAATCCATCTTCTGGGGATATCGCATGTCGGCCGGACTGTTAGGATCGTCGTTGGTCGCCCAGCGCATCAGTCGATCCTCCATCTTGTCTCCCAGATCGCCTGAAAAGCAGTGTGTAACGCGCGCTTGGCCCTGGCCATCCAGGGGCCAGAAGATCATACACGCAATTGAGGCTTCGTTGTTTCCGGTTGTCGTGCCGTCAATGCTAGAGACACCAGCCACACTATTTCTGGGTTTGAGGTATATTTTCTTGAGGTCTGCTGCATCCCACACCATGTCGGTGGTTCGCCGCTGCACCTCGTCGTGGGCGCAAAAGAGAGAATCAGCCGCGACACAGAACATGACCGGCCTTTGGATGTTGCTGCTTACATCCCTGGGTGATGTGGCTGCGTAGGCCCCCTGGAAAGCTTGGCAATGCGTGAAGAAGTCCCGACCCAGCAAGGTCGTGCCGAACTCAAACTCGCCAATGGGGACATATAATACCCAAGGCTGAGAGTCGAATGTAGAATGCCGGTATGTCCATTGGATATACAGTTGGTGTTCGTCTTTTGTGCCTCCGCCGGGAAGAGTCTTCTCCTCGGATACGAAGTACCAATTGTCAGGAGGCCTTGCGAACGCAGAAGGGGTATTTGCGTAGTTTGGATAGATGTATGGGGCATAGGTACGAGTCTGACCGGGCCTCACCGATGGAAGAGGTACGTTGCTGGCGCGGATTTGGTCCTGCAGCGTTTGCTCATTGTCAATCTTGTTATCCTTGATGAACGCTCTGAGAGTGGCGTCGATCTCATCATAGAGGTACCCCGCGACCCCGGAAATGTGGTCCCCATCCCAGTGGGAGATGACAATGCTGGTGAAGATCAGGGTATCGGAATGGATGTACATTTCTCCCTTCTTGAGCCAGTTAACCATGCTGCGGATATGCCCTGCCCCTTCGCGTCGCCCGCCGTCGAGCAGCACGGCGCTCTCGATTGACCGGTGACCATTGTTGTCGAGCGAGACAAGGAGATGCACTGCGCAGTCTCCCTCATTGATATTGATGTGATGGCTGTGGACTTCGACCATTTTGTCTGGGAGTCTCTACATGATCGGATGGGAAATAGGACTACGGGGGCGGAAAGATGGGAGTATAACAGGAACCGTGCAGCATGTGTTGTGTATTGTAACCGAATTACAGGGCGCAGGCCAGCGTTGCTAGTGTCGGTTAAAAAAGCCCTCCCTTCTGCACCGGCACTAACTCAACGCCACTATCACAGCTCACAGCTTGCAAGTTCTCGTGCTCAGCTTCCGCCGCTTCGGACTCACTTTCCTTCATCCTCCATCGGCCGAGTCATCTGCAGATACCCCTCAATGGCCGTGCAGACCCCGCCGTTCATTCCTGCCGGTGGTCCAGACCCCGCCGCCGCCACTGCTGACTGCCCTATCCCCAGCAACATGAACTTTTTGACCGTCTCCACTTCTCCTGCCGCATCCTGCAGAGCGCCCTTCTTCTCCTCAACTGCATACGGCTGCAGCCAGGCCCAATCTGCGACCGCCAATGCTGGCAGCTGCACCTGATAGCCCGCCTCGGGTTTTGCCGACGGCTTCCCACGCGCCTCTTCCCACTTCTCCTGCGTGAGCTCGTGACCCGCGTGGAAATTCGGTACATTCTCCGTCACGAGGAGCGGACCGACGTGGAAGAAGGTCACGATTCTCTTCAGGCTCGATTCCCACGTCCAGTTTGGCAGGCGCAGGGCCTGTGTGGGGAGGATCCCCGTGTACGCGTGGACAGGGAGGAATGGGTCGATGAGCGCGGCGATGGGCTCCCAGTGCTTGTTACGCGAGGCCTCGTAGCGGGTATGGTCTGCTTGGCTGCCGGCGGCACCACCGGCGTCCGAGACGTATTTCTCTGGGTCGTCCCAGTAGGGCTTTAGAGTCGGCAGGGTCGCGGATTGAATGGGGTGGAGGAATTTGAGTTTGTCCGCGTTGACGGTGCCTTTGTCCCCGCTCTCACCTTTTTTTCCTGATTCTTCTTTTTGACTACTGCTGTACGTGTAAATCTTGGTCAAGTCAAAGTCGTCGCCCGATCGTCCACTGTGCCTCTCTCGCCGCAGGAAGTAGCAAACCAACCCGTCGGTCCGCCGCGATGCGTTCCCGAGCCGCATGGGGAACGCGTAGTCTTGAAGCAGGTTGGGTCCAGGAAGACCTTGTTGGTCTGCCAACGTGGACTGGTTCTGTCGTGGCTTCTGAGAGACCTCGAGCGACCAGCCGGTAGAGACGAGCGCTAGTGGTCGCCCCGTCAGTGCGTTCTGAAAGGCGCCGTACGTGGCGGGGGGTGCGCTTGTGTCACGGAGGGCGGCATCAATCATATCAATGAACTCGAGCAAATACGTCTGATCCTCGTCGGTGAGAAGTCGTAGGAGTTCCTCCAGCTGGACGTTGTCGGGCTTTGCTGCTCCCTCGGGACGAAAGGGCAGCCAGGCGACCGCCGTTTTCACGCTCCCCTGCGTCACGCGCACCTCGCGGTAGAAGGTCCCGTCTGGCAGAAAGAGTTGCAGGCTGCGGTTGGCGTAGTTGACCATCACCCAGCCCCAGATGGGGCTTTCCCAGTCCGTCACGGGCCGCCAGTAGGATTTGTCGGGGACGTCGTCGGCAGGCGGCACGCCGGCGTGTTCGGGGGCGAGAAAGGCCACGTTCAAGCGGACGGGCTGGTTGATGGACGGCGGGAGCTGGATGAACTCGCAGTCACCCCGCTCGACCGCCCGGCCCGGGTCAATGACATTGGGCTGCTGTTGGCCCGCCAGCGTCTGCGGCGCGTAGTAGTCGCCTACGCAGGGGAAGAGGGGCGGAGGCCGGTCCAGCTGGGGTGAAGGCTTGATGGCCGAGATGGCCTGGCCAAATTTGTCAATGACATTCAGCCGCGTGAATCGGAACTGCCCATGTGTGACGGGCTTGAATGCCGAGTATGTGCCGTGGCCCACCAAGCTCATGTTGGCACCGTAGGGGGTAGGGTCCGACGCGGCGTCAATCCACGCCAGGTCTGTCGAGTCCAGTCTGATGTGGTTCGCAGCCGCGAGAGCGTCCTTTAACGGGATCGGCTTCTTGCCCGGCTGGCGAACGAGCGGCTTCACATGGTTCCCCGTGCCCAGGGTCAAGAGATGCTCGGTGAAACCGGCCAAGGGCGCGGACAGAAATGCAAAGCGGTCGATGTTGGTCTCAATGACCTCGCGGCGGTCATCTGGGAGGTCCCTCCGCAAGTCGTCTGCCGGGATTGTATCGAGAAGTCGGCGTACGTGGGCCCGTAGCGTGAACGAGGGCTGTGGCAAGATCAAGTTGCGTCCGGAGAGCAGACGCGTGTCATCGAAGACCTTGTGATGGCCGTCTGGCGACTCCTTGGAGACGTCCGACGTCACGACATATTGAGTATATTGGGTGAGGGGTTCCGCGTTGCTCTCCTTCTGCGACAGTTGCCAGTGCTTGAAGGAAATGTCGGTGTACTCGCCTTCCCATTCGACATACAGCGGGAACCACGGCTGGCGGCCCGCCCAGCGGTCGCGGCACGGGTTGGCGGTGGGGTCAATGTCCTGCCCGGGGTATGTGGCGTCGTGATACAGCGGGAGGATCTGGCCCGCGTCAGGGGTCTTGGGCACTGGCTGGTGCTGTAAGATGAGAAACTCCTGGACCAGCGCGGTCAAGGTCGGGATCAGGCCTTCCGGGACGATCTCCTTGATCAGTCCCACGGTCGCCGCGTCCACCGCTGGTGCGTGCTCCTCTGTGACGAACTGGCTCTCGAGGCGAACCTGCAGCTTTTGCTGAAAGTCTCTGGGCCAGCCTGCTTGGACCCCGGCGATCAGAAGTGTCGGATCGCGATGCTGACCAAACTCGGGCATCGCTGCAGCTTTCGGCTCGATGCTCCCCAGCTTGTGGATGTCCTCTACGGTGTCTTTGATCCTATCGTTCAGGACACCGCGTGCGCCGTTTAGTCTGACCAGACTTTTCTTAATGTTCCCAACCGCAGTCTCATAAATGGGGTCTCGTGAATGATCTTCATTGTCCACGTCGGAAATGTACTTCCACCACGTCGCAAACATCTCCCACTGCAACTGTTGCAGGCGCCGGCTCACTGCGTCCTGCAGCCTCTGCGCAGCATTGAGAGTTTTGAGACATTTTTCCACCTCCTCCGGCGGCCTCTGAGCCGGTTGAGCCTCCTTTTGGTCTGCAAACGTATGGTATGTGCCCCCGTCCAGGTGCATAAAGTTGTCGCCCTGCAGCTCGTCGGCGGCGGCCTCTTGGGAATCGAGCGTTTCATCTTCGGAGCGGAGATATTTGCGGAGGCCGTGGATGTCATTTGGAAGAGTGCCGGGATCCTGATGCACCCCGGCAAAGGTGAGGAGGGTTTCCATCGGGGTCGTTCCCACGGCGACGGCCATGCGATCACCCAGCTTCTTGCCGCACTCATCCGCGGGGATAGTCGGTGGTGGCCTTTCCACATTCCAGTCGACATCGTAAATGGCTCCGTGGCAGACTGATCGTGTCGACGTTTGGTTGTCCAGCCACTTCCTGATCGTGTCCGGGAGCGGCTCGGGCAGGGGAGGCAGAGAGAGCCTGTGCGCTTCGAGGGCAGTCCCTCGAGTCCAGGGCGCAGGACCGGTTGGCTTCTTGGCCAGAATGTCTTTGCTCTCATCCGTGTGCCAGCCGACGACATAATAGTGCGCTCGCACAGATGTCAGATGCTTGGTTACATCATTCTCCTCGTATGCGAAGGTGTCCAGCATAGAAAAGACATTGCCGCAGTGGTACTGAGAGTCGGGGAAGAGCTGATTGGAGCTGCTTGCGACCGTGAGCTCAACAGTGTTCCCCACATCATCCTTGTCCCATTTGCCAACTGGCGTGCAGCGTCCGATGAACACCTCAGCCTGCTCTTTCATCGGGATCGACCCGGGGTCCTCGCTCGCGACCGCGTTGATGAACGGAGCGACGTCCACCTGGAGATCCAGGTCTGCGGCCAATTCATCAATCCTGCGCATCCGATCACTCTCAATGACCCACGCGGCCACCTCCGGTATGCTTGCTTCCTGCGGTAGAACCGTCGCATTACCGCGCTCGATCTTGCGGATAACGAGCCACCGATTGGGTACTGGCGGAAACGAGGGTGCCGAGTTATCTTCTTCCAGCCTGAACCGATCTTTCCCCGCGCCAGGATGGACCGGAGGAACGGAACCCCCAGGATCGCTTGCCTCGCCGCTGCGGTAGGCTCGCGGGAGAATCCAATGCAGGTAGACGCCCTGACGAGACGTTCTCGGCTCGCCGGTCCCGAGGTCGGTGTAGCGCGAATTGCGCGTGCTGGGGCTGGCGTTGTAGAGGTCGGTGTGTGGCAGGAGATCGCTCAGCGCCATGTATTCTTCCATTCGGAGGAAAGTGTAGTTTGGCTGCGTGATCGGGCTGATGCGTGCTTTGTGGCCCTCGCCATTGCAGACGGCGGCGTTGAAGATGAAGGCGTCGACCTTGAGAGGCATTGCGACGGCCATGGTGGGATCTGTTTTTGGTCTCCCTTTTCGTTGTGAATCTTCTACTGATCTTATTTCACCTCGCCTTGATTTGGACACTGCTAAATCCTTATCAAGTCGAGCGATCGGCTATAATCTCCGTGTTCTCCAGCTCGGCGCAGCTGACCCTCAGAATCCGTACAGAGGCAAAAGTAATCTGCATTACAAGTCCCGTAAATACGACTAACGCACACCTACAGGTACCAAACTCGAACTCGCGACGAACTACCACTTCCAAGATTCTTCAGCAATCCCCCGCATCCCCAGTCGAAATCCCTCCAGTGCAAGGTCTAGCTTCAGCTGGCCCCCCTCTCCTCTTCTACTGGACGAGTGGATCCCGGTGGTTCACATAGCCATTGTCCTGGTTTTCCTTCTCAATGAAGAAGACGTGGTTATGGGCCGCGTCAGCAACCGCGACCAGCTGCGACCCCTTCAACACGATGCTGTTCTCGGTCGTCTTGATCAGCTCAGGGGACTGCCAGTCGCCGCCCGTCTGGCGTATCCGGTACAGCTGCTGGTTGCTGTTGGTCATGTACAGGTAAATGTCGCGCGCAGCGCCGCTCTTTCCCGCAACGGTGGTCACCACCAGAGGGGATCCCGCCTGCGCGACGCCGGACGCTGAGATTTTGGTTGCTGGAGAGAGAGATTTGTTAGCTGTATCGTTCTACAGTCTGTCCTTGGTCGGGGATGGTGCGATGGGAAAGACGTACAGCTTGTGCTACCATTTTGCTCAATCGTGACCATCTGCAAATATGTAGCTTCTCCCGATTTGGGGATATGCTGGTTAAAAACCACGCGCCGGTGCTTGTCGGCGTCGTAAAAGGCCGCGAGCTTGCTGCCGGCGGACACGGGCGTCTCGCGCGAGTTGACGTTGGGCTTGGAGCCGCGGGCCAACGTGACCTCGTAGAGGACTGGATCCTCGCCTTCCACCTCCTGCTCCAGGTAGTAGAGCCACACGGTCGCTCCGTCCGAAACAGCGGATATGGTCGGGTGGATGGTTGTGAGGCCGTAATTTGGCCGCAGCGGATTCGCGATTGGGCTCAGACGGGAGATGTTGTATTTCCGTGGTTTATCAGCCGGCTGGCCGGCGACGTCTGTAAGTCCAAAAACGTTGATCTACGAGAATTCCCCAAGAGTTAGTACAGTGAGATCGCAACCATGAATCTGGGGATCGAGTTCTTCGTACCACACCCCCGACAGCCGCCGAGGCGAGGGAGTTTGGCTTGGTGGCATTGCCCGCAGTGGTCCCGTTGTCGGTGTATGGGACGGCGGGGCGGGCCGTGTCCAGCGGGTGGTAAGAGACGGTCAGCTGGTTGACGGCCCCAATCTCAAAGAGAAGCGTTTCGGGGACGGCGGGTTCCGTGTGGACGGGGTTGATGATCGCAGTGACAGCATTGGCCATGGTAGCTAGATGGAACAGTGAATTGGAAAGAAATGGGTTCTGGTTGACAAGCCTGGTCTGAGTCGGTCAATTGCAGCCCTGGTCTCGGCCCTTTTATGTTGTGTCGCTGTTGACAACTGTCGCTCGGGTAGAATTACTCGACGGGACTCATCCGAGTCAGAAGACGTGCTTCCTTCAGCTTCTTCAGCTCGCCATATCGCTAGTATGATGATTTAGAATCGAGATCGAGTTTCTCGTGGAGATGGTTCTTCGAAGTCGAGGCATCCCGAGGCGATTGGTTCGGGGCCACTTGCCCGGTTCAAGCCACGCAGGAATTTATTCTCCAAGTATTCGCCTCTTTCTTCAGCTATAGAATGACCATCAAAGAAGCCCCAGCAACGTAGACGAACCTCCGCCTCATCCACTTACTAGGTCACAATGCCACCCCCTCGCCGGAACTCGAAACCCGTCTCCTCTGGCCGCTATCTCGCGCTGCGCCACCGCCGGGACCGGCTCAACGCCCTGAGAGGGATCCAGCTGACCACGGACAGTGACAAGAGTCCACTGCAGCGGGGAGAGCAACGTCTCCACAGCTCATATGTTCCCGGGCTCCGGGCAGGCACCTACACTGTAGAGGTTGAGCAGACGGTCCTTGCGACCACGGAGAGCAGCAAGACCTTTGACAAGCAGATCCAACGCTTCGAGGTTGTCGCTCCGCGCTTTGCATTGCCCTCCGACTGCATCTACTCCACGTTCCCAGCCAATGGCACGAGTGCACCAGTCACCTGCCTGCCCCACGTCGTCCTCAACGATGCCATCCTGCCTTGGGAGCGGGTGGCCGACGACCGACCGGCCGCACTGCCGGCTCGCGACGAGGATCTCCCGAACCGTGTCCCATGGCTGGTCTGTCTGACCTTTGAGGTTGACGAGCTCCGCCTTGGACAAGAACAGCTCAATGGACCCCAGAGCCTCTTCCCCTCGCTCCCGAACCCCGATACCAAGCGCACCCAGTCCCCGACGGGAGAGGTCGATTTGGATCTCAAAGAGCTCCTCCAGCTGAATCCCAGTCATGCAACGACCCCGGTGACCCAAATTCGAGATGCAACAGAAACAAAAGCAAGCGTCATTGCCATCCCAGGACGCTTGTTCAACAGTCTTGTCACCGCCTATGACTCTGAAGGGGAACCCCATCCGGACCAAAAGTTTTGCGATACCTCGCGGTATCGGCTTCTGGCCCATGTGCGGGAGATTCACACCGAGGGCATGGCGCACGCCGGTGCTGAGGATGAAGCGATCGACCGTCGCTTTGGAATCGTCGTCTCCCACCGAACAGGACCCGCCCGCCGCAAGACGCCGACCATGCTCGTGTCGCATCTCCTCTCGATCGAGAGGGTGTCGGCCATGCCATTCCCCGTCGATGAGAACAAGCGAGTCGTGCTTCCATCGCTATTCAGCTGGACGCATATGTGTGTGCCGCCGGAGATGATGGATATCCCGGGATCAATGGACCACCTCGCCGAGGGAAGCGCCATGCTACGCCCGTCCTTACCAGACTCCGTCAAGACCTCTGTTTCGGATCCCACGGTGGCCGAGGAGATGCTCCGGCGCCTGAAAGACGGCTATTCTCTCGTGCGGTGGCGCACGCAAACTGGTGAAGAGACGGCCGCTTTCACTCGGGGACCTCTTGTACCGGCAGCTGTGAAAGCTACTCTAGAGAACACACTATCCAACGCAGGACAGTCGTTGCAGATCCTGGATAAGAAGCTTGGCTTGATGGATCTCTCCTATGCGACTGCGTGGAATCTAGGGCGGACCCTTGCAATGGCGGACCCAGCCTTTACTGCGGCCCTGTGTCGCGTCCGCAAAATCGTCTTGCAGCGGGGGAGCGACAAAGCCAAGATCCAAGTCATGCGGGCCACTGGAATGCCATTCCAGACCAAGCGCGAGCTGGTGGCGAGTCTGCAAAGCCTCACGGAACGTCTGGCAGACATGTCCACCGTGGCCGACCTCTCTCGCGAGAACCGTTGGAGACGGCCAGGTAGCAGTGTCCTCCCCGTCCATGCCTTGGATAGTACCCTCGTTGCGGCCGTCTATCAAGACGAGCTGGACCGGGCAGCCTACCAGGTCGCGAGTGGCTATACTGATCGTCCGACCACCGAAGAAGACGGCGTGATGCCTGCCCCATACGACGAGCTGAATATCCCGCACTCTGCAGACTGGGTAGTGGTGCTACAGTTCGCTCTCAACCTCCGGTTCCTGATCCCAGTGCCCTTCCACTATCTGGTCTCGGACATGGCCGCGTTGCCGCAGGAGAGCCTTCGCTTCTTCCACATCGACAAGAACTGGAGCCACGCTCTGCTGGATGGAGCTCTCAGCCTGGGCAATCATGTCGACCGGGACTGCGACCGTGTGCGCGATGCGATGCACAAAGCCATCCAGCGATATCATCAGAAACCCCATGCGGAGCTCGACGATGTGCCCCTCGTGCCCGAGTATGGTTTCCTCCTGAGGTCGACGTTGGTCACTCAGTTTCTGGACCTCAAGGTCACTGTCGAGTCGCCGACAGGAGCACCGACCAGTTGCGTGCTTATCCGGCAGGAGGTGGTCGGCCCTGGGATCATGCTGGGCCTGCTCAGCCAGGTTCCCGACTCGAACTATCGACTCACCTTCACGCAGCCTGCACATCAGCAGTGTTTTAGCATCGGAAAAAGCCTGGACGCCGATCAGGTCATCATCCCGTTCAAGAAGATCTACTCGGAGGAGGGCCATGACTCCGACGTGGACCGTGGCGAGCCATTGGATAGCTTCTCCTGGCGCCGCACCAAACAGGAGCCGCACGCCGCTCCGATGCATAAGCCTGGAACTGGGGCGGTTTACCTGTGGGAAACAGAGAAAGATGCGGATGATACGCGTATACTCCTCCTCGACAATCTCGCTCGCAGTGTCTACGCATTACTCAAAGACAAGCTTGGGTTTGGCGAGGAAAAACCCACGGCGGCGATGATGGCCATCCAGCTCAACGACCCCTGCTGGCAGCTGAAAATCGATCCGCCGCTGCCCGCCATGATCTTTGCACCTACGAATTTAAACTCGCTCTCCTCGGCTCCCCTTGACATAGACCTATGGCAGCCCCGGGTCCAACTCCTCCCGACTCGACCCTTCCGAGCCACCAATGCCCGACGCGCACCCCCGTCAAGGTACCTCACCGCGGCAGCCCCTGTGGCCTCAATTGCCACACTGCAACAGCAGGCCCCGCCACACTTTTCCCGTGGCCTACTTCCCATTAGCGCCCTGCAAATCACAAAACACCTGCGTGTTGATCCTCCGCCCCCACCAGAACACTCGGACCTCCCGGTCTTCAACTTTCGCGTGTTGCCCGCCTCCAATCCCGCGGGAACAGACGTAGTCGAGTCCCTCCCCTACGACCAGGACCTCGTCTTCTCAATCGTCTACAAATCCCACGCGCACGAGTGGGACCTCGCCGAGGCCGTCATCAAGGTGCCCGTGGGCGACCCGACGAGGAAATGCATGACCCGCCGCTACCGCGGCCCGGGGGCGACGATGCTCTCGAACCTGCGCTTCAACGTCCTGGCCTCGTACTCGAGCGCCGAAAAGTGCCTGGTGTTCAAGATCGCGCCGCGGAAGGAGAAGTGGAAGGTCCCCGTGCAGCGCATCAAGGAGATCAGTTTCTTGCTGAGTCGCGTGCGCGTCCAGGCGTACCCGGGCAAAGTGGCCGAGGTGGACTGCTCTGCGCATCTGACATATCAGGGCGAGTATTTCACATCGAAGCCTTTTAAGATTCTCCTGGCTGCGCCGAAGAAGGTGGGATCGTGAGCTTTGTGTTTATCGTTCATGTAAACCAGAGGCTATTACACTGGCCGCCCTGTTTCGAGGCGGGCGGTCACCACCAAAAAACGTTGATTCTGCTAGGGGGAGGTGTCAAGGGGGTATCATGTTAAATCCATCCTACTAGTGCATTGCCTAATTAGTGCCTACTATTCTATCTGGCCAGCGCATGGTGGAACTCCTAGTAGGCCATTGTTAGACCCTGTATACAGCACACCCGCAGTGCGGTGCCTGAGGCACCGCACCTGCGCGCCGCAGCTCCCGCTTACCAGGAACACATGACGCAAGAACCACGTATTGCGGCTGCTAGCCTTCACAGAGTGAAGACTAGTGATTAGTTCAGCTACAACTAATACATATGTTCTGAACCCTCATAGTCTGCTTTATATATATATTACCCGTAGTTATATTGGCTGCGGTTCACAGTTCTAATTACTAACCCAGGGGGGTCAGTGAAAGAAACGTATGTTGCACTGGGAGGGGCCCGCCAAGATAGCCGCTGATTAGTTGGAGGAGGATCCACCTCGCGTATCCTTCACTAGGAATCCTCGCGTATCTTGCACTAGCTTTTTCATGGTGGATCCGGCTTAGATTGGGCCAGGGGTTAGCGGGGCCAGTTAGCTCTAGCTAGTACTAGTTAGGAGTCACTCTAATAAGAGATTAGGGTGTAGTAGTTAATTAAACATGCCTTAGTTTTTGATTTTCCTGCGAGCGCGGGAGTGGTGTTAAGACTATCTATTACGCCCACGCTCCGCTCGCTGGCTACTAGCAAGTAGTAGCCATGGAAACGCGTGGAAACCATAGTAACTAGAAAAGATAAATAGATGTTTATTATTATCATAGCTAGTTATTCAAGTATTCATTTTAGGCAAGGCATTTAGGGGGTGAAGCCCCTTAACTAATCTATTCATCCATTCGATCCATCCATTATTATTGATAAGTAAGTCAAGTCGTCGCGAAGCAGCTATGAACTAGTAAACAACTAGTTACCACCATAGAGAACTAATTATTCAAGAAGATCCCTAGCTTGCGGATTATTATCTACCACTAGTGCAAGCATGGGGTGCAGCTAGCTAAGATAGAACACTATTTAAAGTAGAAGCATTAATTTAACCACTATTAGGCCACCTAGGTCGCCCAGGCCATCCAGCAATAGGCGGATATCATGTAGGATAGCCAGGCGATCTAGATCCTATAGGTTCTAGATCACCTGCTACCCATATTACCATGCCACACTAATGGGTTTTTATGCTGGCGGGACCCCACACAGTGCCATTACATTAGATCCACCATGGCGTCCATGCGGGTGCACTGGCGGGCCACCCACTAATGGTCCTAGCAGGGCCGCTGGGGCCATGTCAGCCAGAGGGAGAAGGCACGTGGGGAGGCGGAGCTAGCATGATCATACACGCGCGTGGCATGGCAGTAGGTATTCCCCACACGCAAGGGGTCCTATTACATCTATATTAGGTACCTAGATGGCGGCCGCTAGAGGAGCCCGCTACCACCACCCGCGGAGCAGGCCTAGCAGGCTGTGGATGCCATGGTCATTACATGGGAGTAGGCGCGCGCGCGAGAGGCGGAGCAGGCCACTATCTAGGCAGATAAGGCGGCTGATGCCAACCCATGGCTGCGCATGACGGGGTGGGTGAGGTATTTAGACGGGGTACACCTGTAGGATTTGCGCCAGCTCATAGAGGCGCCCGTGGAGGTAGAGGAGGTAAAGGAGGCAGAGGTAGAGGATAAGGATACTAAGGTAGATCCCACCAAGCAGGCCGTGTAGGTGATTTAGGACGCCATGGACTAGCTAGCGCGGCGTAGCTAGTAGACTATGTAGTAGTGTGGCGCAGGCATCCACGTGGAGGCGGCCTGTACAGAGGCCGGCTAGACGCTATATAAGCTACTACAGGCGTACATAGACGAGGCAAGCATCCAGAAGCACGTGCAGCCATGGTAGCAGGTGTTAGTATTCATCACGCGCACGTAGGCCGCGTAGATGAGCCCAGGCCAGGATAGCCAGGAGGATGGGGATAATAAGAATAGGAATAGTAATAGTAGCCATGGCAAGTGGCTAGGGAGGTTACCCGCGTATGGGATGACGCCGCGGTAGCGCTAGAAGTGGCAGGCATTATAGCAGCTAGCCATGCTAGCTATTAAGAGGCCCGAAGTAGAAGCCCAAGCTAGTGGCCAAGCGCGTGCGCAAGCCCGAGCCAGGCCAGGGGTGAGGGTCGTACATACGTTTGCTAGGGCCGGCCAGATTATTAAGGACGTGTGGAGTGCTAGTCCCAGCCTAGGTAGTAGCCCAACCACTGTGATGGAGATGGACGAGGAGACAGACAAGGAGATAGATAATGGGGTGGAGGCTGTAGCTATAGAGGTGGAGGCGTGGTAGATAACCCCTATAGAGCAGGCGTGCTTAGAGTTTTGTATTAAGCTAATGAACCAGCGCCACTACACGCACGAGTATGAGAGCGCGCTGGTATATGCCATGGCCATGCAAGGGTGGGGTAAGGCGCGCTGGCGCGATCCTAGTAGTTACCCACCCATATTATCCCGCGTGCTCAAGGTGGCGCGCTTCATAGTGGTGTAGAAGGCGTTGTGGTTAGATCCCCATACAAAGGAGATCATCCACATGTGGACGGGCTATTGGCAGCTAGGTAGTAGTGGCAGCAGCCGCCCCGTCACATGGCCGTTAACTAGCGCGGACGACTAGCTGGTAGATATCTATATCTATCTAGGGGATCCGGCCCAAGGATCACCACTATTATTAGGATCACCACCAGGATCACCACTAGGATCAGGATCAGGATCAGGATCAGGGTTAGGGTTAGGTGGGAAGCTGTTCCATGACCACGTCTAGTAGATGGTGCGCAGCTTCATGATCCACGGCACGCACGGCCCCATGCAGACGTTGCTAGATTAGCGCACGTATGGGTTGAAGGTGCATTATAACACCACTACGCCAGGGCATGTGGGATGGATGGGCAGGGACGAGTTATTATACAAGGACGTGCATTTCACCATGGGCGCGTTCCGCGGCTTTATTCATGGCTTGGTGGGATCGGCGCGCGAGCTGCTGCGGGAGGTATTATATATATCCCCAACCACAACCACCACCACCACCACTAGCAACACCGATTTCCCCCCCATCCCATGGTCCGGATTGTACGACGACCCCACGCAGGGCCAGAAGGGGTGGTGTTTTTTATAGGATACCTGCACGCGGTGGCTAGTGGATGGGAAATAGTAGTTAGTGCAGCGGCTACGCAGCGAGCCCGCCATGCAGCGCCAGTTCATGCGCCGCGGCCAGATACAGGCCTAGCTAGTGGCGTAGTATTTAAGCCGCGTGGCCTGGTTCAAGGAGAAGCTAGCAGTGGCCATCCACATCACAGGTGGCCAGCCCACGCGGGCGCCCGAGCTGTTGAGCATCCAGCATGTCAACACGCAGGCCAGCCGGCACCGTAATATATTCATTGAGGATGGGCTGGTGACGGTGGTAATGGCGTATTACAAGGGGTTCCACGCGAGCAATGACATCAAGCTGATCCACTAGTACGTGCCGCGGGCGGTAGGGGAGTTGATCATGTGGTACATGTGGTTAGTGTTACCATTCATAGAGTAGTTAACCGCGTGGCAGGCAGCGCAGTAGCAGCAGCCACAGCAGCAGCCGCCAGCGGCGCAGCTAGTAGCCCAGCCACCAGCAGGCAGGGCATTAGGGTTAGGGTTTAATAGGGGTAGGGAGGATGCCCAAGCTCGCGCGCCCAGGGTAGGGTTAGCCCGCCAATCCAGCCAACCCGCAGGCGCCGCCGCCGCCGCCGCCGCATCAGGGTTAGGGTTAGGGTTAGCCAGCCCGTATTTATAGGGCCCCAATGCGGGCACGCAGCGCGCATGGACGTCCGACTGGTTCCACGAGGTGTTGAAGCGCGAGACGCAGGCGTGGTTAGGCCAGGCATTAAACATCCCCGCGTACCAGGACATCGCCATTAGGATCAGCTGGCAGTTCATGCGCGGGGCCAGCGCGTTCAGAAGCAACGCCCATGACGAGAAGGAGCAGCCAGCCGCGATGGAGTTAGATACCAACCATGAGGAGGGGATAGACGCGGAGTAGTAGATAGCGCACATCACAGATTTACAGGCGGCGCATTCATCGCACGTGGCTGGGATGGTGTACGCGCGGCAGATCATAGAGCAGGCAGGCACGACCAGCCACCAGCAGGCCATGTTCCAGCAGTCCAGCGTGGAGTGGCATGAGTTTTTAGGGTTTAGCTAGGATGCTAATAGTCACGATGGTAGTCGCGGTGGTCAGCCCCAACCCGCAGGCAATAGGGCCCGCGCCCCAAGCAGTAGTTCGCAAGCGGTTAGGGTTAGCCGCAGCCAGGGCCAGGATAATGGTAGTCATGATAGTGGTCAGCCCCAGCCCGCAGGTAGCAGGGCCCGCGCCCCAAGCAGTTCGCAAGCAGTTGGGTTTACCCAGGACGATGGTGGTCAACCCACAGGAAACGGGGCCCGCGCCCCAAGCGGTTCCCAAGCAGTTAGGGTTAGCCGCAGCCAGGGCCAGGATGATGGTAGTCGTGATGGTGGTTAGCCCGCAGGGAACGGGGCCCGCGCCCCAAGCGGTTCGCAAGTAGTTAGGGTTAGGGTTAGCCCAGCCACCACGACGTTGTTAGGCAAGCACAAGCGCGCGCCATGGCAGGCCAAGGCCAAGGAGCACCAGTGGGAGTGGCGGCAGCAGTTGCAGGCCATGGACATGACCACCACGATGTAGCAGATGACTGGCCAGGCCCGCATGCAGTTCCGCGGGGTCCAGGGCCCCGCCATGGCAGGGATCCAGCAGGGCCGCAGCCTGGTGGTGGCCATCATGCCCACGAGGGGTAGCAAAAGCATGTTATTCATGTTACCCACGTGGGCCATGCCCAGCGGCACCACCATCATAGTGGTCCCGTTAATATTATTGCGCTAGGACATGGCGCGGTAGTGCCAGCAGGTCAGGGTGTCATGCGTGGCATGGGACTAGTAGCAGCCACCTAACGAGGCCGCCATCATGTTAGTGACGCCCGAGTCCGTGGTGACAAGCAATTTCTAATTATTTATTAACTAGTTAGTGATGATGCGCCAGTTGGACTACATGGTAGTGGACGAGTGCCATATCATCATGAATGCATAGAAGGATTTCCGGCCGTAGATAGCCTAGTTAGGCTAGTTAGTCCAGGCATAGTGCCTAATGGTGTATTTGACCGCCACGTTACCCCTATAGATGGAAGGCGAGTTTAGCCAGCGCATCCATTACCCACGCGACCAGATATATATATATCGCGCACGCACCAGCCACAGCAATGTGGCATACCGCGTGTGGTGGCCCGCGGTGGCAAGCCCGTACTAGTGGGAGCAGGATCCGAGGATCATTATATTCATCCAGGCGCGCATCCAGCAGGCGCGGCGGGCCGGTGGCGGGAAGGTGGTGATATACGCGAGCGCCATACGGCAGGTGCAGGCCATGGTGGAGATAGTCAGGTGCGAGGCGTACCACAGCCAGCAGGTGGACCGCGCAGGGGTGTTGGAGTGGTTCATCCAGGGCACCATGGACGTGATCGTGGCCACCAACGCGTTGGGCATGGGGGTGGATATCCTAGATATCCAGGCAATCATCCACATTAGCATGCCGTGGACGTTGTTGGATTACGCGCAGGAGAGCGGCCAGGTCAGGCAGGACGGGCAGGCCAGCAAGGCCATCATCATCCAGCTAGAGGGGATGGACGAGTATAGTGGTCACGGCGCAGGTGGTCACCATGCACGCGAGAAGGCAGAGGATTAGGATGAGGATCAGGATCAGGATGGGGAGGCACAGCGGGTGCAGAGATACATGCACGCGGGAGGGTGCTGGTGAGTGGTTTTAGATAGGTATTTAGACGGGATCATCAACGGATACGAGCGGCAGCAGTGTAGGGATGCCAGGCAGGAGGAGCAGGCGTGTGACTAATGCAATCCCAGTTAGTAGCAGGCCCAGCATGCGGCCGGCACCAGCACCAGCACCAGCAGCACCAGCACAAGCGGTTCGCAGGCAGTTCAGGTTCAGGTTTAGAAGGATGCACCAGCGCGCAGGCCCGCGCAGGCCACCACGCCGCCAGCAACCCAGCCAGGGTCAGGGTTTAGAGAGGATGGATAGGGGGTCAGACCAGGAGATGATAGCCCCGCGAGCAGTGGATCGATTATTAGCCAGATTAGATACGAACCACCAGCACCACCACCAGAGGCAGAGGCAGAGGCAGAGGCAGAGGCAGAGGCAGCCACCATGGCAGCCATGACACCACCAGCCACCGCAGAAGTGTTGCCAGGGTCAGGGATCAGGTTAGTTCCAGCCAGTAGTAGGCCTGATACCAGCCGCCACAAAGCAGGTGAGGTTAGCCAAAATAGTTCACCAGTGATTAGGGTTCCAGCTAGCAGCCAGGCATCCCAGGCATCACAGGCATCACAGGCGTTGTAGTGGGCGGCAGGGGATATATATTTCTAGCAGGAGCACGCATGATAGTGGTTAGATAAGGAATTTAGGGAGTAGGAGGCGCGGCAGTGGCAGGATTAATATTATATATGCGCGATGGCGTAGCAGGAGGACTAGCATGATTTATATTCATACAGGCATGCCAGTAGCCAGGCAGCAAAGTAGTAGATGGTACAGGTACAGCGGAGGATCTGGTACGCGTGGTACATTAGATGTTTCACGTGCGGGATGCCCTAACCCAGGGGGGGTAATGGGATGAGGGCTCATCGCATTTAGGGTTCGACCCGATGGGGTTTAGCGGCCTGGGAAAACTCGCGCTAAGTTCACCCATCTCATTTAGAAAAGGTTACCTATCCATATCCGCGCTGGTGGTTGCTCGGCTTTAAAAAGTGGTGCATGTGGAAGGGCGGGCACTTATCTTTTAGATATTAAAAAGTAGAAGCCGTGCGGACGTAGAATAGTGGCGCGGTGTAGGTGTAAAAGTAGTAGGTTTTGTTGGGGTACGCCGCCATCCGCGGGAGACGGGAACGGGATGGGATGAAGAGGTAACAGCGCGCGGGATATAGTAAGTAATTATAGAGCATCCATCATTACATGTTATGCATGCATGCAAGCTGCCATGGAAACCAACCATGAATAATGTTTATTGATACCCATGCCCACATCCCATGCCCAATGCCCGTGCCCATTACCCATGATTGATTTAAACCATTAAATCAACTAGTTATTCAATTTGTTTTAAGACCATGGAGAGCCAGCTGTTTGAGAAGATCCCTAGCTTATAGATTATTATTTGCCGCCCATGCAAGCATGCCGTACGGCCCGCAGACGTCCAGCAGCATTTAAAGCGGCAGCATGGGTATAATTACCAGGCAGCCAGCCAGGTGGCCGACATGGTACACCAGTGGGAGGACGTGCAGCAGGATAGCCAGGCCATCCAGATCCCGCGTGTATTAGATCACCCACTGCCCATTTTACCATGCCACACTAATGGGGTTTTGTGCCAGCGCGACCCCACCACACAGTGCCAGTACGTGGCCGCCAGCATGAATTCCATGCGGAAGCACTGGCAAGCCACCCACCAGTGGTCACGGCAGGCCCGCCGGGGCCGCGTGGGCCAGCGGGAGAAGGCACGCAGCGAGGCGGAGCTCGCGTGGTCGGTCAGGCAGGTGGCATGGCAGCAGGCGTTCCCGTCCGGCCCCGGGTCCCATTACATCTAGTCCCTAGTCCCTGAACGGACGGGCGTCCGTTCGGGTTCTTCGCCCGCTGATTGGTCCATGCCCAGTGCGTGCTCCCGTCGCCCGTCAAGTGCGTGGCCCCCCCAGCCAGCCCCTAAGAAAACTCACCCTAATTAACTAACTCCTACTAGAGCCACGCCTCCTACTCCTCCTCTACCACCTCCTCTTACTCTTACTCTTGCTCACTTCTTAAACTATAGAATACTACACTAACTACTACTAGTTACCTACCACCATGCTTACTTTACTTCTCTTCTTTACTTTTTTCTACCACGCGACGCGTCCGCGTCTAGTATAACTAAACATAGGTATTAGAAATCTACCTAGACTTCCCCTTAGCCTTTACTTATATTCCCCTAAAAGACTATCCCCATGTAGGCTTTGCAAAGAGAAGCTCCCTACTTAACTCTTAACCTATTAATTAATACACGTGTCCTGCTATGGATCTCTTCCTCTATAACCCTACGTACTAGGTGTGGATCTACACGGCTACTTACTACTAGTATGTGGTGACCCCCTCCACCTTGCTTACCTACCTACGCACCCGCCATGGCGCCTACCTATCCACCGCGACCCCTGCCCTCCACGAGGCTGCGCTAGCCATGATGCTCTAGTAGCCCTGGGCGGACCTGGCCTGGGTGCCTAGCTACCAGCCCTCCGCGGGCGACCTGCCCGTGCTGGGCCTGCTAGTCTACTAGGGCCATGGCTGCCTGCACTGCCCCTATATCGCCCGGACCCTAGATTTAGTGGACAAGCACCACCGTGGAAAGCATAGGGGGCAGGATAGGGAGTAGGGGCTAGGCTGGCTCTTAGTCACGCGGGCGAGGGCCTGCTAATAGGCCCACCTTGTGAACTAGGTGGTATCCTACTAGCGCTTCTACCTTAGCAAGGCTAGGAGTTATTTCTTTAAGGTCACCTACGCCCCAGGCGCCGCGGACTAGGGGGTAAAGAAGTAGGCGCTAACCACTATAGAGCTTGTACGGGCCCGTGTGGACCAGGCGCTGCGGGAGGGAGAGGCGGCCATTAAATAGGAAGTAAGCCAGGTGCTAGTCCTAGATCTACACCCTACCAAGGTATCCCCATGGCTAGAGCTTACCCAGTGGCTAGAGTACCTGCGTGGCCAGGATCTGACCATGGTCACCCTGCTAGGCGCCCTGCCTGATCCCCGCGAGGAGCCGCTGCTGGTGTAGCTTAGCGCGAGCGTGCAGCAGCTGATTAACCAGGCCTACCACGCCATCCATGATGGCTAGATTAATGAGTTTGACTAGGTCTAGATCAACACCTTCTTCCGCTAGCCGAGTGTCTGGAACTAGCTGATCTAGATCTGCCTGTAGCCTAAGACCTACCACCGCTATAGCCAGGTGTGGTAGTGGCTGGTCTGCTTTGCGTACCATAGCACGTGGCCAGACTAGGTAATCTAGCTACGCCACTAGCTTAATACTGGCTAGCTAGCCGCGCTGGACCGCATGGAGGAGCATGGCCGCGGG